TCATGGTTTTTCTCGAGCTGCGGCGGGGACCTGGGGTATGTTCTCGACTTACGGCGGGGATGGCCCTTCAAAACACGAGTTTCTTCAGTGATGTCAGGACTCCTGTCTAGTAACGAGGGACACCTCAGGAATCTCTTCGAGGCTTGGCAGGGCCAAAGGGACGCTTCTCGAGGTGAGGCAGGGCACCCAAGGACCCTTTCCAGTAGCCACAGGGATTTTGGGATTCCTATCAGTATTCAAGAGGAGTCAGGCATCGTCACCTTTTGAAGCAATGAACTCCGCGTGCCTCTCGAGGTGTCAGCGGGATGTGAGGCATTCCGTCAAAATGAGGCAGGGACCTAGGGCTTTCTCTAAGGTCTCCACAGGGGATTCAGACATCCCTTCATGTTGTGAGATGAAAGACGAGCCTGTATTCAAGCCACTGCAAGGAAATCCGGCCTACTTTCAAGTTAGGGCTTCTCGCTGTATATTCCCCTTGAGGCAGCAAACTCGGGGTCCCTCCCACATACCTATTGCTGAGAGAAGCCTCCTCCTGAGGTGCTTCTGGGAAGTTGGCATACGTCTTGAGCCTAAGCCAGGGAATCAGCTCGCATCTCGAGATGATTTGGGGTACACGGAGCATTCCTCGAGTTGCTGTGCTGAAGTTGGTGTTCCTCTAGACTTGGGACAGTGTTCTCGGGGCATCTCTGGAGTTGCCTGAAGGAAGTCGAGCCACCGGTCGTGTTGAATGGGGAACGGGGAATGGCTCTGGAGTCAATGCAGGGGAATCGGGCCTCATCTCGAGTTGATTTGGGGCACATGGAGCTGCTTTGCGTTGCTGGGGTGACCTCAGGGTCCGTCTAGACTGGTGACAGTGTTCTTGGGGACTGTCTCGAGATCCATTAAGCAAGCCGAAGCTCCTGACTTGTTTGAATGGGATCACGGAATAGCTCTGCATGCACTGCAGGGGAATGGGGCCTCATCTCGCCTCTAGGGGGAAGTCTCATGGTTTTTCTCGAGTTGCGGCGGGGACCTGGGGTATGTTCTCGACTTACGGCGGGGATGGCCCTTCAAAACACGAGTTTCTTCAGTGACGTCAGGACTCCTGTCTAGTAACGAGGGACACCTCAGGAATCTCTTCGAGGCTTGGCAGGGCCAAAGGGACGCTTCTCGAGGTGAGGCAGGGCACCCAAGGACCCTTTCCAGTAGCCACAGGGATTTTGGGATTCCTATCAGTATTCAAGAGGAGTCAGGCATCGTCACCTTTTGAAGCAATGAACTCCGCGTGCCTCTCGAGGTGTCAGCGGGATGTGAGGCATTCCGTCAAAATGAGGCAGGGACCTAGGGCTTTCTCTAAGGTCTCCACAGGGGATTCAGACATCCCTTCATGTTGTGAGATGAAAGACGAGCCTGTATTCAAGCCACTGCAAGGAAATCCGGCCTCCTTTCAAGTTAGGGCTTCTCGCTGTATATTCCCCTTGAGGCAGCAAACTCGGGGTCCCTCCCACATACCTATTGCTGAGAGAAGCCTCCTCCTGAGGTGCTTCTGGGAAGTTGGCATACGTCTTGAGCCTAAGCCAGGGAATCAGCTCGCATCTCGAGACGATTTGGGGTACACGGAGCATTCCTCGAGTTGCTGTGCTGAAGTTGGTGTTCCTCTAGACTTGGGACAGTGTTCTCGGGGCATCTCTGGAGTTGCCTGAAGGAAGTCGAGCCAGCGGTCGTGTTGAATGGGGAACGGGGAATGGCTCTGGAGTCAATGCAGGGGAATCGGGCCTCATCTCGAGTTGATTTGGGGCACATGGAGCTGCTTTGCGTTGCTGGGGTGACCTCAGGGTCCGTCTAGACTGGTGACAGTGTTCTTGGGGACTGTCTCGAGATCCATTAAGCAAGCCGAAGCTCCTGACTTGTTTGAATGGGATCACGGAATAGCTCTTCATGCACTGCAGGCGAATGGGGCCTCATCTCGCCTCTAGGGGGAAGTCTCATGGTTTTTCTCGAGTTGCGGCGGGGACCTGGGGTATGTTCTCGACTTACGGCGGGGATGGCCCTTCAAAACACGAGTTTCTTCAGTGACGTCAGGACTCCTGTCTAGTAACGAGGGACACCTCAGGAATCTCTTCGAGGCTTGGCAGGGCCAAAGGGACGCTTCTCGAGGTGAGGCAGGGCACCCAAGGACCCTTTCCAGTAGCCACAGGGATTTTGGGATTCCTATCAGTATCCAAAGGAGTCAGGCATCGTCACCTTTTGAAGCAATGAACTCCGCGTGCCTCTCGAGGTGTCAGCGGGATGTGAGGCATTCCGTCAAAATGAGGCAGGGACCTAGGGCTTTCTCTAAGGTCTCCACAGGGGATTCAGACATCCCTTCATGTTGTGAGATGAAAGACGAGCCTGTATTCAAGCCACTGCAAGGAAATCCGGCCTCCTTTCAAGTTAGGGCTTCTCGCTGTATATTCCCCTTGAGGCAGCAAACTCGGGGTCCCTCCCACATACCTATTGCTGAGAGAAGCCTCCTCCTGAGGTGCTTCTGGGAAGTTGGCATACGTCTTGAGCCTAAGCCAGGGAATCAGCTCGCATCTCGAGACGATTTGGGGTACACGGAGCATTCCTCGAGTTGCTGTGCTGAAGTTGGTGTTCCTCTAGACTTGGGACAGTGTTCTCGGGGCATCTCTGGAGTTGCCTGAAGGAAGTCGAGCCACCGGTCGTGTTGAATGGGGAACGGGGAATGGCTCTGGAGTCAATGCAGGGGAATCGGGCCTCATCTCGAGTTGATTTGGGGCACATGGAGCTGCTTTGCGTTGCTGGGGTGACCTCAGGGTCCGTCTAGACTGGTGACAGTGTTCTTGGGGACTGTCTCGAGATCCATTAAGCAAGTCGAAGCTCCTGACTTGTTTGAATGGGATCACGGAATAGCTCTGCATGCACTGCAGGGGAATGGGGCCTCATCTCGCCTCTAGGGGGAAGTCTCATGGTTTTTCTCGAGTTGCGGCGGGGACCTGGGGTATGTTCTCGACTTACGGCGGGGATGGCCCTTCAAAACACGAGTTTCTTCAGTGACGTCAGGACTCCTGTCTAGTAACGAGGGACACCTCAGGAATCTCTTCGAGGCTTGGCAGGGCCAAAGGGACGCTTCTCGAGGTGAGGCAGGGCACCCAAGGACCCTTTCCAGTAGCCACAGGGATTTTGGGATTCCTATCAGTATCCAAAGGAGTCAGGCATCGTCACCTTTTGAAGCAATGAACTCCGCGTGCCTCTCGAGGTGTCAGCGGGATGTGAGGCATTCCGTCAAAATGAGGCAGGGACCTAGGGCTTTCTCTAAGGTCTCCACAGGGGATTCAGACATCCCTTCATGTTGTGAGATGAAAGACGAGCCTGTATTCAAGCCACTGCAAGGAAATCCGGCCTCCTTTCAAGTTAGGGCTTCTCGCTGTATATTCCCCTTGAGGCAGCAAACTCGGGGTCCCTCCCACATACCTATTGCTGAGAGAAGCCTCCTCCTGAGGTGCTTCTGGGAAGTTGGCATACGTCTTGAGCCTAAGCCAGGGAATCAGCTCGCATCTCGAGACGATTTGGGGTACATGGAGCATTCCTCGAGTTGCTGTGCTGAAGTTGGTGTTCCTCTAGACTTGGGACAGTGTTCTCGGGGCATCTCTGGAGTTGCCTGAAGGAAGTCGAGCCACCGGTCGTGTTGAATGGGGAACGGGGAATGGCTCTGGAGTCAATGCAGGGGAATCGGGCCTCATCTCGAGTTGATTTGGGGCACATGGAGCTGCTTTGCGTTGCTGGGGTGACCTCAGGGTCCGTCTAGACTGGTGACAGTGTTCTTGGGGACTGTCTCGAGATCCATTAAGCAAGTCGAAGCTCCTGACTTGTTTGAATGGGATCACGGAATAGCTCTGCATGCACTGCAGGCGAATGGGGCCTCATCTCGCCTCTAGGGGAAAGTCTCATGGTTTTTCTCGAGTTGCGGCGGGGACCTGGGGTATGTTCTCGACTTACGGCGGGGATGGCCCTTCAAAACACGAGTTTCTTCAGTGACGTCAGGACTCCTGTCTAGTAACGAGGGACACCTCAGGAATCTCTTCGAGGCTTGGCAGGGCCAAAGGGACGCTTCTCGAGGTGAGGCAGGGCACCCAAGGACCCTTTCCAGTAGCCACAGGGATTTTGGGATTCCTATCAGTATCCAAAGGAGTCAGGCATCGTCACCTTTTGAAGCAATGAACTCCGCGTGCCTCTCGAGGTGTCAGCGGGATGTGAGGCATTCCGTCAAAATGAGGCAGGGACCTAGGGCTTTCTCTAAGGTCTCCACAGGGGATTCAGACATCCCTTCATGTTGTGAGATGAAAGACGAGCCTGTATTCAAGCCACTGCAAGGAAATCCGGCCTCCTTTCAAGTTAGGGCTTCTCGCTGTATATTCCCCTTGAGGCAGCAAACTCGGGGTCCCTCCCACATACCTATTGCTGAGAGAAGCCTCCTCCTGAGGTGCTTCTGGGAAGTTGGCATACGTCTTGAGCCTAAGCCAGGGAATCAGCTCGCATCTCGAGACGATTTGGGGTACACGGAGCATTCCTCGAGTTGCTGTGCTGAAGTTGGTGTTCCTCTAGACTTGGGACAGTGTTCTCGGGGCATCTCTGGAGTTGCCTGAAGGAAGTCGAGCCACCGGTCGTGTTGAATGGGGAACGGGGAATGGCTCTGGAGTCAATGCAGGGGAATCGGGCCTCATCTCGAGTTGATTTGGGGCACATGGAGCTGCTTTGCGTTGCTGGGGTGACCTCAGGGTCCGTCTAGACTGGTGACAGTGTTCTTGGGGACTGTCTCGAGATCCATTAAGCAAGTCGAAGCTCCTGACTTGTTTGAATGGGATCACGGAATAGCTCTGCATGCACTGCAGGGGAATGGGGCCTCATCTCGCCTCTAGGGGGAAGTCTCATGGTTTTTCTCGAGTTGCGGCGGGGACCTGGGGTATGTTCTCGACTTACGGCGGGGATGGCCCTTCAAAACACGAGTTTCTTCAGTGACGTCAGGACTCCTGTCTAGTAACGAGGGACACCTCAGGAATCTCTTCGAGGCTTGGCAGGGCCAAAGGGACGCTTCTCGAGGTGAGGCAGGGCACCCAAGGACCCTTTCCAGTAGCCACAGGGATTTTGGGATTCCTATCAGTATTCAAGAGGAGTCAGGCATCGTCACCTTTTGAAGCAATGAACTCCGCGTGCCTCTCGAGGTGTCAGCGGGATGTGAGGCATTCCGTCAAAATGAGGCAGGGACCTAGGGCTTTCTCTAAGGTCTCCACAGGGGATTCAGACATCCCTTCATGTTGTGAGATGAAAGACGAGCCTGTATTCAAGCCACTGCAAGGAAATCCGGCCTCCTTTCAAGTTAGGGCTTCTCGCTGTATATTCCCCTTGAGGCAGCAAACTCGGGGTCCCTCCCACATACCTATTGCTGAGAGAAGCCTCCTCCTGAGGTGCTTCTGGGAAGTTGGCATACGTCTTGAGCCTAAGCCAGGGAATCAGCTCGCATCTCGAGACGATTTGGGGTACACGGAGCATTCCTCGAGTTGCTGTGCTGAAGTTGGTGTTCCTCTAGACTTGGGACAGTGTTCTCGGGGCATCTCTGGAGTTGCCTGAAGGAAGTCGAGCCACCGGTCGTGTTGAATGGGGAACGGGGAATGGCTCTGGAGTCAATGCAGGGGAATCGGGCCTCATCTCGAGTTGATTTGGGGCACATGGAGCTGCTTTGCGTTGCTGGGGTGACCTCAGGGTCCGTCTAGACTGGTGACAGTGTTCTTGGGGACTTTCTCGAGATCCATTAAGCAAGTCGAAGCTCCTGACTTGTTTGAATGGGATCACGGAATAGCTCTGCATGCACTGCAGGGGAATGGGGCCTCATCTCGCCTCTAGGGGGAAGTCTCATGGTTTTTCTCGAGTTGCGGCGGGGACCTGGGGTATGTTCTCGACTTACGGCGGGGATGGCCCTTCAAAACACGAGTTTCTTCAGTGACGTCAGGACTCCTGTCTAGTAACGAGGGACACCTCAGGAATCTCTTCGAGGCTTGGCAGGGCCAAAGGGACGCTTCTCGAGGTGAGGCAGGGCACCCAAGGACCCTTTCCAGTAGCCACAGGGATTTTGGGATTCCTATCAGTATCCAAAGGAGTCAGGCATCGTCACCTTTTGAAGCAATGAACTCCGCGTGCCTCTCGAGGTGTCAGCGGGATGTGAGGCATTCCGTCAAAATGAGGCAGGGACCTAGGGCTTTCTCTAAGGTCTCCACAGGGGATTCAGACATCCCTTCATGTTGTGAGATGAAAGACGAGCCTGTATTCAAGCCACTGCAAGGAAATCCGGCCTCCTTTCAAGTTAGGGCTTCTCGCTGTATATTCCCCTTGAGGCAGCAAACTCGGGGTCCCTCCCACATACCTATTGCTGAGAGAAGCCTCCTCCTGAGGTGCTTCTGGGAAGTTGGCATACGTCTTGAGCCTAAGCCAGGGAATCAGCTCGCATCTCGAGACGATTTGGGGTACACGGAGCATTCCTCGAGTTGCTGTGCTGAAGTTGGTGTTCCTCTAGACTTGGGACAGTGTTCTCGGGGCATCTCTGGAGTTGCCTGAAGGAAGTCGAGCCACCGGTCGTGTTGAATGGGGAACGGGGAATGGCTCTGGAGTCAATGCAGGGGAATCGGGCCTCATCTCGAGTTGATTTGGGGCACATGGAGCTGCTTTGCGTTGCTGGGGTGACCTCAGGGTCCGTCTAGACTGGTGACAGTGTTCTTGGGGACTGTCTCGAGATCCATTAAGCAAGTCGAAGCTCCTGACTTGTTTGAATGGGATCACGGAATAGCTCTGCATGCACTGCAGGGGAATGGGGCCTCATCTCGCCTCTAGGGGGAAGTCTCATGGTTTTTCTCGAGTTGCGGCGGGGACCTGGGGTATGTTCTCGACTTACGGCGGGGATGGCCCTTCAAAACACGAGTTTCTTCAGTGACGTCAGGACTCCTGTCTAGTAACGAGGGACACCTCAGGAATCTCTTCGAGGCTTGGCAGGGCCAAAGGGACGCTTCTCGAGGTGAGGCAGGGCACCCAAGGACCCTTTCCAGTAGCCACAGGGATTTTGGGATTCCTATCAGTATCCAAAGGAGTCAGGCATCGTCACCTTTTGAAGCAATGAACTCCGCGTGCCTCTCGAGGTGTCAGCGTGATGTGAGGCATTCCGTCAAAATGAGGCAGGGACCTAGGGCTTTCTCTAAGGTCTCCACAGGGGATTCAGACATCCCTTCATGTTGTGAGATGAAAGACGAGCCTGTATTCAAGCCACTGCAAGGAAATCCGGCCTCCTTTCAAGTTAGGGCTTCTCGCTGTATATTCCCCTTGAGGCAGCAAACTCGGGGTCCCTCCCACCTACCTATTGCTGAGAGAAGCCTCCTCCTGAGGTGCTTCTGGGAAGTTGGCATATGTCTTGAGCCTAAGCCAGGGAATCAGCTCGCATCTCGAGACGATTTGGGGTACACGGAGCATTCCTCGAGTTGCTGTGCTGAAGTTGGTGTTCCTCTAGACTTGGGACAGTGTTCTCCGGGCATCTCTGGAGTTGCCTGAAGGAAGTCGAGCCACCGGTCGTGTTGAATGGGGAACGGGGAATGGCTCTGGAGTCAATGCAGGGGAATCGGGCCTCATCTCGAGTTGATTTGGGGCACATGGAGCTGCTTTGCGTTGCTGGGGTGACCTCAGGGTCCGTCTAGACTGGTGACAGTGTTCTTGGGGACTGTCTCGAGATCCATTAAGCAAGTCGAAGCTCCTGACTTGTTTGAATGGGATCACGGAATAGCTCTGCATGCACTGCAGGGGAATGGGGCCTCATCTCGCCTCTAGGGGGAAGTCTCATGGTTTTTCTCGAGTTGCGGCGGGGACCTGGGGTATGTTCTCGACTTACGGCGTGGATGGCCCTTCAAAACACGAGTTTCTTCAGTGACGTCAGGACTCCTGTCTAGTAACGAGGGACACCTCAGGAATCTCTTCGAGGCATGGCAGGGCCAAAGGGACGCTTCTCGAGGTGAGGCAGGGCACCCAAGGACCCTTTCCAGTAGCCACAGGGATTTTGGGATTCCTATCAGTATCCAAAGGAGTCAGGCATCGTCACCTTTTGAAGCAATGAACTCCGCGTGCCTCTCGAGGTGTCAGCGGGATGTGAGGCATTCCGTCAAAATGAGGCAGGGACCTAGGGCTTTCTCTAAGGTCTCCACAGGGGATTCAGACATCCCTTCATGTTGTGAGATGAAAGACGAGCCTGTATTCAAGCCACTGCAAGGAAATCCGGCCTCCTTTCAAGTTAGGGCTTCTCGCTGTATATTCCCCTTGAGGCAGCAAACTCGGGGTCCCTCCCACATACCTATTGCTGAGAGAAGCCTCCTCCTGAGGTGCTTCTGGGAAGTTGGCATACGTCTTGAGCCTAAGCCAGGGAATCAGCTCGCATCTCGAGACGATTTGGGGTACACGGAGCATTCCTCGAGTTGCTGTGCTGAAGTTGGTGTTCCTCTAGACTTGGGACAGTGTTCTCGGGGCATCTCTGGAGTTGCCTGAAGGAAGTCGAGCCACCGGTCGTGTTGAATGGGGAACGGGGAATGGCTCTGGAGTCAATGCAGGGGAATCGGGCCTCATCTCGAGTTGATTTGGGGCACATGGAGCTGCTTTGCGTTGCTGGGGTGACCTCAGGGTCCGTCTAGACTGGTGACAGTGTTCTTGTGGACTGTCTCGAGATCCATTAAGCAAGTCGAAGCTCCTGACTTGTTTGAATGGGATCACGGAATAGCTCTGCATGCACTGCAGGGGAATGGGGCCTCATCTCGCCTCTAGGGGGAAGTCTCATGGTTTTTCTCGAGTTGCGGCGGGGACCTGGGGTATGTTCTCGACTTACGGCGGGGATGGCCCTTCAAAACACGAGTTTCTTCAGTGACGTCAGGACTCCTGTCTAGTAACGAGGGACACCTCAGGAATCTCTTCGAGGCTTGGCAGGGCCAAAGGGACGCTTCTCGAGGTGAGGCAGGGCACCCAAGGACCCTTTCCAGTAGCCACAGGGATTTTGGGATTCCTATCAGGATCCAAAGGAGTCAGGCATCGTCACCTTTTGAAGCAATGAACTCCGCGTGCCTCTCGAGGTGTCAGCGGGATGTGAGGCATTCCGTCAAAATGAGGCAGGGACCTAGGGCTTTCTCTAAGGTCTCCACAGGGGATTCAGACATCCCTTCATGTTGTGAGATGAAAGACGAGCCTGTATTCAAGCCACTGCAAGGAAATCCGGCCTCCTTTCAAGTTAGGGCTTCTCGCTGTATATTCCCCTTGAGGCAGCAAACTCGGGGTCCCTCCCACATACCTATTGCTGAGAGAAGCCTCCTCCTGAGGTGCTTCTGGGAATTTGGCATACGTCTTGAGCCTAAGCCAGGGAATCAGCTCGCATCTCGAGACGATTTGGGGTACACGGAGCATTCCTCGAGTTGCTGTGCTGAAGTTGGTGTTCCTCTAGACTTGGGACAGTGTTCTCCGGGCATCTCTGGAGTTGCCTGAAGGAAGTCGAGCCACCGGTCGTGTTGAATGGGGAACGGGGAATGGCTCTGGAGTCAATGCAGGGGAATCGGGCCTCATCTCGAGTTGATTTGGGGCACATGGAGCTGCTTTGCGTTGCTGGGGTGACCTCAGGGTCCGTCTAGACTGGTGACAGTGTTCTTGGGGACTGTCTCGAGATCCATTAAGCAAGTCGAAGCTCCTGACTTGTTTGAATGGGATCACGGAATAGCTCTGCATGCACTGCAGGGGAATGGGGCCTCATCTCGCCTCTAGGGGGAAGTCTCATGGTTTTTCTCGAGTTGCGGCGGGGACCTGGGGTATGTTCTCGACTTACGGCGGGGATGGCCCTTCAAAACACGAGTTTCTTCAGTGACGTCAGGACTCCTGTCTAGTAACGAGGGACACCTCAGGAATCTCTTCGAGGCTTGGCAGGGCCAAAGGGACGCTTCTCGAGGTGAGGCAGGGCACCCAAGGACCCTTTCCAGTAGCCACAGGGATTTTGGGATTCCTATCAGTATTCAAGAGGAGTCAGGCATCGTCACCTTTTGAAGCAATGAACTCCGCGTGCCTCTCGAGGTGTCAGCGGGATGTGAGGCATTCCGTCAAAATGAGGCAGGGACCTAGGGCTTTCTCTAAGGTCTCCACAGGGGATTCAGACATCCCTTCATGTTGTGAGATGAAAGACGAGCCTGTATTCAAGCCACTGCAAGGAAATCCGGCCTCCTTTCAAGTTAGGGCTTCTCGCTGTATATTCCCCTTGAGGCAGCAAACTCGGGGTCCCTCCCACATACCTATTGCTGAGAGAAGCCTCCTCCTGAGGTGCTTCTGGGAAGTTGGCATACGTCTTGAGCCTAAGCCAGGGAATCAGCTCGCATCTCGAGACGATTTGGGGTACACGGAGCATTCCTCGAGTTGCTGTGCTGAAGTTGGTGTTCCTCTAGACTTGGGACAGTGTTCTCGGGGCATCTCTGGAGTTGCCTGAAGGAAGTCGAGCCACCGGTCGTGTTGAATGGGGAACGGGGAATGGCTCTGGAGTCAATGCAGGGGAATCGGGCCTCATCTCGAGTTGATTTGGGGCACATGGAGCTGCTTTGCGTTGCTGGGGTGACCTCAGGGTCCGTCTAGACTGGTGACAGTGTTCTTGGGGACTGTCTCGAGATCCATTAAGCAAGTCGAAGCTCCTGACTTGTTTGAATGGGATCACGGAATAGCTCTGCATGCACTGCAGGGGAATGGGGCCTCATCTCGCCTCTAGGGGGAAGTCTCATGGTTTTTCTCGAGTTGCGGCGGGGACCTGGGGTATGTTCTCGACTTACGGCGGGGATGGCCCTTCAAAACACGAGTTTCTTCAGTGACGTCAGGACTCCTGTCTAGTAACGAGGGACACCTCAGGAATCTCTTCGAGGCTTGGCAGGGCCAAAGGGACGCTTCTCGAGGTGAGGCAGGGCACCCAAGGACCCTTTCCAGTAGCCACAGGGATTTTGGGATTCCTATCAGTATTCAAGAGGAGTCAGGCATCGTCACCTTTTGAAGCAATGAACTCCGCGTGCCTCTCGAGGTGTCAGCGGGATGTGAGGCATTCCGTCAAAATGAGGCAGGGACCTAGGGCTTTCTCTAAGGTCTCCACAGGGGATTCAGACATCCCTTCATGTTGTGAGATGAAAGACGAGCCTGTATTCAAGCCACTGCAAGGAAATCCGGCCTCCTTTCAAGTTAGGGCTTCTCGCTGTATATTCCCCTTGAGGCAGCAAACTCGGGGTCCCTCCCACATACCTATTGCTGAGAGAAGCCTCCTCCTGAGGTGCTTCTGGGAAGTTGCATACGTCTTGAGCCTAAGCCAGGGAATCAGCTCGCATCTCGAGACGATTTGGGGTACACGGAGCATTCCTCGAGTTGCTGTGCTGAAGTTGGTGTTCCTCTAGACTTGGGACAGTGTTCTCGGGGCATCTCTGGAGTTGCCTGAAGGAAGTCGAGCCACCGGTCGTGTTGAATGGGGAACGGGGAATGGCTCTGGAGTCAATGCAGGGGAATCGGGCCTCATCTCGAGTTGATTTGGGGCACATGGAGCTGCTTTGCGTTGCTGGGGTGACCTCAGGGTCCGTCTAGACTGGTGACAGTGTTCTTGGGGACTGTCTCGAGATCCATTAAGCAAGTCGAAGCTCCTGACTTGTTTGAATGGGATCACGGAATAGCTCTTCATGCACTGCAGGGGAATGGGGCCTCATCTCGCCTCTAGGGGAAAGTCTCATGGTTTTTCTCGAGTTGCGGCGGGGACCTGGGGTATGTTCTCGACTTACGGCGGGGATGGCCCTTCAAAACACGAGTTTCTTCAGTGACGTCAGGACTCCTGTCTAGTAACGAGGGACACCTCAGGAATCTCTTCGAGGCTTGGCAGGGCCAAAGGGACGCTTCTCGAGGTGAGGCAGGGCACCCAAGGACCCTTTCCAGTAGCCACAGGGATTTTGGGATTCCTATCAGTATTCAAGAGGAGTCAGGCATCGTCACCTTTTGAAGCAATGAACTCCGCGTGCCTCTCGAGGTGTCAGCGGGATGTGAGGCATTCCGTCAAAATGAGGCAGGGACCTAGGGCTTTCTCTAAGGTCTCCACAGGGGATTCAGACATCCCTTCATGTTGTGAGATGAAAGACGAGCCTGTATTCAAGCCACTGCAAGGAAATCCGGCCTCCTTTCAAGTTAGGGCTTCTCGCTGTATATTCCCCTTGAGGGAGCAAACTCGGGGTCCCTCCCACATACCTATTGCTGAGAGAAGCCTCCTCCTGAGGTGCTTCTGGGAAGTTGGCATACGTCTTGAGCCTAAGCCAGGGAATCAGCTCGCATCTCGAGATGATTTGGGGTACACGGAGCATTCCTCGAGTTGCTGTGCTGAAGTTGGTGTTCCTCTAGACTTGGGACAGTGTTCTCGGGGCATCTCTGGAGTTGCCTGAAGGAAGTCGAGCCACCGGTCGTGTTGAATGGGGAACGGGGAATGGCTCTGGAGTCAATGCAGGGGAATCGGGCCTCATCTCGAGTTGATTTGGGGCACATGGAGCTGCTTTGCGTTGCTGGGGTGACCTCAGGGTCCGTCTAGACTGGTGACAGTGTTCTTGGGGACTGTCTCGAGATCCATTAAGCAAGTCGAAGCTCCTGACTTGTTTGAATGGGATCACGGAATAGCTCTGCATGCACTGCAGGGGAATGGGGCCTCATCTCGCCTCTAGGGGGAAGTCTCATGGTTTTTCTCGAGTTGCGGCGGGGACCTGGGGTATGTTCTCGACTTACGGCGGGGATGGCCCTTCAAAACACGAGTTTCTTCAGTGACGTCAGGACTCCTGTCTAGTAACGAGGGACACCTCAGGAATCTCTTCGAGGCTTGGCAGGGCCAAAGGGACGCTTCTCGAGGTGAGGCAGGGCACCCAAGGACCCTTTCCAGTAGCCACAGGGATTTTGGGATTCCTATCAGTATTCAAGAGGAGTCAGGCATCGTCACCTTTTGAAGCAATGAACTCCGCGTGCCTCTCGAGGTGTCAGCGGGATGTGAGGCATTCCGTCAAAATGAGGCAGGGACCTAGGGCTTTCTCTAAGGTCTCCACAGGGGATTCAGACATCCCTTCATGTTGTGAGATGAAAGACGAGCCTGTATTCAAGCCACTGCAAGGAAATCCGGCCTCCTTTCAAGTTAGGGCTTCTCGCTGTATATTCCCCTTGAGGCAGCAAACTCGGGGTCCCTCCCACATACCTATTGCTGAGAGAAGCCTCCTCCTGAGGTGCTTCTGGGAAGTTGGCATACGTCTTGAGCCTAAGCCAGGGAATCAGCTCGCATCTCGAGATGATTTGGGGTACACGGAGCATTCCTCGAGTTGCTGTGCTGAAGTTGGTGTTCCTCTAGACTTGGGACAGTGTTCTCGGGGCATCTCTGGAGTTGCCTGAAGGAAGTCGAGCCACCGGTCGTGTTGAATGGGGAACGGGGAATGGCTCTGGAGTCAATGCAGGGGAATCGGGCCTCATCTCGAGTTGATTTGGGGCACATGGAGCTGCTTTGCGTTGCTGGGGTGACCTCAGGGTCCGTCTAGACTGGTGACAGTGTTCTTGGGGACTGTCTCGAGATCCATTAAGCAAGTCGAAGCTCCTGACTTGTTTGAATGGGATCACGGAATAGCTCTGCATGCACTGCAGGGGAATGGGGCCTCATCTCGCCTCTAGGGGGAAGTCTCATGGTTTTTCTCGAGTTGCGGCGGGGACCTGGGGTATGTTCTCGACTTACGGCGGGGATGGCCCTTCAAAACACGAGTTTCTTCAGTGACGTCAGGACTCCTGTCTAGTAACGAGGGACACCTCAGGAATCTCTTCGAGGCTTGGCAGGGCCAAAGGGACGCTTCTCGAGGTGAGGCAGGGCACCCAAGGACCCTTTCCAGTAGCCACAGGGATTTTGGGATTCCTATCAGTATTCAAGAGGAGTCAGGCATCGTCACCTTTTGAAGCAATGAACTCCGCGTGCCTCTCGAGGTGTCAGCGGGATGTGAGGCATTCCGTCAAAATGAGGCAGGGACCTAGGGCTTTCTCTAAGGTCTCCACAGGGGATTCAGACATCCCTTCATGTTGTGAGATGAAAGACGAGCCTGTATTCAAGCCACTGCAAGGAAATCCGGCCTCCTTTCAAGTTAGGGCTTCTCGCTGTATATTCCCCTTGAGGCAGCAAACTCGGGGTCCCTCCCACATACCTATTGCTGAGAGAAGCCTCCTCCTGAGGTGCTTCTGGGAAGTTGGCATACGTCTTGAGCCTAAGCCAGGGAATCAGCTCGCATCTCGAGACGATTTGGGGTACACGGAGCATTCCTCGAGTTGCTGTGCTGAAGTTGGTGTTCCTCTAGACTTGGGACAGTGTTCTCGGGGCATCTCTGGAGTTGCCTGAAGGAAGTCGAGCCACCGGTCGTGTTGAATGGGGAACGGGGAATGGCTCTGGAGTCAATGCAGGGGAATCGGGCCTCATCTCGAGTTGATTTGGGGCACATGGAGCTGCTTTGCGTTGCTGGGGTGACCTCAGGGTCCGTCTAGACTGGTGACAGTGTTCTTGGGGACTGTCTCGAGATCCATTAAGCAAGTCGAAGCTCCTGACTTGTTTGAATGGGATCACGGAATAGCTCTGCATGCACTGCAGGGGAATGGGGCCTCATCTCGCCTCTAGGGGGAAGTCTCATGGTTTTTCTCGAGTTGCGGCGGGGACCTGGGGTATGTTCTCGACTTACGGCGGGGATGGCCCTTCAAAACACGAGTTTCTTCAGTGACGTCAGGACTCCTGTCTAGTAACGAGGGACACCTCAGGAATCTCTTCGAGGCTTGGCAGGGCCAAAGGGACGCTTCTCGAGGTGAGGCAGGGCACCCAAGGACCCTTTCCAGTAGCCACAGGGATTTTGGGATTCCTATCAGTATCCAAAGGAGTCAGGCATCGTCACCTTTTGAAACAATGAACTCCGCGTGCCTCTCGAGGTGTCAGCGGGATGTGAGGCATTCCGTCAAAATGAGGCAGGGACCTAGGGCTTTCTCTAAGGTCTCCACAGGGGATTCAGACATCCCTTCATGTTGTGAGATGAAAGACGAGCCTGTATTCAAGCCACTGCAAGGAAATCCGGCCTCCTTTCAAGTTAGGGCTTCTCGCTGTATATTCCCCTTGAGGCAGCAAACTCGGGGTCCCTCCCACATACCTATTGCTGAGAGAAGCCTCCTCCTGAGGTGCTTCTGGGAAGTTGGCATACGTCTTGAGCCTAAGCCAGGGAATCAGCTCGCATCTCGAGACGATTTGGGGTACACGGAGCATTCCTCGAGTTGCTGTGCTGAAGTTGGTGTTCCTCTAGACTTGGGACAGTGTTCTCGGGGCATCTCTGGAGTTGCCTGAAGGAAGTCGAGCCACCGGTCGTGTTGAATGGGAAACGGGGAATGGCTCTGGAGTCAATGCAGGGGAATCGGGCCTCATCTCGAGTTGATTTGGGGCACATGGAGCTGCTTTGCGTTGCTGGGGTGACCTCAGGGTCCGTCTAGACTGGTGACTGTTCTTGGGGACTGTCTCGAGATCCATTAAGCAAGTCGAAGCTCCTGACTTGTTTGAATGGGATCACGGAATAGCTCTGCATGCACTGCAGGGGAATGGGGCCTCATCTCGCCTCTAGGGGGAAGTCTCATGGTTTTTCTCGAGTTGCGGCGGGGACCTGGGGTATGTTCTCGACTTACGGCGGGGATGGCCCTTCAAAACACGAGTATCTTCAGTGACGTCAGGACTCCTGTCTAGTAACGAGGGACACCTCAGGAATCTCTTCGAGGCTTGGCAGGGCCAAAGGGACGCTTCTCGAGGTGAGGCAGGGCACCCAAGGACCCTTTCCAGTAGCCACAGGGATTTTGGGATTCCTATCAGTATTCAAGAGGAGTCAGGCATCGTCACCTTTTGAAGCAATGAACTCCGCGTGCCTCTCGAGGTGTCAGCGGGATGTGAGGCATTCCGTCAAAATGAGGCAGGGACCTAGGGCTTTCTCTAAGGTCTCCACAGGGGATTCAGTCATCCCTTCATGTTGTGAGATGAAAGACGAGCCTGTATTCAAGCCACTGCAAGGAAATCCGGCCTCCTTTCAAGTTAGGGCTTCTCGCTGTATATTCCCCTTGAGGCAGCAAACTCGGGGTCCCTCCCACATACCTATTGCTGAGAGAAGCCTCCTCCTGAGGTGCTTCTGGGAAGTTGGCATACGTCTTGAGCCTAAGCCAGGGAATCAGCTCGCATCTCGAGACGATTTGGGGTACACGGAGCATTCCTCGAGTTGCTGTGCTGAAGTTGGTGTTCCTCTAGACTTGGGACAGTGTTCTCGGGGCATCTCTGGAGTTGCCTGAAGGAAGTCGAGCCACCGGTCGTGTTGAATGGGGAACGGGGAATGGCTCTGTAGTCAATGCAGGGGAATCGGGCCTCATCTCGAGTTGATTTGGGGCACATGGAGCTGCTTTGCATTGCTGGGGTGACCTCAGGGTCCGTCTAGACTGGTGACAGTGTTCTTGGGGACTGTCTCGAGATCCATTAAGCAAGTCGAAGCTCCTGACTTGTTTGAATGGGATCACGGAATAGCTCTGCATGCACTGCAGGGGAATGGGGCCTCATCTCGCCTCTAGGGGAAAGTCTCATGGTTTTTCTCGAGTTGCGGCGGGGACCTGGGGTATGTTCTCGACTTACGGCGGGGATGGCCCTTCAAAACACGAGTTTCTTCAGTGACGTCAGGACTCCTGTCTAGTAACGAGGGACACCTCAGGAATCTCTTCGAGGCTTGGCAGGGCCAAAGGGACGCTTCTCGAGGTGAGGCAGGGCACCCAAGGACCCTTTCCAGTAGCCACAGGGATTTTGGGATTCCTATCAGTATTCAAGAGGAGTCAGGCATCGTCACCTTTTGAAGCAATGAACTCCGCGTGCCTCTCGAGGTGTCAGCGGGATGTGAGGCATTCCGTCAAAATGAGGCAGGGACCTAGGGCTTTCTCTAAGGTCTCCACAGGGGATTCAGACATCCCTTCATGTTGTGAGATGAAAGACGAGCCTGTATTCAAGCCACTGCAAGGAAATCCGGCCTCCTTTCAAGTTAGGGCTTCTCGCTGTATATTCCCCTTGAGGCAGCAAACTCGGGGTCCCTCCCACATACCTATTGCTGAGAGAAGCCTCCTCCTGAGGTGCTTCTGGGAAGTTGGCATACGTCTTGAGCCTAAGCCAGGGAATCAGCTCGCATCTCGAGACGATTTGGGGTACACGGAGCATTCCTCGAGTTGCTGTGCTGAAGTTGGTGTTCCTCTAGACTTGGGACAGTGTTCTCGGGGCATCTCTGGAGTTGCCTGAAGGAAGTCGAGCCACCGGTCGTGTTGAATGGGGAACGGGGAATGGCTCTGGAGTCAATGCAGGGGAATCGGGCCTCATCTCGAGTTGATTTGGGGCACATGGAGCTGCTTTGCGTTGCTGGGGTGACTCAGGGTCCGTCTAGACTGGTGACAGTGTTCTTGGGGACTGTCTCGAGATCCATTAAGCAAGTCGAAGCTCCTGACTTGTTTGAATGGGATCACGGAATAGCTCTGCATGCACTGCAGGGGAATGGGGCCTCATCTCGCCTCTAGGGGGAAGTCTCATGGTTTTTCTCGAGTTGCGGCGGGGACCTGGGGTATGTTCTCGACTTACGGCGGGGATGGCCCTTCAAAACACGAGTTTCTTCAGTGACGTCAGGACTCCTGTCTAGTAACGAGGGACACCTCAGGAATCTCTTCGAGGCTTGGCAGGGCCAAAGGGACGCTTCTCGAGGTGAGGCAGGGCACCCAAGGACCCTTTCCAGTAGCCACAGGGATTTTGGGATTCCTATCAGTATTCAAGAGGAGTCAGGCATCGTCACCTTTTGAAGCAATGAACTCCGCGTGCCTCTCGAGGTGTCAGCGGGATGTGAGGCATTGCGTCAAAATGAGGCAGGGACCTAGGGCTTTCTCTAAGGTCTCCACAGGGGATTCAGACATCCCTTCATGTTGTGAGATGAAAGACGAGCCTGTATTCAAGCCACTGCAAGGAAATCCGGCCTCCTTTCAAGTTAGGGCTTCTCGCTGTATATTCCCCTTGAGGCAGCAAACTCGGGGTCCCTCCCACATACCTATTGCTGAGAGAAGCCTCCTCCTGAGGTGCTTCTGGGAAGTTGGCATACGTCTTGAGCCTAAGCCAGGGAATCAGCTCGCATCTCGAGACGATTTGGGGTACACGGAGCATTCCTCGAGTTGCTGTGCTGAAGTTGGTGTTCCTCTAGACTTGGGACAGTGTTCTCGGGGCATCTCTGGAGTTGCCTGAAGGAAGTCGAGCCACCGGTCGTGTTGAATGGGGAACGGGGAATGGCTCTGGAGTCAATGCAGGGGAATCGGGCCTCATCTCGAGTTGATTTGGGGCACATGGAGCTGCTTTGCGTTGCTGGGGTGACCTCAGGGTCCGTCTAGACTGGTGACAGTGTTCTTGGGGACTGTCTCGAGATCCATTAAGCAAGTCGAAGCTCCTGACTTGTTTGAATGGGATCACGGAATAGCTCTTCATGCACTGCAGGGGAATGGGGCCTCATCTCGCCTCTAGGGGAAAGTCTCATGGTTTTTCTCGAGTTGCGGCGGGGACCTGGGGTATGTTCTCGACTTACGGCGGGGATGGCCCTTCAAAACACGAGTTTCTTCAGTGACGTCAGGACTCCTGTCTAGTAACGAGGGACACCTCAGGAATCTCTTCGAGGCTTGGCAGGGCCAAAGGGACGCTTCTCGAGGTGAGGCAGGGCACCCAAGGACCCTTTCCAGTAGCCACAGGGATTTTGGGATTCCTATCAGTATTCAAGAGGAGTCAGGCATCGTCACCTTTTGAAGCAATGAACTCCGCGTGCCTCTCGAGGTGTCAGCGGGATGTGAGGCATTGCGTCAAAATGAGGCAGGGACCTAGGGCTTTCTCTAAGGTCTCCACAGGGGATTCAGACATCCCTTCATGTTGTGAGATGAAAGACGAGCCTGTATTCAAGCCACTGCAAGGAAATCCGGCCTCCTTTCAAGTTAGGGCTTCTCGCTGTATATTCCCCTTGAGGCAGCAAACTCGGGGTCCCTCCCACATACCTATTGCTGAGAGAAGCCTCCTCCTGAGGTGCTTCTGGGAAGTTGGCATACGTCTTGAGCCTAAGCCAGGGAATCAGCTCGCATCTCGAGACGATTTGGGGTACACGGAGCATTCCTCGAGTTGCTGTGCTGAAGTTGGTGTTCCTCTAGACTTGGGACAGTGTTCTCGGGGCATCTCTGGAGTTGCCTGAAGGAAGTCGAGCCACCGGTCGTGTTGAATGGGGAACGGGGAATGGCTCTGGAGTCAATGCAGGGGAATCGGGCCTCATCTCGAGTTGATTTGGGGCACATGGAGCTGCTTTGCGTTGCTGGGGTGACCTCAGGGTCCGTCTAGACTGGTGACAGTGTTCTTGGGGACTGTCTCGAGATCCATTAAGCAAGTCGAAGCTCCTGACTTGTTTGAATGGGATCACGGAATAGCTCTGCATGCACTGCAGGGGAATGGGGCCTCATCTCGCCTCTAGGGGGAAGTCTCATGGTTTTTCTCGAGTTGCGGCGGGGACCTGGGGTATGTTCTCGACTTACGGCGGGGATGGCCCTTCAAAACACGAGTTTCTTCAGTGACGTCAGGACTCCTGTCTAGTAACGAGGGACACCTCAGGAATCTCTTCGAGGCTTGGCAGGGCCAAAGGGACGCTTCTCGAGGTGAGGCAGGGCACCCAAGGACCCTTTCCAGTAGCCACAGGGATTTTGGGATTCCTATCAGTATCCAAAGGAGTCAGGCATCGTCACCTTTTGAAGCAATGAACTCCGCGTGCCTCTCGAGGTGTCAGCGGGATGTGAGGCATTCCGTCAAAATGAGGCAGGGACCTAGGGCTTTCTCTAAGGTCTCCACAGGGGATTCAGACATCCCTTCATGTTGTGAGATGAAAGACGAGCCTGTATTCAAGCCACTGCAAGGAAATCCGGCCTCCTTTCAAGTTAGGGCTTCTCGCTGTATATTCCCCTTGAGGCAGCAAACTCGGGGTCCCTCCCACATACCTATTGCTGAGAGAAGCCTCCTCCTGAGGTGCTTCTGGGAAGTTGGCATACGTCTTGAGCCTAAGCCAGGGAATCAGCTCGCATCTCGAGACGATTTGGGGTACACGGAGCATTCCTCGAGTTGCTGTGCTGAAGTTGGTGTTCCTCTAGACTTGGGACAGTGTTCTCGGGGCATCTCTGGAGTTGCCTGAAGGAAGTCGAGCCACCGGTCGTGTTGAATGGGGAACGGGGAATGGCTCTGGAGTCAATGCAGGGGAATCGGGCCTCATCTCGAGTTGATTTGGGGCACATGGAGCTGCTTTGCGTTGCTGGGGTGACCTCAGGGTCCGTCTAGACTGGTGACTGTTCTTGGGGACTGTCTCGAGAACCATTAAGCAAGTCGAAGCTCCTGACTTGTTTGAATGGGATCACGGAATAGCTCTGCATGCACTGCAGGGGAATGGGGCCTCATCTCGCCTCTAGGGGGAAGTCTCATGGTTTTTCTCGAGTTGCGGCGGGGACCTGGGGTATGTTCTCGACTTACGGCGGGGATGGCCCTTCCAAATACGAGTTTCTTCAGTGACGTCAGGACTCCTGTCTAGTAACGAGGGACACCTCAGGAATCTCTTCGAGGCTTGGCAGGGCCAAAGGGACGCTTCTCGAGGTGAGGCAGGGCACCCAAGGACCCTTTCCAGTAGCCACAGGGATTTTGGGATTCCTATCAGTAACCAAAGGAGTCAGGCATCGTCATCTTTTGAAGCAATGAACTCCGCGTGCCTCTCGAGGTGTCAGCGGGATGTGAGGCATTCCGTCAAAATGAGGCAGGGACCTAGGGCTTTCTCTAAGGTCTCCACAGGGGATTCAGACATCCCTTCATGTTGTGAGATGAAAGACGAGCCTGTATTCAAGCCACTGCAAGGAAATCCGGCCTCCTTTCAAGTTAGGGCTTCTCGCTGTATATTCCCCTTGAGGCAGCAAACTCGGGGTCCCTCCCACATACCTATTGCTGAGAGAAGCCTCCTCCTGAGGTGCTTCTGGGAAGTTGGCATACGTCTTGAGCCTAAGCCAGGGAATCAGCTCGCATCTCGAGACGATTTGGGGTACACGGAGCATTCCTCGAGTTGCTGTGCTGAAGTTGGTGTTCCTCTAGACTTGGGACAGTGTTCTCGGGGCATCTCTGGAGTTGCCTGAAGGAAGTCGAGCCACCGGTCGTGTTGAATGGGGAACGGGGAATGGCTCTGGAGTCAATGCAGGGGAATCGGGCCTCATCTCGAGTTGATTTGGGGCACATGGAGTTGCTTTGCGTTGCTGGGGTGACCTCAGGGTCCGTCTAGACTGGTGACAGTGTTCTTGGGGACTGTCTCGAGATCCATTAAGCAAGTCGAAGCTCCTGACTTGTTTGAATGGGATCACGGAATAGCTCTGCATGCACTGCAGGGGAATGGGGCCTCATCTCGCCTCTAGGGGGAAGTCTCATGGTTTTTCTCGAGTTGCGGCGGGGACCTGGGGTATGTTCTCGACTTACGGCGGGGATGGCCCTTCAAAACACGAGTTTCTTCAGTGACGTCAGGACTCCTGTCTAGTAACGAGGGACACCTCAGGAATCTCTTCGAGGCTTGGCAGGGCCAAAGGGACGCTTCTCGAGGTGAGGCAGGGCACCCAAGGACCCTTTCCAGTAGCCACAGGGATTTTGGGATTCCTATCAGTATCCAAAGGAGTCAGGCATCGTCACCTTTTGAAGCAATGAACTCCGCGTGCCTCTCGAGGTGTCAGCGGGATGTGAGGCATTCCGTCAAAATGAGGCAGGGACCTAGGGCTTTCTCTAAGGTCTCCACAGGGGATTCAGACATCCCTTCATGTTGTGAGATGAAAGACGAGCCTGTATTCAAGCCACTGCAAGGAAATCCGGCCTCCTTTCAAGTTAGGGCTTCTCGCTGTATATTCCCCTTGAGGCAGCAAACTCGGGGTCCCTCCCACATACCTATTGCTGAGAGAAGCCTCCTCCTGAGGTGCTTCTGGGAAGTTGGCATACGTCTTGAGCCTAAGCCAGGGAATCAGCTCGCATCTCGAGACGATTTGGGGTACACGGAGCATTCCTCGAGTTGCTGTGCTGAAGTTGGTGTTCCTCTAGACTTGGGACAGTGTTCTCGGGGCATCTCTGGAGTTGCCTGAAGGAAGTCGAGCCACCGGTCGTGTTGAATGGGGAACGGGGAATGGCTCTGGAGTCAATGCAGGGGAATCGGGCCTCATCTCGAGTTGATTTGGGGCACATGGAGCTGCTTTGCGTTGCTGGGGTGACCTCAGGGTCCGTCTAGACTGGTGACTGTTCTTGGGGACTGTCTCGAGAACCATTAAGCAAGTCGAAGCTCCTGACTTGTTTGAATGGGATCACGGAATAGCTCTGCATGCACTGCAGGGGAATGGGGCCTCATCTCGCCTCTAGGGGGAAGTCTCATGGTTTTTCTCGAGTTGCGGCGGGGACCTGGGGTATGTTCTCGACTTACGGCGGGGATGGCCCTTCAAAGCACGAGTTTCTTCAGTGACGTCAGGACTCCTGTCTAGTAACGAGGGACACCTCAGGAATCTCTTCGAGGCTTGGCAGGGCCAAAGGGACGCTTCTCGAGGTGAGGCAGGGCACCCAAGGACCCTTTCCAGTAGCCACAGGGATTTTGGGATTCCTATCAGTATTCAAGAGGAGTCAGGCATCGTCACCTTTTGAAGCAATGAACTCCGCGTGCCTCTCGAGGTGTCAGCGGGATGTGAGGCATTCCGTCAAAATGAGGCAGGGACCTAGGGCTTTCTCTAAGGTCTCCACAGGGGATTCAGACATCCCTTCATGTTGTGAGATGAAAGACGAGCCTGTATTCAAGCCACTGCAAGGAAATCTGGCCTCCTTTCAAGTTAGGGCTTCTCGCTGTATATTCCCCTTGAGGCAGCAAACTCGGGGTCCCTCCCACATACCTATTGCTGAGAGAAGCCTCCTCCTGAGGTGCTTCTGGGAAGTTGGCATACGTCTTGAGCCTAAGCCAGGGAATCAGCTCGCATCTCGAGACGATTTGGGGTACACGGAGCATTCCTCGAGTTGCTGTGCTGAAGTTGGTGTTCCTCTAGACTTGGGACAGTGTTCTCGGGGCATCTCTGGAGTTGCCTGAAGGAAGTCGAGCCACCGGTCGTGTTGAATGGGGAACGGGGAATGGCTCTGGAGTCAATGCAGGGGAATCGGGCCTCATCTCGAGTTGATTTGGGGCACATGGAGCTGCTTTGCGTTGCTGGGGTGACCTCAGGGTCCGTCTAGACTGGTGACAGTGTTCTTGGGGACTGTCTCGAGATCCATTAAGCAAGTCGAAGCTCCTGACTTGTTTGAATGGGATCACGGAATAGCTCTGCATGCACTGCAGGGGAATGGGGCCTCATCTCGCCTCTAGGGGGAAGTCTCATGGTTTTTCTCGAGTTGCGGCGGGGACCTGGGGTATGTTCTCGACTTACGGCGGGGATGGCCCTTCAAAACACGAGTTTCTTCAGTGACGTCAGGACTCCTGTCTAGTAACGAGGGACACCTCAGGAATCTCTTCGAGGCTTGGCAGGGCCAAAGGGACGCTTCTCGAGGTGAGGCAGGGCACCCAAGGACCCTTTCCAGTAGCCACAGGGATTTTGGGATTCCTATCAGTATCCAAAGGAGTCAGGCATCGTCACCTTTTGAAGCAATGAACTCCGCGTGCCTCTCGAGGTGTCAGCGGGATGTGAGGCATTCCGTCAAAATGAGGCAGGGACCTAGGGCTTTCTCTAAGGTCTCCACAGGGGATTCAGACATCCCTTCATGTTGTGAGATGAAAGACGAGCCTGTATTCAAGCCACTGCAAGGAAATCCGGCCTCCTTTCAAGTTAGGGCTTCTCGCTGTATATTCCCCTTGAGGCAGCAAACTCGGGGTCCCTCCCACATACCTATTGCTGAGAGAAGCCTCCTCCTGAGGTGCTTCTGGGAAGTTGGCATACGTCTTGAGCCTAAGCCAGGGAATCAGCTCGCATCTCGAGACGATTTGGGGTACACGGAGCATTCCTCGAGTTGCTGTGCTGAAGTTGGTGTTCCTCTAGACTTGGGACAGTGTTCTCGGGGCATCTCTGGAGTTGCCTGAAGGAAGTCGAGCCACCGGTCGTGTTGAATGGGGAACGGGGAATGGCTCTGGAGTCAATGCAGGGGAATCGGGCCTCATCTCGAGTTGATTTGGGGCACATGGAGCTGCTTTGCGTTGCTGGGGTGACCTCAGGGTCCGTCTAGACTGGTGACAGTGTTCTTGGGGACTGTCTCGAGATCCATTAAGCAAGTCGAAGCTCCTGACTTGTTTGAATGGGATCACGGAATAGCTCTGCATGCACTGCAGGGGAATGGGGCCTCATCTCGCCTCTAGGGGGAAGTCTCATGGTTTTTCTCGAGTTGCGGCGGGGACCTGGGGTATGTTCTCGACTTACGGCGGGGATGGCCCTTCAAAGCACGAGTTTCTTCAGTGACGTCAGGACTCCTGTCTAGTAACGAGGGACACCTCAGGAATCTCTTCGAGGCTTGGCAGGGCCAAAGGGACGCTTCTCGAGGTGAGGCAGGGCACCCAAGGACCCTTTCCAGTAGCCACAGGGATTTTGGGATTCCTATCAGTATTCAAGAGGAGTCAGGCATCGTCACCTTTTGAAGCAATGAACTCCGCGTGCCTCTCGAGGTGTCAGCGGGATGTGAGGCATTCCGTCAAAATGAGGCAGGGACCTAGGGCTTTCTCTAAGGTCTCCACAGGGGATTCAGACATCCCTTCATGTTGTGAGATGAAAGACGAGCCTGTATTCAAGCCACTGCAAGGAAATCCGGCCTCCTTTCAAGTTAGGGCTTCTCGCTGTATATTCCCCTTGAGGCAGCAAACTCGGGGTCCCTCCCACATACCTATTGCTGAGAGAAGCCTCCTCCTGAGGTGCTTCTGGGAAGTTGGCATACGTCTTGAGCCTAAGCCAGGGAATCAGCTCGCATCTCGAGACGATTTGGGGTACACGGAGCATTCCTCGAGTTGCTGTGCTGAAGTTGGTGTTCCTCTAGACTTGGGACAGTGTTCTCGGGGCATCTCTGGAGTTGCCTGAAGGAAGTCGAGCCACCGGTCGTGTTGAATGGGGAACGGGGAATGGCTCTGGAGTCAATGCAGGGGAATCGGGCCTCATCTCGAGTTGATTTGGGGCACATGGAGCTGCTTTGCGTTGCTGGGGTGACCTCAGGGTCCGTCTAGACTGGTGACAGTGTTCTTGGGGACTGTCTCGAGATCCATTAAGCAAGTCGAAGCTCCTGACTTGTTTGAATGGGATCACGGAATAGCTCTTCATGCACTGCAGGGGAATGGGGCCTCATCTCGCCTCTAGGGGGAAGTCTCATGGTTTTTCTCGAGTTGCGGCGGGGACCTGGGGTATGTTCTCGACTTACGGCGGGGATGGCCCTTCAAAACACGAGTTTCTTCAGTGACGTCAGGACTCCTGTCTAGTAACGAGGGACACCTCAGGAATCTCTTCGAGGCTTGGCAGGGCCAAAGGGACGCTTCTCGAGGTGAGGCAGGGCACCCAAGGACCCTTTCCAGTAGCCACAGGGATTTTGGGATTCCTATCAGTATTCAAGAGGAGTCAGGCATCGTCACCTTTTGAAGCAATGAACTCCGCGTGCCTCTCGAGGTGTCAGCGGGATGTGAGGCATTCCGTCAAAATGAGGCAGGGACCTAGGGCTTTCTCTAAGGTCTCCACAGGGGATTCAGACATCCCTTCATGTTGTGAGATGAAAGACGAGCCTGTATTCAAGCCACTGCAAGGAAATCCGGCCTCCTTTCAAGTTAGGGCTTCTCGCTGTATATTCCCCTTGAGGCAGCAAACTCGGGGTCCCTCCCACATACCTATTGCTGAGAGAAGCCTCCTCCTGAGGTGCTTCTGGGAAGTTGGCATACGTCTTGAGCCTAAGCCAGGGAATCAGCTCGCATCTCGAGACGATTTGGGGTACACGGAGCATTCCTCGAGTTGCTGTGCTGAAGTTGGTGTTCCTCTAGACTTGGGACAGTGTTCTCGGGGCATCTCTGGAGTTGCCTGAAGGAAGTCGAGCCACCGGTCGTGTTGAATGGGGAACGGGGAATGGCTCTGGAGTCAATGCAGGGGAATCGGGCCTCATCTCGAGTTGATTTGGGGCACATGGAGCTGCTTTGCGTTGCTGGGGTGACCTCAGGGTCCGTCTAGACTGGTGACAGTGTTCTTGGGGACTGTCTCGAGATCCATTAAGCAAGTCGAAGCTCCTGACTTGTTTGAATGGGATCACGGAATAGCTCTGCATGCACTGCAGGGGAATGGGGCCTCATCTCGCCTCTAGGGGGAAGTCTCATGGTTTTTCTCGAGTTGCGGCGGGGACCTGGGGTATGTTCTCGACTTACGGCGGGGATGGCCCTTCAAAGCACGAGTTTCTTCAGTGACGTCAGGACTCCTGTCTAGTAACGAGGGACACCTCAGGAATCTCTTCGAGGCTTGGCAGGGCCAAAGGGACGCTTCTCGAGGTGAGGCAGGGCACCCAAGGACCCTTTCCAGTAGCCACAGGGATTTTGGGATTCCTATCAGTATTCAAGAGGAGTCAGGCATCGTCACCTTTTGAAGCAATGAACTCCGCGTGCCTCTCGAGGTGTCAGCGGGATGTGAGGCATTCCGTCAAAATGAGGCAGGGACCTAGGGCTTTCTCTAAGGTCTCCACAGGGGATTCAGACATCCCTTCATGTTGTGAGATGAAAGACGAGCCTGTATTCAAGCCACTGCAAGGAAATCCGGCCTCCTTTCAAGTTAGGGCTTCTCGCTGTATATTCCCCTTGAGGCAGCAAACTCGGGGTCCCTCCCACATACCTATTGCTGAGAGAAGCCTCCTCCTGAGGTGCTTCTGGGAAGTTGGCATACGTCTTGAGCCTAAGCCAGGGAATCAGCTCGCATCTCGAGACGATTTGGGGTACACGGAGCATTCCTCGAGTTGCTGTGCTGAAGTTGGTGTTCCTCTAGACTTGGGACAGTGTTCTCGGGGCATCTCTGGAGTTGCCTGAAGGAAGTCGAGCCACCGGTCGTGTTGAATGGGGAACGGGGAATGGCTCTGGAGTCAATGCAGGGGAATCGGGCCTCATCTCGAGTTGATTTGGGGCACATGGAGCTGCTTTGCGTTGCTGGGGTGACCTCAGGGTCCGTCTAGACTGGTGACAGTGTTCTTGGGGACTGTCTCGAGATCCATTAAGCAAGTCGAAGCTCCTGACTTGTTTGAATGGGATCACGGAATAGCTCTGCATGCACTGCAGGGGAATGGGGCCTCATCTCGCCTCTAGGGGGAAGTCTCATGGTTTTTCTCGAGTTGCGGCGGGGACCTGGGGTATGTTCTCGACTTACGGCGGGGATGGCCCTTCAAAACACGAGTTTCTTCAGTGACGTCAGGACTCCTGTCTAGTAACGAGGGACACCTCAGGAATCTCTTCGAGGCTTGGCAGGGCCAAAGGGACGCTTCTCGAGGTGAGGCAGGGCACCCAAGGACCCTTTCCAGTAGCCACAGGGATTTTGGGATTCCTATCAGTATTCAAGAGGAGTCAGGCATCGTCACCTTTTGAAGCAATGAACTCCGCGTGCCTCTCGAGGTGTCAGCGGGATGTGAGGCATTCCGTCAAAATGAGGCAGGGACCTAGGGCTTTCTCTAAGGTCTCCACAGGGGATTCAGACATCCCTTCATGTTGTGAGATGAAAGACGAGCCTGTATTCAAGCCACTGCAAGGAAATCCGGCCTCCTTTCAAGTTAGGGCTTCTCGCTGTATATTCCCCTTGAGGCAGCAAACTCGGGGTCCCTCCCACATACCTATTGCTGAGAGAAGCCTCCTCCTGAGGTGCTTCTGGGAAGTTGGCATACGTCTTGAGCCTAAGCCAGGGAATCAGCTCGCATCTCGAGACGATTTGGGGTACACGGAGCATTCCTCGAGTTGCTGTGCTGAAGTTGGTGTTCCTCTAGACTTGGGACAGTGTTCTCGGGGCATCTCTGGAGTTGCCTGAAGGAAGTCGAGCCACCGGTCGTGTTGAATGGGGAACGGGGAATGGCTCTGGAGTCAATGCAGGGGAATCGGGCCTCATCTCGAGTTGATTTGGGGCACATGGAGCTGCTTTGCGTTGCTGGGGTGACCTCAGGGTCCGTCTAGACTGGTGACAGTGTTCTTGGGGACTGTCTCGAGATCCATTAAGCAAGTCGAAGCTCCTGACTTGTTTGAATGGGATCACGGAATAGCTCTGCATGCACTGCAGGGGAATGGGGCCTCATCTCGCCTCTAGGGGGAAGTCTCATGGTTTTTCTCGAGTTGCGGCGGGGACCTGGGGTATGTTCTCGACTTACGGCGGGGATGGCCCTTCAAAACACGAGTTTCTTCAGTGACGTCAGGACTCCTGTCTAGTAACGAGGGACACCTCAGGAATCTCTTCGAGGCTTGGCAGGGCCAAAGGGACGCTTCTCGAGGTGAGGCAGGGCACCCAAGGACCCTTTCCAGTAGCCACAGGGATTTTGGGATTCCTATCAGTATTCAAGAGGAGTCAGGCATCGTCACCTTTTGAAGCAATGAACTCCGCATGCCTCTCGAGGTGTCAGCGGGATGTGAGGCATTCCGTCAAAATGAGGCAGGGACCTAGGGCTTTCTCTAAGGTCTCCACAGGGGATTCAGACATCCCTTCATGTTGTGAGATGAAAGACGAGCCTGTATTCAAGCCACTGCAAGGAAATCCGGCCTCCTTTCAAGTTAGGGCTTCTTGCTGTATATTCCCCTTGAGGCAGCAAACTCGGGGTCCCTCCCACATACCTATTGCTGAGAGAAGCCTCCTCCTGAGGTGCTTCTGGGAAGTTGGCATACGTCTTGAGCCTAAGCCAGGGAATCAGCTCGCATCTCGAGACGATTTGGGGTACACGGAGCATTCCTCGAGTTGCTGTGCTGAAGTTGGTGTTCCTCTAGACTTGGGACAGTGTTCTCGGGGCATCTCTGGAGTTGCCTGAAGGAAGTCGAGCCACCGGTCGTGTTGAATGGGGAACGGGGAATGGCTCTGGAGTCAATGCAGGGGAATCGGGCCTCATCTCGAGTTGATTTGGGGCACATGGAGCTGCTTTGCGTTGCTGGGGTGACCTCAGGGTCCGTCTAGACTGGTGACAGTGTTCTTGGGGACTGTCTCGAGATCCATTAAGCAAGTCGAAGCTCCTGACTTGTTTGAATGGGATCACGGAATAGCTCTGCATGCACTGCAGGGGAATGGGGCCTCATCTCGCCTCTAGGGGGAAGTCTCATGGTTTTTCTCGAGTTGCGGCGGGGACCTGGGGTATGTTCTCGACTTACGGCGGGGATGGCCCTTCAAAGCACGAGTTTCTTCAGTGACGTCAGGACTCCTGTCTAGTAACGAGGGACACCTCAGGAATCTCTTCGAGGCTTGGCAGGGCCAAAGGGACGCTTCTCGAGGTGAGGCAGGGCACCCAAGGACCCTTTCCAGTAGCCACAGGGATTTTGGGATTCCTATCAGTATTCAAGAGGAGTCAGGCATCGTCACCTTTTGAAGCAATGAACTCCGCGTGCCTCTCGAGGTGTCAGCGGGATGTGAGGCATTCCGTCAAAATGAGGCAGGGACCTAGGGCTTTCTCTAAGGTCTCCACAGGGGATTCAGACATCCCTTCATGTTGTGAGATGAAAGACGAGCCTGTATTCAAGCCACTGCAAGGAAATCCGGCCTCCTTTCAAGTTAGGGCTTCTCGCTGTATATTCCCCTTGAGGCAGCAAACTCGGGGTCCCTCCCACATACCTATTGCTGAGAGAAGCCTCCTCCTGAGGTGCTTCTGGGAAGTTGGCATACGTCTTGAGCCTAAGCCAGGGAATCAGCTCGCATCTCGAGACGATTTGGGGTACACGGAGCATTCCTCGAGTTGCTGTGCTGAAGCTGGTGTTCCTCTAGACTTGGGACAGTGTTCTCGGGGCATCTCTGGAGTTGCCTGAAGGAAGTCGAGCCACCGGTCGTGTTGAATGGGGAACGGGGAATGGCTCTGGAGTCAATGCAGGGGAATCGGGCCTCATCTCGAGTTGATTTGGGGCACATGGAGCTGCTTTGCGTTGCTGGGGTGACCTCAGGGTCCGTCTAGACTGGTGACAGTGTTCTTGGGGACTGTCTCGAGATCTATTAAGCAAGTCGAAGCTCCTGACTTGTTTGAATGGGATCACGGAATAGCTCTTCATGCACTGCAGGGGAATGGGGCCTCATCTCGCCTCTAGGGGGAAGTCTCATGGTTTTTCTCGAGTTGCGGCGGGGACCTGGGGTATGTTCTCGACTTACGGCGGGGATGGCCCTTCAAAACACGAGTTTCTTCAGCGACGTCAGGACTCCTGTCTAGTAACGAGGGACACCTCAGGAATCTCTTCGAGGCTTGGCAGGGCCAAAGGGACGCTTCTCGAGGTGAGGCAGGGCACCCAAGGACCCTTTCCAGTAGCCACAGGGATTTTGGGATTCCTATCAGTATTCAAGAGGAGTCAGGCATCGTCACCTTTTGAAGCAATGAACTCCGCGTGCCTCTCGAGGTGTCAGCGGGATGTGAGGCATTCCGTCAAAATGAGGCAGGGACCTAGGGCTTTCTCTAAGGTCTCCACAGGGGATTCAGACATCCCTTCATGTTGTGAGATGAAAGACGAGCCTGTATTCAAGCCACTGCAAGGAAATCCGGCCTCCTTTCAAGTTAGGGCTTCTCGCTGTATATTCCCCTTGAGGCAGCAAACTCGGGGTCCCTCCCACATACCTATTGCTGAGAGAAGCCTCCTCCTGAGGTGCTTCTGGGAAGTTGGCATACGTCTTGAGCCTAAGCCAGGGAATCAGCTCGCATCTCGAGACGATTTGGGGTACACGGAGCATTCCTCGAGTTGCTGTGCTGAAGTTGGTGTTCCTCTAGACTTGGGACAGTGTTCTCGGGGCATCTCTGGAGTTGCCTGAAGGAAGTCGAGCCACCGGTCGTGTTGAATGGGGAACGGGGAATGGCTCTGGAGTCAATGCAGGGGAATCGGGCCTCATCTCGAGTTGATTTGGGGCACATGGAGCTGCTTTGCGTTGCTGGGGTGACCTCAGGGTCCGTCTAGACTGGTGACAGTGTTCTTGGGGACTGTCTCGAGATCCATTAAGCAAGTCGAAGCTCCTGACTTGTTTGAATGGGATCACGGAATAGCTCTGCATGCACTGCAGGGGAATGGGGCCTCATCTCGCCTCTAGGGGGAAGTCTCATGGTTTTTCTCGAGTTGCGGCGGGGACCTGGGGTATGTTCTCGACTTACGGCGGGGATGGCCCTTCAAAACACGAGTTTCTTCAGTGACGTCAGGACTCCTGTCTAGTAACGAGGGACACCTCAGGAATCTCTTCGAGGCTTGGCAGGGCCAAAGGGACGCTTCTCGAGGTGAGGCAGGGCACCCAAGGACCCTTTCCAGTAGCCACAGGGATTTTGGGATTCCTATCAGTATTCAAGAGGAGTCAGGCATCGTCACCTTTTGAAGCAATGAACTCCGCGTGCCTCTCGAGGTGTCAGCGGGATGTGAGGCATTCCGTCAAAATGAGGCAGGGACCTAGGGCTTTCTCTAAGGTCTCCACAGGGGATTCAGACATCCCTTCATGTTGTGAGATGAAAGACGAGCCTGTATTCAAGCCACTGCAAGGAAATCCGGCCTCCTTTCAAGTTAGGGCTTCTCGCTGTATATTCCCCTTGAGGCAGCAAACTCGGGGTCCCTCCCACATACCTATTGCTGAGAGAAGCCTCCTCCTGAGGTGCTTCTGGGAAGTTGGCATACGTCTTGAGCCTAAGCCAGGGAATCAGCTCGCATCTCGAGACGATTTGGGGTACACGGAGCATTCCTCGAGTTGCTGTGCTGAAGTTGGTGTTCCTCTAGACTTGGGACAGTGTTCTCGGGGCATCTCTGGAGTTGCCTGAAGGAAGTCGAGCCACCGGTCGTGTTGAATGGGGAACGGGGAATGGCTCTGGAGTCAATGCAGGGGAATCGGGCCTCATCTCGAGTTGATTTGGGGCACATGGAGCTGCTTTGCGTTGCTGGGGTGACCTCAGGGTCCGTCTAGACTGGTGACAGTGTTCTTGGGGACTGTCTCGAGATCCATTAAGCAAGTCGAAGCTCCTGACTTGTTTGAATGGGATCACGGAATAGCTCTGCATGCACTGCAGGGGAATGGGGCCTCATCTCGCCTCTAGGGGGAAGTCTCATGGTTTTTCTCGAGTTGCGGCGGGGACCTGGGGTATGTTCTCGACTTACGGCGGGGATGGCCCTTCAAAACACGAGTTTCTTCAGTGACGTCAGGACTCCTGTCTAGTAACGAGGGACACCTCAGGAATCTCTTCGAGGCTTGGCAGGGCCAAAGGGACGCTTCTCGAGGTGAGGCAGGGCACCCAAGGACCCTTTCCAGTAGCCACAGGGATTTTGGGATTCCTATCAGTATTCAAGAGGAGTCAGGCATCGTCACCTTTTGAAGCAATGAACTCCGCGTGCCTCTCGAGGTGTCAGCGGGATGTGAGGCATTCCGTCAAAATGAGGCAGGGACCTAGGGCTTTCTCTAAGGTCTCCACAGGGGATTCAGACATCCCTTCATGTTGTGAGATGAAAGACGAGCCTGTATTCAAGCCACTGCAAGGAAATCCGGCCTCCTTTCAAGTTAGGGCTTCTCGCTGTATATTCCCCTTGAGGCAGCAAACTCGGGGTCCCTCCCACATACCTATTGCTGAGAGAAGCCTCCTCCTGAGGTGCTTCTGGGAAGTTGGCATACGTCTTGAGCCTAAGCCAGGGAATCAGCTCGCATCTCGAGACGATTTGGGGTACACGGAGCATTTCTCGAGTTGCTGTGCTGAAGCTGGTGTTCCTCTAGACTTGGGACAGTGTTCTCGGGGCATCTCTGGAGTTGCCTGAAGGAAGTCGAGCCACCGGTCGTGTTGAATGGGGAACGGGGAATGGCTCTGGAGTCAATGCAGGGGAATAGGGCCTCATCTCGAGTTGATTTGGGGCACATGGAGCTGCTTTGCGTTGCTGGGGTGACCTCAGGGTCCGTCTAGACTGGTGACAGTGTTCTTGGGGACTGTCTCGAGATCCATTAAGCAAGTCGAAGCTCCTGACTTGTTTGAATGGGATCACGGAATAGCTCTGCATGCACTGCAGGGGAATGGGGCCTCATCTCGCCTCTAGGGGGAAGTCTCATGGTTTTTCTCGAGTTGCGGCGGGGACCTGGGGTATGTTCTCGACTTACGGCGGGGATGGCCCTTCAAAACACGAGTTTCTTCAGTGACGTCAGGACTCCTGTCTAGTAACGAGGGACACCTCAGGAATCTCTTCGAGGCTTGGCAGGGCCAAAGGGACGCTTCTCGAGGTGAGGCAGGGCACTCAAGGACCCTTTCCAGTAGCCACAGGGATTTTGGGATTCCTATCAGTATTCAAGAGGAGTCAGGCATCGTCACCTTTTGAAGCAATGAACTCCGCGTGCCTCTCGAGGTGTCAGCGGGATGTGAGGCATTCCGTCAAAATGAGGCAGGGACCTAGGGCTTCTTCTAAGGTCTCCACAGGGGATTCAGACATCCCTTCATGTTGTGAGATGAAAGACGAGCCTGTATTCAAGCCACTGCAAGGAAATCCGGCCTCCTTTCAAGTTAGGGCTTCTCGCTGTATATTCCCCTTGAGGCAGCAAACTCGGGGTCCCTCCCACATACCTATTGCTGAGAGAAGCCTCCTCCTGAGGTGCTTCTGGGAAGTTGGCATACGTCTTGAGCCTAAGGCAGGGAATCAGCTCGCATCTCGAGACGATTTGGGGTACACGGAACATTCCTCGAGTTGCTGTGCTGAAGTTGGTGTTCCTCTAGACTTGGGACAGTGTTCTCGGGGCATCTCTGGAGTTGCCTGAAGGAAGTCGAGCCACCGGTCGTGTTGAATGGGGAACGGGGAATGGCTCTGGAGTCAATGCAGGGGAATCGGGCCTCATCTCGAGTTGATTTGGGGCACATGGAGCTGCTTTGCGTTGCTGGGGTGACCTCAGGGTCCGTCTAGACTGGTGACAGTGTTCTTGGGGACTGTCTCGAGATCCATTAAGCAAGTCGAAGCTCCTGACTTGTTTGAATGGGATCACGGAATAGCTCTTCATGCACTGCAGGGGAATGGGGCCTCATCTCGCCTCTAGGGGAAAGTCTCATGGTTTTTCTCGAGTTGCGGCGGGGACCTGGGGTATGTTCTCGACTTACGGCGGGGATGGCCCTTCAAAACACGAGTTTCTTCAGTGACGTCAGGACTCCTGTCTAGTAACGAGGGACACCTCAGGAATCTCTTCGAGGCTTGGCAGGGCCAAAGGGACGCTTCTCGAGGTGAGGCAGGGCACCCAAGGACCCTTTCCAGTAGCCACAGGGATTTTGGGATTCCTATCAGTATTCAAGAGGAGTCAGGCATCGTCACCTTTTGAAGCAATGAACTCCGCGTGCCTCTCGAGGTGTCAGCGGGATGTGAGGCATTCCGTCAAAATGAGGCAGGGACCTAGGGCTTTCTCTAAGGTCTCCACAGGGGATTCAGACATCCCTTCATGTTGTGAGATGAAAGACGAGCCTGTATTCAAGCCACTGCAAGGAAATCTGGCCTCCTTTCAAGTTAGGGCTTCTCGCTGTATATTCCCCTTGAGGCAGCAAACTCGGGGTCCCTCCCACATACCTATTGCTGAGAGAAGCCTCCTCCTGAGGTGCTTCTGGGAAGTTGGCATACGTCTTGAGCCTAAGCCAGGGAATCAGCTCGCATCTCGAGACGATTTGGGGTACACGGAGCATTCCTCGAGTTGCTGTGCTGAAGTTGGTGTTCCTCTAGACTTGGGACAGTGTTCTCGGGGCATCTCTGGAGTTGCCTGAAGGAAGTCGAGCCACCGGTCGTGTTGAATGGGGAACGGGGAATGGCTCTGGAGTCAATGCAGGGGAATCGGGCCTCATCTCGAGTTGATTTGGGGCACATGGAGCTGCTTTGCGTTGCTGGGGTGACCTCAGGTCCGTCTAGACTGGTGACAGTGTTCTTGGGGACTGTCTCGAGATCCATTAAGCAAGTCGAAGCTCCTGACTTGTTTGAATGGGATCACGGAATAGCTCTGCATGCACTGCAGGGGAATGGGGCCTCATCTCGCCTCTAGGGGGAAGTCTCATGGTTTTTCTCGAGTTGCGGCGGGGACCTGGGGTATGTTCTCGACTTACGGCGGGGATGGCCCTTCAAAACACGAGTTTCTTCAGTGACGTCAGGACTCCTGTCTAGTAACGAGGGACACCTCAGGAATCTCTTCGAGGCTTGGCAGGGCCAAAGGGACGCTTCTCGAGGTGAGGCAGGGCACCCAAGGACCCTTTCCAGTAGCCACAGGGATTTTGGGATTCCTATCAGTATTCAAGAGGAGTCAGGCATCGTCACCTTTTGAAGCAATGAACTCCGCGTGCCTCTCGAGGTGTCAGCGGGATGTGAGGCATTGCGTCAAAATGAGGCAGGGACCTAGGGCTTTCTCTAAGGTCTCCACAGGGGATTCAGACATCCCTTCATGTTGTGAGATGAAAGACGAGCCTGTATTCAAGCCACTGCAAGGAAATCCGGCCTCCTTTCAAGTTAGGGCTTCTCGCTGTATATTCCCCTTGAGGCAGCAAACTCGGGGTCCCTCCCACATACCTATTGCTGAGAGAAGCCTCCTCCTGAGGTGCTTCTGGGAAGTTGGCATACGTCTTGAGCCTAAGCCAGGGAATCAGCTCGCATCTCGAGACGATTTGGGGTACACGGAGCATTCCTCGAGTTGCTGTGCTGAAGTTGGTGTTCCTCTAGACTTGGGACAGTGTTCTCGGGGCATCTCTGGAGTTGCCTGAAGGAAGTCGAGCCACCGGTCGTGTTGAATGGGGAACGGGGAATGGCTCTGGAGTCAATGCAGGGGAATCGGGCCTCATCTCGAGTTGATTTGGGGCACATGGAGCTGCTTTGCGTTGCTGGGGTGACCTCAGGTTCCGTCTAGACTGGTGACAGTGTTCTTGGGGACTGTCTCGAGATCCATTAAGCAAGTCGAAGCTCCTGACTTGTTTGAATGGGATCACGGAATAGCTCTGCATGCACTGCAGGGGAATGGGGCCTCATCTCGCCTCTAGGGGGAAGTCTCATGGTTTTTCTCGAGTTGCGGCGGGGACCTGGGGTATGTTCTCGACTTACGGCGGGGATGGCCCTTCAAAACACGAGTTTCTTCAGTGACGTCAGGACTCCTGTCTAGTAACGAGGGACACCTCAGGAATCTCTTCGAGGCTTGGCAGGGCCAAAGGGACGCTTCTCGAGGTGAGGCAGGGCACCCAAGGACCCTTTCCAGTAGCCACAGGGATTTTGGGATTCCTATCAGTATTCAAGAGGAGTCAGGCATCGTCACCTTTTGAAGCAATGAACTCCGCGTGCCTCTCGAGGTGTCAGCGGGATGTGAGGCATTCCGTCAAAATGAGGCAGGGACCTAGGGCTTTCTCTAAGGTCTCCACAGGGGATTCAGACATCCCTTCATGTTGTGAGATGAAAGACGAGCCTGTATTCAAGCCACTGCAAGGAAATCCGGCCTCCTTTCAAGTTAGGGCTTCTCGCTGTATATTCCCCTTGAGGCAGCAAACTCGGGGTCCCTCCCACATACCTATTGCTGAGAGAAGCCTCCTCCTGAGGTGCTTCTGGGAAGTTGGCATACGTCTTGAGCCTAAGCCAGGGAATCAGCTCGCATCTCGAGACGATTTGGGGTACACGGAGCATTCCTCGAGTTGCTGTGCTGAAGTTGGTGTTCCTCTAGACTTGGGACAGTGTTCTCGGGGCATCTCTGGAGTTGCCTGAAGGAAGTCGAGCCACCGGTCGTGTTGAATGGGGAACGGGGAATGGCTCTGGAGTCAATGCAGGGGAATCGGGCCTCATCTCGAGTTGATTTGGGGCACATGGAGCTGCTTTGCGTTGCTGGGGTGACCTCAGGGTCCGTCTAGACTGGTGACAGTGTTCTTGGGGACTGTCTCGAGATCCATTAAGCAAGTCGAAGCTCCTGACTTGTTTGAATGGGATCACGGAATAGCTCTGCATGCACTGCAGGGGAATGGGGCCTCATCTCGCCTCTAGGGGGAAGTCTCATGGTTTTTCTCGAGTTGCGGCGGGGACCTGGGGTATGTTCTCGACTTACGGCGGGGATGGCCCTTCAAAACACGAGTTTCTTCAGTGACGTCAGGACTCCTGTCTAGTAACGAGGGACACCTCAGGAATCTCTTCGAGGCTTGGCAGGGCCAAAGGGACGCTTCTCGAGGTGAGGCAGGGCACCCAAGGACCCTTTCCAGTAGCCACAGGGATTTTGGGATTCCTATCAGTATTCAAGAGGAGTCAGGCATCGTCACCTTTTGAAGCAATGAACTCCGCGTGCCTCTCGAGGTGTCAGCGGGATGTGAGGCATTCCGTCAAAATGAGGCAGGGACCTAGGGCTTTCTCTAAGGTCTCCACAGGGGATTCAGACATCCCTTCATGTTGTGAGATGAAAGACGAGCCTGTATTCAAGCCACTGCAAGGAAATCCGGCCTCCTTTCAAGTTAGGGCTTCTCGCTGTATATTCCCCTTGAGGCAGCAAACTCGGGGTCCCTCCCACATACCTATTGCTGAGAGAAGCCTCCTCCTGAGGTGCTTCTGGGAAGTTGGCATACGTCTTGAGCCTAAGCCAGGGAATCAGCTCGCATCTCGAGACGATTTGGGGTACACGGAGCATTTCTCGAGTTGCTGTGCTGAAGCTGGTGTTCCTCTAGACTTGGGACAGTGTTCTCGGGGCATCTCTGGAGTTGCCTGAAGGAAGTCGAGCCACCGGTCGTGTTGAATGGGGAACGGGGAATGGCTCTGGAGTCAATGCAGGGGAATAGGGCCTCATCTCGAGTTGATTTGGGGCACATGGAGCTGCTTTGCGTTGCTGGGGTGACCTCAGGGTCCGTCTAGACTGGTGACAGTGTTCTTGGGGACTGTCTCGAGATCCATTAAGCAAGTCGAAGCTCCTGACTTGTTTGAATGGGATCACGGAATAGCTCTGCATGCACTGCAGGGGAATGGGGCCTCATCTCGCCTCTAGGGGGAAGTCTCATGGTTTTTCTCGAGTTGCGGCGGGGACCTGGGGTATGTTCTCGACTTACGGCGGGGATGGCCCTTCAAAACACGAGTTTCTTCAGTGACGTCAGGACTCCTGTCTAGTAACGAGGGACACCTCAGGAATCTCTTCGAGGCTTGGCAGGGCCAAAGGGACGCTTCTCGAGGTGAGGCAGGGCACTCAAGGACCCTTTCCAGTAGCCACAGGGATTTTGGGATTCCTATCAGTATTCAAGAGGAGTCAGGCATCGTCACCTTTTGAAGCAATGAACTCCGCGTGCCTCTCGAGGTGTCAGCGGGATGTGAGGCATTCCGTCAAAATGAGGCAGGGACCTAGGGCTTCTTCTAAGGTCTCCACAGGGGATTCAGACATCCCTTCATGTTGTGAGATGAAAGACGAGCCTGTATTCAAGCCACTGCAAGGAAATCCGGCCTCCTTTCAAGTTAGGGCTTCTCGCTGTATATTCCCCTTGAGGCAGCAAACTCGGGGTCCCTCCCACATACCTATTGCTGAGAGAAGCCTCCTCCTGAGGTGCTTCTGGGAAGTTGGCATACGTCTTGAGCCTAAGCCAGGGAATCAGCTCGCATCTCGAGACGATTTGGGGTACACGGAACATTCCTCGAGTTGCTGTGCTGAAGTTGGTGTTCCTCTAGACTTGGGACAGTGTTCTCGGGGCATCTCTGGAGTTGCCTGAAGGAAGTCGAGCCACCGGTCGTGTTGAATGGGGAACGGGGAATGGCTCTGGAGTCAATGCAGGGGAATCGGGCCTCATCTCGAGTTGATTTGGGGCACATGGAGCTGCTTTGCGTTGCTGGGGTGACCTCAGGGTCCGTCTAGACTGGTGACAGTGTTCTTGGGGACTGTCTCGAGATCCATTAAGCAAGCCGAAGCTCCTGACTTATTTGAATGGGATCACGGAATAGCTCTGCATGCACTACAGGGGAATGGGGCCTCATCTCGCCTCTAGGGGGAAGTCTCATGGTTTTTCTCGAGTTGCGGCGGGGACCTGGGGTATGTTCTCGACTTACGGCGGGGATGGCCCTTCAAAACACGAGTTTCTTCAGTGACGTCAGGACTCCTGTCTAGTAACGAGGGACACCTCAGGAATCTCTTCGAGGCTTTCAGGGCCAAAGGGACGCTTCTCGAGGTGAGGCAGGGCACCCAAGGACCCTTTCCAGTAGCCACAGGGATTTTGGGATTCCTATCAGTATTCAAGAGGAGTCAGGCATCGTCACCTTTTGAAGCAATGAACTCCGCGTGCCTCTCGAGGTGTCAGCGGGATGTGAGGGATTCCGTCAAAATGAGGCAGGGACCTAGGGCTTTCTCTAAGGTCTCCACAGGGGATTCAGACATCCCTTCATGTTGTGAGATGAAAGACGAGCCTGTATTCAAGCCACTGCAAGGAAATCCGGCCTCCTTTCAAGTTAGGGCTTCTCGCTGTATATTCCCCTTGAGGCAGCAAACTCGGGGTCCCTCCCACATACCTATTGCTGAGAGAAGCCTCCTCCTGAGGTGCTTCTGGGAAGTTGGCATACGTCTTGAGCCTAAGCCAGGGAATCAGCTCGCATCTCGAGACGATTTGGGGTACACGGAGCATTCCTCGAGTTGCTGTGCTGAAGTTGGTTTTCCTCTAGACTTGGGACAGTGTTCTCGGGGCATCTCTGGAGTTGCCTGAAGGAAGTCGAGCCACCGGTCGTGTTGAATGGGGAACGGGGAATGGCTCTGGAGTCAATGCAGGGGAATCGGGCCTCATCTCGAGTTGATTTGGGGCACATGGAGCTGCTTTGCGTTGCTGGGGTGACCTCAGGGTCCGTCTAGACTGGTGACAGTGTTCTTGGGGACTGTCTCGAGATCCATTAAGCAAGCCGAAGCTCCTGACTTGTTTGAATGGGATCACGGAATAGCTCTGCATGCACTGCAGGGGAATGGGGCCTCATCTCGCCTCTAGGGGGAAGTCTCATGGTTTTTCTCGAGTTGCGGCGGGGACCTGGGGTATGTTCTCGACTTACGGCGGGGATGGCCCTTCAAAACACGAGTTTCTTCAGTGACGTCAGGACTCCTGTCTAGTAACGAGGGACACCTCAGGAATCTCTTCGAGGCTTGGCAGGGCCAAAGGGACGCTTCTCGAGGTGAGGCAGGGCACCCAAGGACCCTTTCCAGTAGCCACAGGGATTTTGGGATTCCTATCAGTATCCAAAGGAGTCAGGCATCGTCAACTTTTGAAGCAATGAACTCCGCGTGCCTCTCGAGGTGTCAGCGGGATGTGAGGCATTCCGTCAAAATGAGGCAGGGAACTAGGGCTTTCTCTAAGGTCTCCACAGGGGATTCAGACATCCCTTCATGTTGTGAGATGAAAGACGAGCCTGTATTCAAGCCACTGCAAGGAAATCCGGCCTCCTTTCAAGTTAGGGCTTCTCGCTGTATATTCCCCTTGAGGCAGCAAACTCGGGGTCCCTCCCACATACCTATTGCTGAGAGAAGCCTCCTCCTGAGGTGCTTCTGGGAAGTTGGCATACGTCTTGAGCCTAAGCCAGGGAATCAGCTCGCATCTCGAGACGATTTGGGGTACACGGAGCATTCCTCGAGTTGCTGTGCTGAAGTTGGTGTTCCTCTAGACTTGGGACAGTGTTCTCGGGGCATCTCTGGAGTTGCCTGAAGGAAGTCGAGCCACCGGTCGTGTTGAATGGGGAACGGGGAATGGCTCTGTAGTCAATGCAGGGGAATCGGGCCTCATCTCGAGTTGATTTGGGGCACATGGAGCTGCTTTGCATTGCTGGGGTGACCTCAGGGTCCGTCTAGACTGGTGACAGTGTTCTTGGGGACTGTCTCGAGATCCATTAAGCAAGTCGAAGCTCCTGACTTGTTTGAATGGGATCACGGAATAGCTCTTCATGCACTGCAGGGGAATGGGGCCTCATCTCGCCTCTAGGGGAAAGTCTCATGGTTTTTCTCGAGTTGCGGCGGGGACCTGGGGTATGTTCTCGACTTACGGCGGGGATGGCCCTTCAAAACACGAGTTTCTTCAGTGACGTCAGGACTCCTGTCTAGTAACGAGGGACACCTCAGGAATCTCTTCGAGGCTTGGCAGGGCCAAAGGGACGCTTCTCGAGGTGAGGCAGGGCACCCAAGGACCCTTTCCAGTAGCCACAGGGATTTTGGGATTCCTATCAGTATTCAAGAGGAGTCAGGCATCGTCACCTTTTGAAGCAATGAACTCCGCGTGCCTCTCGAGGTGTCAGCGGGATGTGAGGCATTCCGTCAAAATGAGGCAGGGACCTAGGGCTTTCTCTAAGGTCTCCACAGGGGATTCAGACATCCCTTCATGTTGTGAGATGAAAGACGAGCCTGTATTCAAGCCACTGCAAGGAAATCTGGCCTCCTTTCAAGTTAGGGCTTCTCGCTGTATATTCCCCTTGAGGCAGCAAACTCGGGGTCCCTCCCACATACCTATTGCTGAGAGAAGCCTCCTCCTGAGGTGCTTCTGGGAAGTTGGCATACGTCTTGAGCCTAAGCCAGGGAATCAGCTCGCATCTCGAGACGATTTGGGGTACACGGAGCATTCCTCGAGTTGCTGTGCTGAAGTTGGTGTTCCTCTAGACTTGGGACAGTGTTCTCGGGGCATCTCTGGAGTTGCCTGAAGGAAGTCGAGCCACCGGTCGTGTTGAATGGGGAACGGGGAATGGCTCTGGAGTCAATGCAGGGGAATCGGGCCTCATCTCGAGTTGATTTGGGGCACATGGAGCTGCTTTGCGTTGCTGGGGTGACCTCAGGGTCCGTCTAGACTGGTGACAGTGTTCTTGGGGACTGTCTCGAGATCCATTAAGCAAGTCGAAGCTCCTGACTTGTTTGAATGGGATCACGGAATAGCTCTGCATGCACTGCAGGGGAATGGGGCCTCATCTCGCCTCTAGGGGGAAGTCTCATGGTTTTTCTCGAGTTGCGGCGGGGACCTGGGGTATGTTCTCGACTTACGGCGGGGATGGCCCTTCAAAACACGAGTTTCTTCAGTGACGTCAGGACTCCTGTCTAGTAACGAGGGACACCTCAGGAATCTCTTCGAGGCTTGGCAGGGCCAAAGGGACGCTTCTCGAGGTGAGGCAGGGCACCCAAGGACCCTTTCCAGTAGCCACAGGGATTTTGGGATTCCTATCAGTATTCAAGAGGAGTCAGGCATCGTCACCTTTTGAAGCAATGAACTCCGCGTGCCTCTCGAGGTGTCAGCGGGATGTGAGGCATTGCGTCAAAATGAGGCAGGGACCTAGGGCTTTCTCTAAGGTCTCCACAGGGGATTCAGACATCCCTTCATGTTGTGAGATGAAAGACGAGCCTGTATTCAAGCCACTGCAAGGAAATCCGGCCTCCTTTCAAGTTAGGGCTTCTCGCTGTATATTCCCCTTGAGGCAGCAAACTCGGGGTCCCTCCCACATACCTATTGCTGAGAGAAGCCTCCTCCTGAGGTGCTTCTGGGAAGTTGGCATACGTCTTGAGCCTAAGCCAGGGAATCAGCTCGCATCTCGAGACGATTTGGGGTACACGGAGCATTCCTCGAGTTGCTGTGCTGAAGTTGGTGTTCCTCTAGACTTGGGACAGTGTTCTCGGGGCATCTCTGGAGTTGCCTGAAGGAAGTCGAGCCACCGGTCGTGTTGAATGGGGAACGGGGAATGGCTCTGGAGTCAATGCAGGGGAATCGGGCCTCATCTCGAGTTGATTTGGGGCACATGGAGCTGCTTTGCGTTGCTGGGGTGACCTCAGGTTCCGTCTAGACTGGTGACAGTGTTCTTGGGGACTGTCTCGAGATCCATTAAGCAAGTCGAAGCTCCTGACTTGTTTGAATGGGATCACGGAATAGCTCTGCATGCACTGCAGGGGAATGGGGCCTCATCTCGCCTCTAGGGGGAAGTCTCATGGTTTTTCTCGAGTTGCGGCGGGGACCTGGGGTATGTTCTCGACTTACGGCGGGGATGGCCCTTCAAAACACGAGTTTCTTCAGTGACGTCAGGACTCCTGTCTAGTAACGAGGGACACCTCAGGAATCTCTTCGAGGCTTGGCAGGGCCAAAGGGACGCTTCTCGAGGTGAGGCAGGGCACCCAAGGACCCTTTCCAGTAGCCACAGGGATTTTGGGATTCCTATCAGTATTCAAGAGGAGTCAGGCATCGTCACCTTTTGAAGCAATGAACTCCGCGTGCCTCTCGAGGTGTCAGCGGGATGTGAGGCATTCCGTCAAAATGAGGCAGGGACCTAGGGCTTTCTCTAAGGTCTCCACAGGGGATTCAGACATCCCTTCATGTTGTGAGATGAAAGACGAGCCTGTATTCAAGCCACTGCAAGGAAATCCGGCCTCCTTTCAAGTTAGGGCTTCTCGCTGTATATTCCCCTTGAGGCAGCAAACTCGGGGTCCCTCCCACATACCTATTGCTGAGAGAAGCCTCCTCCTGAGGTGCTTCTGGGAAGTTGGCATACGTCTTGAGCCTAAGCCAGGGAATCAGCTCGCATCTCGAGACGATTTGGGGTACACGGAGCATTCCTCGAGTTGCTGTGCTGAAGTTGGTGTTCCTCTAGACTTGGGACAGTGTTCTCGGGGCATCTCTGGAGTTGCCTGAAGGAAGTCGAGCCACCGGTCGTGTTGAATGGGGAACGGGGAATGGCTCTGGAGTCAATGCAGGGGAATCGGGCCTCATCTCGAGTTGATTTGGGGCACATGGAGCTGCTTTGCGTTGCTGGGGTGACCTCAGGGTCCGTCTAGACTGGTGACAGTGTTCTTGGGGACTGTCTCGAGATCCATTAAGCAAGTCGAAGCTCCTGACTTGTTTGAATGGGATCACGGAATAGCTCTGCATGCACTGCAGGGGAATGGGGCCTCATCTCGCCTCTAGGGGGAAGTCTCATGGTTTTTCTCGAGTTGCGGCGGGGACCTGGGGTATGTTCTCGACTTACGGCGGGGATGGCCCTTCAAAACACGAGTTTCTTCAGTGACGTCAGGACTCCTGTCTAGTAACGAGGGACACCTCAGGAATCTCTTCGAGGCTTGGCAGGGCCAAAGGGACGCTTCTCGAGGTGAGGCAGGGCACCCAAGGACCCTTTCCAGTAGCCACAGGGATTTTGGGATTCCTATCAGTATTCAAGAGGAGTCAGGCATCGTCACCTTTTGAAGCAATGAACTCCGCGTGCCTCTCGAGGTGTCAGCGGGATGTGAGGCATTCCGTCAAAATGAGGCAGGGACCTAGGGCTTTCTCTAAGGTCTCCACAGGGGATTCAGACATCCCTTCATGTTGTGAGATGAAAGACGAGCCTGTATTCAAGCCACTGCAAGGAAATCCGGCCTCCTTTCAAGTTAGGGGTTCTCGCTGTATATTCCCCTTGAGGCAGCAAACTCGGGGTCCCTCCCACATACCTATTGCTGAGAGAAGCCTCCTCCTGAGGTGCTTCTGGGAAGTTGGCATACGTCTTGAGCCTAAGCCAGGGAATCAGCTCGCATCTCGAGACGATTTGGGGTACACGGAGCATTCCTCGAGTTGCTGTGCTGAAGTTGGTGTTCCTCTAGACTTGGGACAGTGTTCTCGGGGCATCTCTGGAGTTGCCTGAAGGAAGTCGAGCCACCGGTCGTGTTGAATGGGGAACGGGGAATGGCTCTGGAGTCAATGCAGGGGAATCGGGCCTCATCTCGAGTTGATTTGGGGCACATGGAGCTGCTTTGTGTTGCTGGGGTGACCTCAGGGTCCGTCTAGACTGGTGACAGTGTTCTTGGGGACTGTCTCGAGATCCATTAAGCAAGTCGAAGCTCCTGACTTGTTTGAATGGGATCACGGAATAGCTCTGCATGCACTGCAGGGGAATGGGGCCTCATCTCGCCTCTAGGGGGAAGTCTCATGGTTTTTCTCGAGTTGCGGCGGGGACCTGGGGTATGTTCTCGACTTACGGCGGGGATGGCCCTTCAAAACACGAGTTTCTTCAGTGACGTCAGGACTCCTGTCTAGTAACGAGGGACACCTCAGGAATCTCTTCGAGGCTTGGCAGGGCCAAAGGGACGCTTCTCGAGGTGAGGCAGGGCACCCAAGGACCCTTTCCAGTAGCCACAGGGATTTTGGGATTCCTATCAGTATCCAAAGGAGTCAGGCATCGTCACCTTTTGAAGCAATGAACTCCGCGTGCCTCTCGAGGTGTCAGCGGGATGTGAGGCATTCCGTCAAAATGAGGCAGGGACCTAGGGCTTTCTCTAAGGTCTCCACAGGGGATTCAGACATCCCTTCATGTTGTGAGATGAAAGACGAGCCTGTATTCAAGCCACTGAAGGAAATCCGGCCTCCTTTCAAGTTAGGGATTCTCGCTGTATATTCCCCTTGAGGCAGCAAACTCGGGGTCCCTCCCACATACCTATTGCTGAGAGAAGCCTCCTCCTGAGGTGCTTCTGGGAAGTTGGCATACGTCTTGAGCCTAAGCCAGGGAATCAGCTCGCATCTCGAGACGATTTGGGGTACACGGAGCATTCCTCGAGTTGCTGTGCTGAAGTTGGTGTTCCTCTAGACTTGGGACAGTGTTCTCGGGGCATCTCTGGAGTTGCCTGAAGGAAGTCGAGCCACCGGTCGTGTTGAATGGGGAACGGGGAATGGCTCTGGAGTCAATGCAGGGGAATCGGGCCTCATCTCGAGTTGATTTGGGGCACATGGAGCTGCTTTGCGTTGCTGGGGTGACCTCAGGGTCCGTCTAGACTGGTGACTGTTCTTGGGGACTGTCTCGAGATCCATTAAGCAAGTCGAAGCTCCTGACTTGTTTGAATGGGATCACGGAATAGCTCTGCATGCACTGCAGGGGAATGGGGCCTCATCTCGCCTCTAGGGGGAAGTCTCATGGTTTTTCTCGAGTTGCGGCGGGGACCTGGGGTATGTTCTCGACTTACGGCGGGGATGGCCCTTCCAAATACGAGTTTCTTCAGTGACGTCAGGACTCCTGTCTAGTAACGAGGGACACCTCAGGAATCTCTTCGAGGCTTGGCAGGGCCAAAGGGACGCTTCTCGAGGTGAGGCAGGGCACCCAAGGACCCTTTCCAGTAGCCACAGGGATTTTGGGATTCCTATCAGTATCCAAAGGAGTCAGGCATCGTCACCTTTTGAAGCAATGAACTCCGCGTGCCTCTCGAGGTGTCAGCGGGATGTGAGGCATTCCGTCAAAATGAGGCAGGGACCTAGGGCTTTCTCTAAGGTCTCCACAGGGGATTCAGACATCCCTTCAGGTTGTGAGATGAAAGACGAGCCTGTATTCAAGCCACTGCAAGGAAATCCGGCCTCCTTTCAAGTTAGGGCTTCTCGCTGTATATTCCCCTTGAGGCAGCAAACTCGGGGTCCCTCCCACATACCTATTGCTGAGAGAAGCCTCCTCCTGAGGTGCTTCTGGGAAGTTGGCATACGTCTTGAGCCTAAGCCAGGGAATCAGCTCGCATCTCGAGACGATTTGGGGTACACGGAGCATTTCTCGAGTTGCTGTGCTGAAGCTGGTGTTCCTCTAGACTTGGGACAGTGTTCTCGGGGCATCTCTGGAGTTGCCTGAAGGAAGTCGAGCCACCGGTCGTGTTGAATGGGGAACGGGGAATGGCTCTGGAGTCAATACAGGGGAATAGGGCCTCATCTCGAGTTGATTTGGGGCACATGGAGCTGCTTTGCGTTGCTGGGGTGACCTCAGGGTCCGTCTAGACTGGTGACAGTGTTCTTGGGGACTGTCTCGAGATCCATTAAGCAAGTCGAAGCTCCTGACTTGTTTGAATGGGATCACGGAATAGCTCTGCATGCACTGCAGGGGAATGGGGCCTCATCTCGCCTCTAGGGGGAAGTCTCATGGTTTTTCTCGAGTTGCGGCGGGGACCTGGGGTATGTTCTCGACTTACGGCGGGGATGGCCCTTCAAAACACGAGTTTCTTCAGTGACGTCAGGACTCCTGTCTAGTAACGAGGGACACCTCAGGAATCTCTTCGAGGCTTGGCAGGGCCAAAGGGACGCTTCTCGAGGTGAGGCAGGGCACTCAAGGACCCTTTCCAGTAGCCACAGGGATTTTGGGATTCCTATCAGTATTCAAGAGGAGTCAGGCATCGTCACCTTTTGAAGCAATGAACTCCGCGTGCCTCTCGAGGTGTCAGCGGGATGTGAGGCATTCCGTCAAAATGAGGCAGGGACCTAGGGCTTCTTCTAAGGTCTCCACAGGGGATTCAGACATCCCTTCATGTTGTGAGATGAAAGACGAGCCTGTATTCAAGCCACTGCAAGGAAATCCGGCCTCCTTTCAAGTTAGGGCTTCTCGCTGTATATTCCCCTTGAGGCAGCAAACTCGGGGTCCCTCCCACATACCTATTGCTGAGAGAAGCCTCCTCCTGAGGTGCTTCTGGGAAGTTGGCATACGTCTTGAGCCTAAGCCAGGGAATCAGCTCGCATCTCGAGACGATTTGGGGTACACGGAGCATTCCTCGAGTTGCTGTGCTGAAGTTGGTGTTCCTCTAGACTTGGGACAGTGTTCTCGGGGCATCTCTGGAGTTGCCTGAAGGAAGTCGAGCCACCGGTCGTGTTGAATGGGGAACGGGGAATGGCTCTGGAGTCAATGCAGGGGAATCGGGCCTCATCTCGAGTTGATTTGGGGCACATGGAGCTGCTTTGCGTTGCTGGGGTGACCTCAGGGTCCGTCTAGACTGGTGACAGTGTTCTTGGGGACTGTCTCGAGATCCATTAAGCAAGTCGAAGCTCCTGACTTGTTTGAATGGGATCACGGAATAGCTCTTCATGCACTGCAGGGGAATGGGGCCTCATCTCGCCTCTAGGGGGAAGTCTCATGGTTTTTCTCGAGTTGCGGCGGGGACCTGGGGTATGTTCTCGACTTACGGCGGGGATGGCCCTTCAAAACACGAGTTTCTTCAGTGACGTCAGGACTCCTGTCTAGTAACGAGGGACACCTCAGGAATCTCTTCGAGGCTTGGCAGGGCCAAAGGGACGCTTCTCGAGGTGAGGCAGGGCACCCAAGGACCCTTTCCAGTAGCCACAGGGATTTTGGGATTCCTATCAGTATTCAAGAGGAGTCAGGCATCGTCACCTTTTGAAGCAATGAACTCCGCGTGCCTCTCGAGGTGTCAGCGGGATGTGAGGCATTCCGTCAAAATGAGGCAGGGACCTAGGGCTTTCTCTAAGGTCTCCACAGGGGATTCAGACATCCCTTCATGTTGTGAGATGAAAGACGAGCCTGTATTCAAGCCACTGCAAGGAAATCCGGCCTCCTTTCAAGTTAGGGGTTCTCGCTGTATATTCCCCTTGAGGCAGCAAACTCGGGGTCCCTCCCACATACCTATTGCTGAGAGAAGCCTCCTCCTGAGGTGCTTCTGGGAAGTTGGCATACGTCTTGAGCCTAAGCCAGGGAATCAGCTCGCATCTCGAGACGATTTGGGGTACACGGAGCATTCCTCGAGTTGCTGTGCTGAAGTTGGTGTTCCTCTAGACTTGGGACAGTGTTCTCGGGGCATCTCTGGAGTTGCCTGAAGGAAGTCGAGCCACCGGTCGTGTTGAATGGGGAACGGGGAATGGCTCTGGAGTCAATGCAGGGGAATCGGGCCTCATCTCGCCTCTAGGGGGAAGTCTCATGGTTTTTCTTGAGTTGCGGCGGGGACCTGGGGTATGTTCTCGACTTACGGCGGGGATGGCCCTTCAAAACACGAGTTTCTTCAGTGACGTCAGGACTCCTGTCTAGTAACGAGGGACACCTCAGGAATCTCTTCGAGGCTTGGCAGGGCCAAAGGGACGCTTCTCGAGGTGAGGCAGGGCACCCAAGGACCCTTTCCAGTAGCCACAGGGATTTTGGGATTCCTATCAGTATTCAAGAGGAGTCAGGCATCGTCACCTTTTGAAGCAATGAACTCCGCGTGCCTCTCGAGGTGTCAGCGGGATGTGAGGCATTCCGTCAAAATGAGGCAGGGACCTAGGGCTTTCTCTAAGGTCTCCACAGGGGATTCAGACATCCCTTCATGTTGTGAGATGAAAGACGAGCCTGTATTCAAGCCACTGCAAGGAAATCCGGCCTCCTTTCAAGTTAGGGCTTCTCGCTGTATATTCCCCTTGAGGCAGCAAACTCGGGGTCCCTCCCACATACCTATTGCTGAGAGAAGCCTCCTCCTGAGGTGCTTCTGGGAAGTTGGCATACGTCTTGAGCCTAAGCCAGGGAATCAGCTCGCATCTCGAGACGATTTGGGGTACACGGAGCATTCCTCGAGTTGCTGTGCTGAAGTTGGTGTTCCTCTAGACTTGGGACAGTGTTCTCGGGGCATCTCTGGAGTTGCCTGAAGGAAGTCGAGCCACCGGTCGTGTTGAATGGGGAACGGGGAATGGCTCTGGAGTCAATGCAGGGGAATCGGGCCTCATCTCGAGTTGATTTGGGGCACATGGAGCTGCTTTGCGTTGCTGGGGTGACCTCAGGGTCCGTCTAGACTGGTGACAGTGTTCTTGGGGACTGTCTCGAGATCCATTAAGCAAGTCGAAGCTCCTGACTTGTTTGAATGGGATCACGGAATAGCTCTTCATGCACTGCAGGGGAATGGGGCCTCATCTCGCCTCTAGGGGGAAGTCTCATGGTTTTTCTCGAGTTGCGGCGGGGACCTGGGGTATGTTCTCGACTTACGGCGGGGATGGCCCTTCAAAACACGAGTTTCTTCAGTGACGTCAGGACTCCTGTCTAGTAACGAGGGACACCTCAGGAATCTCTTCGAGGCTTGGCAGGGCCAAAGGGACGCTTCTCGAGGTGAGGCAGGGCACCCAAGGACCCTTTCCAGTAGCCACAGGGATTTTGGGATTCCTATCAGTATTCAAGAGGAGTCAGGCATCGTCACCTTTTGAAGCAATGAACTCCGCGTGCCTCTCGAGGTGTCAGCGGGATGTGAGGCATTCCGTCAAAATGAGGCAGGGACCTAGGGCTTTCTCTAAGGTCTCCACAGGGGATTGAGACATCCCTTCATGTTGTGAGATGAAAGACGAGCCTGTATTCAAGCCACTGCAAGGAAATCCGGCCTCCTTTCAAGTTAGGGCTTCTCGCTGTATATTCCCCTTGAGGCAGCAAACTCGGGGTCCCTCCCACATACCTATTGCTGAGAGAAGCCTCCTCCTGAGGTGCTTCTGGGAAGTTGGCATACGTCTTGAGCCTAAGCCAGGGAATCAGCTCGCATCTCGAGACGATTTGGGGTACACGGAGCATTCCTCGAGTTGCTGTGCTGAAGTTGGTGTTCCTCTAGACTTGGGACAGTGTTCTCGGGGCATCTCTGGAGTTGCCTGAAGGAAGTCGAGCCACCGGTCGTGTTGAATGGGGAACGGGGAATGGCTCTGGAGTCAATGCAGGGGAATCGGGCCTCATCTCGAGTTGATTTGGGGCACATGGAGCTGCTTTGCGTTGCTGGGGTGACCTCAGGGTCCGTCTAGACTGGTGACAGTGTTCTTGGGGACTGTCTCGAGATCCATTAAGCAAGTCGAAGCTCCTGACTTGTTTGAATGGGATCACGGAATAGCTCTGCATGCACTGCAGGGGAATGGGGCCTCATCTCGCCTCTAGGGGGAAGTCTCATGGTTTTTCTCGAGTTGCGGCGGGGACCTGGGGTATGTTCTCGACTTACGGCGGGGATGGCCCTTCAAAACACGAGTTTCTTCAGTGACGTCAGGACTCCTGTCTAGTAACGAGGGACACCTCAGGAATCTCTTCGAGGCTTGGCAGGGCCAAAGGGACGCTTCTCGAGGTGAGGCAGGGCACCCAAGGACCCTTTCCAGTAGCCACAGGGATTTTGGGATTCCTATCAGTATTCAAGAGGAGTCAGGCATCGTCACCTTTTGAAGCAATGAACTCCGCGTGCCTCTCGAGGTGTCAGCGGGATGTGAGGCATTCCGTCAAAATGAGGCAGGGACCTAGGGCTTTCTCTAAGGTCTCCACAGGGGATTCAGACATCCCTTCATGTTGTGAGATGAAAGACGAGCCTGTATTCAAGCCACTGCAAGGAAATCCGGCCTCCTTTCAAGTTAGGGCTTCTCGCTGTATATTCCCCTTGAGGCAGCAAACTCGGGGTCCCTCCCACATACCTATTGCTGAGAGAAGCCTCCTCCTGAGGTGCTTCTGGGAAGTTGGCATACGTCTTGAGCCTAAGCCAGGGAATCAGCTCGCATCTCGAGACGATTTGGGGTACACGGAGCATTCCTCGAGTTGCTGTGCTGAAGTTGGTGTTCCTCTAGACTTGGGACAGTGTTCTCGGGGCATCTCTGGAGTTGCCTGAAGGAAGTCGAGCCACCGGTCGTGTTGAATGGGGAACGGGGAATGGCTCTGGAGTCAATGCAGGGGAATCGGGCCTCATCTCGAGTTGATTTGGGGCACATGGAGCTGCTTTGCGTTGCTGGGGTGACCTCAGGGTCCGTCTAGACTGGTGACAGTGTTCTTGGGGACTGTCTCGAGATCCATTAAGCAAGTCGAAGCTCCTGACTTGTTTGAATGGGATCACGGAATAGCTCTTCATGCACTGCAGGGGAATGGGGCCTCATCTCGCCTCTAGGGGGAAGTCTCATGGTTTTTCTCGAGTTGCGGCGGGGACCTGGGGTATGTTCTCGACTTACGGCGGGGATGGCCCTTCAAAACACGAGTTTCTTCAGTGACGTCAGGACTCCTGTCTAGTAACGAGGGACACCTCAGGAATCTCTTCGAGGCTTGGCAGGGCCAAAGGGACGCTTCTCGAGGTGAGGCAGGGCACCCAAGGACCCTTTCCAGTAGCCACAGGGATTTTGGGATTCCTATCAGTATTCAAGAGGAGTCAGGCATCGTCACCTTTTGAAGCAATGAACTCCGCGTGCCTCTCGAGGTGTCAGCGGGATGTGAGGCATTCCGTCAAAATGAGGCAGGGACCTAGGGCTTTCTCTAAGGTCTCCACAGGGGATTCAGACATCCCTTCATGTTGTGAGATGAAAGACGAGCCTGTATTCAAGCCACTGCAAGGAAATCCGGCCTCCTTTCAAGTTAGGGGTTCTCGCTGTATATTCCCCTTGAGGCAGCAAACTCGGGGTCCCTCCCACATACCTATTGCTGAGAGAAGCCTCCTCCTGAGGTGCTTCTGGGAAGTTGGCATACGTCTTGAGCCTAAGCCAGGGAATCAGCTCGCATCTCGAGACGATTTGGGGTACACGGAGCATTCCTCGAGTTGCTGTGCTGAAGTTGGTGTTCCTCTAGACTTGGGACAGTGTTCTCGGGGCATCTCTGGAGTTGCCTGAAGGAAGTCGAGCCACCGGTCGTGTTGAATGGGGAACGGGGAATGGCTCTGGAGTCAATGCAGGGGAATCGGGCCTCATCTCGAGTTGATTTGGGGCACATGGAGCTGCTTTGCGTTGCTGGGGTGACCTCAGGGTCCGTCTAGACTGGTGACAGTGTTCTTGGGGACTGTCTCGAGATCCATTAAGCAAGTCGAAGCTCCTGACTTGTTTGAATGGGATCACGGAATAGCTCTTCATGCACTGCAGGGGAATGGGGCCTCATCTCGCCTCTAGGGGGAAGTCTCATGGTTTTTCTCGAGTTGCGGCGGGGACCTGGGGTATGTTCTCGACTTACGGCGGGGATGGCCCTTCAAAACACGAGTTTCTTCAGTGACGTCAGGACTCCTGTCTAGTAACGAGGGACACCTCAGGAATCTCTTCGAGGCTTGGCAGGGCCAAAGGGACGCTTCTCGAGGTGAGGCAGGGCACCCAAGGACCCTTTCCAGTAGCCACAGGGATTTTGGGATTCCTATCAGTATTCAAGAGGAGTCAGGCATCGTCACCTTTTGAAGCAATGAACTCCGCGTGCCTCTCGAGGTGTCAGCGGGATGTGAGGCATTCCGTCAAAATGAGGCAGGGACCTAGGGCTTTCTCTAAGGTCTCCACAGGGGATTCAGACATCCCTTCATGTTGTGAGATGAAAGACGAGCCTGTATTCAAGCCACTGCAAGGAAATCCGGCCTCCTTTCAAGTTAGGGCTTCTCGCTGTATATTCCCCTTGAGGCAGCAAACTCGGGGTCCCTCCCACATACCTATTGCTGAGAGAAGCCTCCTCCTGAGGTGCTTCTGGGAAGTTGGCATACGTCTTGAGCCTAAGCCAGGGAATCAGCTCGCATCTCGAGACGATTTGGGGTACACGGAGCATTCCTCGAGTTGCTGTGCTGAAGTTGGTGTTCCTCTAGACTTGGGACAGTGTTCTCGGGGCATCTCTGGAGTTGCCTGAAGGAAGTCGAGCCACCGGTCGTGTTGAATGGGGAACGGGGAATGGCTCTGGAGTCAATGCAGGGGAATCGGGCCTCATCTCGCCTCTAGGGGGAAGTCTCATGGTTTTTCTCGAGTTGCGGCGGGGACCTGGGGTATGTTCTCGACTTACGGCGGGGATGGCCCTTCAAAACACGAGTTTCTTCAGTGACGTCAGGACTCCTGTCTAGTAACGAGGGACACCTCAGGAATCTCTTCGAGGCTTGGCAGGGCCAAAGGGACGCTTCTCGAGGTGAGGCAGGGCACCCAAGGACCCTTTCCAGTAGCCACAGGGATTTTGGGATTCCTATCAGTATTCAAGAGGAGTCAGGCATCGTCACCTTTTGAAGCAATGAACTCCGCGTGCCTCTCGAGGTGTCAGCGGGATGTGAGGCATTCCGTCAAAATGAGGCAGGGACCTAGGGCTTTCTCTAAGGTCTCCACAGGGGATTCAGACATCCCTTCATGTTGTGAGATGAAAGACGAGCCTGTATTCAAGCCACTGCAAGGAAATCCGGCCTCCTTTCAAGTTAGGGGTTCTCGCTGTATATTCCCCTTGAGGCAGCAAACTCGGGGTCCCTCCCACATACCTATTGCTGAGAGAAGCCTCCTCCTGAGGTGCTTCTGGGAAGTTGGCATACGTCTTGAGCCTAAGCCAGGGAATCAGCTCGCATCTCGAGACGATTTGGGGTACACGGAGCATTCCTCGAGTTGCTGTGCTGAAGTTGGTGTTCCTCTAGACTTGGGACAGTGTTCTCGGGGCATCTCTGGAGTTGCCTGAAGGAAGTCGAGCCACCGGTCGTGTTGAATGGGGAACCGGGAATGGCTCTGGAGTCAATGCAGGGGAATCGGGCCTCATCTCGAGTTGATTTGGGGCACATGGAGCTGCTTTGCGTTGCTGGGGTGACCTCAGGGTCCGTCTAGACTGGTGACAGTGTTCTTGGGGACTGTCTCGAGATCCATTAAGCAAGTCGAAGCTCCTGACTTGTTTGAATGGGATCACGGAATAGCTCTTCATGCACTGCAGGGGAATGGGGCCTCATCTCGCCTCTAGGGGGAAGTCTCATGGTTTTTCTCGAGTTGCGGCGGGGACCTGGGGTATGTTCTCGACTTACGGCGGGGATGGCCCTTCAAAACACGAGTTTCTTCAGTGACGTCAGGACTCCTGTCTAGTAACGAGGGACACCTCAGGAATCTCTTCGAGGCTTGGCAGGGCCAAAGGGACGCTTCTCGAGGTGAGGCAGGGCACCCAAGGACCCTTTCCAGTAGCCACAGGGATTTTGGGATTCCTATCAGTATTCAAGAGGAGTCAGGCATCGTCACCTTTTGAAGCAATGAACTCCGCGTGCCTCTCGAGGTGTCAGCGGGATGTGAGGCATTCCGTCAAAATGAGGCAGGGACCTAGGGCTTTCTCTAAGGTCTCCACAGGGGATTCAGACATCCCTTCATGTTGTGAGATGAAAGACGAGCCTGTATTCAAGCCACTGCAAGGAAATCCGGCCTCCTTTCAAGTTAGGGGTTCTCGCTGTATATTCCCCTTGAGGCAGCAAACTCGGGGTCCCTCCCACATACCTATTGCTGAGAGAAGCCTCCTCCTGAGGTGCTTCTGGGAAGTTGGCATACGTCTTGAGCCTAAGCCAGGGAATCAGCTCGCATCTCGAGACGATTTGGGGTACACGGAGCATTCCTCGAGTTGCTGTGCTGAAGTTGGTGTTCCTCTAGACTTGGGACAGTGTTCTCGGGGCATCTCTGGAGTTGCCTGAAGGAAGTCGAGCCACCGGTCGTGTTGAATGGGGAACGGGGAATGGCTCTGGAGTCAATGCAGGGGAATCGGGCCTCATCTCGAGTTGATTTGGGGCACATGGAGCTGCTTTGCGTTGCTGGGGTGACCTCAGGGTCCGTCTAGACTGGTGACAGTGTTCTTGGGGACTGTCTCGAGATCCATTAAGCAAGTCGAAGCTCCTGACTTGTTTGAATGGGATCACGGAATAGCTCTTCATGCACTGCAGGGGAATGGGGCCTCATCTCGCCTCTAGGGGGAAGTCTCATGGTTTTTCTCGAGTTGCGGCGGGGACCTGGGGTATGTTCTCGACTTACGGCGGGGATGGCCCTTCAAAACACGAGTTTCTTCAGTGACGTCAGGACTCCTGTCTAGTAACGAGGGACACCTCAGGAATCTCTTCGAGGCTTGGCAGGGCCAAAGGGACGCTTCTCGAGGTGAGGCAGGGCACCCAAGGACCCTTTCCAGTAGCCACAGGGATTTTGGGATTCCTATCAGTATTCAAGAGGAGTCAGGCATCGTCACCTTTTGAAGCAATGAACTCCGCGTGCCTCTCGAGGTGTCAGCGGGATGTGAGGCATTCCGTCAAAATGAGGCAGGGACCTAGGGCTTTCTCTAAGGTCTCCACAGGGGATTCAGACATCCCTTCATGTTGTGAGATGAAAGACGAGCCTGTATTCAAGCCACTGCAAGGAAATCCGGCCTCCTTTCAAGTTAGGGCTTCTCGCTGTATATTCCCCTTGAGGCAGCAAACTCGGGGTCCCTCCCACATACCTATTGCTGAGAGAAGCCTCCTCCTGAGGTGCTTCTGGGAAGTTGGCATACGTCTTGAGCCTAAGCCAGGGAATCAGCTCGCATCTCGAGACGATTTGGGGTACACGGAGCATTCCTCGAGTTGCTGTGCTGAAGTTGGTGTTCCTCTAGACTTGGGACAGTGTTCTCGGGGCATCTCTGGAGTTGCCTGAAGGAAGTCGAGCCACCGGTCGTGTTGAATGGGGAACGGGGAATGGCTCTGGAGTCAATGCAGGGGAATCGGGCCTCATCTCGCCTCTAGGGGGAAGTCTCATGGTTTTTCTCGAGTTGCGGCGGGGACCTGGGGTATGTTCTCGACTTACGGCGGGGATGGCCCTTCAAAACACGAGTTTCTTCAGTGACGTCAGGACTCCTGTCTAGTAACGAGGGACACCTCAGGAATCTCTTCGAGGCTTGGCAGGGCCAAAGGGACGCTTCTCGAGGTGAGGCAGGGCACCCAAGGACCCTTTCCAGTAGCCACAGGGATTTTGGGATTCCTATCAGTATTCAAGAGGAGTCAGGCATCGTCACCTTTTGAAGCAATGAACTCCGCGTGCCTCTCGAGGTGTCAGCGGGATGTGAGGCATTCCGTCAAAATGAGGCAGGGACCTAGGGCTTTCTCTAAGGTCTCCACAGGGGATTCAGACATCCCTTCATGTTGTGAGATGAAAGACGAGCCTGTATTCAAGCCACTGCAAGGAAATCCGGCCTCCTTTCAAGTTAGGGCTTCTCGCTGTATATTCCCCTTGAGGCAGCAAACTCGGGGTCCCTCCCACATACCTATTGCTGAGAGAAGCCTCCTCCTGAGGTGCTTCTGGGAAGTTGGCATACGTCTTGAGCCTAAGCCAGGGAATCAGCTCGCATCTCGAGACGATTTGGGGTACACGGAGCATTCCTCGAGTTGCTGTGCTGAAGTTGGTGTTCCTCTAGACTTGGGACAGTGTTCTCGGGGCATCTCTGGAGTTGCCTGAAGGAAGTCGAGCCACCGGTCGTGTTGAATGGGGAACGGGGAATGGCTCTGGAGTCAATGCAGGGGAATCGGGCCTCATCTCGAGTTGATTTGGGGCACATGGAGCTGCTTTGCGTTGCTGGGGTGACCTCAGGGTCCGTCTAGACTGGTGACAGTGTTCTTGGGGACTGTCTCGAGATCCATTAAGCAAGTCGAAGCTCCTGACTTGTTTGAATGGGATCACGGAATAGCTCTTCATGCACTGCAGGGGAATGGGGCCTCATCTCGCCTCTAGGGGGAAGTCTCATGGTTTTTCTCGAGTTGCGGCGGGGACCTGGGGTATGTTCTCGACTTACGGCGGGGATGGCCCTTCAAAACACGAGTTTCTTCAGTGACGTCAGGACTCCTGTCTAGTAACGAGGGACACCTCAGGAATCTCTTCGAGGCTTGGCAGGGCCAAAGGGACGCTTCTCGAGGTGAGGCAGGGCACCCAAGGACCCTTTCCAGTAGCCACAGGGATTTTGGGATTCCTATCAGTATTCAAGAGGAGTCAGGCATCGTCACCTTTTGAAGCAATGAACTCCGCGTGCCTCTCGAGGTGTCAGCGGGATGTGAGGCATTCCGTCAAAATGAGGCAGGGACCTAGGGCTTTCTCTAAGGTCTCCACAGGGGATTCAGACATCCCTTCATGTTGTGAGATGAAAGACGAGCCTGTATTCAAGCCACTGCAAGGAAATCCGGCCTCCTTTCAAGTTAGGGGTTCTCGCTGTATATTCCCCTTGAGGCAGCAAACTCGGGGTCCCTCCCACATACCTATTGCTGAGAGAAGCCTCCTCCTGAGGTGCTTCTGGGAAGTTGGCATACGTCTTGAGCCTAAGCCAGGGAATCAGCTCGCATCTCGAGACGATTTGGGGTACACGGAGCATTCCTCGAGTTGCTGTGCTGAAGTTGGTGTTCCTCTAGACTTGGGACAGTGTTCTCGGGGCATCTCTGGAGTTGCCTGAAGGAAGTCGAGCCACCGGTCGTGTTGAATGGGGAACGGGGAATGGCTCTGGAGTCAATGCAGGGGAATCGGGCCTCATCTCGAGTTGATTTGGGGCACATGGAGCTGCTTTGCGTTGCTGGGGTGACCTCAGGGTCCGTCTAGACTGGTGACAGTGTTCTTGGGGACTGTCTCGAGATCCATTAAGCAAGTCGAAGCTCCTGACTTGTTTGAATGGGATCACGGAATAGCTCTTCATGCACTGCAGGGGAATGGGGCCTCATCTCGCCTCTAGGGGGAAGTCTCATGGTTTTTCTCGAGTTGCGGCGGGGACCTGGGGTATGTTCTCGACTTACGGCGGGGATGGCCCTTCAAAACACGAGTTTCTTCAGTGACGTCAGGACTCCTGTCTAGTAACGAGGGACACCTCAGGAATCTCTTCGAGGCTTGGCAGGGCCAAAGGGACGCTTCTCGAGGTGAGGCAGGGCACCCAAGGACCCTTTCCAGTAGCCACAGGGATTTTGGGATTCCTATCAGTATTCAAGAGGAGTCAGGCATCGTCACCTTTTGAAGCAATGAACTCCGCGTGCCTCTCGAGGTGTCAGCGGGATGTGAGGCATTCCGTCAAAATGAGGCAGGGACCTAGGGCTTTCTCTAAGGTCTCCACAGGGGATTCAGACATCCCTTCATGTTGTGAGATGAAAGACGAGCCTGTATTCAAGCCACTGCAAGGAAATCCGGCCTCCTTTCAAGTTAGGGCTTCTCGCTGTATATTCCCCTTGAGGCAGCAAACTCGGGGTCCCTCCCACATACCTATTGCTGAGAGAAGCCTCCTCCTGAGGTGCTTCTGGGAAGTTGGCATACGTCTTGAGCCTAAGCCAGGGAATCAGCTCGCATCTCGAGACGATTTGGGGTACACGGAGCATTCCTCGAGTTGCTGTGCTGAAGTTGGTGTTCCTCTAGACTTGGGACAGTGTTCTCGGGGCATCTCTGGAGTTGCCTGAAGGAAGTCGAGCCACCGGTCGTGTTGAATGGGGAACGGGGAATGGCTCTGGAGTCAATGCAGGGGAATCGGGCCTCATCTCGCCTCTAGGGGGAAGTCTCATGGTTTTTCTCGAGTTGCGGCGGGGACCTGGGGTATGTTCTCGACTTACGGCGGGGATGGCCCTTCAAAACACGAGTTTCTTCAGTGACGTCAGGACTCCTGTCTAGTAACGAGGGACACCTCAGGAATCTCTTCGAGGCTTGGCAGGGCCAAAGGGACGCTTCTCGAGGTGAGGCAGGGCACCCAAGGACCCTTTCCAGTAGCCACAGGGATTTTGGGATTCCTATCAGTATTCAAGAGGAGTCAGGCATCGTCACCTTTTGAAGCAATGAACTCCGCGTGCCTCTCGAGGTGTCAGCGGGATGTGAGGCATTCCGTCAAAATGAGGCAGGGACCTAGGGCTTTCTCTAAGGTCTCCACAGGGGATTCAGACATCCCTTCATGTTGTGAGATGAAAGACGAGCCTGTATTCAAGCCACTGCAAGGAAATCCGGCCTCCTTTCAAGTTAGGGCTTCTCGCTGTATATTCCCCTTGAGGCAGCAAACTCGGGGTCCCTCCCACATACCTATTGCTGAGAGAAGCCTCCTCCTGAGGTGCTTCTGGGAAGTTGGCATACGTCTTGAGCCTAAGCCAGGGAATCAGCTCGCATCTCGAGACGTTTTGGGGTACACGGAGCATTCCTCGAGTTGCTGTGCTGAAGTTGGTGTTCCTCTAGACTTGGGACAGTGTTCTCGGGGCATCTCTGGAGTTGCCTGAAGGAAGTCGAGCCACCGGTCGTGTTGAATGGGGAACGGGGAATGGCTCTGGAGTCAATGCAGGGGAATCGGGCCTCATCTCGAGTTGATTTGGGGCACATGGAGCTGCTTTGCGTTGCTGGGGTGACCTCAGGGTCCGTCTAGACTGGTGACAGTGTTCTTGGGGACTGTCTCGAGATCCATTAAGCAAGTCGAAGCTCCTGACTTGTTTGAATGGGATCACGGAATAGCTCTGCATGCACTGCAGGGGAATGGGGCCTCATCTCGCCTCTAGGGGGAAGTCTCATGGTTTTTCTCGAGTTGCGGCGGGGACCTGGGGTATGTTCTCGACTTACGGCGGGGATGGCCCTTCAAAACACGAGTTTCTTCAGTGACGTCAGGACTCCTGTCTAGTAACGAGGGACACCTCAGGAATCTCTTCGAGGCTTGGCAGGGCCAAAGGGACGCTTCTCGAGGTGAGGCAGGGCACCCAAGGACCCTTTCCAGTAGCCACAGGGATTTTGGGATTCCTATCAGTATTCAAGAGGAGTCAGGCATCGTCACCTTTTGAAGCAATGAACTCCGCGTGCCTCTCGAGGTGTCAGCGGGATGTGAGGCATTCCGTCAAAATGAGGCAGGGACCTAGGGCTTTCTCTAAGGTCTCCACAGGGGATTCAGACATCCCTTCATGTTGTGAGATGAAAGACGAGCCTGTATTCAAGCCACTGCAAGGAAATCCGGCCTCCTTTCAAGTTAGGGCTTCTCGCTGTATATTCCCCTTGAGGCAGCAAACTCGGGGTCCCTCCCACATACCTATTGCTGAGAGAAGCCTCCTCCTGAGGTGCTTCTGGGAAGTTGGCATACGTCTTGAGCCTAAGCCAGGGAATCAGCTCGCATCTCGAGACGATTTGGGGTACACGGAGCATTCCTCGAGTTGCTGTGCTGAAGTTGGTGTTCCTCTAGACTTGGGACAGTGTTCTCGGGGCATCTCTGGAGTTGCCTGAAGGAAGTCGAGCCACCGGTCGTGTTGAATGGGGAACGGGGAATGGCTCTGGAGTCAATGCAGGGGAATCGGGCCTCATCTCGAGTTGATTTGGGGCACATGGAGCTGCTTTGCGTTGCTGGGGTGACCTCAGGGTCCGTCTAGACTGGTGACAGTGTTCTTGGGGACTGTCTCGAGATCCATTAAGCAAGTCGAAGCTCCTGACTTGTTTGAATGGGATCACGGAATAGCTCTGCATGCACTGCAGGGGAATGGGGCCTCATCTCGCCTCTAGGGGGAAGTCTCATGGTTTTTCTCGAGTTGCGGCGGGGACCTGGGGTATGTTCTCGACTTACGGCGGGGATGGCCCTTCAAAACACGAGTTTCTTCAGTGACGTCAGGACTCCTGTCTAGTAACGAGGGACACCTCAGGAATCTCTTCGAGGCTTGGCAGGGCCAAAGGGACGCTTCTCGAGGTGAGGCAGGGCACCCAAGGACCCTTTCCAGTAGCCACAGGGATTTTGGGATTCCTATCAGTATTCAAGAGGAGTCAGGCATCGTCACCTTTTGAAGCAATGAACTCCGCGTGCCTCTCGAGGTGTCAGCGGGATGTGAGGCATTCCGTCAAAATGAGGCAGGGACCTAGGGCTTTCTCTAAGGTCTCCACAGGGGATTCAGACATCCCTTCATGTTGTGAGATGAAAGACGAGCCTGTATTCAAGCCACTGCAAGGAAATCCGGCCTCCTTTCAAGTTAGGGCTTCTCGCTGTATATTCCCCTTGAGGCAGCAAACTCGGGGTCCCTCCCACATACCTATTGCTGAGAGAAGCCTCCTCCTGAGGTGCTTCTGGGAAGTTGGCATACGTCTTGAGCCTAAGCCAGGGAATCAGCTCGCATCTCGAGACGATTTGGGGTACACGGAGCATTCCTCGAGTTGCTGTGCTGAAGTTGGTGTTCCTCTAGACTTGGGACAGTGTTCTCGGGGCATCTCTGGAGTTGCCTGAAGGAAGTCGAGCCACCGGTCGTGTTGAATGGGGAACGGGGAATGGCTCTGGAGTCAATGCAGGGGAATCGGGCCTCATCTCGAGTTGATTTGGGGCACATGGAGCTGCTTTGCGTTGCTGGGGTGACCTCAGGGTCCGTCTAGACTGGTGACTGTTCTTGGGGACTGTCTCGAGAACCATTAAGCAAGTCGAAGCTCCTGACTTGTTTGAATGGGATCACGGAATAGCTCTGCATGCACTGCAGGGGAATGGGGCCTCATCTCGCCTCTAGGGGGAAGTCTCATGGTTTTTCTCGAGTTGCGGCGGGGACCTGGGGTATGTTCTCGACTTACGGCGGGGATGGCCCTTCCAAATACGAGTTTCTTCAGTGACGTCAGGACTCCTGTCTAGTAACGAGGGACACCTCAGGAATCTCTTCGAGGCTTGGCAGGGCCAAAGGGACGCTTCTCGAGGTGAGGCAGGGCACCCAAGGACCCTTTCCAGTAGCCACAGGGATTTTGGGATTCCTATCAGTATTCAAGAGGAGTCAGGCATCGTCACCTTTTGAAGCAATGAACTCCGCGTGCCTCTCGAGGTGTCAGCGGGATGTGAGGCATTCCGTCAAAATGAGGCAGGGACCTAGGGCTTTCTCTAAGGTCTCCACAGGGGATTCAGACATCCCTTCATGTTGTGAGATGAAAGACGAGCCTGTATTCAAGCCACTGCAAGGAAATCCGGCCTCCTTTCAAGTTAGGGCTTCTCGCTGTATATTCCCCTTGAGGCAGCAAACTCGGGGTCCCTCCCACATACCTATTGCTGAGAGAAGCCTCCTCCGGAGGTGCTTCTGGGAATTTGGCATACGTCTTGAGCCTAAGCCAGGGAATCAGCTCGCATCTCGAGACGATTTGGGGTAGACGGAGCATTCCTCGAGTTGCTGTGGGGAAGTTGGTGTTCCTCTAGACTTGGGACAGTGTTCTCGGGGCATCTCTGGAGTTGCCTGAAGGAAGTCGAGCCAGCGGTCGTGTTGAATGGGGAACGGGGAATGGCTCTGGAGTCAATGCAGGGGAATCGGGCCTCATCTCGAGTTGATTTTGGGCACATGGAGCTGCTTTGCGTTGCTGGGGTGACCTCAGGGTCCGTCTAGACTGGTGACAGTGTTCTTGGGGACTGTCTCGAGATCCATTAAGCAAGTCGAAGCTCCTGACTTGTTTGAATGGGATCACGGAATAGCTCTGCATGCACTGCAGGGGAATGGGGCCTCATCTCTCCTCTAGGGGGAAGTCTCATGGTTTTTCTCGAGTTGCGGCGGGGACCTGGGGTATGTTCTCGACTTACGGCGGGGATGGCCCTTCAAAACACGAGTTTCTTCAGTGACGTCAGGACTCCTGTCTAGTAACGAGGGACACCTCAGGAATCTCTTCGAGGCTTGGCAGGGCCAAAGGGACGCTTCTCGAGGTGAGGCAGGGCACCCAAGGACCCTTTCCAGTAGCCACAGGGATTTTGGGATTCCTATCAGTATCCAAAGGAGTCAGGCATCGTCACCTTTTGAAGCAATGAACTCCGCGTGCCTCTCGAGGTGTCAGCGGGATGTGAGGCATTCCGTCAAAATGAGGCAGGGACCTAGGGCTTTCTCTAAGGTCTCCACAGGGGATTCAGACATCCCTTCATGTTGTGAGATGAAAGACGAGCCTGTATTCAAGCCACTGCAAGGAAATCCGGCCTCCTTTCAAGTTAGGGCTTCTCGCTGTATATTCCCCTTGAGGCAGCAAACTCGGGGTCCCTCCCACATACCTATTGCTGAGAGAAGCCTCCTCCTGAGGTGCTTCTGGGAAGTTGGCATACGTCTTGAGCCTAAGCCAGGGAATCAGCTCGCATCTCGAGACGATTTGGGGTACACGGAGCATTTCTCGAGTTGCTGTGCTGAAGCTGGTGTTCCTCTAGACTTGGGACAGTGTTCTCGGGGCATCTCTGGAGTTGCCTGAAGGAAGTCGAGCCACCGGTCGTGTTGAATGGGGAACGGGGAATGGCTCTGGAGTCAATGCAGGGGAATAGGGCCTCATCTCGAGTTGATTTGGGGCACATGGAGCTGCTTTGCGTTGCTGGGGTGACCTCAGGGTCCGTCTAGACTGGTGACAGTGTTCTTGGGGACTGTCTCGAGATCCATTAAGCAAGTCGAAGCTCCTGACTTGTTTGAATGGGATCACGGAATAGCTCTGCATGCACTGCAGGGGAATGGGGCCTCATCTCGCCTCTAGGGGGAAGTCTCATGGTTTTTCTCGAGTTGCGGCGGGGACCTGGGGTATGTTCTCGACTTACGGCGGGGATGGCCCTTCAAAACACGAGTTTCTTCAGTGACGTCAGGACTCCTGTCTAGTAACGAGGGACACCTCAGGAATCTCTTCGAGGCTTGGCAGGGCCAAAGGGACGCTTCTCGAGGTGAGGCAGGGCACTCAAGGACCCTTTCCAGTAGCCACAGGGATTTTGGGATTCCTATCAGTATTCAAGAGGAGTCAGGCATCGTCACCTTTTGAAGCAATGAACTCCGCGTGCCTCTCGAGGTGTCAGCGGGATGTGAGGCATTCCGTCAAAATGAGGCAGGGACCTAGGGCTTCTTCTAAGGTCTCCACAGGGGATTCAGACATCCCTTCATGTTGTGAGATGAAAGACGAGCCTGTATTCAAGCCACTGCAAGGAATTCCGGCCTCCTTTCAAGTTAGGGCTTCTCGCTGTATATTCCCCTTGAGGCAGCAAACTCGGGGTCCCTCCCACATACCTATTGCTGAGAGAAGCCTCCTCCGGAGGTGCTTCTGGGAAGTTGGCATACGTCTTGAGCCTAAGCCAGGGAATCAGCTCGCATCTCGAGACGATTTGGGGTACACGGAACATTCCTCGAGTTGCTGTGCTGAAGTTGGTGTTCCTCTAGACTTGGGACAGTGTTCTCGGGGCATCTCTGGAGTTGCCTGAAGGAAGTCGAGCCACTGGTCGTGTTGAATGGGGAACGGGGAATGGCTCTGGAGTCAATGCAGGGGAATCGGGCCTCATCTCGAGTTGATTTGGGGCACATGGAGCTGCTTTGCGTTGCTGGGGTGACCTCAGGGTCCGTCTAGACTGGTGACAGTGTTCTTGGGGACTGTCTCGAGATCCATTAAGCAAGCCGAAGCTCCTGACTTGTTTGAATGGGATCACGGAATAGCTCTGCATGCACTACAGGGGAATGGGGCCTCATCTCGCCTCTAGGGGGAAGTCTCATGGTTTTTCTCGAGTTGCGGCGGGGACCTGGGGTATGTTCTCGACTTACGGCGGGGATGGCCCTTCAAAACACGAGTTTCTTCAGTGACGTCAGGACTCCTGTCTAGTAACGAGGGACACCTCAGGAATCTCTTCGAGGCTTGGCAGGGCCAAAGGGACGCTTCTCGAGGTGAGGCAGGGCACCCAAGGACCCTTTCCAGTAGCCACAGGGATTTTGGGATTCCTATCAGTATTCAAGAGGAGTCAGGCATCGTCACCTTTTGAAGCAATGAACTCCGCGTGCCTCTCGAGGTGTCAGCGGGATGTGAGGCATTCCGTCAAAATGAGGCAGGGACCTAGGGCTTTCTCTAAGGTCTCCACAGGGGATTCAGACATCCCTTCATGTTGTGAGATGAAAGACGAGCCTGTATTCAAGCCACTGCAAGGAAATCCGGCCTCCTTTCAAGTTAGGGCTTCTCGCTGTATATTCCCCTTGAGGCAGCAAACTCGGGGTCCCTCCCACATACCTATTGCTGAGAGAAGCCTCCTCCTGAGGTGCTTCTGGGAAGTTGGCATACGTCTTGAGCCTAAGCCAGGGAATCAGCTCGCATCTCGAGACGATTTGGGGTACACGGAGCATTCCTCGAGTTGCTGTGCTGAAGTTGGTGTTCCTCTAGACTTGGGACAGTGTTCTCGGGGCATCTCTGGAGTTGCCTGAAGGAAGTCGAGCCACCGGTCGTGTTGAATGGGGAACGGGGAATGGCTCTGGAGTCAATGCAGGGGAATCGGGCCTCATCTCGAGTTGATTTGGGGCACATGGAGCTGCTTTGCGTTGCTGGGGTGACCTCAGGGTCCGTCTAGACTGGTGACAGTGTTCTTGGGGACTGTCTCGAGATCCATTAAGCAAGCCGAAGCTCCTGACTTGTTTGAATGGGATCACGGAATAGCTCTGCATGCACTGCAGGGGAATGGGGCCTCATCTCGCCTCTAGGGGGAAGTCTCATGGTTTTTCTCGAGTTGCGGCGGGGACCTGGGGTATGTTCTCGACTTACGGCGGGGATGGCCCTTCAAAGCACGAGTTTCTTCAGTGACGTCAGGACTCCTGTCTAGTAACGAGGGACACCTCAGGAATCTCTTCGAGGCTTGGCAGGGCCAAAGGGACGCTTCTCGAGGTGAGGCAGGGCACCCAAGGACCCTTTCCAGTAGCCACAGGGATTTTGGGATTCCTATCAGTATTCAAGAGGAGTCAGGCATCGTCACCTTTTGAAGCAATGAACTCCGCGTGCCTCTCGAGGTGTCAGCGGGATGTGAGGCATTCCGTCAAAATGAGGCAGGGACCTAGGGCTTTCTCTAAGGTCTCCACAGGGGATTCAGACATCCCTTCATGTTGTGAGATGAAAGACGAGCCTGTATTCAAGCCACTGCAAGGAAATCCGGCCTCCTTTCAAGTTAGGGCTTCTCGCTGTATATTCCCCTTGAGGCAGCAAACTCGGGGTCCCTCCCACATACCTATTGCTGAGAGAAGCCTCCTCCTGAGGTGCTTCTGGGAAGTTGGCATACGTCTTGAGCCTAAGCCAGGGAATCAGCTCGCATCTCGAGACGATTTGGGGTACACCGAGCATTCCTCGAGTTGCTGTGCTGAAGTTGGTGTTCCTCTAGACTTGGGACAGTGTTCTCGGGGCATCTCTGGAGTTGCCTGAAGGAAGTCGAGCCACCGGTCGTGTTGAATGGGGAACGGGGAATGGCTCTGGAGTCAATGCAGGGGAATCGGGCCTCATCTCGAGTTGATTTGGGGCACATGGAGCTGCTTTGCATTGCTGGGGTGACCTCAGGGTCCGTCTAGACTGGTGACAGTGTTCTTGGGGACTGTCTCGAGATCCATTAAGCAAGTCGAAGCTCCTGACTTGTTTGAATGGGATCACGGAATAGCTCTGCATGCACTGCAGGGGAATGGGGCCTCATCTCGCCTCTAGGGGAAAGTCTCATGGTTTTTCTCGAGTTGCGGCGGGGACCTGGGGTATGTTCTCGACTTACGGCGGGGATGGCCCTTCAAAACACGAGTTTCTTCAGTGACGTCAGGACTCCTGTCTAGTAACGAGGGACACCTCAGGAATCTCTTCGAGGCTTGGCAGGGCCAAAGGGACGCTTCTCGAGGTGAGGCAGGGCACCCAAGGACCCTTTCCAGTAGCCACAGGGATTTTGGGATTCCTATCAGTATTCAAGAGGAGTCAGGCATCGTCACCTTTTGAAGCAATGAACTCCGCGTGCCTCTCGAGGTGTCAGCGGGATGTGAGGCATTCCGTCAAAATGAGGCAGGGAACTAGGGCTTTCTCTAAGGTCTCCACAGGGGATTCAGACATCCCTTCATGTTGTGAGATGAAAGACGAGCCTGTATTCAAGCCACTGCAAGGAAATCCGGCCTCCTTTCAAGTTAGGGCTTCTCGCTGTATATTCCATTTGAGGCAGCAAACTCGGGGTCCCTCCCACATACCTATTGCTGAGAGAAGCCTCCTCCTGAGGTGCTTCTGGGAAGTTGGCATACGTCTTGAGCCTAAGCCAGGGAATCAGCTCGCATCTCGAGACGATTTGGGGTACACGGAGCATTCCTCGAGTTGCTGTGCTGAAGTTGGTGTTCCTCTAGACTTGGGACAGTGTTCTCGGGGCATCTCTGGAGTTGCCTGAAGGAAGTCGAGCCACCGGTCGTGTTGAATGGGGAACGGGGAATGGCTCTGTAGTCAATGCAGGGGAATCGGGCCTCATCTCGAGTTGATTTGGGGCACATGGAGCTGCTTTGCATTGCTGGGGTGACCTCAGGGTCCGTCTAGACTGGTGACAGTGTTCTTGGGGACTGTCTCGAGATCCATTAAGCAAGTCGAAGCTCCTGACTTGTTTGAATGGGATCACGGAATAGCTCTTCATGCACTGCAGGGGAATGGGGCCTCATCTCGCCTCTAGGGGAAAGTCTCATGGTTTTTCTCGAGTTGCGGCGGGGACCTGGGGTATGTTCTCGACTTACGGCGGGGATGGCCCTTCAAAACACGAGTTTCTTCAGTGACGTCAGGACTCCTGTCTAGTAACGAGGGACACCTCAGGAATCTCTTCGAGGCTTGGCAGGGCCAAAGGGACGCTTCTCGAGGTGAGGCAGGGCACCCAAGGACCCTTTCCAGTAGCCACAGGGATTTTGGGATTCCTATCAGTATTCAAGAGGAGTCAGGCATCGTCACCTTTTGAAGCAATGAACTCCGCGTGCCTCTCGAGGTGTCAGCGGGATGTGAGGCATTCCGTCAAAATGAGGCAGGGACCTAGGGCTTTCTCTAAGGTCTCCACAGGGGATTCAGACATCCCTTCATGTTGTGAGATGAAAGACGAGCCTGTATTCAAGCCACTGCAAGGAAATCCGGCCTCCTTTCAAGTTAGGGCTTCTCGCTGTATATTCCCCTTGAGGCAGCAAACTCGGGGTCCCTCCCACATACCTATTGCTGAGAGAAGCCTCCTCCTGAGGTGCTTCTGGGAAGTTGGCATACGTCTTGAGCCTAAGCCAGGGAATCAGCTCGCATCTCGAGACGATTTGGGGTACACGGAGCATTCCTCGAGTTGCTGTGCTGAAGTTGGTGTTCCTCTAGACTTGGGACAGTGTTCTCGGGGCATCTCTGGAGTTGCCTGAAGGAAGTCGAGCCACCGGTCGTGTTGAATGGGGAACGGGGAATGGCTCTGGAGTCAATGCAGGGGAATCGGGCCTCATCTCGAGTTGATTTGGGGCACATGGAGCTGCTTTGCGTTGCTGGGGTGACCTCAGGGTCCGTCTAGACTGGTGACAGTGTTCTTGGGGACTGTCTCGAGATCCATTAAGCAAGTCGAAGCTCCTGACTTGTTTGAATGGGATCACGGAATAGCTCTGCATGCACTGCAGGGGAATGGGGCCTCATCTCGCCTCTAGGGGGAAGTCTCATGGTTTTTCTCGAGTTGCGGCGGGGACCTGGGGTATGTTCTCGACTTACGGCGGGGATGGCCCTTCAAAACACGAGTTTCTTCAGTGACGTCAGGACTCCTGTCTAGTAACGAGGGACACCTCAGGAATCTCTTCGAGGCTTGGCAGGGCCAAAGGGACGCTTCTCGAGGTGAGGCAGGGCACCCAAGGACCCTTTCCAGTAGCCACAGGGATTTTGGGATTCCTATCAGTATTCAAGAGGAGTCAGGCATCGTCACCTTTTGAAGCAATGAACTCCGCGTGCCTCTCGAGGTGTCAGCGGGATGTGAGGCATTCCGTCAAAATGAGGCAGGGACCTAGGGCTTTCTCTAAGGTCTCCACAGGGGATTCAGACATCCCTTCATGTTGTGAGATGAAAGACGAGCCTGTATTCAAGCCACTGCAAGGAAATCCGGCCTCCTTTCAAGTTAGGGCTTCTCGCTGTATATTCCCCTTGAGGCAGCAAACTCGGGGTCCCTCCCACATACCTATTGCTGAGAGAAGCCTCCTCCTGAGGTGCTTCTGGGAAGTTGGCATACGTCTTGAGCCTAAGCCAGGGAATCAGCTCGCATCTCGAGACGATTTGGGGTACACGGAGCATTCCTCGAGTTGCTGTGCTGAAGTTGGTGTTCCTCTAGACTTGGGACAGTGTTCTCGGGGCATCTCTGGAGTTGCCTGAAGGAAGTCGAGCCACCGGTCGTGTTGAATGGGGAACGGGGAATGGCTCTGGAGTCAATGCAGGGGAATCGGGCCTCATCTCGAGTTGATTTGGGGCACATGGAGCTGCTTTGCGTTGCTGGGGTGACCTCAGGGTCCGTCTAGACTGGTGACAGTGTTCTTGGGGACTGTCTCGAGATCCATTAAGCAAGTCGAAGCTCCTGACTTGTTTGAATGGGATCACGGAATAGCTCTGCATGCACTGCAGGGGAATGGGGCCTCATCTCGCCTCTAGGGGAAAGTCTCATGGTTTTTCTCGAGTTGCGGCGGGGACCTGGGGTATGTTCTCGACTTACGGCGGGGATGGCCCTTCAAAACACGAGTTTCTTCAGTGACGTCAGGACTCCTGTCTAGTAACGAGGGACACCTCAGGAATCTCTTCGAGGCTTGGCAGGGCCAAAGGGACGCTTCTCGAGGTGAGGCAGGGCACCCAAGGACCCTTTCCAGTAGCCACAGGGATTTTGGGATTCCTATCAGTATTCAAGAGGAGTCAGGCATCGTCACCTTTTGAAGCAATGAACTCCGCGTGCCTCTCGAGGTGTCAGCGGGATGTGAGGCATTCCGTCAAAATGAGGCAGGGACCTAGGGCTTTCTCTAAGGTCTCCACAGGGGATTCAGACATCCCTTCATGTTGTGAGATGAAAGACGAGCCTGTATTCAAGCCACTGCAAGGAAATCCGGCCTCCTTTCAAGTTAGGGCTTCTCGCTGTATATTCCCCTTGAGGCAGCAAACTCGGGGTCCCTCCCACATACCTATTGCTGAGAGAAGCCTCCTCCTGAGGTGCTTCTGGGAAGTTGGCATACGTCTTGAGCCTAAGCCAGGGAATCAGCTCGCATCTCGAGACGATTTGGGGTACACGGAGCATTCCTCGAGTTGCTGTGCTGAAGTTGGTGTTCCTCTAGACTTGGGACAGTGTTCTCGGGGCATCTCTGGAGTTGCCTGAAGGAAGTCGAGCCACCGGTCGTGTTGAATGGGGAACGGGGAATGGCTCTGGAGTCAATGCAGGGGAATCGGGCCTCATCTCGAGTTGATTTGGGGCACATGGAGCTGCTTTGCGTTGCTGGGGTGACCTCAGGGTCCGTCTAGACTGGTGACAGTGTTCTTGGGGACTGTCTCGAGATCCATTAAGCAAGCCGAAGCTCCTGACTTGTTTGAATGGGATCACGGAATAGCTCTGCATGCACTACAGGGGAATGGGGCCTCATCTCGCCTCTAGGGGGAAGTCTCATGGTTTTTCTCGAGTTGCGGCGGGGACCTGGGGTATGTTCTCGACTTACGGCGGGGATGGCCCTTCAAAACACGAGTTTCTTCAGTGACGTCAGGACTCCTGTCTAGTAACGAGGGACACCTCAGGAATCTCTTCGAGGCTTGGCAGGGCCAAAGGGACGCTTCTCGAGGTGAGGCAGGGCACCCAAGGACCCTTTCCAGTAGCCACAGGGATTTTGGGATTCCTATCAGTATTCAAGAGGAGTCAGGCATCGTCACCTTTTGAAGCAATGAACTCCGCGTGCCTCTCGAGGTGTCAGCGGGATGTGAGGCATTCCGTCAAAATGAGGCAGGGACCTAGGGCTTTCTCTAAGGTCTCCACAGGGGATTCAGACATCCCTTCATGTTGTGAGATGAAAGACGAGCCTGTATTCAAGCCACTGCAAGGAAATCCGGCCTCCTTTCAAGTTAGGGCTTCTCGCTGTATATTCCCCTTGAGGCAGCAAACTCGGGGTCCCTCCCACATACCTATTGCTGAGAGAAGCCTCCTCCTGAGGTGCTTCTGGGAAGTTGGCATACGTCTTGAGCCTAAGCCAGGGAATCAGCTCGCATCTCGAGACGATTTGGGGTACACGGAGCATTCCTCGAGTTGCTGTGCTGAAGTTGGTGTTCCTCTAGACTTGGGACAGTGTTCTCGGGGCATCTCTGGAGTTGCCTGAAGGAAGTCGAGCCACCGGTCGTGTTGAATGGGGAACGGGGAATGGCTCTGGAGTCAATGCAGGGGAATCGCGCCTCATCTCGAGTTGATTTGGGGCACATGGAGCTGCTTTGCGTTGCTGGGGTGACCTCAGGGTCCGTCTAGACTGGTGACAGTGTTCTTGGGGACTGTCTCGAGATCCATTAAGCAAGCCGAAGCTCCTGACTTGTTTGAATGGGATCACGGAATAGCTCTGCATGCACTGCAGGGGAATGGGGCCTCATCTCGCCTCTAGGGGGAAGTCTCATGGTTTTTCTCGAGTTGCGGCGGGGACCTGGGGTATGTTCTCGACTTACGGCGGGGATGGCCCTTCAAAGCACGAGTTTCTTCAGTGACGTCAGGACTCCTGTCTAGTAACGAGGGACACCTCAGGAATCTCTTCGAGGCTTGGCAGGGCCAAAGGGACGCTTCTCGAGGTGAGGCAGGGCACCCAAGGACCCTTTCCAGTAGCCACAGGGATTTTGGGATTCCTATCAGTATTCAAGAGGAGTCAGGCATCGTCACCTTTTGAAGCAATGAACTCCGCGTGCCTCTCGAGGTGTCAGCGGGATGTGAGGCATTCCGTCAAAATGAGGCAGGGACCTAGGGCTTTCTCTAAGGTCTCCACAGGGGATTCAGACATCCCTTCATGTTGTGAGATGAAAGACGAGCCTGTATTCAAGCCACTGCAAGGAAATCCGGCCTCCTTTCAAGTTAGGGCTTCTCGCTGTATATTCCCCTTGAGGCAGCAAACTCGGGGTCCCTCCCACATACCTATTGCTGAGAGAAGCCTCCTCCTGAGGTGCTTCTGGGAAGTTGGCATACGTCTTGAGCCTAAGCCAGGGAATCAGCTCGCATCTCGAGACGATTTGGGGTACACCGAGCATTCCTCGAGTTGCTGTGCTGAAGTTGGTGTTCCTCTAGACTTGGGACAGTGTTCTCGGGGCATCTCTGGAGTTGCCTGAAGGAAGTCGAGCCACCGGTCGTGTTGAATGGGGAACGGGGAATGGCTCTGGAGTCAATGCAGGGGAATCGGGCCTCATCTCGAGTTGATTTGGGGCACATGGAGCTGCTTTGCATTGCTGGGGTGACCTCAGGGTCCGTCTAGACTGGTGACAGTGTTCTTGGGGACTGTCTCGAGATCCATTAAGCAAGTCGAAGCTCCTGACTTGTTTGAATGGGATCACGGAATAGCTCTGCATGCACTGCAGGGGAATGGGGCCTCATCTCGCCTCTAGGGGAAAGTCTCATGGTTTTTCTCGAGTTGCGGCGGGGACCTGGGGTATGTTCTCGACTTACGGCGGGGATGGCCCTTCAAAACACGAGTTTCTTCAGTGACGTCAGGACTCCTGTCTAGTAACGAGGGACACCTCAGGAATCTCTTCGAGGCTTGGCAGGGCCAAAGGGACGCTTCTCGAGGTGAGGCAGGGCACCCAAGGACCCTTTCCAGTAGCCACAGGGATTTTGGGATTCCTATCAGTATTCAAGAGGAGTCAGGCATCGTCACCTTTTGAAGCAATGAACTCCGCGTGCCTCTCGAGGTGTCAGCGGGATGTGAGGCATTCCGTCAAAATGAGGCAGGGACCTAGGGCTTTCTCTAAGGTCTCCACAGGGGATTCAGACATCCCTTCATGTTGTGAGATGAAAGACGAGCCTGTATTCAAGCCACTGCAAGGAAATCCGGCCTCCTTTCAAGTTAGGGCTTCTCGCTGTATATTCCCCTTGAGGCAGCAAACTCGGGGTCCCTCCCACATACCTATTGCTGAGAGAAGCCTCCTCCTGAGGTGCTTCTGGGAAGTTGGCATACGTCTTGAGCCTAAGCCAGGGAATCAGCTCGCATCTCGAGACGATTTGGGGTACACGGAGCATTCCTCGAGTTGCTGTGCTGAAGTTGGTGTTCCTCTAGACTTGGGACAGTGTTCTCGGGGCATCTCTGGAGTTGCCTGAAGGAAGTCGAGCCACCGGTCGTGTTGAATGGGGAACGGGGAATGGCTCTGGAGTCAATGCAGGGGAATCGGGCCTCATCTCGAGTTGATTTGGGGCACATGGAGCTGCTTTGCGTTGCTGGGGTGACCTCAGGGTCCGTCTAGACTGGTGACAGTGTTCTTGGGGACTGTCTCGAGATCCATTAAGCAAGTCGAAGCTCCTGACTTGTTTGAATGGGATCACGGAATAGCTCTGCATGCACTGCAGGGGAATGGGGCCTCATCTCGCCTCTAGGGGGAAGTCTCATGGTTTTTCTCGAGTTGCGGCGGGGACCTGGGGTATGTTCTCGACTTACGGCGGGGATGGCCCTTCAAAACACGAGTTTCTTCAGTGACGTCAGGACTCCTGTCTAGTAACGAGGGACACCTCAGGAATCTCTTCGAGGCTTGGCAGGGCCAAAGGGACGCTTCTCGAGGTGAGGCAGGGCACCCAAGGACCCTTTCCAGTAGCCACAGGGATTTTGGGATTCCTATCAGTATTCAAGAGGAGTCAGGCATCGTCACCTTTTGAAGCAATGAACTCCGCGTGCCTCTCGAGGTGTCAGCGGGATGTGAGGCATTCCGTCAAAATGAGGCAGGGACCTAGGGCTTTCTCTAAGGTCTCCACAGGGGATTCAGACATCCCTTCATGTTGTGAGATGAAAGACGAGCCTGTATTCAAGCCACTGCAAGGAAATCCGGCCTCCTTTCAAGTTAGGGCTTCTCGCTGTATATTCCCCTTGAGGCAGCAAACTCGGGGTCCCTCCCACATACCTATTGCTGAGAGAAGCCTCCTCCTGAGGTGCTTCTGGGAAGTTGGCATACGTCTTGAGCCTAAGCCAGGGAATCAGCTCGCATCTCGAGACGATTTGGGGTACACGGAGCATTCCTCGAGTTGCTGTGCTGAAGTTGGTGTTCCTCTAGACTTGGGACAGTGTTCTCGGGGCATCTCTGGAGTTGCCTGAAGGAAGTCGAGCCACCGGTCGTGTTGAATGGGGAACGGGGAATGGCTCTGGAGTCAATGCAGGGGAATCGGGCCTCATCTCGAGTTGATTTGGGGCACATGGAGCTGCTTTGCGTTGCTGGGGTGACCTCAGGGTCCGTCTAGACTGGTGACAGTGTTCTTGGGGACTGTCTCGAGATCCATTAAGCAAGCCGAAGCTCCTGACTTGTTTGAATGGGATCACGGAATAGCTCTGCATGCACTACAGGGGAATGGGGCCTCATCTCGCCTCTAGGGGGAAGTCTCATGGTTTTTCTCGAGTTGCGGCGGGGACCTGGGGTATGTTCTCGACTTACGGCGGGGATGGCCCTTCAAAACACGAGTTTCTTCAGTGACGTCAGGACTCCTGTCTAGTAACGAGGGACACCTCAGGAATCTCTTCGAGGCTTGGCAGGGCCAAAGGGACGCTTCTCGAGGTGAGGCAGGGCACCCAAGGACCCTTTCCAGTAGCCACAGGGATTTTGGGATTCCTATCAGTATTCAAGAGGAGTCAGGCATCGTCACCTTTTGAAGCAATGAACTCCGCGTGCCTCTCGAGGTGTCAGCGGGATGTGAGGCATTCCGTCAAAATGAGGCAGGGACCTAGGGCTTTCTCTAAGGTCTCCACAGGGGATTCAGACATCCCTTCATGTTGTGAGATGAAAGACGAGCCTGTATTCAAGCCACTGCAAGGAAATCCGGCCTCCTTTCAAGTTAGGGCTTCTCGCTGTATATTCCCCTTGAGGCAGCAAACTCGGGGTCCCTCCCACATACCTATTGCTGAGAGAAGCCTCCTCCTGAGGTGCTTCTGGGAAGTTGGCATACGTCTTGAGCCTAAGCCAGGGAATCAGCTCGCATCTCGAGACGATTTGGGGTACACGGAGCATTCCTCGAGTTGCTGTGCTGAAGTTGGTGTTCCTCTAGACTTGGGACAGTGTTCTCGGGGCATCTCTGGAGTTGCCTGAAGGAAGTCGAGCCACCGGTCGTGTTGAATGGGGAACGGGGAATGGCTCTGGAGTCAATGCAGGGGAATCGCGCCTCATCTCGAGTTGATTTGGGGCACATGGAGCTGCTTTGCGTTGCTGGGGTGACCTCAGGGTCCGTCTAGACTGGTGACAGTGTTCTTGGGGACTGTCTCGAGATCCATTAAGCAAGCCGAAGCTCCTGACTTGTTTGAATGGGATCACGGAATAGCTCTGCATGCACTGCAGGGGAATGGGGCCTCATCTCGCCTCTAGGGGGAAGTCTCATGGTTTTTCTCGAGTTGCGGCGGGGACCTGGGGTATGTTCTCGACTTACGGCGGGGATGGCCCTTCAAAGCACGAGTTTCTTCAGTGACGTCAGGACTCCTGTCTAGTAACGAGGGACACCTCAGGAATCTCTTCGAGGCTTGGCAGGGCCAAAGGGACGCTTCTCGAGGTGAGGCAGGGCACCCAAGGACCCTTTCCAGTAGCCACAGGGATTTTGGGATTCCTATCAGTATTCAAGAGGAGTCAGGCATCGTCACCTTTTGAAGCAATGAACTCCGCGTGCCTCTCGAGGTGTCAGCGGGATGTGAGGCATTCCGTCAAAATGAGGCAGGGACCTAGGGCTTTCTCTAAGGTCTCCACAGGGGATTCAGACATCCCTTCATGTTGTGAGATGAAAGACGAGCCTGTATTCAAGCCACTGCAAGGAAATCCGGCCTCCTTTCAAGTTAGGGCTTCTCGCTGTATATTCCCCTTGAGGCAGCAAACTCGGGGTCCCTCCCACATACCTATTGCTGAGAGAAGCCTCCTCCTGAGGTGCTTCTGGGAAGTTGGCATACGTCTTGAGCCTAAGCCAGGGAATCAGCTCGCATCTCGAGACGATTTGGGGTACACCGAGCATTCCTCGAGTTGCTGTGCTGAAGTTGGTGTTCCTCTAGACTTGGGACAGTGTTCTCGGGGCATCTCTGGAGTTGCCTGAAGGAAGTCGAGCCACCGGTCGTGTTGAATGGGGAACGGGGAATGGCTCTGGAGTCAATGCAGGGGAATCGGGCCTCATCTCGAGTTGATTTGGGGCACATGGAGCTGCTTTGCATTGCTGGGGTGACCTCAGGGTCCGTCTAGACTGGTGACAGTGTTCTTGGGGACTGTCTCGAGATCCATTAAGCAAGTCGAAGCTCCTGACTTGTTTGAATGGGATCACGGAATAGCTCTGCATGCACTGCAGGGGAATGGGGCCTCATCTCGCCTCTAGGGGAAAGTCTCATGGTTTTTCTCGAGTTGCGGCGGGGACCTGGGGTATGTTCTCGACTTACGGCGGGGATGGCCCTTCAAAACACGAGTTTCTTCAGTGACGTCAGGACTCCTGTCTAGTAACGAGGGACACCTCAGGAATCTCTTCGAGGCTTGGCAGGGCCAAAGGGACGCTTCTCGAGGTGAGGCAGGGCACCCAAGGACCCTTTCCAGTAGCCACAGGGATTTTGGGATTCCTATCAGTATTCAAGAGGAGTCAGGCATCGTCACCTTTTGAAGCAATGAACTCCGCGTGCCTCTCGAGGTGTCAGCGGGATGTGAGGCATTCCGTCAAAATGAGGCAGGGACCTAGGGCTTTCTCTAAGGTCTCCACAGGGGATTCAGACATCCCTTCATGTTGTGAGATGAAAGACGAGCCTGTATTCAAGCCACTGCAAGGAAATCCGGCCTCCTTTCAAGTTAGGGCTTCTCGCTGTATATTCCCCTTGAGGCAGCAAACTCGGGGTCCCTCCCACATACCTATTGCTGAGAGAAGCCTCCTCCTGAGGTGCTTCTGGGAAGTTGGCATACGTCTTGAGCCTAAGCCAGGGAATCAGCTCGCATCTCGAGACGATTTGGGGTACACGGAGCATTCCTCGAGTTGCTGTGCTGAAGTTGGTGTTCCTCTAGACTTGGGACAGTGTTCTCGGGGCATCTCTGGAGTTGCCTGAAGGAAGTCGAGCCACCGGTCGTGTTGAATGGGGAACGGGGAATGGCTCTGGAGTCAATGCAGGGGAATCGGGCCTCATCTCGAGTTGATTTGGGGCACATGGAGCTGCTTTGCGTTGCTGGGGTGACCTCAGGGTCCGTCTAGACTGGTGACAGTGTTCTTGGGGACTGTCTCGAGATCCATTAAGCAAGTCGAAGCTCCTGACTTGTTTGAATGGGATCACGGAATAGCTCTGCATGCACTGCAGGGGAATGGGGCCTCATCTCGCCTCTAGGGGGAAGTCTCATGGTTTTTCTCGAGTTGCGGCGGGGACCTGGGGTATGTTCTCGACTTACGGCGGGGATGGCCCTTCAAAACACGAGTTTCTTCAGTGACGTCAGGACTCCTGTCTAGTAACGAGGGACACCTCAGGAATCTCTTCGAGGCTTGGCAGGGCCAAAGGGACGCTTCTCGAGGTGAGGCAGGGCACCCAAGGACCCTTTCCAGTAGCCACAGGGATTTTGGGATTCCTATCAGTATTCAAGAGGAGTCAGGCATCGTCACCTTTTGAAGCAATGAACTCCGCGTGCCTCTCGAGGTGTCAGCGGGATGTGAGGCATTCCGTCAAAATGAGGCAGGGACCTAGGGCTTTCTCTAAGGTCTCCACAGGGGATTCAGACATCCCTTCATGTTGTGAGATGAAAGACGAGCCTGTATTCAAGCCACTGCAAGGAAATCCGGCCTCCTTTCAAGTTAGGGCTTCTCGCTGTATATTCCCCTTGAGGCAGCAAACTCGGGGTCCCTCCCACATACCTATTGCTGAGAGAAGCCTCCTCCTGAGGTGCTTCTGGGAAGTTGGCATACGTCTTGAGCCTAAGCCAGGGAATCAGCTCGCATCTCGAGACGATTTGGGGTACACGGAGCATTCCTCGAGTTGCTGTGCTGAAGTTGGTGTTCCTCTAGACTTGGGACAGTGTTCTCGGGGCATCTCTGGAGTTGCCTGAAGGAAGTCGAGCCACCGGTCGTGTTGAATGGGGAACGGGGAATGGCTCTGGAGTCAATGCAGGGGAATCGGGCCTCATCTCGAGTTGATTTGGGGCACATGGAGCTGCTTTGCGTTGCTGGGGTGACCTCAGGGTCCGTCTAGACTGGTGACAGTGTTCTTGGGGACTGTCTCGAGATCCATTAAGCAAGTCGAAGCTCCTGACTTGTTTGAATGGGATCACGGAATAGCTCTTCATGCACTGCAGGGGAATGGGGCCTCATCTCGCCTCTAGGGGAAAGTCTCATGGTTTTTCTCGAGTTGCGGCGGGGACCTGGGGTATGTTCTCGACTTACGGCGGGGATGGCCCTTCAAAACACGAGTTTCTTCAGTGACGTCAGGACTCCTGTCTAGTAACGAGGGACACCTCAGGAATCTCTTCGAGGCTTGGCAGGGCCAAAGGGACGCTTCTCGAGGTGAGGCAGGGCACCCAAGGACCCTTTCCAGTAGCCACAGGGATTTTGGGATTCCTATCAGTATTCAAGAGGAGTCAGGCATCGTCACCTTTTGAAGCAATGAACTCCGCGTGCCTCTCGAGGTGTCAGCGGGATGTGAGGCATTCCGTCAAAATGAGGCAGGGACCTAGGGCTTTCTCTAAGGTCTCCACAGGGGATTCAGACATCCCTTCATGTTGTGAGATGAAAGACGAGCCTGTATTCAAGCCACTGCAAGGAAATCCGGCCTCCTTTCAAGTTAGGGCTTCTCGCTGTATATTCCCCTTGAGGCAGCAAACTCGGGGTCCCTCCCACATACCTATTGCTGAGAGAAGCCTCCTCCTGAGGTGCTTCTGGGAAGTTGGCATACGTCTTGAGCCTAAGCCAGGGAATCAGCTCGCATCTCGAGACGATTTGGGGTACACGGAGCATTCCTCGAGTTGCTGTGCTGAAGTTGGTGTTCCTCTAGACTTGGGACAGTGTTCTCGGGGCATCTCTGGAGTTGCCTGAAGGAAGTCGAGCCACCGGTCGTGTTGAATGGGGAACGGGGAATGGCTCTGGAGTCAATGCAGGGGAATGGGGCCTCATCTCGAGTTGATTTGGGGCACATGGAGCTGCTTTGCGTTGCTGGGGTGACCTCAGGGTCCGTCTAGACTGGTGACAGTGTTCTTGGGGACTGTCTCGAGATCCATTAAGCAAGTCGAAGCTCCTGACTTGTTTGAATGGGATCACGGAATAGCTCTGCATGCACTGCAGGGGAATGGGGCCTCATCTCGCCTCTAGGGGGAAGTCTCATGGTTTTTCTCGAGTTGCGGCGGGGACCTGGGGTATGTTCTCGACTTACGGCGGGGATGGCCCTTCAAAACACGAGTTTCTTCAGTGACGTCAGGACTCCTGTCTAGTAACGAGGGACACCTCAGGAATCTCTTCGAGGCTTGGCAGGGCCAAAGGGACGCTTCTCGAGGTGAGGCAGGGCACCCAAGGACCCTTTCCAGTAGCCACAGGGATTTTGGGATTCCTATCAGTATTCAAGAGGAGTCAGGCATCGTCACCTTTTGAAGCAATGAACTCCGCGTGCCTCTCGAGGTGTCAGCGGGATGTGAGGCATTCCGTCAAAATGAGGCAGGGACCTAGGGCTTTCTCTAAGGTCTCCACAGGGGATTCAGACATCCCTTCATGTTGTGAGATGAAAGACGAGCCTGTATTCAAGCCACTGCAAGGAAATCCGGCCTCCTTTCAAGTTAGGGGTTCTCGCTGTATATTCCCCTTGAGGCAGCAAACTCGGGGTCCCTCCCACATACCTATTGCTGAGAGAAGCCTCCTCCTGAGGTGCTTCTGGGAAGTTGGCATACGTCTTGAGCCTAAGCCAGGGAATCAGCTCGCATCTCGAGACGATTTGGGGTACACGGAGCATTCCTCGAGTTGCTGTGCTGAAGTTGGTGTTCCTCTAGACTTGGGACAGTGTTCTCGGGGCATCTCTGGAGTTGCCTGAAGGAAGTCGAGCCACCGGTCGTGTTGAATGGGGAACGGGGAATGGCTCTGGAGTCAATGCAGGGGAATCGGGCCTCATCTCGAGTTGATTTGGGGCACATGGAGCTGCTTTGCGTTGCTGGGGTGACCTCAGGGTCCGTCTAGACTGGTGACAGTGTTCTTGGGGACTGTCTCGAGATCCATTAAGCAAGTCGAAGCTCCTGACTTGTTTGAATGGGATCACGGAATAGCTCTGCATGCACTGCAGGGGAATGGGGCCTCATCTCGCCTCTAGGGGGAAGTCTCATGGTTTTTCTCGAGTTGCGGCGGGGACCTGGGGTATGTTCTCGACTTACGGCGGGGATGGCCCTTCAAAACACGAGTTTCTTCAGTGACGTCAGGACTCCTGTCCAGTAACGAGGGACACCTCAGGAATCTCTTCGAGGCTTGGCAGGGCCAAAGGGACGCTTCTCGAGGTGAGGCAGGGCACCCAAGGACCCTTTCCAGTAGCCACAGGGATTTTGGGATTCCTATCAGTATCCAAAGGAGTCAGGCATCGTCACCTTTTGAAGCAATGAACTCCGCGTGCCTCTCGAGGTGTCAGCGGGATGTGAGGCATTCCGTCAAAATGAGGCAGGGACCTAGGGCTTTCTCTAAGGTCTCCACAGGGGATTCAGACATCCCTTCATGTTGTGAGATGAAAGACGAGCCTGTATTCAAGCCACTGCAAGGAAATCCGGCCTCCTTTCAAGTTAGGGCTTCTCGCTGTATATTCCCCTTGAGGCAGCAAACTCGGGGTCCCTCCCACATACCTATTGCTGAGAGAAGCCTCCTCCTGAGGTGCTTCTGGGAAGTTGGCATACGTCTTGAGCCTAAGCCAGGGAATCAGCTCGCATCTCGAGACGATTTGGGGTACACGGAGCATTCCTCGAGTTGCTGTGCTGAAGTTGGTGTTCCTCTAGACTTGGGACAGTGTTCTCGGGGCATCTCTGGAGTTGCCTGAAGGAAGTCGAGCCACCGGTCGTGTTGAATGGGGAACGGGGAATGGCTCTGGAGTCAATGCAGGGGAATCGGGCCTCATCTCGAGTTGATTTGGGGCACATGGAGCTGCTTTGCGTTGCTGGGGTGACCTCAGGGTCCGTCTAGACTGGTGACTGTTCTTGGGGACTGTCTCGAGATCCATTAAGCAAGTCGAAGCTCCTGACTTGTTTGAATGGGATCACGGAATAGCTCTGCATGCACTGCAGGGGAATGGGGCCTCATCTCGCCTCTAGGGGGAAGTCTCATGGTTTTTCTCGAGTTGCGGCGGGGACCTGGGGTATGTTCTCGACTTACGGCGGGGATGGCCCTTCCAAATACGAGTTTCTTCAGTGACGTCAGGACTCCTGTCTAGTAACGAGGGACACCTCAGGAATCTCTTCGAGGCTTGGCAGGGCCAAAGGGACGCTTCTCGAGGTGAGGCAGGGCACCCAAGGACCCTTTCCAGTAGCCACAGGGATTTTGGGATTCCTATCAGTATCCAAAGGAGTCAGGCATCGTCACCTTTTGAAGCAATGAACTCCGCGTGCCTCTCGAGGTGTCAGCGGGATGTGTGACATTCCGTCAAAATGAGGCAGGGACCTAGGGCTTTCTCTAAGGTCTCCACAGGGGATTCAGACATCCCTTCATGTTGTGAGATGAAAGACGAGCCTGTATTCAAGCCACTGCAAGGAAATCCGGCCTCCTTTCAAGTTAGGGCTTCTCGCTGTATATTCCCCTTGAGGCAGCAAACTCGGGGTCCCTCCCACATACCTATTGCTGAGAGAAGCCTCCTCCTGAGGTGCTTCTGGGAAGTTGGCATACATCTTGAGCCTAAGCCAGGGAATCAGCTCGCATCTCGAGACGATTTGGGGTACACGGAGCATTCCTCGAGTTGCTGTGCTGAAGTTGGTGTTCCTCTAGACTTGGGACAGTGTTCTCGGGGCATCTCTGGAGTTGCCTGAAGGAAGTCGAGCCACCGGTCGTGTTGAATGGGGAACGGGGAATGGCTCTGGAGTCAATGCAGGGGAATCGGGCCTCATCTCGAGTTGATTTGGGGCACATGGAGCTGCTTTGCGTTGCTGGGGTGACCTCAGGGTCCGTCTAGACTGGTGACAGTGTTCTTGGGGACTGTCTCGAGATCCATTAAGCAAGTCGAAGCTCCTGACTTGTTTGAATGGGATCACGGAATAGCTCTGCATGCACTGCAGGGGAATGGGGCCTCATCTCGCCTCTAGGGGGAAGTCTCATGGTTTTTCTCGAGTTGCGGCGGGGACCTGGGGTATGTTCTCGACTTACGGCGGGGATGGCCCTTCAAAACACGAGTTTCTTCAGTGACGTCAGGACTCCTGTCTAGTAACGAGGGACACCTCAGGAATCTCTTCGAGGCTTGGCAGGGCCAAAGGGACGCTTCTCGAGGTGAGGCAGGGCACCCAAGGACCCTTTCCAGTAGCCACAGGGATTTTGGGATTCCTATCAGTATCCAAAGGAGTCAGGCATCGTCACCTTTTGAAGCAATGAACTCCGCGTGCCTCTCGAGGTGTCAGCGGGATGTGAGGCATTCCGTCAAAATGAGGCAGGGACCTAGGGCTTTCTCTAAGGTCTCCACAGGGGATTCAGACATCCCTTCATGTTGTGAGATGAAAGACGAGCCTGTATTCAAGCCACTGCAAGGAAATCCGGCCTCCTTTCAAGTTAGGGCTTCTCGCTGTATATTCCCCTTGAGGCAGCAAACTCGGGGTCCCTCCCACATACCTATTGCTGAGAGAAGCCTCCTCCTGAGGTGCTTCTGGGAAGTTGGCATACGTCTTGAGCCTAAGCCAGGGAATCAGCTCGCATCTCGAGACGATTTGGGGTACACGGAGCATTTCTCGAGTTGCTGTGCTGAAGCTGGTGTTCCTCTAGACTTGGGACAGTGTTCTCGGGGCATCTCTGGAGTTGCCTGAAGGAAGTCGAGCCACCGGTCGTGTTGAATGGGGAACGGGGAATGGCTCTGGAGTCAATACAGGGGAATAGGGCCTCATCTCGAGTTGATTTGGGGCACATGGAGCTGCTTTGGGTTGCTGGGGTGACCTCAGGGTCCGTCTAGACTGGTGACAGTGTTCTTGGGGACTGTCTCGAGATCCATTAAGCAAGTCGAAGCTCCTGACTTGTTTAAATGGGATCACGGAATAGCTCTGCATGCACTGCAGGGGAATGGGGCCTCATCTCGCCTCTAGGGGGAAGTCTCATGGTTTTTCTCGAGTTGCGGCGGGGACCTGGGGTATGTTCTCGACTTACGGCGGGGATGGCCCTTCAAAACACGAGTTTCTTCAGTGACGTCAGGACTCCTGTCTAGTAACGAGGGACACCTCAGGAATCTCTTCGAGGCTTGGCAGGGCCAAAGGGACGCTTTTCGAGGTGAGGCAGGGCACTCAAGGACCCTTTCCAGTAGCCACAGGGATTTTGGGATTCCTATCAGTATTCAAGAGGAGTCAGGCATCGTCACCTTTTGAAGCAATGAACTCCGCGTGCCTCTCGAGGTGTCAGCGGGATGTGAGGCATTCCGTCAAAATGAGGCAGGGACCTAGGGCTTTCTCTAAGGTCTCCACAGGGGATTCAGACATCCCTTCATGTTGTGAGATGAAAGACGAGCCTGTATTCAAGCCACTGCAAGGAAATCCGGCCTCCTTTCAATTTAGGGCTTCTCGCTGTATATTCCCCTTGAGGCAGCAAACTCGGGGTCCCTCCCACATACCTATTGCTGAGAGAAGCCTCCTCCTGAGGTGCTTCTGGGAAGTTGGCATACGTCTTGAGCCTAAGCCAGGGAATCAGCTCGCATCTCGAGACGATTTGGGGTACACGGAGCATTCCTCGAGTTGCTGTGCTGAAGTTGGTGTTCCTCTAGACTTGGGACAGTGTTCTCGGGGCATCTCTGGAGTTGCCTGAAGGAAGTCGAGCCACCGGTCGTGTTGAATGGGGAACGGGGAATGGCTCTGGAGTCAATGCAGGGGAATCGGGCCTCATCTCGAGTTGATTTGGGGCACATGGAGCTGCTTTGCGTTGCTGGGGTGACCTCAGGGTCCGTCTAGACTGGTGACAGTGTTCTTGGGGACTGTCTCGAGATCCATTAAGCAAGTCGAAGCTCCTGACTTGTTTGAATGGGATCACGGAATAGCTCTTCATGCACTGCAGGGGAATGGGGCCTCATCTCGCCTCTAGGGGGAAGTCTCATGGTTTTTCTCGAGTTGCGGCGGGGACCTGGGGTATGTTCTCGACTTACGGCGGGGATGGCCCTTCAAAACACGAGTTTCTTCAGTGACGTCAGGACTCCTGTCTAGTAACGAGGGACACCTCAGGAATCTCTTCGAGGCTTGGCAGGGCCAAAGGGACGCTTCTCGAGGTGAGGCAGGGCACCCAAGGACCCTTTCCAGTAGCCACAGGGATTTTGGGATTCCTATCAGTATTCAAGAGGAGTCAGGCATCGTCACCTTTTGAAGCAATGAACTCCGCGTGCCTCTCGAGGTGTCAGCGGGATGTGAGGCATTCCGTCAAAATGAGGCAGGGACCTAGGGCTTTCTCTAAGGTCTCCACAGGGGATTCAGACATCCCTTCATGTTGTGAGATGAAAGACGAGCCTGTATTCAAGCCACTGCAAGGAAATCCGGCCTCCTTTCAAGTTAGGGGTTCTCGCTGTATATTCCCCTTGAGGCAGCAAACTCGGGGTCCCTCCCACATACCTATTGCTGAGAGAAGCCTCCTCCTGAGGTGCTTCTGGGAAGTTGGCATACGTCTTGAGCCTAAGCCAGGGAATCAGCTCGCATCTCGAGACGATTTGGGGTACACGGAGCATTCCTCGAGTTGCTGTGCTGAAGTTGGTGTTCCTCTAGACTTGGGACAGTGTTCTCGGGGCATCTCTGGAGTTGCCTGAAGGAAGTCGAGCCACCGGTCGTGTTGAATGGGGAATGGGGAATGGCTCTGGAGTCAATGCAGGGGAATCGGGCCTCATCTCGAGTTGATTTGGGGCACATGGAGCTGCTTTGCGTTGCTGGGGTGACCTCAGGGTCCGTCTAGACTGGTGACAGTGTTCTTGGGGACTGTCTCGAGATCCATTAAGCAAGTCGAAGCTCCTGACTTGTTTGAATGGGATCACGGAATAGCTCTGCATGCACTGCAGGGGAATGGGGCCTCATCTCGCCTCTAGGGGGAAGTCTCATGGTTTTTCTCGAGTTGCGGCGGGGACCTGGGGTATGTTCTCGACTTACGGCGGGGATGGCCCTTCAAAACACGAGTTTCTTCAGTGACGTCAGGACTCCTGTCTAGTAACGAGGGACACCTCAGGAATCTCTTCGAGGCTTGGCAGGGCCAAAGGGACGCTTCTCGAGGTGAGGCAGGGCACCCAAGGACCCTTTCCAGTAGCCACAGGGATTTTGGGATTCCTATCAGTATTCAAGAGGAGTCAGGCATCGTCACCTTTTGAAGCAATGAACTCCGCGTGCCTCTCGAGGTGTCAGCGGGATGTGAGGCATTCCGTCAAAATGAGGCAGGGACCTAGGGCTTTCTCTAAGGTCTCCACAGGGGATTCAGACATCCCTTCATGTTGTGAGATGAAAGACGAGCCTGTATTCAAGCCACTGCAAGGAAATCCGGCCTCCTTTCAAGTTAGGGCTTCTCGCTGTATATTCCCCTTGAGGCAGCAAACTCGGGGTCCCTCCCACATACCTATTGCTGAGAGAAGCCTCCTCCTGAGGTGCTTCTGGGAAGTTGGCATACGTCTTGAGCCTAAGCCAGGGAATCAGCTCGCATCTCGAGACGATTTGGGGTACACGGAGCATTCCTCGAGTTGCTGTGCTGAAGTTGGTGTTCCTCTAGACTTGGGACAGTGTTCTCGGGGCATCTCTGGAGTTGCCTGAAGGAAGTCGAGCCACCGGTCGTGTTGAATGGGGAACGGGGAATGGCTCTGGAGTCAATGCAGGGGAATCGGGCCTCATCTCGAGTTGATTTGGGGCACATGGAGCTGCTTTGCGTTGCTGGGGTGACCTCAGGGTCCGTCTAGACTGGTGACAGTGTTCTTGGGGACTGTCTCGAGATCCATTAAGCAAGTCGAAGCTCCTGACTTGTTTGAATGGGATCACGGAATAGCTCTTCATGCACTGCAGGGGAATGGGGCCTCATCTCGCCTCTAGGGGAAAGTCTCATGGTTTTTCTCGAGTTGCGGCGGGGACCTGGGGTATGTTCTCGACTTACGGCGGGGATGGCCCTTCAAAACACGAGTTTCTTCAGTGACGTCAGGACTCCTGTCTAGTAACGAGGGACACCTCAGGAATCTCTTCGAGGCTTGGCAGGGCCAAAGGGACGCTTCTCGAGGTGAGGCAGGGCACCCAAGGACCCTTTCCAGTAGCCACAGGGATTTTGGGATTCCTATCAGTATTCAAGAGGAGTCAGGCATCGTCACCTTTTGAAGCAATGAACTCCGCGTGCCTCTCGAGGTGTCAGCGGGATGTGAGGCATTCCGTCAAAATGAGGCAGGGACCTAGGGCTTTCTCTAAGGTCTCCACAGGGGATTCAGACATCCCTTCATGTTGTGAGATGAAAGACGAGCCTGTATTCAAGCCACTGCAAGGAAATCCGGCCTCCTTTCAAGTTAGGGCTTCTCGCTGTATATTCCCCTTGAGGCAGCAAACTCGGGGTCCCTCCCACATACCTATTGCTGAGAGAAGCCTCCTCCTGAGGTGCTTCTGGGAAGTTGGCATACGTCTTGAGCCTAAGCCAGGGAATCAGCTCGCATCTCGAGACGATTTGGGGTACACGGAGCATTCCTCGAGTTGCTGTGCTGAAGTTGGTGTTCCTCTAGACTTGGGACAGTGTTCTCGGGGCATCTCTGGAGTTGCCTGAAGGAAGTCGAGCCACCGGTCGTGTTGAATGGGGAACGGGGAATGGCTCTGGAGTCAATGCAGGGGAATCGGGCCTCATCTCGAGTTGATTTGGGGCACATGGAGCTGCTTTGCGTTGCTGGGGTGACCTCAGGGTCCGTCTAGACTGGTGACAGTGTTCTTGGGGACTGTCTCGAGATCCATTAAGCAAGTCGAAGCTCCTGACTTGTTTGAATGGGATCACGGAATAGCTCTGCATGCACTGCAGGGGAATGGGGCCTCATCTCGCCTCTAGGGGGAAGTCTCATGGTTTTTCTCGAGTTGCGGCGGGGACCTGGGGTATGTTCTCGACTTACGGCGGGGATGGCCCTTCAAAACACGAGTTTCTTCAGTGACGTCAGGACTCCTGTCTAGTAACGAGGGACACCTCAGGAATCTCTTCGAGGCTTGGCAGGGCCAAAGGGACGCTTCTCGAGGTGAGGCAGGGCACCCAAGGACCCTTTCCAGTAGCCACAGGGATTTTGGGATTCCTATCAGTATTCAAGAGGAGTCAGGCATCGTCACCTTTTGAAGCAATGAACTCCGCGTGCCTCTCGAGGTGTCAGCGGGATGTGAGGCATTCCGTCAAAATGAGGCAGGGACCTAGGGCTTTCTCTAAGGTCTCCACAGGGGATTCAGACATCCCTTCATGTTGTGAGATGAAAGACGAGCCTGTATTCAAGCCACTGCAAGGAAATCCGGCCTCCTTTCAAGTTAGGGGTTCTCGCTGTATATTCCCCTTGAGGCAGCAAACTCGGGGTCCCTCCCACATACCTATTGCTGAGAGAAGCCTCCTCCTGAGGTGCTTCTGGGAAGTTGGCATACGTCTTGAGCCTAAGCCAGGGAATCAGCTCGCATCTCGAGACGATTTGGGGTACACGGAGCATTCCTCGAGTTGCTGTGCTGAAGTTGGTGTTCCTCTAGACTTGGGACAGTGTTCTCGGGGCATCTCTGGAGTTGCCTGAAGGAAGTCGAGAAACCGGTCGTGTTGAATGGGGAACGGGGAATGGCTCTGGAGTCAATGCAGGGGAATCGGGCCTCATCTCGCCTCTAGGGGGAAGTCTCATGGTTTTTCTCGAGTTGCGGCGGGGACCTGGGGTATGTTCTCGACTTACGGCGGGGATGGCCCTTCAAAACACGAGTTTCTTCAGTGACGTCAGGACTCCTGTCTAGTAACGAGGGACACCTCAGGAATCTCTTCGAGGCTTGGCAGGGCCAAAGGGACGCTTCTCGAGGTGAGGCAGGGCACCCAAGGACCCTTTCCAGTAGCCACAGGGATTTTGGGATTCCTATCAGTATTCAAGAGGAGTCAGGCATCGTCACCTTTTGAAGCAATGAACTCCGCGTGCCTCTCGAGGTGTCAGCGGGATGTGAGGCATTCCGTCAAAATGAGGCAGGGACCTAGGGCTTTCTCTAAGGTCTCCACAGGGGATTCAGACATCCCTTCATGTTGTGAGATGAAAGACGAGCCTGTATTCAAGCCACTGCAAGGAAATCCGGCCTCCTTTCAAGTTAGGGGTTCTCGCTGTATATTCCCCTTGAGGCAGCAAACTCGGGGTCCCTCCCACATACCTATTGCTGAGAGAAGCCTCCTCCTGAGGTGCTTCTGGGAAGTTGGCATACGTCTTGAGCCTAAGCCAGGGAATCAGCTCGCATCTCGAGACGATTTGGGGTACACGGAGCATTCCTCGAGTTGCTGTGCTGAAGTTGGTGTTCCTCTAGACTTGGGACAGTGTTCTCGGGGCATCTCTGGAGTTGCCTGAAGGAAGTCGAGCCACCGGTCGTGTTGAATGGGGAATGGGGAATGGCTCTGGAGTCAATGCAGGGGAATCGGGCCTCATCTCGAGTTGATTTGGGGCACATGGAGCTGCTTTGCGTTGCTGGGGTGACCTCAGGGTCCGTCTAGACTGGTGACAGTGTTCTGGGGACTGTCTCGAGATCCATTAAGCAAGTCGAAGCTCCTGACTTGTTTGAATGGGATCACGGAATAGCTCTGCATGCACTGCAGGGGAATGGGGCCTCATCTCGCCTCTAGGGGGAAGTCTCATGGTTTTTCTCGAGTTGCGGCGGGGACCTGGGGTATGTTCTCGACTTACGGCGGGGATGGCCCTTCAAAACACGAGTTTCTTCAGTGACGTCAGGACTCCTGTCTAGTAACGAGGGACACCTCAGGAATCTCTTCGAGGCTTGGCAGGGCCAAAGGGACGCTTCTCGAGGTGAGGCAGGGCACCCAAGGACCCTTTCCAGTAGCCACAGGGATTTTGGGATTCCTATCAGTATTCAAGAGGAGTCAGGCATCGTCACCTTTTGAAGCAATGAACTCCGCGTGCCTCTCGAGGTGTCAGCGGGATGTGAGGCATTCCGTCAAAATGAGGCAGGGACCTAGGGCTTTCTCTAAGGTCTCCACAGGGGATTCAGACATCCCTTCATGTTGTGAGATGAAAGACGAGCCTGTATTCAAGCCACTGCAAGGAAATCCGGCCTCCTTTCAAGTTAGGGCTTCTCGCTGTATATTCCCCTTGAGGCAGCAAACTCGGGGTCCCTCCCACATACCTATTGCTGAGAGAAGCCTCCTCCTGAGGTGCTTCTGGGAAGTTGGCATACGTCTTGAGCCTAAGCCAGGGAATCAGCTCGCATCTCGAGACGATTTGGGGTACACGGAGCATTCCTCGAGTTGCTGTGCTGAAGTTGGTGTTCCTCTAGACTTGGGACAGTGTTCTCGGGGCATCTCTGGAGTTGCCTGAAGGAAGTCGAGCCACCGGTCGTGTTGAATGGGGAACGGGGAATGGCTCTGGAGTCAATGCAGGGGAATCGGGCCTCATCTCGAGTTGATTTGGGGCACATGGAGCTGCTTTGCGTTGCTGGGGTGACCTCAGGGTCCGTCTAGACTGGTGACAGTGTTCTTGGGGACTGTCTCGAGATCCATTAAGCAAGTCGAAGCTCCTGACTTGTTTGAATGGGATCACGGAATAGCTCTGCATGCACTGCAGGGGAATGGGGCCTCATCTCGCCTCTAGGGGGAAGTCTCATGGTTTTTCTCGAGTTGCGGCGGGGACCTGGGGTATGTTCTCGACTTACGGCGGGGATGGCCCTTCAAAACACGAGTTTCTTCAGTGACGTCAGGACTCCTGTCTAGTAACGAGGGACACCTCAGGAATCTCTTCGAGGCTTGGCAGGGCCAAAGGGACGCTTCTCGAGGTGAGGCAGGGCACCCAAGGACCCTTTCCAGTAGCCACAGGGATTTTGGGATTCCTATCAGTATTCAAGAGGAGTCAGGCATCGTCACCTTTTGAAGCAATGAACTCCGCGTGCCTCTCGAGGTGTCAGCGGGATGTGAGGCATTCCGTCAAAATGAGGCAGGGACCTAGGGCTTTCTCTAAGGTCTCCACAGGGGATTCAGACATCCCTTCATGTTGTGAGATGAAAGACGAGCCTGTATTCAAGCCACTGCAAGGAAATCCGGCCTCCTTTCAAGTTAGGGGTTCTCGCTGTATATTCCCCTTGAGGCAGCAAACTCGGGGTCCCTCCCACATACCTATTGCTGAGAGAAGCCTCCTCCTGAGGTGCTTCTGGGAAGTTGGCATACGTCTTGAGCCTAAGCCAGGGAATCAGCTCGCATCTCGAGACGATTTGGGGTACACGGAGCATTCCTCGAGTTGCTGTGCTGAAGTTGGTGTTCCTCTAGACTTGGGACAGTGTTCTCGGGGCATCTCTGGAGTTGCCTGAAGGAAGTCGAGAAACCGGTCGTGTTGAATGGGGAACGGGGAATGGCTCTGGAGTCAATGCAGGGGAATCGGGCCTCATCTCGCCTCTAGGGGGAAGTCTCATGGTTTTTCTCGAGTTGCGGCGGGGACCTGGGGTATGTTCTCGACTTACGGCGGGGATGGCCCTTCAAAACACGAGTTTCTTCAGTGACGTCAGGACTCCTGTCTAGTAACGAGGGACACCTCAGGAATCTCTTCGAGGCTTGGCAGGGCCAAAGGGACGCTTCTCGAGGTGAGGCAGGGCACCCAAGGACCCTTTCCAGTAGCCACAGGGATTTTGGGATTCCTATCAGTATTCAAGAGGAGTCAGGCATCGTCACCTTTTGAAGCAATGAACTCCGCGTGCCTCTCGAGGTGTCAGCGGGATGTGAGGCATTCCGTCAAAATGAGGCAGGGACCTAGGGCTTTCTCTAAGGTCTCCACAGGGGATTCAGACATCCCTTCATGTTGTGAGATGAAAGACGAGCCTGTATTCAAGCCACTGCAAGGAAATCCGGCCTCCTTTCAAGTTAGGGGTTCTCGCTGTATATTCCCCTTGAGGCAGCAAACTCGGGGTCCCTCCCACATACCTATTGCTGAGAGAAGCCTCCTCCTGAGGTGCTTCTGGGAAGTTGGCATACGTCTTGAGCCTAAGCCAGGGAATCAGCTCGCATCTCGAGACGATTTGGGGTACACGGAGCATTCCTCGAGTTGCTGTGCTGAAGTTGGTGTTCCTCTAGACTTGGGACAGTGTTCTCGGGGCATCTCTGGAGTTGCCTGAAGGAAGTCGAGCCACCGGTCGTGTTGAATGGGGAATGGGGAATGGCTCTGGAGTCAATGCAGGGGAATCGGGCCTCATCTCGAGTTGATTTGGGGCACATGGAGCTGCTTTGCGTTGCTGGGGTGACCTCAGGGTCCGTCTAGACTGGTGACAGTGTTCTGGGGACTGTCTCGAGATCCATTAAGCAAGTCGAAGCTCCTGACTTGTTTGAATGGGATCACGGAATAGCTCTGCATGCACTGCAGGGGAATGGGGCCTCATCTCGCCTCTAGGGGGAAGTCTCATGGTTTTTCTCGAGTTGCGGCGGGGACCTGGGGTATGTTCTCGACTTACGGCGGGGATGGCCCTTCAAAACACGAGTTTCTTCAGTGACGTCAGGACTCCTGTCTAGTAACGAGGGACACCTCAGGAATCTCTTCGAGGCTTGGCAGGGCCAAAGGGACGCTTCTCGAGGTGAGGCAGGGCACCCAAGGACCCTTTCCAGTAGCCACAGGGATTTTGGGATTCCTATCAGTATTCAAGAGGAGTCAGGCATCGTCACCTTTTGAAGCAATGAACTCCGCGTGCCTCTCGAGGTGTCAGCGGGATGTGAGGCATTCCGTCAAAATGAGGCAGGGACCTAGGGCTTTCTCTAAGGTCTCCACAGGGGATTCAGACATCCCTTCATGTTGTGAGATGAAAGACGAGCCTGTATTCAAGCCACTGCAAGGAAATCCGGCCTCCTTTCAAGTTAGGGCTTCTCGCTGTATATTCCCCTTGAGGCAGCAAACTCGGGGTCCCTCCCACATACCTATTGCTGAGAGAAGCCTCCTCCTGAGGTGCTTCTGGGAAGTTGGCATACGTCTTGAGCCTAAGCCAGGGAATCAGCTCGCATCTCGAGACGATTTGGGGTACACGGAGCATTCCTCGAGTTGCTGTGCTGAAGTTGGTGTTCCTCTAGACTTGGGACAGTGTTCTCGGGGCATCTCTGGAGTTGCCTGAAGGAAGTCGAGCCACCGGTCGTGTTGAATGGGGAACGGGGAATGGCTCTGGAGTCAATGCAGGGGAATCGGGCCTCATCTCGAGTTGATTTGGGGCACATGGAGCTGCTTTGCGTTGCTGGGGTGACCTCAGGGTCCGTCTAGACTGGTGACAGTGTTCTTGGGGACTGTCTCGAGATCCATTAAGCAAGTCGAAGCTCCTGACTTGTTTGAATGGGATCACGGAATAGCTCTTCATGCACTGCAGGGGAATGGGGCCTCATCTCGCCTCTAGGGGAAAGTCTCATGGTTTTTCTCGAGTTGCGGCGGGGACCTGGGGTATGTTCTCGACTTACGGCGGGGATGGCCCTTCAAAACACGAGTTTCTTCAGTGACGTCAGGACTCCTGTCTAGTAACGAGGGACACCTCAGGAATCTCTTCGAGGCTTGGCAGGGCCAAAGGGACGCTTCTCGAGGTGAGGCAGGGCACCCAAGGACCCTTTCCAGTAGCCACAGGGATTTTGGGATTCCTATCAGTATTCAAGAGGAGTCAGGCATCGTCACCTTTTGAAGCAATGAACTCCGCGTGCCTCTCGAGGTGTCAGCGGGATGTGAGGCATTCCGTCAAAATGAGGCAGGGACCTAGGGCTTTCTCTAAGGTCTCCACAGGGGATTCAGACATCCCTTCATGTTGTGAGATGAAAGACGAGCCTGTATTCAAGCCACTGCAAGGAAATCCGGCCTCCTTTCAAGTTAGGGCTTCTCGCTGTATATTCCCCTTGAGGCAGCAAACTCGGGGTCCCTCCCACATACCTATTGCTGAGAGAAGCCTCCTCCTGAGGTGCTTCTGGGAAGTTGGCATACGTCTTGAGCCTAAGCCAGGGAATCAGCTCGCATCTCGAGACGATTTGGGGTACACGGAGCATTCCTCGAGTTGCTGTGCTGAAGTTGGTGTTCCTCTAGACTTGGGACAGTGTTCTCGGGGCATCTCTGGAGTTGCCTGAAGGAAGTCGAGCCACCGGTCGTGTTGAATGGGGAACGGGGAATGGCTCTGGAGTCAATGCAGGGGAATGGGGCCTCATCTCGAGTTGATTTGGGGCACATGGAGCTGCTTTGCGTTGCTGGGGTGACCTCAGGGTCCGTCTAGACTGGTGACAGTGTTCTTGGGGACTGTCTCGAGATCCATTAAGCAAGTCGAAGCTCCTGACTTGTTTGAATGGGATCACGGAATAGCTCTGCATGCACTGCAGGGGAATGGGGCCTCATCTCGCCTCTAGGGGGAAGTCTCATGGTTTTTCTCGAGTTGCGGCGGGGACCTGGGGTATGTTCTCGACTTACGGCGGGGATGGCCCTTCAAAACACGAGTTTCTTCAGTGACGTCAGGACTCCTGTCTAGTAACGAGGGACACCTCAGGAATCTCTTCGAGGCTTGGCAGGGCCAAAGGGACGCTTCTCGAGGTGAGGCAGGGCACCCAAGGACCCTTTCCAGTAGCCACAGGGATTTTGGGATTCCTATCAGTATTCAAGAGGAGTCAGGCATCGTCACCTTTTGAAGCAATGAACTCCGCGTGCCTCTCGAGGTGTCAGCGGGATGTGAGGCATTCCGTCAAAATGAGGCAGGGACCTAGGGCTTTCTCTAAGGTCTCCACAGGGGATTCAGACATCCCTTCATGTTGTGAGATGAAAGACGAGCCTGTATTCAAGCCACTGCAAGGAAATCCGGCCTCCTTTCAAGTTAGGGGTTCTCGCTGTATATTCCCCTTGAGGCAGCAAACTCGGGGTCCCTCCCACATACCTATTGCTGAGAGAAGCCTCCTCCTGAGGTGCTTCTGGGAAGTTGGCATACGTCTTGAGCCTAAGCCAGGGAATCAGCTCGCATCTCGAGACGATTTGGGGTACACGGAGCATTCCTCGAGTTGCTGTGCTGAAGTTGGTGTTCCTCTAGACTTGGGACAGTGTTCTCGGGGCATCTCTGGAGTTGCCTGAAGGAAGTCGAGCCACCGGTCGTGTTGAATGGGGAACGGGGAATGGCTCTGGAGTCAATGCAGGGGAATCGGGCCTCATCTCGAGTTGATTTGGGGCACATGGAGCTGCTTTGCGTTGCTGGGGTGACCTCAGGGTCCGTCTAGACTGGTGACAGTGTTCTTGGGGACTGTCTCGAGATCCATTAAGCAAGTCGAAGCTCCTGACTTGTTTGAATGGGATCACGGAATAGCTCTGCATGCACTGCAGGGGAATGGGGCCTCATCTCGCCTCTAGGGGGAAGTCTCATGGTTTTTCTCGAGTTGCGGCGGGGACCTGGGGTATGTTCTCGACTTACGGCGGGGATGGCCCTTCAAAACACGAGTTTCTTCAGTGACGTCAGGACTCCTGTCTAGTAACGAGGGACACCTCAGGAATCTCTTCGAGGCTTGGCAGGGCCAAAGGGACGCTTCTCGAGGTGAGGCAGGGCACCCAAGGACCCTTTCCAGTAGCCACAGGGATTTTGGGATTCCTATCAGTATCCAAAGGAGTCAGGCATCGTCACCTTTTGAAGCAATGAACTCCGCGTGCCTCTCGAGGTGTCAGCGGGATGTGAGGCATTCCGTCAAAATGAGGCAGGGACCTAGGGCTTTCTCTAAGGTCTCCACAGGGGATTCAGACATCCCTTCATGTTGTGAGATGAAAGACGAGCCTGTATTCAAGCCACTGCAAGGAAATCCGGCCTCCTTTCAAGTTAGGGCTTCTCGCTGTATATTCCCCTTGAGGCAGCAAACTCGGGGTCCCTCCCACATACCTATTGCTGAGAGAAGCCTCCTCCTGAGGTGCTTCTGGGAAGTTGGCATACGTCTTGAGCCTAAGCCAGGGAATCAGCTCGCATCTCGAGACGATTTGGGGTACACGGAGCATTCCTCGAGTTGCTGTGCTGAAGTTGGTGTTCCTCTAGACTTGGGACAGTGTTCTCGGGGCATCTCTGGAGTTGCCTGAAGGAAGTCGAGCCACCGGTCGTGTTGAATGGGGAACGGGGAATGGCTCTGGAGTCAATGCAGGGGAATCGGGCCTCATCTCGAGTTGATTTGGGGCACATGGAGCTGCTTTGCGTTGCTGGGGTGACCTCAGGGTCCGTCTAGACTGGTGACTGTTCTTGGGGACTGTCTCGAGATCCATTAAGCAAGTCGAAGCTCCTGACTTGTTTGAATGGGATCACGGAATAGCTCTGCATGCACTGCAGGGGAATGGGGCCTCATCTCGCCTCTAGGGGGAAGTCTCATGGTTTTTCTCGAGTTGCGGCGGGGACCTGGGGTATGTTCTCGACTTACGGCGGGGATGGCCCTTCCAAATACGAGTTTCTTCAGTGACGTCAGGACTCCTGTCTAGTAACGAGGGACACCTCAGGAATCTCTTCGAGGCTTGGCAGGGCCAAAGGGACGCTTCCCGAGGTGAGGCAGGGCACCCAAGGACCCTTTCCAGTAGCCACAGGGATTTTGGGATTCCTATCAGTATCCAAAGGAGTCAGGCATCGTCACCTTTTGAAGCAATGAACTCCGCGTGCCTCTCGAGGTGTCAGCGGGATGTGTGGCATTCCGTCAAAATGAGGCAGGGACCTAGGGCTTTCTCTAAGGTCTCCACAGGGGATTCAGACATCCCTTCATGTTGTGAGATGAAAGACGAGCCTGTATTCAAGCCACTGCAAGGAAATCCGGCCTCCTTTCAAGTTAGGGCTTCTCGCTGTATATTCCCCTTGAGGCAGCAAACTCGGGGTCCCTCCCACATACCTATTGCTGAGAGAAGCCTCCTCCTGAGGTGCTTCTGGGAAGTTGGCATACGTCTTGAGCCTAAGCCAGGGAATCAGCTCGCATCTCGAGACGATTTGGGGTACACGGAGCATTCCTCGAGTTGCTGTGCTGAAGTTGGTGTTCCTCTAGACTTGGGACAGTGTTCTCGGGGCATCTCTGGAGTTGCCTGAAGGAAGTCGAGCCACCGGTCGTGTTGAATGCGGAACGGGGAATGGCTCTGGAGTCAATGCAGGGGAATCGGGCCTCATCTCGAGTTGATTTGGGGCACATGGAGCTGCTTTGCGTTGCTGGGGTGACCTCAGGGTCCGTCTAGACTGGTGACAGTGTTCTTGGGGACTGTCTCGAGATCCATTAAGCAAGTCGAAGCTCCTGACTTGTTTGAATGGGATCACGGAATAGCTCTGCATGCACTGCAGGGGAATGGGGCCTCATCTCGCCTCTAGGGGAAAGTCTCATGGTTTTTCTCGAGTTGCGGCGGGGACCTGGGGTATGTTCTCGACTTACGGCGGGGATGGCCCTTAAAAACACGAGTTTCTTCAGTGACGTCAGGACTCCTGTCTAGTAACGAGGGACACCTCAGGAATCTCTTCGAGGCTTGGCAGGGCCAAAGGGACGCTTCTCGAGGTGAGGCAGGGCACCTAAGGACCCTTTCCAGTAGCCACAGGGATTTTGGGATTCCTATCAGTATCCAAAGGAGTCAGGCATCGTCACCTTTTGAAGCAATGAACTCCGCGTGCCTCTCGAGGTGTCAGCGGGATGTGAGGCATTCCGTCAAAATGAGGCAGGGACCTAGGGCTTTCTCTAAGGTCTCCACAGGGGATTCAGACATCCCTTCATGTTGTGAGATGAAAGACGAGCCTGTATTCAAGCCACTGCAAGGAAATCCGGCCTCCTTTCAAGTTAGGGCTTCTCGCTGTATATTCCCCTTGAGGCAGCAAACTCGGGGTCCCTCCCACATACCTATTGCTGAGAGAAGCCTCCTCCTGAGGTGCTTCTGGGAAGTTGGCATACGTCTTGAGCCTAAGCCAGGGAATCAGCTCGCATCTCGAGACGATTTGGGGTACACGGAGCATTTCTCGAGTTGCTGTGCTGAAGCTGGTGTTCCTCTAGACTTGGGACAGTGTTCTCGGGGCATCTCTGGAGTTGCCTGAAGGAAGTCGAGCCACCGGTCGTGTTGAATGGGGAACGGGGAATGGCTCTGGAGTCAATACAGGGGAATAGGGCCTCATCTCGAGTTGATTTGGGGCACATGGAGCTGCTTTGCGTTGCTGGGGTGACCTCAGGGTCCGTCTAGACTGGTGACAGTGTTCTTGGGGACTGTCTCGAGATCCATTAAGCAAGTCGAAGCTCCTGACTTGTTTGAATGGGATCACGGAATAGCTCTGCATGCACTGCAGGGGAATGGGGCCTCATCTCGCCTCTAGGGGGAAGTCTCATGGTTTTTCTCGAGTTGCGGCGGGGACCTGGGGTATGTTCTCGACTTACGGCGGGGATGGCCCTTCAAAACACGAGTTTCTTCAGTGACGTCAGGACTCCTGTCTAGTAACGAGGGACACCTCAGGAATCTCTTCGAGGCTTGGCAGGGCCAAAGGGACGCTTTTCGAGGTGAAGCAGGGCACTCAAGGACCCTTTCCAGTAGCCACAGGGATTTTGGGATTCCTATCAGTATTCAAGAGGAGTCAGGCATCGTCACCTTTTGAAGCAATGAACTCCGCGTGCCTCTCGAGGTGTCAGCGGGATGTGAGGCATTCCGTCAAAATGAGGCAGGGACCTAGGGCTTCTTCTAAGGTCTCCACAGGGGATTCAGACATCCCTTCATGTTGTGAGATGAAAGACGAGCCTGTATTCAAGCCACTGCAAGGAAATCCGGCCTCCTTTCAAGTTAGGGCTTCTCGCTGTATATTCCCCTTGAGGCAGCAAACTCGGGGTCCCTCCCACATACCTATTGCTGAGAGAAGCCTCCTCCTGAGGTGCTTCTGGGAAGTTGGCATACGTCTTGAGCCTAAGCCAGGGAATCAGCTCGCATCTCGAGACGATTTGGGGTACACGGAGCATTCCTCGAGTTGCTGTGCTGAAGTTGGTGTTCCTCTAGACTTGGGACAGTGTTCTCGGGGCATCTCTGGAGTTGCCTGAAGGAAGTCGAGCCACCGGTCGTGTTGAATGGGGAACGGGGAATGGCTCTGGAGTCAATGCAGGGGAATCGGGCCTCATCTCGAGTTGATTTGGGGCACATGGAGCTGCTTTGCGTTGCTGGGGTGACCTCAGGGTCCGTCTAGACTGGTGACAGTGTTCTTGGGGACTGTCTCGAGATCCATTAAGCAAGTCGAAGCTCCTGACTTGTTTGAATGGGATCACGGAATAGCTCTGCATGCACTGCAGGGGAATGGGGCCTCATCTCGCCTCTAGGGGGAAGTCTCATGGTTTTTCTCGAGTTGCGGCGGGGACCTGGGGTATGTTCTCGACTTACGGCGGGGATGGCCCTTCAAAACACGAGTTTCTTCAGTGACGTCAGGACTCCTGTCTAGTAACGAGGGACACCTCAGGAATCTCTTCGAGGCTTGGCAGGGCCAAAGGGACGCTTCTCGAGGTGAGGCAGGGCACCCAAGGACCCTTTCCAGTAGCCACAGGGATTTTGGGATTCCTATCAGTATTCAAGAGGAGTCAGGCATCGTCACCTTTTGAAGCAATGAACTCCGCGTGCCTCTCGAGGTGTCAGCGGGATGTGAGGCATTCCGTCAAAATGAGGCAGGGACCTAGGGCTTTCTCTAAGGTCTCCACAGGGGATTCAGACATCCCTTCATGTTGTGAGATGAAAGACGAGCCTGTATTCAAGCCACTGCAAGGAAATCCGGCCTCCTTTCAAGTTAGGGGTTCTCGCTGTATATTCCCCTTGAGGCAGCAAACTCGGGGTCCCTCCCACATACCTATTGCTGAGAGAAGCCTCCTCCTGAGGTGCTTCTGGGAAGTTGGCATACGTCTTGAGCCTAAGCCAGGGAATCAGCTCGCATCTCGAGACGATTTGGGGTACACGGAGCATTCCTCGAGTTGCTGTGCTGAAGTTGGTGTTCCTCTAGACTTGGGACAGTGTTCTCGGGGCATCTCTGGAGTTGCCTGAAGGAAGTCGAGCCACCGGTCGTGTTGAATGGGGAACGGGGAATGGCTCTGGAGTCAATGCAGGGGAATCGGGCCTCATCTCGCCTCTAGGGGGAAGTCTCATGGTTTTTCTCGAGTTGCGGCGGGGACCTGGGGTATGTTCTCGACTTACGGCGGGGATGGCCCTTCAAAACACGAGTTTCTTCAGTGACGTCAGGACTCCTGTCTAGTAACGAGGGACACCTCAGGAATCTCTTCGAGGCTTGGCAGGGCCAAAGGGACGCTTCTCGAGGTGAGGCAGGGCACCCAAGGACCCTTTCCAGTAGCCACAGGGATTTTGGGATTCCTATCAGTATTCAAGAGGAGTCAGGCATCGTCACCTTTTGAAGCAATGAACTCCGCGTGCCTCTCGAGGTGTCAGCGGGATGTGAGGCATTCCGTCAAAATGAGGCAGGGACCTAGGGCTTTCTCTAAGGTCTCCACAGGGGATTCAGACATCCCTTCATGTTGTGAGATGAAAGACGAGCCTGTATTCAAGCCACTGCAAGGAAATCCGGCCTCCTTTCAAGTTAGGGCTTCTCGCTGTATATTCCCCTTGAGGCAGCAAACTCGGGGTCCCTCCCACATACCTATTGCTGAGAGAAGCCTCCTCCTGAGGTGCTTCTGGGAAGTTGGCATACGTCTTGAGCCTAAGCCAGGGAATCAGCTCGCATCTCGAGACGATTTGGGGTACACGGAGCATTCCTCGAGTTGCTGTGCTGAAGTTGGTGTTCCTCTAGACTTGGGACAGTGTTCTCGGGGCATCTCTGGAGTTGCCTGAAGGAAGTCGAGCCACCGGTCGTGTTGAATGGGGAACGGGGAATGGCTCTGGAGTCAATGCAGGGGAATCGGGCCTCATCTCGAGTTGATTTGGGGCACATGGAGCTGCTTTGCGTTGCTGGGGTGACCTCAGGGTCCGTCTAGACTGGTGACAGTGTTCTTGGGGACTGTCTCGAGATCCATTAAGCAAGTCGAAGCTCCTGACTTGTTTGAATGGGATCACGGAATAGCTCTGCATGCACTGCAGGGGAATGGGGCCTCATCTCGCCTCTAGGGGGAAGTCTCATGGTTTTTCTCGAGTTGCGGCGGGGACCTGGGGTATGTTCTCGACTTACGGCGGGGATGGCCCTTCCAAATACGAGTTTCTTCAGTGACGTCAGGACTCCTGTCTAGTAACGAGGGACACCTCAGGAATCTCTTCGAGGCTTGGCAGGGCCAAAGGGACGCTTCTCGAGGTGAGGCAGGGCACCCAAGGACCCTTTCCAGTAGCCACAGGGATTTTGGGATTCCTATCAGTATTCAAGAGGAGTCAGGCATCGTCACCTTTTGAAGCAATGAACTCCGCGTGCCTCTCGAGGTGTCAGCGGGATGTGAGGCATTCCGTCAAAATGAGGCAGGGACCTAGGGCTTTCTCTAAGGTCTCCACAGGGGATTCAGACATCCCTTCATGTTGTGAGATGAAAGACGAGCCTGTATTCAAGCCACTGCAAGGAAATCCGGCCTCCTTTCAAGTTAGGGCTTCTCGCTGTATATTCCCCTTGAGGCAGCAAACTCGGGGTCCCTCCCACATACCTATTGCTGAGAGAAGCCTCCTCCTGAGGTGCTTCTGGGAAGTTGGCATACGTCTTGAGCCTAAGCCAGGGAATCAGCTCGCATCTCGAGACGATTTGGGGTACACGGAGCATTCCTCGAGTTGCTGTGCTGAAGTTGGTGTTCCTCTAGACTTGGGACAGTGTTCTCGGGGCATCTCTGGAGTTGCCTGAAGGAAGTCGAGCCACCGGTCGTGTTGAATGGGGAACGGGGAATGGCTCTGGAGTCAATGCAGGGGAATCGGGCCTCATCTCGAGTTGATTTGGGGCACATGGAGCTGCTTTGCGTTGCTGGGGTGACCTCAGGGTCCGTCTAGACTGGTGACAGTGTTCTTGGGGACTGTCTCGAGATCCATTAAGCAAGTCGAAGCTCCTGACTTGTTTGAATGGGATCACGGAATAGCTCTGCATGCACTGCAGGGGAATGGGGCCTCATCTCGCCTCTAGGGGGAAGTCTCATGGTTTTTCTCGAGTTGCGGCGGGGACCTGGGGTATGTTCTCGACTTACGGCGGGGATGGCCCTTCAAAACACGAGTTTCTTCAGTGACGTCAGGACTCCTGTCTAGTAATGAGGGACACCTCAGGAATCTCTTCGAGGCTTGGCAGGGCCAAAGGGACGCTTCTCGAGGTGAGGCAGGGCACCCAAGGACCCTTTCCAGTAGCCACAGGGATTTTGGGATTCCTATCAGTATCCAAAGGAGTCAGGCATCGTCACCTTTTGAAGCAATGAACTCCGCGTGCCTCTCGAGGTGTCAGCGGGATGTGAGGCATTCCGTCAAAATGAGGCAGGGACCTAGGGCTTTCTCTAAGGTCTCCACAGGGGATTCAGACATCCCTTCATGTTGTGAGATGAAAGACGAGCCTGTATTCAAGCCACTGCAAGGAAATCCGGCCTCCTTTCAAGTTAGGGCTTCTCGCTGTATATTCCCCTTGAGGCAGCAAACTCGGGGTCCCTCCCACATACCTATTGCTGAGAGAAGCCTCCTCCTGAGGTGCTTCTGGGAAGTTGGCATACGTCTTGAGCCTAAGCCAGGGAATCAGCTCGCATCTCGAGACGATTTGGGGTACACGGAGCATTTCTCGAGTTGCTGTGCTGAAGCTGGTGTTCCTCTAGACTTGGGACAGTGTTCTCGGGGCATCTCTGGAGTTGCCTGAAGGAAGTCGAGCCACCGGTCGTGTTGAATGGGGAACGGGGAATGGCTCTGGAGTCAATACAGGGGAATAGGGCCTCATCTCGAGTTGATTTGGGGCACATGGAGCTGCTTTGCGTTGCTGGGGTGACCTCAGGGTCCGTCTAGACTGGTGACAGTGTTCTTGGGGACTGTCTCGAGATCCATTAAGCAAGTCGAAGCTCCTGACTTGTTTGAATGGGATCACGGAATAGCTCTGCATGCACTGCAGGGGAATGGGGCCTCATCTCGCCTCTAGGGGGAAGTCTCATGGTTTTTCTCGAGTTGCGGCGGGGACCTGGGGTATGTTCTCGACTTACGGCGGGGATGGCCCTTCAAAACACGAGTTTCTTCAGTGACGTCAGGACTCCTGTCTAGTAACGAGGGACACCTCAGGAATCTCTTCGAGGCTTGGCAGGGCCAAAGGGACGCTTCTCGAGGTGAGGCAGGGCACTCAAGGACCCTTTCCAGTAGCCACAGGGATTTTGGGATTCCTATCAGTATTCAAGAGGAGTCAGGCATCGTCACCTTTTGAAGCAATGAACTCCGCGTGCCTCTCGAGGTGTCAGCGGGATGTGAGGCATTCCGTCAAAATGAGGCAGGGACCTAGGGCTTCTTCTAAGGTCTCCACAGGGGATTCAGACATCCCTTCATGTTGTGAGATGAAAGACGAGCCTGTATTCAAGCCACTGCAAGGAAATCCGGCCTCCTTTCAAGTTAGGGCTTCTCGCTGTATATTCCCCTTGAGGCAGCAAACTCGGGGTCCCTCCCACATACCTATTGCTGAGAGAAGCCTCCTCCTGAGGTGCTTCTGGGAAGTTGGCATACGTCTTGAGCCTAAGCCAGGGAATCAGCTCGCATCTCGAGACGATTTGGGGTACACGGAGCATTCCTCGAGTTGCTGTGCTGAAGTTGGTGTTCCTCTAGACTTGGGACAGTGTTCTCGGGGCATCTCTGGAGTTGCCTGAAGGAAGTCGAGCCACCGGTCGTGTTGAATGGGGAACGGGGAATGGCTCTGGAGTCAATGCAGGGGAATCGGGCCTCATCTCGAGTTGATTTGGGGCACATGGAGCTGCTTTGCGTTGCTGGGGTGACCTCAGGGTCCGTCTAGACTGGTGACAGTGTTCTTGGGGACTGTCTCGAGATCCATTAAGCAAGTCGAAGCTCCTGACTTGTTTGAATGGGATCACGGAATAGCTCTGCATGCACTGCAGGGGAATGGGGCCTCATCTCGCCTCTAGGGGGAAGTCTCATGTTTTTTCTCGAGTTGCGGCGGGGACCTGGGGTATGTTCTCGACTTACGGCGGGGATGGCCCTTCAAAACACGAGTTTCTTCAGTGACGTCAGGACTCCTGTCTAGTAACGAGGGACACCTCAGGAATCTCTTCGAGGCTTGGCAGGGCCAAAGGGACGCTTCTCGAGGTGAGGCAGGGCACCCAAGGACCCTTTCCAGTAGCCACAGGGATTTTGGGATTCCTATCAGTATTCAAGAGGAGTCAGGCATCGTCACCTTTTGAAGCAATGAACTCCGCGTGCCTCTCGAGGTGTCAGCGGGATGTGAGGCATTCCGTCAAAATGAGGCAGGGACCTAGGGCTTTCTCTAAGGTCTCCACAGGGGATTCAGACATCCCTTCATGTTGTGAGATGAAAGACGAGCCTGTATTCAAGCCACTGCAAGGAAATCCGGCCTCCTTTCAAGTTAGGGGTTCTCGCTGTATATTCCCCTTGAGGCAGCAAACTCGGGGTCCCTCCCACATACCTATTGCTGAGAGAAGCCTCCTCCTGAGGTGCTTCTGGGAAGTTGGCATACGTCTTGAGCCTAAGCCAGGGAATCAGCTCGCATCTCGAGACAATTTGGGGTACACGGAGCATTCCTCGAGTTGCTGTGCTGAAGTTGGTGTTCCTCTAGACTTGGGACAGTGTTCTCGGGGCATCTCTGGAGTTGCCTGAAGGAAGTCGAGCCACCGGTCGTGTTGAATGGGGAACGGGGAATGGCTCTGGAGTCAATGCAGGGGAATCGGGCCTCATCTCGCCTCTAGGGGGAAGTCTCATGGTTTTTCTCGAGTTGCGGCGGGGACCTGGGGTATGTTCTCGACTTACGGCGGGGATGGCCCTTCAAAACACGAGTTTCTTCAGTGACGTCAGGACTCCTGTCTAGTAACGAGGGACACCTCAGGAATCTCTTCGAGGCTTGGCAGGGCCAAAGGGACGCTTCTCGAGGTGAGGCAGGGCACCCAAGGACCCTTTCCAGTAGCCACAGGGATTTTGGGATTCCTATCAGTATTCAAGAGGAGTCAGGCATCGTCACCTTTTGAAGCAATGAACTCCGCGTGCCTCTCGAGGTGTCAGCGGGATGTGAGGCATTCCGTCAAAATGAGGCAGGGACCTAGGGCTTTCTCTAAGGTCTCCACAGGGGATTCAGACATCCCTTCATGTTGTGAGATGAAAGACGAGCCTGTATTCAAGCCACTGCAAGGAAATCCGGCCTCCTTTCAAGTTAGGGGTTCTCGCTGTATATTCCCCTTGAGGCAGCAAACTCGGGGTCCCTCCCACATACCTATTGCTGAGAGAAGCCTCCTCCTGAGGTGCTTCTGGGAAGTTGGCATACGTCTTGAGCCTAAGCCAGGGAATCAGCTCGCATCTCGAGACGATTTGGGGTACACGGAGCATTCCTCGAGTTGCTGTGCTGAAGTTGGTGTTCCTCTAGACTTGGGACAGTGTTCTCGGGGCATCTCTGGAGTGGCCTGAAGGAAGTCGAGCCACCGGTCGTGTTGAATGGGGAACGGGGAATGGCTCTGGAGTCAATGCAGGGGAATCGGGCCTCATCTCGAGTTGATTTGGGGCACATGGAGCTGCTTTGCGTTGCTGGGGTGACCTCAGGGTCCGTCTAGACTGGTGACTGTTCTTGGGGACTGTCTCGAGATCCATTAAGCAAGTCGAAGCTCCTGACTTGTTTGAATGGGATCACGGAATAGCTCTGCATGCACTGCAGGGGAATGGGGCCTCATCTCGCCTCTAGGGGGAAGTCTCATGGTTTTTCTCGAGTTGCGGCGGGGACCTGGGGTATGTTCTCGACTTACGGCGGGGATGGCCCTTCCAAATACGAGTTTCTTCAGTGACGTCAGGACTCCTGTCTAGTAACGAGGGACACCTCAGGAATCTCTTCGAGGCTTGGCAGGGCCAAAGGGACGCTTCTCGAGGTGAGGCAGGGCACCCAAGGACCCTTTCCAGTAGCCACAGGGATTTTGGGATTCCTATCAGTATCCAAAGGAGTCAGGCATCGTCACCTTTTGAAGCAATGAACTCCGCGTGCCTCTCGAGGTGTCAGCGGGATGTGAGGCATTCCGTCAAAATGAGGCAGGGACCTAGGGCTTTCTCTAAGGTCTCCACAGGGGATTCAGACATCCCTTCATGTTGTGAGATGAAAGACGAGCCTGTATTCAAGCCACTGCAAGGAAATCCGGCCTCCTTTCAAGTTAGGGCTTCTCGCTGTATATTCCCCTTGAGGCAGCAAACTCGGGGTCCCTCCCACATACCTATTGCTGAGAGAAGCCTCCTCCTGAGGTGCTTCTGGGAAGTTGGCATACGTCTTGAGCCTAAGCCAGGGAATCAGCTCGCATCTCGAGACGATTTGGGGTACACGGAGCATTCCTCGAGTTGCTGTGCTGAAGTTGGTGTTCCTCTAGACTTGGGACAGTGTTCTCGGGGCATCTCTGGAGTTGCCTGAAGGAAGTCGAGCCACCGGTCGTGTTGAATGGGGAACGGGGAATGGCTCTGGAGTCAATGCAGGGGAATCGGGCCTCATCTCGAGTTGATTTGGGGCACATGGAGCTGCTTTGCGTTGCTGGGGTGACCTCAGGGTCCGTCTAGACTGGTGACAGTGTTCTTGGGGACTGTCTCGAGATCCATTAAGCAAGTCGAAGCTCCTGACTTGTTTGAATGGGATCACGGAATAGCTCTGCATGCACTGCAGGGGAATGGGGCCTCATCTCGCCTCTAGGGGGAAGTCTCATGTTTTTTCTCGAGTTGCGGCGGGGACCTGGGGTATGTTCTCGACTTACGGCGGGGATGGCCCTTCAAAACACGAGTTTCTTCAGTGACGTCAGGACTCCTGTCTAGTAACGAGGGACACCTCAGGAATCTCTTCGAGGCTTGGCAGGGCCAAAGGGACGCTTCTCGAGGTGAGGCAGGGCACCCAAGGACCCTTTCCAGTAGCCACAGGGATTTTGGGATTCCTATCAGTATTCAAGAGGAGTCAGGCATCGTCACCTTTTGAAGCAATGAACTCCGCGTGCCTCTCGAGGTGTCAGCGGGATGTGAGGCATTCCGTCAAAATGAGGCAGGGACCTAGGGCTTTCTCTAAGGTCTCCACAGGGGATTCAGACATCCCTTCATGTTGTGAGATGAAAGACGAGCCTGTATTCAAGCCACTGCAAGGAAATCCGGCCTCCTTTCAAGTTAGGGGTTCTCGCTGTATATTCCCCTTGAGGCAGCAAACTCGGGGTCCCTCCCACATACCTATTGCTGAGAGAAGCCTCCTCCTGAGGTGCTTCTGGGAAGTTGGCATACGTCTTGAGCCTAAGCCAGGGAATCAGCTCGCATCTCGAGACAATTTGGGGTACACGGAGCATTCCTCGAGTTGCTGTGCTGAAGTTGGTGTTCCTCTAGACTTGGGACAGTGTTCTCGGGGCATCTCTGGAGTTGCCTGAAGGAAGTCGAGCCACCGGTCGTGTTGAATGGGGAACGGGGAATGGCTCTGGAGTCAATGCAGGGGAATCGGGCCTCATCTCGCCTCTAGGGGGAAGTCTCATGGTTTTTCTCGAGTTGCGGCGGGGACCTGGGGTATGTTCTCGACTTACGGCGGGGATGGCCCTTCAAAACACGAGTTTCTTCAGTGACGTCAGGACTCCTGTCTAGTAACGAGGGACACCTCAGGAATCTCTTCGAGGCTTGGCAGGGCCAAAGGGACGCTTCTCGAGGTGAGGCAGGGCACCCAAGGACCCTTTCCAGTAGCCACAGGGATTTTGGGATTCCTATCAGTATTCAAGAGGAGTCAGGCATCGTCACCTTTTGAAGCAATGAACTCCGCGTGCCTCTCGAGGTGTCAGCGGGATGTGAGGCATTCCGTCAAAATGAGGCAGGGACCTAGGGCTTTCTCTAAGGTCTCCACAGGGGATTCAGACATCCCTTCATGTTGTGAGATGAAAGACGAGCCTGTATTCAAGCCACTGCAAGGAAATCCGGCCTCCTTTCAAGTTAGGGGTTCTCGCTGTATATTCCCCTTGAGGCAGCAAACTCGGGGTCCCTCCCACATACCTATTGCTGAGAGAAGCCTCCTCCTGAAGTGCTTCTGGGAAGTTGGCATACGTCTTGAGCCTAAGCCAGGGAATCAGCTCGCATCTCGAGACGATTTGGGGTACACGGAGCATTCCTCGAGTTGCTGTGCTGAAGTTGGTGTTCCTCTAGACTTGGGACAGTGTTCTCGGGGCATCTCTGGAGTGGCCTGAAGGAAGTCGAGCCACCGGTCGTGTTGAATGGGGAACGGGGAATGGCTCTGGAGTCAATGCAGGGGAATCGGGCCTCATCTCGAGTTGATTTGGGGCACATGGAGCTGCTTTGCGTTGCTGGGGTGACCTCAGGGTCCGTCTAGACTGGTGACTGTTCTTGGGGACTGTCTCGAGATCCATTAAGCAAGTCGAAGCTCCTGACTTGTTTGAATGGGATCACGGAATAGCTCTGCATGCACTGCAGGGGAATGGGGCCTCATCTCGCCTCTAGGGGGAAGTCTCATGGTTTTTCTCGAGTTGCGGCGGGGACCTGGGGTATGTTCTCGACTTACGGCGGGGATGGCCCTTCCAAATACGAGTTTCTTCAGTGACGTCAGGACTCCTGTCTAGTAACGAGGGACACCTCAGGAATCTCTTCGAGGCTTGGCAGGGCCAAAGGGACGCTTCTCGAGGTGAGGCAGGGCACCCAAGGACCCTTTCCAGTAGCCACAGGGATTTTGGGATTCCTATCAGTATCCAAAGGAGTCAGGCATCGTCACCTTTTGAAGCAATGAACTCCGCGTGCCTCTCGAGGTGTCAGCGGGATGTGAGGCATTCCGTCAAAATGAGGCAGGGACCTAGGGCTTTCTCTAAGGTCTCCACAGGGGATTCAGACATCCCTTCATGTTGTGAGATGAAAGACGAGCCTGTATTCAAGCCACTGCAAGGAAATCCGGCCTCCTTTCAAGTTAGGGCTTCTCGCTGTATATTCCCCTTGAGGCAGCAAACTCGGGGTCCCTCCCACATACCTATTGCTGAGAGAAGCCTCCTCCTGAGGTGCTTCTGGGAAGTTGGCATACGTCTTGAGCCTAAGCCAGGGAATCAGCTCGCATCTCGAGACGATTTGGGGTACACGGAGCATTCCTCGAGTTGCTGTGCTGAAGTTGGTGTTCCTCTAGACTTGGGACAGTGTTCTCGGGGCATCTCTGGAGTTGCCTGAAGGAAGTCGAGCCACCGGTCGTGTTGAATGGGGAACGGGGAATGGCTCTGGAGTCAATGCAGGGGAATCGGGCCTCATCTCGAGTTGATTTGGGGCACATGGAGCTGCTTTGCGTTGCTGGGGTGACCTCAGGGTCCGTCTAGACTGGTGACAGTGTTCTTGGGGACTGTCTCGAGATCCATTAAGCAAGTCGAAGCTCCTGACTTGTTTGAATGGGATCACGGAATAGCTCTGCATGCACTGCAGGGGAATGGGGCCTCATCTCGCCTCTAGGGGGAAGTCTCATGGTTTTTCTCGAGTTGCGGCGGGGACCTGGGGTATGTTCTCGACTTACGGCGGGGATGGCCCTTCAAAACACGAGTTTCTTCAGTGACGTCAGGACTCCTGTCTAGTAACGAGGGACACCTCAGGAATCTCTTCGAGGCTTGGCAGGGCCAAAGGGACGCTTCTCGAGGTGAGGCAGGGCACCCAAGGACCCTTTCCAGTAGCCACAGGGATTTTGGGATTCCTATCAGTATCCAAAGGAGTCAGGCATCGTCACCTTTTGAAGCAATGAACTCCGCGTGCCTCTCGAGGTGTCAGCGGGATGTGAGGCATTCCGTCAAAATGAGGCAGGGACCTAGGGCTTTCTCTAAGGTCTCCACAGGGGATTCAGACATCCCTTCATGTTGTGAGATGAAAGACGAGCCTGTATTCAAGCCACTGCAAGGAAATCCGGCCTCCTTTCAAGTTAGGGCTTCTCGCTGTATATTCCCCTTGAGGCAGCAAACTCGGGGTCCCTCCCACATACCTATTGCTGAGAGAAGCCTCCTCCTGAGGTGCTTCTGGGAAGTTGGCATACGTCTTGAGCCTAAGCCAGGGAATCAGCTCGCATCTCGAGACGATTTGGGGTACACGGAGCATTTCTCGAGTTGCTGTGCTGAAGCTGGTGTTCCTCTAGACTTGGGACAGTGTTCTCGGGGCATCTCTGGAGTTGCCTGAAGGAAGTCGAGCCACCGGTCGTGTTGAATGGGGAACGGGGAATGGCTCTGGAGTCAATACAGGGGAATAGGGCCTCATCTCGAGTTGATTTGGGGCACATGGAGCTGCTTTGCGTTGCTGGGGTGACCTCAGGGTCCGTCTAGACTGGTGACAGTGTTCTTGGGGACTGTCTCGAGATCCATTAAGCAAGTCGAAGCTCCTGACTTGTTTGAATGGGATCACGGAATAGCTCTGCATGCACTGCAGGGGAATGGGGCCTCATCTCGCCTCTAGGGGGAAGTCTCATGGTTTTTCTCGAGTTGCGGCGGGGACCTGGGGTATGTTCTCGACTTACGGCGGGGATGGCCCTTCAAAACACGAGTTTCTTCAGTGACGTCAGGACTCCTGTCTAGTAACGAGGGACACCTCAGGAATCTCTTCGAGCCTTGGCAGGGCCAAAGGGACGCTTCTCGAGGTGAGGCAGGGCACTCAAGGACCCTTTCCAGTAGCCACAGGGATTTTGGGATTCCTATCAGTATTCAAGAGGAGTCAGGCATCGTCACCTTTTGAAGCAATGAACTCCGCGTGCCTCTCGAGGTGTCAGCGGGATGTGAGGCATTCCGTCAAAATGAGGCAGGGACCTAGGGCTTCTTCTAAGGTCTCCACAGGGGATTCAGACATCCCTTCATGTTGTGAGATGAAAGACGAGCCTGTATTCAAGCCACTGCAAGGAAATCCGGCCTCCTTTCAAGTTAGGGCTTCTCGCTGTATATTCCCCTTGAGGCAGCAAACTCGGGGTCCCTCCCACATACCTATTGCTGAGAGAAGCCTCCTCCTGAGGTGCTTCTGGGAAGTTGGCATACGTCTTGAGCCTAAGCCAGGGAATCAGCTCGCATCTCGAGACGATTTGGGGTACACGGAGCATTCCTCGAGTTGCTGTGCTGAAGTTGGTGTTCCTCTAGACTTGGGACAGTGTTCTCGGGGCATCTCTGGAGTTGCCTGAAGGAAGTCGAGCCACCGGTCGTGTTGAATGGGGAACGGGGAATGGCTCTGGAGTCAATGCAGGGGAATCGGGCCTCATCTCGAGTTGATTTGGGGCACATGGAGCTGCTTTGCGTTGCTGGGGTGACCTCAGGGTCCGTCTAGACTGGTGACAGTGTTCTTGGGGACTGTCTCGAGATCCATTAAGCAAGTCGAAGCTCCTGACTTGTTTGAATGGGATCACGGAATAGCTCTTCATGCACTGCAGGGGAATGGGGCCTCATCTCGCCTCTAGGGGAAAGTCTCATGGTTTTTCTCGAGTTGCGGCGGGGACCTGGGGTATGTTCTCGACTTACGGCGGGGATGGCCCTTCAAAACACGAGTTTCTTCAGTGACGTCAGGACTCCTGTCTAGTAACGAGGGACACCTCAGGAATCTCTTCGAGGCTTGGCAGGGCCAAAGGGACGCTTCTCGAGGTGAGGCAGGGCACCCAAGGACCCTTTCCAGTAGCCACAGGGATTTTGGGATTCCTATCAGTATTCAAGAGGAGTCAGGCATCGTCACCTTTTGAAGCAATGAACTCCGCGTGCCTCTCGAGGTGTCAGCGGGATGTGAGGCATTCCGTCAAAATGAGGCAGGGACCTAGGGCTTTCTCTAAGGTCTCCACAGGGGATTCAGACATCCCTTCATGTTGTGAGATGAAAGACGAGCCTGTATTCAAGCCACTGCAAGGAAATCCGGCCTCCTTTCAAGTTAGGGCTTCTCGCTGTATATTCCCCTTGAGGCAGCAAACTCGGGGTCCCTCCCACATACCTATTGCTGAGAGAAGCCTCCTCCTGAGGTGCTTCTGGGAATTTGGCATACGTCTTGAGCCTAAGCCAGGGAATCAGCTCGCATCTCGAGACGATTTGGGGTACACGGAGCATTTCTCGAGTTGCTGTGCTGAAGTTGGTGTTCCTCTAGACTTGGGACAGTGTTCTCGGGGCATCTCTGGAGCTGCCTGAAGGAAGTCGAGCCACCGGTCGTGTTGAATGGGGAACGGGGAATGGCTCTGGAGTCAATGCAGGGGAATCGGGCCTCATCTCGAGTTGATTTGGGGCACATGGAGCTGCTTTGCGTTGCTGGGGTGACCTCAGGGTCCGTCTAGACTGGTGACAGTGTTCTTGGGGACTGTCTCGAGATCCATTAAGCAAGTCGAAGCTCCTGACTTGTTTGAATGGGATCACGGAATAGCTCTGCATGCACTGCAGGGGAATGGGGCCTCATCTCGCCTCTAGGGGGAAGTCTCATGGTTTTTCTCGAGTTGCGGCGGGGACCTGGGGTATGTTCTCGACTTACGGCGGGGATGGCCCTTCAAAACACGAGTTTCTTCAGTGACGTCAGGACTCCTGTCTAGTAACGAGGGACACCTCAGGAATCTCTTCGAGGCTTGGCAGGGCCAAAGGGACGCTTCTCGAGGTGAGGCAGGGCACCCAAGGACCCTTTCCAGTAGCCACAGGGATTTTGGGATTCCTATCAGTATTCAAGAGGAGTCAGGCATCGTCACCTTTTGAAGCAATGAACTCCGCGTGCCTCTCGAGGTGTCAGCGGGATGTGAGGCATTCCGTCAAAATGAGGCAGGGACCTAGGGCTTTCTCTAAGGTCTCCACAGGGGATTCAGACATCCCTTCATGTTGTGAGATGAAAGACGAGCCTGTATTCAAGCCACTGCAAGGAAATCCGGCCTCCTTTCAAGTTAGGGCTTCTCGCTGTATATTCCCCTTGAGGCAGCAAACTCGGGGTCCCTCCCACATACCTATTGCTGAGAGAAGCCTCCTCCTGAGGTGCTTCTGGGAAGTTGGCATACGTCTTGAGCCTAAGCCAGGGAATCAGCTCGCATCTCGAGACGATTTGGGGTACACGGAGCATTCCTCGAGTTGCTGTGCTGAAGTTGGTGTTCCTCTAGACTTGGGACAGTGTTCTCGGGGCATCTCTGGAGTTGCCTGAAGGAAGTCAAGCCACCGGTCGTGTTGAATGGGGAACGGGGAATGGCTCTGGAGTCAATGCAGGGGAATCGGGCCTCATCTCGAGTTGATTTGGGGCACATGGAGCTGCTTTGCGTTGCTGGGGTGACCTCAGGGTCCGTCTAGACTGGTGACAGTGTTCTTGGGGACTGTCTCGAGATCCATTAAGCAAGTCGAAGCTCCTGACTTGTTTGAATGGGATCACGGAATAGCTCTGCATGCACTGCAGGGGAATGGGGCCTCATCTCGCCTCTAGGGGGAAGTCTCATGGTTTTTCTCGAGTTGCGGCGGGGACCTGGGGTATGTTCTCGACTTACGGCGGGGATGGCCCTTCAAAACACGAGTTTCTTCAGTGACGTCAGGACTCCTGTCTAGTAACGAGGGACACCTCAGGAATCTCTTCGAGGCTTGGCAGGGCCAAAGGGACGCTTCTCGAGGTGAGGCAGGGCACCCAAGGACCCTTTCCAGTAGCCACAGGGATTTTGGGATTCCTATCAGTATCCAAAGGAGTCAGGCATCGTCACCTTTTGAAGCAATGAACTCCGCGTGCCTCTCGAGGTGTCAGCGGGATGTGAGGCATTCCGTCAAAATGAGGCAGGGACCTAGGGCTTTCTCTAAGGTCTCCACAGGGGATTCAGACATCCCTTCATGTTGTGAGATGAAAGACGAGCCTGTATTCAAGCCACTGCAAGGAAATCCGGCCTCCTTTCAAGTTAGGGCTTCTCGCTGTATATTCCCCTTGAGGCAGCAAACTCGGGGTCCCTCCCACATACCTATTGCTGAGATAAGCCTCCTCCTGAGGTGCTTCTGGGAAGTTGGCATACGTCTTGAGCCTAAGCCAGGGAATCAGCTCGCATCTCGAGACGATTTGGGGTACACGGAGCATTCCTCGAGTTGCTGTGCTGAAGTTGGTGTTCCTCTAGACTTGGGACAGTGTTCTCGGGGCATCTCTGGAGTTGCCTGAAGGAAGTCGAGCCACCGGTCGTGTTGAATGGGGAACGGGGAATGGCTCTGGAGTCAATGCAGGGGAATCGGGCCTCATCTCGAGTTGATTTGGGGCACATGGAGCTGCTTTGCGTTGCTGGGGTGACCTCAGGGTCCGTCTAGACTGGTGACTGTTCTTGGGGACTGTCTCGAGATCCATTAAGCAAGTCGAAGCTCCTGACTTGTTTGAATGGGATCACGGAATAGCTCTGCATGCACTGCAGGGGAATGGGGCCTCATCTCGCCTCTAGGGGGAAGTCTCATGGTTTTTCTCGAGTTGCGGCGGGGACCTGGGGTATGTTCTCGACTTACGGCGGGGATGGCCCTTCCAAATACGAGTTTCTTCAGTGACGTCAGGACTCCTGTCTAGTAACGAGGGACACCTCAGGAATCTCTTCGAGGCTTGGCAGGGCCAAAGGGACGCTTCTCGAGGTGAGGCAGGGCACCCAAGGACCCTTTCCAGTAGCCACAGGGATTTTGGGATTCCTATCAGTATCCAAAGGAGTCAGGCATCGTCACCTTTTGAAGCAATGAACTCCGCGTGCCTCTCGAGGTGTCAGCGGGATGTGAGGCATTCCGTCAAAATGAGGCAGGGACCTAGGGCTTTCTCTAAGGTCTCCACAGGGGATTCAGACATCCCTTCATGTTGTGAGATGAAAGACGAGCCTGTATTCAAGCCACTGCAAGGAAATCCGGCCTCCTTTCAAGTTAGGGCTTCTCGCTGTATATTCCCCTTGAGGCAGCAAACTCGGGGTCCCTCCCACATACCTATTGCTGAGAGAAGCCTCCTCCTGAGGTGCTTCTGGGAAGTTGGCATACGTCTTGAGCCTAAGCCAGGGAATCAGCTCGCATCTCGAGACGATTTGGGGTACACGGAGCATTCCTCGAGTTGCTGTGCTGAAGTTGGTGTTCCTCTAGACTTGGGACAGTGTTCTCGGGGCATCTCTGGAGTTGCCTGAAGGAAGTCGAGCCACCGGTCGTGTTGAATGGGGAACGGGGAATGGCTCTGGAGTCAATGCAGGGGAATCGGGCCTCATCTCGAGTTGATTTGGGGCACATGGAGCTGCTTTGCGTTGCTGGGGTGACCTCAGGGTCCGTCTAGACTGGTGACAGTGTTCTTGGGGACTGTCTCGAGATCCATTAAGCAAGTCGAAGCTCCTGACTTGTTTGAATGGGATCACGGAATAGCTCTGCATGCACTGCAGGGGAATGGGGCCTCATCTCGCCTCTAGGGGGAAGTCTCATGGTTTTTCTCGAGTTGCGGCGGGGACCTGGGGTATGTTCTCGACTTACGGCGGGGATGGCCCTTCAAAACACGAGTTTCTTCAGTGACGTCAGGACTCCTGTCTAGTAACGAGGGACACCTCAGGAATCTCTTCGAGGCTTGGCAGGGCCAAAGGGACGCTTCTCGAGGTGAGGCAGGGCACCCAAGGACCCTTTCCAGTAGCCACAGGGATTTTGGGATTCCTATCAGTATCCAAAGGAGTCAGGCATCGTCACCTTTTGAAGCAATGAACTCCGCGTGCCTCTCGAGGTGTCAGCGGGATGTGAGGCATTCCGTCAAAATGAGGCAGGGACCTAGGGCTTTCTCTAAGGTCTCCACAGGGGATTCAGACATCCCTTCATGTTGTGAGATGAAAGACGAGCCTGTATTCAAGCCACTGCAAGGAAATCCGGCCTCCTTTCAAGTTAGGGGTTCTCGCTGTATATTCCCCTTGAGGCAGCAAACTCGGGGTCCCTCCCACATACCTATTGCTGAGAGAAGCCTCCTCCTGAGGTGCTTCTGGGAAGTTGGCATACGTCTTGAGCCTAAGCCAGGGAATCAGCTCGCATCTCGAGACGATTTGGGGTACACGGAGCATTTCTCGAGTTGCTGTGCTGAAGCTGGTGTTCCTCTAGACTTGGGACAGTGTTCTCGGGGCATCTCTGGAGTTGCCTGAAGGAAGTCGAGCCACCGGTCGTGTTGAATGGGGAACGGGGAATGGCTCTGGAGTCAATACAGGGGAATAGGGCCTCATCTCGAGTTGATTTGGGGCACATGGAGCTGCTTTGCGTTGCTGGGGTGACCTCAGGGTCCGTCTAGACTGGTGACAGTGTTCTTGGGGACTGTCTCGAGATCCATTAAGCAAGTCGAAGCTCCTGACTTGTTTGAATGGGATCACGGAATAGCTCTGCATGCACTGCAGGGGAATGGGGCCTCATCTCGCCTCTAGGGGGAAGTCTCATGGTTTTTCTCGAGTTGCGGCGGGGACCTGGGGTATGTTCTCGACTTACGGCGGGGATGGCCCTTCAAAACACGAGTTTCTTCAGTGACGTCAGGACTCCTGTCTAGTAACGAGGGACACCTCAGGAATCTCTTCGAGGCTTGGCAGGGCCAAAGGGACGCTTCTCGAGGTGAGGCAGGGCACTCAAGGACCCTTTCCAGTAGCCACAGGGATTTTGGGATTCCTATCAGTATTCAAGAGGAGTCAGGCATCGTCACCTTTTGAAGCAATGAACTCCGCGTGCCTCTCGAGGTGTCAGCGGGATGTGAGGCATTCCGTCAAAATGAGGCAGGGACCTAGGGCTTTCTCTAAGGTCTCCACAGGGGATTCAGACATCCCTTCATGTTGTGAGATGAAAGACGAGCCTGTATTCAAGCCACTGCAAGGAAATCCGGCCTCCTTTCAAGTTAGGGCTTCTCGCTGTATATTCCCCTTGAGGCAGCAAACTCGGGGTCCCTCCCACATACCTATTGCTGAGAGAAGCCTCCTCCTGAGGTGCTTCTGGGAAGTTGGCATACGTCTTGAGCCTAAGCCAGGGAATCAGCTCGCATCTCGAGACGATTTGGGGTACACGGAGCATTCCTCGAGTTGCTGTGCTGAAGTTGGTGTTCCTCTAGACTTGGGACAGTGTTCTCGGGGCATCTCTGGAGTTGCCTGAAGGAAGTCGAGCCACCGGTCGTGTTGAATGGGGAACGGGGAATGGCTCTGGAGTCAATGCAGGGGAATCGGGCCTCATCTCGAGTTGATTTGGGGCACATGGAGCTGCTTTGCGTTGCTGGGGTGACCTCAGGGTCCGTCTAGACTGGTGACAGTGTTCTTGGGGACTGTCTCGAGATCCATTAAGCAAGTCGAAGCTCCTGACTTGTTTGAATGGGATCACGGAATAGCTCTGCATGCACTGCAGGGGAATGGGGCCTCATCTCGCCTCTAGGGGGAAGTCTCATGGTTTTTCTCGAGTTGCGGCGGGGACCTGGGGTATGTTCTCGACTTACGGCGGGGATGGCCCTTCAAAACACGAGTTTCTTCAGTGACGTCAGGACTCCTGTCTAGTAACGAGGGACACCTCAGGAATCTCTTCGAGGCTTGGCAGGGCAAAAGGGACGCTTCTCGAGGTGAGGCAGGGCACCCAAGGACCCTTTCCAGTAGCCACAGGGATTTTGGGATTCCTATCAGTATTCAAGAGGAGTCAGGCATCGTCACCTTTTGAAGCAATGAACTCCGCGTGCCTCTCGAGGTGTCAGCGGGATGTGAGGCATTCCGTCAAAATGAGGCAGGGACCTAGGGCTTTCTCTAAGGTCTCCACAGGGGATTCAGACATCCCTTCATGTTGTGAGATGAAAGACGAGCCTGTATTCAAGCCACTGCAAGGAAATCCGGCCTCCTTTCAAGTTAGGGGTTCTCGCTGTATATTCCCCTTGAGGCAGCAAACTCGGGGTCCCTCCCACATACCTATTGCTGAGAGAAGCCTCCTCCTGAGGTGCTTCTGGGAAGTTGGCATACGTCTTGAGCCTAAGCCAGGGAATCAGCTCGCATCTCGAGACGATTTGGGGTACACGGAGCATTCCTCGAGTTGCTGTGCTGAAGTTGGTGTTCCTCTAGACTTGGGACAGTGTTCTCGGGGCATCTCTGGAGTTGCCTGAAGGAAGTCGAGCCACCGGTCGTGTTGAATGGGGAACGGGGAATGGCTCTGGAGTCAATGCAGGGGAATCGGGCCTCATCTCGAGTTGATTTGGGGCACATGGAGCTGCTTTGCGTTGCTGGGGTGACCTCAGGGTCCGTCTAGACTGGTGACAGTGTTCTTGGGGACTGTCTCGAGATCCATTAAGCAAGTCGAAGCTCCTGACTTGTTTGAATGGGATCACGGAATAGCTCTGCATGCACTGCAGGGGAATGGGGCCTCATCTCGCCTCTAGGGGGAAGTCTCATGGTTTTTCTCGAGTTGCGGCGGGGACCTGGGGTATGTTCTCGACTTACGGCGGGGATGGCCCTTCAAAACACGAGTTTCTTCAGTGACGTCAGGACTCCTGTCTAGTAACGAGGGACACCTCAGGAATCTCTTCGAGGCTTGGCAGGGCCAAAGGGACGCTTCTCGAGGTGAGGCAGGGCACCCAAGGACCCTTTCCAGTAGCCACAGGGATTTTGGGATTCCTATCAGTATCCAAAGGAGTCAGGCATCGTCACCTTTTGAAGCAATGAACTCCGCGTGCCTCTCGAGGTGTCAGCGGGATGTGAGGCATTCCGTCAAAATGAGGCAGGGACCTAGGGCTTTCTCTAAGGTCTCCACAGGGGATTCAGACATCCCTTCATGTTGTGAGATGAAAGACGAGCCTGTATTCAAGCCACTGCAAGGAAATCCGGCCTCCTTTCAAGTTAGGGCTTCTCGCTGTATATTCCCCTTGAGGCAGCAAACTCGGGGTCCCTCCCACATACCTATTGCTGAGAGAAGCCTCCTCCTGAGGTGCTTCTGGGAAGTTGGCATACGTCTTGAGCCTAAGCCAGGGAATCAGCTCGCATCTCGAGACGATTTGGGGTACACGGAGCATTCCTCGAGTTGCTGTGCTGAAGTTGGTGTTCCTCTAGACTTGGGACAGTGTTCTCGGGGCATCTCTGGAGTTGCCTGAAGGAAGTCGAGCCACCGGTCGTGTTGAATGGGGAACGGGGAATGGCTCTGGAGTCAATGCAGGGGAATCGGGCCTCATCTCGAGTTGATTTGGGGCACATGGAGCTGCTTTGCGTTGCTGGGGTGACCTCAGGGTCCGTCTAGACTGGTGACTGTTCTTGGGGACTGTCTCGAGATCCATTAAGCAAGTCGAAGCTCCTGACTTGTTTGAATGGGATCACGGAATAGCTCTGCATGCACTGCAGGGGAATGGGGCCTCATCTCGCCTCTAGGGGGAAGTCTCATGGTTTTTCTCGAGTTGCGGCGGGGACCTGGGGTATGTTCTCGACTTACGGCGGGGATGGCCCTTCCAAATACGAGTTTCTTCAGTGACGTCAGGACTCCTGTCTAGTAACGAGGGACACCTCAGGAATCTCTTCGAGGCTTGGCAGGGCCAAAGGGACGCTTCTCGAGGTGAGGCAGGGCACCCAAGGACCCTTTCCAGTAGCCACCGGGATTTTGTGATTCCTATCAGTATCCAAAGGAGTCAGGCATCGTCACCTTTTGAAGCAATGAACTCCGCGTGCCTCTCGAGGTGTCAGCGGGATGTGAGGCATTCCGTCAAAATGAGGCAGGGACCTAGGGCTTTCTCTAAGGTCTCCACAGGGGATTCAGACATCCCTTCATGTTGTGAGATGAAAGACGAGCCTGTATTCAAGCCACTGCAAGGAAATCCGGCCTCCTTTCAAGTTAGGGCTTCTCGCTGTATATTCCCCTTGAGGCAGCAAACTCGGGGTCCCTCTCACATACCTATTGCTGAGAGAAGCCTCCTCCTGAGGTGCTTCTGGGAAGTTGGCATACGTCTTGAGCCTAAGCCAGGGAATCAGCTCGCATCTCGAGACGATTTGGGGTACACGGAGCATTCCTCGAGTTGCTGTGCTGAAGTTGGTGTTCCTCTAGACTTGGGACAGTGTTCTCGGGGCATCTCTGGAGTTGCCTGAAGGAAGTCGAGCCACCGGTCGTGTTGAATGGGGAACGGGGAATGGCTCTGGAGTCAATGCAGGGGAATCGGGCCTCATCTCGAGTTGATTTGGGGCACATGGAGCTGCTTTGCGTTGCTGGGGTGACCTCAGGGTCCGTCTAGACTGGTGACAGTGTTCTTGGGGACTGTCTCGAGATCCATTAAGCAAGTCGAAGCTCCTGACTTGTTTGAATGGGATCACGGAATAGCTCTGCATGCACTGCAGGGGAATGGGGCCTCATCTCGCCTCTAGGGGGAAGTCTCATGGTTTTTCTCGAGTTGCGGCGGGGACCTGGGGTATGTTCTCGACTTACGGCGGGGATGGCCCTTCAAAACACGAGTTTCTTCAGTGACGTCAGGACTCCTGTCTAGTAACGAGGGACACCTCAGGAATCTCTTCGAGGCTTGGCAGGGCCAAAGGGACGCTTCTCGAGGTGAGGCAGGGCACCCAAGGACCCTTTCCAGTAGCCACAGGGATTTTGGGATTCCTATCAGTATCCAAAGGAGTCAGGCATCGTCACCTTTTGAAGCAATGAACTCCGCGTGCCTCTCGAGGTGTCAGCGGGATGTGAGGCATTCCGTCAAAATGAGGCAGGGACCTAGGGCTTCTTCTAAGGTCTCCACAGGGGATTCAGACATCCCTTCATGTTGTGAGATGAAAGACGAGCCTGTATTCAAGCCACTGCAAGGAAATCCGGCCTCCTTTCAAGTTAGGGCTTCTCGCTGTATATTCCCCTTGAGGCAGCAAACTCGGGGTCCCTCCCACATACCTATTGCTGAGAGAAGCCTCCTCCGGAGGTGCTTCTGGGAAGTTGGCATACGTCTTGAGCCTAAGCCAGGGAATCAGCTCGCATCTCGAGACGATTTGGGGTACACGGAACATTCCTCGAGTTGCTGTGCTGAAGTTGGTGTTCCTCTAGACTTGGGACAGTGTTCTCGGGGCATCTCTGGAGTTGCCTGAAGGAAGTCGAGCCACCGGTCGTGTTGAATGGGGAACGGCGAATGGCTCTGGAGTCAATGCAGGGGAATCGGGCCTCATCTCGAGTTGATTTGGGGCACATGGAGCTGCTTTGCGTTGCTGGGGTGACCTCAGGGTCCGTCTAGACTGGTGACATTGTTCTTGGGGACTGTCTCGAGATCCATTAAGCAAGCCGAAGCTCCTGACTTGTTTGAATGGGATCACGGAATAGCTCTGCATGCACTACAGGGGAATGGGGCCTCATCTCGCCTCTAGGGGGAAGTCTCATGGTTTTTCTCGAGTTGCGGCGGGGACCTGGGGTATGTTCTCGACTTACGGCGGGGATGGCCCTTCAAAACACGAGTTTCTTCAGTGACGTCAGGACTCCTGTCTAGTAACGAGGGACACCTCAGGAATCTCTTCGAGGCTTGGCAGGGCCAAAGGGACGCTTCTCGAGGTGAGGCAGGGCACCCAAGGACCCTTTCCAGTAGCCACAGGGATTTTGGGATTCCTATCAGTATTCAAGAGGAGTCAGGCATCGTCACCTTTTGAAGCAATGAACTCCGCGTGCCTCTCGAGGTGTCAGCGGGATGTGAGGCATTCCGTCAAAATGAGGCAGGGACCTAGGGCTTTCTCTAAGGTCTCCACAGGGGATTCAGACATCCCTTCATGTTGTGAGATGAAAGACGAGCCTGTATTCAAGCCACTGCAAGGAAATCCGGCCTCCTTTCAAGTTAGGGCTTCTCGCTGTATATTCCCCTTGAGGCAGCAAACTCGGGGTCCCTCCCACATACCTATTGCTGAGAGAAGCCTCCTCCTGAGGTGCTTCTGGGAAGTTGGCATACGTCTTGAGCCTAAGCCAGGGAATCAGCTCGCATCTCGAGACGATTTGGGGTACACGGAGCATTCCTCGAGTTGCTGTGCTGAAGTTGGTGTTCCTCTAGACTTGGGACAGTGTTCTCGGGGCATCTCTGGAGTTGCCTGAAGGAAGTCGAGCCACCGGTCGTGTTGAATGGGGAACGGGGAATGGCTCTGGAGTCAATGCAGGGGAATCGGGCCTCATCTCGAGTTGATTTGGGGCACATGGAGCTGCTTTGCGTTGCTGGGGTGACCTCAGGGTCCGTCTAGACTGGTGACAGTGTTCTTGGGGACTGTCTCGAGATCCATTAAGCAAGTCGAAGCTCCTGACTTGTTTGAATGGGATCACGGAATAGCTCTTCATGCACTGCAGGGGAATGGGGCCTCATCTCGCCTCTAGGGGAAAGTCTCATGGTTTTTCTCGAGTTGCGGCGGGGACCTGGGGTATGTTCTCGACTTACGGCGGGGATGGCCCTTCAAAACACGAGTTTCTTCAGTGACGTCAGGACTCCTGTCTAGTAACGAGGGACACCTCAGGAATCTCTTCGAGGCTTGGCAGGGCCAAAGGGACGCTTCTCGAGGTGAGGCAGGGCACCCAAGGACCCTTTCCAGTAGCCACAGGGATTTTGGGATTCCTATCAGTATTCAAGAGGAGTCAGGCATCGTCACCTTTTGAAGCAATGAACTCCGCGTGCCTCTCGAGGTGTCAGCGGGATGTGAGGCATTCCGTCAAAATGAGGCAGGGACCTAGGGCTTTCTCTAAGGTCTCCACAGGGGATTCAGACATCCCTTCATGTTGTGAGATGAAAGACGAGCCTGTATTCAAGCCACTGCAAGGAAATCCGGCCTCCTTTCAAGTTAGGGCTTCTCGCTGTATATTCCCCTTGAGGCAGCAAACTCGGGGTCCCTCCCACATACCTATTGCTGAGAGAAGCCTCCTCCTGAGGTGCTTCTGGGAAGTTGGCATACGTCTTGAGCCTAAGCCAGGGAATCAGCTCGCATCTCGAGACGATTTGGGGTACACGGAGCATTCCTCGAGTTGCTGTGCTGAAGTTGGTGTTCCTCTAGACTTGGGACAGTGTTCTCGGGGCATCTCTGGAGTTGCCTGAAGGAAGTCGAGCCACCGGTCGTGTTGAATGGGGAACGGGGAATGGCTCTGGAGTCAATGCAGGGGAATCGGGCCTCATCTCGAGTTGATTTGGGGCACATGGAGCTGCTTTGCGTTGCTGGGGTGACCTCAGGGTCCGTCTAGACTGGTGACAGTGTTCTTGGGGACTGTCTCGAGATCCATTAAGCAAGTCGAAGCTCCTGACTTGTTTGAATGGGATCACGGAATAGCTCTGCATGCACTGCAGGGGAATGGGGCCTCATCTCGCCTCTAGGGGGAAGTCTCATGGTTTTTCTCGAGTTGCGGCGGGGACCTGGGGTATGTTCTCGACTTACGGCGGGGATGGCCCTTCAAAACACGAGTTTCTTCAGTGACGTCAGGACTCCTGTCTAGTAACGAGGGACACCTCAGGAATCTCTTCGAGGCTTGGCAGGGCCAAAGGGACGCTTCTCGAGGTGAGGCAGGGCACCCAAGGACCCTTTCCAGTAGCCACAGGGATTTTGGGATTCCTATCAGTATCCAAAGGAGTCAGGCATCGTCACCTTTTGAAGCAATGAACTCCGCGTGCCTCTCGAGGTGTCAGCGGGATGTGAGGCATTCCGTCAAAATGAGGCAGGGACCTAGGGCTTTCTCTAAGGTCTCCACAGGGGATTCAGACATCCCTTCATGTTGTGAGATGAAAGACGAGCCTGTATTCAAGCCACTGCAAGGAAATCCGGCCTCCTTTCAAGTTAGGGCTTCTCGCTGTATATTCCCCTTGAGGCAGCAAACTCGGGGTCCCTCCCACATACCTATTGCTGAGAGAAGCCTCCTCCTGAGGTGCTTCTGGGAAGTTGGCATACGTCTTGAGCCTAAGCCAGGGAATCAGCTCGCATCTCGAGACGATTTGGGGTACACGGAGCATTCCTCGAGTTGCTGTGCTGAAGTTGGTGTTCCTCTAGACTTGGGACAGTGTTCTCGGGGCATCTCTGGAGTTGCCTGAAGGAAGTCGAGCCACCGGTCGTGTTGAATGGGGAACGGGGAATGGCTCTGGAGTCAATGCAGGGGAATCGGGCCTCATCTCGAGTTGATTTGGGGCACATGGAGCTGCTTTGCGTTGCTGGGGTGACCTCAGGGTCCGTCTAGACTGGTGACAGTGTTCTTGGGGACTGTCTCGAGATCCATTAAGCAAGTCGAAGCTCCTGACTTGTTTGAATGGGATCACGGAATAGCTCTGCATGCACTGCAGGGGAATGGGGCCTCATCTCGCCTCTAGGGGGAAGTCTCATGGTTTTTCTCGAGTTGCGGCGGGGACCTGGGGTATGTTCTCGACTTACGGCGGGGATGGCCCTTCAAAACACGAGTTTCTTCAGTGACGTCAGGACTCCTGTCTAGTAACGAGGGACACCTCAGGAATCTCTTCGAGGCTTGGCAGGGCCAAAGGGACGCTTCTCGAGGTGAGGCAGGGCACCCAAGGACCCTTTCCAGTAGCCACAGGGATTTTGGGATTCCTATCAGTATCCAAAGGAGTCAGGCATCGTCACCTTTTGAAGCAATGAACTCCGCGTGCCTCTCGAGGTGTCAGCGGGATGTGAGGCATTCCGTCAAAATGAGGCAGGGACCTAGGGCTTTCTCTAAGGTCTCCACAGGGGATTCAGACATCCCTTCATGTTGTGAGATGAAAGACGAGCCTGTATTCAAGCCACTGCAAGGAAATCCGGCCTCCTTTCAAGTTAGGGCTTCTCGCTGTATATTCCCCTTGAGGCAGCAAACTCGGGGTCCCTCCCACATACCTATTGCTGAGAGAAGCCTCCTCCTGAGGTGCTTCTGGGAAGTTGGCATACGTCTTGAGCCTAAGCCAGGGAATCAGCTCGCATCTCGAGACGATTTGGGGTACACGGAGCATTTCTCGAGTTGCTGTGCTGAAGCTGGTGTTCCTCTAGACTTGGGACAGTGTTCTCGGGGCATCTCTGGAGTTGCCTGAAGGAAGTCGAGCCACCGGTCGTGTTGAATGGGGAACGGGGAATGGCTCTGGAGTCAATACAGGGGAATAGGGCCTCATCTCGAGTTGATTTGGGGCACATGGAGCTGCTTTGCGTTGCTGGGGTGACCTCAGGGTCCGTCTAGACTGGTGACAGTGTTCTTGGGGACTGTCTCGAGATCCATTAAGCAAGTCGAAGCTCCTGACTTGTTTGAATGGGATCACGGAATAGCTCTGCATGCACTGCAGGGGAATGGGGCCTCATCTCGCCTCTAGGGGGAAGTCTCATGGTTTTTCTCGAGTTGCGGCGGGGACCTGGGGTATGTTCTCGACTTACGGCGGGGATGGCCCTTCAAAACACGAGTTTCTTCAGTGACGTCAGGACTCCTGTCTAGTAACGAGGGACACCTCAGGAATCTCTTCGAGGCTTGGCAGGGCCAAAGGGACGCTTCTCGAGGTGAGGCAGGGCACTCAAGGACCCTTTCCAGTAGCCACAGGGATTTTGGGATTCCTATCAGTATTCAAGAGGAGTCAGGCATCGTCACCTTTTGAAGCAATGAACTCCGCGTGCCTCTCGAGGTGTCAGCGGGATGTGAGGCATTCCGTCAAAATGAGGCAGGGACCTAGGGCTTCTTCTAAGGTCTCCACAGGGGATTCAGACATCCCTTCATGTTGTGAGATGAAAGACGAGCCTGTATTCAAGCCACTGCAAGGAAATCCGGCCTCCTTTCAAGTTAGGGCTTCTCGCTGTATATTCCCCTTGAGGCAGCAAACTCGGGGTCCCTCCCACATACCTATTGCTGAGAGAAGCCTCCTCCTGAGGTGCTTCTGGGAAGTTGGCATACGTCTTGAGCCTAAGCCAGGGAATCAGCTCGCATCTCGAGACGATTTGGGGTACACGGAGCATTCCTCGAGTTGCTGTGCTGAAGTTGGTGTTCCTCTAGACTTGGGACAGTGTTCTCGGGGCATCTCTGGAGTTGCCTGAAGGAAGTCGAGCCACCGGTCGTGTTGAATGGGGAACGGGGAATGGCTCTGGAGTCAATGCAGGGGAATCGGGCCTCATCTCGAGTTGATTTGGGGCACATGGAGCTGCTTTGCGTTGCTGGGGTGACCTCAGGGTCCGTCTAGACTGGTGACAGTGTTCTTGGGGACTGTCTCGAGATCCATTAAGCAAGTCGAAGCTCCTGACTTGTTTGAATGGGATCACGGAATAGCTCTTCATGCACTGCAGGGGAATGGGGCCTCATCTCGCCTCTAGGGGAAAGTCTCATGGTTTTTCTCGAGTTGCGGCGGGGACCTGGGGTATGTTCTCGACTTACGGCGGGGATGGCCCTTCAAAACACGAGTTTCTTCAGTGACGTCAGGACTCCTGTCTAGTAACGAGGGACACCTCAGGAATCTCTTCGAGGCTTGGCAGGGCCAAAGGGACGCTTCTCGAGGTGAGGCAGGGCACCCAAGGACCCTTTCCAGTAGCCACAGGGATTTTGGGATTCCTATCAGTATTCAAGAGGAGTCAGGCATCGTCACCTTTTGAAGCAATGAACTCCGCGTGCCTCTCGAGGTGTCAGCGGGATGTGAGGCATTCCGTCAAAATGAGGCAGGGACCTAGGGCTTTCTCTAAGGTCTCCACAGGGGATTCAGACATCCCTTCATGTTGTGAGATGAAAGACGAGCCTGTATTCAAGCCACTGCAAGGAAATCCGGCCTCCTTTCAAGTTAGGGCTTCTCGCTGTATATTCCCCTTGAGGCAGCAAACTCGGGGTCCCTCCCACATACCTATTGCTGAGAGAAGCCTCCTCCTGAGGTGCTTCTGGGAAGTTGGCATACGTCTTGAGCCTAAGCCAGGGAATCAGCTCGCATCTCGAGACGATTTGGGGTACACGGAGCATTCCTCGAGTTGCTGTGCTGAAGTTGGTGTTCCTCTAGACTTGGGACAGTGTTCTCGGGGCATCTCTGGAGTTGCCTGAAGGAAGTCGAGCCACCGGTCGTGTTGAATGGGGAACGGGGAATGGCTCTGGAGTCAATGCAGGGGAATCGGGCCTCATCTCGAGTTGATTTGGGGCACATGGAGCTGCTTTGCGTTGCTGGGGTGACCTCAGGGTCCGTCTAGACTGGTGACAGTGTTCTTGGGGACTGTCTCGAGATCCATTAAGCAAGTCGAAGCTCCTGACTTGTTTGAATGGGATCACGGAATAGCTCTGCATGCACTGCAGGGGAATGGGGCCTCATCTCGCCTCTAGGGGGAAGTCTCATGGTTTTTCTCGAGTTGCGGCGGGGACCTGGGGTATGTTCTTGACTTACGGCGGGGATGGCCCTTCAAAACACGAGTTTCTTCAGTGACGTCAGGACTCCTGTCTAGTAACGAGGGACACCTCAGGAATCTCTTCGAGGCTTGGCAGGGCAAAAGGGACGCTTCTCGAGGTGAGGCAGGGCACCCAAGGACCCTTTCCAGTAGCCACAGGGATTTTGGGATTCCTATCAGTATTCAAGAGGAGTCAGGCATCGTCACCTTTTGAAGCAATGAACTCCGCGTGCCTCTCGAGGTGTCAGCGGGATGTGAGGCATTCCGTCAAAATGAGGCAGGGACCTAGGGCTTTCTCTAAGGTCTCCACAGGGGATTCAGACATCCCTTCATGTTGTGAGATGAAAGACGAGCCTGTATTCAAGCCACTGCAAGGAAATCCGGCCTCCTTTCAAGTTAGGGGTTCTCGCTGTATATTCCCCTTGAGGCAGCAAACTCGGGGTCCCTCCCACATACCTATTGCTGAGAGAAGCCTCCTCCTGAGGTGCTTCTGGGAAGTTGGCATACGTCTTGAGCCTAAGCCAGGGAATCAGCTCGCATCTCGAGACGATTTGGGGTACACGGAGCATTCCTCGAGTTGCTGTGCTGAAGTTGGTGTTCCTCTAGACTTGGGACAGTGTTCTCGGGGCATCTCTGGAGTTGCCTGAAGGAAGTCGAGCCACCGGTCGTGTTGAATGGGGAACGGGGAATGGCTCTGGAGTCAATGCAGGGGAATCGGGCCTCATCTCGAGTTGATTTGGGGCACATGGAGCTGCTTTGCGTTGCTGGGGTGACCTCAGGGTCCGTCTAGACTGGTGACAGTGTTCTTGGGGACTGTCTCGAGATCCATTAAGCAAGTCGAAGCTCCTGACTTGTTTGAATGGGATCACGGAATAGCTCTGCATGCACTGCAGGGGAATGGGGCCTCATCTCGCCTCTAGGGGGAAGTCTCATGGTTTTTCTCGAGTTGCGGCGGGGACCTGGGGTATGTTCTCGACTTACGGCGGGGATGGCCCTTCAAAACACGAGTTTCTTCAGTGACGTCAGGACTCCTGTCTAGTAACGAGGGACACCTCAGGAATCTCTTCGAGGCTTGGCAGGGCCAAAGGGACGCTTCTCGAGGTGAGGCAGGGCACCCAAGGACCCTTTCCAGTAGCCACAGGGATTTTGGGATTCCTATCAGTATCCAAAGGAGTCAGGCATCGTCACCTTTTGAAGCAATGAACTCCGCGTGCCTCTCGAGGTGTCAGCGGGATGTGAGGCATTCCGTCAAAATGAGGCAGGGACCTAGGGCTTTCTCTAAGGTCTCCACAGGGGATTCAGACATCCCTTCATGTTGTGAGATGAAAGACGAGCCTGTATTCAAGCCACTGCAAGGAAATCCGGCCTCCTTTCAAGTTAGGGCTTCTCGCTGTATATTCCCCTTGAGGCAGCAAACTCGGGGTCCCTCCCACATACCTATTGCTGAGAGAAGCCTCCTCCTGAGGTGCTTCTGGGAAGTTGGCATACGTCTTGAGCCTAAGCCAGGGAATCAGCTCGCATCTCGAGACGATTTGGGGTACACGGAGCATTCCTCGAGTTGCTGTGCTGAAGTTGGTGTTCCTCTAGACTTGGGACAGTGTTCTCGGGGCATCTCTGGAGTTGCCTGAAGGAAGTCGAGCCACCGGTCGTGTTGAATGGGGAACGGGGAATGGCTCTGGAGTCAATGCAGGGGAATCGGGCCTCATCTCGAGTTGATTTGGGGCACATGGAGCTGCTTTGCGTTGCTGGGGTGACCTCAGGGTCCGTCTAGACTGGTGACTGTTCTTGGGGACTGTCTCGAGATCCATTAAGCAAGTCGAAGCTCCTGACTTGTTTGAATGGGATCACGGAATAGCTCTGCATGCACTGCAGGGGAATGGGGCCTCATCTCGCCTCTAGGGGGAAGTCTCATGGTTTTTCTCGAGTTGCGGCGGGGACCTGGGGTATGTTCTCGACTTACGGCGGGGATGGCCCTTCCAAATACGAGTTTCTTCAGTGACGTCAGGACTCCTGTCTAGTAACGAGGGACACCTCAGGAATCTCTTCGAGGCTTGGCAGGGCCAAAGGGACGCTTCTCGAGGTGAGGCAGGGCACCCAAGGACCCTTTCCAGTAGCCACCGGGATTTTGTGATTCCTATCAGTATCCAAAGGAGTCAGGCATCGTCACCTTTTGAAGCAATGAACTCCGCGTGCCTCTCGAGGTGTCAGCGGGATGTGAGGCATTCCGTCAAAATGAGGCAGGGACCTAGGGCTTTCTCTAAGGTCTCCACAGGGGATTCAGACATCCCTTCATGTTGTGAGATGAAAGACGAGCCTGTATTCAAGCCACTGCAAGGAAATCCGGCCTCCTTTCAAGTTAGGGCTTCTCGCTGTATATTCCCCTTGAGGCAGCAAACTCGGGGTCCCTCTCACATACCTATTGCTGAGAGAAGCCTCCTCCTGAGGTGCTTCTGGGAAGTTGGCATACGTCTTGAGCCTAAGCCAGGGAATCAGCTCGCATCTCGAGACGATTTGGGGTACACGGAGCATTCCTCGAGTTGCTGTGCTGAAGTTGGTGTTCCTCTAGACTTGGGACAGTGTTCTCGGGGCATCTCTGGAGTTGCCTGAAGGAAGTCGAGCCACCGGTCGTGTTGAATGGGGAACGGGGAATGGCTCTGGAGTCAATGCAGGGGAATCGGGCCTCATCTCGAGTTGATTTGGGGCACATGGAGCTGCTTTGCGTTGCTGGGGTGACCTCAGGGTCCGTCTAGACTGGTGACAGTGTTCTTGGGGACTGTCTCGAGATCCATTAAGCAAGTCGAAGCTCCTGACTTGTTTGAATGGGATCACGGAATAGCTCTGCATGCACTGCAGGGGAATGGGGCCTCATCTCGCCTCTAGGGGGAAGTCTCATGGTTTTTCTCGAGTTGCGGCGGGGACCTGGGGTATGTTCTCGACTTACGGCGGGGATGGCCCTTCAAAACACGAGTTTCTTCAGTGACGTCAGGACTCCTGTCTAGTAACGAGGGACACCTCAGGAATCTCTTCGAGGCTTGGCAGGGCCAAAGGGACGCTTCTCGAGGTGAGGCAGGGCACCCAAGGACCCTTTCCAGTAGCCACAGGGATTTTGGGATTCCTATCAGTATCCAAAGGAGTCAGGCATCGTCACCTTTTGAAGCAATGAACTCCGCGTGCCTCTCGAGGTGTCAGCGGGATGTGAGGCATTCCGTCAAAATGAGGCAGGGACCTAGGGCTTCTTCTAAGGTCTCCACAGGGGATTCAGACATCCCTTCATGTTGTGAGATGAAAGACGAGCCTGTATTCAAGCCACTGCAAGGAAATCCGGCCTCCTTTCAAGTTAGGGCTTCTCGCTGTATATTCCCCTTGAGGCAGCAAACTCGGGGTCCCTCCCACATACCTATTGCTGAGAGAAGCCTCCTCCGGAGGTGCTTCTGGGAAGTTGGCATACGTCTTGAGCCTAAGCCAGGGAATCAGCTCGCATCTCGAGACGATTTGGGGTACACGGAACATTCCTCGAGTTGCTGTGCTGAAGTTGGTGTTCCTCTAGACTTGGGACAGTGTTCTCGGGGCATCTCTGGAGTTGCCTGAAGGAAGTCGAGCCACCGGTCGTGTTGAATGGGGAACGGCGAATGGCTCTGGAGTCAATGCAGGGGAATCGGGCCTCATCTCGAGTTGATTTGGGGCACATGGAGCTGCTTTGCGTTGCTGGGGTGACCTCAGGGTCCGTCTAGACTGGTGACAGTGTTCTTGGGGACTGTCTCGAGATCCATTAAGCAAGTCGAAGCTCCTGACTTGTTTGAATGGGATCACGGAATAGCTCTGCATGCACTGCAGGGGAATGGGGCCTCATCTCGCCTCTAGGGGGAAGTCTCATGGTTTTTCTCGAGTTGCGGCGGGGACCTGGGGTATGTTCTCGACTTACGGCGGGGATGGCCCTTCAAAACACGAGTTTCTTCAGTGACGTCAGGACTCCTGTCTAGTAACGAGGGACACCTCAGGAATCTCTTCGAGGCTTGGCAGGGCCAAAGGGACGCTTCTCGAGGTGAGGCAGGGCACCCAAGGACCCTTTCCAGTAGCCACAGGGATTTTGGGATTCCTATCAGTATCCAAAGGAGTCAGGCATCGTCACCTTTTGAAGCAATGAACTCCGCGTGCCTCTCGAGGTGTCAGCGGGATGTGAGGCATTCCGTCAAAATGAGGCAGGGACCTAGGGCTTCTTCTAAGGTCTCCACAGGGGATTCAGACATCCCTTCATGTTGTGAGATGAAAGACGAGCCTGTATTCAAGCCACTGCAAGGAAATCCGGCCTCCTTTCAAGTTAGGGCTTCTCGCTGTATATTCCCCTTGAGGCAGCAAACTCGGGGTCCCTCCCACATACCTATTGCTGAGAGAAGCCTCCTCCGGAGGTGCTTCTGGGAAGTTGGCATACGTCTTGAGCCTAAGCCAGGGAATCAGCTCGCATCTCGAGACGATTTGGGGTACACGGAACATTCCTCGAGTTGCTGTGCTGAAGTTGGTGTTCCTCTAGACTTGGGACAGTGTTCTCGGGGCATCTCTGGAGTTGCCTGAAGGAAGTCGAGCCACCGGTCGTGTTGAATGGGGAACGGCGAATGGCTCTGGAGTCAATGCAGGGGAATCGGGCCTCATCTCGAGTTGATTTGGGGCACATGGAGCTGCTTTGCGTTGCTGGGGTGACCTCAGGGTCCGTCTAGACTGGTGACATTGTTCTTGGGGACTGTCTCGAGATCCATTAAGCAAGCCGAAGCTCCTGACTTGTTTGAATGGGATCACGGAATAGCTCTGCATGCACTACAGGGGAATGGGGCCTCATCTCGCCTCTAGGGGGAAGTCTCATGGTTTTTCTCGAGTTGCGGCGGGGACCTGGGGTATGTTCTCGACTTACGGCGGGGATGGCCCTTCAAAACACGAGTTTCTTCAGTGACGTCAGGACTCCTGTCTAGTAACGAGGGACACCTCAGGAATCTCTTCGAGGCTTGGCAGGGCCAAAGGGACGCTTCTCGAGGTGAGGCAGGGCACCCAAGGACCCTTTCCAGTAGCCACAGGGATTTTGGGATTCCTATCAGTATTCAAGAGGAGTCAGGCATCGTCACCTTTTGAAGCAATGAACTCCGCGTGCCTCTCGAGGTGTCAGCGGGATGTGAGGCATTCCGTCAAAATGAGGCAGGGACCTAGGGCTTTCTCTAAGGTCTCCACAGGGGATTCAGACATCCCTTCATGTTGTGAGATGAAAGACGAGCCTGTATTCAAGCCACTGCAAGGAAATCCGGCCTCCTTTCAAGTTAGGGCTTCTCGCTGTATATTCCCCTTGAGGCAGCAAACTCGGGGTCCCTCCCACATACCTATTGCTGAGAGAAGCCTCCTCCTGAGGTGCTTCTGGGAAGTTGGCATACGTCTTGAGCCTAAGCCAGGGAATCAGCTCGCATCTCGAGACGATTTGGGGTACACGGAGCATTCCTCGAGTTGCTGTGCTGAAGTTGGTGTTCCTCTAGACTTGGGACAGTGTTCTCGGGGCATCTCTGGAGTTGCCTGAAGGAAGTCGAGCCACCGGTCGTGTTGAATGGGGAACGGGGAATGGCTCTGGAGTCAATGCAGGGGAATCGGGCCTCATCTCGAGTTGATTTGGGGCACATGGAGCTGCTTTGCGTTGCTGGGGTGACCTCAGGGTCCGTCTAGACTGGTGACAGTGTTCTTGGGGACTGTCTCGAGATCCATTAAGCAAGTCGAAGCTCCTGACTTGTTTGAATGGGATCACGGAATAGCTCTTCATGCACTGCAGGGGAATGGGGCCTCATCTCGCCTCTAGGGGAAAGTCTCATGGTTTTTCTCGAGTTGCGGCGGGGACCTGGGGTATGTTCTCGACTTACGGCGGGGATGGCCCTTCAAAACACGAGTTTCTTCAGTGACGTCAGGACTCCTGTCTAGTAACGAGGGACACCTCAGGAATCTCTTCGAGGCTTGGCAGGGCCAAAGGGACGCTTCTCGAGGTGAGGCAGGGCACCCAAGGACCCTTTCCAGTAGCCACAGGGATTTTGGGATTCCTATCAGTATTCAAGAGGAGTCAGGCATCGTCACCTTTTGAAGCAATGAACTCCGCGTGCCTCTCGAGGTGTCAGCGGGATGTGAGGCATTCCGTCAAAATGAGGCAGGGACCTAGGGCTTTCTCTAAGGTCTCCACAGGGGATTCAGACATCCCTTCATGTTGTGAGATGAAAGACGAGCCTGTATTCAAGCCACTGCAAGGAAATCCGGCCTCCTTTCAAGTTAGGGCTTCTCGCTGTATATTCCCCTTGAGGCAGCAAACTCGGGGTCCCTCCCACATACCTATTGCTGAGAGAAGCCTCCTCCTGAGGTGCTTCTGGGAAGTTGGCATACGTCTTGAGCCTAAGCCAGGGAATCAGCTCGCATCTCGAGACGATTTGGGGTACACGGAGCATTCCTCGAGTTGCTGTGCTGAAGTTGGTGTTCCTCTAGACTTGGGACAGTGTTCTCGGGGCATCTCTGGAGTTGCCTGAAGGAAGTCGAGCCACCGGTCGTGTTGAATGGGGAACGGGGAATGGCTCTGGAGTCAATGCAGGGGAATCGGGCCTCATCTCGAGTTGATTTGGGGCACATGGAGCTGCTTTGCGTTGCTGGGGTGACCTCAGGGTCCGTCTAGACTGGTGACAGTGTTCTTGGGGACTGTCTCGAGATCCATTAAGCAAGTCGAAGCTCCTGACTTGTTTGAATGGGATCACGGAATAGCTCTGCATGCACTGCAGGGGAATGGGGCCTCATCTCGCCTCTAGGGGGAAGTCTCATGGTTTTTCTCGAGTTGCGGCGGGGACCTGGGGTATGTTCTCGACTTACGGCGGGGATGGCCCTTCAAAACACGAGTTTCTTCAGTGACGTCAGGACTCCTGTCTAGTAACGAGGGACACCTCAGGAATCTCTTCGAGGCTTGGCAGGGCCAAAGGGACGCTTCTCGAGGTGAGGCAGGGCACCCAAGGACCCTTTCCAGTAGCCACAGGGATTTTGGGATTCCTATCAGTATTCAAGAGGAGTCAGGCATCGTCACCTTTTGAAGCAATGAACTCCGCGTGCCTCTCGAGGTGTCAGCGGGATGTGAGGCATTCCGTCAAAATGAGGCAGGGACCTAGGGCTTTCTCTAAGGTCTCCACAGGGGATTCAGACATCCCTTCATGTTGTGAGATGAAAGACGAGCCTGTATTCAAGCCACTGCAAGGAAATCCGGCCTCCTTTCAAGTTAGGGCTTCTCGCTGTATATTCCCCTTGAGGCAGCAAACTCGGGGTCCCTCCCACATACCTATTGCTGAGAGAAGCCTCCTCCTGAGGTGCTTCTGGGAAGTTGGCATACGTCTTGAGCCTAAGCCAGGGAATCAGCTCGCATCTCGAGACGATTTGGGGTACACGGAGCATTCCTCGAGTTGCTGTGCTGAAGTTGGTGTTCCTCTAGACTTGGGACAGTGTTCTCGGGGCATCTCTGGAGTTGCCTGAAGGAAGTCGAGCCACCGGTCGTGTTGAATGGGGAACGGGGAATGGCTCTGGAGTCAATGCAGGGGAATCGGGCCTCATCTCGAGTTGATTTGGGGCACATGGAGCTGCTTTGCGTTGCTGGGGTGACCTCAGGGTCCGTCTAGACTGGTGACTGTTCTTGGGGACTGTCTCGAGATCCATTAAGCAAGTCGAAGCTCCTGACTTGTTTGAATGGGATCACGGAATAGCTCTGCATGCACTGCAGGGGAATGGGGCCTCATCTCGCCTCTAGGGGGAAGTCTCATGGTTTTTCTCGAGTTGCGGCGGGGACCTGGGGTATGTTCTCGACTTACGGCGGGGATGGCCCTTCCAAATACGAGTTTCTTCAGTGACGTCAGGACTCCTGTCTAGTAACGAGGGACACCTCAGGAATCTCTTCGAGGCTTGGCAGGGCCAAAGGGACGCTTCTCGAGGTGAGGCAGGGCACCCAAGGACCCTTTCCAGTAGCCACCGGGATTTTGTGATTCCTATCAGTATCCAAAGGAGTCAGGCATCGTCACCTTTTGAAGCAATGAACTCCGCGTGCCTCTCGAGGTGTCAGCGGGATGTGAGGCATTCCGTCAAAATGAGGCAGGGACCTAGGGCTTTCTCTAAGGTCTCCACAGGGGATTCAGACATCCCTTCATGTTGTGAGATGAAAGACGAGCCTGTATTCAAGCCACTGCAAGGAAATCCGGCCTCCTTTCAAGTTAGGGCTTCTCGCTGTATATTCCCCTTGAGGCAGCAAACTCGGGGTCCCTCTCACATACCTATTGCTGAGAGAAGCCTCCTCCTGAGGTGCTTCTGGGAAGTTGGCATACGTCTTGAGCCTAAGCCAGGGAATCAGCTCGCATCTCGAGACGATTTGGGGTACACGGAGCATTCCTCGAGTTGCTGTGCTGAAGTTGGTGTTCCTCTAGACTTGGGACAGTGTTCTCGGGGCATCTCTGGAGTTGCCTGAAGGAAGTCGAGCCACCGGTCGTGTTGAATGGGGAACGGGGAATGGCTCTGGAGTCAATGCAGGGGAATCGGGCCTCATCTCGAGTTGATTTGGGGCACATGGAGCTGCTTTGCGTTGCTGGGGTGACCTCAGGGTCCGTCTAGACTGGTGACAGTGTTCTTGGGGACTGTCTCGAGATCCATTAAGCAAGTCGAAGCTCCTGACTTGTTTGAATGGGATCACGGAATAGCTCTGCATGCACTGCAGGGGAATGGGGCCTCATCTCGCCTCTAGGGGGAAGTCTCATGGTTTTTCTCGAGTTGCGGCGGGGACCTGGGGTATGTTCTCGACTTACGGCGGGGATGGCCCTTCAAAACACGAGTTTCTTCAGTGACGTCAGGACTCCTGTCTAGTAACGAGGGACACCTCAGGAATCTCTTCGAGGCTTGGCAGGGCCAAAGGGACGCTTCTCGAGGTGAGGCAGGGCACCCAAGGACCCTTTCCAGTAGCCACAGGGATTTTGGGATTCCTATCAGTATCCAAAGGAGTCAGGCATCGTCACCTTTTGAAGCAATGAACTCCGCGTGCCTCTCGAGGTGTCAGCGGGATGTGAGGCATTCCGTCAAAATGAGGCAGGGACCTAGGGCTTCTTCTAAGGTCTCCACAGGGGATTCAGACATCCCTTCATGTTGTGAGATGAAAGACGAGCCTGTATTCAAGCCACTGCAAGGAAATCCGGCCTCCTTTCAAGTTAGGGCTTCTCGCTGTATATTCCCCTTGAGGCAGCAAACTCGGGGTCCCTCCCACATACCTATTGCTGAGAGAAGCCTCCTCCGGAGGTGCTTCTGGGAAGTTGGCATACGTCTTGAGCCTAAGCCAGGGAATCAGCTCGCATCTCGAGACGATTTGGGGTACACGGAACATTCCTCGAGTTGCTGTGCTGAAGTTGGTGTTCCTCTAGACTTGGGACAGTGTTCTCGGGGCATCTCTGGAGTTGCCTGAAGGAAGTCGAGCCACCGGTCGTGTTGAATGGGGAACGGCGAATGGCTCTGGAGTCAATGCAGGGGAATCGGGCCTCATCTCGAGTTGATTTGGGGCACATGGAGCTGCTTTGCGTTGCTGGGGTGACCTCAGGGTCCGTCTAGACTGGTGACATTGTTCTTGGGGACTGTCTCGAGATCCATTAAGCAAGCCGAAGCTCCTGACTTGTTTGAATGGGATCACGGAATAGCTCTGCATGCACTACAGGGGAATGGGGCCTCATCTCGCCTCTAGGGGGAAGTCTCATGGTTTTTCTCGAGTTGCGGCGGGGACCTGGGGTATGTTCTCGACTTACGGCGGGGATGGCCCTTCAAAACACGAGTTTCTTCAGTGACGTCAGGACTCCTGTCTAGTAACGAGGGACACCTCAGGAATCTCTTCGAGGCTTGGCAGGGCCAAAGGGACGCTTCTCGAGGTGAGGCAGGGCACCCAAGGACCCTTTCCAGTAGCCACAGGGATTTTGGGATTCCTATCAGTATTCAAGAGGAGTCAGGCATCGTCACCTTTTGAAGCAATGAACTCCGCGTGCCTCTCGAGGTGTCAGCGGGATGTGAGGCATTCCGTCAAAATGAGGCAGGGACCTAGGGCTTTCTCTAAGGTCTCCACAGGGGATTCAGACATCCCTTCATGTTGTGAGATGAAAGACGAGCCTGTATTCAAGCCACTGCAAGGAAATCCGGCCTCCTTTCAAGTTAGGGCTTCTCGCTGTATATTCCCCTTGAGGCAGCAAACTCGGGGTCCCTCCCACATACCTATTGCTGAGAGAAGCCTCCTCCTGAGGTGCTTCTGGGAAGTTGGCATACGTCTTGAGCCTAAGCCAGGGAATCAGCTCGCATCTCGAGACGATTTGGGGTACACGGAGCATTCCTCGAGTTGCTGTGCTGAAGTTGGTGTTCCTCTAGACTTGGGACAGTGTTCTCGGGGCATCTCTGGAGTTGCCTGAAGGAAGTCGAGCCACCGGTCGTGTTGAATGGGGAACGGGGAATGGCTCTGGAGTCAATGCAGGGGAATCGGGCCTCATCTCGAGTTGATTTGGGGCACATGGAGCTGCTTTGCGTTGCTGGGGTGACCTCAGGGTCCGTCTAGACTGGTGACAGTGTTCTTGGGGACTGTCTCGAGATCCATTAAGCAAGTCGAAGCTCCTGACTTGTTTGAATGGGATCACGGAATAGCTCTTCATGCACTGCAGGGGAATGGGGCCTCATCTCGCCTCTAGGGGAAAGTCTCATGGTTTTTCTCGAGTTGCGGCGGGGACCTGGGGTATGTTCTCGACTTACGGCGGGGATGGCCCTTCAAAACACGAGTTTCTTCAGTGACGTCAGGACTCCTGTCTAGTAACGAGGGACACCTCAGGAATCTCTTCGAGGCTTGGCAGGGCCAAAGGGACGCTTCTCGAGGTGAGGCAGGGCACCCAAGGACCCTTTCCAGTAGCCACAGGGATTTTGGGATTCCTATCAGTATTCAAGAGGAGTCAGGCATCGTCACCTTTTGAAGCAATGAACTCCGCGTGCCTCTCGAGGTGTCAGCGGGATGTGAGGCATTCCGTCAAAATGAGGCAGGGACCTAGGGCTTTCTCTAAGGTCTCCACAGGGGATTCAGACATCCCTTCATGTTGTGAGATGAAAGACGAGCCTGTATTCAAGCCACTGCAAGGAAATCCGGCCTCCTTTCAAGTTAGGGCTTCTCGCTGTATATTCCCCTTGAGGCAGCAAACTCGGGGTCCCTCCCACATACCTATTGCTGAGAGAAGCCTCCTCCTGAGGTGCTTCTGGGAAGTTGGCATACGTCTTGAGCCTAAGCCAGGGAATCAGCTCGCATCTCGAGACGATTTGGGGTACACGGAGCATTCCTCGAGTTGCTGTGCTGAAGTTGGTGTTCCTCTAGACTTGGGACAGTGTTCTCGGGGCATCTCTGGAGTTGCCTGAAGGAAGTCGAGCCACCGGTCGTGTTGAATGGGGAACGGGGAATGGCTCTGGAGTCAATGCAGGGGAATCGGGCCTCATCTCGAGTTGATTTGGGGCACATGGAGCTGCTTTGCGTTGCTGGGGTGACCTCAGGGTCCGTCTAGACTGGTGACAGTGTTCTTGGGGACTGTCTCGAGATCCATTAAGCAAGTCGAAGCTCCTGACTTGTTTGAATGGGATCACGGAATAGCTCTGCATGCACTGCAGGGGAATGGGGCCTCATCTCGCCTCTAGGGGGAAGTCTCATGGTTTTTCTCGAGTTGCGGCGGGGACCTGGGGTATGTTCTCGACTTACGGCGGGGATGGCCCTTCAAAACACGAGTTTCTTCAGTGACGTCAGGACTCCTGTCTAGTAACGAGGGACACCTCAGGAATCTCTTCGAGGCTTGGCAGGGCCAAAGGGACGCTTCTCGAGGTGAGGCAGGGCACCCAAGGACCCTTTCCAGTAGCCACAGGGATTTTGGGATTCCTATCAGTATTCAAGAGGAGTCAGGCATCGTCACCTTTTGAAGCAATGAACTCCGCGTGCCTCTCGAGGTGTCAGCGGGATGTGAGGCATTCCGTCAAAATGAGGCAGGGACCTAGGGCTTTCTCTAAGGTCTCCACAGGGGATTCAGACATCCCTTCATGTTGTGAGATGAAAGACGAGCCTGTATTCAAGCCACTGCAAGGAAATCCGGCCTCCTTTCAAGTTAGGGCTTCTCGCTGTATATTCCCCTTGAGGCAGCAAACTCGGGGTCCCTCCCACATACCTATTGCTGAGAGAAGCCTCCTCCTGAGGTGCTTCTGGGAAGTTGGCATACGTCTTGAGCCTAAGCCAGGGAATCAGCTCGCATCTCGAGACGATTTGGGGTACACGGAGCATTCCTCGAGTTGCTGTGCTGAAGTTGGTGTTCCTCTAGACTTGGGACAGTGTTCTCGGGGCATCTCTGGAGTTGCCTGAAGGAAGTCGAGCCACCGGTCGTGTTGAATGGGGAACGGGGAATGGCTCTGGAGTCAATGCAGGGGAATCGGGCCTCATCTCGAGTTGATTTGGGGCACATGGAGCTGCTTTGCGTTGCTGGGGTGACCTCAGGGTCCGTCTAGACTGGTGACAGTGTTCTTGGGGACTGTCTCGAGATCCATTAAGCAAGTCGAAGCTCCTGACTTGTTTGAATGGGATCACGGAATAGCTCTGCATGCACTGCAGGGGAATGGGGCCTCATCTCGCCTCTAGGGGGAAGTCTCATGGTTTTTCTCGAGTTGCGGCGGGGACCTGGGGTATGTTCCTGACTTACGGCGGGGATGGCCCTTCAAAACACGAGTTTCTTCAGTGACGTCAGGACTCCTGTCTAGTAACGAGGGACACCTCAGGAATCTCTTCGAGGCTTGGCAGGGCAAAAGGGACGCTTCTCGAGGTGAGGCAGGGCACCCAAGGACCCTTTCCAGTAGCCACAGGGATTTTGGGATTCCTATCAGTATTCAAGAGGAGTCAGGCATCGTCACCTTTTGAAGCAATGAACTCCGCGTGCCTCTCGAGGTGTCAGCGGGATGTGAGGCATTCCGTCAAAATGAGGCAGGGACCTAGGGCTTTCTCTAAGGTCTCCACAGGGGATTCAGACATCCCTTCATGTTGTGAGATGAAAGACGAGCCTGTATTCAAGCCACTGCAAGGAAATCCGGCCTCCTTTCAAGTTAGGGGTTCTCGCTGTATATTCCCCTTGAGGCAGCAAACTCGGGGTCCCTCCCACATACCTATTGCTGAGAGAAGCCTCCTCCTGAGGTGCTTCTGGGAAGTTGGCATACGTCTTGAGCCTAAGCCAGGGAATCAGCTCGCATCTCGAGACGATTTGGGGTACACGGAGCATTCCTCGAGTTGCTGTGCTGAAGTTGGTGTTCCTCTAGACTTGGGACAGTGTTCTCGGGGCATCTCTGGAGTTGCCTGAAGGAAGTCGAGCCACCGGTCGTGTTGAATGGGGAACGGGGAATGGCTCTGGAGTCAATGCAGGGGAATCGGGCCTCATCTCGAGTTGATTTGGGGCACATGGAGCTGCTTTGCGTTGCTGGGGTGACCTCAGGGTCCGTCTAGACTGGTGACAGTGTTCTTGGGGACTGTCTCGAGATCCATTAAGCAAGTCGAAGCTCCTGACTTGTTTGAATGGGATCACGGAATAGCTCTGCATGCACTGCAGGGGAATGGGGCCTCATCTCGCCTCTAGGGGGAAGTCTCATGGTTTTTCTCGAGTTGCGGCGGGGACCTGGGGTATGTTCTCGACTTACGGCGGGGATGGCCCTTCAAAACACGAGTTTCTTCAGTGACGTCAGGACTCCTGTCTAGTAACGAGGGACACCTCAGGAATCTCTTCGAGGCTTGGCAGGGCCAAAGGGACGCTTCTCGAGGTGAGGCAGGGCACCCAAGGACCCTTTCCAGTAGCCACAGGGATTTTGGGATTCCTATCAGTATCCAAAGGAGTCAGGCATCGTCACCTTTTGAAGCAATGAACTCCGCGTGCCTCTCGAGGTGTCAGCGGGATGTGAGGCATTCCGTCAAAATGAGGCAGGGACCTAGGGCTTTCTCTAAGGTCTCCACAGGGGATTCAGACATCCCTTCATGTTGTGAGATGAAAGACGAGCCTGTATTCAAGCCACTGCAAGGAAATCCGGCCTCCTTTCAAGTTAGGGCTTCTCGCTGTATATTCCCCTTGAGGCAGCAAACTCGGGGTCCCTCCCACATACCTATTGCTGAGAGAAGCCTCCTCCTGAGGTGCTTCTGGGAAGTTGGCATACGTCTTGAGCCTAAGCCAGGGAATCAGCTCGCATCTCGAGACGATTTGGGGTACACGGAGCATTCCTCGAGTTGCTGTGCTGAAGTTGGTGTTCCTCTAGACTTGGGACAGTGTTCTCGGGGCATCTCTGGAGTTGCCTGAAGGAAGTCGAGCCACCGGTCGTGTTGAATGGGGAACGGGGAATGGCTCTGGAGTCAATGCAGGGGAATCGGGCCTCATCTCGAGTTGATTTGGGGCACATGGAGCTGCTTTGCGTTGCTGGGGTGACCTCAGGGTCCGTCTAGACTGGTGACTGTTCTTGGGGACTGTCTCGAGATCCATTAAGCAAGTCGAAGCTCCTGACTTGTTTGAATGGGATCACGGAATAGCTCTGCATGCACTGCAGGGGAATGGGGCCTCATCTCGCCTCTAGGGGGAAGTCTCATGGTTTTTCTCGAGTTGCGGCGGGGACCTGGGGTATGTTCTCGACTTACGGCGGGGATGGCCCTTCCAAATACGAGTTTCTTCAGTGACGTCAGGACTCCTGTCTAGTAACGAGGGACACCTCAGGAATCTCTTCGAGGCTTGGCAGGGCCAAAGGGACGCTTCTCGAGGTGAGGCAGGGCACCCAAGGACCCTTTCCAGTAGCCACCGGGATTTTGTGATTCCTATCAGTATCCAAAGGAGTCAGGCATCGTCACCTTTTGAAGCAATGAACTCCGCGTGCCTCTCGAGGTGTCAGCGGGATGTGAGGCATTCCGTCAAAATGAGGCAGGGACCTAGGGCTTTCTCTAAGGTCTCCACAGGGGATTCAGACATCCCTTCATGTTGTGAGATGAAAGACGAGCCTGTATTCAAGCCACTGCAAGGAAATCCGGCCTCCTTTCAAGTTAGGGCTTCTCGCTGTATATTCCCCTTGAGGCAGCAAACTCGGGGTCCCTCTCACATACCTATTGCTGAGAGAAGCCTCCTCCTGAGGTGCTTCTGGGAAGTTGGCATACGTCTTGAGCCTAAGCCAGGGAATCAGCTCGCATCTCGAGACGATTTGGGGTACACGGAGCATTCCTCGAGTTGCTGTGCTGAAGTTGGTGTTCCTCTAGACTTGGGACAGTGTTCTCGGGGCATCTCTGGAGTTGCCTGAAGGAAGTCGAGCCACCGGTCGTGTTGAATGGGGAACGGGGAATGGCTCTGGAGTCAATGCAGGGGAATCGGGCCTCATCTCGAGTTGATTTGGGGCACATGGAGCTGCTTTGCGTTGCTGGGGTGACCTCAGGGTCCGTCTAGACTGGTGACAGTGTTCTTGGGGACTGTCTCGAGATCCATTAAGCAAGTCGAAGCTCCTGACTTGTTTGAATGGGATCACGGAATAGCTCTGCATGCACTGCAGGGGAATGGGGCCTCATCTCGCCTCTAGGGGGAAGTCTCATGGTTTTTCTCGAGTTGCGGCGGGGACCTGGGGTATGTTCTCGACTTACGGCGGGGATGGCCCTTCAAAACACGAGTTTCTTCAGTGACGTCAGGACTCCTGTCTAGTAACGAGGGACACCTCAGGAATCTCTTCGAGGCTTGGCAGGGCCAAAGGGACGCTTCTCGAGGTGAGGCAGGGCACCCAAGGACCCTTTCCAGTAGCCACAGGGATTTTGGGATTCCTATCAGTATCCAAAGGAGTCAGGCATCGTCACCTTTTGAAGCAATGAACTCCGCGTGCCTCTCGAGGTGTCAGCGGGATGTGAGGCATTCCGTCAAAATGAGGCAGGGACCTAGGGCTTCTTCTAAGGTCTCCACAGGGGATTCAGACATCCCTTCATGTTGTGAGATGAAAGACGAGCCTGTATTCAAGCCACTGCAAGGAAATCCGGCCTCCTTTCAAGTTAGGGCTTCTCGCTGTATATTCCCCTTGAGGCAGCAAACTCGGGGTCCCTCCCACATACCTATTGCTGAGAGAAGCCTCCTCCGGAGGTGCTTCTGGGAAGTTGGCATACGTCTTGAGCCTAAGCCAGGGAATCAGCTCGCATCTCGAGACGATTTGGGGTACACGGAACATTCCTCGAGTTGCTGTGCTGAAGTTGGTGTTCCTCTAGACTTGGGACAGTGTTCTCGGGGCATCTCTGGAGTTGCCTGAAGGAAGTCGAGCCACCGGTCGTGTTGAATGGGGAACGGCGAATGGCTCTGGAGTCAATGCAGGGGAATCGGGCCTCATCTCGAGTTGATTTGGGGCACATGGAGCTGCTTTGCGTTGCTGGGGTGACCTCAGGGTCCGTCTAGACTGGTGACATTGTTCTTGGGGACTGTCTCGAGATCCATTAAGCAAGCCGAAGCTCCTGACTTGTTTGAATGGGATCACGGAATAGCTCTGCATGCACTACAGGGGAATGGGGCCTCATCTCGCCTCTAGGGGGAAGTCTCATGGTTTTTCTCGAGTTGCGGCGGGGACCTGGGGTATGTTCTCGACTTACGGCGGGGATGGCCCTTCAAAACACGAGTTTCTTCAGTGACGTCAGGACTCCTGTCTAGTAACGAGGGACACCTCAGGAATCTCTTCGAGGCTTGGCAGGGCCAAAGGGACGCTTCTCGAGGTGAGGCAGGGCACCCAAGGACCCTTTCCAGTAGCCACAGGGATTTTGGGATTCCTATCAGTATTCAAGAGGAGTCAGGCATCGTCACCTTTTGAAGCAATGAACTCCGCGTGCCTCTCGAGGTGTCAGCGGGATGTGAGGCATTCCGTCAAAATGAGGCAGGGACCTAGGGCTTTCTCTAAGGTCTCCACAGGGGATTCAGACATCCCTTCATGTTGTGAGATGAAAGACGAGCCTGTATTCAAGCCACTGCAAGGAAATCCGGCCTCCTTTCAAGTTAGGGCTTCTCGCTGTATATTCCCCTTGAGGCAGCAAACTCGGGGTCCCTCCCACATACCTATTGCTGAGAGAAGCCTCCTCCTGAGGTGCTTCTGGGAAGTTGGCATACGTCTTGAGCCTAAGCCAGGGAATCAGCTCGCATCTCGAGACGATTTGGGGTACACGGAGCATTCCTCGAGTTGCTGTGCTGAAGTTGGTGTTCCTCTAGACTTGGGACAGTGTTCTCGGGGCATCTCTGGAGTTGCCTGAAGGAAGTCGAGCCACCGGTCGTGTTGAATGGGGAACGGGGAATGGCTCTGGAGTCAATGCAGGGGAATCGGGCCTCATCTCGAGTTGATTTGGGGCACATGGAGCTGCTTTGCGTTGCTGGGGTGACCTCAGGGTCCGTCTAGACTGGTGACAGTGTTCTTGGGGACTGTCTCGAGATCCATTAAGCAAGTCGAAGCTCCTGACTTGTTTGAATGGGATCACGGAATAGCTCTTCATGCACTGCAGGGGAATGGGGCCTCATCTCGCCTCTAGGGGAAAGTCTCATGGTTTTTCTCGAGTTGCGGCGGGGACCTGGGGTATGTTCTCGACTTACGGCGGGGATGGCCCTTCAAAACACGAGTTTCTTCAGTGACGTCAGGACTCCTGTCTAGTAACGAGGGACACCTCAGGAATCTCTTCGAGGCTTGGCAGGGCCAAAGGGACGCTTCTCGAGGTGAGGCAGGGCACCCAAGGACCCTTTCCAGTAGCCACAGGGATTTTGGGATTCCTATCAGTATTCAAGAGGAGTCAGGCATCGTCACCTTTTGAAGCAATGAACTCCGCGTGCCTCTCGAGGTGTCAGCGGGATGTGAGGCATTCCGTCAAAATGAGGCAGGGACCTAGGGCTTTCTCTAAGGTCTCCACAGGGGATTCAGACATCCCTTCATGTTGTGAGATGAAAGACGAGCCTGTATTCAAGCCACTGCAAGGAAATCCGGCCTCCTTTCAAGTTAGGGCTTCTCGCTGTATATTCCCCTTGAGGCAGCAAACTCGGGGTCCCTCCCACATACCTATTGCTGAGAGAAGCCTCCTCCTGAGGTGCTTCTGGGAAGTTGGCATACGTCTTGAGCCTAAGCCAGGGAATCAGCTCGCATCTCGAGACGATTTGGGGTACACGGAGCATTCCTCGAGTTGCTGTGCTGAAGTTGGTGTTCCTCTAGACTTGGGACAGTGTTCTCGGGGCATCTCTGGAGTGGCCTGAAGGAAGTCGAGCCACCGGTCGTGTTGAATGGGGAACGGGGAATGGCTCTGGAGTCAATGCAGGGGAATCGGGCCTCATCTCGAGTTGATTTGGGGCACATGGAGCTGCTTTGCGTTGCTGGGGTGACCTCAGGGTCCGTCTAGACTGGTGACAGTGTTCTTGGGGACTGTCTCGAGATCCATTAAGCAAGTCGAAGCTCCTGACTTGTTTGAATGGGATCACGGAATAGCTCTGCATGCACTGCAGGGGAATGGGGCCTCATCTCGCCTCTAGGGGGAAGTCTCATGGTTTTTCTCGAGTTGCGGCGGGGACCTGGGGTATGTTCTCGACTTACGGCGGGGATGGCCCTTCAAAACACGAGTTTCTTCAGTGACGTCAGGACTCCTGTCTAGTAACGAGGGACACCTCAGGAATCTCTTCGAGGCTTGGCAGGGCCAAAGGGACGCTTCTCGAGGTGAGGCAGGGCACCCAAGGACCCTTTCCAGTAGCCACAGGGATTTTGGGATTCCTATCAGTATTCAAGAGGAGTCAGGCATCGTCACCTTTTGAAGCAATGAACTCCGCGTGCCTCTCGAGGTGTCAGCGGGATGTGAGGCATTCCGTCAAAATGAGGCAGGGACCTAGGGCTTTCTCTAAGGTCTCCACAGGGGATTCAGACATCCCTTCATGTTGTGAGATGAAAGACGAGCCTGTATTCAAGCCACTGCAAGGAAATCCGGCCTCCTTTCAAGTTAGGGCTTCTCGCTGTATATTCCCCTTGAGGCAGCAAACTCGGGGTCCCTCCCACATACCTATTGCTGAGAGAAGCCTCCTCCTGAGGTGCTTCTGGGAAGTTGGCATACGTCTTGAGCCTAAGCCAGGGAATCAGCTCGCATCTCGAGACGATTTGGGGTACACGGAGCATTCCTCGAGTTGCTGTGCTGAAGTTGGTGTTCCTCTAGACTTGGGACAGTGTTCTCGGGGCATCTCTGGAGTTGCCTGAAGGAAGTCGAGCCACCGGTCGTGTTGAATGGGGAACGGGGAATGGCTCTGGAGTCAATGCAGGGGAATCGGGCCTCATCTCGAGTTGATTTGGGGCACATGGAGCTGCTTTGCGTTGCTGGGGTGACCTCAGGGTCCGTCTAGACTGGTGACTGTTCTTGGGGACTGTCTCGAGATCCATTAAGCAAGTCGAAGCTCCTGACTTGTTTGAATGGGATCACGGAATAGCTCTGCATGCACTGCAGGGGAATGGGGCCTCATCTCGCCTCTAGGGGGAAGTCTCATGGTTTTTCTCGAGTTGCGGCGGGGACCTGGGGTATGTTCTCGACTTACGGCGGGGATGGCCCTTCCAAATACGAGTTTCTTCAGTGACGTCAGGACTCCTGTCTAGTAACGAGGGACACCTCAGGAATCTCTTCGAGGCTTGGCAGGGCCAAAGGGACGCTTCTCGAGGTGAGGCAGGGCACCCAAGGACCCTTTCCAGTAGCCACCGGGATTTTGTGATTCCTATCAGTATCCAAAGGAGTCAGGCATCGTCACCTTTTGAAGCAATGAACTCCGCGTGCCTCTCGAGGTGTCAGCGGGATGTGAGGCATTCCGTCAAAATGAGGCAGGGACCTAGGGCTTTCTCTAAGGTCTCCACAGGGGATTCAGACATCCCTTCATGTTGTGAGATGAAAGACGAGCCTGTATTCAAGCCACTGCAAGGAAATCCGGCCTCCTTTCAAGTTAGGGCTTCTCGCTGTATATTCCCCTTGAGGCAGCAAACTCGGGGTCCCTCTCACATACCTATTGCTGAGAGAAGCCTCCTCCTGAGGTGCTTCTGGGAAGTTGGCATACGTCTTGAGCCTAAGCCAGGGAATCAGCTCGCATCTCGAGACGATTTGGGGTACACGGAGCATTCCTCGAGTTGCTGTGCTGAAGTTGGTGTTCCTCTAGACTTGGGACAGTGTTCTCGGGGCATCTCTGGAGTTGCCTGAAGGAAGTCGAGCCACCGGTCGTGTTGAATGGGGAACGGGGAATGGCTCTGGAGTCAATGCAGGGGAATCGGGCCTCATCTCGAGTTGATTTGGGGCACATGGAGCTGCTTTGCGTTGCTGGGGTGACCTCAGGGTCCGTCTAGACTGGTGACAGTGTTCTTGGGGACTGTCTCGAGATCCATTAAGCAAGTCGAAGCTCCTGACTTGTTTGAATGGGATCACGGAATAGCTCTGCATGCACTGCAGGGGAATGGGGCCTCATCTCGCCTCTAGGGGGAAGTCTCATGGTTTTTCTCGAGTTGCGGCGGGGACCTGGGGTATGTTCTCGACTTACGGCGGGGATGGCCCTTCAAAACACGAGTTTCTTCAGTGACGTCAGGACTCCTGTCTAGTAACGAGGGACACCTCAGGAATCTCTTCGAGGCTTGGCAGGGCCAAAGGGACGCTTCTCGAGGTGAGGCAGGGCACCCAAGGACCCTTTCCAGTAGCCACAGGGATTTTGGGATTCCTATCAGTATCCAAAGGAGTCAGGCATCGTCACCTTTTGAAGCAATGAACTCCGCGTGCCTCTCGAGGTGTCAGCGGGATGTGAGGCATTCCGTCAAAATGAGGCAGGGACCAAGGGCTTCTTCTAAGGTCTCCACAGGGGATTCAGACATCCCTTCATGTTGTGAGATGAAAGACGAGCCTGTATTCAAGCCACTGCAAGGAAATCCGGCCTCCTTTCAAGTTAGGGCTTCTCGCTGTATATTCCCCTTGAGGCAGCAAACTCGGGGTCCCTCCCACATACCTATTGCTGAGAGAAGCCTCCTCCGGAGGTGCTTCTGGGAAGTTGGCATACGTCTTGAGCCTAAGCCAGGGAATCAGCTCGCATCTCGAGACGATTTGGGGTACACGGAACATTCCTCGAGTTGCTGTGCTGAAGTTGGTGTTCCTCTAGACTTGGGACAGTGTTCTCGGGGCATCTCTGGAGTTGCCTGAAGGAAGTCGAGCCACCGGTCGTGTTGAATGGGGAACGGCGAATGGCTCTGGAGTCAATGCAGGGGAATCGGGCCTCATCTCGAGTTGATTTGGGGCACATGGAGCTGCTTTGCGTTGCTGGGGTGACCTCAGGGTCCGTCTAGACTGGTGACATTGTTCTTGGGGACTGTCTCGAGATCCATTAAGCAAGCCGAAGCTCCTGACTTGTTTGAATGGGATCACGGAATAGCTCTGCATGCACTACAGGGGAATGGGGCCTCATCTCGCCTCTAGGGGGAAGTCTCATGGTTTTTCTCGAGTTGCGGCGGGGACCTGGGGTATGTTCTCGACTTACGGCGGGGATGGCCCTTCAAAACACGAGTTTCTTCAGTGACGTCAGGACTCCTGTCTAGTAACGAGGGACACCTCAGGAATCTCTTCGAGGCTTGGCAGGGCCAAAGGGACGCTTCTCGAGGTGAGGCAGGGCACCCAAGGACCCTTTCCAGTAGCCACAGGGATTTTGGGATTCCTATCAGTATTCAAGAGGAGTCAGGCATCGTCACCTTTTGAAGCAATGAACTCCGCGTGCCTCTCGAGGTGTCAGCGGGATGTGAGGCATTCCGTCAAAATGAGGCAGGGACCTAGGGCTTTCTCTAAGGTCTCCACAGGGGATTCAGACATCCCTTCATGTTGTGAGATGAAAGACGAGCCTGTATTCAAGCCACTGCAAGGAAATCCGGCCTCCTTTCAAGTTAGGGCTTCTCGCTGTATATTCCCCTTGAGGCAGCAAACTCGGGGTCCCTCCCACATACCTATTGCTGAGAGAAGCCTCCTCCTGAGGTGCTTCTGGGAAGTTGGCATACGTCTTGAGCCTAAGCCAGGGAATCAGCTCGCATCTCGAGACGATTTGGGGTACACGGAGCATTCCTCGAGTTGCTGTGCTGAAGTTGGTGTTCCTCTAGACTTGGGACAGTGTTCTCGGGGCATCTCTGGAGTTGCCTGAAGGAAGTCGAGCCACCGGTCGTGTTGAATGGGGAACGGGGAATGGCTCTGGAGTCAATGCAGGGGAATCGGGCCTCATCTCGAGTTGATTTGGGGCACATGGAGCTGCTTTGCGTTGCTGGGGTGACCTCAGGGTCCGTCTAGACTGGTGACAGTGTTCTTGGGGACTGTCTCGAGATCCATTAAGCAAGTCGAAGCTCCTGACTTGTTTGAATGGGATCACGGAATAGCTCTTCATGCACTGCAGGGGAATGGGGCCTCATCTCGCCTCTAGGGGAAAGTCTCATGGTTTTTCTCGAGTTGCGGCGGGGACCTGGGGTATGTTCTCGACTTACGGCGGGGATGGCCCTTCAAAACACGAGTTTCTTCAGTGACGTCAGGACTCCTGTCTAGTAACGAGGGACACCTCAGGAATCTCTTCGAGGCTTGGCAGGGCCAAAGGGACGCTTCTCGAGGTGAGGCAGGGCACCCAAGGACCCTTTCCAGTAGCCACAGGGATTTTGGGATTCCTATCAGTATTCAAGAGGAGTCAGGCATCGTCACCTTTTGAAGCAATGAACTCCGCGTGCCTCTCGAGGTGTCAGCGGGATGTGAGGCATTCCGTCAAAATGAGGCAGGGACCTAGGGCTTTCTCTAAGGTCTCCACAGGGGATTCAGACATCCCTTCATGTTGTGAGATGAAAGACGAGCCTGTATTCAAGCCACTGCAAGGAAATCCGGCCTCCTTTCAAGTTAGGGCTTCTCGCTGTATATTCCCCTTGAGGCAGCAAACTCGGGGTCCCTCCCACATACCTATTGCTGAGAGAAGCCTCCTCCTGAGGTGCTTCTGGGAAGTTGGCATACGTCTTGAGCCTAAGCCAGGGAATCAGCTCGCATCTCGAGACGATTTGGGGTACACGGAGCATTCCTCGAGTTGCTGTGCTGAAGTTGGTGTTCCTCTAGACTTGGGACAGTGTTCTCGGGGCATCTCTGGAGTTGCCTGAAGGAAGTCGAGCCACCGGTCGTGTTGAATGGGGAACGGGGAATGGCTCTGGAGTCAATGCAGGGGAATCGGGCCTCATCTCGAGTTGATTTGGGGCACATGGAGCTGCTTTGCGTTGCTGGGGTGACCTCAGGGTCCGTCTAGACTGGTGACAGTGTTCTTGGGGACTGTCTCGAGATCCATTAAGCAAGTCGAAGCTCCTGACTTGTTTGAATGGGATCACGGAATAGCTCTGCATGCACTGCAGGGGAATGGGGCCTCATCTCGCCTCTAGGGGGAAGTCTCATGGTTTTTCTCGAGTTGCGGCGGGGACCTGGGGTATGTTCTCGACTTACGGCGGGGATGGCCCTTCAAAACACGAGTTTCTTCAGTGACGTCAGGACTCCTGTCTAGTAACGAGGGACACCTCAGGAATCTCTTCGAGGCTTGGCAGGGCCAAAGGGACGCTTCTCGAGGTGAGGCAGGGCACCCAAGGACCCTTTCCAGTAGCCACAGGGATTTTGGGATTCCTATCAGTATTCAAGAGGAGTCAGGCATCGTCACCTTTTGAAGCAATGAACTCCGCGTGCCTCTCGAGGTGTCAGCGGGATGTGAGGCATTCCGTCAAAATGAGGCAGGGACCTAGGGCTTTCTCTAAGGTCTCCACAGGGGATTCAGACATCCCTTCATGTTGTGAGATGAAAGACGAGCCTGTATTCAAGCCACTGCAAGGAAATCCGGCCTCCTTTCAAGTTAGGGCTTCTCGCTGTATATTCCCCTTGAGGCAGCAAACTCGGGGTCCCTCCCACATACCTATTGCTGAGAGAAGCCTCCTCCTGAGGTGCTTCTGGGAAGTTGGCATACGTCTTGAGCCTAAGCCAGGGAATCAGCTCGCATCTCGAGACGATTTGGGGTACACGGAGCATTCCTCGAGTTGCTGTGCTGAAGTTGGTGTTCCTCTAGACTTGGGACAGTGTTCTCGGGGCATCTCTGGAGTTGCCTGAAGGAAGTCGAGCCACCGGTCGTGTTGAATGGGGAACGGGGAATGGCTCTGGAGTCAATGCAGGGGAATCGGGCCTCATCTCGAGTTGATTTGGGGCACATGGAGCTGCTTTGCGTTGCTGGGGTGACCTCAGGGTCCGTCTAGACTGGTGACAGTGTTCTTGGGGACTGTCTCGAGATCCATTAAGCAAGCCGAAGCTCCTGACTTGTTTGAATGGGATCACGGAATAGCTCTGCATGCACTGCAGGGGAATGGGGCCTCATCTCGCCTCTAGGGGAAAGTCTCATGGTTTTTCTCGAGTTGCGGCGGGGACCTGGGGTATGTTCTCGACTTACGGCGGGGATGGCCCTTCAAAACACGAGTTTCTTCAGTGACGTCAGGACTCCTGTCTAGTAACGAGGGACACCTCAGGAATCTCTTCGAGGCTTGGCAGGGCCAAAGGGACGCTTCTCGAGGTGAGGCAGGGCACCCAAGGACCCTTTCCAGTAGCCACAGGGATTTTGGGATTCCTATCAGTATTCAAGAGGAGTCAGGCATCGTCACCTTTTGAAGCAATGAACTCCGCGTGCCTCTCGAGGTGTCAGCGGGATGTGAGGCATTCCGTCAAAATGAGGCAGGGACCTAGGGCTTTCTCTAAGGTCTCCACAGGGGATTCAGACATCCCTTCATGTTGTGAGATGAAAGACGAGCCTGTATTCAAGCCACTGCAAGGAAATCCGGCCTCCTTTCAAGTTAGGGCTTCTCGCTGTATATTCCCCTTGAGGCAGCAAACTCGGGGTCCCTCCCACATACCTATTGCTGAGAGAAGCCTCCTCCTGAGGTGCTTCTGGGAAGTTGGCATACGTCTTGAGCCTAAGCCAGGGAATCAGCTCGCATCTCGAGACGATTTGGGGTACACGGAGCATTCCTCGAGTTGCTGTGCTGAAGTTGGTGTTCCTCTAGACTTGGGACAGTGTTCTCGGGGCATCTCTGGAGTTGCCTGAAGGAAGTCGAGCCACCGGTCGTGTTGAATGGGGAACGGGGAATGGCTCTGGAGTCAATGCAGGGGAATCGGGCCTCATCTCGAGTTGATTTGGGGCACATGGAGCTGCTTTGCGTTGCTGGGGTGACCTCAGGGTCCGTCTAGACTGGTGACAGTGTTCTTGGGGACTGTCTCGAGATCCATTAAGCAAGCCGAAGCTCCTGACTTGTTTGAATGGGATCACGGAATAGCTCTGCATGCACTGCAGGGGAATGGGGCCTCATCTCGCCTCTAGGGGAAAGTCTCATGGTTTTTCTCGAGTTGCGGCGGGGACCTGGGGTATGTTCTCGACTTACGGCGGGGATGGCCCTTCAAAACACGAGTTTCTTCAGTGACGTCAGGACTCCTGTCTAGTAACGAGGGACACCTCAGGAATCTCTTCGAGGCTTGGCAGGGCCAAAGGGACGCTTCTCGAGGTGAGGCAGGGCACCCAAGGACCTTTTCCAGTAGCCACAGGGATTTTGGGATTCCTATCAGTATTCAAGAGGAGTCAGGCATCGTCACCTTTTGAAGCAATGAACTCCGCGTGCCTCTCGAGGTGTCAGCGGGATGTGAGGCATTCCGTCAAAATGAGGCAGGGACCTAGGGCTTTCTCTAAGGTCTCCACAGGGGATTCAGACATCCCTTCATGTTGTGAGATGAAAGACGAGCCTGTATTCAAGCCACTGCAAGGAAATCCGGCCTCCTTTCAAGTTAGGGCTTCTCGCTGTATATTCCCCTTGAGGCAGCAAACTCGGGGTCCCTCCCACATACCTATTGCTGAGAGAAGCCTCCTCCTGAGGTGCTTCTGGGAAGTTGGCATACGTCTTGAGCCTAAGCCAGGGAATCAGCTCGCATCTCGAGACGATTTGGGGTACACGGAGCATTCCTCGAGTTGCTGTGCTGAAGTTGGTGTTCCTCTAGACTTGGGACAGTGTTCTCGGGGCATCTCTGGAGTTGCCTGAAGGAAGTCGAGCCACCGGTCGTGTTGAATGGGGAACGGGGAATGGCTCTGGAGTCAATGCAGGGGAATCGGGCCTCATCTCGAGTTGATTTGGGGCACATGGAGCTGCTTTGCGTTGCTGGGGTGACCTCAGGGTCCGTCTAGACTGGTGACAGTGTTCTTGGGGACTGTCTCGAGATCCATTAAGCAAGTCGAAGCTCCTGACTTGTTTGAATGGGATCACGGAATAGCTCTGCATGCACTGCAGGGGAATGGGGCCTCATCTCGCCTCTAGGGGAAAGTCTCATGGTTTTTCTCGAGTTGCGGCGGGGACCTGGGGTATGTTCTCGACTTACGGCGGGGATGGCCCTTCAAAACACGAGTTTCTTCAGTGACGTCAGGACTCCTGTCTAGTAACGAGGGACACCTCAGGAATCTCTTCGAGGCTTGGCAGGGCCAAAGGGACGCTTCTCGAGGTGAGGCAGGGCACCCAAGGACCCTTTCCAGTAGCCACAGGGATTTTGGGATTCCTATCAGTATTCAAGAGGAGTCAGGCATCGTCACCTTTTGAAGCAATGAACTCCGCGTGCCTCTCGAGGTGTCAGCGGGATGTGAGGCATTCCGTCAAAATGAGGCAGGGACCTAGGGCTTTCTCTAAGGTCTCCACAGGGGATTCAGACATCCCTTCATGTTGTGAGATGAAAGACGAGCCTGTATTCAAGCCACTGCAAGGAAATCCGGCCTCCTTTCAAGTTAGGGCTTCTCGCTGTATATTCCCCTTGAGGCAGCAAACTCGGGGTCCCTCCCACATACCTATTGCTGAGAGAAGCCTCCTCCTGAGGTGCTTCTGGGAAGTTGGCATACGTCTTGAGCCTAAGCCAGGGAATCAGCTCGCATCTCGAGACGATTTGGGGTACACGGAGCATTCCTCGAGTTGCTGTGCTGAAGTTGGTGTTCCTCTAGACATGGGACAGTGTTCTCGGGGCATCTCTGGAGTTGCCTGAAGGAAGTCGAGCCACCGGTCGTGTTGAATGGGGAACGGGGAATGGCTCTGGAGTCAATGCAGGGGAATCGGGCTCATCTCGAGTTGATTTGGGGCACATGGAGCTGCTTTGCGTTGCTGGGGTGACCTCAGGGTCCGTCTAGACTGGTGACAGTGTTCTTGGGGACTGTCTCGAGATCCATTAAGCAAGTCGAAGCTCCTGACTTGTTTGAATGGGATCACGGAATAGCTCTGCATGCACTGCAGGGGAATGGGGCCTCATCTCGCCTCTAGGAGGAAGTCTCATGGTTTTTCTCGAGTTGCGGCGGGGACCTGGGGTATGTTCTCGACTTACGGCGGGGATGGCCCTTCAAAACACGAGTTTCTTCAGTGACGTCAGGACTCCTGTCTAGTAACGAGGGACACCTCAGGAATCTCTTCGAGGCTTGGCAGGGCCAAAGGGACGCTTCTCGAGGTGAGGCAGGGCACCCAAGGACCCTTTCCAGTAGCCACAGGGATTTTGGGATTCCTATCAGTATCCAAAGGAGTCAGGCATCGTCACCTTTTGAAGCAATGAACTCCGCGTGCCTCTCGAGGTGTCAGCGGGATGTGAGGCATTCCGTCAAAATGAGGCAGGGACCTAGGGCTTTCTCTAAGGTCTCCACAGGGGATTCAGACATCCCTTCATGTTGTGAGATGAAAGACGAGCCTGTATTCAAGCCACTGCAAGGAAATCCGGCCTCCTTTCAAGTTAGGGCTTCTCGCTGTATATTCCCCTTGAGGCAGCAAACTCGGGGTCCCTCCCACATACCTATTGCTGAGAGAAGCCTCCTCCTGAGGTGCTTCTGGGAAGTTGGCATACGTCTTGAGCCTAAGCCAGGGAATCAGCTCGCATCTCGAGACGATTTGGGGTACACGGAGCATTTCTCGAGTTGCTGTGCTGAAGCTGGTGTTCCTCTAGACTTGGGACAGTGTTCTCGGGGCATCTCTGGAGTTGCCTGAAGGAAGTCGAGCCACCGGTCGTGTTGAATGGGGAACGGGGAATGGCTCTGGAGTCAATACAGGGGAATAGGGCCTCATCTCGAGTTGATTTGGGGCACATGGAGCTGCTTTGCGTTGCTGGGGTGACCTCAGGGTCCGTCTAGACTGGTGACAGTGTTCTTGGGGACTGTCTCGAGATCCATTAAGCAAGTCGAAGCTCCTGACTTGTTTAAATGGGATCACGGAATAGCTCTGCATGCACTGCAGGGGAATGGGGCCTCATCTCGCCTCTAGGGGGAAGTCTCATGGTTTTTCTCGAGTTGCGGCGGGGACCTGGGGTATGTTCTCGACTTACGGCGGGGATGGCCCTTCAAAACACGAGTTTCTTCAGTGACGTCAGGACTCCTGTCTAGTAACGAGGGACACCTCAGGAATCTCTTCGAGGCTTGGCAGGGCCAAAGGGACGCTTTTCGAGGTGAGGCAGGGCACTCAAGGACCCTTTCCAGTAGCCACAGGGATTTTGGAATTCCTATCAGTATTCAAGAGGAGTCAGGCATCGTCACCTTTTGAAGCAATGAACTCCGCGTGCCTCTCGAGGTGTCAGCGGGATGTGAGGCATTCCGTCAAAATGAGGCAGGGACCTAGGGCTTCTTCTAAGGTCTCCACAGGGGATTCAGACATCCCTTCATGTTGTGAGATGAAAGACGAGCCTGTATTCAAGCCACTGCAAGGAAATCCGGCCTCCTTTCAAGTTAGGGCTTCTCGCTGTATATTCCCCTTGAGGCAGCAAACTCGGGGTCCCTCCCACATACCTATTGCTGAGAGAAGCCTCCTCCTGAGGTGCTTCTGGGAAGTTGGCATACGTCTTGAGCCTAAGCCAGGGAATCAGCTCGCATCTCGAGACGATTTGGGGTACACGGAGCATTCCTCGAGTTGCTGTGCTGAAGTTGGTGTTCCTCTAGACTTGGGACAGTGTTCTCGGGGCATCTCTGGAGTTGCCTGAAGGAAGTCGAGCCACCGGTCGTGTTGAATGGGGAACGGGGAATGGCTCTGGAGTCAATGCAGGGGAATCGGGCCTCATCTCGAGTTGATTTGGGGCACATGGAGCTGCTTTGCGTTGCTGGGGTGACCTCAGGGTCCGTCTAGACTGGTGACAGTGTTCTTGGGGACTGTCTCGAGATCCATTAAGCAAGTCGAAGCTCCTGACTTGTTTGAATGGGATCACGGAATAGCTCTTCATGCACTGCAGGGGAATGGGGCCTCATCTCGCCTCTAGGGGGAAGTCTCATGGTTTTTCTCGAGTTGCGGCGGGGACCTGGGGTATGTTCTCGACTTACGGCGGGGATGGCCCTTCAAAACACGAGTTTCTTCAGTGACGTCAGGACTCCTGTCTAGTAACGAGGGACACCTCAGGAATCTCTTCGAGGCTTGGCAGGGCCAAAGGGACGCTTCTCGAGGTGAGGCAGGGCACCCAAGGACCCTTTCCAGTAGCCACAGGGATTTTGGGATTCCTATCAGTATTCAAGAGGAGTCAGGCATCGTCACCTTTTGAAGCAATGAACTCCGCGTGCCTCTCGAGGTGTCAGCGGGATGTGAGGCATTCCGTCAAAATGAGGCAGGGACCTAGGGCTTTCTCTAAGGTCTCCACAGGGGATTCAGACATCCCTTCATGTTGTGAGATGAAAGACGAGCCTGTATTCAAGCCACTGCAAGGAAATCCGGCCTCCTTTCAAGTTAGGGGTTCTCGCTGTATATTCCCCTTGAGGCAGCAAACTCGGGGTCCCTCCCACATACCTATTGCTGAGAGAAGCCTCCTCCTGAGGTGCTTCTGGGAAGTTGGCATACGTCTTGAGCCTAAGCCAGGGAATCAGCTCGCATCTCGAGACGATTTGGGGTACACGGAGCATTCCTCGAGTTGCTGTGCTGAAGTTGGTGTTCCTCTAGACTTGGGACAGTGTTCTCGGGGCATCTCTGGAGTTGCCTGAAGGAAGTCGAGCCACCGGTCGTGTTGAATGGGGAACGGGGAATGGCTCTGGAGTCAATGCAGGGGAATCGGGCCTCATCTCGCCTCTAGGGGGAAGTCTCATGGTTTTTCTCGAGTTGCGGCGGGGACCTGGGGTATGTTCTCGACTTACGGCGGGGATGGCCCTTCAAAACACGAGTTTCTTCAGTGACGTCAGGACTCCTGTCTAGTAACGAGGGACACCTCAGGAATCTCTTCGAGGCTTGGCAGGGCCAAAGGGACGCTTCTCGAGGTGAGGCAGGGCACCCAAGGACCCTTTCCAGTAGCCACAGGGATTTTGGGATTCCTATCAGTATTCAAGAGGAGTCAGGCATCGTCACCTTTTGAAGCAATGAACTCCGCGTGCCTCTCGAGGTGTCAGCGGGATGTGAGGCATTCCGTCAAAATGAGGCAGGGACCTAGGGCTTTCTCTAAGGTCTCCACAGGGGATTCAGACATCCCTTCATGTTGTGAGATGAAAGACGAGCCTGTATTCAAGCCACTGCAAGGAAATCCGGCCTCCTTTCAAGTTAGGGGTTCTCGCTGTATATTCCCCTTGAGGCAGCAAACTCGGGGTCCCTCCCACATACCTATTGCTGAGAGAAGCCTCCTCCTGAGGTGCTTCTGGGAAGTTGGCATACGTCTTGAGCCTAAGCCAGGGAATCAGCTCGCATCTCGAGACGATTTGGGGTACACGGAGCATTCCTCGAGTTGCTGTGCTGAAGTTGGTGTTCCTCTAGACTTGGGACAGTGTTCTCGGGGCATCTCTGGAGTTGCCTGAAGGAAGTCGAGCCACCGGTCGTGTTGAATGGGGAATGGGGAATGGCTCTGGAGTCAATGCAGGGGAATCGGGCCTCATCTCGAGTTGATTTGGGGCACATGGAGCTGCTTTGCGTTGCTGGGGTGACCTCAGGGTCCGTCTAGACTGGTGACAGTGTTCTTGGGGACTGTCTCGAGATCCATTAAGCAAGTCGAAGCTCCTGACTTGTTTGAATGGGATCACGGAATAGCTCTGCATGCACTGCAGGGGAATGGGGCCTCATCTCGCCTCTAGGGGGAAGTCTCATGGTTTTTCTCGAGTTGCGGCGGGGACCTGGGGTATGTTCTCGACTTACGGCGGGGATGGCCCTTCAAAACACGAGTTTCTTCAGTGACGTCAGGACTCCTGTCTAGTAACGAGGGACACCTCAGGAATCTCTTCGAGGCTTGGCAGGGCCAAAGGGACGCTTCTCGAGGTGAGGCAGGGCACCCAAGGACCCTTTCCAGTAGCCACAGGGATTTTGGGATTCCTATCAGTATTCAAGAGGAGTCAGGCATCGTCACCTTTTGAAGCAATGAACTCCGCGTGCCTCTCGAGGTGTCAGCGGGATGTGAGGCATTGCGTCAAAATGAGGCAGGGACCTAGGGCTTTCTCTAAGGTCTCCACAGGGGATTCAGACATCCCTTCATGTTGTGAGATGAAAGACGAGCCTGTATTCAAGCCACTGCAAGGAAATCCGGCCTCCTTTCAAGTTAGGGCTTCTCGCTGTATATTCCCCTTGAGGCAGCAAACTCGGGGTCCCTCCCACATACCTATTGCTGAGAGAAGCCTCCTCCTGAGGTGCTTCTGGGAAGTTGGCATACGTCTTGAGCCTAAGCCAGGGAATCAGCTCGCATCTCGAGACGATTTGGGGTACACGGAGCATTCCTCGAGTTGCTGTGCTGAAGTTGGTGTTCCTCTAGACTTGGGACAGTGTTCTCGGGGCATCTCTGGAGTTGCCTGAAGGAAGTCGAGCCACCGGTCGTGTTGAATGGGGAACGGGGAATGGCTCTGGAGTCAATGCAGGGGAATCGGGCCTCATCTCGAGTTGATTTGGGGCACATGGAGCTGCTTTGCGTTGCTGGGGTGACCTCAGGGTCCGTCTAGACTGGTGACAGTGTTCTTGGGGACTGTCTCGAGATCCATTAAGCAAGTCGAAGCTCCTGACTTGTTTGAATGGGATCACGGAATAGCTCTTCATGCACTGCAGGGGAATGGGGCCTCATCTCGCATCTAGGGGAAAGTCTCATGGTTTTTCTCGAGTTGCGGCGGGGACCTGGGGTATGTTCTCGACTTACGGCGGGGATGGCCCTTCAAAACACGAGTTTCTTCAGTGACGTCAGGACTCCTGTCTAGTAACGAGGGACACCTCAGGAATCTCTTCGAGGCTTGGCAGGGCCAAAGGGACGCTTCTCGAGGTGAGGCAGGGCACCCAAGGACCCTTTCCAGTAGCCACAGGGATTTTGGGATTCCTATCAGTATTCAAGAGGAGTCAGGCATCGTCACCTTTTGAAGCAATGAACTCCGCGTGCCTCTCGAGGTGTCAGCGGGATGTGAGGCATTCCGTCAAAATGAGGCAGGGACCTAGGGCTTTCTCTAAGGTCTCCACAGGGGATTCAGACATCCCTTCATGTTGTGAGATGAAAGACGAGCCTGTATTCAAGCCACTGCAAGGAAATCCGGCCTCCTTTCAAGTTAGGGCTTCTCGCTGTATATTCCCCTTGAGGCAGCAAACTCGGGGTCCCTCCCACATACCTATTGCTGAGAGAAGCCTCCTCCTGAGGTGCTTCTGGGAAGTTGGCATACGTCTTGAGCCTAAGCCAGGGAATCAGCTCGCATCTCGAGACGATTTGGGGTACACGGAGCATTCCTCGAGTTGCTGTGCTGAAGTTGGTGTTCCTCTAGACTTGGGACAGTGTTCTCGGGGCATCTCTGGAGTTGCCTGAAGGAAGTCGAGCCACCGGTCGTGTTGAATGGGGAACGGGGAATGGCTCTGGAGTCAATGCAGGGGAATGGGGCCTCATCTCGAGTTGATTTGGGGCACATGGAGCTGCTTTGCGTTGCTGGGGTGACCTCAGGGTCCGTCTAGACTGGTGACAGTGTTCTTGGGGACTGTCTCGAGATCCATTAAGCAAGTCGAAGCTCCTGACTTGTTTGAATGGGATCACGGAATAGCTCTGCATGCACTGCAGGGGAATGGGGCCTCATCTCGCCTCTAGGGGGAAGTCTCATGGTTTTTCTCGAGTTGCGGCGGGGACCTGGGGTATGTTCTCGACTTACGGCGGGGATGGCCCTTCAAAACACGAGTTTCTTCAGTGACGTCAGGACTCCTGTCTAGTAACGAGGGACACCTCAGGAATCTCTTCGAGGCTTGGCAGGGCCAAAGGGACGCTTCTCGAGGTGAGGCAGGGCACCCAAGGACCCTTTCCAGTAGCCACAGGGATTTTGGGATTCCTATCAGTATTCAAGAGGAGTCAGGCATCGTCACCTTTTGAAGCAATGAACTCCGCGTGCCTCTCGAGGTGTCAGCGGGATGTGAGGCATTCCGTCAAAATGAGGCAGGGACCTAGGGCTTTCTCTAAGGTCTCCACAGGGGATTCAGACATCCCTTCATGTTGTGAGATGAAAGACGAGCCTGTATTCAAGCCACTGCAAGGAAATCCGGCCTCCTTTCAAGTTAGGGGTTCTCGCTGTATATTCCCCTTGAGGCAGCAAACTCGGGGTCCCTCCCACATACCTATTGCTGAGAGAAGCCTCCTCCTGAGGTGCTTCTGGGAAGTTGGCATACGTCTTGAGCCTAAGCCAGGGAATCAGCTCGCATCTCGAGACGATTTGGGGTACACGGAGCATTCCTCGAGTTGCTGTGCTGAAGTTGGTGTTCCTCTAGACTTGGGACAGTGTTCTCGGGGCATCTCTGGAGTTGCCTGAAGGAAGTCGAGCCACCGGTCGTGTTGAATGGGGAACGGGGAATGGCTCTGGAGTCAATGCAGGGGAATCGGGCCTCATCTCGAGTTGATTTGGGGCACATGGAGCTGCTTTGCGTTGCTGGGGTGACCTCAGGGTCCGTCTAGACTGGTGACAGTGTTCTTGGGGACTGTCTCGAGATCCATTAAGCAAGTCGAAGCTCCTGACTTGTTTGAATGGGATCACGGAATAGCTCTGCATGCACTGCAGGGGAATGGGGCCTCATCTCGCCTCTAGGGGGAAGTCTCATGGTTTTTCTCGAGTTGCGGCGGGGACCTGGGGTATGTTCTCGACTTACGGCGGGGATGGCCCTTCAAAACACGAGTTTCTTCAGTGACGTCAGGACTCCTGTCTAGTAACGAGGGACACCTCAGGAATCTCTTCGAGGCTTGGCAGGGCCAAAGGGACGCTTCTCGAGGTGAGGCAGGGCACCCAAGGACCCTTTCCAGTAGCCACAGGGATTTTGGGATTCCTATCAGTATCCAAAGGAGTCAGGCATCGTCACCTTTTGAAGCAATGAACTCCGCGTGCCTCTCGAGGTGTCAGCGGGATGTGAGGCATTCCGTCAAAATGAGGCAGGGACCTAGGGCTTTCTCTAAGGTCTCCACAGGGGATTCAGACATCCCTTCATGTTGTGAGATGAAAGACGAGCCTGTATTCAAGCCACTGCAAGGAAATCCGGCCTCCTTTCAAGTTAGGGCTTCTCGCTGTATATTCCCCTTGAGGCAGCAAACTCGGGGTCCCTCCCACATACCTATTGCTGAGAGAAGCCTCCTCCTGAGGTGCTTCTGGGAAGTTGGCATACGTCTTGAGCCTAAGCCAGGGAATCAGCTCGCATCTCGAGACGATTTGGGGTACACGGAGCATTCCTCGAGTTGCTGTGCTGAAGTTGGTGTTCCTCTAGACTTGGGACAGTGTTCTCGGGGCATCTCTGGAGTTGCCTGAAGGAAGTCGAGCCACCGGTCGTGTTGAATGGGGAACGGGGAATGGCTCTGGAGTCAATGCAGGGGAATCGGGCCTCATCTCGAGTTGATTTGGGGCACATGGAGCTGCTTTGCGTTGCTGGGGTGACCTCAGGGTCCGTCTAGACTGGTGACTGTTCTTGGGGACTGTCTCGAGATCCATTAAGCAAGTCGAAGCTCCTGACTTGTTTGAATGGGATCACGGAATAGCTCTGCATGCACTGCAGGGGAATGGGGCCTCATCTCGCCTCTAGGGGGAAGTCTCATGGTTTTTCTCGAGTTGCGGCGGGGACCTGGGGTATGTTCTCGACTTACGGCGGGGATGGCCCTTCCAAATACGAGTTTCTTCAGTGACGTCAGGACTCCTGTCTAGTAACGAGGGACACCTCAGGAATCTCTTCGAGGCTTGGCAGGGCCAAAGGGACGCTTCTCGAGGTGAGGCAGGGCACCCAAGGACCCTTTCCAGTAGCCACAGGGATTTTGGGATTCCTATCAGTATCCAAAGGAGTCAGGCATCGTCACCTTTTGAAGCAATGAACTCCGCGTGCCTCTCGAGGTGTCAGCGGGATGTGTGGCATTCCGTCAAAATGAGGCAGGGACCTAGGGCTTTCTCTAAGGTCTCCACAGGGGATTCAGACATCCCTTCATGTTGTGAGATGAAAGACGAGCCTGTATTCAAGCCACTGCAAGGAAATCCGGCCTCCTTTCAAGTTAGGGCTTCTCGCTGTATATTCCCCTTGAGGCAGCAAACTCGGGGTCCCTCCCACATACCTATTGCTGAGAGAAGCCTCCTCCTGAGGTGCTTCTGGGAAGTTGGCATACGTCTTGAGCCTAAGCCAGGGAATCAGCTCGCATCTCGAGACGATTTGGGGTACACGGAGCATTCCTCGAGTTGCTGTGCTGAAGTTGGTGTTCCTCTAGACTTGGGACAGTGTTCTCGGGGCATCTCTGGAGTTGCCTGAAGGAAGTCGAGCCACCGGTCGTGTTGAATGGGGAACGGGGAATGGCTCTGGAGTCAATGCAGGGGAATCGGGCCTCATCTCGAGTTGATTTGGGGCACATGGAGCTGCTTTGCGTTGCTGGGGTGACCTCAGGGTCCGTCTAGACTGGTGACAGTGTTCTTGGGGACTGTCTCGAGATCCATTAAGCAAGTCGAAGCTCCTGACTTGTTTGAATGGGATCACGGAATAGCTCTGCATGCACTGCAGGGGAATGGGGCCTCATCTCGCCTCTAGGGGGAAGTCTCATGGTTTTTCTCGAGTTGCGGCGGGGACCTGGGGTATGTTCTCGACTTACGGCGGGGATGGCCCTTAAAAACACGAGTTTCTTCAGTGACGTCAGGACTCCTGTCTAGTAACGAGGGACACCTCAGGAATCTCTTCGAGGCTTGGCAGGGCCAAAGGGACGCTTCTCGAGGTGAGGCAGGGCACCCAAGGACCCTTTCCAGTAGCCACAGGGATTTTGGGATTCCTATCAGTATCCAAAGGAGTCAGGCATCGTCACCTTTTGAAGCAATGAACTCCGCGTGCCTCTCGAGGTGTCAGCGGGATGTGAGGCATTCCGTCAAAATGAGGCAGGGACCTAGGGCTTTCTCTAAGGTCTCCACAGGGGATTCAGACATCCCTTCATGTTGTGAGATGAAAGACGAGCCTGTATTCAAGCCACTGCAAGGAAATCCGGCCTCCTTTCAAGTTAGGGCTTCTCGCTGTATATTCCCCTTGAGGCAGCAAACTCGGGGTCCCTCCCACATACCTATTGCTGAGAGAAGCCTCCTCCTGAGGTGCTTCTGGGAAGTTGGCATACGTCTTGAGCCTAAGCCAGGGAATCAGCTCGCATCTCGAGACGATTTGGGGTACACGGAGCATTTCTCGAGTTGCTGTGCTGAAGCTGGTGTTCCTCTAGACTTGGGACAGTGTTCTCGGGGCATCTCTGGAGTTGCCTGAAGGAAGTCGAGCCACCGGTCGTGTTGAATGGGGAACGGGGAATGGCTCTGGAGTCAATACAGGGGAATAGGGCCTCATCTCGAGTTGATTTGGGGCACATGGAGCTGCTTTGCGTTGCTGGGGTGACCTCAGGGTCCGTCTAGACTGGTGACAGTGTTCTTGGGGACTGTCTCGAGATCCATTAAGCAAGTCGAAGCTCCTGACTTGTTTGAATGGGATCACGGAATAGCTCTGCATGCACTGCAGGGGAATGGGGCCTCATCTCGCCTCTAGGGGGAAGTCTCATGGTTTTTCTCGAGTTGCGGCGGGGACCTGGGGTATGTTCTCGACTTACGGCGGGGATGGCCCTTCAAAACACGAGTTTCTTCAGTGACGTCAGGACTCCTGTCTAGTAACGAGGGACACCTCAGGAATCTCTTCGAGGCTTGGCAGGGCCAAAGGGACGCTTTTCGAGGTGAGGCAGGGCACTCAAGGACCCTTTCCAGTAGCCACAGGGATTTTGGGATTCCTATCAGTATTCAAGAGGAGTCAGGCATCGTCACCTTTTGAAGCAATGAACTCCGCGTGCCTCTCGAGGTGTCAGCGGGATGTGAGGCATTCCGTCAAAATGAGGCAGGGACCTAGGGCTTCTTCTAAGGTCTCCACAGGGGATTCAGACATCCCTTCATGTTGTGAGATGAAAGACGAGCCTGTATTCAAGCCACTGCAAGGAAATCCGGCCTCCTTTCACGTTAGGGGTTCTCGCTGTATATTCCCCTTGAGGCAGCAAACTCGGGGTCCCTCCCACATACCTATTGCTGAGAGAAGCCTCCTCCTGAGGTGCTTCTGGGAAGTTGGCATACGTCTTGAGCCTAAGCCAGGGAATCAGCTCGCATCTCGAGACGATTTGGGGTACACGGAGCATTCCTCGAGTTGCTGTGCTGAAGTTGGTGTTCCTCTAGACTTGGGACAGTGTTCTCGGGGCATCTCTGGAGTTGCCTGAAGGAAGTCGAGCCACCGGTCGTGTTGAATGCGGAACGGGGAATGGCTCTGGAGTCAATGCAGGGGAATCGGGCCTCATCTCGAGTTGATTTGGGGCACATGGAGCTGCTTTGCGTTGCTGGGGTGACCTCAGGGTCCGTCTAGACTGGTGACAGTGTTCTTGGGGACTGTCTCGAGATCCATTAAGCAAGTCGAAGCTCCTGACTTGTTTGAATGGGATCACGGAATAGCTCTGCATGCACTGCAGGGGAATGGGGCCTCATCTCGCCTCTAGGGGGAAGTCTCATGGTTTTTCTCGAGTTGCGGCGGGGACCTGGGGTATGTTCTCGACTTACGGCGGGGATGGCCCTTCAAAACACGAGTTTCTTCAGTGACGTCAGGACTCCTGTCTAGTAACGAGGGACACCTCAGGAATCTCTTCGAGGCTTGGCAGGGCCAAAGGGACGCTTCTCGAGGTGAGGCAGGGCACCCAAGGACCCTTTCCAGTAGCCACAGGGATTTTGGGATTCCTATCAGTATTCAAGAGGAGTCAGGCATCGTCACCTTTTGAAGCAATGAACTCCGCGTGCCTCTCGAGGTGTCAGCGGGATGTGAGGCATTCCGTCAAAATGAGGCAGGGACCTAGGGCTTTCTCTAAGGTCTCCACAGGGGATTCAGACATCCCTTCATGTTGTGAGATGAAAGACGAGCCTGTATTCAAGCCACTGCAAGGAAATCCGGTCTCCTTTCAAGTTAGGGGTTCTCGCTGTATATTCCCCTTGAGGCAGCAAACTCGGGGTCCCTCCCACATACCTATTGCTGAGAGAAGCCTCCTCCTGAGGTGCTTCTGGGAAGTTGGCATACGTCTTGAGCCTAAGCCAGGGAATCAGCTCGCATCTCGAGACGATTTGGGGTACACGGAGCATTCCTCGAGTTGCTGTGCTGAAGTTGGTGTTCCTCTAGACTTGGGACAGTGTTCTCGGGGCATCTCTGGAGTTGCCTGAAGGAAGTCGAGCCACCGGTCGTGTTGAATGGGGAACGGGGAATGGCTCTGGAGTCAATGCAGGGGAATGGGGCCTCATCTCGAGTTGATTTGGGGCACATGGAGCTGCTTTGCGTTGCTGGGGTGACCTCAGGGTCCGTCTAGACTGGTGACAGTGTTCTTGGGGACTGTCTCGAGATCCATTAAGCAAGTCGAAGCTCCTGACTTGTTTGAATGGGATCACGGAATAGCTCTGCATGCACTGCAGGGGAATGGGGCCTCATCTCGCCTCTAGGGGGAAGTCTCATGGTTTTTCTCGAGTTGCGGCGGGGACCTGGGGTATGTTCTCGACTTACGGCGGGGATGGCCCTTCAAAACACGAGTTTCTTCAGTGACGTCAGGACTCCTGTCTAGTAACGAGGGACACCTCAGGAATCTCTTCGAGGCTTGGCAGGGCCAAAGGGACGCTTCTCGAGGTGAGGCAGGGCACCCAAGGACCCTTTCCAGTAGCCACAGGGATTTTGGGATTCCTATCAGTATCCAAAGGAGTCAGGCATCGTCACCTTTTGAAGCAATGAACTCCGCGTGCCTCTCGAGGTGTCAGCGGGATGTGAGGCATTCCGTCAAAATGAGGCAGGGACCTAGGGCTTTCTCTAAGGTCTCCACAGGGGATTCAGACATCCCTTCATGTTGTGAGATGAAAGACGAGCCTGTATTCAAGCCACTGCAAGGAAATCCGGCCTCCTTTCAAGTTAGGGCTTCTCGCTGTATATTCCCCTTGAGGCAGCAAACTCGGGGTCCCTCCCACATACCTATTGCTGAGAGAAGCCTCCTCCTGAGGTGCTTCTGGGAAGTTGGCATACGTCTTGAGCCTAAGCCAGGGAATCAGCTCGCATCTCGAGACGATTTGGGGTACACGGAGCATTCCTCGAGTTGCTGTGCTGAAGTTGGTGTTCCTCTAGACTTGGGACAGTGTTCTCGGGGCATCTCTGGAGTTGCCTGAAGGAAGTCGAGCCACCGGTCGTGTTGAATGGGGAACGGGGAATGGCTCTGGAGTCAATGCAGGGGAATCGGGCCTCATCTCGAGTTGATTTGGGGCACATGGAGCTGCTTTGCGTTGCTGGGGTGACCTCAGGGTCCGTCTAGACTGGTGACTGTTCTTGGGGACTGTCTCGAGATCCATTAAGCAAGTCGAAGCTCCTGACTTGTTTGAATGGGATCACGGAATAGCTCTGCATGCACTGCAGGGGAATGGGGCCTCATCTCGCCTCTAGGGGGAAGTCTCATGGTTTTTCTCGAGTTGCGGCGGGGACCTGGGGTATGTTCTCGACTTACGGCGGGGATGGCCCTTCCAAATACGAGTTTCTTCAGTGACGTCAGGACTCCTGTCTAGTAACGAGGGACACCTCAGGAATCTCTTCGAGGCTTGGCAGGGCCAAAGGGACGCTTCTCGAGGTGAGGCAGGGCACCCAAGGACCCTTTCCAGTAGCCACAGGGATTTTGGGATTCCTATCAGTATCCAAAGGAGTCAGGCATCGTCACCTTTTGAAGCAATGAACTCCGCGTGCCTCTCGAGGTGTCAGCGGGATGTGTGGCATTCCGTCAAAATGAGGCAGGGACCTAGGGCTTTCTCTAAGGTCTCCACAGGGGATTCAGACATCCCTTCATGTTGTGAGATGAAAGACGAGCCTGTATTCAAGCCACTGCAAGGAAATCCGGCCTCCTTTCAAGTTAGGGCTTCTCGCTGTATATTCCCCTTGAGGCAGCAAACTCGGGGTCCCTCCCACATACCTATTGCTGAGAGAAGCCTCCTCCTGAGGTGCTTCTGGGAAGTTGGCATACGTCTTGAGCCTAAGCCAGGGAATCAGCTCGCATCTCGAGACGATTTGGGGTACACGGAGCATTCCTCGAGTTGCTGTGCTGAAGTTGGTGTTCCTCTAGACTTGGGACAGTGTTCTCAGGGCATCTCTGGAGTTGCCTGAAGGAAGTCGAGCCACCGGTCGTGTTGAATGGGGAACGGGGAATGGCTCTGGAGTCAATGCAGGGGAATCGGGCCTCATCTCGAGTTGATTTGGGGCACATGGAGCTGCTTTGCGTTGCTGGGGTGACCTCAGGGTCCGTCTAGACTGGTGACAGTGTTCTTGGGGACTGTCTCGAGATCCATTAAGCAAGTCGAAGCTCCTGACTTGTTTGAATGGGATCACGGAATAGCTCTGCATGCACTGCAGGGGAATGGGGCCTCATCTCGCCTCTAGGGGGAAGTCTCATGGTTTTTCTCGAGTTGCGGCGGGGACCTGGGGTATGTTCTCGACTTACGGCGGGGATGGCCCTTCAAAACACGAGTTTCTTCAGTGACGTCAGGACTCCTGTCTAGTAACGAGGGACACCTCAGGAATCTCTTCGAGGCTTGGCAGGGCCAAAGGGACGCTTCTCGAGGTGAGGCAGGGCACCCAAGGACCCTTTCCAGTAGCCACAGGGATTTTGGGATTCCTATCAGTATCCAAAGGAGTCAGGCATCGTCACCTTTTGAAGCAATGAACTCCGCGTGCCTCTAGAGGTGTCAGCGGGATGTGAGGCATTCCGTCAAAATGAGGCAGGGACCTAGGGCTTTCTCTAAGGTCTCCACAGGGGATTCAGACATCCCTTCATGTTGTGAGATGAAAGACGAGCCTGTATTCAAGCCACTGCAAGGAAATCCGGCCTCCTTTCAAGTTAGGGCTTCTCGCTGTATATTCCCCTTGAGGCAGCAAACTCGGGGTCCCTCCCACATACCTATTGCTGAGAGAAGCCTCCTCCTGAGGTGCTTCTGGGAAGTTGGCATACGTCTTGAGCCTAAGCCAGGGAATCAGCTCGCATCTCGAGACGATTTGGGGTACACGGAGCATTTCTCGAGTTGCTGTGCTGAAGCTGGTGTTCCTCTAGACTTGGGACAGTGTTCTCGGGGCATCTCTGGAGTTGCCTGAAGGAAGTCGAGCCACCGGTCGTGTTGAATGGGGAACGGGGAATGGCTCTGGAGTCAATACAGGGGAATAGGGCCTCATCTCGAGTTGATTTGGGGCACATGGAGCTGCTTTGCGTTGCTGGGGTGACCTCAGGGTCCGTCTAGACTGGTGACAGTGTTCTTGGGGACTGTCTCGAGATCCATTAAGCAAGTCGAAGCTCCTGACTTGTTTGAATGGGATCACGGAATAGCTCTGCATGCACTGCAGGGGAATGGGGCCTCATCTCGCCTCTAGGGGGAAGTCTCATGGTTTTTCTCGAGTTGCGGCGGGGACCTGGGGTATGTTCTCGACTTACGGCGGGGATGGCCCTTCAAAACACGAGTTTCTTCAGTGACGTCAGGACTCCTGTCTAGTAACGAGGGACACCTCAGGAATCTCTTCGAGGCTTGGCAGGGCCAAAGGGACGCTTCTCGAGGTGAGGCAGGGCACTCAAGGACCCTTTCCAGTAGCCACAGGGATTTTGGGATTCCTATCAGTATTCAAGAGGAGTCAGGCATCGTCACCTTTTGAAGCAATGAACTCCGCGTGCCTCTCGAGGTGTCAGCGGGATGTGAGGCATTCCGTCAAAATGAGGCAGGGACCTAGGGCTTCTTCTAAGGTCTCCACAGGGGATTCAGACATCCCTTCATGTTGTGAGATGAAAGACGAGCCTGTATTCAAGCCACTGCAAGGAAATCCGGCCTCCTTTCAAGTTAGGGCTTCTCGCTGTATATTCCCCTTGAGGCAGCAAACTCGGGGTCCCTCCCACATACCTATTGCTGAGAGAAGCCTCCTCCTGAGGTGCTTCTGGGAAGTTGGCATACGTCTTGAGCCTAAGCCAGGGAATCAGCTCGCATCTCGAGACGATTTGGGGTACACGGAGCATTCCTCGAGTTGCTGTGCTGAAGTTGGTGTTCCTCTAGACTTGGGACAGTGTTCTCGGGGCATCTCTGGAGTTGCCTGAAGGAAGTCGAGCCACCGGTCGTGTTGAATGGGGAACGGGGAATGGCTCTGGAGTCAATGCAGGGGAATCGGGCCTCATCTCTAGTTGATTTGGGGCACATGGAGCTGCTTTGCGTTGCTGGGGTGACCTCAGGGTCCGTCTAGACTGGTGACAGTGTTCTTGGGGACTGTCTCGAGATCCATTAAGCAAGTCGAAGCTCCTGACTTGTTTGAATGGGATCACGGAATAGCTCTTCATGCACTGCAGGGGAATGGGGCCTCATCTCGCCTCTAGGGGAAAGTCTCATGGTTTTTCTCGAGTTGCGGCGGGGACCTGGGGTATGTTCTCGACTTACGGCGGGGATGGCCCTTCAAAACACGAGTTTCTTCAGTGACGTCAGGACTCCTGTCTAGTAACGAGGGACACCTCAGGAATCTCTTCGAGGCTTGGCAGGGCCAAAGGGACGCTTCTCGAGGTGAGGCAGGGCACCCAAGGACCCTTTCCAGTAGCCACAGGGATTTTGGGATTCCTATCAGTATTCAAGAGGAGTCAGGCATCGTCACCTTTTGAAGCAATGAACTCCGCGTGCCTCTCGAGGTGTCAGCGGGATGTGAGGCATTCCGTCAAAATGAGGCAGGGACCTAGGGCTTTCTCTAAGGTCTCCACAGGGGATTCAGACATCCCTTCATGTTGTGAGATGAAAGACGAGCCTGTATTCAAGCCACTGCAAGGAAATCCGGCCTCCTTTCAAGTTAGGGCTTCTCGCTGTATATTCCCCTTGAGGCAGCAAACTCGGGGTCCCTCCCACATACCTATTGCTGAGAGAAGCCTCCTCCTGAGGTGCTTCTGGGAAGTTGGCATACGTCTTGAGCCTAAGCCAGGGAATCAGCTCGCATCTCGAGACGATTTGGGGTACACGGAGCATTCCTCGAGTTGCTGTGCTGAAGTTGGTGTTCCTCTAGACTTGGGACAGTGTTCTCGGGGCATCTCTGGAGTTGCCTGAAGGAAGTCGAGCCACCGGTCGTGTTGAATGGGGAACGGGGAATGGCTCTGGAGTCAATGCAGGGGAATCGGGCCTCATCTCGAGTTGATTTGGGGCACATGGAGCTGCTTTGCGTTGCTGGGGTGACCTCAGGGTCCGTCTAGACTGGTGACAGTGTTCTTGGGGACTGTCTCGAGATCCATTAAGCAAGTCGAAGCTCCTGACTTGTTTGAATGGGATCACGGAATAGCTCTGCATGCACTGCAGGGGAATGGGGCCTCATCTCGCCTCTAGGGGGAAGTCTCATGGTTTTTCTCGAGTTGCGGCGGGGACCTGGGGTATGTTCTCGACTTACGGCGGGGATGGCCCTTCAAAACACGAGTTTCTTCAGTGACGTCAGGACTCCTGTCTAGTAACGAGGGACACCTCAGGAATCTCTTCGAGGCTTGGCAGGGCCAAAGGGACGCTTCTCGAGGTGAGGCAGGGCACCCAAGGACCCTTTCCAGTAGCCACAGGGATTTTGGGATTCCTATCAGTATTCAAGAGGAGTCAGGCATCGTCACCTTTTGAAGCAATGAACTCCGCGTGCCTCTCGAGGTGTCAGCGGGATGTGAGGCATTCCGTCAAAATGAGGCAGGGACCTAGGGCTTTCTCTAAGGTCTCCACAGGGGATTCAGACATCCCTTCATGTTGTGAGATGAAAGACGAGCCTGTATTCAAGCCACTGCAAGGAAATCCGGCCTCCTTTCAAGTTAGGGCTTCTCGCTGTATATTCCCCTTGAGGCAGCAAACTCGGGGTCCCTCCCACATACCTATTGCTGAGAGAAGCCTCCTCCTGAGGTGCTTCTGGGAAGTTGGCATACGTCTTGAGCCTAAGCCAGGGAATCAGCTCGCATCTCGAGACGATTTGGGGTACACGGAGCATTCCTCGAGTTGCTGTGCTGAAGTTGGTGTTCCTCTAGACTTGGGACAGTGTTCTCGGGGCATCTCTGGAGTTGCCTGAAGGAAGTCGAGCCACCGGTCGTGTTGAATGGGGAACGGGGAATGGCTCTGGAGTCAATGCAGGGGAATCGGGCCTCATCTCGAGTTGATTTGGGGCACATGGAGCTGCTTTGCGTTGCTGGGGTGACCTCAGGGTCCGTCTAGACTGGTGACAGTGTTCTTGGGGACTGTCTCGAGATCCATTAAGCAAGTCGAAGCTCCTGACTTGTTTGAATGGGATCACGGAATAGCTCTGCATGCACTGCAGGGGAATGGGGCCTCATCTCGCCTCTAGGGGGAAGTCTCATGGTTTTTCTCGAGTTGCGGCGGGGACCTGGGGTATGTTCTCGACTTACGGCGGGGATGGCCCTTCAAAACACGAGTTTCTTCAGTGACGTCAGGACTCCTGTCTAGTAACGAGGGACACCTCAGGAATCTCTTCGAGGCTTGGCAGGGCCAAAGGGACGCTTCTCGAGGTGAGGCAGGGCACCCAAGGACCCTTTCCAGTAGCCACAGGGATTTTGGGATTCCTATCAGTATCCAAAGGAGTCAGGCATCGTCACCTTTTGAAGCAATGAACTCCGCGTGCCTCTCGAGGTGTCAGCGGGATGTGAGGCATTCCGTCAAAATGAGGCAGGGACCTAGGGCTTTCTCTAAGGTCTCCACAGGGGATTCAGACATCCCTTCATGTTGTGAGATGAAAGACGAGCCTGTATTCAAGCCACTGCAAGGAAATCCGGCCTCCTTTCAAGTTAGGGCTTCTCGCTGTATATTCCCCTTGAGGCAGCAAACTCGGGGTCCCTCCCACATACCTATTGCTGAGAGAAGCCTCCTCCTGAGGTGCTTCTGGGAAGTTGGCATACGTCTTGAGCCTAAGCCAGGGAATCAGCTCGCATCTCGAGACGATTTGGGGTACACGGAGCATTCCTCGAGTTGCTGTGCTGAAGTTGGTGTTCCTCTAGACTTGGGACAGTGTTCTCGGGGCATCTCTGGAGTTGCCTGAAGGAAGTCGAGCCACCGGTCGTGTTGAATGGGGAACGGGGAATGGCTCTGGAGTCAATGCAGGGGAATTGGGCCTCATCTCGAGTTGATTTGGGGCACATGGAGCTGCTTTGCGTTGCTGGGGTGACCTCAGGGTCCGTCTAGACTGGTGACTGTTCTTGGGGACTGTCTCGAGATCCATTAAGCAAGTCGAAGCTCCTGACTTGTTTGAATGGGATCACGGAATAGCTCTGCATGCACTGCAGGGGAATGGGGCCTCATCTCGCCTCTAGGGGGAAGTCTCATGGTTTTTCTCGAGTTGCGGCGGGGACCTGGGGTATGTTCTCGACTTACGGCGGGGATGGCCCTTCCAAATACGAGTTTCTTCAGTGACGTCAGGACTCCTGTCTAGTAACGAGGGACACCTCAGGAATCTCTTCGAGGCTTGGCAGGGCCAAAGGGACGCTTCTCGAGGTGAGGCAGGGCACCCAAGGACCCTTTCCAGTAGCCACAGGGATTTTGGGATTCCTATCAGTATTCAAGAGGAGTCAGGCATCGTCACCTTTTGAAGCAATGAACTCCGCGTGCCTCTCGAGGTGTCAGCGGGATGTGAGGCATTCCGTCAAAATGAGGCAGGGACCTAGGGCTTTCTCTAAGGTCTCCACAGGGGATTGAGACATCCCTTCATGTTGTGAGATGAAAGACGAGCCTGTATTCAAGCCACTGCAAGGAAATCCGGCCTCCTTTCAAGTTAGGGCTTCTCGCTGTATATTCCCCTTGAGGCAGCAAACTCGGGGTCCCTCCCACATACCTATTGCTGAGAGAAGCCTCCTCCTGAGGTGCTTCTGGGAAGTTGGCATACGTCTTGAGCCTAAGCCAGGGAATCAGCTCGCATCTCGAGACGATTTGTGGTACACGGAGCATTCCTCGAGTTGCTGTGCTGAAGTTGGTGTTCCTCTAGACTTGGGACAGTGTTCTCGGGGCATCTCTGGAGTTGCCTGAAGGAAGTCGAGCCACCGGTCGTGTTGAATGGGGAACGGGGAATGGCTCTGGAGTCAATGCAGGGGAATCGGGCCTCATCTCGAGTTGATTTGGGGCACATGGAGCTGCTTTGCGTTGCTGGGGTGACCTCAGGGTCCGTCTAGACTGGTGACAGTGTTCTTGGGGACTGTCTCGAGATCCATTAAGCAAGTCGAAGCTCCTGACTTGTTTGAATGGGATCACGGAATAGCTCTGCATGCACTGCAGGGGAATGGGGCCTCATCTCGCCTCTAGGGGGAAGTCTCATGGTTTTTCTCGAGTTGCGGCGGGGACCTGGGGTATGTTCTCGACTTACGGCGGGGATGGCCCTTCAAAACACGAGTTTCTTCAGTGACGTCAGGACTCCTGTCTAGTAACGAGGGACACCTCAGGAATCTCTTCGAGGCTTGGCAGGGCCAAAGGGACGCTTCTCGAGGTGAGGCAGGGCACCCAAGGACCCTTTCCAGTAGCCACAGGGATTTTGGGATTCCTATCAGTATCCAAAGGAGTCAGGCATCGTCACCTTTTGAAGCAATGAACTCCGCGTGCCTCTCGAGGTGTCAGCGGGATGTGAGGCATTCCGTCAAAATGAGGCAGGGACCTAGGGCTTTCTCTAAGGTCTCCACAGGGGATTCAGACATCCCTTCATGTTGTGAGATGAAAGACGAGCCTGTATTCAAGCCACTGCAAGGAAATCCGGCCTCCTTTCAAGTTAGGGCTTCTCGCTGTATATTCCCCTTGAGGCAGCAAACTCGGGGTCCCTCCCACATACCTATTGCTGAGAGAAGCCTCCTCCTGAGGTGCTTCTGGGAAGTTGGCATACGTCTTGAGCCTAAGCCAGGGAATCAGCTCGCATCTCGAGACGATTTGGGGTACACGGAGCATTTCTCGAGTTGCTGTGCTGAAGCTGGTGTTCCTCTAGACTTGGGACAGTGTTCTCGGGGCATCTCTGGAGTAGCCTGAAGGAAGTCGAGCCACCGGTCGTGTTGAATGGGGAACGGGGAATGGCTCTGGAGTCAATACAGGGGAATAGGGCCTCATCTCGAGTTGATTTGGGGCACATGGAGCTGCTTTGCGTTGCTGGGGTGACCTCAGGGTCCGTCTAGACTGGTGACAGTGTTCTTGGGGACTGTCTCGAGATCCATTAAGCAAGTCGAAGCTCCTGACTTGTTTGAATGGGATCACGGAATAGCTCTGCATGCACTGCAGGGGAATGGGGCCTCATCTCGCCTCTAGGGGGAAGTCTCATGGTTTTTCTCGAGTTGCGGCGGGGACCTGGGGTATGTTCTCGACTTACGGCGGGGATGGCCCTTCAAAACACGAGTTTCTTCAGTGACGTCAGGACTCCTGTCTAGTAACGAGGGACACCTCAGGAATCTCTTCGAGGCTTGGCAGGGCCAAAGGGACGCTTCTCGAGGTGAGGCAGGGCACTCAAGGACCCTTTCCAGTAGCCACAGGGATTTTGGGATTCCTATCAGTATTCAAGAGGAGTCAGGCATCGTCACCTTTTGAAGCAATGAACTCCGCGTGCCTCTCGAGGTGTCAGCGGGATGTGAGGCATTCCGTCAAAATGAGGCAGGGACCTAGGGCTTCTTCTAAGGTCTCCACAGGGGATTCAGACATCCCTTCATGTTGTGAGATGAAAGACGAGCCTGTATTCAAGCCACTGCAAGGAAATCCGGCCTCCTTTCAAGTTAGGGCTTCTCGCTGTATATTCCCCTTGAGGCAGCAAACTCGGGGTCCCTCCCACATACCTATTGCTGAGAGAAGCCTCCTCCTGAGGTGCTTCTGGGAAGTTGGCATACGTCTTGAGCCTAAGCCAGGGAATCAGCTCGCATCTCGAGACGATTTGGGGTACACGGAGCATTCCTCGAGTTGCTGTGCTGAAGTTGGTGTTCCTCTAGACTTGGGACAGTGTTCTCGGGGCATCTCTGGAGTTGCCTGAAGGAAGTCGAGCCACCGGTCGTGTTGAATGGGGAACGGGGAATGGCTCTGGAGTCAATGCAGGGGAATCGGGCCTCATCTCGAGTTGATTTGGGGCACATGGAGCTGCTTTGCGTTGCTGGGGTGACCTCAGGGTCCGTCTAGACTGGTGACAGTGTTCTTGGGGACTGTCTCGAGATCCATTAAGCAAGTCGAAGCTCCTGACTTGTTTGAATGGGATCACGGAATAGCTCTGCATGCACTGCAGGGGAATGGGGCCTCATCTCGCCTCTAGGGGGAAGTCTCATGGTTTTTCTCGAGTTGCGGCGGGGACCTGGGGTATGTTCTCGACTTACGGCGGGGATGGCCCTTCAAAACACGAGTTTCTTCAGTGACGTCAGGACTCCTGTCTAGTAACGAGGGACACCTCAGGAATCTCTTCGAGGCTTGGCAGGGCCAAAGGGACGCTTCTCGAGGTGAGGCAGGGCACCCAAGGACCCTTTCCAGTAGCCACAGGGATTTTGGGATTCCTATCAGTATTCAAGAGGAGTCAGGCATCGTCACCTTTTGAAGCAATGAACTCCGCGTGCCTCTCGAGGTGTCAGCGGGATGAGAGGCATTCCGTCAAAATGAGGCAGGGACCTAGGGCTTTCTCTAAGGTCTCCACAGGGGATTCAGACATCCCTTCATGTTGTGAGATGAAAGACGAGCCTGTATTCAAGCCACTGCAAGGAAATCCGGCCTCCTTTCAAGTTAGGGGTTCTCGCTGTATATTCCCCTTGAGGCAGCAAACTCGGGGTCCCTCCCACATACCTATTGCTGAGAGAAGCCTCCTCCTGAGGTGCTTCTGGGAAGTTGGCATACGTCTTGAGCCTAAGCCAGGGAATCAGCTCGCATCTCGAGACGATTTGGGGTACACGGAGCATTCCTCGAGTTGCTGTGCTGAAGTTGGTGTTCCTCTAGACTTGGGACAGTGTTCTCGGGGCATCTCTGGAGTTGCCTGAAGGAAGTCGAGCCACCGGTCGTGTTGAATGGGGAACGGGGAATGGCTCTGGAGTCAATGCAGGGGAATCGGGCCTCATCTCGCCTCTAGGGGGAAGTCTCATGGTTTTTCTCGAGTTGCGGCGGGGACCTGGGGTATGTTCTCGACTTACGGCGGGGATGGCCCTTCAAAACACGAGTTTCTTCAGTGACGTCAGGACTCCTGTCTAGTAACGAGGGACACCTCAGGAATCTCTTCGAGGCTTGGCAGGGCCAAAGGGACGCTTCTCGAGGTGAGGCAGGGCACCCAAGGACCCTTTCCAGTAGCCACAGGGATTTTGGGATTCCTATCAGTATTCAAGAGGAGTCAGGCATCGTCACCTTTTGAAGCAATGAACTCCGCGTGCCTCTCGAGGTGTCAGCGGGATGTGAGGCATTCCGTCAAAATGAGGCAGGGACCTAGGGCTTTCTCTAAGGTCTCCACAGGGGATTCAGACATCCCTTCATGTTGTGAGATGAAAGACGAGCCTGTATTCAAGCCACTGCAAGGAAATCCGGCCTCCTTTCAAGTTAGGGGTTCTCGCTGTATATTCCCCTTGAGGCAGCAAACTCGGGGTCCCTCCCACATACCTATTGCTGAGAGAAGCCTCCTCCTGAGGTGCTTCTGGGAAGTTGGCATACGTCTTGAGCCTAAGCCAGGGAATCAGCTCGCATCTCGAGACGATTTGGGGTACACGGAGCATTCCTCGAGTTGCTGTGCTGAAGTTGGTGTTCCTCTAGACTTGGGACAGTGTTCTCGGGGCATCTCTGGAGTTGCCTGAAGGAAGTCGAGCCACCGGTCGTGTTGAATGGGGAACGGGGAATGGCTCTGGAGTCAATGCAGGGGAATCGGGCCTCATCTCGAGTTGATTTGGGGCACATGGAGCTGCTTTGCGTTGCTGGGGTGACCTCAGGGTCCGTCTAGACTGGTGACTGTTCTTGGGGACTGTCTCGAGATCCATTAAGCAAGTCGAAGCTCCTGACTTGTTTGAATGGGATCACGGAATAGCTCTGCATGCACTGCAGGGGAATGGGGCCTCATCTCGCCTCTAGGGGGAAGTCTCATGGTTTTTCTAGAGTTGCGGCGGGGACCTGGGGTATGTTCTCGACTTACGGCGGGGATGGCCCTTCCAAATACGAGTTTCTTCAGTGACGTCAGGACTCCTGTCTAGTAACGAGGGACACCTCAGGAATCTCTTCGAGGCTTGGCAGGGCCAAAGGGACGCTTCTCGAGGTGAGGCAGGGCACCCAAGGACCCTTTCCAGTAGCCACAGGGATTTTGGGATTCCTATCAGTATCCAAAGGAGTCAGGCATCGTCACCTTTTGAAGCAATGAACTCCGCGTGCCTCTCGAGGTGTCAGCGGGATGTGAGGCATTCCGTCAAAATGAGGCAGGGACCTAGGGCTTTCTCTAAGGTCTCCACAGGGGATTCAGACATCCCTTCATGTTGTGAGATGAAAGACGAGCCTGTATTCAAGCCACTGCAAGGAAATCCGGCCTCCTTTCAAGTTAGGGCTTCTCGCTGTATATTCCCCTTGAGGCAGCAAACTCGGGGTCCCTCCCACATACCTATTGCTGAGAGAAGCCTCCTCCTGAGGTGCTTCTGGGAAGTTGGCATACGTCTTGAGCCTAAGCCAGGGAATCAGCTCGCATCTCGAGACGATTTGGGGTACACGGAGCATTCCTCGAGTTGCTGTGCTGAAGTTGGTGTTCCTCTAGACTTGGGACAGTGTTCTCGGGGCATCTCTGGAGTTGCCTGAAGGAAGTCGAGCCACCGGTCGTGTTGAATGGGGAACGGGGAATGGCTCTGGAGTCAATGCAGGGGAATCGGGCCTCATCTCGAGTTGATTTGGGGCACATGGAGCTGCTTTGCGTTGCTGGGGTGACCTCAGGGTCCGTCTAGACTGGTGACAGTGTTCTTGGGGACTGTCTCGAGATCCATTAAGCAAGTCGAAGCTCCTGACTTGTTTGAATGGGATCACGGAATAGCTCTTCATGCACTGCAGGGGAATGGGGCCTCATCTCGCCTCTAGGGGAAAGTCTCATGGTTTTTCTCGAGTTGCGGCGGGGACCTGGGGTATGTTCTCGACTTACGGCGGGGATGGCCCTTCAAAACACGAGTTTCTTCAGTGACGTCAGGACTCCTGTCTAGTAACGAGGGACACCTCAGGAATCTCTTCGAGGCTTGGCAGGGCCAAAGGGACGCTTCTCGAGGTGAGGCAGGGCACCCAAGGACCCTTTCCAGTAGCCACAGGGATTTTGGGATTCCTATCAGTATTCAAGAGGAGTCAGGCATCGTCACCTTTTGAAGCAATGAACTCCGCGTGCCTCTCGAGGTGTCAGCGGGATGTGAGGCATTCCGTCAAAATGAGGCAGGGACCTAGGGCTTTCTCTAAGGTCTCCACAGGGGATTCAGACATCCCTTCATGTTGTGAGATGAAAGACGAGCCTGTATTCAAGCCACTGCAAGGAAATCCGGCCTCCTTTCAAGTTAGGGCTTCTCGCTGTATATTCCCCTTGAGGCAGCAAACTCGGGGTCCCTCCCACATACCTATTGCTGAGAGAAGCCTCCTCCTGAGGTGCTTCTGGGAATTTGGCATACGTCTTGAGCCTAAGCCAGGGAATCAGCTCGCATCTCGAGACGATTTGGGGTACACGGAGCATTCCTCGAGTTGCTGTGCTGAAGTTGGTGTTCCTCTAGACTTGGGACAGTGTTCTCGGGGCATCTCTGGAGTTGCCTGAAGGAAGTCGAGCCACCGGTCGTGTTGAATGGGGAACGGGGAATGGCTCTGGAGTCAATGCAGGGGAATCGGGCCTCATCTCGAGTTGATTTGGGGCACATGGAGCTGCTTTGCGTTGCTGGGGTGACCTCAGGGTCCGTCTAGACTGGTGACAGTGTTCTTGGGGACTGTCTCGAGATCCATTAAGCAAGTCGAAGCTCCTGACTTGTTTGAATGGGATCACGGAATAGCTCTGCATGCACTGCAGGGGAATGGGGCCTCATCTCGCCTCTAGGGGGAAGTCTCATGGTTTTTCTCGAGTTGCGGCGGGGACCTGGGGTATGTTCTCGACTTACGGCGGGGATGGCCCTTCAAAACACGAGTTTCTTCAGTGACGTCAGGACTCCTGTCTAGTAACGAGGGACACCTCAGGAATCTCTTCGAGGCTTGGCAGGGCCAAAGGGACGCTTCTCGAGGTGAGGCAGGGCACCCAAGGACCCTTTCCAGTAGCCACAGGGATTTTGGGATTCCTATCAGTATTCAAGAGGAGTCAGGCATCGTCACCTTTTGAAGCAATGAACTCCGCGTGCCTCTCGAGGTGTCAGCGGGATGTGAGGCATTCCGTCAAAATGAGGCAGGGACCTAGGGCTTTCTCTAAGGTCTCCACAGGGGATTCAGACATCCCTTCATGTTGTGAGATGAAAGACGAGCCTGTATTCAAGCCACTGCAAGGAAATCCGGCCTCCTTTCAAGTTAGGGCTTCTCGCTGTATATTCCCCTTGAGGCAGCAAACTCGGGGTCCCTCCCACATACCTATTGCTGAGAGAAGCCTCCTCCTGAGGTGCTTCTGGGAAGTTGGCATACGTCTTGAGCCTAAGCCAGGGAATCAGCTCGCATCTCGAGACAATTTGGGGTACACGGAGCATTCCTCGAGTTGCTGTGCTGAAGTTGGTGTTCCTCTAGACTTGGGACAGTGTTCTCGGGGCATCTCTGGAGTTGCCTGAAGGAAGTCGAGCCACCGGTCGTGTTGAATGGGGAACGGGGAATGGCTCTGGAGTCAATGCAGGGGAATCGGGCCTCATCTCGAGTTGATTTGGGGCACATGGAGCTGCTTTGCGTTGCTGGGGTGACCTCAGGGTCCGTCTAGACTGGTGACAGTGTTCTTGGGGACTGTCTCGAGATCCATTAAGCAAGTCGAAGCTCCTGACTTGTTTGAATGGGATCACGGAATAGCTCTGCATGCACTGCAGGGGAATGGGGCCTCATCTCGCCTCTAGGGGGAAGTCTCATGGTTTTTCTCGAGTTGCGGCGGGGACCTGGGGTATGTTCTCGACTTACGGCGGGGATGGCCCTTCAAAACACGAGTTTCTTCAGTGACGTCAGGACTCCTGTCTAGTAACGAGGGACACCTCAGGAATCTCTTCGAGGCTTGGCAGGGCCAAAGGGACGCTTCTCGAGGTGAGGCAGGGCACCCAAGGACCCTTTCCAGTAGCCACAGGGATTTTGGGATTCCTATCAGTATCCAAAGGAGTCAGGCATCGTCACCTTTTGAAGCAATGAACTCCGCGTGCCTCTCGAGGTGTCAGCGGGATGTGAGGCATTCCGTCAAAATGAGGCAGGGACCTAGGGCTTTCTCTAAGGTCTCCACAGGGGATTCAGACATCCCTTCATGTTGTGAGATGAAAGACGAGCCTGTATTCAAGCCACTGCAAGGAAATCCGGCCTCCTTTCAAGTTAGGGCTTCTCGCTGTATATTCCCCTTGAGGCAGCAAACTCGGGGTCCCTCCCACATACCTATTGCTGAGAGAAGCCTCCTCCTGAGGTGCTTCTGGGAAGTTGGCATACGTCTTGAGCCTAAGCCAGGGAATCAGCTCGCATCTCGAGACGATTTGGGGTACACGGAGCATTCCTCGAGTTGCTGTGCTGAAGTTGGTGTTCCTCTAGACTTGGGACAGTGTTCTCGGGGCATCTCTGGAGTTGCCTGAAGGAAGTCGAGCCACCGGTCGTGTTGAATGGGGAACGGGGAATGGCTCTGGAGTCAATGCAGGGGAATCGGGCCTCATCTCGAGTTGATTTGGGGCACATGGAGCTGCTTTGCGTTGCTGGGGTGACCTCAGGGTCCGTCTAGACTGGTGACTGTTCTTGGGGACTGTCTCGAGATCCATTAAGCAAGTCGAAGCTCCTGACTTGTTTGAATGGGATCACGGAATAGCTCTGCATGCACTGCAGGGGAATGGGGCCTCATCTCGCCTCTAGGGGGAAGTCTCATGGTTTTTCTCGAGTTGCGGCGGGGACCTGGGGTATGTTCTCGACTTACGGCGGGGATGGCCCTTCCAAATACGAGTTTCTTCAGTGACGTCAGGACTCCTGTCTAGTAACGAGGGACACCTCAGGAATCTCTTCGAGGCTTGGCAGGGCCAAAGGGACGCTTCTCGAGGTGAGGCAGGGCACCCAAGGACCCTTTCCAGTAGCCACAGGGATTTTGGGATTCCTATCAGTATCCAAAGGAGTCAGGCATCGTCACCTTTTGAAGCAATGAACTCCGCGTGCCTCTCGAGGTGTCAGCGGGATGTGAGGCATTCCGTCAAAATGAGGCAGGGACCTAGGGCTTTCTCTAAGGTCTCCACAGGGGATTCAGACATCCCTTCATGTTGTGAGATGAAAGACGAGCCTGTATTCAAGCCACTGCAAGGAAATCCGGCCTCCTTTCAAGTTAGGGCTTCTCGCTGTATATTCCCCTTGAGGCAGCAAACTCGGGGTCCCTCCCACATACCTATTGCTGAGAGAAGCCTCCTCCTGAGGTGCTTCTGGGAAGTTGGCATACGTCTTGAGCCTAAGCCAGGGAATCAGCTCGCATCTCGAGACGATTTGGGGTACACGGAGCATTCCTCGAGTTGCTGTGCTGAAGTTGGTGTTCCTCTAGACTTGGGACAGTGTTCTCGGGGCATCTCTGGAGTTGCCTGAAGGAAGTCGAGCCACCGGTCGTGTTGAATGGGGAACGGGGAATGGCTCTGGAGTCAATGCAGGGGAATCGGGCCTCATCTCGAGTTGATTTGGGGCACATGGAGCTGCTTTGCGTTGCTGGGGTGACCTCAGGGTCCGTCTAGACTGGTGACAGTGTTCTTGGGGACTGTCTCGAGATCCATTAAGCAAGTCGAAGCTCCTGACTTGTTTGAATGGGATCACGGAATAGCTCTGCATGCACTGCAGGGGAATGGGGCCTCATCTCGCCTCTAGGGGGAAGTCTCATGGTTTTTCTCGAGTTGCGGCGGGGACCTGGGGTATGTTCTCGACTTACGGCGGGGATGGCCCTTCAAAACACGAGTTTCTTCAGTGACGTCAGGACTCCTGTCTAGTAATGAGGGACACCTCAGGAATCTCTTCGAGGCTTGGCAGGGCCAAAGGGACGCTTCTCGAGGTGAGGCAGGGCACCCAAGGACCCTTTCCAGTAGCCACAGGGATTTTGGGATTCCTATCAGTATCCAAAGGAGTCAGGCATCGTCACCTTTTGAAGCAATGAACTCCGCGTGCCTCTCGAGGTGTCAGCGGGATGTGAGGCATTCCGTCAAAATGAGGCAGGGACCTAGGGCTTTCTCTAAGGTCTCCACAGGGGATTCAGACATCCCTTCATGTTGTGAGATGAAAGACGAGCCTGTATTCAAGCCACTGCAAGGAAATCCGGCCTCCTTTCAAGTTAGGGCTTCTCGCTGTATATTCCCCTTGAGGCAGCAAACTCGGGGTCCCTCCCACATACCTATTGCTGAGAGAAGCCTCCTCCTGAGGTGCTTCTGGGAAGTTGGCATACGTCTTGAGCCTAAGCCAGGGAATCAGCTCGCATCTCGAGACGATTTGGGGTACACGGAGCATTTCTCGAGTTGCTGTGCTGAAGCTGGTGTTCCTCTAGACTTGGGACAGTGTTCTCGGGGCATCTCTGGAGTTGCCTGAAGGAAGTCGAGCCACCGGTCGTGTTGAATGGGGAACGGGGAATGGCTCTGGAGTCAATACAGGGGAATAGGGCCTCATCTCGAGTTGATTTGGGGCACATGGAGCTGCTTTGCGTTGCTGGGGTGACCTCAGGGTCCGTCTAGACTGGTGACAGTGTTCTTGGGGACTGTCTCGAGATCCATTAAGCAAGTCGAAGCTCCTGACTTGTTTGAATGGGATCACGGAATAGCTCTGCATGCACTGCAGGGGAATGGGGCCTCATCTCGCCTCTAGGGGGAAGTCTCATGGTTTTTCTCGAGTTGCGGCGGGGACCTGGGGTATGTTCTCGACTTACGGCGGGGATGGCCCTTCCAAATACGAGTTTCTTCAGTGACGTCAGGACTCCTGTCTAGTAACGAGGGACACCTCAGGAATCTCTTCGAGGCTTGGCAGGGCCAAAGGGACGCTTCTCGAGGTGAGGCAGGGCACCCAAGGACCCTTTCCAGTAGCCACAGGGATTTTGGGATTCCTATCAGTATCCAAAGGAGTCAGGCATCGTCACCTTTTGAAGCAATGAACTCCGCGTGCCTCTCGAGGTGTCAGCGGGATGTGTGGCATTCCGTCAAAATGAGGCAGGGACCTAGGGCTTTCTCTAAGGTCTCCACAGGGGATTCAGACATCCCTTCATGTTGTGAGATGAAAGACGAGCCTGTATTCAAGCCACTGCAAGGAAATCCGGCCTCCTTTCAAGTTAGGGCTTCTCGCTGTATATTCCCCTTGAGGCAGCAAACTCGGGGTCCCTCCCACATACCTATTGCTGAGAGAAGCCTCCTCCTGAGGTGCTTCTGGGAAGTTGGCATACGTCTTGAGCCTAAGCCAGGGAATCAGCTCGCATCTCGAGACGATTTGGGGTACACGGAGCATTCCTCGAGTTGCTGTGCTGAAGTTGGTGTTCCTCTAGACTTGGGACAGTGTTCTCGGGGCATCTCTGGAGTTGCCTGAAGGAAGTCGAGCCACCGGTCGTGTTGAATGGGGAACGGGGAATGGCTCTGGAGTCAATGCAGGGGAATCGGGCCTCATCTCGAGTTGATTTGGGGCACATGGAGCTGCTTTGCGTTGCTGGGGTGACCTCAGGGTCCGTCTAGACTGGTGACAGTGTTCTTGGGGACTGTCTCGAGATCCATTAAGCAAGTCGAAGCTCCTGACTTGTTTGAATGGGATCACGGAATAGCTCTGCATGCACTGCAGGGGAATGGGGCCTCATCTCGCCTCTAGGGGGAAGTCTCATGGTTTTTCTCGAGTTGCGGCGGGGACCTGGGGTATGTTCTCGACTTACGGCGGGGATGGCCCTTCAAAACACGAGTTTCTTCAGTGACGTCAGGACTCCTGTCTAGTAACGAGGGACACCTCAGGAATCTCTTCGAGGCTTGGCAGGGCCAAAGGGACGCTTCTCGAGGTGAGGCAGGGCACCCAAGGACCCTTTCCAGTAGCCACAGGGATTTTGGGATTCCTATCAGTATCCAAAGGAGTCAGGCATCGTCACCTTTTGAAGCAATGAACTCCGCGTGCCTCTAGAGGTGTCAGCGGGATGTGAGGCATTCCGTCAAAATGAGGCAGGGACCTAGGGCTTTCTCTAAGGTCTCCACAGGGGATTCAGACATCCCTTCATGTTGTGAGATGAAAGACGAGCCTGTATTCAAGCCACTGCAAGGAAATCCGGCCTCCTTTCAAGTTAGGGCTTCTCGCTGTATATTCCCCTTGAGGCAGCAAACTCGGGGTCCCTCCCACATACCTATTGCTGAGAGAAGCCTCCTCCTGAGGTGCTTCTGGGAAGTTGGCATACGTCTTGAGCCTAAGCCAGGGAATCAGCTCGCATCTCGAGACGATTTGGGGTACACGGAGCATTTCTCGAGTTGCTGTGCTGAAGTTGGTGTTCCTCTAGACTTGGGACAGTGTTCTCGGGGCATCTCTGGAGTTGCCTGAAGGAAGTCGAGCCAGCGGTCGTGTTGAATGGGGAACGGGGAATGGCTCTGGAGTCAATGCAGGGGAATCGGGCCTCATCTCGAGTTGATTTGGGGCACATGGAGCTGCTTTGCGTTGCTGGGGTGACCTCAGGGTCCGTCTAGACTGGTGACAGTGTTCTTGGGGACTGTCTCGAGATCCATTAAGCAAGTCGAAGCTCCTGACTTGTTTGAATGGGATCACGGAATAGCTCTGCATGCACTGCAGGGGAATGGGGCCTCATCTCGCCTCTAGGGGGAAGTCTCATGGTTTTTCTCGAGTTGCGGCGGGGACCTGGGGTATGTTCTCGACTTACGGCGGGGATGGCCCTTCAAAACACGAGTTTCTTCAGTGACGTCAGGACTCCTGTCTAGTAACGAGGGACACCTCAGGAATCTCTTCGAGGCTTGGCAGGGCCAAAGGGACGCTTCTCGAGGTGAGGCAGGGCACCCAAGGACCCTTTCCAGTAGCCACAGGGATTTTGGGATTCCTATCAGTATCCAAAGGAGTCAGGCATCGTCACCTTTTGAAGCAATGAACTCCGCGTGCCTCTAGAGGTGTCAGCGGGATGTGAGGCATTCCGTCAAAATGAGGCAGGGACCTAGGGCTTTCTCTAAGGTCTCCACAGGGGATTCAGACATCCCTTCATGTTGTGAGATGAAAGACGAGCCTGTATTCAAGCCACTGCAAGGAAATCCGGCCTCCTTTCAAGTTAGGGCTTCTCGCTGTATATTCCCCTTGAGGCAGCAAACTCGGGGTCCCTCCCACATACCTATTGCTGAGAGAAGCCTCCTCCTGAGGTGCTTCTGGGAAGTTGGCATACGTCTTGAGCCTAAGCCAGGGAATCAGCTCGCATCTCGAGACGATTTGGGGTACACGGAGCATTTCTCGAGTTGCTGTGCTGAAGCTGGTGTTCCTCTAGACTTGGGACAGTGTTCTCGGGGCATCTCTGGAGTTGCCTGAAGGAAGTCGAGCCACCGGTCGTGTTGAATGTGGAACGGGGAATGGCTCTGGAGTCAATACAGGGGAATAGGGCCTCATCTCGAGTTGATTTGGGGCACATGGAGCTGCTTTGCGTTGCTGGGGTGACCTCAGGGTCCGTCTAGACTGGTGACAGTGTTCTTGGGGACTGTCTCGAGATCCATTAAGCAAGTCGAAGCTCCTGACTTGTTTGAATGGGATCACGGAATAGCTCTGCATGCACTGCAGGGGAATGGGGCCTCATCTCGCCTCTAGGGGGAAGTCTCATGGTTTTTCTCGAGTTGCGGCGGGGACCTGGGGTATGTTCTCGACTTACGGCGGGGATGGCCCTTCAAAACACGAGTTTCTTCAGTGACGTCAGGACTCCTGTCTAGTAACGAGGGACACCTCAGGAATCTCTTCGAGGCTTGGCAGGGCCAAAGGGACGCTTCTCGAGGTGAGGCAGGGCACTCAAGGACCCTTTCCAGTAGCCACAGGGATTTTGGGATTCCTATCAGTATTCAAGAGGAGTCAGGCATCGTCACCTTTTGAAGCAATGAACTCCGCGTGCCTCTCGAGGTGTCAGCGGGATGTGAGGCATTCCGTCAAAATGAGGCAGGGACCTAGGGCTTCTTCTAAGGTCTCCACAGGGGATTCAGACATCCCTTCATGTTGTGAGATGAAAGACGAGCCTGTATTCAAGCCACTGCAAGGAAATCCGGCCTCCTTTCAAGTTAGGGCTTCTCGCTGTATATTCCCCTTGAGGCAGCAAACTCGGGGTCCCTCCCACATACCTATTGCTGAGAGAAGCCTCCTCCTGAGGTGCTTCTGGGAAGTTGGCATACGTCTTGAGCCTAAGCCAGGGAATCAGCTCGCATCTCGAGACGATTTGGGGTACACGGAGCATTCCTCGAGTTGCTGTGCTGAAGTTGGTGTTCCTCTAGACTTGGGACAGTGTTCTCGGGGCATCTCTGGAGTTGCCTGAAGGAAGTCGAGCCACCGGTCGTGTTGAATGGGGAACGGGGAATGGCTCTGGAGTCAATGCAGGGGAATCGGGCCTCATCTCGAGTTGATTTGGGGCACATGGAGCTGCTTTGCGTTGCTGGGGTGACCTCAGGGTCCGTCTAGACTGGTGACAGTGTTCTTGGGGACTGTCTCGAGATCCATTAAGCAAGTCGAAGCTCCTGACTTGTTTGAATGGGATCACGGAATAGCTCTTCATGCACTGCAGGGGAATGGGGCCTCATCTCGCCTCTAGGGGAAAGTCTCATGGTTTTTCTCGAGTTGCGGCGGGGACCTGGGGTATGTTCTCGACTTACGGCGGGGATGGCCCTTCAAAACACGAGTTTCTTCAGTGACGTCAGGACTCCTGTCTAGTAACGAGGGACACCTCAGGAATCTCTTCGAGGCTTGGCAGGGCCAAAGGGACGCTTCTCGAGGTGAGGCAGGGCACCCAAGGACCCTTTCCAGTAGCCACAGGGATTTTGGGATTCCTATCAGTATTCAAGAGGAGTCAGGCATCGTCACCTTTTGAAGCAATGAACTCCGCGTGCCTCTCGAGGTGTCAGCGGGATGTGAGGCATTCCGTCAAAATGAGGCAGGGACCTAGGGCTTTCTCTAAGGTCTCCACAGGGGATTCAGACATCCCTTCATGTTGTGAGATGAAAGACGAGCCTGTATTCAAGCCACTGCAAGGAAATCCGGCCTCCTTTCAAGTTAGGGCTTCTCGCTGTATATTCCCCTTGAGGCAGCAAACTCGGGGTCCCTCCCACATACCTATTGCTGAGAGAAGCCTCCTCCTGAGGTGCTTCTGGGAAGTTGGCATACGTCTTGAGCCTAAGCCAGGGAATCAGCTCGCATCTCGAGACGATTTGGGGTACACGGAGCATTCCTCGAGTTGCTGTGCTGAAGTTGGTGTTCCTCTAGACTTGGGACAGTGTTCTCGGGGCATCTCTGGAGTTGCCTGAAGGAAGTCGAGCCACCGGTCGTGTTGAATGGGGAACGGGGAATGGCTCTGGAGTCAATGCAGGGGAATCGGGCCTCATCTCGAGTTGATTTGGGGCACATGGAGCTGCTTTGCGTTGCTGGGGTGACCTCAGGGTCCGTCTAGACTGGTGACAGTGTTCTTGGGGACTGTCTCGAGATCCATTAAGCAAGTCGAAGCTCCTGACTTGTTTGAATGGGATCACGGAATAGCTCTGCATGCACTGCAGGGGAATGGGGCCTCATCTCGCCTCTAGGGGGAAGTCTCATGGTTTTTCTCGAGTTGCGGCGGGGACCTGGGGTATGTTCTCGACTTACGGCGGGGATGGCCCTTCAAAACACGAGTTTCTTCAGTGACGTCAGGACTCCTGTCTAGTAACGAGGGACACCTCAGGAATCTCTTCGAGGCTTGGCAGGGCCAAAGGGACGCTTCTCGAGGTGAGGCAGGGCACCGAAGGACCCTTTCCAGTAGCCACAGGGATTTTGGGATTCCTATCAGTATTCAAGAGGAGTCAGGCATCGTCACCTTTTGAAGCAATGAACTCCGCGTGCCTCTCGAGGTGTCAGCGGGATGTGAGGCATTCCGTCAAAATGAGGCAGGGACCTAGGGCTTTCTCTAAGGTCTCCACAGGGGATTCAGACATCCCTTCATGTTGTGAGATGAAAGACGAGCCTGTATTCAAGCCACTGCAAGGAAATCCGGCCTCCTTTCAAGTTAGGGCTTCTCGCTGTATATTCCCCTTGAGGCAGCAAACTCGGGGTCCCTCCCACATACCTATTGCTGAGAGAAGCCTCCTCCTGAGGTGCTTCTGGGAAGTTGGCATACGTCTTGAGCCTAAGCCAGGGAATCAGCTCGCATCTCGAGACGATTTGGGGTACACGGAGCATTCCTCGAGTTGCTGTGCTGAAGTTGGTGTTCCTCTAGACTTGGGACAGTGTTCTCGGGGCATCTCTGGAGTTGCCTGAAGGAAGTCGAGCCACCGGTCGTGTTGAATGGGGAACGGGGAATGGCTCTGGAGTCAATGCAGGGGAATCGGGCCTCATCTCGAGTTGATTTGGGGCACATGGAGCTGCTTTGCGTTGCTGGGGTGACCTCAGGGTCCGTCTAGACTGGTGACAGTGTTCTTGGGGACTGTCTCGAGATCCATTAAGCAAGTCGAAGCTCCTGACTTGTTTGAATGGGATCACGGAATAGCTCTGCATGCACTGCAGGGGAATGGGGCCTCATCTCGCCTCTAGGGGGAAGTCTCATGGTTTTTCTCGAGTTGCGGCGGGGACCTGGGGTATGTTCTCGACTTACGGCGGGGATGGCCCTTCAAAACACGAGTTTCTTCAGTGACGTCAGGACTCCTGTCTAGTAACGAGGGACACCTCAGGAATCTCTTCGAGGCTTGGCAGGGCCAAAGGGACGCTTCTCGAGGTGAGGCAGGGCACCCAAGGACCCTTTCCAGTAGCCACAGGGATTTTGGGATTCCTATCAGTATCCAAAGGAGTCAGGCATCGTCACCTTTTGAAGCAATGAACTCCGCGTGCCTCTCGAGGTGTCAGCGGGATGTGAGGCATTCCGTCAAAATGAGGCAGGGACCTAGGGCTTTCTCTAAGGTCTCCACAGGGGATTCAGACATCCCTTCATGTTGTGAGATGAAAGACGAGCCTGTATTCAAGCCACTGCAAGGAAATCCGGCCTCCTTTCAAGTTAGGGCTTCTCGCTGTATATTCCCCTTGAGGCAGCAAACTCGGGGTCCCTCCCACATACCTATTGCTGAGAGAAGCCTCCTCCTGAGGTGCTTCTGGGAAGTTGGCATACGTCTTGAGCCTAAGCCAGGGAATCAGCTCGCATCTCGAGACGATTTGGGGTACACGGAGCATTCCTCGAGTTGCTGTGCTGAAGTTGGTGTTCCTCTAGACTTGGGACAGTGTTCTCGGGGCATCTCTGGAGTTGCCTGAAGGAAGTCGAGCCACCGGTCGTGTTGAATGGGGAACGGGGAATGGCTCTGGAGTCAATGCAGGGGAATTGGGCCTCATCTCGAGTTGATTTGGGGCACATGGAGCTGCTTTGCGTTGCTGGGGTGACCTCAGGGTCCGTCTAGACTGGTGACTGTTCTTGGGGACTGTCTCGAGATCCATTAAGCAAGTCGAAGCTCCTGACTTGTTTGAATGGGATCACGGAATAGCTCTGCATGCACTGCAGGGGAATGGGGCCTCATCTCGCCTCTAGGGGGAAGTCTCATGGTTTTTCTCGAGTTGCGGCGGGGACCTGGGGTATGTTCTCGACTTACGGCGGGGATGGCCCTTCAAAACACGAGTTTCTTCAGTGACGTCAGGACTCCTGTCTAGTAACGAGGGACACCTCAGGAATCTCTTCGAGGCTTGGCAGGGCCAAAGGGACGCTTCTCGAGGTGAGGCAGGGCACCCAAGGACCCTTTCCAGTAGCCACAGGGATTTTGGGATTCCTATCAGTATTCAAGAGGAGTCAGGCATCGTCACCTTTTGAAGCAATGAACTCCGCGTGCCTCTCGAGGTGTCAGCGGGATGTGAGGCATTCCGTCAAAATGAGGCAGGGACCTAGGGCTTTCTCTAAGGTCTCCACAGGGGATTGAGACATCCCTTCATGTTGTGAGATGAAAGACGAGCCTGTATTCAAGCCACTGCAAGGAAATCCGGCCTCCTTTCAAGTTAGGGCTTCTCGCTGTATATTCCCCTTGAGGCAGCAAACTCGGGGTCCCTCCCACATACCTATTGCTGAGAGAAGCCTCCTCCTGAGGTGCTTCTGGGAAGTTGGCATACGTCTTGAGCCTAAGCCAGGGAATCAGCTCGCATCTCGAGACGATTTGGGGTACACGGAGCATTCCTCGAGTTGCTGTGCTGAAGTTGGTGTTCCTCTAGACTTGGGACAGTGTTCTCGGGGCATCTCTGGAGTTGCCTGAAGGAAGTCGAGCCACCGGTCGTGTTGAATGGGGAACGGGGAATGGCTCTGGAGTCAATGCAGGGGAATCGGGCCTCATCTCGAGTTGATTTGGGGCACATGGAGCTGCTTTGCGTTGCTGGGGTGACCTCAGGGTCCGTCTAGACTGGTGACAGTGTTCTTGGGGACTGTCTCGAGATCCATTAAGCAAGTCGAAGCTCCTGACTTGTTTGAATGGGATCACGGAATAGCTCTGCATGCACTGCAGGGGAATGGGGCCTCATCTCGCCTCTAGGGGGAAGTCTCATGGTTTTTCTCGAGTTGCGGCGGGGACCTGGGGTATGTTCTCGACTTACGGCGGGGATGGCCCTTCAAAACACGAGTTTCTTCAGTGACGTCAGGACTCCTGTCTAGTAATGAGGGACACCTCAGGAATCTCTTCGAGGCTTGGCAGGGCCAAAGGGACGCTTCTCGAGGTGAGGCAGGGCACCCAAGGACCCTTTCCAGTAGCCACAGGGATTTTGGGATTCCTATCAGTATCCAAAGGAGTCAGGCATCGTCACCTTTTGAAGCAATGAACTCCGCGTGCCTCTCGAGGTGTCAGCGGGATGTGAGGCATTCCGTCAAAATGAGGCAGGGACCTAGGGCTTTCTCTAAGGTCTCCACAGGGGATTCAGACATCCCTTCATGTTGTGAGATGAAAGACGAGCCTGTATTCAAGCCACTGCAAGGAAATCCGGCCTCCTTTCAAGTTAGGGCTTCTCGCTGTATATTCCCCTTGAGGCAGCAAACTCGGGGTCCCTCCCACATACCTATTGCTGAGAGAAGCCTCCTCCTGAGGTGCTTCTGGGAAGTTGGCATACGTCTTGAGCCTAAGCCAGGGAATCAGCTCGCATCTCGAGACGATTTGGGGTACACGGAGCATTTCTCGAGTTGCTGTGCTGAAGCTGGTGTTCCTCTAGACTTGGGACAGTGTTCTCGGGGCATCTCTGGAGTAGCCTGAAGGAAGTCGAGCCACCGGTCGTGTTGAATGGGGAACGGGGAATGGCTCTGGAGTCAATACAGGGGAATAGGGCCTCATCTCGAGTTGATTTGGGGCACATGGAGCTGCTTTGCGTTGCTGGGGTGACCTCAGGGTCCGTCTAGACTGGTGACAGTGTTCTTGGGGACTGTCTCGAGATCCATTAAGCAAGTCGAAGCTCCTGACTTGTTTGAATGGGATCACGGAATAGCTCTGCATGCACTGCAGGGGAATGGGGCCTCATCTCGCCTCTAGGGGGAAGTCTCATGGTTTTTCTCGAGTTGCGGCGGGGACCTGGGGTATGTTCTCGACTTACGGCGGGGATGGCCCTTCAAAACACGAGTTTCTTCAGTGACGTCAGGACTCCTGTCTAGTAACGAGGGACACCTCAGGAATCTCTTCGAGGCTTGGCAGGGCCAAAGGGACGCTTCTCGAGGTGAGGCAGGGCACTCAAGGACCCTTTCCAGTAGCCACAGGGATTTTGGGATTCCTATCAGTATTCAAGAGGAGTCAGGCATCGTCACCTTTTGAAGCAATGAACTCCGCGTGCCTCTCGAGGTGTCAGCGGGATGTGAGGCATTCCGTCAAAATGAGGCAGGGACCTAGGGCTTCTTCTAAGGTCTCCACAGGGGATTCAGACATCCCTTCCTGTTGTGAGATGAAAGACGAGCCTGTATTCAAGCCACTGCAAGGAAATCCGGCCTCCTTTCAAGTTAGGGCTTCTCGCTGTATATTCCCCTTGAGGCAGCAAACTCGGGGTCCCTCCCACATACCTATTGCTGAGAGAAGCCTCCTCCTGAGGTGCTTCTGGGAAGTTGGCATACGTCTTGAGCCTAAGCCAGGGAATCAGCTCGCATCTCGAGACGATTTGGGGTACACGGAGCATTCCTCGAGTTGCTGTGCTGAAGTTGGTGTTCCTCTAGACTTGGGACAGTGTTCTCGGGGCATCTCTGGAGTTGCCTGAAGGAAGTCGAGCCACCGGTCGTGTTGAATGGGGAACGGGGAATGGCTCTGGAGTCAATGCAGGGGAATCGGGCCTCATCTCGAGTTGATTTGGGGCACATGGAGCTGCTTTGCGTTGCTGGGGTGACCTCAGGGTCCGTCTAGACTGGTGACAGTGTTCTTGGGGACTGTCTCGAGATCCATTAAGCAAGTCGAAGCTCCTGACTTGTTTGAATGGGATCACGGAATAGCTCTGCATGCACTGCAGGGGAATGGGGCCTCATCTCGCCTCTAGGGGGAAGTCTCATGGTTTTTCTCGAGTTGCGGCGGGGACCTGGGGTATGTTCTCGACTTACGGCGGGGATGGCCCTTCAAAACACGAGTTTCTTCAGTGACGTCAGGACTCCTGTCTAGTAACGAGGGACACCTCAGGAATCTCTTCGAGGCTTGGCAGGGCCAAAGGGACGCTTCTCGAGGTGAGGCAGGGCACCCAAGGACCCTTTCCAGTAGCCACAGGGATTTTGGGATTCCTATCAGTATTCAAGAGGAGTCAGGCATCGTCACCTTTTGAAGCAATGAACTCCGCGTGCCTCTCGAGGTGTCAGCGGGATGTGAGGCATTCCGTCAAAATGAGGCAGGGACCTAGGGCTTTCTCTAAGGTCTCCACAGGGGATTCAGACATCCCTTCATGTTGTGAGATGAAAGACGAGCCTGTATTCAAGCCACTGCAAGGAAATCCGGCCTCCTTTCAAGTTAGGGGTTCTCGCTGTATATTCCCCTTGAGGCAGCAAACTCGGGGTCCCTCCCACATACCTATTGCTGAGAGAAGCCTCCTCCTGAGGTGCTTCTGGGAAGTTGGCATACGTCTTGAGCCTAAGCCAGGGAATCAGCTCGCATCTCGAGACGATTTGGGGTACACGGAGCATTCCTCGAGTTGCTGTGCTGAAGTTGGTGTTCCTCTAGACTTGGGACAGTGTTCTCGGGGCATCTCTGGAGTTGCCTGAAGGAAGTCGAGCCACCGGTCGTGTTGAATGGGGAACGGGGAATGGCTCTGGAGTCAATGCAGGGGAATCGGGCCTCATCTCGCCTCTAGGGGGAAGTCTCATGGTTTTTCTCGAGTTGCGGCGGGGACCTGGGGTATGTTCTCGACTTACGGCGGGGATGGCCCTTCAAAACACGAGTTTCTTCAGTGACGTCAGGACTCCTGTCTAGTAACGAGGGACACCTCAGGAATCTCTTCGAGGCTTGGCAGGGCCAAAGGGACGCTTCTCGAGGTGAGGCAGGGCACCCAAGGACCCTTTCCAGTAGCCACAGGGATTTTGGGATTCCTATCAGTATTCAAGAGGAGTCAGGCATCGTCACCTTTTGAAGCAATGAACTCCGCGTGCCTCTCGAGGTGTCAGCGGGATGTGAGGCATTCCGTCAAAATGAGGCAGGGACCTAGGGCTTTCTCTAAGGTCTCCACAGGGGATTCAGACATCCCTTCATGTTGTGAGATGAAAGACGAGCCTGTATTCAAGCCACTGCAAGGAAATCCGGCCTCCTTTCAAGTTAGGGGTTCTCGCTGTATATTCCCCTTGAGGCAGCAAACTCGGGGTCCCTCCCACATACCTATTGCTGAGAGAAGCCTCCTCCTGAGGTGCTTCTGGGAAGTTGGCATACGTCTTGAGCCTAAGCCAGGGAATCAGCTCGCATCTCGAGACGATTTGGGGTACACGGAGCATTCCTCGAGTTGCTGTGCTGAAGTTGGTGTTCCTCTAGACTTGGGACAGTGTTCTCGGGGCATCTCTGGAGTTGCCTGAAGGAAGTCGAGCCACCGGTCGTGTTGAATGGGGAACGGGGAATGGCTCTGGAGTCAATGCAGGGGAATCGGGCCTCATCTCGAGTTGATTTGGGGCACATGGAGCTGCTTTGCGTTGCTGGGGTGACCTCAGGGTCCGTCTAGACTGGTGACTGTTCTTGGGGACTGTCTCGAGATCCATTAAGCAAGTCGAAGCTCCTGACTTGTTTGAATGGGATCACGGAATAGCTCTGCATGCACTGCAGGGGAATGGGGCCTCATCTCGCCTCTAGGGGGAAGTCTCATGGTTTTTCTAGAGTTGCGGCGGGGACCTGGGGTATGTTCTCGACTTACGGCGGGGATGGCCCTTCCAAATACGAGTTTCTTCAGTGACGTCAGGACTCCTGTCTAGTAACGAGGGACACCTCAGGAATCTCTTCGAGGCTTGGCAGGGCCAAAGGGACGCTTCTCGAGGTGAGGCAGGGCACCCAAGGACCCTTTCCAGTAGCCACAGGGATTTTGGGATTCCTATCAGTATCCAAAGGAGTCAGGCATCGTCACCTTTTGAAGCAATGAACTCCGCGTGCCTCTCGAGGTGTCAGCGGGATGTGAGGCATTCCGTCAAAATGAGGCAGGGACCTAGGGCTTTCTCTAAGGTCTCCACAGGGGATTCAGACATCCCTTCATGTTGTGAGATGAAAGACGAGCCTGTATTCAAGCCACTGCAAGGAAATCCGGCCTCCTTTCAAGTTAGGGCTTCTCGCTGTATATTCCCCTTGAGGCAGCAAACTCGGGGTCCCTCCCACATACCTATTGCTGAGAGAAGCCTCCTCCTGAGGTGCTTCTGGGAAGTTGGCATACGTCTTGAGCCTAAGCCAGGGAATCAGCTCGCATCTCGAGACGATTTGGGGTACACGGAGCATTCCTCGAGTTGCTGTGCTGAAGTTGGTGTTCCTCTAGACTTGGGACAGTGTTCTCGGGGCATCTCTGGAGTTGCCTGAAGGAAGTCGAGCCACCGGTCGTGTTGAATGGGGAACGGGGAATGGCTCTGGAGTCAATGCAGGGGAATCGGGCCTCATCTCGAGTTGATTTGGGGCACATGGAGCTGCTTTGCGTTGCTGGGGTGACCTCAGGGTCCGTCTAGACTGGTGACAGTGTTCTTGGGGACTGTCTCGAGATCCATTAAGCAAGTCGAAGCTCCTGACTTGTTTGAATGGGATCACGGAATAGCTCTTCATGCACTGCAGGGGAATGGGGCCTCATCTCGCCTCTAGGGGAAAGTCTCATGGTTTTTCTCGAGTTGCGGCGGGGACCTGGGGTATGTTCTCGACTTACGGCGGGGATGGCCCTTCAAAACACGAGTTTCTTCAGTGACGTCAGGACTCCTGTCTAGTAACGAGGGACACCTCAGGAATCTCTTCGAGGCTTGGCAGGGCCAAAGGGACGCTTCTCGAGGTGAGGCAGGGCACCCAAGGACCCTTTCCAGTAGCCACAGGGATTTTGGGATTCCTATCAGTATTCAAGAGGAGTCAGGCATCGTCACCTTTTGAAGCAATGAACTCCGCGTGCCTCTCGAGGTGTCAGCGGGATGTGAGGCATTCCGTCAAAATGAGGCAGGGACCTAGGGCTTTCTCTAAGGTCTCCACAGGGGATTCAGACATCCCTTCATGTTGTGAGATGAAAGACGAGCCTGTATTCAAGCCACTGCAAGGAAATCCGGCCTCCTTTCAAGTTAGGGCTTCTCGCTGTATATTCCCCTTGAGGCAGCAAACTCGGGGTCCCTCCCACATACCTATTGCTGAGAGAAGCCTCCTCCTGAGGTGCTTCTGGGAATTTGGCATACGTCTTGAGCCTAAGCCAGGGAATCAGCTCGCATCTCGAGACGATTTGGGGTACACGGAGCATTCCTCGAGTTGCTGTGCTGAAGTTGGTGTTCCTCTAGACTTGGGACAGTGTTCTCGGGGCATCTCTGGAGTTGCCTGAAGGAAGTCGAGCCACCGGTCGTGTTGAATGGGGAACGGGGAATGGCTCTGGAGTCAATGCAGGGGAATCGGGCCTCATCTCGAGTTGATTTGGGGCACATGGAGCTGCTTTGCGTTGCTGGGGTGACCTCAGGGTCCGTCTAGACTGGTGACAGTGTTCTTGGGGACTGTCTCGAGATCCATTAAGCAAGTCGAAGCTCCTGACTTGTTTGAATGGGATCACGGAATAGCTCTGCATGCACTGCAGGGGAATGGGGCCTCATCTCGCCTCTAGGGGGAAGTCTCATGGTTTTTCTCGAGTTGCGGCGGGGACCTGGGGTATGTTCTCGACTTACGGCGGGGATGGCCCTTCAAAACACGAGTTTCTTCAGTGACGTCAGGACTCCTGTCTAGTAACGAGGGACACCTCAGGAATCTCTTCGAGGCTTGGCAGGGCCAAAGGGACGCTTCTCGAGGTGAGGCAGGGCACCCAAGGACCCTTTCCAGTAGCCACAGGGATTTTGGGATTCCTATCAGTATTCAAGAGGAGTCAGGCATCGTCACCTTTTGAAGCAATGAACTCCGCGTGCCTCTCGAGGTGTCAGCGGGATGTGAGGCATTCCGTCAAAATGAGGCAGGGACCTAGGGCTTTCTCTAAGGTCTCCACAGGGGATTCAGACATCCCTTCATGTTGTGAGATGAAAGACGAGCCTGTATTCAAGCCACTGCAAGGAAATCCGGCCTCCTTTCAAGTTAGGGCTTCTCGCTGTATATTCCCCTTGAGGCAGCAAACTCGGGGTCCCTCCCACATACCTATTGCTGAGAGAAGCCTCCTCCTGAGGTGCTTCTGGGAAGTTGGCATACGTCTTGAGCCTAAGCCAGGGAATCAGCTCGCATCTCGAGACAATTTGGGGTACACGGAGCATTCCTCGAGTTGCTGTGCTGAAGTTGGTGTTCCTCTAGACTTGGGACAGTGTTCTCGGGGCATCTCTGGAGTTGCCTGAAGGAAGTCGAGCCACCGGTCGTGTTGAATGGGGAACGGGGAATGGCTCTGGAGTCAATGCAGGGGAATCGGGCCTCATCTCGAGTTGATTTGGGGCACATGGAGCTGCTTTGCGTTGCTGGGGTGACCTCAGGGTCCGTCTAGACTGGTGACAGTGTTCTTGGGGACTGTCTCGAGATCCATTAAGCAAGTCGAAGCTCCTGACTTGTTTGAATGGGATCACGGAATAGCTCTGCATGCACTGCAGGGGAATGGGGCCTCATCTCGCCTCTAGGGGGAAGTCTCATGGTTTTTCTCGAGTTGCGGCGGGGACCTGGGGTATGTTCTCGACTTACGGCGGGGATGGCCCTTCAAAACACGAGTTTCTTCAGTGACGTCAGGACTCCTGTCTAGTAACGAGGGACACCTCAGGAATCTCTTCGAGGCTTGGCAGGGCCAAAGGGACGCTTCTCGAGGTGAGGCAGGGCACCCAAGGACCCTTTCCAGTAGCCACAGGGATTTTGGGATTCCTATCAGTATCCAAAGGAGTCAGGCATCGTCACCTTTTGAAGCAATGAACTCCGCGTGCCTCTCGAGGTGTCAGCGGGATGTGAGGCATTCCGTCAAAATGAGGCAGGGACCTAGGGCTTTCTCTAAGGTCTCCACAGGGGATTCAGACATCCCTTCATGTTGTGAGATGAAAGACGAGCCTGTATTCAAGCCACTGCAAGGAAATCCGGCCTCCTTTCAAGTTAGGGCTTCTCGCTGTATATTCCCCTTGAGGCAGCAAACTCGGGGTCCCTCCCACATACCTATTGCTGAGAGAAGCCTCCTCCTGAGGTGCTTCTGGGAAGTTGGCATACGTCTTGAGCCTAAGCCAGGGAATCAGCTCGCATCTCGAGACGATTTGGGGTACACGGAGCATTCCTCGAGTTGCTGTGCTGAAGTTGGTGTTCCTCTAGACTTGGGACAGTGTTCTCGGGGCATCTCTGGAGTTGCCTGAAGGAAGTCGAGCCACCGGTCGTGTTGAATGGGGAACGGGGAATGGCTCTGGAGTCAATGCAGGGGAATCGGGCCTCATCTCGAGTTGATTTGGGGCACATGGAGCTGCTTTGCGTTGCTGGGGTGACCTCAGGGTCCGTCTAGACTGGTGACTGTTCTTGGGGACTGTCTCGAGATCCATTAAGCAAGTCGAAGCTCCTGACTTGTTTGAATGGGATCACGGAATAGCTCTGCATGCACTGCAGGGGAATGGGGCCTCATCTCGCCTCTAGGGGGAAGTCTCATGGTTTTTCTCGAGTTGCGGCGGGGACCTGGGGTATGTTCTCGACTTACGGCGGGGATGGCCCTTCCAAATACGAGTTTCTTCAGTGACGTCAGGACTCCTGTCTAGTAACGAGGGACACCTCAGGAATCTCTTCGAGGCTTGGCAGGGCCAAAGGGACGCTTCTCGAGGTGAGGCAGGGCACCCAAGGACCCTTTCCAGTAGCCACAGGGATTTTGGGATTCCTATCAGTATCCAAAGGAGTCAGGCATCGTCACCTTTTGAAGCAATGAACTCCGCGTGCCTCTCGAGGTGTCAGCGGGATGTGAGGCATTCCGTCAAAATGAGGCAGGGACCTAGGGCTTTCTCTAAGGTCTCCACAGGGGATTCAGACATCCCTTCATGTTGTGAGATGAAAGACGAGCCTGTATTCAAGCCACTGCAAGGAAATCCGGCCTCCTTTCAAGTTAGGGCTTCTCGCTGTATATTCCCCTTGAGGCAGCAAACTCGGGGTCCCTCCCACATACCTATTGCTGAGAGAAGCCTCCTCCTGAGGTGCTTCTGGGAAGTTGGCATACGTCTTGAGCCTAAGCCAGGGAATCAGCTCGCATCTCGAGACGATTTGGGGTACACGGAGCATTCCTCGAGTTGCTGTGCTGAAGTTGGTGTTCCTCTAGACTTGGGACAGTGTTCTCGGGGCATCTCTGGAGTTGCCTGAAGGAAGTCGAGCCACCGGTCGTGTTGAATGGGGAACGGGGAATGGCTCTGGAGTCAATGCAGGGGAATCGGGCCTCATCTCGAGTTGATTTGGGGCACATGGAGCTGCTTTGCGTTGCTGGGGTGACCTCAGGGTCCGTCTAGACTGGTGACAGTGTTCTTGGGGACTGTCTCGAGATCCATTAAGCAAGTCGAAGCTCCTGACTTGTTTGAATGGGATCACGGAATAGCTCTGCATGCACTGCAGGGGAATGGGGCCTCATCTCGCCTCTAGGGGGAAGTCTCATGGTTTTTCTCGAGTTGCGGCGGGGACCTGGGGTATGTTCTCGACTTACGGCGGGGATGGCCCTTCAAAACACGAGTTTCTTCAGTGACGTCAGGACTCCTGTCTAGTAACGAGGGACACCTCAGGAATCTCTTCGAGGCTTGGCAGGGCCAAAGGGACGCTTCTCGAGGTGAGGCAGGGCACCCAAGGACCCTTTCCAGTAGCCACAGGGATTTTGGGATTCCTATCAGTATTCAAGAGGAGTCAGGCATCGTCACCTTTTGAAGCAATGAACTCCGCGTGCCTCTCGAGGTGTCAGCGGGATGTGAGGCATTCCGTCAAAATGAGGCAGGGACCTAGGGCTTTCTCTAAGGTCTCCACAGGGGATTCAGACATCCCTTCATGTTGTGAGATGAAAGACGAGCCTGTATTCAAGCCACTGCAAGGAAATCCGGCCTCCTTTCAAGTTAGGGGTTCTCGCTGTATATTCCCCTTGAGGCAGCAAACTCGGGGTCCCTCCCACATACCTATTGCTGAGAGAAGCCTCCTCCTGAGGTGCTTCTGGGAAGTTGGCATACGTCTTGAGCCTAAGCCAGGGAATCAGCTCGCATCTCGAGACGATTTGGGGTACACGGAGCATTCCTCGAGTTGCTGTGCTGAAGTTGGTGTTCCTCTAGACTTGGGACAGTGTTCTCGGGGCATCTCTGGAGTTGCCTGAAGGAAGTCGAGCCACCGGTCGTGTTGAATGGGGAACGGGGAATGGCTCTGGAGTCAATGCAGGGGAATCGGGCCTCATCTCGCCTCTAGGGGGAAGTCTCATGGTTTTTCTCGAGTTGCGGCGGGGACCTGGGGTATGTTCTCGACTTACGGCGGGGATGGCCCTTCAAAACACGAGTTTCTTCAGTGACGTCAGGACTCCTGTCTAGTAACGAGGGACACCTCAGGAATCTCTTCGAGGCTTGGCAGGGCCAAAGGGACGCTTCTCGAGGTGAGGCAGGGCACCCAAGGACCCTTTCCAGTAGCCACAGGGATTTTGGGATTCCTATCAGTATTCAAGAGGAGTCAGGCATCGTCACCTTTTGAAGCAATGAACTCCGCGTGCCTCTCGAGGTGTCAGCGGGATGTGAGGCATTCCGTCAAAATGAGGCAGGGACCTAGGGCTTTCTCTAAGGTCTCCACAGGGGATTCAGACATCCCTTCATGTTGTGAGATGAAAGACGAGCCTGTATTCAAGCCACTGCAAGGAAATCCGGCCTCCTTTCAAGTTAGGGGTTCTCGCTGTATATTCCCCTTGAGGCAGCAAACTCGGGGTCCCTCCCACATACCTATTGCTGAGAGAAGCCTCCTCCTGAGGTGCTTCTGGGAAGTTGGCATACGTCTTGAGCCTAAGCCAGGGAATCAGCTCGCATCTCGAGACGATTTGGGGTACACGGAGCATTCCTCGAGTTGCTGTGCTGAAGTTGGTGTTCCTCTAGACTTGGGACAGTGTTCTCGGGGCATCTCTGGAGTTGCCTGAAGGAAGTCGAGCCACCGGTCGTGTTGAATGGGGAACGGGGAATGGCTCTGGAGTCAATGCAGGGGAATCGGGCCTCATCTCGAGTTGATTTGGGGCACATGGAGCTGCTTTGCGTTGCTGGGGTGACCTCAGGGTCCGTCTAGACTGGTGACTGTTCTTGGGGACTGTCTCGAGATCCATTAAGCAAGTCGAAGCTCCTGACTTGTTTGAATGGGATCACGGAATAGCTCTGCATGCACTGCAGGGGAATGGGGCCTCATCTCGCCTCTAGGGGGAAGTCTCATGGTTTTTCTAGAGTTGCGGCGGGGACCTGGGGTATGTTCTCGACTTACGGCGGGGATGGCCCTTCCAAATACGAGTTTCTTCAGTGACGTCAGGACTCCTGTCTAGTAACGAGGGACACCTCAGGAATCTCTTCGAGGCTTGGCAGGGCCAAAGGGACGCTTCTCGAGGTGAGGCAGGGCACCCAAGGACCCTTTCCAGTAGCCACAGGGATTTTGGGATTCCTATCAGTATCCAAAGGAGTCAGGCATCGTCACCTTTTGAAGCAATGAACTCCGCGTGCCTCTCGAGGTGTCAGCGGGATGTGAGGCATTCCGTCAAAATGAGGCAGGGACCTAGGGCTTTCTCTAAGGTCTCCACAGGGGATTCAGACATCCCTTCATGTTGTGAGATGAAAGACGAGCCTGTATTCAAGCCACTGCAAGGAAATCCGGCCTCCTTTCAAGTTAGGGCTTCTCGCTGTATATTCCCCTTGAGGCAGCAAACTCGGGGTCCCTCCCACATACCTATTGCTGAGAGAAGCCTCCTCCTGAGGTGCTTCTGGGAAGTTGGCATACGTCTTGAGCCTAAGCCAGGGAATCAGCTCGCATCTCGAGACGATTTGGGGTACACGGAGCATTCCTCGAGTTGCTGTGCTGAAGTTGGTGTTCCTCTAGACTTGGGACAGTGTTCTCGGGGCATCTCTGGAGTTGCCTGAAGGAAGTCGAGCCACCGGTCGTGTTGAATGGGGAACGGGGAATGGCTCTGGAGTCAATGCAGGGGAATCGGGCCTCATCTCGAGTTGATTTGGGGCACATGGAGCTGCTTTGCGTTGCTGGGGTGACCTCAGGGTCCGTCTAGACTGGTGACAGTGTTCTTGGGGACTGTCTCGAGATCCATTAAGCAAGTCGAAGCTCCTGACTTGTTTGAATGGGATCACGGAATAGCTCTTCATGCACTGCAGGGGAATGGGGCCTCATCTCGCCTCTAGGGGAAAGTCTCATGGTTTTTCTCGAGTTGCGGCGGGGACCTGGGGTATGTTCTCGACTTACGGCGGGGATGGCCCTTCAAAACACGAGTTTCTTCAGTGACGTCAGGACTCCTGTCTAGTAACGAGGGACACCTCAGGAATCTCTTCGAGGCTTGGCAGGGCCAAAGGGACGCTTCTCGAGGTGAGGCAGGGCACCCAAGGACCCTTTCCAGTAGCCACAGGGATTTTGGGATTCCTATCAGTATTCAAGAGGAGTCAGGCATCGTCACCTTTTGAAGCAATGAACTCCGCGTGCCTCTCGAGGTGTCAGCGGGATGTGAGGCATTCCGTCAAAATGAGGCAGGGACCTAGGGCTTTCTCTAAGGTCTCCACAGGGGATTCAGACATCCCTTCATGTTGTGAGATGAAAGACGAGCCTGTATTCAAGCCACTGCAAGGAAATCCGGCCTCCTTTCAAGTTAGGGCTTCTCGCTGTATATTCCCCTTGAGGCAGCAAACTCGGGGTCCCTCCCACATACCTATTGCTGAGAGAAGCCTCCTCCTGAGGTGCTTCTGGGAATTTGGCATACGTCTTGAGCCTAAGCCAGGGAATCAGCTCGCATCTCGAGACGATTTGGGGTACACGGAGCATTCCTCGAGTTGCTGTGCTGAAGTTGGTGTTCCTCTAGACTTGGGACAGTGTTCTCGGGGCATCTCTGGAGTTGCCTGAAGGAAGTCGAGCCACCGGTCGTGTTGAATGGGGAACGGGGAATGGCTCTGGAGTCAATGCAGGGGAATCGGGCCTCATCTCGAGTTGATTTGGGGCACATGGAGCTGCTTTGCGTTGCTGGGGTGACCTCAGGGTCCGTCTAGACTGGTGACAGTGTTCTTGGGGACTGTCTCGAGATCCATTAAGCAAGTCGAAGCTCCTGACTTGTTTGAATGGGATCACGGAATAGCTCTGCATGCACTGCAGGGGAATGGGGCCTCATCTCGCCTCTAGGGGGAAGTCTCATGGTTTTTCTCGAGTTGCGGCGGGGACCTGGGGTATGTTCTCGACTTACGGCGGGGATGGCCCTTCAAAACACGAGTTTCTTCAGTGACGTCAGGACTCCTGTCTAGTAACGAGGGACACCTCAGGAATCTCTTCGAGGCTTGGCAGGGCCAAAGGGACGCTTCTCGAGGTGAGGCAGGGCACCCAAGGACCCTTTCCAGTAGCCACAGGGATTTTGGGATTCCTATCAGTATTCAAGAGGAGTCAGGCATCGTCACCTTTTGAAGCAATGAACTCCGCGTGCCTCTCGAGGTGTCAGCGGGATGTGAGGCATTCCGTCAAAATGAGGCAGGGACCTAGGGCTTTCTCTAAGGTCTCCACAGGGGATTCAGACATCCCTTCATGTTGTGAGATGAAAGACGAGCCTGTATTCAAGCCACTGCAAGGAAATCCGGCCTCCTTTCAAGTTAGGGCTTCTCGCTGTATATTCCCCTTGAGGCAGCAAACTCGGGGTCCCTCCCACATACCTATTGCTGAGAGAAGCCTCCTCCTGAGGTGCTTCTGGGAAGTTGGCATACGTCTTGAGCCTAAGCCAGGGAATCAGCTCGCATCTCGAGACAATTTGGGGTACACGGAGCATTCCTCGAGTTGCTGTGCTGAAGTTGGTGTTCCTCTAGACTTGGGACAGTGTTCTCGGGGCATCTCTGGAGTTGCCTGAAGGAAGTCGAGCCACCGGTCGTGTTGAATGGGGAACGGGGAATGGCTCTGGAGTCAATGCAGGGGAATCGGGCCTCATCTCGAGTTGATTTGGGGCACATGGAGCTGCTTTGCGTTGCTGGGGTGACCTCAGGGTCCGTCTAGACTGGTGACAGTGTTCTTGGGGACTGTCTCGAGATCCATTAAGCAAGTCGAAGCTCCTGACTTGTTTGAATGGGATCACGGAATAGCTCTGCATGCACTGCAGGGGAATGGGGCCTCATCTCGCCTCTAGGGGGAAGTCTCATGGTTTTTCTCGAGTTGCGGCGGGGACCTGGGGTATGTTCTCGACTTACGGCGGGGATGGCCCTTCAAAACACGAGTTTCTTCAGTGACGTCAGGACTCCTGTCTAGTAACGAGGGACACCTCAGGAATCTCTTCGAGGCTTGGCAGGGCCAAAGGGACGCTTCTCGAGGTGAGGCAGGGCACCCAAGGACCCTTTCCAGTAGCCACAGGGATTTTGGGATTCCTATCAGTATCCAAAGGAGTCAGGCATCGTCACCTTTTGAAGCAATGAACTCCGCGTGCCTCTCGAGGTGTCAGCGGGATGTGAGGCATTCCGTCAAAATGAGGCAGGGACCTAGGGCTTTCTCTAAGGTCTCCACAGGGGATTCAGACATCCCTTCATGTTGTGAGATGAAAGACGAGCCTGTATTCAAGCCACTGCAAGGAAATCCGGCCTCCTTTCAAGTTAGGGCTTCTCGCTGTATATTCCCCTTGAGGCAGCAAACTCGGGGTCCCTCCCACATACCTATTGCTGAGAGAAGCCTCCTCCTGAGGTGCTTCTGGGAAGTTGGCATACGTCTTGAGCCTAAGCCAGGGAATCAGCTCGCATCTCGAGACGATTTGGAGTACACGGAGCATTCCTCGAGTTGCTGTGCTGAAGTTGGTGTTCCTCTAGACTTGGGACAGTGTTCTCGGGGCATCTCTGGAGTTGCCTGAAGGAAGTCGAGCCACCGGTCGTGTTGAATGGGGAACGGGGAATGGCTCTGGAGTCAATGCAGGGGAATCGGGCCTCATCTCGAGTTGATTTGGGGCACATGGAGCTGCTTTGCGTTGCTGGGGTGACCTCAGGGTCCGTCTAGACTGGTGACTGTTCTTGGGGACTGTCTCGAGATCCATTAAGCAAGTCGAAGCTCCTGACTTGTTTGAATGGGATCACGGAATAGCTCTGCATGCACTGCAGGGGAATGGGGCCTCATCTCGCCTCTAGGGGGAAGTCTCATGGTTTTTCTCGAGTTGCGGCGGGGACCTGGGGTATGTTCTCGACTTACGGCGGGGATGGCCCTTCCAAATACGAGTTTCTTCAGTGACGTCAGGACTCCTGTCTAGTAACGAGGGACACCTCAGGAATCTCTTCGAGGCTTGGCAGGGCCAAAGGGACGCTTCTCGAGGTGAGGCAGGGCACCCAAGGACCCTTTCCAGTAGCCACAGGGATTTTGGGATTCCTATCAGTATCCAAAGGAGTCAGGCATCGTCACCTTTTGAAGCAATGAACTCCGCGTGCCTCTCGAGGTGTCAGCGGGATGTGAGGCATTCCGTCAAAATGAGGCAGGGACCTAGGGCTTTCTCTAAGGTCTCCACAGGGGATTCAGACATCCCTTCATGTTGTGAGATGAAAGACGAGCCTGTATTCAAGCCACTGCAAGGAAATCCGGCCTCCTTTCAAGTTAGGGCTTCTCGCTGTATATTCCCCTTGAGGCAGCAAACTCGGGGTCCCTCCCACATACCTATTGCTGAGAGAAGCCTCCTCCTGAGGTGCTTCTGGGAAGTTGGCATACGTCTTGAGCCTAAGCCAGGGAATCAGCTCGCATCTCGAGACGATTTGGGGTACACGGAGCATTCCTCGAGTTGCTGTGCTGAAGTTGGTGTTCCTCTAGACTTGGGACAGTGTTCTCGGGGCATCTCTGGAGTTGCCTGAAGGAAGTCGAGCCACCGGTCGTGTTGAATGGGGAACGGGGAATGGCTCTGGAGTCAATGCAGGGGAATCGGGCCTCATCTCGAGTTGATTTGGGGCACATGGAGCTGCTTTGCGTTGCTGGGGTGACCTCAGGGTCCGTCTAGACTGGTGACAGTGTTCTTGGGGACTGTCTCGAGATCCATTAAGCAAGTCGAAGCTCCTGACTTGTTTGAATGGGATCACGGAATAGCTCTGCATGCACTGCAGGGGAATGGGGCCTCATCTCGCCTCTAGGGGGAAGTCTCATGGTTTTTCTCGAGTTGCGGCGGGGACCTGGGGTATGTTCTCGACTTACGGCGGGGATGGCCCTTCAAAACACGAGTTTCTTCAGTGACGTCAGGACTCCTGTCTAGTAATGAGGGACACCTCAGGAATCTCTTCGAGGCTTGGCAGGGCCAAAGGGACGCTTCTCGAGGTGAGGCAGGGCACCCAAGGACCCTTTCCAGTAGCCACAGGGATTTTGGGATTCCTATCAGTATCCAAAGGAGTCAGGCATCGTCACCTTTTGAAGCAATGAACTCCGCGTGCCTCTCGAGGTGTCAGCGGGATGTGAGGCATTCCGTCAAAATGAGGCAGGGACCTAGGGCTTTCTCTAAGGTCTCCACAGGGGATTCAGACATCCCTTCATGTTGTGAGATGAAAGACGAGCCTGTATTCAAGCCACTGCAAGGAAATCCGGCCTCCTTTCAAGTTAGGGCTTCTCGCTGTATATTCCCCTTGAGGCAGCAAACTCGGGGTCCCTCCCACATACCTATTGCTGAGAGAAGCCTCCTCCTGAGGTGCTTCTGGGAAGTTGGCATACGTCTTGAGCCTAAGCCAGGGAATCAGCTCGCATCTCGAGACGATTTGGGGTACACGGAGCATTTCTCGAGTTGCTGTGCTGAAGCTGGTGTTCCTCTAGACTTGGGACAGTGTTCTCGGGGCATCTCTGGAGTTGCCTGAAGGAAGTCGAGCCACCGGTCGTGTTGAATGGGGAACGGGGAATGGCTCTGGAGTCAATACAGGGGAATAGGGCCTCATCTCGAGTTGATTTGGGGCACATGGAGCTGCTTTGCGTTGCTGGGGTGACCTCAGGGTCCGTCTAGACTGGTGACAGTGTTCTTGGGGACTGTCTCGAGATCCATTAAGCAAGTCGAAGCTCCTGACTTGTTTGAATGGGATCACGGAATAGCTCTGCATGCACTGCAGGGGAATGGGGCCTCATCTCGCCTCTAGGGGGAAGTCTCATGGTTTTTCTCGAGTTGCGGCGGGGACCTGGGGTATGTTCTCGACTTACGGCGGGGATGGCCCTTCAAAACACGAGTTTCTTCAGTGACGTCAGGACTCCTGTCTAGTAACGAGGGACACCTCAGGAATCTCTTCGAGGCTTGGCAGGGCCAAAGGGACGCTTCTCGAAGTGAGGCAGGGCACTCAAGGACCCTTTCCAGTAGCCACAGGGATTTTGGGATTCCTATCAGTATTCAAGAGGAGTCAGGCATCGTCACCTTTTGAAGCAATGAACTCCGCGTGCCTCTCGAGGTGTCAGCGGGATGTGAGGCATTCCGTCAAAATGAGGCAGGGACCTAGGGCTTCTTCTAAGGTCTCCACAGGGGATTCAGACATCCCTTCATGTTGTGAGATGAAAGACGAGCCTGTATTCAAGCCACTGCAAAAAAATCCGGCCTCCTTTCAAGTTAGGGCTTCTCGCTGTATATTCCCCTTGAGGCAGCAAACTCGGGGTCCCTCCCACATACCTATTGCTGAGAGAAGCCTCCTCCTGAGGTGCTTCTGGGAAGTTGGCATACGTCTTGAGCCTAAGCCAGGGAATCAGCTCGCATCTCGAGACGATTTGGGGTACACGGAGCATTCCTCGAGTTGCTGTGCTGAAGTTGGTGTTCCTCTAGACTTGGGACAGTGTTCTCGGGGCATCTCTGGAGTTGCCTGAAGGAAGTCGAGCCACCGGTCGTGTTGAATGGGGAACGGGGAATGGCTCTGGAGTCAATACAGGGGAATAGGGCCTCATCTCGAGTTGATTTGGGGCACATGGAGCTGCTTTGCGTTGCTGGGGTGACCTCAGGGTCCGTCTAGACTGGTGACAGTGTTCTTGGGGACTGTCTCGAGATCCATTAAGCAAGTCGAAGCTCCTGACTTGTTTGAATGGGATCACGGAATAGCTCTTCATGCACTGCAGGGGAATGGGGCCTCATCTCGCCTCTAGGGGAAAGTCTCATGGTTTTTCTCGAGTTGCGGCGGGGACCTGGGGTATGTTCTCGACTTACGGCGGGGATGGCCCTTCAAAACACGAGTTTCTTCAGTGACGTCAGGACTCCTGTCTAGTAACGAGGGACACCTCAGGAATCTCTACGAGGCTTGGCAGGGCCAAAGGGACGCTTCTCGAGGTGAGGCAGGACACCCAAGGACCCTTTCCAGTAGCCACAGGGATTTTGGGATTCCTATCAGTATTCAAGAGGAGTCAGGCATCGTCACCTTTTGAAGCAATGAACTCCGCGTGCCTCTCGAGGTGTCAGCGGGATGTGAGGCATTCCGTCAAAATGAGGCAGGGACCTAGGGCTTTCTCTAAGGTCTCCACAGGGGATTCAGACATCCCTTCATGTTGTGAGATGAAAGACGAGCCTGTATTCAAGCCACTGCAAGGAAATCCGGCCTCCTTTCAAGTTAGGGCTTCTCGCTGTATATTCCCCTTGAGGCAGCAAACTCGGGGTCCCTCCCACATACCTATTGCTGAGAGAAGCCTCCTCCTGAGGTGCTTCTGGGAAGTTGGCATACGTCTTGAGCCTAAGCCAGGGAATCAGCTCGCATCTCGAGACGATTTGGGGTACACGGAGCATTCCTCGAGTTGCTGTGCTGAAGTTGGTGTTCCTCTAGACTTGGGACAGTGTTCTCGGGGCATCTCTGGAGTTGCCTGAAGGAAGTCGAGCCACCGGTCGTGTTGAATGGGGAACGGGGAATGGCTCTGGAGTCAATGCAGGGGAATCCGGCCTCATCTCGAGTTGATTTGGGGCACATGGAGCTGCTTTGCGTTGCTGGGGTGACCTCAGGGTCCGTCTAGACTGGTGACAGTGTTCTTGGGGACTGTCTCGAGATCCATTAAGCAAGTCGAAGCTCCTGACTTGTTTGAATGGGATCACGGAATAGCTCTGCATGCACTGCAGGGGAATGGGGCCTCATCTCGCCTCTAGGGGGAAGTCTCATGGTTTTTCTCGAGTTGCGGCGGGGACCTGGGGTATGTTCTCGACTTACGGCGGGGATGGCCCTTCAAAACACGAGTTTCTTCAGTGACGTCAGGACTCCTGTCTAGTAACGAGGGACACCTCAGGAATCTCTTCGAGGCTTGGCAGGGCCAAAGGGACGCTTCTCGAGGTGAGGCAGGGCACCCAAGGACCCTTTCCAGTAGCCACAGGGATTTTGGGATTCCTATCAGTATTCAAGAGGAGTCAGGCATCGTCACCTTTTGAAGCAATGAACTCCGCGTGCCTCTCGAGGTGTCAGCGGGATGTGAGGCATTCCGTCAAAATGAGGCAGGGACCTAGGGCTTTCTCTAAGGTCTCCACAGGGGATTCAGACATCCCTTCATGTTGTGAGATGAAAGACGAGCCTGTATTCAAGCCACTGCAAGGAAATCCGGCCTCCTTTCAAGTTAGGGGTTCTCGCTGTATATTCCCCTTGAGGCAGCAAACTCGGGGTCCCTCCCACATACCTATTGCTGAGAGAAGCCTCCTCCTGAGGTGCTTCTGGGAAGTTGGCATACGTCTTGAGCCTAAGCCAGGGAATCAGCTCGCATCTCGAGACGATTTGGGGTACACGGAGCATTCCTCGAGTTGCTGTGCTGAAGTTGGTGTTCCTCTAGACTTGGGACAGTGTTCTCGGGGCATCTCTGGAGTTGCCTGAAGGAAGTCGAGCCACCGGTCGTGTTGAATGGGGAACGGGGAATGGCTCTGGAGTCAATGCAGGGGAATCGGGCCTCATCTCGAGTTGATTTGGGGCACATGGAGCTGCTTTGCGTTGCTGGGGTGACCTCAGGGTCCGTCTAGACTGGTGACAGTGTTCTTGGGGACTGTCTCGAGATCCATTAAGCAAGTCGAAGCTCCTGACTTGTTTGAATGGGATCACGGAATAGCTCTGCATGCACTGCAGGGGAATGGGGCCTCATCTCGCCTCTAGGGGGAAGTCTCATGGTTTTTCTCGAGTTGCGGCGGGGACCTGGGGTATGTTCTCGACTTACGGCGGGGATGGCCCTTCAAAACACGAGTTTCTTCAGTGACGTCAGGACTCCTGTCTAGTAACGAGGGACACCTCAGGAATCTCTTCGAGGCTTGGCAGGGCCAAAGGGACGCTTCTCGAGGTGAGGCAGGGCACCCAAGGACCCTTTCCAGTAGCCACAGGGATTTTGGGATTCCTATCAGTATCCAAAGGAGTCAGGCATCGTCACCTTTTGAAGCAATGAACTCCGCGTGCCTCTCGAGGTGTCAGCGGGATGTGAGGCATTCCGTCAAAATGAGGCAGGGACCTAGGGCTTTCTCTAAGGTCTCCACAGGGGATTCAGACATCCCTTCATGTTGTGAGATGAAAGACGAGCCTGTATTCAAGCCACTGCAAGGAAATCCGGCCTCCTTTCAAGTTAGGGCTTCTCGCTGTATATTCCCCTTGAGGCAGCAAACTCGGGGTCCCTCCCACATACCTATTGCTGAGAGAAGCCTCCTCCTGAGGTGCTTCTGGGAAGTTGGCATACGTCTTGAGCCTAAGCCAGGGAATCAGCTCGCATCTCGAGACGATTTGGGGTACACGGAGCATTCCTCGAGTTGCTGTGCTGAAGTTGGTGTTCCTCTAGACTTGGGACAGTGTTCTCGGGGCATCTCTGGAGTTGCCTGAAGGAAGTCGAGCCACCGGTCGTGTTGAATGGGGAACGGGGAATGGCTCTGGAGTCAATGCAGGGGAATCGGGCCTCATCTCGAGTTGATTTGGGGCACATGGAGCTGCTTTGCGTTGCTGGGGTGACCTCAGGGTCCGTCTAGACTGGTGACTGTTCTTGGGGACTGTCTCGAGATCCATTAAGCAAGTCGAAGCTCCTGACTTGTTTGAATGGGATCACGGAATAGCTCTGCATGCACTGCAGGGGAATGGGGCCTCATCTCGCCTCTAGGGGGAAGTCTCATGGTTTTTCTCGAGTTGCGGCGGGGACCTGGGGTATGTTCTCGACTTACGGCGGGGATGGCCCTTCCAAATACGAGTTTCTTCAGTGACGTCAGGACTCCTGTCTAGTAACGAGGGACACCTCAGGAATCTCTTCGAGGCTTGGCAGGGCCAAAGGGACGCTTCTCGAGGTGAGGCAGGGCACCCAAGGACCCTTTCCAGTAGCCACCGGGATTTTGTGATTCCTATCAGTATCCAAAGGAGTCAGGCATCGTCACCTTTTGAAGCAATGAACTCCGCGTGCCTCTCGAGGTGTCAGCGGGATGTGAGGCATTCCGTCAAAATGAGGCAGGGACCTAGGGCTTTCTCTAAGGTCTCCACAGGGGATTCAGACATCCCTTCATGTTGTGAGATGAAAGACGAGCCTGTATTCAAGCCACTGCAAGGAAATCCGGCCTCCTTTCAAGTTAGGGCTTCTCGCTGTATATTCCCCTTGAGGCAGCAAACTCGGGGTCCCTCTCACATACCTATTGCTGAGAGAAGCCTCCTCCTGAGGTGCTTCTGGGAAGTTGGCATACGTCTTGAGCCTAAGCCAGGGAATCAGCTCGCATCTCGAGACGATTTGGGGTACACGGAGCATTCCTCGAGTTGCTGTGCTGAAGTTGGTGTTCCTCTAGACTTGGGACAGTGTTCTCGGGGCATCTCTGGAGTTGCCTGAAGGAAGTCGAGCCACCGGTCGTGTTGAATGGGGAACGGGGAATGGCTCTGGAGTCAATGCAGGGGAATCGGGCCTCATCTCGAGTTGATTTGGGGCACATGGAGCTGCTTTGCGTTGCTGGGGTGACCTCAGGGTCCGTCTAGACTGGTGACAGTGTTCTTGGGGACTGTCTCGAGATCCATTAAGCAAGTCGAAGCTCCTGACTTGTTTGAATGGGATCACGGAATAGCTCTGCATGCACTGCAGGGGAATGGGGCCTCATCTCGCCTCTAGGGGGAAGTCTCATGGTTTTTCTCGAGTTGCGGCGGGGACCTGGGGTATGTTCTCGACTTACGGCGGGGATGGCCCTTCAAAACACGAGTTTCTTCAGTGACGTCAGGACTCCTGTCTAGTAACGAGGGACACCTCAGGAATCTCTTCGAGGCTTGGCAGGGCCAAAGGGACGCTTCTCGAGGTGAGGCAGGGCACCCAAGGACCCTTTCCAGTAGCCACAGGGATTTTGGGATTCCTATCAGTATCCAAAGGAGTCAGGCATCGTCACCTTTTGAAGCAATGAACTCCGCGTGCCTCTCGAGGTGTCAGCGGGATGTGAGGCATTCCGTCAAAATGAGGCAGGGACCTAGGGCTTTCTCTAAGGTCTCCACAGGGGATTCAGACATCCCTTCATGTTGTGAGATGAAAGACGAGCCTGTATTCAAGCCACTGCAAGGAAATCCGGCCTCCTTTCAAGTTAGGGCTTCTCGCTGTATATTCCCCTTGAGGCAGCAAACTCGGGGTCCCTCCCACATACCTATTGCTGAGAGAAGCCTCCTCCTGAGGTGCTTCTGGGAAGTTGGCATACGTCTTGAGCCTAAGCCAGGGAATCAGCTCGCATCTCGAGACGATTTGGGGTACACGGAGCATTCCTCGAGTTGCTGTGCTGAAGTTGGTGTTCCTCTAGACTTGGGACAGTGTTCTCGGGGCATCTCTGGAGTTGCCTGAAGGAAGTCGAGCCACCGGTCGTGTTGAATGGGGAACGGGGAATGGCTCTGGAGTCAATGCAGGGGAATCGGGCCTCATCTCGAGTTGATTTGGGGCACATGGAGCTGCTTTGCGTTGCTGGGGTGACCTCAGGGTCCGTCTAGACTGGTGACAGTGTTCTTGGGGACTGTCTCGAGATCCATTAAGCAAGTCGAAGCTCCTGACTTGTTTGAATGGGATCACGGAATAGCTCTTCATGCACTGCAGGGGAATGGGGCCTCATCTCGCCTCTAGGGGAAAGTCTCATGGTTTTTCTCGAGTTGCGGCGGGGACCTGGGGTATGTTCTCGACTTACGGCGGGGATGGCCCTTCAAAACACGAGTTTCTTCAGTGACGTCAGGACTCCTGTCTAGTAATGAGGGACACCTCAGGAATCTCTTCGAGGCTTGGCAGGGCCAAAGGGACGCTTCTCGAGGTGAGGCAGGGCACCCAAGGACCCTTTCCAGTAGCCACAGGGATTTTGGGATTCCTATCAGTATTCAAGAGGAGTCAGGCATCGTCACCTTTTGAAGCAATGAACTCCGCGTGCCTCTCGAGGTGTCAGCGGGATGTGAGGCATTCCGTCAAAATGAGGCAGGGACCTAGGGCTTTCTCTAAGGTCTCCACAGGGGATTCAGACATCCCTTCATGTTGTGAGATGAAAGACGAGCCTGTATTCAAGCCACTGCAAGGAAATCCGGCCTCCTTTCAAGTTAGGGCTTCTCGCTGTATATTCCCCTTGAGGCAGCAAACTCGGGGTCCCTCCCACATACCTATTGCTGAGAGAAGCCTCCTCCTGAGGTGCTTCTGGGAAGTTGGCATACGTCTTGAGCCTAAGCCAGGGAATCAGCTCGCATCTCGAGACGATTTGGGGTACACGGAGCATTCCTCGAGTTGCTGTGCTGAAGTTGGTGTTCCTCTAGACTTGGGACAGTGTTCTCGGGGCATCTCTGGAGTTGCCTGAAGGAAGTCGAGCCACCGGTCGTGTTGAATGGGGAACGGGGAATGGCTCTGGAGTCAATGCAGGGGAATCGGGCCTCATCTCGAGTTGATTTGGGGCACATGGAGCTGCTTTGCGTTGCTGGGGTGACCTCAGGGTCCGTCTAGACTGGTGACAGTGTTCTTGGGGACTGTCTCGAGATCCATTAAGCAAGTCGAAGCTCCTGACTTGTTTGAATGGGATCACGGAATAGCTCTGCATGCACTGCAGGGGAATGGGGCCTCATCTCGCCTCTAGGGGGAAGTCTCATGGTTTTTCTCGAGTTGCGGCGGGGACCTGGGGTATGTTCTCGACTTACGGCGGGGATGGCCCTTCAAAACACGAGTTTCTTCAGTGACGTCAGGACTCCTGTCTAGTAACGAGGGACACCTCAGGAATCTCTTCGAGGCTTGGCAGGGCCAAAGGGACGCTTCTCGAGGTGAGGCAGGGCACCCAAGGACCCTTTCCAGTAGCCACAGGGATTTTGGGATTCCTATCAGTATTCAAGAGGAGTCAGGCATCGTCACCTTTTGAAGCAATGAACTCCGCGTGCCTCTCGAGGTGTCAGCGGGATGTGAGGCATTCCGTCAAAATGAGGCAGGGACCTAGGGCTTTCTCTAAGGTCTCCACAGGGGATTCAGACATCCCTTCATGTTGTGAGATGAAAGACGAGCCTGTATTCAAGCCACTGCAAGGAAATCCGGCCTCCTTTCAAGTTAGGGCTTCTCGCTGTATATTCCCCTTGAGGCAGCAAACTCGGGGTCCCTCCCACATACCTATTGCTGAGAGAAGCCTCCTCCTGAGGTGCTTCTGGGAAGTTGGCATACGTCTTGAGCCTAAGCCAGGGAATCAGCTCGCATCTCGAGACGATTTGGGGTACACGGAGCATTCCTCGAGTTGCTGTGCTGAAGTTGGTGTTCCTCTAGACTTGGGACAGTGTTCTCGGGGCATCTCTGGAGTTGCCTGAAGGAAGTCGAGCCACCGGTCGTGTTGAATGGGGAACGGGGAATGGCTCTGGAGTCAATGCAGGGGAATCGGGCCTCATCTCGAGTTGATTTGGGGCACATGAAGCTGCTTTGCGTTGCTGGGGTGACCTCAGGGTCCGTCTAGACTGGTGACAGTGTTCTTGGGGACTGTCTCGAGATCCATTAAGCAAGCCGAAGCTCCTGACTTGTTTGAATGGGATCACGGAATAGCTCTGCATGCACTGCAGGGGAATGGGGCCTCATCTCGCCTCTAGGGGAAAGTCTCATGGTTTTTCTCGAGTTGCGGCGGGGACCTGGGGTATGTTCTCGACTTACGGCGGGGATGGCCCTTCAAAACACGAGTTTCTTCAGTGACGTCAGGACTCCTGTCTAGTAACGAGGGACACCTCAGGAATCTCTTCGAGGCTTGGCAGGGCCAAAGGGACGCTTCTCGAGGTGAGGCAGGGCACCCAAGGACCCTTTCCAGTAGCCACAGGGATTTTGGGATTCCTATCAGTATTCAAGAGGAGTCAGGCATCGTCACCTTTTGAAGCAATGAACTCCGCGTGCCTCTCGAGGTGTCAGCGGGATGTGAGGCATTCCGTCAAAATGAGGCAGGGACCTAGGGCTTTCTCTAAGGTCTCCACAGGGGATTCAGACATCCCTTCATGTTGTGAGATGAAAGACGAGCCTGTATTCAAGCCACTGCAAGGAAATCCGGCCTCCTTTCAAGTTAGGGCTTCTCGCTGTATATTCCCCTTGAGGCAGCAAACTCGGGGTCCCTCCCACATACCTATTGCTGAGAGAAGCCTCCTCCTGAGGTGCTTCTGGGAAGTTGGCATACGTCTTGAGCCTAAGCCAGGGAATCAGCTCGCATCTCGAGACGATTTGGGGTACACGGAGCATTCCTCGAGTTGCTGTGCTGAAGTTGGTGTTCCTCTAGACTTGGGACAGTGTTCTCGGGGCATCTCTGGAGTTGCCTGAAGGAAGTCGAGCCACCGGTCGTGTTGAATGGGGAACGGGGAATGGCTCTGGAGTCAATGCAGGGGAATCGGGCCTCATCTCGAGTTGATTTGGGGCACATGGAGCTGCTTTGCGTTGCTGGGGTGACCTCAGGGTCCGTCTAGACTGGTGACAGTGTTCTTGGGGACTGTCTCGAGATCCATTAAGCAAGCCGAAGCTCCTGACTTGTTTGAATGGGATCACGGAATAGCTCTGCATGCACTGCAGGGGAATGGGGCCTCATCTCGCCTCTAGGGGAAAGTCTCATGGTTTTTCTCGAGTTGCGGCGGGGACCTGGGGTATGTTCTCGACTTACGGCGGGGATGGCCCTTCAAAACACGAGTTTCTTCAGTGACGTCAGGACTCCTGTCTAGTAACGAGGGACACCTCAGGAATCTCTTCGAGGCTTGGCAGGGCCAAAGGGACGCTTCTCGAGGTGAGGCAGGGCACCCAAGGACCCTTTCCAGTAGCCACAGGGATTTTGGGATTCCTATCAGTATTCAAGAGGAGTCAGGCATCGTCACCTTTTGAAGCAATGAACTCCGCGTGCCTCTCGAGGTGTCAGCGGGATGTGAGGCATTCCGTCAAAATGAGGCAGGGACCTAGGGCTTTCTCTAAGGTCTCCACAGGGGATTCAGACATCCCTTCATGTTGTGAGATGAAAGACGAGCCTGTATTCAAGCCACTGCAAGGAAATCCGGCCTCCTTTCAAGTTAGGGCTTCTCGCTGTATATTCCCCTTGAGGCAGCAAACTCGGGGTCCCTCCCACATACCTATTGCTGAGAGAAGCCTCCTCCTGAGGTGCTTCTGGGAAGTTGGCATACGTCTTGAGCCTAAGCCAGGGAATCAGCTCGCATCTCGAGACAATTTGGGGTACACGGAGCATTCCTCGAGTTGCTGTGCTGAAGTTGGTGTTCCTCTAGACTTGGGACAGTGTTCTCGGGGCATCTCTGGAGTTGCCTGAAGGAAGTCGAGCCACCGGTCGTGTTGAATGGGGAACGGGGAATGGCTCTGGAGTCAATGCAGGGGAATCGGGCCTCATCTCGAGTTGATTTGGGGCACATGGAGCTGCTTTGCGTTGCTGGGGTGACCTCAGGGTCCGTCTAGACTGGTGACAGTGTTCTTGGGGACTGTCTCGAGATCCATTAAGCAAGTCGAAGCTCCTGACTTGTTTGAATGGGATCACGGAATAGCTCTGCATGCACTGCAGGGGAATGGGGCCTCATCTCGCCTCTAGGGGAAAGTCTCATGGTTTTTCTCGAGTTGCGGCGGGGACCTGGGGTATGTTCTCGACTTACGGCGGGGATGGCCCTTCAAAACACGAGTTTCTTCAGTGACGTCAGGACTCCTGTCTAGTAACGAGGGACACCTCAGGAATCTCTTCGAGGCTTGGCAGGGCCAAAGGGACGCTTCTCGAGGTGAGGCAGGGCACCCAAGGACCCTTTCCAGTAGCCACAGGGATTTTGGGATTCCTATCAGTATTCAAGAGGAGTCAGGCATCGTCACCTTTTGAAGCAATGAACTCCGCGTGCCTCTCGAGGTGTCAGCGGGATGTGAGGCATTCCGTCAAAATGAGGCAGGGACCTAGGGCTTTCTCTAAGGTCTCCACAGGGGATTCAGACATCCCTTCATGTTGTGAGATGAAAGACGAGCCTGTATTCAAGCCACTGCAAGGAAATCCGGCCTCCTTTCAAGTTAGGGCTTCTCGCTGTATATTCCCCTTGAGGCAGCAAACTCGGGGTCACTCCCACATACCTATTGCTGAGAGAAGCCTCCTCCTGAGGTGCTTCTGGGAAGTTGGCATACGTCTTGAGCCTAAGCCAGGGAATCAGCTCGCATCTCGAGACGATTTGGGGTACACGGAGCATTCCTCGAGTTGCTGTGCTGAAGTTGGTGTTCCTCTAGACTTGGGACAGTGTTCTCGGGGCATCTCTGGAGTTGCCTGAAGGAAGTCGAGCCACCGGTCGTGTTGAATGGGGAACGGGGAATGGCTCTGGAGTCAATGCAGGGGAATCGGGCCTCATCTCGAGTTGATTTGGGGCACATGGAGCTGCTTTGCGTTGCTGGGGTGACCTCAGGGTCCGTCTAGACTGGTGACAGTGTTCTTGGGGACTGTCTCGAGATCCATTAAGCAAGTCGAAGCTCCTGACTTGCTTGAATGGGATCACGGAATAGCTCTGCATGCACTGCAGGGGAATGGGGCCTCATCTCGCCTCTAGGGGGAAGTCTCATGGTTTTTCTCGAGTTGCGGCGGGGACCTGGGGTATGTTCTCGACTTACGGCGGGGATGGCCCTTCAAAACACGAGTCTCTTCAGTGACGTCAGGACTCCTGTCTAGTAACGAGGGACACCTCAGGAATCTCTTCGAGGCTTGGCAGGGCCAAAGGGACGCTTCCCGAGGTGAGGCAGGGCACCCAAGGACCCTTTCCAGTAGCCACAGAGATTTTGGGATTCCTATCAGTATTCAAGAGGAGTCAGGCATCGTCACCTTTTGAAGCAATGAACTCCGCTTGCCTCTCGAGGTGTCAGCGGGATGTGAGGCATTCCGTCAAAATGAGGCAGGGACCTAGGGCTTTCTCTAAGGTCTCAACAGGGGATTCAGACATCCCTTCATGTTGTGAAATGAAAGACGAGCCTGTATTCAAGCCACTGCAAGGAAATCCGGCCTCCTTTCAAGTTAGGGCTTCTCGCTGTATATTCCCCTTGAGGCAGCAAACTCGGGGTCCCTCCCACATACCTATTGCTGAGAGAAGCCTCCTCCTGAGGTGCTTCTGGGAAGTTGGCATACGTCTTGAGCCTAAGCCAGGGAATCAGCTCGCATCTCGAGACGATTTGGGGTACACGGAGCATTCCTCGAGTTGCTGTGCTGAAGTTGGTGTTCCTCTAGACTTGGGACAGTGTTCTCGGGGCATCTCTGGAGTTGCCTGAAGGAAGTCGAGCCACCGGTCGTGTTGAATGGGGAACGGGGAATGGCTCTGGAGTCAATGCAGGGGAATCGGGCCTCATCTCGAGTTGATTTGGGGCACATGGAGCTGCTTTGCGTTGCTGGGGTGACCTCAGGGTCCGTCTAGACTGGTGACAGTGTTCTTGGGGACTGTCTCGAGATCCATTAAGCAAGTCGAAGCTCCTGACTTGTTTGAATGGGATCACGGAATAGCTCTGCATGCACTGCAGGGGAATGGGGCCTCATCTCGCCTCTAGGGGGAAGTCTCATGGTTTTTCTCGAGTTGCGGCGGGGACCTGGGGTATGTTCTCGACTTACGGCGGGGATGGCCCTTCAAAACACGAGTTTCTTCAGTGACGTCAGGACTCCTGTCTAGTAACGAGGGACACCTCAGGAATCTCTTCGAGGCTTGGCAGGGCCAAAGGGACGCTTCCCGAGGTGAGGCAGGGCACCCAAGGACCCTTTCCAGTAGCCACAGGGATTTTGGGATTCCTATCAGTATTCAAGAGGAGTCAGGCATCGTCACCTTTTGAAGCAATGAACTCCGCGTGCCTCTCGAGGTGTCAGCGGGATGTGAGGCATTCCGTCAAAATGAGGCAGGGACCTAGGGCTTTCTCTAAGGTCTCCACAGGGGATTCAGACATCCCTTCATGTTGTGAGATGAAAGACGAGCCTGTATTCAAGCCACTGCAAGGAAATCCGGCCTCCTTTCAAGTTAGGGCTTCTCGCTGTATATTCCCCTTGAGGCAGCAAACTCGGGGTCCCTCCCACATACCTATTGTTGAGAGAAGCCTCCTCCTGAGGTGCTTCTGGGAAGTTGGCATACGTCTTGAGCCTAAGCCAGGGAATCAGCTCGCATCTCGAGACGATTTGGGGTACACGGAGCATTCCTCGAGTTGCTGTGCTGAAGTTGGTGTTCCTCTAGACTTGGGACAGTGTTCTCGGGGCATCTCTGGAGTTGCCTGAAGGAAGTCGAGCCACCGGTCGTGTTGAATGGGGAACGGGGAATGGCTCTGGAGTCAATGCAGGGGAATCGGGCCTCATCTCGAGTTGATTTGGGGCACATGGAGTGCTTTAGGTGCTGGGGTGACCTCAGGGTCCGTCTAGACTGGTGACAGTGTTCTTAGGGACTGTCTCGAGATCCATTAAGCAAGTCGAAGCTCCTGACTTGTTTGAATCGGATCACTGAATAGCTCTGCATGCCCTGCAGGGGAATGGGGCCTCATCTCGCCTCTAGGGGGAAGTCTCATGGTTTTTCTCGAGTTGCGGCGGGGACCTGGTGTATGTTCTCGACTTACGGCGGGGATGGCCCTTCAAAACACGAGTTTCTTCAGTGACGTCAGGCCTCCTGTCTAGTAACGAGGGACACCTCAGGAATCTCTTCGAGGCTTGGCAGGGCCAAAGGGACGCTTCTCGAGGTGAGGCAGGGCACCCAAGGACCCTTTCCTGTAGCCACAGGGATTTTGGGATTCCTATCAGTATTCAAGAGGAGTCAGGCATCGTCACCTTTTGAAGCAATGAACTCCGCGTGCCTCTCGAGGTGTCAGCGGGATGTGAGGCATTCCGTCAAAATGAGGCAGGGACCTAGGGCTTTCTCTAAGGTCTCCACAGGGGATTCAGACATCCCTTCATGTTGTGAGATGAAAGACGAGCCTGTATTCAAGCCACTGCAAGGAAATCTGGCCTCCTTTCAAGTTAGGGCTTCTCGCTGTATATTCCCCTTGAGGCAGCAAACTCGGGGTCCCTCCCACATACCTATTGCTGAGAGAAGCCTCCTCCTGAGGTGCTTCTGGGAAGTTGGCATACGTCTTGAGCCTAAGCCAGGGAATCAGCTCGCATCTCGAGACGATTTGGGGTACACGGAGCATTCCTCGAGTTGCTGTGCTGAAGTTGGTGTTCCTCTAGACTTGGGACAGTGTTCTCGGGGCATCTCTGGAGTTGCCTGAAGGAAGTCGAGCCACCGGTCGTGTTGAATGGGGAACGGGGAATGGCTCTGGAGTCAATGCAGGGGAATCGGGCCTCATCTCGAGTTGATTTGGGGCACATGGAGCTGCTTTGCGTTGCTGGGGTGACCTCAGGGTCCGTCTAGACTGGTGACAGTGTTCTTGGGGACTGTCTCGAGATCCATTAAGCAAGTCGAAGCTCCTGACTTGCTTGAATGGGATCACGGAATAGCTCTGCATGCACTGCAGGGGAATGGGGCCTCATCTCGCCTCTAGGGGGAAGTCTCATGGTTTTTCTCGAGTTGCGGCGGGGACCTGGGGTATGTTCTCGACTTACGGCGGGGATGGCCCTTCAAAACACGAGTCTCTTCAGTGACGTCAGGACTCCTGTCTAGTAACGAGGGACACCTCAGGAATCTCTTCGAGGCTTGGCAGGGCCAAAGGGACGCTTCCCGAGGTGAGGCAGGGCACCCAAGGACCCTTTCCAGTAGCCACAGAGATTTTGGGATTCCTATCAGTATTCAAGAGGAGTCAGGCATCGTCACCTTTTGAAGCAATGAACTCCGCTTGCCTCTCGAGGTGTCAGCGGGATGTGAGGCATTCCGTCAAAATGAGGCAGGGACCTAGGGCTTTCTCTAAGGTCTCCACAGGGGATTCAGACATCCCTTCATGTTGTGAAATGAAAGACGAGCCTGTATTCAAGCCACTGCAATTAAATCCGGCCTCCTTTCAAGTTAGGGCTTCTCGCTGTATATTCCCCTTGAGGCAGCAAACTCGGGGTCCCTCCCACATACCTATTGCTGAGAGAAGCCTCCTCCTGAGGTGCTTCTGGGAAGTTGGCATACGTCTTGAGCCTAAGCCAGGGAATCAGCTCGCATCTCGAGACGATTTGGGGTACACGGAGCATTCCTCGAGTTGCTGTGCTGAAGTTGGTGTTCCTCTAGACTTGGGAGAGTGTTCTCGGGGCATCTCTGGAGTTGCCTGAAGGAAATCGAGCCACCGGTCGTGTTGAATGGGGAACGGGGAATGGCTCTGGAGTCATTGCAGGGGAATCGGGCCTCATCTCGAGTTGATTTGGGGCACATGGGGCTGCTTTGCGTTGCTGGGGTGACCTCAGGGTCCGTCTAGACTGGTGACAGTGTTCTTGGGGACTGTCTCGAGATCCATTAAGCAAGTCGAAGCTCCTGACTTGTTTGAATGGGATCACGGAATAGCTCTGCATGCACTGCAGGGGAATGGGGCCTCATCTCGCCTCTAGGGGGAAGTCTCATGGTTTTTCTCGAGTTGCGGCGGGGACCTGGGGTATGTTCTCGACTTACGGCGGGGATGGCCCTTCAAAACACGAGTCTCTTCAGTGACGTCAGGACTCCTGTCTAGTAACGAGGGACACCTCAGGAATCTCTTCGAGGCTTGGCAGGGCCAAAGGGACGCTTCCCGAGGTGAGGCAGGGCACCCAAGGACCCTTTCCAGTAGCCACAGGGATTTTGGGATTCCTATCAGTATTCAAGAGGAGTCAGGCATCGTCACCTTTTGAAGCAATGAACTCCGCGTGCCTCTCGAGGTGTCAGCGGGATGTGAGGCATTCCGTCAAAATGAGGCAGGGACCTAGGGCTTTCTCTAAGGTCTCCACAGGGGATTCAGACATCCCTTCATGTTGTGAGATGAAAGACGAGCCTGTATTCAAGCCACTGCAAGGAAATCCGGCCTCCTTTCAAGTTAGGGCTTCTCGCTGTATATTCCCCTTGAGGCAGCAAACTCGGGGTCCCTCCCACATACCTATTGTTGAGAGAAGCCTCCTCCTGAGGTGCTTCTGGGAAGTTGGCATACGTCTTGAGCCTAAGCCAGGGAATCAGCTCGCATCTCGAGACGATTTGGGGTACACGGAGCATTCCTCGAGTTGCTGTGCTGAAGTTGGTGTTCCTCTAGACTTGGGACAGTGTTCTCGGGGCATCTCTGGAGTTGCCTGAAGGAAGTCGAGCCACCGGTCGTGTTGAATGGGGAACGGGGAATGGCTCTGGAGTCAATGCAGGGGAATCGGGCCTCATCTCGAGTTGATTTGGGGCACATGGAGCTGCTTTGCGTTGCTGGGGTGACCTCAGGGTCCGTCTAGACTGGTGACAGTGTTCTTGGGGACTGTCTCGAGATCCATTAAGCAAGTCGAAGCTCCTGACTTGTTTGAATGGGATCACGGAATAGCTCTGCATGCCCTGCAGGGGAATGGGGCCTCATCTCGCCTCTAGGGGGAAGTCTCATGGTTTTTCTCGAGTTGCGGCGGGGACCTGGGGTATGTTCTCGACTTACGGCGGGGATGGCCCTTCAAAACACGAGTTTCTTCAGTGAGGTCAGGACTCCTGTCTAGTAACGAGGGACACCTCAGGAATCTCTTCGAGGCTTGGCAGGGCCAAAGGAACGCTTCCCGAGGTGAGGCAGGGCACCCAAGGACCCTTTCCAGTAGCCACAGGGATTTTGGGATTCCTATCAGTATTCAAGAGGAGTCAGGCATCGTCACCTTTTGAAGCAATGAACTCCGCGTGCCTCTCGAGGTGTCAGCGGGATGTGAGGCATTCCGTCAAAATGAGGCAGGGACCTAGGGCTTTCTCTAAGGTCTCCACAGGGGATTCAGACATCCCTTCATGTTGTGAGATGAAAGACGAGCCTGTATTCAAGCCACTGCAAGGAAATCCGGCCTCCTTTCAAGTTAGGGCTTCTCGCTGTATATTCCCCTTGAGGCAGCAAACTCGGGGTCCCTCCCACATACCTATTGTTGAGAGAAGCCTCCTCCTGAGGTGCTTCTGGAAAGTTGGCATACGTATTGAGCATAAGCCAGGGAATCAGCTCGCATCTCGAGACGATTTGGGGTACACGGAGCATTCCTCGAGTTGCTGTGCTGAAGTTGGTGTTCCTCTAGACTTGGGACAGTGTTCTCGGGGTATCTCTGGAGTTGCCTGAAGGAAGTCGAGCCACCGGTCGTGTTGAATGGGGAACGGGGAATGGCTCTGGAGTCAATGCAGGGGAATCGGGCCTCATCTCGAGTTGATTTGGGGCACATGGAGCTGCTTTGCGTTGCTGGGGTGACCTCAGGGTCCGTCTAGACTGGTGACAGTGTTCTTGGGGACTGTCTCGAGATCCATTAAGCAAGTCGAAGCTCCTGACTTGTTTGAATGGGATCACGGAATAGCTCTGCATGCCCTGCAGGGGAATGGGGCCTCATCTCGCCTCTAGGGGGAAGTCTCATGGTTTTTCTCGAGTTGCGGCGGGGACCTGGGGTATGTTCTCGACTTACGGCGGGCATGGCCCTTCAAAACACGAGTCTCTTCAGTGACGTCAGGACTCCTGTCTAGTAACGAGGGACACCTCAGGAATCTCTTCGAGGCTTGGCAGGGCCAAAGGGACGCTTCTCGAGGTGAGGCAGGGCACCCAAGGACCCTTTCCAGTAGCCACAGGGATTTTGGGATTCCTATCAGTATTCAAGAGGAGTCTGGCATCGTCACCTTTTGAAGCAATGAACTCCGCGTGCCTCTCGAGGTGTCAGCGGGATGTGAGGCATTCCGTCAAAATGAGGCAGGGACCTAGGCCTTTCTCTAAGGTCTCCACAGGGGATTCAGACATCCCTTCATGTTGTGAGATGAAAGACGAGCCTGTATTCAAGCCACTGCAAGGAAATCCGGCCTCCTTTCAAGTTAGGGCTTCTCGCTGTATATTGCCCTTGAGGCAGCAAACTCGGGGTCCCTCCCACATACCTATTGCTGAGAGAAGCCTCCTCCTGAGGTGCTTCTGGGAAGTTGGCATACGTCTTGAGCCTAAGCCAGGGAATCAGCTCGCATCTCGAGACGATTTGGGGTACACGGAGCATTCCTCGAGTTGCTGTGCTGAAGTTGGTGTTCCTCTAGACTTGGGACAGTGTTCTCGGGGCATCTCTGGAGTTGCCTGAAGGAAGTCGAGCCACCGGTCGTGTTGAATGGGGAACAGGGAATGGCTCTGGAGTCAATGCAGGGGAATCGGGCCTCATCTCGAGTTGATTTGGGGCACATGGAGCTGCTTTGCGTTGCTGGGGTGACCTCAGGGTCCGTCTAGACTGGTGACAGTGTTCTTGGGGACTGTCTCGAGATCCATTAAGCAAGTCGAAGCTCCTGACTTGCTTGAATGGGATCACGGAATAGCTCTGCATGCACTGCAGGGGAATGGGGCCTCATCTCGCCTCTAGGGGGAAGTCTCATGGTTTTTCTCGAGTTGCGGCGGGGACCTGGTGTATGTTCTCGACTTACGGCGGGGATGGCCCTTCAAAACACGAGTTTCTTCAGTGACGTCAGGCCTCCTGTCTAGTAACGAGGGACACCTCAGGAATCTCTTCGAGGCTTGGCAGGGCCAAAGGGACGCTTCTCGAGGTGAGGCAGGGCACCCAAGGACCCTTTCCTGTAGCCACAGGGATTTTGGGATTCCTATCAGTATTCAAGAGGAGTCAGGCATCGTCACCTTTTGAAGCAATGAACTCCGCGTGCCTCTCGAGGTGTCAGCGGGATGTGAGGCATTCCGTCAAAATGAGGCAGGGACCTAGGTCTTTCTCTAAGGTCTCCACAGGGGATTCAGACATCCCTTCATGTTGTGAGATGAAAGACGAGCCTGTATTCAAGCCACTGCAAGGAAATCCGGCCTCCTTTCAAGTTAGGGCTTCTCGCTGTATATTCCCCTTGAGGCAGCAAACTCGGGGTCCCTCCCACACACCTATTGCTGAGAGAAGCCTCCTCCTGAGGTGCTTCTGGGAAGTTGGCATACGTCTTGAGACTAAGCCAGGGAATCAGCTCGCATCTCGAGACGATTTGGGGTACACGGAGCATTCCTCGAGTTGCTGTGCTGAAGTTGGTGTTCCTCTAGACTTGGGACAGTGTTCTCGGGGCATCTCTGGAGTTGCCTGAAGGAAGTCGAGCCACCGGTCGTGTTGAATGGGGAACGGGGAATGGCTCTGGAGTCAATGCAGGGGAATCGGGCCTCATCTCGAGTTGATTTGGGGCACATGGAGCTGCTTTGCGTTGCTGGGCTGACCTCAGGGTCCGTCTAGACTGGTGACAGTGTTCTTGGGGACTGTCTCGAGATCCATTAAACAAGTCGAAGCTCCTGACTTGTTTGAATGGGATCACGGAATAGCTCTGCATGCACTGCAGGGGAATGGGGCCTCATCTCGCCTCTAGTGGGAAGTCTCATGGTTTTTCTCGAGTTGCGGCGGGGACCTGGGGTATGTTCTCGACTTATGGCGGGGATGGCCCTTCAAAACACGAGTTTCTTCAGTGACGTCAGGACTCCTGGCTAGTAACGAGAGATACCTCAGGAATCTCTTCGAGGCTTGGCAGGGCCAAAGGGACGCTTCCCGGGGTGAGGCAGGGCACCCAAGGACCCTTTCCAGTAGCCACAGGGATTTTGTGATTCCTATCAGTATTCAAGAGGAGTCAGGCATCGTCACCTTTTGAAGCAATGAACTCCGCGTGCCTCTCGAGGTGTCAGCGGGATGTGAGGCATTCCGTCAAAATGAGGCAGGGACCTAGGGCTTTCTCTAAGGTCTCCACAGGGGATTCAGACATCCCTTCATGTTGTGAGATGAAAGACGAGCCTGTATTCAAGCCAGTGCAAGGAAATCCGGCCTCCTTTGAAGTTAGGGCTTCTCGCTGTATATTCCCCTTGAGGCAGCAAACTTGGGGTCCCTCCCACATACCTATTGCTGAGAGAAGCCTCCTCCTGAGGTGCTTCTGGGAAGTTGGCATACGTCTTGAGCCTAAGCCAGGGAATCAGCTCGCATCTCGAGACGATTTGGGGTACACGGAGCATTCCTCGAGTTGCTGTGCTGAAGTTGGTGTTCCTCTAGACTTGGGACAGTGTTCTCGGGGCATCTCTGGAGTTGCCTGAATGAAGTCGAGCCACCGGTCGTGTTGAATGGGGAACGGGGAATGGCTCTGGAGTCAATGCAGGGGAATCGGGCCTCATCTCGAGTTGATTTGGGGCACATGGAGCTGCTTTGCGTTGCTGGGGTGACCTCAGGGTCAGTCTAGACTGGTGACAGTGTTCTTGGGGACTGTCTCGAGATCCATTAAGCAAGTCGAAGCTCCTGACTTGTTTGAATGGGATCACGGAATAGCTCTGCATGCCCTGCAGGGGAATGGGGCCTCATCTCGCCTCTAGGGGGAAGTCTCATGGTTTTTCTCGAGTTGCGGCGGGGACCTGGGGTATGTTCTCGACTAACGGCGGGGATGGCCCTTCAAAACACGAGTTTCTTCAGTGAGGTCAGGACTCCTGTCTAGTAACGAGGGACACCTCAGGAATCTCTTCGAGGCTTGGCAGGGCCAAAGGGACGCTTCCCGAGGTGAGGCAGGGCACCCAAGGACCCTTTCCAGTAGCCACAGGGATTTTGGGATTCCTATCAGTATTCAAGAGGAGTCAGGCATCGTCACCTTTTGAAGCAATGAACTCCGCGTGCCTCTCGAGGTGTCAGCGGGATGTGAGGCATTCCGTCAAAATGAGGCAGGGACCTCGGGCTTTCTCTAAGGTCTCCACAGGGGATTCAGACATCCCTTCATGTTGTGAGATGAAAGACGAGCCTGTATTCAAGCCACTGCAAGGAAATCCGGCCTCCTTTCAAGTTAGGGCTTCTCGCTGTATATTCCCCTTGAGGCAGCAAACTCGGGGTCCCTCCCACATACCTATTGTTGAGAGAAGCCTCCTCCTGAGGTGCTTCTGGAAAGTTGGCATACGTCTTGAGCCTAAGCCAGGGAATCAGCTCGCATCTCGAGACGATTTGGGGTACACGGAGCATTCCTCGAGTTGCTGTGCTGAAGTTGGTGTTCCTCTAGACTTGGGACAGTGTTCTCGGGGCATCTCTGGAGTTGCCTGAAGGAAGTCGAGCCACCGGTCGTGTTGAATGGGGAACGGGGAATGGCTCTGGAGTCAATGCAGGGGAATCGGGCCTCATCTCGAGTTGATTTGGGGCACATGGAGCTGCTTTGCGTTGCTGGGGTGACCTCAGGGTCCGTCTAGACTGGTGACAGTGTTCTTGGGGACTGTCTCGAGATCCATTAAGCAAGTCGAAGCTCCTGACTTGTTTGAATGGGATCACGGAATAGCTCTGCATGCCCTGCAGGGGAATGGGGCCTCATCTCGCCTCTAGGGGGAAGTCTCATGGTTTTTCTCGAGTTGCGGCGGGGACCTGGGGTATGTTCTCGACTTACGGCGGGGATGGCCCTTCAAAACACGAGTCTCTTCAGTGACGTCAGGACTCCTGTCTAGTAACGAGGGACACCTCAGGAATCTCTTCGAGGCTTGGCAGGGCCAAAGGGACGCTTCTCGAGGTGAGGCAGGGCACCCAAGGACCCTTTCCAGTAGCCACAGGGATTTTGGGATTCCTATCAGTATTCAAGAGGAGTCTGGCATCGTCACCTTTTGAAGCAATGAACTCCGCGTGCCTCTCGAGGTGTCAGCGGGATGTGAGGCATTCCGTCAAAATGAGGCAGGGACCTAGGGCTTTCTCTAAGGTCTCCACAGGGGATTCAGACATCCCTTCATGTTGTGAGATGAAAGACGAGCCTGTATTCAAGCCACTGCAAGGAAATCCGGCCTCCTTTCAAGTTAGGGCTTCTCGCTGTATATTCCCCTTGAGGCAGCAAACTCGGGGTCCCTCCCACATACCTATTGCTGAGAGAAGCCTCCTCCTGAGGTGCTTCTGGGAAGTTGGCATACGTCTTGAGCCTAAGCCAGGGAATCAGCTCGCATCTCGAGACGATTTGGGGTACACGGAGCATTCCTCGAGTTGCTGTGCTGAAGTTGGTCTTCCTCTAGACTTGGGACAGTGTTCTCGGGGCATCTCTGGAGTTGCCTGAAGGAAGTCGAGCCACCGGTCGTGTTGAATGGGGAACGGGGAATGGCTCTGGAGTCAATGCAGGGGAATCGGGCCTCATCTCGAGTTGATTTGGGGCACATGGAGCTGCTTTGCTTTGCTGGAGTGACCTCAGGGTCCCTCTAGACTGGTGACAGTGTTCTTGGGGACTGTCTCGAGATCCATTAAGCAAGTCGAAGCTCCTGACTTGTTTGAATGGGATCACGGAATAGCTCTGCATGCACTGCAGGGGAATGGGGCCTCATCTCGCCTCTAGGGGGAAGTCTCATGGTTTTTCTCGAGTTGCGGCGGGGACTTGGGGTATGTTCTCGACCTACGGCGGGGATGGCCCTTCAAAACACGAGTTTCTTCAGTGACGTCAGGACTCCTGTCTAGTAACGAGGGACACCTCAGGAATCTCTTCGAGGCTTGGCAGGGCCAAAGGGACGCTTCCCGAGGTGAGGCAGGGCACCCAAGGACCCTTTCCAGTAGCCACAGGGATTTTGGGATTCCTATCAGTATTCAAGAGGAGTCAGGCATCGTCACCTTTTGAAGCAATGAACTCCGCGTGCCTCTCGAGGTGTCAGCGGGATGTGAGGCATTCCGTCAAAATGAGGCAGGGACCTAGGGCTTTCTCTAAGGTCTCCACAGGGGATTCAGACATCCCTTCATGTTGTGAGATGAAAGACGAGCCTGTATTCAAGCCACTGCAAGGAAATCCGGCCTCCTTTCAAGTTAGGGCTTCTCGCTGTATATTCCCCTTGAGGCAGCAAACTCGGGGTCCCTCCCACATACCTATTGCTGAGAGAAGCCTCCTCCTGAGGTGCTTCTGGGAAGTTGGCATACGTCTTGAGCCTAAGCCAGGGAATCAGCTCGCATCTCGAGACGATTTGGGGTACACGGAGCATTCCTCGAGTTGCTGTGCTGAAGTTGGTGTTCCTCTAGACTTGGGACAGTGTTCTCGGGGCATCTCTGGAGTTGCCTGAAGGAAGTCGAGCCACCGGTCGTGTTGAATGGGGAATGGGGAATGGCTCTGGAGTCAATGCAGGGGAATCGGGCCTCATCTCGAGTTGATTTGGGGCACATGGAGCTGCTTTGCGTTGCTGGGGTGACCTCAGGGTCCGTCTAGACTGGTGACAGTGTTCTTGGGGACTGTCTCGAGATCCATTAAGCAAGTCGAAGCTCCTGACTTGTTTGAATGGGATCACGGAATAGCTCTGCATGCACTGCAGGGGAATGGGGCCTCATCTCGCCTCTAGGGGGAAGTCTCATGGTTTTTCTCGAGTTGCGGCGGGGACCTGGGGTATGTTCTCGACTTACGGCGGGGATGGCCCTTCAAAACACGAGTTTCTTCAGTGAGGTCAGGACTCCTGTCTAGTAACGAGGGACACCTCAGGAATCTCTTCGAGGCTTGGCAAGGCCAAAGGGACGCTTCCCGAGGTGAGGCAGGGCACCCAAGGACCCTTTCCAGTAGCCACAGGGATTTTGTGATTCCTATCAGTATTCAAGAGGAGTCAGGCATCGTCACCTTTTGAAGCAATGAACTCCGCGTGCCTCTCGAGGTGTCAGCGGGATGTGAGGCATTCCGTCAAAATGAGGCAGGGACCTAGGGCTTTCTCTAAGTCTCCACAGGGGATTCAGACATCCCTTCATGTTGTGAGATGAAAGACGAGCCTGTATTCAAGCCACTGCAAGGAAATCCGGCCTCCTTTCAAGTTAGGGCTTCTCGCTGTATATTCCCCTTGAGGCAGCAAACTCGGGGTCCCTCCCACATACCTATTGCTGAGAGAAGCCTCCTCCTGAGGTGCTTCTGGGAAGTTGGCATACGTCTTGAGCCTAAGCCAGGGAATCAGCTCGCATCTCGAGACGATTTGGGGTACACGGAGCATTCCTCGAGTTGCTGTGCTGAAGTTGGTGTTCCTCTAGACTTGGGACAGTGTTCTCGGGGCATCTCTGGAGTTGCCTGAAGGAAGTCGAGCCACCGGTCGTGTTGAATGGGGAACGGGGAATGGCTCTGGAGTCAATGCAGGGGAATCGGGCCTCATCTCGAGTTGATTTGGGGCACATGGAGCTGCTTTGCTTTGCTGGAGTGACCTCAGGGTCCGTCTAGACTGGTGACAGTGTTCTTGGGGACTGTCTCGAGATCCATTAAGCAAGTCGAAGCTCCTGACTTGTTTGAATGGGATCACGGAATAGCTCTGCATGCACTGCAGGGGAATGGGGCCTCATCTCGCTCTAGGGGGAAGTCTCATGGTTTTTCTCGAGTTGCGGCGGGGACTTGGGGTATGTTCTCGACCTACGGCGGGGATGGCCCTTCAAAACACGAGTTTCTTCAGTGACGTCAGGACTCCTGTCTAGTAACGAGGGACACCTCAGGAATCTCTTCGAGGCTTGGCAGGGCCAAAGGGACGCTTCCCGAGGTGAGGCAGGGCACCCAAGGACCCTTTCCAGTAGCCACAGGGATTTTGGGATTCCTATCAGTATTCAAGAGGAGTCAGGCATCGTCACCTTTTGAAGCAATGAACTCCGCGTGCCTCTCGAGGTGTCAGCGGGATGTGAGGCATTCCGTCAAAATGAGGCAGGGACCTAGGGCTTTCTCTAAGGTCTCCACAGGGGATTCAGACATCCCTTCATGTTGTGAGATGAAAGACGAGCCTGTATTCAAGCCACTGCAAGGAAATCCGGCCTCCTTTCAAGTTAGGGCTTCTCGCTGTATATTCCCCTTGAGGCAGCAAACTCGGGGTCCCTCCCACATACCTATTGCTGAGAGAAGCCTCCTCCTGAGGTGCTTCTGGGAAGTTGGCATACGTCTTGAGCCTAAGCCAGGGAATCAGCTCGCATCTCGAGACGATTTGGGGTACACGGAGCATTCCTCGAGTTGCTGTGCTGAAGTTGGTGTTCCTCTAGACTTGGGACAGTGTTCTCGGGGCATCTCTGGAGTTGCCTGAAGGAAGTCGAGCCACCGGTCGTGTTGAATGGGGAACGGGGAATGGCTCTGGAGTCAATGCAGGGGAATCGGGCCTTATCTCGAGTTGATTTGGGGCACATGGAGCTGCTTTGCGTTGCTGGGGTGACCTCAGGGTCCGTCTAGACTGGTGACAGTGTTCTTGGGGACTGTCTCGAGATCCATTAAGCAAGTCGAAGCTCCTGACTTGTTTGAATGGGATCACGGAATAGCTCTGCATGCACTGCAGGGGAATGGGGCCTCATCTCGCCTCTAGGGGGAAGTCTCATGGTTTTTCTCGAGTTGCGGCAGGGACCTGGGGTATGTTTTCGACTTACGGCGGGGATGGCACTTCAAAACACGAGTTTCTTCAGTGAGGTCAGGACTCCTGTCTAGTAACGAGGGACACCTCAGGAATCTCTTCGAGGCTTGGCAAGGCCAAAGGGACGCTTCCCGAGGTGAGGCAGGGCACCCAAGGACCCTTTCCAGTAGAGACAGGGATTTTGTGATTCCTATCAGTATTCAAGAGGAGTCAGGCATCGTCACCTTTTGAAGCAATGAACTCCGCGTGCCTCTCGAGGTGTCAGCGGGATGTGAGGCATTCCGTCAAAATGAGGCAGGGACCTAGGTCTTTCTCTAAGGTCTCCACAGGGGATTCAGACATCCCTTCATGTTGTGAGATGAAAGACGAGCCTGTATTCAAGCCACTGCAAGGAAATCCGGCCTCCTTTCAAGTTAGGGCTTCTCGCTGTATATTCCCCTTGAGGCAGCAAACTCGGGGTCCCTCCCACATACCTATTGCTGAGAGAAGCCTCCTCCTGAGGTGCTTCTGGGAAGTTGGCATACGTCTTGAGCCTAAGCCAGGGAATCAGCTCGCATCTCGAGACGATTTGGGGTACACGGAGCATTCCTCGAGTTGCTGTGCTGAAGTTGGTGTTCCTCTAGACTTGGGACAGTGTTCTCGGGGCATCTCTGGAGTTGCCTGAAGGAAGTCGAGCCACCGGTCGTGTTGAATGGGGAACGGGGAATGGCTCTGGAGTCAATGCAGGGGAATCGGGCCTCATCTCGAGTTGATTTGGGGCACATGGAGCTGCTTTAGGTGCTGGGGTGACCTCAGGGTCCGTCTAGACTGGTGACAGTGTTCTTAGGGACTGTCTCGAGATCCATTAAGCAAGTCGAAGCTCCTGACTTGTTTGAATCGGATCACGGAATAGCTCTGCATGCCCTGCAGGGGAATGGGGCCTCATCTCGCCTCTAGGGGGAAGTCTCATGGTTTTTCTCGAGTTGCGGCGGGGACCTGGTGTATGTTCTCGACTTACGGCGGGGATGGCCCTTCAAAACACGAGTTTTTTCAGTGACGTCAGGCCTCCTGTCTAGTAACGAGGGACACCTCAGGAATCTCTTCGAGGCTTGGCAGGGCCAAAGGGACGCTTCTCGAGGTGAGGCAGGGCACCCAAGGACCCTTTCCTGTAGCCACAGGGATTTTGGGATTCCTATCAGTATTCAAGAGGAGTCAGGCATCGTCACCTTTTGAAGCAATGAACTCCGCGTGCCTCTCGAGGTGTCAGCGGGATGTGAGGCATTCCGTCAAAATGAGGCAGGGACCTAGGGCTTTCTCTAAGGTCTCCACAGGGGATTCAGACATCCCTTCATGTTGTGAGATGAAAGACGAGCCTGTATTCAAGCCACTGCAAGGAAATCTGGCCTCCTTTCAAGTTAGGGCTTCTCGCTGTATATTCCCCTTGAGGCAGCAAACTCGGGGTCCCTCCCACATACCTATTGCTGAGAGAAGCCTCCTCCTGAGGTGCTTCTGGGAAGTTGGCATACGTCTTGAGCCTAAGCCAGGGAATCAGCTCGCATCTCGAGACGATTTGGGGTACACGGAGCATTCCTCGAGTTGCTGTGCTGAAGTTGGTGTTCCTCTAGACTTGGGACAGTGTTCTCGGGGCATCTCTGGAGTTGCCTGAAGGAAGTCGAGCCACCGGTCGTGTTGAATGGGGAACGGGGAATGGCTCTGGAGTCAATGCAGGGGAATCGGGCCTCATCTCGAGTTGATTTGGGGCACATGGAGCTGCTTTGCGTTGCTGGGGTGACCTCAGGGTCCGTCTAGACTGGTGACAGTGTTCTTGGGGACTGTCTCGAGATCCATTAAGCAAGTCGAAGCTCCTGACTTGCTTGAATGGGATCACGGAATAGCTCTGCATGCACTGCAGGGGAATGGGGCCTCATCTCGCCTCTAGGGGGAAGTCTCATGGTTTTTCTCGAGTTGCGGCGGGGACCTGGGGTATGTTCTCGACTTACGGCGGGGATGGCCCTTCAAAACACGAGTCTCTTCAGTGACGTCAGGACTCCTGTCTAGTAACGAGGGACACCTCAGGAATCTCTTCGAGGCTTGGCAGGGCCAAAGGGACGCTTCCCGAGGTGAGGCAGGGCACCCAAGGACCCTTTCCAGTAGCCACAGGGATTTTGGGATTCCTATCAGTATTCAAGAGGAGTCAGGCATCGTCACCTTTTGAAGCAATGAACTCCGCGTGCCTCTCGAGGTGTCAGCGGGATGTGAGGCATTCCGTCAAAATGAGGCAGGGACCTAGGGCTTTCTCTAAGGTCTCCACAGGGGATTCAGACATCCCTTCATGTTGTGAGATGAAAGACGAGCCTGTATTCAAGCCACTGCAAGGAAATCCGGCCTCCTTTCAAGTTAGGGCTTCTCGCTGTATATTCCCCTTGAGGCAGCAAACTCGGGGTCCCTCCCACATACCTATTGCTGAGAGAAGCCTCCTCCTGAGGTGCTTCTGGGAAGTTGGCATACGTCTTGAGCCTAAGCCAGGGAATCAGCTCGCATCTCGAGACGATTTGGGGTACACGGAGCATTCCTCGAGTTGCTGTGCTGAAGTTGGTGTTCCTCTAGACTTGGGACAGTGTTCTCGGGGCATCTCTGGAGTTGCCTGAAGGAAGTCGAGCCACCGGTCGTGTTGAATGGGGAACGGGGAATGGCTCTGGAGTCAATGCAGGGGAATCGGGCCTCATCTCGAGTTGATTTGGGGCACATGGAGCTGCTTTGCGTTGCTGGGGTGACCTCAGGGTCCGTCTAGACTGGTGACAGTGTTCTTGGGGACTGTCTCGAGATCCATTAAGCAAGTCGAAGCTCCTGACTTGTTTGAATGGGATCACGGAATAGCTCTGCATGCACTGCAGGGGAATGGGGCCTCATCTCGCCTCTAGGGGGAAGTCTCATGGTTTTTCTCGAGTTGCGGCGGGGACCTGGGGTATGTTTTCGACTTACGGCGGGGATGGCCCTTCAAAACACGAGTTTCTTCAGTGAAGTCAGGACTCCTGTCTAGTAACGAGGGACACCTCAGGAATCTCTTCGAGGCTTGGCAAGGCCAAAGGGACGCTTCCCGAGGTGAGGCAGGGCACCAAAGGACCCTTTCCAGTAGCCACAGGGATTTTGTGATTCCTATCAGTATTCAAGAGGAGTCAGGCATCGTCACCTTTTGAAGCAATGAACTCCGCGTGCCTCTCGAGGTGTCAGCGGGATGTGAGGCATTCCGTCAAAATGAGGCAGGGACCTAGGTCTTTCTCTAAGGTCTCCACAGGGGATTCAGACATCCCTTCATGTTGTGAGATGAAAGACGAGCCTGTATTCAAGCCACTGCAAGGAAATCCGGCCTCCTTTCAAGTTAGGGCTTCTCGCTGTATATTCCCCTTGAGGCAGCAAACTCGGGGTCCCTCCCACATACCTATTGCTGAGAGAAGCCTCCTCCTGAGGTGCTTCTGGGAAGTTGGCATACGTCTTGAGCCTAAGCCAGGGAATCAGCTCGCATCTCGAGACGATTTGGGGTACACGGAGCATTCCTCGAGTTGCTGTGCTGAAGTTGGTGTTCCTCTAGACTTGGGACAGTGTTCTCGGGGCATCTCTGGAGTTGCCTGAAGGAAGTCGAGCCACCGGTCGTGTTGAATGGGGAACGGGGAATGGCTCTGGAGTCAATGCAGGGGAATCGGGCCTCATCTCGAGTTGATTTGGGGCACATGGAGCTGCTTTAGGGGCTGGGGTGACCTCAGGGTCCGTCTAGACTGGTGACAGTGTTCTTAGGGACTGTCTCGAGATCCATTAAGCAAGTCGAAGCTCCTGACTTGTTTGAATCGGATCACGGAATAGCTCTGCATGCCCTGCAGGGGAATGGGGCCTCATCTCGCCTCTAGGGGGAAGTCTCATGGTTTTTCTCGAGTTGCGGCGGGGACCTGGTGTATGTTCTCGACTTACGGCGGGGATGGCCCTTCAAAACACGAGTTTCTTCAGTGACGTCAGGCCTCCTGTCTAGTAACGAGGGACACCTCAGGAATCTCTTCGAGGCTTGGCAGGGCCAAAGGGACGCTTCTCGAGGTGAGGCAGGGCACCCAAGGACCCTTTCCTGTAGCCACAGGGATTTTGGGATTCCTATCAGTATTCAAGAGGAGTCAGGCATCGTCACCTTTTGAAGCAATGAACTCCGCGTGCCTCTCGAGGTGTCAGCGGGATGTGAGGCATTCCGTCAAAATGAGGCAGGGACCTAGGGCTTTCTCTAAGGTCTCCACAGGGGATTCAGACATCCCTTCATGTTGTGAGATGAAAGACGAGCCTGTATTCAAGCCACTGCAAGGAAATCTGGCCTCCTTTCAAGTTAGGGCTTCTCGCTGTATATTCCCCTTGAGGCAGCAAACTCGGGGTCCCTCCCACATACCTATTGCTGAGAGAAGCCTCCTCCTGAGGTGCTTCTGGGAAGTTGGCATACGTCTTGAGCCTAAGCCAGGGAATCAGCTCGCATCTCGAGACGATTTGGGGTACACGGAGCATTCCTCGAGTTGCTGTGCTGAAGTTGGTGTTCCTCTAGACTTGGGACAGTGTTCTCGGGGCATCTCTGGAGTTGCCTGAAGGAAGTCGAGCCACCGGTCGTGTTGAATGGGGAACGGGGAATGGCTCTGGAGTCAATGCAGGGGAATCGGGCCTCATCTCGAGTTGATTTGGGGCACATGGAGCTGCTTTGCGTTGCTGGGGTGACCTCAGGGTCCGTCTAGACTGGTGACAGTGTTCTTGGGGACTGTCTCGAGATCCATTAAGCAAGTCGAAGCTCCTGACTTGCTTGAATGGGATCACGGAATAGCTCTGCATGCACTGCAGGGGAATGGGGCCTCATCTCGCCTCTAGGGGGAAGTCTCATGGTTTTTCTCGAGTTGCGGCGGGGACCTGGGTTATGTTCTCGACTTACGGCGGGGATGGCCCTTCAAAACACGAGTCTCTTCAGTGACGTCAGGACTCCTGTCTAGTAACGAGGGACACCTCAGGAATCTCTTCGAGGCTTGGCAGGGCCAAAGGGACGCTTCCCGAGGTGAGGCAGGGCACCCAAGGACCCTTTCCAGTAGCCACAGAGATTTTGGGATTCCTATCAGTATTCAAGAGGAGTCAGGCATCGTCACCTTTTGAAGCAATGAACTCCGCTTGCCTCTCGAGGTGTCAGCGGGATGTGAGGCATTCCGTCAAAATGAGGCAGGGACCTAGGGCTTTCTCTAAGGTCTCCACAGGGGATTCAGACATCCCTTCATGTTGTGAAATGAAAGACGAGCCTGTATTCAAGCCACTGCAAGGAAATCCGGCCTCCTTTCAAGTTAGGGCTTCTCGCTGTATATTCCCCTTGAGGCAGCAAACTCGGGGTCCCTCCCACATACCTATTGCTGAGAGAAGCCTCCTCCTGAGGTGCTTCTGGGAAGTTGGCATACGTCTTGAGCCTAAGCCAGGGAATCAGCTCGCATCTCGAGACGATTTGGGGTACACGGAGCATTCCTCGAGTTGCTGTGCTGAAGTTGGTGTTCCTCTAGACTTGGGACAGTGTTCTCGGGGCATCTCTGGAGTTGCCTGAAGGAAGTCGAGCCACCGGTCGTGTTGAATGGGGAACGGGGAATGGCTCTGGAGTCAATGCAGGGGAATCGGGCCTCATCTCGAGTTGATTTGGGGCACATGGAGCTGCTTTGCGTTGCTGGGGTGACCTCAGGGTCCGTCTAGACTGGTGACAGTGTTCTTGGGGACTGTCTCGAGATCCATTAAGCAAGTCGAAGCTCCTGACTTGTTTGAATGGGATCACGGAATAGCTCTGCATGCACTGCAGGGGAATGGGGCCTCATCTCGCCTCTAGGGGGAAGTCTCATGGTTTTTCTCGAGTTGCGGCGGGGACCTGGGGTATGTTCTCGACTTACGGCGGGGATGGCCCTTCAAAACACGAGTTTCTTCAGTGACGTCAGGACTCCTGTCTAGTAACGAGGGACACCTCAGGAATCTCTTCGAGGCTTGGCAGGGCCAAAGGGACGCTTCCCGAGGTGAGGCAGGGCACCCAAGGACCCTTTCCAGTAGCCACAGGGATTTTGGGATTCCTATCAGTATTCAAGAGGAGTCAGGCATCGTCACCTTTTGAAGCAATGAACTCCGCGTGCCTCTCGAGGTGTCAGCGGGATGTGAGGCATTCCGTCAAAATGAGGCAGGGACCTAGGGCTTTCTCTAAGGTCTCCACAGGGGATTCAGACATCCCTTCATGTTGTGAGATGAAAGACGAGCCTGTATTCAAGCCACTGCAAGGAAATCCGGCCTCCTTTCAAGTTAGGGCTTCTCGCTGTATATTCCCCTTGAGGCAGCAAACTCGGGGTCCCTCCCACATACCTATTGTTGAGAGAAGCCTCCTCCTGAGGTGCTTCTGGGAAGTTGGCATACGTCTTGAGCCTAAGCCAGGGAATCAGCTCGCATCTCGAGACGATTTGGGGTACACGGAGCATTCCTCGAGTTGCTGTGCTGAAGTTGGTGTTCCTCTAGACTTGGGACAGTGTTCTCGGGGCATCTCTGGAGTTGCCTGAAGGAAGTCGAGCCACCGGTCGTGTTGAATGGGGAACGGGGAATGGCTCTGGAGTCAATGCAGGGGAATCGGGCCTCATCTCGAGTTGATTTGGGGCACATGGAGCTGCTTTAGGTGCTGGGGTGACCTCAGGGTCCGTCTAGACTGGTGACAGTGTTCTTAGGGACTGTCTCGAGATCCATTAAGCAAGTCGAAGCTCCTGACTTGTTTGAATCGGATCACTGAATAGCTCTGCATGCCCTGCAGGGGAATGGGGCCTCATCTCGCCTCTAGGGGGAAGTCTCATGGTTTTTCTCGAGTTGCGGCGGGGACCTGGTGTATGTTCTCGACTTACGGCGGGGATGGCCCTTCAAAACACGAGTTTCTTCAGTGACGTCAGGCCTCCTGTCTAGTAACGAGGGACACCTCAGGAATCTCTTCGAGGCTTGGCAGGGCCAAAGGGACGCTTCTCGAGGTGAGGCAGGGCACCCAAGGACCCTTTCCTGTAGCCACAGGGATTTTGGGATTCCTATCAGTATTCAAGAGGAGTCAGGCATCGTCACCTTTTGAAGCAATGAACTCCGCGTGCCTCTCGAGGTGTCAGCGGGATGTGAGGCATTCCGTCAAAATGAGGCAGGGACCTAGGGCTTTCTCTAAGGTCTCCACAGGGGATTCAGACATCCCTTCATGTTGTGAGATGAAAGACGAGCCTGTATTCAAGCCACTGCAAGGAAATCTGGCCTCCTTTCAAGTTAGGGCTTCTCGCTGTATATTCCCCTTGAGGCAGCAAACTCGGGGTCCCTCCCACATACCTATTGCTGAGAGAAGCCTCCTCCTGAGGTGCTTCTGGGAAGTTGGCATACGTCTTGAGCCTAAGCCAGGGAATCAGCTCGCATCTCGAGACGATTTGGGGTACACGGAGCATTCCTCGAGTTGCTGTGCTGAAGTTGGTGTTCCTCTAGACTTGGGACAGTGTTCTCGGGGCATCTCTGGAGTTGCCTGAAGGAAGTCGAGCCACCGGTCGTGTTGAATGGGGAACGGGGAATGGCTCTGGAGTCAATGCAGGGGAATCGGGCCTCATCTCGAGTTGATTTGGGGCACATGGAGCTGCTTTGCGTTGCTGGGGTGACCTCAGGGTCCGTCTAGACTGGTGACAGTGTTCTTGGGGACTGTCTCGAGATCCATTAAGCAAGTCGAAGCTCCTGACTTGCTTGAATGGGATCACGGAATAGCTCTGCATGCACTGCAGGGGAATGGGGCCTCATCTCGCCTCTAGGGGGAAGTCTCATGGTTTTTCTCGAGTTGCGGCGGGGACCTGGGGTATGTTCTCGACTTACGGCGGGGATGGCCCTTCAAAACACGAGTCTCTTCAGTGACGTCAGGACTCCTGTCTAGTAACGAGGGACACCTCAGGAATCTCTTCGAGGCTTGGCAGGGCCAAAGGGACGCTTCCCGAGGTGAGGCAGGGCACCCAAGGACCCTTTCCAGTAGCCACAGAGATTTTGGGATTCCTATCAGTATTCAAGAGGAGTCAGGCATCGTCACCTTTTGAAGCAATGAACTCCGCTTGCCTCTCGAGGTGTCAGCGGGATGTGAGGCATTCCGTCAAAATGAGGCAGGGACCTAGGGCTTTCTCTAAGGTCTCCACAGGGGATTCAGACATCCCTTCATGTTGTGAAATGAAAGACGAGCCTGTATTCAAGCCACTGCAATTAAATCCGGCCTCCTTTCAAGTTAGGGCTTCTCGCTGTATATTCCCCTTGAGGCAGCAAACTCGGGGTCCCTCCCACATACCTATTGCTGAGAGAAGCCTCCTCCTGAGGTGCTTCTGGGAAGTTGGCATACGTCTTGAGCCTAAGCCAGGGAATCAGCTCGCATCTCGAGACGATTTGGGGTACACGGAGCATTCCTCGAGTTGCTGTGCTGAAGTTGGTGTTCCTCTAGACTTGGGACAGTGTTCTCGGGGCATCTCTGGAGTTGCCTGAAGGAAATCGAGCCACCGGTCGTGTTGAATGGGGAACGGGGAATGGCTCTGGAGTCAATGCAGGGGAATCGGGCCTCATCTCGAGTTGATTTGGGGCACATGGGGCTGCTTTGCGTTGCTGGGGTGACCTCAGGGTCCGTCTAGACTGGTGACAGTGTTCTTGGGGACTGTCTCGAGATCCATTAAGCAAGTCGAAGCTCCTGACTTGTTTGAATGGGATCACGGAATAGCTCTGCATGCACTGCAGGGGAATGGGGCCTCATCTCGCCTCTAGGGGGAAGTCTCATGGTTTTTCTCGAGTTGCGGCGGGGACCTGGGGTATGTTCTCGACTTACGGCGGGGATGGCCCTTCAAAACACGAGTCTCTTCAGTGACGTCAGGACTCCTGTCTAGTAACGAGGGACACCTCAGGAATCTCTTCGAGGCTTGGCAGGGCCAAAGGGACGCTTCCCGAGGTGAGGCAGGGCACCCAAGGACCCTTTCCAGTAGCCACAGGGATTTTGGGATTCCTATCAGTATTCAAGAGGAGTCTGGCATCGTCACCTTTTGAAGCAATGAACTCCGCGTGCCTCTCGAGGTGTCAGCGGGATGTGAGGCATTCCGTCAAAATGAGGCAGGGACCTAGGCCTTTCTCTAAGGTCTCCACAGGGGATTCAGACATCCCTTCATGTTGTGAGATGAAAGACGAGCCTGTATTCAAGCCACTGCAAGGAAATCCGGCCTCCTTTCAAGTTAGGGCTTCTCGCTGTATATTGCCCTTGAGGCAGCAAACTCGGGGTCCCTCCCACATACCTATTGCTGAGAGAAGCCTCCTCCTGAGGTGCTTCTGGGAAGTTGGCATACGTCTTGAGCCTAAGCCAGGGAATCAGCTCGCATCTCGAGACGATTTGGGGTACACGGAGCATTCCTCGAGTTGCTGTGCTGAAGTTGGTGTTCCTCTAGACTTGGGACAGTGTTCTCGGGGCATCTCTGGAGTTGCCTGAAGGAAGTCGAGCCACCGGTCGTGTTGAATGGGGAACGGGGAATGGCTCTGGAGTCAATGCAGGGGAATCGGGCCTCATCTCGAGTTGATTTGGGGCACATGGAGCTGCTTTGCGTTGCTGGGGTGACCTCAGGGTCAGTCTAGACTGGTGACAGTGTTCTTGGGGACTGTCTCGAGATCCATTAAGCAAGTCGAAGCTCCTGACTTGTTTGAATGGGATCACGGAATAGCTCTGCATGCCCTGCAGGGGAATGGGGCCTCATCTCGCCTCTAGGGGGAAGTCTCATGGTTTTTCTCGAGTTGCGGCGGGGACCTGGGGTATGTTCTCGACTTACGGCGGGGATGGCCCTTCAAAACACGAGTTTCTTCAGTGACGTCAGGACTCCTGTCTAGTAACGAGGGACACCTCAGGAATCTCTTCGAGGCTTGGCAGGGCCAAAGGGACGCTTCTCGAGGTGAGGCAGGGCACCCAAGGACCCTTTCCAGTAGCCAAAGGGATTTTGGGATTCCTATCAGTATTCAAGAGGAGTCAGGCATCGTCACCTTTTGAAGCAATGAACTCCGCGTGCCTCTCGAGGTGTCAGCGGGATGTGAGGCATTCCGTCAAAATGAGGCAGGGACCTAGGGCTTTCTCTAAGGTCTCCACAGGGGATTCAGACATCCCTTCATGTTGTGAGATGAAAGACGAGCCTGTATTCAAGCCACTGCAAGGAAATCCGGCCTCCTTTCAAGTTAGGGCTTCTCGCTGTATATTCCCCTTGAGGCAGCAAACTCGGGGTCCCTCCCACATACCTATTGTTGAGAGAAGCCTCCTCCTGAGGTGCTTCTGGGAAGTTGGCATACGTCTTGAGCCTAATCCAGGGAATCAGCTCGCATCTCGAGACGATTTGGGGTACACGGAGCATTCCTCGAGTTGCTGTGCTGAAGTTGGTGTTCCTCTAGACTTGGGACAGTGTTCTCGGGGCATCTCTGGAGTTGCCTGAAGGAAGTCGAGCCACCGGTCATGTTGAATGGGCAACGGGGAATGGCTCTGGAGTCAATGCAGGGGAATCGGGCCTCATCTCGAGTTGATTTGGGGCACATGGAGCTGCTTTAGGTGCTGGGGTGACCTCAGGGTCCGTCTAGACTGGTGACAGTGTTCTTAGGGACTGTCTCGAGATCCATTAAGCAAGTCGAAGCTCCTGACTTGTTTGAATCGGATCACGGAATAGCTCTGCATGCCCTGCAGGGGAATGGGGCCTCATCTCGCCTCTAGGGGGAAGTCTCATGGTTTTTCTCGAGTTGCGGCGGGGACCTGGGGTATGTTCTCGACTTATGGCGGGGATGGCCCTTCAAAACACGAGTTTCTTCAGTGACGTCAGGACTCCTGTCTAGTAACGAGAGATACCTCAGGAATCTCTTCGAGGCTTGGCAGGGCCAAAGGGACGCTTCCCGGGGTGAGGCAGGGCACCCAAGGACCCTTTCCAGTAGCCACAGGGATTTTGTGATTCCTATCAGTATTCAAGAGGAGTCAGGCATCGTCACCTTTTGAAGCAATGAACTCCGCATTCCTCTCGAGGTGTCAGCGGGATGTGAGGCATTCCGTCAAAATGAGGCAGGGACCTAGGGCTTTCTCTAAGGTCTCCACAGGGGATTCAGACATCCCTTCATGTTGTGAGATGAAAGACGAGCCTGTATTCAAGCCAGTGCAAGGAAATCCGGCCTCCTTTCAAGTTAGGGCTTCTCGCTGTATATTCCCCTTGAGGCAGCAAACTTGGGGTCCCTCCCACATACCTATTGCTGAGAGAAGCCTCCTCCTGAGGTGCTTCTGGGAAGTTGGCATACGTCTTGAGCCTAAGCCAGGGAATCAGCTCGCATCTCGAGACGATTTGGGGTACACGGAGCATTCCTCGAGTTGCTGTGCTGAAGTTGGTGTTCCTCTAGACTTGGGACAGTGTTCTCGGGGCATCTCTGGAGTTGCCTGAATGAAGTCGAGCCACCGGTCGTGTTGAATGGGGAACGGGGAATGGCTCTGGAGTCAATGCAGGGGAATCGGGCCTCATCTCGAGTTGATTTGGGGCACATGGAGCTGCTTTGCGTTGCTGGGGTGACCTCAGGGTCAGTCTAGACTGGTGACAGTGTTCTTGGGGACTGTCTCGAGATCCATTAAGCAAGTCGAAGCTCCTGACTTGTTTGAATGGGATCACGGAATAGCTCTGCATGCCCTGCAGGGGAATGGGGCCTCATCTCGCCTCTAGGGGGAAGTCTCATGGTTTTTCTCGAGTTGCGGCGGGGACCTGGGGTATGTTCTCGACTAACGGCGGGGATGGCCCTTCAAAACACGAGTTTCTTCAGTGAGGTCAGGACTCCTGTCTAGTAACGAGGGACACCTCAGGAATCTCTTCGAGGCTTGGCAGGGCCAAAGGGACGCTTCCCGAGGTGAGGCAGGGCACCCAAGGACCCTTTCCAGTAGCCACAGGGATTTTGGGATTCCTATCAGTATTCAAGAGGAGTCAGGCATCGTCACCTTTTGAAGCAATGAACTCCGCGTGCCTCTCGAGGTGTCAGCGGGATGTGAGGCATTCCGTCAAAATGAGGCAGGGACCTCGGGCTTTCTCTAAGGTCTCCACAGGGGATTCAGACATCCCTTCATGTTGTGAGATGAAAGACGAGCCTGTATTCAAGCCACTGCAAGGAAATCCGGCCTCCTTTCAAGTTAGGGCTTCTCGCTGTATATTCCCCTTGAGGCAGCAAACTCGGGGTCCCTCCCACATACCTATTGTTGAGAGAAGCCTCCTCCTGAGGTGCTTCTGGAAAGTTGGCATACGTCTTGAGCCTAAGCCAGGGAATCAGCTCGCATCTCGAGACGATTTGGGGTACACGGAGCATTCCTCGAGTTGCTGTGCTGAAGTTGGTGTTCCTCTAGACTTGGGACAGTGTTCTCGGGGCATCTCTGGAGTTGCCTGAAGGAAGTCGAGCCACCGGTCGTGTTGAATGGGGAACGGGGAATGGCTCTGGAGTCAATGCAGGGGAATCGGGCCTCATCTCGAGTTGATTTGGGGCACATGGTGCTGCTTTGCGTTGCTGGGGTGACCTCAGGGTCCGTCTAGACTGGTGACAGTGTTCTTGGGGACTGTCTCGAGATCCATTAAGCAAGTCGAAGCTCCTGACTTGTTTGAATGGGATCACGGAATAGCTCTGCATGCCCTGCAGGGGAATGGGGCCTCATCTCGCCTCTAGGGGGAAGTCTCATGGTTTTTCTCGAGTTGCGGCGGGGACCTGGGGTATGTTCTCGACTTACGGCGGGGATGGCCCTTCAAAACACGAGTCTCTTCAGTGACGTCAGGACTCCTGTCTAGTAACGAGGGACACCTCAGGAATCTCTTCGAGGCTTGGCAGGGCCAAAGGGACGCTTCTCGAGGTGAGGCAGGGCACCCAAGGACCCTTTCCAGTAGCCACAGGGATTTTGGGATTCCTATCAGTATTCAAGAGGAGTCTGGCATCGTCACCTTTTGAAGCAATGAACTCCGCGTGCCTCTCGAGGTGTCAGCGGGATGTGAGGCATTCCGTCAAAATGAGGCAGGGACCTAGGGCTTTCTCTAAGGTCTCCACAGGGGATTCAGACATCCCTTCATGTTGTGAGATGAAAGACGAGCCTGTATTCAAGCCACTGCAAGGAAATCCGGCCTCCTTTCAAGTTAGGGCTTCTCGCTGTATATTCCCCTTGAGGCAGCAAACTCGGGGTCCCTCCCACATACCTATTGCTGAGAGAAGCCTCCTCCTGAGGTGCTTCTGGGAAGTTGGCATACGTCTTGAGCCTAAGCCAGGGAATCAGCTCGCATCTCGAGACGATTTGGGGTACACGGAGCATTCCTCGAGTTGCTGTGCTGAAGTTGGTCTTCCTCTAGACTTGGGACAGTGTTCTCGGGGCATCTCTGGAGTTGCCTGAAGGAAGTCGAGCCACCGGTCGTGTTGAATGGGGAACGGGGAATGGCTCTGGAGTCAATGCAGGGGAATCGGGCCTCATCTCGAGTTGATTTGGGGCACATGGAGCTGCTTTGCGTTGCTGGGGTGACCTCAGGGTCAGTCTAGACTGGTGACAGTGTTCTTGGGGACTGTCTCGAGATCCATTAAGCAAGTCGAAGCTCCTGACTTGTTTGAATGGGATCACGGAATAGCTCTGCATGCACTGCAGGGGAATGGGGCCTCATCTCGCCTCTAGGGGGAAGTCTCATGGTTTTTCTCGAGTTGCGGCGGGGACCTGGGGTATGTTCTCGACTTACGGCGGGGATGGCCCTTCAAAACACGAGTTTCTTCAGTGACGTCAGGACTCCTGTCTAGTAACGAGGGACACCTCAGGAATCTCTTCGAGGCTTGGCAGGGCCAAAGGGACGCTTCTCGAGGTGAGGCAGGGCACCCAAGGACCCTTTCCAGTAGCCACAGGGATTTTGGGATTCCTATCAGTATTCAAGAGGAGTCAGGCATCGTCACCTTTTGAAGCAATGAACTCCGCGTGCCTCTCGAGGTGTCAGCGGGATGTGAGGCATTCCGTCAAAATGAGGCAGGGACCTAGGGCTTTCTCTAAGGTCTCCACAGGGGATTCAGACATCCCTTCATGTTGTGAGATGAAAGACGAGCCTGTATTCAAGCCACTGCAAGGAAATCCGGCCTCCTTTCAAGTTAGGGCTTCTCGCTGTATATTCCCCTTGAGGCAGCAAACTCGGGGTCCCTCCCACATACCTATTGTTGAGAGAAGCCTCCTCCTGAGGTGCTTCTGGGAAGTTGGCATACGTCTTGAGCCTAAGCCAGGGAATCAGCTCGCATCTCGAGACGATTTGGGGTACACGGAGCATTCCTCGAGTTGCTGTGCTGAAGTTGGTGTTCCTCTAGACTTGGGACAGTGTTCTCGGGGCATCTCTGGAGTTGCCTGAAGGAAGTCGAGCCACCGGTCATGTTGAATGGGGAACGGGGAATGGCTCTGGAGTCAATGCAGGGGAATCGGGCCTCATCTCGAGTTGATTTGGGGCACATGGAGCTGCTTTAGGTGCTGGGGTGACCTCAGGGTCCGTCTAGACTGGTGACAGTGTTCTTGGGGACTGTCTCGAGATCCATTAAGCAAGTCGAAGCTCCTGACTTGTTTGAATGGGATCACGGAATAGCTCTGCATGCCCTGCAGGGGAATGGGGCCTCATCTCGCCTCTAGGGGGAAGTCTCATGGTTTTTCTCGAGTTGCGGCGGGGACCTGGGGTATGTTCTCGACTTACGGCGGGGATGGCCCTTCAAAACACGAGTCTCTTCAGTGACGTCAGGACTCCTGTCTAGTAACGAGGGACACCTCAGGAATCTCTTCGAGGCTTGGCAGGGCCAAAGGGACGCTTCCCGGGGTGAGGCAGGGCACCCAAGGACCCTTTCCAGTAGCCACAGGGATTTTGGGATTCCTATCAGTATTCAAGAGGAGTCAGGCATCGTCACCTTTTGAAGCAATGAACTCCGCGTGCCTCTCGAGGTGTCAGCGGGATGTGAGGCATTCCGTCAAAATGAGGCAGGGACCTAGGGCTTTCTCTAAGGTCTCCACAGGGGATTCAGACATCCCTTCATGTTGTGAGATGAAAGACGAGCCTGTATTCAAGCCACTGCAAGGAAATCCGGCCTCCTTTCAAGTTAGGGCTTCTCGCTGTATATTCCCCTTGAGGCAGCAAACTCGGGGTCCCTCCCACATACCTATTGCTGAGAGAAGCCTCCTCCTGAGGTGCTTCTGGGAAGTTGGCATACGTCTTGAGCCTAAGCCAGGGAATCAGCTCGCATCTCGAGACGATTTGGGGTACACGGAGCATTCCTCGAGTTGCTGTGCTGAAGTTGGTGTTCCTCTAGACTTGGGACAGTGTTCTCGGGGCATCTCTGGAGTTGCCTGAAGGAAGTCGAGCCACCGGTCGTGTTGAATGGGGAACGGGGAATGGCTCTGGAGTCAATGCAGGGGAATCGGGCCTCATCTCGAGTTGATTTGGGGCACATGGAGCTGCTTTGCGTTGCTGGGGTGACCTCAGGGTCCGTCTAGACTGGTGACAGTGTTCTTGGGGACTGTCTCGAGATCCATTAAACAAGTCGAAGCTCCTGACTTGTTTGAATGGGATCACGGAATAGCTCTGCATGCACTGCAGGGGAATGGGGCCTCATCTCGCCTCTAGGGGGAAGTCTCATGGTTTTTCTCGAGTTGCGGCGGGGACCTGGGGTATGTTCTCGACTTACGGCGGGGATGGCCCTTCAAAACACGAGTTTCTTCAGTGACGTCAGGACTCCTGTCTAGTAACGAGGGACACCTCAGGAATCTCTTCGAGGCTTGGCAGGGCCAAAGGGACGCTTCCCGGGGTGAGGCAGGGCACCCAAGGACCCTTTCCAGTAGCCACAGGGATTTTGTGATTCTTATCAGTATTCAAGAGGAGTCAGGCATCGTCACCTTTTGAAGCAATGAACTCCGCGTGCCTCTCGAGGTGTCAGCGGGATGTGAGGCATTCCGTCAAAATGAGGCAGGGACCTAGGGCTTTCTCTAAGGTCTCCACAGGGGATTCAGACATCCCTTCATGTTGTGAGATGAAAGACGAGCCTGTATTCAAGCCACTGCAAGGAAATCCGGCCTCCTTTCAAGTTAGGGCTTCTCGTTGTATATTCCCCTTGAGGCAGCAAACTCGGGGTCCCTCCCACATACCTATTGCTGAGAGAAGCCTCCTCCTGAGGTGCTTCTGGGAAGTTGGCATACGTCTTGAGCCTAAGCCAGGGAATCAGCTCGCATCTCGAGACGATTTGGGGTACACGGAGCATTCCTCGAGTTGCTGTGCTGAAGGTGGTGTTCCTCTAGACTTGGGACAGTGTTCTCGGGGCATCTCTGGAGTTGCCTGAAGGAAGTCGAGCCACCGGTCGTGTTGAATGGGGAACGGGGAATGGCTCTGGAGTCAATGCAGGGGAATCGGGCCTCATCTCGAGTTGATTTGGGGCACATGGAGCTGCTTTGCTTTGCTGGAGTGACCTCAGGGTCCCTCTAGACTGGTGACAGTGTTCTTGGGGACTGTCTCGAGATCCATTAAGCAAGTCGAAGCTCCTGACTTGTTTGAATGGGATCACGGAATAGCTCTGCATGCACTGCAGGGGAATGGGGCCTCATCTCGCCTCTAGGGGGAAGTCTCATGGTTTTTCTCGAGTTGCGGCGGGGACCTGGGGTATGTTCTCGACTTACAGCGGGGATGGCCCTTCAAAACACGAGTTTCTTCAGTGACGTCAGGACTCCTGTCTAGTAACGAGGGACACCTCAGGAATCTCTTCGAGGCTTGGCAGGGCAAAAGGGACGCTTCTCGAGGTGAGGCAGGGCACCTAAGGACCCTTTCCAGTAGCCACAGGGATTTTGGGATTCCTATCAGTATTCAAGAGGAGTCAGGCATCGTCACCTTTTGAAGCAATGAACTCCGCGTGCCTCTCGAGGTGTCAGCGGGATGTGAGGCATTCCGTCAAAATGAGGCAGGGACCTAGGGCTTTCTCTAAGGTCTCCACAGGGGATTCAGACATCCCTTCATGTTGTGAGATGAAAGACGAGCCTGTATTCAAGCCACTGCAAGGAAATCCGGCCTCCTTTCAAGTTAGGGCTTCTCGCTGTATATTCCCCTTGAGGCAGCAAACTCGGGGTCCCTCCCACATATCTATTGCTGAGAGAAGCCTCCTCCTGAGGTGCTTCTGGGAAGTTGGCATACGTCTTGAGCCTAAGCCAGGGAATCAGCTCGCATCTCGAGACGATTTGGGGTACACGGAGCATTCCTCGAGTTGCTGTGCTGAAGTTGGTGTTCCTCTAGACTTGGGACAGTGTTCTCGGGGCATCTCTGGAGTTGCCTGAAGGAAGTCGAGCCACCGGTCGTGTTGAATGGGGAACGGGGAATGGCTCTGGAGTCAATGCAGGGGAATCGGGCCTCATCTCGAGTTGATTTGGGGCACATGGAGCTGCTTTGCGTTGCTGGGGTGACCTCAGGGTCCGTCTAGACTGGTGACAGTGTTCTTGGGGACTGTCTCGAGATCCATTAAGCAAGTCGAAGCTCCTGACTTGCTTGAATGGGATCACGGAATAGCTCTGCATGCACTGCAGGGGAATGGGGCCTCATCTCGCCTCTAGGGGGAAGTCTCATGGTTTTTCTCAAGTTGCGGCGGGGACCTGGGGTATGTTCTCGACTTACGGCGGGGATGGCCCTTCAAAACACGAGTCTCTTCAGTGACGTCAGGACTCCTGTCTAGTAACGAGGGACACCTCAGGAATCTCTTCGAGGCTTGGCAGGGCCAAAGGGACGCTTCCCGAGGTGAGGCAGGGCACCCAAGGACCCTTTCCAGTAGCCACAGAGATTTTGGGATTCTTATCAGTATTCAAGAGGAGTCAGGCATCGTCACCTTTTGAAGCAATGAACTCCGCTTGCCTCTCGAGGTGTCAGCGGGATGTGAGGCATTCCGTCAAAATGAGGCAGGGACCTAGGGCTTTCTCTAAGGTCTCCACAGGGGATTCAGACATCCCTTCATGTTGTGAAATGAAAGACGAGCCTGTATTCAAGCCACTGCAAGGAAATCCGGCCTCCTTTCAAGTTAGGGCTTCTCGCTGTATATTCCCCTTGAGGCAGCAAACTCGGGGTCCCTCCCACATACCTATTGCTGAGAGAAGCCTCCTCCTGAGGTGCTTCTGGGAAGTTGGCATACGTCTTGAGCCTAAGCCAGGGAATCAGCTCGCATCTCGAGACGATTTGGGGTACACGGAGCATTCCTCGAGTTGCTGTGCTGAAGTTGGTGTTCCTCTAGACTTGGGACAGTGTTCTCGGGGCATCTCTGGAGTTGCCTGAAGGAAATCGAGCCACCGGTCGTGTTGAATGGGGAACGGGGAATGGCTCTGGAGTCAATGCAGGGGAATCGGGCCTCATCTCGAGTTGATTTGGGGCACATGGAGCTGCTTTGCGTTGCTGGGGTGACCTCAGGGTCCGTCTAGAATGGTGACAGTGTTCTTGGGGACTGTCTCGAGATCCATTAAGCAAGTCGAAGCTCCTGACTTGTTTGAATGGGATCACGGAATAGCTCTGCATGCACTGCAGGGGAATGGGGCCTCATCTCGCCTCTAGGGGGAAGTCTCATGGTTTTTCTCAAGTTGCGGCGGGGACCTGGGGTATGTTCTCGACTTACGGCGGGGATGGCCCTTCAAAACACGAGTTTCTTCAGTGACGTCAGGACTCCTGTCTAGTAACGAGGGACACCTCAGGAATCTCTTCGAGGCTTGGCAGGGCCAAAGGGACGCTTCCCGAGGTGAGGCAGGGCACCCAAGGACCCTTTCCAATAGCCACAGGGATTTTGGGATTCCTATCAGTATTCAAGAGGAGTCAGGCATCGTCACCTTTTGAAGCAATGAACTCCGCGTGCCTCTCGAGGTGTCAGCGGGATGTGAGGCATTCCGTCAAAATGAGGCAGGGACCTAGGGCTTTCTCTAAGGTCTCCACAGGGGATTCAGACATCCCTTCATGTTGTGAGATGAAAGACGAGCCTGTATTCAAGCCACTGCAAGGAAATCCGGCCTCCTTTCAAGTTAGGGCTTCTCGCTGTATATTCCCCTTGAGGCAGCAAACTCGGGGTCCCTCCCACATACCTATTGCTGAGAGAAGCCTCCTCCTGAGGTGCTTCTGGGAAGTTGGCATACGTCTTGAGCCTAAGCCAGGGAATCAGCTCGCATCTCGAGACGATTTGGGGTACACGGAGCATTCCTCGAGTTGCTGTGCTGAAGTTGGTGTTCCTCTAGACTTGGGACAGTGTTCTCGGGGCATCTCTGGAGTTGCCTGAAGGAAGTCGAGCCACCGGTCGTGTTGAATGGGGAACGGGGAATGGCTCTGGAGTCAATGCAGGGGAATCGGGCCTCATCTCGAGTTGATTTGGGGCACATGGAGCTGCTTTGCGTTGCTGGGGTGACCTCAGGGTCCGTCTAGACTGGTGACAGTGTTCTTGGGGACTGTCTCGAGATCCATTAAGCAAGTCGAAGCTCCTGACTTGCTTGAATGGGATCACGGAATAGCTCTGCATGCACTGCAGGGGAATGGGGCCTCATCTCGCCTCTAGGGGGAAGTCTCATGGTTTTTCTCGAGTTGCGGCGGGGACCTGGGGTATGTTCTCGACTTACGGCGGGGATGGCCCTTCAAAACACGAGTCTCTTCAGTGACGTCAGGACTCCTGTCTAGTAACGAGGGACACCTCAGGAATCTCTTCGAGGCTTGGCAGGGCCAAAGGGACGCTTCCCGAGGTGAGGCAGGGCACCCAAGGACCCTTTCCAGTAGCCACAGAGATTTTGGGATTCCTATCAGTATTCAAGAGGAGTCAGGCATCGTCACCTTTTGAAACAATGAACTCCGCTTGCCTCTCGAGGTGTCAGCGGGATGTGAGGCATTCCGTCAAAATGAGGCAGGGACCTAGGGCTTTCTCTAAGGTCTCCACAGGGGATTCAGACATCCCTTCATGTTGTGAGATGAAAGACGAGCCTGTATTCAAGCCACTGCAAGGAAATCCGGCCTCCTTTCAAGTTAGGGCTTCTCGCTGTATATTCCCCTTGAGGCAGCAAACTCGGAGTCCCTCCCACATACCTATTGTTGAGAGAAGCCTCCTCCTGAGGTGCTTCTGGGAAGTTGGCATACGTCTTGAGCCTAAGCCAGGGAATCAGCTCGCATCTCGAGACGATTTGGGGTACACGGAGCATTCCTCGAGTTGCTGTGCTGAAGTTGGTGTTCCTCTAGACTTGGGACAGTGTTCTCGGGGCATCTCTGGAGTTGCCTGAAGGAAGTCGAGCCACCGGTCGTGTTGAATGGGGAACGGGGAATGGCTCTGGAGTCAATGCAGGGGAATCGGGCCTCATCTCGAGTTGATTTGGGGCACATGGAGCTGCTTTGCGTTGCTGGGGTGACCTCAGGGTCCGTCTAGACTGGTGACAGTGTTCTTGGGGACTGTCTCGAGATCCATTAAGCAAGTCGAAGCTCCTGACTTGCTTGAATGGGATCACGGAATAGCTCTGCATGCACTGCAGGGGAATGGGGCCTCATCTCGCCTCTAGGGGGAAGTCTCATGGTTTTTCTCAAGTTGCGGCGGGGACCTGGGGTATGTTCTCGACTTACGGCGGGGATGGCCCTTCAAAACACGAGTCTCTTCAGTGACGTCAGGACTCCTGTCTAGTAACGAGGGACACCTCAGGAATCTCTTCGAGGCTTGGCAGGGCCAAAGGGACGCTTCCCGAGGTGAGGCAGGGCACCCAAGGACCCTTTCCAGTAGCCACAGAGATTTTGGGATTCCTATCAGTATTCAAGAGGAGTCAGGCATCGTCACCTTTTGAAGCAATGAACTCCGCTTGCCTCTCGAGGTGTCAGCGGGATGTGAGGCATTCCGTCAAAATGAGGCAGGGACCTAGGGCTTTCTCTAAGGTCTCCACAGGGGATTCAGACATCCCTTCATGTTGTGAAATGAAAGACGAGCCTGTATTCAAGCCACTGCAAGGAAATACGGCCTCCTTTCAAGTTAGGGCTTCTCGCTGTATATTCCCCTTGAGGCAGCAAACTCGGGGTCCCTCCTACATACCTATTGCTGAGAGAAGCCTCCTCCTGAGGTGCTTCTGGGAAGTTGGCATACGTCTTGAGCCTAAGCCAGGGAATCAGCTCGCATCTCGAGACGATTTGGGGTACACGGAGCATTCCTCGAGTTGCTGTGCTGAAGTTGGTGTTCCTCTAGACTTGGGACAGTGTTCTCGGGGCATCTCTGGAGTTGCCTGAAGGAAATCGAGCCACCGGTCGTGTTGAATGGGGAACGGGGAATGGCTCTGGAGTCAATGCAGGGGAATCGGGCCTCATCTCGAGTTGATTTGGGGCACATGGAGCTGCTTTGCGTTGCTGGGGTGACCTCAGGGTCCGTCTAGAATGGTGACAGTGTTCTTGGGGACTGTCTCGAGATCCATTAAGCAAGTCGAAGCTCCTGACTTGTTTGAATGGGATCACGGAATAGCTCTGCATGCACTGCAGGGGAATGGGGCCTCATCTCGCCTCTAGGGGGAAGTCTCATGGTTTTTCTCGAGTTGCGGCGGGGACCTGGGGTATGTTCTCGACTTACGGCGGGGATGGCCCTTCAAAACACGAGTTTCTTCAGTGACGTCAGGACTCCTGTCTAGTAACGAGGGACACCTCAGGAATCTCTTCGAGGCTTGGCAGGGCCAAAGGGACGCTTCCCGAGGTGAGGCAGGGCACCCAAGGACCCTTTCCAATAGCCACAGGGATTTTGGGATTCCTATCAGTATTCAAGAGGAGTCAGGCATCGTCACCTTTTGAAGCAATGAACTCCGCGTGCCTCTCGAGGTGTCAGCGGGATGTGAGGCATTCCGTCAAAATGAGGCAGGGACCTAGGGCTTTCTCTAAGGTCTCCACAGGGGATTCAGACATCCCTTCATGTTGTGAGATGAAAGACGAGCCTGTATTCAAGCCACTGCAAGGAAATCCGGCCTCCTTTCAAGTTAGGGCTTCTCGCTGTATATTCCCCTTGAGGCAGCAAACTCGGGGTCCCTCCCACATACCTATTGCTGAGAGAAGCCTCCTCCTGAGGTGCTTCTGGGAAGTTGGCATACGTCTTGAGCCTAAGCCAGGGAATCAGCTCGCATCTCGAGACGATTTGGGGTACGCGGAGCATTCCTCGAGTTGCTGTGCTGAAGTTGGTGTTCCTCTAGACTTGGGACAGTGTTCTCGGGGCATCTCTGGAGTTGCCTGAAGGAAGTCGAGCCACCGGTCGTGTTGAATGGGGAACGGGGAATGGCTCTGGAGTCAATGCAGGGGAATCGGGCCTCATCTCGAGTTGATTTGGGGCACATGGAGCTGCTTTGCGTTGCTGGGGTGACCTCAGGGTCCGTCTAGACTGGTGACAGTGTTCTTGGGGACTGTCTCGAGATCCATTAAGCAAGTCGAAGCTCCTGACTTGTTTGAATGGGATCACGGAATAGCTCTGCATGCCCTGCAGGGGAATGGGGCCTCATCTCGCCTCTAGGGGGAAGTCTCATGGTTTTTCTCGAGTTGTGGCGGGGACCTGGGGTATGTTCTCGACTTACGGCGGTGATGGCCCTTCAAAACACGAGTCTCTTCAGTGACGTCAGGACTCCTGTCTAGTAACGAGGGACACCTCAGGAATCTCTTCGAGGCTTGGCAGGGCCAAAGGGACGCTTCTCGAGGTGAGGCAGGGCACCCAAGGACCCTTTCCAGTAGCCACAGGGATTTTGGGATTCCTATCAGTATTCAAGAGGAGTCTGGCATCGTCACCTTTTGAAGCAATGAACTCCGCGTGCCTCTCGAGGTGTCAGCGGGATGTGAGGCATTCCGTCAAAATGAGGCAGGGACCTAGGGCTTTCTCTAAGGTCTCCACAGGGGATTCAGACATCCCTTCATGTTGTGAGATGAAAGACGAGCCTGTATTCAAGCCACTGCAAGGAAATCCGGCCTCCTTTCAAGTTAGGGCTTCTCGCTGTATATTCCCCTTGAGGCAGCAAACTCGGGGTCCCTCCCACATACCTATTGCTGAGAGAAACCTCCTCCTGAGGTGCTTCTGGGAAGTTGGCATACGTCTTGAGCCTAAGCCAGGGAACCAGCTCGCATCTCGAGACGATTTGGGGTACACGGAGCATTCCTCGAGTTGCTGTGCTGAAGTTGGTCTTCCTCTAGACTTGGGACAGTGTTCTCGGGGCATCTCTGGAGTTGCCTGAAGGAAGTCGAGCCACCGGTCGTGTTGAATGGGGAACGGGGAATGGCTCTGGAGTCAATGCAGGGGAATCGGGCCTCATCTCGAGTTGATTTGGGGCACATGGAGCTGCTTTGCGTTGCTGGGGTGACCTCAGGGTCAGTCTAGACTGGTGACAGTGTTCTTGGGGACTGTCTCGAGATCCATTAAGCAAGTCGAAGCTCCTGACTTGTTTGAATGGGATCACGGAATAGCTCTGCATGCACTGCAGGGGAATGGGGCCTCATCTCGCCTCTAGGGGGAAGTCTCATGGTTTTTCTCGAGTTGCGGCGGGGACCTGGGGTATGTTCTCGACTTACGGCGGGGATGGCCCTTCAAAACACGAGTTTCTTCAGTGACGTCAGGACTCCTGTCTAGTAACGAGGGACACCTCAGGAATCTCTTCGAGGCTTGGCAGGGCCAAAGGGACGCTTCCCGGGGTGAGGCAGGGCACCCAAGGACCCTTTCCAGTAGCCACAGGGATTTTGTGATTCTTATCAGTATTCAAGAGGAGTCAGGCATCGTCACCTTTTGAAGCAATGAACTCCGCGTGCCTCTCGAGGTGTCAGCGGGATGTGAGGCATTCCGTCAAAATGAGGCAGGGACCTAGGGCTTTCTCTAAGGTCTCCACAGGGGATTCAGACATCCCTTCATGTTGTGAGATGAAAGACGAGCCTGTATTCAAGCCACTGCAAGGAAATCCGGCCTCCTTTCAAGTTAGGGCTTCTCGTTGTATATTCCCCTTGAGGCAGCAAACTCGGGGTCCCTCCCACATACCTATTGCTGAGAGAAGCCTCCTCCTGAGGTGCTTCTGGGAAGTTGGCATACGTCTTGAGCCTAAGCCAGGGAATCAGCTCGCATCTCGAGACGATTTGGGGTACACGGAGCATTCCTCGAGTTGCTGTGCTGAAGGTGGTGTTCCTCTAGACTTGGGACAGTGTTCTCGGGGCATCTCTGGAGTTGCCTGAAGGAAGTCGAGCCACCGGTCGTGTTGAATGGGGAACGGGGAATGGCTCTGGAGTCAATGCAGGGGAATCGGGCCTCATCTCGAGTTGATTTGGGGCACATGGAGCTGCTTTGCTTTGCTGGAGTGACCTCAGGGTCCCTCTAGACTGGTGACAGTGTTCTTGGGGACTGTCTCGAGATCCATTAAGCAAGTCGAAGCTCCTGACTTGTTTGAATGGGATCACGGAATAGCTCTGCATGCACTGCAGGGGAATGGGGCCTCATCTCGCCTCTAGGGGGAAGTCTCATGGTTTTTCTCGAGTTGCGGCGGGGACCTGGGGTATGTTCTCGACTTACAGCGGGGATGGCCCTTCAAAACACGAGTTTCTTCAGTGACGTCAGGACTCCTGTCTAGTAACGAGGGACACCTCAGGAATCTCTTCGAGGCTTGGCAGGGCAAAAGGGACGCTTCTCGAGGTGAGGCAGGGCACCCAAGGACCCTTTCCAGTAGCCACAGGGATTTTGGGATTCCTATCAGTATTCAAGAGGAGTCAGGCATCGTCACCTTTTGAAGCAATGAACTCCGCGTGCCTCTCGAGGTGTCAGCGGGATGTGAGGCATTCCGTCAAAATGAGGCAGGGACCTAGGGCTTTCTCTAAGGTCTCCACAGGGGATTCAGACATCCCTTCATGTTGTGAGATGAAAGACGAGCCTGTATTCAAGCCACTGCAAGGAAATCCGGCCTCCGTTCAAGTTAGGGCTTCTCGCTGTATATTCCCCTTGAGGCAGCAAACTCGGGGTCCCTCCCACATATCTATTGCTGAGAGAAGCCTCCTCCTGAGGTGCTTCTGGGAAGTTGGCATACGTCTTGAGCCTAAGCCAGGGAATCAGCTCGCATCTCGAGACGATTTGGGGTACACGGAGCATTCCTCGAGTTGCTGTGCTGAAGTTGGTGTTCCTCTAGACTTGGGACAGTGTTCTCGGGGCATCTCTGGAGTTGCCTGAAGGAAGTCGAGCCACCGGTCGTGTTGAATGGGGAACGGGGAATGGCTCTGGAGTCAATGCAGGGGAATCGGGCCTCATCTCGAGTTGATTTGGGGCACATGGAGCTGCTTTGCGTTGCTGGGGTGACCTCAGGGTCCGTCTAGACTGGTGACAGTGTTCTTGGGGACTGTCTCGAGATCCATTAAGCAAGTCGAAGCTCCTGACTTGCTTGAATGGGATCACGGAATAGCTCTGCATGCACTGCAGGGGAATGGGGCCTCATCTCGCCTCTAGGGGGAAGTCTCATGGTTTTTCTCAAGTTGCGGCGGGGACCTGGGGTATGTTCTCGACTTACGGCGGGGATGGCCCTTCAAAACACGAGTCTCTTCAGTGACGTCAGGACTCCTGTCTAGTAACGAGGGACACCTCAGGAATCTCTTCGAGGCTTGGCAGGGCCAAAGGGACGCTTCCCGAGGTGAGGCAGGGCACCCAAGGACCCTTTCCAGTAGCCACAGAGATTTTGGGATTCTTATCAGTATTCAAGAGGAGTCAGGCATCGTCACCTTTTGAAGCAATGAACTCCGCTTGCCTCTCGAGGTGTCAGCGGGATGTGAGGCATTCCGTCAAAATGAGGCAGGGACCTAGGGCTTTCTCTAAGGTCTCCACAGGGGATTCAGACATCCCTTCATGTTGTGAAATGAAAGACGAGCCTGTATTCAAGCCACTGCAAGGAAATCCGGCCTCCTTTCAAGTTAGGGCTTCTCGCTGTATATTCCCCTTGAGGCAGCAAACTCGGGGTCCCTCCCACATACCTATTGCTGAGAGAAGCCTCCTCCTGAGGTGCTTCTGGGAAGTTGGCATACGTCTTGAGCCTAAGCCAGGGAATCAGCTCGCATCTCGAGACGATTTGGGGTACACGGAGCATTCCTCGAGTTGCTGTGCTGAAGTTGGTGTTCCTCTAGACTTGGGACAGTGTTCTCGGGGCATCTCTGGAGTTGCCTGAAGGAAATCGAGCCACCGGTCGTGTTGAATGGGGAACGGGGAATGGCTCTGGAGTCAATGCAGGGGAATCGGGCCTCATCTCGAGTTGATTTGGGGCACATGGAGCTGCTTTGCGTTGCTGGGGTGACCTCAGGGTCCGTCTAGAATGGTGACAGTGTTCTTGGGGACTGTCTCGAGATCCATTAAGCAAGTCGAAGCTCCTGACTTGTTTGAATGGGATCACGGAATAGCTCTGCATGCACTGCAGGGGAATGGGGCCTCATCTCGCCTCTAGGGGGAAGTCTCATGGTTTTTCTCGAGTTGCGGCGGGGACCTGGGGTATGTTCTCGACTTACGGCGGGGATGGCCCTTCAAAACACGAGTTTCTTCAGTGACGTCAGGACTCCTGTCTAGTAACGAGGGACACCTCAGGAATCTCTTCGAGGCTTGGCAGGGCCAAAGGGACGCTTCCCGAGGTGAGGCAGGGCACCCAAGGACCCTTTCCAATAGCCACAGGGATTTTGGGATTCCTATCAGTATTCAAGAGGAGTCAGGCATCGTCACCTTTTGAAGCAATGAACTCCGCGTGCCTCTCGAGGTGTCAGCGGGATGTGAGGCATTCCGTCAAAATGAGGCAGGGACCTAGGGCTTTCTCTAAGGTCTCCACAGGGGATTCAGACATCCCTTCATGTTGTGAGATGAAAGACGAGCCTGTATTCAAGCCACTGCAAGGAAATCCGGCCTCCTTTCAAGTTAGGGCTTCTCGCTGTATATTCCCCTTGAGGCAGCAAACTCGGGGTCCCTCCCACATACCTATTGCTGAGAGAAGCCTCCTCCTGAGGTGCTTCTGGGAAGTTGGCATACGTCTTGAGCCTAAGCCAGGGAATCAGCTCGCATCTCGAGACGATTTGGGGTACACGGAGCATTCCTCGAGTTGCTGTGCTGAAGTTGGTGTTCCTCTAGACTTGGGACAGTGTTCTCGGGGCATCTCTGGAGTTGCCTGAAGGAAGTCGAGCCACCGGTCGTGTTGAATGGGGAACGGGGAATGGCTCTGGAGTCAATGCAGGGGAATCGGGCCTCATCTCGAGTTGATTTGGGGCACATGGAGCTGCTTTGCGTTGCTGGGGTGACCTCAGGGTCCGTCTAGACTGGTGACAGTGTTCTTGGGGACTGTCTCGAGATCCATTAAGCAAGTCGAAGCTCCTGACTTGCTTGAATGGGATCACGGAATAGCTCTGCATGCACTGCAGGGGAATGGGGCCTCATCTCGCCTCTAGGGGGAAGTCTCATGGTTTTTCTCGAGTTGCGGCGGGGACCTGGGGTATGTTCTCGACTTACGGCGGGGATGGCCCTTCAAAACACGAGTCTCTTCAGTGACGTCAGGACTCCTGTCTAGTAACGAGGGACACCTCAGGAATCTCTTCGAGGCTTGGCAGGGCCAAAGGGACGCTTCCCGAGGTGAGGCAGGGCACCCAAGGACCCTTTCCAGTAGCCACAGAGATTTTGGGATTCCTATCAGTATTCAAGAGGAGTCAGGCATCGTCACCTTTTGAAGCAATGAACTCCGCTTGCCTCTCGAGGTGTCAGCGGGATGTGAGGCATTCCGTCAAAATGAGGCAGGGACCTAGGGCTTTCTCTAAGGTCTCCACAGGGGATTCAGACATCCCTTCATGTTGTGAGATGAAAGACGAGCCTGTATTCAAGCCACTGCAAGGAAATCCGGCCTCCTTTCAAGTTAGGGCTTCTCGCTGTATATTCCCCTTGAGGCAGCAAACTCGGGGTCCCTCCCACATACCTATTGCTGAGAGAAGCCTCCTCCTGAGGTGCTTCTGGGAAGTTGGCATACGTCTTGAGCCTAAGCCAGGGAATCAGCTCGCATCTCGAGACGATTTGGGGTACGCGGAGCATTTCTCGAGTTGCTGTGCTGAAGTTGGTGTTCCTCTAGACTTGGGACAGTGTTCTCGGGGCATCTCTGGAGTTGCCTGAAGGAAGTCGAGCCACCGGTCGTGTTGAATGGGGAACGGGGAATGGCTCTGGAGTCAATGCAGGGGAATCGGGCCTCATCTCGAGTTGATTTGGGGCACATGGAGCTGCTTTGCGTTGCTGGGGTGACCTCAGGGTCAGTCTAGACTGGTGACAGTGTTCTTGGGGACTGTCTCGAGATCCATTAAGCAAGTCGAAGCTCCTGACTTGTTTGAATGGGATCACGGAATAGCTCTGCATGCCCTGCAGGGGAATGGGGCCTCATCTCGCCTCTAGGGGGAAGTCTCATGGTTTTTCTCGAGTTGCGGCAGGGACCTGCGGTATGTTCTCGACTTACGGCGGGGATGGCCCTTCAAAACACGAGTTTCTTCAGTGACGTCAGGACTCCTGTCTAGTAACGAGGGACACCTCAGGAATCTCTTAGAGGCTTGGCAGGGCCAAAGGGACGCTTCTCGAGGTGAGGCAGGGCACCCAAGGACCCTTTCCAGTAGCCACAGGGATTTTGGGATTCCTATCAGTATTCAAGAGGAGTCAGGCATCGTCACCTTTTGAAGCAATGAACTCCGCGTGCCTCTCGAGGTGTCAGCGGGATGTGAGGCATTCCGTCAAAATGAGGCAGGGACCTAGGGCTTTCTCTAAGGTCTCCACAGGGGATTCAGACATCCCTTCATGTTGTGAGATGAAAGACGAGCCTGTATTCAAGCCACTGCAAGGAAATCCGGCCTCCTTTCAAGTTAGGGCTTCTCGCTGTATATTCCCCTTGAGGCAGCAAACTCGGGGTCCCTCCCACATACCTATTGTTGAGAGAAGCCTCCTCCTGAGGTGCTTCTGGGAAGTTGGCATACGTCTTGAGCCTAAGCCAGGGAATCAGCTCGCATCTCGAGACGATTTGGGGTACACGGAGCATTCCTCGAGTTGCTGTGCTGAAGTTGGTGTTCCTCTAGACTTGGGACAGTGTTCTCGGGGCATCTCTGGAGTTGCCTGAAGGAAGTCGAGCCACCGGTCGTGTTGAATGGGGAACGGGGAATGGCTCTGGAGTCAATGCAGGGGAATCGGGCCTCATCTCGAGTTGATTTGGGGCACATGGAGCTGCTTTGCGTTGCTGGGGTGACCTCAGGGTCCGTCTAGACTGGTGACAGTGTTCTTGGGGACTGTCTCGAGATCCATTAAGCAAGTCGAAGCTCCTGACTTGCTTGAATGGGATCACGGAATAGCTCTGCATGCACTGCAGGGGAATGGGGCCTCATCTCGCCTCTAGGGGGAAGTCTCATGGTTTTTCTCGAGTTGCGGCGGGGACCTGGGGTATGTTCTCGACTTACGGCGGGGATGGCCCTTCAAAACACGAGTCTCTTCAGTGACGTCAGGACTCCTGTCTAGTAACGAGGGACACCTCAGGAATCTCTTCGAGGCTTGGCAGGGCCAAAGGGACGCTTCCCGAGGTGAGGCAGGGCACCCAAGGACCCTTTCCAGTAGCCACAGAGATTTTGGGATTCCTATCAGTATTCAAGAGGAGTCAGGCATCGTCACCTTTTGAAGCAATGAACTCCGCTTGCCTCTCGAGGTGTCAGCGGGATGTGAGGCATTCCGTCAAAATGAGGCAGGGACCTAGGGCTTTCTCTAAGGTCTCCACAGGGGATTCAGACATCCCTTCATGTTGTGAAATGAAAGACGAGCCTGTATTCAAGCCACTGCAAGGAAATACGGCCTCCTTTCAAGTTAGGGCTTCTCGCTGTATATTGCCCTTGAGGCAGCAAACTCGGGGTCCCTCCCACATACCTATTGCTGAGAGAAGCCTCCTCCTGAGGTGCTTCTGGGAAGTTGGCATACGTCTTGAGCCTAAGCCAGGGAATCAGCTCGCATCTCGAGACGATTTGGGGTACACGGAGCATTCCTCGAGTTGCTGTGCTGAAGTTGGTGTTCCTCTAGACTTGGGACAGTGTTCTCGGGGCATCTCTGGAGTTGCCTGAAGGAAATCGAGCCACCGGTCGTGTTGAATGGGGAACGGGGAATGGCTCTGGAGTCAATGCAGGGGAATCGGGCCTCATCTCGAGTTGATTTGGGGCACATGGAGCTGCTTTGCGTTGCTGGGGTGACCTCAGGGTCCGTCTAGAATGGTGACAGTGTTCTTGGGGACTGTCTCGAGATCCATTAAGCAAGTCGAAGCTCCTGACTTGTTTGAATGGGATCACGGAATAGCTCTGCATGCACTGCAGGGGAATGGGGCCTCATCTCGCCTCTAGGGGGAAGTCTCATGGTTTTTCTCGAGTTGCGGCGGGGACCTGGGGTATGTTCTCGACTTACGGCGGGGATGGCCCTTCAAAACACGAGTTTCTTCAGTGACGTCAGGACTCCTGTCTAGTAACGAGGGACACCTCAGGAATCTCTTCGAGGCTTGGCAGGGCCAAAGGGACGCTTCCCGAGGTGAGGCAGGGCACCCAAGGACCCTTTCCAATAGCCACAGGGATTTTGGGATTCCTATCAGTATTCAAGAGGAGTCAGGCATCGTCACCTTTTGAAGCAATGAACTCCGCGTGCCTCTCGAGGTGTCAGCGGGATGTGAGGCATTCCGTCAAAATGAGGCAGGGACCTAGGGCTTTCTCTAAGGTCTCCACAGGGGATTCAGACATCCCTTCATGTTGTGAGATGAAAGACGAGCCTGTATTCAAGCCACTGCAAGGAAATCCGGCCTCCTTTCAAGTTAGGGCTTCTCGCTGTATATTCCCCTTGAGGCAGCAAACTCGGGGTCCCTCCCACATACCTATTGCTGAGAGAAGCCTCCTCCTGAGGTGCTTCTGGGAAGTTGGCATACGTCTTGAGCCTAAGCCAGGGAATCAGCTCGCATCTCGAGACGATTTGGGGTACGCGGAGCATTCCTCGAGTTGCTGTGCTGAAGTTGGTGTTCCTCTAGACTTGGGACAGTGTTCTCGGGGCATCTCTGGAGTTGCCTGAAGGAAGTCGAGCCACCGGTCGTGTTGAATGGGGAACGGGGAATGGCTCTGGAGTCAATGCAGGGGAATCGGGCCTCATCTCGAGTTGATTTGGGGCACATGGAGCTGCTTTGCGTTGCTGGGGTGACCTCAGGGTCCGTCTAGACTGGTGACAGTGTTCTTGGGGACTGTCTCGAGATCCATTAAGCAAGTCGAAGCTCCTGACTTGTTTGAATGGGATCACGGAATAGCTCTGCATGCCCTGCAGGGGAATGGGGCCTCATCTCGCCTCTAGGGGGAAGTCTCATGGTTTTTCTCGAGTTGTGGCGGGGACCTGGGGTATGTTCTCGACTTACGGCGGTGATGGCCCTTCAAAACACGAGTCTCTTCAGTGACGTCAGGACTCCTGTCTAGTAACGAGGGACACCTCAGGAATCTCTTCGAGGCTTGGCAGGGCCAAAGGGACGCTTCTCGAGGTGAGGCAGGGCACCCAAGGACCCTTTCCAGTAGCCACAGGGATTTTGGGATTCCTATCAGTATTCAAGAGGAGTCTGGCATCGTCACCTTTTGAAGCAATGAACTCCGCGTGCCTCTCGAGGTGTCAGCGGGATGTGAGGCATTCCGTCAAAATGAGGCAGGGACCTAGGTCTTTCTCTAAGGTCTCCACAGGGGATTCAGACATCCCTTCATGTTGTGAGATGAAAGACGAGCCTGTATTCAAGCCACTGCAAGGAAATCCGGCCTCCTTTCAAGTTAGGGCTTCTCGCTGTATATTCCCCTTGAGGCAGCAAACTCGGGGTCCCTCCCACATACCTATTGCTGAGAGAAACCTCCTCCTGAGGTGCTTCTGGGAAGTTGGCATACGTCTTGAGCCTAAGCCAGGGAACCAGCTCGCATCTCGAGACGATTTGGGGTACACGGAGCATTCCTCGAGTTGCTGTGCTGAAGTTGGTCTTCCTCTAGACTTGGGACAGTGTTCTCGGGGCATCTCTGGAGTTGCCTGAAGGAAGTCGAGCCACCGGTCGTGTTGAATGGGGAACGGGGAATGGCTCTGGAGTCAATGCAGGGGAATCGGGCCTCATCTCGAGTTGATTTGGGGCACATGGAGCTGCTTTGCGTTGCTGGGGTGACCTCAGGGTCAGTCTAGACTGGTGACAGTGTTCTTGGGGACTGTCTCGAGATCCATTAAGCAAGTCGAAGCTCCTGACTTGTTTGAATGGGATCACGGAATAGCTCTGCATGCACTGCAGGGGAATGGGGCCTCATCTCGCCTCTAGGGGGAAGTCTCATGGTTTTTCTCGAGTTGCGGCGGGGACCTGGGGTATGTTCTCGACTTACGGCGGGGATGGCCCTTCAAAACACGAGTTTCTTCAGTGACGTCAGGACTCCTGTCTAGTAACGAGGGACACCTCAGGAATCTCTTCGAGGCTTGGCAGGGCCAAAGGGACGCTTCTCGAGGTGAGGCAGGGCACCCAAGGACCCTTTCCAGTAGCCACAGGGATTTTGGGATTCCTATCAGTATTCAAGAGGAGTCAGGCATCGTCACCTTTTGAAGCAATGAACTCCGCGTGCCTCTCGAGGTGTCAGCGGGATGTGAGGCATTCCGTCAAAATGAGGCAGGGACCTAGGGCTTTCTCTAAGGTCTCCACAGGGGATTCAGACATCCCTTCATGTTGTGAGATGAAAGACGAGCCTGTATTCAAGCCACTGCAAGGAAATCCGGCCTCCTTTCAAGTTAGGGCTTCTCGCTGTATATTCCCCTTGAGGCAGCAAACTCGGGGTCCCTCCCACATACCTATTGTTGAGAGAAGCCTCCTCCTGAGGTGCTTCTGGGAAGTTGGCATACGTCTTGAGCCTAAGCCAGGGAATCAGCTCGCATCTCGAGACGATTTGGGGTACACGGAGCATTCCTCGAGTTGCTGTGCTGAAGTTGGTGTTCCTCTAGACTTGGGACAGTGTTCTCGGGGCATCTCTGGAGTTGCCTGAAGGAAGTCGAGCCACCGGTCATGTTGAATGGGGAACGGGGAATGGCTCTGGAGTCAATGCAGGGGAATCGGGCCTCATCTCGAGTTGATTTGGGGCACATGGAGCTGCTTTAGGTGCTGGGGTGACCTCAGGGTCCGTCTAGACTGGTGACAGTGTTCTTGGGGACTGTCTCGAGATCCATTAAGCAAGTCGAAGCTCCTGACTTGTTTGAATGGGATCACGGAATAGCTCTGCATGCCCTGCAGGGGAATGGGGCCTCATCTCGCCTCTAGGGGGAAGTCTCATGGTTTTTCTCGAGTTGCGGCGGGGACCTGGGGTATGTTCTCGACTTACGGCGGGGATGGCCCTTCAAAACACGAGTCTCTTCAGTGACGTCAGGACTCCTGTCTAGTAACGAGGGACACCTCAGGAATCTCTTCGAGGCTTGGCAGGGCAAAAGGGACGCTTCTCGAGGTGAGGCAGGGCACCCAAGGACCCTTTCCAGTAGCCACAGGGATTTTGGGATTCCTATCAGTATTCAAGAGGAGTCTGGCATCGTCACCTTTTGAAGCAATGAACTCCGCGTGCCTCTCGAGGTGTCAGCGGGATGTGAGGCATTCCGTCAAAATGAGGCAGGGACCTAGGGCTTTCTCTAAGGTCTCCACAGGGGATTCAGACATCCCTTCATGTTGTGAGATGAAAGACGAGCCTGTATTCAAGCCACTGCAAGGAAATCCGGCCTCCTTTCAAGTTAGGGCTTCTCGCTGTATATTCCCCTTGAGGCAGCAAACTCGGGGTCCCTCCCACATACCTATTGCTGAGAGAAGCCTCCTCCTGAGGTGCTTCTGGGAAGTTGGCATACGTCTTGAGCCTAAGCCAGGGAATCAGCTCGCATCTCGAGACGATTTGGGGTACACGGAGCATTCCTCGAGTTGCTGTGCTGAAGTTGGTGTTCCTCTAGACTTGGGACAGTGTTCTCGGGGCATCTCTGGAGTTGCCTGAAGGAAGTCAAGCCACTGGTCGTGTTGAATGGGGAACGGGGAATGGCTCTGGAGTCAATGCAGGGGAATCGGGCCTCATCTCGAGTTGATTTGGGGCACATGGAGCTGCTTTGCGTTGCTGGGGTGACCTCAGGGTCCGTCTAGACTGGTGACAGTGTTCTTGGGGACTGTCTCGAGATCCATTAAACAAGTCGAAGCTCCTGACTTGTTTGAATGGGATCACGGAATAGCTCTGCATGCACTGCAGGGGAATGGGGCCTCATCTCGCCTCTAGGGGGAAGTCTCATGGTTTTTCTCGAGTTGCGGCGGGGACCTGGGGTATGTTCTCGACTTACGGCGGGGATGGCCCTTCAAAACACGAGTTTCTTCAGTGACGTCAGGACTCCTGTCTAGTAACGAGGGACACCTCAGGAATCTCTTCGAGGCTTGGCAGGGCCAAAGGGACGCTTCCCGGGGTGAGGCAGGGCACCCAAGGACCCTTTCCAGTAGCCACAGGGATTTTGTGATTCCTATCAGTATTCAAGAGGAGTCAGGCATCGTCACCTTTTGAAGCAATGAACTCCGCGTGCCTCTCGAGGTGTCAGCGGGATGTGAGGCATTCCGTCAAAATGAGGCAGGGACCTAGGGCTTTCTCTAAGGTCTCCACAGGGGATTCAGACATCCCTTCATGTTGTGAGATGAAAGACGAGCCTGTATTCAAGCCACTGCAAGGAAATCCGGCCTCCTTTCAAGTTAGGGCTTCTCGCTGTATATTCCCCTTGAGGCAGCAAACTCGGGGTCCCTCCCACATACCTATTGCTGAGAGAAGCCTCCTCCTGAGGTGCTTCTGGGAAGTTGGCATACGTCTTGAGCCTAAGCCAGGGAATCAGCTCGCATCTCGAGACGATTTGGGGTACACGGAGCATTCCTCGAGTTGCTGTGCTGAAGGTGGTGTTCCTCTAGACTTGGGACAGTGTTCTCGGGGCATCTCTGGAGTTGCCTGAAGGAAGTCGAGCCACCGGTCGTGTTGAATGGGGAACGGGGAATGGCTCTGGAGTCAATGCAGGGGAATCGGGCCTCATCTCGAGTTGATTTGGGGCACATGGAGCTGCTTTGCTTTGCTGGAGTGACCTCAGGGTCCCTCTAGACTGGTGACAGTGTTCTTGGGGACTGTCTCGAGATCCATTAAGCAAGTCGAAGCTCCTGACTTGTTTGAATGGGATCACGGAATAGCTCTGCATGCACTGCAGGGGAATGGGGCCTCATCTCGCCTCTAGGGGGAAGTCTCATGGTTTTTCTCGAGTTGCGGCGGGGACCTGGGGTATGTTCTCGACTTACAGCGGGGATGGCCCTTCAAAACACGAGTTTCTTCAGTGACGTCAGGACTCCTGTCTAGTAACGAGGGACACCTCAGGAATCTCTTCGAGGCTTGGCAGGGCAAAAGGGACGCTTCTCGAGGTGAGGCAGGGCACCTAAGGACCCTTTCCAGTAGCCACAGGGATTTTGGGATTCCTATCAGTATTCAAGAGGAGTCAGGCATCGTCACCTTTTGAAGCAATGAACTCCGCGTGCCTCTCGAGGTGTCAGCGGGATGTGAGGCATTCCGTCAAAATGAGGCAGGGACCTAGGGCTTTCTCTAAGGTCTCCACAGGGGATTCAGACATCCCTTCATGTTGTGAGATGAAAGACGAGCCTGTATTCAAGCCACTGCAAGGAAATCCGGCCTCCTTTCAAGTTAGGGCTTCTCGCTGTATATTCCCCTTGAGGCAGCAAACTCGGGGTCCCTCCCACATATCTATTGCTGAGAGAAGCCTCCTCCTGAGGTGCTTCTGGGAAGTTGGCATACGTCTTGAGCCTAAGCCAGGGAATCAGCTCGCATCTCGAGACGATTTGGGGTACACGGAGCATTCCTCGAGTTGCTGTGCTGAAGTTGGTGTTCCTCTAGACTTGGGACAGTGTTCTCGGGGCATCTCTGGAGTTGCCTGAAGGAAGTCGAGCCACCGGTCGTGTTGAATGGGGAACGGGGAATGGCTCTGGAGTCAATGCAGGGGAATCGGGCCTCATCTCGAGTTGATTTGGGGCACATGGAGCTGCTTTGCGTTGCTGGGGTGACCTCAGGGTCCGTCTAGACTGGTGACAGTGTTCTTGGGGACTGTCTCGAGATCCATTAAGCAAGTCGAAGCTCCTGACTTGCTTGAATGGGATCACGGAATAGCTCTGCATGCACTGCAGGGGAATGGGGCCTCATCTCGCCTCTAGGGGGAAGTCTCATGGTTTTTCTCAAGTTGCGGCGGGGACCTGGGGTATGTTCTCGACTTACGGCGGGGATGGCCCTTCAAAACACGAGTCTCTTCAGTGACGTCAGGACTCCTGTCTAGTAACGAGGGACACCTCAGGAATCTCTTCGAGGCTTGGCAGGGCCAAAGGGACGCTTCCCGAGGTGAGGCAGGGCACCCAAGGACCCTTTCCAGTAGCCACAGAGATTTTGGGATTCTTATCAGTATTCAAGAGGAGTCAGGCATCGTCACCTTTTGAAGCAATGAACTCCGCTTGCCTCTCGAGGTGTCAGCGGGATGTGAGGCATTCCGTCAAAATGAGGCAGGGACCTAGGGCTTTCTCTAAGGTCTCCACAGGGGATTCAGACATCCCTTCATGTTGTGAAATGAAAGACGAGCCTGTATTCAAGCCACTGCAAGGAAATCCGGCCTCCTTTCAAGTTAGGGCTTCTCGCTGTATATTCCCCTTGAGGCAGCAAACTCGGGGTCCCTCCCACATACCTATTGCTGAGAGAAGCCTCCTCCTGAGGTGCTTCTGGGAAGTTGGCATACGTCTTGAGCCTAAGCCAGGGAATCAGCTCGCATCTCGAGACGATTTGGGGTACACGGAGCATTCCTCGAGTTGCTGTGCTGAAGTTGGTGTTCCTCTAGACTTGGGACAGTGTTCTCGGGGCATCTCTGGAGTTGCCTGAAGGAAATCGAGCCACCGGTCGTGTTGAATGGGGAACGGGGAATGGCTCTGGAGTCAATGCAGGGGAATCGGGCCTCATCTCGAGTTGATTTGGGGCACATGGAGCTGCTTTGCGTTGCTGGGGTGACCTCAGGGTCCGTCTAGAATGGTGACAGTGTTCTTGGGGACTGTCTCGAGATCCATTAAGCAAGTCGAAGCTCCTGACTTGTTTGAATGGGATCACGGAATAGCTCTGCATGCACTGCAGGGGAATGGGGCCTCATCTCGCCTCTAGGGGGAAGTCTCATGGTTTTTCTCGAGTTGCGGCGGGGACCTGGGGTATGTTCTCGACTTACGGCGGGGATGGCCCTTCAAAACACGAGTTTCTTCAGTGACGTCAGGACTCCTGTCTAGTAACGAGGGACACCTCAGGAATCTCTTCGAGGCTTGGCAGGGCCAAAGGGACGCTTCCCGAGGTGAGGCAGGGCACCCAAGGACCCTTTCCAATAGCCACAGGGATTTTGGGATTCCTATCAGTATTCAAGAGGAGTCAGGCATCGTCACCTTTTGAAGCAATGAACTCCGCGTGCCTCTCGAGGTGTCAGCGGGATGTGAGGCATTCCGTCAAAATGAGGCAGGGACCTAGGGCTTTCTCTAAGGTCTCCACAGGGGATTCAGACATCCCTTCATGTTGTGAGATGAAAGACGAGCCTGTATTCAAGCCACTGCAAGGAAATCCGGCCTCCTTTCAAGTTAGGGCTTCTCGCTGTATATTCCCCTTGAGGCAGCAAACTCGGGGTCCCTCCCACATACCTATTGTTGAGAGAAGCCTCCTCCTGAGGTGCTTCTGGGAAGTTGGCATACGTCTTGAGCCTAAGCCAGGGAATCAGCTCGCATCTCGAGACGATTTGGGGTACACGGAGCATTCCTCGAGTTGCTGTGCTGAAGTTGGTGTTCCTCTAGACTTGGGACAGTGTTCTCGGGGCATCTCTGGAGTTGCCTGAAGGAAGTCGAGCCACCGGTCGTGTTGAATGGGGAACGGGGAATGGCTCTGGAGTCAATGCAGGGGAATCGGGCCTCATCTCGAGTTGATTTGGGGCACATGGAGCTGCTTTGCGTTGCTGGGGTGACCTCAGGGTCCGTCTAGACTGGTGACAGTGTTCTTGGGGACTGTCTCGAGATCCATTAAGCAAGTCGAAGCTCCTGACTTGCTTGAATGGGATCACGGAATAGCTCTGCATGCACTGCAGGGGAATGGGGCCTCATCTCGCCTCTAGGGGGAAGTCTCATGGTTTTTCTCGAGTTGCGGCGGGGACCTGGGGTATGTTCTCGACTTACGGCGGGGATGGCCCTTCAAAACACGAGTCTCTTCAGTGACGTCAGGACTCCTGTCTAGTAACGAGGGACACCTCAGGAATCTCTTCGAGGCTTGGCAGGGCCAAAGGGACGCTTCCCGAGGTGAGGCAGGGCACCCAAGGACCCTTTCCAGTAGCCACAGAGATTTTGGGATTCCTATCAGTATTCAAGAGGAGTCAGGCATCGTCACCTTTTGAAGCAATGAACTCCGCTTGCCTCTCGAGGTGTCGGCGGGATGTGAGGCATTCCGTCAAAATGAGGCAGGGACCTAGGGCTTTCTCTAAGGTCTCCACAGGGGATTCAGACATCCCTTCATGTTGTGAGATGAAAGACGAGCCTGTATTCAAGCCACTGCAAGGAAATCCGGCCTCCTTTCAAGTTAGGGCTTCTCGCTGTATATTCCCCTTGAGGCAGCAAACTCGGGGTCCCTCCCACATACCTATTGCTGAGAGAAGCCTCCTCCTGAGGTGCTTCTGGGAAGTTGGCATACGTCTTGAGCCTAAGCCAGGGAATCAGCTCGCATCTCGAGACGATTTGGGGTACGCGGAGCATTCCTCGAGTTGCTGTGCTGAAGTTGGTGTTCCTCTAGACTTGGGACAGTGTTCTCGGGGCATCTCTGGAGTTGCCTGAAGGAAGTCGAGCCACCGGTCGTGTTGAATGGGGAACGGGGAATGGCTCTGGAGTCAATGCAGGGGAATCGGGCCTCATCTCGAGTTGATTTGGGGCACATGGAGCTGCTTTGCGTTGCTGGGGTGACCTCAGGGTCAGTCTAGACTGGTGACAGTGTTCTTGGTGACTGTCTCGAGATCCATTAAGCAAGTCGAAGCTCCTGACTTGTTTGAATGGGATCACGGAATAGCTCTGCATGCCCTGCAGGGCAATGGGGCCTCATCTCGCCTCTAGGGGGAAGTCTCATGGTTTTTCTCAAGTTGCGGCGGGGACCTGGGGTATGTTCTCGACTTACGGCGGGGATGGCCCTTCAAAACACGAGTTTCTTCAGTGACGTCAGGACTCCTGTCTAGTAACGAGGGACACCTCAGGAATCTCTTCGAGGCTTGGCAGGGCCAAAGGGACGCTTCCCGAGGTGAGGCAGGGCACCCAAGGACCCTTTCCAATAGCCACAGGGATTTTGGGATTCCTATCAGTATTCAAGAGGAGTCAGGCATCGTCACCTTTTGAAGCAATGAACTCCGCGTGCCTCTCGAGGTGTCAGCGGGATGTGAGGCATTCCGTCAAAATGAGGCAGGGACCTAGGGCTTTCTCTAAGGTCTCCACAGGGGATTCAGACATCCCTTCATGTTGTGAGATGAAAGACGAGCCTGTATTCAAGCCACTGCAAGGAAATCCGGCCTCCTTTCAAGTTAGGGCTTCTCGCTGTATATTCCCCTTGAGGCAGCAAACTCGGGGTCCCTCCCACATACCTATTGCTGAGAGAAGCCTCCTCCTGAGGTGCTTCTGGGAAGTTGGCATACGTCTTGAGCCTAAGCCAGGGAATCAGCTCGCATCTCGAGACGATTTGGGGTACACGGAGCATTCCTCGAGTTGCTGTGCTGAAGTTGGTGTTCCTCTAGACTTGGGACAGTGTTCTCGGGGCATCTCTGGAGTTGCCTGAAGGAAGTCGAGCCACCGGTCGTGTTGAATGGGGAACGGGGAATGGCTCTGGAGTCAATGCAGGGGAATCGGGCCTCATCTCGAGTTGATTTGGGGCACATGGAGCTGCTTTGCGTTGCTGGGGTGACCTCAGGGTCCGTCTAGACTGGTGACAGTGTTCTTGGGGACTGTCTCGAGATCCATTAAGCAAGTCGAAGCTCCTGACTTGCTTGAATGGGATCACGGAATAGCTCTGCATGCACTGCAGGGGAATGGGGCCTCATCTCGCCTCTAGGGGGAAGTCTCATGGTTTTTCTCGAGTTGCGGCGGGGACCTGGGGTATGTTCTCGACTTACGGCGGGGATGGCCCTTCAAAACACGAGTCTCTTCAGTGACGTCAGGACTCCTGTCTAGTAACGAGGGACACCTCAGGAATCTCTTCGAGGCTTGGCAGGGCCAAAGGGACGCTTCCCGAGGTGAGGCAGGGCACCCAAGGACCCTTTCCAGTAGCCACAGAGATTTTGGGATTCCTATCAGTATTCAAGAGGAGTCAGGCATCGTCACCTTTTGAAGCAATGAACTCCGCTTGCCTCTCGAGGTGTCGGCGGGATGTGAGGCATTCCGTCAAAATGAGGCAGGGACCTAGGGCTTTCTCTAAGGTCTCCACAGGGGATTCAGACATCCCTTCATGTTGTGAGATGAAAGACGAGCCTGTATTCAAGCCACTGCAAGGAAATCCGGCCTCCTTTCAAGTTAGGGCTTCTCGCTGTATATTCCCCTTGAGGCAGCAAACTCGGGGTCCCTCCCACATACCTATTGCTGAGAGAAGCCTCCTCCTGAGGTGCTTCTGGGAAGTTGGCATACGTCTTGAGCCTAAGCCAGGGAATCAGCTCGCATCTCGAGACGATTTGGGGTACGCGGAGCATTCCTCGAGTTGCTGTGCTGAAGTTGGTGTTCCTCTAGACTTGGGACAGTGTTCTCGGGGCATCTCTGGAGTTGCCTGAAGGAAGTCGAGCCACCGGTCGTGTTGAATGGGGAACGGGGAATGGCTCTGGAGTCAATGCAGGGGAATCGGGCCTCATCTCGAGTTGATTTGGGGCACATGGAGCTGCTTTGCGTTGCTGGGGTGACCTCAGGGTCAGTCTAGACTGGTGACAGTGTTCTTGGTGACTGTCTCGAGATCCATTAAGCAAGTCGAAGCTCCTGACTTGTTTGAATGGGATCACGGAATAGCTCTGCATGCCCTGCAGGGGAATGGGGCCTCATCTCGCCTCTAGGGGGAAGTCTCATGGTTTTTCTCGAGTTGCGGCGGGGACCTGCGGTATGTTCTCGACTTACAGCGGGGATGGCCCTTCAAAACACGAGTTTCTTCAGTGACGTCAGGACTCCTGTCTAGTAACGAGGGACACCTCAGGAATCTCTTAGAGGCTTGGCAGGGCCAAAGGGACGCTTCTCGAGGTGAGGCAGGGCACCCAAGGACCCTTTCCAGTAGCCACAGGGATTTTGGGATTCCTATCAGTATTCAAGAGGAGTCAGGCATCGTCACCTTTTGAAGCAATGAACTCCGCGTGCCTCTCGAGGTGTCAGCGGGATGTGAGGCATTCCGTCAAAATGAGGCAGGGACCTAGGGCTTTCTCTAAGGTCTCCACAGGGGATTCAGACATCCCTTCATGTTGTGAGATGAAAGACGAGCCTGTATTCAAGCCACTGCAAGGAAATCCGGCCTCCTTTCAAGTTAGGGCTTCTCGCTGTATATTCCCCTTGAGGCAGCAAACTCGGGGTCCCTCCCACATACCTATTGTTGAGAGAAGCCTCCTCCTGAGGTGCTTCTGGGAAGTTGGCATACGTCTTGAGCCTAAGCCAGGGAATCAGCTCGCATCTCGAGACGATTTGGGGTACACGGAGCATTCCTCGAGTTGCTGTGCTGAAGTTGGTGTTCCTCTAGACTTGGGACAGTGTTCTCGGGGCATCTCTGGAGTTGCCTGAAGGAAGTCGAGCCACCGGTCGTGTTGAATGGGGAACGGGGAATGGCTCTGGAGTCAATGCAGGGGAATCGGGCCTCATCTCGAGTTGATTTGGGGCACATGGAGCTGCTTTGCGTTGCTGGGGTGACCTCAGGGTCCGTCTAGACTGGTGACAGTGTTCTTGGGGACTCTCTCGAGATCCATTAAGCAAGTCGAAGCTCCTGACTTGCTTGAATGGGATCACGGAATAGCTCTGCATGCACTGCAGGGGAATGGGGCCTCATCTCGCCTCTAGGGGGAAGTCTCATGGTTTTTCTCGAGTTGCGGCGGGGACCTGGGGTATGTTCTCGACTTACGGCGGGGATGGCCCTTCAAAACACGAGTCTCTTCAGTGACGTCAGGACTCCTGTCTAGTAACGAGGGACACCTCAGGAATCTCTTCGAGGCTTGGCAGGGCCAAAGGGACGCTTCCCGAGGTGAGGCAGGGCACCCAAGGACCCTTTCCAGTAGCCACAGAGATTTTGGGATTCCTATCAGTATTCAAGAGGAGTCAGGCATCGTCACCTTTTGAAGCAATGAACTCCGCTTGCCTCTCGAGGTGTCGGCGGGATGTGAGGCATTCCGTCAAAATGAGGCAGGGACCTAGGGCTTTCTCTAAGGTCTCCACAGGGGATTCAGACATCCCTTCATGTTGTGAGATGAAAGACGAGCCTGTATTCAAGCCACTGCAAGGAAATCCGGCCTCCTTTCAAGTTAGGGCTTCTCGCTGTATATTCCCCTTGAGGCAGCAAACTCGGGGTCCCTCCCACATACCTATTGCTGAGAGAAGCCTCCTCCTGAGGTGCTTCTGGGAAGTTGGCATACGTCTTGAGCCTAAGCCAGGGAATCAGCTCGCATCTCGAGACGATTTGGGGTACGCGGAGCATTCCTCGAGTTGCTGTGCTGAAGTTGGTGTTCCTCTAGACTTGGGACAGTGTTCTCGGGGCATCTCTGGAGTTGCCTGAAGGAAGTCGAGCCACCGGTCGTGTTGAATGGGGAACGGGGAATGGCTCTGGAGTCAATGCAGGGGAATCGGGCCTCATCTCGAGTTGATTTGGGGCACATGGAGCTGCTTTGCGTTGCTGGGGTGACCTCAGGGTCAGTCTAGACTGGTGACAGTGTTCTTGGTGACTGTCTCGAGATCCATTAAGCAAGTCGAAGCTCCTGACTTGTTTGAATGGGATCACGGAATAGCTCTGCATGCCCTGCAGGGGAATGGGGCCTCATCTCGCCTCTAGGGGGAAGTCTCATGGTTTTTCTCGAGTTGCGGCGGGGACCTGCGGTATGTTCTCGACTTACGGCGGGGATGGCCCTTCAAAACACGAGTTTCTTCAGTGACGTCAGGACTCCTGTCTAGTAACGAGGGACACCTCAGGAATCTCTTCGAGGCTTGGCAGGGCCAAAGGGACGCTTCCCGGGGTGAGGCAGGGCACCCAAGGACCCTTTCCAGTAGCCACAGGGATTTTGTGATTCCTATCAGTATTCAAGAGGAGTCAGGCATCGTCACCTTTTGAAGCAATGAACTCCGCGTGCCTCTCGAGGTGTCAGCGGGATGTGAGGCATTCCGTCAAAATGAGGCAGGGACCTAGGGCTTTCTCTAAGGTCTCCACAGGGGATTCAGACATCCCTTCATGTTGTGAGATGAAAGACGAGCCTGTATTCAAGCCACTGCAAGGAAATCCGGCCTCCTTTCAAGTTAGGGCTTCTCGCTGTATATTCCCCTTGAGGCAGCAAACTCGGGGTCCCTCCCACATACCTATTGCTGAGAGAAGCCTCCTCCTGAGGTGCTTCTGGGAAGTTGGCATACGTCTTGAGCCTAAGCCAGGGAATCAGCTCGCATCTCGAGACGATTTGGGGTACACGGAGCATTCCTCGAGTTGCTGTGCTGAAGGTGGTGTTCCTCTAGACTTGGGACAGTGTTCTCGGGGCATCTCTGGAGTTGCCTGAAGGAAGTCGAGCCACCGGTCGTGTTGAATGGGGAACGGGGAATGGCTCTGGAGTCAATGCAGGGGAATCGGGCCTCATCTCGAGTTGATTTGGGGCACATGGAGCTGCTTTGCTTTGCTGGAGTGACCTCAGGGTCCCTCTAGACGGGTGACAGTGTTCTTGGGGACTGTCTCGAGATCCATTAAGCAAGTCGAAGCTCCTGACTTGTTTGAATGGGATCACGGAATAGCTCTGCATGCACTGCAGGGGAATGGGGCCTCATCTCGCCTCTAGGGGGAAGTCTCATGGTTTTTCTCGAGTTGCGGCGGGGACCTGGGGTATGTTCTCGACTTACAGCGGGGATGGCCCTTCAAAACACGAGTTTCTTCAGTGACGTCAGGACTCCTGTCTAGTAACGAGGGACACCTCAGGAATCTCTTCGAGGCTTGGCAGGGCAAAAGGGACGCTTCTCGAGGTGAGGCAGGGCACCTAAGGACCCTTTCCAGTAGCCACAGGGATTTTGGGATTCCTATCAGTATTCAAGAGGAGTCAGGCATCGTCACCTTTTGAAGCAATGAACTCCGCGTGCCTCTCGAGGTGTCAGCGGGATGTGAGGCATTCCGTCAAAATGAGGCAGGGACCTAGGGCTTTCTCTAAGGTCTCCACAGGGGATTCAGACATCCCTTCATGTTGTGAGATGAAAGACGAGCCTGTATTCAAGCCACTGCAAGGAAATCCGGCCTCCTTTCAAGTTAGGGCTTCTCGCTGTATATTCCCCTTGAGGCAGCAAACTCGGGGTCCCTCCCACATATCTATTGCTGAGAGAAGCCTCCTCCTGAGGTGCTTCTGGGAAGTTGGCATACGTCTTGAGCCTAAGCCAGGGAATCAGCTCGCATCTCGAGACGATTTGGGGTACACGGAGCATTCCTCGAGTTGCTGTGCTGAAGTTGGTGTTCCTCTAGACTTGGGACAGTGTTCTCGGGGCATCTCTGGAGTTGCCTGAAGGAAGTCGAGCCACCGGTCGTGTTGAATGGGGAACGGGGAATGGCTCTGGAGTCAATGCAGGGGAATCGGGCCTCATCTCGAGTTGATTTGGGGCACATGGAGCTGCTTTGCGTTGCTGGGGTGACCTCAGGGTCCGTCTAGACTGGTGACAGTGTTCTTGGGGACTGTCTCGAGATCCATTAAGCAAGTCGAAGCTCCTGACTTGCTTGAATGGGATCACGGAATAGCTCTGCATGCACTGCAGGGGAATGGGGCCTCATCTCGCCTCTAGGGGGAAGTCTCATGGTTTTTCTCAAGTTGCGGCGGGGACCTGGGGTATGTTCTCGACTTACGGCGGGGATGGCCATTCAAAACACGAGTCTCTTCAGTGACGTCAGGACTCCTGTCTAGTAACGAGGGACACCTCAGGAATCTCTTCGAGGCTTGGCAGGGCCAAAGGGACGCTTCCCGAGGTGAGGCAGGGCACCCAAGGACCCTTTCCAGTAGCCACAGAGATTTTGGGATTCTTATCAGTATTCAAGAGGAGTCAGGCATCGTCACCTTTTGAAGCAATGAACTCCGCTTGCCTCTCGAGGTGTCAGCGGGATGTGAGGCATTCCGTCAAAATGAGGCAGGGACCTAGGGCTTTCTCTAAGGTCTCCACAGGGGATTCAGACATCCCTTCATGTTGTGAAATGAAAGACGAGCCTGTATTCAAGCCACTGCAAGGAAATCCGGCCTCCTTTCAAGTTAGGGCTTCTCGCTGTATATTCCCCTTGAGGCAGCAAACTCGGGGTCCCTCCCACATACCTATTGCTGAGAGAAGCCTCCTCCTGAGGTGCTTCTGGGAAGTTGGCATACGTCTTGAGCCTAAGCCAGGGAATCAGCTCGCATCTCGAGACGATTTGGGGTACACGGAGCATTCCTCGAGTTGCTGTGCTGAAGTTGGTGTTCCTCTAGACTTGGGACAGTGTTCTCGGGGCATCTCTGGAGTTGCCTGAAGGAAATCGAGCCACCGGTCGTGTTGAATGGGGAACGGGGAATGGCTCTGGAGTCAATGCAGGGGAATCGGGCCTCATCTCGAGTTGATTTGGGGCACATGGAGCTGCTTTGCGTTGCTGGGGTGACCTCAGGGTCCGTCTAGAATGGTGACAGTGTTCTTGGGGACTGTCTCGAGATCCATTAAGCAAGTCGAAGCTCCTGACTTGTTTGAATGGGATCACGGAATAGCTCTGCATGCACTGCAGGGGAATGGGGCCTCATCTCGCCTCTAGGGGGAAGTCTCATGGTTTTTCTCGAGTTGCGGCGGGGACCTGGGGTATGTTCTCGACTTACGGCGGGGATGGCCCTTCAAAACACGAGTTTCTTCAGTGACGTCAGGACTCCTGTCTAGTAACGAGGGACACCTCAGGAATCTCTTCGAGGCTTGGCAGGGCCAAAGGGACGCTTCCCGAGGTGAGGCAGGGCACCCAAGGACCCTTTCCAATAGCCACAGGGATTTTGGGATTCCTATCAGTATTCAAGAGGAGTCAGGCATCGTCACCTTTTGAAGCAATGAACTCCGCGTGCCTCTCGAGGTGTCAGCGGGATGTGAGGCATTCCGTCAAAATGAGGCAGGGACCTAGGGCTTTCTCTAAGGTCTCCACAGGGGATTCAGACATCCCTTCATGTTGTGAGATGAAAGACGAGCCTGTATTCAAGCCACTGCAAGGAAATCCGGCCTCCTTTCAAGTTAGGGCTTCTCGCTGTATATTCCCCTTGAGGCAGCAAACTCGGGGTCCCTCCCACATACCTATTGCTGAGAGAAGCCTCCTCCTGAGGTGCTTCTGGGAAGTTGGCATACGTCTTGAGCCTAAGCCAGGGAATCAGCTCGCATCTCGAGACGATTTGGGGTACACGGAGCATTCCTCGAGTTGCTGTGCTGAAGTTGGTGTTCCTCTAGACTTGGGACAGTGTTCTCGGGGCATCTCTGGAGTTGCCTGAAGGAAGTCGAGCCACCGGTCGTGTTGAATGGGGAACGGGGAATGGCTCTGGAGTCAATGCAGGGGAATCGGGCCTCATCTCGAGTTGATTTGGGGCACATGGAGCTGCTTTGCGTTGCTGGGGTGACCTCAGGGTCCGTCTAGACTGGTGACAGTGTTCTTGGGGACTGTCTCGAGATCCATTAAGCAAGTCGAAGCTCCTGACTTGCTTGAATGGGATCACGGAATAGCTCTGCATGCACTGCAGGGGAATGGGGCCTCATCTCGCCTCTAGGGGGAAGTCTCATGGTTTTTCTCGAGTTGCGGCGGGGACCTGGGGTATGTTCTCGACTTACGGCGGGGATGGCCCTTCAAAACACGAGTCTCTTCAGTGACGTCAGGACTCCTGTCTAGTAACGAGGGACACCTCAGGAATCTCTTCGAGGCTTGGCAGGGCCAAAGGGACGCTTCCCGAGGTGAGGCAGGGCACCCAAGGACCCTTTCCAGTAGCCACAGAGATTTTGGGATTCCTATCAGTATTCAAGAGGAGTCAGGCATCGTCACCTTTTGAAGCAATGAACTCCGCTTGCCTCTCGAGGTGTCGGCGGGATGTGAGGCATTCCGTCAAAATGAGGCAGGGACCTAGGGCTTTCTCTAAGGTCTCCACAGGGGATTCAGACATCCCTTCATGTTGTGAGATGAAAGACGAGCCTGTATTCAAGCCACTGCAAGGAAATCCGGCCTCCTTTCAAGTTAGGGCTTCTCGCTGTATATTCCCCTTGAGGCAGCAAACTCGGGGTCCCTCCCACATACCTATTGCTGAGAGAAGCCTCCTCCTGAGGTGCTTCTGGGAAGTTGGCATACGTCTTGAGCCTAAGCCAGGGAATCAGCTCGCATCTCGAGACGATTTGGGGTACGCGGAGCATTCCTCGAGTTGCTGTGCTGAAGTTGGTGTTCCTCTAGACTTGGGACAGTGTTCTCGGGGCATCTCTGGAGTTGCCTGAAGGAAGTCGAGCCACCGGTCGTGTTGAATGGGGAACGGGGAATGGCTCTGGAGTCAATGCAGGGGAATCGGGCCTCATCTCGAGTTGATTTGGGGCACATGGAGCTGCTTTGCGTTGCTGGGGTGACCTCAGGGTCAGTCTAGACTGGTGACAGTGTTCTTGGTGACTGTCTCGAGATCCATTAAGCAAGTCGAAGCTCCTGACTTGTTTGAATGGGATCACGGAATAGCTCTGCATGCCCTGCAGGGGAATGGGGCCTCATCTCGCCTCTAGGGGGAAGTCTCATGGTTTTTCTCGAGTTGCGGCGGGGACCTGCGGTATGTTCTCGACTTACAGCGGGGATGGCCCTTCAAAACACGAGTTTCTTCAGTGACGTCAGGACTCCTGTCTAGTAACGAGGGACACCTCAGGAATCTCTTAGAGGCTTGGCAGGGCCAAAGGGACGCTTCTCGAGGTGAGGCAGGGCACCCAAGGACCCTTTCCAGTAGCCACAGGGATTTTGGGATTCCTATCAGTATTCAAGAGGAGTCAGGCATCGTCACCTTTTGAAGCAATGAACTCCGCGTGCCTCTCGAGGTGTCAGCGGGATGTGAGGCATTCCGTCAAAATGAGGCAGGGACCTAGGGCTTTCTCTAAGGTCTCCACAGGGGATTCAGACATCCCTTCATGTTGTGAGATGAAAGACGAGCCTGTATTCAAGCCACTGCAAGGAAATCCGGCCTCCTTTCAAGTTAGGGCTTCTCGCTGTATATTCCCCTTGAGGCAGCAAACTCGGGGTCCCTCCCACATACCTATTGTTGAGAGAAGCCTCCTCCTGAGGTGCTTCTGGGAAGTTGGCATACGTCTTGAGCCTAAGCCAGGGAATCAGCTCGCATCTCGAGACGATTTGGGGTACACGGAGCATTCCTCGAGTTGCTGTGCTGAAGTTGGTGTTCCTCTAGACTTGGGACAGTGTTCTCGGGGCATCTCTGGAGTTGCCTGAAGGAAGTCGAGCCACCGGTCGTGTTGAATGGGGAACGGGGAATGGCTCTGGAGTCAATGCAGGGGAATCGGGCCTCATCTCGAGTTGATTTGGGGCACATGGAGCTGCTTTGCGTTGCTGGGGTGACCTCAGGGTCCGTCTAGACTGGTGACAGTGTTCTTGGGGACTGTCTCGAGATCCATTAAGCAAGTCGAAGCTCCTGACTTGCTTGAATGGGATCACGGAATAGCTCTGCATGCACTGCAGGGGAATGGGGCCTCATCTCGCCTCTAGGGGGAAGTCTCATGGTTTTTCTCGAGTTGCGGCGGGGACCTGGGGTATGTTCTCGACTTACGGCGGGGATGGCCCTTCAAAACACGAGTCTCTTCAGTGACGTCAGGACTCCTGTCTAGTAACGAGGGACACCTCAGGAATCTCTTCGAGGCTTGGCAGGGCCAAAGGGACGCTTCCCGAGGTGAGGCAGGGCACCCAAGGACCCTTTCCAGTAGCCACAGAGATTTTGGGATTCCTATCAGTATTCAAGAGGAGTCAGGCATCGTCACCTTTTGAAGCAATGAACTCCGCTTGCCTCTCGAGGTGTCGGCGGGATGTGAGGCATTCCGTCAAAATGAGGCAGGGACCTAGGGCTTTCTCTAAGGTCTCCACAGGGGATTCAGACATCCCTTCATGTTGTGAGATGAAAGACGAGCCTGTATTCAAGCCACTGCAAGGAAATCCGGCCTCCTTTCAAGTTAGGGCTTCTCGCTGTATATTCCCCTTGAGGCAGCAAACTCGGGGTCCCTCCCACATACCTATTGCTGAGAGAAGCCTCCTCCTGAGGTGCTTCTGGGAAGTTGGCATACGTCTTGAGCCTAAGCCAGGGAATCAGCTCGCATCTCGAGACGATTTGGGGTACGCGGAGCATTCCTCGAGTTGCTGTGCTGAAGTTGGTGTTCCTCTAGACTTGGGACAGTGTTCTCGGGGCATCTCTGGAGTTGCCTGAAGGAAGTCGAGCCACCGGTCGTGTTGAATGGGGAACGGGGAATGGCTCTGGAGTCAATGCAGGGGAATCGGGCCTCATCTCGAGTTGATTTGGGGCACATGGAGCTGCTTTGCGTTGCTGGGGTGACCTCAGGGTCAGTCTAGACTGGTGACAGTGTTCTTGGTGACTGTCTCGAGATCCATTAAGCAAGTCGAAGCTCCTGACTTGTTTGAATGGGATCACGGAATAGCTCTGCATGCCCTGCAGGGGAATGGGGCCTCATCTCGCCTCTAGGGGGAAGTCTCATGGTTTTTCTCGAGTTGCGGCGGGGACCTGCGGTATGTTCTCGACTTACGGCGGGGATGGCCCTTCAAAACACGAGTTTCTTCAGTGACGTCAGGACTCCTGTCTAGTAACGAGGGACACCTCAGGAATCTCTTAGAGGCTTGGCAGGGCCAAAGGGACGCTTCTCGAGGTGAGGCAGGGCACCCAAGGACCCTTTCCAGTAGCCACAGGGATTTTGGGATTCCTATCAGTATTCAAGAGGAGTCAGGCATCGTCACCTTTTGAAGCAATGAACTCCGCGTGCCTCTCGAGGTGTCAGCGGGATGTGAGGCATTCCGTCAAAATGAGGCAGGGACCTAGGGCTTTCTCTAAGGTCTCCACAGGGGATTCAGACATCCCTTCATGTTGTGAGATGAAAGACGAGCCTGTATTCAAGCCACTGCAAGGAAATCCGGCCTCCTTTCAAGTTAGGGCTTCTCGCTGTATATTCCCCTTGAGGCAGCAAACTCGGGGTCCCTCCCACATACCTATTGTTGAGAGAAGCCTCCTCCTGAGGTGCTTCTGGGAAGTTGGCATACGTCTTGAGCCTAAGCCAGGGAATCAGCTCGCATCTCGAGACGATTTGGGGTACACGGAGCATTCCTCGAGTTGCTGTGCTGAAGTTGGTGTTCCTCTAGACTTGGGACAGTGTTCTCGGGGCATCTCTGGAGTTGCCTGAAGGAAGTCGAGCCACCGGTCGTGTTGAATGGGGAACGGGGAATGGCTCTGGAGTCAATGCAGGGGAATCGGGCCTCATCTCGAGTTGATTTGGGGCACATGGAGCTGCTTTGCGTTGCTGGGGTGACCTCAGGGTCCGTCTAGACTGGTGACAGTGTTCTTGGGGACTGTCTCGAGATCCATTAAGCAAGTCGAAGCTCCTGACTTGCTTGAATGGGATCACGGAATAGCTCTGCATGCACTGCAGGGGAATGGGGCCTCATCTCGCCTCTAGGGGGAAGTCTCATGGTTTTTCTCAAGTTGCGGCGGGGACCTGGGGTATGTTCTCGACTTACGGCGGGGATGGCCCTTCAAAACACGAGTCTCTTCAGTGACGTCAGGACTCCTGTCTAGTAACGAGGGACACCTCAGGAATCTCTTCGAGGCTTGGCAGGGCCAAAGGGACGCTTCCCGAGGTGAGGCAGGGCACCCAAGGACCCTTTCCAGTAGCCACAGAGATTTTGGGATTCCTATCAGTATTCAAGAGGAGTCAGGCATCGTCACCTTTTGAAGCAATGAACTCCGCTTGCCTCTCGAGGTGTCAGCGGGATGTGAGGCATTCCGTCAAAATGAGGCAGGGACCTAGGGCTTTCTCTAAGGTCTCCACAGGGGATTCAGACATCCCTTCATGTTGTGAAATGAAAGACGAGCCTGTATTCAAGCCACTGCAAGGAAATACGGCCTCCTTTCAAGTTAGGGCTTCTCGCTGTATATTCCCCTTGAGGCAGCAAACTCGGGGTCCCTCCCACATACCTATTGCTGAGAGAAGCCTCCTCCTGAGGTGCTTCTGGGAAGTTGGCATACGTCTTGAGCCTAAGCCAGGGAATCAGCTCGCATCTCGAGACGATTTGGGGTACACGGAGCATTCCTCGAGTTGCTGTGCTGAAGTTGGTGTTCCTCTAGACTTGGGACAGTGTTCTCGGGGCATCTCTGGAGTTGCCTGAAGGAAATCGAGCCACCGGTCGTGTTGAATGGGGAACGGGGAATGGCTCTGGAGTCAATGCAGGGGAATCGGGCCTCATCTCGAGTTGATTTGGGGCACATGGAGCTGCTTTGCGTTGCTGGGGTGACCTCAGGGTCCGTCTAGAATGGTGACAGTGTTCTTGGGGACTGTCTCGAGATCCATTAAGCAAGTCGAAGCTCCTGACTTGTTTGAATGGGATCACGGAATAGCTCTGCATGCACTGCAGGGGAATGGGGCCTCATCTCACCTCTAGGGGGAAGTCTCATGGTTTTTCTCGAGTTGCGGCGGGGACCTGGGGTATGTTCTCGACTTACGGCGGGGATGGCCCTTCAAAACACGAGTTTCTTCAGTGACGTCAGGACTCCTGTCTAGTAACGAGGGACACCTCAGGAATCTCTTCGAGGCTTGGCAGGGCCAAAGGGACGCTTCCCGAGGTGAGGCAGGGCACCCAAGGACCCTTTCCAATAGCCACAGGGATTTTGGGATTCCTATCAGTATTCAAGAGGAGTCAGGCATCGTCACCTTTTGAAGCAATGAACTCCGCGTGCCTCTCGAGGTGTCAGCGGGATGTGAGGCATTCCGTCAAAATGAGGCAGGGACCTAGGGCTTTCTCTAAGGTCTCCACAGGGGATTCAGACATCCCTTCATGTTGTGAGATGAAAGACGAGCCTGTATTCAAGCCACTGCAAGGAAATCCGGCCTCCTTTCAAGTTAGGGCTTCTCGCTGTATATTCCCCTTGAGGCAGCAAACTCGGGGTCCCTCCCACATACCTATTGCTGAGAGAAGCCTCCTCCTGAGGTGCTTCTGGGAAGTTGGCATACGTCTTGAGCCTAAGCCAGGGAATCAGCTCGCATCTTGAGACGATTTGGGGTACGCGGAGCATTCCTCGAGTTGCTGTGCTGAAGTTGGTGTTCCTCTAGACTTGGGACAGTGTTCTCGGGGCATCTCTGGAGTTGCCTGAAGGAAGTCGAGCCACCGGTCGTGTTGAATGGGGAACGGGGAATGGCTCTGGAGTCAATGCAGGGGAATCGGGCCTCATCTCGAGTTGATTTGGGGCACATGGAGCTGCTTTGCGTTGCTGGGGTGACCTCAGGGTCAGTCTAGACTGGTGACAGTGTTCTTGGGGACTGTCTCGAGATCCATTAAGCAAGTCGAAGCTCCTGACTTGTTTGAATGGGATCACGGAATAGCTCTGCATGCCCTGCAGGGGAATGGGGCCTCATCTCGCCTCTAGGGGGAAGTCTCATGGTTTTTCTCGAGTTGCGGCGGGGACCTGCGGTATGTTCTCGACTTACGGCGGGGATGGCCCTTCAAAACACGAGTTTCTTCAGTGACGTCAGGACTCCTGTCTAGTAACGAGGGACACCTCAGGAATCTCTTAGAGGCTTGGCAGGGCCAAAGGGACGCTTCTCGAGGTGAGGCAGGGCACCCAAGGACCCTTTCCAGTAGCCACAGGGATTTTGGGATTCCTATCAGTATTCAAGAGGAGTCAGGCATCGTCACCTTTTGAAGCAATGAACTCCGCGTGCCTCTCGAGGTGTCAGCGGGATGTGAGGCATTCCGTCAAAATGAGGCAGGGACCTAGGGCTTTCTCTAAGGTCTCCACAGGGGATTCAGACATCCCTTCATGTTGTGAGATGAAAGACGAGCCTGTATTCAAGCCACTGCAAGGAAATCCGGCCTCCTTTCAAGTTAGGGCTTCTCGCTGTATATTCCCCTTGAGGCAGCAAACTCGGGGTCCCTCCCACATACCTATTGTTGAGAGAAGCCTCCTCCTGAGGTGCTTCTGGGAAGTTGGCATATGTCTTGAGCCTAAGCCAGGGAATCAGCTCGCATCTCGAGACGATTTGGGGTACACGGAGCATTCCTCGAGTTGCTGTGCTGAAGTTGGTGTTCCTCTAGACTTGGGACAGTGTTCTCGGGGCATCTCTGGAGTTGCCTGAAGGAAGTCGAGCCACCGGTCGTGTTGAATGGGGAACGGGGAATGGCTCTGGAGTCAATGCAGGGGAATCGGGCCTCATCTCGAGTTGATTTGGGGCACATGGAGCTGCTTTGCGTTGCTGGGGTGACCTCAGGGTCCGTCTAGACTGGTGACAGTGTTCTTGGGGACTGTCTCGAGATCCATTAAGCAAGTCGAAGCTCCTGACTTGCTTGAATGGGATCACGGAATAGCTCTGCATGCACTGCAGGGGAATGGGGCCTCATCTCGCCTCTAGGGGGAAGTCTCATGGTTTTTCTCAAGTTGCGGCGGGGACCTGGGGTATGTTCTCGACTTACGGCGGGGATGGCCCTTAAAAACACGAGTCTCTTCAGTGACGTCAGGACTCCTGTCTAGTAACGAGGGACACCTCAGGAATCTCTTCGAGGCTTGGCAGGGCCAAAGGGACGCTTCCCGAGGTGAGGCAGGGCACCCAAGGACCCTTTCCAGTAGCCACAGAGATTTTGGGATTCCTATCAGTATTCAAGAGGAGTCAGGCATCGTCACCTTTTGAAGCAATGAACTCCGCTTGCCTCTCGAGGTGTCAGCGGGATGTGAGGCATTCCGTCAAAATGAGGCAGGGACCTAGGGCTTTCTCTAAGGTCTCCACAGGGGATTCAGACATCCCTTCATGTTGTGAAATGAAAGACGAGCCTGTATTCAAGCCACTGCAAGGAAATCCGGCCTCCTTTCAAGTTAGGGCTTCTCGCTGTATATTCCCCTTGAGGCAGCAAACTCGGGGTCCCTCCCACATACCTATTGCTGAGAGAAGCCTCCTCCTGAGGTGCTTCTGGGAAGTTGGCATACGTCTTGAGCCTAAGCCAGGGAATCAGCTCGCATCTCGAGACGATTTGGGGTACACGGAGCATTCCTCGAGTTGCTGTGCTGAAGTTGGTGTTCCTCTAGACTTGGGACAGTGTTCTCGGGGCATCTCTGGAGTTGCCTGAAGGAAATCGAGCCACCGGTCGTGTTGAATGGGGAACGGGGAATGGCTCTGGAGTCAATGCAGGGGAATCGGGCCTCATCTCGAGTTGATTTGGGGCACATGGAGCTGCTTTGCGTTGCTGGGGTGACCTCAGGGTCCGTCTAGAATGGTGACAGTGTTCTTGGGGACTGTCTCGAGATCCATTAAGCAAGTCGAAGCTCCTGACTTGTTTGAATGGGATCACGGAATAGCTCTGCATGCACTGCAGGGGAATGGGGCCTCATCTCGCCTCTAGGGGGAAGTCTCATGGTTTTTCTCGAGTTGCGGCGGGGACCTGGGGTATGTTCTCGACTTACGGCGGGGATGGCCCTTCAAAACACGAGTTTCTTCAGTGACGTCAGGACTCCTGTCTAGTAACGAGGGACACCTCAGGAATCTCTTCGAGGCTTGGCAGGGCCAAAGGGACGCTTCCCGAGGTGAGGCAGGGCACCCAAGGACCCTTTCCAATAGCCACAGGGATTTTGGGATTCCTATCAGTATTCAAGAGGAGTCAGGCATCGTCACCTTTTGAAGCAATGAACTCCGCGTGCCTCTCGAGGTGTCAGCGGGATGTGAGGCATTCCGTCAAAATGAGGCAGGGACCTAGGGCTTTCTCTAAGGTCTCCACAGGGGATTCAGACATCCCTTCATGTTGTGAGATGAAAGACGAGCCTGTATTCAAGCCACTGCAAGGAAATCCGGCCTCCTTTCAAGTTAGGGCTTCTCGCTGTATATTCCCCTTGAGGCAGCAAACTCGGGGTCCCTCCCACATACCTATTGTTGAGAGAAGCCTCCTCCTGAGGTGCTTCTGGGAAGTTGGCATACGTCTTGAGCCTAAGCCAGGGAATCAGCTCGCATCTCGAGACGATTTGGGGTACACGGAGCATTCCTCGAGTTGCTGTGCTGAAGTTGGTGTTCCTCTAGACTTGGGACAGTGTTCTCGGGGCATCTCTGGAGTTGCCTGAAGGAAGTCGAGCCACCGGTCGTGTTGAATGGGGAACGGGGAATGGCTCTGGAGTCAATGCAGGGGAATCGGGCCTCATCTCGAGTTGATTTGGGGCACATGGAGCTGCTTTGCGTTGCTGGGGTGACCTCAGGGTCCGTCTAGACTGGTGACAGTGTTCTTGGGGACTGTCTCGAGATCCATTAAGCAAGTCGAAGCTCCTGACTTGCTTGAATGGGATCACGGAATAGCTCTGCATGCACTGCAGGGGAATGGGGCCTCATCTCGCCTCTAGGGGGAAGTCTCATGGTTTTTCTCGAGTTGCGGCGGGGACCTGGGGTATGTTCTCGACTTACGGCGGGGATGGCCCTTCAAAACACGAGTCTCTTCAGTGACGTCAGGACTCCTGTCTAGTAACGAGGGACACCTCAGGAATCTCTTCGAGGCTTGGCAGGGCCAAAGGGACGCTTCCCGAGGTGAGGCAGGGCACCCAAGGACCCTTTCCAGTAGCCACAGAGATTTTGGGATTCCTATCAGTATTCAAGAGGAGTCAGGCATCGTCACCTTTTGAAGCAATGAACTCCGCTTGCCTCTCGAGGTGTCAGCGGGATGTGAGGCATTCCGTCAAAATGAGGCAGGGACCTAGGGCTTTCTCTAAGGTCTCCACAGGGGATTCAGACATCCCTTCATGTTGTGAGATGAAAGACGAGCCTGTATTCAAGCCACTGCAAGGAAATCCGGCCTCCTTTCAAGTTAGGGCTTCTCGCTGTATATTCCCCTTGAGGCAGCAAACTCGGGGTCCCTCCCACATACCTATTGCTGAGAGAAGCCTCCTCCTGAGGTGCTTCTGGGAAGTTGGCATACGTCTTGAGCCTAAGCCAGGGAATCAGCTCGCATCTCGAGACGATTTGGGGTACGCGGAGCATTCCTCGAGTTGCTGTGCTGAAGTTGGTGTTCCTCTAGACTTGGGACAGTGTTCTCGGGGCATCTCTGGAGTTGCCTGAAGGAAGTCGAGCCACCGGTCGTGTTGAATGGGGAACGGGGAATGGCTCTGGAGTCAATGCAGGGGAATCGGGCCTCATCTCGAGTTGATTTGGGGCACATGGAGCTGCTTTGCGTTGCTGGGGTGACCTCAGGGTCAGTCTAGACTGGTGACAGTGTTCTTGGGGACTGTCTCGAGATCCATTAAGCAAGTCGAAGCTCCTGACTTGTTTGAATGGGATCACGGAATAGCTCTGCATGCCCTGCAGGGGAATGGGGCCTCATCTCGCCTCTAGGGGGAAGTCTCATGGTTTTTCTCGAGTTGCGGCGGGGACCTGCGGTATGTTCTCGACTTACGGCGGGGATGGCCCTTCAAAACACGAGTTTCTTCAGTGACGTCAGGACTCCTGTCTAGTAACGAGGGACACCTCAGGAATCTCTTAGAGGCTTGGCAGGGCCAAAGGGACGCTTCTCGAGGTGAGGCAGGGCACCCAAGGACCCTTTCCAGTAGCCACAGGGATTTTGGGATTCCTATCAGTATTCAAGAGGAGTCAGGCATCGTCACCTTTTGAAGCAATGAACTCCGCGTGCCTCTCGAGGTGTCAGCGGGATGTGAGGCATTCCGTCAAAATGAGGCAGGGACCTAGGGCTTTCTCTAAGGTCTCCACAGGGGATTCAGACATCCCTTCATGTTGTGAGATGAAAGACGAGCCTGTATTCAAGCCACTGCAAGGAAATCCGGCCTCCTTTCAAGTTAGGGCTTCTCGCTGTATATTCCCCTTGAGGCAGCAAACTCGGGGTCCCTCCCACATACCTATTGTTGAGAGAAGCCTCCTCCTGAGGTGCTTCTGGGAAGTTGGCATACGTCTTGAGCCTAAGCCAGGGAATCAGCTCGCATCTCGAGACGATTTGGGGTACACGGAGCATTCCTCGAGTTGCTGTGCTGAAGTTGGTGTTCCTCTAGACTTGGGACAGTGTTCTCGGGGCATCTCTGGAGTTGCCTGAAGGAAGTCGAGCCACCGGTCATGTTGAATGGGGAACGGGGAATGGCTCTGGAGTCAATGCAGGGGAATCGGGCCTCATCTCGAGTTGATTTGGGGCACATGGAGCTGCTTTGCGTTGCTGGGGTGACCTCAGGGTCCGTCTAGACTGGTGACAGTGTTCTTGGGGACTGTCTCGAGATCCATTAAGCAAGTCGACGCTCCTGACTTGTTTGAATGGGATCACGGAATAGCTCTGCATGCACTGCAGGGGAATGGGGCCTCATCTCGCCTCTAGGGGGAAGTCTCATGGTTTTTCTCGAGTTGCGGCGGGGACCTGGGGTATGTTCTCGACTTACGGCGGGGATGGCCCTTCAAAACACGAGTTTCTTCAGTGACGTCAGGACTCCTGTCTAGTAACGAGGGACACCTCAGGAATCTCTTCGAGGCTTGGCAGGGCAAAAGGGACGCTTCTCGAGGTGAGGCAGGGCACCCAAGCACCCTTTCCAGTAGCCAGAGGGATTTTGGGATTCCTATCAGTATTCAAGAGGAGTCAGGCATCGTCACCTTTTGAAGCAATGAACTCCGCGTGCCTCTCGAGGTGTCAGCGGGATGTGGGGCATTCCGTCAAAATGAGGCAGGGACCTAGGGCTTTCTCTAAGGTCTCCACAGGGGATTCAGACATCCCTTCCTGTTGTGAGATGAAAGACTAGCCTGTACTCAAGCCACTGCAAGGAAATCCGGCCTCCTTTCAAGTTAGGGCTTCTCGCTGTATATTCCCCTTGAGGCAGCAAACTCGGGGTCCCTCCCACATACCTATTGCTGAGAGAAGCCTCCTCCTGAGGTGCTTCTGGGAAGTTGGCATACGTCTTGAGCCTAAGCCAGGGAATCAGCTCTCATCTCGAGACGATTTGGGTTACACGGAGCATTCCTCGAGTTGCTGTGCTGAAGATGGTCTTCCTCTAGACTTGGGACAGTGTTCTCGGGGCATTACTGGAGTTGTCTGAAGGAAGTCGAGCCACCGGTCGTGTTGAATGAGGAACGGGGAATGGCTCTGGGGTCAATGCAGGGGAATCGGGCCTCATCTCGAATTGATTTGTGGCACATGGAGCTGCTTGGCGTTGCTGGGGTGACCTCAGGATCCTTCTAGACTGGTGACAGTGTTCTTGGGGACTGTCTCGAGATCCATTAAGCAAGTCGAAGCTCCTGACTTGTTTGAATGGGATCACGGAATAGCTCTCCATGCACTGCAGGGGAATGGGGCCTCATCTCGCCTCTAGGGGGAAGTCTCATGGTTTTTCTCGAGTTGCGGCGGGGACCTGGGTTATGTTCTCGACTTACGGCGGGGATGGCCCTTCAAATCATGAGTTTCTTCAGTGAGATCAGGACTCCTGTCTAGTAACGAGGGACACCTCAGGAATGTCTTCGAGGCTTCGCAGGGCAAAAGGGACGCTTCTCGAGGTGAGGCAGGCACCCAAGGACCCTTTCCAGTAGCCACAGGGATTTTGGGATTCCTATCAGTTTTCAAGAGGAGTCAGGCATCGTCACCTTTTGAAGCAATGAACTCCGCGTGCCTCTCGAGGTGTCAGCGTGATGTGGGGCATTCCGTCAAAATGAGGCAGGGACCTAGGGCTTTCTCTAAGGTCTCCACAGGGGATTCAGACATCCCTTCATGTTGTGAGATGAAAGACAAGCCTGTATTCAAGCCACTGCAAGGAAATCCGGCCTCCTTTCAAGTTAGGGCTTCTCGCTGTATATTCCCCTTGAGGCAGCAAACTCGGGGTCCCTCCCACATACCTATTGCTGAGAGAAGCCTCCTCCTGAGGTGCTTCTGGGAAGTTGGCATACGTCTTGAGCCTAAGCCAGGGAATCAGCTCTCATCTCGAGACGATTTGGGGTACACGGAACATTCCTCGAGTTGCTGTGCTGAAGTTGGTCTTCCTCTAGACTTGGGACAGTGTTCTCGGGGCATCTCTGGAGTTGCCTGAAGGAAGTCGAGCCACAGGTCGTGTTGAATGGGGAACGCGGAATGGCTCTGGAGTCAATGCAGGGGAATCGGGCCTCATCTCGAGTTGATTTGGGGCACATGGAGCTGCTTTGCGTTGCTGGGGTGACCTCAGGGTCCGTCTAGACTGGTGACAGTGTTCTTGGGGACTGTCTCGAGATCCATTAAGCAAGTCGAAGCTCCTGACTTGTTTGAATGGGATCACGGAATAGCTCTGCATGCACTGCAGGGGAATGGGGCCTCATCTCGCCTCTAGGGGGAAGTCTCATGGTTTTTCTTGAGTTGCGGCGGGGACCTGGGGTATGTTCTCGACTTATGGCGGGGATGGTCGTTCAAATCATGAGTTTCTTCAGTGAGGTCAGGACTCCTGTCTAATAACGAGGGACACCTCAGGAATCTCTTCGAGGCTTGGAAGGGCAAAAGGGACGCTTCTCGAGGTGAGGCAGGGCACCCAAGGACCCTTTCCAGTAGCCACAGGGATTTTGGGATTCCTATCAGTATTCAAGAGGAGTCAGGCATCGTCACCTTTTGAAGCAATGAACTCCGCGTGCCTCTCGAGGTGTCAGCGGGATGTGAGGCATTCCGTCAAAATGAGGCAGGGACCTAGGGCTTTCTCTAAGGTCTCCACAGGGGATTCAGACATCCCTTCATGTTGTGAGATGAAAGACGAGCCTGTATTCAAGCCACTGCAAGGAAATCCGGCCTCCTTTCAAGTTAGGGCTTCTCGCTGTATATTCCCCTTGAGGCAGCAAACTCGGGGTCCCACCCACATACCTATTGCTGAGAGAAGCCTCCTCCTGAGGTGCTTCTGGGAAGTTGGCATACGTCTTGAGTCTAAGCCAGGGAATCAGCTCTCATCTCGAGACGATTTGGGGTACACGGAGCATTCCTCGAGTAGCTGTGCTGAAGTTGGTGTTCCTCTAGACTTGGGACAGTGTTCTCGGGGCATCTCTGAAGTTTCCTGAAGGAAGTCGAGCCACCGGTCGTGTTGAGTGGGGAACGGGGAATGGTTCTGGAGTCAATGCAGGGGAATCGGGCCTCATCTCGAGTTGATTTGGGGCACATGGAGCTGCTTTGCACTGCTGGGGTGACCACAGGTTCCATCTAGACTGGTGACAGTGTTCTTGGGGACTGTCTCGAGATCCATTAAGCAAGTCGAAGCTCCTGACTTGTTTGAATGGGATCACGGAATAGCTCTGCATGCACTGCAGGGGAATGGGGCCTCATCTCGCCTCTAGGGGGAAGTCTCATGGTTTTTCTCGAGTTGCGGCGGGGACCTGGGGTATGTTCTAGACTTACGGCGGGGATGGTCCTTCAAATCATGAGTTTCTTCAGTGAGGTCAGGACTCCTGTCTAGTAACGAGGGACACCTCAGGAATCTCTTCGAGGCTTGGCAGGGCAAAAGGGACGCTTCTCGAGGTGAGGCAGGGCACCCAAGGACCCTTTCCAGTAGCCACAGGGATTTTGGGATTCTTATCAGTATTCAAGAGGAGTCAGGCATCGTCACCTTTTGAAGCAATGAACTCCGCGTGCCTCTCGAGGTGTCAGCGGGATGTGAGGCATTCCGTCAAAATGAGGCAGGGACCTAGGGCTTTCTCTAAGGTCTCCACAGGGGATTCAGACATCCCTTCATGTTGTGAGATGAAAGACGAGCCTGTATTCAAGCCACTGCAAGGAAATCCGGCCTCCTTTCAAGTTAGGGCTTCTCGCTGTATATTCCCCTTGAGGCAGCAAACTCGGGGTCCCTCCCACATACCTATTGCTGAGAGAAGCCTCCTCCTGTGGTGCTTCTGGGAAGTTGGCATACGTCTTGAGCCTAAGCCAGGGAATCAGCTCGCATCTCGAGACGATTTGGGGTACACGGAGCATTCCTCGAGTTGCTGTGCTGAAGTTGGTGTTCCTCTAGACTTGGGACAGTGTTCTCGGGGCATCTCTGGAGTTGCCTGAAGGAAGTCGAGCCACCGGTCGTGTTGAATGGGGAACGGGGAATGGCTCTGGAGTCAATGCAGGGGAATCGGGCCTCATCTCGAGTTGATTTGGGGCACATGGAGCTGCTTTAGGTGCTGGGGTGACCTCAGGGTCCGTCTAGACTGGTGACAGTGTTCTTGGGGACTGTCTCGAGATCCATTAAGCAAGTCGAAGCTCCTGACTTGTTTGAATCGGATCACGGAATAGCTCTGCATGCCCTGCAGGGGAATGGGGCCTCATCCCGCCTCTAGGGGGAAGTCTCATGGTTTTTCTCGAATTGCGGCGGGGACCTGGGGTATGTTCTCGACTTACGGCGGGGATGGCCCTTCAAAACACGAGTTTCTTCAGTGACGTCAGGACTCCTGTCTAGTAACGAGGGACACCTCAGGAATCTCTTCGAGGCTTGGCAGGGCCAAAGGGATGCTTCTCGAGGTGAGGCAGGGCACCCAAGGACCCTTTCCTGTAGCCACAGGGATTTTGGGATTCCTATCAGTATTCAAGAGGAGTCAGGCATCGTCACCTTTTGAAGCAATGAACTCCGCGTGCCTCTCGAGGTGTCAGCGGGATGTGAGGCATTTCGTCAAAATGAGGCAGGGACCTAGGGCTTTCTCTAAGGTCTCCACAGGGGATTCAGACATCCCTTCATGTTGTGAGATGAAAGACGAGCCTGTATTCAAGCCACTGCAAGGAAATCCGGCCTCCTTTCAAGTTAGGGCTTCTCGCTGTATATTCCCCTTGAGGCAGCAAACTCGGGGTCCCTCCCACATACCTATTGCTGAGAGAAGCCTCCTCCTGAGGTGCTTCTGGGAAGTTGGCATACGTCTTGAGCCTAAGCCAGGGAATCAGCTCGCATCTCGAGACGATTTGGGGTACACGGAGCATTCCTCGAGTTGCTGTGCTGAAGTTGGTGTTCCTCTAGACTTGGGACAGTGTTCTCGGGGCATCTCTGGAGTTGCCTGAAGGAAGTCGAGCCACCGGTCGTGTTGAATGGGGAACGGGGAATGGGTCTGGAGTCAATGCAGGGGAATCGGGCCTCATCTCGAGTTGATTTGGGGCACATGGAGCTGCTTTGCGTTGCTGGGGTGACCTCAGGGTCCGTCTAGACTGGTGACAGTGTTCTTGGGGACTGTCTCGAGATCCATTAAGGAAGTCGAAGCTCCTGACTTGTTTGAATGGGATCACGGAATAGCTCTGCATGCACTGCAGGGGAATGGGGCCTCATCTCGCCTCTAGGGGGAAGTCTCATGGTTTTTCTCGAGTTGCGGCGGGGACCTGGGGTATGTTCTCGACTTACGGCGGGGATGGCCCTTCAAAACACGAGTTTCTTCAGTGACGTCAGGACTCCTGTCTAGTAACGAGGGACACCTCAGGAATCTCTTCGAGGCTTGGCAGGGCCAAAGGGACGCTTCTCGAGGTGAGGCAGGGCACCCAAGGACCCTTTCCAGTAGCCACAGGGATTTTGGGATTCCTATCAGTATTCAAGAGGAGTCAGGCATCGTCACCTTTTGAAGCAATGAACTCCGCGTGCCTCTCGAGGTGTCAGCGGGATGTGAGGCATTCCGTCAAAATGAGGCAGGGACCTAGGGCTTTCTCTAAGGTCTCCACAGGGGATTCAGACATCCCTTCATGTTGTGAGATGAAAGACGAGCCTGTATTCAAGCCACTGCAAGGAAATCCGGCCTCCTTTCAAGTTAGGGCTTCTCGCTGTATATTCCCCTTGAGGCAGCAAACTCGGGGTCCCTCCCACATACCTATTGCTGAGAGAAGCCTCCTCCTGAGGTGCTTCTGGGAAGTTGGCATACGTCTTGAGCCTAAGCCAGGGAATCAGCTCGCATCTCGAGACGATTTGGGGTACACGGAGCATTCCTCGAGTTGCTGTGCTGAAGTTGGTGTTCCTCTAGACTTGGGACAGTGTTCTTGGGGCATCTCTGGAGTTGCCTGAAGGAAGTCGAGCCACCGGTCGTGTTGAATGGGGAACGGGGAATGGCTCTGGAGTCAATGCAGGGGAATCGGGCCTCATCTCGAGTTGATTTGGGGCACATGGAGCTGCTTTGCGTTGCTGGGGTGACCTCAGGGTCCGTCTAGACTGGTGACAGTGTTCTTGGGGACTGTCTCGAGATCCATTAAGCAAGTCGAAGCTCCTGACTTGTTTGAATGGGATCACGGAATAGCTCTGCATGCCCTGCAGGGGAATGGGGCCTCATCTCGCCTCTAGGGGGAAGTCTCATGGTTTTTCTCGAGTTGCGGCGGGGACCTGGGGTATGTTCTCGACTTACGGCGGGGATGGCCCTTCAAATCATGAGTTTCTTCAGTGAGGTCAGGACTCCTGTCTAGTAACGAGGGACACCTCAGGAATCTCTTCGAGGCTTGGCAGGGCAAAAGGGACGCTTCTCGAGGTGAGGCAGGGCACCCAGGGACCATTTCCAGTAGCCACAGGGATTTTGGGATTCCTATCAGTATTCAAGAGAAGTCAGGCATCGTCACCTTTTGAAGCAATGAACTCCGTGTGCCTCTCGAGGTGTCAGCGGGATGTGAGGCATTCCGTCAAAATGAGGCAGGGACCTAGGGCTTTCTCTAAGGTCTCCACAGGGGATTCAGACATCCCTTCATGTTGTGAGATGAAAGACGAGCCTGTATTCAAGCCACTGCAAGGAAATCCGGCCTCCTTTCAAGTTAGGGCTTCTCGCTGTATATTCCCCTTGAGGCAGCAAACTCGGGGTCCCTCCCACATACCTATTGCTGAGAGAAGCCTCCTCCTGAGGTGCTTCTGGGAAGTTGGCATTCGTCTTGAGCCTAAGCCAGGGAATCAGCTCTCATCTCGAGACGATTTGGGTTACACGGAGCATACCTCGAGTTGCTGTGCTGAAGTTGGTGTTCCTCTAGACTTGGGACAGTGTTCTCGGGGCATCTCTGGAGTTGCCTGAAGGAAGTCGAGCCACCGGTCGTGTTGAATGGGGAACGGGGAATGGCTCTGGAGTCAATGCAGGGGAATCGGGCCTCATCTCGAGTTGATTTGGGGCACATGGAGCTGCTTTGCGTTGCTGGGGTGACCTCAGGGTCCGTCTAGACTGGTGACAGTGTTCTTGGGGACTGTCTCGAGATCCATTGAGCAAGTCGATGCTCCTGACTTGTTTGAATCGGATCACGGAATAGCTCTGCATGCACTGCAGGGAAATGGGGCCTCATCTCGCCTCTAGGGGGAAGTCTCATGGTTTTTCTCGAGTTGCGGCGGGGACCTGGGGTATGTTCTCGACTTACGGCGGGGATGGCCCTTCAAAACACGAGTCTCTTCAGTGACGTCAGGACTCCTGTCTAGTAACGAGGGACACCTCAGGAATCTCTTCGAGGCTTGGCAGGGCCAAAGGGACGCTTCTCGAGGTGAGGCAGGGCACCCAAGGACCCTTTCCAGTAGCCACAGGGATTTTGGGATTCCTATCAGTATTCAAGAGGAGTCAGGCATCGTCACCTTTTGAAGCAATGAACTCCGCGTGCCTCTCGAGGTGTCAGCGGGATGTGAGGCATTCCGTCAAAATGAGGCAGGGACCTAGGGCTTTCTCTAAGGTCTCCACAGGGGATTCAGACATCCCTTCATGTTGTGAGATGAAAGACGAGCCTGTATTCAAGCCACTGCAAGGAAATCCGGCCTCCTTTCAAGTTAGGGCTTCTCGCTGTATATTCCCCTTGAGGCAGCAAACTCGGGGTCCCTCCCACATACCTATTGCTGAGAGAAGCCTCCTCCTGAGGTGCTTCTGGGAAGTTGGCATACGTCTTGAGCCTAAGCCAGGGAATCAGCTCTCATCTCGAGACGATTTGGGTTACACGGAGCATTCCTCGAGTTGCTGTGCTGAAGTTGGTCTTCCTCTAGACTTGGGACAGTGTTCTCGGGGCATCTCTGGAGTTGCCTGAAGGAAGTCGAGCCACCGATCGTGTTGAATGGGGAACGGGGAATGGCTCTGGAGTCAATGCAGGGGAATCGGGCCTCATCTCGAGTTGATTTGGGGCACATGGAGCTGCTTTGCGTTGCTGGGGTGACCTCAGGGTCCGTCTAGACTGGTGACAGTGTTCTTGGGGACTGTCTCGAGATCCATTGAGCAAGTCGAAGCTCCTGACTTGTTTGAATCGGATCACGGAATAGCTCTGCATGCACTGCAGGGAAATTTGGCCTCATCTCGCCTCTAGGGGGAAGTCTCATGGTTTTTCTCGAGTTGCGGCGGGGACCTGGGGTATGTTCACGACTTAGGGCGGGGATGGCCCTTCAAATCATGAGTTTCTTCAGTGAGGTCAGGACTCCTGTCTAGTAATGAGGGACACCTCAGGAATCTCTTCGAGGCTTGGCAGGGCAAAAGGGACGCTTCTCGCGGTGAGGCAGGGCACCCAAGCACCCTTTCCAGTAGCCACAGGGATTTTGGGATTCCTATCAGTATTCAAGAGGAGTCAGGCATCGTCACCTTTTGAAGCAATGAACTAAGCGTGCCTCTCGAGGTGTCAGCGGGATGTGGGGCATTCCGTCAAAATGAGGCAGGGACCTAGGGCTTTCTCTAAGGTCTCCACAGGGGATTCAGACATCCCTTCATGTTGTGAGATGAAAGACAAGCCTGTATTCAAGCCACTGCAAGGAAATTCGGCCTCCTTTCAAGTTAGGGCTTCTCGGTGTATATTCCCCTTGAGGCAGCAAACTCGGGGTCCCTCCCACATACCTATTGCTGAGAGAAGCCTCCTCCTGAGGTGCTTCTGGGAAGTTGGCATACGTCTTGAGCCTAAGCCAGGGAATCAGCTCTCATCTCGAGACGATTTGGGTTACACGGAGCATTCCTCGAGTTGCTGTGCTGAAGTTGGTCTTCCTCTAGACTTGGGACAGTGTTCTCGGGGCATCTCTGGAGTTGCCTGAAGGAAGTCGAGCCACCGGTCGTGTTGAATGAGGAACGGGGAATGGCTCTGGAGTCAATGCAGGGGAATTGGGCCTCATCTCGAGTTGATTTGGGGCACATGGAGCTGCTTTGCGTTGCTGGGGTGACCTCAGGGTCCTTCTAGACTGGTGACAGTGTTCTTGGGGACTGTCTCGAGATCCATTAAGCAAGTCGAAGCTCCTGACTTGTTTGAATGGGATCACGGAATAGCTCTGCATGCACTGCAGGGGAATGGGGCCTCATCTCGCCTCTAGGGGGAAGTCTCATGGTTTTTCTCGAGTTGCGGCGGGGACCTGGGGTATGTTCTCGACTTACGGCGGGGATGGCCCTTCAAATCATGAGTTTCTTCAGTGAGATCAGGACTCCTGTCTAGTAACGAGGGACACCTCAGGAATGTCTTCGAGGCTTCGCAGGGCAAAAGGGACGCTTCTCGAGGTGAGGCAGGGCACCCAAGGACCCTTTCCAGTAGCCACAGGGATTTTGGGATTCCTATCAGTATTCAAGAGGAGTCAGGCATCGTCACCTTTTGAAGCAATGAACTCCGCGTGCCTCTCGAGGTGTCAGCGTGATGTGGGGCATTCCGTCAAAATGAGGCAGGGACCTAGGGCTTTCTCTAAGGTCTCCACAGGGGATTCAGACATCCCTTCATGTTGTGAGATGAAAGACAAGCCTGTATTCAAGCCACTGCAAGGAAATCCGGCCTCCTTTCAAGTTAGGGCTTCTCGGTGTATATTCCCCTTGAGGCAGCAAACTCGGGGTCCCTCCCACATACCTATTGCTGAGAGAAGCCTCCTCCTGAGGTGCTTCTGTGAAGTTGGCATACGTCTTGAGCCTAAGCCAGGGAATCAGCTCTCATCTCGAGACGATTTGGGGTACACGGAGCATTCCTCGAGTTGCTGTGCTGAAGTTGGTCTTCCTCTAGACTTGGGACAGTGTTCTCGGGGCATCTCTGGAGTTGCCTGAAGGAAGTCGAGCCACCGGTCGTGTTGAGTGGGGAACGGGGAATGGCTCTGGAGTCAATGCAGGGGAATCGGGCCTCATCTCGAGTTGATTTGGGGCACATGGAGCTGCTTTGCGTTGCTGGGGTGACCTCAGGGTCCGTCTAGACTGGTGACAGTGATCTTGGGGACTGTCTCGAGATCCATTAAGCAAGTCGAAGCTCCTGACTTGTTTGAATGGGATCACGGAATAGCTCTGCATGCACTGCAGGGGAATGGGGCCTCATCTCGCCTCTAGGGGGAAGTCTCATGGTTTTTCTTGAGTTGCGGCGGGGACCTGGGGTATGTTCTCGACTTACGGCGGGGATGGTCCTTCAAATCATGAGTTTCTTCAGTGAGGTCAGGACTCCTGTCTAGTAACGAGGGACACCTCAGGAATCTCTTCGAGGCTTGGCAGGGCAAAAGGGACGCTTCTCGAGGTGAGGCAGGGCACCCAAGGACCCTTTCCAGTAGCCACAGGGATTTTGGGATTCCTATCAGTATTCAAGAGGAGTCAGGCATCGTCACCTTTTGAAGCAATGAACTCCGCGTGCCTCTCGAGGTGTCAGCGGGATGTGAGGCATTCCGTCAAAATGAGGCAGGGACCTAGGGCTTTCTCTAAGGTCTCCACAGGGGATTCAGACATCCCTTCATGTTGTGAGATGAAAGACGAGCCTGTATTCAAGCCACTGCAAGGAAATCCGGCCTCCTTTCAAGTTAGGGCTTCTCGCTGTATATTCCCCTTGAGGCAGCAAACTCGGGGTCCCTCCCACATACCTATTGCTGAGAGAAGCCTCCTCCTGAGGTGCTTCTGGGAAGTTGGCATACGTCTTGAGCCTAAGCCAGGGAATCAGCTCTCATCTCGAGACGATTTGGGGTACACGGAGCATTCCTCGAGTTGCTGTGCTGAAGTTGGACTTCCTCTAGACTTGGGACAGTGTTCTCGGGGCATCTCTGGAGTTGCCTGAAGGAAGTCGAGCCACCGGTCGTGTTGAGTGGGGTAGGGGGAATGGCTCTGGAGTCAATGCAGGGGAATCGGGCCTCATCTCGAGTTGATTTGGGGCACATGGAGCTGCTTTGCGTTGCTGGGGTGACCTCAGGGTCCGTCTAGACTGGTGACAGTGATCTTGGGGACTGTCTCGAGATCCATTAAGCAAGTCGAAGCTCCTGACTTGTTTGAATGGGATCACGGAATAGCTCTGCATGCACTGCAGGGGAATGGGGCCTCATCTCGCCTCTAGGGGGAAGTCTCATGGTTTTTCTCGAGTTGCGGCGGGGACCTGGGGTATGTTCTCGACTTACGGCGGGGATGGCCCTTCAAAACACGAGTTTCTTCAGTGACGTCAGGACTCCTGTCTAGTAACGAGGGACACCTCAGGAATCTCTTCGAGGCTTGGCAGGGCCAAAGGGACGCTTCTCGAGGTGAGGCAGGGCACCCAAGGACCCTTTCCAGTAGCCACAGGGATTTTGGGATTCCTATCAGTATTCAAGAGGAGTCAGGCATCGTCACCTTTTGAAGCAATGAACTCCGCGTGCCTCTCGAGGTGTCAGCGGGATGTGGGGCATTCCGTCAAAATGAGGCAGGGACCTAGGGCTTTCTCTAAGGTCTCCACAGGGGATTCAGACATCCCTTCATGTTGTGAGATGAAAGACGAGCCTGTATTCAAGCCACTGCAAGGAAATCCGGCCTCCTTTCAAGTTAGGGCTTCTCGCTGTATATTCCCCTTGAGGCAGCAAACTCGGGGTCCCTCCCACATACCTATTGCTGAGAGAAGCCTCCTCCTGAGGTGCTTCTGGGAAGTTGGCATACGTCTTGAGCCTAAGCCAGGGAATCAGCTCTCATCTCGAGACGATTTGGGTTACACGGAGCATTCCTCGAGTTGCTGTGCTGAAGTTGGTCTTCCTCTAGACTTGGGACAGTGTTCTCGGGGCATCTCTGGAGTTGCCTGAAGGAAGTCGAGCCACCGGTCGTGTTGAATGGGGAACGGGGAATGGCTCTGGAGTCAATGCAGGGGAATCGAGCCTCATCTCGAGTTGATTTGGGGCACATGGAGCTGTTTTGCGTGGCTGGGGTGACCTCAGGGTCCGTCTAGACTAGTGACAGTGTTCTTGGGTACTGTCTCGAGATCCATTAAGCAAGTCGAAGCTCCTGACTTGTTTGAATGGGATCACGGAATAGCTCTGCATGCCCTGCAGGGGAATGGGGCCTCATCTCGCCTCTAGGGGGAAGTCTCATGGTTTTTCTCGAGTTGCGGCGGGGACCTGCGGTATGTTCTCGACTTACGGCGGGGATGGCCCTTCAAAACACGAGTTTCTTCAGTGACGTCAGGACTCCAGTCTAGTAACGAGGGACACCTCAGGAATCTCTTAGAGGCTTGGCAGGGCCAAAGGGACGCTTCTCGAGGTGAGGCAGGGCACCCAAGGACCCTTTCCAGTAGCCACAGGGATTTTGGGATTCCTATCAGTATTCAAGAGGAGTCAGGCATCGTCACCTTTTGAAGCAATGAACTCCGCGTGCCTCTCGAGGTGTCAGCGGGATGTGAGGCATTCCGTCAAAATGAGGCAGGGACCTAGGGCTTTCTCTAAGGTCTCCACAGGGGATTCAGACATCCCTTCATGTTGTGAGATGAAAGACGAGCCTGTATTCAAGCCACTGCAAGGAAATCCGGCCTCCTTTCAAGTTAGGGCTTCTCGCTGTATATTCCCCTTGAGGCAGCAAACTCGGGGTCCCTCCCACATACCTATTGTTGAGAGAAGCCTCCTCCTGAGGTGCTTCTGGGAAGTTGGCATACGTCTTGAGCCTAAGCCAGGGAATCAGCTCGCATCTCGAGACGATTTGGGGTACACGGAGCATTCCTCGAGTTGCTGTGCTGAAGTTGGTGTTCCTCTAGACTTGGGACAGTGTTCTCGGGGCATCTCTGGAGTTGCCTGAAGGAAGTCGAGCCACCGGTCGTGTTGAATGGGGAACGGGGAATGGCTCTGGAGTCAATGCAGGGGAATCGGGCCTCATCTCGAGTTGATTTGGGGCACATGGAGCTGCTTTGCGTTGCTGGGGTGACCTCAGGGTCCGTCTAGACTGGTGACAGTGTTCTTGGGGACTGTCTCGAGATCCATTAAGCAAGTCGAAGCTCCTGACTTGCTTGAATGGGATCACGGAATAGCTCTGCATGCACTGCAGGGGAATGGGGCCTCATCTCGCCTCTAGGGGGAAGTCTCATGGTTTTTCTCAAGTTGCGGCGGGGACCTGGGGTATGTTCTCGACTTACGGCGGGGATGGCCCTTCAAAACACGAGTCTCTTCAGTGACGTCAGGACTCCTGTCTAGTAACGAGGGACACCTCAGGAATCTCTTCGAGGCTTGGCAGGGCCAAAGGGACGCTTCCCGAGGTGAGGCAGGGCACCCAAGGACCCTTTCCAGTAGCCACAGAGATTTTGGGATTCCTATCAGTATTCAAGAGGAGTCAGGCATCGTCACCTTTTGAAGCAATGAACTCCGCTTGCCTCTCGAGGTGTCAGCGGGATGTGAGGCATTCCGTCAAAATGAGGCAGGGACCTAGGGCTTTCTCTAAGGTCTCCACAGGGGATTCAGACATCCCTTCATGTTGTGAAATGAAAGACGAGCCTGTATTCAAGCCACTGCAAGGAAATCCGGCCTCCTTTCAAGTTAGGGCTTCTCGCTGTATATTCCCCTTGAGGCAGCAAACTCGGGGTCCCTCCCACATACCTATTGCTGAGAGAAGCCTCCTCCTGAGGTGCTTCTGGGAAGTTGGCATACGTCTTGAGCCTAAGCCAGGGAATCAGCTCGCATCTCGAGACGATTTGGGGTACACGGAGCATTCCTCGAGTTGCTGTGCTGAAGATGGTGTTCCTCTAGACTTGGGACAGTGTTCTCGGGGCATCTCTGGAGTTGCCTGAAGGAAATCGAGCCACCGGTCGTGTTGAATGGGGAACGGGGAATGGCTCTGGAGTCAATGCAGGGGAATCGGGCCTCATCTCGAGTTGATTTGGGGCACATGGAGCTGCTTTGCGTTGCTGGGGTGACCTCAGGGTCCGTCTAGAATGGTGACAGTGTTCTTGGGGACTGTCTCGAGATCCATTAAGCAAGTCGAAGCTCCTGACTTGTTTGAATGGGATCACGGAATAGCTCTGCATGCACTGCAGGGGAATGGGGCCTCATCTCGCCTCTAGGGGGAAGTCTCATGGTTTTTCTCGAGTTGCGGCGGGGACCTGGGGTATGTTCTCGACTTACGGCGGGGATGGCCCTTCAAAACACGAGTTTCTTCAGTGACGTCAGGACTCCTGTCTAGTAACGAGGGACACCTCAGGAATCTCTTCGAGGCTTGGCAGGGCCAAAGGGACGCTTCCCGAGGTGAGGCAGGGCACCCAAGGACCCTTTCCAATAGCCACAGGGATTTTGGGATTCCTATCAGTATTCAAGAGGAGTCAGGCATCGTCACCTTTTGAAGCAATGAACTCCGCGTGCCTCTCGAGGTGTCAGCGGGATGTGAGGCATTCCGTCAAAATGAGGCAGGGACCTAGGGCTTTCTCTAAGGTCTCCACAGGGGATTCAGACATCCCTTCATGTTGTGAGATGAAAGACGAGCCTGTATTCAAGCCACTGCAAGGAAATCCGGCCTCCTTTCAAGTTAGGGCTTCTCGCTGTATATTCCCCTTGAGGCAGCAAACTCGGGGTCCCTCCCACATACCTATTGCTGAGAGAAGCCTCCTCCTGAGGTGCTTCTGGGAAGTTGGCATACGTCTTGAGCCTAAGACAGGGAATCAGCTCGCATCTCGAGACGATTTGGGGTACACGGAGCATTCCTCGAGTTGCTGTGCTGAAGTTGGTGTTCCTCTAGACTTGGGACAGTGTTCTCGGGGCATCTCTGGAGTTGCCTGAAGGAAGTCGAGCCACCGGTCGTGTTGAATGGGGAACGGGGAATGGCTCTGGAGTCAATGCAGGGGAATCGGGCCTCATCTCGAGTTGATTTGGGGCACATGGAGCTGCTTTGCGTTGCTGGGGTGACCTCAGGGTCCGTCTAGACTGGTGACAGTGTTCTTGGGGACTGTCTCGAGATCCATTAAGCAAGTCGAAGCTCCTGACTTGCTTGAATGGGATCACGGAATAGCTCTGCATGCACTGCAGGGGAATGGGGCCTCATCTCGCCTCTAGGGGGAAGTCTCATGGTTTTTCTCAAGTTGCGGCGGGGACCTGGGGTATGTTCTCGACTTACGGCGGGGATGGCCCTTCAAAACACGAGTCTCTTCAGTGACGTCAGGACTCCTGTCTAGTAACGAGGGACACCTCAGGAATCTCTTCGAGGCTTGGCAGGGCCAAAGGGACGCTTCCCGAGGTGAGGCAGGGCACCCAAGGACCCTTTCCAGTAGCCACAGAGATTTTGGGATTCCTATCAGTATTCAAGAGGAGTCAGGCATCGTCACCTTTTGAAGCAATGAACTCCGCTTGCCTCTCGAGGTGTCAGCGGGATGTGAGGCATTCCGTCAAAATGAGGCAGGGACCTAGGGCTTTCTCTAAGGTCTCCACAGGGGATTCAGACATCCCTTCATGTTGTGAAATGAAAGACGAGCCTGTATTCAAGCCACTGCAAGGAAATCCGGCCTCCTTTCAAGTTAGGGCTTCTCGCGGTATATTCCCCTTGAGGCAGCAAACTCGGGGTCCCTCCCACATACCTATTGCTGAGAGAAGCCTCCTCCTGAGGTGCTTCTGGGAAGTTGGCATACGTCTTGAGCCTAAGCCAGGGAATCAGCTCGCATCTCGAGACGATTTGGTGTACACGGAGCATTCCTCGAGTTGCTGTGCTGAAGATGGTGTTCCTCTAGACTTGGGACAGTGTTCTCGGGGCATCTCTGGAGTTGCCTGAAGGAAATCGAGCCACCGGTCGTGTTGAATGGGGAACGGGGAATGGCTCTGGAGTCAATGCAGGGGAATCGGGCCTCATCTCGAGTTGATTTGGGGCACATGGAGCTGCTTTGCGTTGCTGGGGTGACCTCAGGGTCCGTCTAGAATGGTGACAGTGTTCTTGGGGACTGTCTCGAGATCCATTAAGCAAGTCGAAGCTCCTGACTTGTTTGAATGGGATCACGGAATAGCTCTGCATGCACTGCAGGGGAATGGGGCCTCATCTCGCCTCTAGGGGGAAGTCTCATGGTTTTTCTCGAGTTGCGGCGGGGACCTGGGGTATGTTCTCGACTTACGGCGGGGATGGCCCTTCAAAACACGAGTTTCTTCAGTGACGTCAGGACTCCTGTCTAGTAACGAGGGACACCTCAGGAATCTCTTCGAGGCTTGGCAGGGCCAAAGGGACGCTTCCCGAGGTGAGGCAGGGCACCCAAGGACCCTTTCCAATAGCCACAGGGATTTTGGGATTCCTATCAGTATTCAAGAGGAGTCAGGCATCGTCACCTTTTGAAGCAATGAACTCCGCGTGCCTCTCGAGGTGTCAGCGGGATGTGAGGCATTCCGTCAAAATGAGGCAGGGACCTAGGGCTTTCTCTAAGGTCTCCACAGGGGATTCAGACATCCCTTCATGTTGTGAGATGAAAGACGAGCCTGTATTCAAGCCACTGCAAGGAAATCCGGCCTCCTTTCAAGTTAGGGCTTCTCGCTGTATATTCCCCTTGAGGCAGCAAACTCGGGGTACCTCCCACATACCTATTGTTGAGAGAAGCCTCCTCCTGAGGTGCTTCTGGGAAGTTGGCATACGTCTTGAGCCTAAGCCAGGGAATCAGCTCGCATCTCGAGACGATTTGGGGTACACGGAGCATTCCTCGAGTTGCTGTGCTGAAGTTGGTGTTCCTCTAGACTTGGGACAGTGTTCTCGGGGCATCTCTGGAGTTGCCTGAAGGAAGTCGAGCCACCGGTCGTGTTGAATGGGGAACGGGGAATGGCTCTGGAGTCAATGCAGGGGAATCGGGCCTCATCTCGAGTTGATTTGGGGCACATGGAGCTGCTTTGCGTTGCTGGGGTGACCTCAGGGTCCGTCTAGACTGGTGACAGTGTTCTTGGGGACTGTCTCGAGATCCATTAAGCAAGTCGAAGCTCCTGACTTGCTTGAATGGGATCACGGAATAGCTCTGCATGCACTGCAGGGGAATGGGGCCTCATCTCGCCTCTAGGGGGAAGTCTCATGGTTTTTCTCGAGTTGCGGCGGGGACCTGGGGTATGTTCTCGACTTACGGCGGTGATGGCCCTTCAAAACACGAGTCTCTTCAGTGACGTCAGGACTCCTGTCTAGTAACGAGGGACACCTCAGGAATCTCTTCGAGGCTTGGCAGGGCCAAAGGGACGCTTCCCGAGGTGAGGCAGGGCACCCAAGGACCCTTTCCAGTAGCCACAGGGATTTTGGGATTCCTATCAGTATTCAAGAGGAGTCAGGCATCGTCACCTTTTGAAGCAATGAACTCCGCGTGCCTCTCGAGGTGTCAGCGGGATGTGAGGCATTCCGTCAAAATGAGGCAGGGACCTAGGGCTTTCTCTAAGGTCTCCACAGGGGATTCAGACATCCCTTCATGTTGTGAGATGAAAGACGAGCCTGTATTCAAGCCACTGCAAGGAAATCCGGCCTCCTTTCAAGTTAGGGCTTCTCGCTGTATATTCCCCTTGAGGCAGCAAACTCGGGGTCCCTCCCACATACCTATTGTTGAGAGAAGCCTCCTCCTGAGGTGCTTCTGGGAAGTTGGCATACGTCTTGAGCCTAAGCCAGGGAATCAGCTCGCATCTCGAGACGATTTGGGGTACACGGAGCATTCCTCGAGTTGCTGTGCTGAAGTTGGTGTTCCTCTAGACTTGGGACAGTGTTCTCGGGGCATCTCTGGAGTTGCCTGAAGGAAGTCGAGCCACCGGTCATGTTGAATGGGGAACGGGGAATGGCTCTGGAGTCAATGCAGGGGAATCGGGCCTCATCTCGAGTTGATTTGGGGCACATGGAGCTGCTTTGCGTTGCTGGGGTGACCTCAGGGTCCGTCTAGACTGGTGACAGTGTTCTTGGGGACTGTCTCGAGATCCATTAAGCAAGTCGAAGCTCCTGACTTGTTTGAATGGGATCACGGAAAAGCTCTGCATGCCCTGCAGGGGAATGGGGCCTCATCTCGCCTCTAGCGGGAAGTCTCATGGTTTTTCTCGAGTTGCGGCGGGGACCTGGGGTATGTTCTCGACTTACGGCGGGGATGGCCCTTCAAAACACGAGTTTCTTCAGTGACGTCAGGACTCCTGTCTAGTAACGAGGGACACCTCAGGAATCTCTTCGAGGCTTGGCAGGGCCAAAGGGACGCTTCTCGAGGTGAGGCAGGGCACCCAAGGACCCTTTCCAGTAGCCACAGGGATTTTGGGATTCATATCAGTATTCAAGAGGAGTCAGGCATCGTCACCTTTTGAAGCAATGAACTCCGCGTGCCTCTCGAGGTGTCAGCGGGATGTGAGGCATTCCGTCAAAATGAGGCAGGGACCTAGGCCTTTCTCTAAGGTCTCCACAGGGGATTCAGACATCCCTTCATGTTGTGAGATGAAAGACGAGCCTGTATTCAAGCCACTGCAAGGAAATCCGGCCTCCTTTCAAGTTAGGGCTTCTCGCTGTATATTCCCCTTGAGGCAGCAAACTCGGGGTCCCTCCCACATACCTATTGCTGAGAGAAGCCTCCTCCTGAGGTGCTTCTGGGAAGTTGGCATACGTCTTGAGCCTAAGCCAGGGAATCAGCTCGCATCTCGAGACGATTTGGGGTACACGGAGCATTCCTCGAGTTGCTGTGCTGAAGATGGTGTTCCTCTAGACTTGGGACAGTGTTCTCGGGGCATCTCTGGAGTTGCCTGAAGGAAATCGAGCCACCGGTCGTGTTGAATGGGGAACGGGGAATGGCTCTGGAGTCAATGCAGGGGAATCGGGCCTCATCTCGAGTTGATTTGGGGCACATGGAGCTGCTTTGCGTTGCTGGGGTGACCTCAGGGTCCGTCTAGACTGGTGACAGTGTTCTTGGGGACTGTCTCGAGATCCATTAAGCAAGTCGAAGCTCCTGACTTGTTTGAATGGGATCACGGAATAGCTCTGCATGCACTGCAGGGGAATGGGGCCTCATCTCGCCTCTAGGGGGAAGTCTCATTGTTTTTCTCGAGTTGCGGCGGGGACCTGGGGTATGTTCTCGACTTACGGCGGGGATGGCCCTTCAAATCATGAGTTTCTTCAGTGAGGTCAGGACTCCTGTCTAGTAATGAGGGACACCACAGGAATCTCTTCGAGGCTTGGCAGGGCAAAAGGGACGCTTCTCGCGGTGAGGCAGGGCACCCAAGGACCCTTTCCAGTAGCCACAGGGATTTTGGGATTCCTATCAGTATTCAAGAGGAGTCAGGCATCGTCACCTTTTGAAGCAATGAACTCCGCGTGCCTCTCGAGGTGTCAGCGGGATGTGAGGCATTCCGTCAAAATGAGGCAGGGACCTAGGGCTTTCTCTAAGGTCTCCACAGGGGATTCAGACATCCCTTCATGTTGTGAGATGAAAGACGAGCCTGTATTCAAGCCACTGCAAGGAAATCCGGCCTCCTTTCAAGTTAGGGCTTCTCGCTGTATATTCCCCTTGAGGCAGCAAACTCGGGGTCCCTCCCACATACCTATTGCTGAGAGAAGCCTCCTCCTGAGGTGCTTCTGGGAAGTTGGCATACGTCTTGAGCCTAAGCCAGGGAATCAGCTCTCATCTCGAGACGATTTGGGGAACACGGAGCATTCCTCGAGTTGCTGTGCTGAAGTTGGTGTTCCTCTAGACTTGGGACAGTGTTCTCGGGTCATCTCTGAAGTTTCCTGAAGGAAGTCGAGCCAACGGTCGTGTTGAGTGGGGAACGGGGAATGGCTCTGGAGTCAATTCAGGTGAATCGGGCCTCATCTCGAGTTGATTTGGGGCACATGGAGCTGCTTTGCGTTGCTGGGGTGACCTCAGGGTCCGTCTAGACTGGTGACAGTGTTCTTGGGGACTGTCTCGAGATCCATTAAGCAAGTCGAAGCTCCTGACTTGTTTGAATGGGATCACGGAATAGCTCTGCATGCACTGCAGGGGAATGGGGCCTCATCTCGCCTCCAGGGGGAAGTCTCATGGTTTTTCTCGAGTTGCGGCGGGGACCTGGGGTATGTTCTCGACTTACGGCGGGGATGGCCCTTCAAAACACGAGTTTCTTCATTGACGTCAGGACTCCTGTCTAGTAACGAGGGACACCTCAGGAATCTCTTCGAGGCTTGGCAGGGCAAAAGGGACGCTTCTCGAGGTGAGGCAGGGCACCCAAGCACCCTTTCCAGTAGCCAGAGGGATTTTGGGATTCCTATCAGTATTCAAGAGGAGTCAGGCATCGTCACCTTTTGAAGCAATGAACTCCGCGTGCCTCTCGAGGTGTCAGCGGGATGTGGGGCATTCCGTCAAAATGAGGCAGGGACCTAGGGCTTTCTCTAAGGTCTCCACAGGGGATTCAGACATCCCTTCCTGTTGTGAGATGAAAGACTAGCCTGTATTCAAGCCACTGCAAGGAAATCCGGCCTCCTTTCAAGTTAGGGCTTCTCGCTGTATATTCCCCTTGAGGCAGCAAACTCGGGGTCCCTCCCACATACCTATTGCTGAGAGAAGCCTCCTCCTGAGGTGCTTCTGGGAAGTTGGCATACGTCTTGAGCCTAAGCCAGGGAATCAGCTCTCATCTCGAGACGATTTGGGTTACACGGAGCATTCCTCGAGTTGCTGTGCTGAAGATGGTCTTCCTCTAGACTTGGGACAGTGTTCTCGGGGCATTACTGGAGTTGCCTGAAGGAAGTCGAGCCACCGGTCGTGTTGAATGAGGAACGGGGAATGGCTCTGGGGTCAATGCAGGGGAATCGGGCCTCATCTCGAATTGATTTGTGGCACATGGAGCTGCTTGGCGTTGCTGGGGTGACCTCAGGATCCTTCTAGACTGGTGACAGTGTTCTTGGGGACTGTCTCGAGATCCATTAAGCAAGTCGAAGCTCCTGACTTGTTTGAATGGGATCACGGAATAGCTCTCCATGCACTGCAGGGGAATGGGGCCTCATCTCGCCTCTAGGGGGAAGTCTCATGGTTTTTCTCGAGTTGCGGCGGGGACCTGGGTTATGTTCTCGACTTACGGCGGGGATGGCCCTTCAAATCATGAGTTTCTTCAGTGAGATCAGGACTCCTGTCTAGTAACGAGGGACACCTCAGGAATGTCTTCGAGGCTTCGCAGGGCAAAAGGGACGCTTCTCGAGGTGAGGCAGGCACCCAAGGACCCTTTCCAGTAGCCACAGGGATTTTGGGATTCCTATCAGTTTTCAAGAGGAGTCAGGCATCGTCACCTTTTGAAGCAATGAACTCCGCGTGCCTCTCGAGGTGTCAGCGGGATGTGAGGCATTCCGTCAAAATGAGGCAGGGACCTAGGGCTTTCTCTAAGGTCTCCACAGGGGATTCAGACATCCCTTCATGTTGTGAGATGAATGACAAGCCTGTATTCAAGCCACTGCAAGGAAATCCGGCCTCCTTTCAAGTTAGGGCTTCTCGCTGTATATTCCCCTTGAGGCAGCAAACTCGGGGTCCCTCCCACATACCTATTGCTGAGAGAAGCCTCCTCCTGAGGTGCTTCTGGGAAGTTGGCATACGTCTTGAGCCTAAGCCAGGGAATCAGCTCTCATCTCGAGACGATTTGGGGTACACGGAACATTCCTCGAGTTGCTGTGCTGAAGTTGGTCTTCCTCTAGACTTGGGACAGTGTTCTCGGGGCATCTCTGGAGTTGCCTGAAGGAAGTCGAGCCACAGGTCGTGTTGAATGGGGAACGCGGAATGGCTCTGGAGTCAATGCAGGGGAATCGGGCCTCATCTCGAGTTGATTTGGGGCACATGGAGCTGCTTTGCGTTGCTGGGGTGACCTCAGGGTCCGTCTAGACTGGTGACAGTGTTCTTGGGGACTGTCTCGAGATCCATTAAGCAAGTCGAAGCTCCTGACTTGCTTGAATGGGATCACGGAATAGCTCTGCATGCACTGCAGGGGAATGGGGCCTCATCTCGCCTCTAGGGGGAAGTCTCATGGTTTTTCTTGAGTTGCGGCGGGGACCTGGGGTATGTTCTCGACTTATGGCGGGGATGGTCCTTCAAATCATGAGTTTCTTCAGTGAGGTCAGGACTCCTGTCTAATAACGAGGGACACCTCAGGAATCTCTTCGAGGCTTGGCAGGGCAAAAGGGACGCTTCTCGAGGTGAGGCAGGGCACCCAAGGACCCTTTCCAGTAGCCACAGGGATTTTGGGATTCCTATCAGTATTCAAGAGGAGTCAGGCATCATCACCTTTTGAAGCAATGAACTCCGCGTGCCTCTCGAGGTGTCAGCGGGATGTGAGGCATTCCGTCAAAATGAGGCAGGGACCTAGGGCTTTCTCTAAGGTCTCCACAGGGGATTCAGACATCCCTTCATGTTGTGAGATGAAAGACGAGCCTGTATTCAAGCCACTGCAAGGAAATCCGGCCTCCTTTCAAGTTAGGGCTTCTCGCTGTATATTCCCCTTGAGGCAGCAAACTCGGGGTCCCTCCCACATACCTATTGCTGAGAGAAGCCTCCTCCTGAGGTGCTTCTGGGAAGTTGGCATACGTCTTGAGCCTAAGCCAGGGAATCAGCTCGCATCTCGAGACGATTTGGGGTACACGGAGCATTCCTCGAGTTGCTGTGCTGAAGTTGGTGTTCCTCTAGACTTGGGACAGTGTTCTCGGGGCATCTCTGGAGTTGCCTGAAGGAAGTCGAGCCACCGGTCGTGTTGAATGGGGAACGGGGAATGGCTCTGGAGTCAATGCAGGGGAATCGGGCCTCATCTCGAGTTGATTTGGGGCACATGGAGCTGCTTTGCGTTGCTGGGGTGACCTCAGGGTCCGTCTAGACTGGTGACAGTGTTCTTGGGGACTGTCTCGAGATCCATTAAGGAAGTCGAAGCTCCTGACTTGTTTGAATGGGATCACGGAATAGCTCTGCATGCACTGCAGGGGAATGGGGCCTCATCTCGCCTCTAGGGGGAAGTCTCATGGTTTTTCTCGAGTTGCGGCGGGGACCTGGGGTATGTTCTCGACTTACGGCAGGGATGGCCCTTCAAAACACGAGTTTCTTCAGTGACGTCAGGACTCCTGTCTAGTAACGAGGGACACCTCAGGAATCTCTTCGAGGCTTGGCAGGGCAAAAGGGACGCTTCTCGAGGTGAGGCAGGGCACCCAAGGACCCTTTCCAGTAGCCACAGGGATTTTGGGATTCCTATCAGTATTCAAGAGGAGTCAGGCATCGTCACCTTTTGAAGCAATGAACTCCGCGTGCCTCTCGAGGTGTCAGCGGGATGTGAGGCATTCCGTCAAAATGAGGTAGGGACCTAGGGCTTTCTCTAAGGTCTCCACAGGGGATTCAGACATCCCTTCATGTTGTGAGATGAAAGACGAGCCTGTATTCAAGCCACTGCAAAGAAATCCGGCCTCCTTTCAAGTTAGGGCTTCTCGCTGTATATTCCCCTTGAGGCAGCAAACTCGGGGTCCCTCCCACATACCTATTGCTGAGAGAAGCCTCCTCCTGAGGTGCTTCTGGGAAGTTGGCATACGTCTTGAGCCTAAGCCAGGGAATCAGCTCGCATCTCGAGACGATTTGGGGTACACGGAGCATTCCTCGAGTTGCTGTGCTGAAGTTGGTGTTCCTCTAGACTTGGGACAGTGTTCTCGGGGCATCTCTGGAGTTGCCTGAAGGAAGTCGAGCCACCGGTCGTGTTGAATGGGGAACGGGGAATGGCTCTGGAGTCAATGCAGGGGAATCGGGCCTCATCTCGAGTTGATTTGGGGCACATGGAGCTGCTTTAGGTGCTGGGGTGACCTCAGGGTCCGTCTAGACTGGTGACAGTGTTCTTGGGGACTGTCTCGAGATCCATTAAACAAGTCGAAGCTCCTGACTTGTTTGAATCAGATCACGGCATAGCTCTGCATGCCCTGCAGGGGAATGGGGCCTCATCTCGCCTCTAGGGGGAAGTCTCATGGTTTTTCTCGAGTTGCGGCGGGGACCTGGGGTATGTTCTCGACTTACGGCGGGGATGGCCCTTCAAAACACGAGTTTCTTCAGTGACGTCAGGACTCCTGTCTAGTAACGAGGGACAGCTCAGGAATCTCTTCGAGGCTTGGCAGGGCCAAAGGGACGCTTCTCAATGTGAGGCAGGGCACCCAAGGACCCTTTCCTGTAGCCACAGGGATTTTGGGATTCCTATCAGTATTCAAGAGGAATCAGGCATCGTCACCTTTTGAAGCAATGAACTCCGCGTGCCTCTCGAGGTGTCAGCGGGATGTGAGGCATTCCGTCAAAATGAGGCAGGGACCTAGGGCTTTCTCTAAGGTCTCCACAGGGGATTCAGACATCCCTTCATGTTGTGAGATGAAAGACGAGCCTGTATTCAAGCCACTGCAAGGAAATCCGGCCTCCTTTCAAGTTAGGGCTTCTCGCTGTATATTCCCCTTGAGGCAGCAAACTCGGGGTCCCTCCCACATACCTATTGCTGAGAGAAGCCTCCTCCGGAGGTGCTTCTGGGAAGTTGGCATACGTCTTGAGCCTAAGCCAGGGAATCAGCTCGCATCTCGAGACGATTTGGGGTACACGGAGCATTCCTCGAGTTGCTGTGCTGAAGTTGGTGTTCCTCTAGACTTGGGACAGTGTTCTCGGGGCATCTCTGGAGTTGCCTGAATGAAGTCGAGCCACCGGTCGTGTTGAATGGGGAACGGGGAATGGCTCTGGAGTCAATGCAGGGGAATCGGGCCTCATCTCGAGTTGATTTGGGGCACATGGAACTGCTTTGCGTTGCTGGGGTGACCTCAGGGTCCGTCTAGACTGGTGACAGTGTTCTTGGGGACTGTCTCGAGATCCATTAAGCAAGTCGAAGCTCCTGACTTGTTTGAATGGGATCACGGAATAGCTCTGCATGCACTGCAGGGGAATGGGGCCTCATCTCGCCTCTAGGGGGAAGTCTCATGGTTTTTCTCGAGTTGCGGCGGGGACCTGGGGTATGTTCTCGACTTACGGCGGGGATGGCCCTTCAAAACACGAGTTTCTTCAGTGACGTCAGGACTCCTGTCTAGTAACGAGGGACACCTCAGGAATCTCTTCGAGGCCTGGCAGGGCCAAAGGGACGCTTCCCGAGGTGAGGCAGGGCACCCAAGGACCCTTTCCAGTAGCCACAGGGATTTTGGGATTCCTATCAGTATTCAAGAGGAGTCAGGCATCGTCACCTTTTGAAGCAATGAACTCCGCGTGCCTCTCGAGGTGTCAGCGGGATGTGAGGCATTCCGTCAAAATGAGGCAGGGACCTAGGGCTTTCTCTAAGGTCTCCACAGGGGATTCAGACATCCCTTCATGTTGTGAGATGAAAGACGAGCCTGTATTCAAGCCACTGCAAGGAAATCCGGCCTCCTTTCAAGTTAGGGCTTCTCGCTGTATATTCCCCTTGAGGCAGCAAACTCGGGGTCCCTCCCACATACCTATTGCTGAGAGAAGCCTCCTCCTGAGGTGCTTCTGGGAAGTTGGCATACGTCTTGAGCCTAAGCCAGGGAATCAGCTCTCATCTCGAGACGATTTGGGGTACACGGAGCATTCCTCGAGTTGCTGTGCTGAAGTTGGTGTTCCTCTAGACATGGGACAGTGTTCTCGGGGCATCTCTGGAGTTGCCTGAAGGAAGTCGAGCCACCGGTCGTGTTGAATGGGGAACGGGGAATGGCTCTGGAGTCAATGCAGGGGAATCGGGCCTCATCTCGAGTTGATTTGGGGCACATGGAGCTGCTTTAGGTGCTGGGGTGACCTCAGGGTCCGTCTAGACTGGTGACAGTGTTCTTGGGGACTGTCTCGAGATCCATTAAGCAAGTCGAAGCTCCTGACTTGTTTGAATCGGATCACGGAATAGCTCTGCATGCCCTGCAGGGGAATGGGGCCTCATCCCGCCTCTAGGGGGAAGTCTCATGGTTTTTCTCGAGTTGCGGCGGGGACCTGGGGTATGTTCTCGACTTACGGCGGGGATGGCCCTTCAAAACACGAGTTTCTTCAGTGACGTCAGGACTCCTGTCTAGTAACGAGGGACACCTAAGGAATCTCTTCGAGGCTTGGCAGGGCCAAAGGGATGCTTCTCGAGGTGAGGCAGGGCACCCAAGGACCCTTTCCTGTAGCCACAGGGATTTTGGGATTCCTATCAGTATTCAAGAGGAGTCAGGCATCGTCACCTTTTGAAGCAATGAACTCCGCGTGCCTCTCGAGGTGTCAGCGGGATGTGAGGCATTCCGTCAAAATGAGGCAGGGACCTAGGGCTTTCTCTAAGGTCTCCACAGGGGATTCAGACATCCCTTCATGTTGTGAGATGAAAGACGAGCCTGTATTCAAGCCACTGCAAGGAAATCCGGCCTCCTTTCAAGTTAGGGCTTCTCGCTGTATATTCCCCTTGAGGCAGCAAACTCGGGGTCCCTCCCACATACCTATTGCTGAGAGAAGCCTCCTCCTGAGGTGCTTCTGGGAAGTTGGCATACGTCTTGAGCCTAAGCCAGGGAATCAGCTCGCATCTCGAGACGATTTGGGGTACACGGAGCATTCCTCGAGTTGCTGTGCTGAAGTTGGTGTTCATCTAGACTTGGGACAGTGTTCTCGGGGCATCTCTGGAGTTGCCTGAAGGAAGTCGAGCCACCGGTCGTGTTGAATGGGGAACGGGGAATGGCTCTGGAGTCAATGCAGGGGAATCGGGCCTCATCTCGAGTTGATTTGGGGCACATGGAGCTGCTTTAGGTGCTGGGGTGACCTCAGGGTCCGTCTAGACTGGTGACAGTGTTCTTGGGGACTGTCTCGAGATCCATTAAGCAAGTCGAAGCTCCTGACTTGTTTGAATCGGATCACGGAATAGCTCTGCATGCCCTGCAGGGGAATGGGGCCTCATCCCGCCTCTAGGGGGAAGTCTCATGGTTTTTCTCGAGTTGCGGCGGGGACCTGGGGTATGTTCTCGACTTACGGCGGGGATGGCCCTTCAAAACACGAGTTTCTTCAGTGACGTCAGGACTCCTGTCTAGTAACGAGGGACACCTCAGGAATCTCTTCGAGGCTTGGCAGGGCCAAAGGGATGCTTCTCGAGGTGAGGCAGGGCACCCAAGGACCCTTTCCTGTAGCCACAGGGATTTTGGGATTCCTATCAGTATTCAAGAGGAGTCAGGCATCGTCACCTTTTGAAGCAATGAACTCCGCGTGCCTCTCGAGGTGTCAGCGGGATGTGAGGCATTCCGTCAAAATGAGGCAGGGACCTAGGGCTTTCTCTAAGGTCTCCACAGGGGATTCAGACATCCCTTCATGTTGTGAGATGAAAGACGAGCCTGTATTCAAGCCACTGCAAGGAAATCCGGCCTCCTTTCAAGTTAGGGCTTCTCGCTGTATATTCCCCTTGAGGCAGCAAACTCGGGGTCCCTCCCACATACCTATTGCTGAGAGAAGCCTCCTCCTGAGGTGCTTCTGGGAAGTTGGCATACGTCTTGAGCCTAAGACAGGGAATCAGCTCGCATCTCGAGACGATTTGGGGTACACGGAGCATTCCTCGAGTTGCTGTGCTGAAGTTGGTGTTCCTCTAGACTTGGGACAGTGTTCTCGGGGCATCTCTGGAGTTGCCTGAAGGAAGTCGAGCCACCGGTCGTGTTGAATGGGGAACGGGGAATGGCTCTGGAGTCAATGCAGGGGAATCGGGCCTCATCTCGAGTTGATTTGGGGCACATGGAGCTGCTTTGCGTTGCTGGGGTGACCTCAGGGTCCGTCTAGACTGGTGACAGTGTTCTTGGGGACTGTCTCGAGATCCATTAAGGAAGTCGAAGCTCCTGACTTGTTTGAATGGGATCACGGAATAGCTCTGCATGCACTGCAGAGGAATGGGGCCTCATCTCGCCTCTAGGGGGAAGTCTCATGGTTTTTCTCGAGTTGCGGCGGGGACCTGGGGTATGTTCTCGACTTACGGCGGGGATGGCCCTTCAAAACACGAGTTTCTTCAGTGACGTCAGGACTCCTGTCTAGTAACGAGGGACACCTCAGGAATCTCTTCGAGGCTTCGCAGGGCAAAAGGGACGCTTCTCGAGGTGAGGCAGGGCACCCAAGGACCCTTTCCAGTAGCCACAGGGATTTTGGGATTCCTATCAGTATTCAAGAGGAGTCAGGCATCGTCACCTTTTGAAGCAATGAACTCCGCGTGCCTCTCGAGGTGTCAGCGGGATGTGAGGCATTCCGTCAAAATGAGGCAGGGACCTACGGCTTTCTCTAAGGTCTCCACAGGGGATTCAGACATCCCTTCATGTTGTGAGATGAAAGACGAGCCTGTATTCAAGCCACTGCAAGGAAATCCGGCCTCCTTTCAAGTTAGGGCTTCTCGCTGTATATTCCCCTTGAGGCAGCAAACTCGGGGTCCCTCCCACATACCTATTGCTGAGAGAAGCCTCCTCCTGAGGTGCTTCTGGGAAGTTGGCATACGTCTTGAGCCTAAGCCAGGGAATCAGCTCGCATCTCGAGACGATTTGGGGTACACGGAGCATTCCTCGAGTTGCTGTGCTGAAGTTGGTGTTCCTCTAGACTTGGGACAGTGTTCTCGGGGCATCTCTGGAGTTGCCTGAAGGAAGTCGAGCCACCGGTCGTGTTGAATGGGGAACGGGGAATGGCTCTGGAGTCAATGCAGGGGAATCGGGCCTCATCTCGAGTTGATTTGGGGCACATGGAGCTGCTTTGCGTTGCTGGGGTGACCTCAGGGTCCGTCTAGACTGGTGACAGTGTTCTTGAGGACTGTCTCGAGATCCATTAAGCAAGTCGAAGCTCCTGACTTGTTTGAATGGGATCACGGAATAGCTCTGCATGCACTGCAGGGGAATGGGGCCTCATCTCGCCTCTAGGGGGAAGTCTCATTGTTTTTCTCGAGTTGCGGCGGGGACCTGGGGTATGTTCTCGACTTACGGCGGGGATGGCCCTTCAAAACACGAGTTTCTTCAGTGACGTCAGGACTCCTGTCTAGTAACGGGGGACACCTCAGGAATCTCTTCGAGGCTTGGCAGGGCAAAAGGGACGCTTCTCGAGGTGAGGCAGGGCACCCAAGGACCCTTTCCAGTAGCCACAGGGATTTTGGGATTCCTATCAGTATTCAAGAGGAGTCAGGCATCGTCACCTTTTGAAGCAATGAACTCCGCGTGCCTCTCGAGGTGTCAGCGGGATGTGAGGCATTCCGTCAAAATGAGGCAGGGACCTAGGGCTTTCTCTAAGGTCTCCACAGGGGATTCAGACATCCCTTCATGTTGTGAGATGAAAGACGAGCCTGTATTCAAGCCACTGCAAAGAAATCCGGCCTCCTTTCAAGTTAGGGCTTCTCGCTGTATATTCCCCTTGAGGCAGCAAACTCGGGGTCCCTCCCACATACCTATTGCTGAGAGAAGCCTCCTCCTGAGGTGCTTCTGGGAAGTTGGCATACGTCTTGAGCCTAAGCCAGGGAATCAGCTCGCATCTCGAGACGATTTGGGGTACACGGAGCATTCCTCGAGTTGCTGTGCTGAAGTTGGTGTTCCTCTAGACTTGGGACAGTGTTCTCGGGGCATCTCTGGAGTTGCCTGAAGGAAGTCGAGCCACCGGTCGTGTTGAATGGGGAACGGGGAATGGCTCTGGAGTCAATGCAGGGGAATCGGGCCTCATCTCGAGTTGATTTGGGGCACATGGAGCTGCTTTAGGTGCTGGGGTGACCTCAGGGTCCGTCTAGACTGGTGACAGTGTTCTTGGGGACTGTCTCGAGATCCATTAAACAAGTCGAAGCTCCTGACTTGTTTGAATCAGATCACGGCATAGCTCTGCATGCCCTGCAGGGGAATGGGGCCTCATCTCGCCTCTAGGGGGAAGTCTCATGGTTTTTCTCGAGTTGCGGCGGGGACCTGGGGTATGTTCTCGACTTACGGCGGGGATGGCCCTTCAAAACACGAGTTTCTTCAGTGACGTCAGGACTCCTGTCTAGTAACGAGGGACAGCTCAGGAATCTCTTCGAGGCTTGGCAGGGCCAAAGGGACGCTTCTCGATGTGAGGCAGGGCACCCAAGGACCCTTTCCTGTAGCCACAGGGATTTTGGGATTCCTATCAGTATTCAAGAGGAGTCAGGCATCGTCACCTTTTGAAGCAATGAACTCCGCGTGCCTCTCGAGGTGTCAGCGGGATGTGAGGCATTCCGTCAAAATGAGGCAGGGACCTAGGGCTTTCTCTAAGGTCTCCACAGGGGATTCAGACATCCCTTCATGTTGTGAGATGAAAGACGAGCCTGTATTCAAGCCACTGCAAGGAAATCTGGCCTCCTTTCAAGTTAGGGCTTCTCGCTGTATATTCCCCTTGAGGCAGCAAACTCGGGGTCCCTCCCACATACCTATTGCTGAGAGAAGCCTCCTCCTGAGGTGCTTCTGGGAAGTTGGCATACGTCTTGAGCCTAAGCCAGGGAATCAGCTCGCATCTCGAGACGATTTGGGGTACACGGAGCATTCCTCGAGTTGCTGTGCTGAAGTTGGTGTTCCTCTAGACTTGGGACAGTGTTCTCGGGGCATCTCTGGAGTTGCCTGAAGGAAGTCGAGCCACCGGTCGTGTTGAATGGGGAACGGGGAATGGCTCTGGAGTCAATGCAGGGGAATCGGGCCTCATCTCGAGTTGATTTGGGGCACATGGAGCTGCTTTGCGTTGCTGGGGTGACCTCAGGGTCCGTCTAGACTGGTGACTGTGTTCTTGGGGACTGTCTCGAGATCCATTAAGCAAGTCGAAGCTCCTGACTTGTTTGAATGGGATCACGGAATAGCTCTGCATGCACTGCAGGGGAATGGGGCCTCATCTCGCCTCTAGGGGGAAGTCTCATGGTTTTTCTCGAGTTGCGGCGGGGACCTGGGGTATGTTCTCGACTTACGGCGGGGATGGCCCTTAAAAACACGAGTTTCTTCAGTGACGTCAGGACTCCTGTCTAGTAACGAGGGACACCTCAGGAATCTCTTCGAGGCTTGGCAGGGCCAAAGGGACGCTTCCCGAGGTGAGGAAGGGCACCCAAGGACCCTTTCCAGTAGCCACAGGGATTTTGTGATTCCTATCAGTATTCAAGAGGAATCAGGCATCGTCACCTTTTGAAGCAATGAACTCCGCGTGCCTCTCGAGGTGTCAGCGGGATGTGAGGCATTCCGTCAAAATGAGGCAGGGACCTAGGGCTTTCTCTAAGGTCTCCACAGGGGATTCAGACATCCCTTCATGTTGTGAGATGAAAGACGAGCCTGTATTCAAGCCACTGCAAGGAAATCCGGCCTCCTTTCAAGTTAGGGCTTCTCGCTGTATATTCCCCTTGAGGCAGCAAACTCGGGGTCCCTCCCACATACCTATTGCTGAGAGAAGCCTCCTCCGGAGGTGCTTCTGGGAAGTTGGCATACGTCTTGAGCCTAAGCCAGGGAATCAGCTCGCATCTCGAGACGATTTGGGGTACACGGAGCATTCCTCGAGTTGCTGTGCTGAAGTTGGTGTTCCTCTAGACTTGGGACAGTGTTCTCGGGGCATCTCTGGAGTTGCCTGAATGAAGTCGAGCCACCGGTCGTGTTGAATGGGGAACGGGGAATGGCTCTGGAGTCAATGCAGGGGAATCGGGCCTCATCTCGAGTTGATTTGGGGCACATGGAGCTGCTTTGCGTTGCTGGGGTGACCTCAGGGTCCGTCTAGACTGGTGACAGTGTTCTTGGGGACTGTCTCGAGATCCATTAAGCAAGTCGAAGCTCCTGACTTGTTTGAATGGGATCACGGAATAGCTCTGCATGCACTGCAGGGGAATGGGGCCTCATCTCGCCTCTAGGGGGAAGTCTCATGGTTTTTCTCGAGTTGCGGCGGGGACCGGGGGTATGTTCTCGACTTACTGCGGGGATGGCCCTTCAAAACACGAGTTTCTTCAGTGACGTCAGGACTCCTGTCTAGTAACGAGGGACACCTCAGGAATCTCTTCGAGGCTTGGCAGGGCCAAAGGGATGCTTCTCGAGGTGAGGCAGGGCACCCAAGGACCCTTTCCTGTAGCCACAGGGATTTTGGGATTCCTATCAGTATTCAAGAGGAGTCAGGCATCGTCACCTTTTGAAGCAATGAACTCCGCGTGCCTCTCGAGGTGTCAGCGGGATGTGAGGCATTCCGTCAAAATGAGGCAGGGACCTAGGGCTTTCTCTAAGGTCTCCACAGGGGATTCAGACATCCCTTCATGTTGTGAGATGAAAGACGAGCCTGTATTCAAGCCACTGCAAGGAAATCCGGCCTCCTTTCAAGTTAGGGCTTCTCGCTGTATATTCCCCTTGAGGCAGCAAACTCGGGGTCCCTCCCACATACCTATTGCTGAGAGAAGCCTCCTCCTGAGGTGCTTCTGGGAAGTTGGCATACGTCTTGAGCCTAAGCCAGGGAATCAGCTCGCATCTCGAGACGATTTGGGGTACACGGAGCATTCCTCGAGTTGCTGTGCTGAAGTTGGTGTTCATCTAGACTTGGGACAGTGTTCTCGGGGCATCTCTGGAGTTGCCTGAAGGAAGTCGAGCCACCGGTCGTGTTGAATGGGGAACGGGGAATGGCTCTGGAGTCAATGCAGGGGAATCGGGCCTCATCTCGAGTTGATTTGGGGCACATGGAGCTGCTTTAGGTGCTGGGGTGACCTCAGGGTCCGTCTAGACTGGTGACAGTGTTCTTGGGGACTGTCTCGAGATCCATTAAGCAAGTCGAAGCTCCTGACTTGTTTGAATCGGATCACGGAATAGCTCTGCATGCCCTGCAGGGGAATGGGGCCTCATCCCGCCTCTAGGGGGAAGTCTCATGGTTTTTCTCGAGTTGCGGCGGGGACCTGGGGTATGTTCTCGACTTACGGCGGGGATGGCCCTTCAAAACACGAGTTTCTTCAGTGACGTCAGGACTCCTGTCTAGTAACGAGGGACACCTCAGGAATCTCTTCGAGGCTTGGCAGGGCCAAAGGGATGCTTCTCGAGGTGAGGCAGGGCACCCAAGGACCCTTTCCTGTAGCCACAGTGATTTTGGGATTCCTATCAGTATTCAAGAGGAGTCAGGCATCGTCACCTTTTGAAGCAATGAACTCCGCGTGCCTCTCGAGGTGTCAGCGGGATGTGAGGCATTCCGTCAAAATGAGGCAGGGACCTAGGGCTTTCTCTAAGGTCTCCACAGGGGATTCAGACATCCCTTCATGTTGTGAGATGAAAGACGAGCCTGTATTCAAGCCACTGCAAGGAAATCCGGCCTCCTTTCAAGTTAGGGCTTCTCGCTGTATATTCCCCTTGAGGCAGCAAACTCGGGGTCCCTCCCACATACCTATTGCTGAGAGAAGCCTCCTCCTGAGGTGCTTCTGGGAAGTTGGCATACGTCTTGAGCCTAAGCCAGGGAATCAGCTCGCATCTCGAGACGATTTGGGGTACACGGAGCATTCCTCGAGTTGCTGTGCTGAAGTTGGTGTTCATCTAGACTTGGGACAGTGTTCTCGGGGCATCTCTGGAGTTGCCTGAAGGAAGTCGAGCCACCGGTCGTGTTGAATGGGGAACGGGGAATGGCTCTGGAGTCAATGCAGGGGAATCGGGCCTCATCTCGAGTTGATTTGGGGCACATGGAGCTGCTTTGCGTTGCTGGGGTGACCTCAGGGTCCGTCTAGACTGGTGACAGTGTTCTTGGGGACTGTCTCGAGATCCATTAAGGAAGTCGAAGCTCCTGACTTGTTTGAATGGGATCACGGAATAGCTCTGCATGCACTGCAGAGGAATGGGGCCTCATCTCGCCTCTAGGGGGAAGTCTCATGGTTTTTCTCGAGTTGCGGCGGGGACCTGGGGTATGTTCTCGACTTACGGCGGGGATGGCCCTTCAAAACACGAGTTTCTTCAGTGACGTCAGGACTCCTGTCTAGTAACGAGGGACACCTCAGGAATCTCTTCGAGGCTTCGCAGGGCAAAAGGGACGCTTCTCGAGGTGAGGCAGGGCACCCAAGGACCCTTTCCAGTAGCCACAGGGATTTTGGGATTCCTATCAGTATTCAAGAGGAGTCAGGCATCGTCACCTTTTGAAGCAATGAACTCCGCGTGCCTCTCGAGGTGTCAGCGGGATGTGAGGCATTCCGTCAAAATGAGGCAGGGACCTACGGCTTTCTCTAAGGTCTCCACAGGGGATTCAGACATCCCTTCATGTTGTGAGATGAAAGACGAGCCTGTATTCAAGCCACTGCAAGGAAATCCGGCCTCCTTTCAAGTTAGGGCTTCTCGCTGTATATTCCCCTTGAGGCAGCAAACTCGGGGTCCCTCCCACATACCTATTGCTGAGAGAAGCCTCCTCCTGAGGTGCTTCTGGGAAGTTGGCATACGTCTTGAGCCTAAGCCAGGGAATCAGCTCGCATCTCGAGACGATTTGGGGTACACGGAGCATTCCTCGAGTTGCTGTGCTGAAGTTGGTGTTCCTCTAGACTTGGGACAGTGTTCTCGGGGCATCTCTGGAGTTGCCTGAAGGAAGTCGAGCCACCGGTCGTGTTGAATGGGGAACGGGGAATGGCTCTGGAGTCAATGCAGGGGAATCGGGCCTCATCTCGAGTTGATTTGGGGCACATGGAGCTGCTTTGCGTTGCTGGGGTGACCTCAGGGTCCGTCTAGACTGGTGACAGTGTTCTTGAGGACTGTCTCGAGATCCATTAAGCAAGTCGAAGCTCCTGACTTGTTTGAATGGGATCACGGAATAGCTCTGCATGCACTGCAGGGGAATGGGGCCTCATCTCGCCTCTAGGGGGAAGTCTCATTGTTTTTCTCGAGTTGCGGCGGGGACCTGGGGTATGTTCTCGACTTACGGCGGGGATGGCCCTTCAAAACACGAGTTTCTTCAGTGACGTCAGGACTCCTGTCTAGTAACGGGGGACACCTCAGGAATCTCTTCGAGGCTTGGCAGGGCCAAAGGGACGCTTCCCGAGGTGAGGCAGGGCACCCAAGGACCCTTTCCAGTAGCCACAGGGATTTTGGGATTCCTATCAGTATTCAAGAGGAGTCAGGCATCGTCACCTTTTGAAGCAATGAACTCCGCGTGCCTCTCGAGGTGTCAGCGGGATGTGAGGCATTCCGTCAAAATGAGGCAGGGACCTAGGGCTTTCTCTAAGGTCTCCACAGGGGAATCAGACATCCCTTCATGTTGTGAGATGAAAGACAAGCCTGTATTCAAGCCACTGCAAGGAAATCCGGCCTCCTTTCAAGTTAGGGCTTCTCGCTGTATATTCCCCTTGAGGCAGCAAACTCGGGGTCCCTCCCACATACCTATTGTTGAGAGAAGCCTCCTCCTGAGGTGCTTCTGGGAAGTTGGCATACGTCTTGAGCCTAAGCCAGGGAAACAGCTCGCATCTCGAGACGATTTGGGGTACACGGAGCATTCCTCGAGTTGCTGTGCTGAAGTTGGTGTTCCTCTAGACTTGGGACAGTGTTCTCGGGGCATCTCTGGAGTTGCCTGAAGGAAGTCGAGCCACCGGTCGTGTTGAATGGGGAACGGGGAATGGCTCTGGAGTCAATGCAGGGGAATCGGGCCTCATCTCGAGTTGATTTGGGGCACATGGAGCTGCTTTGCGTTGCTGGGGTGACCTCAGGGTCCGTCTAGACTGGTGACAGTGTTCTTGGGGACTGTCTCGAGATCCATTAAGCAAGTCGAAGCTCCTGACTTGTTTGAATGGGATCACGGAATAGCTCTGCATGCCCTGCAGGGGAATGGGGCCTCATCTCGCCTCTAGGGGGAAGTCTCATGGTTTTTCTCGAGTTGCGGCGGGGACCTGGGGTATGTTCTCGACTTACGGCGGGGATGGCCCTTCAAAACACGAGTTTCTTCAGTGACGTCAGGACTCCTGTCTAGTAACGAGGGACACCTCAGGAATCTCTTCGAGGCTTGGCAGGGCCAAAGGGACGCTTCCCGAGGTGAGGCAGGGCACCCAAGGACCCTTTCCAGTAGCCACAGGGATTTTGGGATTCCTATCAGTATTCAAGAGGAGTCAGGCATCGTCACCTTTTGAAGCAATGAACTCCGCGTGCCTCTCGAGGTGTCAGCGGGATGTGAGGCATTCCGTCAAAATGAGGCAGGGACCTAGGGCTTTCTCTAAGGTCTCCACAGGGGATTCAGACATCCCTTCATGTTGTGAGATGAAAGACGAGCCTGTATTCAAGCCACTGCAAGGAAATCCGGCCTCCTTTCAAGTTAGGGCTTCTCGCTGTATATTCCCCTTGAGGCAGCAAACTCGGGGTCCCTCCCACATACCTATTGTTGAGAGAAGCCTCCTCCTGAGGTGCTTCTGGGAAGTTGGCATACGTCTTGAGCCTAAGCCAGGGAATCAGCTCGCATCTCGAGACGATTTGGGGTACACGGAGCATTCCTCGAGTTGCTGTGCTGAAGTTGGTGTTCCTCTAGACTTGGGACAGTGTTCTCGGGGCATCTCTGGAGTTGCCTGAAGGAAGTCGAGCCACCGGTCGTGTTGAATGGGGAACGGGGAATGGCTCTGGAGTCAATGCAGGGGAATCGGGCCTCATCTCGAGTTGATTTTGGGCACATGGAGCTGCTTTGCGTTGCTGGGGTGACCTCAGGGTCCGTCTAGACTGGTGACAGTGTTCTTGGGGACTGTCTCGAGATCCATTAAGCAAGTCGAAGCTCCTGACTTGTTTGAATGGGATCACGGAATAGCTCTGCATGCCCTGCAGGGGAATGGGGCCTCATCTCGCCTCTAGGGGGAAGTCTCATGGTTTTTCTCGAGTTGCGGCGGGGACCTGGGGTATGTTCTCGACTTACGGCGGGGATGGCCCTTCAAAACACGAGTTTCTTCAGTGACGTCAGGACTCCTGTCTAGTAACGAGGGACACCTCAGGAAACTCTTCGAGGCTTGGCAGGGCCAAAGGGACGCTTCTCGAGGTGAGGCAGGGCACCCAAGGACCCTTTCCAGTAGCCACAGGGATTTTGGGATTCCTATCAGTATTCAAGAATAGTCAGGCATCGTCACCTTTTGAAGCAATGAACTCCGCGTGCCTCTCGAGGTGTCAGCGGGATGTGAGGCATTCCGTCAAAATGAGGCAGGGACCTAGGGCTTTCTCTAAGGTCTCCACAGGGGATTCAGACATCCCTTCATGTTGTGAGATGAAAGACGAGCCTGTATTCAAGCCACTGCAAGGAAATCCGGCCTCCTTTCAAGTTAGGGCTTCTCGCTGTATATTCCCCTTGAGGCAGCAAACTCGGGGTCCCTCCCACATACCTATTGCTGAGAGAAGCCTCCTCCGGAGGTGCTTCTGGGAAGTTGGCATACGTCTTGAGCCTAAGCCAGGGAATCAGCTCTCATCTCGGGACGATTTGGGGTACACGGAGCATTCCTCGAGTTGCTGTGCTGAAGTTGGTGTTCCTCTAGACTTGGGACAGTGTTCTCGGGGCATCTCTGGCGTTGCCTGAAGGAAGTCGAGCCACCGGTCGTGTTGAATGGGGAAAGGGGAATGGCTCTGGAGTCAATGCAGGGGAATCGGGCCTCATCTCGAGTTGATTTGGGGCACATGGAGCTGCTTTGCGTTGCTGGGGTGACCTCAGGGTCCGTCTAGACTGGTGACAGTGTTCTTGGGGACTGTCTCGAGATCCATTAAGCAAGTCGAAGCTCCTGACTTGTTTGAATGGGATCACGGAATAGCTCTGCATGCACTGCAGGGGAATGGGGCCTCATCTCGCCTCTAGGGGGAAGTCTCATGGTTTTTCTCGAGTTGCGGCGGGGACCTGGGGTATGTTCTCGACTTACGGCGGGGATGGCCCTTCAAATCATGAGTTTCTTCAGTGAGGTCAGGACTCCTGTCTAGTAACGAGGGACACCTCAGGAATCTCTTCGAGGCTTGGCAGGGCCAAAGGGACGCTTCCCGAGGTGAGGCAGGGCACCCAAGGACCCTTTCCAGTAGCCACATGGATTTTGGGATTCCTATCAGTATTCAAGAGGAGTCAGGCATCGTCACCTTTTGAAGCAATGAACTCCGCGTGCCTCTCGAGGTGTCAGCGGGATGTGAGGCATTCCGTCAAAATGAGGCAGGGACCTAGGGCTTTCTCTAAGGTCTCCACAGGGGATTCAGACATCCCTTCATGTTGTGAGATGAAAGACGAGCCTGTATTCAAGCCACTGCAAGGAAATCCGGCCTCCTTTCAAGTTAGGGCTTCTCGCTGTATATTCCCCTTGAGGCAGCAAACTCGGGGTCCCTCCCACATACCTATTGCTGAGAGAAGCCTCCTCCTGAGGTGCTTCTGGGAAGTTGGCATACGTCTTGAGCCTAAGCCAGGGAATCAGCTCGCATCTCGAGACGATTTGGGGTACACGGAGCATTCCTCGAGTTGCTGTGCTGAAGTTGGTGTTCCTCTAGACTTGGGACAGTGTTCTCGGGGCATCTCTGGAGTTGCCTGAAGGAAGTCGAGCCACCGGTCGTGTTGAATGGGGAACGGGGAATGGCTCTGGAGTCAATGCAGGGGAATCGGGCCTCATCTCGAGTTGATTTGGGGCACATGGAGCTGCTTTGCGTTGCTGGGGTGACCTCAGGGTCCGTCTAGACTGGTGACAGTGTTCTTGGGGACTGTCTCGAGATCCATTAAGGAAGTCGAAGCTCCTGACTTGTTTGAATGGGATCACGGAATAGCTCTGCATGCACTGCAGGGGAATGGGGCCTCATCTCGCCTCTAGGGGGAAGTCTCATGGTTTTTCTCGAGTTGCGGCGGGGACCTGGGGTATGTTCTCGACTTACGGCGGGGATGGCCCTTCAAAACACGAGTCTCTTCAGTGACGTCAGGACTCCTGTCTAGTAACGAGGGACACCTCAGGAATCTCTTCGAGGCTTGGCAGGGCCAAAGGGACGCTTCCCGAGGTGAGGCAGGGCACCCAAGGACCCTTTCCAGTAGCCACAGAGATTTTGGGATTCCTATCAGTATTCAAGAGGAGTCAGGCATCGTAACCTTTTGAAGCAATGAACTCCGCTTGCCTCTCGAGGTGTCAGCGGGATGTGAGGCATTCCGTCAAAATGAGGCAGGGACCTAGGGCTTTCTCTAAGGTCTCCACAGGGGATTCAGACATCCCTTCATGTTGTGAGATGAAAGACGAGCCTGTATTCAAGCCACTGCAAGGAAATCCGGCCTCCTTTCAAGTTAGGGCTTCTCGCTGTATATTCCCCTTGAGGCAGCAAACTCGGGGTCCCTCCCACATACCTATTGCTGAGAGAAGCCTCCTCCTGAGGTGCTTCTGGGAAGTTGGCATACGTCTTGAGCCTAAGCCAGGGAATCAGCTCGCATCTCGAGACGATTTGGGGTACGCGGAGCATTCCTCGAGTTGCTGTGCTGAAGTTGGTGTTCCTCTAGACTTGGGACAGTGTTCTCGGGGCATCTCTGGAGTTGCCTGAAGGAAGTCGAGCCACCGGTCGTGTTGAATGGGGAACGGGGAATGGCTCTGGAGTCAATGCAGGGGAATCGGGCCTCATCTCGAGTTGATTTGGGGCACATGGAGCTGCTTTGCGTTGCTGGGGTGACCTCAGGGTCAGTCTAGACTGGTGACAGTGTTCTTGGGGACTGTCTCGAGATCCATTAAGCAAGTCGAAGCTCCTGACTTGTTTGAATGGGATCACGGAATAGCTCTGCATGCCCTGCAGGGGAATGGGGCCTCATCTCGCCTCTAGGGGGAAGTCTCATGGTTTTTCTCGAGTTGCGGCGGGGACCTGCGGTATGTTCTCGACTTACGGCGGGGATGGCCCTTCAAAACACGAGTTTCTTCAGTGACGTCAGGACTCCTGTCTAGTAACGAGGGACACCTCAGGAATCTCTTAGAGGCTTGGCAGGGCCAAAGGGACGCTTCTCGAGGTGAGGCAGGGCACCCAAGGACCGTTTCCAGTAGCCACAGGGATTTTGGGATTCCTATCAGTATTCAAGAGGAGTCAGGCATCGTCACCTTTTGAAGCAATGAACTCCGCGTGCCTCTCGAGGTGTCAGCGGGATGTGAGGCATTCCGTCAAAATGAGGCAGGGACCTAGGGCTTTCTCTAAGGTCTCCACAGGGGATTCAGACATCCCTTCATGTTGTGAGATGAAAGACGAGCCTGTATTCAAGCCACTGCAAGGAAATCCGGCCTCCTTTCAAGTTAGGGCTTCTCGCTGTATATTCCCCTTGAGGCAGCAAACTCGGGGTCCCTCCCACATACCTATTGTTGAGAGAAGCCTCCTCCTGAGGTGCTTCTGGGAAGTTGGCATACGTCTTGAGCCTAAGCCAGGGAATCAGCTCGCATCTCGAGACGATTTGGGGTACACGGAGCATTCCTCGGGTTGCTGTGCTGAAGTTGGTGTTCCTCTAGACTTGGGACAGTGTTCTCGGGGCATCTCTGGAGTTGCCTGAAGGAAGTCGAGCCACCGGTCATGTTGAATGGGGAACGGGGAATGGCTCTGGAGTCAATGCAGGGGAATCGGGCCTCATCTCGAGTTGATTTGGGGCACATGGAGCTGCTTTGCGTTGCTGGGGTGACCTCAGGGTCCGTCTAGACTGGTGACAGTGTTCTTGGGGACTGTCTCGAGATCCATTAAGCAAGTCGAAGCTCCTGACTTGTTTGAATGGGATCACGGAAAAGCTCTGCATGCCCTGCAGGGGAATGGGGCCTCATCTCGCCTCTAGCGGGAAGTCTCATGGTTTTTCTCGAGTTGCGGCGGGGACCTGGGGTATGTTCTCGACTTACGGCGGGGATGGCCCTTCAAAACACGAGTTTCTTCAGTGACGTCAGGACTCCTGTCTAGTAACGAGGGACACCTCAGGAATCTCTTCGAGGCTTGGCAGGGCCAAAGGGACGCTTCTCGAGGTGAGGCAGGGCACCCAAGGACCCTTTCCAGTAGCCACAGGGATTTTGGGATTCATATCAGTATTCAAGAGGAGTCAGGCATCGTCACCTTTTGAAGCAATGAACTCCGCGTGCCTCTCGAGGTGTCAGCGGGATGTGAGGCATTCCGTCAAAATGAGGCAGGGACCTAGGCCTTTCTCTAAGGTCTCCACAGGGGATTCAGACATCCCTTCATGTTGTGAGATGAAAGACGAGCCTGTATTCAAGCCACTGCAAGGAAATCCGGCCTCCTTTCAAGTTAGGGCTTCTCGCTGTATATTCCCCTTGAGGCAGCAAACTCGGGGTCCCTCCCACATACCTATTGCTGAGAGAAGCCTCCTCCTGAGGTGCTTCTGGGAAGTTGGCATACGTCTTGAGCCTAAGCCAGGGAATCAGCTCGCATCTCGAGACGATTTGGGGTACACGGAGCATTCCTCGAGTTGCTGTGCTGAAGTTGGTGTTCCTCTAGACTTGGGACAGTGTTCTCGGGGCATCTCTGGAGTTGCCTGAAGGAAGTCGAGCCACCGGTCGTGTTGAATGGGGAACGGGGAATGGCTCTGGAGTCAATGCAGGGGAATCGGGCCTCATCTCGAGTTGATTTGGGGCACATGGAGCTGCTTTGCGTTGCTGGGGTGACCTCAGGGTCCGTCTAGACTGGTGACAGTGTTCTTGGGGACTGTCTCGAGATCCATTAAGCAAGTCGAAGCTCCTGACTTGTTTGAATGGGATCACGGAATAGCTCTGCATGCACTGCAGGGGAATGGGGCCTCATCTCGCCTCCAGGGGGAAGTCTCATGGTTTTTCTCGAGTTGCGGCGGGGACCTGGGGTATGTTCTCGACTTACGGCGGGGATGGCCCTTCAAATCATGAGTTTCTTCAGTGAGATCAGGACTCCTGTCTAGTAACGAGGGACACCTCAGGAATGTCTTCGAGGCTTCGCAGGGCAAAAGGGACGCTTCTCGAGGTGAGGCAGGCACCCAAGGACCCTTTCCAGTAGCCACAGGGATTTTGGGATTCCTATCAGTTTTCAAGAGGAGTCAGGCATCGTCACCTTTTGAAGCAATGAACTCCGCGTGCCTCTCGAGGTGTCAGCGTGATATGGGGCATTCCGTCAAAATGAGGCAGGGACCTAGGGCTTTCTCTAAGGTCTCCACAGGGGATTCAGACATCCCTTCATGTTGTGAGATGAAAGACAAGCCTGTATTCAAGCCACTGAAAGGAAATCCGGCCTCCTTTCAAGTTAGGGCTTCTCGCTGTATATTCCCCTTGAGGCAGCAAACTCGGGGTCCCTCCCACATACCTATTGCTGAGAGAAGCCTCCTCCTGAGGTGCTTCTGGGAAGTTGGCATACGTCTTGAGCCTAAGCCAGGGAATCAGCTCTCATCTCGAGACGATTTGGGGTACACGGAACATTCCTCGAGTTGCTGTGCTGAAGTTGGTCTTCCTCTAGACTTGGGACAGTGTTCTCGGGGCATCTCTGGAGTTGCCTGAAGGAAGTCGAGCCACAGGTCGTGTTGAATGGGGAACGCGGAATGGCTCTGGAGTCAATGCAGGGGAATCGGGCCTCATCTCGAGTTGATTTGGGGCACATGGAGCTGCTTTGCGTTGCTGGGGTGACCTCAGGGTCCGTCTAGACTGGTGACAGTGTTCTTGGGGACTGTCTCGAGATCCATTAAGCAAGTCGAAGCTCCTGACTTGTTTGAATGGGATCACGGAATAGCTCTGCATGAACTGCAGGGGAATGGGGCCTCATCTCGCCTCTAGGGGGAAGTCTCATGGTTTTTCTTGAGTTGCGGCGGGGACCTGGGGTATGTTCTCGACTTATGGCGGGGATGGTCCTTCAAATCATGAGTTTCTTCAGTGAGGTCAGGACTCCTGTCTAATAACGAGGGACACCTCAGGAATCTCTTCGAGGCTTGGCAGGGCAAAAGGGACGCTTCTCGAGGTGAGGCAGGGCACCCAAGGACCCTTTCCAGTAGCCACAGGGATTTTGGGATTCCTATCAGTATTCAAGAGGAGTCAGGCATCATCACCTTTTGAAGCAATGAACTCCGCGTGCCTCTCGAGGTGTCAGCGGGATGTGAGGCATTCCGTCAAAATGAGGCAGGGACCTAGGGCTTTCTCTAAGGTCTCCACAGGGGATTCAGACATCCCTTCATGTTGTGAGATGAAAGACGAGCCTGTATTCAAGCCACTGCAAGGAAATCCGGCCTCCTTTCAAGTTAGGGCTTCTCGCTGTATATTCCCCTTGAGGCAGCAAACTCGGGGTCCCTCCCACATACCTATTGCTGAGAGAAGCCTCCTCCTGTGGTGCTTCTGGGAAGTTGGCATACGTCTTGAGCCTAAGCCAGGGAATCAGCTCGCATCTCGAGACGATTTGGGGTACACGGAGCATTCCTCGAGTTGCTGTGCTGAAGTTGGTGTTCCTCTAGACTTGGGACAGTGTTCTCGGGGCATCTCTGGAGTTGCCTGAAGGAAGTCGAGCCACCGGTCGTGTTGAATGGGGAACGGGGAATGGCTCTGGAGTCAATGCAGGGGAATCGGGCCTCATCTCGAGTTGATTTGGGGCACATGGAGCTGCTTTGCGTGGCTGGGGTGACCTCAGGGTCCGTCTAGACTGGTGACAGTGTTCTTGGGGACTGTCTCGAGATCCATTAAGCAAGTCGAAGCTCCTGACTTGTTTGAATGGGATCACGGAATAGCTCTGCATGCACTGCAGGGGAATGGGGCCTCATCTCGCCTCTAGGGGGAAGTCTCATGGTTTTTCTCGAGTTGCGGCGGGGACCTGGGGTATGTTCTCGACTTACGGCGGGGATGGCCCTTCAAAACACGAGTTTCTTCAGTGACGTCAGGACTCCTGTCTAGTAACGAGGGACACCTCAGGAATCTCTTCGAGGCCTGGCAGGGCCAAAAGGACGCTTCCCGAGGTGAGGCAGGGCACCCAAGGACCCTTTCCAGTAGCCACAGGGATTTTGGGATTCCTATCAGTATTCAAGAGGAGTCAGGCATCATCACCTTTTGAAGCAATGAACTCCGCGTGCCTCTCGAGGTGTCAGCGGGATGTGAGGCATTCCGTCAAAATGAGGCAGGGACCTAGGGCTTTCTCTAAGGTCTCCACAGGGGATTCAGACATCCCTTCATGTTGTGAGATGAAAGACGAGCCTGTATTCAAGCCACTGCAAGGAAATCCGGCCTCCTTTCAAGTTAGGGCTTCTCGCTGTATATTCCCCTTGAGGCAGCAAACTCGGGGTCCCTCCCACATACCTATTGCTGAGAGAAGCCTCCTCCTGAGGTGCTTCTGGGAAGTTGGCATACGTCTTGAGCCTAAGCCAGGGAATCAGCTCTCATCTCGAGACGATTTGGGGTACACGGAGCATTCCTCGAGTTGCTGTGCTGAAGTTGGTGTTCCTCTAGACATGGGACAGTGTTCTCGGGGCATCTCTGGAGTTGCCTGAAGGAAGTCGAGCCACCGGTCGTGTTGAATGGGGAACGGGGAATGGCTCTGGAGTCAATGCAGGGGAATCGTGCCTCATCTCGAGTTGATTTGGGGCACATGGAGCTGCTTTAGGTGCTGGGGTGACCTCAGGGTCCGTCTAGACTGGTGACAGTGTTCTTGGGGACTGTCTCGAGATCCATTAAGCAAGTCGAAGCTCCTGACTTGTTTGAATCGGATCACGGAATAGCTCTGCATGCCCTGCAGGGGAATGGGGCCTCATCCGGCCTCTAGGGGGAAGTCTCATGGTTTTTCTCGAGTTGCGGCGGGGACCTGGGGTATGTTCTCGACTTACGGCGGGGATGGCCCTTCAAAACACGAGTTTCTTCAGTGACGTCAGGACTCCTGTCTAGTAACGAGGGACACCTCAGGAATCTCTTCGAGGCTTGGCAGGGCCAAAGGGATGCTTCTCGAGGTGAGGCAGGGCACCCAAGGACCCTTTCCTGTAGCCACAGGGATTTTGGGATTCCTATCAGTATTCAAGAGGAGTCAGGCATCGTCACCTTTTGAAGCAATGAACTCCGCGTGCCTCTCGAGGTGTCAGCGGGATGTGAGGCATTCCGTCAAAATGAGGCAGGGACCTAGGGCTTTCTCTAAGGTCTCCACAGGGGATTCAGACATCCCTTCATGTTGTGAGATGAAAGACGAGCCTGTATTCAAGCCACTGCAAGGAAATCCGGCCTCCTTTCAAGTTAGGGCTTCTCGCTGTATATTCCCCTTGAGGCAGCAAACTCGGGGTCCCTCCCACATACCTATTGCTGAGAGAAGCCTCCTCCTGAGGTGCTTCTGGGAAGTTGGCATACGTCTTGAGCCTAAGCCAGGGAATCAGCTCGCATCTCGAGACGATTTGGGGTACACGGAGCATTCCTCGAGTTGCTGTGCTGAAGTTGGTGTTCCTCTAGACTTGGGACAGTGTTCTCGGGGCATCTCTGGAGTTGCCTGAAGGAAGTCGAGCCACCGGTCGTGTTGAATGGGGAACGGGGAATGGGTCTGGAGTCAATGCAGGGGAATCGGGCCTCATCTCGAGTTGATTTGGGGCACATGGAGCTGCTTTGCGTTGCTGGGGTGACCTCAGGGTCCGTCTAGACTGGTGACAGTGTTCTTGGGGACTGTCTCGAGATCCATTAAGGAAGTCGAAGCTCCTGACTTGTTTGAATGGGATCACGGAATAGCTCTGCATGCACTGCAGGGGAATGGGGCCTCATCTCGCCTCTAGGGGGAAGTCTCATGGTTTTTCTCGAGTTGCGGCGGGGACCTGGGGTATGTTCTCGACTTACGGCAGGGATGGCCCTTCAAAACACGAGTTTCTTCAGTGACGTCAGGACTCCTGTCTAGTAACGAGGGACACCTCAGGAATCTCTTCGAGGCTTGGCAGGGCAAAAGGGACGCTTCTCGAGGTGAGGCAGGGCACCCAAGGACCCTTTCCAGTAGCCACAGGGATTTTGGGATTCCTATCAGTATTCAAGAGGAGTCAGGCATCGTCACCTTTTGAAGCAATGAACTCCGCGTGCCTCTCGAGGTGTCAGCGGGATGTGAGGCATTCCGTCAAAATGAGGCAGGGACCTAGGGCTTTCTCTAAGGTCTCCACAGGGGATTCAGACATCCCTTCATGTTGTGAGATGAAAGACGAGCCTGTATTCAAGCCACTGCAAGGAAATCTGGCCTCCTTTCAAGTTAGGGCTTCTCGCTGTATATTCCCCTTGAGGCAGCAAACTCGGGGTCCCTCCCACATACCTATTGCTGAGAGAAGCCTCCTCCTGAGGTGCTTCTGGGAAGTTGGCATACGTCTTGAGCCTAAGCCAGGGAATCAGCTCGCATCTCGAGACGATTTGGGGTACACGGAGCATTCCTCGAGTTGCTGTGCTGAAGTTGGTGTTCCTCTAGACTTGGGACAGTGTTCTCGGGGCATCTCTGGAGTTGCCTGAAGGAAGTCGAGCCACCGGTCGTGTTGAATGGGGAACGGGGAATGGCTCTGGAGTCAATGCAGGGGAATCGGGCCTCATCTCGAGTTGATTTGGGGCACATGGAGCTGCTTTGCGTTGCTGGGGTGACCTCAGGGTCCGTCTAGACTGGTGACAGTGTTCTTGGGGACTGTCTCGAGATCCATTAAGCAAGTCGAAGCTCCTGACTTGTTTGAATGGGATCACGGAATAGCTCTGCATGCACTGCAGGGGAATGGGGCCTCATCTCGCCTCTAGGGGGAAGTCTCATGGTTTTTCTCGAGTTGCGGCGGGGACCTGGGGTATGTTCTCGACTTACGGCGGGGATGGCCCTTAAAAACACGAGTTTCTTCAGTGACGTCAGGACTCCTGTCTAGTAACGAGGGACACCTCAGGAATCTCTTCGAGGCTTGGCAGGGCCAAAGGGACGCTTCCCGAGGTGAGGAAGGGCACCCAAGGACCCTTTCCAGTAGCCACAGGGATTTTGTGATTCCTATCAGTATTCAAGAGGAATCAGGAATCGTCACCTTTTGAAGCAATGAACTCCGCGTGCCTCTCGAGGTGTCAGCGGGATGTGAGGCATTCCGTCAAAATGAGGCAGGGACCTAGGGCTTTCTCTAAGGTCTCCACAGGGGATTCAGACATCCCTTCATGTTGTGAGATGAAAGACGAGCCTGTATTCAAGCCACTGCAAGGAAATCCGGCCTCCTTTCAAGTTAGGGCTTCTCGCTGTATATTCCCCTTGAGGCAGCAAACTCGGGGTCCCTCCCACATACCTATTGCTGAGAGAAGCCTCCTCCGGAGGTGCTTCTGGGAAGTTGGCATACGTCTTGAGCCTAAGCCAGGGAATCAGCTCGCATCTCGAGACGATTTGGGGTACACGGAGCATTCCTCGAGTTGCTGTGCTGAAGTTGGTGTTCCTCTAGACTTGGGACAGTGTTCTCGGGGCATCTCTGGAGTTGCCTGAATGAAGTCGAGCCACCGGTCGTGTTGAATGGGGAACGGGGAATGGCTCTGGAGTCAATGCAGGGGAATCGGGCCTCATCTCGAGTTGATTTGGGGCACATGGAGCTGCTTTGCGTTGCTGGGGTGACCTCAGGGTCCGTCTAGACTGGTGACAGTGTTCTTGGGGACTGTCTCGAGATCCATTAAGCAAGTCGAAGCTCCTGACTTGTTTGAATGGGATCACGGAATAGCTCTGCATGCACTGCAGGGGAATGGGGCCTCATCTCGCCTCTAGGGGGAAGTCTCATGGTTTTTCTCGAGTTGCGGCGGGGACCTGGGGTATGTTCTCGACTTACGGCGGGGATGGCCCTTCAAAACACGAGTTTCTTCAGTGACGTCAGGACTCCTGTCTAGTAACGAGGGACACCTCAGGAATCTCTTCGAGGCCTGGCAGGGCCAAAGGGACGCTTCCCGAGGTGAGGCAGGGCACCCAAGGACCCTTTCCAGTAGCCACAGGGATTCTGGGATTCCTATCAGTATTCAAGAGGAGTCAGGCATCATCACCTTTTGAAGCAATGAACTCCGCGTGCCTCTCGAGGTGTCAGCGGGATGTGAGGCATTCCGTCAAAATGAGGCAGGGACCTAGGGCTTTCTCTAAGGTCTCCACAGGGGATTCAGACATCCCTTCATGTTGTGAGATGAAAGACGAGCCTGTATTCAAGCCACTGCAAGGAAATCCGGCCTCCTTTCAAGTTAGGGCTTCTCGCTGTATATTCCCCTTGAGGCAGCAAACTCGGGGTCCCTCCCACATACCTATTGCTGAGAGAAGCCTCCTCCTGAGGTGCTTCTGGGAAGTTGGCATACGTCTTGAGCCTAAGCCAGGGAATCAGCTCTCATCTCGAGACGATTTGGGGTACACGGAGCATTCCTCGAGTTGCTGTGCTGAAGTTGGTGTTCCTCTAGACATGGGACAGTGTTCTCGGGGCATCTCTGGAGTTGCCTGAAGGAAGTCGAGCCACCGGTCGTGTTGAATGGGGAACGGGGAATGGCTCTGGAGTCAATGCAGGGGAATCGGGCCTCATCTCGAGTTGATTTGGGGCACATGGAGCTGCTTTAGGTGCTGGGGTGACCTCAGGGTCCGTCTAGACTGGTGACAGTGTTCTTGGGGACTCTCTCGAGATCCATTAAGCAAGTCGAAGCTCCTGACTTGTTTGAATCGGATCACGGAATAGCTCTGCATGCCCTGCAGGGGAATGGGGCCTCATCCCGCCTCTAGGGGGAAGTCTCATGGTTTTTCTCGAGTTGCGGCGGGGACCTGGGGTATGTTCTCGACTTACGGCGGGGATGGCCCTTCAAAACACGAGTTTCTTCAGTGACGTCAGGACTCCTGTCTAGTAACGAGGGACACCTCAGGAATCTCTTCGAGGCTTGGCAGGGCCAAAGGGATGCTTCTCGAGGTGAGGCAGGGCACCCAAGGACCCTTTCCTGTAGCCACAGGGATTTTGGGATTCCTATCAGTATTCAAGAGGAGTCAGGCATCGTCACCTTTTGAAGCAATGAACTCCGCGTGCCTCTCGAGGTGTCAGCGGGATGTGAGGCATTCCGTCAAAATGAGGCAGGGACCTAGGGCTTTCTCTAAGGTCTCCACAGGGGATTCAGACATCCCTTCATGTTGTGAGATGAAAGACGAGCCTGTATTCAAGCCACTGCAAGGAAATCCGGCCTCCTTTCAAGTTAGGGCTTCTCGCTGTATATTCCCCTTGAGGCAGCAAACTCGGGGTCCCTCCCACATACCTATTGCTGAGAGAAGCCTCCTCCTGAGGTGCTTCTGGGAAGTTGGCATACGTCTTGAGCCTAAGCCAGGGAATCAGCTCGCATCTCGAGACGATTTGGGGTACACGGAGCATTCCTCGAGTTGCTGTGCTGAAGTTGGTGTTCATCTAGACTTGGGACAGTGTTCTCGGGGCATCTCTGGAGTTGCCTGAAGGAAGTCGAGCCACCGGTCGTGTTGAATGGGGAACGGGGAATGGCTCTGGAGTCAATGCAGGGGAATCGGGCCTCATCTCGAGTTGATTTGGGGCACATGGAGCTGCTTTGCGTTGCTGGGGTGACCTCAGGGTCCGTCTAGACTGGTGACAGTGTTCTTGGGGACTGTCTCGAGATCCATTAAGGAAGTCGAAGCTCCTGACTTGTTTGAATGGGATCACGGAATAGCTCTGCATGCACTGCAGGGGAATGGGGCCTCATCTCGCCTCTAGGGGGAAGTCTCATGGTTTTTCTCGAGTTGCGGCGGGGACCTGGGGTATGTTCTCGACTTACGGCGGGGATGGCCCTTCAAAACACGAGTTTCTTCAGTGACGTCAGGACTCCTGTCTAGTAACGAGGGACACCTCAGGAATCTCTTCGAGGCTTGGCAGGGCAAAAGGGACGCTTCTCGAGGTGAGGCAGGGCACCCAAGGACCCTTTCCAGTAGCCACAGGGATTTTGGGATTCCTATCAGTATTCAAGAGGAGTCAGGCATCGTCACCTTTTGAAGCAATGAACTCCGCGTGCCTCTCGAGGTGTCAGCGGGATGTGAGGCATTCCGTCAAAATGAGGCAGGGACCTAGGGCTTTCTCTAAGGTCTCCACAGGGGATTCAGACATCCCTTCATGTTGTGAGATGAAAGACGAGCCTGTATTCAAGCCACTGCAAGGAAATCCGGCCTCCTTTCAAGTTAGGGCTTCTCGCTGTATATTCCCCTTGAGGCAGCAAACTCGGGGTCCCTCCCACATACCTATTGCTGAGAGAAGCCTCCTCCTGAGGTGCTTCTGGGAAGTTGGCATACGTCTTGAGCCTAAGCCAGGGAATCAGCTCGCATCTCGAGACGATTTGGGGTACACGGAGCATTCCTCGAGTTGCTGTGCTGAAGTTGGTGTTCCTCTAGACTTGGGACAGTGTTCTCGGGTCATCTCTGGAGTTGCCTGAAGGGAGTCGAGCCACCGGTCGTGTTGAATGGGGAACGGGGAATGGCTCTGGAGTCAATGCAGGGGAATCGGGCCTCATCTCGAGTTGATTTGGGGCACATGGAGCTGCTTTGCGTTGCTGGGGTGACCTCAGGGTCCGTCTAGACTGGTGACAGTGTTCTTGGGGACTGTCTCGAGATCCATTAAGCAAGTCGAAGCTCCTGACTTGTTTGAATGGGATCACGGAATAGCTCTGCATGCCCTGCAGGGGAATGGGGCCTCATCTCGCCTCTAGGGGGAAGTCTCATGGTTTTTCTCGAGTTGCGGCGGGGACCTGGGGTATGTTCTCGACTTACGGCGGGGATGGCCCTTCAAAACACGAGTTTCTTCAGTGACGTCAGGACTCCTGTCTAGTAACGAGGGACACCTCAGGAATCTCTTCGAGGCTTGGCAGGGCCAAAGGGACGCTTCCCGAGGTGAGGCAGGGCACCCAAGGACCCTTTCCAGTAGCCACAGGGATTTTGGGATTCCTATCAGTATTCAAGAGGAGTCAGGCATCGTCACCTTTTGAAGCAATGAACTCCGCGTGCCTCTCGAGGTGTCAGCGGGATGTGAGGCATTCCGTCAAAATGAGGCAGGGACCTAGGGCTTTCTCTAAGGTCTCCACAGGGGATTCAGACATCCCTTCATGTTGTGAGATGAAAGACGAGCCTGTATTCAAGCCACTGCAAGGAAATCCGGCCTCCTTTCAAGTTAGGGCTTCTCGCTGTATATTCCCCTTGAGGCAGCAAACTCGGGGTCCCTCCCACATACCTATTGTTGAGAGAAGCCTCCTCCTGAGGTGCTTCTGGGAAGTTGGCATACGTCTTGAGCCTAAGCCAGGGAATCAGCTCGCATCTCGAGACGATTTGGGGTACACGGAGCATTCCTCGAGTTGCTGTGCTGAAGTTGGTGTTCCTCTAGACTTGGGACAGTGTTCTCGGGGCATCTCTGGAGTTGCCTGAAGGAAGTCGAGCCACCGGTCGTGTTGAATGGGGAACGGGGAATGGCTCTGGAGTCAATGCAGGGGAATCGGGCCTCATCTCGAGTTGATTTTGGGCACATGGAGCTGCTTTGCGTTGCTGGGGTGACCTCAGGGTCCGTCTAGACTGGTGACAGTGTTCTTGGGGACTGTCTCGAGATCCATTAAGGAAGTCGAAGCTCCTGACTTGTTTGAATGGGATCACGGAATAGCTCTGCATGCCCTGCAGGGGAATGGGGCCTCATCTCGCCTCTAGGGGGAAGTCTCATGGTTTTTCTCGAGTTGCGGCGGGGACCTGGGGTATGTTCTCGACTTACGGCGGGGATGGCCCTTCAAAACACGAGTTTCTTCAGTGACGTCAGGACTCCTGTCTAGTAACGAGGGACACCTCAGGAAACTCTTCGAGGCTTGGCAGGGCCAAAGGGACGCTTCTCGAGGTGAGGCAGGGCACCCAAGGACCCTTTCCAGTAGCCACAGGGATTTTGGGATTCCTATCAGTATTCAAGAATAGTCAGGCATCGTCACCTTTTGAAGCAATGAACTCCGCGTGCCTCTCGAGGTGTCAGCGGGATGTGAGGCATTCCGTCAAAATGAGGCAGGGACCTAGGGCTTTCTCTAAGGTCTCCACAGGGGATTCAGACATCCCTTCATGTTGTGAGATGAAAGACGAGCCTGTATTCAAGCCACTGCAAGGAAATCCGGCCTCCTTTCAAGTTAGGGCTTCTCGCTGTATATTCCCCTTGAGGCAGCAAACTCGGGGTCCCTCCCACATACCTATTGCTGAGAGAAGCCTCCTCCGGAGGTGCTTCTGGGAAGTTGGCATACGTCTTGAGCCTAAGCCAGGGAATCAGCTCTCATCTCGGGACGATTTGGGGTACACGGAGCATTCCTCGAGTTGCTGTGCTGAAGTTGGTGTTCCTCTAGACTTGGGACAGTGTTCTCGGGGCATCTCTGGAGTTGCCTGAAGGAAGTCGAGCCACCGGTCGTGTTGAATGGGGAAAGGGGAATGGCTCTGGAGTCAATGCAGGGGAATCGGGCCTCATCTCGAGTTGATTTGGGGCACATGGAGCTGCTTTGCGTTGCTGGGGTGACCTCAGGGTCCGTCTAGACTGGTGACAGTGTTCTTGGGGACTGTCTCGAGATCCATTAAGCAAGTCGAAGCTCCTGACTTGTTTGAATGGGATCACGGAATAGCTCTGCATGCACTGCAGGGGAATGGGGCCTCATCTCGCCTCTAGGGGGAAGTCTCATGGTTTTTCTCGAGTTGCGGCGGGGACCTGGGGTATGTTCTCGACTTACGGCGGGGATGGCCCTTCAAATCATGAGTTTCTTCAGTGAGGTCAGGACTCCTGTCTAGTAACGAGGGACACCTCAGGAATCTCTTCGAGGCTTGGCAGGGCCAAAGGGACGCTTCCCGAGGTGAGGCAGGGCACCCAAGGACCCTTTCCAGTAGCCACAGGGATTTTGGGATTCCTATCAGTATTCAAGAGGAGTCAGGCATCGTCACCTTTTGAAGCAATGAACTCCGCGTGCCTCTCGAGGTGTCAGCGGGATGTGAGGCATTCCGTCAAAATGAGGCAGGGACCTAGGGCTTTCTCTAAGGTCTCCACAGGGGATTCAGACATCCCTTCATGTTGTGAGATGAAAGACGAGCCTGTATTCAAGCCACTGCAAGGAAATCCGGCCTCCTTTCAAGTTAGGGCTTCTCGCTGTATATTCCCCTTGAGGCAGCAAACTCGGGGTCCCTCCCACATACCTATTGCTGAGAGAAGCCTCCTCCTGAGGTGCTTCTGGGAAGTTGGCATACGTCTTGAGCCTAAGCCAGGGAATCAGCTCGCATCTCGAGACGATTTGGGGTACACGGAGCATTCCTCGAGTTGCTGTGCTGAAGTTGGTGTTCCTCTAGACTTGGGACAGTGTTCTCGGGTCATCTCTGGAGTTGCCTGAAGGAAGTCGAGCCACCGGTCGTGTTGAATGGGGAACGGGGAATGGCTCTGGAGTCAATGCAGGGGAATCGGGCCTCATCTCGAGTTGATTTGGGGCACATGGAGCTGCTTTGCGTTGCTGGGGTGACCTCAGGGTCCGTCTAGACTGGTGACAGTGTTCTTGAGGACTGTCTCGAGATCCATTAAGCAAGTCGAAGCTCCTGACTTGTTTGAATGGGATCACGGAATAGCTCTGCATGCACTGCAGGGGAATGGGGCCTCATCTCGCCTCTAGGGGGAAGTCTCATGGTTTTTCTCGAGTTGCGGCGGGGACCTGGGGTATGTTCTCGACTTACGGCGGGGATGGCCCTTCAAAACACGAGTTTCTTCAGTGACGTCAGGACTCCTGTCTAGTAACGAGGGACACCTCAGGAATCTCTTCGAGGCTTGGCAGGGCCAAAGGGACGCTTCCCGAGGTGAGGCAGGGCACCCAAGGACACTTTCCAGTAGCCACAGGGATTTTGGGATTCCTATCAGTATTCAAGAGGAGTCAGGCATCGTCACCTTTTGAAGCAATGAACTCCACGTGCCTCTCGAGGTGTCAGCGGGATGTGAGGCATTCCGTCAAAATGAGGCAGGGACCTAGGGCTTTCTCTAAGGTCTCCACAGGGGATTCAGACATCCCTTCATGTTGTGAGATGAAAGACAAGCCTGTATTCAAGCCACTGCAAGGAAATCCGGCCTCCTTTCAAGTTAGGGCTTCTCGCTGTATATTCCCCTTGAGGCAGCAAACTCTGGGTCCCTCCCACATACCTATTGTTGAGAGAAGCCTCCTCCTGAGGTGCTTCTGGGAAGTTGGCATACGTCTTGAGCCTAAGCCAGGGAAACAGCTCGCATCTCGAGACGATTTGGGGTACACGGAGCATTCCTCGAGTTGCTGTGCTGAAGTTGGTGTTCCTCTAGACTTGGGACAGTGTTCTCGGGGCATCTCTGGAGTTGCCTGAAGGAAGTCGAGCCACCGGTCGTGTTGAATGGGGAACGGGGAATGGCTCTGGAGTCAATGCAGGGGAATCGGGCCTCATCTCGAGTTGATTTGGGGCACATGGAGCTGCTTTGCGTTGCTGGGGTGACCTCAGGGTCCGTCTAGACTGGTGACAGTGTTCTTGGGGACTGTCTCGAGATCCATTAAGCAAGTCGAAGCTCCTGACTTGTTTGAATGGGATCACGGAATAGCTCTGCATGCCCTGCAGGGGAATGGGGCCTGATCTCGCCTCTAGGGGGAAGTCTCATGGTTTTTCTCGAGTTGCGGCGGGGACCTGGGGTATGTTCTCGACTTACGGCGGGGATGGCCCTTCAAAACACGAGTTTCTTCAGTGACGTCAGGACTCCTGTCTAGTAACGAGGGACACCTCAGGAATCTCTTCGAGGCTTGGCAGGGCCAAAGGGACGCTTCCCGAGGTGAGGCAGGGCACCCAAGGACCCTTTCCAGTAGCCACAGGGATTTTGGGATTCCTATCAGTATTCAAGAGGAGTCAGGCATCGTCACCTTTTGAAGCAATGAACTCCGCGTGCCTCTCGAGGTGTCAGCGGGATGTGAGGCATTCCGTCAAAATGAGGCAGGGACCTAGGGCTTTCTCTAAGGTCTCCACAGGGGATTCAGACATCCCTTCATGTTGTGAGATGAAAGACGAGCCTGTATTCAAGCCACTGCAAGGAAATCCGGCCTCCTTTCAAGTTAGGGCTTCTCGCTGTATATTCCCCTTGAGGCAGCAAACTCGGGGTCCCTCCCACATACCTATTGTTGAGAGAAGCCTCCTCCTGAGGTGCTTCTGGGAAGTTGGCATACGTCTTGAGCCTAAGCCAGGGAATCAGCTCGCATCTCGAGACGATTTGGGGTACACGGAGCATTCCTCGAGTTGCTGTGCTGAAGTTGGTGTTCCTCTAGACTTGGGACAGTGTTCTCGGGGCATCTCTGGAGTTGCCTGAAGGAAGTCGAGCCACCGGTCGTGTTGAGTGGGGAACGGGGAATGGCTCTGGAGTCAATGCAGGGGAATCGGGCCTCATCTCGAGTTGATTTGGGGCACATGGAGCTGCTTTGCGTTGCTGGGGTGACCTCAGGGTCCGTCTAGACTGGTGACAGTGTTCTTGGGGACTGTCTCGAGATCCATTAAGCAAGTCGAAGCTCCTGACTTGTTTGAATGGGATCACGGAATAGCTCTGCATGCCCTGCAGGGGAATGGGGCCTCATCTCGCCTCTAGGGGGAAGTCTCATGGTTTTTCTCGAGTTGCGGCGGGGACCTGGGGTATGTTCTCGACTTACGGCGGGGATGGCCCTTCAAAACACGAGTTTCTTCAGTGAGGTCAGGACTCCTGTCTAGTAACGAGGGACACCTCAGGAATCTCTTCGAGGCTTGGCAGGGCCAAAGGGACGCTTCTCGAGGTGAGGCAGGGCACCCAAGGACCCTTTCCAGTAGCCACAGGGATTTTGGGATTCCTATCAGTATTCAAGAGGAGTCAGGCATCGTCACTTTTTGAAGCAATGAACTCCGCGTGCCTCTCGAGGTGTCAGCGGGATGTGAGGCATTCCGTCAAAATGAGGCAGGGACCTAGGGCTTTCTCTAAGGTCTCCACAGGGGATTCAGACATCCCTTCATGTTGTGAGATGAAAGACGAGCCTGTATTCAAGCCACTGCAAGGAAATCCGGCCTCCTTTCAAGTTAGGGCTTCTCGCTGTATATTCCCCTTGAGGCAGCAAACTCGGGGTCCCTCCCACATACCTATTGCTGAGAGAAGCCTCCTCCAGAGGTGCTTCTGGGAAGTTGGCATACGTCTTGAGCCTAAGCCAGGGAATCAGCTCGCATCTCGAGACGATTTGGGGTACACGGAGCATTCCTCGAGTTGCTGTGCTGAAGTTGGTGTTCCTCTAGACTTGGGACAGTGTTCTCGGGGCATCTCTGGAGTTGCCTGAAGGAAGTCGAGCCACCGGTCGTGTTGAATGGGGAACGGGGAATGGCTCTGGAGTCAATGCAGGGGAATCGGGCCTCATCTCGAGTTGATTTGGGGCACATGGAGCTGCTTTGCGTTGCTGGGGTGACCTCAGGGTCCGTCTAGACTGGTGACAGTGTTCTTGGGGACTGTCTCGAGATCCATTAAGCAAGTCGAAGCTCCTGACTTGTTTGAATGGGATCACGGAATAGCTCTGCATGCCCTGCAGGGGAATGGGGCCTCATCTCGCCTCTAGGGGGAAGTCTCATGGTTTTTCTCGAGTTGCGGCGGGGACCTGGGGTATGTTCTCGACTTACGGCGGGGATGGCCCTTCAAATCATGAGTTTCTTCAGTGAGGTCAGGACTCCTGTCTAGTAACGAGGGACACCTCAGGAATCTCTTCGAGGCTTGGCAGGGCAAAAGGGACGCTTCTCGAGGTGAGGCAGGGCACCCAGGGACCATTTCCAGTAGCCACAGGGATTTTGGGATTCCTATCAGTATTCAAGAGAAGTCAGGCATCGTCACCTTTTGAAGCAATGAACTCCGCGTGCCTCTCGAGGTGTCAGCGGGATGTGAGGCATTCCGTCAAAATGAGGCAGGGACCTAGGGCTTTCTCTAAGGTCTCCACAGGGGATTCAGACATCCCTTCATGTTGTGAGATGAAAGACGAGCCTGTATTCAAGCCACTGCAAGGAAATCCGGCCTCCTTTCAAGTTAGGGCTTCTCGCTGTATATTCCCCTTGAGGCAGCAAACTCGGGGTCCCTCCCACATACCTATTGCTGAGAGAAGCCTCCTCCTGAGGTGCTTCTGGGAAGTTGGCATTCGTCTTGAGCCTAAGCCAGGGAATCAGCTCTCATCTCGAGACGATTTGGGTTACACGGAGCATACCTCGAGTTGCTGTGCTGAAGTTGGTGTTCCTCTAGACTTGGGACAGTGTTCTCGGGGCATCTCTGGAGTTGCCTGAAGGAAGTCGAGCCACCGGTCGTGTTGAATGGGGAACGGGGAATGGCTCTGGAGTCAATGCAGGGGAATCGGGCCTCATCTCGAGTTGATTTGGGGCACATGGAGCTGCTTTGCGTTGCTGGGGTGACCTCAGGGTCCGTCTAGACTGGTGACAGTGTTCTTGGGGACTGTCTCGAGATCCATTGAGCAAGTCGATGCTCCTGACTTGTTTGAATCGGATCACGGAATAGCTCTGCATGCACTGCAGGGAAATGGGGCCTCATCTCGCCTCTAGGGGGAAGTCTCATGGTTTTTCTCGAGTTGCGGCGGGGACCTGGGGTATGTTCTCGACTTACGGCGGGGATGGCCCTTCAAAACACGAGTCTCTTCAGTGACGTCAGGACTCCTGTCTAGTAACGAGGGACACCTCAGGAATCTCTTCGAGGCTTGGCAGGGCCAAAGGGACGCTTCTCGAGGTGAGGCAGGGCACCCAAGGACCCTTTCCAGTAGCCACAGGGATTTTGGGATTCCTATCAGTATTCAAGAGGAGTCAGGCATCGTCACCTTTTGAAGCAATGAACTCCGCGTGCCTCTCGAGGTGTCAGCGGGATGTGAGGCATTCCGTCAAAATGAGGCAGGGACCTAGGGCTTTCTCTAAGGTCTCCACAGGGGATTCAGACATCCCTTCATGTTGTGAGATGAAAGACGAGCCTGTATTCAAGCCACTGCAAGGAAATCCGGCCTCCTTTCAAGTTAGGGCTTCTCGCTGTATATTCCCCTTGAGGCAGCAAACTCGGGGTCCCTCCCACATACCTATTGCTGAGAGAAGCCTCCTCCTGAGGTGCTTCTGGGAAGTTGGCATACGTCTTGAGCCTAAGCCAGGGAATCAGCTCTCATCTCGAGACGATTTGGGTTACACGGAGCATTCCTCGAGTTGCTGTGCTGAAGTTGGTCTTCCTCTAGACTTGGGACAGTGTTCTCGGGGCATCTCTGGAGTTGCCTGAAGGAAGTCGAGCCACCGATCGTGTTGAATGGGGAACGGGGAATGGCTCTGGAGTCAATGCAGGGGAATCGGGCCTCATCTCGAGTTGATTTGGGGCACATGGAGCTGCTTTGCGTTGCTGGGGTGACCTCAGGGTCCGTCTAGACTGGTGACAGTGTTCTTGGGGACTGTCTCGAGATCCATTGAGCAAGTCGAAGCTCCTGACTTGTTTGAATCGGATCACGGAATAGCTCTGCATGCACTGCAGGGAAATTTGGCCTCATCTCGCCTCTAGGGGGAAGTCTCATGGTTTTTCTCGAGTTGCGGCGGGGACCTGGGGTATGTTCACGACTTACGGCGGGGATGGCCCTTCAAATCATGAGTTTCTTCAGTGAGGTCAGGACTCCTGTCTAGTAATGAGGGACACCACAGGAATCTCTTCGAGGCTTGGCAGGGCAAAAGGGACGCTTCTCGCGGTGAGGCAGGGCACCCAAGCACCCTTTCCAGTAGCCACAGGGATTTTGGGATTCCTATCAGTATTCAAGAGGAGTCAGGCATCGTCACCTTTTGAAGCAATGAACTAAGCGTGCCTCTCGAGGTGTCAGCGGGATGTGGGGCATTCCGTCAAAATGAGGCAGGGACCTAGGGCTTTCTCTAAGGTCTCCACAGGGGATTCAGACATCCCTTCATGTTGTGAGATGAAAGACGAGCCTGTATTCAAGCCACTGCAAGGAAATCCGGCCTCCTTTCAAGTTAGGGCTTCTCGCTGTATATTCCCCTTGAGGCAGCAAACTCGGGGTCCCTCCCACATACCTATTGTTGAGAGAAGCCTCCTCCTGAGGTGCTTCTGGGAAGTTGGCATACGTCTTGAGCCTAAGCCAGGGAATCAGCTCGCATCTCGAGACGATTTGGGGTACACGGAGCATTCCTCGAGTTGCTGTGCTGAAGTTGGTGTTCCTCTAGACTTGGGACAGTGTTCTCGGGGCATCTCTGGAGTTGCCTGAAGGAAGTCGAGCCACCGGTCGTGTTGAATGGGGAACGGGGAATGGCTCTGGAGTCAATGCAGGGGAATCGGGCCTCATCTCGAGTTGATTTGGGGCACATGGAGCTGCTTTGCGTTGCTGGGGTGACCTCAGGGTCCGTCTAGACTGGTGACAGTGTTCTTGGGGACTGTCTCGAGATCCATTAAGCAAGTCGAAGCTCCTGACTTGTTTGAATGGGATCACGGAATAGCTCTGCATGCCCTGCAGGGGAATGGGGCCTCATCTCGCCTCTAGGGGGAAGTCTCATGGTTTTTCTCGAGTTGCGGCGGGGACCTGGGGTATGTTCTCGACTTACGGCGGGGATGGCCCTTCAAAACACGAGTTTCTTCAGTGACGTCAGGACTCCTGTCTAGTAACGAGGGACACCTCAGGAAACTCTTCGAGGCTTGGCAGGGCCAAAGGGACGCTTCTCGAGGTGAGGCAGGGCACCCAAGGACCCTTTCCAGTAGCCACAGGGATTTTGGGATTCCTATCAGTATTCAAGAATAGTCAGGCATCGTCACCTTTTGAAGCAATGAACTCCGCGTGCCTCTCGAGGTGTCAGCGGGATGTGAGGCATTCCGTCAAAATGAGGCAGGGACCTAGGGCTTTCTCTAAGGTCTCCACAGGGGATTCAGACATCCCTTCATGTTGTGAGATGAAAGACGAGCCTGTATTCAAGCCACTGCAAGGAAATCCGGCCTCCTTTCAAGTTAGGGCTTCTCGCTGTATATTCCCCTTGAGGCAGCAAACTCGGGGTCCCTCCCACATACCTATTGCTGAGAGAAGCCTCCTCCGGAGGTGCTTCTGGGAAGTTGGCATACGTCTTGAGCCTAAGCCAGGGAATCAGCTCTCATCTCGGGACGATTTGGGGTACACGGAGCATTCCTCGAGTTGCTGTGCTGAAGTTGGTGTTCCTCTAGACTTGGGACAGTGTTCTCGGGGCATCTCTGGAGTTGCCTGAAGGAAGTCGAGCCACCGGTCGTGTTGAATGGGGAACGGGGAATGGCTCTGGAGTCAATGCAGGGGAATCGGGCCTCATCTCGAGTTGATTTGGGGCACATGGAGCTGCTTTGCGTTGCTGGGGTGACCTCAGGGTCCGTCTAGACTGGTGACAGTGTTCTTGAGGACTGTCTCGAGATCCATTAAGCAAGTCGAAGCTCCTGACTTGTTTGAATGGGATCACGGAATAGCTCTGCATGCACTGCAGGGGAATGGGGCCTCATCTCGCCTCTAGGGGGAAGTCTCATGGTTTTTCTCGAGTTGCGGCGGGGACCTGGGGTATGTTCTCGACTTACGGCGGGGATGGCCCTTCAAAACACGAGTTTCTTCAGTGACGTCAGGACTCCTGTCTAGTAACGAGGGACACCTCAGGAATCTCTTCGAGGCTTGGCAGGGCCAAAGGGACGCTTCCCGAGGTGAGGCAGGGCACCCAAGGACCCTTTCCAGTAGCCACAGGGATTTTGGGATTCCTATCAGTATTCAAGAGGAGTCAGGCATCGTCACCTTTTGAAGCAATGAACTCCGCGTGCCTCTCGAGGTGTCAGCGGGATGTGAGGCATTCCGTCAAAATGAGGCAGGGACCTAGGGCTTTCTCTAAGGTCTCCACAGGGGATTCAGACATCCCTTCATGTTGTGAGATGAAAGACAAGCCTGTATTCAAGCCACTGCAAGGAAATCCGGCCTCCTTTCAAGTTAGGGCTTCTCGCTGTATATTCCCCTTGAGGCAGCAAACTCGGGGTCCCTCCCACATACCTATTGTTGAGAGAAGCCTCCTCCTGAGGTGCTTCTGGGAAGTTGGCATACGTCTTGAGCCTAAGCCAGGGAATCAGCTCGCATCTCGAGACGATTTGGGGTACACGGAGCATTCCTCGAGTTGCTGTGCTGAAGTTGGTGTTCCTCTAGACTTGGGACAGTGTTCTCGGGGCATCTCTGGAGTTGCCTGAAGGAAGTCGAGCCACCGGTCGTGTTGAATGGGGAACGGGGAATGGCTCTGGAGTCAATGCAGGGGAATCGGGCCTCATCTCGAGTTGATTTGGGGCACATGGAGCTGCTTTGCGTTGCTGGGGTGACCTCAGGGTCCGTCTAGACTGGTGACAGTGTTCTTGGGGACTGTCTCGAGATCCATTAAGCAAGTCGAAGCTCCTGACTTGTTTGAATGGGATCACGGAATAGCTCTGCATGCCCTGCAGGGGAATGGGGCCTCATCTCGCCTCTAGGGGGAAGTCTCATGGTTTTTCTCGAGTTGCGGCGGGGACCTGGGGTATGTTCTCGACTTACGGCGGGGATGGCCCTTCAAAACACGAGTTTCTTCAGTGACGTCAGGACTCCTGTCTAGTAACGAGGGACACCTCAGGAATCTCTTCGAGGCTTGGCAGGGCCAAAGGGACGCTTCCCGAGGTGAGGCAGGGCACCCAAGGACCCTTTCCAGTAGCCACAGGGATTTTGGGATTCCTATCAGTATTCAAGAGGAGTCAGGCATCGTCACCTTTTGAAGCAATGAACTCCGCGTGCCTCTCGAGGTGTCAGCGGGATGTGAGGCATTCCGTCAAAATGAGGCAGGGACCTAGGGCTTTCTCTAAGGTCTCCACAGGGGATTCAGACATCCCTTCATGTTGTGAGATGAAAGACGAGCCTGTATTCAAGCCACTGCAAGGAAATCCGGCCTCCTTTCAAGTTAGGGCTTCTCGCTGTATATTCCCCTTGAGGCAGCAAACTCGGGGTCCCTCCCACATACCTATTGTTGAGAGAAGCCTCCTCCTGAGGTGCTTCTGGGAAGTTGGCATACGTCTTGAGCCTAAGCCAGGGAATCAGCTCGCATCTCGAGACGATTTGGGGTACACGGAGCATTCCTCGAGTTGCTGTGCTGAAGTTGGTGTTCCTCTAGACTTGGGACAGTGTTCTCGGGGCATCTCTGGAGTTGCCTGAAGGAAGTCGAGCCACCGGTCGTGTTGAGTGGGGAACGGGGAATGGCTCTGGAGTCAATGCAGGGGAATCGGGCCTCATCTCGAGTTGATTTGGGGCACATGGAGCTGCTTTGCGTTGCTGGGGTGACCTCAGGGTCCGTCTAGACTGGTGACAGTGTTCTTGGGGACTGTCTCGAGATCCATTAAGCAAGTCGAAGCTCCTGACTTGTTTGAATGGGATCACGGAATAGCTCTGCATGCCCTGCAGGGGAATGGGGCCTCATCTCGCCTCTAGGGGGAAGTCTCATGGTTTTTCTCGAGTTGCGGCGGGGACCTGGGGTATGTTCTCGACTTACGGCGGGGATGGCCCTTCAAAACACGAGTTTCTTCAGTGAGGTCAGGACTCCTGTCTAGTAACGAGGGACACCTCAGGAATCTCTTCGAGGCTTGGCAGGGCCAAAGGGACGCTTCTCGAGGTGAGGCAGGGCACCCAAGGACCCTTTCCAGTAGCCACAGGGATTTTGGGATTCCTATCAGTATTCAAGAGGAGTCAGGCATCGTCACTTTTTGAAGCAATGAACTCCGCGTGCCTCTCGAGGTGTCAGCGGGATGTGAGGCATTCCGTCAAAATGAGGCAGGGACCTAGGGCTTTCTCTAAGGTCTCCACAGGGGATTCAGACATCCCTTCATGTTGTGAGATGAAAGACGAGCCTGTATTCAAGCCACTGCAAGGAAATCCGGCCTCCTTTCAAGTTAGGGCTTCTCGCTGTATATTCCCCTTGAGGCAGCAAACTCGGGGTCCCTCCCACATACCTATTGCTGAGAGAAGCCTCCTCCTGAGGTGCTTCTGGGAAGTTGGCATTCGTCTTGAGCCTAAGCCAGGGAATCAGCTCTCATCTCGAGACGATTTGGGTTACACGGAGCATACCTCGAGTTGCTGTGCTGAAGTTGGTGTTCCTCTAGACTTGGGACAGTGTTCTCGGGGCATCTCTGGAGTTGCCTGAAGGAAGTCGAGCCACCGGTCGTGTTGAATGGGGAACGGGGAATGGCTCTGGAGTCAATGCAGGGGAATCGGGCCTCATCTCGAGTTGATTTGGGGCACATGGAGCTGCTTTGCGTTGCTGGGGTGACCTCAGGGTCCGTCTAGACTGGTGACAGTGTTCTTGCGGACTGTCTCGAGATCCATTGAGCAAGTCGATGCTCCTGACTTGTTTGAATCGGATCACGGAATAGCTCTGCATGCACTGCAGGGAAATGGGGCCTCATCTCGCCTCTAGGGGGAAGTCTCATGGTTTTTCTCGAGTTGCGGCGGGGACCTGGGGTATTTTCTCGACTTACGGCGGGGATGGCCCTTCAAAACACGAGTCTCTTCAGTGACGTCAGGACTCCTGTCTAGTAACGAGGGACACCTCAGGAATCTCTTCGAGGCTTGGCAGGGCCAAAGGGACGCTTCTCGAGGTGAGGCAGGGCACCCAAGGACCCTTTCCAGTAGCCACAGGGATTTTGGGATTCCTATCAGTATTCAAGAGGAGTCAGGCATCGTCACCTTTTGAAGCAATGAACTCCGCGTGCCTCTCGAGGTGTCAGCGGGATGTGAGGCATTCCGTCAAAATGAGGCAGGGACCTAGGGCTTTCTCTAAGGTCTCCACAGGGGATTCAGACATCCCTTCATGTTGTGAGATGAAAGACGAGCCTGTATTCAAGCCACTGCAAGGAAATCCGGCCTCCTTTCAAGTTAGGGCTTCTCGCTGTATATTCCCCTTGAGGCAGCAAACTCGGGGTCCCTCCCACATACCTATTGCTGAGAGAAGCCTCCTCCTGAGGTGCTTCTGGGAAGTTGGCATACGTCTTGAGCCTAAGCCAGGGAATCAGCTCTCATCTCGAGACGATTTGGGGTACACGGAGCATTCCTCGAGTTGCTGTGCTGAAGTTGGTCTTCCTCTAGACTTGGGACAGTGTTCTCGGGGCATCTCTGGAGTTGCCTGAAGGAAGTCGAGCCACCGATCGTGTTGAATGGGGAACGGGGAATGGCTCTGGAGTCAATGCAGGGGAATCGGGCCTCATCTCGAGTTGATTTGGGGCACATGGAGCTGCTTTGCGTTGCTGGGGTGACCTCAGGGTCCGTCTAGACTGGTGACAGTGTTCTTGGGGACTGTCTCGAGATCCATTGAGCAAGTCGAAGCTCCTGACTTGTTTGAATCGGATCACGGAATAGCTCTGCATGCACTGCAGGGAAATTTGGCCTCATCTCGCCTCTAGGGGGAAGTCTCATGGTTTTTCTCGAGTTGCGGCGGGGACCTGGGGTATGTTCACGACTTACGGCGGGGATGGCCCTTCAAATCATGAGTTTCTTCAGTGAGGTCAGGACTCCTGTCTAGTAATGAGGGACACCACAGGAATCTCTTCGAGGCTTGGCAGGGCAAAAGGGACGCTTCTCGCGGTGAGGCAGGGCACCCAAGCACCCTTTCCAGTAGCCACAGGGATTTTGGGATTCCTATCAGTATTCAAGAGGAGTCAGGCATCGTCACCTTTTGAAGCAATGAACTAAGCGTGCCTCTCGAGGTGTCAGCGGGATGTGGGGCATTCCGTCAAAATGAGGCAGGGACCTAGGGCTTTCTCTAAGGTCTCCACAGGGGATTCAGACATCCCTTCATGTTGTGAGATGAAAGACAAGCCTGTATTCAAGCCACTGCAAGGAAATCCGGCCTCCTTTCAAGTTAGGGCTTCTCGGTGTATATTCCCCTTGAGGCAGCAAACTCGGGGTCCCTCCCACATACCTATTGCTGAGAGAAGCCTCCTCCTGAGGTGCTTCTGGGAAGTTGGCATACGTCTTGAGCCTAAGCCAGGGAATCAGCTCTCATCTCGAGACGATTTGGGTTACACGGAGCATTCCTCGAGTTGCTGTGCTGAAGTTGGTCTTCCTCTAGACTTGGGACAGTGTTCTCGGGGCATCTCTGGAGTTGCCTGAAGGAAGTCGAGCCACCGGTCGTGTTGAATGAGGAACGGGGAATGGCTCTGGAGTCAATGCAGGGGAATCGGGCCTCATCTCGAGTTGATTTGGGGCACATGGAGCTGCTTGGCGTTGCTGGGGTGACCTCAGGGTCCTTCTAGACTGGTGACAGTGTTCTTGGGGACTGTCTCGAGATCCATTAAGCAAGTCGAAGCTCCTGACTTGTTTGAATGGGATCACGGAATAGCTCTGCATGCACTGCAGGGGAATGGGGCCTCATCTCGCCTCTAGGGGGAAGTCTCATGGTTTTTCTCGAGTTGCGGCGGGGACCTGGGGTATGTTCTCGACTTACGGCGGGGATGGCCCTTCAAATCATGAGTTTCTTCAGTGAGATCAGGACTCCTGTCTAGTAACGAGGGACACCTCAGGAATGTCTTCGAGGCTTCGCAGGGCAAAAGGGACGCTTCTCGAGGTGAGGCAGGGCACCCAAGGACCCTTTCCAGTAGCCACAGGGATTTTGGGATTCCTATCAGTATTCAAGAGGAGTCAGGCATCGTCACCTTTTGAAGCAATGAACTCCGCGTGCCTCTCGAGGTGTCAGCGTGATGTGGGGCATTCCGTCAAAATGAGGCAGGGACCTAGGGCTTTCTCTAAGGTCTCCACAGGGGATTCAGACATCCCTTCATGTTGTGAGATGAAAGACAAGCCTGTATTCAAGCCACTGCAAGGAAATCCGGCCTCCTTTCAAGTTAGGGCTTCTCGGTGTATATTCCCCTTGAGGCAGCAAACTCGGGGTCCCTCCCACATACCTATTGCTGAGAGAAGCCTCCTCCTGAGGTGCTTCTGGGAAGTTGGCATACGTCTTGAGCCTAAGCCAGGGAATCAGCTCTCATCTCGAGACGATTTGGGGTACACGGAGCATTCCTCGAGTTGCTGTGCTGAAGTTGGTCTTCCTCTAGACTTGGGACAGTGTTCTCGGGGCATCTCTGGAGTTGCCTGAAGGAAGTCGAGCCACCGGTCGTGTTGAGTGGGGAACGGGGAATGGCTCTGGAGTCAATGCAGGGGAATCGGGCCTCATCTCGAGTTGATTTGGGGCACATGGAGCTGCTTTGCGTTGCTGGGGTGACCTCAGGGTCCGTCTAGACTGGTGACAGTGATCTTGGGGACTGTCTCGAGATCCATTAAGCAAGTCGAAGCTCCTGACTTGTTTGAATGGGATCACGGAATAGCTCTGCATGCACTGCAGGGGAATGGGGCCTCATCTCGCCTCTAGGGGGAAGTCTCATGGTTTTTCTTGAGTTGCGGCGGGGACCTGGGGTATGTTCTCGACTTACGGCGGGGATGGTCCTTCAAATCATGAGTTTCTTCAGTGAGGTCAGGACTCCTGTCTAGTAACGAGGGACACCTCAGGAATCTCTTCGAGGCTTGGCAGGGCAAAAGGGACGCTTCTCGAGGTGAGGCAGGGCACCCAAGGACCCTTTCCAGTAGCCACAGGGATTTTGGGATTCCTATCAGTATTCAAGAGGAGTCAGGCATCGTCACCTTTTGAAGCAATGAACTCCGCGTGCCTCTCGAGGTGTCAGCGGGATGTGAGGCATTCCGTCAAAATGAGGCAGGGACCTAGGGCTTTCTCTAAGGTCTCCACAGGGGATTCAGACATCCCTTCATGTTGTGAGATGAAAGACGAGCCTGTATTCAAGCCACTGCAAGGAAATCCGGCCTCCTTTCAAGTTAGGGCTTCTCGCTGTATATTCCCCTTGAGGCAGCAAACTCGGGGTCCCTCCCACATACCTATTGCTGAGAGAAGCCTCCTCCTGAGGTGCTTCTGGGAAGTTGGCATACGTCTTGAGCCTAAGCCAGGGAATCAGCTCTCATCTCGAGACGATTTGGGGTACACGGAGCATTCCTCGATTTTCTGTGCTGAAGTTGGTCTTCCTCTAGACTTGGGACAGTGTTCTCGGGGCATCTCTGGAGTTGCCTGAAGGAAGTCGAGCCACCGGTCGTGTTGAGTGGGGAACGGGGAATGGCTCTGGAGTCAATGCAGGGGAATCGGGCCTCATCTCGAGTTGATTTGGGGCACATGGAGCTGCTTTGCGTTGCTGGGGTGACCTCAGGGTCCGTCTAGACTGGTGACAGTGATCTTGGGGACTGTCTCGAGATCCATTAAGCAAGTCGAAGCTCCTGACTTGTTTGAATGGGATCACGGAATAGCTCTGCATGCACTGCAGGGGAATGGGGCCTCATCTCGCCTCTAGGGGGAAGTCTCATGGTTTTTCTCGAGTTGCGGCGGGGACCTGGGGTATGTTCTCGACTTACGGCGGGGATGGCCCTTCAAAACACGAGTTTCTTCAGTGACGTCAGGAGTCCTGTCTAGTAACGAGGGACACCTCAGGAATCTCTTCGTGGCTTGGCAGGGCCAAAGGGACGCTTCTCGAGGTGAGGCAGGGCACCCAAGGACCCTTTCCAGTAGCCACAGGGATTTTGGGATTCCTATCAGTATCCAAGAGGAGTCAGGCATCTTCACCTTTTGAAGCAATGAACTCCGCGTGCCTCTCGAGGTGTCAGCGGGATGTGGGGCATTCCGTCAAAATGAGGCAGGGACCTAGGGCTTTCTCTAAGGTCTCCACAGGGGATTCAGACATCCCTTCATGTTGTGAGATGAAAGACTAGCCTGTATTCAAGCCACTGCAAGGAAATCCGGCCTCCTTTCAAGTTAGGGCTTCTCGCTGTATATTCCCCTTGAGGCAGCAAACTCGGGGTCCCTCCCACATAACTATTGCTGAGAGAAGCCTCCTCCTGAGGTGCTTCTGGGAAGTTGGCATACGTCTTGAGCCTAAGCCAGGGAATCAGCTCTCATCTCGAGACGATTTGGGGTACACGGAGCATTCCTCGAGTTGCTGTGCTGAAGTTGGTCTTCCTCTAGACTTGGGACAGTGTTCTCGGGGCATCTCTGGAGTTGCCTGAAGGAAGTCGAGCCACCGGTTGTGTTGAATGGGGAAAGCGGAATGGCTCTGGAGTCAATGCAGGGGAATCGGGCCTCATCTCGAGTTGATTTGGGGCACATGGAGCTGCTTTGCGTTGCTGGGGTGACGTCAGGGTGCGTCTAGACTGGTGACAGTGTTCTTGGGGACTGTCTCGAGATCCATTAAGCAAGTCGAAGCTCCTGACTTGTTTGAATCGGATCACGGAATAGCTCTGCATGCACTGCAGGGGAATGGGGCCTCATCTCGCCTCTAGGGGGAAGTCTCATGGTTTTTCTCGAGTTGCGGCGGGGACCTGGGGTATGTTCTCGACTTACGGCGGGGATGGCCCTTCAAAACACGAGTTTCTTCAGTGACGTCAGGACTCCTGTCTAGTAACGAGGGACACCTCAGGAATCTCTTCGAGGCTTGGCAGGGCAAAAGGGACGCTTCTCGAGGTGAGGCAGGGCACCCAAGCACCCTTTCCAGTAGCCACAGGGATTTTGGGATTCCTATCAGTATTCAAGAGGAGTCAGGCATCGTCACCTTTTGAAGCAATGAACTCCGCGTGCCTCTCGAGGTGTCAGCGGGATGTGGGGCATTCCGTCAAAATGAGGCAGGGACCTAGGGCTTTCTCTAAGGTCTCCACAGGGGATTCAGACATCCCTTCATGTTGTGAGATGAAAGACTAGCCTGTATTGAAGCCACTGCAAGGAAATCCGGCCTCCTTTCAAGTTAGGGCTTCTCGGTGTATATTCCCCTTGAGGCAGCAAACTCGGGGTCCCTCCCACATACCTATTGCTGAGAGAAGCCTCCTCCTGAGGTGCTTCTGGGAAGTTGGCATACGTCTTGAGCCTAAGCCAGGGAATCAGCTCTCATCTCGAGACGATTTGGGGTACACGGAGCATTCCTCGAGTTGCTGTGCTGAAGTTGGTCTTCCTCTAGACTTGGGACAGTGTTCTCGGGGCATCTCTGGAGTTGCCTGAAGGAAGTCGAGCCACCGGTCGTGTTGAGTGGGGTAGGGGGAATGGCTCTGGAGTCAATGCAGGGGAATCGGGCCTCATCTCGAGTTGATTTGGGGCACATGGAGCTGCTTTGCGTTGCTGGGGTGACCTCAGGGTCCGTCTAGACTGGTGACAGTGATCTTGGGGACTGTCTCGAGATCCATTAAGCAAGTCGAAGCTCCTGACTTGTTTGAATGGGATCACGGAATAGCTCTGCATGCACTGCAGGGGAATTGGGCCTCATCTCGCCTCTAGGGGGAAGTCTCATGGTTTTTCTCGAGTTGCGGCGGGGACCTGGGGTATGTTCTCGACTTACGGCGGGGATGGCCCTTCAAAACACGAGTTTCTTCAGTGACGTCAGGACTCCTGTCTAGTAACGAGGGACACCTCAGGAATCTCTTCGAGGCTTGGCAGGGCCAAAGGGACGCTTCTCGAGGTGAGGCAGGGCACCCAAGGACCCTTTCCAGTAGCCACAGGGATTTTGGGATTCCTATCAGTATTCAAGAGGAGTCAGGCATCGTCACCTTTTGAAGCAATGAACTCCGCGTGCCTCTCGAGGTGTCAGCGGGATGTGGGGCATTCCGTCAAAATGAGGCAGGGACCTAGGGCTTTCTCTAAGGTCTCCACAGGGGATTCAGACATCCCTTCATGTTGTGAGATGAAAGACGAGCCTGTATTCAAGCCACTGCAAGGAAATCCGGCCTCCTTTCAAGTTAGGGCTTCTCGCTGTATATTCCCCTTGAGGCAGCAAACTCGGGGTCCCTCCCACATACCTATTGCTGAGAGAAGCCTCCTCCTGAGGTGCTTCTGGGAAGTTGGCATACGTCTTGAGCCTAAGCCAGGGAATCAGCTCTCATCTCGAGACGATTTGGGTTACACGGAGCATTCCTCGAGTTGCTGTGCTGAAGTTGGTCTTCCTCTAGACTTGGGACAGTGTTCTCGGGGCATCTCTGGAGTTGCCTGAAGGAAGTCGAGCCACCGGTCGTGTTGAATGGGGAACGGGGAATGGCTCTGGAGTCAATGCAGGGGAATCGAGCCTCATCTCGAGTTGATTTGGGGCACATGGAGCTGTTTTGCGTGGCTGGGGTGACCTCAGGGTACGTCTAGACTAGTGACAGTGTTCTTGGGTACTGTCTCAAGATCAATTAAGCAAGTCGAAGCTCCTGACTTGTTTGAATGGGATCACCGAATAGCTCTGCATGCACTGCAGTGGAATGGGGCCTCATCTCGCCTCTAGGGGGAAGTCTCATGGTTTTTCTCGAGTTGCGGCGGGGACCTGGGGTATGTTCTCGACTTACGGCGGGGATGGCCCTTCAAAACACGAGTTTCTTCAGTGACGTCAGGACTCCTGTCTAGTAACGAGGGACACCTCAGGAATCTCTTCGAGGCTTGACAGGGCAAAAGGGACGCTTCTCGAAGTGAGGCAGGTCACCCAAGGACCCTTTCCAGTAGCCATAGGGATTTTGGGATTCCTATCAGTATTCAAGAGGAGTCAGGCATCGTCACCTTTTGAAGCAATGAACTCCGCGTGCCTCTCGAGGTGTCAACTGGATGTGAGGCATTCCGTCAAAATGAGGTAGGGACCTAGGGCTTTCTCTAAGTTCTCCACGGGGGATTCAGACATCCCTTCATGTTTTGAGATCAAAGACGAGCCGGTTTTCAAGACACTGCAAGGAAACCCGGCCTCCTTTCAAGTTAGGGCTTCTCGCTGTATATTCCACTTGAGGCAGCGATCTCGGGGTCCCTCCCACATACCGATTGCTGAGAGAAGCCTCCTCCTGAGGTGCTTCTGGGAAGTTGGCATACGTCTTGAGCCTAAGCCAGGGAATCAGCTCGCATCTCGAGACGATTTGGGGTACACGGAGCATTCCTCGAGTTGCTGTGCTGAAGTTGGTCTTCCTCTAGACTTGGGACAGTGTTCTCGGGGCATCTCTGGAGTTGCCTGAAGGAAGTCGAGCCACCGGTCGTGTTGAATTGGGAAAGGGGAATGGCTCTGGAGTCAATGCAGGGGAATCGGGCCTCATCTCGAGTTGATTTGGGGCACATGGAACTGCTTTGCGTTGCTGGGGTGACCTCCGCGTCCGTCTACACTGGTGACAGTGTTCTTGGGGACTGTCTCGAGATCCATTAAGCAAGTCGAAGGTCCTGACTTGTTTGAATGGGATCACGGAATAGCTCTGCATGCACTGCAGGGGAATGGGGCCTCATCTCGCCTCTAGGGGGAAGTCTCATGGTTTTTCTCGAGTTGCGGCGGGGACCTGGGGTATGTTCTCGACTTACGGCGGGGATGGTCCTTCAAATCATGAGTTTCTTCAGTGAGGTCAGGACTCCTGTCTAGTAACGAGGGACACCTCAGGAATCTCTTCGAGGCTTGGCAGGGCCAAAGGGACGCTTCTCGAGGTGAGGCAGGGCACCCAAGGACCCTTTCCAGTAGCCACAGGGATTTTGGGATTCCTATCAGTATTCAAGAGGAGTCAGGCATCGTCACCTTTTGAAGCAATGAACTCCGCGTGCCTCTCGAGGTGTCAGCGGGATGTGAGGCATTCCGTCAAAATGAGGCAGGGACCTAGGGCTTTCTCTAAGGTCTCCACAGGGGATTCAGACATCCCTTCATGTTGTGAGATGAAAGACGAGCCTGTATTCAAGCCACTGCAAGGAAATCCGGCCTCCTTTCAAGTTAGGGCTTCTCGCTGTATATTCCCCTTGAGGCAGCAAACTCGGGGTCCCTCCCACATACCTATTGCTGAGAGAAGCCTCCTCCTGAGGTGCTTCTGGGAAGTTGGCATACGTCTTGAGCCTAAGCCAGGGAATCAGCTCTCATCTCGAGACAATTTGGGGTACACGGAGCATTCCTCGAGTTGCTGTGCTGAAGTTGGTCTTCCTCTAGACTTGGGACAGTGTTCTCGGGGCATCTCTGGAGTTGCCTGAAGGAAGTCGAGCCACCGGTCGTGCTGAGTGGGGAACGGGGAATGGCTCTGGAGTCAATGCAGGGGAATCGGGCCTCATCTCGAGTTGATTTGGGGCACATGGAGCTGCTTTGCGTTGCTGGGGTGACCTCAGGGTCCGTCTAGATTGGTGACAGTGATCTTGGGGACTGTCTCGAGATCCATTAAGCAAGTCGAAGCTCCTGACTTGTTTGAATGGGATCACGGAATAGCTCTGCATGCACTGCAGGGGAATGGGGCCTCATCTCGCCTCTAGGGGGAAGTCTCATGGTTTTTCTCGAGTTGCGGCGGGGACCTGGGGTATGTTCTCGACTTACGGCGGGGATGGCCCTTCAAAACACGAGTTTCTTCAGTGACGTCAGGACTCCTGTCTAGTAACGAGGGACACCTCAGGAATCTCTTCGAGGCTTGGCAGGGCCAAAGGGACGCTTCTCGAGGTGAGGCAGGGCACCAAAGGACCCTTTCCAGTAGCCACAGGGATTTTGGGATTCCTATCAGTATTCAAGAGGAGTCAGGCATCTTCACCTTTTGAAGCAATGAACTCCGCGTGCCTCTCGAGGTGTCAGCGGGATGTGGGGCATTCCGTCAAAATGAGGCAGGGACCTAGGGCTTTCTCTAAGGTCTCCACAGGGGATTCAGACATCCCTTCATGTTGTGAGATGAAAGACGAGCCTGTATTCAAGCCACTGCAAGGAAATCCGGCCTCCTTTCAAGTTAGGGCTTCTCGCTGTATATTCCCCTTGAGGCAGCATACTCGGGGTCCCTCCCACATAACTATTGCTGAGAGAAGCCTCCTCCTGAGGTGCTTCTGGGAAGTTGGCATACGTCTTGAGCCTAAGCCAGGGAATCAGCTCGCATCTCGAGACGATTTGGGGTACACGGAGCATTCCTCGAGTTGCTGTGCTGAAGTTGGTCTTCCTCTAGACTTGGGACAGTGTTCTCGGGGCATCTCTGGAGTTGCCTGAAGGAAGTCGAGCCACCGGTCGTGTTGAATTGGGAAAGGGGAATGGCTCTGGAGTCAATGCAGGGGAATCGGGCCTCATCTCGAGTTGATTTGGGGCACATGGAACTGCTTTGCGTTGCTGGGGTGACCTCCGCGTCCGTCTACACTGGTGACAGTGTTCTTGGGGACTGTATCGAGATCCATTAAGCAAGTCGAAGCTCCTGACTTGTTTGAATGGGATCACGGAATAGCTCTGCATGCACTGCAGGGGAATGGGGCCTCATCTCGCCTCTAGGGGGAAGTCTCATGGTTTTTCTCGAGTTGCGGCGGGGACCTGGGGTATGTTCTCGACTTACGGCGGGGATGGTCCTTCAAATCATGAGTTTCTTCACTGAGGTCAGGACTCCTGTCTAGTAACGAGGGACACCTCAGGAATCTCTTCGAGGCTTGGCAGGGCAAAAGGGACGCTTCTCGAGGTGAGGCAGGGCACCCAAGGACCCTTTCCAGTAGCCACAGGGATTTTGGGATTCCTATCAGTATTCAAGAGGAGTCAGGCATCGTCACCTTTTGAAGCAATGAACTCCGCGTGCCTCTCGAGGTGTCAGCGGGATGTGAGGCATTCCGTCAAAATGAGGCAGGGACCTAGGGCTTTCTCTAAGGTCTCCACAGGGGATTCAGACATCCCTTCATGTTGTGAGATGAAAGACGAGCCTGTATTCAAGCCACTGCAAGGAAATCCGGCCTCCTTTCAAGTTAGGGCTTCTCGCTGTATATTCCCCTTGAGGCAGCAAACTCGGGGTCCCTCCCACATACCTATTGCTGAGAGAAGCCTCCTCCTGAGGTGCTTCTGGGAAGTTGGCATACGTCTTGAGCCTAAGCCAGGGAATCAGCTCTCATCTCGAGACGATTTGGGTTACACGGAGCATTCCTCGAGTTGCTGTGCTGAAGTTGGTCTTCCTCTAGACTTGGGACAGTGTTCTCGGGGCATCTCTGGAGTTGCCTGAAGGAAGTCGAGCCACCGATCGTGTTGAATGGGGAACGGGGAATGGCTCTGGAGTCAATGCAGGGGAATCGGGCCTCATCTCGATTTGATTTGGGGCACATGGAGCTGCTTTGCGTTGCTGGGGTGACCTCAGGGTCCGTCTAGACTGGTGACAGTGTTCTTGGGGACTGTCTCGAGATCCATTAAGCAAGTCGAAGCTCCTGACTTGTTTGAATGGGATCACGGAATAGCTCTGCATGCACTGCAGTGGAATGGGGCCTCATCTCGCCTCTAGGGGGAAGTCTCATGGTTTTTCTCGAGTTGCGGCGGGGACCTGGGGTATGTTCTCGACTTACGGCGGGGATGGCCCTTCAAAACACGAGTTTCTTCAGTGACGTCAGGACTCCTGTCTAGTAACGAGGGACACCTCAGGAATCTCTTCGAGGCTTGGCAGGGCCAAAGGGACGCTTCTCGAGGTGAGGCAGGGCACCAAAGGACCCTTTCCAGTAGCCACAGGGATTTTGGGATTCCTATCAGTATTCAAGAGGAGTCAGGCATCTTCACCTTTTGAAGCAATGAACTCCGCGTGCCTCTCGAGGTGTCAGCGGGATGTGGGGCATTCCGTCAAAATGAGGCAGGGACCTAGGGCTTTCTCTAAGGTCTCCACAGGGGATTCAGACATCCCTTCATGTTGTGAGATGAAAGACGAGCCTGTATTCAAGCCACTGCAAGGAAATCCGGCCTCCTTTCAAGTTAGGGCTTCTCGCTGTATATTCCCCTTGAGGCAGCATACTCGGGGTCCCTCCCACATAACTATTGCTGAGAGAAGCCTCCTCCTGAGGTGCTTCTGGGAAGTTAGCATACGTCTTGAGCCTAAGCCAGGGAATCAGCTCTCATCTCGAGACGATTTGGGGTACACGGAGCATTCCTCGAGTTGCTGTGCTGAAGTTGGTCTTCCTCTAGACTTGGGACAGTGTTCTCGGGGCATCTCTGGAGTTGCCTGAAAGAAGTCGAGCCACCGGTCGTGTTGAATTGGGAACGGGGAATTGCTCTGGAGTCAATGCAGGGGAATCGGGCCTCATCTCGAGTTGATTTGGGGCACATGGAACTGCTTTGCTTTGCTGGGGTGACCTCAGCGTCCGTCTACACTGGTGACAGTGTTCTTGGGGACTGTATCGAGATCCATTAAGCAAGTCGAAGCTCCTGACTTGTTTGAATGGGATCACGGAATAGCTCTGCATGCACTGCAGGGGAATGGGGCCTCATCTCGCCTCTAGGGGGAAGTCTCATGGTTTTTCTCGAGTTGCGGCGGGGACCTGGGGTATGTTCTCGACTTACGGCGGGGATGGTCCTTCAAATCATGAGTTTCTTCACTGAGGTCAGGACTCCTGTCTAGTAACGAGGGACACCTCAGGAATCTCTTCGAGGCTTGGCAGGGCAAAAGGGACGCTTCTCGAGGTGAGGCAGGGCACCCAAGGACCCTTTCCAGTAGCCACAGGGATTTTGGGATTCCTATCAGTATTCAAGAGGAGTCAGGCATCGTCACCTTTTGAAGCAATGAACTCCGCGTGCCTCTCGAGGTGTCAGCGGGATGTGAGGCATTCCGTCAAAATGAGGCAGGGACCTAGGGCTTTCTCTAAGGTCTCCACAGGGGATTCAGACATCCCTTCATGTTGTGAGATGAAAGACGAGCCTGTATTCAAGCCACTGCAAGGAAATCCGGCCTCCTTTCAAGTTAGGGCTTCTCGCTGTATATTCCCCTTGAGGCAGCAAACTCGGGGTCCCTCCCACATACCTATTGCTGAGAGAAGCCTCCTCCTGAGGTGCTTCTGGGAAGTTGGCATACGTCTTGAGCCTAAGCCAGGGAATCAGCTCTCATCTCGAGACGATTTGGGTTACACGGAGCATTCCTCGAGTTGCTGTGCTGAAGTTGGTCTTCCTCTAGACTTGGGACAGTGTTCTCGGGGCATCTCTGGAGTTGCCTGAAGGAAGTCGAGCCACCGATCGTGTTGAATGGGGAACGGGGAATGGCTCTGGAGTCAATGCAGGGGAATCGGGCCTCATCTCGATTTGATTTGGGGCACATGGAGCTGCTTTGCGTTGCTGGGGTGACCTCAGGGTCCGTCTAGACTGGTGACAGTGTTCTTGGGGACTGTCTCGAGATCCATTAAGCAAGTCGAAGCTCCTGACTTGTTTGAATGGGATCACGGAATAGCTCTGCATGCACTGCAGTGGAATGGGGCCTCATCTCGCCTCTAGGGGGAAGTCTCATGGTTTTTCTCGAGTTGCGGCGGGGACCTGGGGTATGTTCTCGACTTACGGCGGGGATGGCCCTTCAAAACACGAGTTTCTTCAGTGACGTCAGGACTCCTGTCTAGTAACGAGGGACACCTCAGGAATCTCTTCGAGGCTTGGCAGGGCCAAAGGGACGCTTCTCGAGGTGAGGCAGGGCACCAAAGGACCCTTTCCAGTAGCCACAGGGATTTTGGGATTCCTATCAGTATTCAAGAGGAGTCAGGCATCTTCACCTTTTGAAGCAATGAACTCCGCGTGCCTCTCGAGGTGTCAGCGGGATGTGGGGCATTCCGTCAAAATGAGGCAGGGACCTAGGGCTTTCTCTAAGGTCTCCACAGGGGATTCAGACATCCCTTCATGTTGTGAGATGAAAGACGAGCCTGTATTCAAGCCACTGCAAGGAAATCCGGCCTCCTTTCAAGTTAGGGCTTCTCGCTGTATATTCCCCTTGAGGCAGCATACTCGGGGTCCCTCCCACATAACTATTGCTGAGAGAAGCCTCCTCCTGAGGTGCTTCTGGGAAGTTAGCATACGTCTTGAGCCTAAGCCAGGGAATCAGCTCTCATCTCGAGACGATTTGGGGTACACGGAGCATTCCTCGAGTTGCTGTGCTGAAGTTGGTCTTCCTCTAGACTTGGGACAGTGTTCTCGGGGCATCTCTGGAGTTGCCTGAAAGAAGTCGAGCCACCGGTCGTGTTGAATTGGGAACGGGGAATTGCTCTGGAGTCAATGCAGGGGAATCGGGCCTCATCTCGAGTTGATTTGGGGCACATGGAACTGCTTTGCTTTGCTGGGGTGACCTCAGCCTCCGTCTACACTGGTGACAGTGTTCTTGGGGACTGTATCGAGATCCATTAAGCAAGTCGAAGCTCCTGACTTGTTTGAATGGGATCACGGAATAGCTCTGCATGCACTGCAGGGGAATGGGGCCTCATCTCGCCTCTAGGGGGAAGTCTCATGGTTTTTCTCGAGTTGCGGCGGGGACCTGGGGTATGTTCTCGACTTACGGCGGGGATGGTCCTTCAAATCATGAGTTTCTTCACTGAGGTCAGGACTCCTGTCTAGTAACGAGGGACACCTCAGGAATCTCTTCGAGGCTTGGCAGGGCAAAAGGGACGCTTCTCGAGGTGAGGCAGGGCACCCAAGGACCCTTTCCAGTAGCCACAGGGATTTTGGGATTCCTATCAGTATTCAAGAGGAGTCAGGCATCGTCACCTTTTGAAGCAATGAACTCCGCGTGCCTCTCGAGGTGTCAGCGGGATGTGAGGCATTCCGTCAAAATGAGGCAGGGACCTAGGGCTTTCTCTAAGGTCTCCACAGGGGATTCAGACATCCCTTCATGTTGTGAGATGAAAGACGAGCCTGTATTCAAGCCACTGCAAGGAAATCCGGCCTCCTTTCAAGTTAGGGCTTCTCGCTGTATATTCCCCTTGAGGCAGCAAACTCGGGGTCCCTCCCACATACCTATTGCTGAGAGAAGCCTCCTCCTGAGGTGCTTCTGGGAAGTTGGCATACGTCTTGAGCCTAAGCCAGGGAATCAGCTCTCATCTCGAGACGATTTGGGTTACACGGAGCATTCCTCGAGTTGCTGTGCTGAAGTTGGTCTTCCTCTAGACTTGGGACAGTGTTCTCGGGGCATCTCTGGAGTTGCCTGAAGGAAGTCGAGCCACCGGTCGTGTTGAGTGGGGAACGGGGAATGGCTCTGGAGTCAATGCAGGGGAATCGGGCCTCATCTCGAGTTGATTTTGGGCGCATGGAGCTGCTTTGCGTTGCTGGGGTGACCTCAGGGTCCGTCTAGACTGGTGACAGTGATTTTGGGGACTGTCTCGAGATCCATTAAGCAAGTCGAAGCTCCTGACTTGTTTGAATGGGATCACGGAATAGCTCTGCATGCACTGCAGGGGAATGGGGCCTCATCTCGCCTCTAGGGGGAAGTCTCATGGTTTTTCTCGAGTTGCGGCGGGGACCTGGGGTATGTTCTCGACTTACTGCGGGGATGGCCCTTCAAAACACGAGTTTCTTCAGTGAGGTCAGGACTCCTGTCTAGTAACGAGGGACACCTCAGGAATCTCTTCGAGGCTTGGCAGGGCAAAAGGGACGCTTCTCGAGGTGAGGCAGGGCACCCAAGCACCCTTTCCAGTAGCCACAGGGATTTTGGGATTCCTATCAGTGTTCAAGAGGAGTCAGGCCTCGTCACCTTTTGAAGCAAGGAACTCCACGTGCCTCTCGAGGTGTCAGCGGGATGTGGGGCATTCCGTCAAAATGAGGCAGGGACCTAGGGCTTTCTCTAAGGTCTCCACAGGGGATTCAGACATCCCTTCATGTTGTGAGATGAAAGACTAGCCTGTATTCAAGCCACTGCAAGGAAATCCGGCCTCCTTTCAAGTTAGGGCTTCTCGCTGTATATTCCCCTTGAGGCAGCAAACTCGGGGTCCCTCCCACATACCTATTGCTGAGAGAAGCCTCCTCCTGAGGTGCTTCTGGGAAGTTGGCATACGTCTTGAGCCTAAGCCAGGGAATCAGCTCGCATCTCGAGACGATTTGGGGTACACGGAGCATTCCTCGAGTTGCTGTGCTGAAGTTGGTGTTCCTCTAGACTTGGGACAGTGTTCTCGGGGCATCTCTGGAGTTGCCTGAAGGAAGTCGAGCCACCGGTCGTGTTGAATGGGGAACGGGGAATGGCTCTGGAGTCAATGCAGGGGAACCGGGCCTCATCTCGAGTTGATTTGGGGCACATGGAGCTGCTTTGCGTTGCTGGGGTGACCTCAGGGTCCGTCTAGACTGGTGACAGTGTTCTTGGGGACTGTCTCGAGATCCATTAAGCAAGTCGAAGCTCCTGACTTGTTTGAATGGGATCACAGAATAGCTCTGCATGCACTGCAGGGGAATGGGTCCTCATCTCGCCTCTAGGGGGAAGTCTCATGGTTTTTCTCGAGTTGCGGCGGGGATCTGGGGTATGTTCTCGACTTACGGCGGGGATGGCCCTTCAAAACACGAGTTTCTTCAGTGAGGTTAGGACTCCTGTCTAGTAATGAGGGACACCACAGGAATCTCTTCGTGGCTTGGCAGGGCAAAAGGGACGCTTCTCGCGGTGAGGCAGGGCACCCAAGGACCCTTTCCAATAGCCACAGGGATTTTGGGATTCCTATCAGTATTCAAGAGGAGTCAGGCATCGTCACCTTTTGAAGCAATGAACTCCGCGTGCCTCTCGAGGTGTCAGCGGGATGTGAGGTATTCCGTCAAAATGAGGCATGGACCTAGGGCTTTCTATAAGGTCTCCACAGGGGATTCAGACATCCCTTCATGTTGTGAGATGAAAGACGAGCCTGTATTCAAGCCACTGCAAGGAAATCCGGCCTCCTTTCAAGTTAGGGCTTCTCGCTGTATATTCCCCTTGAGGCAGCAAACTCGGGGTCCCTCCCACATACCTATTGCTGAGAGAAGCCTCCTCCTGAGGTGCTTCTGGGAAGTTGGCATACGTCTTGAACCTAAGCCAGGGAATCAGCTCTAATCTCGAGACGATTTGGGGTACACGGAGCATTCCTCAAGTTGCTGTGCTGAAGTTGGTCTTCCTCTAGACTTGGGACAGTGTTCTCGGGGCATCTCTGGAGTTGCCTGAAGGAAGTCGAGCCACCGGTCGTGTTGAGTGGGGAACGGGGAATGGCTCTGGAGTCAATGCAGGGGAATCGGGCCTCATCTCGAGTTGATTTTGGGCACATGGAGCTGCTTTGCGTTGCTGGGGTGACCTCAGGGTCCGTCTAGACTGGTGACAGTGATCTTGGGGACTGTCTCGAGATCCATTGAGCAAGTCGAAGCTCCTGACTTGTTTGAATCGGATCACGGAATAGCTCTGCATGCACTGCAGGGAAATTTGGCCTCATCTCGCCTCTAGGGGGAAGTCTCAAGGTTTTTCTCGAGTTGCGGCGGGGACCTGGGGTATGTTCTCGACTTACGGCGGGGATGGCCCTTCAAATCATGAGTTTCTTCAGTGAGGTCAGGACTCCTGTCTAGTAATGAGGGACACCACAGGAATCTCTTCGAGGCTTGGCAGGGCAAAAGGGACGCTTCTCGCGGTGAGGCAGGGCACCCAAGGACCCTTTCCAGTAGCCACAGGGATTTTGGGATTCCTATCAGTATTCAAGAGGAGTCAGGCATCGTCACCTTTTGAAGCAATGAACTCCGCGTGCCTCTCGAGGTGTCAGCGGGATGTGAGGTATTCCGTCAAAATGAGGCAGGGACCTAGGGCTTTCTCTAAGGTCTCCACAGGGGATTCAGACATCCCTTCATGTTGTGAGATGAAAGACGAGCCTGTATTCAAGCCACTGCAAGGAAATCCGGCGTCCTTTCAAGTTAGGGCTTCTCGCTGTATATTCCCCTTGAGGCAGCAAACTCGGGGTCCCTCCCACATACCTATTGCTGAGAGAAGCCTCCTCCTGAGGTGCTTCTGGGAAGTTGGCATACGTCTTGAGCCTAAGCCAGGGAATCAGCTCTCATCTCGAGACGATTTGGGGTACACGGAGCATTCCTCAAGTTGCTGTGCTGAAGTTGGTGTTCCTCTAGACTTGGGACAGTGTTCTCGGGTCATCTCTGAAGTTTCCTGAAGGAAGTCGAGCCAACGGTCGTGTTGAGTGGGGAACGGGGAATGGCTCTGGAGTCAATGCAGGGAATCGGGCCTCATCTCGAGTTGATTTGGGGCACATGGAGCTGCTTTGCGTTGCTGGGGTGACCTCAGGGTCCGTCTAGACTGGTGACAGTGTTCTTGGGGACTGTCTCGAGATCCATTAAGCAAGTCGAAGCTCCTGACTTGTTTGAATGGGATCACGGAATAGCTCTGCATGCACTGCAGGGGAATGGGGCCTCATCTCGCCTCTAGGGGGAAGTCTCATGGTTTTTCTCGAGTTGCGGCGGGGACCTGGGGTATGTTCTCGACTTACGGCGGGGATGGCCCTTCAAAACACGAGTTTCTTCAGTGACGTCAGGACTCCTGTCTAGTAACGAGGGACACCTCAGGAATCTCTTCGAGGCTTGGCAGGGCAAAAGGGACGCTTCTCGAGGTGAGGCAGGGCACCCAAGCACCCTTTCCAGTAGCCAGAGGCATTTTGGGATTCCTATCAGTATTCAAGAGGAGTCAGGCATCGTCACCTTTTGAAGCAATGAACTCCGCGTGCCTCTCGAGGTGTCAGCGGGATGTGGGGCATTCCGTCAAAATGAGGCAGAGACCTAGGGCTTTCTCTAAGGTCTCCACAGGGGATTCAGACATCCCTTCATGTTGTGAGATGAAAGACTAGCCTGTATTCAAGCCACTGCAAGGAAATCCGGCCTCCTTTCAAGTTAGGGCTTCTCGCTGTATATTCCCCTTGAGGCAGCAAACTCGGGGTCCCTCCCACATACCTATTGCTGAGAGAAGCCTCCTCCTGAGGTGCTTCTGGGAAGTTGGCATACGTCTTGAGCCTAAGCCAGGGAATCAGCTCTCATCTCGAGACGATTTGGGTTACACGGAGCATTCCTCGAGTTGCTGTGCTGAAGTGGGTCTTCCTCTAGACTTGGGACAGTGTTCTCGGGGCATCTCTGGAGTTGCCTGAAGGAAGTCGAGCCACCGGTCGTGTGGAATGAGGAACGGGGAATGGCTCTGGAGTCAATGCAGGGGAATCGGGCCTCATCTCGAGTTGATTTGGGGCACATGGAGCTGCTTGGCGTTGCTGGGGTGACCTCAGGGTCCTTCTAGACTGGTGACAGTGTTCTTGGGGACTGTCTCGATATCCATTAAGCAAGTCGAAGCTCCTGACTTGTTTGAATGGGATCACGGAATAGCTCTGCATGCACTGCAGGGGAATGGGGCTTCATCTCGCCTCTAGGGGGAAGTCTCATGGTTTTTCTCGAGTTGCGGCGGGGACCTGGGGTATGTTCTCGACTTACGGCGGGGATGGCCCTTCAAATCATGAGTTTCTTCAGTGAGATCAGGACTCCTGTCTAGTAACGAGGGACACCTCAGGAATGTCTTCGAGGCTTCGCAGGGCAAAAGGGACGCTTCTCGAGGTGAGGCAGGGCACCCAAGGACCCTTTCCAGTAGCCACAGGGATTTTGGGATTCCTATCAGTATTCAAGAGGAGTCAGGCATCGTCAACTTTTGAAGCAATGAACTCCGCGTGCCTCTCGAGGTGTCAGCGTGATGTGGGGCATTCCGTCAAAATGAGGCAGGGACCTAGGGCTTTCTCTAAGGTCTCTACAGGGGATTCAGACATCCCTTCATGTTGTGAGATGAAAGACAAGCCTGTATTCAAGCCACTGCAAGGAAATCCGGCCTCCTTTCAAGTTAGGGCTTCTCGGTGTATATTCCCCTTGAGGCAGCAAACTCGGGGTCCCTCCCACATACCTATTGCTGAGAGAAGCCTCCTCCTGAGGTGCTTCTGGGAAGTTGGCATACGTCTTGAGCCTAAGCCAGGGAATCAGCTCTCATCTCGAGACGATTTGGGTTACACGGAGCATTCCTCGAGTTGCTGTGCTGAAGTTGGTCTTCCTCTAGACTTGGGACAGTGTTCTCGGGGCATCTCTGGAGTTGCCTGAAGGAAGTCGACCCACCGGTCGTGTTGAATGGGGAACGGGGAATGGCTCTGGAGTCAATGCAGGGGAATCGGGCCTCATCTCGAGTTGATTTGGGGCACATGGAGCTTCTTTGCGTTGCTGGGGTGACCTCAGGGTCCGTCTAGACTGGTGACAGTGATCTTGGGGACTGTCTCGAGATCCATTAAGCAAGTCGAAGCTCCTGACTTGTTTGAATGGGATCAAGGAATAGCTCTGCATGCACTGCAGGGGAATGGGGCCTCATCTCGCCTCTAGGGGGAAGTCTCATGGTTTTTCTTGAGTTGCAGCGGGGACCTGGGGTATGTTCTCGACTTACGGCGGGGATGGTCCTTCAAATCATGAGTTTCTTCAGTGAGGTCAGGACTCCTGTCTAGTAACGAGGGACACCTCAGGAATCTCTTCGAGGCTTGGCAGGGCAATAGGGACGCTTCTCGAGGTGAGGCAAGGCACCCAAGGACCCTTTCCAGTAGCCACAGGGATTTTGGGATTCCTATCACTATTCAAGAGGAGTCAGTCATCGTCACCTTTTGAAGCAATGAACTCCGCGTGCCTCTCGAGGTGTCAGCGGGATGTGAGGCATTCCGTCAAAATGAGGCAGGGACCTAGGGCTTTCTCTAAGGTCTCCACAGGGGATTCAGACATCCCTTCATGTTGTGAGATGAAAGACGAGCCTGTATTCAAGCCACTGCAAGGAAATCCGGCCTCCTTTCAAGTTAGGGCTTCTCGCTGTATATTCCCCTTGAGGCAGCAAACTCGGGGTCCCTCCCACATACCTATTGCTGAGAGAAGCCTCCTCCTGAGGTGCTTCTGGGAAGTTGGCATACGTCTTGAGCCTAAGCCAGGGAATCAGCTCTCATCTCGAGACGATTTGGGGTACACGGAGCATTCCTCGAGTTGCTGTGCTGAAGTTGGTCTTCCTCTAGACTTGGGACAGTGTTCTCGGGGCATCTCTGGAGTTGCCTGAAGGAAGTCGAGCCACCGGTCGTGTTGAGTGGGGAACGGGGAATGGCTCTGGAGTCAATGCAGGGGAAGCAGGCCTCATCTCGAGTTGATTTGGGGCACATGGAGCTGCTTTGCGTTGCTGGGGTGACCTCAGGGTCCATCTAGACTGGTGACAGTGATCTTGGGGACTGTCTCGAGATCCATTAAGCAAGTCGAAGCTCCTGACTTGTTTGAATGGGATCACGGAATAGCTCTGCATGCACTGCAGGGGAATGGGGCCTCATCTCGCCTCTAGGGGGAAGTCTCATGGTTTTTCTCGAGTTGCGGCGGGGACCTGGGTTATGTTCTCGACTTACGGCGGGGATGGCCCTTCAAAACACGAGTTTCTTCAGTGAAGTCAGGACTCCTGTCTAGTAACGAGGGACACCTCAGGAATCTCTTCGAGGCTTGGCAGGGCCAAAGGGACGCTTCTCGAGGTGAGGCAGGGCACCCAAGGACCCTTTCCAGTAGCCACAGGGATTTTGGGATTCCTATCAGTATCCAAGAGGAGTCAGGCATCTTCACCTTTTGAAGCAATGAACTCCGCGTGCCTCTCGAGGTGTCAGCGGGATGTGGGGCATTCCGTCAAAATGAGGCAGGGACCTAGGGCTTTCTCTAAGGTCTCCACAGGGGATTCAGACATTCCTTCATGTTGTGAGATGAAAGACTAACCTGTATTCAAGCCACTGCAAGGAAATCCGGCCTCCTTTCAAGTTAGGGCTTCTCGCTGTATATTCCCCTTGAGGCAGCAAACTCGGGGTCCCTCCCACATACCTATTGCTGAGAGAAGCCTCCTCCTGAGGTGCTTCTGGGAAGTTGGCATACGTCTTGAGCCTAAGCCAGGGAATCAGCTCTCATCTCGAGACGATTTGGGGTACACGGAGCATTCCTCGAGTTGCTGTGCTGAAGTTGGTCTTCCCCTAGACTTGGGACAGTGTTCTCGGGGCATCTCTGGAGTTGCCTGAAGGAAGTCGAGCCACCGGTAGTGTTGAATGGGGAACGCGGAATGGCTCTGGAATCAATGCAGGGGAATCGGGCCTCATCTCGAGTTGATTTGGGGCACATGGAGCTGCTTTGCGTTGCTGGGGTGACCTCAGGGTCCGTCTAGACTGGTGACAGTGTTCTTGGGGACTGTCTCGAGATCCATTAAGCAAGTCGAAGCTCCTGACTTGTTTGAATGGGATCACGGAATAGCTCTGCATGCACTGCAGGGGAATGGGGCCTCATCTCGCCTCTAGGGGGAAGTCTCATGGTTTTTCTCGAGTTGCGGCGGGGACCTGGGGTATGTTCTCGACTTACGGCGGGGATGGCCCTTCAAAACACGAGTTTCTTCAGTGACGTCAGGACTCCTGTCTAGTAACGAGGGACACCTCAGGAATCTCTTCGAGGATTGGCAGGGCCAAAGGGACGCTTCTCGAGGTGAGGCAGGGCACCCAAGCACCCTTTCCAATAGCCACAGGGATTTTGGGATTCCTATCAGTATTCAAGAGGAGTCAGGCATCGTCACCTTTTGAAGCAAGAAACTCCGCGTGACTCTCGAGTTGTCAGCGGGATGTGGGGCATTCCGTCAAAATGAGGCAGGGACCTAGGGCTTTCTCTAAGGTCTCCACAGGGGATTCAGACATCCCTTCATGTTGTGAGATGAAAGACTAGCCTGTATTGAAGCCACTGCAAGGAAATCCGGCCTCCTTTCAAGTTAGGGCTTCTCGCTGTATATTCCCCTTGAGGCAGCAAACTCGGGGTCCCTCCCACATACCTATTGCTGAGAGAAGCCTCCTCCTGAGGTGCTTCTGGGAAGTTGGCATACGTCTTGAGCCTAAGCCAGGGAATCAGCTCTCATCTCGAGACGATTTGGGGTACACGGAGCATTCCTCGAGTTGCTGTGCTGAAGTTGGTCTTCCTCTAGACTTGGGACAGTGTTCTCGGGGCATCTCTGGAGTTGCCTGAAGGAAGTCGAGCCACCGGTCGTGTTGAGTGGGGAACGGGGAATGGCTCTGGAGTCAATGCAGGGGAATCGGGCCTCATCTCGAGTTGATTTGGGGCACATTTAGCTGCTTTGCGTTGCTGGGGTGACCTCAGGGTCCGTCTAGACTGGTGACAGTGATCTTGGGGACTGTCTCGATATCCATTAAGCAAGTCGAAGCTCCAGACTTGTTTGAATGGGATCACGGAATAGCTCTGCATGCACTGCAGGGGAATGGGGCCTCATCTCGCCTCTAGGGGGAAGTCTCATGGTTTTTCTCGAGTTGCGGCGGGGACCTGGGTTATGTTCTCGACTTACGGCGGGGATGGCCCTTCAAAACACGAGTTTCTACAGTGACGTCAGGACTCCTGTCTAGTAACGAGGGACACCTCAGGAATCTCTTCGAGGCTTGGCAGGGCAAAAGGGACGCTTCTCGAGGTGAGGCAGGGCACCCAAGGACCCTTTCCAGTAGCCACAGGGATTTTGGGATTCCTATCAGTATTCAAGAGGAGTCAGGCATCGTCACCTTTTGAAGCAATGAACTCCGCGTGCCTCTCGAGGTGTCAGCGGGATGTGAGGCATTCCGTCAAAATGAGGCAGGGACCTAGGGCTTTCTCTAAGGTCTCCACAGGGGATTCAGACATCCCTTCATGTTGTGAGATGAAAGACGAGCCTGTATTCAAGCCACTGCAAGGAAATCCGGCCTCCTTTCAAGTTAGGGCTTCTCGCTGTATATTCCCCTTGAGGCAGCAAACTCGGGGTCCCTCCCACATACCTATTGCTGAGAGAAGCCTCCTCCTGAGGTGCTTCTGGGAAGTTGGCATACGTCTTGAGCCTAAGCCAGGGAATCAGCTCTCATCTCGAGACGATTTGGGGTACACGGAGCATTCCTCGAGTTGCTGTGCTGAAGTTGGTGTTCCTCTAGACTTGGGACAGTGTTCTCGGGGCATCTCTGGAGTTGCCTGAAGGAAGTCGAGCCACCGGTCGTGTTGAATGGGGAACGGGGAATGGCTCTGGAGTCAATGCAGGGGAATCGGGCCTCATCTCGACTTGATTTGGGGCACATGGAACTGCTTTGTGTTGCTGGGGTGACCTCAGCCTCCGTCTACACTGGTGACAGTGTTCTTGGGGACTGTCTCGAGATCCATTAAGCAAGTCGAAGCTGCTAACTTGTTTGAATGGGATCACGGAATAGCTCTGCATGCACTGCAGGGGAATGGGGCCTCATCTCGCCTCTAGGGGGAAGTCTCATGGTTTTTCTCGAGTTGCGGCGGGGACCTGGGGTATGTTCTCGACTTACGGCGGGGATGGTCCTTCAAATCATGAGTTTCTTCACTGAGGTCAGGACTCCTGTCTAGTAACGAGGGACACCTCAGGAATCTCTTCGAGGCTTGGCAGGGCAAAAGGGACGCTTCTTGAGGTGAGGCAGGGCACCCAAGGACCCTTTCCAGTAGCCACAGGGATTTTGGGATTCCTATCACTATTCAAGAGGAGTCAGGCAACGTCACCTTTTGAAGCAATGAACTCCGCGTGCCTCTCGAGGTGTCAGCGGGATGTGAGGCATTCCGTCAAAATGAGGCAGGGACCTAGGGCTTTCTCTAAGGTCTCCACAGGGGATTCAGACATCCCTTCATGTTGTGAGATGAAAGACGAGCCTGTATTCAAGCCACTGCAAGGAAATCCGGCCTCCTTTCAAGTTAGGGCTTCTCGCTGTATATTCCCCTTGAGGCAGCAAACTCGGGGTCCCTCCCACATACCTGTTGCTGAGAGAAGCCTCCTCCTGAGGTGCTTCTGGGAAGTTGGCATACGTCTTGAGCCTAAGCCAGGGAATCAGCTCGCATCTCGAGACGATTTGGGGTACACGGAGCATTCCTCGAGTAGCTGTGCTGAAGTTGGTGTCCTCTAGACTTGGGACAGTGTTCTCGGGGCATCTCTGGAGTTGCCTGAAGGAAGTCGAGCCACCGGTCGTGTTGAGTGGGGAACGGGGAATGGCTCTGGAGTCAATGCAGGGGAATCGGGCCTCATCTCGAGTTGATTTGGGGCACATGGAGCTGCTTTGCGTTGCTGGGGTGACCTCAGGGTCCGTCTAGACTGGTGACAGTGATCTTGGGGACTGTCTAGAGATCCATTAAGCAAGTCGAAGCTCCTGACTTGTTTGAATGGGATCACGGAATAGCTCTGCATGCACTGCAGGGGAATGGGGCCTCATCTCGCCTCTAGGGGGAAGTCTCATGGTTTTTCTCGAGTTGCGGCGGGGACCTGGGGTATGTTCTCAACTTACGGCGGGGATGGCCCTTCAAAACACGAGTTTCTTCAGTGAAGTCAGGACTCCTGTCTAGTAACGAGGGACACCTCAGGAATCTCTTCGAGGCTTGGCAGGGCCAAAGGGACGCTTCTCGAGGTGAGGCAGGGCACCCAAGGACCCTTTCCAGTAGCCACAGGGATTTTGTGATTCCTATCAGTATTCAAGAGGAGTTAGGCATCGTCACCTTTTGAAGCAATGAACTCCGTGTGCCTCTCGAGGTGTCAGCGTGATGTGGGGCATTCCGTCAAAATGAGGCAGGGACCTAGGGCTTTCTCTAAGGTCTCCACAGGGGATTCAGACATCCCTTCATGTTGTGAGATGAAAGACTAGCCTGTATTCAAGCCACTGCAAGGAAATCCGGCCTCCTTTCAAGTTAGGGCTTCTCGCTGTATATTCCCCTTGAGGCAGCAAACTCGGGGTCCCTCCCACATACCTATTGCTGAGAGAAGCCTCCTCCTGAGGTGCTTCTGGGAAGTTGGCATACGTCTTGAGCCTAAGCCAGGGAATCAGCTCTCATCTCGAGACAATTTGGGTTACACGGAGCATTCCTCGAGTTGCTGTGCTGAAGTTGGTCTTCCTCTAGACTTGGGACAGTGTTCTCGGGGCATCTCTTGAGTTGCCTGAATGAAGTCGAGCCACCGGTCGTGTTGAATGAGGAACGGGGAATGGCTCTGGAGTCAATGCAGGGGAATCGGGCCTCATCTCGAGTTGATTTGGGGCACATGGAGCTGCTTTGCGTTGCTGGGGTGACCTCAGCGTCCGTCTAGACTGGTGACAGTGTTCTTGGGGACTGTCTCGATATCCATTAAGCAAGTCTAAGCTCCAGACTTGTTTGAATGGGATCATGGAATAGCTCTGCATGCACTGCAGGGGAATGGGGCCTCATCTCGCCTCTAGGGGGAAGTCTCATGATTTTTCTCGAGTTGCGGCGGGGACCTGGGTTATGTTCTCGACTTACGGCGGGGATGGCCCTTCAAAACACGAGTTTCTACAGTGACGTCAGGACTCCTGTCTAGTAACGAGGGACACCTCAGGAATCTCTTCGAGGCTTGGCAGGGCCAAAGGGACGCTTCTCGAGGTGAGGCAGGGCACCCAAGGACCCTTTCCAGTAGCCACAGGGATTTTGGGATTCCTATCAGTATTCAAGAGGAGTCAGGCATCGTCACCTTTTGAAGCAATGAACTCCGCGTGCCTCTCGAGGTGTCAGCGGGATGTGAGGCATTCCGTCAAAATGAGGCAGGGACCTAGGGCTTTCTCTAAGGTCTCCACAGGGGATTCAGACATCCCTTCATGTTGTGAGATGAAATACGAGCCTGTATTCAAGCCACTGCAAGGAAATCCGGCCTCCTTTCAAGTTAGGGCTTCTCGCTGTATATTCCCCTTGAGGCAGCAAACTCGGGGTCCCTCCCACATACCTATTGCTGAGAGAAGCCTCCTCCTGAGGTGCTTCTGGGAAGTTGGCATACGTCTTGAGCCTAAGCCAGGGAATCAGCTCTCATCTCGAGACGATTTGGGGTACACGGAGCATTCCTCGAGTTGCTGTGCTGAAGTTGGTGTTCCTCTAGACTTGGGACAGTGTTCTCGGGGCATCTCTGGAGTTGCCTGAAGGAAGTCGAGCCACCGGTCGTGTTGAGTGGGGAACGGGGAATGGCTCTGGAGTCAATGCAGGGGAATCGGGCCTCATCTCGAGTTGATTTGGGGCACATGGAGCTGCTTTGCGTTGCTGGGGGGACCTCAGGGTCCGTCTAGACTGGTGACAGTGATCTTGGGGACTCTCTCGAGATCCATTAAGCAAGTCGAAGCTCCTGACTTGTTTGAATGGGATCACGGAATAGCTCTGCATGCACTGCAGGGGAATGGGGCCTCATCTCGCCTCTAGGGGGAAGTCTCATGGTTTTTGTCGAGTTGCGGCGGGGACCTGGGGTATGTTCTCGACTTACGGCGGGGATGGCCCTTCAAAACACGAGTTTCTTCAGTGACGTCAGGACTCCTGTCTAGTAAGGAGGGACACCTCAGGAATCTCTTCGAGGCTTGGCAGGGCCAAAGGGACGCTTCTCGAGGTGAGGCAGGGCACCCAAGGACCCTTTCCAGTAGCCACAGGGATTTTGGGATTCCTATCAGTATTCAAGAATAGTTAGGCATCGTCACCTTTTGAAGCAATGAACTCCGCGTGCCTCTCGAAGTGTCAGCGGGATGTGGGGCATTCCGTCAAAATGAGGCAGGGACCTAGGGCTTTCTCTAAGGTCTCCACAGGGGATTCAGACATCCCTTCATGTTGTGAGATGAAAGACGAGCCTGTATTCAAGCCACTGCAAGGAAATCCGGCCTCCTTTCAAGTTAGGGCTTCTCGCTGTATATTCCCCTTGAGGCAGCAAACTCGGGGTCCCTCCCACATACCTATTGCTGAGAGAAGCCTCCTCCTGAGGTGCTTCTGGGAAGTTGGCATACGTCTTGAGCCTAAGCCAGGGAATCAGCTCTCATCTCGAGACGATTTGGGGTACACGGAGCATTCCTCGAGTTGCTGTGCTGAAGTTGGTGTTCCTCTAGACTTGGGACAGTGTTCTCGGGGCATCTCTGGAGTTGCCTGAAGGAAGTCGAGCCACCGGTTGTGTTGAATGGGGAACGCGGAATGGCTCTGGAGTCAATGCAGGGGAATCGGGCCTCATCTCGAGTTGATTTGGGGCACATGGAGCTGCTTTGCGTTGCTGGGGTGACCTCAGGGTCCGTCTAGACTGGTGACAGTGTTCTTGGGGACTGTCTCGAGATCCATTAAGCAAGTCGAAGCTCCTGACTTGTTTGAATGGGATCACGGAATAGCTCTGCATGCACTGCAGGGGAATGGGGCCTCATCTCGCCTCTAGGGGGAAGTCTCATGGTTTTTGTCGAGTTGCGGCGGGGACCTGGGGTATGTTCTCGACTTACGGCGGGGATGGCCCTTCAAAACACGAGTTTCTTCAGTGACGTCAGGACTCCTGTCTAGTAAGGAGGGACACCTCAGGAATCTCTTCGAGGCTTGGCAGGGCCAAAGGGACGCTTCTCGAGGTGAGGCAGGGCACCCAAGGACCCTTTCCAGTAGCCACAGGGATTTTGGGATTCCTATCAGTATTCAAGAATAGTTAGGCATCGTCACCTTTTGAAGCAATGAACTCCGCGTGCCTCTCGAAGTGTCAGCGGGATGTGGGGCATTCCGTCAAAATGAGGCAGGGACCTAGGGCTTTCTCTAAGGTCTCCACAGGGGATTCAGACATCCCTTCATGTTGTGAGATGAAAGACGAGCCTGTATTCAAGCCACTGCAAGGAAATCCGGCCTCCTTTCAAGTTAGGGCTTCTCGCTGTATATTCCCCTTGAGGCAGCAAACTCGGGGTCCCTCCCACATACCTATTGCTGAGAGAAGCCTCCTCCTGAGGTGCTTCTGGGAAGTTGGCATACGTCTTGAGCCTAAGCCAGGGAATCAGCTCTCATCTCGAGACGATTTGGGGTACACGGAGCATTCCTCGAGTTGCTGTGCTGAAGTTGGTGTTCCTCTAGACTTGGGACAGTGTTCTCGGGGCATCTCTGGAGTTGCCTGAAGGAAGTCGAGCCACCGCTTGTGTTGAATGGGGAACGCGGAATGGCTCTGGAGTCAATGCAGGGGAATCGGGCCTCATCTCGAGTTGATTTGGGGCACATGGAGCTGCTTTGCGTTGCTGGGGTGACCTCAGGGTCCGTCTAGACTGGTGACAGTGATCTTGGGGACTGTCTCGAGATCCATTAAGCAAGTCGAAGCTCCTGACTTGTTTGAATCGGATCATGGAATAGCTCTGCATGCACTGCAGGGGAATGGGGCCTCATCTCGCCTCTAGGGGGAAGTCTCATGGTTTTTCTCGAGTTGCGGCAGGGACCTGGGGTATGTTCTCGACTTACTGCGGGGATGGCCCTTCAAAACACGAGTTTCTTCAGTGACGTCAGGACTCCTGTCTAGTAACGAGGGACACCTCAGGAATCTCTTCGAGGCTTGGCAGGGCAAAAGGGACGCTTCTCGAGGTGAGGCAGGGCACCCAAGCACCCTTTCCAGTAGCCACAGGGATTTTGGGATTCCTATCAGTATTCAAGAGGAGTCAGGCCTCGTCACCTTTTGAAGCAAGAAACTCCACGTGCCTCTCGAGGTGTCAGCGGGATGTGGGGCATTCCGTCAAAATGAGGCAGGGACCTAGGGCTTTCTCTAAGGTCTCCACAGGGGATTCAGACATCCCTTCATGTTGTGAGATGAAAGACTTGCCTGTATTCAAGCCACTGCAAGGAAATCCGGCCTCCTTTCAAGTTAGGGCTTCTCGGTGTATATTCCCCTTGAGGCAGGAAACTCGGGGTCCCTCCCACATACCTATTGCTGAGAGAAGCCTCCTCCTGAGGTGCTTCTGGGAAGTTGGCATACGTCTTGAGCCTAAGCCAGGGAATCAGCTCTCATCTCGAGACGATTTGGGTTACACGGAGCATTCCTCGAGTTGCTATGCTGAAGTTGGTCTTCCTCTAGACTTGGGACAGTGTTATCGGGGCATCTCTGGAGTTGCCTGAATGAAGTCGAGCCACCGGTCGTGTTGAATGAGGAACGGGGAATGGCTCTGGAGTCAATGCAGGGGAATCGGGCCTCATCTCGAGTTGATTTGGGGCACATGGAGTTGCTTTGCGTTGCTGGGGTGACCTCAGGGTCCGTCTAGACTGGTGACAGTGTTCTTGGGGACTGTCTCGAGATCCATTAAGCAAGTCGAAGCTCCTGACTTGTTTGAATCGGATCATGGAATAGCTCTGCATGCACTGCAGGGGAATGGGGCCTCATCTCGCCTCTAGGGGGAAGTCTCATGGTTTTTCTCGAGTTGCGGCGGGGACCTGGGTTATGTTCTCGACTTACGGCGGGGATGGCCCTTCAAAACACGAGTTTCTACAGTGACGTCAGGACTCCTGTCTAGTAACGAGGGACACCTCAGGAATCTCTTCGAGGCTTGGCAGGGCAAAAGGGACGCTTCTCGAGGTGAGGCAGGGCACCCAAGGACCCTTTCCAGTAGCCACAGGGATTTTGGGATTCCTATCAGTATTCAAGAGGAGTCAGGCATCGTCACCTTTTGAAGCAATGAACTCCGCGTGCCTAACGAGATGTCAGCGGGATGTGAGGCATTCCGTCAAAATGAAGCAGGGACCTAGGGCTTTCTCTGAGGTCTCCACAGGGGATTCAGACATCCCTTCATGTTGTGAGATGAAAGACGAGCCTGTATTCAAGCCACTGCAAGGAAATCCGGCCTCCTTTCAAGTTAGGGCTTCTCGCTGTATATTCCCCTTGAGGCAGGAAACTCGGGGTCCCTCCCACATACCTATTGCTGAGAGAAGCCTCCTCCTGAGGTGCTTCTGGGAAGTTGGCATACGTCTTGAGCCTAAGCCAGGGAATCAGCTCTCATCTCGAGACGATTTGGGGTACACGGAGCATTCCTCGAGTTGCTGTGCTGAAGTTGGTGTTCCTCTAGACTTGGGACAGTGTTCTCGGGGCATCTCTGGAGTTGCCTGAAGGAAGTCGAGCCACCGGTCGTGTTGAGTGGGGAACGGGGAATGGCTCTGGAGTCAATGCAGGGGAATCGGGCCTCATCTCGAGTTGATTTGGGGCACATGGAGCTGCTTTGCGTTGCTGGGGGGACCTCAGGGTCCGTCTAGACTGGTGACAGTGATCTTGGGGACTGTCTCGAGATCCATTAAGCAAGTCGAAGCTCCTGACTTGTTTGAATGGGATCACGGAATAGCTCTGCATGCACTGCAGGGGAATGGGGCCTCATCTCGCCTCTAGGGGGAAGTCTCATGGTTTTTCTCGAGTTGCGGCGGGGACCTGGGGTATGTTCTCGACTTACGGCGGGGATGGCCCTTCAAAACACGAGTTTCTTCAGTGACGTCAGGACTCCTGTCTAGTAACGAGGGACACCTCAGGAATCTCTTCGAGGCTTGGCAGGGCAAAAGGGACGTTTCTCGAGGTGAGGCAGGGCACCCAAGGACCCTTTCCAGTAGCCACAGGGATTTTGTGATTCCTATCAGTATTCAAGAGGAGTTAGGCATCGTCACCTTTTGAAGCAATGAACTCCGTGTGACTCTCGAGGTGTCAGCGGGATGTGTGGCATTCCGTCAAAATGAGGCAGGGAACTAGGGCTTTCTCTAAGGTCTCCACAGGGGATTCAGACATCCCTTCATGTTGTGAGATGAAAGACTAGCCTGTATTCAAGCCACTGCAAGGAAATCCGGCCTCCTTTCAAGTTAGGGCTTCTCGGTGTATATTCCCCTTGAGGCAGCAAACTCGGGGTCCCTCCCACATACCTATTGCTGAGAGAAGCCTCCTCCTGAGGTGCTTCTGGGAAGTTGGCATACGTCTTGAGCCTAAGCCAGGGAATCAGCTCTCATCTCGAGACAATTTGGGTTACACGGAGCATTCCTCGAGTTGCTGTGCTGAAGTTGGTCTTCCTCTAGACTTGGGACAGTGTTCTCGGGGCATCTCTGGAGTTGCCTGAATGAAGTCGAGCCACCGGTCGTGTTGAATGAGGAACGGGGAATGGCTCTGGAGTCAATGCAGGGGAATCGGGCCTCATCTCGAGTTGATTTGGGGCACATGGAGCTGCTTTGCGTTGCTGGGGTGACCTCAGCGTCCGTCTAGACTGGTGACAGTGTTCTTGGGGACTGTCTCGATATCCATTAAGCAAGTCGAAGCTCCAGACTTGTTTGAATGGGATCACAGGATAGCTCTGCATGCACTGCAGGGGAATGGGGCCTCATCTCGCCTCTAGGGGGAAGTCTCATGGTTTTTCTCGAGTTGCGGCGGGGACCTGGGTTATGTTCTCGACTTACGGCGGGGATGGCCCTTCAAAACACGAGTTTCTACAGTGACGTCAGGACTCCTGTCTAGTAACGAGGGACACCTCAGGAATCTCTTCCAGGCTTGGCAGGGCCAAAGGGACGCTTCTCGAGGTGAGGCAGGGCACCCAAGGACCCTTTCCAGTAGCCACAGGGATTTTGGGATTCCTATCAGTATTCAAGAGGAGTCAGGCATCGTCACCTTTTGAAGCAATGAACTCCGCGTGCCTCTCGAGGTGTCAGCGGGATGTGAGGCATTCCGTCAAAATGAGGCAGGGACCTAGGGCTTTCTCTAAGGTCTCCACAGGGGATTCAGACATCCCTTCATGTTGTGAGATGAAAGACGAGCCTGTATTCAAGCCACTGCAAGGAAATCCGGCCTCCTTTCAAGTTAGGGCTTCTCGCTGTATATTCCCCTTGAGGCAGCAAACTCGGGGTCCCTCCCACATACCTATTGCTGAGAGAAGCCTCCTCCTGAGGTGCTTCTGGGAAGTTGGCATACGTCTTGAGCCTAAGCCAGGGAATCAGCTCTCATCTCGAGACGATTTGGGGTACACGGAGCATTCCTCGAGTTGCTGTGCTGAAGTTGGTGTTCCTCTAGACTTGGGACAGTGTTCTCGGGGCATCTCTGGAGTTGCCTGAAGGAAGTCGAGCCACCGCTTGTGTTGAATGGGGAACGCGGAATGGCTCTGGAGTCAATGCAGGGGAATCGGGCCTCATCTCGAGTTGATTTGGGGCACATGGAGCTGCTTTGCGTTGCTGGGGTGACCTCAGGGTCCGTCTAGACTGGTGACAGTGTTCTTGGGGACTGTCTCGAGATCCATTAAGCAAGTCGAAGCTCCTGACTTGTTTGAATCGGATCATGGAATAGCTCTGCATGCACTGCAGGGGAATGGGGACTCATCTCGCCTCTAGGGGGAAGTCTCATGGTTTTTCTCGAGTTGCGGCGGGGACCTGGGGTATGTTCTCGACTTACTGCGGGGATGGCCCTTCAAAACACGAGTTTCTTCAGTGACGTCAGGACTCCTGTCTAGTAACGAGGGACACCTCAGGAATCTCTTCGAGGCTTGGCAGGGCAAAAGGGACGCTTCTCGAGGTGAGGCAGGGCACCCAAGCACCCTTTCCAGTAGCCACAGGGATTTTGGGATTCCTATCAGTATTCAAGAGGAGTCAGGCCTCGTCACCTTTTGAAGCAAGAAACTCCACGTGCCTCTCGAGGTGTCAGCGGGATGTGGGGCATTCCGTCAAAATGAGGCAGGGACCTAGGGCTTTCTCTAAGGTCTCCACAGGGGATTCAGACATCCCTTCATGTTGTGAGATGAAAGACTTGCCTGTATTCAAGCCACTGCAAGGAAATCCGGCCTCCTTTCAAGTTAGGGCTTCTCGGTGTATATTCCCCTTGAGGCAGGAAACTCGGGGTCCCTCCCACATACCTATTGCTGAGAGAAGCCTCCTCCTGAGGTGCTTCTGGGAAGTTGGCATACGTCTTGAGCCTAAGCCAGGGAATCAGCTCTCATCTCGAGACGATTTGGGTTACACGGAGCATTCCTCGAGTTGCTATGCTGAAGTTGGTCTTCCTCTAGACTTGGGACAGTGTTATCGGGGCATCTCTGGAGTTGCCTGAATGAAGTCGAGCCACCGGTCGTGTTGAATGAGGAACGGGGAATAGCTCTGGAGTCAATGCAGGGGAATCGGGCCTCATCTCGAGTTGATTTGGGGCACATGGAGTTGCTTTGCGTTGCTGGGGTGACCTCAGGGTCCGTCTAGACTGGTGACAGTGTTCTTGGGGACTGTCTCGAGATCCATTAAGCAAGTCGAAGCTCCTGACTTGTTTGAATCGGATCATGGAATAGCTCTGCATGCACTGCAGGGGAATGGGGCCTCATCTCGCCTCTAGGGGGAAGTCTCATGGTTTTTCTCGAGTTGCGGCGGGGACCTGGGTTATGTTCTCGACTTACGGCGGGGATGGCCCTTCAAAACACGAGTTTCTACAGTGACGTCAGGACTCCTGTCTAGTAACGAGGGACACCTCAGGAATCTCTTCGAGGCTTGGCAGGGCAAAAGGGACGCTTCTCGAGGTGAGGCAGGGCACCCAAGGACCCTTTCCAGTAGCCACAGGGATTTTGGGATTCCTATCAGTATTCAAGAGGAGTCAGGCATCGTCACCTTTTGAAGCAATGAACTCCGCGTGCCTAACGAGATGTCAGCGGGATGTGAGGCATTCCGTCAAAATGAAGCAGGGACCTAGGGCTTTCTCTGAGGTCTCCACAGGGGATTCAGACATCCCTTCATGTTGTGAGATGAAAGACGAGCCTGTATTCAAGCCACTGCAAGGAAATCCGGCCTCCTTTCAAGTTAGGGCTTCTCGCTGTATATTCCCCTTGAGGCAGGAAACTCGGGGTCCCTCCCACATACCTATTGCTGAGAGAAGCCTCCTCCTGAGGTGCTTCTGGGAAGTTGGCATACGTCTTGAGCCTAAGCCAGGGAATCAGCTCTCATCTCGAGACGATTTGGGGTACACGGAGCATTCCTCGAGTTGCTGTGCTGAAGTTGGTGTTCCTCTAGACTTGGGACAGTGTTCTCGGGGCATCTCTGGAGTTGCCTGAAGGAAGTCGAGCCACCGGTCGTGTTGAGTGGGGAACGGGGAATGGCTCTGGAGTCAATGCAGGGGAATCGGGCCTCATCTCGAGTTGATTTGGGGCACATGGAGCTGCTTTGCGTTGCTGGGGGGACCTCAGGGTCCGTCTAGACTGGTGACAGTGATCTTGGGGACTGTCTCGAGATCCATTAAGCAAGTCGAAGCTCCTGACTTGTTTGAATGGGATCACGGAATAGCTCTGCATGCACTGCAGGGGAATGGGGCCTCATCTCGCCTCTAGGGGGAAGTCTCATGGTTTTTCTCGAGTTGCGGCGGGGACCTGGGGTATGTTCTCGACTTACGGCGGGGATGGCCCTTCAAAACACGAGTTTCTTCAGTGACGTCAGGACTCCTGTCTAGTAACGAGGGACACCTCAGGAATCTCTTCGAGGCTTGGCAGGGCAAAAGGGACGTTTCTCGAGGTGAGGCAGGGCACCCAAGGACCCTTTCCAGTAGCCACAGGGATTTTGTGATTCCTATCAGTATTCAAGAGGAGTTAGGCATCGTCACCTTTTGAAGCAATGAACTCCGTGTGCCTCTCGAGGTGTCAGCGGGATGTGGGGCATTCCGTCAAAATGAGGCAGGGAACTAGGGCTTTCTCTAAGGTCTCCACAGGGGATTCAGACATCCCTTCATGTTGTGAGATGAAAGACTAGCCTGTATTCAAGCCACTGCAAGGAAATCCGGCCTCCTTTCAAGTTAGGGCTTCTCGGTGTATATTCCCCTTGAGGCAGCAAACTCGGGGTCCCTCCCACATACCTATTGCTGAGAGAAGCCTCCTCCTGAGGTGCTTCTGGGAAGTTGGCATACGTCTTGAGCCTAAGCCAGGGAATCAGCTCTCATCTCGAGACAATTTGGGTTACACGGAGCATTCCTCGAGTTGCTGTGCTGAAGTTGGTCTTCCTCTAGACTTGGGACAGTGTTCTCGGGGCATCTCTGGAGTTGCCTGAATGAAGTCGAGCCACCGGTCGTGTTGAATGAGGAACGGGGAATGGCTCTGGAGTCAATGCAGGGGAATCGGGCCTCATCTCGAGTTGATTTGGGGCACATGGAGCTGCTTTGCGTTGCTGGGGTGACCTCAGCGTCCGTCTAGACTGGTGACAGTGTTCTTGGGGACTGTCTCGATATCCATTAAGCAAGTCGAAGCTCCAGACTTGTTTGAATGGGATCACAGGATAGCTCTGCATGCACTGCAGGGGAATGGGGCCTCATCTCGCCTCTAGGGGGAAGTCTCATGGTTTTTCTCGAGTTGCGGCGGGGACCTGGGTTATGATCTCGACTTACGGCGGGGATGGCCCTTCAAAACACGAGTTTCTACAGTGACGTCAGGACTCCTGTCTAGTAACGAGGGACACCTCAGGAATCTCTTCCAGGCTTGGCAGGGCCAAAGGGACGCTTCTCGAGGTGAGGCAGGGCACCCAAGGACCCTTTCCAGTAGCCACAGGGATTTTGGGATTCCTATCAGTATTCAAGAGGAGTCAGGCATCGTCACCTTTTGAAGCAATGAACTCCGCGTGCCTCTCGAGGTGTCAGCGGGATGTGAGGCATTCCGTCAAAATGAGGCAGGGACCTAGGGCTTTCTCTAAGGTCTCCACAGGGGATTCAGACATCCCTTCATGTTGTGAGATGAAAGACGAGCCTGTATTCAAGCCACTGCAAGGAAATCCGGCCTCCTTTCAAGTTAGGGCTTCTCGCTGTATATTCCCCTTGAGGCAGGAAACTCGGGGTCCCTCCCACATACCTATTGCTGAGAGAAGCCTCCTCCTGAGGTGCTTCTGGGAAGTTGGCATACGTCTTGAGCCTAAGCCAGGGAATCAGCTCTCATCTCGAGACGATTTGGGGTACACGGAGCATTCCTCGAGTTGCTGTGCTGAAGTTGGTGTTCCTCTAGACTTGGGACAGTGTTCTCGGGGCATCTCTGGAGTTGCCTGAAGGAAGTCGAGCCACCGGTCGTGTTGAGTGGGGAACGGGGAATGGCTCTGGAGTCAATGCAGGGGAATCGGGCCTCATCTCGAGTTGATTTGGGGCACATGGAGCTGCTTTGCGTTGCTGGGGGGACCTCAGGGTCCGTCTAGACTGGTGACAGTGATCTTGGGGACTGTCTCGAGATCCATTAAGCAAGTCGAAGCTCCTGACTTGTTTGAATGGGATCACGGAATAGCTCTGCATGCACTGCAGGGGAATGGGGCCTCATCTCGCCTCTAGGGGGAAGTCTCATGGTTTTTCTCGAGTTGCGGCGGGGACCTGGGGTATGTTCTCGACTTACGGCGGGGATGGCCCTTCAAAACACGAGTTTCTTCAGTGACGTCAGGACTCCTGTCTAGTAACGAGGGACACCTCAGGAATCTCTTCGAGGCTTGGCAGGGCAAAAGGGACGTTTCTCGAGGTGAGGCAGGGAACCCAAGGACCCTTTCCAGTAGCCACAGGGATTTTGTGATTCCTATCAGTATTCAAGAGGAGTTAGGCATCGTCACCTTTTGAAGCAATGAACTCCGTGTGCCTCTCGAGGTGTCAGCGGGATGTGGGGCATTCCGTCAAAATGAGGCAGGGAACTAGGGCTTTCTCTAAGGTCTCCACAGGGGATTCAGACATCCCTTCATGTTGTGAGATGAAAGACTAGCCTGTATTCAAGCCACTGCAAGGAAATCCGGCCTCCTTTCAAGTTAGGGCTTCTCGGTGTATATTCCCCTTGAGGCAGCAAACTCGGGGTCCCTCCCACATACCTATTGCTGAGAGAAGCCTCCTCCTGAGGTGCTTCTGGGAAGTTGGCATACGTCTTGAGCCTAAGCCAGGGAATCAGCTCTCATCTCGAGACAATTTGGATTACACGGAGCATTCCTCGAGTTGCTGTGCAGAAGTTGGTCTTCCTCTAGACTTGGGACAGTGTTCTCGGGGCATCTCTGGAGTTGCCTGAATGAAGTCGAGCCACCGGTCGTGTTGAATGAGGAACGGGGAATGGCTCTGGAGTCAATGCAGGGGAATCGGGCCTCATCTCGAGTTGATTTGGGGCACATGGAGCTGCTTTGCGTTGCTGGGGTGACCTCAGCGTCCGTCTAGACTGGTGACAGTGTTCTTGGGGACTGTCTCGATATCCATTAAGCAAGTCGAAGCTCCAGACTTGTTTGAATGGGATCACAGGATAGCTCTGCATGCACTGCAGGGGAATGGGGCCTCATCTCGCCTCTAGGGGGAAGTCTCATGGTTTTTCTCGAGTTGCGGCGGGGACCTGGGTTATGTTCTCGACTTACGGCGGGGATGGCCCTTCAAAACACGAGTTTCTACAGTGACGTCAGGACTCCTGTCTAGTAACGAGGGACACCTCAGGAATCTCTTCGAGGCTTGGCAGGGCCAAAGGGACGCTTCTCGAGGTGAGGCAGGGCACCCAAGGACCCTTTCCAGTAGCCACAGGGATTTTGGGATTCCTATCAGTATTCAAGAGGAGTCAGGCATCGTCACCTTTTGAAGCAATGAACTCCGCGTGCCTCTCGAGGTGTCAGCGGGATGTGAGGCATTCCGTCAAAATGAGGCAGGGACCTAGGGCTTTCTCTAAGGTCTCCACAGGGGATTCAGACATCCCTTCATGTTGTGAGATGAAAGACGAGCCTGTATTCAAGCCACTGCAAGGAAATCCGGCCTCCTTTCAAGTTAGGGCTTCTCGCTGTATATTCCCCTTGAGGCAGCAAACTCGGGGTCCCTCCCACATACCAATTGCTGAGAGAAGCCTCCTCCTGAGGTGCTTCTGGGAAGTTGGCATACGTCTTGAGCCTAAGCCAGGGAATCAGCTCTCATCTCGAGACGATTTGGGGTACACGGAGCATTCCTCGAGTTGCTGTGCTGAAGTTGGTCTTCCTCTAGACTTGGGACAGTGTTCTCGGGGCATCTCTGGAGTTGCCTGAAGGAAGTCGAGCCACCGGTCGTGTTGAGTGGGGAACGGGGAATGGCTCTGGAGTCAATGCAGGGGAATCGGGCCTCATCTCGAGTTGATTTGGGGCACATGGAGCTGCTTTGCGTTGCTGGGGGGAACTCAGGGTCCGTCTAGACTGGTGACAGTGATCTTGGGGACTGTCTCGAGATCCATTAAGCAAGTCGAAGCTCCTGACTTGTTTGAATGGGATCACGGAATAGCTCTGCATGCACTGCAGGGGAATGGGGCCTCATCTCGCCTCTAGGGGGAAGTCTCATGGTTTTTGTCGAGTTGCGGCGGGGACCTGGGGTATGTTCTCGACTTACGGCGGGGATGGCCCTTCAAAACACGAGTTTCTTCAGTGACGTCAGGACTCCTGTCTAGTAACGAGGGACACCTCAGGAATCTCTTCGAGGCTTGGCAGGGCCAAAGGGACTCTTCTCGAGGTGAGGCAGGGCACCCAAGGACCCTTTCCAGTAGCCACAGGGATTTTGGGATTCCTATCAGTATTCAAGATTAGTTAGGCATCGTCACCTTTTGAAGCAATGAACTCCGCGTGCCTCTCGAGGTGTCAGCGGGATGTGGGGCATTCCGTCAAAATGAGGCAGGGACCTAGGGTTTTCTCTAAGGTCTCCACAGGGGATTCAGACATCCCTTCATGTTGTGAGATGAAAGACGAGCCTGTATTCAAGCCACTGCAAGGAAATCCGGCCTCCTTTCAAGTTAGGGCTTCTCGCTGTATATTCCCCTTGAGGCAGCAAACTCGGGGTCCCTCCCACATACCTATTGCTAAGAGAAGCCTCCTCCTGAGGTGCTTCTGGGAAGTTGGCATACGTCTTGAGCCTAAGCCAGGGAATCAGCTCTCATCTCGAGACGATTTGGGGTACACGGAGCATTCCTCGAGTTGCTGTGCTGAAGTTGGTCTTCCTCTAGACTTGGGACAGTGTTCTCGGGGCATCTCTGGAGTTGCCTGAAGGAAGTCGAGCCACCGGTTTTGTTGAATGGGGAACGCGGAATGGCTCTGGAGTCAATGCAGGGGAATCGGGCCTCATCTCGAGTTGATTTGGGGCACATGGAGCTGCTTTGCGTTGCTGGGGTGACCTCAGGGTCCGTCTAGACTGGTGACAGTGTTCTTGGGGACTGTCTCGAGATCCATTAAGCAAGTCGAAGCTCCTGACTTGTTTGAATCGGATCATGGAATAGCTCTGCATGCACTGCAGGGGAATGGGGCCTCATCTCGCCTCTAGGGGGAAGTCTCATGGTTTTTCTCGAGTTGCGGCGGGGACCTGGGTAATGTTCTCGACTTACTGCGGGGATGGCCCTTCAAAACACGAGTTTCTTCAGTGACGTCAGGACTCCTGTCTAGTAACGAGGGACACCTCAGGAATCTCTTCGAGGCTTGGCAGGGCAAAAGGGACGCTTCTCGAGGTGAGGCAGGGCACCCAAGCACCCTTTCCAGTAGCCACAGGGATTTTGGGATTCCTATCAGTATTCAAGAGGAGTCAGGCCTCATCACCTTTTGAAGCAAGGAACTCCACGTGCCTCTCGAGGTGTCAGCGGGATGTGGGGCATTCCGTCAAAATGAGGCAGGGACCTAGGGCTTTCTCTAAGGTCTCCACAGGGGATTCAGACATCCCTTCATGTTGTGAGATGAAAGACTAGCCTGTATTCAAGCCACTGCAAGGAAATCCGGCCTCCTTTCAAGTTAGGGCTTCTCAGTGTATATTCCCCTTGAGGCAGCAAACTCGGGGTCCCTCCCACATACCTATTGCTGAGAGAAGCCTCCTCCTGAGGTGCTTCTGGGAAGTTGGCATACGTCTTGAGCCTAAGCCAGGGAATCAGCTCTCATCTCGAGACGATTTGGGTTACACGGAGCATTCCTCGAGTTGCTGTGCTGAAGTTGGTCTTCCTCTAGACTTGGGACAGTGTTATCGGGGCATCTCTGGAGTTGCCTGAATGAAGTCGAGCCACCGGTCGTGTTGAATGAGGAACGGGGAATGGCTCTGGAGTCAATGCAGGGGAATCGGGCCTCATCTCGAGTTGATTTGGGGCACATAGAGCTGCTTTGCGTTGCTGGGGTGACCTCAGGGTCCGTCTAGACTGGTGACAGTGTTCTTGGGGACTGTCTCGAGATCCATTAAGCAAGTCGAAGCTCCTGACTTGTTTGAATCGGATCATGGAATAGCTTTGCATGCACTGCAGGGGAATGGGGCCTCATCTCGCCTCTAGGGGGAAGTCTCATGGTTTTTCTCGAGTTGCGGCGGGGACCTCGGTTATGTTCTCGACTTACGGCGGGGATGGCCCTTCAAAACACGAGTTTCTACAGTGACGTCAGGACTCCTGTCTAGTAACGAGGGACACCTCAGGAATCTCTTCGAGGCTTGGCAGGGCAAAAGGGACGCTTCTCGAGGTGAGGCAGGGCACCCAAGTACCCTTTCCAGTAGCCACAGGGATTTTGGGATTCCTATCAGTATTCAAGAGGAGTCAGGCATCGTCACCTTTTGAAGCAATGAACTCCGCGTGCCTCTCGAGGTGTCAGCGGGATGTGAGGCATTCCGTCAAAATGAGGCAGGGACCTAGGGCTTTCTCTGAGGTCTCCACAGGGGATTCAGACATCCCTTCATGTTGTGAGATGAAAGACGAGCCTGTATTCAAGCCACTGCAAGGAAATCCGGCCTCCTTTCAAGTTAGGGCTTCTCGCTGTATATTCCCCTTGAGGCAGGAAACTCGGGGTCCCTCCCACATACCTATTGCTGAGAGAAGCCTCCTCCTGAGGTGCTTCTGGGAAGTTGGCATACGTCTTGAGCCTAAGCCAGGGAATCAGCTCTCATCTCGAGACGATTTGGGGTACACGGAGCATTCCTCGAGTTGCTGTGCTGAAGTTGGTGTTCCTCTAAACTTGGGACAGTGTTCTCGGGGCATCTCTGGAGTTGCCTGAAGGAAGTCGAGCCACCGGTCGTGTTGAGTGGGGAACGGGGAATGGCTCTGGAGTCAATGCAGGGGAATCGGGCCTCATCTCGAGTTGATTTGGGGCACATGGAGCTGCTTTGCGTTGCTGGGGTGACCTCAGGGTCCGTCTAGACTGGTGACAGTGATCTTGGGGACTGTCTCGAGATCCATTAAGCAAGTCGAAGCTCCTGACTTGTTTGAATGGGATCACGGAATAGCTCTGCATGCACTGCAGGGGAATGGGGCCTCATCTCGCCTCTAGGGGGAAGTCTCATGGTTTTTCTCGAGTTGCGGCGGGGACCTGGGGTATGTTCTCGACTTACGGCGGGGATGGCCCTTCAAAACACGAGTTTCTTCAGTGACGTCAGGACTCCTGTCTAGTAACGAGGGACACCTCAGGAATCTCTTCGAGGCTTGGCAGGGCCAAAGGGACGCTTCTCGAGGTGAGGCAGGGCACCCAAGGACCCTTTCCAGTAGCCACAGGGATTTTGTGATTCCTATCAGTATTCAAGAGGAGTTAGGCATCGTCACCTTTTGAAGCAATGAACTCCGTGTGCCTCTCGAGGTGTCAGCGGGATGTGGGGCATTCCGTCAAAATGAGGCAGGGAACTAGGGCTTTCTCTAAGGTCTCCACAGGGGATTCAGACATCCCTTCATGTTGTGAGATGAAAGACTAGCCTGTATTCAAGCCACTGCAAGGAAATCCGGCCTCCTTTCAAGTTAGGGCTTCTCGGTGTATATTCCCCTTGAGGCAGCAAACTCGGGGTCCCTCCCACATACCTATTGCTGAGAGAAGCCTCCTCCTGAGGTGCTTCTGGGAAGTTGGCATACGTCTTGAGCCTAAGCCAGGGAATCAGCTCTCATCTCGAGACAATTTGGGTTACACGGAGCATTCCTCGAGTTGCTGTGCTGAAGTTGGTCTTCCTCTAGACTTGGGACAGTGTTCTCGGGGCATCTCTTGAGTTGCCTGAATGAAGTCGAGCCACCGGTCGTGTTGAATGAGGAACGGGGAATGGCTCTGGAGTCAATGCAGGGGAATCGGGCCTCATCTCGAGTTGATTTGGGGCACATGGAGCTGCTTTGCGTTGCTGGGGTGACCTCAGCGTCCGTCTAGACTGGTGACAGTGTTCTTGGGGACTGTCTCGATATCCATTAAGCAAGTCGAAGCTCCAGACTTGTTTGAATGGGATCACGGAATAGCTCTGCATGCACTGCAGGGGAATGGGGCCTCATCTCGCCTCTAGGGGGAAGTCTCATGGTTTTTCTCGAGTTGCGGCGGGGACCTGGGTTATGTTCTCGACTTACGGCGGGGATGGCCCTTCAAAACACGAGTTTCTACAGTGACGTCAGGACTCCTGTCTAGTAACGAGGGACACCTCAGGAATCTCTTCGAGGCTTGGCAGGGCAAAAGGGACGCTTCTCGAGGTGAGGCAGGGCACCCAAGGACCCTTTCCAGTAGCCACAGGGATTTTGGGATTCCTATCAGTATTCAAGAGGAGTCAGGCATCGTCACCTTTTGAAGCAATGAACTCCGCGTGCCTCTCGAGGTGTCAGCGGGATGTGAGGCATTCCGTCAAAATGAGGCAGGGACCTAGGGCTTTCTCTAAGGTCTCCACAGGGGATTCAGACATCCCTTCATGTTGTGAGATGAAAGACGAGCCTGTATTCAAGCCACTGCAAGGAAATCCGGCCTCCTTTCAAGTTAGGGCTTCTCGCTGTATATTCCCCTTGAGGCAGCAAACTCGGGGTCCCTCCCACATACCTATTGCTGAGAGAAGCCTCCTCCTGAGGTGCTTCTGGGAAGTTGGCATACGTCTTGAGCCTAAGCCAGGGAATCAGCTCTCATCTCGAGACGATTTGGGGTACACGGAGCATTCCTCGAGTTGCTGTGCTGAAGTTGGTGTCCTCTAGACTTGGGACAGTGTTCTCGGGGCATCTCTGGAGTTGTCTGAAGGAAGTCGAGCCACCGGTCGTGTTGAGTGGGGAACGGGGAATGGCTCTGGAGTCAATGCAGGGGAATCGGGCCTCATCTCGAGTTGATTTGGGGCACATGGAGCTGCTTTGCGTTGCTGGGGTGACCTCAGGGTCCGTCTAGACTGGTGACAGTGATCTTGGGGACTGTCTCGAGATCCATTAAGCAAGTCGAAGCTCCTGACTTGTTTGAATGGGATCACGGAATAGCTCTGCATGCACTGCAGGGGAATGGGGCCTCATCTCGCCTCTAGGGGGAAGTCTCATGGTTTTTCTCGAGTTGCGGCGGGGACCTGGGGTATGTTCTCGACTTACGGCGGGGATGGCCCTTCAAAACACGAGTTTCTTCAGTGACGTCAGGACTCCTGTCTAGTAACGAGGGACACCTCAGGAATCTCTTCGAGGCTTGGCAGGGCAAAAGGGACGCTTCTCGAGGTGAGGCAGGGCACCCAAGGACCCTTTCCAGTAGCCACAGGGATTTTGGGATTCCTATCAGTATTCAAGAATAGTTAGGCAACGTCACCTTTTGAAGCAATGAACTCCGCGTGCCTCTCGAGGTGTCAGCGGGATGTGAGGCATTCCGTCAAAATGAGGCAGGGACCTAGGGCTTTCTCTGAGGTCTCCACAGGGGATTCAGACATCCCTTCATGTTGTGAGATGAAAGACGAGCCTGTATTCAAGCCACTGCAAGGAAATCCGGCCTCCTTTCAAGTTAGGGCTTCTCGCTGTATATTCCCCTTGAGGCAGGAAACTCGGGGTCCCTCCCACATACCTATTGCTGAGAGAAGCCTCCTCCTGAGGTGCTTCTGGGAAGTTGGCATACGTCTTGAGCCTAAGCCAGGGAATCAGCTCTCATCTCGAGACGATTTGGGGTACACGGAGCATTCCTCGAGTTGCTGTGCTGAAGTTGGTCTTCCTCTAAACTTGGGACAGTGTTCTCGGGGCATCTCTGGAGTTGCCTGAAGGAAGTCGAGCCACCGGTCGTGTTGAGTGGGGAACGGGGAATGGCTCTGGAGTCAATGCAGGGGAATCGGGCCTCATCTCGAGTTGATTTGGGGCACATGGAGCTGCTTTGCGTTGCTGGGGTGACCTCAGGGTCCGTCTAGACTGGTGACAGTGATCTTGGGGACTGTCTCGAGATCCATTAAGCAAGTCGAAGCTCCTGACTTGTTTGAATGGGATCACGGAATAGCTCTGCATGCACTGCAGGGGAATGGGGCCTCATCTCGCCTCTAGGGGGAAGTCTCATGGTTTTTCTCGAGTTGCGGCGGGGACCTGGGGTATGTTCTCGACTTACGGCGGGGATGGCCCTTCAAAACACGAGTTTCTTCAGTGACGTCAGGACTCCTGTCTAGTAACGAGGGACACCTCAGGAATCTCTTCGAGGCTTGGCAGGGCCAAAGGGACGCTTCTCGAGGTGAGGCAGGGCACCCAAGGACCCTTTCCAGTAGCCACAGGGATTTTGTGATTCCTATCAGTATTCAAGAGGAGTTAGGCATCGTCACCTTTTGAAGCAATGAACTCCGTGTGCCTCTCGAGGTGTCAGCGGGATGTGGGGCATTCTGTCAAAATGAGGCAGGGAACTAGGGCTTTCTCTAAGGTCTCCACAGGGGATTCAGACATCCCTTCATGTTGTGAGATGAAAGACTAGCCTGTATTCAAGCCACTGCAAGGAAATCCGGCCTCCTTTCAAGTTAGGGCTTCTCGGTGTATATTCCCCTTGAGGCAGCAAACTCGGGGTCCCTCCCACATACCTATTGCTGAGAGAAGCCTCCTCCTGAGGTGCTTCTGGGAAGTTGGCATACGTCTTGAGCCTAAGCCGGGAATCAGCTCTCATCTCGAGACAATTTGGGTTACACGGAGCATTCCTCGAGTTGCTGTGCTGAAGTTGGTCTTCCTCTAGACTTGGGACAGTGTTCTCGGGGCATCTCTTGAGTTGCCTGAATGAAGTCGAGCCACCGGTCGTGTTGAATGAGGAACGGGGAATGGCTCTGGAGTCAATGCAGGGGAATCGGGCCTCATCTCGAGTTGATTTGGGGCACATGGAGCTGCTTTGCGTTGCTGGGGTGACCTCAGCGTCCGTCTAGACTGGTGACAGTGTTCTTGGGGACTGTCTCGATATCCATTAAGCAAGTCGAAGCTCCAGACTTGTTTGAATGGGATCACGGAATAGCTCTGCATGCACTGCAGGGGAATGGGGCCTCATCTCGCCTCTAGGGGGAAGTCTCATGGTTTTTCTCGAGTTGCGGCGGGGACCTGGGTTATGTTCTCGACTTACGGCGGGGATGGCCCTTCAAAACACGAGTTTCTACAGTGACGTCAGGACTCCTGTCTAGTAACGAGGGACACCTCAGGAATCTCTTCGAGGCTTGGCAGGGCAAAAGGGACGCTTCTCGAGGTGAGGCAGGGCACCCAAGGACCCTTTCCAGTAGCCACAGGGATTTTGGGATTCCTATCAGTATTCAAGAGGAGTCAGGCATCGTCACCTTTTGAAGCAATGAACTCCGCGTGCCTCTCGAGGTGTCAGCGGGATGTGAGGCATTCCGTCAAAATGAGGCAGGGACCTAGGGCTTTCTCTAAGGTCTCCACAGGGGATTCAGACATCCCTTCATGTTGTGAGATGAAAGACGAGCCTGTATTCAAGCCACTGCAAGGAAATCCGGCCTCCTTTCAAGTTAGGGCTTCTCGCTGTATATTCCCCTTGAGGCAGCAAACTCGGGGTCCCTCCCACATACCTATTGCTGAGAGAAGCCTCCTCCTGAGGTGCTTCTGGGAAGTTGGCATACGTCTTGAGCCTAAGCCAGGGAATCAGCTCTCATCTCGAGACGATTTGGGGTACACGGAGCATTCCTCGAGTTGCTGTGCTGAAGTTGGTGTCCTCTAGACTTGGGACAGTGTTCTCGGGGCATCTCTGGAGTTGTCTGAAGGAAGTCGAGCCACCGGTCGTGTTGAGTGGGGAACGGGGAATGGCTCTGGAGTCAATGCAGGGGAATCGGGCCTCATCTCGAGTTGATTTGGGGCACATGGAGCTGCTTTGCGTTGCTGGGGTGACCTCAGGGTCCGTCTAGACTGGTGACAGTGATCTTGGGGACTGTCTCGAGATCCATTAAGCAAGTCGAAGCTCCTGACTTGTTTGAATGGGATCACGGAATAGCTCTGCATGCACTGCAGGGGAATGGGGCCTCATCTCGCCTCTAGGGGGAAGTCTCATGGTTTTTCTCGAGTTGCGGCGGGGACCTGGGGTATGTTCTCGACTTACGGCGGGGATGGCCCTTCAAAACACGAGTTTCTTCAGTGACGTCAGGACTCCTGTCTAGTAACGAGGGACACCTCAGGAATCTCTTCGAGGCTTGGCAGGGCCAAAGGGACGCTTCTCGAGGTGAGGCAGGGCACCCAAGGACCCTTTCCAGTAGCCACAGGGATTTTGGGATTCCTATCAGTATTCAAGAATAGTTAGGCAACGTCACCTTTTGAAGCAATGAACTCCGCGTGCCTCTCGAGGTGTCAGCGGGATGTGGGGCATTCCGTCAAAATGAGGCAGGGACCTAGGGCTTTCTCTAAGGTCTCCACAGGGGATTCAGACATCCCTTCATGTTGTGAGATGAAAGACAAGCCTGTATTCAAGCCACTGCAAGGAAATCCGGCCTCCTTTCAAGTTAGGGCTTCTCGCTGTATATTCCCCTTGAGGCAGCAAACTCGGGGTCCCTCCCACATACCTATTGCTAAGAGAAGCCTCCTCCTGAGGTGCTTCTGGGAAGTTGGCATACGTCTTGAGCCTAAGCCAGGGAATCAGCTCTCATCTCGAGACGATTTGGGGTACACGGAGCATTCCTCGAGTTGCTGTGCTGAAGTTGGTCTTCCTCTAGACTTGGGACAGTGTTCTCGGGGCATCTCTGGAGTTGCCTGAAGGAAGTCGAGCCACCGGTTGTGTTGAATGGGGAATGCGGAATGGCTCTGGAGTCAATGCAGGGGAATCGGGCCTCATCTAGAGTTGATTTGGGGCACATGGAGCTGCTTTGCGTTGCTGGGGTGACCTCAGGGTCCGTCTAGACTGGTGACAGTGTTCTTGGGGACTCTCTCGAGATCCATTAAGCAAGTCGAAGCTCCTGACTTGTTTGAATCGGATCATGGAATAGCTCTGCATGCACTGCAGGGGAATGGGTCCTCATCTCGCCTCTGGGGAAGTCTCATGGTTTTTCTCGAGTTGCGGCGGGGACCTGGGGTATGTTCTCGACTTACTGCGGGGATGGCCCTTCAAAACACGAGTTTCTTCAGTGACGTCAGGACTCCTGTCTAGTAACGAGGGACACCTCAGGAATCTCTTCGAGGCTTGGCAGGGCAAAAGGGACGCTTCTCGAGGTGAGGCAGGGCACCCAAGCACCCTTTCCAGTAGCCACAGGGATTTTGGGATTCCTATCAGTATTCAAGAGGAGTCAGGCCTCGTCACCTTTTGAAGCAAGGAACTCCACGTGCCTCTCGAGGTGTCAGCGGGATGTGGGGCATTCCGTCAAAATGAGGCAGGGACCTAGGGCTTTCTCTAAGCTCTCCACAGGGGATTCAGACATCCCTTCATGTTGTGAGATGAAAGGCTAGCCTGTATTCAAGCCACTGCAAGGAAATCCGGCCTCCTTTCTAGTTAGGGCTTCTCGGTGTATATTCCCCTTGAGGCAGCAAACTCGGGGTCCCTCCCACATACCTATTGCTGAGAGAAGCCTCCTCCTGAGGTGCTTCTGGGAAGTTGGCATACGTCTTGAGCCTAAGCCAGGGAATTAGCTCTCATCTCGAGACGATTTGGGTTACACGGAGCATTCATCGAGTTGCTGTGCTGAAGTTGGTCTTCCTCTAGACTTGGGACAGTGTTCTCGGGGCATCTCTGGAGTTGCCTGAATGAAGTCGAGCCACCGGTCGTGTTGAATGAGGAACGGGGAATGGCTCTGGAGTCAATGCAGGGGAATCGGGCCTCATCTCGAGTTGATTTGGGGCACATGGAGCTGCTTTGCGTTGCTGGGGTGACCTCAGCGTCCGTCTAGACTGGTGACAGTGTTCTTGGGGACTGTCTCGATATCCATTAAGCAAGTCGAAGCTCCAGACTTGTTTGAATGGGATCACGGAATAGCTCTGCATGCACTGCAGGGGAATGGGGCCTCATCTCGCCTCTAGGGGGAAGTCTCATGGTTTTTCTCGAGTTGCGGCGGGGACCTGGGGTATGTTCTCGACTTACGGCGGGGATGGCCCTTCAAAACACGAGTTTCTTCAGTGACGTCAGGACTCCTGTCTAGTAACGAGGGACACCTCAGGAATCTCTTCGAGGCTTGGCAGGGCCAAAGGGACGCTTCTCGAGGTGAGGCAGGGCACCCAAGGACCCTTTCCAGTAGCCACAGGGATTTTGGGATTCCTATCAGTATTCAAGAATAGTTAGGCAACGTCACCTTTTGAAGCAATGAACTCCGCGTGCCTCTCGAGGTGTCAGCGGGATGTGGGGCATTCCGTCAAAATGAGGCAGGGACCTAGGGCTTTCTCTAAGGTCTCCACAGGGGATTCAGACATCCCTTCATGTTGTGAGATGAAAGACAAGCCTGTATTCAAGCCACTGCAAGGAAATCCGGCCTCCTTTCAAGTTAGGGCTTCTCGCTGTATATTCCCCTTGAGGCAGCAAACTCGGGGTCCCTCCCACATACCTATTGCTAAGAGAAGCCTCCTCCTGAGGTGCTTCTGGGAAGTTGGCATACGTCTTGAGCCTAAGCCAGGGAATCAGCTCTCATCTCGAGACGATTTGGGGTACACGGAGCATTCCTCGAGTTGCTGTGCTGAAGTTGGTCTTCCTCTAGACTTGGGACAGTGTTCTCGGGGCATCTCTGGAGTTGCCTGAAGGAAGTCGAGCCACCGGTTGTGTTGAATGGGGAATGCGGAATGGCTCTGGAGTCAATGCAGGGGAATCGGGCCTCATCTAGAGTTGATTTGGGGCACATGGAGCTGCTTTGCGTTGCTGGGGTGACCTCAGGGTCCGTCTAGACTGGTGACAGTGTTCTTGGGGACTCTCTCGAGATCCATTAAGCAAGTCGAAGCTCCTGACTTGTTTGAATCGGATCATGGAATAGCTCTGCATGCACTGCAGGGGAATGGGTCCTCATCTCGCCTCTGGGGAAGTCTCATGGTTTTTCTCGAGTTGCGGCGGGGACCTGGGGTATGTTCTCGACTTACTGCGGGGATGGCCCTTCAAAACACGAGTTTCTTCAGTGACGTCAGGACTCCTGTCTAGTAACGAGGGACACCTCAGGAATCTCTTCGAGGCTTGGCAGGGCAAAAGGGACGCTTCTCGAGGTGAGGCAGGGCACCCAAGCACCCTTTCCAGTAGCCACAGGGATTTTGGGATTCCTATCAGTATTCAAGAGGAGTCAGGCCTCGTCACCTTTTGAAGCAAGGAACTCCACGTGCCTCTCGAGGTGTCAGCGGGATGTGGGGCATTCCGTCAAAATGAGGCAGGGACCTAGGGCTTTCTCTAAGCTCTCCACAGGGGATTCAGACATCCCTTCATGTTGTGAGATGAAAGGCTAGCCTGTATTCAAGCCACTGCAAGGAAATCCGGCCTCCTTTCTAGTTAGGGCTTCTCGGTGTATATTCCCCTTGAGGCAGCAAACTCGGGGTCCCTCCCACATACCTATTGCTGAGAGAAGCCTCCTCCTGAGGTGCTTCTGGGAAGTTGGCATACGTCTTGAGCCTAAGCCAGGGAATTAGCTCTCATCTCGAGACGATTTGGGTTACACGGAGCATTCATCGAGTTGCTGTGCTGAAGTTGGTCTTCCTCTAGACTTGGGACAGTGTTCTCGGGGCATCTCTGGAGTTGCCTGAATGAAGTCGAGCCACCGGTCGTGTTGAATGAGGAACGGGGAATGGCTCTGGAGTCAATGCAGGGGAATCGGGCCTCATCTCGAGTTGATTTGGGGCACATGGAGCTGCTTTGCGTTGCTGGGGTGACCTCAGCGTCCGTCTAGACTGGTGACAGTGTTCTTGGGGACTGTCTCGATATCCATTAAGCAAGTCGAAGCTCCAGACTTGTTTGAATGGGATCACGGAATAGCTCTGCATGCACTGCAGGGGAATGGGGCCTCATCTCGCCTCTAGGGGGAAGTCTCATGGTTTTTCTCGAGTTGCGGCGGGGACCTGGGGTATGTTCTCGACTTACGGCGGGGATGGCCCTTCAAAACACGAGTTTCTTCAGTGACGTCAGGACTCCTGTCTAGTAACGAGGGACACCTCAGGAATCTCTTCGAGGCTTGGCAGGGCCAAAGGGACGCTTCTCGAGGTGAGGCAGGGCACCAAAGGACCCTTTCCAGTAGCCACAGGGATTTTGGGATTCCTATCAGTATTCAAGAGGAGTCAGGCCTCGTCACCTTTTGAAGCAAGGAACTCCACGTGCCTCTCGAGGTGTCAGCGGGATGTGGGGCATTCCGTCAAAATGAGGCAGGGACCTAGGGCTTTCTCTAAGCTCTCCACAGGGGATTCAGACATCCCTTCATGTTGTGAGATGAAAGGCTAGCCTGTATTCAAGCCACTGCAAGGAAATCCGGCCTCCTTTCTAGTTAGGGCTTCTCGGTGTATATTCCCCTTGAGGCAGCAAACTCGGGGTCCCTCCCACATACCTATTGCTGAGAGAAGCCTCCTCCTGAGGTGCTTCTGGGAAGTTGGCATACGTCTTGAGCCTAAGCCAGGGAATTAGCTCTCATCTCGAGACGATTTGGGTTACACGGAGCATTCCTCGAGTTGCTGTGCTGAAGTTGGTCTTCCTCTAGACTTGGGACAGTGTTCTCGGGGCATCTCTGGAGTTGCCTGAATGAAGTCGAGACACCGGTCGTGTTGAATGAGGAACGGGGAATGGCTCTGGAGTCAATGCAGGGGAATCGGGCCTCATCTCGAGTTGATTTGGGGCACATGGAGCTGCTTTGCGTTGCTGGGGTGACCTCAGCGTCCGTCTAGACTGGTGACAGTGTTCTTGGGGACTGTCTCGATATCCATTAAGCAAGTCGAAGCTCCAGACTTGTTTGAATGGGATCACGGAATAGCTCTGCATGCACTGCAGGGGAATGGGGCCTCATCTCGCCTCTAGGGGGAAGTCTCATGGTTTTTCTCGAGTTGCGGCGGGGACCTGGGTTATGTTCTCGACTTACGGCGGGGATGGCCCTTCAAAACACGAGTTTCTACAGTGACGTCAGGACTCCTGTCTAGTAACGAGGGACACCTCAGGAATCTCTTCGAGGCTTGGCAGGGCAAAAGGGACGCTTCTCGAGGTGAGGCAGGGCACCCAAGGACCCTTTCCAGTAGCCACAGGGATTTTGGGATTCCTATCAGTATTCAAGAGGAGTCAGGCATCGTCACCTTTTGAAGCAATGAACTCCGCGTGCCTCTCGAGGTGTCAGCGGGATGTGAGGCATTCCGTCAAAATGAGGCAGGGACCTAGGGCTTTCTCTAAGGTCTCCACAGGGGATTCAGACATCCCTTCATGTTGTGAGATGAAAGACGAGCCTGTATTCAAGCCACTGCAAGGAAATCCGGCCTCCTTTCAAGTTAGGGCTTCTCGCTGTATATTCCCCTTGAGGCAGCAAACTCGGGGTCCCTCCCACATACCTATTGCTGAGAGAAGCCTCCTCCTGAGGTGCTTCTGGGAAGTTGGCATACGTCTTGAGCCTAAGCCAGGGAATCAGCTCTCATCTCGAGACGATTTGGGGTACACGGAGCATTCCTCGAGTTGCTGTGCTGAAGTTGGTGTTCCTCTAGACTTGGGACAGTGTTCTCGGGGCATCTCTGGAGTTGCCTGAAGGAAGTCGAGCCACCGGTCGTGTTGAGTGGGGAACGGGGAATGGCTCTGGAGTCAATGCAGGGGAATCGGGCCTCATCTCGAGTTGATTTGGGGCACATGGAGCTGCTTTGCGTTGCTGGGGGGACCTCAGGGTCCGTCTAGACTGGTGACAGTGTTCTTGGGGACTGTCTCGAGATCCATTAAGCAAGTCGAAGCTCCTGACTTGTTTGAATCGGATCATGGAATAGCTCTGCATGCACTGCAGGGGAATGGGGCCTCATCTCGCCTCTAGGGGGAAGTCTCATGGTTTTTCTCGAGTTGCGGCGGGGACCTGGGGTATGTTCTCGACTTACTGCGGGGATGGCCCTTCAAAACACGAGTTTCTTCAGTGACGTCAGGACTCCTGTCTAGTAACGAGGGACACCTCAGGAATCTCTTCGAGGCTTGGCAGGGCAAAAGGGACGCTTCTCGAGGTGAGGCAGGGCACCCAAGCACCCTGTCCAGTAGCCACAGGGATTTTGGGATTCCTATCAGTATTCAAGAGTAGTCAGGCCTCGTCACCTTTTGAAGCAAGGAACTCCACGTGCCTCTCGAGGTGTCAGCGGGATGTGGGGCATTCCGTCAAAATGAGGCAGGGACCTAGGGCTTTCTCTAAGGTCTCCACAGGGGATTCAGACATCCCTTCATGTTGTGAGATGAAAGACTAGCCTGTATTCAAGCCACTGCAAGGAAATCCGGCCTCCTTTCAAGTTAGGGCTTCTCGGTGTATATTCCCCTTGAGGCAGCAAACTCGGGGTCCCTCCCACATACCTATTGCTGAGAGAAGCCTCCTCCTGAGGTGCTTCTGGGAAGTTGGCATACGTCTTGAGCCTAAGCCAGGGAATCAGCTCTCATCTCGAGACGATTTGGGGTACACGGAGCATTCCTCGAGTTGCTGTGCTGAAGTTGGTCTTCCTCTAGACTTGGGACAGTGTTATCGGGGCATCTCTGGAGTTGCCTGAATGAAGTCGAGCCACCGGTCGTGTTGAATGAGGAACGGGGAATGGCTCTGGAGTCAATGCAGGGGAATCGGGCCTCATCTCGAGTTGATTTGATGCACATGGAGCTGCTTTGCGTTGCTGGGGTGACCTCAGGGTCCGTCTAGACTGGTGACAGTGTTCTTGGGGACTGTCTCGAGATCCATTAAGCAAGTCGAAGCTCCTGACTTGTTTGAATCGGATCATGGAATAGCTCTGCATGCACTGCAGGGGAATGGGGCCTCATCTCGCCTCTAGGGGGAAGTCTCATGGTTTTTCTCGAGTTGCGGCGGGGACCTGGGTTATGTTCTCGACTTACGGCGGGGATGGCCCTTCAAAACACGAGTTTCTACAGTGACGTCAGGACTCCTGTCTAGTAACGAGGGACACCTCAGGAATCTCTTCGAGGCTTGGCAGGGCAAAAGGGACGCTTCTCGAGGTGAGGCAGGGCACCCAAGGACCCTTTCCAGTAGCCACAGGGATTTTGGGATTCCTATCAGTATTCAAGAGGAGTCAGGCATCGTCACCTTTTGAAGCAATGAACTCCGCGTGCCTCTCGAGTTGTCAGCGGGATGTGAGGCATTCCGTCAAAATGAGGCAGGGACCTAGGGCTTTCTCTGAGGTCTCCACAGGGGATTCAGACATCCCTTCATGTTGTGAGATGAAAGACGAGCCTGTATTCAAGCCACTGCAAGGAAATCCGGCCTCCTTTCAAGTTAGGGCTTCTCGCTGTATATTCCCCTTGAGGCAGGAAACTCGGGGTCCCTCCCACATACCTATTGCTGAGAGAAGACTCCTCCTGAGGTGCTTCTGGGAAGTTGGCATACGTCTTGAGCCTAAGCCAGGGAATCAGCTCTCATCTCGAGACGATTTGGGGTACACGGAGCATTCCTCGAGTTGCTGTGCTGAAGTTGGTGTCCTCTAGACTTGGGACAGTGTTCTCGGGGCATCTCTGGAGTTGTCTGAAGGAAGTCGAGATACCGGTCGTGTTGAGTGGGGAACGGGGAATGGCTCTGGAGTCAATGCAGGGGAATCGGGCCTCATCTCGAGTTGATTTGGGGCACATGGAGCTGCTTTGCGTTGCTGGGGTGACCTCAGGGTCCGTCTAGACTGGTGAGAGTGATCTTGGGGACTGTCTCGAGATCCATTAAGCAAGTCGAAGCTCCTGACTTGTTTGAATGGGATCACGGAATAGCTCTGCATGCACTGCAGGGGAATGGGGCCTCATCTCGCCTCTAGGGGGAAGTCTCATGGTTTTTCTCGAGTTGCGGCGGGGACCTGGGGTATGTTCTCGACTTACGGCGGGGATGGCCCTTCAAAACACGAGTTTCTTCAGTGACGTCAGGACTCCTGTCTAGTAACGAGGGACACCTCAGGAATCTCTTCGAGGCTTGGCAGGGCCAAAGGGACGCTTCTCGAGGTGAGGCAGGGCACCCAAGGACCCTTTCCAGTAGCCACAGGGATTTTGGGATTCCTATCAGTATTCAAGAATAGTTAGGCAACGTCACCTTTTGAAGACATGAACTCCGCGTGCCTCTCGAGGTGTCAGCGGGATGTGGGGCATTCCGTCAAAATGAGGCAGGGACCTAGGGCTTTCTCTAAGGTCTCCACAGGGGATTCAGACATCCCTTCATGTTGTGAGATGAAAGACAAGCCTGTATTCAAGCCACTGCAAGGAAATCCGGCCTCCTTTCAAGTAAGGGCTTCTCGCTGTATATTCCCCTTGAGGCAGCAAACTCGGGGTCCCTCCCACATACCTATTGCTAAGAGAAGCCTCCTCCTGAGGTGCTTCTGGGAAGTTGGCATACGTCTTGAGCCTAAGCCAGGGAATCAGCTCTCATCTCGAGACGATTTGGGGTACACGGAGCATTCCTCGAGTTGCTGTGCTGAAGTTGGTCTTCCTCTAGACTTGGGACAGTGTTCTCGGGGCATCTCTGGAGTTGCCTGAAGGAAGTCGAGCCACCGGTTGTGTTGAATAGGGAACGCGGAATGGCTCTGGAGTCAATGCAGGGGAATCGGGCCTCATCTCGAGTTGATTTGGGGCACATGGAGCTGCTTTGCGTTGCTGGGGTGACCTCAGGGTCCGTCTAGACTGGTGACTGTTCTTGGGGACTGTCTCGAGATCCATTAAGCAAGTCGAAGCTCCTGACTTGTTTGAATCGGATCATGGAATAGCTCTGCATGCACTGCAGGGGAATGGGGCCTCATCTCGCCTCTAGGGGGAAGTCTCATGGTTTTTCTCGAGTTGCGGCGGGGACCTGGGTTATGTTCTCGACTTACGGCGGGGATGGCCCTTCAAAACACGAGTTTCTACAGTGACGTCAGGACTCCTGTCTAGTAACGAGGGACACCTCAGGAATCTCTTCGAGGCTTGGCAGGGCAAAAGGGACGCTTCTCGAGGTGAGGCAGGGCACCCAAGGACCCTTTCCAGTAGCCACAGGGATTTTGGGATTCCTATCAGTATTCAAGAGGAGTCAGGCATCGTCACCTTTTGAAGCAATGAACTCCGCGTGCCTCTCGAGGTGTCAGCGGGATGTGAGGCATTCCGTCAAAATGAGGCAGGGACCTAGGGCTTTCTCTAAGGTCTCCACAGGGGATTCAGACATCCCTTCATGTTGTGAGATGAAAGACGAGCCTGTATTCAAGCCACTGCAAGGAAATCCGGCCTCCTTTCAAGTTAGGGCTTCTCGCTGTATATTCCCCTTGAGGCAGCAAACTCGGGGTCCCTCCCACATACCTATTGCTGAGAGAAGCCTCCTCCTGAGGTGCTTCTGGGAAGTTGGCATACGTCTTGAGCCTAAGCCAGGGAATCACCTCTCATCTCGAGACGATTTGGGGTACACGGAGCATTCCTCGAGTTGCTGTGCTGAAGTTGGTGTTCCTCTAGACTTGGGACAGTGTTCTCGGGGCATCTCTGCAGTTTCCTGAAGGAAGTCGAGCCACCGGTCGTGTTGAGTGGGGAACGGGGAATGGTTCTGGAGTCAATGCAGGGGAATCGGGCCTCATCTCGAGTTGATTTGTGGCACATGGAGCTGCTTTGCATTGCTGGGGTGACCTCAGGGTCCGTCTAGACTGGTGACAGTGTTCTTGGGGACTGTCTCGAGATCCATTAAGCAAGTCGAAGCTCCTGACTTGTTTGAATCGGATCATGGAATAGCTCTGCATGCACTGCAGGGGAATGGGGCCTCATCTCGCCTCTAGGGGGAAGTCTCATGGTTTTTCTCGAGTTGCGGCGGGGACCTGGGTTATGTTCTCGACTTACGGCGGGGATGGCCCTTCAAAACACGAGTTTCTACAGTGACGTCAGGACTCCTGTCTAGTAACGAGGGACACCTCAGGAATCTCTTCGAGGCTTGGCAGGGCAAAAGGGACGCTTCTCGAGGTGAGGCAGGGCACCCAAGGACCCTTTCCAGTAGCCACAGGGATTTTGGGATTCCTATCAGTATTCAAGAGGAGTCAGGCATCGTCACCTTTTGAAGCAATGAACTCCGCGTGCCTCTCGAGGTGTCAGCGGGATGTGAGGCATTCCGTCAAAATGAGGCAGGGACCTAGGGCTTTCTCTAAGGTCTCCACAGGGGATTCAGACATCCCTTCATGTTGTGAGATGAAAGACGAGCCTGTATTCAAGCCACTGCAAGGAAATCCGGCCTCCTTTCAAGTTAGGGCTTCTCGCTGTATATTCCCCTTGAGGCAGCAAACTCGGGGTCCCTCCCACATACCTATTGCTGAGAGAAGCCTCCTCCTGAGGTGCTTCTGGGAAGTTGGCATACGTCTTGAGCCTAAGCCAGGGAATCACCTCTCATCTCGAGACGATTTGGGGTACACGGAGCATTCCTCGAGTTGCTGTGCTGAAGTTGGTGTTCCTCTAGACTTGGGACAGTGTTCTCGGGGCATCTCTGCAGTTTCCTGAAGGAAGTCGAGCCACCGGTCGTGTTGAGTGGGGAACGGGGAATGGTTCTGGAGTCAATGCAGGGGAATCGGGCCTCATCTCGAGTTGATTTGTGGCACATGGAGCTGCTTTGCATTGCTGGGGTGACCTCAGATTCCGTCTAGACTGGTGACAGTGTTCTTGGGGACTGTCTCGAGATCCATTAAGCAAGTCGAAGCTCCTGACTTGTTTGAATGGGATCACAGAATAGCTCTGCATGCACTGCAGGGGAATGGGGCCTCATCTCGCCTCTAGGGGGAAGTCTCATGGTTTTTCTTGAGTTGCGGCGGGGACCTGGGGTATGTTCTCGACTTACGGCGGGGATGGCCCTTCAAATAATGAGTTTCTTCAGTGAGGTCAGGACTCCTGTCTAGTAACGAGGGACACCTCAGGAATCTCTTCGAGGCTTGGCAGGGCAAAAGGGACGCTTCTCGAAGTGAGGCAGGGCACCCAAGGACCCTTTCCAGTAGCCACAGGGATTTGGGGATTCCTATCAGTATTCAAGAGGAGTCAGGCATCGTCACCTTTTGAAGCAATGAACTCCGCGTGCCTCTCGAGGTGTCAGCGGGATGTGAGGCATTCCGTCAAAATGAGGCAGGGACCTAGGGCTTTCTCTAAGGTCTCCACAGGGGATTCAGACATCCCTTCATGTTGTGAGATGAAAGACGAGCCTGTATTCAAGCCACTGCAAGGAAATCCGGCCTCCTTTCAAGTTAGGGCTTCACGCTGTATATTCCCCTTGAGGCAGCAAACTCGGGGTCCCTCCCACATACCTATTGCTGAGAGAAGCCTCCTCCTGAGGTGCTTCTGGGAAGTTGGCATACGTCTTGAGCCTAAGCCAGGGAATCAGCTCGCATCTCGAGACGATTTGGGGTACACGGAGCATTCCTCGAGTTGCTGTGCTGAAGTTGGTCTTCCTCTAGACTTGGGACAGTGTTCTCGGGGCATCTCTGGAGTTGCCTGAAGGAAGTCGAGCCACCGGTCGTGTTGAATGGGGAACGGGGAATGGCTCTGGAGTCAATGCAGGGGAATCGGGCCTCATCTCGAGTTGATTTGGGGCACATGGAGCTGCTTTGCGTTGCTGGTGTGACCTCAGGGTCCGTCTAGACTGGTGACAGTGATCTTGGGGACTGTCTCGAGATCCATTAAGCAAGTCGAAGCTCCTGACTTGTTTGAATGGGATCACGGAATAGCTCTGCATGCACTGCAGGGGAATGGGGCCTCATCTCGCCTCTAGGGGGAAGTCTCATGGTTTTTCTCGAGTTGCGGCGGGGACCTGGGGTATGTTCTCGACTTACGGCGGGGATGGCCCTTCAAAACACGAGTTTCTTCAGTGACGTCAGGACTCCTGTCTAGTAACGAGGGACACCTCAGGAATCTCTTCGAGGCTTGGCAGGGCCAAAGGGACGCTTCTCGAGGTGAGGCAGGGCACCCAAGGACCCTTTCCAGTAGCCACAGGGATTTTGGGATTCCTATCAGTATTCAAGAGGAGTCAGGCATCTTCACCTTTTGAAGCAATGAACTCCGCGTGCCTCTCGAGGTGTCAGCGGGATGTGGGGCATTCCGTCAAAATGAGGCAGGGACCTAGGGCTTTCTCTAAGGTCTCCACAGGGGATTCAGACATCCCTTCATGTTGTGAGATGAAAGAGGAGCCTGTATTCAAGCCACTGCAAGGAAATCCGGTCTCCTTTCAAGTTAGGGCTTCTCGCTGTATATTCCCCTTGAGGCAGCAAACTCGGGGTCCCTCCCACATAACTATTGCTGAGAGAAGCCTCCTCCTGAGGTGCTTCTGGGAAGTTGGCATACGTCTTGAGCCTAAGCCAGGGAATCAGCTCTCATCTCGAGACGATTTGGGGTACACGGAGCATTCCTCGAGTTGCTGTGCTGAAGTTGGTCTTCCTCTAGACTTGGGACAGTGTTCTCGGGGCATCTCTGGAGTTGCCTGAAGGAAGTCGAGCCACCGGTCGTGTTGAATTGGGAACGGGGAATGGCTCTGGAGTCAATGCAGGGGAATCGGGCCTCATCTCGAGTTGATTTGGGGCACATGGAACTGCTTTGCGTTGCTGGGGTGACCTCAGGGTCCTTCTAGACTGGTGACAGTGTTCTTGGGGACTGTCTCGAGATCCATTAAGCAAGTCGAAGCTCCTGACTTGTTTGAATGGGATCACGGAATAGCTCTGCATGCACTGCAGGGGAATGGGGCCTCATCTCGCCTCTAGGGGGAAGTCTCATGGTTTTTCTCGAGTTGCGGCGGGGACCTGGGGTATGTTCTCGACTTACGGCGGGGATGGTCCTTCAAATCATCAGTTTCTTCACTGAGGTCAGGACTCCTGTCTAGTAACGAGGGACACCTCCGGAATCTCTTCGAGGCTTGGCAGGGCAAAAGGGACGCTTCTCGAGGTGAGGCAGGGCACCCAAGGACCCTTTCCAGTAGCCACAGGGATTTTGGGATTCCTATCACTATTCAAGAGGAGTCAGGCATCGTCACCTTTTGAAGCAATGAACTCCGCGTGCCTCTCGAGGTGTCAGCGGGATGTGAGGCATTCCGTCAAAATGAGGCAGGGACCTAGGGCTTTCTCTAAGGTCTCCACAGGGGATTCAGACATCCCTTCATGTTGTGAGATGAAAGACGAGCCTGTATTCAAGCCACTGCAAGGAAATCCGGCCTCCTTTCAAGTTAGGGCTTCTCGCTGTATATTCCCCTTGAGGCAGCAAACTCGGGGTCCCTCCCACATACCTATTGCTGAGAGAAGCCTCCTCCTGAGGTGCTTCTGGGAAGTTGGCATACGTCTTGAGCCTAAGCCAGGGAATCAGCTCTCATCTCGAGACGATTTGGGGTACACGGAGCATTCCTCGAGTTGCTGTGCTGAAGTTGGTCTTCCTCTAGACTTGGGACAGTGTTCTCGGGGCATCTCTGGAGTTGCCTGAAGGAAGTCGAGCCACCGGTTGTGTTGAATGGGGAACGCGGAATGGCTCTGGAGTCAATGCAGGGGAATCGGGCCTCATCTCGAGTTGATTTGGGGCACATGGAGCTGCTTTGCGTTGCTGGGGTGACCTCAGGGTCCGTCTAGACTGGTGACAGTGTTCTTGGGGACTCTCTCGAGATCCATTAAGCAAGTCGAAGCTCCTGACTTGTTTGAATCGGATCACGGAATAGCTCTGCATGCCCTGCAGGGGAATGGGGCCTCATCTCGCCTCTAGGGGGAAGTCTCATGGTTTTTCTCGAGTTGCGGCGGGGACCTGGGGTATGTTCTCGACTTACGGCGGGGATGGCCCTTCAAAACACGAGTTTCTTCAGTGACGTCAGGAGTCCTGTCTAGTAACGAGGGACACCTCAGGAATCTCTTCGAGGCTTGGCAGGGCCAAAGGGACGCTTCCCGAGGTGAGGCAGGGCACCCAAGGACCCTTTCCAGTAGCCACAGGGATTTTGGGATTCCTATCAGTATTCAAGAGGAGTCAGGCATCGTCACCTTTTGAAGCAATGAACTCCGCGTGCCTCTCGAGGTGTCAGCGGGATGTGAGGCATTCCGTCAAAATGAGGCAGGGACCTAGGGCTTTCTCTAAGGTCTCCACAGGGGATTCAGACATCCCTTCATGTTGTGAGATGAAAGACGAGCCTGTATTCAAGCGACTGCAAGGAAATCCGGCCTCCTTTCAAGTTAGGGCTTCTCGCTGTATATTCCCCTTGAGGCAGCAAACTCGGGGTCCCTCCCACATACCTATTGCTGAGAGAAGCCTCCTCCTGAGGTGCTTCTGGGAAGTTGGCATACGTCTTGAGCCTAAGCCAGGGAATCAGCTCGCATCTCGAGACGATTTGGGGTTCACGGAGCATTCCTCGAGTTGCTGTGCTGAAGTTGGTGTTCCTCTAGACTTGGGACAGTGTTCTCGGGGCATCTCTGGAGTTGCCTGAAGGAAGTCGAGCCACCGGTCGTGTTGAATGGGGAACGGGGAATGGCTCTGGAGTCAATGCAGGGGAATCGGGCCTCATCTCGAGTTGATTTGGGGCACATGGAGCTGCTTTGCGTTGCTGGGGTGACCTCAGGGTCCGTCTAGACTGGTGACAGTGTTCTTGGGGACTCTCTCGAGATCCATTAAGCAAGTCGAAGCTCCTGACTTGTTTGAATCGGATCACGGAATAGCTCTGCAGGCCCTGCAGGGGAATGGGGCCTCATCTCGCCTCTAGGGGGAAGTCTCATGGTTTTTCTCGAGTTGCGGCGGGGACCTGGGGTATGTTCTCGACTTACGGCGGGGATGGCCCTTCAAAACACGAGTTTCTTCAGTGACGTCAGGAGTCCTGTCTAGTAACGAGGGACACCTCAGGAATCTCTTCGAGGCTTGGCAGGGCCAAAGGGACGCTTCCCGAGGTGAGGCAGGGCACCCAAGGACCCTTTCCAGTAGCCACAGGGATTTTGGGATTCCTATCAGTATTCAAGAGGAGTCAGGCATCGTCACCTTTTGAAGCAATGAACTCCGCGTGCCTCTCGAGGTGTCAGCGGGATGTGAGGCATTCCGTCAAAATGAGGCAGGGACCTACGGCTTTCTCTAAGGTCTCCACAGGGGATTCAGACATCCCTTCATGTTGTGAGATGAAAGACGAGCCTGTATTCAAGCCACTGCAAGGAAATCCGGCCTCCTTTCAAGTTAGGGCTTCTCGCTGTATATTCCCCTTGAAGCAGCAAACTCGGGGTCCCTCCCACATACCTATTGCTGAGAGAAGCCTCCTCCTGAGGTGCTTCTGGGAAGTTGGCATACGTCTTGAGCCTAAGCCAGGGAATCAGCTCGCATCTCGAGACGATTTGGGGTACACGGAGCATTCCTCGAGTTGATGTGCTGAAGTTGGTGTTCCTCTAGACTTGGGACAGTGTTCTCGGGGCATCTCTGGAGTTGCCTGAAGGAAGTCGAGCCACCGGTCGTGTTGAATGGGGAACGGGGAATGGCTCTGGAGTCAATGCAGGGGAATCGGGCCTCATCTCGAGTTGATTTGGGGCACATGGAGCTGCTTTAGGTGCTGGGGTGACCTCAGGGTCCGTCTAGACTGGTGACAGTGTTCTTGGGGACTGTCTCGAGATCCATTAAGCAAGTCGAAGCTCCTGACTTGTTTGAATGGGATCACGGAAAAGCTCTGCATGCACTGCAGGGGAATGGGGCCTCATCTCGCCTCTAGGGGGAAGTCTCATGGTTTTTCTCGAGTTGCGGCGGGGACCTGGGGTATGTTCTCGACTTACGGCGGGGATGGCCCTTCAAAACACGAGTTTCTTCAGTGACGTCAGGACTCCTGTCTAGTAACGAGGGACACCTCAGGAATCTCTTCGAGGCTTGGCAGGGCCAAAGGGACGCTTCCCGAGGTGAGGCAGGGCACCCAAGGACCCTTTCCAGTAGCCACAGGGATTTTGGGATTCCTATCAGTATTCAAGAGGAGTCAGGCATCGTCACCTTTTGAAGCAATGAACTCCGCGTGCCTCTCGAGGTGTCAGCGGGATGTGAGGCATTCCGTCAAAATGAGGCAGGGACCTAGGGCTTTCTCTAAGGTCTCCACAGGGGATTCAGACATCCCTTCATGTTGTGAGATGAAAGACGAGCCTGTATTCAAGCCACTGCAAGGAAATCCGGCCTCCTTTCAAGTTAGGGCTTCTCGCTGTATATTCCCCTTGAGGCAGCAAACTCGGGGTCCCTCCCACATACCTATTGCTGAGAGAAGCCTCCTCCTGAGGTGCTTCTGGGAAGTTGGCATACGTCTTGAGCCTAAGCCAGGGAATCAGCTCGCATCTCGAGACGATTTGGGGTACACGGAGCATTCCTCGAGTTGCTGTGCTGAAGTTGGTGTTCCTCTAGACTTGGGACAGTGTTCTCGGGGCATCTCTGGAGTTGCCTGAAGGAAGTCGAGCCACCGGTCGTGTTGAATGGGGAACGGGGAATGGCTCTGGAGTCAATGCAGGGGAATCGGGCCTCATCTCGAGTTGATTTGGGGCACATGGAGCTGCTTTGCGTTGCTGGGGTGACCTCAGGGTCCGTCTAGACTGGTGACAGTGTTCTTGGGGACTGTCTCGAGATCCATTAAGCAAGTCGAAGCTCCTGACTTGTTTGAATGGGATCACGGAATAGCTCTGCATGCACTGCAGGGGAATGGGGCCTCATCTCGCCTCTAGGGGGAAGTCTCATGGTTTTTCTCGAGTTGCGGCGGGGACCTGGGGTATGTTCTCGACTTACGGCCTGGATGGCCCTTCAAAACACGAGTTTCTTCAGTGACATCCGGACTCCTGGCTAGTAACGAGGGACACCTCAGGAATCTCTTCGAGGCTTGGCAGGGCCAAAGGGACGCTTCTCGAGGTGAGGCAGGGCACCCAAGGACCCTTTCCACTAGCCACAGGGATTTTGGGATTCCTATCAGTATTCAAGAGGAGTCAGGCATCGTCACCTTTTGAAGCAATGAACTCCGCGTGCCTCTCGAGGTGTCAGCGGGATGTGAGGCATTCCGTCAAAATGAGGCAGGGACCTAGGGCTTTCTCTAAGGTCTCCACAGGGGATTCAGACATCCCTTCATGTTGTGAGATGAAAGACGAGCCTGTATTCAAGCCACTGCAAGGAAATCCGGCCTCCTTTCAAGTTAGGGCTTCTCGCTGTATATTCCCCTTGAGGCAGCAAACTCGGGGTCCCTCCCACATACCTATTGCTGAGAGAAGCCTCCTCCTGAGGTGCTTCTGGGAAGTTGGCATACGTCTTGAGCCTAAGCCAGGGAATCAGCTCGCATCTCGAGACGATTTGGGGTACACGGAGCATTCCTCGAGTTGCTGTGCTGAAGTTGGTGTTCCTCTAGACTTGGGACAGTGTTCTCGGGGCATCTCTGGAGTTGCCTGAAGGAAGTCGAGCCACCGGTCGTGTTGAATGGGGAACGGGGAATGGCTCTGGAGTCAATGCAGGGGAATCGGGCCTCATCTCGAGTTGATTTGGGGCACATGGAGCTGCTTTGCGTTGCTGGGGTGACCTCAGGGTCCGTCTAGACTGGTGACAGTGTTCTTGGGGACTGTCTCGAGATCCATTAAGCAAGTCGAAGCTCCTGACTTGTTTGAATGGGATCACGGAATAGCTCTGCATGCACTGCAGGGGAATGGGGCCTCATCTCGCCTCTAGGGGGAAGTCTCATGGTTTTTCTCGAGTTGCGGCGGGGACCTGGGGTATGTTCTCGACTTACGGCGGGGATGGCCCTTCAAAACACGAGTCTCTTCAGTGACATCCGGACTCCTGTCTAGTAACGAGGGACACCTCAGGAATCTCTTCGAGGCTTGGCAGGGCCAAAGGGACGCTTCCCGAGGTGAGGCAGGGCACCCAAGGACCCTTTCCAGTAGCCACAGGGATTTTGGGATTCCTATCAGTATTCAAGAGGAGTCAGGCATCGTCACCTTTTGAAGCAATGAACTCCGCGTGCCTCTCGAGGTGTCAGCGGGATGTGGGGCATTCCGTCAAAATGAGGCAGGGACCTAGGGCTTTCTCTAAGGTCTCCACAGGGGATTCAGACATCCCTTCATGTTGTGAGATGAAAGACGAGCCTGTATTCAAGCCACTGCAAGGAAATCCGGCCTCCTTTCAAGTTAGGGCTTCTCGCTGTATATTCCCCTTGAGGCAGCAAACTCGGGGTCCCTCCCACATACCTATTGCTGAGAGAAGCCTCCTCCTGAGGTGCTTCTGGGAAGTTGGCATACGTCTTGAGCCTAAGCCAGGGAATCAGCTCGCATCTCGAGACGATTTGGGGTACACGGAGCATTCCTCGAGTTGCTGTGCGGAAGTTGGTGTTCCTCTAGACTTGGGACAGTGTTCTCGGGGCATCTCTGGAGTTGCCTGAAGGAAGTCGAGCCACCGGTCGTGTTGAATGGGGAACGGGGAATGGCTCTGGAGTCAATGCAGGGGAATCGGGCCTCATCTCGAGTTGATTTGGGGCACATGGAGCTGCTTTGCGTTGCTGGGGTGACCTCAGGGTCCGTCTAGACTGGTGACAGTGTTCTTGGGGACTGTCTCGAGATCCATTAAGCAAGTCGAAGCTCCTGACTTGTTTGAATGGGATCACGGAATAGCTCTGCATGCACTGCAGGGGAATGGGGCCTCATCTCGCCTCTAGGGGGAAGTCTCATGGTTTTTCTCGAGTTGCGGCGGGGACCTGGGGTATGTTCTCGACTTACGGCGGGGATGGCCCTTCAAAACACGAGTCTCTTCAGTGACATCCGGACTCCTGTCTAGTAACGAGGGACACCTCAGGAATCTCTTCGAGGCTTGGCAGGGCCAAAGGGACGCTTCCCGAGGTGAGGCAGGGCACCCAAGGACCCTTTCCAGTAGCCACAGGGATTTTGGGATTCCTATCAGTATTCAAGAGGAGTCAGGCATCGTCACCTTTTGAAGCAATGAACTCCGCGTGCCTCTCGAGGTGTCAGCGGGATGTGAGGCATTCCGTCAAAATGAGGCAGGGACCTAGGGCTTTCTCTAAGGTCTCCACAGGGGATTCAGACATCCCTTCATGTTGTGAGATGAAAGACGAGCCTGTATTCAAGCCACTGCAAGGAAATCCGGCCTCCTTTCAAGTTAGGGCTTCTCGGTGTATATTCCCCTTGAGGCAGCAAACTCGGGGTCCCTCCCACATACCTATTGCTGAGAGAAGCCTCCTCCTGAGGTGCTTCTGGGAAGTTGGCATACGTCTTGAGCCTAAGCCAGGGAATCAGCTCGCATCTCGAGACGATTTGGGGTACACGGAGCATTCCTCGAGTTGCTGTGCGGAAGTTGGTGTTCCTCTAGACTTGGGACAGTGTTCTCGGGGCATCTCTGGAGTTGCCTGAAGGAAGTCGAGCCACCGGTCGTGTTGAATGGGGAACGGGGAATGGCTCTGGAGTCAATGCAGGGGAATCGGGCCTCATCTCGAGTTGATTTGGGGCACATGGAGCTGCTTTGCGTTGCTGGGGTGACCTCAGGGTCCGTCTAGACTGGTGACAGTGTTCTTGGGGACTGTCTCGAGATCCATTAAGCAAGTCGAAGCTCCTGACTTGTTTGAATGGGATCACGGAATAGCTCTGCATGCCCTGCAGGGGAATGGGGCCTCATCTCGCCTCTAGGGGGAAGTCTCATGGTTTTTCTCGAGTTGCTGCGGGGACCTGGGGTATGTTCTCGAGTTACGGCGGGGATGACCCTTCAAAACACGAGTTTCTTCAGTGAGGTCAGGACTCCTGTCTAGTAACGAGGGACACCTCAGGAATCTCTTCGAGGCTTGGCAGGGCCAAAGGGACGCTTCCCGAGGTGAGGCAGGGCACCCAAGGACCCTTTCCAGTAGCCACAGGGATTTTGGGATTCCTATCAGTATTCAAGAGGAGTCAGGCATCGTCACCTTTTGAAGCAATGAACTCCGCGTGCCTCTCGAGGTGTCAGCGGGATGTGAGGCATTCCGTCAAAATGAGGCAGGGACCTAGGGCTTTCTCTAAGGTCTCCACAGGGGATTCAGACATCCCTTCATGTTGTGAGATGAAAGACGAGCCTGTATTCAAGCCACGGCAAGGAAATCCGGCCTCCTTTCAAGTTAGGGCTTCTCGCTGTATATTCCCCTTGAGGCAGCAAACTCGGGGTCCCTCCCACATACCTATTGTTGAGAGAAGCCTCCTCCTGAGGTGCTTCTGGGAAGTTGGCATACGTCTTGAGCCTAAGCCAGGGAATCAGCTCGCATCTCGAGACGATTTGGGGTACACGGAGCATTCCTCGAGTTGCTGTGCTGAAGTTGGTGTTCCTCTAGACTTGGGACAGTGTTCTCGGGGCATCTCTGGAGTTGCCTGAAGGAAGTCGAGCCACCGGTCGTGTTGAATGGGGAACGGGGAATGGCTCTGGAGTCAATGCAGGGGAATCGGGCCTCATCTCGAGTTGATTTGGGGCACATGGAGCTGCTTTGCGTTGCTGGGGTGACCTCAGGGTCCGTCTAGACTGGTGACAGTGTTCTTGGGGACTGTCTCGAGATCCATTAAGCAAGTCGAAGCTCCTGACTTGTTTGAATGGGATCACGGAATAGCTCTGCATGCCCTGCAGGGGAATGGGGCCTCATCTCGCCTCTAGGGGGAAGTCTCATGGTTTTTCTCGAGTTGCGGCGGGGACCTGGGGTATGTTCTCGACTTACGGCCTGGATGGCCCTTCAAAACACGAGTTTCTTCAGTGACATCCGGACTCCTGGCTAGTAACGAGGGACACCTCAGGAATCCCTTCGAGGCTTGGCAGGGCCAAAGGGACGCTTCTCGAGGTGAGGCAGGGCACCCAAGGACCCTTTCCACTAGCCACAGGGATTTTGGGATTCCTATCAGTATTCAAGAGGAGTCAGGCATCGTCACCTTTTGAAGCAATGAACTCCGCGTGCCTCTCGAGGTGTCAGCGGGATGTGAGGCATTCCGTCAAAATGAGGCAGGGACCTAGGGCTTTCTCTAAGGTCTCCACAGGGGATTCAGACATCCCTTCATGTTGTGAGATGAAAGACGAGCCTGTATTCAAGCCACTGCAAGGAAATCCGGCCTCCTTTCAAGTTAGGGCTTCTCGCTGTATATTCCCCTTGAGGCAGCAAACTCGGGGTCCCTCCCACATACCTATTGCTGAGAGAAGCCTCCTCCTGAGGTGCTTCTGGGAAGTTGGCATACGTCTTGAGCCTAAGCCAGGGAATCAGCTCGCATCTCGAGACGATTTGGGGTACACGGAGCATTCCTCGAGTTGCTGTGCTGAAGTTGGTGTTCCTCTAGACTTGGGACAGTGTTTTCGGGGCATCTCTGGAGTTGCCTGAAGGAAGTCGAGCCACCGGTCGTGTTGAATGGGGAACGGGGAATGGCTCTGGAGTCAATGCAGGGGAATCGGGCCTCATCTCGAGTTGATTTGGGGCACATGGAGCTGCTTTGCGTTGCTGGGGTGACCTCAGGGTCCGTCTAGACTGGTGACAGTGTTCTTGGGGACTGTCTCGAGATCCATTAAGCAAGTCGAAGCTCCTGACTTGTTTGAATGGGATCACGGAATAGCTCTGCATGCACTGCAGGGGAATGGGGCCTCATCTCGCCTCTAGGGGGAAGTCTCATGGTTTTTCTCGAGTTGCGGCGGGGACCTGGGGTATGTTCTCGACTTACGGCGGGGATGGCCCTTCAAAACACGAGTCTCTTCAGTGACATCCGGACTCCTGTCTAGTAACGAGGGACACCTCAGGAATCTCTTCGAGGCTTGGCAGGGCCAAAGGGACGCTTCCCGAGGTGAGGCAGGGCACCCAAGGACCCTTTCCAGTAGCCACAGGGATTTTGGGATTCCTATCAGTATTCAAGAGGAGTCAGGCATCGTCACCTTTTGAAGCAATGAACTCCGCGTGCCTCTCGAGGTGTCAGCGGGATGTGAGGCATTCCGTCAAAATGAGGCAGGGACCTAGGGCTTTCTCTAAGGTCTCCACAGGGGATTCAGACATCCCTTCATGTTGTGAGATGAAAGACGAGCCTGTATTCAAGCCACTGCAAGGAAATCCGGCCTCCTTTCAAGTTAGGGCTTCTCGCTGTATATTCCCCTTGAGGCAGCAAACTCGGGGTCCCTCCCACATACCTATTGCTGAGAGAAGCCTCCTCCTGAGGTGCTTCTGGGAAGTTGGCATACGTCTTGAGCCTAAGCCAGGGAATCAGCTCGCATCTCGAGACGATTTGGGGTATACGGAGCATTCCTCGAGTTGCTGTGCGGAAGTTGGTGTTCCTCTAGACTTGGGACAGTGTTCTCGGGGCATCTCTGGAGTTGCCTGAAGGAAGTCGAGCCACCGGTCGTGTTGAATGGGGAACGGGGAATGGCTCTGGAGTCAATGCAGGGGAATCGGGCCTCATCTCGAGTTGATTTGGGGCACATGGAGCTGCTTTGCGTTGCTGGGGTGACCTCAGGGTCCGTCTAGACTGGTGACAGTGTTCTTGGGGACTGTCTCGAGATCCATTAAGCAAGTCGAAGCTCCTGACTTGTTTGAATGGGATCACGGAATAGCTCTGCATGCACTGCAGGGGAATGGGGCCTCATCTCGCCTCTAGGGGGAAGTCTCATGGTTTTTCTCGAGTTGCGGCGGGGACCTGGGGTATGTTCTCGACTTACGGCGGGGATGGCCCTTCAAAACACGAGTCTCTTCAGTGACATCCGGACTCCTGTCTAGTAACGAGGGACACCTCAGGAATCTCTTCGAGGCTTGGCAGGGCCAAAGGGACGCTTCCCGAGGTGAGGCAGGGCACCCAAGGACCCTTTCCAGTAGCCACAGGGATTTTGGGATTCCTATCAGTATTCAAGAGGAGTCAGGCATCGTCACCTTTTGAAGCAATGAACTCCGCGTGCCTCTCGAGGTGTCAGCGGGATGTGAGGCATTCCGTCAAAATGAGGCAGGGACCTAGGGCTTTCTCTAAGGTCTCCACAGGGGATTCAGACATCCCTTCATGTTGTGAGATGAAAGACGAGCCTGTATTCAAGCCACTGCAAGGAAATCCGGCCTCCTTTCAAGTTAGGGCTTCTCGCTGTATATTCCCCTTGAGGCAGCAAACTCGGGGTCCCTCCCACATACCTATTGCTGAGAGAAGCCTCCTCCTGAGGTGCTTCTGGGAAGTTGGCATACGTCTTGAGCCTAAGCCAGGGAATCAGCTCGCATCTCGAGACGATTTGGGGTACACGGAGCATTCCTCGAGTTGCTGTGCGGAAGTTGGTGTTCCTCTAGACTTGGGACAGTGTTCTCGGGGCATCTCTGGAGTTGCCTGAAGGAAGTCGAGCCACCGGTCGTGTTGAATGGGGAACGGGGAATGGCTCTGGAGTCAATGCAGGGGAATCGGGCCTCATCTCGAGTTGATTTGGGGCACATGGAGCTGCTTTGCGTTGCTGGGGTGACCTCAGGGTCCGTCTAGACTGGTGACAGTGTTCTTGGGGACTGTCTCGAGATCCATTAAGCAAGTCGAAGCTCCTGACTTGTTTGAATGGGATCACGGAATAGCTCTGCATGCCCTGCAGGGGAATGGGGCCTCATCTCGCCTCTAGGGGGAAGTCTCATGGTTTTTCTCGAGTTGCTGCGGGGACCTGGGGTATGTTCTCGAGTTACGGCGGGGATGACCCTTCAAAACACGAGTTTCTTCAGTGAGGTCAGGACTCCTGTCTAGTAACGAGGGACACCTCAGGAATCTCTTCGAGGCTTGGCAGGGCCAAAGGGACGCTTCCCGAGGTGAGGCAGGGCACCCAAGGACCCTTTCCAGTAGCCACAGGGATTTTGGGATTCCTATCAGTATTCAAGAGGAGTCAGGCATCGTCACCTTTTGAAGCAATGAACTCCGCGTGCCTCTCGAGGTGTCAGCGGGATGTGAGGCATTCCGTCAAAATGAGGCAGGGACCTAGGGCTTTCTCTAAGGTCTCCACAGGGGATTCAGACATCCCTTCATGTTGTGAGATGAAAGACGAGCCTGTATTCAAGCCACGGCAAGGAAATCCGGCCTCCTTTCAAGTTAGGGCTTCTCGCTGTATATTCCCCTTGAGGCAGCAAACTCGGGGTCCCTCCCACATACCTATTGTTGAGAGAAGCCTCCTCCTGAGGTGCTTCTGGGAAGTTGGCATACGTCTTGAGCCTAAGCCAGGGAATCAGCTCGCATCTCGAGACGATTTGGGGTACACGGAGCATTCCTCGAGTTGCTGTGCTGAAGTTGGTGTTCCTCTAGACTTGGGACAGTGTTCTCGGGGCATCTCTGGAGTTGCCTGAAGGAAGTCGAGCCACCGGTCGTGTTGAATGGGGAACGGGGAATGGCTCTGGAGTCAATGCAGGGGAATCGGGCCTCATCTCGAGTTGATTTGGGGCACATGGAGCTGCTTTGCGTTGCTGGGGTGACCTCAGGGTCCGTCTAGACTGGTGACAGTGTTCTTGGGGACTGTCTCGAGATCCATTAAGCAAGTCGAAGCTCCTGACTTGTTTGAATGGGATCACGGAATAGCTCTGCATGCCCTGCAGGGGAATGGGGCCTCATCTCGCCTCTAGGGGGAAGTCTCATGGTTTTTCTCGAGTTGCGGCGGGGACCTGGGGTATGTTCTCGACTTACGGCCTGGATGGCCCTTCAAAACACGAGTTTCTTCAGTGACATCCGGACTCCTGGCTAGTAACGAGGGACACCTCAGGAATCCCTTCGAGGCTTGGCAGGGCCAAAGGGACGCTTCTCGAGGTGAGGCAGGGCACCCAAGGACCCTTTCCACTAGCCACAGGGATTTTGGGATTCCTATCAGTATTCAAGAGGAGTCAGGCATCGTCACCTTTTGAAGCAATGAACTCCGCGTGCCTCTCGAGGTGTCAGCGGGATGTGAGGCATTCCGTCAAAATGAGGCAGGGACCTAGGGCTTTCTCTAAGGTCTCCACAGGGGATTCAGACATCCCTTCATGTTGTGAGATGAAAGACGAGCCTGTATTCAAGCCACTGCAAGGAAATCCGGCCTCCTTTCAAGTTAGGGCTTCTCGCTGTATATTCCCCTTGAGGCAGCAAACTCGGGGTCCCTCCCACATACCTATTGCTGAGAGAAGCCTCCTCCTGAGGTGCTTCTGGGAAGTTGGCATACGTCTTGAGCCTAAGCCAGGGAATCAGCTCGCATCTCGAGACGATTTGGGGTACACGGAGCATTCCTCGAGTTGCTGTGCTGAAGTTGGTGTTCCTCTAGACTTGGGACAGTGTTCTCGGGGCATCTCTGGAGTTGCCTGAAGGAAGTCGAGCCACCGGTCGTGTTGAATGGGGAACGGGGAATGGCTCTGGAGTCAATGCAGGGGAATCGGGCCTCATCTCGAGTTGATTTGGGGCACATCGAGCTGCTTTGCGTTGCTGGGGTGACCTCAGGGTCCGTCTAGACTGGTGACAGTGTTCTTGGGGACTGTCTCGAGATCCATTAAGCAAGTCGAAGCTCCTGACTTGTTTGAATGGGATCACGGAATAGCTCTGCATGCACTGCAGGGGAATGGGGCCTCATCTCGCCTCTAGGGGGAAGTCTCATGGTTTTTCTCGAGTTGCGGCGGGGACCTGGGGTATGTTCTCGACTTACGGCCTGGATGGCCCTTCAAAACACGAGTTTCTTCAGTGACATCCGGACTCCTGGCTAGTAACGAGGGACACCTCAGGAATCTCTTCGAGGCTTGGCAGGGCCAAAGGGACGCTTCTCGAGGTGAGGCAGGGCACCCAAGGACCCTTTCCACTAGCCACAGGGATTTTGGGATTCCTATCAGTATTCAAGAGGAGTCAGGCATCGTCACCTTTTGAAGCAATGAACTCCGCGTGCCTCTCGAGGTGTCAGCGGGATGTGAGGCATTCCGTCAAAATGAGGCAGGGACCTAGGGCTTTCTCTAAGGTCTCCACAGGGGATTCAGACATCCCTTCATGTTGTGAGATGAAAGACGAGCCTGTATTCAAGCCACTGCAAGGAAATCCGGCCTCCTTTCAAGTTAGGGCTTCTCGCTGTATATTCCCCTTGAGGCAGCAAACTCGGGGTCCCTCCCACATACCTATTGCTGAGAGAAGCCTCCTCCTGAGGTGCTTCTGGGAAGTTGGCATACGTCTTGAGCCTAAGCCAGGGAATCAGCTCGCATCTCGAGACGATTTGGGGTACACGGAGCATTCCTCGAGTTGCTGTGCTGAAGTTGGTGTTCCTCTAGACTTGGGACAGTGTTCTCGGGGCATCTCTGGAGTTGCCTGAAGGAAGTCGAGCCACCGGTCGTGTTGAATGGGGAACGGGGAATGGCTCTGGAGTCAATGCAGGGGAATCGGGCCTCATCTCGAGTTGATTTGGGGCACATGGAGCTGCTTTGCGTTGCTGGGGTGACATCAGGGTCCGTCTAGACTGGTGACAGTGTTCTTGGGGACTGTCTCGAGATCCATTAAGCAAGTCGAAGCTCCTGACTTGTTTGAATGGGATCACGGAATAGCTCTGCATGCACTGCAGGGGAATGGGGCCTCATCTCGCCTCTAGGGGGAAGTCTCATGGTTTTTCTCGAGTTGCGGCGGGGACCTGGGGTATGTTCTCGACTTACGGCCTGGATGGCCCTTCAAAACACGAGTTTCTTCAGTGACATCCGGACTCCTGGCTAGTAACGAGGGACACCTCAGGAATCTCTTCGAGGCTTGGCAGGGCCAAAGGGATGCTTCTCGAGGTGAGGCAGGGCACCCAAGGACCCTTTCCACTAGCCACAGGGATTTTGGGATTCCTATCAGTATTCAAGAGGAGTCAGGCATCGTCACCTTTTGAAGCAATGAACTCCGCGTGCCTCTCGAGGTGTCAGCGGGATGTGAGGCATTCCGTCAAAATGAGGCAGGGACCTAGGGCTTTCTCTAAGGTCTCCACAGGGGATTCAGACATCCCTTCATGTTGTGAGATGAAAGACGAGCCTGTATTCAAGCCACTGCAAGGAAATCCGGCCTCCTTTCAAGTTAGGGCTTCTCGCTGTATATTCCCCTTGAGGCAGCAAACTCGGGGTCCCTCCCACATACCTATTGCTGAGAGAAGCCTCCTCCAGAGGTGCTTCTGGGAAGTTGGCATAAGTCTTGAGCCTAAGCCAGGGAATCAGCTCTCATCTCGAGACGATTTGGGGTACACGGAGCATTCCTCGAGTTGCTGTGCTGAAGTTGGTGTTCCTCTAGACTTGGGACAGTGTTCTCGGGGCATCTCTGAAGTTTCCTGAAGGAAGTCGAGCCACCGGTCGTGTTGAGTGGGGAACGGGGAATGGTTCTAGAGTCAATGCAGGGGAATCGGGCCTCATCTCGAGTTGATTTTGGGCACATGGAGCTGCATTGCATTGCTGGGGTGACCTCAGGTTCCGTCTAGACTGGTGACAGTGTTCTTGGGGACTGTCTCGAGATCCATTAAGCAAGTCGAAGCTCCTGACTTGTTTGAATGGGATCACGGAATAGCTCTGCATGCACTGCAGGGGAATGGGGCCTCATCTCGCCTCTAGGGGGAAGTCTCATGGTTTTTCTCGAGTTGCGGCGGGGACCTTGGGTATGTTCTCGACTTACGGCGGGGATGGTCCTTCAAATCATCAGTTTCTTCACTGAGGTCAGGACTCCTGTCTAGTAACGAGGGACACCTCAGGAATCTCTTCGAGGCTTCCAGGGCAAAAGGGACGCTTCTCGAGGTGAGGCAGGGCACCCAAGGACCCTTTCCAGTAGCCACAGGGATTTTGGGATTCCTATCACTATTCAAGAGGAGTCAGGCATCGTCACCTTTTGAAGCAATGAACTCCGCGTGCCTCTCGAGGTGTCAGCGGGATGTGAGGCATTCCGTCAAAATGAGGCAGGGACCTAGGGCTTTCTCTAAGGTCTCCACAGGGGATTCAGACATCCCTTCATGTTGTGAGATGAAAGACGAGCCTGTATTCAAGCCACTGCAAGGAAATCCGGCCTCCTTTCAAGTTAGGGCTTCTCGCTGTATATTCCCCTTGAGGCAGCAAACTCGGGGTCCCTCCCACATACCTATTGCTGAGAGAAACCTCCTCCTGAGGTGCTTCTGGGAAGTTGGCATACGTCTTGAGCCTAAGCCAGGGAATCAGCTCGCATCTCGAGACGATTTGGGGTACACGGAGCATTCCTCGAGTTGCTGTGCTGAAGTTGGTGTTCCTCTAGACTTGGGACAGTGTTCTCGGGGCATCTCTGGAGTTGCCTGAAGGAAGTCGAGCCACCGGTCGTGTTGAATGGGGAACGGGGAATGGCTCTGGAGTCAATGCAGGGGAATCGGGCCTCATCTCGAGTTGATTTGGGGCACATGGAGCTGCTTTGCGTTGCTGGGGTGACCTCAGGGTCCGTCTAGACTGGTGACAGTGTTCTTGGGGACTGTCTCGAGATCCATTAAGCAAGTCGAAGCTCCTGACTTGTTTGAATGGGATCACGGAATAGCTCTGCATGCACTGCAGGGGAATGGGGCCTCATCTCGCCTCTAGGGGGAAGTCTCATGGTTTTTCTCGAGTTGCGGCGGGGACCTGGGGTATGTTCTCGACTTACGGCCTGGATGGCCCTTCAAAACACGAGTTTCTTCAGTGACATCCGGACTCCTGGCTAGTAACGAGGGACACCTCAGGAATCTCTTCGAGGCTTGGCAGGGCCAAAGGGACGCTTCTCGAGGTGAGGCAGGGCACCCAAGGACCCTTTCCACTAGCCACAGGGATTTTGGGATTCCTATCAGTATTCAAGAGGAGTCAGGCATCGTCACCTTTTGAAGCAATGAACTCCGCGTGCCTCTCGAGGTGTCAGCGGGATGTGAGGCATTCCGTCAAAATGAGGCAGGGACCTAGGGCTTTCTCTAAGGTCTCCACAGGGGATTCAGACATCCCTTCATGTTGTGAGATGAAAGACGAGCCTGTATTCAAGCCACTGCAAGGAAATCCGGCCTCCTTTCAAGTTAGGGCTTCTCGCTGTATATTCCCCTTGAGGCAGCAAACTCGGGGTCCCTCCCACATACCTATTGCTGAGAGAAGCCTCCTCCTGAGGTGCTTCTGGGAAGTTGGCATACGTCTTGAGCCTAAGCCAGGGAATCAGCTCGCATCTCGAGACGATTTGTGGTACACGGAGCATTCCTCGAGTTGCTGTGCTGAAGTTGGTGTTCCTCTAGACTTGGGACAGTGTTCTCGGGGCATCTCTGGAGTTGCCTGAAGGAAGTCGAGCCACCGGTCGTGTTGAATGGGGAACGGGGAATGGCTCTGGAGTCAATGCAGGGGAATCGGGCCTCATCTCGAGTTGATTTGGGGCACATGGAGCCGCTTTGCGTTGCTGGGGTGACCTCAGGGTCCGTCTAGACTGGTGACAGTGTTCTTGGGGACTGTCTCGAGATCCATTAAGCAAGTCGAAGCTCCTGACTTGTTTGAATGGGATCACGGAATAGCTCTGCATGCACTGCAGGGGAATGGGGCCTCATCTCGCCTCTAGGGGGAAGTCTCATGGTTTTTCTCGAGTTGCGGCGGGGACCTGGGGTATGTTCTCGACTTACGGCCTGGATGGCCCTTCAAAACACGAGTTTCTTCAGTGACATCCGGACTCCTGGCTAGTAACGAGGGACACCTCAGGAATCTCTTCGAGGCTTGGCAGGGCCAAAGGGACGCTTCTCGAGGTGAGGCAGGGCACCCAAGGACCCTTTCCACTAGCCACAGGGATTTTGGGATTCCTATCAGTATTCAAGAGGAGTCAGGCATCGTCACCTTTTGAAGCAATGAACTCCGCGTGCCTCTCGAGGTGTCAGCGGGATGTGAGGCATTCCGTCAAAATGAGGCAGGGACCTAGGGCTTTCTCTAAGGTCTCCACAGGGGATTCAGACATCCCTTCATGTTGTGAGATGAAAGACGAGCCTGTATTCAAGCCACTGCAAGGAAATCCGGCCTCCTTTCAAGTTAGGGCTTCTCGCTGTATATTCCCCTTGAGGCAGCAAACTCGGGGTCCCTCCCACATACCTATTGCTGAGAGAAGCCTCCTCCTGAGGTGCTTCTGGGAAGTTGGCATAAGTCTTGAGCCTAAGCCAGGGAATCAGCTCTCATCTCGAGACGATTTGGGGTACACGGAGCATTCCTCGAGTTGCTGTGCTGAAGTTGGTGTTCCTCTAGACTTGGGACAGTGTTCTCGGGGCATCTCTGAAGTTTCCTGAAGGAAGTCGAGCCACCGGTCGTGTTGAGTGGGGAACGGGGAATGGTTCTAGAGTCAATGCAGGGGAATCGGGGCTCATCTCGAGTTGATTTTGGGCACATGGAGCTGCATTGCATTGCTGGGGTGACCTCAGGTTCCGTCTAGACTGGTGACAGTGTTCTTGGGGACTGTCTCGAGATCCATTAAGCAAGTCGAAGCTCCTGACTTGTTTGAATGGGATCACGGAATAGCTCTGCATGCACTGCAGGGGAATGGGGCCTCATCTCGCCTCTAGGGGGAAGTCTCATGGTTTTTCTCGAGTTGCGGCGGGGACCTTGGGTATGTTCTCGACTTACGGCGGGGATGGTCCTTCAAATCATCAGTTTCTTCACTGAGGTCAGGACTCCTGTCTAGTAACGAGGGACACCTCAGGAATCTCTTCGAGGCTTCCAGGGCAAAAGGGACGCTTCTCGAGGTGAGGCAGCGCACCCAAGGACCCTTTCCAGTAGCCACAGGGATTTTGGGATTCCTATCACTATTCAAGAGGAGTCAGGCATCGTCACCTTTTGAAGCAATGAACTCCGCGTGCCTCTCGAGGTGTCAGCGGGATGTGAGGCATTCCGTCAAAATGAGGCAGGGACCTAGGGCTTTCTCTAAGGTCTCCACAGGGGATTCAGACATCCCTTCATGTTGTGAGATGAAAGAGGAGCCTGTATTCAAGCCACTGCAAGGAAATCCGGCCTCCTTTCAAGTTAGGGCTTCTCGCTGTATATTCCCCTTGAGGCAGCAAACTCGGGGTCCCTCCCACATACCTATTGCTGAGAGAAGCCTCCTCCTGAGGTGCTTCTGGGAAGTTGGCATACGTCTTGAGCCTAAGCCAGGGAATCAGCTCTCATCTTGAGACGATTTGGGGTACACGGAGCATTCCTCGAGTTGCTGTGCTGAAGTTGGTGTTCCTCTAGACTTGGGACAGTGTTCTCGGGGCATCTCTGGAGTTGCCTGAAGGAAGTCGAGCCACCGTTCGTGTTGAGTGGGGAACGGGGAATGGCTCTGGAGTCAATGCAGGGGAATCGGGCCTCATCTCGAGTTGATTTGGGGCACATGGAGCTGCTTTGCGTTGCTGGGGTGACCTCAGGGTCCGTCTAGACTGGTGACAGTGATCTTGGGGACTGTCTCGAGATCCATTAAGCAAGTCGAAGCTCCTGACTTGTTTGAATGGGATCACGGATTAGCTCTGCATGCACTGCAGGGGAATGGGGCTTCATGTCGCCTCTAGCGGGAAGTCTCATGGTTTTTCTCGAGTTGAGGCGGGGACCTGGGGTATGTTCTCGGCTTACGGCAGGGATGGCCCTTCAAAACACGAGTTTCTTCAGTGACGTCAGGACTCCTGTCTAGTAACGAGGGACACCTCAGGAATCTCTTCGAGGCTTGGCAGGGCCAAAGGGACGCTTCTCGAGGTGAGGCAGGGCACCCAAGGAACCTTTCCAGTAGCCACATTGATTTTGGGATTCCTATCAGTATTCAAGAGGAGTGAGGCATCGTCACCTTTTGAAGCAATGAACTCCGCGTGCCTCTCGAGGTGTCAGCGGGATGTGGGGCATTCCGTCAAAATCAGGCAGGGACCTAGGGCTTTCTCTAAGGTCTCCACAGGGGATTCAGACATCCCTTCATGTTGTGAGATGAAAGACAAGCCTGTATTCAAGCCACTGCAAGGAAATCCGGCCTCCTTTCAAGTTAGGGCTTCTCGCTGTATATTCCCCTTGAGGCAGCAAACTCGGGGTCCCTCCCACATACCTATTGCTAAGAGAAGCCTCCTCCTGAGGTGCTTCTGAGAAGTTGGCATACGTCTTGAGCCTAAGCCAGGGAATCAGCTCTCATCTCGAGACGATTTGGGGTACACGGAACATTCCTCGAGTTGCTGTGCTGAAGTTGGTCTTCCTCTAGACTTGGGACAGTGTTCTCGGGGCATCTCTGGAGTTGCCTGAATGAAGTCGAGCCACCGGTCGTGTTGAATGAGGAACGGGGAATGGCTCTGGAGTCAATGCAGGGGAATCGGGCCTCATCTCGAGTTGATTTGGGGCACATGGAGCTGCTTTGCGTTGCTGGGGTGACCTCAGCGTCCGTCTAGACTGGTGACAGTGTTCTTGGGGACTGTCTCGATATCCAATAAGCAAGTCGAAGCTCCAGACTTGTTTGAATGGGATCACGGAATAGCTCTGCATGCACTGCAGGGGAATGGGGCCTCATCTCGCCTCTAGGGGGAAGTCTCATGGTTTTTCTCGAGTTGCGGCGGGGACCTGGGGTATGTTCTCGACTTACGGCGGGGATGGCCCTTCAAAACATGAGTTTCTTCAGTGACGTCAGGACTCCTGTCTAGTAACGAGGGACACCTCAGGAATCTCTTCGAGGCTTGGCAGGGCAAAAGGGACGCTTCTCGAGGTGAGGCAGGGCACCCAAGGACCCTTTCCAGTAGCCACAGGGATTTTGGGATTCCTATCAGTATTCAAGAGGAGTCAGGCATCGTCACCTTTTGAAGCAATGAACTCCGCGTGCCTCTCGAGGTGTCAGCGGGATGTGAGGCATTCCGTCAAAATGAGGCAGGGACCTAGGGCTTTCTCTAAGGTCTCCACAGGGGATTCAGACATCCCTTCATGTTGTGAGATGAAAGACGAGCCTGTATTCAAGCCACTGCAAGGAAATCCGGCCTCCTTTCAAGTTAGGGCTTCTCGCTGTATATTCCCCTTGAGGCAGCAAACTCGGGGTCCCTCCCACATACCTATTGCTGAGAGAAGCCTCCTCCTGAGGTGCTTCTGGGAAGTTGGCATACGTCTTGAGCCTAAGCCAGGGAATCAGCTCTCATCTCGAGACGATTTGGGGTACACGGAGCATTCCTCGAGTTGCTGTGCTGAAGTTGGTGTTCCTCTAGACTTGGGACAGTGTTCTCGGGGCATCTCTGAAGTTTCCTGAAGGAAGTCGAGCCACCGGTCGTGTTGAGTGGGGAACGGGGAATGGTTCTGGAGTCAATGCAGGGGAATCGGGCCTCATCTCGAGTTGATTTGGGGCACATAGAGCTGCTTTGCATTGCTGTGGTGACCTCAGGTTCCGTCTAGACTGGTGACAGTGTTCTTGGGGACTGTCTCGAGATCCATTAAGCAAGACGAAGCTCCTGACTTGTTTGAATGGGATCACGGAATAGCTCTGCATGCACTGCAGGGGAATGGGGCCTCATCTCGCCTCTAGGGGGAAGTCTCATGGTTTCTCTTGAGTTGCGGCGGGGACCTGGGGTATGTTCTCGACTTACGGCGGGGATGGCCCTTCAAATCATTAGTTTCTTCAGTGAGGTCAGGACTCCTGTCTAGTAACGAGGGAAACCTCAGGAATCTCTTCGAGGCTTGGCAGGGCAAAAGGGACGCTTCTCGAGGTGAGGCAGGGCACCCAAGGACCCTTTCCAGTAGCCACAGGGATTTTGGGATTCCTATCAGTATTCAAGAGGAGTCAGGCATCGTCACCTTTTGAAGCAATGAACTCCGCGTGCCTCTCGAGGTGTCAGCGGGATGTGAGGCATTCCGTCAAAATGAGGCAGGGACCTAGGGCTTTCTCTAAGGTCTCCACAGGGGATTCAGACATCCCTTCATGTTGTGAGATGAAAGACGAGCCTGTATTCAAGCCACTGCAAGGAAATCCGGCCTCCTTTCAAGTTAGGGCTTCTCGCTGTATATTCCCCTTGAGGCAGCAAACTCGGGGTCCCTCCCACATACCTATTGCTGAGAGAAGCCTCCTCCTGAGGTGCTTCTGGGAAGTTGGCATACGTCTTGAGCCTAAGCCAGGGAATCAGCTCTCATCTCGAGACGATTTGGGTTACACGGAGCATTCCTCGAGTTGCTGTGCTGAAGTTGGTGTTCCTCTAGACTTGGGACAGTGTTCTCGGGGCATCTCTGGAGTTGCCTGAAGGAAGTCGAGCCAGCGGTCGTGTTGAGTGGGGAACGGGGAATGGCTCTGGTGTCAATGCAGGGGAATGGGGCCTCATCTCGAGTTGATTTGGGGCACATGGAGCTGCTTTGCGTTGCTGGGGTGACCTCAGGGTCCGTCTAGACTGGTGACAGTGATCTTGGGGACTGTCTCGAGATCCATTAAGCAAGTCGAAGCTCCTGACTTGTTTGAATCGGATCACGGAATAGCTCTGCATGCACTGCAGGGGAATGGGGCCTCATCTCGCCTCTAGGGGGAAGTCTCTTGGTTTTTCTCCAGTTGCGGCGGGGACCTGGGGTATGTTCTCGACTTAAGGCGGGGATGGCCCTTTAAAACACGAGTTTCTTCAGTGACATCCGGACTCCTGGCTAGTAACGAGGGACACCTCAGGAATCTCTTCGAGGCTTGGCAGGGCAAAAGGGACGCTTCTCGAGGTGAGGCAGGGCACCCAAGGACCCTTTCCCGTAAGCACAGGGATTTTGGGATTCCTATCAGTATTCAAGAGGAGTCAGGCATCGTCACCTTTTGAAGCAATGAACTCCGCGTGCCTCTCGAGGTGTCAGCGGGATGTGAGGCATTCCGTCAAAATGAGGCAGGGACCTAGGGCTTTCTCTAAGGTCTCCACAGGGAATTCAGACATCCCTTCATGTTGTGAGATGAAAGACGAGCCTGTATTCAAGCCACTGCAAGGAAATCCGGCCTCCTTTCAAGTTAGGGCTTCTCGCTGTATATTCCCCTTGAGGCAGCAAACTCGGGGTCCCTCCCACATACCTATTGCTGAGAGAAGCCTCCTCCTGAGGTGCTTCTGGGAAGTTGGCATACGTCTTGAGCCTAAGCCAGGGAATCAGCTCTCATCTCGAGACGATTTGTGGTACATGGAGCATTCCTCGAGTTGCTGTGCTGAAGTTGGTGTTCCTCTAGACTTGGGACAGTGTTCTCGGGGCATCTCTGGAGTTGCCTGAAGGAAGTCGAGCCACCGGTCGTGTTGAATGGGGAATGGGGAATGGCTCTGGAGTCAATGCAGGGGAATCGGGCCTCATCTCGAGTTGATTTGGGGCACATGGAGCTGCTTTGCGTTGCTGGGGTGACCTCAGGGTCCGTCTAGACTGGTGACAGTGATCTTGGGGACTGTCTCGAGATCCATTAAGCAAGTCGAAGCTCCTGACTTGTTTGAATGGGATCACGGAATAGCTCTGCATGCACTGCAGGGGAATGGGGCCTCATCTCGCCTCTAGGGGGAAGTCTCATGGTTTTTGTCGAGTTGCGGCGGGGACCTGGGGTATGTTCTCGACTTACAGCGGGGACGGCCCTTCAAAACACGAGTTTCTTCAGTGACGTCAGGACTCGTGTCTAGTAACGAGGGACACCTCAGGAATCTCTTCGAGGATTGGCAGGGCATAAGGGACGCTTCTCGAAGTGAGGCAGGGCACCCAAGGACCCTTTCCAGTAGCCACAGGGATTTTGGGATTCCTATCAGTATTCAAGAGGAGTCAGGCATCGTCACCTTTTGAAGCAATGAACTCCGCGTGCCTCTCGAGGTGTCAGCGGGATGTTAGGCATTCCGTCAAAATGAGGCAGGGACCTAGGGCTTTCTCTAACGTCTCCACAGGGGATTCAGACATCCCTTCATGTTGTGAGATGAAAGACGAGCCTGTATTCAAGCCACTGCAAGGAAATCCGGCCTCCTTTCAAGTTAGGGCTTCTCGCTGTATATTCCCCTTGAGGCAGCAAACTCGGGGTCCCTCCCACATACCTATTGCTAAGAGAAGCCTCCTCCTGAGGTGCTTCTGGGAAGTTGGCATACGTCTTGAGCCTAAGCCAGGGAATCAGCTCGCATCTCGAGACGATTTGGGGTACACGGAGCATTCCTCGAGTTGCTGTGCTGAAGTTGGTCTTCCTCTAGACTTGGGACAGTGTTCTCGGGGCATCTCTGGAGTTGCCTGAATGAAGTCGAGCCACCGGTCGTGTTGAATGAGGAACGGGGAATGGCTCTGGAGTCAATGCAGGGGAATCGGGCCTCATCTCGAGTTGATTTGGGGCACATGGAGCTGCTTTGCGTTGCTGGGGTGACCTCAGCGTCCGTCTAGACTGGTGACAGTGTTCTTGGGGACTGTCTCGATATCCAATAAGCAAGTCGAAGCTCCAGACTTGTTTGAATGGGATCACGGAATAGCTCTGCATGCACTGCAGGGGAATGGGGCCTCATCTCGCCTCTAGGGGGAAGTCTCATGGTTTTTCTCGTGTTGCGGCGGGGACCTGGGTTATGTTCTCGACTTACGGAGGGGATGGCCCTTCAAAACACGAGTTTCTACAGTGACGTCAGGACTCGTGTCTAGTAACGAGGGACACCTCAGGAATCTCTTCGAGGCTTGGCAGGGCAAAAGGGACGCTTCTCGAGGTGAGGCAGGGCACCCAAGGACCCTTTCCAGTAGCAACAGGGATTTTGGGATTCCTATCAGTATTCAAGAGGAGTCAGGCATCGTCACCTTTTAAAGCAATGAACTCCGCGTGCCTCTCGAGGTGTCAGCGGGATGTGAGGCATTCCGTCAAAATGAGGCAGGGACCTAGGGCTTTCTCTAAGGTCTCCACAGGGGATTCAGACATCCCTTCATGTTGTGAGATGAAAGACGAGCCTGTATTCAAGCCACTGCAAGGAAATCCGGCCTCCTTTCAAGTTAGGGCTTCTCGCTGTATATTCCCCTTGAGGCAGCAAACTCGGGGTCCCTCCCACATACCTATTGCTGAGAGAAGCCTCCTCCTGAGGTGCTTCTGGGAAGTTGGCATACGTCTTGAGCCTAAGCCAGGGAATCAGCTCTCATCTCGAGACGATTTGGGGTACACGGAGCATTCCTCGAGTTGCTGTGCTGAAGTTGGTGTTCCTCTAGACTTGGGACAGTGTTCTCGGGGCATCTCTGAAGTTTCCTGAAGGAAGTCGAGCCACCGGTCGTGTTGAGTGGGGAACGGGGAATGGTTCTGGAGTCAATGCAGGGGAATCGGGCCTCATCTCGAGTTGATTTGGGGCACATGGAGCTGCTTTGCATTGCTGTGGTGACCTCAGGTTCCGTCTAGACTGGTGACAGTGTTCTTGGGGACTGTCTCGAGATCCATTAAGCAAGACGAAGCTCCTGACTTGTTTGAATGGGATCACGGAATAGCTCTGCATGCACTGCAGGGGAATGGGGCCTCATCTCGCCTCTAGGGGGAAGTCTCATGGTTTTTCTCCAGTTGCGGCGGGGACCTGGGGTATGTTCTCGACTTACGGCGGGGATGGCCCTTTAAAACACGAGTTTCTTCAGTGACATCCGGACTCCTGGCTAGTAACGAGTTACACCTCAGGAATCTCTTCGAGGCTTGGCAGGGCAAAAGGACGCTTCTCGAGGTGAGGCAGGGCACCCAAGGACCCTTTCCCGTAAGCACAGGGATTTTGGGATTCCTATCAGTATTCAAGAGGAGTCAGGCATCGTCACCTTTTGAAGCAATGAACTCCGCGTGCCTCTCGAGGTGTCAGCGGGATGTGAGGCATTCCGTCAAAATGAGGCAGGGACCTAGGGCTTTCTCTAAGGTCTCCACAGGGAATTCAGACATCCCTTCATGTTGTGAGATGAAAGACGAGCCTGTATTCAAGCCACTGCAAGGAAATCCGGCCTCCTTTCAAGTTAGGGCTTCTCGCTGTATATTCCCCTTGAGGCAGCAAACTCGGGGTCCCTCCCACATACCTATTGCTGAGAGAAGCCTCCTCCTGAGGTGCTTCTGGGAAGTTGGCATACGTCTTGAGCCTAAGCCAGGGAATCAGCTCTCATCTCGAGACGATTTGTGGTACACGGAGCATTCCTCGAGTTGCTGTGCTGAAGTTGGTGTTCCTCTAGACTTGGGACAGTGTTCTCGGGGCATCTCTGGAGTTGCCTGAAGGAAGTCGAGCCACCGGTCGTGTTGAATGGGGAATGGGGAATGGCTCTGGAGTCAATGCAGGGGAATCGGGCCTCATCTCGAGTTGATTTGGGGCACATGGAGCTGCTTTGCGTGGCTGGGGTGACCTCAGGGTCCGTCTAGACTGGTGACAGTGATCTTGGGGACTGTCTCGAGATCCATTAAGCAAGACGAAGCTCCTGACTTGTTTGAATGGGATCACGGAATAGCTCTGCATGCACTGCAGGGGAATAGGGCCTCATCTCGCCTCTAGGGGGAAGTCTCATGGTTTTTGTCGAGTTGTGGCGGGGACCTGGGGTATGTTCTCGACTTACGGCGGGGACGGCCCTTCAAAACACGAGTTTCTTCAGTGACGTCAGGACTCGTGTCTAGTAACGAGGGACACCTCAGGAATCTCTTCGAGGATTGGCAGGGCATAAGGGACGCTTCTCGAAGTGAGGCAGGGCACCCAAGGACCCTTTCCAGTAGCCACAGGAATTTTGGGATTCCTATCAGTATTCAAGAGGAGTCAGGCATCGTCACCTTTTGAAGCAATGAACTCCGCGTGCCTCTCGAGGTGTCAGCGGGATGTTAGGCATTCCGTCAAAATGAGGCAGGGACCTAGGGCTTTCTCTAAGGTCTCCACAGGGGATTCGACATCCCTTCATGTTGTGAGATGAAAGACGAGCCTGTATTCAAGCCACTGCAAGGAAATCCGGCCTCCTTTCAAGTTAGGGCTTCTCGCTGTGTATTCCCCTTGAGGCAGCAAACTCGGGGTCCCTCCCACATACCTATTGCTGAGAGAAGCCTCCTCCTGAGGTGCTTCTGGGAAGTTGGCATACGTCTTGAGCCTAAGCCAGGGAATCAGCTCTCATCTCGAGACGATTTGGGGTACACGGAGCATTCCTCGAGTTGCTGTGCTGAAGTTGGTGTTCCTCTAGACTTGGGACAGTGTTCTCGGGGCATCTCTGAAGTTTCCTGAAGGAAGTCGAGTCACCGGTCGTGTTGAGTGGGGAACGGGGAATGGTTCTGGAGTCAATGCTGGGGAATCGGGCCTCATCTCGAGTTGATTTGGGGCACATGGAGCTGCATTGCATTGCTGGGGTGACCTCAGGTTCCGTCTAGACTGGTGACAGTGTTCTTGGGGACTGTCTCGAGATCCATTAAGCAAGTCGAAGCTCCTGACTTGTTTGAATGGGATCACGGAATAGCTCTGCATGCACTGCAGGGGAATGGGGCCTCATCTCGCCTCTAGGGGGAAGTCTCATGGTTTTTCTCGAGTTGCGGCGGGGACCTGGGGTATGTTCTCGACTTACGGCGGGGATGGTCCTTCAAATCATGAGTTTCTTCACTGAGGTCAGGACTCCTGTCTAGTAACGAGGGACACCTCAGGAATCTCTTCGAGGCTTGGCAGGGCAAAAGGGACGCTTCTCGAGGTGAGGCAGGGCACCCAAGGACCCTTTCCAGTAGCCACAGGGATTTTGGGATTCCTATCAGTATTCAAGAGGAGTCAGGCATCGTCACCTTTTGAAGCAATGAACTCCGCGTGCCTCTCGAGGTGTCAGCGGGATGTGAGGCATTTCGTCAAAATGAGGCAGGGACCTAGGGCTTTCTCTAAGGTCTCCACAGGGGATTCAGACATCCCTTCATGTTGTGAGATGAAAGACGAGCCTGTATTCAAGCCACTGCAACGAAATCCGGCCTCCTTTCAAGTTAGGGCTTCTCGCTGTATATTCCCCTTGAGGCAGCAAACTCGGGGTCCCTCCCACATACCTAGTGCTGAGAGAAGCCTCCTCCTGAGGTGCTTCTGGGAAGTTGGCATACGTCTTGAGCCTAAGCCAGGGAATCAGCTCTCATCTCGAGACGATTTGGGGTACACGGAGCATTCCTCGAGTTGCTGTGCTGAAGTTGGTGTTCCTCTAGACTTGGGACAGTGTTCTCGGGGCATCTCTGGAGTTGCCTGAAGGAAGTCGAGCCACCGGTCGTGTTGAGTGGGGAACGGGGAATGGCTCTGGAGTCAATGCAGGGGAATCGGGCCTCATCTCGAGTTGATTTGGGGCACATGGAGCTGCTTTGCGTTGCTGGGGTGACCTCAGGGTCCGTCTAGACTGGTGACAGTGATCTTGGGGACTGTCTCGAGATCCATTAAGCAAGTCGAAGCTCCTGACTTGTTTGAATGGGATCACGGATTAGCTCTGCATGCACTGCAGGGGAATGGGGCTTCATCTCGCCTCTAGGGGGAAGTCTCATGGTTTTTCTCGAGTTGCGGCGGGGACCTGGGGTATGTTCTCGGCTTACGGCGGGGATGGCCCTTCAAAACACGAGTTTCTTCAGTGACGTCAGGACTCCTGTCTAGTAACGAGGGACACCTCAGGAATCTCTTCGAGGCTTGGCAGGGCCAAAGGGACGCTTCTCGAGGTGAGGCAGGGCACCCAAGGACCCTTTCCAGTAGCCACAGTGATTTTGGGATTCCTATCAGTATTCAAGAGGAGTGAGGCATCGTCACCTTTTGAAGCAATGAACTCCGCGTGCCTCTCGAGGTGTCAGCGGGATGTGGGGCATTCCGTCAAAATGAGGCAGGGACCTAGGGCTTTCTCTAAGGTCTCCACAGGGGATTCAGACATCCCTTCATGTTGTGAGATGAAAGACAAGCCTGTATTCAAGCCACTGCAAGGAAATCCGGCCTCCTTTCAAGTTAGGGCTTCTCGCTGTATATTCCCCTTGAGGCAGCAAACTCGGGGTCCCTCCCACATACCTTTTGCTAAGAGATGCCTCCTCCTGAGGTGCTTCTGGGAAGTTGGCATACGTCTTGAGCCTAAGCCAGGGAATCAGCTCTCATCTCGAGACGATTTGGGGTACACGGAGCATTCCTCGAGTTGCTGTGCTGAAGTTGGTCTTCCTCTAGACTTGGGACAGTGTTCTCGGGGCATCTCTGCAGTTGCCTGAAGGAAGTCGAGCCACCGGTTGTGTTGAATGGGGAACGCGGAATGGCTCTGGAGTCAATGCAGGGGAATCGGGCCTCATCTCGAGTTGATTTGGGGCACATGGAGCTGCTTTGCATTGCTGGGGTGACCTCAGGATCCGTCTAGACTAGTGACAGTGTTCTTGGGGACTGTCTCGAGATCCATTAAGCAAGTCGAAGCTCCTGACTTGTTTGAGTCGGATCATGGAATAGCTCTGCATGCACTGCAGGGGAATGGGGCCTCATCTCGCCTCTAGGGGGAAGTCTCATGGTTTTTCTCGAGTTGCGGCGGGGACCTGGGGTATGTACTCGACTTACGGCGGGGATGGCCCTTCAAAGCACGAGTTTCTTCAGTGACGTCAGGACTCCTGTCTAGTAACGAGGGACACCTCAGGAATCTATTCGAGGCTTGGCAGGGCAAAAGGGACCCTTCTCGAGGTGAGGCAGGGCACCCAAGCACCCTTTCCAGTAGCCACAGGGATTTTGTGATTCCTATCAGTATTCAAGAGGAGTCAGGCATCGTCACCTTTTGAAGCAAGGAACTCCACGTGCCTCTCGAGGTGTCAGCGGGATGTGGGGCATTCCGTCAAAATGAGGCAGGGACCTAGGGCTTTCTCTAAGGTCTCCACAGGGGATTCAGACATCCCTTCATGTTGTGAGATGAAAGACTAGCCTGTATTCAAGCCACTGCCAGGAAATCCGGCCTCCTTTCAAGTTAGGGCTTCTCGGTGTATATTCCCCTTGAGGCAGCAAACTCGGGGTCCCTCCCACATACCTATTGCTGAGAGAAGCCTCCTCCTGAGGTGCTTCTGGGAAGTTGGCATACGTCTTGAGCCCAAGCCAGGGAATCAGCTCTCATCTCGAGACGATTTGGGTTACACGGAGCATTCCTCGAGTTGCTGTGCTGAAGTTGGTCTTCCTCTAGACTTGGGACAGTGTTCTCGGGGCATCTCTGGAGTTGCCTGAATGAAGTCGAGCCACCGGTCGTGTTGAATGAGGAACGGGGAATGGCTCTGGAGTCAATGCAGGGGAATCGGGCCTCATCTCGAGTTGATTTGGGGCACATGGAGCTGCTTTGCGTTGCTGGGGTGACCTCAGCGTCCGTCTAGACTGGTGACAGTGTTCTTGGGGACTGTCTCGATATCCAATAAGCAAGTCGAAGCTCCAGACTTGTTTGAATGGGATCACGGAATAGCTCTGCATGCACTGCAGGGGAATGGGGCCTCATCTCGCCTCTAGGGGGAAGTCTCATGGTTTTTCTCGAGTTGCGGCGGGGACCTGGGTTATGTTCTCGACTTACGGCGGGGATGGCCCTTCAAAACACGAGTTTCTACAGTGACGTCAGGACTCCTGTCTAGTAACGAGGGACACCTCAGGAATCTCTTCGAGGCTTGGCAGGGCAAAAGGGACGCTTCTCGAGGTGAGGCAGGGCACCCAAGGACCCTTTCCAGTAGCCACAGGGATTTTGGGATTCCTATCAGTATTCAAGAGGAGTCAGGCATCGTCACCTTTTGAAGCAATGAACTCCGCGTGCCTCTCGAGGTGTCAGCGGGATGTGAGGCATTCCGTCAAAATGAGGCAGGGACCTAGGGCTTTCTCTAAGGTCTCCAGAGGGGATTCAGACATCCCTTCATGTTGTGAGATGAAAGACGAGCCTGTATTCAAGCCACTGCAAGGAAATCCGGCCTCCTTTCAAGTTAGGGCTTCTCGCTGTATATTCCCCTTGAGGCAGCAAACTCGGGGTCCCTCCCACATACCTATTGCTGAGAGAAGCCTCCTCCTGAGGTGCTTCTGGGAAGTTGGCATACGTCTTGAGCCTAAGCCAGGGAATCAGCTCTCATCTCGAGACGATTTGGGGTACACGGAGCATTCCTCGAGTTGCTGTGCTGAAGTTGGTGTTCCTCTAGACTTGGGACAGTGTTCTCGGGGCATCTCTGAAGTTTCCTGAAGGAAGTCGAGCCACCGGTCGTGTTGAGTGGGGAACGGGGAATGGTTCTGGAGTCAATGCAGGGGAATCGGGCCTCATCTCGAGTTGATTTGGGGCACATGGAGCTGCTTTGCATTGCTGTGGTGACCTCAGGGTCCGTCTAGACTGGTGACAGTGTTCTTGGGGACTGTCTCGAGATCCATTAAGCAAGTCGAAGCTCCTGACTTGTTTGAATGGGATCACGGAATAGCTCTGCATGCACTGCAGGGGAATGGGGCCTCATCTCGCCTCTAGGGGGACGTCTCATGGTTTTTCTTGAGTTTCGGCGGGGACCTGGGGTATGTTCTCGACTTACGGCGGGGATGGCCCTTCAAATCATGAGTTTCTTCAGTGAGGTCAGGACTCCTGTCTAGTAACGAGGGACACCTCAGGAATCTCTTCGAGGCTTGGCAGGGCAAAAGGGACGCTTCTCGAGGTGAGGCAGGGCACCCAAGGACCCTTTCCAGTAGCCACAGGGATTTTGGGATTCCTATCAGTATTCAAGAGGAGTCAGGCATCGTCACCTTTTGAAGCAATGAACTCCGCGTGCCTCTCGAGGTGTCAGCGGGATGTGGGGCATTCCGTCAAAATGAGGCAGGGACCTAGGGCTTTCTCTAAGGTCTCCACAGGGGATTCAGACATCCCTTCATGTTGTGAGATGAAAGACAAGCCTGTATTCAAGCCACTGCAAGGAAATCCGGCCTCCTTTCAAGTTAGGGCTTCTCGCTGTATATTCCCCTTGAGGCAGCAAACTCGGGGTCCCTCCCACATACCTATTGCTGAGAGAAGCCTCCTCCGGAGGTGCTTCTGGGAAGTTGGCATACGTCTTGAGCCTAAGCCAGGGAATCAGCTCGCATCTCGAGACGATTTGGGGTACACGGAGCATTCCTCGAGTTGCTGTGCTGAAGTTGGTGTTCCTCTAGACTTGGGACAGTGTTCTCGGGGCATCTCTGAAGTTTCCTGAAGGAAGTCGAGCCACCGGTCGTGCTGAGTGGGGAACGGGGAATGGTTCTGGAGTCAATGCAGGGGAATCGGGCCTCATCTCGAGTTGATTTGGGGCACATGGAGCTGCTTTGCACTGCTGGGGTGACCTCAGGTTCCGTCTAGACTGGTGACAGTGTTCTTGGGGACTGTCTCGAGATCCATTAAGCAAGTCGAAGCTCCTGACTTGTTTGAATGGGATCACGGAATAGCTCTGCATGCACTGCAGGGGAATGGGGCCTCATCTCGCCTCTAGGGGGAAGTCTCATGGTTTTTCTCGAGTTGCGGCGGGGACATGGGGTATGTTCTCGACTTACGGCGGGGATGGTCCTTCAAATCATGAGTTTCTTCACTGAGGTCAGGACTCCTGTCTAGTAACGAGGGACACCTCAGGAATCTCTTCGAGGCTTGGCAGGGCCAAAGGGACGCTTCTCGAGGTGAGGCAGGGCACCCAAGGACCCTTTCCAGTAGCCACAGGGATTTTGGGATTCCTATCAGTATTCAAGAGGAGTCAGGCATCGTCACCTTTTGAAGCAATGAACTCCGCGTGCCTCTCGAGGTGTCAGCGGGATGTGAGGCATTCCGTCAAAATGAGGCAGGGACCTAGGGCTTTCTCTAAGGTCTCCACAGGGGATTCAGACATCCCTTCATGTTGTGAGATGAAAGACGAGCCTGTATTCAAGCCACTGCAAGGAAATCCGGCCTCCTTTCAAGTTAGGGCTTCTCGCTGTATATTCCCCTTGAGGCAGCAAACTCGGGGTCCCTCCCACATACCTATTGCTGAGAGAAGCCTCCTCCTGAGGTGCTTCTGGGAAGTTGGCATACGTCTTGAGCCTAAGCCAGGGAATCAGCTCGCATCTCGAGACGATTTGTGGTACACGGAGCATTCCTCGAGTTGCTGTGCTGAAGTTGGTGTTCCTCTAGACTTGGGACAGTGTTCTCGGGGCATCTCTGGAGTTGCCTGAAGGAAGTCGAGCCACCGGTCGTGTTGAATGGGGAATGGGGAATGGCTCTGGAGTCAATGCAGGGGAATCGGGCCTCATCTCGAGTTGATTTGGGGCACATGGAGCTGCTTTAGGTGCTGGGGTGACCTCAGGGTCCGTCTAGACTGGTGACAGTGTTCTTGGGGACTGTCTCGAGATCCATTAAGCAAGTCGAAGCTCCTGACTTGTTTGAATCGGATCACGGAATAGCTCTGCATGCCCTGCAGGGGAATGGGGCCTCATCTCGCCTCTAGGGGGAAGTCTCATGGTTTTTCTCGAGTTGCGGCGGGGACCTGGGGTATGTTCTCGACTTACGGCGGGGATGGCCCTTCAAAACACGAGTTTCTTCAGTGACGTCAGGACTCCTGTCTAGTAACGAGGGACACCTCAGGAATCTCTTCGAGGCTTGGCAGGGCCAAAGGGACGCTTCCCGAGGTGAGGCAGGGCACCCAAGGACCCTTTCCAGTAGCCACAGGGATTTTGGGATTCCTATCAGTATTCAAGAGGAGTCAGGCATCGTCACCTTTTGAAGCAATGAACTCCGCGTGCCTCTCGAGGTGTCAGCGGGATGTGAGGCATTCCGTCAAAATGAGGCAGGGACCTAGGGCTTTCTCTAAGGTCTCCACAGGGGATTCAGACATCCCTTCATGTTGTGAGATGAAAGACGAGCCTGTATTCAAGCCACTGCAAGGAAATCCGGCCTCCTTTCAAGTTAGGGCTTCTCGCTGTATATTCCCCTTGAGGCAGCAAACTCGGGGTCCCTCCCACATACCTATTGCTGAGAGAAGCCTCCTCCTGAGGTGCTTTTGGGAAGTTGGCATACGTCTTGAGCCTAAGCCAGGGAATCAGCTCGCATCTCGAGACGATTTGGGGTACACGGAGCATTCCTCGAGTTGCTGTGCTGAAGTTGGTGTTCCTCTAGACTTGGGACAGTGTTCTCGGGGCATCTCTGGAGTTGCCTGAAGGAAGTCGAGCCACCGGTCGTGTTGAATGGGGAACGGGGAATGGCTCTGGAGTCAATGCAGGGGAATCGGGCCTCATCTCGAGTTGATTTGGGGCACATGGAGCTGCTTTGCGTTGCTGGGGTGACCTCAGGGTCCGTCTAGACTGGTGACAGTGTTCTTGGGGACTGTCTCGAGATCCATTAAGCAAGTCGAAGCTCCTGACTTGTTTGAATGGGATCAAGGAATAGCTCTGCATGCACTGCAGGGGAATGGGGCCTCATCTCGCCTCTAGGGGGAAGTCTCATGGTTTTTCTCGAGTTGCGGCAGGGACCTGGGGTATGTTCTCGACTTACGGCGGGGATGGCCCTTCAAAACACGAGTTTCTTCAGTGACGTCAGGACTCCTGTCTAGTAACGAGGGACACCTCAGGAATCTCTTCGAGGCTTGGCAGGGCCAAAGGGACGCTTCCCGAGGTGAGGCAGGGCACCCAAGGACCCTTTCCAGTAGCCACAGGTATTTTGGGATTCCTATCAGTATTCAAGAGGAGTCAGGCATCGTCACCTTTTGAAGCAATGAACTCCGCGTGCCTCTCGAGGTGTCAGCGGGATGTGAGGCATTCCGTCAAAATGAGGCAGGGACCTAGGGCTTTCTCTAAGGTCTCCACAGGGGATTCAGACATCCCTTCATGTTGTGAGATGAAAGACGAGCCTGTATTCAAGCCACTGCAAGGAAATCCGGCCTCCTTTCAAGTTAGGGCTTCTCGCTGTATATTCCCCTTGAGGCAGCAAACTCGGGGTCCCTCCCACATACCTATTGCTGAGAGAAGCCTCCTCCTGAGGTGCTTCTGGGAAGTTGGCATACGTCTTGAGCCTAAGCCAGGGAATCAGCTCGCATCTCGAGACGATTTGGGGTACACGGAGCATTCCTCGAGTTGCTGTGCTGAAGTTGGTGTTCCTCTAGACTTGGGACAGTGTTCTCGGGGCATCTCTGGAGTTGCCTGAAGGAAGTCGAGCGACCGGTCGTGTTGAATGGGGAACGGGGAATGGCTCTGGAGTCAATGCAGGGGAATCGGGCCTCATCTCGAGTTGATTTGGGGCACATGGAGCTGCTTTAGGTGCTGGGGTGACCTCAGGGTCCGTCTAGACTGGTGACAGTGTTCTTGGGGACTGTCTCGAGATCCATTAAGCAAGTCGAAGCTCCTGACTTGTTTGAATGGGATCACGGAATAGCTCTGCATGCACTGCAGGGGAATGGGGCCTCATCTCGCCTCTAGGGGGAAGTCTCATGGTTTTTGTCGAGTTGCGGCGGGGACCTGGGGTATGTTCTCGACTTACGGCGGGGATGGCCCTTCAAAACACGAGTTTCTTCAGTGACGTCAGGACTCCTGTCTAGTAACGAGGGACACCTCAGGAATCTCTTCGAGGCTTGGCAGGGCCAAAGGGACGCTTCTCGAGGTGAGGCAGGGCACCCAAGGACCCTTTCCAGTAGCCACAGGGATTTTGGGATTCCTATCAGTATTCAAGAGGAGTCAGGCATCGTCACCTTTTGAAGCAATGAACTCCGCGTGCCTCTCGAGGTGTCAGCGGGATGTGAGGCATTCCGTCAAAATGAGGCAGGGACCTAGGGCTTTCTCTAAGGTCTCCACAGGGGATTCAGACATCCCTTCATGTTGTGAGATGAAAGACGAGCCTGTATTCAAGCCACTGCAAGGAAATCCGGCCTCCTTTCAAGTTAGGGCTTCTCGCTGTATATTCCCCTTGAGGCAGCAAACTCGGGGTCCCTCCCACATACCTATTGCTGAGAGAAGCCTCCTCCTGAGGTGCTTCTGGGAAGTTGGCATACGTCTTGAGCCTAAGCCAGGGAATCAGCTCGCATCTCGAGACGATTTGTGGTACACGGAGCATTCTTCGAGTTGCTGTGCTGAAGTTGGTGTTCCTCTAGACTTGGGACAGTGTTCTCGGGGCATCTCTGGAGTTGCCTGAAGGAAGTCGAGCCACCGGTCGTGTTGAATGGGGAATGGGGAATGGCTCTGGAGTCAATGCAGGGGAATCGGGCCTCATCTCGAGTTGATTTGGGGCACATGGAGCTGCTTTAGGTGCTGGGGTGACCTCAGGGTCCGTCTAGACTGGTGACAGTGTTCTTGGGGACTGTCTCGAGATCCATTAAGCAAGTCGAAGCTCCTGACTTGTTTGAATCGGATCACGGAATAGCTCTGCATGCCCTGCAGGGGAATGGGGCCTCATCTCGCCTCTAGGGGGAAGTCTCATGGTTTTTCTCGAGTTGCGGCGGGGACCTGGGGTATGTTCTCGACTTACGGCGGGGATGGCCCTTCAAAACACGAGTTTCTTCAGTGACGTCAGGACTCCTGTCTAGTAACGAGGGACACCTCAGGAATCTCTTCGAGGCTTGGCAGGGCCAAAGGGACGCTTCCCGAGGTGAGGCAGGGCACCCAAGGACCCTTTCCAGTAGCCACAGGGATTTTGGGATTCCTATCAGTATTCAAGAGGAGTCAGGCATCGTCACCTTTTGAAGCAATGAACTCCGCGTGCCTCTCGAGGTGTCAGCGGGATGTGAGGCATTCCGTCAAAATGAGGCAGGGACCTAGGGCTTTCTCTAAGGTCTCCACAGGGGATTCAGACATCCCTTCATGTTGTGAGATGAAAGACGAGCCTGTATTCAAGCCACTGCAAGGAAATCCGGCCTCCTTTCAAGTTAGGGCTTCTCGCTGTATATTCCCCTTGAGGCAGCAAACTCGGGGTCCCTCCCACATACCTATTGCTGAGAGAAGCCTCCTCCTGAGGTGCTTTTGGGAAGTTGGCATACGTCTTGAGCCTAAGCCAGGGAATCAGCTCGCATCTCGAGACGATTTGGGGTACACGGAGCATTCCTCGAGTTGCTGTGCTGAAGTTGGTGTTCCTCTAGACTTGGGACAGTGTTCTCGGGGCATCTCTGGAGTTGCCTGAAGGAAGTCGAGCCACCGGTCGTGTTGAATGGGGAACGGGGAATGGCTCTGGAGTCAATGCAGGGGAATCGGGCCTCATCTCGAGTTGATTTGGGGCACATGGAGCTGCTTTGCGTTGCTGGGGTGACCTCAGGGTCCGTCTAGACTGGTGACAGTGTTCTTGGGGACTGTCTCGAGATCCATTAAGCAAGTCGAAGCTCCTGACTTGTTTGAATGGGATCAAGGAATAGCTCTGCATGCACTGCAGGGGAATGGGGCCTCATCTCGCCTCTAGGGGGAAGTCTCATGGTTTTTCTCGAGTTGCGGCAGGGACCTGGGGTATGTTCTCGACTTACGGCGGGGATGGCCCTTCAAAACACGAGTTTCTTCAGTGACGTCAGGACTCCTGTCTAGTAATGAGGGACACCTCAGGAATCTCTTCGAGGCTTGGCAGGGCCAAAGGGACGCTTCCCGAGGTGAGGCAGGGCACCCAAGGACCCTTTCCAGTAGCCACAGGTATTTTGGGATTCCTATCAGTATTCAAGAGGAGTCAGGCATCGTCACCTTTTGAAGCAATGAACTCCGCGTGCCTCTCGAGGTGTCAGCGGGATGTGAGGCATTCCGTCAAAATGAGGCAGGGACCTAGGGCTTTCTCTAAGGTCTCCACAGGGGATTCAGACATCCCTTCATGTTGTGAGATGAAAGACGAGCCTGTATTCAAGCCACTGCAAGGAAATCCGGCCTCCTTTCAAGTTAGGGCTTCTCGCTGTATATTCCCCTTGAGGCAGCAAACTCGGGGTCCCTCCCACATACCTATTGCTGAGAGAAGCCTCCTCCTGAGGTGCTTCTGGGAAGTTGGCATACGTCTTGAGCCTAAGCCAGGGAATCAGCTCGCATCTCGAGACGATTTGGGGTACACGGAGCATTCCTCGAGTTGCTGTGCTGAAGTTGGTGTTCCTCTAGACTTGGGACAGTGTTCTCGGGGCATCTCTGGAGTTGCCTGAAGGAAGTCGAGCGACCGGTCGTGTTGAATGGGGAACGGGGAATGGCTCTGGAGTCAATGCAGGGGAATCGGGCCTCATCTCGAGTTGATTTGGGGCACATGGAGCTGCTTTAGGTGCTGGGGTGACCTCAGGGTCCGTCTAGACTGGTGACAGTGTTCTTGGGGACTGTCTCGAGATCCATTAAGCAAGTCGAAGCTCCTGACTTGTTTGAATGGGATCACGGAATAGCTCTGCATGCACTGCAGGGGAATGGGGCCTCATCTCGCCTCTAGGGGGAAGTCTCATGGTTTTTGTCGAGTTGCGGCGGGGACCTGGGGTATGTTCTCGACTTACGGCGGGGATGGCCCTTCAAAACACGAGTTTCTTCAGTGACGTCAGGACTCCTGTCTAGTAACGAGGGACACCTCAGGAATCTCTTCGAGGCTTGGCAGGGCCAAAGGGACGCTTCTCGAGGTGAGGCAGGGCACCCAAGGACCCTTTCCAGTAGCCACAGGGATTTTGGGATTCCTATCAGTATTCAAGAGGAGTCAGGCATCGTCACCTTTTGAAGCAATGAACTCCGCGTGCCTCTCGAGGTGTCAGCGGGATGTGAGGCATTCCGTCAAAATGAGGCAGGGACCTAGGGCTTTCTCTAAGGTCTCCACAGGGGATTCAGACATCCCTTCATGTTGTGAGATGAAAGACGAGCCTGTATTCAAGCCACTGCAAGGAAATCCGGCCTCCTTTCAAGTTAGGGCTTCTCGCTGTATATTCCCCTTGAGGCAGCAAACTCGGGGTCCCTCCCACATACCTATTGCTGAGAGAAGCCTCCTCCTGAGGTGCTTCTGGGAAGTTGGCATACGTCTTGAGCCTAAGCCAGGGAATCAGCTCGCATCTCGAGACGATTTGGGGTACACGGAGCATTCCTCGAGTTGCTGTGCTGAAGTTGGTGTTCCTCTAGACTTGGGATAGTGTTCTCGGGGCATCTCTGGAGTTGCCTGAAGGAAGTCGAGCCACCGGTCGTGTTGAATGGGGAACGGGGAATGGCTCTGGAGTCAATGCAGGGGAATCGGGCCTCATCTCGAGTTGATTTGGGGCACATGGAGCTGCTTTGCGTTGCTGGGGTGACCTCAGGGTCCGTCTAGACTGGTGACAGTGTTCTTGAGGACTGTCTCGAGATCCATTAAGCAAGTCGAAGCTCCTGACTTGTTTGAATGGGATCACGGAATAGCTCTGCATGCCCTGCAGGGGAATGGGGCCTCATATCGCCTCTAGGGGGAAGTCTCATAGTTTTTCTCGAGTTGCTGCGGGGACCTGGGGTATGTTCTCGACTTACGGCGGGGATGGCCCTTCAAAACACGAGTTTCTTCAGTGAGGTCAGGACTCCTGTCTAGTAACGAGGGACACCTCAGGAATCTCTTCGAGGCTTGGCAGGGCCAAAGGGACGCTTCCCGAGGTGAGGCAGGGCACCCAAGGACCCTTTCCAGTAGCCACAGGGATTTTGGGATTCCTATCAGTATTCAAGAGGAGTCAGGCATCGTCACCTTTTGAAGCAATGAACTCCGCGTGCCTCTCGAGGTGTCAGCGGGATGTGAGGCATTCCGTCAAAATGAGGCAGGGACCTAGGGCTTTCTCTAAGGTCTCCACAGGGGATTCAGACATCCCTTCATGTTGTGAGATGAAAGACGAGCCTGTATTCAAGCCACTGCAAGGAAATCCGGCCTCCTTTCAAGTTAGGGCTTCTCGCTGTATATTCCCCTTGAGGCAGCAAACTCGGGGTCCCTCCCACATACCTATTGTTGAGAGAAGCCTCCTCCTGAGGTGCTTCTGGGAAGTTGGCATACGTCTTGAGCCTAAGCCAGGGAATCAGCTCGCATCTCGAGACGATTTGGGGTACACGGAGCATTCCTCGAGTTGCTGTGCTGAAGTTGGTGTTCCTCTAGACTTGGGACAGTGTTCTCGGGGCATCTCTGGAGTTGCCTGAAGGAAGTCGAGCCACCGGTCGTGTTGAATGGGGAACGGGGAATGGCTCTGGAGTCAATGCAGGGGAATCGGGCCTCATCTCGAGTTGATTTGGGGCACATGGAGCTGCTTTGCGTTGCTGGGGTGACCTCAGGGTCCGTCTAGACTGGTGACAGTGTTCTTGGGGACTGTCTCGAGATCCATTAAGCAAGTCGAAGCTCCTGACTTGTTTGAATGGGATCACGGAATAGCTCTGCATGCCCTGCAGGGGAATGGGGCCTCATCTCGCCTCTAGGGGGAAGTCTCATGGTTTTTCTCCAGTTGCGGCGGGGACCTGGGGTATGTTCTCGACTTACGGCGGGGATGGCCCTTCAAAACACGAGTTTCTTCAGTGAGGTCAGGACTCCTGTCTAGTAACGAGGGACACCTCAGGAATCTCTTCGAGCCTTGGCAGGGCCAAAGGGACGCTTCTCGAGGTGAGGCAGGGCACCCAAGGACTCTTTCCAGTAGCCACAGGGATTTTGGGATTCCTATCAGTATTCAAGAGGAGTCAGGCTTCGTCACCTTTTGAAGCAATGAACTCCGCGTGCCTCTCGAGGTGTCAGCGGGATGTGAGGCATTCCGTCAAAATGAGGCAGGGACCTAGGGCTTTCTCTAAGGTCTCCACAGGGGATTCAGACATCCCTTCATGTTGTGAGATGAAAGACGAGCCTGTATTCAAGCCACTGCAAGGAAATCCGGCCTCCTTTCAAGTTAGGGCTTCTCGCTGTATATTCCCCTTGAGGCAGCAAACTCGGGGTCCCTCCCACATACCTATTGCTGAGAGAAGCCTCCTCCTGAGGTGCTTCTGGGAAGTTGGCATACGTCTTGAGCCTAAGCCAGGGAATCAGCTCGCATCTCGAGACGATTTGGGGTACACGGAGCATTCCTCGAGTTGCTGTGCTGAAGTTGGTGTTCCTCTAGACTTGGGACAGTGTTCTCGGGGCATCTCTGGAGTTGCCTGAAGGAAGTCGAGCCACCGGTCGTGTTGAATGGGGAACGGGGAATGGCTCTGGAGTCAATGCAGGGGAATCGGGCCTCATCTCGAGTTGATTTGGGGCACATGGAGCTGCTTTGCGTTGCTGGGGTGACCTCAGGGTCCGTCTAGACTGGTGACAGTGTTCTTGGGGACTGTCTCGAGATCCATTAAGCAAGTCGAAGCTCCTGACTTGTTTGAATGGGATCACGGAATAGCTCTGCATGCACTGCAGGGGAATGGGGCCTCATCTCGCCTCTAGGGGGAAGTCTCATGGTTTTTCTCGAGTTGCGGCGGGGACCTGGGGTATGTTCTCGACTTACGGCCTGGATGGCCCTTTAAAACACGAGTTTCTTCAGTGACATCCGGACTCCTGGCTAGTAACGAGGGACACCTCAGGAATCTCTTCGAGGCTTGGCAGGGCCAAAGGGACGCTTCTCGAGGTGAGGCAGGGCACCCAAGGACCCTTTCCAGTAGCCACAGGGATTTTGGGATTCCTATCAGTATTCAAGAGGAGTCAGGCATCGTCACCTTTTGAAGCAATGAACTCCGCGTGCCTCTCGAGGTGTCAGCGGGATGTGAGGCATTCCGTCAAAATGAGGCAGGGACCTAGGGCTTTCTCTAAGGTCTCCACAGGGGATTCAGACATCCCTTCATGTTGTGAGATGAAAGACGAGCCTGTATTCAAGCCACTGCAAGGAAATCCGGCCTCCTTTCAAGTTAGGGCTTCTCGCTGTATATTCCCCTTGAGGCAGCAAACTCGGGGTCCCTCCCACATACCTATTGCTGAGAGAAGCCTCCTCCTGAGGTGCTTCTGGGAAGTTGGCATACGTCTTGAGCCTAAGCCAGGGAATCAGCTCTCATCTCGAGACGATTTGGGGTACACGGAGCATTCCTCGAGTTGCTGTGCTGAAGTTGGTGTTCCTCTAGACTTGGGACAGTGTTCTCGGGGCATCTCTGAAGTTTCCTGAAGGAAGTCGAGCCACCGGTCGTGTTGAGTGGGGAACGGGGAATGGTTCTAGAGTCAATGCAGGGGAATGGGGCCTCATCTCGAGTTGATTTTGGGAACATGGAGCTGCATTGCATTGCTGGGGTGACCTCAGGTTCCGTCTAGACTGGTGACAGTGTTCTTGGGGACTGTCTCGAGATCCATTAAGCAAGTCGAAGCTCCTGACTTGTTTGAATGGGATCACGGAATAGCTCTGCATGCACTGCAGGGGAATGGGGCCTCATCTCGCCTCTAGGGGGAAGTCTCATGGTTTTTCTCGAGTTGCAGCGGGGACCTGGGGTATGTTCTCGACTTACGGCGGGGATGGTCCTTCAAATCATCAGTTTCTTCACTGAGGTCAGGACTCCTGTCTAGTAACGAGGGACACCTCAGGAATCTCTTCGAGGCTTGGCAGGGCAAAAGGGACGCTTCTCCAGGTGAGGCAGGGCACCCAAGGACCCTTTCCAGTAGCCACAGGGATTTTGGGATTCCTATCACTATTCAAGAGGAGTCAGGCATCGTCACCTTTTGAAGCAATGAACTCCGCGTGCCTCTCGAGGTGTCAGCGGGATGTGAGGCATTCCGTCAAAATGAGGCAGGGACCTAGGGCTTTCTCTAAGGTCTCCACAGGGGATTCAGACATCCCTTCATGTTGTGAGATGAAAGACGAGCCTGTATTCAAGCCACTGCAAGGAAATCCGGCCTCCTTTCAAGTTAGGGCTTCTCGCTGTATATTCCCCTTGAGGCAGCAAACTCGGGGTCCCTCCCACATACCTATTGCTAAGAGAAGCCTCCTCCTGAGGTGCTTCTGGGAAGTTGGCATACGTCTTGAGCCTAAGCCAGGGAATCAGCTCTCATCTCGAGACGATTTGGGGTACACGGAGCATTCCTCGAGTTGCTGTGCTGAAGTTGGTCTTCCTCTAGACTTGGGACAGTGTTCTCGGGGCATCTCTGGAGTTGCCTGAATGAAGTCGAGCCACCGGTCGTGTTGAATGAGGAACGGGGAATGGCTCTGGAGTCAATGCAGGGGAATCGGGCCTCATCTCGAGTTGATTTGGGGCACATGGAGCTGCTTTGCGTTGCTGGGGTGACCTCAGCGTCCGTCTAGACTGGTGACAGTGTTCTTGGGGACTGTCTCGATATCCAATAAGCAAGTCGAAGCTCCAGACTTGTTTGAATGGGATCACGGAATAGCTCTGCATGCACTGCAGGGGAATGGGGCCTCATCTCGCCTCTAGGGGGAAGTCTCATGGTTTTTCTCGAGTTGCGGCGGGGACCTGGGTTATGTTCTCGACTTACGGCGGGGATGGCCCTTCAAAACACGAGTTTCTACAGTGAGGTCAGGACTCCTGTCTAGTAACGAGGGACACCTCAGGAATCTCTTCGAGGCTTGGCAGGGCAAAAGGGACGCTTCTCGAGGTGAGGCAGGGCACCCAAGGACCCTTTCCAGTAGCCACAGGGATTTTGGGATTCCTATCAGTATTCAAGAGGAGTCAGGCATCGTCACCTTTTGAAGCAATGAACTCCGCGTGCCTCTCGAGGTGTCAGCGGGATGTGAGGCATTCCGTCAAAATGAGGCAGGGACCTAGGGCTTTCTCTAAGGTCTCCACAGGGGATTCAGACATCCCTTCATGTTGTGAGATGAAAGACGAGCCTGTATTCAAGCCACTGCAAGGAAATCCGGCCTCCTTTCAAGTTAGGGCTTCTCGCTGTATATTCCCCTTGAGGCAGCAAACTCGGGGTCCCTCCCACATACCTATTGCTGAGAGAAGCCTCCTCCTGAGGTGCTTCTGGGAAGTTGGCATACGTCTTGAGCCTAAGCCAGGGAATCAGCTCTCATCTCGAGACGATTTGGGGTACACGGAGCATTCCTCGAGTTGCTGTGCTGAAGTTGGTGTTCCTCTAGACTTGGGACAGTGTTCTCGGGGCATCTCTGAAGTTTCCTGAAGGAAGTCGAGCCACCGGTCGTGTTGAGTGGGGAACGGGGAATGGTTCTGGAGTCAATGCAGGGGAATCGGGCCTCATCTCGAGTTGATTTGGGGCACATGGAGCTGCTTTGCATTGCTGTGGTGACCTCAGGTTCCGTCTAGACTGGTGACAGTGTTCTTGGGGAGTGTCTCGAGATCCATTAAGCAAGACGAAGCTCCTGACTTGTTTGAATGTGATCACGGAATAGCTCTGCATGCACTGCAGGGGAATGGGGCCTCATCTCGCGTCTAGGGGGAAGTCTCATGGTTTCACTTGAGTTGCGGCGGGGACCTGGGGTATGTTCTCGACTTACGGCGGGGATGGCCCTTCAAATCATGAGTTTCTTCAGTGAGGTCAGGACTCCTGTCTAGTAACGAGGGAAACCTCAGGAATCTCTTCGAGGCTTGGCAGGGCAAAAGGGACGCTTCTCCAGGTGAGGCAGGGCACCCAAGGACCCTTTCCAGTAGCCACAGGGATTTTGGGATTCCTATCAGTATTCAAGAGGAGTCAGGCATCGTCACCTTTTGAAGCAATGAACTCCGCGTGCCTCTCGAGGTGTCAGCGGGATGTGAGGCATTCCGTCAAAATGAGGCAGGGACCTAGGGCTTTCTCTAAGGTCTCCACAGGGGATTCAGACATCCCTTCATGTTGTGAGATGAAAGACGAGCCTGTATTCAAGCCACTGCAAGGAAATCCGGCCTCCTTTCAAGTTAGGGCTTCTCGCTGTATATTCCCCTTGAGGCAGCAAACTCGGGGTCCCTCCCACATACCTATTGCTGAGAGAAGCCTCCTCCTGAGGTGCTTCTGGGAAGTTGGCATACGTCTTGAGCCTAAGCCAGGGAATCAGCTCTCATCTCGAGACGATTTGGGTTACACGGAGCATTCCTCGAGTTGCTGTGCTGAAGTTGGTGTTCCTCTAGACTTGGGACAGTGTTCTCGGGGCATCTCTGGAGTTGCCTGAAGGAAGTCGAGCCACCGGTCGTGTTGAATGGGGAACGGGGAATGGCTCTGGAGTCAATGCAGGGAAATGGGGCCTCATCTCGAGTTGATTTGGGGCACATGGAGCTGCTTTGCGTTGCTGGGGTGACCTCAGGGTCCGTCTAGACTGGTGACAGTGATCTTGGGGACTGTCTCGAGATCCATTAAGCAAGTCGAAGCTCCTGACTTGTTTGAATGGGATCACGGAATAGCTCTGCATGCACTGCAGGGGAATGGGGCCTCATCTCGCCTCTAGGGGGAAGTCTCATGGTTTTTCTGCAGTTGCGGCGGGGACCTGGGGTATGTTCTCGACTTACGGCGGGGATGGCCCTTTAAAACACGAGTTTCTTCAGTGACATCCGGACTCCTGGCTAGTAACGAGGGACACCTCAGGAATCTCTTCGAGGCTTGGCAGGGCAAAAGGGACGCTTCTCGAGGTGAGGCAGGGCACCCAAGGACCCTTTCCCGTAAGCACAGGGATTTTGGGATTCCTATCAGTATTCAAGAGGAGTTAGGCATCGTCACCTTTTGAAGCAATGAACTCCGCGTGCCTCTCGAGGTGTCACCGGGATGTGAGGCATTCCGTCAAAATGAGGCAGGGACCTAGGGCTTTCTCTAAGGTCTCCACAGGGAATTCAGACATCCCTTCATGTTGTGAGATGAAAGACGAGCCTGTATTCAAGCCACTGCAAGGAAATCCGGCCTCCTTTCAAGTTAGGGCTTCTCGCTGTATATTCCCCTTGAGGCAGCAAACTCGGGGTCCCTCCCACATACCTATTGCTGAGAGAAGCCTCCTCCTGAGGTGCTTCTGGGAAGTTGGCATACGTCTTGAGCCTAAGCCAGGGAATCAGCTCTCATCTCGAGACGATTTGTGGTACATGGAGCATTCCTCGAGTTGCTGTGCTGAAGTTGGTGTTCCTCTAGACTTGGGACAGTGTTCTCGGGGCATCTCTGGAGTTGCCTGAAGGAAGTCGAGCCACCGGTCTTGTTGAATGGGGAATGGGGAATGGCTCTGGAGTCAATGCAGGGGAATCGGGCCTCATCTCGAGTTGATTTGGGGCACATGGAGCTGCTTTGCGTTGCTGGGGTGACCTCAGGGTCCGTCTAGACTGGTGACAGTGATCTTGGGGACTGTCTCGAGATCCATTAAGCAAGTCGAAGCTCCTGACTTGTTTGAATGGGATCACGGAATAGCTCTGCATGCACTGCAGGGGAATGGGGCCTCATCTCGCCTCTAGGGGGAAGTCTCATGGTTTTTGTCGAGTTGCGGCGGGGACCTGGGGTATGTTCTCGACTTACGGCGGGGACGGCCCTTCAAAACACGAGTTTCTTCAGTGACGTCAGGACTCGTGTCTAGTAACGAGGGACACCTCAGGAATCTCTTCGAGGATTGGCAGGGCATAAGGGACGCCTCTCGAAGTGAGGCAGGGCACCCAAGGACCCTTTCCAGTAGCCACAGGGATTTTGGGATTCCTATCAGTATTCAAGAGGAGTCAGGCATCGTCACCTTTTGAAGCAATGAACTCCGCGTGCCTCTCGAGGTGTCAGCGGGATGTTAGGCATTCCGTCAAAATGAGGCAGGGACCTAGGGCTTTCTCTAAGGTCTCCACAGGGGATTCAGACATCCCTTCATGTTGTGAGATGAAAGACGAGCCTGTATTCAAGCCACTGCAAGGAAATCCGGCCTCCTTTCAAGTTAGGGCTTCTCGCTGTATATTCCCCTTGAGGCAGCAAACTCGGGGTCCCTCCCACATACCTATTGCTGAGAGAAGCCTCCTCCTGAGGTGCTTCTGGGAAGTTGGCATACGTCTTGAGCCTAAGCCAGGGAATCAGCTCTCATCTCGAGACGATTTGGGGTACACGGAGCATTCCTCGAGTTGCTGTGCTGAAGTTGGTGTTCCTCTAGACTTGGGACAGTGTTCTCGGGGCATCTCTGAAGTTTCCTGAAGGAAGTCGAGCCACCGGTCGTGTTGAGTGGGGAACGGGGAATGGTTCTGGAGTCAATGCAGGGGAATCGGGCCTCATCTCGAGTTGATTTGGGGCACATGGAGCTGCTTTGCATTGCTGTGGTGACCTCAGGTTCCGTCTAGACTGGTGACAGTGTTCTTGGGGACTGTCTCGAGATCCATTAAGCAAGACGAAGCTCCTGACTTGTTTGAATGGGATCACGGAATAGCTCTGCATGCACTGCAGGGGAATGGGGCCTCATCTCACGTCTAGGGGGAAGTCTCATGGTTTCACTTGAGTTGCGGCGGGGACCTGGGGTATGTTCTCGACTTACGGCGGGGATGGCCCTTCAAATCATGAGTTTCTTCAGTGAGGTCAGGACTCCTGTCTAGTAACGAGGGAAACCTCAGGAATCTCTTCGAGGCTTGGCAGGGCAAAAGGGACGCTTCTCCAGGTGAGGCAGGGCACCCAAGGACCCTTTCCAGTAGCCACAGGGATTTTGGGATTCCTATCAGTATTCAAGAGGAGTCAGGCATCGTCACCTTTTGAAGCAATGAACTCCGCGTGCCTCTCGAGGTGTCAGCGGGATGTGAGGCATTCCGTCAAAATGAGGCAGGGACCTAGGGCTTTCTCTAAGGTCTCCACAGGGGATTCAGACATCCCTTCATGTTGTGAGATGAAAGACGAGCCTGTATTCAAGCCACTGCAAGGAATTCCGGCCTCCTTTCAAGTTAGGGCTTCTCGCTGTATATTCCCCTTGAGGCAGCAAACTCGGGGTCCCTCCCACATACCTATTGCTGAGAGAAGCCTCCTCCTGAGGTGCTTCTGGGAAGTTGGCATACGTCTTGAGCCTAAGCCAGGGAATCAGCTCTCATCTCGAGACGATTTGGGTTACACGGAGCATTCCTCGAGTTGCTGTGCTGAAGTTGGTGTTCCTCTAGACTTGGGACAGTGTTCTCGGGGCATCTCTGGAGTTGCCTGAAGGAAGTCGAGCCACCGGTCGTTTTGAATGGGGAACGGGGAATGGCTCTGGAGTCAATGCAGGGGAATGGGGCCTCATCTCGAGTTGATTTGGGGCACATGGAGCTGCTTTGCGTTGCTGGGGTGACCTCAGGGTCCGTCTAGACTGGTGACAGTGATCTTGGGGACTGTCTCGAGATCCATTAAGCAAGTCGAAGCTCCTGACTTGTTTGAATCGGATCACGGAATAGCTCTGCATGCACTGCAGGGGAATGGGGCCTCATCTCGCCTCTAGGGGGAAGTCTCATGGTTTTTCTGCAGTTGCGGCGGGGACCTGGGGTATGTTCTCGACTTACGGCGGGGATGGCCCTTTAAAACACGAGTTTCTTCAGTGACATCCGGACTCCTGGCTAGTAACGAGGGACACCTCAGGAATCTCTTCGAGGCTTGGCAGGGCAAAAGGGACGCTTCTCGAGGTGAGGCAGGGCACCCAAGGACCCTTTCCCGTAAGCACAGGGATTTTGGGATTCCTATCAGTATTCAAGAGGAGTCAGGCCTCGTCACCTTTTGAAGCAATGAACTCCGCGTGCCTCTCGAGGTGTCACCGGGATGTGAGGCATTCCGTCAAAATGAGGCAGGGACCTAGGGCTTTCTCTAAGGTCTCCACAGGGAATTCAGACATCCCTTCATGTTGTGAGATGAAAGACGAGCCTGTATTCAAGCCACTGCAAGGAAATCCGGCCTCCTTTCAAGTTAGGGCTTCTCGCTGTATATTCCCCTTGAGGCAGCAAACTCGGGGTCCCTCCCACATACCTATTGCTGAGAGAAGCCTCCTCCTGAGGTGCTTCTGGGAAGTTGGCATACGTCTTGAGCCTAAGCCAGGGAATCAGCTCTCATCTCGAGACGATTTGTGGTACATGGAGCATTCCTCGAGTTGCTGTGCTGAAGTTGGTGTTCCTCTAGACTTGGGACAGTGTTCTCGGGGCATCTCTGGAGTTGCCTGAAGGAAGTCGAGCCACCGGTCTTGTTGAATGGGGAATGGGGAATGGCTCTGGAGTCAATGCAGGGGAATCGGGCCTCATCTCGAGTTGATTTGGGGCACATGGAGCTGCTTTGCGTTGCTGGGGTGACCTCAGGGTCCGTCTAGACTGGTGACAGTGATCTTGGGGACTGTCTCGAGATCCATTAAGCAAGTCGAAGCTCCTGACTTGTTTGAATGGGATCACGGAATAGCTCTGCATGCACTGCAGGGGAATGGGGCCTCATCTCGCCTCTAGGGGGAAGTCTCATGGTTTTTGTCGAGTTGCGGCGGGGACCTGGGGTATGTTCTCGACTTACGGCGGGGACGGCCCTTCAAAACACGAGTTTCTTCAGTGACGTCAGGACTCGTGTCTAGTAACGAGGGACACCTCAGGAATCTCTTCGAGGATTGGCAGGGCATAAGGGACGCCTCTCGAAGTGAGGCAGGGCACCCAAGGACCCTTTCCAGTAGCCACAGGGATTTTGGGATTCCTATCAGTATTCAAGAGGAGTCAGGCATCGTCACCTTTTGAAGCAATGAACTCCGCGTGCCTCTCGAGGTGTCAGCGGGATGTTAGGCATTCCGTCAAAATGAGGCAGGGACCTAGGGCTTTCTCTAAGGTCTCCACAGGGGATTCAGACATCCCTTCATGTTGTGAGATGAAAGACGAGCCTGTATTCAAGCCACTGCAAGGAAATCCGGCCTCCTTTCACGTTAGGGCTTCTCGCTGTATATTCCCCTTGAGGCAGCAAACTCGGGGTCCCTCCCACATACCTATTGCTAAGAGAAGCCTCCTCCTGAGGTGCTTCTGGGAAGTTGGCATACGTCTTGAGCCTAAGCCAGGGAATCAGCTCTCATCTCGAGACGATTTGGGGTACACGGAGCATTCCTCGAGTTGCTGTGCTGAAGTTGGTCTTCCTCTAGACTTGGGACAGTGTTCTCGGGGCATCTCTGGAGTTGCCTGAATGAAGTCGAGCCACCGGTCGTGTTGAATGAGGAACGGGGAATGGCTCTGGAGTCAATGCAGGGGAATCGGGCCTCATCTCGAGTTGATTTGGGGCACATGGAGCTGCTTTGCGTTGCTGGGGTGACCTCAGCGTCCGTCTAGACTGGTGACAGTGTTCTTGGGGACTGTCTCGATATCCAATAAGCAAGTCGAAGCTCCAGACTTGTTTGAATGGGATCACGGAATAGCTCTGCATGCACTGCAGGGGAATGGGGCCTCATCTCGCCTCTAGGGGGAAGTCTCATGGTTTTTCTCGAGTTGCGGCGGGGACATGGGGTATGTTCTCGACTTACGGCGGGGATGGTCCTTCAAATCATGAGTTTCTTCACTGAGGTCAGGACTCCTGTCTAGTAACGAGGAACACCTCAGGAATCTCTTCGAGGCTTGGCAGGGCAAAAGGGACGCTTCTCGAGGTGAGGCAGGGCACCCAAGGACCCTTTCCAGTAGCCACAGGGATTTTGGGATTCCTATCAGTATTCAAGAGGAGTCAGGCATCGTCACCTTTTGAAGCAATGAACTCCGCGTGACTCTCGAGGTGTCAGCGGGATGTGAGGCATTCCGTCAAAATGAGGCAGGGACCTAGGGCTTTCTCTAAGGTCTCCACAGGGGATTCAGACATCCCTTCATGTTGTGAGATGAAAGACGAGCCTGTATTCAAGCCACTGCAAGGAAATCCGGCCTCCTTTCAAGTTAGGGCTTCTCGCTGTATATTCCCCTTGAGGCAGCAAACTCGGGGTCCCTCCCACATACCTATTGCTGAGAGAAGCCTCCTCCTGAGGTGCTTCTGGGAAGTTGGCATACGTCTTGAGCCTAAGCCAGGGAATCAGCTCGCATCTCGAGACGATTTGGGGTACACGGAGCATTCCTCGAGTTGCTGTGCTGAAGTTGGTGTTCCTCTAGACTTGGGACAGTGTTCTCGGGGCATCTCTGGAGTTGCCTGAAGGAAGTCGAGCCACCGGTCCTGTTGAATGGGGAATGGGGAATGGCTCTGGAGTCAATGCAGGGGAATCGGGCCTCATCTCGAGTTGATTTGGGGCACATGGAGCTGCTTTAGGTGCTGGGGTGACCTCAGTGTCCGTCTAGACTGGTGACAGTGTTCTTGGGGACTGTCTCGAGATCCATTAAGCAAGTCGAAGCTCCTGACTTGTTTGAATCGGATCACGGAATAGCTCTGCATGCCCTGCAGGGGAATGGGGCCTCATCTCGCCTCTAGGGGGAAGTCTCATGGTTTTTCTCGAGTTGCGGCGGGGACCTGGGGTATGTTCTCGACTTACGGCGGGGATGGCCCTTCAAAACACGAGTTTCTTCAGTGACGTCAGGACTCCTGTCTAGTAACGAGGGACACCTCAGGAATCTCTTCGAGGCTTGGCAGGGCCAAAGGGACGCTTCCCGAGGTGAGGCAGGGCACCCAAGGACCCTTTCCAGTAGCCACAGGGATTTTGGGATTCCTATCAGTATTCAAGAGGAGTCAGGCATCGTCACCTTTTGAAGCAATGAACTCCGCGTGCCTCTCGAGGTGTCAGCGGGATGTGAGGCATTCCGTCAAAATGAGGCAGGGACCTAGGGCTTTCTCTAAGGTCTCCACAGGGGATTCAGACATCCCTTCATGTTGTGAGATGAAAGACGAGCCTGTATTCAAGCCACTGCAAGGAAATCCGGCCTCCTTTCAAGTTAGGGTTTCTCGCTGTATATTCCCCTTGAGGCAGAAAACTCGGGGTCCCTCCCACATACCTATTGCTGAGAGAAGCCTCCTCCTGAGGTGCTTCTGGGAAGTTGGCATACGTCTTGAGCCTAAGCCAGGGAATCAGCTCGCATCTCGAGACGATTTGGGGTACACGGAGCATTCCTCGAGTTGCTGTGCTGAAGTTGGTGTTCCTCTAGACTTGGGACAGTGTTCTCGGGGCATCTCTGGAGTTGCCTGAAGGAAGTCGAGCCACCGGTCGTGTTGAATGGGGAACGGGGAATGGCTCTGGAGTCAATGCAGGGGAATCGGGCCTCATCTCGAGTTGATTTGGGGCACATGGAGCTGCTTTGCGTTGCTGGGGTGACCTCAGGGTCCGTCTAGACTGGTGACAGTGTTCTTGGGGACTGTCTCGAGATCCATTAAGCAAGTCGAAGCTCCTGACTTGTTTGAATGGGATCAAGGAATAGCTCTGCATGCACTGCAGGGGAATGGGGCCTCATCTCGCCTCTAGGGGGAAGTCTCATGGTTTTTCTCGAGTTGCGGCGGGGACCTGGGGTATGTTCTCGACTTACGGCGGGGATGGCCCTTCAAAACACGAGTTTCTTCAGTGACGTCAGGACTCCTGTCTAGTAACGAGGGACACCTCAGGAATCTCTTCGAGGCTTGGCAGGGCCAAAGGGACGCTTCCCGAGGTGAGGCAGGGCACCCAAGGACCCTTTCCAGTAGCCACAGGGATTTTGGGATTCCTATCAGTATTCAAGAGGAGTCAGGCATCGTCACCTTTTGAAGCAATGAACTCCGCGTGCCTCTCGAGGTGTCAGCGGGATGTGAGGCATTCCGTCAAAATGAGGCAGGGACCTAGGGCTTTCTCTAAGGTCTCCACAGGGGATTCAGACATCCCTTCATGTTGTGAGATGAAAGACGAGCCTGTATTCAAGCCACTGCAAGGAAATCCGGCCTCCTTTCAAGTTAGGGCTTCTCGCTGTATATTCCCCTTGAGGCAGCAAACTCGGGGTCCCTCCCACATACCTATTGCTGAGAGAAGCCTCCTCCTGAGGTGCTTCTGGGAAGTTGGCATACGTCTTGAGCCTAAGCCAGGGAATCAGCTCACATCTCGAGACGATTTGGGGTACACGGAGCATTCCTCGAGTTGCTGTGCTGAAGTTGGTGTTCCTCTAGACTTGGGACAGTGTTCTCGGGGCATCTCTGGAGTTGCCTGAAGGAAGTCGAGCCACCGGTCGTGTTGAATGGGGAACGGGGAATGGCTCTGGAGTCAATGCAGGGGAATCGGGCCTCATCTCGAGTTGATTTGGGGCACATGGAGCTGCTTTGCGTTGCTGGGGTGACCTCAGGGTCCGTCTAGACTGGTGACAGTGTTCTTGGGGACTGTCTCGAGATCCATTAAGCAAGTCGAAGCTCCTGACTTGTTTGAATGGGATCACGGAATAGCTCTGCATGCACTGCAGGGGAATGGGGCCTCATCTCGCCTCTAGGGGGAAGTCTCATGGTTTTTCTCGAGTTGCGGCGGGGACCTGGGGTATGTTCTCGACTTACGGCGGGGATGGCCCTTCAAAACACGAGTCTCTTCAGTGACGTCAGGACTCCTGTCTAGTAACGAGGGACACCTCAGGAATCTCTTTGAGGCTTGGCAGGGCCAAAGGGCCGCTTCCCGAGGTGAGGCAGGGCACCCAAGGACCCTTTCCAGTAGCCACAGGGATTTTGGGATTCCTATCAGTATTCAAGAGGAGTCAGGCATCGTCACCTTTTGAAGCAATGAACTCCGCGTGCCTCTCGAGGTGTCAGCGGGATGTGAGGCATTCCGTCAAAATGAGGCAGGGACCTAGGGCTTTCTCTAAGGTCTCCACAGGGGATTCAGACATCCCTTCATGTTGTGAGATGAAAGACGAGCCTGTATTCAAGCCACTGCAAGGAAATCCGGCCTCCTTTCAAGTTAGGGCTTCTCGCTGTATATTCCCCTTGAGGCAGCAAACTCGGGGTCCCTCCCACATACCTATTGCTGAGAGAAGCCTCCTCCTGAGGTGCTTCTGGGAAGTTGGCATACGTCTTGAGCCTAAGCCAGGGAATCAGCTCGCATCTCGAGACGATTTGGGGTACACGGAGCATTCCTCGAGTTGCTGTGCTGAAGTTGGTGTTCCTCTAGACTTGGGACAGTGTTCTCGGGGCATCTCTGGAGTTGCCTGAAGGAAGTCGAGCCACCGGTCGTGTTGAATGGGGAACGGGGAATGGCTCTGGAGTCAATGCAGGGGAATCGGGCCTCATCTCGAGTTGATTTGGGGCACATGGAGCTGCTTTGCGTTGCTGGGGTGACCTCAGGGTCCGTCTAGACTGGTGACAGTGTTCTTGAGGACTGTCTCGAGATCCATTAAGCAAGTCGAAGCTCCTGACTTGTTTGAATGGGATCACGGAATAGCTCTGCATGCCCTGCAAGGGAATGGGGCCTCATATCGCCTCTAGGGGGAAGTCTCATGGTTTTTCTCGAGTTGCTGCGGGGACCTGGGGTATGTTCTCGACTTACGGCGGGGATGGCCCTTCAAAACACGAGTTTCTTCAGTGAGGTCAGGACTCCTGTCTAGTAACGAGGGACACCTCAGGAATCTCTTCGAGGCTTGGCAGGGCCAAAGGGCCGCTTCCCGAGGTGAGGCAGGGCACCCAAGGACCCTTTCCAGTAGCCACAGGGATTTTGGGATTCCTATCAGTATTCAAGAGGAGTCAGGCATCGTCACCTTTTGAAGCAATGAACTCCGCGTGCCTCTCGAGGTGTCAGCGGGATGTGAGGCATTCCGTCAAAATGAGGCAGGGACCTAGGGCTTTCTCTAAGGTCTCCACAGGGGATTCAGACATCCCTTCATGTTGTGAGATGAAAGACGAGCCTGTATTCAAGCCACTGCAAGGAAATCCGGCCTCCTTTCAAGTTAGGGCTTCTCGCTGTATATTCCCCTTGAGGCAGCAAACTCGGGGTCCCTCCCACATACCTATTGCTGAGAGAAGCCTCCTCCTGAGGTGCTTCTGGGAATTTGGCATACGTCTTGAGCCTAAGCCAGGGAATCAGCTCGCATCTCGAGACGATTTGGGGTACACGGAGCATTCCTCGAGTTGCTGTGCTGAAGTTGGTGTTCCTCTAGACTTGGGACAGTGTTCTCGGGGCATCTCTGGAGTTGCCTGAAGGAAGTCGAGCCACCGGTCGTGTTGAATGGGGAACGGGGAATGGCTCTGGAGTCAATGCAGGGGAATCGGGCCTCATCTCGAGTTGATTTGGGGCACATGGAGCTGCTTTGCGTTGCTGGGGTGACCTCAGGGTCCGTCTAGACTGGTGACAGTGTTCTTGGGGACTGTCTCGAGATCCATTAAGCAAGTCGAAGCTCCTGACTTGTTTGAATGGGATCACGGAATAGCTCTGCATGCACTGCAGGGGAATGGGGCCTCATCTCGCCTCTAGGGGGAAGTCTCATGGTTTTTCTCGAGTTGCGGCGGGGACCTGGGGTATGTTCTCGACTTACGGCCTGGATGGCCCTTTAAAACACGAGTTTCTTCAGTGACATCCGGACTCCTGGCTAGTAACGAGGGACACCTCAGGAATCTCTTCGAGGCTTGGCAGGGCCAAAGGGACGCTTCTCGAGGTGAGGCAGGGCACCCAAGGACCCTTTCCACTAGCCACAGGGATTTTGGGATTCCTATCAGTATTCAAGAGGAGTCAGGCATCGTCACCTTTTGAAGCAATGAACTCCGCGTGCCTCTCGAGGTGTCAGCGCGATGTGAGGCATTCCGTCAAAATGAGGCAGGGACCTAGGGCTTTCTCTAAGGTCTCCACAGGGGATTCAGACATCCCTTCATGTTGTGAGATGAAAGACGAGCCTGTATTCAAGCCACTGCAAGGAAATCCGGCCTCCTTTCAAGTTAGGGCTTCTCGCTGTATATTCCCCTTGAGGCAGCAAACTCGGGGTCCCTCCCACATATCTATTGCTGAGAGAAGCCTCCTCCTGAGGTGCTTCTGGGAAGTTGGCATACGTCTTGAGCCTAAGCCAGGGAATCAGCTCTCATCTCGAGACGATTTGGGGTACACGGAGCATTCCTCGAGTTGCTGTGCTGAAGTTGGTGTTCCTCTAGACTTGGGACAGTGTTCTCGGGGCATCTCTGAAGTTTCCTGAAGGAAGTCGAGCCACCGGTCGTGTTGAGTGGGGAACGGGGAATGGTTCTAGAGTCAATGCAGGGGAATGGGGCCTCATCTCGAGTTGATTTTGGGAACATGGAGCTGCATTGCATTGCTGGGGTGACCTCAGGTTCCGTCTAGACTGGTGACAGTGTTCTTGGGGACTGTCTCGAGGTCCATTAAGCAAGACGAAGCTCCTGACTTGTTTGAATGGGATCACGGAATAGCTCTGCATGCACTGCAGGGGAATGGGGCCTCATCTCGCGTCTAGGGGGAAGTCTCATGGTTTCTCTTGAGTTGCGGCGGGGACCTGGGGTATGTTCTCGACATACGGCGGGGATGGCCCTTCAAATCATGAGTTTCTTCAGTGAGGTCAGGACTCCTGTCTAGTAACGAGGGAAACCTCAGGAATCTCTTCGAGGCTTGGCAGGGCAAAAGGGACGCTTCTCGAGGTGAGGCAGGGCACCCAAGGACCCTTTCCAGTAGTCACAGGGATTTTGGGATTCCTATCAGTATTCAAGAGGAGTCAGGCATCGTCACCTTTTGAAGCAATGAACTCCGCGTGCCTCTCGAGGTGTCAGCGGGATGTGAGGCATTCCGTCAAAATGAGGCAGGGACCTAGGGCTTTCTCTAAGGTCTCCACAGGGGATTCAGACATCCCTTCATGTTGTGAGATGAAAGACGAGCCTGTATTCAAGCCACTGCAAGGAAATCCGGCCTCCTTTCAAGTTAGGGCTTCTCGCTGTATATTCCCCTTGAGGCAGCAAACTCGGGGTCCCTCCCACATACCTATTGCTGAGAGAAGCCTCCTCCTGAGGTGCTTCTGGGAAGTTGGCATACGTCTTGAGCCTAAGCCAGGGAATCAGCTCTCATCTCGAGACGATTTGGGTTACACGGAGCATTCCTCGAGTTGCTGTGCTGAAGTTGGTGTTCCTCTAGACTTGGGACAGTGTTCTCGGGGCATCTCTGGAGTTGCCTGAAGGAAGTCGAGCCACCGGTCGTGTTGAATGGGGAACGGGGAATGGCTCTGGAGTCAATGCAGTGGAATGGGGCCTCATCTCGAGTTGATTTGGGGCACATGGAGCTGCTTTGCGTTGCTGGGGTGACCTCAGGGTCCGTCTAGACTGGTGACAGTGATCTTGGGGACTGTCTCGAGACCCATTAAGCAAGTCGAAGCTCCTGACTTGTTTGAATCGGATCACGGAATAGCTCTGCATGCACTGCAGGGGAATGGGGCCTCATCTCGCCTCTAGGGGGAAGTCTCATGGTTTTTCTGCAGTTGCGGCGGGGACCTGGGGTATGTTCTCGACTTACGGCGGGGATGGCCCTTTAAAACACGAGTTTCTTCAGTGACATCCGGACTCCTGGCTAGTAACGAGGGACACCTCAGGAATCTCTTCGAGGCTTGGCAGGGCAAAAGGGACGCTTCTCGAGGTGAGGCAGGGCACCCAAGGACCCTTTCCCGTAAGCACAGGGATTTTGGGATTCCTATCAGTATTCAAGAGGAGTCAGGCATCGTCACCTTTTGAAGCAATGAACTCCGCGTGCCTCTCGAGGTGTCACCGGGATGTGAGGCATTCCGTCAAAATGAGGCAGGGACCTAGGGCTTTCTCTAAGGTCTCCACAGGGAATTCAGACATCCCTTCATGTTGTGAGATGAAAGACGAGCCTGTATTCAAGCCACTGCAAGGAAATCCGGCCTCCTTTCAAGTTAGGGCTTCTCGCTGTATATTCCCCTTGAGGCAGCAAACTCGGGGTCCCTCCCACATACCTATTGCTGAGAGAAGCCTCCTCCTGAGGTGCTTCTGGGAAGTTGGCATACGTCTTGAGCCTAAGCCAGGGAATCAGCTCTCATCTCGAGACTTTTTGTGGTACATGGAGCATTCCTCGAGTTGCTGTGCTGAAGTTGGTGTTCCTCTAGACTTGGGACAGTGTTCTCGGGGCATCTCTGGAGTTGCCTGAAGGAAGTCGAGCCACCGGTCTTGTTGAATGGGGAATGGGGAATGGCTCTGGAGTCAATGCAGGGGAATCGGGCCTCATCTCGAGTTGATTTGGGGCACATGGAGCTGCTTTGCGTTGCTGGGGTGACCTCAGGGTCCATCTAGACTGGTGACAGTGATCTTGGGGACTGTCTCGAGATCCATTAAGCAAGTCGAAGCTCCTGACTTGTTTGAATGGGATCACGGAATAGCTCTGCATGCACTGCAGGGGAATGGGGCCTCATCTCGCCTCTAGGGGGAAGTCTCATGGTTTTTGTCGAGTTGCGGCGGGGACCTGGGGTATGTTCTCGACTTACGGCGGGGACGGCCCTTCAAAACACGAGTTTCTTCAGTGACGTCAGGACTCGTGTCTAGTAACGACGGACACCTCAGGAATCTCTTCGAGGATTGGCAGGGCATAAGGGACGCCTCTCGAAGTGAGGCAGGGCACCCAAGGACCCTTTCCAGTAGCCACAGGGATTTTGGGATTCCTATCAGTATTCAAGAGGAGTCAGGCATCGTCACCTTTTGAAGCAATGAACTCCGCGTGCCTCTCGAGGTGTCAGCGGGATGTTAGGCATTCCGTCAAAATGAGGCAGGGACCTAGGGCTTTCTCTAAGGTCTCCACAGGGGATTCAGACATCCCTTCATGTTGTGAGATGAAAGACAAGCCTGTATTCAAGCCACTGCAAGGAAATCCGGCCTCCTTTCAAGTTAGGGCTTCTCGCTGTATATTCCCCTTGAGGCAGCAAACTCGGGGTCCCTCCCACATACCTATTGCTAAGAGAAGCCTCCTCCTGAGGTGCTTCTGGGAAGTTGGCATACGTCTTGAGCCTAAGCCAGGGAATCAGCTCTCATCTCGAGACGATTTGGGGTACACGGAGCATTCCTCGAGTTGCTGTGCTGAAGTTGGTCTTCCTCTAGACTTGGGACAGTGTTCTCGGGGCATCTCTGGAGTTGCCTGAATGAAGTCGAGCCACCGGTCGTGTTGAATGAGGAACGGGGAATGGCTCTGGAGTCAATGCAGGGGAATCGGGCCTCATCTCGAGTTGATTTGGGGCACATGGAGCTGCTTTGCGTTGCTGGGGTGACCTCAGGGTCCGTCTAGACTGGTGACAGTGTTCTTGGGGACTGTCTCGAGATCCATTAAGCAAGTCGAAGCTCCTGACTTGTTTGAATGGGATCACGGAATAGCTCTGCATGCACTGCAGGGGAATGGGGCCTCATCTCGCCTCTAGGGGGAAGTCTCATGGTTTTTCTCGAGTTGCGGCGGGGACCTGGGGTATGTTCTCGACTTACAGCGGGGATGGCCCTTCAAAACACGAGTTTCTTCAGTGACGTCAGGACTCCTGTCTAGTAACGAGGGACACCTCAGGAATCTCTTCGAGGCTTGGCAGGGCAAAAGGGACGCTTCTCGAGGTGAGGCAGGGCACCCAAGGACCCTTTCCAGTAGCCACAGGGATTTTGGGATTCCTATCAGTATTCAAGAGGAGTCAGGCATCGTCACCTTTTGAAGCAATGAACTCCGCATGCCTCTCGAGGTGTCAGCGGGATGTGAGGCATTCCGTCAAAATGAGGCAGGGACCTAGGGCTTTCTCTAAGGTCTCCACAGGGGATTCAGACATCCCTTCATGTTGTGAGATGAAAGACGAGCCTGTATTCAAGCCACTGCAAGGAAATCCGGCCTCCTTTCAAGTTAGGGCTTCTCGCTGTATATTCCCCTTGAGGCAGCAAACTCGGGGTCCCTCCCACATACCTATTGCTGAGAGAAGCCTCCTCCGGAGGTGCTTCTGGGAAGTTGGCATACGTCTTGAGCCTAAGCCAGGGAATCAGGTCGCATCTCGAGACGATTTGGGGTACACGGAGCATTCCTCGAGTTGCTGTGCTGAAGTTGGTGTTCCTCTAGACTTGGGACAGTGTTCTCGGGGCATCTCTGGAGTTGCCTGAAGGAAGTCGAGCCACCGGTCGTGTTGAATGGGGAACGGGGAATGGCTCTGGAGTCAATGCAGGGGAATCGGGCCTCATCTCGAGTTGATTTGGGGCACATGGAGGTGCTTTGCGTGGCTGGGGTGACCTCAGGGTCCGTCTAGACTGGTGACAGTGTTCTTGGGGACTGTCTCGAGATCCATTAAGCAAGTCGAAGCTCCTGACTTGTTTGAATGGGATCACGGAATAGCTCTGCATGCACTGCAGGGGAATGGGGCCTCATCTCGCCTCTAGGGGGAAGTCTCATGGTTTTTCTCGAGTTGCGGCGGGGACCTGGGGTATGTTCTCGACTTACGGCGGGGATGGCCCTTCAAAACACGAGTTTCTTCAGTGACGTCAGGACTCCTGTCTAGTAACGAGGGACACCTCAGGAATCTCTTCGAGGCTTGGCAGGGCAAAAGGGACGCTTCTCGAGGTGAGGCAGGGCACCCAAGGACCCTTTCCAGTAGCCACAGGGATTTTGGGATTCCTATCAGTATTCAAGAGGAGTCAGGCATCGTCACCTTTTGAAGCAATGAACTCCGCGTGCCTCTCGAGGTGTCAGCGGGATGTGAGGCATTCCGTCAAAATGAGGCAGGGACCTAGGGCTTTCTCTAAGGTCTCCACAGGGGATTCAGACATCCCTTCATGTTGTGAGATGAAAGACGAGCCTGTATTCAAGCCACTGCAAGGAAATCCGGCCTCCTTTCAAGTTAGGGCTTCTCGCTGTATATTCCCCTTGAGGCAGCAAACTCGGGGTCCCTCCCACATACCTATTGCTGAGAGAAGCCTCCTCCGGAGGTGCTTCTGGGAAGTTGGCATACGTCTTGAGCCTAAGCCAGGGAATCAGCTCGCATCTCGAGACGATTTGGGGTACACGGAGCATTCCTCGAGTTGCTGTGCTGAAGTTGGTGTTCCTCTAGACTTGGGACAGTGTTCTCGGGGCATCTCTGGAGTTGCCTGAAGGAAGTCGAGCCACCGGTCGTGTTGAATGGGGAACGGGGAATGGCTCTGGAGTCAATGCAGGGGAATCGGGCCTCATCTCGAGTTGATTTGGGGCACATGGAGCTGCTTTGCGTGGCTGGGGTGACCTCAGGGTCCGTCTAGACTGGTGACAGTGTTCTTGGGGACTGTCTCGAGATCCATTAAGCAAGTCGAAGCTCCTGACTTGTTTGAATGGGATCACGGAATAGCTCTGCATGCACTGCAGGGGAATGGGGCCTCATCTCGCCTCTAGGGGGAAGTCTCATGGTTTTTCTCGAGTTGCGGCGGGGACCTGGGGTATGTTCTCCACTTACGGCGGGGATGGCCCTTCAAAACACGAGTTTCTTCAGTGACGTCAGGACTCCTGTCTAGTAACGAGGGACACCTCAGGAATCTCTTCGAGGCTTGGCAGGGCCAAAGGGACGCTTCCCGAGGTGAGGCAGGGCACCCAAGGACCCTTTCCAGTAGCCACAGGGATTTTGGATTCCTATCAGTATTCAAGAGGAGTCAGGCATCGTCACCTTTTGAAGCAATGAACTCCGCGTGCCTCTCGAGGTGTCAGCGGGATGTGAGGCATTCCGTCAAAATGAGGCAGGGACCTAGGGCTTTCTCTAAGGTCTCCACAGGGGATTCAGACATCCCTTCATGTTGTGAGATGAAAGACGAGCCTGTATTCAAGCCACTGCAAGGAAATCCGGCCTCCTTTCAAGTTAGGGCTTCTCGCTGTATATTCCCCTTGAGGCAGCAAACTCGGGGTCCCTCCCACATACCTATTGCTGAGAGAAGCCTCCTCCAGAGGTGCTTCTGGGAAGTTGGCATACGTCTTGAGCCTAAGCCAGGGAATCAGCTCGCATCTCGAGACGATTTGGGGTACACGGAGCATTCCTCGAGTTGCTGTGCTGAAGTTGGTGTTCCTCTAGACTTGGGACAGTGTTCTCGGGGCATCTCTGGAGTTGCCTGAAGGAAGTCGAGCCACCGGTCGTGTTGAATGGGGAACGGGGAATGGCTCTGGAGTCAATGCAGGGGAATCGGGCCTCATCTCGAGTTGATTTGGGGCACATGGAGCTGCTTTGCGTGGCTGGGGTGACCTCAGGGTCCATCTAGACTGGTGACAGTGTTCTTGGGGACTGTCTCGAGATCCATTAAGCAAGTCGAAGCTCCTGACTTGTTTGAATGGGATCACGGAATAGCTCTGCATGCACTGCAGGGGAATGGGGCCTCATCTCACCTCTAGGGAGAAGTCTCATGGTTTTTCTCGAGTTGCGGCGGGGACCTGGGGTATGTTCTCGACTTACGGCGGGGACGGCCCTTCAAAACACGAGTTTCTTCAGTGACGTCAGGACTCCTGTCTAGTAACGAGGGACACCTCAGGAATCTCTTCGAGGCTTGGCAGGGCAAAAGGGACGCTTCTCGAGGTGAGGCAGGGCACCCAAGGACCCTTTCCAGTAGCCACAGGGATTTTGGGATTCCTATCAGTATTCAAGAGGAGTCAGGCATCGTCACCTTTTGAAGCAATGAACTCCGCGTGCCTCTCTAGGTGTCAGCGGGATGTGAGGCATTCCGTCAAAATGAGGCAGGGACCTAGGGCTTTCTCTAAGGTCTCCACAGGGGATTCAGACATCCCTTCATGTTGTGAGATGAAAGACGAGCCTGTATTCAAGCCACTGCAAGGAAATCCGGCCTCCTTTCAAGTTAGAGCTTCTCGCTGTATATTCCCCTTGAGGCAGCAAACTCGGGGTCCCTCCCACATACCTATTGCTGAGAGAAGCCTCCTCCTGAGGTGCTTCTGGGAAGTTGGCATACGTCTTGAGCCTAAGCCAGGGAATCAGCTCGCATCTCGAGACGATTTGGGGTACACGGAGCATTCCTCGAGTTGCTGTGCTGAAGTTGGTGTTCCTCTAGACTTGGGACAGTGTTCTCGGGGCATCTCTGGAGTTGCCTGAAGGAAGTCGAGCCACCGGTCTTGTTGAATGGGGAACGGGGAATGGCTCTGGAGTCAATGCAGGGGAATCGGGCCTCATCTCGAGTTGATTTGGGGCACATGGAGCTGCTTTGCGTGGCTGGGGTGACCTCAGGGTCCGTCTAGACTGGTGACAGTGTTCTTGGGGACTGTCTCGAGATCCATTAAGCAAGTCGAAGCTCCTGACTTGTTTGAATGGGATCACGGAATAGCTCTGCATGCACTGCAGGGGAATGGGGCCTCATCTCGCCTCTAGGGGGAAGTCTCATGGTTTTTCTCGAGTTGCGGCGGGGACCTGGGGTATGTTCTCGACTTACGGCGGGGATGGCCCTTCAAAACACGAGTTTCTTCAGTGACGTCAGGACTCCTGTCTAGTAACGAGGGACACCTCAGGAATCTCTTCGAGGCTTGGCAGGGCAAAAGGGAGGCTTCTCGAGGTGAGGCAGGGCACCCAAGGACCCTTTCCAGTAGCCACAGGGATTTTGGGATTCCTATCAGTATTCAAGAGGAGTCAGGCATCGTCACCTTTTGAAGCAATGAACTCCGCGTGCCTCTCGAGGTGTCAGCGGGATGTGAGGCATTCCGTCAAAATGAGGCAGGGACCTAGGGCTTTCTCTAAGGTCTCCACAGGGGATTCAGACATCCCTTCATGTTGTGAGATGAAAGACGAGCCTGTATTCAAGCCACTGCAAGGAAATCCGGCCTCCTATCAACTTAGGGCTTCTCGCTGTATATTCCCCTTGAGGCAGCAAACTCGGGGTCCCTCCCACATACCTACTGCTGAGAGAAGCCTCCTCCTGAGGTGCTTCTGGGAAGTTGGCATACGTCTTGAGCCTAAGCCAGGGAATCAGCTCGCATCTCGAGACGATTTGGGGTACACGGAGCATTCCTCGAGTTGCTGTGCTGAAGTTGGTGTTCCTCTAGACTTGGGACAGTGTTCTCGGGGCATCTCTGGAGTTGCCTGAAGGAAGTCGAGCCACCGGTCGTGTTGAATGGGGAACGGGGAATGGCTCTGGAGTCAATGCAGGGGAATCGGGCCTCATCTCGAGTTGATTTGGGGCACTTGGAGCTGCTTTGCGTGGCTGGGGTGACCTCAGGGTCCGTCTAGACTGGTGACAGTGTTCTTGGGGACTGTCTCGAGATCCATTAAGCAAGTCGAAGCTCCTGACTTGTTTGAATGGGATCACGGAATAGCTCTGCATGCACTGCAGGGGAATGGGGCCTCATCTCGCCTCTAGGGGGAAGTCTCATGGTTTTTCTCGAGTTGCGGCGGGGACCTGGGGTATGTTCTCGACTTACGGCGGGGATGGCCCTTCAAAACACGAGTTTCTTCAGTGACGTCAGGACTCCTGTCTAGTAACGAGGGACACCTCAGGAATCTCTTCGAGGCTTGGCAGGGCAAAAGGGACGCTTCTCGAGGTGAGGCAGGGCACCCAAGGACCCTTTCCAGTAGCCACAGGGATTTTGGGATTCCTATCAGTATTCAAGAGGAGTCAGGCATCGTCACCTTTTGAAGCAATGAACTCCGCGTGCCTCTCGAGGTGTCAGCGGGATGTGAGGCATTCCGTCAAAATGAGGCAGGGACCTAGGGCTTTCTCTAAGGTCTCCACAGGGGATTCAGACATCCCTTCATGTTGTGAGATGAAAGACGAGCCTGTATTCAAGCCACTGCAAGGAAATCCGGCCTCCTTTCAAGTTAGGGCTTCTCGCTGTATATTCCCCTTGAGGCAGCAAACTCGGGGTCCCTCCCACATACCTATTGCTGAGAGAAGCCTCCTCCTGAGGTGCTTCTGGGAAGTTGGCATACGTCTTGAGCCTAAGCCAGGGAATCAGCTCGCATCTCGAGACGATTTGGGGTACACGGAGCATTCCTCGAGTTGCTGTGCTGAAGTTGGTGTTCCTCTAGACTTGGGACAGTGTTCTCGGGGCATCTCTGGAGTTGCCTGAAGGAAGTCGAGCCACCGGTCGTGTTGAATGGGGAACGGGGAATGGCTCTGGAGTCAATGCAGGGGAATCGGGCCTCATCTCGAGTTGATTTGGGGCACATGGAGCTGCTTTGCGTGGCTGGGGTGACCTCAGGGTCCGTCTAGACTGGTGACAGTGTTCTTGGGGACTGTCTCGAGATGCATTAAGCAAGTCGAAGCTCCTGACTTGTTTGAATGGGATCACGGAATAGCTCTGCATGCACTGCAGGGGAATGGGGCCTCATCTCGCCTCTAGGGGGAAGTCTCATGGTTTTTCTCGAGTTGCGGCGGGGACCTGGGGTATGTTCTCGACTTACGGCAGGGATGGCCCTTCAAAACACGAGTTTCTTCAGTGACGTCAGGACTCCTGTCTAGTAACGAGGGACACCTCAGGAATCTCTTCGAGGCTTGGCAGGGCAAAAGGGACGCTTCTCGAGGTGAGGCAGGGCACCCAAGGACCCTTTCCAGTAGCCACAGGGATTTTGGGATTCCTATCAGTATTCAAGAGGAGTCAGGCATCGTCACCTTTTGAAGCAATGAACTCCGCGTGCCTCTCGAGGTGTCAGCGGGATGTGAGGCATTCCGTCAAAATGAGGCAGGGACCTAGGGCTTTCTCTAAGGTCTCCACAGGGGATTCAGACATCCCTTCATGTTGTGAGATGAAAGAGGAGCCTGTATTCAAGCCACTGCAAGGAAATCCGGCCTCCTTTCAAGTTAGGGCTTCTCGCTGTATATTCCCCTTGAGGCAGCAAACTCGGGGTCCCTCCCACATACCTATTGCTGAGAGAAGCCTCCTCCTGAGCTGCTTCTGGGAAGTTGGCATACATCTTGAGCCTAAGCCAGGGAATCAGCTCGCATCTCGAGACGATTTGGGGTACACGGAGCATTCCTCGAGTTGCTGTGCTGAAGTTGGTGTTCCTCTAGACTTGGGACAGTGTTCTCGGGGCATCTCTGGAGTTGCCTGAAGGAAGTCGAGCCACCGGTCGTGTTGAATGGGGAACGGGGAATGGCTCTGGAGTCAATGCAGGGGAATCGGGCCTCATCTCGAGTTGATTTGGGGCACATGGAGCTGCTTTGCGTGGCTGGGGTGACCTCAGGGTCCGTCTAGACTGGTGAGAGTGTTCTTGGGGACTGTCTCGAGATCCATTAAGCAAGTCGAAGCTCCTGACTTGTTTGAATGGGATCACGGAATAGCTCTGCATGCACTGCAGGGGAATGGGGCCTCATCTCGCCTCTAGGGGGAAGTCTCATGGTTTTTCTCGAGTTGCGGCGGGGACCTGGGGTATGTTCTCCACTTACGGCGGGGATGGCCCTTCAAAACACGAGTTTCTTCAGTGACGTCAGGACTCCTGTCTAGTAACGAGGGACACCTCAGGAATCTCTTCGAGGCTTGGCAGGGCCAAAGGGACGCTTCCCGAGGTGAGGCAGGGCACCCAAGGACCCTTTCCAGTAGCCACAGGGATTTTGGATTCCTATCAGTATTCAAGAGGAGTCAGGCATCGTCACCTTTTGAAGCAATGAACTCCGCGTGCCTCTCTAGGTGTCAGCGGGATGTGAGGCATTCCGTCAAAATGAGGCAGGGACCTAGGGCTTTCTCTAAGGTCTCCACAGGGGATTCAGACATCCCTTCATGTTGTGAGATGAAAGACGAGCCTGTATTCAAGCCACTGCAAGGAAATCCGGCCTCCTTTCAAGTTAGGGCTTCTCGCTGTATATTCCCCTTGAGGCAGCAAACTCGGGGTCCCTCCCACATACCTATTGCTGAGAGAAGCCTCCTCCAGAGGTGCTTCTGGGAAGTTGGCATACGTCTTGAGCCTAAGCCAGGGAATCAGCTCGCATCTCGAGACGATTTGGGGTACACGGAGCATTCCTCGAGTTGCTGTGCTGAAGTTGGTGTTCCTCTAGACTTGGGACAGTGTTCTCGGGGCATCTCTGGAGTTGCCTGAAGGAAGTCGAGCCACCGGTCGTGTTGAATGGGGAACGGGGAATGGCTCTGGAGTCAATGCAGGGGAATCGGGCCTCATCTCGAGTTGATTTGGGGCACATGGAGCTGCTTTGCGTGGCTGGGGTGACCTCAGGGTCCATCTAGACTGGTGACAGTGTTCTTGGGGACTGTCTCGAGATCCATTAAGCAAGTCGAAGCTCCTGACTTGTTTGAATGGGATCACGGAATAGCTCTGCATGCACTGCAGGGGAATGGGGCCTCATCTCACCTCTAGGGAGAAGTCTCATGGTTTTTCTCGAGTTGCGGCGGGGACCTGGGGTATGTTCTCGACTTACGGCGGGGACGGCCCTTCAAAACACGAGTTTCTTCAGTGACGTCAGGACTCCTGTCTAGTAACGAGGGACACCTCAGGAATCTCTTCGAGGCTTGGCAGGGCAAAAGGGACGCTTCTCGAGGTGAGGCAGGGCACCCAAGGACCCTTTCCAGTAGCCACAGGGATTTTGGGATTCCTATCAGTATTCAAGAGGAGTCAGGCATCGTCACCTTTTGAAGCAATGAACTCCGCGTGCCTCTCTAGGTGTCAGCGGGATGTGAGGCATTCCGTCAAAATGAGGCAGGGACCTAGGGCTTTCTCTAAGGTCTCCACAGGGGATTCAGACATCCCTTCATGTTGTGAGATGAAAGACGAGCCTGTATTCAAGCCACTGCAAGGAAATCCGGCCTCCTTTCAAGTTAGAGCTTCTCGCTGTATATTCCCCTTGAGGCAGCAAACTCGGGGTCCCTCCCACATACCTATTGCTGAGAGAAGCCTCCTCCTGAGGTGCTTCTGGGAAGTTGGCATACGTCTTGAGCCTAAGCCAGGGAATCAGCTCGCATCTCGAGACGATTTGGGGTACACGGAGCATTCCTCGAGTTGCTGTGCTGAAGTTGGTGTTCCTCTAGACTTGGGACAGTGTTCTCGGGGCATCTCTGGAGTTGCCTGAAGGAAGTCGAGCCACCGGTCTTGTTGAATGGGGAACGGGGAATGGCTCTGGAGTCAATGCAGGGGAATCGGGCCTCATCTCGAGTTGATTTGGGGCACATGGAGCTGCTTTGCGTGGCTGGGGTGACCTCAGGGTCCGTCTAGACTGGTGACAGTGTTCTTGGGGACTGTCTCGAGATCCATTAAGCAAGTCGAAGCTCCTGACTTGTTTGAATGGGATCACGGAATAGCTCTGCATGCACTGCAGGGGAATGGGGCCTCATCTCGCCTCTAGGGGGAAGTCTCATGGTTTTTCTCGAGTTGCGGCGGGGACCTGGGGTATGTTCTCGACTTACGGCGGGGATGGCCCTTCAAAACACGAGTTTCTTCAGTGACGTCAGGACTCCTGTCTAGTAACGAGGGACACCTCAGGAATCTCTTCGAGGCTTGGCAGGGCAAAAGGGAGGCTTCTCGAGGTGAGGCAGGGCACCCAAGGACCCTTTCCAGTAGCCACAGGGATTTTGGGATTCCTATCAGTATTCAAGAGGAGTCAGGCATCGTCACCTTTTGAAGCAATGAACTCCGCGTGCCTCTCGAGGTGTCAGCGGGATGTGAGGCATTCCGTCAAAATGAGGCAGGGACCTAGGGCTTTCTCTAAGGTCTCCACAGGGGATTCAGACATCCCTTCATGTTGTGAGATGAAAGACGAGCCTGTATTCAAGCCACTGCAAGGAAATCCGGCCTCCTATCAACTTAGGGCTTCTCGCTGTATATTCCCCTTGAGGCAGCAAACTCGGGGTCCCTCCCACATACCTACTGCTGAGAGAAGCCTCCTCCTGAGGTGCTTCTGGGAAGTTGGCATACGTCTTGAGCCTAAGCCAGGGAATCAGCTCGCATCTCGAGACGATTTGGGGTACACGGAGCATTCCTCGAGTTGCTGTGCTGAAGTTGGTGTTCCTCTAGACTTGGGACAGTGTTCTCGGGGCATCTCTGGAGTTGCCTGAAGGAAGTCGAGCCACCGGTCGTGTTGAATGGGGAACGGGGAATGGCTCTGGAGTCAATGCAGGGGAATCGGGCCTCATCTCGAGTTGATTTGGGGCACTTGGAGCTGCTTTGCGTGGCTGGGGTGACCTCAGGGTCCGTCTAGACTGGTGACAGTGTTCTTGGGGACTGTCTCGAGATCCATTAAGCAAGTCGAAGCTCCTGACTTGTTTGAATGGGATCACGGAATAGCTCTGCATGCACTGCAGGGGAATGGGGCCTCATCTCGCCTCTAGGGGGAAGTCTCATGGTTTTTCTCGAGTTGCGGCGGGGACCTGGGGTATGTTCTCGACTTACGGCGGGGATGGCCCTTCAAAACACGAGTTTCTTCAGTGACGTCAGGACTCCTGTCTAGTAACGAGGGACACCTCAGGAATCTCTTCGAGGCTTGGCAGGGCAAAAGGGACGCTTCTCGAGGTGAGGCAGGGCACCCAAGGACCCTTTCCAGTAGCCACAGGGATTTTGGGATTCCTATCAGTATTCAAGAGGAGTCAGGCATCGTCACCTTTTGAAGCAATGAACTCCGCGTGCCTCTCGAGGTGTCAGCGGGATGTGAGGCATTCCGTCAAAATGAGGCAGGGACCTAGGGCTTTCTCTAAGGTCTCCACAGGGGATTCAGACATCCCTTCATGTTGTGAGATGAAAGACGAGCCTGTATTCAAGCCACTGCAAGGAAATCCGGCCTCCTTTCAAGTTAGGGCTTCTCGCTGTATATTCCCCTTGAGGCAGCAAACTCGGGGTCCCTCCCACATACCTATTGCTGAGAGAAGCCTCCTCCTGAGGTGCTTCTGGGAAGTTGGCATACGTCTTGAGCCTAAGCCAGGGAATCAGCTCGCATCTCGAGACGATTTGGGGTACACGGAGCATTCCTCGAGTTGCTGTGCTGAAGTTGGTGTTCCTCTAGACTTGGGACAGTGTTCTCGGGGCATCTCTGGAGTTGCCTGAAGGAAGTCGAGCCACCGGTCGTGTTGAATGGGGAACGGGGAATGGCTCTGGAGTCAATGCAGGGGAATCGGGCCTCATCTCGAGTTGATTTGGGGCACATGGAGCTGCTTTGCGTGGCTGGGGTGACCTCAGGGTCCGTCTAGACTGGTGACAGTGTTCTTGGGGACTGTCTCGAGATGCATTAAGCAAGTCGAAGCTCCTGACTTGTTTGAATGGGATCACGGAATAGCTCTGCATGCACTGCAGGGGAATGGGGCCTCATCTCGCCTCTAGGGGGAAGTCTCATGGTTTTTCTCGAGTTGCGGCGGGGACCTGGGGTATGTTCTCGACTTACGGCAGGGATGGCCCTTCAAAACACGAGTTTCTTCAGTGACGTCAGGACTCCTGTCTAGTAACGAGGGACACCTCAGGAATCTCTTCGAGGCTTGGCAGGGCAAAAGGGACGCTTCTCGAGGTGAGGCAGGGCACCCAAGGACCCTTTCCAGTAGCCACAGGGATTTTGGGATTCCTATCAGTATTCAAGAGGAGTCAGGCATCGTCACCTTTTGAAGCAATGAACTCCGCGTGCCTCTCTAGGTGTCAGCGGGATGTGAGGCATTCCGTCAAAATGAGGCAGGGACCTAGGGCTTTCTCTAAGGTCTCCACAGGGGATTCAGACATCCCTTCATGTTGTGAGATGAAAGACGAGCCTGTATTCAAGCCACTGCAAGGAAATCCGGCCTCCTTTCAAGTTAGGGCTTCTCGCTGTATATTCCCCTTGAGGCAGCAAACTCGGGGTCCCTCCCACATACCTATTGCTGAGAGAAGCCTCCTCCTGAGGTGCTTCTGGGAAGTTGGCATACGTCTTGAGCCTAAGCCAGGGAATCAGCTCGCATCTCGAGACGATTTGGGGTACACGGAGCATTCCTCGAGTTGCTGTGCTGAAGTTGGTGTTCCTCTAGACTTGGGACAGTGTTCTCGGGGCATCTCTGGAGTTGCCTGAAGGAAGTCGAGCCACCGGTCGTGTTGAATGGGGAACGGGGAATGGCTCTGGAGTCAATGCAGGGGAATCGGGCCTCATCTCGAGTTGATTTGGGGCACATGGAGCTGCTTTGCGTGGCTGGGGTGACCTCAGGGTCCGTCTAGACTGGTGACAGTGTTCTTGGGGACTGTCTCGAGATCCATTAAGCAAGTCGAAGCTCCTGACTTGTTTGAATGGGATCACGGAATAGCTCTGCATGCACTGCAGGGGAATGGGGCCTCATCTCGCCTCTAGGGGGAAGTCTCATGGTTTTTCTCGAGTTGCGGCGGGGACCTGGGGTATGTTCTCGACTTACGGCGGGGATGGCCCTTCAAAACACGAGTTTCTTCAGTGACGTCAGGACTCCTGTCTAGTAACGAGGGACACCTCAGGAATCTCTTCGAGGCTTGGCAGGGCAAAAGGGACGCTTCTCGAGGTGAGGCAGGGCACCCAAGGACCCTTTCCAGTAGCCACAGGGGTTTTGGGATTCCTATCAGTATTCAAGAGGAGTCAGGCATCGTCACCTTTTGAAGCAATGAACTCCGCGTGCCTCTCGAGGTGTCAGCGGGATGTGAGGCATTCCGTCAAAATGAGGCAGGGACCTAGGGCTTTCTCTAAGGTCTCCACAGGGGATTCAGACATCCCTTCATGTTGTGAGATGAAAGACGAGCCTGTATTCAAGCCACTGCAAGGAAATCCGGCCTCCTATCAAGTTAGGGCTTCTCGCTGTATATTCCCCTTGAGGCAGCAAACTCGGGGTCCCTCCCACATACCTACTGCTGAGAGAAGCCTCCTCCTGAGGTGCTTCTGGGAAGTTGGCATACGTCTTGAGCCTAAGCCAGGGAATCAGCTCGCATCTCGAGACGATTTGGGGTACACGGAGCATTCCTCGAGTTGCTGTGCTGAAGTTGGTGTTCCTCTAGACTTGGGACAGTGTTCTCGGGGCATCTCTGGAGTTGCCTGAAGGAAGTCAAGCCACGGGTCGTGTTGAATGGGGAACGGGGAATGGCTCTGGAGTCAATGCAGGGGAATCGGGCCTCATCTCGAGTTGATTTGGGGCACATGGAGCTGCTTTGCGTGGCTGGGGTGACCTCAGGGTCCGTCTAGACTGGTGACAGTGTTCTTGGGGACTGTCTCGAGATCCATTAAGCAAGTCGAAGCTCCTGACTTGTTTGAATGGGATCACGGAATAGCTCTGAATGCACTGCAGGGGAATGGGGCCTCATCTCGCCTCTAGGGGGAAGTCTCATGGTTTTTCTCGAGTTGCGGCGGGGACCTGGGGTATGTTCTCGACTTACGGCGGGGATGGCCCTTCAAAACACGAGTTTCTTCAGTGACGTCAGGACTCCTGTCTAGTAACGAGGGACACCTCAGGAATCTCTTCGAGGCTTGGCAGGGCAAAAGGGACGCTTCTCGAGGTGAGGCAGGGCACCCAAGGACCCTTTCCAGTAGCCACAGGGATTTTGGGATTCCTATCAGTATTCAAGAGGAGTCAGGCATCGTCACCTTTTGAAGCAATGAACTCCGCGTGCCTCTCGAGGTGTCAGCGGGATGTGAGGCATTCCATCAAAATGAGGCAGGGACCTAGGGCTTTCTCTAAGGTCTCCACAGGGGATTCAGACATCCCTTCATGTTGTGAGATGAAAGACGAGCCTGTATTCAAGCCACTGCAAGGAAATCCGGCCTCCTTTCAAGTTAGGGCTTCTCGCTGTATATTCCCCTTGAGGCAGCAAACTCGGGGTCCCTCCCACATACCTATTGCTGAGAGAAGCCTCCTCCGGAGGTGCTTCTGGGAAGTTGGCATACGTCTTGAGCCTAAGCCAGGGAATCAGCTCGCATCTCGAGACGATTTGGGGTACACGGAGCATTCCTCGAGTTGCTGTGCTGAAGTTGGTGTTCCTCTAGACTTGGGACAGTGTTCTCGGGTCATCTCTGGAGTTGCCTGAAGGAAGTCAAGCCACCGGTCGTGTTGAATGGGGAACGGGGAATGGCTCTGGAGTCAATGCAGGGGAATCGGGCCTCATCTCGAGTTGATTTGGGGCACATGGAGCTGCTTTGCGTGGCTGGGGTGACCTCAGGGTCCGTCTAGACTGGTGACAGTGTTCTTGGGGACTGTCTCGAGATCCATTAAGCAAGTCGAAGCTCCTGACTTGTTTGAATGGGATCACGGAATAGCTCTGCATGCACTGCAGGGGAATGGGGCCTCATCTCGCCTCTAGGGGGAAGTCTCATGGTTTTTCTCGAGTTGCGGCGGGGACCTGGGGTATGTTCTCGACTTACGGCGGGGATGGCCCTTCAAAACACGAGTTTCTTCAGTGACGTCAGGACTCCTGTCTAGTAACGAGGGACACCTCAGGAATCTCTTCGAGGCTTGGCAGGGCCAAAGGGACGCTTCCCGAGGTGAGGCAGGGCACCCAAGGACCCTTTCCAGTAGCCACAGGGATTTTGGGATTCCTATCAGTATTCAAGAGGAGTCAGGCATCGTCACCTTTTGAAGCAATGAACTCCGCGTGCCTCTCGAGGTGTCAGCGGGATGTGAGGCATTCCGTCAAAATGAGGCAGGGATCTAGGGCTTTCTCTAAGGTCTCCACAGGGGATTCAGACATCCCTTCATGTTGTGAGATGTAAGACGAGCCTGTATTCAAGCCACTGCAAGGAAATCCGGCCTCCTTTCAAGTTAGGGCTTCTCGCTGTATATTCCCCTTGAGGCAGTAAACTCGGGGTCCCTCCCACATACCTATTACTGAGAGAAGCCTCCTCCTGAGGTGATTCTGGGAAGTTGGCATACGTCTTGAGCCTAAGCCAGGAATCAGGTCGCATCTCGAGACGATTTCGGGTACACGGAGCATTCCTCGAGTTGCTGTGCTGAAGTTGGTGTTCCTCTAGACTTGGGACAGTGTTCTCGGGGCATCTCTGGAGTTGCCTGAAGGAAGTCGAGCCACCGGTCGTGTTGAATGGGGAACGGGGAATGGCTCTGGAGTCAATGCAGGGGAATCGGGCCTCACCTCGAGTTGATTTGGGGCACATGGAGCTGCTTTGCGTGGCTGGGGTGACCTCAGGGTCCGTCTAGACTGGTGACAGTGTTCTTGGGGACTGTCTCGAGATCCATTAAGCAAGTCGAAGCTCCTGACTTGTTTGAATGGGATCACGGAATAGCTCTGCATGCACTGCAGGGGAATGGGGCCTCATCTCGCCTCTAGGGGGAAGTCTCATGGTTTTTCTCGAGTTGCGGCGGGGACCTGGGGTATGTTCTCGACTTACGGCGGGGATGGCCCTTCAAAACACGAGTTTCTTCAGTGACGTCAGGACTCCTGTCTAGTAACGAGGGACACCTCAGGAATCTCTTCGAGGCTTGGCAGGGCCTAAGGGACGCTTCCCGAGGTGAGGCAGGGCACCCAAGGACCCTTTCCAGTAGCCACAGGGATTTTGGGATTCCTATCAGTATTCAAGAGGAGTCAGGCATCGTCACCTTTTGAAGCAATGAACTCCGCGTGACTCTCGAGGTGTCAGCGGGATGTGAGGCATTCCGTCAAAATGAGGCAGGGACCTAGGGCTTTCTCTAAGGTCTCCACAGGGGATTCAGACATCCCTTCATGTTGTGAGATGAAAGACGAGCCTGTATTCAAGCCACTGCAAGGAAATCCGGCCTCCTTTCAAGTTAGGGCTTCTCGCTGTATATTCCCCTTGAGGCAGCAAACTCGGGGTCCCTCCCTCATACCTATTGCTGAGAGAAGCCTCCTCCTGAGGTGCTTCTGGGAAGTTGGCATACGTCTTGAGCCTAAGCCAGGGAATCAGGTCGCATCTCGAGACGATTTGGGGTACACGGAGCATTCCTCGAGTTGCTGTGCTGAAGTTGGTGTTCCTCTAGACTTGGGACAGTGTTCTCGGGGCATCTCTGGAGTTGCCTGAAGGAAGTCGAGCCACCGGTCGTGTTGAATGGGGAACGGGGAATGGCTCTGGAGTCAATGCAGGGGAATCGGGCCTCATCTCGAGTTGATTTGGGGCACATGGAGCTGCTTTGCGTGGCTGGGGTGACCTCAGGGTCCGTCTAGACTGGTGACAGTGTTCTTGGGGACTGTCTCGAGATCCATTAAGCAAGTCGAAGCTCCTGACTTGTTTGAATGGGATCACGGAATAGCTCTGCATGCACTGCAGGGGAATGGGCCCTCATCTGGCCTCTAGGGGGAAGTCTCATGGTTTTTCTCGAGTTGCGGCGGGGACCTGGGGTATGTTCTCGACTTACGGCGGGGATGGCCCTTCAAAACACGAGTTTCTTCAGTGACGTCAGGACTCCTGTCTAGTAACGAGGGACACCTCAGGAATCTCTTCGAGGCTTGGCAGGGCAAAAGGGACGCTTCTCGAGGTGAGGCAGGGCACCCAAGTACACTTTCCAGTAGCCACAGGGATTTTGGGATTCCTTTCAGTATTCAAGAGGAGTCAGGCATCGTCACCTTTTGAAGCAATGAACTCCGCGTGCCTCTCGAGGTGTCAGCGGGATGTGAGGCATTCCGTCAAAATGAGGCAGGGACCTAGGGCTTTCTCTAAGGTCTCCACAGGGGATTCAGACATCCCTTCATGTTGTGAGATGAAAGACGAGCCTGTATTCAAGCCACTGCAAGGAAATCCGGCCTCCTTTCAAGTTAGGGCTTCTCGCTGTATATTCCCCTTGAGGAAGCAAACTCGGGGTCCCTCCCACATACCTATTGCTGAGAGAAGCCTCCTCCTGAGGTGCTTCTGGGAAGTTGGCATACGTCTTGAGCCTAAGCCAGGGAATCAGCTCGCATCTCGAGACGATTTGGGGTACACGGAGCATTCCTCGAGTTGCTGTGCTGAAGTTGGTGTTCCTCTAGACTTGGGACAGTGTTCTCGGGGCATCTCTGGAGTTGCCTGAAGGAAGTCGAGCCACCGGTCGTGTTGAATGGGGAACGGGGAATGGCTCTGGAGTCAATGCAGGGGAATCGGGCCTCATCTCGAGTTGATTTGGGGCACATCGAGCTGCTTTGCGTTGCTGGGGTGACCTCAGGGTCCGTCTAGACTGGTGACAGTGTTCTTGGGGACTGTCTCGAGATCCATTAAGCAAGTCGAAGCTCCTGACTTGTTTGAATGGGATCACGGAATAGCTCTGCATGCACTGCAGGGGAATGGGGCCTCATCTCGCCTCTAGGGGGAAGTCTCATGGTTTTTCTCGAGTTGCGGCGGGGACCTGGGGTATGTTCTCGACTTACGGCGGGGATGGCCCTTCAAAACACGAGTTTCTTCAGTGACGTCAGGACTCCTGTCTAGTAATGAGGGACACCTCAGGAATCTCTTCGAGGCTTGGCAGGGCCAAAGGGACGCTTCTCGAGGTGAGGCAGGGCACCCAAGGACACTTTCCAGTAGCCACAGGGATTTTGGGATTCCTTTCAGTATTCAAGAGGAGTCAGGCATCGTCACCTTTTGAAGCAATGAACTCCGCGTGCCTCTCGAGGTGTCAGCGGGATGTGAGGCATTCCGTCAAAATGAGGCAGGGACCTAGGGCTTTCTCTAAGGTCTCCACAGGGGATTCAGACATCCCTTCATGTTGTGAGATGAAAGACGAGCCTGTATTCAAGCCACTGCAAGGAAATCCGGCCTCCTTTCTAGTTAGGGCTTCTCGCTGTATATTCCCCTTGAGGAAGCAAACTCGGGGTCCCTCCCACATACCTATTGCTGAGAGAAGCCTCCTCCTGAGGTGCTTCTGGGAAGTTGGCATACGTCTTGAGCCTAAGCCAGGGAATCAGCTCGCATCTCGAGACGATTTGGGGTACACGGAGCATTCCTCGAGTTGCTGTGCTGAAGTTGGTGTTCCTCTAGACTTGGGACAGTGTTCTCGGGGCATCTCTGGAGTTGCCTGAAGGAAGTCGAGCCACCGGTCGTGTTGAATGGGGAACGGGGAATGGCTCTGGAGTCAATGCAGGGGAATCGGGCCTCATCTCGAGTTGATTTGGGGCACATCGAGCTGCTTTGCGTTGCTGGGGTGACCTCAGGGTCCGTCTAGACTGGTGACAGTGTTCTTGGGGACTGTCTCGAGATCCATTAAGCAAGTCGAAGCTCCTGACTTGTTTGAATGGGATCACGGAATAGCTCTGCATGCACTGCAGGGGAATGGGGCCTCATCTCGCCTCTAGGGGGAAGTCTCATGGTTTTTCTCGAGTTGCGGCGGGGACCTGGGGTATGTTCTCGACTTACGGCGGGGATGGCCCTTCAAAACACGAGTTTCTTCAGTGACGTCAGGACTCCTGTCTAGTAATGAGGGACACCTCAGGAATCTCTTCGAGGCTTGGCAGGGCCAAAGGGACGCTTCTCGAGGTGAGGCAGGGCACCCAAGGACCCTTTCCAGTAGCTACAGGGATTTTGGGATTCCTATCAGTATTCAAGAGGAGTCAGGCATCGTCACCTTTTGAAGCAATGAACTCCGCGTGCCTCTCGAGGTGTCAGCGGGATGTGAGGCATTCCGTCAAAATGAGGCAGGGACCTAGGGCTTTCTCTAAGGTCTCCACAGGGGATTCAGACATCCCTTCATGTTGTGAGATGAAAGACGAGCCTGTATTCAAGCCACTGCAAGGAAATCCGGCCTCCTTTCAAGTTAGGGCTTCTCGCTGTATATTCCCCTTGAGGCAGCAAACTCGGGGTCCCTCCCACATACCTATTGCTGAGGGAAGCCTCCTCCTGAGGTGCTTCTGGGAAGTTGGCATACGTCTTGAGCCTAAGCCAGGGAATCAGCTCGCATCTCGAGACGATTTGGGGTACACGGAGCATTCCTCGAGTTGCTGTGCTGAAGTTGGTGTTCCTCTAGACTTGGGACAGTGTTCTCGGGGCATCTCTGGAGTTGCCTGAAGGAAGTCGAGCCACCGGTCGTGTTGAATGGGGAACGGGGAATGGCTCTGGAGTCAATGCAGGGGAATCGGGCCTCATCTCGAGTTGATTTGGGGCACATGGAGCTGCTTTGCGTGGCTGGGGTGACCTCAGGGTCCGTCTAGACTGGTGACAGTGTTCTTGGGGACTGTCTCGAGATCCATTAAGCAAGTCGAAGCTCCTGACTTGTTTGAATGGGATCACGGAATAGCTCTGCATGCACTGCAGGGGAATGGGGCCACATCTCGCCTCTAGGGTGAAGTCTCATGGTTTTTCTCGAGTTGCGGCGGGGACCTGGGGTATGTTCTCCACTTACGGCGGGGATGGCCCTTCAAAACACGAGTTTCTTCAGTGATGTCAGGACTCCTGTCTAGTAACGAGGGACACCTCAGGAATCTCTTCAAGGCTTGGCAGGGCAAAAGGGACGCTTCTCGATGTGAGGCAGGCCACCCAAGGACCCTTTCCAGTAGCCACAGGGATTTTGGGATTCCTATCAGTATTCAAGAGGAGTCAGGCATCGTCACCTTTTGAAGCAATGAACTCCGCGTGCCTCTCGAGGTGTCAGCGGGATGTGAGGCATTCCGTCAAAATGAGGCAGGGAACTAGGGCTTTCTCTAAGGTCTCCACAGGGGATTCAGACATCCCTTCATGTTGTGAGATGAAAGACGAGCCTGTATTCAAGCCACTGCAAGGAAATCCGGCCTCCTTTCAAGTTAGGGCTTCTCGCTGTATATTCCCCTTGAGGCAGCAAACTCAGGGTCCCTCCCACATACCTATTGCTGAGAGAAGCCTCCTCCGGAGGTGCTTCTGGGAAGTTGGCATACGTCTTGAGCCTAAGCCAGGGAATCAGCTCGCATCTCGAGACGATTTGGGGTACACGGAGCATTCCTCGAGTTGCTGTGCTGAAGTTGGTGTTCCTCTAGACTTGGGACAGTGTTCTCGGGGCATCTCTGGAGTTGCCTGAAGGAAGTCGAGCCACCGGTCGTGTTGAATGGGGAACGGGGAATGGCTCTGGAGTCAATGCAGGGGAATCGGGCCTCATCTCGAGTTGATTTGGGGCACATGGAGCTGCTTTGCGTGGCTGGGGTGACCTCAGGGTCCGTCTAGACTGGTGACAGTGTTCTTGGGGACTGTCTCGAGATCCATTAAGCAAGTCGAAGCTCCTGACTTGTTTGAATGGGATCACGGAATAGCTCTGCATGCACTGCAGGGGAATGGGGCCTCATCTCGCCTCTAGGGGGAAGTCTCATGGTTTTTCTCGAGTTGCGGCGGGGACCTGGGGTATGTTCTCGACTTACGGCGGGGATGGCCCTTCAAAACACGAGTTTCTTCAGTGACGTCAGGACTCCTGTCTAGTAACGAGGGACACCTCAGGAATCGCTTCGAGGCTTGGCAGGGCCAAATGGACGCTTCCCGAGGTGAGGCAGGGCACCCAAGGACCCTTTCCAGTAGCCACAGGGATTTTGGGATTCCTATCAGTATTCAAGAGGAGTCAGGCATCGTCACCTTTTGAAGCAATGAACTCCGCGTGCCTCTCGAGGTGTCAGCGGGATGTGAGGCATTCCGTCAAAATGAGGCAGGGACCTAGGGCTTTCTCTAAGGTCTCCACAGGGGATTCAGACATCCCTTCATGTTGTGAGATGTAAGACGAGCCTGTATTCAAGCCACTGCAAGGAAATCCGGCCTCCTTTCAAGTTAGGGCTTCTCGCTGTATATTCCCCTTGAGGCAGCAAACTCGGGGTCCCTCCCACATACCTATTGCTGAGAGAAGCCTCCTCCTGAGGTGCTTCTGGGAAGTTGGCATACGTCTTGAGCCTAAGCCAGGTAATCAGCTCGCATCTCGAGACGATTTGGGGCACACGGAGCATTCCTCGAGTTGCTGTGCTGAAGTTGGTGTTCCTCTAGACTTGGGACAGTGTTCTCGGGGCATCTCTGGAGTTGCCTGAAGGAAGTCGAGCCACCGGTCGTGTTGAATGGGGAACGGGGAATGGCTCTGGAGTCAATGCAGGGGAATCGGGCCTCATCTCGAGTTGATTTGGGGCACATGGAGCTGCTTTGCGTGGCTGGGGTGACCTCAGGGTCCGTCTAGACTGGTGACAGTGTTCTTGGGGACTGTCTCGAGATCCATTAAGCAAGTCGAAGCTCCTGACTTGTTTGAATGGGATCACGGAATAGCTCTGCATGCACTGCAGGGGAATGGGGCCTCATCTCGCCTCTAGGGGGAAGTCTCATGGTTTTTCTCGAGTTGCGGCGGGGACCTGGGGCATGTTCTCGACTTACGGCGGGGATGGCCCTTCAAAACACGAGTTTCTTCAGTGACGTCAGGACTCCTGTCTAGTAACGAGGGACACCTCAGGAATCTCTTCGAGGCTTGGCAGGGCCAAAGGGACGCTTCTCGAGGTGAGGCAGGGCACCCAAGGACCCTTTCCAGTAGCCACAGGGATTTTGGGATTCCTATCAGTATTCAAGAGGAGTCAGGCATCGTCACCTTTTGAAGCAATGAACTCCGCGTGCCTCTCGAGGTGTCAGCGGGATGTGAGGCATTCCGCCAAATGAGGCAGGGACCTAGGGCTTTCTCTAAGGTCTCCACAGGGGATTCAGACATCCCTTCATGTTGTGAGATGAAAGACGAGCCTGTATTCAAGCCACTGCAAGGAAATCCGACCTCCTTTCAAGTTAGGGCTTCTCGCTGTATATTCCCCTTGAGGCAGCAAACTCGGGGTCCCTCCCACATACCTATTGCTGAGAGAAGCCTCCTCCTGAGGTGCTTCTGGGAAGTTGGCATACGTCTTGAGCCTAAGCCAGGGAATCAGCTCGCATCTCGAGACGATTTGGGGTACACGGAGCATTCCTCGAGTTGCTGTGCTGAAGTTGGTGTTCCTCTAGACTTGGGACAGTGTTCTCGGGGCATCTCTGGAGTTGCCTGAAGGAAGTCGAGCCACCGGTCGTGTTGAATGGGGAACGGGGAATGGCTCTGGAGTCAATGCAGGGGAATCGGGCCTCATCTCGAGTTGATTTCGGGCACATGGAGCTGCTTTGCGTGGCTGGGGTGACCTCAGGGTCCGTCTAGACTGGTGACAGTGTTCTTGGGGACTGTCTCGAGATCCATTAAGCAAGTCGAAGCTCCTGACTTGTTTGAATGGGATCACGGAATAGCTCTGCATGCACTGCAGGGGAATGGGGCCTCATCTCGCCTCTAGGGGGAAGTCTCATGGTTTTTCTCGAGTTGCGGCGGGGACCTGGGGCATGTTCTCGACTTACGGCGGGGATGGCCCTTCAAAACACGAGTTTCTTCAGTGACGTCAGGACTCCTGTCTAGTAACGAGGGACACCTCAGGAATCTCTTCGAGGCTTGGCAGGGCCAAAGGGACGCTTCTCGAGGTGAGGCAGGGCACCCAAGGACCCTTTCCAGTAGCCACAGGGATTTTGGGATTCCTATCAGTATTCAAGAGGAGTCAGGCATCGTCACCTTTTGAAGCAATGAACTCCGCGTGCCTCTCGAGGTGTCAGCGGGATGTGAGGCATTCCGCCAAATGAGGCAGGGACCTAGGGCTTTCTCTAAGGTCTCCACAGGGGATTCAGACATCCCTTCATGTTGTGAGATGAAAGACGAGCCTGTATTCAAGCCACTGCAAGGAAATCCGACCTCCTTTCAAGTTAGGGCTTCTCGCTGTATATTCCCCTTGAGGCAGCAAACTCGGGGTCCCTCCCACATACCTATTGCTGAGAGAAGCCTCCTCCTGAGGTGCTTCTGGGAAGTTGGCATACGTCTTGAGCCTAAGCCAGGGAATCAGCTCGCATCTCGAGACGATTTGGGGTACACGGAGCATTCCTCGAGTTGCTGTGCTGAAGTTGGTGTTCCTCTAGACTTGGGACAGTGTTCTCGGGGCATCTCTGGAGTTGCCTGAAGGAAGTCGAGCCACCGGTCGTGTTGAATGGGGAACGGGGAATGGCTCTGGAGTCAATGCAGGGGAATCGGGCCTCATCTCGAGTTGATTTCGGGCACATGGAGCTGCTTTGCGTGGCTGGGGTGACCTCAGGGTCCGTCTAGACTGGTGACAGTGTTCTTGGGGACTGTCTCGAGATCCATTAAGCAAGTCGAAGCTCCTGACTTGTTTGAATGGGATCACGGAATAGCTCTGCATGCACTGCAGGGGAATGGGGCCTCATCTCGCCTCTAGGGGGAAGTCTCATGGTTTTTCTCGAGTTGCGGCGGGGACCTGGGGTATGTTCTCGACTTACGGCGGGGATGGCCCTTCAAAACACGAGTTTCTTCAGTGACGTCAGGACTTCTGTCTAGTAACGAGGGACACCTCAGGAATCTCTTCGAGGCTTGGCAGGGCCAAAGGGACGCTTCTCGAGGTGAGGCAGGGCACCCAAGGACCCTTTCCAGTAGCCACAGGGATTTTGGGATTCCTATCAGTATTCAAGAGGAGTCAGGCATCGTCACCTTTTGAAGCAATGAACTCCGCGTGCCTCTCGAGGTGTCAGCGGGATGTGAGGCATTCCGTCAAAATGAGGCAGGGACCTAGGGCTTTCTCTAAGGTCTCCACAGGGGATTCAGACATCCCTTCATGTTGTGAGATGTAAGACGAGCCTGTATTCAAGCCACTGCAAGGAAATCCGGCCTCCTTTCAAGTTAGGGCTTCTCGCTGTATATTCCCCTTGAGGCAGCAAACTCGGGGTCCCTCCCACATACCTATTGCTGAGAGAAGCCTCCTCCTGAGGTGCTTCTGGGAAGTTGGCATACGTCTTGAGCCTAAGCCAGGGAATCAGCTCGCATCTCGAGACGATTTGGGGTACACGGAGCATTCCTCGAGTTGCTGTGCTGAAGTTGGTGTTCCTCTAGACTTGGGACAGTGTTCTCGGGGCATCTCTGGAGTTGCCTGAAGGAAGTCGAGCCACCGGTCGTGTTGAATGGGGAACGGGGAATGGCTCTGGAGTCAATGCAGGGGAATCGGGCCTCATCTCGAGTTGATTTGGGGCACATCGAGCTGCTTTGCGTTGCTGGGGTGACCTCAGGGTCCGTCTAGACTGGTGACAGTGTTCTTGGGGACTGTCTCGAGATCCATTAAGCAAGTCGAAGCTCCTGACTTGTTTGAATGGGATCACGGAATAGCTCTGCATGCACTGCAGGGGAATGGGGCCTCATCTCGCCTCTAGGGGGAAGTCTCATGGTTTTTCTCGAGTTGCGGCGGGGACCTGGGGTATGTTCTCCACTTACGGCGGGGATGGCCCTTCAAAACACGAGTTTCTTCAGTGACGTCAGGACTCCTGTCTAGTAATGAGGGACACCTCAGGAATCTCTTCGAGGCTTGGCAGGGCCAAAGGGACGCTTCTCGAGGTGAGGCAGGGCACCCAAGGACCCTTTCCAGTAGCTACAGGGATTTTGGGATTCCTATCAGTATTCAAGAGGAGTCAGGCATCGTCACCTTTTGAAGCAATGAACTCCGCGTGCCTCTCGAGGTGTCAGCGGGATGTGAGGCATTCCGTCAAAATGAGGCAGGGACCTAGGGCTTTCTCTAAGGTCTCCACAGGGGATTCAGACATCCCTTCATGTTGTGAGATGAAAGACGAGCCTGTATTCAAGCCACTGCAAGGAAATCCGGCCTCCTTTCAAGTTAGGGCTTCTCGCTGTATATTCCCCTTGAGGCAGCAAACTCGGGGTCCCTCCCACATACCTATTGCTGAGGGAAGCCTCCTCCTGAGGTGCTTCTGGGAAGTTGGCATACGTCTTGAGCCTAAGCCAGGGAATCAGCTCGCATCTCGAGACGATTTGTGGTACACGGAGCATTCCTCGAGTTGCTGTGCTGAAGTTGGTGTTCCTCTAGACTTGGGACAGTGTTCTCGGGGCATCTCTGGAGTTGCCTGAAGGAAGTCGAGCCACCGGTCGTGTTGAATGGGGAACGGGGAATGGCTCTGGAGTCAATGCAGGGGAATCGGGCCTCATCTCGAGTTGATTTGGGGCACATGGAGCTGCTTTGCGTGGCTGGGGTGACCTCAGGGTCCGTCTAGACTGGTGACAGTGTTCTTGGGGACTGTCTCGAGATCCATTAAGCAAGTCGAAGCTCCTGACTTGTTTGAATGGGATCACGGAATAGCTCTGCATGCACTGCAGGGGAATGGGGCCACATCTCGCCTCTAGGGTGAAGTCTCATGGTTTTTCTCGAGTTGCGGCGGGGACCTGGGGTATGTTCTCCACTTACGGCGGGGATGGCCCTTCAAAACACGAGTTTCTTCAGTGATGTCAGGACTCCTGTCTAGTAACGAGGGACACCTCAGGAATCTCTTCAAGGCTTGGCAGGGCAAAAGGGACGCTTCTCGATGTGAGGCAGGGCACCCAAGGACCCTTTCCAGTAGCCACAGGGATTTTGGGATTCCTATCAGTATTCAAGAGGAGTCAGGCATCGTCACCTTTTGAAGCAATGAACTCCGCGTGCCTCTCGAGGTGTCAGCGGGATGTGAGGCATTCCGTCAAAATGAGGCAGGGAACTAGGGCTTTCTCTAAGGTCTCCACAGGGGATTCAGACATCCCTTCATGTTGTGAGATGAAAGACGAGCCTGTATTCAAGCCACTGCAAGGAAATCCGGCCTCCTTTCAAGTTAGGGCTTCTCGCTGTATATTCCCCTTGAGGCAGCAAACTCGGGGTCCCTCCCACATACCTATTGCTGAGAGAAGCCTCCTCCGGAGGTGCTTCTGGGAAGTTGGCATACGTCTTGAGCCTAAGCCAGGGAATCAGCTCGCATCTCGAGACGATTTGGGGTACACGGAGCATTCCTCGAGTTGCTGTGCTGAAGTTGGTGTTCCTCTAGACTTGGGACAGTGTTCTCGGGGCATCTCTGGAGTTGCCTGAAGGAAGTCGAGCCACCGGTCGTGTTGAATGGGGAACGGGGAATGGCTCTGGAGTCAATGCAGGGGAATCGGGCCTCATCTCGAGTTGATTTGGGGCACATGGAGCTGCTTTGCGTGGCTGGGGTGACCTCAGGGTCCGTCTAGACTGGTGACAGTGTTCTTGGGGACTGTCTCGAGATCCATTAAGCAAGTCGAAGCTCCTGACTTGTTTGAATGGGATCACGGAATAGCTCTGCATGCACTGCAGGGGAATGGGGCCTCATCTCGCCTCTAGGGGGAAGTCTCATGGTTTTTCTCGAGTTGCGGCGGGGACCTGGGGTATGTTCTCGACTTACGGCGGGGATGGCCCTTCAAAACACGAGTTTCTTCAGTGACGTCAGGACTCCTGTCTAGTAACGAGGGACACCTCAGGAATCGCTTCGAGGCTTGGCAGGGCCAAATGGACGCTTCCCGAGGTGAGGCAGGGCACCCAAGGACCCTTTCCAGTAGCCACAGGGATTTTGGGATTCCTATCAGTATTCAAGAGGAGTCAGGCATCGTCACCTTTTGAAGCAATGAACTCCGCGTGCCTCTCGAGGTGTCAGCGGGATGTGAGGCATTCCGTCAAAATGAGGCAGGGACCTAGGGCTTTCTCTAAGGTCTCCACAGGGGATTCAGACATCCCTTCATGTTGTGAGATGTAAGACGAGCCTGTATTCAAGCCACTGCAAGGAAATCCGGCCTCCTTTCAAGTTAGGGCTTCTCGCTGTATATTCCCCTTGAGGCAGCAAACTCGGGGTCCCTCCCACATACCTATTGCTGAGAGAAGCCTCCTCCTGAGGTGCTTCTGGGAAGTTGGCATACGTCTTGAGCCTAAGCCAGGTAATCAGCTCGCATCTCGAGACGATTTGGGGCACACGGAGCATTCCTCGAGTTGCTGTGCTGAAGTTGGTGTTCCTCTAGACTTGGGACAGTGTTCTCGGGGCATCTCTGGAGTTGCCTGAAGGAAGTCGAGCCACCGGTCGTGTTGAATGGGGAACGGGGAATGGCTCTGGAGTCAATGCAGGGGAATCGGGCCTCATCTCGAGTTGATTTGGGGCACATGGAGCTGCTTTGCGTGGCTGGGGTGACCTCAGGGTCCGTCTAGACTGGTGACAGTGTTCTTGGGGACTGTCTCGAGATCCATTAAGCAAGTCGAAGCTCCTGACTTGTTTGAATGGGATCACGGAATAGCTCTGCATGCACTGCAGGGGAATGGGGCCTCATCTCGCCTCTAGGGGGAAGTCTCATGGTTTTTCTCGAGTTGCGGCGGGGACCTGGGGCATGTTCTCGACTTACGGCGGGGATGGCCCTTCAAAACACGAGTTTCTTCAGTGACGTCAGGACTCCTGTCTAGTAACGAGGGACACCTCAGGAATCTCTTCGAGGCTTGGCAGGGCCAAAGGGACGCTTCTCGAGGTGAGGCAGGGCACCCAAGGACCCTTTCCAGTAGCCACAGGGATTTTGGGATTCCTATCAGTATTCAAGAGGAGTCAGGCATCGTCACCTTTTGAAGCAATGAACTCCGCGTGCCTCTCGAGGTGTCAGCGGGATGTGAGGCATTCCGTCAAAATGAGGCAGGGACCTAGGGCTTTCTCTAAGGTCTCCACAGGGGATTCAGACATCCCTTCATGTTGTGAGATGAAAGACGAGCCTGTATTCAAGCCACTGCAAGGAAATCCGGCCTCCTTTCAAGTTAGGGCTTCTCGCTGTATATTCCCCTTGAGGCAGCAAACTCGGGGTCCCTCCCACATACCTATTGCTGAGAGAAGCCTCCTCCTGAGGTGCTTCTGGGAAGTTGGCATACGTCTTGAGCCTAAGCCAGGGAATCAGCTCGCATCTCGAGACGATTTGGGGTACACGGAGCATTCCTCGAGTTGCTGTGCTGAAGTTGGTGTTCCTCTAGACTTGGGACAGTGTTCTCGGGGCATCTCTGGAGTTGCCTGAAGGAAGTCGAGCCACCGGTCGTGTTGAATGGGGAACGGGGAATGGCTCTGGAGTCAATGCAGGGGAATCGGGCCTCATCTCGAGTTGATTTCGGGCACATGGAGCTGCTTTGCGTGGCTGGGGTGACCTCAGGGTCCGTCTAGACTGGTGACAGTGTTCTTGGGGACTGTCTCGAGATCCATTAAGCAAGTCGAAGCTCCTGACTTGTTTGAATGGGATCACGGAATAGCTCTGCATGCACTGCAGGGGAATGGGGCCTCATCTCGCCTCTAGGGGGAAGTCTCATGGTTTTTCTCGAGTTGCGGCGGGGACCTGGGGTATGTTCTCGACTTACGGCGGGGATGGCCCTTCAAAACACGAGTTTCTTCAGTGACGTCAGGACTTCTGTCTAGTAACGAGGGACACCTCAGGAATCTCTTCGAGGCTTGGCAGGGCCAAAGGGACGCTTCTCGAGGTGAGGCAGGGCACCCAAGGACCCTTTCCAGTAGCCACAGGGATTTTGGGATTCCTATCAGTATTCAAGAGGAGTCAGGCATCGTCACCTTTTGAAGCAATGAACTCCGCGTGCCTCTCGAGGTGTCAGCGGGATGTGAGGCATTCCGTCAAAATGAGGCAGGGACCTAGGGCTTTCTCTAAGGTCTCCACAGGGGATTCAGACATCCCTTCATGTTGTGAGATGTAAGACGAGCCTGTATTCAAGCCACTGCAAGGAAATCCGGCCTCCTTTCAAGTTAGGGCTTCTCGCTGTATATTCCCCTTGAGGCAGCAAACTCGGGGTCCCTCCCACATACCTATTGCTGAGAGAAGCCTCCTCCTGAGGTGCTTCTGGGAAGTTGGCATACGTCTTGAGCCTAAGCCAGGGAATCAGCTCGCATCTCGAGACGATTTGGGGTACACGGAGCATTCCTCGAGTTGCTGTGCTGAAGTTGGTGTTCCTCTAGACTTCGGACAGTGTTCTCGGGGCATCTCTGGAGTTGCCTGAAGGAAGTCGAGCCACCGGTCGTGTTGAATGTGGAACGGGGAATGGCTCTGGAGTCAATGCAGGGGAATCGGGCCTCATCTCGAGTTGATTTGGGGCACATGGAGCTGCTTTGCGTGGCTGGGGTGACCTCAGGGTCCGTCTAGACTGGTGACAGTGTTCTTGGGGACTGTCTCGAGATCCATTAAGCAAGTCGAAGCTCCTGACTTGTTTGAATGGGATCACGGAATAGCTCTGCATGCACTGCAGGGGAATGGGGCCTCATCTCGCCTCTAGGGGGAAGTCTCATGGTTTTTCTCGAGTTGCGGCGGGGACCTGGGGTATGTTCTCGACTTATGGCGGGGATGGCCATTCAAAACACGAGTTTCTTCAGTGACGTCAGGACTCCTGTCTAGTAACTAGGGACACCTCAGGAATCTCTTCGAGGCTTGGCAGGGCCAAAGGGACGCTTCCCGAGGCGAGGCAGGGCACCCAAGGACCCTTTCCAGTAGCCACAGGGATTTTGGGATTCCTATCAGTATTCAAGAGGAGTCAGGCATCGTCACCTTTTGAAGCAATGAACTCCGCGTGCCTCTCGAGGTTTCAGCGGGATGTGAGGCATTCCGTCAAAATGAGGCAGGGACCTAGGGCTTTCTCTAAGGTCTCCACAGGGGATTCAGACATCCCTTCATGTTGTGAGATGAAAGTCGAGCCTGTATTCAAGCCACTGCAAGGAAATCCGACCTCCTTTCAAGTTAGGGCTTCTCGCTGTATATTCCCCTTGAGGCAGCAAACTCGGGGTCCCTCCCACATACCTATTGCTGAGAGAAGCCTCCTCCTGAGGTGCTTCTGGGAAGTTGGCATACGTCTTGAGCCTAAGCCAGGGAATCAGCTCGCATCTCGAGACGATTTGGGGTACACGGAGCATTCCTCGAGTTGCTGTGCTGAAGTTGGTGTTCCTCTAGACTTGGGACAGTGTTCTCGGGGCATCTCTGGAGTTGCCTGAAGGAAGTCGAGCCACCGGTCGTGTTGAATGGGGAACGGGGAATGGCTCTGGAGTCAATGCAGGGGAATCGGGCCTCATCTCGAGTTGATTTGGGGCACATGGAGCTGCTTTGCGTGGCTGGGGTTGACCTCAGGGTCCGTCTAGACTGGTGACAGTGTTCTTGGGGACTGTCTCGAGATCCATTAAGCAAGTCGAAGCTCCTGACTTGTTTGAATGGGATCACGGAATAGCTCTGCATGCACTGCAGGGGAATGGGGCCTCATCTCGCCTCTAGGGGGAAGTCTCATGGTTTTTCTCGAGTTGCGGCGGGGACCTGGGGTATGTTCTCGACTTACGGCGGGGATGGCCCTTCAAAACACGAGTTTCTTCAGTGACGTCAGGACTCCTGTCTAGTAACGAGGGACACCTCAGGAATCTCTTCGAGGCTTGGCAGGGCAAAAGGGACGCTTCCCGAGGTGAGGCAGGGCACCCAAGGACCCTTTCCAGTAGCCACAGGGATTTTGGGATTCCTATCAGTATTCAAGAGGAGTCAGGCATCGTCACCTTTTGAAGCAATGAACTCCGCGTGCCTCTCGAGGTGTCAGCGGGATGTGAGGCATTCCGTCAAAATGAGGCAGGGACCTAGGGCTTTCTCTAAGGTCTCCACAGGGGATTCAGACATCCCTTCATGTTGTGAGATGAAAGACGAGCCTGTATTCAAGCCACTGCAAGGAAATCCGGCCTCCTTTCAAGTTAGGGCTTCTCGCTGTATATTCCCCTTGAGGCAGCAAACTCGGGGTCCCTCCCACATACCTATTGCTGAGGGAAGCCTCCTCCTGAGGTGCTTCTGGGAAGTTGGCATACGTCTTGAGCCTAAGCCAGGGAATCAGCTCGCATCTCGAGACGATTTGTGGTACACGGAGCATTCCTCGAGTTGCTGTGCTGAAGTTGGTGTTCCTCTAGACTTGGGACAGTGTTCTCGGGGCATCTCTGGAGTTGCCTGAAGGAAGTCGAGCCACCGGTCGTGTTGAATGGGGAACGGGGAATGGCTCTGGAGTCAATGCAGGGGAATCGGGCCTCATCTCGAGTTGATTTGGGGCACATGGAGCTGCTTTGCGTGGCTGGGGTGACCTCAGGGTCCGTCTAGACTGGTGACAGTGTTCTTGGGGACTGTCTCGAGATCCATTAAGCAAGTCGAAGCTCCTGACTTGTTTGAATGGGATCACGGAATAGCTCTGCATGCACTGCAGGGGAATGGGGCCACATCTCGCCTCTAGGGTGAAGTCTCATGGTTTTTCTCGAGTTGCGGCGGGGACCTGGGGTATGTTCTCCACTTACGGCGGGGATGGCCCTTCAAAACACGAGTTTCTTCAGTGATGTCAGGACTCCTGTCTAGTAACGAGGGACACCTCAGGAATCTCTTCAAGGCTTGGCAGGGCAAAAGGGACGCTTCTCGATGTGAGGCAGGGCACCCAAGGACCCTTTCCAGTAGCCACAGGGATTTTGGGATTCCTATCAGTATTCAAGAGGAGTCAGGCATCGTCACCTTTTGAAGCAATGAACTCCGCGTGCCTCTCGAGGTGTCAGCGGGATGTGAGGCATTCCGTCAAAATGAGGCAGGGAACTAGGGCTTTCTCTAAGGTCTCCACAGGGGATTCAGACATCCCTTCATGTTGTGAGATGAAAGACGAGCCTGTATTCAAGCCACTGCAAGGAAATCCGGCCTCCTTTCAAGTTAGGGCTTCTCGCTGTATATTCCCCTTGAGGCAGCAAACTCGGGGTCCCTCCCACATACCTATTGCTGAGAGAAGCCTCCTCCGGAGGTGCTTCTGGGAAGTTGGCATACGTCTTGAGCCTAAGCCAGGGAATCAGCTCGCATCTCGAGACGATTTGGGGTACACGGAGCATTCCTCGAGTTGCTGTGCTGAAGTTGGTGTTCCTCTAGACTTGGGACAGTGTTCACGGGGCATCTCTGGAGTTGCCTGAAGGAAGTCGAGCCACCGGTCGTGTTGAATGGGGAACGGGGAATGGCTCTGGAGTCAATGCAGGGGAATCGGGCCTCATCTCGAGTTGATTTGGGGCACATGGAGCTGCTTTGCGTGGCTGGGGTGACCTCAGGGTCCGTCTAGACTGGTGACAGTGTTCTTGGGGACTGTCTCGAGATCCATTAAGCAAGTCGAAGCTCCTGACTTGTTTGAATGGGATCACGGAATAGCTCTGCATGCACTGCAGGGGAATGGGGCCTCATCTCGCCTCTAGGGGGAAGTCTCATGGTTTTTCTCGAGTTGCGGCGGGGACCTGGGGTATGTTCTCGACTTACGGCGGGGATGGCCCTTCAAAACACGAGTTTCTTCAGTGACGTCAGGACTCCTGTCTAGTAACGAGGGACACCTCAGGAATCGCTTCGAGGCTTGGCAGGGCCAAATGGACGCTTCCCGAGGTGAGGCAGGGCACCCAAGGACCCTTTCCAGTAGCCACAGGGATTTTGGGATTCCTATCAGTATTCAAGAGGAGTCAGGCATCGTCACCTTTTGAAGCAATGAACTCCGCGTGCCTCTCGAGGTGTCAGCGGGATGTGAGGCATTCCGTCAAAATGAGGCAGGGACCTAGGGCTTTCTCTAAGGTCTCCACAGGGGATTCAGACATCCCTTCATGTTGTGAGATGTAAGACGAGCCTGTATTCAAGCCACTGCAAGGAAATCCGGCCTCCTTTCAAGTTAGGGCTTCTCGCTGTATATTCCCCTTGAGGCAGCAAACTCGGGGTCCCTCCCACATACCTATTGCTGAGAGAAGCCTCCTCCTGAGGTGCTTCTGGGAAGTTGGCATACGTCTTGAGCCTAAGCCAGGTAATCAGCTCGCATCTCGAGACGATTTGGGGCACACGGAGCATTCCTCGAGTTGCTGTGCTGAAGTTGGTGTTCCTCTAGACTTGGGACAGTGTTCTCGGGGCATCTCTGGAGTTGCCTGAAGGAAGTCGAGCCACCGGTCGTGTTGAATGGGGAACGGGGAATGGCTCTGGAGTCAATGCAGGGGAATCGGGCCTCATCTCGAGTTGATTTGGGGCACATGGAGCTGCTTTGCGTGGCTGGGGTGACCTCAGGGTCCGTCTAGACTGGTGACAGTGTTCTTGGGGACTGTCTCGAGATCCATTAAGCAAGTCGAAGCTCCTGACTTGTTTGAATGGGATCACGGAATAGCTCTGCATGCACTGCAGGGGAATGGGGCCTCATCTCGCCTCTAGGGGGAAGTCTCATGGTTTTTCTCGAGTTGCGGCGGGGACCTGGGGCATGTTCTCGACTTACGGCGGGGATGGCCCTTCAAAACACGAGTTTCTTCAGTGACGTCAGGACTCCTGTCTAGTAACGAGGGACACCTCAGGAATCTCTTCGAGGCTTGGCAGGGCCAAAGGGACGCTTCTCGAGGTGAGGCAGGGCACCCAAGGACCCTTTCCAGTAGCCACAGGGATTTTGGGATTCCTATCAGTATTCAAGAGGAGTCAGGCATCGTCACCTTTTGAAGCAATGAACTCCGCGTGCCTCTCGAGGTGTCAGCGGGATGTGAGGCATTCCGTCAAAATGAGGCAGGGACCTAGGGCTTTCTCTAAGGTCTCCACAGGGGATTCAGACATCCCTTCATGTTGTGAGATGAAAGACGAGCCTGTATTCAAGCCACTGCAAGGAAATCCGGCCTCCTTTCAAGTTAGGGCTTCTCGCTGTATATTCCCCTTGAGGCAGCAAACTCGGGGTCCCTCCCACATACCTATTGCTGAGAGAAGCCTCCTCCTGAGGTGCTTCTCGGAAGTTGGCATACGTCTTGAGCCTAAGCCAGGGAATCAGCTCGCATCTCGAGACGATTTGGGGTACACGGAGCATTCCTCGAGTTGCTGTGCTGAAGTTGGTGTTCCTCTAGACTTGGGACAGTGTTCTCGGGGCATCTCTGGAGTTGCCTGAAGGAAGTCGAGCCACCGGTCGTGTTGAATGGGGAACGGGGAATGGCTCTGGAGTCAATGCAGGGGAATCGGGCCTCATCTCGAGTTGATTTCGGGCACATGGAGCTGCTTTGCGTGGCTGGGGTGACCTCAGGGTCCGTCTAGACTGGTGACAGTGTTCTTGGGGACTGTCTCGAGATCCATTAAGCAAGTCGAAGCTCCTGACTTGTTTGAATGGGATCACGGAATAGCTCTGCATGCACTGCAGGGGAATGGGGCCTCATCTCGCCTCTAGGGGGAAGTCTCATGGTTTTTCTCGAGTTGCGGCGGGGACCTGGGGTATGTTCTCGACTTACGGCGGGGATGGCCCTTCAAAACACGAGTTTCTTCAGTGACGTCAGGACTTCTGTCTAGTAACGAGGGACACCTCAGGAATCTCTTCGAGGCTTGGCAGGGCCAAAGGGACGCTTCTCGAGGTGAGGCAGGGCACCCAAGGACCCTTTCCAGTAGCCACAGGGATTTTGGGATTCCTATCAGTATTCAAGAGGAGTCAGGCATCGTCACCTTTTGAAGCAATGAACTCCGCGTGCCTCTCGAGGTGTCAGCGGGATGTGAGGCATTCCGTCAAAATGAGGCAGGGACCTAGGGCTTTCTCTAAGGTCTCCACAGGGGATTCAGACATCCCTTCATGTTGTGAGATGTAAGACGAGCCTGTATTCAAGCCACTGCAAGGAAATCCGGCCTCCTTTCAAGTTAGGGCTTCTCGCTGTATATTCCCCTTGAGGCAGCAAACTCGGGGTCCCTCCCACATACCTATTGCTGAGAGAAGCCTCCTCCTGAGGTGCTTCTGGGAAGTTGGCATACGTCTTGAGCCTAAGCCAGGGAATCAGCTCGCATCTCGAGACGATTTGGGGTACACGGAGCATTCCTCGAGTTGCTGTGCTGAAGTTGGTGTTCCTCTAGACTTGGGACAGTGTTCTCGGGGCATCTCTGGAGTTGCCTGAAGGAAGTCGAGCCACCGGTCGTGTTGAATGGGGAACGGGGAATGGCTCTGGAGTCAATGCAGGGGAATCGGGCCTCATCTCGAGTTGATTTGGGGCACATCGAGCTGCTTTGCGTTGCTGGGGTGACCTCAGGGTCCGTCTAGACTGGTGACAGTGTTCTTGGGGACTGTCTCGAGATCCATTAAGCAAGTCGAAGCTCCTGACTTGTTTGAATGGGATCACGGAATAGCTCTGCATGCACTGCAGGGGAATGGGGCCTCATCTCGCCTCTAGGGGGAAGTCTCATGGTTTTTCTCGAGTTGCGGCGAGGACCTGGGGTATGTTCTCCACTTACGGCGGGGATGGCCCTTCAAAACACGAGTTTCTTCAGTGACGTCAGGACTCCTGTCTAGTAATGAGGGACACCTCAGGAATCTCTTCGAGGCTTGGCAGGGCCAAAGGGACGCTTCTCGAGGTGAGGCAGGGCACCCAAGGACCCTTTCCAGTAGCTACAGGGATTTTGGGATTCCTATCAGTATTCAAGAGGAGTCAGGCATCGTCACCTTTTGAAGCAATGAACTCCGCGTGCCTCTCGAGGTGTCAGCGGGATGTGAGGCATTCCGTCAAAATGAGGCAGGGACCTAGGGCTTTCTCTAAGGTCTCCACAGGGGATTCAGACATCCCTTCATGTTGTGAGATGAAAGACGAGCCTGTATTCAAGCCACTGCAAGGAAATCCGGCCTCCTTTCAAGTTAGGGCTTCTCGCTGTATATTCCCCTTGAGGCAGCAAACTCGGGGTCCCTCCCACATACCTATTGCTGAGGGAAGCCTCCTCCTGAGGTGCTTCTGGGAAGTTGGCATACGTCTTGAGACTAAGCCAGGGAATCAGCTCGCATCTCGAGACGATTTGTGGTACACGGAGCATTCCTCGAGTTGCTGTGCTGAAGTTGGTGTTCCTCTAGACTTGGGACAGTGTTCTCGGGGCATCTCTGGAGTTGCCTGAAGGAAGTCGAGCCACCGGTCGTGTTGAATGGGGAACGGGGAATGGCTCTGGAGTCAATGCAGGGGAATCGGGCCTCATCTCGAGTTGATTTGGGGCACATGGAGCTGCTTTGCGTGGCTGGGGTGACCTCAGGGTCCGTCTAGACTGGTGACAGTGTTCTTGGGGACTGTCTCGAGATCCATTAAGCAAGTCGAAGCTCCTGACTTGTTTGAATGGGATCACGGAATAGCTCTGCATGCACTGCAGGGGAATGGGGCCACATCTCGCCTCTAGGGTGAAGTCTCATGGTTTTTCTCGAGTTGCGGCGGGGACCTGGGGTATGTTCTCCACTTACGGCGGGGATGGCCCTTCAAAACACGAGTTTCTTCAGTGATGTCAGGACTCCTGTCTAGTAACGAGGGACACCTCAGGAATCTCTTCAAGGCTTGGCAGGGCAAAAGGGACGCTTCTCGATGTGAGGCAGGGCACCCAAGGACACTTTCCAGTAGCCACAGGGATTTTGGGATTCCTATCAGTATTCAAGAGGAGTCAGGCATCGTCACCTTTTGAAGCAATGAACTCCGCGTGCCTCTCGAGGTGTCAGCGGGATGTGAGGCATTCCGTCAAAATGAGGCAGGGAACTAGGGCTTTCTCTAAGGTCTCCACAGGGGATTCAGACATCCCTTCATGTTGTGAGATGAAAGACGAGCCTGTATTCAAGCCACTGCAAGGAAATCCGGCCTCCTTTCAAGTTAGGGCTTCTCGCTGTATATTCCCCTTGAGGCAGCAAACTCGGGGTCCCTCCCACATACCTATTGCTGAGAGAAGCCTCCTCCGGAGGTGCTTCTGGGAAGTTGGCATACGTCTTGAACCTAAGCCAGGGAATCAGCTCGCATCTCGAGACGATTTGGGGTACACGGAGCATTCCTCGAGTTGCTGTGCTGAAGTTGGTGTTCCTCTAGACTTGGGACAGTGTTCTCGGGGCATCTCTGGAGTTGCCTGAAGGAAGTCGAGCCACCGGTCGTGTTGAATGGGGAACGGGGAATGGCTCTGGAGTCAATGCAGGGGAATCGGGCCTCATCTCGAGTTGATTTGGGGCACATGGAGCTGCTTTGCGTGGCTGGGGTGACCTCAGGGTCCGTCTAGACTGGTGACAGTGTTCTTGGGGACTGTCTCGAGATCCATTAAGCAAGTCGAAGCTCCTGACTTGTTTGAATGGGATCACGGAATAGCTCTGCATGCACTGCAGGGGAATGGGGCCTCATCTCGCCTCTAGGGGGAAGTCTCATGGTTTTTCTCGAGTTGCGGCGGGGACCTGGGGTATGTTCTCGACTTACGGCGGGGATGGCCCTTCAAAACACGAGTTTCTTCAGTGACGTCAGGACTCCTGTCTAGTAACGAGGGACACCTCAGGAATCGCTTCGAGGCTTGGCAGGGCCAAATGGACGCTTCCCGAGGTGAGGCAGGGCACCCAAGGACCCTTTCCAGTAGCCACAGGGATTTTGGGATTCCTATCAGTATTCAAGAGGAGTCAGGCATCGTCACCTTTTGAAGCAATGAACTCCGCGTGCCTCTCGAGGTGTCAGCGGGATGTGAGGCATTCCGTCAAAATGAGGCAGGGACCTAGGGCTTTCTCTAAGGTCTCCACAGGGGATTCAGACATCCCTTCATGTTGTGAGATGTAAGACGAGCCTGTATTCAAGCCACTGCAAGGAAATCCGGCCTCCTTTCAAGTTAGGGCTTCTCGCTGTATATTCCCCTTGAGGCAGCAAACTCGGGGTCCCTCCCACATACCTATTGCTGAGAGAAGCCTCCTCCTGAGGTGCTTCTGGGAAGTTGGCATACGTCTTGAGCCTAAGCCAGGTAATCAGCTCGCATCTCGAGACGATTTGGGGCACACGGAGCATTCCTCGAGTTGCTGTGCTGAAGTTGGTGTTCCTCTAGACTTGGGACAGTGTTCTCGGGGCATCTCTGGAGTTGCCTGAAGGAAGTCGAGCCACCGGTCGTGTTGAATGGGGAACGGGGAATGGCTCTGGAGTCAATGCAGGGGAATCGGGCCTCATCTCGAGTTGATTTGGGGCACATGGAGCTGCTTTGCGTGGCTGGGGTGACCTCAGGGTCCGTCTAGACTGGTGACAGTGTTCTTGGGGACTGTCTCGAGATCCATTAAGCAAGTCGAAGCTCCTGACTTGTTTGAATGGGATCACGGAATAGCTCTGCATGCACTGCAGGGGAATGGGGCCTCATCTCGCCTCTAGGGGGAAGTCTCATGGTTTTTCTCGAGTTGCGGCGGGGACCTGGGGCATGTTCTCGACTTACGGCGGGGATGGCCCTTCAAAACACGAGTTTCTTCAGTGACGTCAGGACTCCTGTCTAGTAACGAGGGACACCTCAGGAATCTCTTCGAGGCTTGGCAGGGCCAAAGGGACGCTTCTCGAGGTGAGGCAGGGCACCCAAGGACCCTTTCCAGTAGCCACAGGGATTTTGGGATTCCTATCAGTATTCAAGAGGAGTCAGGCATCGTCACCTTTTGAAGCAATGAACTCCGCGTGCCTCTCGAGGTGTCAGCGGGATGTGAGGCATTCCGTCAAAATGAGGCAGGGACCTAGGGCTTTCTCTAAGGTCTCCACAGGGGATTCAGACATCCCTTCATGTTGTGAGATGAAAGACGAGCCTGTATTCAAGCCACTGCAAGGAAATCCGGCCTCCTTTCAAGTTAGGGCTTCTCGCTGTATATTCCCCTTGAGGCAGCAAACTCGGGGTCCCTCCCACATACCTATTGCTGAGAGAAGCCTCCTCCTGAGGTGCTTCTGGGAAGTTGGCATACTTCTTGAGCCTAAGCCAGGGAATCAGCTCGCATCTCGAGACGATTTGGGGTACACGGAGCATTCCTCGAGTTGCTGTGCTGAAGTTGGTGTTCCTCTAGACTTGGGACAGTGTTCTCGGGGCATCTCTGGAGTTGCCTGAAGGAAGTCGAGCCACCGGTCGTGTTGAATGGGGAACGGGGAATGGCTCTGGAGTCAATGCAGGGGAATCGGGCCTCATCTCGAGTTGATTTCGGGCACATGGAGCTGCTTTGCGTGGCTGGGGTGACCTCAGGGTCCGTCTAGACTGGTGACAGTGTTCTTGGGGACTGTCTCGAGATCCATTAAGCAAGTCGAAGCTCCTGACTTGTTTGAATGGGATCACGGAATAGCTCTGCATGCACTGCAGGGGAATGGGGCCTCATCTCGCCTCTAGGGGGAAGTCTCATGGTTTTTCTCGAGTTGCGGCGGGGACCTGGGGTATGTTCTCGACTTACGGCGGGGATGGCCCTTCAAAACACGAGTTTCTTCAGTGACGTCAGGACTTCTGTCTAGTAACGAGGGACACCTCAGGAATCTCTTCGAGGCTTGGCAGGGCCAAAGGGACGCTTCTCGAGGTGAGGCAGGGCACCCAAGGACCCTTTCCAGTAGCCACAGGGATTTTGGGATTCCTATCAGTATTCAAGAGGAGTCAGGCATCGTCACCTTTTGAAGCAATGAACTCCGCGTGCCTCTCGAGGTGTCAGCGGGATGTGAGGCATTCCGTCAAAATGAGGCAGGGACCTAGGGCTTTCTCTAAGGTCTCCACAGGGGATTCAGACATCCCTTCATGTTGTGAGATGTAAGACGAGCCTGTATTCAAGCCACTGCAAGGAAATCCGGCCTCCTTTCAAGTTAGGGCTTCTCGCTGTATATTCCCCTTGAGGCAGCAAACTCGGGGTCCCTCCCACATACCTATTGCTGAGAGAAGCCTCCTCCTGAGGTGCTTCTGGGAAGTTGGCATACGTCTTGAGCCTAAGCCAGGGAATCAGCTCGCATCTCGAGACGATTTGGGGTACACGGAGCATTCCTCGAGTTGCTGTGCTGAAGTTGGTGTTCCTCTAGACTTCGGACAGTGTTCTCGGGGCATCTCTGGAGTTGCCTGAAGGAAGTCGAGCCACCGGTCGTGTTGAATGTGGAACGGGGAATGGCTCTGGAGTCAATGCAGGGGAATCGGGCCTCATCTCGAGTTGATTTGGGGCACATGGAGCTGCTTTGCGTGGCTGGGGTGACCTCAGGGTCCGTCTAGACTGGTGACAGTGTTCTTGGGGACTGTCTCGAGATCCATTAAGCAAGTCGAAGCTCCTGACTTGTTTGAATGGGATCACGGAATAGCTCTGCATGCACTGCAGGGGAATGGGGCCTCATCTCGCCTCTAGGGGGAAGTCTCATGGTTTTTCTCGAGTTGCGGCGGGGACCTGGGGTATGTTCTCGACTTATGGCGGGGATGGCCCTTCAAAACACGAGTTTCTTCAGTGACGTCAGGACTCCTGTCTAGTAACTAGGGACACCTCAGGAATCTCTTCGAGGCTTGGCAGGGCCAAAGGGACGCTTCCCGAGGCGAGGCAGGGCACCCAAGGACCCTTTCCAGTAGCCACAGGGATTTTGGGATTCCTATCAGTATTCAAGAGGAGTCAGGCATCGTCACCTTTTGAAGCAATGAACTCCGCGTGCCTCTCGAGGTGTCAGCGGGATGTGAGGCATTCCGTCAAAATGAGGCAGGGACCTAGGGCTTTCTCTAAGGTCTCCACAGGGGATTCAGACATCCCTTCATGTTGTGAGATGAAAGTCGAGCCTGTATTCAAGCCACTGCAAGGAAATCCGACCTCCTTTCAAGTTAGGGCTTCTCGCTGTATATTCCCCTTGAGGCAGCAAACTCGGGGTCCCTCCCACATACCTATTGCTGAGAGAAGCCTCCTCCTGAGGTGCTTCTGGGAAGTTGGCATACGTCTTGAGCCTAAGCCAGGGAATCAGCTCGCATCTCGAGACGATTTGGGGTACACGGAGCATTCCTCGAGTGGCTGTGCTGAAGTTGGTGTTCCTCTAGACTTGGGACAGTGTTCTCGGGGCATCTCTGGAGTTGCCTGAAGGAAGTCGAGCCACCGGTCGTGTTGAATGGGGAACGGGGAATGGCTCTGGAGTCAATGCAGGGGAATCGGGCCTCATCTCGAGTTGATTTGGGGCACATGGAGCTGCTTTGCGTGGCTGGGGTTGACCTCAGGGTCCGTCTAGACTGGTGACAGTGTTCTTGGGGACTGTCTCGAGATCCATTAAGCAAGTCGAAGCTCCTGACTTGTTTGAATGGGATCACGGAATAGCTCTGCATGCACTGCAGGGGAATGGGGCCTCATCTCGCCTCTAGGGGGAAGTCTCATGGTTTTTCTCGAGTTGCGGCGGGGACCTGGGGTATGTTCTCGACTTACGGCGGGGATGGCCCTTCAAAACACGAGTTTCTTCAGTGACGTCAGGACTCCTGTCTAGTAACGAGGGACACCTCAGGAATCTCTTCGAGGCTTGGCAGGGCAAAAGGGACGCTTCCCGAGGTGAGGCAGGGCACCCAAGGACCCTTTCCAGTAGCCACAGGGATTTTGGGATTCCTATCAGTATTCAAGAGGAGTCAGGCATCGTCACCTTTTGAAGCAATGAACTCCGCGTGCCTCTCGAGGTGTCAGCGGGATGTGAGGCATTCCGTCAAAATGAGGCAGGGACCTAGGGCTTTCTCTAAGGTCTCCACAGGGGATTCAGACATCCCTTCATGTTGTGAGATGAAAGACGAGCCTGTATTCAAGCCACTGCAAGGAAATCCGGCCTCCTTTCAAGTTAGGGCTTCTCGCTGTATATTCCCCTTGAGGCAGCAAACTCGGGGTCCCTCCCACATACCTATTGCTGAGAGAAGCCTCCTCCTGAGGTGCTTCTGGGAAGTTGGCATACGTCTTGAGCCTAAGCCAGGGAATCAGCTCGCATCTCGAGACGATTTGGGGTACACGGAGCATTCCTCGAGTTGCTGTGCTGAAGTTGGTGTTCCTCTAGACTTGGGACAGTGTTCTCTGGGCAACTCTGGAGTTGCCTGAAGGAAGTCGAGCCACCGGTCGTGTTGAATGTGGAACGGGGAATGGCTCTGGAGTCAATGCAGGGGAATCGGGCCTCATCTCGAGTTGATTTGGGGCACATGGAGCTGCTTTGCGTGGCTGGGGTGACCTCAGGGTCCGTCTAGGCAGTTGACAGTGTTCTTGGGGACTGTCTCGAGATCCATTAAGCAAGTCGAAGCTCCTGACTTGTTTGAATGGGATCACGGAATAGCTCTGCATGCACTGCAGGGGAATGGGGCCTCATCTCGCCTCTAGGGGGAAGTCTCATGGTTTTTCTCGAGTTGCGGCGGGGACCTGGGGTATGTTCTCGACTTACGGCGGGGATGGCCCTTCAAAACACGAGTTTCTTCAGTGACGTCAGGACTCCTGTCTAGTAACGAGGGACACCTCAGGAATCTCTTCGAGGCTTGGCAGGGCCAAAGGGACGCTTCTCGAGGTGAGGCAGGGCACCCAAGGACCCTTTCCAGTAGCCACAGGGATTTTGGGATTCCTATCAGTATTCAAGAGGAGTCAGGCATCGTCACCTTTTGAAGCAATGAACTCCGCGTGCCTCTCGAGGTGTCAGCGGGATGTGAGGCATTCCGTCAAAATGAGGCAGGGACCTAGGGCTTTCTCTAAGGTCTCCACAGGGGATTCAGACATCCCTTCATGTTGTGAGATGAAAGACGAGCCTGTATTCAAGCCACTGCAAGGAAATCCGGCCTCCTTTCAAGTTAGGGCTTCTCGCTGTATATTCCCCTTGAGGCAGCAAACTCGGGGTCCCTCACACATACAAATTGCTGAGAGAAGCCTCCTCCTGAGGTGCTTCTGGGAAGTTGGCATACGTCTTGAGCCTAAGCCAGGGAGTCAGCTCGCATCTGGAGACGATTTGGGGTACACGGAGCATTCCTCGAGTTGCTGTGCTGAAGTTGGTGTTCCTCTAGACTTGGGACAGTGTTCTCGGGGCATCTCTGGAGTTGCCTGAAGGAAGTCAAGCCACCGGTCGTGTTGAATGGGGAACGGGGAATGGCTCTGGAGTCAATGCAGGGGAATCGGGCCTCATCTCGAGTTGATTTGGGGCACATGGAGCTGCTTTGCGTGGCTGGGGTGACCTCAGGGTCCGTCTAGACTGGTGACAGTGTTCTTGGGGACTGTCTCGAGATCCATTAAGCAAGTCGAAGCTCCTGACTTGTTTGAATGGGATCACGGAATAGCTCTGCATGCACTGCAGGGGAATGGGGCCTCATCTCGCCTCTAGGGGGAAGTCTCATGGTTTTTCTCGAGTTGCGGCGGGGACCTGGGGTATGTTCTCGACTTACGGCGGGGATGGCCCTTCAAAACACGAGTTTCTTCAGTGACGTCAGGACTCCTGTCTAGTAACGAGGGACACCTCAGGAATCTCTTCGAGGCTTGGCAGGGCAAAAGGGACGCTTCTCGAGGTGAGGCAGGGCACCCAAGGACCCTTTCCAGTAGCCACAGGGATTTTGGGATTCCTATCAGTATTCAAGAGGAGTCAGGCATCGTCACCTTTTGAAGCAATGAACTCCGCGTGCCTCTCGAGGTGTCAGCGGGATGTGAGGCATTCCGTCAAAATGAGGCAGGGACCTAGGGCTTTCTCTAAGGTCTCCACAGGGGATTCAGACATCCCTTCATGTTGTGAGATGAAAGACGAGCCTGTATTCAAGCCACTGCAAGGAAATCCGGCCTCCTTTCAAGTTAGGGCTTCTCGCTGTATATTCCCCTTGAGGCAGCAAACTCGGGGTCCCTCCCACATACCTATTGCTGAGAGAAGCCTCCTCCTGAGGTGCTTCTGGGAAGTTGGCATACGTCTTGAGCCTAAGCCAGGGAATCAGCTCGCATCTCGAGACGATTTGGGGTACACGGAGCATTCCTCGAGTTGCTGTGCTGAAGTTGGTGTTCCTCTAGACTTGGGACAGTGTTCTCGGGGCATCTCTGGAGTTGCCTGAAGGAAGTCGAGCCACCGGTCGTGTTGAATGGGGAACGGGGAATGGCTCTGGAGTCAATGCAGGGGAATCGGGCCTCATCTCGAGTTGATTTGGGGCACATGGAGCTGCTTTGCGTGGCTGGGGTGACCTCAGGGTCCGTCTAGACTGGTGACAGTGTTCTTGGGGACTGTCTCGAGATCCATTAAGCAAGTCGAAGCTCCTGACTTGTTTGAATGGGATCACGGAATAGCTCTGCATGCACTGCAGGGGAATGGGGCCTCATCTCGCCTCTAGGGGGAAGTCTCATGGTTTTTCTCGAGTTGCGGCGCGGACCTGGGGTATGTTCTCGACTTACGGCGGGGATGGCCCTTCAAAACACGAGTTTCTTCAGTGACGTCAGGACTCCTGTCTAGTAACGAGGGACACCTCAGGAATCTCTTCGAGGCTTGGCAGGGCAAAAGGGACGCTTCTCGAGGTGAGGCAGGGCACCCAAGGACCCTTTCCAGTAGCCACAGGGATTTTGGGATTCCTATCAGTATTCAAGAGGAGTCAGGCATCGTCACCTTTTGAAGCAATGAACTCCGCGTGCCTCTCGAGGTGTCAGCGGGATGTGAGGCATTCCGTCAAAATGAGGCAGGGACCTAGGGCTTTCTCTAAGGTCTCCACAGGGGATTCAGACATCCCTTCATGTTGTGAGATGAAAGACGAGCCTGTATTCAAGCCACTGCAAGGAAATCCGGCCTCCTTTCAAGTTAGGGCTTCTCGCTGTATATTCCCCTTGAGGCAGCAAACTCGGGGTCCCTCCCACATACCTATTGCTGAGAGAAGCCTCCTCCTGAGGTGCTTCTGGGAGGTTGGCATACGTCTTGAGCCTAAGCCAGGGAATCAGCTCGCATCTCGAGACGATTTGGGGTACACGGAGCATTCCTCGAGTTGCTGTGCTGAAGTTGGTGTTCCTCTAGACTTGGGACAGTGTTCTCGGGGCATCTCTGGAGTTGCCTGAAGGAAGTAGAGCCACCGGTCGTGTTGAATGGGGAACGGGGAATGGCTCTGGAGTCAATGCAGGGGAATCGGGCCTCATCTCGAGTTGATTTGGGGCACATGGAGCTGCTTTGCGTGGCTGGGGTGACCTCAGGGTCCGTCTAGACTGGTGACAGTGTTCTTGGGGACTGTCTCGAGATCCATTAAGCAAGTCGAAGCTCCTGACTTGTTTGAATGGGATCACGGAATAGCTCTGCATGCACTGCAGGGGAATGGGGCCTCATCTCGCCTCTAGGGGGAACTCTCATGGTTTTTCTCGAGTTGCGGCGGGGACCTGGGGTATGTTCTCGACTTACGGCGGGGATGGCCCTTCAAAACACGAGTTTCTTCAGTGACGTCAGGACTCCTGTCTAGTAACGAGGGACACCTCAGGAATTTCTTCGAGGCTTGGCAGGGCAAAAGGGACGCTTCTCGAGGTGAGGCCGGGCACCCAAGGACCCTTTCCAGTAGCCACAGGGATTTTGGGATTCCTATCAGTATTCAAGAGGAGTCAGGCATCGTCACCTTTTGAAGCAATGAACTCCGCGTGCCTCTCGAGGTGTCAGCGGGATGTGAGGCATTCCGTCAAAATGAGGCAGGGACCTAGGGCTTTCTCTAAGGTCTCCACAGGGGATTCAGACATCCCTTCATGTTGTGAGATGAAAGACGAGCCTGTATTCAAGCCACTGCAAGGAAATCCGGCCTCCTATCAAGTTAGGGCTTCTCGCTGTATATTCCCCTTGAGGCAGCAAACTCGGGGTCCCTCCCACATACCTACTGCTGAGAGAAGCCTCCTCCTGAGGTGCTTCTGGGAAGTTGGCATACGTCTTGAGCCTAAGGCAGGGAATCAGCTCGCATCTCGAGACGATTTGGGGTACATGGAGCATTCCTCGAGTTGCTGTGCTGAAGTTGGTGTTCCTCTAGACTTGGGACAGTGTTCTCGGGGCATCTCTGGAGTTGCCTGAAGGAAGTCAAGCCACCGGTCGTGTTGAATGGGGAACGGGGAATGGCTCTGGAGTCAATGCAGGGGAATCGGGCCTCATCTCGAGTTGATTTGGGGCACATGGAGCTGCTTTGCGTGGCTGGGGTGACCTCAGGGTCCGTCTAGACTGGTGACAGTGTTCTTGGGGACTGTCTCGAGATCCATTAAGCAAGTCGAAGCTCCTGACTTGTTTGAATGGGATCACGGAATAGCTCTGCATGCACTGCAGGGGAATGGGGCCTCATCTCGCCTCTAGGGGGAAGTCTCATGGTTTTTCTCGAGTTGCGGCGGGGACCTGGGGTATGTTCTCGACTTACGGCGGGGATGGCCCTTCAAAACACGAGTTTCTTCAGTGACGTCAGGACTCCTGTCTAGTAACGAGGGACACCTCAGGAATCTCTTCGAGGCTTGGCAGGGCAAAAGGGACGCTTCTCGAGGTGAGGCAGGGCACCCAAGGACCCTTTCCAGTAGCCACAGGGATTTTGGGATTCCTATCAGTATTCAAGAGGAGTCAGGCATCGTCACCTTTTGAAGCAATGAACTCCGCGTGCCTCTCGAGGTGTCAGCGGGATGTGAGGCATTCCGTCAAAATGAGGCAGGGACCTAGGGCTTTCTCTAAGGTCTCCACAGGGGATTCAGACATCCCTTCATGTTGTGAGATGAAAGACGAGCCTGTATTCAAGCCACTGCAAGGAAATCCGGCCTCCTTTCAAGTTAGGGCTTCTCGCTGTATATTCCCCTTGAGGCAGCAAACTCGGGGTCCCTCCCACATACCTATTGCTGAGAGAAGCCTCCTCCGGAGGTGCTTCTGGGAAGTTGGCATACGTCTTGAGCCTAAGCCAGGGAATCAGCTCGCATCTCGAGACGATTTGGGGTACACGGAGCATTCCTCGAGTTGCTGTGCTGAAGTTGGTGTTCCTCTAGACTTGGGACAGTGTTCTCGGGGCATCTCTGGAGTTGCCTGAAGGAAGTCGAGCCACCGGTCGTGTTGAATGGGGAACGGGGAATGGCTCTGGAGTCAATGCAGGGGAATCGGGCCTCATCTCGAGTTGATTTGGGGCACATGGAGCTGCTTTGTGTGGCTGGGGTGACCTCAGGGTCCGTCTAGACTGGTGACAGTGTTCTTGGGGACTGTCTCGAGATCCATTAAGCAAGTCGAAGCTCCTGACTTGTTTGAATGGGATCACGGAATAGCTCTGCATGCACTGCAGGGGAATGGGGCCTCATCTCGCCTCTAGGGGGAAGTCTCATGGTTTTTCTCGAGTTGCGCCGGGGACCTGGGGTATGTTCTCGACTTACGGCGGGGATGGCCCTTCAAAACACGAGTTTCTTCAGTGACGTCAGGACTCCTGTCTAGTAACGAGGGACACCTCAGGAATCTCTTCGAGGCTTGGCAGGGCAAAAGGGACGCTTCTCGAGGTGAGGCAGGGCACCCAAGGACCCTTTCCAGTAGCCACAGGGATTTTGGGATTCCTATCAGTATTCAAGAGTAATCAGGCATCGTCACCTTTTGAAGCAATGAACTCCGCGTGCCTCTCGAGGTGTCAGCGGGATGTGAGGCATTCCTTCAAAATGAGGCAGGGACCTAGGGCTTTCTCTAAGGTCTCCACAGGGGATTCAGCCATCCCTTCATGTTGTGAGATGAAAGACGAGCCTGTATTCAAGCCACTGCAAGGAAATCTGGCCTCCTTTCAAGTTAGGGCTTCTCGCTGTATATTCCCCTTGAGGCAGCAAACTCGGGGTCCCTCCCACATACGTATTGCTGAGAGAAGCCTGCTCCTGAGGTGCTTCTGGGAAGTTGGCATACGTCTTGAGCCTAAGCCAGGGAATCAGCTCGCATCTCGAGACGATTTGGGGTACACGGAGCATTCCTCGAGTTTCTGTGCTGAAGTTGGTGTTCCTCTAGACTTGGGACAGTGTTCTCGGGGCATCTCTGGAGTTGCCTGAAGGAAGTCGAGCCACCGGTCGTGTTGAATGGGGAACGGGGAATGGCTCTGGAGTCAATGCAGGGGAATCGGGCCTCATCTCGAGTTGATTTGGGGCACATGGAGCTGCTTTGCGTGGCTGGGGTGACCTCAGGGTCCGTCTAGACTGGTGACAGTGTTCTTGGGGACTGTCTCGAGATCCTTTAAGCAAGTCGAAGCTCCTGACTTGTTTGAATGGGATCACGGAATAGCTCTGCATGCACTGCAGGGGAATGGGGCCTCATCTCGCCTCTAGGGGGAAGTCTCATGGTTTTTCTCGAGTTGCGGCGGGGACCTGGGGTATGTTCTCGACTTACGGCGGGGATGGCCCTTCAAAACACGAGTTTCTTCAGTGACGTCAGGACTCCTGTCTAGTAACGAGGGACACCTCAGGAATCTCTTCGAGGCTTGGCAGGGCAAAAGGGACGCTTCTCGAGGTGAGGCAGGGCACCCAAGGACCCTTTCCAGTAGCCACAGGGATTTTGGGATTCCTATCAGTATTCAAGAGGAGTCAGGCATCGTCACCTTTTGAAGCAATGAACTCCGCGTGCCTCTCGAGGTGTCAGCGGGATGTGAGGCATTCCGTCAAAATGAGGCAGGGACCTAGGGCTTTCTCTAAGGTCTCCACAGGGGATTCAGACATCCCTTCATGTTGTGAGATGAAAGACGAGCCTGTATTCAAGCCACTGCAAGGAAATCCGGCCTCCTTTCAAGTTAGGGCTTCTCGCTGTATATTCCCCTTGAGGCAGCAAACTCGGGGTCCCTCCCACATACCTATTGCTGAGAGAAGCCTCCTCCGGAGGTGCTTCTGGGAAGTTGGCATACGTCTTGAGCCTAAGCCAGGGAATCAGCTCGCATCTCGAGACGATTTGGGGTACACGGAGCATTCCTCGAGTTGCTGTGCTGAAGTTGGTGTTCCTCTAGACTTGGGACAGTGTTCTCGGGGCATCTCTGGAGTTGCCTGAATGAAGTCGAGCCACCGGTCGTGTTGAATGGGGAACGGGGAATGGCTCTGGAGTCAATGCAGGGGAATCGGGCCTCATCTCGAGTTGATTTGGGGCACATGGAGCTGCTTTGCGTGGCTGGGGTGACCTCAGGGTCCGTCTAGACTGGTGACAGTGTTCTTGGGGACTGTCTCGAGATCCATTAAGCAAGTCGAAGCTCCTGACTTGTTTGAATGGGATCACGGAATAGCTCTGCATGCACTGCAGGGGAATGGGGCCTCATCTCGCCTCTAGGGGGAAGTCTCATGGTTTTTCTCGAGTTGCGGCGGGGACCTGGGGTATGTTCTCCACTTACGGCGGGGATGGCCCTTCAAAACACGAGTTTCTTCAGTGACGTCAGGACTCCTGTCTAGTAACGAGGGACACCTCAGGAATCTCTTCGAGGCTTGGCAGGGCCAAAGGGACGCTTCCCGAGGTGAGGCAGGGCACCCAAGGACCCTTTCCAGTAGCCACAGGGATTTTGGATTCCTATCAGTATTCAAGAGGAGTCAGGCATCGTCACCTTTTGAAGCAATGAACTCCGCGTGCCTCTCGAGGTGTCAGCGGGATGTGAGGCATTCCGTCAAAATGAGGCAGGGACCTAGGGCTTTCTCTAAGGTCTCCACAGGGGATTCAGACATCCCTTCATGTTGTGAGATGAAAGACGAGCCTGTATTCAAGCCACTGCAAGGAAATCCGGCCTCCTTTCAAGTTAGGGCTTCTCGCTGTATATTCCCCTTGAGGCAGCAAACTCGGGGTCCCTCCCACATACCTATTGCTGAGAGAAGCCTCCTCCGGAGGTGCTTCTGGGAAGTTGGCATACGTCTTGAGCCTAAGCCAGGGAATCAGGTCGCATCTCGAGACGATTTGGGGTACACGGAGCATTCCTCGAGTTGCTGTGCTGAAGTTGGTGTTCCTCTAGACTTGGGACAGTGTTCTCGGGGCATCTCTGGAGTTGCCTGAAGGAAGTCGAGCCACCGGTCGTGTTGAATGGGGAACGGGGAATGGCTCTGGAGTCAATGCAGGGGAATCGGGCCTCATCTCGAGTTGATTTGGGGCACATGGAGCTGCTTTGCGTTGCTGGGGTGACCTCAGGGTCCGTCTAGACTGGTGACAGTGTTCTTGGGGACTGTCTCGAGATCCATTAAGCAAGTCGAAGCTCCTGACTTGTTTGAATGGGATCACGGAATAGCTCTGCATGCACTGCAGGGGAATGGGGCCTCATCTCGCCTCTAGGGGGAAGTCTCATGGTTTTTCTCGAGTTGCGGCGGGGACCTGGGGTATGTTCTCGACTTACGGCGGGGATGGCCCTTCAAAACACGAGTTTCTTCAGTGACGTCAGGACTCCTGTCTAGTAACGAGGGACACCTCAGGAATCTCTTCGAGGCTTGGCAGGGCAAAAGGGACGCTTCTCGAGGTGAGGCAGGGCACCCAAGGACCCTTTCCAGTAGCCACAGGGATTTTGGGATTCCTATCAGTATTCAAGAGGAGTCAGGCATCGTCACCTTTTGAAGCAATGAACTCCGCGTGCCTCTCGAGGTGTCAGCGGGATGTGAGGCATTCCGTCAAAATGAGGCAGGGACCTAGGGCTTTCTCTAAGGTCTCCACAGGGGATTCAGACATCCCTTCATGTTGTGAGATGAAAGACGAGCCTGTATTCAAGCCACTGCAAGGAAATCCGGCCTCCTTTCAAGTTAGGGCTTCTCGCTGTATATTCCCCTTGAGGCAGCAAACTCGGGGTCCCTCCCACATACCTATTGCTGAGAGAAGCCTCCTCCTGAGGTGCTTCTGGGAAGTTGGCATACGTCTTGAGCCTAAGCCAGGGAATCAGCTCGCATCTCGAGACGATTTGGGGTACACGGAGCATTCCTCGAGTTGCTGTGCTGAAGTTGGTGTTCCTCTAGACTTGGGACAGTGTTCTCGGGGCATCTCTGGAGTTGCCTGAAGGAAGTCGAGCCACCGGTCGTGTTGAATGGGGAACGGGGAATGGCTCTGGAGTCAATGCAGGGGAATCGGGCCTCATCTCGAGTTGATTTGGGGCACATGGAGCTGCTTTGCGTGGCTGGGGTGACCTCAGGGTCCGTCTAGACTGGTGACAGTGTTCTTGGGGACTGTCTCGAGATGCATTAAGCAAGTCGAAGCTCCTGACTTGTTTGAATGGGATCACGGAATAGCTCTGCATGCACTGCAGGGGAATGGGGCCTCATCTCGCCTCTAGGGGGAAGTCTCATGGTTTTTCTCGAGTTGCGGCGGGGACCTGGGGTATGTTCTCGACTTACGGCAGGGATGGCCCTTCAAAACACGAGTTTCTTCAGTGACGTCAGGACTCCTGTCTAGTAACGAGGGACACCTCAGGAATCTCTTCGAGGCTTGGCAGGGCAAAAGGGACGCTTCTCGAGGTGAGGCAGGGCACCCAAGGACCCTTTCCAGTAGCCACAGGGATTTTGGGATTCCTATCAGTATTCAAGAGGAGTCAGGCATCGTCACCTTTTGAAGCAATGAACTCCGCGTGCCTCTCGAGGTGTCAGCGGGATGTGAGGCATTCCGTCAAAATGAGGCAGGGACCTAGGGCTTTCTCTAAGGTCTCCACAGGGGATTCAGACATCCCTTCATGTTGTGAGATGAAAGACGAGCCTGTATTCAAGCCACTGCAAGGAAATCCGGCCTCCTATCAAGTTAGGGCTTCTCGCTGTATATTCCCCTTGAGGCAGCAAACTCGGGGTCCCTCCCACATACCTACTGCTGAGAGAAGCCTCCTCCTGAGGTGCTTCTGGGAAGTTGGCATACGTCTTGAGCCTAAGCCAGGGAATCAGCTCGCATCTCGAGACGATTTGGGGTACACGGAGCATTCCTAGAGTTGCTGTGCTGAAGTTGGTGTTCCTCTAGACTTGGGACAGTGTTCTCGGGGCATCTCTGGAGTTGCCTGAAGGAAGTCAAGCCACCGGTCGTGTTGAATGGGGAACGGGGAATGGCTCTGGAGTCAATGCAGGGGAATCGGGCCTCATCTCGAGTTGATTTGGGGCACATGGAGCTGCTTTGCGTGGCTGGGGTGACCTCAGGGTCCGTCTAGACTGGTGACAGTGTTCTTGGGGACTGTCTCGAGATCCATTAAGCAAGTCGAAGCTCCTGACTTGTTTGAATGGGATCACGGAATAGCTCTGCATGCACTGCAGGGGAATGGGGCCTCATCTCGCCTCTAGGGGGAAGTCTCATGGTTTTTCTCGAGTTGCGGCGGGGACCTGGGGTATGTTCTCGACTTACGGCGGGGATGGCCCTTCAAAACACGAGTCTCTTCAGTGACGTCAGGACTCATGTCTAGTAACGAGGGACACCTCAGGAATCTCTTCGAGGCTTGGCAGGGCAAAAGGGACGCTTCTCGAGGTGAGGCAGTGCACCCAAGGACCCTTTCCAGTAGCCACAGGGATTTTGGGATTCCTATCAGTATTCAAGAGGAGTCAGGCATCGTCACCTTTTGAAGCAATGAACTCCGCGTGCCTCTCGAGGTGTCAGCGGGATGTGAGGCATTCCGTCAAAATGAGGCAGGGACCTAGGGCTTTCTCTAAGGTCTCCACAGGGGATTCAGACATCCCTTCATGTTGTGAGATGAAAGACGAGCCTGTATTCAAGCCACTGCAAGGAAATCCGGCCTCCTTTCAAGTTAGGGCTTCTCGCTGTATATTCCCCTTGAGGCAGCAAACTCGGGGTCCCTCCCACATACCTATTGCTGAGAGAAGCCTCCTCCTGAGGTGCTTCTGGGAAGTTGGCATACGTCTTGAGCCTAAGCCAGGGAATCAGCTCGCATCTCGAGACGATTTGGGGTACACGGAGCATTCCTCGAGTTGCTGTGCTGAAGTTGGTGTTCCTCTAGACTTGGGACAGTGTTCTCGGGGCATCTCTGGAGTGGCCTGAAGGAAGTCGAGCCACCGGTCGTGTTGAATGGGGAACGGGGAATGGCTCTGGAGTCAATGCAGGGGAATCGGGCCTCATCTCGAGTTGATTTGGGGCACATGGAGCTGCTTTGCGTGGCTGGGGTGACCTCAGGGTCCGTCTAGACTGGTGACAGTGTTCTTGGGGACTGTCTCGAGATCCATTAAGCAAGTCGAAGCTCCTGACTTGTTTGAATGGGATCACGGAATAGCTCTGCATGCACTGCAGGGGAATGGGGCCTCATCTCGCCTCTAGGGGGAAGTCTCATGGTTTTTCTCGAGTTGCGGCGGGGACCTGGGGTATGTTCTCGACTTACGGCGGGGATGGCCCTTCAAAACACGAGTTTCTTCAGTGACGTCAGGACTCCTGTCTAGTAACGAGGGACACCTCAGGAATCTCTTCGAGGCTTGGCAGGGCAAAAGGGACGCTTCTCGAGGTGAGGCAGGGCACCCAAGGACCCTTTCCAGTAGCCACAGGGATTTTGGGATTCCTATCAGTATTCAAGAGGAGTCAGGCATCGTCACCTTTTGAAGCAATGAACTCCGCGTGCCTCTCGAGGTGTCAGCGGGATGTGAGGCATTCCGTCAAAATGAGGCAGGGACCTAGGGCTTTCTCTAAGGTCTCCACAGGGGATTCAGACATCCCTTCATGTTGTGAGATGAAAGACGAGCCTGTATTCAAGCCACTGCAAGGAAATCCGGCCTCCTATCAAGTTAGGGCTTCTCGCTGTATATTCCCCTTGAGGCAGCAAACTCGGGGTCCCTCCCACATACCTACTGCTGAGAGAAGCCTCCTCCTGAGGTGCTTCTGGGAAGTTGGCATACGTCTTGAGCCTAAGCCAGGGAATCAGCTCGCATCTCGAGACGATTTGGGGTACACGGAGCATTCCTCGAGTTGCTGTGCTGAAGTTGGTGTTCCTCTAGACTTGGGACAGTGTTCTCGGGGCATCTCTGGAGTTGCCTGAAGGAAGTCAAGCCACCGGTCGTGTTGAATGGGGAACGGGGAATGGCTCTGGAGTCAATGCAGGGGAATCGGGCCTCATCTCGAGTTGATTTGGGGCACATGGAGCTGCTTTGCGTGGCTGGGGTGACCTCAGGGTCCGTCTAGACTGGTGACAGTGTTCTTGGGGACTGTCTCGAGATCCATTAAGCAAGTCGAAGCTCCTGACTTGTTTGAATGGGATCACGGAATAGCTCTGCATGCACTGCAGGGGAATGGGGCCTCATCTCGCCTCTAGGGGGAAGTCTCATGGTTTTTCTCGAGTTGCGGCGGGGACCTGGGGTATGTTCTCCACTTACGGCGGGGATGGCCCTTCAAAACACGAGTTTCTTCAGTGACGTCAGGACTCCTGTCTAGTAACGAGGGACACCTCAGGAATCTCTTCGAGGCTTGGCAGGGCAAAAGGGACGCTTCTCGAGGTGAGGCAGGGCACCCAAGGACCCTTTCCAGTAGCCACAGGGATTTTGGGATTCTTATCAGTATTCAAGAGGAGTCAGGCATCGTCACCTTTTGAAGCAATGAACTCCGCGTGCCTCTCGAGGTGTCAGCGGGATGTGAGGCATTCCATCAAAATGAGGCAGGGACCTAGGGCTTTCTCTAAGGTCTCCACAGGGGATTCAGACATCCCTTCATGTTGTGAGATGAAAGACGAGCCTGTATTCAAGCCACTGCAAGGAAATCCGGCCTCCTTTCAAGTTAGGGCTTCTCGCTGTATATTCCCCTTGAGGCAGCAAACTCGGGGTCCCTCCCACATACCTATTGCTGAGAGAAGCCTCCTCCGGAGGTGCTTCTGGGAAGTTGGCATACGTCTTGAGCCTAAGCCAGGGAATCAGCTCGCATCTCGAGACGATTTGGGGTACACGGAGCATTCCTCGAGTTGCTGTGCTGAAGTTGGTGTTCCTCTAGACTTGGGACAGTGTTCTCGGGTCATCTCTGGAGTTGCCTGAAGGAAGTCAAGCCACCGGTCGTGTTGAATGGGGAACGGGGAATGGCTCTGGAGTCAATGCAGGGGAATCGGGCCTCATCTCGAGTTGATTTGGGGCACATGGAGCTGCTTTGCGTGGCTGGGGTGACCTCAGGGTCCGTCTAGACTGGTGACAGTGTTCTTGGGGACTGTCTCGAGATCCATTAAGCAAGTCGAAGCTCCTGACTTGTTTGAATGGGATCACGGAATAGCTCTGCATGCACTGCAGGGGAATGGGGCCTCATCTCGCCTCTAGGGGGAAGTCTCATGGTTTTTCTCGAGTTGCGGCGGGGACCTGGGGTATGTTCTCGACTTACGGCGGGGATGGCCCTTCAAAACACGAGTTTCTTCAGTGACGTCAGGACTCCTGTCTAGTAACGAGGGACACCTCAGGAATCTCTTCGAGGCTTGGCAGGGCCAAAGGGACGCTTCCCGAGGTGAGGCAGGGCACCCAAGGACCCTTTCCAGTAGCCACAGGGATTTTGGGATTCCTATCAGTATTCAAGAGGAGTCAGGCATCGTCACCTTTTGAAGCAATGAACTCCGCGTGCCTCTCGAGGTGTCAGCGGGATGTGAGGCATTCCGTCAAAATGAGGCAGGGATCTAGGGCTTTCTCTAAGGTCTCCACAGGGGATTCAGACATCCCTTCATGTTGTGAGATGTAAGACGAGCCTGTATTCAAGCCACTGCAAGGAAATCCGGCCTCCTTTCAAGTTAGGGCTTCTCGCTGTATATTCCCCTTGAGGCAGTAAACTCGGGGTCCCTCCCACATACCTATTACTGAGAGAAGCCTCCTCCTGAGGTGATTCTGGGAAGTTGGCATACGTCTTGAGCCTAAGCCAGGAATCAGGTCGCATCTCGAGACGATTTCGGGTACACGGAGCATTCCTCGAGTTGCTGTGCTGAAGTTGGTGTTCCTCTAGACTTGGGACAGTGTTCTCGGGGCATCTCTGGAGTTGCCTGAAGGAAGTCGAGCCACCGGTCGTGTTGAATGGGGAACGGGGAATGGCTCTGGAGTCAATGCAGGGGAATCGGGCCTCACCTCGAGTTGATTTGGGGCACATGGAGCTGCTTTGCGTGGCTGGGGTGACCTCAGGGTCCGTCTAGAATGGTGACAGTGTTCTTGGGGACTGTCTCGAGATCCATTAAGCAAGTCGAAGCTCCTGACTTGTTTGAATGGGATCACGGAATAGCTCTGCATGCACTGCAAAGGAATGGGGCCTCATCTCGCCTCTAGGGGGAAGTCTCATGGTTTTTCTCGAGTTGCGGCGGGGACCTGGGGTATGTTCTCGACTTACGGCGGGGATGGCCCTTCAAAACACGAGTTTCTTCAGTGACGTCAGGACTCCTGTCTAGTAACGAGGGACACCTCAGGAATCTCTTCGAGGCTTGGCAGGGCCTAAGGGACGCTTCCCGAGGTGAGGCAGGGCACCCAAGGACCCTTTCCAGTAGCCACAGGGATTTTGGGATTCCTATCAGTATTCAAGAGGAGTCAGGCATCGTCACCTTTTGAAGCAATGAACTCCGCGTGCCTCTCGAGGTGTCAGCGGGATGTGAGGCATTCCGTCAAAATGAGGCAGGGACCTAGGGCTTTCTCTAAGGTCTCCACAGGGGATTCAGACATCCCTTCATGTTGTGAGATGAAAGACGAGCCTGTATTCAAGCCACTGCAAGGAAATCCGGCCTCCTTTCAAGTTAGGGCTTCTCGCTGTATATTCCCCTTGAGGCAGCAAACTCGGGGTCCCTCCCTCATACCTATTGCTGAGAGAAGCCTCCTCCTGAGGTGCTTCTGGGAAGTTGGCATACGTCTTGAGCCTAAGCCAGGGAATCAGGTCGCATCTCGAGACGATTTGGGGTACACGGAGCATTCCTCGAGTTGCTGTGCTGAAGTTGGTGTTCCTCTAGACTTGGGACAGTGTTCTCGGGGCATCTCTGGAGTTGCCTGAAGGAAGTCGAGCCACCGGTCGTGTTGAATGGGGAACGGGGAATGGCTCTGGAGTCAATGCAGGGGAATCGGGCCTCATCTCGAGTTGATTTGGGGCACATGGAGCTGCTTTGCGTGGCTGGGGTGACCTCAGGGTCCGTCTAGACTGGTGACAGTGTTCTTGGGGACTGTCTCGAGATCCATTAAGCAAGTCGAAGCTCCTGACTTGTTTGAATGGGATCACGGAATAGCTCTGCATGCACTGCAGGGGAATGGGCCCTCATCTGGCCTCTAGGGGGAAGTCTCATGGTTTTTCTCGAGTTGCGGCGGGGACCTGGGGTATGTTCTCGACTTACGGCGGGGATGGCCCTTCAAAACACGAGTTTCTTCAGTGACGTCAGGACTCCTGTCTAGTAACGAGGGACACCTCAGGAATCTCTTCGAGGCTTGGCAGGGCAAAAGGGACGCTTCTCGAGGTGAGGCAGGGCACCCAAGTACACTTTCCAGTAGCCACAGGGATTTTGGGATTCCTTTCAGTATTCAAGAGGAGTCAGGCATCGTCACCTTTTGAAGCAATGAACTCCGCGTGCCTCTCGAGGTGTCAGCGGGATGTGAGGCATTCCGTCAAAATGAGGCAGGGACCTAGGGCTTTCTCTAAGGTCTCCACAGGGGATTCAGACATCCCTTCATGTTGTGAGATGAAAGACGAGCCTGTATTCAAGCCACTGCAAGGAAATCCGGCCTCCTTTCAAGTTAGGGCTTCTCGCTGTATATTCCCCTTGAGGAAGCAAACTCGGGGTCCCTCCCACATACCTATTGCTGAGAGAAGCCTCCTCCTGAGGTGCTTCTGGGAAGTTGGCATACGTCTTGAGCCTAAGCCAGGGAATCAGCTCGCATCTCGAGACGATTTGGGGTACACGGAGCATTCCTCGAGTTGCTGTGCTGAAGTTGGTGTTCCTCTAGACTTGGGACAGTGTTCTCGGGGCATCTCTGGAGTTGCCTGAAGGAAGTCGAGCCACCGGTCGTGTTGAATGGGGAACGGGGAATGGCTCGAGTCAATGCAGGGGAATCGGGCCTCATCTCGAGTTGATTTGGGGCACATCGAGCTGCTTTGCGTTGCTGGGGTGACCTCAGGGTCCGTCTAGACTGGTGACAGTGTTCTTGGGGACTGTCTCGAGATCCATTAAGCAAGTCGAAGCTCCTGACTTGTTTGAATGGGATCACGGAATAGCTCTGCATGCACTGCAGGGGAATGGGGCCTCATCTCGCCTCTAGGGGGAAGTCTCATGGTTTTTCTCGAGTTGCGGCGGGGACCTGGGGTATGTTCTCGACTTACGGCGGGGATGGCCCTTCAAAACACGAGTTTCTTCAGTGACGTCAGGACTCCTGTCTAGTAATGAGGGACACCTCAGGAATCTCTTCGAGGCTTGGCAGGGCCAAAGGGACGCTTCTCGAGGTGAGGCAGGGCACCCAAGGACCCTTTCCAGTAGCTACAGGGATTTTGGGATTCCTATCAGTATTCAAGAGGAGTCAGGCATCGTCACCTTTTGAAGCAATGAACTCCGCGTGCCTCTCGAGGTGTCAGCGGGATGTGAGGCATTCCGTCAAAATGAGGCAGGGACCTAGGGCTTTCTCTAAGGTCTCCACAGGGGATTCAGACATCCCTTCATGTTGTGAGATGAAAGACGAGCCTGTATTCAAGCCACTGCAAGGAAATCCGGCCTCCTTTCAAGTTAGGGCTTCTCGCTGTATATTCCCCTTGAGGCAGCAAACTCGGGGTCCCTCCCACATACCTATTGCTGAGAGAAGCCTCCTCCTGAGGTGCTTCTGGGAAGTTGGCATACGTCTTGAGCCTAAGCCAGGGAATCAGCTCGCATCTCGAGACGATTTGGGGTACACGGAGCATTCCTCGAGTTGCTGTGCTGAAGTTGGTGTTCCTCTAGACTTGGGACAGTGTTCTCGGGGCATCTCTGGAGTTGCCTGAAGGAAGTCGAGCCACCGGTCGTGTTGAATGGGGAACGGGGAATGGCTCTGGAGTCAATGCAGGGGAATCGGGCCTCATCTCGAGTTGATTTGGGGCACATGGAGCTGCTTTGCGTGGCTGGGGTGACCTCAGGGTCCGTCTAGACTGGTGACAGTGTTCTTGGGGACTGTCTCGAGATCCATTAAGCAAGTCGAAGCTCCTGACTTGTTTGAATGGGATCACGGAATAGCTCTGCATGCACTGCAGGGGAATGGGGCCACATCTCGCCTCTAGGGTGAAGTCTCATGGTTTTTCTCGAGTTGCGGCGGGGACCTGGGGTATGTTCTCCACTTACGGCGGGGATGGCACTTCAAAACACGAGTTTCTTCAGTGATGTCAGGACTCCTGTCTAGTAACGAGGGACACCTCAGGAATCTCTTCAAGGCTTGGCAGGGCAAAAGGGACGCTTCTCGATGTGAGGCAGGGCACCCAAGGACCCTTTCCAGTAGCCACAGGGATTTTGGGATTCCTATCAGTATTCAAGAGGAGTCAGGCATCGTCACCTTTTGAAGCAATGAACTCCGCGTGCCTCTCGAAGTGTCAGCGGGATGTGAGGCATTCCGTCAAAATGAGGCAGGGACCTAGGGCATTCTCTAAGGTCTCCACAGGGGATTCAGACATCCCTTCATGTTGTGAGATGAAAGACGAGCCTGTATTCAAGCCACTGCAAGGAAATCCGGCCTCCTTTCAAGTTAGGGCTTCTCGCTGTATATTCCCCTTGAGGCAGCAAACTCGGGGTCCCTCCCACATACCTATTGCTGAGAGAAGCCTCCTGAGGTGCTTCTGGGAAGTTGGCATACGTCTTGAGCCTAAGCCAGGGAATCAGCTCGCATCTCGAGACGATTTGGGGTACGCGGAGCATTCCTCGAGTTGCTGTGCTGAAGTTGGTGTTCCTCTAGACTTGGGACAGTGTTCTCGGGGCATCTCTGGAGTTGCCTGAAGGAAGTCAAGCCACCGGTCCTGTTGAATGGGGAACGGGGAATGGCTCTGGAGTCAATGCAGGGGAATCGGGCCTCATCTCGAGTTGATTTGGGGCACATGGAGCTGCTTTGCGTGGCTGGGGTGACCTCAGGGTCCGTCTAGACTGGTGACAGTGTTCTTGGGGACTGTCTCGAGATCCATTAAGCAAGTCGAAGCTCCTTACTTGTTTGAATGGGATCACGGAATAGCTCTGCATGCACTGCAGGGGAATGGGGCCTCATCTCGCCTCTAGGGGGAAGTCTCATGGTTTTTCTCGAGTTGCGGCGGGGACCTGGGGTATGTTCTCGACTTACGGCGGGGATGGCCCTTCAAAACACGAGTTTCTTCAGTGACGTCAGGACTCCTGTCTAGTAACGAGGGACACCTCAGGAATCTCTTCGAGGCTTGGCAGGGCAAAAGGGACGCTTCTCGAGGTGAGGCAGGGCACCCAAGGACACTTTCCAGTAGCCACAGGGATTTTGGGATTCCTTTCAGTATTCAAGAGGAGTCAGGCATCGTCACCTTTTGAAGCAATGAACTCCGCGTGCCTCTCGAGGTGTCAGCGGGATGTGAGGCATTCCGTCAAAATGAGGCAGGGACCTAGGGCTTTCTCTAAGGTCTCCACAGGGGATTCAGACATCCCTTCATGTTGTGAGATGAAAGACGAGCCTGTATTCAAGCCACTGCAAGGAAATCCGGCCTCCTTTCTAGTTAGGGCTTCTCGCTGTATATTCCCCTTGAGGAAGCAAACTCGGGGTCCCTCCCACATACCTATTGCTGAGAGAAGCCTCCTCCTTAGGTGCTTCTGGGAAGTTGGCATACGTCTTGAGCCTAAGCCAGGGAATCAGCTCGCATCTCGAGACGATTTGGGGTACACGGAGCATTCCTCGAGTTGCTATGCTGAAGTTGGTGTTCCTCTAGACTTGGGACAGTGTTCTCGGGGCATCTCTGGAGTTGCCTGAAGGAAGTCGAGCCACCGGTCGTGTTGAATGGGGAACGGGGAATGGCTCTGGAGTCAATGCAGGGGAATCGGGCCTCATCTCGAGTTGATTTGGGGCACATCGAGCTGCTTTGCGTTGCTGGGGTGACCTCAGGGTCCGTCTAGACTGGTGACAGTGTTCTTGGGGACTGTCTCGAGATCCATTAAGCAAGTCGAAGCTCCTGACTTGTTTGAATGGGATCACGGAATAGCTCTGCATGCACTGCAGGGGAATGGGGCCTCATCTCGCCTCTAGGGGGAAGTCTCATGGTTTTTCTCGAGTTGCGGCGGGGACCTGGGGTATGTTCTCGACTTACGGCGGGGATGGCCCTTCAAAACACGAGTTTCTTCAGTGACGTCAGGACTCCTGTCTAGTAATGAGGGACACCTCAGGAATCTCTTCGAGGCTTGGCAGGGCCAAAGGGACGCTTCTCGAGGTGAGGCAGGGCACCCAAGGACCCTTTCCAGTAGCTACAGGGATTTTGGGATTCCTATCAGTATTCAAGAGGAGTCAGGCATCGTCACCTTTTGAAGCAATGAACTCCGCGTGCCTCTCGAGGTGTCAGCGGGATGTGAGGCATTCCGTCAAAATGAGGCAGGGACCTAGGGCTTTCTCTAAGGTCTCCACAGGGGATTCAGACATCCCTTCATGTTGTGAGATGAAAGACGAGCCTGTATTCAAGCCACTGCAAGGAAATCCGGCCTCCTTTCAAGTTAGGGCTTCTCGCTGTATATTCCCCTTGAGGCAGCAAACTCGGGGTCCCTCCCACATACCTATTGCTGAGGGAAGCCTCCTCCTGAGGTGCTTCTGGGAAGTTGGCATACGTCTTGAGCCTAAGCCAGGGAATCAGCTCGCATCTCGAGACGATTTGGGGTACACGGAGCATTCCTCGAGTTGCTGTGCTGAAGTTGGTGTTCCTCTAGACTTGGGACAGTGTTCTCGGGGCATCTCTGGAGTTGCCTGAAGGAAGTCGAGCCACCGGTCGTGTTGAATGGGGAACGGGGAATGGCTCTGGAGTCAATGCAGGGGAATCGGGCCTCATCTCGAGTTGATTTGGGGCACATGGAGCTGCTTTGCGTGGCTGGGGTGACCTCAGGGTCCGTCTAGACTGGTGACAGTGTTCTTGGGGACTGTCTCGAGATCCATTAAGCAAGTCGAAGCTCCTGACTTGTTTGAATGGGATCACGGAATAGCTCTGCATGCACTGCAGGGGAATGGGGCCACATCTCGCCTCTAGGGTGAAGTCTCATGGTTTTTCTCGAGTTGCGGCGGGGACCTGGGGTATGTTCTCCACTTACGGCGGGGATGGCCCTTCAAAACACGAGTTTCTTCAGTGATGTCAGGACTCCTGTCTGGTAACGAGGGACACCTCAGGAATCTCTTCAAGGCTTGGCAGGGCAAAAGGGACGCTTCTCGATGTGAGGCAGGGCACCCAAGGACCCTTTCCAGTAGCCACAGGGATTTTGGGATTCCTATCAGTATTCAAGAGGAGTCAGGCATCGTCACCTTTTGAAGCAATGAACTCCGCGTGCCTCTCGAGGTGTCAGCGGGATGTGAGGCATTCCGTCAAAATGAGGCAGGGAACTAGGGCTTTCTCTAAGGTCTCCACAGGGGATTCAGACATCCCTTCATGTTGTGAGATGAAAGACGAGCCTGTATTCAAGCCACTGCAAGGAAATCCGGCCTCCTTTCAAGTTAGGGCTTCTCGCTGTATATTCCCCTTGAGGCAGCAAACTCGGGGTCCCTCCCACATACCTATTGCTGAGAGAAGCCTCCTCCGGAGGTGCTTCTGGGAAGTTGGCATACGTCTTGAGCCTAAGCCAGGGAATCAGCTCGCATCTCGAGACGATTTGGGGTACACGGAGCATTCCTCGAGTTGCTGTGCTGAAGTTGGTGTTCCTCTAGACTTGGGACAGTGTTCTCGGGGCATCTCTGGAGTTGCCTGAAGGAAGTCGAGCCACCGGTCGTGTTGAATGGGGAACGGGGAATGGCTCTGGAGTCAATGCAGGGGAATCGGGCCTCATCTCTAGTTGATTTGGGGCACATGGAGCTGCTTTGCGTGGCTGGGGTGACCTCAGGGTCCGTCTAGACTGGTGACAGTGTTCTTGGGGACTGTCTCGAGATCCATTAAGCAAGTCGAAGCTCCTGACTTGTTTGAATGGGATCACGGAATAGCTCTGCATGCACTGCAGGGGAATGGGGCCTCATCTCGCCTCTAGGGGGAAGTCTCATGGTTTTTCTCGAGTTGCGGCGGGGACCTGGGGTATGTTCTCGACTTACGGCGGGGATGGCCCTTCAAAACACGAGTTTCTTCAGTGACGTCAGGACTCCTGTCTAGTAACGAGGGACACCTCATTAATCGCTTCGAGGCTTGGCAGGGCCAAATGGACGCTTCCCGAGGTGAGGCAGGGCACCCAAGGACCCTTTCCAGTAGCCACAGGGATTTTGGGATTCCTATCAGTATTCAAGAGGAGTCAGGCATCGTCACCTTTTGAAGCAATGAACTCCGCGTGCCTCTCGAGGTGTCAGCGGGATGTGAGGCATTCCGTCAAAATGAGGCAGGGACCTAGGGCTTTCTCTAAGGTCTCCACAGGGGATTCAGACATCCCTTCATGTTGTGAGATGTAAGACGAGCCTGTATTCAAGCCACTGCAAAGAAATCCGGCCTCCTTTCAAGTTAGGGCTTCTCGCTGTATATTCCCCTTGAGGCAGCAAACTCGGGGTCCCTCCCACATACCTATTGCTGAGAGAAGCCTCCTCCTGAGGTGCTTCTGGGAAGTTGGCATACGTCTTGAGCCTAAGCCAGGTAATCAGCTCGCATCTCGAGACGATTTGGGGCACACGGAGCATTCCTCGAGTTGCTGTGCTGAAGTTGGTGTTCCTCTAGACTTGGGACAGTGTTCTCGGGGCATCTCTGGAGTTGCCTGAAGGAAGTCGAGCCACCGGTCGTGTTGAATGGGGAACGGGGAATGGCTCTGGAGTCAATGCAGGGGAATCGGGCCTCATCTCGAGTTGATTTAGGGCACATGGAGCTGCTTTGCGTGGCTGGGGTGACCTCAGGGTCCGTCTAGACTGGTGACAGTGTTCTTGGGGACTGTCTCGAGATCCATTAAGCAAGTCGAAGCTCCTGACTTGTTTGAATGGGATCACGGAATAGCTCTGCATGCACTGCAGGGGAATGGGGCCTCATCTCGCCTCTAGGGGGAAGTCTCATGGTTTTTCTCGAGTTGCGGCGGGGACCTGGGGCATGTTCTCGACTTACGGCGGGGATGGCCCTTCAAAACACGAGTTTCTTCAGTGACGTCAGGACTCCTGTCTAGTAACGAGGGACACCTCAGGAATCTCTTCGAGGCTTGGCAGGGCCAAAGGGACGCTTCTCGAGGTGAGGCAGGGCACCCAAGGACCCTTTCCAGTAGCCACAGGGATTTTGGGATTCCTATCAGTATTCAAGAGGAGTCAGGCATCGTCACCTTTTGAAGCAATGAACTCCGCGTGCCTCTCGAGGTGTCAGCGGGATGTGAGGCATTCCGTCAAAATGAGGCAGGGACCTAGGGCTTTCTCTAAGGTCTCCACAGGGGATTCAGACATCCCTTCATGTTGTGAGATGAAAGACGAGCCTGTATTCAAGCCACTGCAAGGAAATCCGACCTCCTTTCAAGTTAGGGCTTCTCGCTGTATATTCCCCTTGAGGCAGCAAACTCGGGGTCCCTCCCACATACCTATTGCTGAGAGAAGCCTCCTCCTGAGGTGCTTCTGGGAAGTTGGCATACGTCTTGAGCCTAAGCCAGGGAATCAGCTCGCATCTCGAGACGATTTGGGGTACACGGAGCATTCCTCGAGTTGCTGTGCTGAAGTTGGTGTTCCTCTAGACTTGGGACAGTGTTCTCGGGGCATCTCTGGAGTTGCCTGAAGGAAGTCGAGCCACCGGTCGTGTTGAATGGGGAACGGGGAATGGCTCTGGAGTCAATGCAGGGGAATCGGGCCTCATCTCGAGTTGATTTCGGGCACATGGAGCTGCTTTGCGTGGCTGGGGTGACCTCAGGGTCCGTCTAGACTGGTGACAGTGTTCTTGGGGACTGTCTCGAGATCCATTAAGCAAGTCGAAGCTCCTGACTTGTTTGAATGGGATCACGGAATAGCTCTGCATGCACTGCAGGGGAATGGGGCCTCATCTCGCCTCTAGGGGGAAGTCTCATGGTTTTTCTCGAGTTGCAGCAGGGACCTGGGGTATGTTCTCGACTTACGGCGGGGATGGCCCTTCAAAACACGAGTTTCTTCAGTGACGTCAGGACTTCTGTCTAGTAACGAGGGACACCTCAGGAATCTCTTCGAGGCTTGGCAGGGCCAAAGGGACGCTTCTCGACGTGAGGCAGGGCACCCAAGTACCCTTTCCAGTAGCCACAGGGATTTTGGGATTCCTATCAGTATTCAAGAGGAGTCAGGCATCGTCACCTTTTGAAGCAATGAACTCCGCGTGCCTCTCGAGGTGTCAGCGGGATGTGAGGCATTCCGTCAAAATGAGGCAGGGACCTAGGGCTTTCTCTAAGGTCTCCACAGGGGATTCAGACATCCCTTCATGTTGTGAGATGTAAGACGAGCCTGTATTCAAGCCACTGCAAGGAAATCCGGCCTCCTTTCAAGTTAGGGCTTCTCGCTGTATATTCCCCTTGAGGCAGCAAACTCGGGGTCCCTCCCACATACCTATTGCTGAGAGAAGCCTCCTCCTGAGGTGCTTCTGGGAAGTTGGCATACGTCTTGAGCCTAAGCCAGGGAATCAGCTCGCATCTCGAGACGATTTGGGGTACACGGAGCATTCCTCGAGTTGCTGTGCTGAAGTTGGTGTTCCTCTAGACTTCGGACAGTGTTCTCGGGGCATCTCTGGAGTTGCCTGAAGGAAGTCGAGCCACCGGTCGTGTTGAATGTGGAACGGGGAATGGCTCTGGAGTCAATGCAGGGGAATCGGGCCTCATCTCGAGTTGATTTGGGGCACATGGAGCTGCTTTGCGTGGCTGGGGTGACCTCAGGGTCCGTCTAGACTGGTGACAGTGTTCTTGGGGACTGTCTCGAGATCCATTAAGCAAGTCGAAGCTCCTGACTTGTTTGAATGGGATCACGGAATAGCTCTGCATGCACTGCAGGGGAATGGGGCCTCATCTCGCCTCTAGGGGGAAGTCTCATGGTTTTTCTCGAGTTGCGGCGGGGACCTGGGGTATGTTCTCGACTTATGACGGGGATGGCCCTTCAAAACACGAGTTTCTTCAGTGACGTCAGGACTCCTGTCTAGTAACTAGGGACACCTCAGGAATCTCTTCGAGGCTTGGCAGGGCCAAAGGGACGCTTCCCGAGGCGAGGCAGGGCACCCAAGGACCCTTTCCAGTAGCCACAGGGATTTTGGGATTCCTATCAGTATTCAAGAGGAGTCAGGCATCGTCACCTTTTGAAGCAATGAACTCCGCGTGCCTCTCGAGGTGTCAGCGGGATGTGAGGCATTCCGTCAAAATGAGGCAGGGACCTAGGGCTTTCTCTAAGGTCTCCACAGGGGATTCAGACATCCCTTCATGTTGTGAGATGAAAGTCGAGCCTGTATTCAAGCCACTGCAAGGAAATCCGACCTCCTTTCAAGTTAGGGCTTCTCGCTGTATATTCCCCTTGAGGCAGCAAATTCGGGGTCCCTCCCACATACCTATTGCTGAGAGAAGCCTCCTCCTGAGGTGCTTCTGGGAAGTTGGCATACGTCTTGAGCCTAAGCCAGGGAATCAGCTCGCATCTCGAGACGATTTGGGGTACACGGAGCATTCCTCGAGTTGCTGTGCTGAAGTTGGTGTTCCTCTAGACTTGGGACAGTGTTCTCGGGGCATCTCTGGAGTTGCCTGAAGGAAGTCGAGCCACCGGTCGTGTTGAATGGGGAACGGGGAATGGCTCTGGAGTCAATGCAGGGGAATCGGGCCTCATCTCGAGTTGATTTGGGGCACATGGAGCTGCTTTGCGTGGCTGGGGTTGACCTCAGGGTCCGTCTAGACTGGTGACAGTGTTCTTGGGGACTGTCTCGAGATCCATTAAGCAAGTCGAAGCTCCTGACTTGTTTGAATGGGATCACGGAATAGCTCTGCATGCACTGCAGGGGAATGGGGCCTCATCTCGCCTCTAGGGGGAAGTCTCATGGTTTTTCTCGAGTTGCGGCGGGGACCTGGGGTATGTTCTCGACTTACGGCGGGGATGGCCCTTCAAAACACGAGTTTCTTCAGTGACGTCAGGACTCCTGTCTAGTAACGAGGGACACCTCAGGAATCTCTTCGAGGCTTGGCAGGGCAAAAGGGACGCTTCCCGAGGTGAGGCAGGGCACCCAAGGACCCTTTCCAGTAGCCACAGGGATTTTGGGATTCCTATCAGTATTCAAGAGGAGTCAGGCATCGTCACCTTTTGAAGCAATGAACTCCGCGTGCCTCTCGAGGTGTCAGCGGGATGTGAGGCATTCCGTCAAAATGAGGCAGGGACCTAGGGCTTTCTCTAAGGTCTCCACAGGGGATTCAGACATCCCTTCATGTTGTGAGATGAAAGACGAGCCTGTATTCAAGCCACTGCAAGGAAATCCGGCCTCCTTTCAAGTTAGGGCTTCTCGCTGTATATTCCCCTTGAGGCAGCAAACTCGGGGTCCCTCCCACATACCTATTGCTGAGAGAAGCCTCCTCCTGAGGTGCTTCTGGGAAGTTGGCATACGTCTTGAGCCTAAGCCAGGGAATCAGCTCGCATCTCGAGACGATTTGGGGTACACGGAGCATTCCTCGAGTTGCTGTGCTGAAGTTGGTGTTCCTCTAGACTTGGGACAGTGTTCTCTGGGCAACTCTGGAGTTGCCTGAAGGAAGTCGAGCCACCGGTCGTGTTGAATGTGGAACGGGGAATGGCTCTGGAGTCAATGCAGGGGAATCGGGCCTCATCTCGAGTTGATTTGGGGCACATGGAGCTGCTTTGCGTGGCTGGGGTGACCTCAGGGTCCGTCTAGGCAGTTGACAGTGTTCTTGGGGACTGTCTCGAGATCCATTAAGCAAGTCGAAGCTCCTGACTTGTTTGAATGGGATCACGGAATAGCTCTGCATGCACTGCAGGGGAATGGGGCCTCATCTCGCCTCTAGGGGGAAGTCTCATGGTTTTTCTCGAGTTGCGGCGGGGACCTGGGGTATGTTCTCGACTTACGGCGGGGATGGCCCTTCAAAACACGAGTTTCTTCAGTGACGTCAGGACTCCTGTCTAGTAACGAGGGACACTTCAGGAATCTCTTCGAGGCTTGGCAGGGCCAAAGGGACGCTTCTCGAGGTGAGGCAGGGCACCCAAGGACCCTTTCCAGTAGCCACAGGGATTTTGGGATTCCTATCAGTATTCAAGAGGAGTCAGGCATCGTCACCTTTTGAAGCAATGAACTCCGCGTGCCTCTCGAGGTGTCAGCGGGATGTGAGGCATTCCGTCAAAATGAGGCAGGGACCTAGGGCTTTCTCTAAGGTCTCCACAGGGGATTCAGACATCCCTTCATGTTGTGAGATGTAAGACGAGCCTGTATTCAAGCCACTGCAAGGAAATCCGGCCTCCTTTCAAGTTAGGGCTTCTCGCTGTATATTCCCCTTGAGGCAGCAAACTCGGGGTCCCTCCCACATACCTATTGCTGAGAGAAGCCTCCTCCTGAGGTGCTTCTGGGAAGTTGGCATACGTCTTGAGCCTAAGCCAGGTAATCAGCTCGCATCTCGAGACGATTTGGGGCACACGGAGCATTCCTCGAGTTGCTGTGCTGAAGTTGGTGTTCCTCTAGACTTGGGACAGTGTTCTCGGGGCATCTCTGGAGTTGCCTGAAGGAAGTCGAGCCACCGGTCGTGTTGAATGGGGAACGGGGAATGGCTCTGGAGTCAATGCAGGGGAATCGGGCCTCATCTCGAGTTGATTTGGGGCACATGGAGCTGCTTTGCGTGGCTGGGGTGACCTCAGGGTCCGTCTAGACTGGTGACAGTGTTCTTGGGGACTGTCTCGAGATCCATTAAGCAAGTCGAAGCTCCTGACTTGTTTGAATGGGATCACGGAATAGCTCTGCATGCACTGCAGGGGAATGGGGCCTCATCTCGCCTCTAGGGGGAAGTCTCATGGTTTTTCTCGAGTTGCGGCGGGGACCTGGGGCATGTTCTCGACTTACGGCGGGGATGGCCCTTCAAAACACGAGTTTCTTCAGTGACGTCAGGACTCCTGTCTAGTAACGAGGGACACCTCAGGAATCTCTTCGAGGCTTGGCAGGGCCAAAGGGACGCTTCTCGAGGTGAGGCAGGGCACCCAAGGACCTTTTCCAGTAGCCACAGGGATTTTGGGATTCCTATCAGTATTCAAGAGGAGTCAGGCATCGTCACCTTTTGAAGCAATGAACTCCGCGTGCCTCTCGAGGTGTCAGCGGGATGTGAGGCATTCCGTCAAAATGAGGCAGGGACCTAGGGCTTTCTCTAAGGTCTCCACAGGGGATTCAGACATCCCTTCATGTTGTGAGATGAAAGACGAGCCTGTATTCAAGCCACTGCAAGGAAATCCGACCTCCTTTCAAGTTAGGGCTTCTCGCTGTATATTCCCCTTGAGGCAGCAAACTCGGGGTCCCTCCCACATACCTATTGCTGAGAGAAGCCTCCTCCTGAGGTGCTTCTGGGAAGTTGGCATACGTCTTGAGCCTAAGCCAGGGAATCAGCTCGCATCTCGAGACGATTTGGGGTACACGGAGCATTCCTCGAGTTGCTGTGCTGAAGTTGGTGTTCCTCTAGACTTGGGACAGTGTTCTCGGGGCATCTCTGGAGTTGCCTGAAGGAAGTCGAGCCACCGGTCGTGTTGAATGGGGAACGGGGAATGGCTCTGGAGTCAATGCAGGGGAATCGGGCCTCATCTCGAGTTGATTTCGGGCACATGGAGCTGCTTTGCGTGGCTGGGGTGACCTCAGGGTCCGTCTAGACTGGTGACAGTGTTCTTGGGGACTGTCTCGAGATCCATTAAGCAAGTCGAAGCTCCTGACTTGTTTGAATGGGATCACGGAATAGCTCTGCATGCACTGCAGGGGAATGGGGCCTCATCTCGCCTCTAGGGGGAAGTCTCATGGTTTTTCTCGAGTTGCGGCGGGGACCTGGGGTATGTTCTCGACTTACGGCGGGGATGGCCCTTCAAAACACGAGTTTCTTCAGTGACGTCAGGACTTCTGTCTAGTAACGAGGGACACCTCAGGAATCTCTTCGAGGCTTGGCAGGGCCAAAGGGACGCTTCTCGACGTGAGGCAGGGCACCCAAGGACCCTTTCCAGTAGCCACAGGGATTTTGGGATTCCTATCAGTATTCAAGAGGAGTCAGGCATCGTCACCTTTTGAAGCAATGAACTCCGCGTGCCTCTCGAGGTGTCAGCGGGATGTGAGGCATTCCGTCAAAATGAGGCAGGGACCTAGGGCTTTCTCTAAGGTCTCCACAGGGGATTCAGACATCCCTTCATGTTGTGAGATGTAAGACGAGCCTGTATTCAAGCCACTGCAAGGAAATCCGGCCTCCTTTCAAGTTAGGGCTTCTCGCTGTATATTCCCCTTGAGGCAGCAAACTCGGGGTCCCTCCCACATACCTATTGCTGAGAGAAGCCTCCTCCTGAGGTGCTTCTGGGAAGTTGGCATACGTCTTGAGCCTAAGCCAGGGAATCAGCTCGCATCTCGAGACGATTTGGGGTACACGGAGCATTCCTCGAGTTGCTGTGCTGAAGTTGGTGTTCCTCTAGACTTGGGACAGTGTTCTCGGGGCATCTCTGGAGTTGCCTGAAGGAAGTAGAGCCACCGGTCGTGTTGAATGGGGAACGGGGAATGGCTCTGGAGTCAATGCAGGGGAATCGGGCCTCATCTCGAGTTGATTTGGGGCACATCGAGCTGCTTTGCGTTGCTGGGGTGACCTCAGGGTCCGTCTAGACTGGTGACAGTGTTCTTGGGGACTGTCTCGAGATCCATTAAGCAAGTCGAAGCTCCTGACTTGTTTGAATGGGATCACGGAATAGCTCTGCATGCACTGCAGGGGAATGGGGCCTCATCTCGCCTCTAGGGGGAAGTCTCATGGTTTTTCTCGAGTTGCGGCGGGGACCTGGGGTATGTTCTCGACTTACGGCGGGGATGGCCCTTCAAAACACGAGTTTCTTCAGTGACGTCAGGACTCCTGTCTAGTAATGAGGGACACCTCAGGAATCTCTTCGAGGCTTGGCAGGGCCAAAGGGACGCTTCTCGAGGTGAGGCAGGGCACCCAAGGACCCTTTCCAGTAGCTACAGGGATTTTGGGATTCCTATCAGTATTCAAGAGGAGTCAGGCATCGTCACCTTTTGAAGCAATGAACTCCGCGTGCCTCTCGAGGTGTCAGCGGGATGTGAGGCATTCCGTCAAAATGAGGCAGGGACCTAGGGCTTTCTCTAAGGTCTCCACAGGGGATTCAGACATCCCTTCATGTTGTGAGATGAAAGACGAGCCTGTATTCAAGCCACTGCAAGGAAATCCGGCCTCCTTTCAAGTTAGGGCTTCTCGCTGTATATTCCCCTTGAGGCAGCAAACTCGGGGTCCCTCCCACATACCTATTGCTGAGGGAAGCCTCCTCCTGAGGTGCTTCTGGGAAGTTGGCATACGTCTTGAGCCTAAGCCAGGGAATCAGCTCGCATCTCGAGACGATTTGTGGTACACGGAGCATTCCTCGAGTTGCTGTGCTGAAGTTGGTGTTCCTCTAGACTTGGGACAGTGTTCTCGGGGCATCTCTGGAGTTGCCTGAAGGAAGTCGAGCCACCGGTCGTGTTGAATGGGGAACGGGGAATGGCTCTGGAGTCAATGCAGGGGAATCGGGCCTCATCTCGAGTTGATTTGGGGCACATGGAGCTGCTTTGCGTGGCTGGGGTGACCTCAGGGTCCGTCTAGACTGGTGACAGTGTTCTTGGGGACTGTCTCGAGATCCATTAAGCAAGTCGAAGCTCCTGACTTGTTTGAATGGGATCACGGAATAGCTCTGCATGCACTGCAGGGGAATGGGGCCACATCTCGCCTCTAGGGTGAAGTCTCATGGTTTTTCTCGAGTTGCGGCGGGGACCTGGGGTATGTTCTCCACTTACGGCGGGGATGGCCCTTCAAAACACGAGTTTCTTCAGTGATGTCAGGACTCCTGTCTAGTAACGAGGGACACCTCAGGAATCTCTTCAAGGCTTGGCAGGGCAAAAGGGACGCTTCTCGAGGTGAGGCAGGGCACCCAAGGACCCTTTCCAGTAGCCACAGGGATTTTGGGATTCCTATCAGTATTCAAGAGGAGTCAGGCATCGTCACCTTTTGAAGCAATGAACTCCGCGTGCCTCTCGAGGTGTCAGCGGGATGTGAGGCATTCCGTCAAAATGAGGCAGGGAACTAGGGCTTTCTCTAAGGTCTCCACAGGGGATTCAGACATCCCTTCATGTTGTGAGATGAAAGACGAGCCTGTATTCAAGCCACTGCAAGGAAATCCGGCCTCCTTTCAAGTTAGGGCTTCTCGCTGTATATTCCCCTTGAGGCAGCAAACTCGGGGTCCCTCCCACATACCTATTGCTGAGAGAAGCCTCCTCCGGAGGTGCTTCTGGGAAGTTGGCATACGTCTTGAGCCTAAGCCAGGGAATCAGCTCGCATCTCGAGACGATTTGGGGTACACGGAGCATTCCTCGAGTTGCTGTGCTGAAGTTGGTGTTCCTCTAGACTTGGGACAGTGTTCTCGGGGCATCTCTGGAGTTGCCTGAAGGAAGTCGAGCCACCGGTCGTGTTGAATGGGGAACGGGGAATGGCTCTGGAGTCAATGCAGGGGAATCGGGCCTCATCTCGAGTTGATTTGGGGCACATGGAGCTGCTTTGCGTGGCTGGGGTGACCTCAGGGTCCGTCTAGACTGGTGACAGTGTTCTTGGGGACTGTCTCGAGATCCATTAAGCAAGTCGAAGCTCCTGACTTGTTTGAATGGGATCACGGAATAGCTCTGCATGCACTGCAGGGGAATGGGGCCTCATCTCGCCTCTAGGGGGAAGTCTCATGGTTTTTCTCGAGTTGCGGCGGGGACCTGGGGTATGTTCTCGACTTACGGCGGGGATGGCCCTTCAAAACACGAGTTTCTTCAGTGACGTCAGGACTCCTGTCTAGTAACGAGGGACACCTCAGGAATCGCTTCGAGGCTTGGCAGGGCCAAATGGACGCTTCCCGAGGTGAGGCAGGGCACCCAAGGACCCTTTCCAGTAGCCACAGGGATTTTGGGATTCCTATCAGTATTCAAGAGGAGTCAGGCATCGTCACCTTTTGAAGCAATGAACTCCGCGTGCCTCTCGAGGTGTCAGCGGGATGTGAGGCATTCCGTCAAAATGAGGCAGGGACCTAGGGCTTTCTCTAAGGTCTCCACAGGGGATTCAGACATCCCTTCATGTTGTGAGATGTAAGACGAGCCTGTATTCAAGCCACTACAAGGAAATCCGGCCTCCTTTCAAGTTAGGGCTTCTCGCTGTATATTCCCCTTGAGGCAGCAAACTCGGGGTCCCTCCCACATACCTATTGCTGAGAGAAGCCTCCTCCTGAGGTGCTTCTGGGAAGTTGGCAGACGTCTTGATCCTAAGCCAGGTAATCAGCTCGCATCTCGAGACGATTTGGGGCACACGGAGCATTCCTCGAGTTGCTGTGCTGAAGTTGGTGTTCCTCTAGACTTGGGACAGTGTTCTCGGGGCATCTCTGGAGTTGCCTGAAGGAAGTCGAGCCACCGGTCGTGTTGAATGGGGAACGGGGAATGGCTCTGGAGTCAATGCAGGGGAATCGGGCCTCATCTCGAGTTGATTTGGGGCACATGGAGCTGCTTTGCGTGGCTGGGGTGACCTCAGGGTCCGTCTAGACTGGTGACAGTGTTCTTGGGGACTGTCTCGAGATCCATTAAGCAAGTCGAAGCTCCTGACTTGTTTGAATGGGATCACGGAATAGCTCTGCATGCACTGCAGGGGAATGGGGCCTCATCTCGCCTCTAGGGGGAAGTCTCATGGTTTTTCTCGAGTTGCGGCGGGGACCTGGGGCATGTTCTCGACTTACGGCGGGGATGGCCCTTCAAAACACGAGTTTCTTCAGTGACGTCAGGACTCCTGTCTAGTAACGAGGGACACCTCAGGAATCTCTTCGAGGCTTGGCAGGGCCAAAGGGACGCTTCTCGAGGTGAGGCAGGGCACCCAAGGACCCTTTCCAGTAGCCACAGGGATTTTGGGATTCCTATCAGTATTCAAGAGGAGTCAGGCATCGTCACCTTTTGAAGCAATGAACTCCGCGTGCCTCTCGAGGTGTCAGCGGGATGTGAGGCATTCCGTCAAAATGAGGCAGGGACCTAGGGCTTTCTCTAAGGTCTCCACAGGGGATTCAGACATCCCTTCATGTTGTGAGATGAAAGACGAGCCTGTATTCAAGCCACTGCAAGGAAATCCGACCTCCTTTCAAGTTAGGGCTTCTCGCTGTATATTCCCCTTGAGGCAGCAAACTCGGGGTCCCTCCCACATACCTATTGCTGAGAGAAGCCTCCTCCTGAGGTGCTTCTGGGAAGTTGGCATACGTCTTGAGCCTAAGCCAGGGAATCAGCTCGCATCTCGAGACGATTTGGGGTACACGGAGCATTCCTCGAGTTGCTGTGCTGAAGTTGGTGTTCCTCTAGACTTGGGACAGTGTTCTCGGGGCATCTCTGGAGTTGCCTGAAGGAAGTCGAGCCACCGGTCGTGTTGAATGGGGAACGGGGAATGGCTCTGGAGTCAATGCAGGGGAATCGGGCCTCATCTCGAGTTGATTTCGGGCACATGGAGCTGCTTTGCGTGGCTGGGGTGACCTCAGGGTCCGTCTAGACTGGTGACAGTGTTCTTGGGGACTGTCTCGAGATCCATTAAGCAAGTCGAAGCTCCTGACTTGTTTGAATGGGATCACGGAATAGCTCTGCATGCACTGCAGGGGAATGGGGCCTCATCTCGCCTCTAGGGGGAAGTCTCATGGTTTTTCTCGAGTTGCGGCGGGGACCTGGGGTATGTTCTCGACTTACGGCGGGGATGGCCCTTCAAAACACGAGTTTCTTCAGTGACGTCAGGACTTCTGTCTAGTAACGACGGACACCTCAGGAATCTCTTCGAGGCTTGGCAGGGCCAAAGGGACGCTTCTCGAGGTGAGGCAGGGCACCCAAGGACCCTTTCCAGTAGCCACAGGGATTTTGGGATTCCTATCAGTATTCAAGAGGAGTCAGGCATCGTCACCTTTTGAAGCAATGAACTCCGCGTGCCTCTCGAGGTGTCAGCGGGATGTGAGGCATTCCGTCAAAATGAGGCAGGGACCTAGGGCTTTCTCTAAGGTCTCCACAGGGGATTCAGACATCCCTTCATGTTGTGAGATGTAAGACGAGCCTGTATTCAAGCCACTGCAAGGAAATCCGGCCTCCTTTCAAGTTAGGGCTTCTCGCTGTATATTCCCCTTGAGGCAGCAAACTCGGGGTCCCTCCCACATACCTATTGCTGAGAGAAGCCTCCTCCTGAGGTGCTTCTGGGAAGTTGGCATACGTCTTGAGCCTAAGCCAGGGAATCAGCTCGCATCTCGAGACGATTTGGGGTACACGGAGCATTCCTCGAGTTGCTGTGCTGAAGTTGGTGTTCCTCTAGACTTCGGACAGTGTTCTCGGGGCATCTCTGGAGTTGCCTGAAGGAAGTCGAGCCACCGGTCGTGTTGAATGTGGAACGGGGAATGGCTCTGGAGTCAATGCAGGGGAATCGGGCCTCATCTCGAGTTGATTTGGGGCACATGGAGCTGCTTTGCGTGGCTGGGGTGACCTCAGGGTCCGTCTAGACTGGTGACAGTGTTCTTGGGGACTGTCTCGAGATCCATTAAGCAAGTCGAAGCTCCTGACTTGTTTGAATGGGATCACGGAATAGCTCTGCATGCACTGCAGGGGAATGGGGCCTCATCTCGCCTCTAGGGGGAAGTCTCATGGTTTTTCTCGAGTTGCGGCGGGGACCTGGGGTATGTTCTCGACTTATGGCGGGGATGGCCCTTCAAAACACGAGTTTCTTCAGTGACGTCAGGACTCCTGTCTAGTAACTAGGGACACCTCAGGAATCTCTTCGAGGCTTGGCAGGGCCAAAGGGACGCTTCCCGAGGCGAGGCAGGGCACCCAAGGACCCTTTCCAGTAGCCACAGGGATTTTGGGATTCCTATCAGTATTCAAGAGGAGTCAGGCATCGTCACCTTTTGAAGCAATGAACTCCGCGTGCCTCTCGAGGTGTCAGCGGGATGTGAGGCATTCCGTCAAAATGAGGCAGGGACCTAGGGCTTTCTCTAAGGTCTCCACAGGGGATTCAGACATCCCTTCATGTTGTGAGATGAAAGTCGAGCCTGTATTCAAGCCACTGCAAGGAAATCCGACCTCCTTTCAAGTTAGGGCTTCTCGCTGTATATTCCCCTTGAGGCAGCAAACTCGGGGTCCCTCCCACATACCTATTGCTGAGAGAAGCCTCCTCCTGAGGTGCTTCTGGGAAGTTGGCATACGTCTTGAGCCTAAACCAGGGAATCAGCTCGCATCTCGAGACGATTTGGGGTACACGGAGCATTCCTCGAGTTGCTGTGCTGAAGTTGGTGTTCCTCTAGACTTGGGACAGTGTTCTCGGGGCATCTCTGGAGTTGCCTGAAGGAAGTCGAGCCACCGGTCGTGTTGAATGGGGAACGGGGAATGGCTCTGGAGTCAATGCAGGGGAATCGGGCCTCATCTCGAGTTGATTTGGGGCACATGGAGCTGCTTTGCGTGGCTGGGGTTGACCTCAGGGTCCGTCTAGACTGGTGACAGTGTTCTTGGGGACTGTCTCGAGATCCATTAAGCAAGTCGAAGCTCCTGACTTGTTTGAATGGGATCACGGAATAGCTCTGCATGCACTGCAGGGGAATGGGGCCTCATCTCGCCTCTAGGGGGAAGTCTCATGGTTTTTCTCGAGTTGCGGCGGGGACCTGGGGTATGTTCTCGACTTACGGCGGGGATGGCCCTTCAAAACACGAGTTTCTTCAGTGACGTCAGGACTCCTGTCTAGTAACGAGGGACACCTCAGGAATCTCTTCGAGGCTTGGCAGGGCAAAAGGGACGCTTCCCGAGGTGAGGCAGGGCACCCAAGGACCCTTTCCAGTAGCCACAGGGATTTTGGGATTCCTATCAGTATTCAAGAGGAGTCAGGCATCGTCACCTTTTGAAGCAATGAACTCCGCGTGCCTCTCGAGGTGTCAGCGGGATGTGAGGCATTCCGTCAAAATGAGGCAGGGACCTAGGGCTTTCTCTAAGGTCTCCACAGGGGATTCAGACATCCCTTCATGTTGTGTGATGAAAGACGAGCCTGTATTCAAGCCACTGCAAGGAAATCCGGCCTCCTTTCAAGTTAGGGCTTCTCGCTGTATATTCCCCTTGAGGCAGCAAACTCGGGGTCCCTCCCACATAACTATTGCTGAGAGAAGCCTCCTCCTGAGGTGCTTCTGGGAAGTTGGCATACGTCTTGAGCCTAAGCCAGGGAATCAGCTCGCATCTCGAGACGATTTGGGGTACACGGAGCATTCCTCGAGTTGCTGTGCTGAAGTTGGTGTTCCTCTAGACTTGGGACAGTGTTCTCTGGGCAACTCTGGAGTTGCCTGAATGAAGTCGAGCCACCGGTCGTGTTGAATGTGGAACGGGGAATGGCTCTGGAGTCAATGCAGGGGAATCGGGCCTCATCTCGAGTTGATTTGGGGCACATGGAGCTGCTTTGCGTGGCTGGGGTGACCTCAGGGTCCGTCTAGGCAGTTGACAGTGTTCTTGGGGACTGTCTCGAGATCCATTAAGCAAGTCGAAGCTCCTGACTTGTTTGAATGGGATCACGGAATAGCTCTGCATGCACTGCAGGGGAATGGGGCCTCATCTCGCCTCTAGGGGGAAGTCTCATGGTTTTTCTCGAGTTGCGGCGGGGACCTGGGGTATGTTCTCGACTTACGGCGGGGATGGCCCTTCAAAACACGAGTTTCTTCAGTGACGTCAGGACTCCTGTCTAGTAACGAGGGACACCTCAGGAATCTCTTCGAGGCTTGGCAGGGCCAAAGGGACGCTTCTCGAGGTGAGGCAGGGCACCCAAGGACCCTTTCCAGTAGCCACAGGGATTTTGGGATTCCTATCAGTATTCAAGAGGAGTCAGGCATCGTCACCTTTTGAAGCAATGAACTCCGCGTGCCTCTCGAGGTGTCAGCGGGATGTGAGGCATTCCGTCAAAATGAGGCAGGGACCTAGGGCTTTCTCTAAGGTCTCCACAGGGGATTCAGACATCCCTTCATGTTGTGAGATGAAAGACGAGCCTGTATTCAAGCCACTGCAAGGAAATCCGGCCTCCTTTCAAGTTAGGGCTTCTCGCTGTATATTCCCCTTGAGGCAGCAAACTCGGGGTCCCTCACACATACAAATTGCTGAGAGAAGCCTCCTCCTGAGGTGCTTCTGGGAAGTTGGCATACGTCTTGAGCCTAAGCCAGGGAGTCAGCTCGCATCTGGAGACGATTTGGGGTACACGGAGCATTCCTCGAGTTGCTGTGCTGAAGTTGGTGTTCCTCTAGACTTGGGACAGTGTTCTCGGGGCATCTCTGGAGTTGCCTGAAGGAAGTCAAGCCACCGGTCGTGTTGAATGGGGAACGGGGAATGGCTCTGGAGTCAATGCAGGGGAATCGGGCCTCATCTCGAGTTGATTTGGGGCACATGGAGCTGCTTTGCGTGGCTGGGGTGACCTCAGGGTCCGTCTAGACTGGTGACAGTGTTCTTGGGGACTGTCTCGAGATCCATTAAGCAAGTCGAAGCTCCTGACTTGTTTGAATGGGATCACGGAATAGCTCTGCATGCACTGCAGGGGAATGGGGCCTCATCTCGCCTCTAGGGGGAAGTCTCATGGTTTTTCTCGAGTTGCGGCGGGGACCTGGGGTATGTTCTCGACTTACGGCGGGGATGGCCCTTCAAAACACGAGTTTCTTCAGTGACGTCAGGACTCCTGTCTAGTAACGAGGGACACCTCAGGAATTTCTTCGAGGCTTGGCAGGGCCAAAGGGACGCTTCTCGAGGTGAGGCAGGGCACCCAAGGACCCTTTCCAGTAGCCACAGGGATTTTGGGATTCCTATCAGTATTCAAGAGGAGTCAGGCATCGTCACCTTTTGAAGCAATGAACTCCGCGTGCCTCTCGAGGTGTCAGCGGGATGTGAGGCATTCCGTCAAAATGAGGCAGGGACCTAGGGCTTTCTCTAAGGTCTCCACAGGGGATTCAGACATCCCTTCATGTTGTGAGATGAAAGACGAGCCTGTATTCAAGCCACTGCAAGGAAATCCGGCCTCCTTTCAAGTTAGGGCTTCTCGCTGTATATTCCCCTTGAGGCAGCAAACTCGGGGTCCCTCCCACATACCTATTGCTGAGAGAAGCCTCCTCCTGAGGTGCTTCTGGGAAGTTGGCATACGTCTTGAGCCTAAGCCAGGGAATCAGCTCGCATCTCGAGACGATTTGGGGTACACGGAGCATTCCTCGAGTTGCTGTGCTGAAGTTGGTGTTCCTCTAGACTTGGGACAGTGTTCTCGGGGCATCTCTGGAGTTGCCTGAAGGAAGTAGAGCCACCGGTCGTGTTGAATGGGGAACGGGGAATGGCTCTGGAGTCAATGCAGGGGAATCGGGCCTCATCTCGAGTTGATTTGGGGCACATGGAGCTGCTTTGCGTGGCTGGGGTGACCTCAGGGTCCGTCTAGACTGGTGACAGTGTTCTTGGGGACTGTCTCGAGATCCATTAAGCAAGTCGAAGCTCCTGACTTGTTTGAATGGGATCACGGAATAGCTCTGCATGCACTGCAGGGGAATGGGGCCTCATCTCGCCTCTAGGGGGAAGTCTCATGGTTTTTCTCGAGTTGCGGCGGGGACCTGGGGTATGTTCTCGACTTACGGCGGGGATGGCCCTTCAAAACACGAGTTTATTCAGTGACGTCAGGACTCCTGTCTAGTAACGAGGGACACCTCAGGAATCTCTTCGAGGCTTGGCAGGGCAAAAGGGACGCTTCTCGAGGTGAGGCAGGGCACCCAAGGACCCTTTCCAGTAGCCACAGGGATTTTGGGATTCCTATCAGTATTCAAGAGGAGTCAGGCATCGTCACCTTTTGAAGCAATGAACTCCGCGTGCCTCTCGAGGTGTCAGCGGGATGTGAGGCATTCCGTCAAAATGAGGCAGGGACCTAGGGCTTTCTCTAAGGTCTCCACAGGGGATTCAGACATCCCTTCATGTTGTGAGATGAAAGACGAGCCTGTATTCAAGCCACTGCAAGGAAATCCGGCCTCCTTTCAAGTTAGGGCTTCTCGCTGTATATTCCCCTTGAGGCAGCAAACTCGGGGTCCCTCCCACATACCTATTGCTGAGAGAAGCCTCCTCCTGAGGTGCTTCTGGGAGGTTGGCATACGTCTTGAGCCTAAGCCAGGGAATCAGCTCGCATCTCGAGACGATTTGGGGTACACGGAGCATTCCTCGAGTTGCTGTGCTGAAGTTGGTGTTCCTCTAGACTTGGGACAGTGTTCTCGGGGCATCTCTGGAGTTGCCTGAAGGAAGTAGAGCCACCGGTCGTGTTGAATGGGGAACGGGGAATGGCTCTGGAGTCAATGCAGGGGACTCGGGCCTCATCTCGAGTTGATTTGGGGCACATGGAGCTGCTTTGCGTGGCTGGGGTGACCTCAGGGTCCGTCTAGACTGGTGACAGTGTTCTTGGGGACTGTCTCGAGATCCATTAAGCAAGTCGAAGCTCCTGACTTGTTTGAATGGGATCACGGAATAGCTCTGCATGCACTGCAGGGGAATGGGGCCTCATCTCGCCTCTAGGGGGAAGTCTCATGGTTTTTCTCGAGTTGCGGCGGGGACCTGGGGTATGTTCTCGACTTACGGCGGGGATGGCCCTTCAAAACACGAGTTTCTTCAGTGACGTCAGGACTCCTGTCTAGTAACGAGGGACACCTCAGGAATCTCTTCGAGGCTTGGCAGGGCAAAAGGGACGCTTCTCGAGGTGAGGCAGGGCACCCAAGGACCCTTTCCAGTAGCCACAGGGATTTTGGGATTCCTATCAGTATTCAAGAGGAGTCAGGCATCGTCACCTTTTGAAGCAATGAACTCCGCGTGCCTCTCGAGGTGTCAGCGGGATGTGAGGCATTCCGTCAAAATGAGGCAGGGACCTAGGGCTTTCTCTAAGGACTCCACAGGGGATTCAGACATCCCTTCATGTTGTGAGATGAAAGACGAGCCTGTATTCAAGCCACTGCAAGGAAATCCGGCCTCCTATCAAGTTAGGGCTTCTCGCTGTATATTCCCCTTGAGGCAGCAAACTCGGGGTCCCTCCCACATACCTACTGCTGAGAGAAGCCTCCTCCTGAGGTGCTTCTGGGAAGTTGGCATACGTCTTGAGCCTAAGGCAGGGAATCAGCTCGCATCTCGAGACGATTTGGGGTACATGGAGCATTCCTCGAGTTGCTGTGCTGAAGTTGGTGTTCCTCTAGACTTGGGACAGTGTTCTCGGGGCATCTCTGGAGTTGCCTGAAGGAAGTCAAGCCACCGGTCGTGTTGAATGGGGAACGGGGAATGGCTCTGGAGTCAATGCAGGGGAATCGGGCCTCATCTCGAGTTGATTTGGGGCACATGGAGCTGCTTTGCGTGGCTGGGGTGACCTCAGGGTCCGTCTAGACTGGTGACAGTGTTCTTGGGGACTGTCTCGAGATCCATTAAGCAAGTCGAAGCTCCTGACTTGTTTGAATGGGATCACGGAATAGCTCTGCATGCACTGCAGGGGAATGGGGCCTCATCTCGCCTCTAGGGGGAAGTCTCATGGTTTTTCTCGAGTTGCGGCGGGGACCTGGGGTATGTTCTCGACTTACGGCGGGGATGGCCCTTCAAAACACGAGTTTCTTCAGTGACGTCAGGACTCCTGTCTAGTAACGAGGGACACCTCAGGAATCTCTTCGAGGCTTGGCAGGGCAAAAGGGACGCTTCTCGAGGTGAGGCAGGGCACCCAAGGACCCTTTCCAGTAGCCACAGGGATTTTGGGATTCCTATCAGTATTCAAGAGGAGTCAGGCATCGTCACCTTTTGAAGCAATGAACTCCGCGTGCCTCTCGAGGTGTCAGCGGGATGTGAGGCATTCCGTCAAAATGAGGCAGGGACCTAGGGCTTTCTCTAAGGTCTCCACAGGGGATTCAGACATCCCTTCATGTTGTGAGATGAAAGACGAGCCTGTATTCAAGCCACTGCAAGGAAATCCGGCCTCCTTTCAAGTTAGGGCTTCTCGCTGTATATTCCCCTTGAGGCAGCAAACTCGGGGTCCCTCCCACATACCTATTGCTGAGAGAAGCCTCCTCCGGAGGTGCTTCTGGGAAGTTGGCATACGTCTTGAGCCTAAGCCAGGGAATCAGCTCGCATCTCGAGACGATTTGGGGTACACGGAGCATTCCTCGAGTTGCTGTGCTGAAGTTGGTGTTCCTCTAGACTTGGGACAGTGTTCTCGGGGCATCTCTGGAGTTGCCTAAAGGAAGTCGAGCCACCGGTCGTGTTGAATGGGGAACGGGGAATGGCTCTGGAGTCAATGCAGGGGAATCGGGCCTCATCTCGAGTTGATTTGGGGCACATGGAGCTGCTTTGCGTGGCTGGGGTGACCTCAGGGTCCGTCTAGACTGGTGACAGTGTTCTTGGGGACTGTCTCGAGATCCATTAAGCAAGTCGAAGCTCTTGACTTGTTTGAATGGGATCACGGAATAGCTCTGCATGCACTGCAGGGGAATGGGGCCTCATCTGGCCTCTAGGGGGAAGTCTCATGGTTTTTCTCGAGTTGCGGCGGGGACCTGGGGTATGTTCTCGACTTACGGCGGGGATGGCCCTTCAAAACACGAGTTTCTTCAGTGACGTCAGGACTCCTGTCTAGTAACGAGGGACACCTCAGGAATCTCTTCGAGGCTTGGCAGGGCAAAAGGGACGCTTCTCGAGGTGAGGCAGGGCACCCAAGGACACTTTCCAGTAGCCACAGGGATTTTGGGATTCCTTTCAGTATTCAAGAGGAGTCAGGCATCGTCACCTTTTGAAGCAATGAACTCCGCGTGCCTCTCGAGGTGTCAGCGGGATGTGAGGCATTCCGTCAAAATGAGGCAGGGACCTAGGGCTTTCTCTAAGGTCTCCACAGGGGATTCAGACATCCCTTCATGTTGTGAGATGAAAGACGAGCCTGTATTCAAGCCACTGCAAGGAAATCCGGCCTCCTTTCAAGTTAGGGCTTCTCGCTGTATATTCCCCTTGAGGCAGCAAACTCGGGGTCCCTCCCACATACCTATTGCTGAGAGAAGCCTCCTCCTGAGGTGCTTCTGGGAAGTTGGCATACGTCTTGAGCCTAAGCCAGGGAATCAGCTCGCATCTCGAGACGATTTGGGGTACACGGAGCATTCCTCGAGTTGCTGTGCTGAAGTTGGTGTTCCTCTAGACTTGGGACAGTGTTCTCGGGGCATCTCTGGAGTTGCCTGAAGGAAGTCGAGCCACCGGTCGTGTTGAATGGGGAACGGGGAATGGCTCTGGAGTCAATGCAGGGGAATCGGGCCTCATCTCGAGTTGATTTGGGGCACATGGAGCTGCTTTGCGTGGCTGGGGTGACCTCAGGGTCCGTCTAGACTGGTGACAGTGTTCTTGGGGCCTGTCTCGAGATCCATTAAGCAAGTCGAAGCTCCTGACTTGTTTGAATGGGATCACGGAATAGCTCTGCATGCACTGCAGGGGAATGGGGCCTCATCTCGCCTCTAGGGGGAAGTCTCATGGTTTTTCTCGAGTTGCGGCGGGGACCTGGGGTATGTTCTCGACTTACGGCGGGGATGGCCCTTCAAAACACGAGTTTCTTCAGTGACGTCAGGACTCCTGTCTAGTAACGAGGGACACCTCAGGAATCTCTTCGAGGCTTGGCAGGGCAAAAGGGACGCTTCTCGAGGTGAGGCAGGGCACCCAAGGACCCTTTCCAGTAGCCACAGGGATTTTGGGATTCCTATCAGTATTCAAGAGGAGTCAGGCATCGTCACCTTTTGAAGCAATGAACTCCGCGTGCCTCTCGAGGTGTCAGCGGGATGTGAGGCATTCCGTCAAAATGAGGCAGGGACCTAGGGCTTTCTCTAAGGTCTCCACAGGGGATTCAGACATCCCTTCATGTTGTGAGATGAAAGACGAGCCTGTATTCAAGCCACTGCAAGGAAATCCGGCCTCCTATCAAGTTAGGGCTTCTCGCTGTATATTCCCCTTGAGGCAGCAAACTCGGGGTCCCTCCCACATACCTACTGCTGAGAGAAGCCTCCTCCTGAGGTGCTTCTGGGAAGTTGGCATACGTCTTGAGCCTAATCCAGGGAATCAGCTCGCATCTCGAGACGATTTGGGGTACACGGAGCATTCCTCGAGTTGCTGTGCTGAAGTTGGTGTTCCTCTAGACTTGGGACAGTGTTCTCGGGGCATCTCTGGAGTTGCCTGAAGGAAGTCAAGCCACCGGTCGTGTTGAATGGGGAACGGGGAATGGCTCTGGAGTCAATGCAGGGGAATCGGGCCTCATGTCGAGTTGATTTGGGGCACATGGAACTGCTTTGCGTGGCTGGGGTGACCTCAGGGTCCGTCTAGACTGGTGACAGTGTTCTTGGGGACTGTCTCGAGATCCATTAAGCAAGTCGAAGCTCCTGACTTGTTTGAATGGGATCACGGAATAGCTCTGCATGCACTGCAGGGGAATGGGGCCTCATCTCGCCTCTAGGGGGAAGTCTCATGGTTTTTCTCGAGTTGCGGCGGGGACCTGGGGTATGTTCTCGACTTACGGCGGGGATGGCCCTTCAAAACACGAGTTTCTTCAGTGACGTCAGGACTCCTGTCTAGTAACGAGGGACACCTCAGGAATCTCTTCGAGGCTTGGCAGGGCAAAAGGGACGCTTCTCGAGGTGAGGCAGGGCACCCAAGGACCCTTTCCAGTAGCCACAGGGATTTTGGGATTCCTATCAGTATTCAAGAGGAGTCAGGCATCGTCACCTTTTGAAGCAATGAACTCCGCGTGCCTCTCGAGGTGTCAGCGGGATGTGAGGCATTCCGTCAAAATGAGGCAGGGACCTAGGGCTTTCTCTAAGGTCTCCACAGGGGATTCAGACATCCCTTCATGTTGTGAGATGAAAGACGAGCCTGTATTCAAGCCACTGCAAGGAAATCCGGCCTCCTTTCAAGTTAGGGCTTCTCGCTGTATATTCCCCTTGAGGCAGCAAACTCGGGGTCCCTCCCACATACCTATTGCTGAGAGAAGCCTCCTCCTGAGGTGCTTCTGGGAAGTTGGCATACGTCTTGAGCCTAAGCCAGGGAATCAGCTCGCATCTCGAGACGATTTGGGGTACACGGAGCATTCCTCGAGTTGCTGTGCTGAAGTTGGTGTTCCTCTAGACTTGGGACAGTGTTCTCAGGGCATCTCTGGAGTTGCCTGAAGGAAGTCGAGCCACCGGTCGTGTTGAATGGGGAACGGGGAATGGCTCTGGAGTCAATGCAGGGGAATCGGGCCTCATCTCGAGTTGATTTGGGGCACATGGAGCTGCTTTGCGTGGCTGGGGTGACCTCAGGGTCCGTCTAGACTGGTGACAGTGTTCTTGGGGACTGTCTCGAGATCCATTAAGCAAGTCGAAGCTCCTGACTTGTTTGAATGGGATCACGGAATAGCTCTGCATGCACTGCAGGGGAATGGGGCCTCATCTCGCCTCTAGGGGGAAGTCTCATGGTTTTTCTCGAGTTGCGGCGGGGACCTGGGGTATGTTCTCGACTTACGGCGGGGATGGCCCTTCAAAACACGAGTTTCTTCAGTGACGTCAGGACTCCTGTCTAGTAACGAGGGACACCTCAGGAATCTCTTCGAGGCTTGGCAGGGCAAAAGGGACGCTTCTCGAGGTGAGGCAGGGCACCCAAGGACCCTTTCCAGTAGCCACAGGGATTTTGGGATTCCTATCAGTATTCAAGAGGAGTCAGGCATCGTCACCTTTTGAAGCAATGAACTCCGCGTGCCTCTCGAGGTGTCAGCGGGATGTGAGGCATTCCGTCAAAATGAGGCAGGGACCTAGGGCTTTCTCTAAGGTCTCCACAGGGGATTCAGACATCCCTTCATGTTGTGAGATGAAAGACGAGCCTGTATTCAAGCCACTGCAAGGAAATCCGGCCTCCTATCAAGTTAGGGCTTCTCGCTGTATATTCCCCTTGAGGCAGCAAACTCGGGGTCCCTCCCACATACCTACTGCTGAGAGAAGCCTCCTCCTGAGGTGCTTCTGGGAAGTTGGCATACGTCTTGAGCCTAAGCCAGGGAATCAGCTCGCATCTCGAGACGATTTGGGGTACACGGAGCATTCCTCGAGTTGCTGTGCTGAAGTTGGTGTTCCTCTAGACTTGGGACAGTGTTCTCGGGGCATCTCTGGAGTTGCCTGAAGGAAGTCGAGCCACCGGTCGTGTTGAATGGGGAACGGGGAATGGCTCTGGAGTCAATGCAGGGGAATCGGGCCTCATCTCGAGTTGATTTGGGGCACATGGAACTGCTTTGCGTGGCTGGGGTGACCTCAGGGTCCGTCTAGACTGGTGACAGTGTTCTTGGGGACTGTCTCGAGATCCATTAAGCAAGTCGAAGCTCCTGACTTGTTTGAATGGGATCACGGAATAGCTCTGCATGCACTGCAGGGGAATGGGGCCTCATCTCGCCTCTAGGGGGAAGTCTCATGGTTTTTCTCGAGTTGCGGCGGGGAACTGGGGTATGTTCTCGACTTACGGCGGGGATGGCCCTTCAAAACACGAGTTTCTTCAGTGACGTCAGGACTCCTGTCTAGTAACGAGGGACACCTCAGGAATCTCTTCGAGGCTTGGCAGGGCAAAAGGGACGCTTCTCGAGGTGAGGCAGGGCACCCAAGGACCCTTTCCAGTAGCCACAGGGATTTTGGGATTCCTATCAGTATTCAAGAGGAGTCAGGCATCGTCACCTTTTGAAGCAATGAACTCCGCGTGCCTCTCGAGGTGTCAGCGGGATGTGAGGCATTCCGTCAAAATGAGGCAGGGACCTAGGGCTTTCTCTAAGGTCTCCACAGGGGATTCAGACATCCCTTCATGTTGTGAGATGAAAGACGAGCCTGTATTCAAGCCACTGCAAGGAAATCCGGCCTCCTTTCAAGTTAGGGCTTCTCGCTGTATATTCCCCTTGAGGCAGCAAACTCGGGGTCCCTCCCACATACCTATTGCTGAGAGAAGCCTCCTCCTGAGGTGCTTCTGGGAAGTTGGCATACGTCTTGAGCCTAAGCCAGGGAATCAGCTCGCATCTCGAGACGATTTGGGGTACACGGAGCATTCCTCGAGTTGCTGTGCTGAAGTTGGTGTTCCTCTAGACTTGGGACAGTGTTCTCAGGGCATCTCTGGAGTTGCCTGAAGGAAGTCGAGCCACCGGTCGTGTTGAATGGGGAACGGGGAATGGCTCTGGAGTCAATGCAGGGGAATCGGGCCTCATCTCGAGTTGATTTGGGGCACATGGAGCTGCTTTGCGTGGCTGGGGTGACCTCAGGGTCCGTCTAGACTGGTGACAGTGTTCTTGGGGACTGTCTCGAGATCCATTAAGCAAGTCGAAGCTCCTGACTTGTTTGAATGGGATCACGGAATAGCTCTGCATGCACTGCAGGGGAATGGGGCCTCATCTCGCCTCTAGGGGGAAGTCTCATGGTTTTTCTCGAGTTGCGGCGGGGACCTGGGGTATGTTCTCGACTTACGGCGGGGATGGCCCTTCAAAACACGAGTTTCTTCAGTGACGTCAGGACTCCTGTCTAGTAACGAGGGACACCTCAGGAATCTCTTCGAGGCTTGGCAGGGCAAAAGGGACGCTTCTCGAGGTGAGGCAGGGCACCCAAGGACCCTTTCCAGTAGCCACAGGGATTTTGGGATTCCTATCAGTATTCAAGAGGAATCAGGCATCGTCACCTTTTGAAGCAATGAACTCCGCGTGCCTCTCGAGGTGTCAGCGGGATGTGAGGCATTCCGTCAAAATGAGGCAGGGACCTAGGGCTTTCTCTAAGGTCTCCACAGGGGATTCAGACATCCCTTCATGTTGTGAGATGAAAGACGAGCCTGTATTCAAGCCACTGCAAGGAAATCCGGCCTCCTTTCAAGTTAGGGCTTCTCGCTGTATATTCCCCTTGAGGCAGCAAACTCGGGGTCCCTCCCACATACCTACTGCTGAGAGAAGCCTCCTCCTGAGGTGCTTCTGGGAAGTTGGCATACGTCTTGAGCCTAAGCCAGGGAATCAGCTCGCATCTCGAGACGATTTGGGGTACACGGAGCATTCCTCGAGTTGCTGTGCTGAAGTTGGTGTTCCTCTAGACTTGGGACAGTGTTCTCGGGGCATCTCTGGAGTTGCCTGAAGGAAGTCGAGCCACCGGTCGTGTTGAATGGGGAACGGGGAATGGCTCTGGAGTCAATGCAGGGGAATCGGGCCTCATCTCGAGTTGATTTGGGGCACATGGAACTGCTTTGCGTGGCTGGGGTGACCTCAGGGTCCGTCTAGACTGGTGACAGTGTTCTTGGGGACTGTCTCGAGATCCATTAAGCAAGTCGAAGCTCCTGACTTGTTTGAATGGGATCACGGAATAGCTCTGCATGCACTGCAGGGGAATGGGGCCTCATCTCGCCTCTAGGGGGAAGTCTCATGGTTTTCTCGAGTTGCGGCGGGGAACTGGGGTATGTTCTCGACTTACGGCGGGGATGGCCCTTCAAAACACGAGTTTCTTCAGTGACGTCAGGACTCCTGTCTAGTAACGAGGGACACCTCAGGAATCTCTTCGAGGCTTGGCAGGGCAAAAGGGACGCTTCTCGAGGTGAGGCAGGGCACCCAAGGACCCTTTCCAGTAGCCACAGGGATTTTGGGATTCCTATCAGTATTCAAGAGGAGTCAGGCATCGTCACCTTTTGAAGCAATGAACTCCGCGTGCCTCTCGAGGTGTCAGCGGGATGTGAGGCATTCCGTCAAAATGAGGCAGGGACCTAGGGCTTTCTCTAAGGTCTCCACAGGGGATTCAGACATCCCTTCATGTTGTGAGATGAAAGACGAGCCTGTATTCAAGCCACTGCAAGGAAATCCGGCCTCCTTTCAAGTTAGGGCTTCTCGCTGTATATTCCCCTTGAGGCAGCAAACTCGGGGTCCCTCCCACATACCTATTGCTGAGAGAAGCCTCCTCCTGAGGTGCTTCTGGGAAGTTGGCATACGTCTTGAGCCTAAGCCAGGGAATCAGCTCGCATCTCGAGACGATTTGGGGTACACGGAGCATTCCTCGAGTTGCTGTGCTGAAGTTGGTGTTCCTCTAGACTTGGGACAGTGTTCTCAGGGCATCTCTGGAGTTGCCTGAAGGAAGTCGAGCCACCGGTCGTGTTGAATGGGGAACGGGGAATGGCTCTGGAGTCAATGCAGGGGAATCGGGCCTCATCTCGAGTTGATTTGGGGCACATGGAGCTGCTTTGCGTGGCTGGGGTGACCTCAGGGTCCGTCTAGACTGGTGACAGTGTTCTTGGGGACTGTCTCGAGATCCATTAAGCAAGTCGAAGCTCCTGACTTGTTTGAATGGGATCACGGAATAGCTCTGCATGCACTGCAGGGGAATGGGGCCTCATCTCGCCTCTAGGGGGAAGTCTCATGGTTTTTCTCGAGTTGCGGCGGGGACCTGGGGTATGTTCTCGACTTACGGCGGGGATGGCCCTTCAAAACACGAGTTTCTTCAGTGACGTCAGGACTCCTGTCTAGTAACGAGGGACACCTCAGGAATCTCTTCGAGGCTTGGCAGGGCAAAAGGGAGGCTTCTCGAGGTGAGGCAAGGCACCCAAGGACCCTTTCCAGTAGCCACAGGGATTTTGGGATTCCTATCAGTATTCAAGAGGAATCAGGCATCGTCACCTTTTGAAGCAATGAACTCCGCGTGCCTCTCGAGGTGTCAGCGGGATGTGAGGCATTCCGTCAAAATGAGGCAGGGACCTAGGGCTTTCTCTAAGGTCTCCACAGGGGATTCAGACATCCCTTCATGTTGTGAGATGAAAGACGAGCCTGTATTCAAGCCACTGCAAGGAAATCCGGCCTCCTTTCAAGTTAGGGCTTCTCGCTGTATATTCCCCTTGAGGCAGCAAACTCGGGGTCCCTCTCACATACCTATTGCTGAGAGAAGCCTCCTCCTGAGGTGCTTCTGGGAAGTTGGCATACGTCTTGAGCCTAAGCCAGGGAATCAGCTCGCATCTCGAGACGATTTGGGGTACACGGAGCATTCCTCGAGTTGCTGTGCTGAAGTTGGTGTTCCTCTAGACTTGGGACAGTGTTCTCGGGGCATCTCTGGAGTTGCCTGAAGGAAGTCGAGCCACCGGTCGTGTTGAATGGGGAACGGGGAATGGCTCTGGAGTCAATGCAGGGGAATCGGGCCTCATCTCGAGTTGATTTGGGGCACATGGAGCTGCTTTGCGTGGCTGGGGTGACCTCAGGGTCCGTCTAGACTGGTGACAGTGTTCTTGGGGACTGTCTCGAGATCCATTAAGCAAGTCGAAGCTCCTGACTTGTTTGAATGGGATCACGGAATAGCTCTGCATGCACTGCAGGGGAATGGGGCCTCATCTCGCCTCTAGGGGGAAGTCTCATGGTTTTTCTCGAGTTGCGGCGGGGACCTGGGGTATGTTCTCGACTTACGGCGGGGATGGCCCTTCAAAACACGAGTTTCTTCAGTGACGTCAGGACTCCTGTCTAGTAACGAGGGACACCTCAGGAATCTCTTCGAGGCCTGGCAGGGCAAAAGGGACGCTTCTCGAGGTGAGGCAGGGCACCCAAGGACCCTTTCCAGTAGCCACAGGGATTTTGGGATTCCTATCAGTATTCAAGAGGAGTCAGGCATCGTCACCTTTTGAAGCAATGAACTCCGCGTGCCTCTCGAGGTGTCAGCGGGATGTGAGGCATTCCGTCAAAATGAGGCAGGGACCTAGGGCTTTCTCTAAGGTCTCCACAGGGGATTCAGACATCCCTTCATGTTGTGAGATGAAAGACGAGCCTGTATTCAAGCCACTGCAAGGAAATCCGGCCTCCTATCAAGTTAGGGCTTCTCGCTGTATATTCCCCTTGAGGCAGCAAACTCGGGGTCCCTACCACATACCTACTGCTGAGAGAAGCCTCCTCCTGAGGTGCTTCTGGGAAGTTGGCATACGTCTTGAGCCTAAGCCAGGGAATCAGCTCGCATCTCGAGACGATTTGGGGTACACGGAGCATTCCTCGAGTTGCTGTGCTGAAGTTGGTGTTCCTCTAGACTTGGGACAGTGTTCTCGGGGCATCTCTGGAGTTGCCTGAAGGAAGTCAAGCCACCGGTCGTGTTGAATGGGGAACGGGGAATGGCTCTGGAGTCAATGCAGGGGAATCGGGCCTCATCTCGAGTTGATTTGGGGCACATGGAGCTGCTTTGCGTGGCTGGGGTGACCTCAGGGTCCGTCTAGACTGGTGACAGTGTTCTTGGGGACTGTCTCGAGATCCATTAAGCAAGTCGAAGCTCCTGACTTGTTTGAATGGGATCACGGAATAGCTCTGCATGCACTGCAGGAGAATGGGGCCTCATCTCGCCTCTAGGGGGAAGTCTCATGGTTTTTCTCGAGTTGCGGCGGGGACCTGGGGTATGTTCTCGACTTACGGCGGGGATGGCCCTTCAAAACACGAGTTTCTTCAGTGACGTCAGGACTCCTGTCTAGTAACGAGGGACACCTCAGGAATCTCTTCGAGGCTTGGCAGGGCAAAAGGGACGCTTCTCGAGGTGAGGCAGGGCACCCAAGGACCCTTTCCAGTAGCCACAGGGATTTTGGGTTTCCTATCAGTATTCAAGAGGAGTCAGGCATCGTCACCTTTTGAAGCAATGAACTCCGCGTGCCTCTCGAGGTGTCAGCGGGATGTGAGGCATTCCGTCAAAATGAGGCAGGGACCTAGGGCTTTCTCTAAGGTCTCCACAGGGGATTCAGACATCCCTTCATGTTGTGAGATGAAAGACGAGCCTGTATTCAAGCCACTGCAAGGAAATCCGGCCTCCTTTCAAGTTAGGGCTTCTCGCTGTATATTCCCCTTGAGGCAGCAAACTCGGGGTCCCTCCCACATACCTATTGCTGAGAGAAGCCTCCTCCTGAGGTGCTTCTGGGAAGTTGGCATACGTCTTGAGCCTAAGCCAGGGAATCAGCTCGCATCTCGAGACGATTTGGGGTACACGGAGCATTCCTCGAGTTGCTGTGCTGAAGTTGGTGTTCCTCTAGACTTGGGACAGTGTTCTCGGGGCATCTCTGGAGTTGCCTGAAGGAAGTCGAGCCACCGGTCGTGTTGAATGGGGAACGGGGAATGGCTCTGGAGTCAATGCAGGGGAATCGGGCCTCATCTCGAGTTGATTTGGGGCACATGGAGCTGCTTTGCGTGGCTGGGGTGACCTCAGGGTCCGTCTAGACTGGTGACAGTGTTCTTGGGGACTGTCTCGAGATCCATTAAGCAAGTCGAAGCTCCTGACTTGTTTGAATGGGATCACGGAATAGCTCTGCATGCACTGCAGGGGAATGGGGCCTCATCTCGCCTCTAGGGGGAAGTCTCATGGTTTTTCTCGAGTTGTGGCGGGGACCTGGGGTATGTTCTCGACTTACGGCGGGGATGGCCCTTCAAAACACGAGTTTCTTCAGTGACGTCAGGACTCCTGTCTAGTAACGAGGGACACCTCAGGAATCTCTTCGAGGCTTGGCAGGGCAAAAGGGACGCTTCTCGAGGTGAGGCAGGGCACCCAAGGACCCTTTCCAGTAGCCACAGGGATTTTGGGATTCCTATCAGTATTCAAGAGGAGTCAGGCATCGTCACCTTTTGAAGCAATGAACTCCGCGTGCCTCTCGAGGTGTCAGCGGGATGTGAGGCATTCCGTCAAAATGAGGCAGGGACCTAGGGCTTTCTCTAAGGTCTCCACAGGGGATTCAGACATCCCTTCATGTTGTGAGATGAAAGACGAGCCTGTATTCAAGCCACTGCAAGGAAATCCGGCCTCCTATCAAGTTAGGGCTTCTTGCTGTATATTCCCCTTGAGGCAGCAAACTCGGGGTCCCTCCCACATACCTACTGCTGAGAGAAGCCTCCTCCTGAGGTGCTTCTGGGAAGTTGGCATACGTCTTGAGCCTAAGGCAGGGAATCAGCTCGCATCTCGAGACGATTTGGGGTACACGGAGCATTCCTCGAGTTGCTGTGCTGAAGTTGGTGTTCCTCTAGACTTGGGACAGTGTTCTCGGGGCATCTCTGGAGTTGCCTGAAGGAAGTCAAGCCACCGGTCGTGTTGAATGGGGAACGGGGAATGGCTCTGGAGTCAATGCAGGGGAATCGGGCCTCATCTCGAGTTGATTTGGGGCACATGGAGCTGCTTTGCGTGGCTGGGGTGACCTCAGGGTCCGTCTAGACTGGTGACAGTGTTCTTGGGGACTGTCTCGAGATCCATTAAGCAAGTCGAAGCTCCTGACTTGTTTGAATGGGATCACGGAATAGCTCTGCATGCACTGCAGGGGAATGGGGCCTCATCTGGCCTCTAGGGGGAAGTCTCATGGTTTTTCTCGAGTTGCGGCGGGGACCTGGGGTATGTTCTCGACTTACGGCGGGGATGGCCCTTCAAAACACGAGTTTCTTCAGTGACGTCAGGACTCCTGTCTAGTAACGAGGGACACCTCAGGAATCTCTTCGAGGCTTGGCAGGGCAAAAGGGACGCTTCTCGAGGTGAGGCAGGGCACCCAAGGACCCTTTCCAGTAGCCACAGGGATTTTGGGATTCCTATCAGTATTCAAGAGGAGTCAGGCATCGTCACCTTTTGAAGCAATGAACTCCGCGTGCCTCTCGAGGTGTCAGCGGGATGTGAGGCATTCCGTCAAAATGAGGCAGGGACCTAGGGCTTTCTCTAAGGTCTCCACAGGGGATTCAGACATCCCTTCATGTTGTGAGATGAAAGACGAGCCTGTATTCAAGCCACTGCAAGGAAATCCGGCCTCCTTTCAAGTTAGGGCTTCTCGCTGTATATTCCCCTTGAGGCAGCAAACTCGGGGTCCCTCCCACATACCTATTGCTGAGAGAAGCCTCCTCCTGAGGTGCTTCTGGGAAGTTGGCATACGTCTTGAGCCTAAGCCAGGGAATCAGCTCGCATCTCGAGACGATTTGGGGTACACGGAGCATTCCTCGAGTTGCTGTGCTGAAGTTGGTGTTCCTCTAGACTTGGGACAGTGTTCTCGGGGCATCTCTGGAGTTGCCTGAAGGAAGTCGAGCCACCGGTCGTGTTGAATGGGGAACGGGGAATGGCTCTGGAGTCAATGCAGGGGAATCGTGCCTCATCTCGAGTTGATTTGGGGCACATGGAGCTGCTTTGCGTGGCTGGGGTGACCTCAGGGTCCGTCTAGACTGGTGACAGTGTTCTTGGGGACTGTCTCGAGATCCATTAAGCAAGTCGAAGCTCCTGACTTGTTTGAATGGGATCACGGAATAGCTCTGCATGCACTGCAGGGGAATGGGGCCTCATCTCGCCTCTAGGGGGAAGTCTCATGGTTTTTCTCGAGTTGCGGCGGGGACCTGGGGTATGTTCTCGACTTACGGCGGGGATGGCCCTTCAAAACACGAGTTTCTTCAGTGACGTCAGGACTCCTGTCTAGTAACGAGGGACACCTCAGGAATCTCTTCGAGGCTTGGCAGGGCAAAAGGGACGCTTCTCGAGGTGAGGCAGGGCACCCAAGGACCCTTTCCAGTAGCCACAGGGATTTTGGGATTCCTATCAGTATTCAAGAGGAATCAGGCATCGTCACCTTTTGAAGCAATGAACTCCGCGTGCCTCTCGAGGTGTCAGCGGGATGTGAGGCATTCCGTCAAAATGAGGCAGGGACCTAGGGCTTTCTCTAAGGTCTCCACAGGGGATTCAGACATCCCTTCATGTTGTGAGATGAAAGACGAGCCTGTATTCAAGCCACTGCAAGGAAATCTGGCCTCCTTTCAAGTTAGGGCTTCTCGCTGTATATTCCCCTTGAGGCAGCAAACTCGGGGTCCCTCCCACATACCTATTGCTGAGAGAAACCTCCTCCTGAGGTGCTTCTGGGAAGTTGGCATACGTCTTGAGCCTAAGCCAGGGAATCAGCTCGCATCTCGAGACGATTTGGGGTACACGGAGCATTCCTCGAGTTGCTGTGCTGAAGTTGGTGTTCCTCTAGACTTGGGACAGTGTTCTCGGGGCATCTCTGGAGTTGCCTGAAGGAAGTCGAGCCACCGGTCGTGTTGAATGGGGAACGGGGAATGGCTCTGGAGTCAATGCAGGGGAATCGGGCCTCATCTCGAGTTGATTTGGGGCACATGGAGCTGCTTTGCGTGGCTGGGCTGACCTCAGGGTCCGTCTAGACTTGTGACAGTGTTCTTGGGGACTGTCTCGAGATCCATTAAGCAAGTCGAAGCTCCTGACTTGTTTGAATGGGATCACGGAATAGCTCTGCATGCACTGCAGGGAAATGGGGCCTCATCTCGCCTCTAGGGGGAAGTCTCATGGTTTTTCTCGAGTTGCGGCGGGGACCTGGGGTATGTTCTCGACTTACGGCGGGGATGGCCCTTCAAAACACGAGTTTCTTCAGTGACGTCAGGACTCCTGTCTAGTAATGAGGGACACCTCAGGAATCTCTTCGAGGCTTGGCAGGGCAAAAGGGACGCTTCTCGAGGTGAGGCAGGGCACCCAAGGACCCTTTCCAGTAGCCACAGGGATTTTGGGATTCCTATCAGTATTCAAGAGGAGTCAGGCATCGTCACCTTTTGAAGCAATGAACTCCGCGTGCCTCTCGAGGTGTCAGCGGGATGTGAGGCATTCCGTCAAAATGAGGCAGGGACCTAGGGCTTTCTCTAAGGTCTCCACAGGGGATTCAGACATCCCTTCATGTTGTGAGATGAAAGACGAGCCTGTATTCAAGCCACTGCAAGGAAATCCGGCCTCCTTTCGAGTTAGGGCTTCTCGCTGTATATTCCCCTTGAGGCAGCAAACTCGGGGTCCCTCCCACATACCTATTGCTGAGAGAAGCCTCCTCCTGAGGTGCTTCTGGGAAGTTGGCATACGTCTTGAGCCTAAGCCAGGGAATCAGCTCTCATCTCGAGACGATTTGGGGTACACGGAGCATTCCTCGAGTTGCTGTGCTGAAGTTGGTGTTCCTCTAGACTTGGGACAGTGTTCTCGGGGCATCTCTGGAGTTGCCTGAAGGAAGTCGAGCCACCGGTCGTGTTGAATGGGGAATGGGGAATGGCTCTGGAGTCAATGCAGGGGAATCGGGCCTCATCTCGAGTTGATTTGGGGCACATGGAGCTGCTTTGCGTTGCTGGGGTGACCTCAGGGTCCGTCTAGACTGGTGACAGTGTTCTTGGGGACTGTCTCGAGATCCATTAAGCAAGTCGAAGCTCCTGACTTGTTTGAATGGGATCACGGAATAGCTCTGCATGCACTGCAGGGGAATGGGGCCTCATCTCGCCTCTAGGGGGAAGTCTCATGGTTTTTCTCGAGTTGCGGCGGGGACCTGGGTTATGTTCTCGACTTACGGCGGGGATGGCCCTTCAAAACACGAGTTTCTTCAGTGACGTCAGGACTCCTGTCTAGTAACGAAGGACACCTCAGGAATCTCTTCGAGGCTTGGCAGGGCAAAAGGGACGCTTCTCGAGGTGAGGCAGGGCACCCAAGGACCCTTTCCAGTAGCCACAGGGATTTTGGGATTCCTATCAGTATTCAAGAGGAGTCAGGCATCGTCACCTTTTGAAGCAATGAACTCCGCGTGCCTCTCGAGGTGTCAGCGGGATGTGAGGCATTCCGTCAAAATGAGGCAGGGAACTAGGGCTTTCTCTAAGGTCTCCACAGGGGATTCAGACATCCCTTCATGTTGTGAGATGAAAGACGAGCCTGTATTCAAGCCACTGCAAGGAAATCCGGCCTCCTTTCAAGTTAGGGCTTCTCGCTGTATATTCCCCTTGAGGCAGCAAACTCGGGGTCCCTCCCACATACCTATTGCTGAGAGAAGCCTCCTCCTGAGGTGCTTCTGGGAAGTTGGCATACGTCTTGAGCCTAAGCCAGGGAATCAGCTCGCATCTCGAGACGATTTGGGGTACACGGAGCATTCCTTGAGTTGCTGTGCTGAAGTTGGTGTTGCTCTAGACTTGGGACAGTGTTCTCGGGGCATCTCTGGAGTTGCCTGAAGGAAGTCGAGCCACCGGTCGTGTTGAATGGGGAACGGGGAATGGCTCTGGAGTCAATGCAGGGGAATCGGGCCTCATCTCGAGTTGATTTGGGGCACATGGAGCTGCTTTGCGTTGCTGGGGTGACCTCAGGGTCCATCTAGACTGGTGACAGTGTTCTTGGGGACTGTCTCGAGATCCATTAAGCAAGTCGAAGCTCCTGACTTGTTTGAATGGGATCACGGAATAGCTCTGCATGCACTGCAGGGGAATGGGGCCTCATCTCGCCTCTAGGGGGAAGTCTCATGGTTTTTCTCGAGTTGCGGCGGGGACCTGGGGTATGTTCTCGACTTACGGCGGGGATGGCCCTTCAAAACACGAGTTTCTTCAGTGACGTCAGGACTCCTGTCTAGTAACGAGGGACACCTCAGGAATCTCTTCGAGGCTTGGCAGGGCAAAAGGGACGCTTCTCGAGGTGAGGCAGGGCACCCAAGGACCCTTTCCAGTAGCCACAGGGATTTTGGGATTCCTATCAGTATTCAAGAGGAATCAGGCATCGTCACCTTTTGAAGCAATGAACTCCGCGTGCCTCTCGAGGTGTCAGCGGGATGTGAGGCATTCCGTCAAAATGAGGCAGGGACCTAGGGCTTTCTCTAAGGTCTCCACAGGGGATTCAGACATCCCTTCATGTTGTGAGATGAAAGACGAGCCTGTATTCAAGCCACTGCAAGGAAATCTGGCCTCCTTTCAAGTTAGGGCTTCTCGCTGTATATTCCCCTTGAGGCAGCAAACTCGGGGTCCCTCCCACATACCTATTGCTGAGAGAAACCTCCTCCTGAGGTGCTTCTGGGAAGTTGGCATACGTCTTGAGCCTAAGCCAGGGAATCAGCTCGCATCTCGAGACGATTTGGGGTACACGGAGCATTCCTCGAGTTGCTGTGCTGAAGTTGGTGTTCCTCTAGACTTGGGACAGTGTTCTCGGGGCATCTCTGGAGTTGCCTGAAGGAAGTCGAGCCACCGGTCGTGTTGAATGGGGAACGGGGAATGGCTCTGGAGTCAATGCAGGGGAATCGGGCCTCATCTCGAGTTGATTTGGGGCACATGGAGCTGCTTTGCGTGGCTGGGCTGACCTCAGGGTCCGTCTAGACTTGTGACAGTGTTCTTGGGGACTGTCTCGAGATCCATTAAGCAAGTCGAAGCTCCTGACTTGTTTGAATGGGATCACGGAATAGCTCTGCATGCACTGCAGGGAAATGGGGCCTCATCTCGCCTCTAGGGGGAAGTCTCATGGTTTTTCTCGAGTTGCGGCGGGGACCTGGGGTATGTTCTCGACTTACGGCGGGGATGGCCCTTCAAAACACGAGTTTCTTCAGTGACGTCAGGACTCCTGTCTAGTAATGAGGGACACCTCAGGAATCTCTTCGAGGCTTGGCAGGGCAAAAGGGACGCTTCTCGAGGTGAGGCAGGGCACCCAAGGACCCTTTCCAGTAGCCACAGGGATTTTGGGATTCCTATCAGTATTCAAGAGGAGTCAGGCATCGTCACCTTTTGAAGCAATGAACTCCGCGTGCCTCTCGAGGTGTCAGCGGGATGTGAGGCATTCCGTCAAAATGAGGCAGGGACCTAGGGCTTTCTCTAAGGTCTCCACAGGGGATTCAGACATCCCTTCATGTTGTGAGATGAAAGACGAGCCTGTATTCAAGCCACTGCAAGGAAATCCGGCCTCCTTTCGAGTTAGGGCTTCTCGCTGTATATTCCCCTTGAGGCAGCAAACTCGGGGTCCCTCCCACATACCTATTGCTGAGAGAAGCCTCCTCCTGAGGTGCTTCTGGGAAGTTGGCATACGTCTTGAGCCTAAGCCAGGGAATCAGCTCTCATCTCGAGACGATTTGGGGTACACGGAGCATTCCTCGAGTTGCTGTGCTGAAGTTGGTGTTCCTCTAGACTTGGGACAGTGTTCTCGGGGCATCTCTGGAGTTGCCTGAAGGAAGTCGAGCCACCGGTCGTGTTGAATGGGGAATGGGGAATGGCTCTGGAGTCAATGCAGGGGAATCGGGCCTCATCTCGAGTTGATTTGGGGCACATGGAGCTGCTTTGCGTTGCTGGGGTGACCTCAGGGTCCGTCTAGACTGGTGACAGTGTTCTTGGGGACTGTCTCGAGATCCATTAAGCAAGTCGAAGCTCCTGACTTGTTTGAATGGGATCACGGAATAGCTCTGCATGCACTGCAGGGGAATGGGGCCTCATCTCGCCTCTAGGGGGAAGTCTCATGGTTTTTCTCGAGTTGCGGCGGGGACCTGGGTTATGTTCTCGACTTACGGCGGGGATGGCCCTTCAAAACACGAGTTTCTTCAGTGACGTCAAGACTCCTGTCTAGTAACGAGGGACACCTCAGGAATCTCTTCGAGGCTTGGCAGGGCAAAAGGGACGCTTCTCGAGGTGAGGCAGGGCACCCAAGGACCCTTTCCAGTAGCCACAGGGATTTTGGGATTCCTATCAGTATTCAAGAGGAGTCAGGCATCGTCACCTTTTGAAGCAATGAACTCCGCGTGCCTCTCGAGGTGTCAGCGGGATGTGAGGCATTCCGTCAAAATGAGGCAGGGAACTAGGGCTTTCTCTAAGGTCTCCACAGGGGATTCAGACATCCCTTCATGTTGTGAGATGAAAGACGAGCCTGTATTCAAGCCACTGCAAGGAAATCCGGCCTCCTTTCAAGTTAGGGCTTCTCGCTGTATATTCCCCTTGAGGCAGCAAACTCGGGGTCCCTCCCACATACCTATTGCTGAGAGAAGCCTCCTCCTGAGGTGCTTCTGGGAAGTTGGCATACGTCTTGAGCCTAAGCCAGGGAATCAGCTCGCATCTCGAGACGATTTGGGGTACACGGAGCATTCCTTGAGTTGCTGTGCTGAAGTTGGTGTTGCTCTAGACTTGGGACAGTGTTCTCGGGGCATCTCTGGAGTTGCCTGAAGGAAGTCGAGCCACCGGTCGTGTTGAATGGGGAACGGGGAATGGCTCTGGAGTCAATGCAGGGGAATCGGGCCTCATCTCGAGTTGATTTGGGGCACATGGAGCTGCTTTGCGTTGCTGGGGTGACCTCAGGGTCCATCTAGACTGGTGACAGTGTTCTTGGGGACTGTCTCGAGATCCATTAAGCAAGTCGAAGCTCCTGACTTGTTTGAATGGGATCACGGAATAGCTCTGCATGCACTGCAGGGGAATGGGGCCTCATCTCGCCTCTAGGGGGAAGTCTCATGGTTTTTCTCGAGTTGCGGCGGGGACCTGGGGTATGTTCTCGACTTACGGCGGGGATGGCCCTTCAAAACACGAGTTTCTTCAGTGACGTCAGGACTCCTGTCTAGTAACGAGGGACACCTCAGGAATCTCTTCGAGGCTTGGCAGGGCAAAAGGGACGCTTCTCGAGGTGAGGCAGGGCACCCAAGGACCCTTTCCAGTAGCCACAGGGATTTTGGGATTCCTATCAGTATTCAAGAGGAGTCAGGCATCGTCACCTTTTGAAGCAATGAACTCCGCGTGCCTCTCGAGGTGTCAGCGGGATGTGAGGCATTCCGTCAAAATGAGGCAGGGACCTAGGGCTTTCTCTAAGGTCTCCACAGGGGATTCAGACATCCCTTCATGTTGTGAGATAAAAGACGAGCCTGTATTCAAGCCACTGCAAGGAAATCCGGCCTCCTTTCAAGTTAGGGCTTCTCGCTGTATATTCCCCTTGAGGCAGCAAACTCGGGGTCCCTCCCACATACCTATTGCTGAGAGAAGCCTCCTCCTGAGGTGCTTCTGGGAAGTTGGCATACGTCTTGAGCCTAAGCCAGGGAATCAGCTCTCATCTCGAGACGATTTGGGGTACACGGAGCATTCCTCGAGGTGCTGTGCTGAAGTTGGTGTTCCTCTAGACTTGGGACAGTGTTCTCGGGGCATCTCTGGAGTTGCCTGAAGGAAGTCGAGCCACCGGTCGTGTTGAATGGGGAACGGGGAATGGCTCTGGAGTCAATGCAGGGGAATCGGGCCTCATCTCGAGTTGATTTGGGGCACATGGAGCTGCTTTGTGTTGCGGGTGTGACCTCAGGGTCCGTCTAGACTGGTGACAGTGTTCTTGGGGACTGTCTCGAGATCCATTAAGCAAGTCGAAGCTCCTGACTTGTTTGAATGGGATCACGGAATAGCTCTGCATGCACTGCAGGGGAATGGGGCCTCATCTCGCCTCTAGGGGGAAGTCTCATGGTTTTTCTCGAGTTGCGGCGGGGACCTGGGGTATGTTCTCGACTTACGGCGGGGATGGCCCTTCAAAACACGAGTTTCTTCAGTGACGTCAGGACTCCTGTCTAGTAACGAGGGACACCTCAGGAATCTCTTCGAGGCTTGGCAGGGCAAAAGGGACGCTTCTCGAGGTGAGGCAGGGCACCCAAGGACCCTTTCCAGTAGCCACAGGGATTTTGGGATTCCTATCAGTATTCAAGAGGAGTCAGGCATCGTCACCTTTTGAAGCAATGAACTCCGCGTGCCTCTCGAAGTGTCAGCGGGATGTGAGGCATTCCGTCAAAATGAGGCAGGGACCTAGGGCTTTCTCTAAGGTCTCCACAGGGGATTCAGACATCCCTTCATGTTGTGAGATAAAAGACGAGCCTGTATTCAAGCCACTGCAAGGAAATCCGGCCTCCTTTCAAGTTAGGGCTTCTCGCTGTATATTCCCCTTGAGGCAGCAAACTCGGGGTCCCTCCCACATACCTATTGCTGAGAGAAGCCTCCTCCTGAGGTGCTTCTGGGAAGTTGGCATACGTCTTGAGCCTAAGCCAGGGAATCAGCTCTCATCTCGAGACGATTTGGGGTACACGGAGCATTCCTCGAGGTGCTGTGCTGAAGTTGGTGTTCCTCTAGACTTGGGACAGTGTTCTCGGGGCATCTCTGGAGTTGCCTGAAGGAAGTCGAGCCACCGGTCGTGTTGAATGGGGAACGGGGAATGGCTCTGGAGTCAATGCAGGGGAATCGGGCCTCATCTCGAGTTGATTTGGGGCACATGGAGCTGCTCTGCGTTGCGGGGGTGACCTCAGGGTCCGTCTAGACTGGTGACAGTGTTCTTGGGGACTGTCTCGAGATCCATTAAGCAAGTCGAAGCTCCTGACTTGTTTGAATGGGATCACGGAATAGCTCTGCATGCACTGCAGGGGAATGGGGCCTCATCTCGCCTCTAGGGGGAAGTCTCATGGTTTTTCTCGAGTTGCGGCGGGGACCTGGGGTATGTTCTCGACTTACGGCGGGGATGGCCCTTCAAAACACGAGTTTCTTCAGTGACGTCAGGACTCCTGTCTAGTAACGAGGGACACCTCAGGAATCTCTTCGAGGCTTGGCAGGGCAAAAGGGACGCTTCTCGAGGTGAGGCAGGGCACCCAAGGACCCTTTCCAGTAGCCACAGGGATTTTGGGATTCCTATCAGTATTCAAGAGGAGTCAGGCATCGTCAAGTTTTGAAGCAATGAACTCCGCGTGCCTCTCGAGGTGTCAGCGGGATGTGAGGCATTCCGTCAAAATGAGGCAGGGACCTAGGGCTTTCTCTAAGGTCTCCACAGGGGATTCAGACATCCCTTCATGTTGTGAGATGAAAGACGAGCCTGTATTCAAGCCACTGCAAGGAAATCCGGCCTCCTTTCAAGTTAGGGCTTCTCGCTGTATATTCCCCTTGAGGCAGCAAACTCGGGGTCCCTCCCACATACCTATTGCTGAGAGAAGCCTCCTCCTGAGGTGCTTCTGGGAAGTTGGCATACGTCTTGAGCCTAAGCCAGGGAATCAGCTCTCATCTCGAGACGATTTGGGGTACACGGAGCATTCCTCGAGTTGCTGTGCTGAAGTTGGTGTTCCTCTAGACTAGGGACAGTGTTCTCGGGGCATCTCTGGAGTTGCCTGAAGGAAGTCGAGCCACCGGTCGTGTTGAATGGGGAACGGGGAATGGCTCTGGAGTCAATGCAGGGGAATCGGGCCTCATCTCGAGTTGATTTGGGGCACATGGAGCTGCTTTGCGTTGCTGGGGTGACCTCAGGGCCCGTCTAGACTGGTGACAGTGTTCTTGGGGACTGTCTCGAGATCCATTAAGCAAGTCGAAGCTCCTGACTTGTTTGAATGGGATCACGGAATAGCTCTGCATGCACTGCAGGGGAATGGGGCCTCATCTCGCCTCTAAGGGGAAGTCTCATGGTTTTTCTCGAGTTGCGGCGGGGACCTGGGGTATGTTCTCGACTTACGGCGGGGATGGCCTTCAAAACACGAGTTTCTTCAGTGACGTCAGGACTCCTGTCTAGTAACGAGGGACACCTCAGGAATCTCTTCGAGGCTTGGCAGGGCAAAAGGGACGCTTCTCGAGGTGAGGCAGGGCACCCAAGGACCCTTTCCAGTAGCCACAGGGATTTTGGGATTCCTATCAGTATTCAAGAGGAGTCAGGCATCGTCACCTTTTGAAGCAATGAACTCCGCGTGCCTCTCGAGGTGTCAGCGGGATGTGAGGCATTCCGTCAAAATGAGGCAGGGACCTAGGGCTTTCTCTAAGGTCTCCACAGGGGATTCAGACATCCCTTCATGTTGTGAGATAAAAGACGAGCCTGTATTCAAGCCACTGCAAGGAAATCCGGCCTCCTTTCAAGTTAGGGCTTCTCGCTGTATATTCCCCTTGAGGCAGCAAACTCGGGGTCCCTCCCACATACCTATTGCTGAGAGAAGCCTCCTCCTGAGGTGCTTCTGGGAAGTTGGCATACGTCTTGAGCCTAAGCCAGGGAATCAGCTCTCATCTCGAGACGATTTGGGGTACACGGAGCATTCCTCGAGGTGCTGTGCTGAAGTTGGTGTTCCTCTAGACTTGGGACAGTGTTCTCGGGGCATCTCTGGAGTTGCCTGAAGGAAGTCGAGCCACCGGTCGTGTTGAATGGGGAACGGGGAATGGCTCTGGAGTCAATGCAGGGGAATCGGGCCTCATCTCGAGTTGATTTGGGGCACATGGAGCTGCTTTGTGTTGCGGGGGTGACCTCAGGGTCCGTCTAGACTGGTGACAGTGTTCTTGGGGACTGTCTCGAGATCCATTAAGCAAGTCGAAGCTCCTGACTTGTTTGAATGGGATCACGGAATAGCTCTGCATGCACTGCAGGGGAATGGGGCCTCATCTCGCCTCTAGGGGGAAGTCTCATGGTTTTTCTCGAGTTGCGGCGGGGACCTGGGGTATGTTCTCGACTTACGGCGGGGATGGCCCTTCAAAACACGAGTTTCTTCAGTGACGTCAGGACTCCTGTCTAGTAACGAGGGACACCTCAGGAATCTCTTCGAGGCTTGGCAGGGCAAAAGGGACGCTTCTCGAGGTGAGGCAGGGCACCCAAGGACCCTTTCCAGTAGCCACAGGGATTTTGGGATTCCTATCAGTATTCAAGAGGAGTCAGGCATCGTCACCTTTTGAAGCAATGAACTCCGCGTGCCTCTCGAGGTGTCAGCGGGATGTGAGGCATTCCGTCAAAATGAGGCAGGGACCTAGGGCTTTCTCTAAGGTCTCCACAGGGGATTCAGACATCCCTTCATGTTGTGAGATAAAAGACGAGCCTGTATTCAAGCCACTGCAAGGAAATCCGGCCTCCTTTCAAGTTAGGGCTTCTCGCTGTATATTCCCCTTGAGGCAGCAAACTCGGGGTCCCTCCCACATACCTATTGCTGAGAGAAGCCTCCTCCTGAGGTGCTTCTGGGAAGTTGGCATACGTCTTGAGCCTAAGCCAGGGAATCAGCTCTCATCTCGAGACGATTTGGGGTACACGGAGCATTCCTCGAGTTGCTGTGCTGAAGTTGGTGTTCCTCTAGACTTGGGACAGTGTTCTCGGGGCATCTCTGGAGTTGCCTGAAGGAAGTCGAGCCACCGGTCGTGTTGAATGGGGAACGGGGAATGGCTCTGGAGTCAATGCAGGGGAATCGGGCCTCATCTCGAGTTGATTTGGGGCACATGGAGCTGCTTTGTGTTGCGGGGGTGACCTCAGGGTCCGTCTAGACTGGTGACAGTGTTCTTGGGGACTATCTCGAGATCCATTAAGCAAGTCGAAGCTCCTGACTTGTTTGAATGGGATCACGGAATAGCTCTGCATGCACTGCAGGGGAATGGGGCCTCATCTCGCCTCTAGGGGGAAGTCTCATGGTTTTTCTCGAGTTGCGGCGGGGACCTGGGGTATGTTCTCGACTTACGGCGGGGATGGCCCTTCAAAACACGAGTTTCTTCAGTGACGTCAGGACTCCTGTCTAGTAACGAGGGACACCTCAGGAATCTCTTCGAGGCTTGGCAGGGCAAAAGGGACGCTTCTCGAGGTGAGGCAGGGCACCCAAGGACCCTTTCCAGTAGCCACAGGGATTTTGGGATTCCTATCAGTATTCAAGAGGAGTCAGGCATCGTCACCTTTTGAAGCAATGAACTCCGCGTGCCTCTCGAGGTGTCAGCGCGATGTGAGGCATTCCGTCAAAATGAGGCAGGGACCTAGGGCTTTCTCTAAGGTCTCCACAGGGGATTCAGACATCCCTTCATGTTGTGAGATGAAAGACGAGCCTGTATTCAAGCCACTGCAAGGAAATCCGGCCTCCTTTCAAGTTAGGGCTTCTCGCTGTATATTCCCCTTGAGGCAGCAAACTCGGGGTCCCTCCCACATACCTATTGCTGAGAGAAGCCTCCTCCTGAGGTGCTTCTGGGAAGTTGGCATACGTCTTGAGCCTAAGCCAGGGAATCAGCTCTCATCTCGAGACGATTTGGGGTACACGGAGCATTCCTCGAGTTGCTGTGCTGAAGTTGGTGTTCCTCTAGACTTGGGACAGTGTTCTCGGGGCATCTCTGGAGTTGCCTGAAGGAAGTCGAGCCACCGGTCGTGTTGAATGGGGAACGGGGAATGGCTCTGGAGTCAATGCAGGGGAATCGGGCCTCATCTCGAGTTGATTTGGGGCACATGGAGCTGCTTTGCGTTGCTGGGGTGACCTCAGGGTCCGTCTAGACTGGTGACAGTGTTCTTGGGGACTGTCTCGAGATCCATTAAGCAAGTCGAAGCTCCTGACTTGTTTGAATGGGATCACGGAATAGCTCTGCATGCACTGCAGGGGAATGGGGCCTCATCTCGCCTCTAGGGGGAAGTCTCATGGTTTTTCTCGAGTTGCGGCGGGGACCTGGGGTATGTTCTCGACTTACGGCGGTGATGGCCCTTCAAAACACGAGTTTCTTCAGTGACGTCAGGACTCCTGTCTAGTAACGAGGGACACCTCAGGAATCTCTTCGAGGCTTGGCAGGGCAAAAGGGACGCTTCTCGAGGTGAGGCAGGGCACCCAAGGACCCTTTCCAGTAGCCACAGGGATTTTGGGATTCCTATCAGTATTCAAGAGGAGTCAGGCATCGTCACCTTTTGAAGCAATGAACTCCGCGTGCCTCTCGAGGTGTCAGCGGGATGTGAGGCATTCCGTCAAAATGAGGCAGGGACCTAGGGCTTTCTCTAAGGTCTCCACAGGGGATTCAGACATCCCTTCATGTTGTGAGATGAAAGACGAGCCTGTATTCAAGCCACTGCAAGGAAATCCGGCCTCCTTTCAAGTTAGGTCTTCTCGCTGTATATTCCCCTTGAGGCAGCAAACTCGGGGTCCCTCCCACATACCTATTGCTGAGAGAAGCCTCCTCCTGAGGTGCTTCTGGGAAGTTGGCATACGTCTTGAGCCTAAGCCAGGGAATCAGCTCTCATCTCGAGACGATTTGGGGTACACGGAGCATTCCTCGAGTTGCTGTGCTGAAGTTGGTGTTCCTCTAGACTAGGGACAGTGTTCTCGGGGCATCTCTGGAGTTGCCTGAAGGAAGTCGAGCCACCGGTCGTGTTGAATGGGGAACGGGGAATGGCTCTGGAGTCAATGCAGGGGAATCGGGCCTCATCTCGAGTTGATTTGGGGCACATGGAGCTGCTTTGCGTTGCTGGGGTGACCTCAGGGCCCGTCTAGACTGGTGACAGTGTTCTTGGGGACTGTCTCGAGATCCATTAAGCAAGTCGAAGCTCCTGACTTGTTTGAATGGGATCACGGAATAGCTCTGCATGCACTGCAGGGGAATGGGGCCTCATCTCGCCTCTAAGGGGAAGTCTCATGGTTTTTCTCGAGTTGCGGCGGGGACCTGGGGTATGTTCTCGACTTACGGCGGGGATGGCCTTCAAAACACGAGTTTCTTCAGTGACGTCAGGACTCCTGTCTAGTAACGAGGGACACCTCAGGAATCTCTTCGAGGCTTGGCAGGGCAAAAGGGACGCTTCTCTAGGTGAGGCAGGGCACCCAAGGACCCTTTCCAGTAGCCACAGGGATTTTGGGATTCCTATCAGTATTCAAGAGGAGTCAGGCATCGTCACCTTTTGAAGCAATGAACTCCGCGTGCCTCTCGAGGTGTCAGCGCGATGTGAGGCATTCCTTAAAAATGAGGCAGGGACCTAGGGCTTTCTCTAAGGTCTCCACAGGGAATTCAGACATCCCTTCATGTTGTGAGATGAAAGACGAGCCTGTATTCAAGCCACTGCAAGGAAATCCGGCCTCCTTTCAAGTTAGGGCTTCTCGCTGTATATTCCCCTTGAGGCAGCAAACTCGGGGTCCCTCCCACATACCTATTGCTGAGAGAAGCCTCCTCCTGAGGTGCTTCTGGGAAGTTGGCATACGTCTTGAGCCTAAGCCAGGGAATCAGCTCTCATCTCGAGACGATTTGGGGTACACGGAGCATTCCTCGAGTTGCTGTCCTGAAGTTGGTGTTCCTCTAGACTTGGGACAGTGTTCTCGGGGCATCTCTGGAGTTCCCTGAAGGAAGTCGAGCCACCGGTCGTGTTGAATGTGGAATGGGGAATGGCTCTGGAGTCAATGCAGGGGAATCGGGCCTCATCTCGAGTTGATTTGGGGCACATGGAGCTGCTCTGCGTTGCGGGGGTGACCTCAGGGTCCGTCTAGACTGGTGACAGTGTTCTTGGGGACTGTCTCAAGATCCATTAAGCAAGTCGAAGCTCCTGACTTGTTTGAATGGGATCACGGAATAGCTCTGCATGCACTGCAGGGGAATGGGGCCTCATCTCGCCTCTAGGGGGAAGTCTCATGGTTTTTCTCGAGTTGCGGCGGGGACCTGGGGTATGTTCTCGACTTACGGCGGGGATGGCCCTTCAAAACACGAGTTTCTTCAGTGACGTCAGGACTCCTGTCTAGTAACGAGGGACACCTCAGGAATCTCTTCGAGGCTTGGCAGGGCAAAAGGGACGCTTCTCGAGGTGAGGCAGGGCACCCAAGGACCCTTTCCAGTAGCCACAGGGATTTTGGGATTCCTATCAGTATTCAAGAGGAGTCAGGCATCGTCACCTTTTGAAGCAATGAACTCCGCGTGCCTCTCGAGGTGTCAGCGGGATGTGAGGCATTCCGTCAAAATGAGGCAGGGACCTAGGGCTTTCTCTAAGGTCTCCACAGGGGATTCAGACATCCCTTCATGTTGTGAGATGAAAGACGAGCCTGTATTCAAGCCACTGCAAGGAAATCCGGCCTCCTTTCAAGTTAGGGCTTCTCGCTGTATATTCCCCTTGAGGCAGCAAACTCGGGGTCCCTCCCACATACCTATTGCTGAGAGAAGCCTCCTCCTGAGGTGCTTCTGGGAAGTTGGCATACGTCTTGAGCCTAAGCCAGGGAATCAGCTCTCATCTCGAGACGATTTGGGGTACACGGAGCATTCCTCGAGTTGCTGTGCTGAAGTTGGTGTTCCTCTAGACTAGGGACAGTGTTCTCGGGGCATCTCTGGAGTTGCCTGAAGGAAGTCGAGCCACCGGTCGTGTTGAATGGGGAACGGGGAATGGCTCTGGAGTCAATGCAGGGGAATCGGGCCTCATCTCGAGTTGATTTGGGGCACATGGAGCTGCTTTGCGTTGCTGGGGTGACCTCAGGGCCCGTCTAGACTGGTGACAGTGTTCTTGGGGACTGTCTCGAGATCCATTAAGCAAGTCGAAGCTCCTGACTTGTTTGAATGGGATCACGGAATAGCTCTGCATGCACTGCAGGGGAATGGGGCCTCATCTCGCCTCTAAGGGGAAGTCTCATGGTTTTTCTCGAGTTGCGGCGGGGACCTGGGGTATGTTCTCGACTTACGGCGGGGATGGCCTTCAAAACACGAGTTTCTTCAGTGACGTCAGGACTCCTGTCTAGTAACGAGGGACACCTCAGGAATCTCTTCGAGGCTTGGCAGGGCAAAAGGGACGCTTCTCGAGGTGAGGCAGGGCACCCAAGGACCCTTTCCAGTAGCCACAGGGATTTTGGGATTCCTATCAGTATTCAAGAGGAGTCAGGCATCGTCACCTTTTGAAGCAATGAACTCCGCGTGCCTCTCGAGGTGTCAGCGGGATGTGAGGCATTCCGTCAAAATGAGGCAGGGACCTAGGGCTTTCTCTAAGGTCTCCACAGGGGATTCAGACATCCCTTCATGTTGTGAGATGAAAGACGAGCCTGTATTCAAGCCACTGCAAGGAAATCCGGCCTCCTTTCAAGTTAGGGCTTCTCGCTGTATATTCCCCTTGAGGCAGCAAACTCGGGGTCCCTCCCACATACCTATTGCTGAGAGAAGCCTCCTCCTGAGGTGCTTCTGGGAAGTTGGCATACGTCTTGAGCCTAAGCCAGGGAATCAGCTCGCATCTCGAGACGATTTGGGGTACACGGAGCATTCCTTGAGTTGCTGTGCTGAAGTTGGTGTTCCTCTAGACTTGGGACAGTGTTCTCGGGGCATCTCTGGAGTTGCCTGAAGGAAGTCGAGCCACCGGTCGTGTTGAATGGGGAACGGGGAATGGCTCTGGAGTCAATGCAGGGGAATCGGGCCTCATCTCGAGTTGATTTGGGGCACATGGAGCTGCTTTGCGTTGCTGGGGTGACCTCAGGGTCCATCTAGACTGGTGACAGTGTTCTTGGGGACTGTCTCGAGATCCATTAAGCAAGTCGAAGCTCCTGACTTGTTTGAATGGGATCACGGAATAGCTCTGCATGCACTGCAGGGGAATGGGGCCTCATCTCGCCTCTAGGGGGAAGTCTCATGGTTTTTCTCGAGTTGCGGCGGGGACCTGGGGTATGTTCTCGACTTACGGCGGGGATGGCCCTTCAAAACACGAGTTTCTTCAGTGACGTCAGGACTCCTGTCTAGTAACGAGGGACACCTCAGGAATCTCTTCGAGGCTTGGCAGGGCAAAAGGGACGCTTCTCGAGGTGAGGCAGGGCACCCAAGGACCCTTTCCAGTAGCCACAGGGATTTTGGGATTCCTATCAGTATTCAAGAGGAGTCAGGCATCGTCACCTTTTGAAGCAATGAACTCCGCGTGCCTCTCGAGGTGTCAGCGGGATGTGAGGCATTCCGTCAAAATGAGGCAGGGACCTAGGGCTTTCTCTAAGGTCTCCACAGGGGATTCAGACATCCCTTCATGTTGTGAGATAAAAGACGAGCCTGTATTCAAGCCACTGCAAGGAAATCCGGCCTCCTTTCAAGTTAGGGCTTCTCGCTGTATATTCCCCTTGAGGCAGCAAACTCGGGGTCCCTCCCACATACCTATTGCTGAGAGAAGCCTCCTCCTGAGGTGCTTCTGGGAAGTTGGCATACGTCTTGAGCCTAAGCCAGGGAATCAGCTCTCATCTCGAGACGATTTGGGGTACACGGAGCATTCCTCGAGGTGCTGTGCTGAAGTTGGTGTTCCTCTAGACTTGGGACAGTGTTCTCGGGGCATCTCTGGAGTTGCCTGAAGGAAGTCGAGCCACCGGTCGTGTTGAATGGGGAACGGGGAATGGCTCTGGAGTCAATGCAGGGGAATCGGGCCTCATCTCGAGTTGATTTGGGGCACATGGAGCTGCTTTGTGTTGCGGGGGTGACCTCAGGGTCCGTCTAGACTGGTGACAGTGTTCTTGGGGACTGTCTCGAGATCCATTAAGCAAGTCGAAGCTCCTGACTTGTTTGAATGGGATCACGGAATAGCTCTGCATGCACTGCAGGGGAATGGGGCCTCATCTCGCCTCTAGGGGGAAGTCTCATGGTTTTTCTCGAGTTGCGGCGGGGACCTGGGGTATGTTCTCGACTTACGGCGGGGATGGCCCTTCAAAACACGAGTTTCTTCAGTGACGTCAGGACTCCTGTCTAGTAACGAGGGACACCTCAGGAATCTCTTCGAGGCTTGGCAGGGCAAAAGGGACGCTTCTCCAGGTGAGGCAGGGCACCCAAGGACCCTTTCCAGTAGCCACAGGGATTTTGGGATTCCTATCAGTATTCAAGAGGAGTCAGACATCGTCACCTTTTGAAGCAATGAACTCCGCGTGCCTCTCGAGGTGTCAGCGGGATGTGAGGCATTCCGTCAAAATGAGGCAGGGACCTAGGGCTTTCTCTAAGGTCTCCACAGGGGATTCAGACATCCCTTCATGTTGTGAGATGAAAGACGAGCCTGTATTCAAGCCACTGCAAGGAAATCCGGCCTCCTTTCAAGTTAGGTCTTCTCGCTGTATATTCCCCTTGAGGCAGCAAACTCGGGGTCCCTCCCACATACCTATTGCTGAGAGAAGCCTCCTCCTGAGGTGCTTCTGGGAAGTTGGCATACGTCTTGAGCCTAAGCCAGGGAATCAGCTCTCATCTCGAGACGATTTGGGGTACACGGAGCATTCCTCGAGTTGCTGTGCTGAAGTTGGTGTTCCTCTAGACTAGGGACAGTGTTCTCGGGGCATCTCTGGAGTTGCCTGAAGGAAGTCGAGCCACCGGTCGTGTTGAATGGGGAACGGGGAATGGCTCTGGAGTCAATGCAGGGGAATCGGGCCTCATCTCGAGTTGATTTGGGGCACATGGAGCTGCTTTGCGTTGCTGGGGTGAACTCAGGGCCCGTCTAGACTGGTGACAGTGTTCTTGGGGACTGTCTCGAGATCCATTAAGCAAGTCGAAGCTCCTGACTTGTTTGAATGGGATCACGGAATAGCTCTGCATGCACTGCAGGGGAATGGGGCCTCATCTCGCCTCTAAGGGGAAGTCTCATGGTTTTTCTCGAGTTGCGGCGGGGACCTGGGGTATGTTCTCGACTTACGGCGGGGATGGCCTTCAAAACACGAGTTTCTTCAGTGACGTCAGGACTCCTGTCTAGTAACGAGGGACACCTCAGGAATCTCTTCGAGGCTTGGCAGGGCAAAAGGGACGCTTCTCTAGGTGAGGCAGGGCACCCAAGGACACTTTCCAGTAGCCACAGGGATTTTGGGATTCCTATCAGTATTCAAGAGGAGTCAGGCATCGTCACCTTTTGAAGCAATGAACTCCGCGTGCCTCTCGAGGTGTCAGCGCGATGTGAGGCATTCCTTAAAAATGAGGCAGGGACCTAGGGCTTTCTCTAAGGTCTCCACAGGGAATTCAGACATCCCTTCATGTTGTGAGATGAAAGACGAGCCTGTATTCAAGCCACTGCAAGGAAATCCTGCCTCCTTTCAAGTTAGGGCTTCTCGCTGTATATTCCCCTTGAGGCAGCAAACTCGGGGTCCCTCCCACATACCTATTGCTGAGAGAAGCCTCCTGCTGAGGTGCTTCTGGGAAGTTGGCATACGTCTTGAGCCTAAGCCAGGGAATCAGCTCTCATCTCGAGACGATTTGGGGTACACGGAGCATTCCTCGAGTTGCTGTCCTGAAGTTGGTGTTCCTCTAGACTTGGGACAGTGTTCTCGGGGCATCTCTGGAGTTCCCTGAAGGAAGTCGAGCCACCGGTCGTGTTGAATGTGGAATGGGGAATGGCTCTGGAGTCAATGCAGGGGAATCGGGCCTCATCTCGAGTTGATTTGGGGCACATGGAGCTGCTCTGCGTTGCTGGGGTGACCTCAGGGTCCGTCTAGACTGGTGACAGTGTTCTTGGGGACTGTCTCGAGATCCATTAAGCAAGTCGAAGCTCCTGACTTGTTTGAATGGGATCACGGAATAGCTCTGCATGCACTGCAGGGGAATGGGGCCTCATCTCGCCTCTAGGGGGAACTCTCATGGTTTTTCTCGAGTTGCGGCGGGGACCTGGGGTATGTTCTCGACTTACGGCGGGGATGGCCCTTCAAAACACGAGTTTCTTCAGTGACGTCAGGACTCCTGTCTAGTAACGAGGGACACCTCAGGAATCTCTTCGAGGCTTGGCAGGGCAAAAGGGACGCTTCTCGAGGTGAGGCAGGGCACCCAAGGACCCTTTCCAGTAGCCACAGGGATTTTGGGATTCCTATCAGTATTCAAGAGGAGTCAGGCATCGTCACCTTTTGAAGCAATGAACTCCGCGTGCCTCTCGAGGTGTCAGCGGGATGTGAGGCATTCCGTCAAAATGAGGCAGGGACCTAGGGCTTTCTCTAAGGTCTCCACAGGGGATTCAGACATCCCTTCATGTTGTGAGATGAAAGACGAGCCTGTATTCAAGCCACTGCAAGGAAATCCGGCCTCCTTTCAAGTTAGGGCTTCTCGCTGTATATTCCCCTTGAGGCAGCAAACTCGGGGTCCCTCCCACATATCTATTGCTGAGAGAAGCCTCCTCCTGAGGTGCTTCTGGGAAGTTGGCATACGTCTTGAGCCTAAGCCAGGGAATCAGCTCTCATCTCGAGACGATTTGGGGTACACGGAGCATTCCTCGAGTTGCTGTGCTGAAGTTGGTGTTCCTCTAGACTTGGGACAGTGTTCTCGGGGCATCTCTGGAGTTGCCTGAAGGAAGTCGAGCCACCGGTCGTGTTGAATGGGGAACGGGGAATGGCTCTGGAGTCAATGCAGGGGAATCGATCCTCATCTCGAGTTGATTTGGGGCACATGGAGCTGCTTTGCGTTGCTGGGGTGACCTCAGGGTCCGTCTAGACTGGTGACAGTGTTCTTGGGGACTGTCTCGAGATCCATTAAGCAAGTCGAAGCTCCTGACTTGTTTGAATGGGATCACGGAATAGCTCTGCATGCACTGCAGGGGAATGGGGCCTCATCTCGCCTCTAGGGGGAAGTCTCATGGTTTTTCTCGAGTTGCGGCGGGGACCTGGGGTATGTTCTCGACTTACAGCGGGGATGGCCCTTCAAAACACGAGTTTCTTCAGTGACGTCAGGACTCCTGTCTAGTAACGAGGGACACCTCAGGAATCTCTTCGAGGCTTGGCAGGGCAAAAGGGACGCTTCTCCAGGTGAGGCAGGGCACCCAAGGACCCTTTCCAGTAGCCACAGGGATTTTGGGATTCCTATCAGTATTCAAGAGGAGTCAGGCATCGTCACCTTTTGAAGCAATGAACTCCGCGTGCCTCTCGAGGTGTCAGCGGGATGTGAGGCATTCCGTCAAAATGAGGCAGGGACCTAGGGCTTTCTCTAAGGTCTCCACAGGGGATTCAGACATCCCTTCATGTTGTGAGATGAAAGACGAGCCTGTATTCAAGCCACTGCAAGGAAATCCGGCCTCCTTTCAAGTTAGGGCTTCTCGCTGTATATTCCCCTTGAGGCAGCAAACTCGGGGTCCCTCCCACATACCTATTGCTGAGAGAAGCCTCCTCCTGAGGTGCTTCTGGGAAGTTGGCATACGTCTTGAGCCTAAGCCAGGGAATCAGCTCTCATCTCGAGACGATTTGGGGTACACGGAGCATTCCTCGAGTTGCTGTGCTGAAGTTGGTGTTCCTCTAGACTTGGGACAGTGTTCTCGGGGCATCTCTGGAGTTGCCTGAAGGAAGTCGAGCCACCGGTCGTGTTGAATGGGGAACGGGGAATGGCTCTGGAGTCAATGCAGGGGAATCGGGCCTCATCTCGAGTTGATTTGGGGCACATGGAGCTGCTTTGCGTTGCTGGGGTGACCTCAGGGTCCGTCTAGACTGGTGACAGTGTTCTTGGGGACTGTCTCGAGATCCATTAAGCAAGTCGAAGCTCCTGACTTGTTTGAATGGGATCACGGAATAGCTCTGCATGCACTGCAGGGGAATGGGGCCTCATCTCGCCTCTAGGGGGAAGTCTCATGGTTTTTCTCGAGTTGCGGCGGGGACCTGGGGTATGTTCTCGACTTACGGCGGGGATGGCCCTTCAAAACACGAGTTTCTTCAGTGACGTCAGGACTCCTGTCTAGTAACGAGGGACACCTCAGGAATCTCTTCGAGGCTTGGCAGGGCAAAAGGGACGCTTCTCGAGGTGAGGCAGGGCACCCAAGGACCCTTTCCAGTAGCCACAGGGATTTTGGGATTCCTATCAGTATTCAAGAGGAGTCAGGCATCGTCACCTTTTGAAGCAATGAACTCCGCGTGCCTCTCGAGGTGTCAGCGGGATGTGAGGCATTCCGTCAAAATGAGGCAGGGACCTAGGGCTTTCTCTAAGGTCTCCACAGGGGATTCAGACATCCCTTCATGTTGTGAGATGAAAGACGAGCCTGTATTCAAGCCACTGCAAGGAAATCCGGCCTCCTTTCAAGTTAGGGCTTCTCGCTGTATATTCCCCTTGAGGCAGCAAACTCGGGGTCCCTCCCACATACCAATTGCTGAGAGAAGCCTCCTCCTGAGGTGCTTCTGGGAAGTTGGCATACGTCTTGAGCCTAAGCCAGGGAATCAGCTCTCATCTCGAGACGATTTGGGGTACACGGAGCATTCCTCGAGTTGCTGTGCTGAAGTTGGTGTTCCTCTAGACTTGGGACAGTGTTCTCGGGGCATCTCTGGAGTTGCCTGAAGGAAGTCGAGCCACCGGTCGTGTTGAATGGGGAACGGAGAATGGCTCTGGAGTCAATGCAGGGGAATCGGGCCTCATCTCGAGTTGATTTGGGGCACATGGAGCTGCTTTGTGTTGCGGGGGTGACCTCAGGGTCCGTCTAGACTGGTGACAGTGTTCTTGGGGACTGTCTCGAGATCCATTAAGCAAGTCGAAGCTCCTGACTTGTTTGAATGGGATCACGGAATAGCTCTGCATGCACTGCAGGGGAATGGGGCCTCATCTCGCCTCTAGGGGGAAGTCTCATGGTTTTTCTCGAGTTGCGGCGGGGACCTGGGGTATGTTCTCGACTTACGGCGGGGATGGCCTTCAAAACACGAGTTTCTTCAGTGACGTCAGGAATCCTGTCTAGTAACGAGGGACACCTCAGGAATCTCTTCGAGGCTTGGCAGGGCAAAAGGGACGCTTCTCGAGGTGAGGCCGGGCACCCAAGGACCCTTTCCAGTAGCCACAGGGATTTTGGGATTCCTATCAGTATTCAAGAGGAGTCAGGCATCGTCACCTTTTGAAGCAATGAACTCCGCGTGCCTCTCGAGGTGTCAGCGGGATGTGAGGCATTCCGTCAAAATGAGGCAGGGACCTAGGGCTTTCTCTAAGGTCTCCACAGGGGATTCAGACATCCCTTCATGTTGTGAGATAAAAGACGAGCCTGTATTCAAGCCACTGCAAGGAAATCCGGCCTCCTTTCAAGTTAGGGCTTCTCGCTGTATATTCCCCTTGAGGCAGCAAACTCGGGGTCCCTCCCACATACCTATTGCTGAGAGAAGCCTCCTCCTGAGGTGCTTCTGGGAAGTTGGCATACGTCTTGAGCCTAAGCCAGGGAATCAGCTCTCATCTCGAGACGATTTGGGGTACACGGAGCATTCCTCGAGTTGCTGTGCTGAAGTTGGTGTTCCTCTAGACTTGGGACAGTGTTCTCGGGGCATCTCTGGAGTTCCCTGAAGGAAGTCGAGCCACCGGTCGTGTTGAATGGGGAACGGGGAATGGCTCTGGAGTCAATGCAGGGGAATCGGGCCTCATCTCGAGTTGATTTGGGGCACATGGAGCTGCTTTGCGTTGCTGGGGTGACCTCAGGGTCCGTCTAGACTGGTGACAGTGTTCTTGGGGACTGTCTAGAGATCCATTAAGCAAGTCGAAGCTCCTGACTTGTTTGAATGGGATCACGGAATAGCTCTGCATGCACTGCAGGGGAATGGGGCCTCATCTCGCCTCTAGGGGGAAGTCTCATGGTTTTTCTCGAGTTACGGCGGGGACCTGGGGTATGTTCTCGACTTACGGCGGGGATGGCCCTTCAAACGACGAGTTTCTTCAGTGACGTCAGGACTCCTGTCTAGTAACGAGGGACACCTCAGGAATCTCTTCGAGGCTTGGCAGGGCAAAAGGGACGCTTCTCCAGGTGAGGCAGGGCACCCAAGGACCCTTTCCAGTAGCCACAGGGATTTTGGGATTCCTATCAGTATTCAAGAGGAGTCAGGCATCGTCACCTTTTGAAGCAATGAACTCCGCGTGCCTCTCGAGGTGTCAGCGCGATGTGAGGCATTCCGTCAAAATGAGGCAGGGACCTAGGGCTTTCTCTAAGGTCTCCACAGGGGATTCAGACATCCCTTCATGTTGTGAGATGAAAGACGAGCCTGTATTCAAGCCACTGCAAGGAAATCCGGCCTCCTTTCAAGTTAGGGCTTCTCGCTGTATATTCCCCTTGAGGCAGCAAACTCGGGGTCCCTCCCACATACCTATTGCTGAGAGAAGCCTCCTCCTTAGGTGCTTCTGGGAAGTTGGCATACGTCTTGAGCCTAAGCCAGGGAATCAGCTCTCATCTCGAGACGATTTGGGGTACACGGAGCATTCCTCGAGTTGCTGTGCTGAAGTTGGTGTTCCTCTAGACTTGGGACAGTGTTCTCGGGGCATCTCTGGAGTTGCCTGAAGGAAGTCGAGCCACCGGTCGTGTTGAATGGGGAACGGGGAATGGCTCTGGAGTCAATGCAGGGGAATCGGGCCTCATCTCGAGTTGATTTGGGGCACATGGAGCTGCTTTGCGTTGCTGGGGTGACCTCAGGGTCCGTCTAGACTGGTGACAGTGTTCTTGGGGACTGTCTCGAGATCCATTAAGCAAGTCGAAGCTCCTGACTTGTTTGAATGGGATCACGGAATAGCTCTGCATGCACTGCAGGGGAATGGGGCCTCATCTCGCCTCTAGGGGGAAGTCTCATGGTTTTTCTCGAGTTGCGGCGGGGACCTGGGGTATGTTCTCGACTTACGGCGGGGATGGTCCTTCAAAACACGAGTTTCTTCAGTGACGTCAGGACTCCTGTCTAGTAACGAGGGACACCTCAGGAATCTCTTCGAGGCTTGGCAGGGCAAAAGGGACGCTTCTCGAGGTGAGGCAGGGCACCCAAGGACCCTTTCCAGTAGCCACAGGGATTTTGGGATTCCTATCAGTATTCAAGAGGAGTCAGGCATCGTCACCTTTTGAAGCAATGAACTCCGCGTGCCTCTCGAGGTGTCAGCGGGATGTGAGGCATTCCGTCAAAATGAGGCAGGGACCTAGGGCTTTCTCTAAGGTCTCCACAGGGGATTCAGACATCCCTTCATGTTGTGAGATAAAAGACGAGCCTGTATTCAAGCCACTGCAAGGAAATCCGGCCTCCTTTCAAGTTAGGGCTTCTCGCTGTATATTCCCCTTGAGGCAGCAAACTCGGGGTCCCTCCCACATACCTATTGCTGAGAGAAGCCTCCAACTGAGGTGCTTCTGGGAAGTTGGCATACGTCTTGAGCCTAAGCCAGGGAATCAGCTCGCATCTCGAGACGATTTGGGGTACACGGAGCATTCCTCGAGTTGCTGTGCTGAAGTTGGTGTTCCTCTAGACTTGGGACAGTATTCTCGGGGCATCTCTGGAGTTGCCTGAAGGAAGTAGAGCCACCGGTCGTGTTGAATGGGGAACGGGGAATGGCTCTGGAATCAATGCAGGGGAATCGGGCCTCATCTCGTGTTGATTTGGGGCACATGGAGCTGCTTTGCGTTGCTGGGGTGACCTCAGGGTCCGTCTAGACTGGTGACAGTGTTCTTGGGGACTGTCTCGAGATCCATTAAGCAAGTCGAAGCTCCTGACTTGTTTGAATGGGATCACGGAATAGCTCTGCATGCACTGCAGGGGAATGGGGCCTCATCTCGCCTCTAGGGGGAAGTCTCATGGTTTTTCTCGAGTTGCGGCGGGGACCTGGGGTATGTTCTCGACTTACGGCGGGGATGGCCCTTCAAAACACGAGTTTCTTCAGTGACGTCAGGACTCCTGTCTAGTAACGAGGGACACCTCAGGAATCTCTTCGAGGCTTGGCAGGGCAAAAGGGACGCTTCTCGAGGTGAGGCAGGGCACCCAAGGACCCTTTCCAGTAGCCACAGGGATTTTGGGATTCCTATCAGTATTCAAGAGGAGTCAGGCATCGTCACCTTTTGAAGCAATGAACTCCGCGTGCCTCTCGAGGTGTCAGCGGGATGTGAGGCATTCCGTCAAAATGAGGCAGGGACCTAGGGCTTTCTCTAAGGTCTCCACAGGGGATTCAGACATCCCTTCATGTTGTGAGATGAAAGACGAGCCTGTATTCAAGCCACTGCAAGGAAATCCGGCGTCCTTTCAAGTTAGGGCTTCTCGCTGTATATTCCCCTTGAGGCAGCAAACTCGGGGTCCCTCCCACATACCTATTGCTGAGAGAAGCCTCCTCCTGAGGTGCTTCTGGGAAGTTGGCATACGTCTTGAGCCTAAGCCAGGGAATCAGCTCGCATCTCGAGACGATTTGGGGTACACGGAGCATTCCTCGAGTTGCTGTGCTGAAGTTGGTGTTCCTCTAGACTTGGGACAGTGTTCTCGGGGCATCTCTGGAGTTGCCTGAAGGAAGTCGAGCCACCGGTCGTGTTGAATGTGGAACGGGGAATGGCTCTGGAGTCAATGCAGGGGAATCGGGCCTCATCTCGAGTTGATTTGGGGCACATGGAGCTGCTTTGCGTTGCTGGGGTGACCTCAGGGTCCGTCTAGACTGGTGACAGTGTTCTTGGGGACTGTCTCGAGATCCATTAAGCAAGTCGAAGCTCCTGACTTGTTTGAATGGGATCACGGAATAGCTCTGCATGCACTGCAGGGGAATGGGGCCTCATCTCGCCTCTAGGGGGAAGTCTCATGGTTTTTCTCGAGTTGCGGCGGGGACCTGGGGTATGTTCTCGACTTATGGCGGGGATGGCCCTTCAAAACACGAGTTTCTTCAGTGACATCAGGACTCCTGTCTAGTAACGAGGGACACCTCAGGAATCTCTTCGAGGCTTCGCAGGGCAAAAGGGACGCTTCTCGAGGTGAGGCAGTGCACCCAAGGACCCTTTCCAGTAGCCACAGGGATTTTGGGATTCCTATCAGTATTCAAGAGGAGTCAGGCATCGTCACCTTTTGAAGCAATGAACTCCGCGTGCCTCTCGAGGTGTCTGCGGGATGTGAGGCATTCCGTCAAAATGAGGCAGGGACCTAGGGCTTTCTCTAAGGTCTCCACAGGGGATTCAGACATCCCTTCATGTTGTGAGATAAAAGACGAGCCTGTATTCAAGCCACTGCAAGGAAATCCGGCCTCCTTTCAAGTTAGGGCTTCTCGCTGTATATTCCCCTTGAGGCAGCAAACTCGGGGTCCCTCCCACATAACTATTGCTGAGAGAAGCCTCCTCCTGAGGTGCTTCTGGGAAGTTGGCATACGTCTTGAGCCTAAGCCAGGGAATCAGCTCGCATCTCGAGACGATTTGGGGTACACGGAGCATTCCTCGAGTTGCTGTGCTGAAGTTGGTGTTCCTCTAGACTTGGGACAGTATTCTCGGGGCATCTCTGGAGTTGCCTGAAGGAAGTAGAGCCACCGGTCGTGTTGAATGGGGAACGGGGAATGGCTCTGGAATCAATGCAGGGGAATCGGGCCTCATCTCGAGTTGATTTGGGGCACATGGAGCTGCTTTGCGTTGCTGGGGTGACCTCAGGGTCCGTCTAGACTGGTGACAGTGTTCTTGGGGACTGTCTCGAGATCCATTAAGCAAGTCGAAGCTCCTGACTTGTTTGAATGGGATCACGGAATAGCTCTGCATGCACTGCAGGGGAATGGGGCCTCATCTCGCCTCTAGGGGGAAGTCTCATGGTTTTTCTCGAGTTGCGGCGGGGACCTGGGGTATGTTCTCGACTTATGGCGGGGATGGCCCTTCAAAACACGAGTTTCTTCAGTGACGTCAGGACTCCTGTCTAGTAACGAGGGACACCTCAGGAATCTCTTCGAGGCTTGGCAGGGCAAAACGGACGCTTCTCGAGGTGAGGCAGGGCACCCAAGGACCCTTTCCAGTAGCCACAGGGATTTTGGGATTCCTATCAGTATTCAAGAGGAGTCAGGCATCGTCACCTTTTGAAGCAATGAACTCCGCGTGCCTCTCGAGGTGTCAGCGCGATGTGAGGCATTCCGTCAAAATGAGGCAGGGACCTAGGGCTTTCTCTAAGGTCTCCACAGGGGATTCAGACATCCCTTCATGTTGTGAGATGAAAGACGAGCCTGTATTCAAGCCACTGCAAGGAAATCCGGCCTCCTTTCAAGTTAGGGCTTCTCGCTGTATATTCCCCTTGAGGCAGGAAACTCGGGGTCCCTCCCACATACCTATTGCTGAGAGAAGCCTCCTCCTGAGGTGCTTCTGGGAAGTTGGCATACGTCTTGAGCCTAAGCCAGGGAATCAGCTCTCATCTCGAGACGATTTGGGGTACACGGAGCATTCCTCGAGTTGCTGTGCTGAAGTTGGTGTTCCTCTAGACTTGGGACAGTGTTCTCGGGGCATCTCTGGAGTTGCCTGAAGGAAGTCGAGCCACCGGTCGTGTTGAATGGGGAACGGGGAATGGCTCTGGAGTCAATGCAGGGGAATCGGGCCTCATCTCGAGTTGATTTGGGGCACATGGAGCTGCTTTGCGTTGCTGGGGTGACCTCAGGGTCCGTCTAGACTGGTGACAGTGTTCTTGGGGACTGTCTCGAGATCCATTAAGCAAGTCGAAGCTCCTGACTTGTTTGAATGGGATCACGGAATAGCTCTGCATGCACTGCAGGGGAATGGGGCCTCATCTCGCCTCTAGGGGGAAGTCTCATGGTTTTTCTCGAGTTGCGGCGGGGACCTGGGGTATGTTCTCGACTTACGGCGGGGATGGCCCTTCAAAACACGAGTTTCTTCAGTGACGTCAGGACTCCTGTCTAGTAACGAGGGACACCTCAGGAATCTCTTCGAGGCTTGGCAGGGCAAAAGGGACGCTTCTCGAGGTGAGGCAGGGCACCCAAGGACCCTTTCCAGTAGCCACAGGGATTTTGGGATTCCTATCAGTATTCAAGAGGAGTCAGGCATCGTCACCTTTTGAAGCAATGAACTCCGCGTGCCTCTCGAGGTGTCAGCGGGATGTGAGGCATTCTGTCAAAATGAGGCAGGGACCTAGGGCTTTCTCTAAGGTCTCCACAGGGGATTCAGACATCCCTTCATGTTGTGAGATGAAAGACGAGCCTGTATTCAAGCCACTGCAAGGAAATCCGGCCTCCTTTCAAGTTAGGGCTTCTCGCTGTATATTCCCCTTGAGGCAGCAAACTCGGGGTCCCTCCCACATACCTATTGCTGAGAGAAGCCTCCTCCTGAGGTGCTTCTGGGAAGTTGGCATACGTCTTGAGCCTAAGCCAGGGAATCAGCTCTCATCTCGAGACGATTTGGGGTACACGGAGCATTCCTCGAGTTGCTGTGCTGAAGTTGGTGTTCCTCTAGACTTGGGACAGTGTTCTCGGGGCATCTCTGGAGTTGCCTGAAGGAAGTCAAGCCACCGGTCGTGTTGAATGGGGAACGGGGAATGGCTCTGGAGTCAATGCAGGGGAATCGGGCCTCATCTCGAGTTGATTTGGGGTACATGGAGCTGCTTTGCGTTGCTGGGGTGACCTCAGGGTCCGTCTCGACTGGTGACAGTGTTCTTGGGGACTGTCTCGAGATCCATTAAGCAAGTCGAAGCTCCTGACTTGTTTGAATGGGATCACGGAATAGCTCTGCATGCACTGCAGGGGAATGGGGCCTCATCTCGCCTCTAGGGGGAAGTCTCATGGTTTTTCTCGAGTTGCGGCGGGGACCTGGGGTATGTTCTCGACTTACGGCGGGGATGGCCCTTCAAAACACGAGTTTCTTCAGTGACGTCAGGACTCCTGTCTAGTAACGAGGGACACCTCAGGAATCTCTTCGAGGCTTGGCAGGGCAAAAGGGACGCTTCTTGAGGTGAGGCAGGGCACCCAAGGACCCTTTCCAGTAGCCACAGGGATTTTGGGATTCCTATCAGTATTCAAGAGGAGTCAGGCATCGTCACCTTTTGAAGCAATGAACTCCGCGTGCCTCTCGAGGTGTCAGCGGGATGTGAGGCATTCCGTCAAAATGAGGCAGGGACCTAGGGCTTTCTCTAAGGTCTCCACAGGGGATTCAGACATCCCTTCATGTTGTGAGATGAAAGACGAGCCTGTATTCAAGCCACTGCAAGGAAATCCGGCCTCCTTTCAAGTTAGGGCTTCTCGCTGTATATTCCCCTTGAGGCAGCAAACTCGGGGTCCCTCCCACATACCTATTGCTGAGAGAAGCCTCCTGCTGAGGTGCTTCTGGGAAGTTGGCATACGTCTTGAGCCTAAGCCAGGGAATCAGCTCTCATCTCGAGACGATTTGGGGTACACGGAGCATTCCTCGAGTTGCTGTGCTGAAGTTGGTGTTCCTCTAGACTAGGGACAGTGTTCTCGGGGCATCTCTGGAGTTCCCTGAAGGAAGTCGAGCCACCGGTCGTGTTGAATGGGGAACGGGGAATGGCTCTGGAGTCAATGCAGGGGAATCGGGCCTCATCTCGAGTTGATTTGGGGCACATGGAGCTGCTTTGCTTTGCTGGGGTGACCTCAGGGTCCGTCTAGACTGGTGACAGTGTTCTTGGGGACTGTCTCGAGATCCATTAAGCAAGTCGAAGCTCCTGACTTGTTTGAATGGGATCACGGAATAGCTCTGCATGCACTGCAGGGGAATGGGGCCTCATCTCGCCTCTAGGGGGAAGTCTCATGGTTTTTCTCGAGTTGCGGCGGGGACCTGGGGTATGTTCTCGACTTACGGCGGGGATGGCCTTCAAAACACGAGTTTCTTCAGTGACGTCAGGACTCCTGTCTAGTAACGAGGGACACCTCAGGAATCTCTTCGAGGCTTGGCAGGGCAAAAGGGACGCTTCTCGAGGTGAGGCAGGGCACCCAAGGACCCTTTCCAGTAGCCACAGGGATTTTGGGATTCCTATCAGTATTCAAGAGGAGTCAGGCATCGTCACCTTTTGAAGCAATGAACTCCGCGTGCCTCTCGAGGTGTCAGCGGGATGTGAGGCATTCCGTCAAAATGAGGCAGGGACCTAGGGCTTTCTCTAAGGTCTCCACAGGGGATTCAGACATCCCTTCATGTTGTGAGATGAAAGACGAGCCTGTATTCAAGCCACTGCAAGGAAATCCGGCCTTCTTTCAAGTTAGGGCTTCTCGCTGTATATTCCCCTTGAGGCAGCAAACTCGGGGTCCCTCCCACATACCTATTGCTGAGAGAAGCCTCCTCCTGAGGTGCTTCTGGGAAATTGGCATACGTCTTGAGCCTAAGCCAGGGAATCAGCTCTCATCTCGAGACGATTTGGGGTACACGGAGAATTCCTCGAGTTGCTGTGCTGAAGTTGGTGTTCCTCTAGACTTGGGACAGTGTTCTCGGGGCATCTCTGGAGTTGCCTGAAGGAAGTCGAGCCACCGGTCGTGTTGAATGGGGAACGGGGAATGGCTCTGGAGTCAATGCAGGGGAATCTGGCCTCATCTCGAGTTGATTTGGGGCACATGGAGCTGCTTTGCGTTGCTGGGGTGACCTCAGGGTCCGTCTAGACTGGTGACAGTGTTCTTGCGGACTGTCTCGAGATCCATTAAGCAAGTCGAAGCTCCTGACTTGTTTGAATGGGATCACGGAATAGCTCTGCATGCACTGCAGGGGAATGGGGCCTCATCTCGCCTCTAGGGGGAAGTCTCATGGTTTTTCTCGAGTTGCGGCGGGGACCTGGGGTATGTTCTCGACTTACGGCGGGGATGGCCCTTCAAAACACGAGTTTCTTCAGTGACGTCAGGACTCCTGTCTAGTAACGAGGGACACCTCAGGAATCTCTTCGAGGCTTGGCAGGGCAAAAGGGACGCTTCTCGAGGTGAGGCAGGGCACCCAAGGACCCTTTCCAGTAGCCACAGGGATTTTGGGATTCCTATCAGTATTCAAGAGGAGTCAGGCATCGTCACCTTTTGAAGCAATGAACTCCGCGTGCCTCTCGAGGTGTCAGCGGGATGTGAGGCATTCCGTCAAAATGAGGCAGGGACCTAGGGCTTTCTCTAAGGTCTCCACAGGGGATTCAGACATCCCTTCATGTTGTGAGATGAAAGACGAGCCTGTATTCAAGCCACTGCAAGGAAATCCGGCCTCCTTTCAAGTTAGGGCTTCTCGCTGTATATTCCCCTTGAGGCAGCAAACTCGGGGTCCCTCCCACATACCTATTGCTGAGAGAAGCCTCCTGCTGAGGTGCTTCTGGGAAGTTGGCATACGTCTTGAGCCTAAGCCAGGGAATCAGCTCTCATCTCGAGACGATTTGGGGTACACGGAGCATTCCTCGAGTTGCTGTGCTGAAGTTGGTGTTCCTCTAGACTTGGGACAGTGTTCTCGGGGCATCTCTGGAGTTCCCTGAAGGAAGTCGAGCCACCGGTCGTGTTGAATGGGGAACGGGGAATGGCTCTGGAGTCAATGCAGGGGAATCGGGCCTCATCTCGAGTTGATTTGGGGCACATGGAGCTGCTTTGCGTTGCTGGGGTGACCTCAGGGTCCGTCTAGACTGGTGACAGTGATCTTGGGGACTGTCTCGAGATCCATTAAGCAAGTCGAAGCTCCTGACTTGTTTGAATGGGATCACGGAATAGCTCTGCATGCACTGCAGGGGAATGGGGCCTCATCTCGCCTCTAGGGGGAAGTCTCATGGTTTTTCTCGAGTTGCGGCGGGGACCTGGGGTATGTTCTCGACTTATGGCGGGGATGGCCCTTCAAAACACGAGTTTCTTCAGTGACGTCAGGATTCCTGTCTAGTAACGAGGGACACCTCAGGAATCTCTTCGAGGCTTGGCAGGGCAAAAGGGACGCTTCTCGAGGTGAGGCAGGGCACCCAAGGACCCTTTCCAGTAGCCACAGGGATTTTGGGGTTCCTATCAGTATTCAAGAGGAGTCAGGCATCGTCACCTTTTGAAGCAATGAACTCCGCGTGCCTCTCGAGGTGTCAGCGGGATGTGAGGCATTCCGTCAAAATGAGGCAGGGACCTAGGGCTTTCTCTAAGGTCTCCACAGGGGATTCAGACATCCCTTCATGTTGTGAGATGAAAGACGAGCCTGTATTCAAGCCACTGCAAGGAAATCCGGCCTCCTTTCAAGTTAGGGCTTCTCGCTGTATATTCCCCTTGAGGCAGCAAACTCGGGGTCCCTCCCACATACCTATTGCTGAGAGAAGCCTCCTCCTGAGGTGCTTCTGGGAAGTTGGCATATGTCTTGAGCCTAAGCCAGGGAATCAGCTCTCATCTCGAGACGATTTGGGGTACACGGAGCATTCCTCGAGTTGCTGTGCTGAAGTTGGTGTTCCTCTAGACTTGGGACAGTGTTCTCGGGGCATCTCTGGAGTTGCCTGAAGGAAGTCGAGCCACCGGTCGTGTTGAATGGGGAACGGGGAATGGCTCTGGAGTCAATGCAGGGGAATCGGGCCTCATCTCAAGTTGATTTGGGGCACATGGAGCTGCTTTGCGTTGCTGGGGTGACCTCAGGGTCCGTCTAGACTGGTGACAGTGTTCTTGGGGACTGTCTCGAGATCCATTAAGCAAGTCGAAGCTCCTGACTTGTTTGAATGGGATCACGGAATAGCTCTGCATGCACTGCAGGGGAATGGGGCCTCATCTCGCCTCTAGGGGGAAGTCTCATGGTTTTTCTCGAGTTGCGGCGGGGACCTGGGGTATGTTCTCGACTTACGGCGGGGATGGCCCTTCAAAACACGAGTTTCTTCAGTGACGTCAGGACTCCTGTCTAGTAACGAGGGACACCTCAGGAATCTCTTCGAGGCTTGGCAGGGCAAAAGGGACGCTTCTCGAGGTGAGGCAGGGCACCCAAGGACCCTTTCCAGTAGCCACAGGGATTTTGGGATTCCTATCAGTATTCAAGAGGAGTCAGGCATCGTCACCTTTTGAAGCAATGAACTCCGCGTGCCTCTCGAGGTGTCAGCGGGATGTGAGGCATTCCGTCAAAATGAGGCAGGGACCTAGGGCTTTCTCTAAGGTCTCCACAGGGGATTCAGACATCCCTTCATGTTGTGAGATGAAAGACGAGCCTGTATTCAAGCCACTGCAAGGAAATCCGGCCTCCTTTCAAGTTAGGGCTTCTCGCTGTATATTCCCCTTGAGGCAGCAAACTCGGGGTCCCTCCCACATACCTATTGCTGAGAGAAGCCTCCTGCTGAGGTGCTTCTGGGAAGTTGGCATACGTCTTGAGCCTAAGCCAGGGAATCAGCTCTCATCTCGAGACGATTTGGGGTACACGGAGCATTCCTCGAGTTGCTGTGCTGAAGTTGGTGTTCCTCTAGACTAGGGACAGTGTTCTCGGGGCATCTCTGGAGTTCCCTGAAGGAAGTCGAGCCACCGGTCGTGTTGAATGGGGAACGGGGAATGGCTCTGGAGTCAATGCAGGGGAATCGGGCCTCATCTCGAGTTGATTTGGGGCACATGGAGCTGCTTTGCTTTGCTGGGGTGACCTCAGGGTCCGTCTAGACTGGTGACAGTGTTCTTGGGGACTGTCTCGAGATCCATTAAGCAAGTCGAAGCTCCTGACTTGTTTGAATGGGATCACGGAATAGCTCTGCATGCACTGCAGGGGAATGGGGCCTCATCTCGCCTCTAGGGGGAAGTCTCATGGTTTTTCTCGAGTTGCGGCGGGGACCTGGGGTATGTTCTCGACTTACGGCGGGGATGGCCTTCAAAACACGAGTTTCTTCAGTGACGTCAGGACTCCTGTCTAGTAACGAGGGACACCTCAGGAATCTCTTCGAGGCTTGGCAGGGCAAAAGGGACGCTTCTCGAGGTGAGGCAGGGCACCCAAGGACCCTTTCCAGTAGCCACAGGGATTTTGGGATTCCTATCAGTATTCAAGAGGAGTCAGGCATCGTCACCTTTTGAAGCAATGAACTCCGCGTGCCTCTCGAGGTGTCAGCGGGATGTGAGGCATTCCGTCAAAATGAGGCAGGGACCTAGGGCTTTCTCTAAGGTCTCCACAGGGGATTCAGACATCCCTTCATGTTGTGAGATGAAAGACGAGCCTGTATTCAAGCCACTGCAAGGAAATCCGGCCTTCTTTCAAGTTAGGGCTTCTCGCTGTATATTCCCCTTGAGGCAGCAAACTCGGGGTCCCTCCCACATACCTATTGCTGAGAGAAGCCTCCTCCTGAGGTGCTTCTGGGAAATTGGCATACGTCTTGAGCCTAAGCCAGGGAATCAGCTCTCATCTCGAGACGATTTGGGGTACACGGAGAATTCCTCGAGTTGCTGTGCTGAAGTTGGTGTTCCTCTAGACTTGGGACAGTGTTCTCGGGGCATCTCTGGAGTTGCCTGAAGGAAGTCGAGCCACCGGTCGTGTTGAATGGGGAACGGGGAATGGCTCTGGAGTCAATGCAGGGGAATCGGGCCTCATCTCGAGTTGATTTGGGGCACATGGAGCTGCTTTGCGTTGCTGGGGTGACCTCAGGGTCCGTCTAGACTGGTGACAGTGTTCTTGCGGACTGTCTCGAGATCCATTAAGCAAGTCGAAGCTCCTGACTTGTTTGAATGGGATCACGGAATAGCTCTGCATGCACTGCAGGGGAATGGGGCCTCATCTCGCCTCTAGGGGGAAGTCTCATGGTTTTTCTCGAGTTGCGGCGGGGACCTGGGGTATGTTCTCGACTTACGGCGGGGATGGCCCTTCAAAACACGAGTTTCTTCAGTGACGTCAGGACTCCTGTCTAGTAACGAGGGACACCTCAGGAATCTCTTCGAGGCTTGGCAGGGCAAAAGGGACGCTTCTCGAGGTGAGGCAGGGCACCCAAGGACCCTTTCCAGTAGCCACAGGGATTTTGGGATTCCTATCAGTATTCAAGAGGAGTCAGGCATCGTCACCTTTTGAAGCAATGAACTCCGCGTGCCTCTCGAGGTGTCAGCGGGATGTGAGGCATTCCGTCAAAATGAGGCAGGGACCTAGGGCTTTCTCTAAGGTCTCCACAGGGGATTCAGACATCCCTTCATGTTGTGAGATGAAAGACGAGCCTGTATTCAAGCCACTGCAAGGAAATCCGGCCTCCTTTCAAGTTAGGGCTTCTCGCTGTATATTCCCCTTGAGGCAGCAAACTCGGGGTCCCTCCCACATACCTATTGCTGAGAGAAGCCTCCTGCTGAGGTGCTTCTGGGAAGTTGGCATACGTCTTGAGCCTAAGCCAGGGAATCAGCTCTCATCTCGAGACGATTTGGGGTACACGGAGCATTCCTCGAGTTGCTGTGCTGAAGTTGGTGTTCCTCTAGACTTGGGACAGTGTTCTCGGGGCATCTCTGGAGTTCCCTGAAGGAAGTCGAGCCACCGGTCGTGTTGAATGGGGAACGGGGAATGGCTCTGGAGTCAATGCAGGGGAATCGGGCCTCATCTCGAGTTGATTTGGGGCACATGGAGCTGCTTTGCGTTGCTGGGGTGACCTCAGGGTCCGTCTAGACTGGTGACAGTGATCTTGGGGACTGTCTCGAGATCCATTAAGCAAGTCGAAGCTCCTGACTTGTTTGAATGGGATCACGGAATAGCTCTGCATGCACTGCAGGGGAATGGGGCCTCATCTCGCCTCTAGGGGGAAGTCTCATGGTTTTTCTCGAGTTGCGGCGGGGACCTGGGGCATGTTCTCGACTTATGGCGGGGATGGCCCTTCAAAACACGAGTTTCTTCAGTGACGTCAGGATTCCTGTCTAGTAACGAGGGACACCTCAGGAATCTCTTCGAGGCTTGGCAGGGCAAAAGGGACGCTTCTCGAGGTGAGGCAGGGCACCCAAGGACCCTTTCCAGTAGCCACAGGGATTTTGGGGTTCCTATCAGTATTCAAGAGGAGTCAGGCATCGTCACCTTTTGAAGCAATGAACTCCGCGTGCCTCTCGAGGTGTCAGCGGGATGTGAGGCATTCCGTCAAAATGAGGCAGGGACCTAGGGCTTTCTCTAAGGTCTCCACAGGGGATTCAGACATCCCTTCATGTTGTGAGATGAAAGACGAGCCTGTATTCAAGCCACTGCAAGGAAATCCGGCCTCCTTTCAAGTTAGGGCTTCTCGCTGTATATTCCCCTTGAGGCAGCAAACTCGGGGTCCCTCCCACATACCTATTGCTGAGAGAAGCCTCCTCCTGAGGTGCTTCTGGGAAGTTGGCATATGTCTTGAGCCTAAGCCAGGGAATCAGCTCTCATCTCGAGACGATTTGGGGTACACGGAGCATTCCTCGAGTTGCTGTGCTGAAGTTGGTGTTCCTCTAGACTTGGGACAGTGTTCTCGGGGCATCTCTGGAGTTGCCTGAAGGAAGTCGAGCCACCGGTCGTGTTGAATGGGGAACGGGGAATGGCTCTGGAGTCAATGCAGGGGAATCGGGCCTCATCTCAAGTTGATTTGGGGCACATGGAGCTGCTTTGCGTTGCTGGGGTGACCTCAGGGTCCGTCTAGACTGGTGACAGTGTTCTTGGGGACTGTCTCGAGATCCATTAAGCAAGTCGAAGCTCCTGACTTGTTTGAATGGGATCACGGAATAGCTCTGCATGCACTGCAGGGGAATGGGGCCTCATCTCGCCTCTAGGGGGAAGTCTCATGGTTTTTCTCGAGTTGCGGCGGGGACCTGGGGTATGTTCTCGACTTACGGCGGGGATGGCCCTTCAAAACACGAGTTTCTTCAGTGACGTCAGGACTCCTGTCTAGTAACGAGGGACACCTCAGGAATCTCTTCGAGGCTTGGCAGGGCAAAAGGGACGCTTCTCGAGGTGAGGCAGGGCACCCAAGGACCCTTTCCAGTAGCCACAGGGATTTTGGGATTCCTATCAGTATTCAAGAGGAGTCAGGCATCGTCACCTTTTGAAGCAATGAACTCCGCGTGCCTCTCGAGGTGTCAGCGGGATGTGAGGCATTCCGTCAAAATGAGGCAGGGACCTAGGGCTTTCTCTAAGGTCTCCACAGGGGATTCAGACATCCCTTCATGTTGTGAGATGAAAGACGAGCCTGTATTCAAGCCACTGCAAGGAAATCCGGCCTTCTTTCAAGTTAGGGCTTCTCGCTGTATATTCCCCTTGAGGCAGCAAACTCGGGGTCCCTCCCACATACCTATTGCTGAGAGAAGCCTCCTCCTGAGGTGCTTCTGGGAAATTGGCATACGTCTTGAGCCTAAGCCAGGGAATCAGCTCTCATCTCGAGACGATTTGGGGTACACGGAGAATTCCTCGAGTTGCTGTGCTGAAGTTGGTGTTCCTCTAGACTTGGGACAGTGTTCTCGGGGCATCTCTGGAGTTGCCTGAAGGAAGTCGAGCCACCGGTCGTGTTGAATGGGGAACGGGGAATGGCTCTGGAGTCAATGCAGGGGAATCGGGCCTCATCTCGAGTTGATTTGGGGCACATGGAGCTGCTTTGCGTTGCTGGGGTGACCTCAGGGTCCGTCTAGACTGGTGACAGTGTTCTTGCGGACTGTCTCGAGATCCATTAAGCAAGTCGAAGCTCCTGACTTGTTTGAATGGGATCACGGAATAGCTCTGCATGCACTGCAGGGGAATGGGGCCTCATCTCGCCTCTAGGGGGAAGTCTCATGGTTTTTCTCGAGTTGCGGCGGGGACCTGGGGTATGTTCTCGACTTACGGCGGGGATGGCCCTTCAAAACACGAGTTTCTTCAGTGACGTCAGGACTCCTGTCTAGTAACGAGGGACACCTCAGGAATCTCTTCGAGGCTTGGCAGGGCAAAAGGGACGCTTCTCGAGGTGAGGCAGGGCACCCAAGGACCCTTTCCAGTAGCCACAGGGATTTTGGGATTCCTATCAGTATTCAAGAGGAGTCAGGCATCGTCACCTTTTGAAGCAATGAACTCCGCGTGCCTCTCGAGGTGTCAGCGGGATGTGAGGCATTCCGTCAAAATGAGGCAGGGACCTAGGGCTTTCTCTAAGGTCTCCACAGGGGATTCAGACATCCCTTCATGTTGTGAGATGAAAGACGAGCCTGTATTCAAGCCACTGCAAGGAAATCCGGCCTCCTTTCAAGTTAGGGCTTCTCGCTGTATATTCCCCTTGAGGCAGCAAACTCGGGGTCCCTCCCACATACCTATTGCTGAGAGAAGCCTCCTGCTGAGGTGCTTCTGGGAAGTTGGCATACGTCTTGAGCCTAAGCCAGGGAATCAGCTCTCATCTCGAGACGATTTGGGGTACACGGAGCATTCCTCGAGTTGCTGTGCTGAAGTTGGTGTTCCTCTAGACTTGGGACAGTGTTCTCGGGGCATCTCTGGAGTTCCCTGAAGGAAGTCGAGCCACCGGTCGTGTTGAATGGGGAACGGGGAATGGCTCTGGAGTCAATGCAGGGGAATCGGGCCTCATCTCGAGTTGATTTGGGGCACATGGAGCTGCTTTGCGTTGCTGGGGTGACCTCAGGGTCCGTCTAGACTGGTGACAGTGATCTTGGGGACTGTCTCGAGATCCATTAAGCAAGTCGAAGCTCCTGACTTGTTTGAATGGGATCACGGAATAGCTCTGCATGCACTGCAGGGGAATGGGGCCTCATCTCGCCTCTAGGGGGAAGTCTCATGGTTTTTCTCGAGTTGCGGCGGGGACCTGGGGCATGTTCTCGACTTATGGCGGGGATGGCCCTTCAAAACACGAGTTTCTTCAGTGACGTCAGGATTCCTGTCTAGTAACGAGGGACACCTCAGGAATCTCTTCGAGGCTTGGCAGGGCAAAAGGGACGCTTCTCGAGGTGAGGCAGGGCACCCAAGGACCCTTTCCAGTAGCCACAGGGATTTTGGGGTTCCTATCAGTATTCAAGAGGAGTCAGGCATCGTCACCTTTTGAAGCAATGAACTCCGCGTGCCTCTCGAGGTGTCAGCGGGATGTGAGGCATTCCGTCAAAATGAGGCAGGGACCTAGGGCTTTCTCTAAGGTCTCCACAGGGGATTCAGACATCCCTTCATGTTGTGAGATGAAAGACGAGCCTGTATTCAAGCCACTGCAAGGAAATCCGGCCTCCTTTCAAGTTAGGGCTTCTCGCTGTATATTCCCCTTGAGGCAGCAAACTCGGGGTCCCTCCCACATACCTATTGCTGAGAGAAGCCTCCTCCTGAGGTGCTTCTGGGAAGTTGGCATATGTCTTGAGCCTAAGCCAGGGAATCAGCTCTCATCTCGAGACGATTTGGGGTACACGGAGCATTCCTCGAGTTGCTGTGCTGAAGTTGGTGTTCCTCTAGACTTGGGACAGTGTTCTCGGGGCATCTCTGGAGTTGCCTGAAGGAAGTCGAGCCACCGGTCGTGTTGAATGGGGAACGGGGAATGGCTCTGGAGTCAATGCAGGGGAATCGGGCCTCATCTCAAGTTGATTTGGGGCACATGGAGCTGCTTTGCGTTGCTGGGGTGACCTCAGGGTCCGTCTAGACTGGTGACAGTGTTCTTGGGGACTGTCTCGAGATCCATTAAGCAAGTCGAAGCTCCTGACTTGTTTGAATGGGATCACGGAATAGCTCTGCATGCACTGCAGGGGAATGGGGCCTCATCTCGCCTCTAGGGGGAAGTCTCATGGTTTTTCTCGAGTTGCGGCGGGGACCTGGGGTATGTTCTCGACTTACGGCGGGGATGGCCCTTCAAAACACGAGTTTCTTCAGTGACGTCAGGACTCCTGTCTAGTAACGAGGGACACCTCAGGAATCTCTTCGAGGCTTGGCAGGGCAAAAGGGACGCTTCTCGAGGTGAGGCAGGGCACCCAAGGACCCTTTCCAGTAGCCACAGGGATTTTGGGATTCCTATCAGTATTCAAGAGGAGTCAGGCATCGTCACCTTTTGAAGCAATGAACTCCGCGTGCCTCTCGAGGTGTCAGCGGGATGTGAGGCATTCCGTCAAAATGAGGCAGGGACCTAGGGCTTTCTCTAAGGTCTCCACAGGGGATTCAGACATCCCTTCATGTTGTGAGATGAAAGACGAGCCTGTATTCAAGCCACTGCAAGGAAATCCGGCCTCCTTTCAAGTTAGGGCTTCTCGCTGTATATTCCCCTTGAGGCAGCAAACTCGGGGTCCCTCCCACATACCTATTGCTGAGAGAAGCCTCCTGCTGAGGTGCTTCTGGGAAGTTGGCATACGTCTTGAGCCTAAGCCAGGGAATCAGCTCTCATCTCGAGACGATTTGGGGTACACGGAGCATTCCTCGAGTTGCTGTGCTGAAGTTGGTGTTCCTCTAGACTAGGGACAGTGTTCTCGGGGCATCTCTGGAGTTCCCTGAAGGAAGTCGAGCCACCGGTCGTGTTGAATGGGGAACGGGGAATGGCTCTGGAGTCAATGCAGGGGAATCGGGCCTCATCTCGAGTTGATTTGGGGCACATGGAGCTGCTTTGCTTTGCTGGGGTGACCTCAGGGTCCGTCTAGACTGGTGACAGTGTTCTTGGGGACTGTCTCGAGATCCATTAAGCAAGTCGAAGCTCCTGACTTGTTTGAATGGGATCACGGAATAGCTCTGCATGCACTGCAGGGGAATGGGGCCTCATCTCGCCTCTAGGGGGAAGTCTCATGGTTTTTCTCGAGTTGCGGCGGGGACCTGGGGTATGTTCTCGACTTACGGCGGGGATGGCCTTCAAAACACGAGTTTCTTCAGTGACGTCAGGACTCCTGTCTAGTAACGAGGGACACCTCAGGAATCTCTTCGAGGCTTGGCAGGGCAAAAGGGACGCTTCTCGAGGTGAGGCAGGGCACCCAAGGACCCTTTCCAGTAGCCACAGGGATTTTGGGATTCCTATCAGTATTCAAGAGGAGTCAGGCATCGTCACCTTTTGAAGCAATGAACTCCGCGTGCCTCTCGAGGTGTCAGCGGGATGTGAGGCATTCCGTCAAAATGAGTCAGGGACCTAGGGCTTTCTCTAAGGTCTCCACAGGGGATTCAGACATCCCTTCATGTTGTGAGATGAAAGACGAGCCTGTATTCAAGCCACTGCAAGGAAATCCGGCCTTCTTTCAAGTTAGGGCTTCTCGCTGTATATTCCCCTTGAGGCAGCAAACTCGGGGTCCCTCCCACATACCTATTGCTGAGAGAAGCCTCCTCCTGAGGTGCTTCTGGGAAATTGGCATACGTCTTGAGCCTAAGCCAGGGAATCAGCTCTCATCTCGAGACGATTTGGGGTACACGGAGAATTCCTCGAGTTGCTGTGCTGAAGTTGGTGTTCCTCTAGACTTGGGACAGTGTTCTCGGGGCATCTCTGGAGTTGCCTGAAGGAAGTCGAGCCACCGGTCGTGTTGAATGGGGAACGGGGAATGGCTCTGGAGTCAATGCAGGGGAATCGGGCCTCATCTCGAGTTGATTTGGGGCACATGGAGCTGCTTTGCGTTGCTGGGGTGACCTCAGGGTCCGTCTAGACTGGTGACAGTGTTCTTGCGGACTGTCTCGAGATCCATTAAGCAAGTCGAAGCTCCTGACTTGTTTGAATGGGATCACGGAATAGCTCTGCATGCACTGCAGGGGAATGGGGCCTCATCTCGCCTCTAGGGGGAAGTCTCATGGTTTTTCTCGAGTTGCGGCGGGGACCTGGGGTATGTTCTCGACTTACGGCGGGGATGGCCCTTCAAAACACGAGTTTCTTCAGTGACGTCAGGACTCCTGTCTAGTAACGAGGGACACCTCAGGAATCTCTTCGAGGCTTGGCAGGGCAAAAGGGACGCTTCTCGAGGTGAGGCAGGGCACCCAAGGACCCTTTCCAGTAGCCACAGGGATTTTGGGATTCCTATCAGTATTCAAGAGGAGTCAGGCATCGTCACCTTTTGAAGCAATGAACTCCGCGTGCCTCTCGAGGTGTCAGCGGGATGTGAGGCATTCCGTCAAAATGAGGCAGGGACCTAGGGCTTTCTCTAAGGTCTCCACAGGGGATTCAGACATCCCTTCATGTTGTGAGATGAAAGACGAGCCTGTATTCAAGCCACTGCAAGGAAATCCGGCCTCCTTTCAAGTTAGGGCTTCTCGCTGTATATTCCCCTTGAGGCAGCAAACTCGGGGTCCCTCCCACATACCTATTGCTGAGAGAAGCCTCCTGCTGAGGTGCTTCTGGGAAGTTGGCATACGTCTTGAGCCTAAGCCAGGGAATCAGCTCTCATCTCGAGACGATTTGGGGTACACGGAGCATTCCTCGAGTTGCTGTGCTGAAGTTGGTGTTCCTCTAGACTTGGGACAGTGTTCTCGGGGCATCTCTGGAGTTCCCTGAAGGAAGTCGAGCCACCGGTCGTGTTGAATGGGGAACGGGGAATGGCTCTGGAGTCAATGCAGGGGAATCGGGCCTCATCTCGAGTTGATTTGGGGCACATGGAGCTGCTTTGCGTTGCTGGGGTGACCTCAGGGTCCGTCTAGACTGGTGACAGTGATCTTGGGGACTGTCTCGAGATCCATTAAGCAAGTCGAAGCTCCTGACTTGTTTGAATGGGATCACGGAATAGCTCTGCATGCACTGCAGGGGAATGGGGCCTCATCTCGCCTCTAGGGGGAAGTCTCATGGTTTTTCTCGAGTTGCGGCGGGGACCTGGGGCATGTTCTCGACTTATGGCGGGGATGGCCCTTCAAAACACGAGTTTCTTCAGTGACGTCAGGATTCCTGTCTAGTAACGAGGGACACCTCAGGAATCTCTTCGAGGCTTGGCAGGGCAAAAGGGACGCTTCTCGAGGTGAGGCAGGGCACCCAAGGACCCTTTCCAGTAGCCACAGGGATTTTGGGGTTCCTATCAGTATTCAAGAGGAGTCAGGCATCGTCACCTTTTGAAGCAATGAACTCCGCGTGCCTCTCGAGGTGTCAGCGGGATGTGAGGCATTCCGTCAAAATGAGGCAGGGACCTAGGGCTTTCTCTAAGGTCTCCACAGGGGATTCAGACATCCCTTCATGTTGTGAGATGAAAGACGAGCCTGTATTCAAGCCACTGCAAGGAAATCCGGCCTCCTTTCAAGTTAGGGCTTCTCGCTGTATATTCCCCTTGAGGCAGCAAACTCGGGGTCCCTCCCACATACCTATTGCTGAGAGAAGCCTCCTCCTGAGGTGCTTCTGGGAAGTTGGCATATGTCTTGAGCCTAAGCCAGGGAATCAGCTCTCATCTCGAGACGATTTGGGGTACACGGAGCATTCCTCGAGTTGCTGTGCTGAAGTTGGTGTTCCTCTAGACTTGGGACAGTGTTCTCGGGGCATCTCTGGAGTTGCCTGAAGGAAGTCGAGCCACCGGTCGTGTTGAATGGGGAACGGGGAATGGCTCTGGAGTCAATGCAGGGGAATCGGGCCTCATCTCAAGTTGATTTGGGGCACATGGAGCTGCTTTGCGTTGCTGGGGTGACCTCAGGGTCCGTCTAGACTGGTGACAGTGTTCTTGGGGACTGTCTCGAGATCCATTAAGCAAGTCGAAGCTCCTGACTTGTTTGAATGGGATCACGGAATAGCTCTGCATGCACTGCAGGGGAATGGGGCCTCATCTCGCCTCTAGGGGGAAGTCTCATGGTTTTTCTCGAGTTGCGGCGGGGACCTGGGGTATGTTCTCGACTTACGGCGGGGATGGCCCTTCAAAACACGAGTTTCTTCAGTGACGTCAGGACTCCTGTCTAGTAACGAGGGACACCTCAGGAATCTCTTCGAGGCTTGGCAGGGCAAAAGGGACGCTTCTCGAGGTGAGGCAGGGCACCCAAGGACCCTTTCCAGTAGCCACAGGGATTTTGGGATTCCTATCAGTATTCAAGAGGAGTCAGGCATCGTCACCTTTTGAAGCAATGAACTCCGCGTGCCTCTCGAGGTGTCAGCGGGATGTGAGGCATTCCGTCAAAATGAGGCAGGGACCTAGGGCTTTCTCTAAGGTCTCCACAGGGGATTCAGACATCCCTTCATGTTGTGAGATGAAAGACGAGCCTGTATTCAAGCCACTGCAAGGAAATCCGGCCTCCTTTCAAGTTAGGGCTTCTCGCTGTATATTCCCCTTGAGGCAGCAAACTCGGGGTCCCTCCCACATACCTATTGCTGAGAGAAGCCTCCTGCTGAGGTGCTTCTGGGAAGTTGGCATACGTCTTGAGCCTAAGCCAGGGAATCAGCTCTCATCTCGAGACGATTTGGGGTACACGGAGCATTCCTCGAGTTGCTGTGCTGAAGTTGGTGTTCCTCTAGACTAGGGACAGTGTTCTCGGGGCATCTCTGGAGTTCCCTGAAGGAAGTCGAGCCACCGGTCGTGTTGAATGGGGAACGGGGAATGGCTCTGGAGTCAATGCAGGGGAATCGGGCCTCATCTCGAGTTGATTTGGGGCACATGGAGCTGCTTTGCTTTCCTGGGGTGACCTCAGGGTCCGTCTAGACTGGTGACAGTGTTCTTGGGGACTGTCTCGAGATCCATTAAGCAAGTCGAAGCTCCTGGCTTGTTTGAATGGGATCACGGAATAGCTCTGCATGCACTGCAGGGGAATGGGGCCTCATCTCGCCTCTAGGGGGAAGTCTCATGGTTTTTCTCGAGTTGCAGCGGGGACCTGGGGTATGTTCTCGACTTACGGCGGGGATGGCCCTTCAAAACACGAGTTTCTTCAGTGACGTCAGGACTCCTGTCTAGTAACGAGGGACACCTCAGGAATCTCTTCGAGGCTTGGCAGGGCAAAAGGGACGCTTCTCGAGGTGAGGCAGGGCACCCAAGGACCCTTTCCAGTAGCCACAGGGATTTTGGGATTCCTATCAGTATTCAAGAGGAGTCAGGCATCGTCACCTTTTGAAGCAATGAACTCCGCGTGCCTCTCGAGGTGTCAGCGGGATGTGAGGCATTCCGTCAAAATGAGGCAGGGACCTAGGGCTTTCTCTAAGGTCTCCACAGGGGATTCAGACATCCCTTCATGTTGTGAGATGAAAGACGAGCCTGTATTCAAGCCACTGCAAGGAAATCCGGCCTCCTTTCAAGTTAGGGCTTCTCGCTGTATATTGCCCTTGAGGCAGCAAACTCGGGGTCCCTCCCACATACCAATTGCTGAGAGAAGCCTCCTCCTGAGGTGCTTCTGGGAAGTTGGCATACGTCTTGAGCCTAAGCCAGGGAATCAGCTCTCATCTCGAGACGATTTGGGGTACACGGAGCATTCCTCGAGTTGCTGTGCTGAAGTTGGTGTTCCTCTAGACTTGGGACAGTGTTCTCGGGGCATCTCTGGAGTTGCCTGGAGGAAGTCGAGCCACCGGTCGTGTTGAATGGGGAACGGAGAATGGCTCTGGAGTCAATGCAGGGGAATCGGGCCTCATCTCGAGTTGATTTGGGGCACATGGAGCTGCTTTGTGCTGCGGGGGTGACCTCAGGGTCCGTCTAGACTGGTGACAGTGTTCTTGGGGACTGTCTCGAGATCCATTAAGCAAGTCGAAGCTCCTGACTTGTTTGAATGGGATCACGGAATAGCTCTGCATGCACTGCAGGGGAATGGGGCCTCATCTCGCCTCTAGGGGGAAGTCTCATGGTTTTTCTCGAGTTGCGGCGGGGACCTGGGGTATGTTCTCGACTTACGGCGGGGATGGCCTTCAAAACACGAGTTTCTTCAGTGACGTCAGGACTCCTGTCTAGTAACGAGGGACACCTCAGGAATCTCTTCGAGGCTTGGCAGGGCAAAAGGGACGCTTCTCGAGGTGAGGCAGGGCACCCAAGGACCCTTTCCAGTAGCCACAGGGATTTTGGGATTCCTATCAGTATTCAAGAGGAGTCAGGCATCGTCACCTTTTGAAGCAATGAACTCCGCGTGCCTCTCGAGGTGTCAGCGGGATGTGAGGCATTCCGTCAAAATGAGGCAGGGACCTAGGGCTTTCTCTAAGGTCTCCACAGGGGATTCAGACATCCCTTCATGTTGTGAGATGAAAGACGAGCCTGTATTCAAGCCACTGCAAGGAAATCCGGCCTCCTTTCAAGTTAGGGCTTCTCGCTGTATATTCCCCTTGAGGCAGCAAACTCGGGGTCCCTCCCACATACCTATTGCTGAGAGAAGCCTCCTGCTGAGGTGCTTCTGGGAAGTTGGCATACGTCTTGAGCCTAAGCCAGGGAATCAGCTCTCATCTCGAGACGATTTGGGGTACACGGAGCATTCCTCGAGTTGCTGTGCTGAAGTTGGTGTTCCTCTAGACTAGGGACAGTGTTCTCGGGGCATCTCTGGAGTTCCCTGAAGGAAGTCGAGCCACCGGTCGTGTTGAATGGGGAACGGGGAATGGCTCTGGAGTCAATGCAGGGGAATCGGGCCTCATCTCGAGTTGATTTGGGGCACATGGAGCTGCTTTGCTTTGCTGGGGTGACCTCAGGGTCCGTCTAGACTGGTGACAGTGTTCTTGGGGACTGTCTCGAGATCCATTAAGCAAGTCGAAGCTCCTGACTTGTTTGAATGGGATCACGGAATAGCTCTGCATGCACTGCAGGGGAATGGGGCCTCATCTCGCCTCTAGGGGGAAGTCTCATGGTTTTTCTCGAGTTGCGGCGGGGACCTGGGGTATGTTCTCGACTTACGGCGGGGATGGCCTTCAAAACACGAGTTTCTTCAGTGACGTCAGGACTCCTGTCTAGTAACGAGGGACACCTCAGGAATCTCTTCGAGGCTTGGCAGGGCAAAAGGGACGCTTCTCGAGGTGAGGCAGGGCACCCAAGGACCCTTTCCAGTAGCCACAGGGATTTTGGGATTCCTATCAGTATTCAAGAGGAGTCAGGCATCGTCACCTTTTGAAGCAATGAACTCCGCGTGCCTCTCGAGGTGTCAGCGGGATGTGAGGCATTCCGTCAAAATGAGGCAGGGACCTAGGGCTTTCTCTAAGGTCTCCACAGGGGATTCAGACATCCCTTCATGTTGTGAGATGAAAGACGAGCCTGTATTCAAGCCACTGCAAGGAAATCCGGCCTTCTTTCAAGTTAGGGCTTCTCGCTGTATATTCCCCTTGAGGCAGCAAACTCGGGGTCCCTCCCACATACCTATTGCTGAGAGAAGCCTCCTCCTGAGGTGCTTCTGGGAAATTGGCATACGTCTTGAGCCTAAGCCAGGGAATCAGCTCTCATCTCGAGACGATTTGGGGTACACGGAGAATTCCTCGAGTTGCTGTGCTGAAGTTGGTGTTCCTCTAGACTTGGGACAGTGTTCTCGGGGCATCTCTGGAGTTGCCTGAAGGAAGTCGAGCCACCGGTCGTGTTGAATGGGGAACGGGGAATGGCTCTGGAGTCAATGCAGGGGAATCGGGCCTCATCTCGAGTTGATTTGGGGCACATGGAGCTGCTTTGCGTTGCTGGGGTGACCTCAGGGTCCGTCTAGACTGGTGACAGTGTTCTTGCGGACTGTCTCGAGATCCATTAAGCAAGTCGAAGCTCCTGACTTGTTTGAATGGGATCACGGAATAGCTCTGCATGCACTGCAGGGGAATGGGGCCTCATCTCGCCTCTAGGGGGAAGTCTCATGGTTTTTCTCGAGTTGCGGCGGGGACCTGGGGTATGTTCTCGACTTACGGCGGGGATGGCCCTTCAAAACACGAGTTTCTTCAGTGACGTCAGGACTCCTGTCTAGTAACGAGGGACACCTCAGGAATCTCTTCGAGGCTTGGCAGGGCAAAAGGGACGCTTCTCGAGGTGAGGCAGGGCACCCAAGGACCCTTTCCAGTAGCCACAGGGATTTTGGGATTCCTATCAGTATTCAAGAGGAGTCAGGCATCGTCACCTTTTGAAGCAATGAACTCCGCGTGCCTCTCGAGGTGTCAGCGGGATGTGAGGCATTCCGTCAAAATGAGGCAGGGACCTAGGGCTTTCTCTAAGGTCTCCACAGGGGATTCAGACATCCCTTCATGTTGTGAGATGAAAGACGAGCCTGTATTCAAGCCACTGCAAGGAAATCCGGCCTCCTTTCAAGTTAGGGCTTCTCGCTGTATATTCCCCTTGAGGCAGCAAACTCGGGGTCCCTCCCACATACCTATTGCTGAGAGAAGCCTCCTGCTGAGGTGCTTCTGGGAAGTTGGCATACGTCTTGAGCCTAAGCCAGGGAATCAGCTCTCATCTCGAGACGATTTGGGGTACACGGAGCATTCCTCGAGTTGCTGTGCTGAAGTTGGTGTTCCTCTAGACTTGGGACAGTGTTCTCGGGGCATCTCTGGAGTTCCCTGAAGGAAGTCGAGCCACCGGTCGTGTTGAATGGGGAACGGGGAATGGCTCTGGAGTCAATGCAGGGGAATCGGGCCTCATCTCGAGTTGATTTGGGGCACATGGAGCTGCTTTGCGTTGCTGGGGTGACCTCAGGGTCCGTCTAGACTGGTGACAGTGATCTTGGGGACTGTCTCGAGATCCATTAAGCAAGTCGAAGCTCCTGACTTGTTTGAATGGGATCACGGAATAGCTCTGCATGCACTGCAGGGGAATGGGGCCTCATCTCGCCTCTAGGGGGAAGTCTCATGGTTTTTCTCGAGTTGCGGCGGGGACCTGGGGCATGTTCTCGACTTATGGCGGGGATGGCCCTTCAAAACACGAGTTTCTTCAGTGACGTCAGGATTCCTGTCTAGTAACGAGGGACACCTCAGGAATCTCTTCGAGGCTTGGCAGGGCAAAAGGGACGCTTCTCGAGGTGAGGCAGGGCACCCAAGGACCCTTTCCAGTAGCCACAGGGATTTTGGGGTTCCTATCAGTATTCAAGAGGAGTCAGGCATCGTCACCTTTTGAAGCAATGAACTCCGCGTGCCTCTCGAGGTGTCAGCGGGATGTGAGGCATTCCGTCAAAATGAGGCAGGGACCTAGGGCTTTCTCTAAGGTCTCCACAGGGGATTCAGACATCCCTTCATGTTGTGAGATGAAAGACGAGCCTGTATTCAAGCCACTGCAAGGAAATCCGGCCTCCTTTCAAGTTAGGGCTTCTCGCTGTATATTCCCCTTGAGGCAGCAAACTCGGGGTCCCTCCCACATACCTATTGCTGAGAGAAGCCTCCTCCTGAGGTGCTTCTGGGAAGTTGGCATATGTCTTGAGCCTAAGCCAGGGAATCAGCTCTCATCTCGAGACGATTTGGGGTACACGGAGCATTCCTCGAGTTGCTGTGCTGAAGTTGGTGTTCCTCTAGACTTGGGACAGTGTTCTCGGGGCATCTCTGGAGTTGCCTGAAGGAAGTCGAGCCACCGGTCGTGTTGAATGGGGAACGGGGAATGGCTCTGGAGTCAATGCAGGGGAATCGGGCCTCATCTCAAGTTGATTTGGGGCACATGGAGCTGCTTTGCGTTGCTGGGGTGACCTCAGGGTCCGTCTAGACTGGTGACAGTGTTCTTGGGGACTGTCTCGAGATCCATTAAGCAAGTCGAAGCTCCTGACTTGTTTGAATGGGATCACGGAATAGCTCTGCATGCACTGCAGGGGAATGGGGCCTCATCTCGCCTCTAGGGGGAAGTCTCATGGTTTTTCTCGAGTTGCGGCGGGGACCTGGGGTATGTTCTCGACTTACGGCGGGGATGGCCCTTCAAAACACGAGTTTCTTCAGTGACGTCAGGACTCCTGTCTAGTAACGAGGGACACCTCAGGAATCTCTTCGAGGCTTGGCAGGGCAAAAGGGACGCTTCTCGAGGTGAGGCAGGGCACCCAAGGACCCTTTCCAGTAGCCACAGGGATTTTGGGATTCCTATCAGTATTCAAGAGGAGTCAGGCATCGTCACCTTTTGAAGCAATGAACTCCGCGTGCCTCTCGAGGTGTCAGCGGGATGTGAGGCATTCCGTCAAAATGAGGCAGGGACCTAGGGCTTTCTCTAAGGTCTCCACAGGGGATTCAGACATCCCTTCATGTTGTGAGATGAAAGACGAGCCTGTATTCAAGCCACTGCAAGGAAATCCGGCCTCCTTTCAAGTTAGGGCTTCTCGCTGTATATTCCCCTTGAGGCAGCAAACTCGGGGTCCCTCCCACATACCTATTGCTGAGAGAAGCCTCCTGCTGAGGTGCTTCTGGGAAGTTGGCATACGTCTTGAGCCTAAGCCAGGGAATCAGCTCTCATCTCGAGACGATTTGGGGTACACGGAGCATTCCTCGAGTTGCTGTGCTGAAGTTGGTGTTCCTCTAGACTAGGGACAGTGTTCTCGGGGCATCTCTGGAGTTCCCTGAAGGAAGTCGAGCCACCGGTCGTGTTGAATGGGGAACGGGGAATGGCTCTGGAGTCAATGCAGGGGAATCGGGCCTCATCTCGAGTTGATTTGGGGCACATGGAGCTGCTTTGCTTTCCTGGGGTGACCTCAGGGTCCGTCTAGACTGGTGACAGTGTTCTTGGGGACTGTCTCGAGATCCATTAAGCAAGTCGAAGCTCCTGGCTTGTTTGAATGGGATCACGGAATAGCTCTGCATGCACTGCAGGGGAATGGGGCCTCATCTCGCCTCTAGGGGGAAGTCTCATGGTTTTTCTCGAGTTGCAGCGGGGACCTGGGGTATGTTCTCGACTTACGGCGGGGATGGCCCTTCAAAACACGAGTTTCTTCAGTGACGTCAGGACTCCTGTCTAGTAACGAGGGACACCTCAGGAATCTCTTCGAGGCTTGGCAGGGCAAAAGGGACGCTTCTCGAGGTGAGGCAGGGCACCCAAGGACCCTTTCCAGTAGCCACAGGGATTTTGGGATTCCTATCAGTATTCAAGAGGAGTCAGGCATCGTCACCTTTTGAAGCAATGAACTCCGCGTGCCTCTCGAGGTGTCAGCGGGATGTGAGGCATTCCGTCAAAATGAGGCAGGGACCTAGGGCTTTCTCTAAGGTCTCCACAGGGGATTCAGACATCCCTTCATGTTGTGAGATGAAAGACGAGCCTGTATTCAAGCCACTGCAAGGAAATCCGGCCTCCTTTCAAGTTAGGGCTTCTCGCTGTATATTGCCCTTGAGGCAGCAAACTCGGGGTCCCTCCCACATACCAATTGCTGAGAGAAGCCTCCTCCTGAGGTGCTTCTGGGAAGTTGGCATACGTCTTGAGCCTAAGCCAGGGAATCAGCTCTCATCTCGAGACGATTTGGGGTACACGGAGCATTCCTCGAGTTGCTGTGCTGAAGTTGGTGTTCCTCTAGACTTGGGACAGTGTTCTCGGGGCATCTCTGGAGTTGCCTGGAGGAAGTCGAGCCACCGGTCGTGTTGAATGGGGAACGGAGAATGGCTCTGGAGTCAATGCAGGGGAATCGGGCCTCATCTCGAGTTGATTTGGGGCACATGGAGCTGCTTTGTGCTGCGGGGGTGACCTCAGGGTCCGTCTAGACTGGTGACAGTGTTCTTGGGGACTGTCTCGAGATCCATTAAGCAAGTCGAAGCTCCTGACTTGTTTGAATGGGATCACGGAATAGCTCTGCATGCACTGCAGGGGAATGGGGCCTCATCTCGCCTCTAGGGGGAAGTCTCATGGTTTTTCTCGAGTTGCGGCGGGGACCTGGGGTATGTTCTCGACTTACGGCGGGGATGGCCTTCAAAACACGAGTTTCTTCAGTGACGTCAGGACTCCTGTCTAGTAACGAGGGACACCTCAGGAATCTCTTCGAGGCTTGGCAGGGCAAAAGGGACGCTTCTCGAGGTGAGGCAGGGCACCCAAGGACCCTTTCCAGTAGCCACAGGGATTTTGGGATTCCTATCAGTATTCAAGAGGAGTCAGGCATCGTCACCTTTTGAAGCAATGAACTCCGCGTGCCTCTCGAGGTGTCAGCGGGATGTGAGGCATTCCGTCAAAATGAGGCAGGGACCTAGGGCTTTCTCTAAGGTCTCCACAGGGGATTCAGACATCCCTTCATGTTGTGAGATGAAAGACGAGCCTGTATTCAAGCCACTGCAAGGAAATCCGGCCTCCTTTCAAGTTAGGGCTTCTCGCTGTATATTCCCCTTGAGGCAGCAAACTCGGGGTCCCTCCCACATACCTATTGCTGAGAGAAGCCTCCTCCTGAGGTGCTTCTGGGAAATTGGCATACGTCTTGAGCCTAAGCCAGGGAATCAGCTCTCATCTCGAGACGATTCGGTGTACACGGAGCATTCCTCGAGTTGCTGTGCTGAAGTTGGTGTTCCTCTAGACTTGGGACAGTGTTCTCGGGGCATCTCTGGAGTTGCCTGAAGGAAGTCGAGCCACCGGTCGTGTTGAATGGGGAACGGGGAATGGCTCTGGAGTCAATGCAGGGGAATCGGGCCTCATCTCGAGTTGATTTGGGGCACATGGAGCTGCTTTGCGTTGCTGGGGTGACCTCAGGGTCCGTCTAGACTGGTGACAGTGTTCTTGCGGACTGTCTCGAGATCCATTAAGCAAGTCGAAGCTCCTGACTTGTTTGAATGGGATCACGGAATAGCTCTGCATGCACTGCAGGGGAATGGGGCCTCATCTCGCCTCTAGGGGGAAGTCTCATGGTTTTTCTCGAGTTGCGGCGGGGACCTGGGGTATGTTCTCGACTTACGGCGGGGATGGCCCTTCAAAACACGAGTTTCTTCAGTGACGTCAGGACTCCTGTCTAGTAACGAGGGACACCTCAGGAATCTCTTCGAGGCTTGGCAGGGCAAAAGGGACGCTTCTCGAGGTGAGGCAGGGCACCCAAGGACCCTTTCCAGTAGCCACAGGGATTTTGGGATTCCTATCAGTATTCAAGAGGAGTCAGGCATCGTCACCTTTTGAAGCAATGAACTCCGCGTGCCTCTCGAGGTGTCAGCGGGATGTGAGGCATTCCGTCAAAATGAGGCAGGGACCTAGGGCTTTCTCTAAGGTCTCCACAGGGGATTCAGACATCCCTTCATGTTGTGAGATGAAAGACGAGCCTGTATTCAAGCCACTGCAAGGAAATCCGGCCTCCTTTCAAGTTAGGGCTTCTCGCTGTATATTCCCCTTGAGGCAGCAAACTCGGGGTCCCTCCCACATACCTATTGCTGAGAGAAGCCTCCTGCTGAGGTGCTTCTGGGAAGTTGGCATACGTCTTGAGCCTAAGCCAGGGAATCAGCTCTCATCTCGAGACGATTTGGGGTACACGGAGCATTCCTCGAGTTGCTGTGCTGAAGTTGGTGTTCCTCTAGACTTGGGACAGTGTTCTCGGGGCATCTCTGGAGTTCCCTGAAGGAAGTCGAGCCACCGGTCGTGTTGAATGGGGAACGGGGAATGGCTCTGGAGTCAATGCAGGGGAATCGGGCCTCATCTCGAGTTGATTTGGGGCACATGGAGCTGCTTTGCGTTGCTGGGGTGACCTCAGGGTCCGTCTAGACTGGTGACAGTGATCTTGGGGACTCTCTCGAGATCCATTAAGCAAGTCGAAGCTCGTGTCTTGTTTGAATGGGATCACGGAATAGCTCTGCATGCACTGCAGGGGAATGGGGCCTCATCTCGCCTCTAGGGGGAAGTCTCATGGTTTTTCTCGAGTTGCGGCGGGGACCTGGGGTATGTTCTCGACTTATGGCGGGGATGGCCCTTCAAAACACGAGTTTCTTCAGTGACGTCAGGACTCCTGTCTAGTAACGAGGGACACCTCAGGAATCTCTTCGAGGCTTGGCAGGGCAAAAGGGACGCTTCTCGAGGTGAGGCAGGGCACCCAAGGACCCTTTCCAGTAGCCACAGGGATTTTGGGGTTCCTATCAGTATTCAAGAGGAGTCAGGCATCGTCACCTTTTGAAGCAATGAACTCCGCGTGCCTCTCGAGGTGTCAGCGGGATGTGAGGCATTCCGTCAAAATGAGGCAGGGACCTAGGGCTTTCTCTAAGGTCTCCACAGGGGATTCAGACATCCCTTCATGTTGTGAGATGAAAGACGAGCCTGTATTCAAGCCACTGCAAGGAAATCCGGCCTCCTTTCAAGTTAGGGCTTCTCGCTGTATATTCCCCTTGAGGCAGCAAACTCGGGGTCCCTCCCACATACCTATTGCTGAGAGAAGCCTCCTCCTGAGGTGCTTCTGGGAAGTTGGCATATGTCTTGAGCCTAAGCCAGGGAATCAGCTCTCATCTCGAGACGATTTGGGGTACACGGAGCATTCCTCGAGTTGCTGTGCTGAAGTTGGTGTTCCTCTAGACTTGGGACAGTGTTCTCGGGGCATCTCTGGAGTTGCCTGAAGGAAGTCGAGCCACCGGTCGTGTTGAATGGGGAACGGGGAATGGCTCTGGAGTCAATGCAGGGGAATCGGGCCTCATCTCGAGTTGATTTGGGGCACATGGAGCTGCTTTGCGTTGCTGGGGTGACCTCAGGGTCCGTCTAGACTGGTGACAGTGTTCTTGGGGACTGTCTCGAGATCCATTAAGCAAGTCGAAGCTCCTGACTTGTTTGAATGGGATCACGGAATAGCTCTGCATGCACTGCAGGGGAATGGGGCCTCATCTCGCCTCTAGGGGGAAGTCTCATGGTTTTTCTCGAGTTGCGGCGGGGACCTGGGGTATGTTCTCGACTTACGGCGGGGATGGCCCTTCAAAACACGAGTTTCTTCAGTGACGTCAGGACTCCTGTCTAGTAACGAGGGACACCTCAGGAATCTCTTCGAGGCTTGGCAGGGCAAAAGGGACGCTTCTCGAGGTGAGGCAGGGCACCCAAGGACCCTTTCCAGTAGCCACAGGGATTTTGGGATTCCTATCAGTATTCAAGAGGAGTCAGGCATCGTCACCTTTTGAAGCAATGAACTCCGCGTGCCTCTCGAGGTGTCAGCGGGATGTGAGGCATTCCGTCAAAATGAGGCAGGGACCTAGGGCTTTCTCTAAGGTCTCCACAGGGGATTCAGACATCCCTTCATGTTGTGAGATGAAAGACGAGCCTGTATTCAAGCCACTGCAAGGAAATCCGGCCTCCTTTCAAGTTAGGGCTTCTCGCTGTATATTCCCCTTGAGGCAGCAAACTCGGGGTCCCTCCCACATACCTATTGCTGAGAGAAGCCTCCTGCTGAGGTGCTTCTGGGAAGTTGGCATACGTCTTGAGCCTAAGCCAGGGAATCAGCTCTCATCTCGAGACGATTTGGGGTACACGGAGCATTCCTCGAGTTGCTGTGCTGAAGTTGGTGTTCCTCTAGACTAGGGACAGTGTTCTCGGGGCATCTCTGGAGTTCCCTGAAGGAAGTCGAGCCACCGGTCGTGTTGAATGGGGAACGGGGAATGGCTCTGGAGTCAATGCAGGGGAATCGGGCCTCATCTCGAGTTGATTTGGGGCACATGGAGCTGCTTTGCTTTGCTGGGGTGACCTCAGGGTCCGTCTAGACTGGTGACAGTGTTCTTGGGGACTGTCTCGAGATCCATTAAGCAAGTCGAAGCTCCTGACTTGTTTGAATGGGATCACGGAATAGCTCTGCATGCAGTGCACGGGAATGGGGCCTCATCTCGCCTCTAGAGGGAAGTCTCATGGTTTTTCTCGAGTTGCGGCGGGGACCTGGGGTATGTTCTCGACTTACGGCGGGGATGGCCCTTCAAAACACGAGTTTCTTCAGTGACGTCAGGACTCCTGTCTAGTAACGAGGGACACCTCAGGAATCTCTTCGAGGCTTGGCAGGGCAAAAGGGACGCTTCTCCAGGTGAGGCAGGGCACCCAAGGACCCTTTCCAGTAGCCACAGGGATTTTGGGATTCCTATCAGTATTCAAGAGGAGTCAGGCATCGTCACCTTTTGAAGCAATGAACTCCGTGTGCCTCTCGAGGTGTCAGCGGGATGTGAGGCATTCCGTCAAAATGAGGCAGGGACCTAGGGCTTTCTCTAAGGTCTCCACAGGGGATTCAGACATCCCTTCATGTTGTGAGATGAAAGACGAGCCTGTATTCAAGCCACTGCAAGGAAATCCGGCCTCCTTTCAAGTTAGGGCTTCTCGCTGTATATTCCCCTTGAGGCAGCAAACTCGGGGTCCCTCCCACATACCTATTGCTGAGAGAAGCCTCCTGCTGAGGTGCTTCTGGGAAGTTGGCATACGTCTTGAGCCTAAGCCAGGGAATCAGCTCTCATCTCGAGACGATTTGGGGTACACGGAGCATTCCTCGAGTTGCTGTGCTGAAGTTGGTGTTCCTCTAGACTTGGGACAGTGTTCTCGGGGCATCTCTGGAGTTCCCTGAAGGAAGTCGAGCCACCGGTCGTGTTGAATGGGGAACGGGGAATGGCTCTGGAGTCAATGCAGGGGAATCGGGCCTCATCTCGAGTTGATTTGGGGCACATGGAGCTGCTTTGCGTTGCTGGGGTGACCTCAGGGTCCGTCTAGACTGGTGACAGTGATCTTGGGGACTCTCTCGAGATCCATTAAGCAAGTCGAAGCTCGTGTCTTGTTTGAATGGGATCACGGAATAGCTCTGCATGCACTGCAGGGGAATGGGGCCTCATCTCGCCTCTAGGGGGAAGTCTCATGGTTTTTCTCGAGTTGCGGCGGGGACCTGGGGTATGTTCTCGACTTATGGCGGGGATGGCCCTTCAAAACACGAGTTTCTTCAGTGACGTCAGGACTCCTGTCTAGTAACGAGGGACACCTCAGGAATCTCTTCGAGGCTTGGCAGGGCAAAAGGGACGCTTCTCGAGGTGAGGCAGGGCACCCAAGGACCCTTTCCAGTAGCCACAGGGATTTTGGGGTTCCTATCAGTATTCAAGAGGAGTCAGGCATCGTCACCTTTTGAAGCAATGAACTCCGCGTGCCTCTCGAGGTGTCAGCGGGATGTGAGGCATTCCGTCAAAATGAGGCAGGGACCTAGGGCTTTCTCTAAGGTCTCCACAGGGGATTCAGACATCCCTTCATGTTGTGAGATGAAAGACGAGCCTGTATTCAAGCCACTGCAAGGAAATCCGGCCTCCTTTCAAGTTAGGGCTTCTCGCTGTATATTCCCCTTGAGGCAGCAAACTCGGGGTCCCTCCCACATACCTATTGCTGAGAGAAGCCTCCTCCTGAGGTGCTTCTGGGAAGTTGGCATATGTCTTGAGCCTAAGCCAGGGAATCAGCTCTCATCTCGAGACGATTTGGGGTACACGGAGCATTCCTCGAGTTGCTGTGCTGAAGTTGGTGTTCCTCTAGACTTGGGACAGTGTTCTCGGGGCATCTCTGGAGTTGCCTGAAGGAAGTCGAGCCACCGGTCGTGTTGAATGGGGAACGGGGAATGGCTCTGGAGTCAATGCAGGGGAATCGGGCCTCATCTCGAGTTGATTTGGGGCACATGGAGCTGCTTTGCGTTGCTGGGGTGACCTCAGGGTCCGTCTAGACTGGTGACAGTGTTCTTGGGGACTGTCTCGAGATCCATTAAGCAAGTCGAAGCTCCTGACTTGTTTGAATGGGATCACGGAATAGCTCTGCATGCACTGCAGGGGAATGGGGCCTCATCTCGCCTCTAGGGGGAAGTCTCATGGTTTTTCTCGAGTTGCGGCGGGGACCTGGGGTATGTTCTCGACTTACGGCGGGGATGGCCCTTCAAAACACGAGTTTCTTCAGTGACGTCAGGACTCCTGTCTAGTAACGAGGGACACCTCAGGAATCTCTTCGAGGCTTGGCAGGGCAAAAGGGACGCTTCTCGAGGTGAGGCAGGGCACCCAAGGACCCTTTCCAGTAGCCACAGGGATTTTGGGATTCCTATCAGTATTCAAGAGGAGTCAGGCATCGTCACCTTTTGAAGCAATGAACTCCGCGTGCCTCTCGAGGTGTCAGCGGGATGTGAGGCATTCCGTCAAAATGAGGCAGGGACCTAGGGCTTTCTCTAAGGTCTCCACAGGGGATTCAGACATCCCTTCATGTTGTGAGATGAAAGACGAGCCTGTATTCAAGCCACTGCAAGGAAATCCGGCCTCCTTTCAAGTTAGGGCTTCTCGCTGTATATTCCCCTTGAGGCAGCAAACTCGGGGTCCCTCCCACATACCTATTGCTGAGAGAAGCCTCCTGCTGAGGTGCTTCTGGGAAGTTGGCATACGTCTTGAGCCTAAGCCAGGGAATCAGCTCTCATCTCGAGACGATTTGGGGTACACGGAGCATTCCTCGAGTTGCTGTGCTGAAGTTGGTGTTCCTCTAGACTAGGGACAGTGTTCTCGGGGCATCTCTGGAGTTCCCTGAAGGAAGTCGAGCCACCGGTCGTGTTGAATGGGGAACGGGGAATGGCTCTGGAGTCAATGCAGGGGAATCGGGCCTCATCTCGAGTTGATTTGGGGCACATGGAGCTGCTTTGCTTTGCTGGGGTGACCTCAGGGTCCGTCTAGACTGGTGACAGTGTTCTTGGGGACTGTCTCGAGATCCATTAAGCAAGTCGAAGCTCCTGACTTGTTTGAATGGGATCACGGAATAGCTCTGCATGCACTGCACGGGAATGGGGCCTCATCTCGCCTCTAGAGGGAAGTCTCATGGTTTTTCTCGAGTTGCGGCGGGGACCTGGGGTATGTTCTCGACTTACGGCGGGGATGGCCCTTCAAAACACGAGTTTCTTCAGTGACGTCAGGACTCCTGTCTAGTAACGAGGGACACCTCAGGAATCTCTTCGAGGCTTGGCAGGGCAAAAGGGATGCTTCTCGAGGTGAGGCAGGGCACCCAAGGACCCTTTCCAGTAGCCACAGGGATTTTGGGATTCCTATCAGTATTCAAGAGGAGTCAGGCATCGTCACCTTTTGAAGCAATGAACTCCGCGTGCCTCTCGAGGTGTCAGCGGGATGTGAGGCATTCCGTCAAAATGAGGCAGGGACCTAGGGCTTTCTCTAAGGTCTCCACAGGGGATTCAGACATCCCTTCATGTTGTGAGATGAAAGACGAGCCTGTATTCAAGCCACTGCAAGGAAATCCGGCCTCCTTTCAAGTCAGGGCTTCTCGCTGTATATTCCCCTTGAGGCAGCAAACTCGGGGTCCCTCCCACATACCAATTGCTGAGAGAAGCCTCCTCCTGAGGTGCTTCTGGGAAGTTGGCATACGTCTTGAGCCTAAGCCAGGGAATCAGCTCTCATCTCGAGACGATTTGGGGTACATGGAGCATTCCTCGAGTTGCTGTGCTGAAGTTGGTGTTCCTCTAGACTTGGGACAGTGTTCTCGGGGCATCTCTGGAGTTGCCTGAAGGAAGTCGAGCCACCGGTCGTGTTGAATGGGGAACAGAGAATGGCTCTGGAGTCAATGCAGGGGAATCGGGCCTCATATCGAGTTGATTTGGGGCACATGGAGCTGCTTTGTGTTGCGGGGGTGACCTCAGGGTCCGTCTAGACTGGTGACAGTGTTCTTGGGGACTGTCTCGAGATCCATTAAGCAAGTCGAAGCTCCTGACTTGTTTGAATGGGATCACGGAATAGCTCTGCATGCACTGCAGGGGAATGGGGCCTCATCTCGCCTCTAGGGGGAAGTCTCATGGTTTTTCTCGAGTTGCGGCGGGGACCTGGGGTATGTTCTCGACTTACGGCGGGGATGGCCTTCAAAACACGAGTTTCTTCAGTGACGTCAGGACTCCTGTCTAGTAACGAGGGACACCTCAGGAATCTCTTCGAGGCTTGGCAGGGCAAAAGGGACGCTTCTCGAGGTGAGGCAGGGCACCCAAGGACCCTTTCCAGTAGCCACAGGGATTTTGGGATTCCTATCAGTATTCAAGAGGAGTCAGGCATCGTCACCTTTTGAAGCAATGAACTCCGCGTGCCTCTCGAGGTGTCAGCGGGATGTGAGGCATTCCGTCAAAATGAGGCAGGGACCTAGGGCTTTCTCTAAGGTCTCCACAGGGGATTCAGACATCCCTTCATGTTGTGAGATGAAAGACGAGCCTGTATTCAAGCCACTGCAAGGAAATCCGGCCTCCTTTCAAGTTAGGGCTTCTCGCTGTATATTCCCCTTGAGGCAGCAAACTCGGGGTCCCTCCCACATACCTATTGCTGAGAGAAGCCTCCTCCTGAGGTGCTTCTGGGAAGTTGGCATACGTCTTGAGCCTAAGCCAGGGAATCAGCTCTCATCTCGAGACGATTTGGGGTACACGGAGCATTCATCGAGTTGCTGTGCTGAAGTTGGTGTTCATCTAGACTTGGGACAGTGTTCTCGGGGCATCTCTGGAGTTGCCTGAAGGAAGTCGAGCCACCGGTCGTGTTGAATGGGGAACGGGGAATGGCTCTGGAGTCAATGCAGGGGAATCGGGCCTCATCTCGAGTTGATTTGGGGCACATGGAGCTGCTTTGCGTTGCTGGGGTGACCTCAGGGTCCGTCTAGACTGGTGACAGTGTTCTTGGGGACTGTCTCGAGATCCATTAAGCAAGTCGAAGCTCCTGACTTGTTTGAATGGGATCACGGAATAGCTCTGCATGCACTGCAGGGGAATGGGGCCTCATCTCGCCTCTAGGGGGAAGTCTCATGGTTTTTCTCGAGTTGCGGCGGGGACCTGGGGTATGTTCTCGACTTACGGCGGGGATGGCCCTTCAAAACACGAGTTTCTTCAGTGACGTCAGGACTCCTGTCTAGTAACGAGGGACACCTCAGGAATCTCTTCGAGGCTTGGCAGGGCAAAAGGGACGCTTCTCGAGGTGAGGCAGGGCACCCAAGGACCCTTTCCAGTAGCCACAGGGATTTTGGGATTCCTATCAGTATTCAAGAGGAGTCAGGCATCGTCACCTTTTGAAGCAATGAACTCCGCGTGCCTCTCGAGGTGTCAGCGCGATGTGAGGCATTCCGTCAAAATGAGGCAGGGACCTAGGGCTTTCTCTAAGGTCTCCACAGGGGATTCAGACATCCCTTCATGTTGTGAGATAAAAGACGAGCCTGTATTCAAGCCACTGCAAGGAAATCCGGCCTCCTTTCAAGTTCGGGCTTCTCGCTGTATATTCCCCTTGAGGCAGCAAACTCGGGGTCCCTCCCACATACCTATTGCTGAGAGAAGCCTCCTCCTGAGGTGCTTCTGGGAAGTTGGCATACGTCTTGAGCCTAAGCCAGGGAATCAGCTCGCATCTCGAGACGATTTGGGGTACACGGAGCATTCCTCGAGTTGCTGTGCTGAAGTTGGTGTTCCTCTAGACTTGGGACAGTATTCTCGGGGCATCTCTGGAGTTGCCTGAAGGAAGTAGAGCCACCGGTCGTGTTGAATGGGGAACGGGGAATGGCTCTGGAATCAATGCAGGGGAATCGGGCCTCATCTCGTGTTGATTTGGGGCACATGGAGCTGCTTTGCGTTGCTGGGGTGACCTCAGGGTCCGTCTAGACTGGTGACAGTGTTCTTGGGGACTGTCTCGAGATCCATTAAGCAAGTCGAAGCTCCTGACTTGTTTGAATGGGATCACGGAATAGCTCTGCATGCACTGCAGGGGAATGGGGCCTCATCTCGCCTCTAGGGGGAAGTCTCATGGTTTTTCTCGAGTTGCGGCGGGGACCTGGGGTATGTTCTCGACTTACGGCGGGGATGGCCCTTCAAAACACGAGTTTCTTCAGTGACGTCAGGACTCCTGTCTAGTAACGAGGGACACCTCAGGAATCTCTTCGAGGCTTGGCAGGGCAAAACGGACGCTTCTCGAGGTGAGGCAGGGCACCCAAGGACCCTTTCCAGTAGCCACAGGGATTTTGGGATTCCTATCAGTATTCAAGAGGAGTCAGGCATCGTCACCTTTTGAAGCAATGAACTCCGCGTGCCTCTCGAGGTGTCAGCGGGATGTGAGGCATTCCGTCAAAATGAGGCAGGGACCTAGGGCTTTCTCTAAGGTCTCCACAGGGGATTCAGACATCCCTTCATGTTGTGAGATGAAAGACGAGCCTGTATTCAAGCCACTGCAAGGAAATCCGGCCTCCTTTCAAGTTAGGGCTTCTCGCTGTATATTCCCCTTGAGGCAGCAAACTCGGGGTTCCTCCCACATACCTATTGCTGAGAGAAGCCTCCTCCTGAGGTGCTTCTGGGAAGTTGGCATACGTCTTGAGCCTAAGCCAGGGAATCAGCTCTCATCTCGAGACGATTTGGGGTACACGGAGCATTCCTCGAGTTGCTGTGCTGAAGTTGGTGTTCCTCTAGACTTGGGACAGTGTTCTCAGGGCATCTCTGGGGTTGCCTGAAGGAAGTCGAGCCACCGGTCGTGTTGAATGGGGAACGGGGAATGGCTCTGGAGTCAATGCAGGGGAATCGGGCCTCATCTCGAGTTGATTTGGGGCACATGGAGCTGCTTTGCGTTGCTGGGGTGACCTCAGGGTCCGTCTAGACTGGTGACAGTGTTCTTGGGGACTGTCTCGAGATCCATTAAGCAAGTCGAAGCTCCTGACTTGTTTGAATGGGATCACGGAATAGCTCTGCATGCACTGCAGGGGAATGGGGCCTCATCTCGCCTCTAGGGGGAAGTCTCATGGTTTTTCTCGAGTTGCGGCGGGGACCTGGGGTATGTTCTCGACTTACGGCGGGGATGGCCCTTCAAAACACGAGTTTCTTCAGTGACGTCAGGACTCCTGTCTAGTAACGAGGGACACCTCAGGAATCTCTTCGAGGCTTGGCAGGGCAAAACGGACGCTTCTCGAGGTGAAGCAGGGCACCCAAGGACCCTTCCATGTAACCACAGGGATTTTGGGATTCCTATCAGTATTCAAGAGGAGTCAGGCATCGTCACCTTTTGAAGCAATGAACTCCGCGTGCCTCTCGATGTGTCAGCGCGATGTGAGGCATTCCGTCAAAATGAGGCAGGGACCTAGGGCTTTCTCTAAGGTCTCCACAGGGGATTCAGACATCCCTTCATGTTGTGAGATGAAAGACGAGCCTGTATTCAAGCCACTGCAAGGAAATCCGGCCTCCTTTCAAGTTAGGGCTTCTCGCTGTATATTCCCCTTGAGGCAGCAAACTCGGGGTCCCTCCCACATACCTATTGCTGAGAGAAGCCTCCTCCTGAGGTGCTTCTGGGAAGTTGGCATACGTCTTGAGCCTAAGCCAGGGAATCAGCTCTCATCTCGAGACGATTTGGGGTACACGGAGCATTCCTCGAGTTGCTGTGCTGAAGTTGGTGTTCCTCTAGACTTGGGACAGTGTTCTCGGGGCATCTCTGGAGTTGCCTGAAGGAAGTCGAGCCACCGGTCGTGTTGAATGGGGAACGGGGAATGGCTCTGGAGTCAATGCAGGGGAATCGGGCCTCATCTCGAGTTGATTTGGGGCACATGGAGCTGCTTTGCGTTGCTGGGGTGACCTCAGGGTCCGTCTAGACTGGTGACAGTGTTCTTGGGGACTGTCTCGAGATCCATTAAGGAAGTCGAAGCTCCTGACTTGTTTGAATGGGATCACGGAATAGCTCTGCATGCACTGCAGGGGGATGGGGCCTCATCTCGCCTCTAGTGGGAAGTCTCATGGTTTTTCTCGAGTTGCGGCGGGGACCTGGGGTATGTTCTCGACTTACGGCGGGGATGGCCCTTCAAAACACGAGTTTCTTCAGTGACGTCAGGACTCCTGTCTAGTAACGAGGGACACCTCAGGAATCTCTTCGAGGCTTGGCAGGGCAAAAGGGACGCTTCTCGAGGTGAGGCAGGGCACCCAAGGACCCTTTCCAGTAGCCACAGGGATTTTGGGATTCCTATCAGTATTCAAGAGGAGTCAGGCATCGTCACCTTTTGAAGCAATGAACTCCGCGTGCCTCTCGAGGTGTCAGCGCGATGTGAGGCATTCCGTCAAAATGAGGCAGGGACCTAGGGCTTTCTCTAAGGTCTCCACAGGGGATTCAGACATCCCTTCATGTTGTGAGATGAAAGACGAGCCTGTATTCAAGCCACTGCAAGGAAATCCGGCCTCCTTTCAAGTTAGGGCTTCTCGCTGTATATTCCCCTTGAGGCAGGAAACTCGGGGTCCCTCCCACATACCTATTGCTGAGAGAAGCCTCCTCCTGAGGTGCTTCTGGGAAGTTGGCATACGTCTTGAGCCTAAGCCAGGGAATCAGCTCTCATCTCGAGACGATTTGGGGTACACGGAGCATTCCTCGAGTTGCTGTGCTGAAGTTGGTGTTCCTCTAGACTTGGGACAGTATTCTCGGGGCATCTCTGGAGTTGCCTGAAGGAAGTAGAGCCACCGGTCGTGTTGAATGGGGAACGGGGAATGGCTCTGGAATCAATGCAGGGGAATCGGGCCTCATCTCGTGTTGATTTGGGGCACATGGAGCTGCTTTGCGTTGCTGGGGTGACCTCAGGGTCCGTCTAGACTGGTGACAGTGTTCTTGGGGACTGTCTCGAGATCCATTAAGCAAGTCGAAGCTCCTGACTTGTTTGAATGGGATCACGGAATAGCTCTGCATGCACTGCAGGGGAATGGGGCCTCATCTCGCCTCTAGGGGGAAGTCTCATGGTTTTTCTCGAGTTGCGGCGGGGACCTGGGGTATGTTCTCGACTTACGGCGGGGATGGCCCTTCAAAACACGAGTTTCTTCAGTGACGTCAGGACTCCTGTCTAGTAACGAGGGACACCTCAGGAATCTCTTCGAGGCTTGGCAGGGCAAAAGGGACGCTTCTCGAGGTGAGGCAGGGCACCCAAGGACCCTTTCCAGTAGCCACAGGGATTTTGGGATTCCTATCAGTATTCAAGAGGAGTCAGGCATCGTCACCTTTTGAAGCAATGAACTCCGCGTGCCTCTCGAGGTGTCAGCGGGATGTGAGGCATTCCGTCAAAATGAGGCAGGGACCTAGGGCTTTCTCTAAGGTCTCCACAGGGGATTCAGACATCCCTTCATGTTGTGAGATGAAAGACGAGCCTGTATTCAAGCCACTGCAATGGAAATCCGGCGTCCTTTCAAGTTAGGGCTTCTCGCTGTATATTCCCCTTGAGGCAGCAAACTCGGGGTCCCTCCCACATACCTATTGCTGAGAGAAGCCTCCTCCTGAGGTGCTTCTGGGAAGTTGGCATACGTCTTGAGCCTAAGCCAGGGAATCAGCTCGCATCTCGAGACGATTTGGGGTACACGGAGCATTCCTCGAGTTGCTGTGCTGAAGTTGGTGTTCCTCTAGACTTGGGACAGTGTTCTCGGGGCATCTCTGGAGTTGCCTGAAGGAAGTCGAGCCACCGGTCGTGTTGAATGCGGAACGGGGAATGGCTCTGGAGTCAATGCAGGGGAATCGGGCCTCATCTCGAGTTGATTTGGGGCACATGGAGCTGCTTTGCGTTGCTGGGGTGACCTCAGGGTCCGTCTAGACTGGTGACAGTGTTCTTGGGGACTGTCTCGAGATCCATTAAGCAAGTCGAAGCTCCTGACTTGTTTGAATGGGATCACGGAATAGCTCTGCATGCACTGCAGGGGAATGGGGCCTCATCTCGCCTCTAGGGGGAAGTCTCATGGTTTTTCTCGAGTTGCGGCGGGGACCTGGGGTATGTTCTCGACTTACGGCGGGGATGGCCCTTCAAAACACGAGTTTCTTCAGTGACATCAGGACTCCTGTCTAGTAACGAGGGACACCTCAGGAATCTCTTCGAGGCTTGGCAGGGCAAAAGGGACGCTTCTCGAGGTGAGGCAGGGCACCCAAGGACCCTTTCCAGTAGCCACAGGGATTTTGGGATTCCTATCAGTATTCAAGAGGAGTCAGGCATCGTCACCTTTTGAAGCAATGAACTCCGCGTGCCTCTCGAGGTGTCAGCGGGATGTGAGGCATTCCGTCAAAATGAGGCAGGGACCTAGGGCTTTCTCTAAGGTCTCCACAGGGGATTCAGACATCCCTTCATGTTGTGAGATAAAAGACGAGCCTGTATTCAAGCCACTGCAAGGAAATCCGGCCTCCTTTCAAGTTAGGGCTTCTCGCTGTATATTCCCCTTGAGGCAGCAAACACGGGGTCCCTCCCACATACCTATTGCTGAGAGAAGCCTCCTCCTGAGGTGCTTCTGGGAAGTTGGCATACGTCTTGAGCCTAAGCCAGGGAATCAGCTCGCATCTCGAGACGATTTGGGGTACACGGAGCATTCCTCGAGTTGCTGTGCTGAAGTTGGTGTTCCTCTAGACTTGGGACAGTGTTCTCGGGGCATCTCTGGAGTTGCCTGAAGGAAGTCGAGCCACCGGTCGTGTTGAATGGGGAACGGGGAATGGCTCTGGAATCAATGCAGGGGAATCGGGCCTCATCTCGAGTTGATTTGGGGCACATGGAGCTGCTTTGCGTTGCTGGGGTGACCTCAGGGTCCGTCTAGACTGGTGACAGTGTTCTTGGGGACTGTCTCGAGATCCATTAAGCAAGTCGAAGCTCCTGACTTGTTTGAATGGGATCACGGAATAGCTCTGCATGCACTGCAGGGGAATGGGGCCTCATCTCGCCTCTAGGGGGAAGTCTCATGGTTTTTCTCGAGTTGCGGCGGGGACCTGGGGTATGTTCTCGACTTACGGAGGGGATGGCCCTTCAAAACACGAGTTTCTTCAGTGACGTCAGGACTCCTGTCTAGTAACGAGGGACACCTCAGGAATCTCTTCGAGGCTTGGCAGGGCAAAACGGACGCTTCTCGAGGTGAGGCAGGGCACCCAAGGACCCTTCCATGTAGCCACAGGGATTTTGGGATTCCTATCAGTATTCAAGAGGAGTCAGGCATCGTCACCTTTTGAAGCAATGAACTCCGCGTGCCTCTCGAGGTGTCAGCGCGATGTGAGGCATTCCGTCAAAATGAGGCAGGGACCTAGGGCTTTCTCTAAGGTCTCCACAGGGGATTCAGACATCCCTTCATGTTGTGAGATGAAAGACGAGCCTGTATTCAAGCCACTGCAAGGAAATCCGGCCTCCTTTCAAGTTAGGGCTTCTCGCTGTATATTCCCCTTGAGGCAGGAAACTCGGGGTCCCTCCCACATACCTATTGCTGAGAGAAGCCTCCTCCTGAGGTGCTTCTGGGAAGTTGGCATACGTCTTGAGCCTAAGCCAGGGAATCAGCTCTCATCTCGAAACGATTTGGGGTACACGGAGCATTCCTCGAGTTGCTGTGCTGAAGTTGGTGTTCCTCTAGACTTGGGACAGTGTTCTCGGGGCATCTCTGGAGTTGCCTGAAGGAAGTCGAGCCACCGGTCGTGTTGAATGGGGAACGGGGAATGGCTCTGGAGTCAATGCAGGGGAATCGGGCCTCATCTCGAGTTGATTTGGGGCACATGGAGCTGCTTTGCGTTGCTGGGGTGACCTCAGGGTCCGTCTAGACTGGTGACAGTGTGCTTGGGGACTGTCTCGAGATCCATTAAGCAAGTCGAAGCTCCTGACTTGTTTGAATGGGATCACGGAATAGCTCTGCATGCACTGCAGGGGAATGGGGCCTCATCTCGCCTCTAGGGGGAAGTCTCATGGTTTTTCTCGAGTTGCGGCGGGGACCTGGGGTATGTTCTCGACTTACGGCGGGGATGGCCCTTCAAAACACGAGTTTCTTCAGTGACGTCAGGACTCCTGTCTAGTAACGAGGGACACCTCAGGAATCTCTTCGAGGCTTGGCAGGGCAAAAGGGACGCTTCTCGAGGTGAGGCAGGGCACCCAAGGACCCTTTCCAGTAGCCACAGGGATTTTGGGATTCCTATCAGTATTCAAGAGGAGTCAGGCATCGTCACCTTTTGAAGCAATGAACTCCGCGTGCCTCTCGAGGTGTCAGCGCGATGTGAGGCATTCCGTCAAAATGAGGCAGGGACGTAGGGCTTTCTCTAAGGTCTCCAAAGGGGATTCAGACATCCCTTCATGTTGTGAGATGAAAGACGAGCCTGTATTCAAGCCACTGCTAGGAAATCCGGCCTCCTTTCAAGTTAGGGCTTCTCGCTGTATATTCCCCTTGAGGCAGCAAACTCGGGGTCCCTCCCACATACCTATTGCTGAGAGAAACCTCATCCTGAGGTGCTTCTGGGAAGTTGGCATACGTCTTGAGCCTAAGCCAGGGAATCAGCTCTCATCTCGAGACGATTTGGGGTAGACGGAGCATTCCTCGAGTTGCTGTGCTGAAGTTGGTGTTCCTCTAGACTTGGGACAGTGTTCTCGGGGCATCTCTGGAGTTGCCTGAAGGAAGTCGAGCCACCGGTCGTGTTGAATGGGGAACGGGGAATGGCTCTGGAGTCAATGCAGGGGAATCGGGCCTCATCTCGAGTTGATTTGGGGCACATGGAGCTGCTTTGCGTTGCTGGGGTGACCTCAGGGTCCGTCTAGACTGGTGACAGTGTTCTTGGGGACTGTCTCGAGATCCATTAAGCAAGTCGAAGCTCCTGACTTGTTTGAATGGGATCACGGAATAGCTCTGCATGCACTGCAGGGGAATGGGGCCTCATCTCGCCTCTAGGGGGAAGTCTCATGGTTTTTCTCGAGTTGCGGCGGGGACCTGGGGTATGTTCTCGACTTACGGCGGGGATGGCCCTTCAAAACACGAGTTTCTTCAGTGACGTCAGGACTCCTGTCTAGTAATGAGGGACACCTCAGGAATCTATTCGAGGCTTGGCAGGGCAAAAGGGACGCTTCTCGAGATGAGGCAGGGCACCCAAGGACCCTTTCCAGTAGCCACAGGGATTTTGGGATTCCTATCAGTATTCAAGAGGAGTCAGGCATCGTCACCTTTTGAAGCAATGAACTCCGCGTGCCTCTCGAGGTGTCAGCGCGATGTGAGGCATTCCGTCAAAATGAGGCAGGGACCTAGGGCTTTCTCTAAGGTCTCCACAGGGGATTCAGACATCCCTTCATGTTGTGAGATGAAAGACGAGCCTGTATTCAAGCCACTGCAAGGAAATCCGGCCTCCTTTCAAGTTAGGGCTTCTCGCTGTATATTCCCCTTGAGGCAGCAAACTCGGGGTCCCTCCCACATACCTATTGCTGAGAGAAGCCTCCTCCTGAGGTGCTTCTGGGAAGTTGGCATACGTCTTGAGCCTAAGCCAGGGAATCAGCTCTCATCTCGAGACGATTTGGGGTACACGGAGCATTCCTCGAGTTGCTGTGCTGAAGTTGGTGTTCCTCTAGACTTGGGACAGTGTTCTCGGGGCATCTCTGGAGTTGCCTGAAGGAAGTCGAGCCACCGGTCGTGTTGAATGGGGAACGGGGAATGGCTCTGGAGTCAATGCAGGGGAATCGGGCCTCATCTCGAGTTGATTTGGGGCACATGGAGCTGCTTTGCGTTGCTGGGGTGACCTCAGGGTCCGTCTAGACTGGTGACAGTGTTCTTGGGGACTGTCTCGAGATCCATTAAGCAAGTCGAAGCTCCTGACTTGTTTGAATGGGATCACGGAATAGCTCTGCATGCACTGCAGGGGAATGGGGCCTCATCTCGCCTCTAGGGGGAAGTCTCATGGTTTTTCTCGAGTTGCGGCGGGGACCTGGGGTATGTTCTCGACTTACGGCGCGGATGGCCCTTCAAAACATGAGTTTCTTCAGTGACGTCAGGACTCCTGTCTAGTAACGAGGGACACCTCAGGAATCTCTTCGAGGCTTGGCAGGGCAAAAGGGACGCTTCTCGAGGTGAGGCAGGGCACCCAAGGACCCTTTCCAGTAGCCACAGGGATTTTGGGATTCCTATCAGTATTCAAGAGGAGTCAGGCATCGTCACCTTTTGAAGCAATGAACTCCGCGTGCCTCTCGAGGTGTCAGCGGGATGTGAGGCATTCCGTCAAAATGAGGCAGGGACCTAGGGCTTTCTCTAAGGTCTCCACAGGGGATTCAGACATCCCTTCATGTTGTGAGATGAAAGACGAGCCTGTATTCAAGCCACTGCAAGGAAATCCGGCCTCCTTTCAAGTTAGGGCTTCTCGCTGTATATTCCCCTTGAGGCAGCAAACTCGGGGTCCCTCCCACATACCTATTGCTGAGAGAAGCCTCCTCCTGAGGTGCTTCTGGGAAGTTGGCATACGTCTTGAGCCTAAGCCAGGGAATCAGCTCGCATCTCGAGACGATTTGGGGTACACGGAGCATTCCTCGAGTTGCTGTGCTGAAGTTGGTGTTCCTCTAGACTTGGGACAGTGTTCTCGGGGCATCTCTGGAGTTGCCTGAAGGAACTCGAGCCACCGGTCGTGTTGAATGGGGAACGGGGAATGGCTCTGGAGTCAATGCAGGGGAATCGGGCCTCATCTCGAGTTGATTTGGGGCACATGGAGCTGCTTTGCGTTGCTGGGGTGACCTCAGGGTCCGTCTAGACTGGTGACAGTGTTCTTGGGGACTGTCTCGAGATCCATTAAGCAAGTCGAAGCTCCTGACTTGTTTGAATGGGATCACGGAATAGCTCTGCATGCACTGCAGGGGAATGGGGCCTCATCTCGCCTCTAGGGGGAAGTCTCATGGTTTTTCTCGAGTTGCGGCGGGGACCTGGGGTATGTTCTCGACTTACGGCGCGGATGGCCCTTCAAAACATGAGTTTCTTCAGTGACGTCAGGACTCCTGTCTAGTAACGAGGGACACCTCAGGAATCTCTTCGAGGCTTGGCAGGGCAAAAGGGACGCTTCTCGAGGTGAGGCAGGGCACCCAAGGACCCTTTCCAGTAGCCACAGGGATTTTGGGATTCCTATCAGTATTCAAGAGGAGTCAGGCATCGTCACCTTTTGAAGCAATGAACTCCGCTTGCCTCTCGAGGTGTCAGCGGGATGTGAGGCATTCCGTCAAAATGAGGCAGGGACCTAGGGCTTTCTCTAAGGTCTCCACAGGGGATTCAGACATCCCTTCATGTTGTGAGATGAAAGACGAGCCTGTATTCAAGCCACTGCAAGGAAATCCGGCCTCCTTTCAAGTTAGGGCTTCTCGCTGTATATTCCCCTTGAGGCAGCAAACTCGGGGTCCCTCCCACATACCTATTGCTGAGAGAAGCCTCCTCCTGAGGTGCTTCTGGGAAGTTGGCATACGTCTTGAGCCTAAGCCAGGGAATCAGCTCGCATCTCGAGACGATTTGGGGTACACGGAGCATTCCTCGAGTTGCTGTGCTGAAGTTGGTGTTCCTCTAGACTTGGGACAGTGTTCTCGGGGCATCTCTGGAGTTGCCTGAAGGAAGTCGAGCCACCGGTCGTGTTGAATGGGGAACGGGGAATGGCTCTGGAGTCAATGCAGGGGAATCGGGCCTCATCTCGAGTTGATTTGGGGCACATGGAGCTGCTTTGCGTTGCTGGGGTGACCTCAGGGTCCGTCTAGACTGGTGACAGTGTTCTTGGGGACTGTCTCGAGATCCATTAAGCAAGTCGAAGCTCCTGACTTGTTTGAATGGGATCACGGAATAGCTCTGCATGCACTGCAGGGGAATGGGGCCTCATCTCGCCTCTAGGGGGAAGTCTCATGGTTTTTCTCGAGTTGCGGCGGGGACCTGGGGTATGTTCTCGACTTACGGCGGGGATGGCCCTTCAAAACACGAGTTTCTTCAGTGACGTCAGGACTCCTGTCTAGTAACGAGGGACACCTCAGGAATCTCTTCGAGGCTTGGCAGGGCAAAAGGGACGCTTCTCGAGGTGAGGCAGGGCACCCAAGGACCCTTTCCAGTAGCCACAGGGATTTTGGGATTCCTATCAGTATTCAAGAGGAGTCAGGCATCGTCACCTTTTGAAGCAATGAACTCCGCGTGCCTCTCGAGGTGTCAGCGGGATGTGAGGCATTCCGTCAAAATGAGGCAGGGACCTAGGGCTTTCTCTAAGGTCTCCACAGGGGATTCAGACATCCCTTCATGTTGTGAGATGAAAGACGAGCCTGTATTCAAGCCACTGCAAGGAAATCCGGCCTCCTTTCAAGTTAGGGCTTCTCGCTGTATATTCCCCTTGAGGCAGCAAACTCGGGGTCCCTCCCACATACCTATTGCTGAGAGAAGCCTCCTGCTGAGGTGCTTCTGGGAAGTTGGCATACGTCTTGAGCCTAAGCCAGGGAATCAGCTCTCATCTCGAGACGATTTGGGGTACACGGAGCATTCCTCGAGTTGCTGTGCTGAAGTTGGTGTTCCTCTAGACTTGGGACAGTGTTCTCGGGGCATCTCTGGAGTTCCCTGAAGGAAGTCGAGCCACCGGTCGTGTTGAATGGGGAACGGGGAATGGCTCTGGAGTCAATGCAGGGGAATCGGGCCTCATCTCGAGTTGATTTGGGGCACATGGAGCTGCTTTGCGTTGCTGGGGTGACCTCAGGGTCCGTCTAGACTGGTGACAGTGATCTTGGGGACTGTCTCGAGATCCATTAAGCAAGTCGAAGCTCCTGTCTTGTTTGAATGGGATCACGGAATAGCTCTGCATGCACTGCAGGGGAATGGGGCCTCATCTCGCCTCTAGAGGGAAGTCTCATGGTTTTTCTCGAGTTGCGGCGGGGACCTGGGGTATGTTCTCGACTTATGGCGGGGATGGCCCTTCAAAACACGAGTTTCTTCAGTGACGTCAGGACTCCTGTCTAGTAACGAGGGACACCTCAGGAATCTCTTCGAGGCTTGGCAGGGCAAAAGGGACGCTTCTCGAGGTGAGGCAGGGCACCCAAGGACCCTTTCCAGTAGCCACAGGGATTTTGGGGTTCCTATCAGTATTCAAGAGGAGTCAGGCATCGTCACCTTTTGAAGCAATGAACTCCGCGTGCCTCTCGAGGTGTCAGCGGGATGTGAGGCATTCCGTCAAAATGAGGCAGGGACCTAGGGCTTTCTCTAAGGTCTCCACAGGGGATTCAGACATCCCTTCATGTTGTGAGATGAAAGACGAGCCTGTATTCAAGCCACTGCAAGGAAATCCGGCCTCCTTTCAAGTTAGGGCTTCTCGCTGTATATTCCCCTTGAGGCAGCAAACTCGGGGTCCCTCCCACATACCTATTGCTGAGAGAAGCCTCATCCTGAGGTGCTTCTGGGAAGTTGGCATACGTCTTGAGCCTAAGCCAGGGAATCAGCTCTCATCTAGAGACTATTTGGGGTACACGGAGCATTCCTCGAGTTGCTGTGCTGAAGTTGGTGTTCCTCTAGACTTGGGACAGTGTTCTCGGGGCATCTCTGGAGTTGCCTGAAGGAAGTCGAGCCACCGGTCGTGTTGAATGGGGAACGGGGAATGGCTCTGGAGTCAATGCAGGGGAATCGGGCCTCATCTCGAGTTGATTTGGGGCACATGGAGCTGCTTTGCGTTGCTGGGGTGACCTCAGGGTCCGTCTAGACTGGTGACAGTGTTCTTGGGGACTGTCTCGAGATCCATTAAGCAAGTCGAAGCTCCTGACTTGTTTGAATGGGATCACGGATTAGCTCTGCATGCACTGCAGGGGAATGGGGCCTCATCTCGCCTCTAGGGGGAAGTCTCTTGGTTTTTCTCGAGTTGCGGCGGGGACCTGGGGTATGTTCTCGACTTACGGCGGGGATGGCTCTTCAAAACACGAGTTTCTTCAGTGACGTCAGGACTCCTGTCTAGTAACGAGGGACACCTCAGGAATCTCTTCGAGGCTTGGCAGGGCAAAAGGGACGCTTCTCGAGGTGAGGCAGGGCACCCAAGGACCCTTTCCAGTAGGCACAGGGATTTTGGGATTCCTATCAGTATTCAAGAGGAGTCAGGCATCGTCACCTTTTGAAGCAATGAACTCCGCGTGCCTCTCGAGGTGTCAGCGCGATGTGAGGCATTTCGTCAAAATGAGGCAGGGACCTAGGGCTTTCTCTAAGGTCTCCACAGGGGATTCAGACATCCCTTCATGTTGTGAGATGAAAGACGAGCCTGTATTCAAGCCACTGCAAGGAAATCCGGCCTCCTTTCAAGTTAGGGCTTCTCGCTGTATATTCCCCTTGAGGCAGCAAACTCGGGGTCCCTCCCACATACCTATTGCTGAGAGAAGCCTCCTCCTGAGGTGCTTCTGGGAAATTGGCATACGTCTTGAGCCTAAGCCAGGGAATCAGCTCTCATCTCGAGACGATTTGGGGTACACGGAGCATTCCTCGAGTTGCTGTGCTGAAGTTGGTGTTCCTCTAGACTTGGGACAGTGTTCTCGGGGCATCTCTGGAGTTGCCTGAAGGAAGTCGAGCCACCGGTCGTGTTGAATGGGGAACGGGGAATGGCTCTGGAGTCAATGCAGGGGAATCGGGCCTCATCTCGAGTTGATTTGGGGCACATGGAGCTGCTTTGCGTTGCTGGGGTGACCTCAGGGTCCGTCTAGACTGGTGACAGTGTTCTTGGGGACTGTCTCGAGATCCATTAAGCAAGTCGAAGCTCCTGACTTGTTTGAATGGGATCACGGAATAGCTCTGCATGCACTGCAGGGGAATGGGGCCTCATCTCGCCTCTAGGGGGAAATCTCATGGTTTTTCTCGAGTTGCGGCGGGGACCTGGGGTATGTTCTCCACTTACGGCGGGGATGGCTCTTCAAAACACGAGTTTCTTCAGTGACGTCAGGACTCCTGTCTAGTAACGAAGGACACCTCAGGAATCTCTTCGAGGCTTGGCAGGGCAAAAGGGACGCTTCTCGAGGTGAGGCAGGGCACCCAAGGACCCTTTCCAGTAGCCACAGGGATTTTGGGATTCCTATCAGTATTCAAGAGGAGTCAGGCATCGTCACCTTTTGAAGCAATGAACTCCGCGTGCCTCTCGAGGTGTCAGCGGGATGTGAGGCATTCCGTCAAAATGAGGCAGGGACCTAGGGCTTTCTCTAAGGTCTCCACAGGGGATTCAGACATCCCTTCATGTTGTGAGATGAAAGACGCACCTGTATTCAAGCCACTGCAAGGAAATCCGGCCTCCTTTCAAGTTAGGGCTTCTCGCTGTATATTCCCCTTGAGGCAGCAAACTCGGGGTCCCTCCCACATACCTATTGCTGAGAGAAGCCTCCTCCTGACATGCTTCTGGGAAGTTGGCATACGTCTTGAGCCTAAGCCAGGGAATCAGCTCGCATCTCGAGACGATTTGGGGTACACGGAGCATTCCTCGAGTTGCTGTGCTGAAGTTGGTGTTCCTCTAGAATTGGGACAGTGTTCTCGGGGCATCTCTGGAGTTGCCTGAAGGAAGTCGAGCCACCGGTCGTGTTGAATGGGGAACGGGGAATGGCTCTGGAGTCAATGCAGGGGAATCGGGCCTCATCTCGAGTTGATTTGGGGCACATGGAGCTGCTTTGCGTTGCTGGGGTGACCTCAGGGTCCGTCTAGACTGGTGACAGTGTTCTTGGGGACTGTCTCGAGATCCATTAAGCAAGTCGAAGCTCCTGACTTGTTTGAATGGGATCACGGAATAGCTCTGCATGCACTGCAGGGGAATGGGGCCTCATCTCGCCTCTAGGGGGAAGTCTCATGGTTTTTCTCGAGTTGCGGCGGGGACCTGGGGTATGTTCTCGACTTACGGCGGGGATGGCCCTTCAAAACACGAGTTTCTTCAGTGACGTCAGGACTCCTGTCTAGTAACGAGGGACACCTCAGGAATCTCTTCGAGGCTTGGCAGGGCAAAAGGGACGCTTCTCGAGGTGAGGCAGGGCACCCAAGGACCCTTTCCAGTAGCCACAGGGATTTTGGGATTCCTATCAGTATTCAAGAGGAGTCAGGCATCGTCACCTTTTGAAGCAATGAACTCCGCGTGCCTCTCGAGGTGTCAGCGCGATGTGAGGCATTCCGTCAAAATGAGGCAGGGACCTAGGGCTTTCTCTAAGGTCTCCACAGGGGATTCAGACATCCCTTCATGTTGTGAGATGAAAGACGAGCCTGTATTCAAGCCACTGCAAGGAAATCCGGCCTCCTTTCAAGTTAGGGCTTCTCGCTGTATATTCCCCTTGAGGCAGCAAACTCGGGGTCCCACCCACATACCTATTGCTGAGAGAAGCCTCCTCCTGAGGTGCTTCTGGGAAGTTGGCATACGTCTTGAGCCTAAGCCAGGGAATCAGCTCTCATCTCGAGACGATTTGGGGTACACGGAGCATTCCTCGAGTTGCTGTGCTGAAGTTGGTGTTCCTCTAGACTTGGGACAGTGTTCTCGGGGCATCTCTGGAGTTGCCTGAAGGAAGTCGAGCCACCGGTCGTGTTGAATGGGGAACGGGGAATGGCTCTGGAGTCAATGCAGGGGAATCGGGCCTCATCTCGAGTTGATTTGGGGCACATGGAGCTGCTTTGCGTTGCTGGGGTGACCTCAGGGTCCGTCTAGACTGGTGACAGTGTTCTTGGGGACTGTCTCGAGATCCATTAAGCAAGTCGAAGCTCCTGACTTGTTTGAATGGGATCACGGAATAGCTCTGCATGCACTGCAGGGGAATGGGGCCTCATCTCGCCTCTAGGGGGAAGTCTCATGGTTTTTCTCGAGTTGCGGCGGGGACCTGGGGTATGTTCTCGACTTACGGCGGGGATGGCCCTTCAAAACACGAGTTTCTTCAGTGACGTCAGGACTCCTGTCTAGTAACGAGGGACACCTCAGGAATCTCTTCGAGGCTTGGCAGGGCAAAAGGGACGTTTCTCGAGGTGAGGCAGGGCACCCAAGGACCCTTTCCAGTAGCCACAGGGATTTTGGGATTCCTATCAGTATTCAAGAGGAGTCAGGCATCGTCACCTTTTGAAGCAATGAACTCCGCGTGCCTCTCGAGGTGTCAGCGCGATGTGAGGCATTCCGTCAAAATGAGGCAGGGACCTAGGGCTTTCTCTAAGGTCTCCACAGGGGATTCAGACATCCCTTCATGTTGTGAGATGAAAGACGAGCCTGTATTCAAGCCACTGCAAGGAAATCCGGCCTCCTTTCAAGTTAGGGCTTCTCGCTGTATATTCCCCTTGAGGCAGCAAACTCGGGGTCCCTCCCACATACCTATTGCTGAGAGAAGCCTCCTCCTGAGGTGCTTCTGGGAAGTTGGCATACGTCTTGAGCCTAAGCCAGGGAATCAGCTCTCATCTCGAGACGATTTGGGGTACACGGAGCATTCCTCGAGTTGCTGTGCTGAAGTTGGTGTTCCTCTAGACTTGGGACAGTGTTCTCGGGGCATCTCTGGAGTTGCCTGAAGGAAGTCGAGCCACCGGTCGTGTTGAATGGGGAACGGGGAATGGCTCTGGAGTCAATGCAGGGGAATCGGGCCTCATCTCGAGTTGATTTGGGGCACATGGAGCTGCTTTGCGTTGCTGGGGTGACCTCAGGGTCCGTCTAGACTGGTGACAGTGTTCTTGGGGACTGTCTCGAGATCCATTAAGCAAGTCGAAGCTCCTGACTTGTTTGAATGGGATCACGGAATAGCTCTGCATGCACTGCAGGGGAATGGGGCCTCATCTCGCCTCTAGGGGGAAGTCTCATGGTTTTTCTCGAGTTGCGGCGGGGACCTGGGGTATGTTCTCGACTTACGGCGCGGATGGCCCTTCAAAACATGAGTTTCTTCAGTGACGTCAGGACTCCTGTCTAGTAACGAGGGACACCTCAGGAATCTCTTCGAGGCTTGGCAGGGCAAAAGGGACGCTTCTCGAGGTGAGGCAGGGCACCCAAGGACCCTTTCCAGTAGCCACAGGGATTTTGGGATTCCTATCAGTATTCAAGAGGAGTCAGGCATCGTCACCTTTTGAAGCAATGAACTCCGCGTGCCTCTCGAGGTGTCAGCGGGATGTGAGGCATTCCGTCAAAATGAGGCAGGGACCTAGGGCTTTCTCTAAGGTCTCCACAGGGGATTCAGACATCCCTTCATGTTGTGAGATGAAAGACGAGCCTGTATTCAAGCCACTGCAAGGAAATCCGGCCTCCTTTCAAGTTAGGGCTTCTCGCTGTATATTCCCCTTGAGGCAGCAAACTCGGGGTCCCTCCCACATACCTATTGCTGAGAGAAGCCTCCTCCTGAGGTGCTTCTGGGAAGTTGGCATACGTCTTGAGCCTAAGCCAGGGAATCAGCTCGCATCTCGAGACGATTTGGGGTACACGGAGCATTCCTCGAGTTGCTGTGCTGAAGTTGGTGTTCCTCTAGACTTGGGACAGTGTTCTCGGGGCATCTCTGGAGTTGCCTGAAGGAAGTCGAGCCACCGGTCGTGTTGAATGGGGAACGGGGAATGGCTCTGGAGTCAATGCAGGGGAATCGGGCCTCATCTCGAGTTGATTTGGGGCACATGGAGCTGCTTTGCGTTGCTGGGGTGACCTCAGGGTCCGTCTAGACTGGTGACAGTGTTCTTGGGGACTGTCTCGAGATCCATTAAGCAAGTCGAAGCTCCTGACTTGTTTGAATGGGATCACGGAATAGCTCTGCATGCACTGCAGGGGAATGGGGCCTCATCTCGCCTCTAGGGGGAAGTCTCATGGTTTTTCTCGAGTTGCGGCGGGGACCTGGGGTATGTTCTCGACTTACGGCGGGGATGGCCCTTCAAAACACGAGTTTCTTCAGTGACGTCAGGACTCCTGTCTAGTAACGAGGGACACCTCAGGAATCTCTTCGAGGCTTGGCAGGGCAAAAGGGACGCTTCTCGAGGTGAGGCAGGGCACCCAAGGACCCTTTCCAGTAGCCACAGGGATTTTGGGATTCCTATCAGTATTCAAGAGGAGTCAGGCATCGTCACCTTTTGAAGCAATGAACTCCGCGTGCCTCTCGAGGTGTCAGCGGGATGTGAGGCATTCCGTCAAAATGAGGCAGGGACCTAGGGCTTTCTCTAAGGTCTCCACAGGGGATTCAGACATCCCTTCATGTTGTGAGATGAAAGACGAGCCTGTATTCAAGCCACTGCAAGGAAATCCGGCCTCCTTTCAAGTTAGGGCTTCTCGCTGTATATTCCCCTTGAGGCAGCAAACTCGGGGTCCCTCCCACATACCTATTGCTGAGAGAAGCCTCCTCCTGAGGTGCTTCTGGGAAGTTGGCATACGTCTTGAGCCTAAGCCAGGGAATCAGCTCTCATCTCGAGACGATTTGGGGTACACGGAGCATTCCTCGAGTTGCTGTGCTGAAGTTGGTGTTCCTCTAGACTAGGGACAGTGTTCTCGGGGCATCTCTGGAGTTGCCTGAAGGAAGTCGAGCCACCGGTCGTGTTGAATGGGGAACGGGGAATGGCTCTGGAGTCAATGCAGGGGAATCGGGCCTCATCTCGAGTTGATTTGGGGCACATGGAGCTGCTTTGCGTTGCTGGGGTGACCTCAGGGCCCGTCTAGACTGGTGACAGTGTTCTTGGGGACTGTCTCGAGATCCATTAAGCAAGTCGAAGCTCCTGACTTGTTTGAATGGGATCACGGAATAGCTCTGCATGCACTGCAGGGGAATGGGGCCTCATCTCGCCTCTAAGGGGAAGTCTCATGGTTTTTCTCGAGTTGCGGCGGGGACCTGGGGTATGTTCTCGACTTACGGCGGGGATGGCCTTCAAAACACGAGTTTCTTCAGTGACGTCAGGACTCCTGTCTAGTAACGAGGGACACCTCAGGAATCTCTTCGAGGCTTGGCAGGGCAAAAGGGACGCTTCTCGAGGTGAGGCAGGGCACCCAAGGACCCTTTCCAGTAGCCACAGGGATTTTGGGATTCCTATCAGTATTCAAGAGGAGTCAGGCATCGTCACCTTTTGAAGCAATGAACTCCGCGTGCCTCTCGAGGTGTCAGCGGGATGTGAGGCATTCCGTCAAAATGAGGCAGGGACCTAGGGCTTTCTCTAAGGTCTCCACAGGGGATTCAGACATCCCTTCATGTTGTGAGATGAAAGACGAGCCTGTATTCAAGCCACTGCAAGGAAATCCGGCCTCCTTTCAAGTTAGGGCTTCTCGCTGTATATTCCCCTTGAGGCAGCAAACTCGGGGTCCCTCCCACATACCTATTGCTGAGAGAAGCCTCCTCCTGAGGTGCTTCTGGGAAGTTGGCATACGTCTTGAGCCTAAGCCAGGGAATCAGCTCGCATCTCGAGACGATTTGGGGTACACGGAGCATTCCTTGAGTTGCTGTGCTGAAGTTGGTGTTCCTCTAGACTTGGGACAGTGTTCTCGGGGCATCTCTGGAGTTGCCTGAAGGAAGTCGAGCCACCGGTCGTGTTGAATGGGGAACGGGGAATGGCTCTGGAGTCAATGCAGGGGAATCGGGCCTCATCTCGAGTTGATTTGGGGCACATGGAGCTGCTTTGCGTTGCTGGGGTGACCTCAGGGTCCATCTAGACTGGTGACAGTGTTCTTGGGGACTGTCTCGAGATCCATTAAGCAAGTCGAAGCTCCTGACTTGTTTGAATGGGATCACGGAATAGCTCTGCATGCACTGCAGGGGAATGGGGCCTCATCTCGCCTCTAGGGGGAAGTCTCATGGTTTTTCTCGAGTTGCGGCGGGGACCTGGGGTATGTTCTCGACTTACGGCGGGGATGGCCCTTCAAAACACGAGTTTCTTCAGTGACGTCAGGACTCCTGTCTAGTAACGAGGGACACCTCAGGAATCTCTTCGAGGCTTGGCAGGGCAAAAGGGACGCTTCTCGAGGTGAGGCAGGGCACCCAAGGACCCTTTCCAGTAGCCACAGGGATTTTGGGATTCCTATCAGTATTCAAGAGGAGTCAGGCATCGTCACCTTTTGAAGCAATGAACTCCGCGTGCCTCTCGAGGTGTCAGCGGGATGTGAGGCATTCCGTCAAAATGAGGCAGGGACCTAGGGCTTTCTCTAAGGTCTCCACAGGGGATTCAGACATCCCTTCATGTTGTGAGATAAAAGACGAGCCTGTATTCAAGCCACTGCAAGGAAATCCGGCCTCCTTTCAAGTTAGGGCTTCTCGCTGTATATTCCCCTTGAGGCAGCAAACTCGGGGTCCCTCCCACATACCTATTGCTGAGAGAAGCCTCCTCCTGAGGTGCTTCTGGGAAGTTGGCATACGTCTTGAGCCTAAGCCAGGGAATCAGCTCTCATCTCGAGACGATTTGGGGTACACGGAGCATTCCTCGAGGTGCTGTGCTGAAGTTGGTGTTCCTCTAGACTTGGGACAGTGTTCTCGGGGCATCTCTGGAGTTGCCTGAAGGAAGTCGAGCCACCGGTCGTGTTGAATGGGGAACGGGGAATGGCTCTGGAGTCAATGCAGGGGAATCGGGCCTCATCTCGAGTTGATTTGGGGCACATGGAGCTGCTTTGTGTTGCGGGGGTGACCTCAGGGTCCGTCTAGACTGGTGACAGTGTTCTTGGGGACTGTCTCGAGATCCATTAAGCAAGTCGAAGCTCCTGACTTGTTTGAATGGGATCACGGAATAGCTCTGCATGCACTGCAGGGGAATGGGGCCTCATCTCGCCTCTAGGGGGAAGTCTCATGGTTTTTCTCGAGTTGCGGCGGGGACCTGGGGTATGTTCTCGACTTACGGCGGGGATGGCCCTTCAAAACACGAGTTTCTTCAGTGACGTCAGGACTCCTGTCTAGTAACGAGGGACACCTCAGGAATCTCTTCGAGGCTTGGCAGGGCAAAAGGGACGCTTCTCCAGGTGAGGCAGGGCACCCAAGGACCCTTTCCAGTAGCCACAGGGATTTTGGGATTCCTATCAGTATTCAAGAGGAGTCAGACATCGTCACCTTTTGAAGCAATGAACTCCGCGTGCCTCTCGAGGTGTCAGCGGGATGTGAGGCATTCCGTCAAAATGAGGCAGGGACCTAGGGCTTTCTCTAAGGTCTCCACAGGGGATTCAGACATCCCTTCATGTTGTGAGATGAAAGACGAGCCTGTATTCAAGCCACTGCAAGGAAATCCGGCCTCCTTTCAAGTTAGGTCTTCTCGCTGTATATTCCCCTTGAGGCAGCAAACTCGGGGTCCCTCCCACATACCTATTGCTGAGAGAAGCCTCCTCCTGAGGTGCTTCTGGGAAGTTGGCATACGTCTTGAGCCTAAGCCAGGGAATCAGCTCTCATCTCGAGACGATTTGGGGTACACGGAGCATTCCTCGAGTTGCTGTGCTGAAGTTGGTGTTCCTCTAGACTAGGGACAGTGTTCTCGGGGCATCTCTGGAGTTGCCTGAAGGAAGTCGAGCCACCGGTCGTGTTGAATGGGGAACGGGGAATGGCTCTGGAGTCAATGCAGGGGAATCGGGCCTCATCTCGAGTTGATTTGGGGCACATGGAGCTGCTTTGCGTTGCTGGGGTGAACTCAGGGCCCGTCTAGACTGGTGACAGTGTTCTTGGGGACTGTCTCGAGATCCATTAAGCAAGTCGAAGCTCCTGACTTGTTTGAATGGGATCACGGAATAGCTCTGCATGCACTGCAGGGGAATGGGGCCTCATCTCGCCTCTAAGGGGAAGTCTCATGGTTTTTCTCGAGTTGCGGCGGGGACCTGGGGTATGTTCTCGACTTACGGCGGGGATGGCCTTCAAAACACGAGTTTCTTCAGTGACGTCAGGACTCCTGTCTAGTAACGAGGGACACCTCAGGAATCTCTTCGAGGCTTGGCAGGGCAAAAGGGACGCTTCTCTAGGTGAGGCAGGGCACCCAAGGACACTTTCCAGTAGCCACAGGGATTTTGGGATTCCTATCAGTATTCAAGAGGAGTCAGGCATCGTCACCTTTTGAAGCAATGAACTCCGCGTGCCTCTCGAGGTGTCAGCGCGATGTGAGGCATTCCTTAAAAATGAGGCAGGGACCTAGGGCTTTCTCTAAGGTCTCCACAGGGAATTCAGACATCCCTTCATGTTGTGAGATGAAAGACGAGCCTGTATTCAAGCCACTGCAAGGAAATCCTGCCTCCTTTCAAGTTAGGGCTTCTCGCTGTATATTCCCCTTGAGGCAGCAAACTCGGGGTCCCTCCCACATACCTATTGCTGAGAGAAGCCTCCTGCTGAGGTGCTTCTGGGAAGTTGGCATACGTCTTGAGCCTAAGCCAGGGAATCAGCTCTCATCTCGAGACGATTTGGGGTACACGGAGCATTCCTCGAGTTGCTGTCCTGAAGTTGGTGTTCCTCTAGACTTGGGACAGTGTTCTCGGGGCATCTCTGGAGTTCCCTGAAGGAAGTCGAGCCACCGGTCGTGTTGAATGTGGAATGGGGAATGGCTCTGGAGTCAATGCAGGGGAATCGGGCCTCATCTCGAGTTGATTTGGGGCACATGGAGCTGCTCTGCGTTGCTGGGGTGACCTCAGGGTCCGTCTAGACTGGTGACAGTGTTCTTGGGGACTGTCTCGAGATCCATTAAGCAAGTCGAAGCTCCTGACTTGTTTGAATGGGATCACGGAATAGCTCTGCATGCACTGCAGGGGAATGGGGCCTCATCTCGCCTCTAGGGGGAACTCTCATGGTTTTTCTCGAGTTGCGGCGGGGACCTGGGGTATGTTCTCGACTTACGGCGGGGATGGCCCTTCAAAACACGAGTTTCTTCAGTGACGTCAGGACTCCTGTCTAGTAACGAGGGACACCTCAGGAATCTCTTCGAGGCTTGGCAGGGCAAAAGGGACGCTTCTCGAGGTGAGGCAGGGCACCCAAGGACCCTTTCCAGTAGCCACAGGGATTTTGGGATTCCTATCAGTATTCAAGAGGAGTCAGGCATCGTCACCTTTTGAAGCAATGAACTCCGCGTGCCTCTCGAGGTGTCAGCGGGATGTGAGGCATTCCGTCAAAATGAGGCAGGGACCTAGGGCTTTCTCTAAGGTCTCCACAGGGGATTCAGACATCCCTTCATGTTGTGAGATGAAAGACGAGCCTGTATTCAAGCCACTGCAAGGAAATCCGGCCTCCTTTCAAGTTAGGGCTTCTCGCTGTATATTCCCCTTGAGGCAGCAAACTCGGGGTCCCTCCCACATATCTATTGCTGAGAGAAGCCTCCTCCTGAGGTGCTTCTGGGAAGTTGGCATACGTCTTGAGCCTAAGCCAGGGAATCAGCTCTCATCTCGAGACGATTTGGGGTACACGGAGCATTCCTCGAGTTGCTGTGCTGAAGTTGGTGTTCCTCTAGACTTGGGACAGTGTTCTCGGGGCATCTCTGGAGTTGCCTGAAGGAAGTCGAGCCACCGGTCGTGTTGAATGGGGAACGGGGAATGGCTCTGGAGTCAATGCAGGGGAATCGATCCTCATCTCGAGTTGATTTGGGGCACATGGAGCTGCTTTGCGTTGCTGGGGTGACCTCAGGGTCCGTCTAGACTGGTGACAGTGTTCTTGGGGACTGTCTCGAGATCCATTAAGCAAGTCGAAGCTCCTGACTTGTTTGAATGGGATCACGGAATAGCTCTGCATGCACTGCAGGGGAATGGGGCCTCATCTCGCCTCTAGGGGGAAGTCTCATGGTTTTTCTCGAGTTGCGGCGGGGACCTGGGGTATGTTCTCGACTTACGGCGGGGATGGCCCTTCAAAACACGAGTTTCTTCAGTGACGTCAGGACTCCTGTCTAGTAACGAGGGACACCTCAGGAATCTCTTCGAGGCTTGGCAGGGCAAAAGGGACGCTTCTCCAGGTGAGGCAGGGCACCCAAGGACCCTTTCCAGTAGCCACAGGGATTTTGGGATTCCTATCAGTATTCAAGAGGAGTCAGGCATCGTCACCTTTTGAAGCAATGAACTCCGCGTGCCTCTCAAGGTGTCAGCGGGATGTGAGGCATTCCGTCAAAATGAGGCAGGGACCTAGGGCTTTCTCTAAGGTCTCCACAGGGGATTCAGACATCCCTTCATGTTGTGAGATGAAAGACGAGCCTGTATTCAAGCCACTGCAAGGAAATCCGGCCTCCTTTCAAGTTAGGGCTTCTCGCTGTATATTCCCCTTGAGGCAGCAAACTCGGGGTCCCTCCCACATACCTATTGCTGAGAGAAGCCTCCTCCTGAGGTGCTTCTGGGAAGTTGGCATACGTCTTGAGCCTAAGCCAGGGAATCAGCTCTCATCTCGAGACGATTTGGGGTACACGGAGCATTCCTCGAGTTGCTGTGCTGAAGTTGGTGTTCCTCTAGACTTGGGACAGTGTTCTCGGGGCATCTCTGGAGTTGCCTGAAGGAAGTCGAGCCACCGGTCGTGTTGAATGGGGAACGGGGAATGGCTCTGGAGTCAATGCAGGGGAATCGGGCCTCATCTCGAGTTGATTTGGGGCACATGGAGCTGCTTTGCGTTGCTGGGGTGACCTCAGGGTCCGTCTAGACTGGTGACAGTGTTCTTGGGGACTGTCTCGAGATCCATTAAGCAAGTCGAAGCTCCTGACTTGTTTGAATGGGATCACGGAATAGCTCTGCATGCACTGCAGGGGAATGGGGCCTCATCTCGCCTCTAGGGGGAAGTCTCATGGTTTTTCTCGAGTTGCGGCGGGGACCTGGGGTATGTTCTCGACTTACGGCGGGGATGGCCCTTCAAAACACGAGTTTCTTCAGTGACGTCAGGACTCCTGTCTAGTAACGAGGGACACCTCAGGAATCTCTTCGAGGCTTGGCAGGGCAAAAGGGACGCTTCTCGAGGTGAGGCAGGGCACCCAAGGACCCTTTCCAGTAGCCACAGGGATTTTGGGATTCCTATCAGTATTCAAGAGGAGTCAGGCATCGTCACCTTTTGAAGCAATGAACTCCGCGTGCCTCTCGAGGTGTCAGCGGGATGTGAGGCATTCCGTCAAAATGAGGCAGGGACCTAGGGCTTTCTCTAAGGTCTCCACAGGGGATTCAGACATCCCTTCATGTTGTGAGATGAAAGACGAGCCTGTATTCAAGCCACTGCAAGGAAATCCGGCCTCCTTTCAAGTTAGGGCTTCTCGCTGTATATTCCCCTTGAGGCAGCAAACTCGGGGTCCCTCCCACATACCAATTGCTGAGAGAAGCCTCCTCCTGAGGTGCTTCTGGGAAGTTGGCATACGTCTTGAGCCTAAGCCAGGGAATCAGCTCTCATCTCGAGACGATTTGGGGTACACGGAGCATTCCTCGAGTTGCTGTGCTGAAGTTGGTGTTCCTCTAGACTTGGGACAGTGTTCTCGGGGCATCTCTGGAGTTGCCTGAAGGAAGTCGAGCCACCGGTCGTGTTGAATGGGGAACGGAGAATGGCTCTGGAGTCAATGCAGGGGAATCGGGCCTCATCTCGAGTTGATTTGGGGCACATGGAGCTGCTTTGTGTTGCGGGGGTGACCTCAGGGTCCGTCTAGACTGGTGACAGTGTTCTTGGGGACTGTCTCGAGATCCATTAAGCAAGTCGAAGCTCCTGACTTGTTTGAATGGGATCACGGAATAGCTCTGCATGCACTGCAGGGGAATGGGGCCTCATCTCGCCTCTAGGGGGAAGTCTCATGGTTTTTCTCGAGTTGCGGCGGGGACCTGGGGTATGTTCTCGACTTACGGCGGGGATGGCCTTCAAAACACGAGTTTCTTCAGTGACGTCAGGAATCCTGTCTAGTAACGAGGGACACCTCAGGAATCTCTTCGAGGCTTGGCAGGGCAAAAGGGACGCTTCTCGAGGTGAGGCCGGGCACCCAAGGACCCTTTCCAGTAGCCACAGGGATTTTGGGATTCCTATCAGTATTCAAGAGGAGTCAGGCATCGTCACCTTTTGAAGCAATGAACTCCGCGTGCCTCTCGAGGTGTCAGCGGGATGTGAGGCATTCCGTCAAAATGAGGCAGGGACCTAGGGCTTTCTCTAAGGTCTCCACAGGGGATTCAGACATCCCTTCATGTTGTGAGATGAAAGACGAGCCTGTATTCAAGCCACTGCAAGGAAATCCGGCCTCCTTTCAAGTTAGGGCTTCTCGCTGTATATTCCCCTTGAGGCAGCAAACTCGGGGTCCCTCCCACATACCTATTGCTGAGAGAAGCCTCCTCCTGAGGTGCTTCTGGGAAGTTGGCATACGTCTTGAGCCTAAGCCAGGGAATCAGCTCTCATCTCGAGACGATTTGGGGTACACGGAGCATTCCTCGAGTTGCTGTGCTGAAGTTGGTGTTCCTCTAGACTTGGGACAGTGTTCTCGGGGCATCTCTGGAGTTCCCTGAAGGAAGTCGAGCCACCGGTCGTGTTGAATGGGGAACGGGGAATGGCTCTGGAGTCAATGCAGGGGAATCGGGCCTCATCTCGAGTTGATTTGGGGCACATGGAGCTGCTTTGCGTTGCTGGGGTGACCTCAGGGTCCGTCTAGACTGGTGACAGTGTTCTTGGGGACTGTCTAGAGATCCATTAAGCAAGTCGAAGCTCCTGACTTGTTTGAATGGGATCACGGAATAGCTCTGCATGCACTGCAGGGGAATGGGGCCTCATCTCGCCTCTAGGGGGAAGTCTCATGGTTTTTCTCGAGTTACGGCGGGGACCTGGGGTATGTTCTCGACTTACGGCGGGGATGGCCCTTCAAACGACGAGTTTCTTCAGTGACGTCAGGACTCCTGTCTAGTAACGAGGGACACCTCAGGAATCTCTTCGAGGCTTGGCAGGGCAAAAGGGACGCTTCTCCAGGTGAGGCAGGGCACCCAAGGACCCTTTCCAGTAGCCACAGGGATTTTGGGATTCCTATCAGTATTCAAGAGGAGTCAGGCATCGTCACCTTTTGAAGCAATGAACTCCGCGTGCCTCTCGAGGTGTCAGCGCGATGTGAGGCATTCCGTCAAAATGAGGCAGGGACCTAGGGCTTTCTCTAAGGTCTCCACAGGGGATTCAGACATCCCTTCATGTTGTGAGATGAAAGACGAGCCTGTATTCAAGCCACTGCAAGGAAATCCGGCCTCCTTTCAAGTTAGGGCTTCTCGCTGTATATTCCCCTTGAGGCAGCAAACTCGGGGTCCCTCCCACATACCTATTGCTGAGAGAAGCCTCCTCCTTAGGTGCTTCTGGGAAGTTGGCATACGTCTTGAGCCTAAGCCAGGGAATCAGCTCTCATCTCGAGACGATTTGGGGTACACGGAGCATTCCTCGAGTTGCTGTGCTGAAGTTGGTGTTCCTCTAGACTTGGGACAGTGTTCTCGGGGCATCTCTGGAGTTGCCTGAAGGAAGTCGAGCCACCGGTCGTGTTGAATGGGGAACGGGGAATGGCTCTGGAGTCAATGCAGGGGAATCGGGCCTCATCTCGAGTTGATTTGGGGCACATGGAGCTGCTTTGCGTTGCTGGGGTGACCTCAGGGTCCGTCTAGACTGGTGACAGTGTTCTTGGGGACTGTCTCGAGATCCATTAAGCAAGTCGAAGCTCCTGACTTGTTTGAATGGGATCACGGAATAGCTCTGCATGCACTGCAGGGGAATGGGGCCTCATCTCGCCTCTAGGGGGAAGTCTCATGGTTTTTCTCGAGTTGCGGCGGGGACCTGGGGTATGTTCTCGACTTACGGCGGGGATGGTCCTTCAAAACACGAGTTTCTTCAGTGACGTCAGGACTCCTGTCTAGTAACGAGGGACACCTCAGGAATCTCTTCGAGGCTTGGCAGGGCAAAAGGGACGCTTCTCGAGGTGAGGCAGGGCACCCAAGGACCCTTTCCAGTAGCCACAGGGATTTTGGGATTCCTATCAGTATTCAAGAGGAGTCAGGCATCGTCACCTTTTGAAGCAATGAACTCCGCGTGCCTCTCGAGGTGTCAGCGGGATGTGAGGCATTCCGTCAAAATGAGGCAGGGACCTAGGGCTTTCTCTAAGGTCTCCACAGGGGATTCAGACATCCCTTCATGTTGTGAGATAAAAGACGAGCCTGTATTCAAGCCACTGCAAGGAAATCCGGCCTCCTTTCAAGTTAGGGCTTCTCGCTGTATATTCCCCTTGAGGCAGCAAACTCGGGGTCCCTCCCACATACCTATTGCTGAGAGAAGCCTCCAACTGAGGTGCTTCTGGGAAGTTGGCATACGTCTTGAGCCTAAGCCAGGGAATCAGCTCGCATCTCGAGACGATTTGGGGTACACGGAGCATTCCTCGAGTTGCTGTGCTGAAGGTGGTGTTCCTCTAGACTTGGGACAGTATTCTCGGGGCATCTCTGGAGTTGCCTGAAGGAAGTAGAGCCACCGGTCGTGTTGAATGGGGAACGGGGAATGGCTCTGGAATCAATGCAGGGGAATCGGGCCTCATCTCGTGTTGATTTGGGGCACATGGAGCTGCTTTGCGTTGCTGGGGTGACCTCAGGGTCCGTCTAGACTGGTGACAGTGTTCTTGGGGACTGTCTCGAGATCCATTAAGCAAGTCGAAGCTCCTGACTTGTTTGAATGGGATCACGGAATAGCTCTGCATGCACTGCAGGGGAATGGGGCCTCATCTCGCCTCTAGGGGGAAGTCTCATGGTTTTTCTCGAGTTGCGGCGGGGACCTGGGGTATGTTCTCGACTTACGGCGGGGATGGCCCTTCAAAACACGAGTTTCTTCAGTGACGTCAGGACTCCTGTCTAGTAACGAGGGACACCTCAGGAATCTCTTCGAGGCTTGGCAGGGCAAAAGGGACGCTTCTCGAGGTGAGGCAGGGCACCCAAGGACCCTTTCCAGTAGCCACAGGGATTTTGGGATTCCTATCAGTATTCAAGAGGAGTCAGGCATCGTCACCTTTTGAAGCAATGAACTCCGCGTGCCTCTCGAGGTGTCAGCGGGATGTGAGGCATTCCGTCAAAATGAGGCAGGGACCTAGGGCTTTCTCTAAGGTCTCCACAGGGGATTCAGACATCCCTTCATGTTGTGAGATGAAAGACGAGCCTGTATTCAAGCCACTGCAAGGAAATCCGGCGTCCTTTCAAGTTAGGGCTTCTCGCTGTATATTCCCCTTGAGGCAGCAAACTCGGGGTCCCTCCCACATACCTATTGCTGAGAGAAGCCTCCTCCTGAGGTGCTTCTGGGAAGTTGGCATACGTCTTGAGCCTAAGCCAGGGAATCAGCTCGCATCTCGAGACGATTTGGGGTACACGGAGCATTCCTCGAGTTGCTGTGCTGAAGTTGGTGTTCCTCTAGACTTGGGACAGTGTTCTCGGGGCATCTCTGGAGTTGCCTGAAGGAAGTCGAGCCACCGGTCGTGTTGAATGTGGAACGGGGAATGGCTCTGGAGTCAATGCAGGGGAATCGGGCCTCATCTCGAGTTGATTTGGGGCACATGGAGCTGCTTTGCGTTGCTGGGGTGACCTCAGGGTCCGTCTAGACTGGTGACAGTGTTCTTGGGGACTGTCTCGAGATCCATTAAGCAAGTCGAAGCTCCTGACTTGTTTGAATGGGATCACGGAATAGCTCTGCATGCACTGCAGGGGAATGGGGCCTCATCTCGCCTCTAGGGGGAAGTCTCATGGTTTTTCTCGAGTTGCGGCGGGGACCTGGGGTATGTTCTCGACTTATGGCGGGGATGGCCCTTCAAAACACGAGTTTCTTCAGTGACATCAGGACTCCTGTCTAGTAACGAGGGACACCTCAGGAATCTCTTCGAGGCTTCGCAGGGCAAAAGGGACGCTTCTCGAGGTGAGGCAGTGCACCCAAGGACCCTTTCCAGTAGCCACAGGGATTTTGGGATTCCTATCAGTATTCAAGAGGAGTCAGGCATCGTCACCTTTTGAAGCAATGAACTCCGCGTGCCTCTCGAGGTGTCAGCGGGATGTGAGGCATTCCGTCAAAATGAGGCAGGGACCTAGGGCTTTCTCTAAGGTCTCCACAGGGGATTCAGACATCCCTTCATGTTGTGAGATAAAAGACGAGCCTGTATTCAAGCCACTGCAAGGAAATCCGGCCTCCTTTCAAGTTAGGGCTTCTCGCTGTATATTCCCCTTGAGGCAGCAAACTCGGGGTCCCTCCCACATAACTATTGCTGAGAGAAGCCTCCTCCTGAGGTGCTTCTGGGAAGTTGGCATACGTCTTGAGCCTAAGCCAGGGAATCAGCTCGCATCTCGAGACGATTTGGGGTACACGGAGCATTCCTCGAGTTGCTGTGCTGAAGTTGGTGTTCCTCTAGACTTGGGACAGTATTCTCGGGGCATCTCTGGAGTTGCCTGAAGGAAGTAGAGCCACCGGTCGTGTTGAATGGGGAACGGGGAATGGCTCTGGAATCAATGCAGGGGAATCGGGCCTCATCTCGAGTTGATTTGGGGCACATGGAGCTGCTTTGCGTTGCTGGGGTGACCTCAGGGTCCGTCTAGACTGGTGACAGTGTTCTTGGGGACTGTCTCGAGATCCATTAAGCAAGTCGAAGCTCCTGACTTGTTTGAATGGGATCACGGAATAGCTCTGCATGCACTGCAGGGGAATGGGGCCTCATCTCGCCTCTAGGGGGAAGTCTCATGGTTTTTCTCGAGTTGCGGCGGGGACCTGGGGTATGTTCTCGACTTATGGCGGGGATGGCCCTTCAAAACACGAGTTTCTTCAGTGACGTCAGGACTCCTGTCTAGTAACGAGGGACACCTCAGGAATCTCTTCGAGGCTTGGCAGGGCAAAACGGACGCTTCTCGAGGTGAGGCAGGGCACCCAAGGACCCTTTCCAGTAGCCACAGGGATTTTGGGATTCCTATCAGTATTCAAGAGGAGTCAGGCATCGTCACCTTTTGAAGCAATGAACTCCGCGTGCCTCTCGAGGTGTCAGCGCGATGTGAGGCATTCCGTCAAAATGAGGCAGGGACCTAGGGCTTTCTCTAAGGTCTCCACAGGGGATTCAGACATCCCTTCATGTTGTGAGATGAAAGACGAGCCTGTATTCAAGCCACTGCAAGGAAATCCGGCCTCCTTTCAAGTTAGGGCTTCTCGCTGTATATTCCCCTTGAGGCAGGAAACTCGGGGTCCCTCCCACATACCTATTGCTGAGAGAAGCCTCCTCCTGAGGTGCTTCTGGGAAGTTGGCATACGTCTTGAGCCTAAGCCAGGGAATCAGCTCTCATCTCGAGACGATTTGGGGTACACGGAGCATTCCTCGAGTTGCTGTGCTGAAGTTGGTGTTCCTCTAGACTTGGGACAGTGTTCTCGGGGCATCTCTGGAGTTGCCTGAAGGAAGTCGAGCCACCGGTCGTGTTGAATGGGGAACGGGGAATGGCTCTGGAGTCAATGCAGGGGAATCGGGCCTCATCTCGAGTTGATTTGGGGCACATGGAGCTGCTTTGCGTTGCTGGGGTGACCTCAGGGTCCGTCTAGACTGGTGACAGTGTTCTTGGGGACTGTCTCGAGATCCATTAAGCAAGTCGAAGCTCCTGACTTGTTTGAATGGGATCACGGAATAGCTCTGCATGCACTGCAGGGGAATGGGGCCTCATCTCGCCTCTAGGGGGAAGTCTCATGGTTTTTCTCGAGTTGCGGCGGGGACCTGGGGTATGTTCTCGACTTACGGCGGGGATGGCCCTTCAAAACACGAGTTTCTTCAGTGACGTCAGGACTCCTGTCTAGTAACGAGGGACACCTCAGGAATCTCTTCGAGGCTTGGCAGGGCAAAAGGGACGCTTCTCGAGGTGAGGCAGGGCACCCAAGGACCCTTTCCAGTAGCCACAGGGATTTTGGGATTCCTATCAGTATTCAAGAGGAGTCAGGCATCGTCACCTTTTGAAGCAATGAACTCCGCGTGCCTCTCGAGGTGTCAGCGGGATGTGAGGCATTCTGTCAAAATGAGGCAGGGACCTAGGGCTTTCTCTAAGGTCTCCACAGGGGATTCAGACATCCCTTCATGTTGTGAGATGAAAGACGAGCCTGTATTCAAGCCACTGCAAGGAAATCCGGCCTCCTTTCAAGTTAGGGCTTCTCGCTGTATATTCCCCTTGAGGCAGCAAACTCGGGGTCCCTCCCACATACCTATTGCTGAGAGAAGCCTCCTCCTGAGGTGCTTCTGGGAAGTTGGCATACGTCTTGAGCCTAAGCCAGGGAATCAGCTCTCATCTCGAGACGATTTGGGGTACACGGAGCATTCCTCGAGTTGCTGTGCTGAAGTTGGTGTTCCTCTAGACTTGGGACAGTGTTCTCGGGGCATCTCTGGAGTTGCCTGAAGGAAGTCAAGCCACCGGTCGTGTTGAATGGGGAACGGGGAATGGCTCTGGAGTCAATGCAGGGGAATCGGGCCTCATCTCGAGTTGATTTGGGGTACATGGAGCTGCTTTGCGTTGCTGGGGTGACCTCAGGGTCCGTCTCGACTGGTGACAGTGTTCTTGGGGACTGTCTCGAGATCCATTAAGCAAGTCGAAGCTCCTGACTTGTTTGAATGGGATCACGGAATAGCTCTGCATGCACTGCAGGGGAATGGGGCCTCATCTCGCCTCTAGGGGGAAGTCTCATGGTTTTTCTCGAGTTGCGGCGGGGACCTGGGGTATGTTCTCGACTTACGGCGGGGATGGCCCTTCAAAACACGAGTTTCTTCAGTGACGTCAGGACTCCTGTCTAGTAACGAGGGACACCTCAGGAATCTCTTCGAGGCTTGGCAGGGCAAAAGGGACGCTTCTTGAGGTGAGGCAGGGCACCCAAGGACCCTTTCCAGTAGCCACAGGGATTTTGGGATTCCTATCAGTATTCAAGAGGAGTCAGGCATCGTCACCTTTTGAAGCAATGAACTCCGCGTGCCTCTCGAGGTGTCAGCGGGATGTGAGGCATTCCGTCAAAATGAGGCAGGGACCTAGGGCTTTCTCTAAGGTCTCCACAGGGGATTCAGACATCCCTTCATGTTGTGAGATGAAAGACGAGCCTGTATTCAAGCCACTGCAAGGAAATCCGGCCTCCTTTCAAGTTAGGGCTTCTCGCTGTATATTCCCCTTGAGGCAGCAAACTCGGGGTCCCTCCCACATACCTATTGCTGAGAGAAGCCTCCTGCTGAGGTGCTTCTGGGAAGTTGGCATACGTCTTGAGCCTAAGCCAGGGAATCAGCTCTCATCTCGAGACGATTTGGGGTACACGGAGCATTCCTCGAGTTGCTGTGCTGAAGTTGGTGTTCCTCTAGACTAGGGACAGTGTTCTCGGGGCATCTCTGGAGTTCCCTGAAGGAAGTCGAGCCACCGGTCGTGTTGAATGGGGAACGGGGAATGGCTCTGGAGTCAATGCAGGGGAATCGGGCCTCATCTCGAGTTGATTTGGGGCACATGGAGCTGCTTTGCTTTGCTGGGGTGACCTCAGGGTCCGTCTAGACTGGTGACAGTGTTCTTGGGGACTGTCTCGAGATCCATTAAGCAAGTCGAAGCTCCTGACTTGTTTGAATGGGATCACGGAATAGCTCTGCATGCACTGCAGGGGAATGGGGCCTCATCTCGCCTCTAGGGGGAAGTCTCATGGTTTTTCTCGAGTTGCGGCGGGGACCTGGGGTATGTTCTCGACTTACGGCGGGGATGGCCTTCAAAACACGAGTTTCTTCAGTGACGTCAGGACTCCTGTCTAGTAACGAGGGACACCTCAGGAATCTCTTCGAGGCTTGGCAGGGCAAAAGGGACGCTTCTCGAGGTGAGGCAGGGCACCCAAGGACCCTTTCCAGTAGCCACAGGGATTTTGGGATTCCTATCAGTATTCAAGAGGAGTCAGGCATCGTCACCTTTTGAAGCAATGAACTCCGCGTGCCTCTCGAGGTGTCAGCGGGATGTGAGGCATTCCGTCAAAATGAGGCAGGGACCTAGGGCTTTCTCTAAGGTCTCCACAGGGGATTCAGACATCCCTTCATGTTGTGAGATGAAAGACGAGCCTGTATTCAAGCCACTGCAAGGAAATCCGGCCTTCTTTCAAGTTAGGGCTTCTCGCTGTATATTCCCCTTGAGGCAGCAAACTCGGGGTCCCTCCCACATACCTATTGCTGAGAGAAGCCTCCTCCTGAGGTGCTTCTGGGAAATTGGCATACGTCTTGAGCCTAAGCCAGGGAATCAGCTCTCATCTCGAGACGATTTGGGGTACACGGAGAATTCCTCGAGTTGCTGTGCTGAAGTTGGTGTTCCTCTAGACTTGGGACAGTGTTCTCGGGGCATCTCTGGAGTTGCCTGAAGGAAGTCGAGCCACCGGTCGTGTTGAATGGGGAACGGGGAATGGCTCTGGAGTCAATGCAGGGGAATCTGGCCTCATCTCGAGTTGATTTGGGGCACATGGAGCTGCTTTGCGTTGCTGGGGTGACCTCAGGGTCCGTCTAGACTGGTGACAGTGTTCTTGCGGACTGTCTCGAGATCCATTAAGCAAGTCGAAGCTCCTGACTTGTTTGAATGGGATCACGGAATAGCTCTGCATGCACTGCAGGGGAATGGGGCCTCATCTCGCCTCTAGGGGGAAGTCTCATGGTTTTTCTCGAGTTGCGGCGGGGACCTGGGGTATGTTCTCGACTTACGGCGGGGATGGCCCTTCAAAACACGAGTTTCTTCAGTGACGTCAGGACTCCTGTCTAGTAACGAGGGACACCTCAGGAATCTCTTCGAGGCTTGGCAGGGCAAAAGGGACGCTTCTCGAGGTGAGGCAGGGCACCCAAGGACCCTTTCCAGTAGCCACAGGGATTTTGGGATTCCTATCAGTATTCAAGAGGAGTCAGGCATCGTCACCTTTTGAAGCAATGAACTCCGCGTGCCTCTCGAGGTGTCAGCGGGATGTGAGGCATTCCGTCAAAATGAGGCAGGGACCTAGGGCTTTCTCTAAGGTCTCCACAGGGGATTCAGACATCCCTTCATGTTGTGAGATGAAAGACGAGCCTGTATTCAAGCCACTGCAAGGAAATCCGGCCTCCTTTCAAGTTAGGGCTTCTCGCTGTATATTCCCCTTGAGGCAGCAAACTCGGGGTCCCTCCCACATACCTATTGCTGAGAGAAGCCTCCTGCTGAGGTGCTTCTGGGAAGTTGGCATACGTCTTGAGCCTAAGCCAGGGAATCAGCTCTCATCTCGAGACGATTTGGGGTACACGGAGCATTCCTCGAGTTGCTGTGCTGAAGTTGGTGTTCCTCTAGACTTGGGACAGTGTTCTCGGGGCATCTCTGGAGTTCCCTGAAGGAAGTCGAGCCACCGGTCGTGTTGAATGGGGAACGGGGAATGGCTCTGGAGTCAATGCAGGGGAATCGGGCCTCATCTCGAGTTGATTTGGGGCACATGGAGCTGCTTTGCGTTGCTGGGGTGACCTCAGGGTCCGTCTAGACTGGTGACAGTGATCTTGGGGACTGTCTCGAGATCCATTAAGCAAGTCGAAGCTCCTGACTTGTTTGAATGGGATCACGGAATAGCTCTGCATGCACTGCAGGGGAATGGGGCCTCATCTCGCCTCTAGGGGGAAGTCTCATGGTTTTTCTCGAGTTGCGGCGGGGACCTGGGGTATGTTCTCGACTTATGGCGGGGATGGCCCTTCAAAACACGAGTTTCTTCAGTGACGTCAGGATTCCTGTCTAGTAACGAGGGACACCTCAGGAATCTCTTCGAGGCTTGGCAGGGCAAAAGGGACGCTTCTCGAGGTGAGGCAGGGCACCCAAGGACCCTTTCCAGTAGCCACAGGGATTTTGGGGTTCCTATCAGTATTCAAGAGGAGTCAGGCATCGTCACCTTTTGAAGCAATGAACTCCGCGTGCCTCTCGAGGTGTCAGCGGGATGTGAGGCATTCCGTCAAAATGAGGCAGGGACCTAGGGCTTTCTCTAAGGTCTCCACAGGGGATTCAGACATCCCTTCATGTTGTGAGATGAAAGACGAGCCTGTATTCAAGCCACTGCAAGGAAATCCGGCCTCCTTTCAAGTTAGGGCTTCTCGCTGTATATTCCCCTTGAGGCAGCAAACTCGGGGTCCCTCCCACATACCTATTGCTGAGAGAAGCCTCCTCCTGAGGTGCTTCTGGGAAGTTGGCATATGTCTTGAGCCTAAGCCAGGGAATCAGCTCTCATCTCGAGACGATTTGTGGTACACGGAGCATTCCTCGAGTTGCTGTGCTGAAGTTGGTGTTCCTCTAGACTTGGGACAGTGTTCTCGGGGCATCTCTGGAGTTGCCTGAAGGAAGTCGAGCCACCGGTCGTGTTGAATGGGGAACGGGGAATGGCTCTGGAGTCAATGCAGGGGAATCGGGCCTCATCTCAAGTTGATTTGGGGCACATGGAGCTGCTTTGCGTTGCTGGGGTGACCTCAGGGTCCGTCTAGACTGGTGACAGTGTTCTTGGGGACTGTCTCGAGATCCATTAAGCAAGTCGAAGCTCCTGACTTGTTTGAATGGGATCACGGAATAGCTCTGCATGCACTGCAGGGGAATGGGGCCTCATCTCGCCTCTAGGGGGAAGTCTCATGGTTTTTCTCGAGTTGCGGCGGGGACCTGGGGTATGTTCTCGACTTACGGCGGGGATGGCCCTTCAAAACACGAGTTTCTTCAGTGACGTCAGGACTCCTGTCTAGTAACGAGGGACACCTCAGGAATCTCTTCGAGGCTTGGCAGGGCAAAAGGGACGCTTCTCGAGGTGAGGCAGGGCACCCAAGGACCCTTTCCAGTAGCCACAGGGATTTTGGGATTCCTATCAGTATTCAAGAGGAGTCAGGCATCGTCACCTTTTGAAGCAATGAACTCCGCGTGCCTCTCGAGGTGTCAGCGGGATGTGAGGCATTCCGTCAAAATGAGGCAGGGACCTAGGGCTTTCTCTAAGGTCTCCACAGGGGATTCAGACATCCCTTCATGTTGTGAGATGAAAGACGAGCCTGTATTCAAGCCACTGCAAGGAAATCCGGCCTCCTTTCAAGTTAGGGCTTCTCGCTGTATATTCCCCTTGAGGCAGCAAACTCGGGGTCCCTCCCACATACCTATTGCTGAGAGAAGCCTCCTGCTGAGGTGCTTCTGGGAAGTTGGCATACGTCTTGAGCCTAAGCCAGGGAATCAGCTCTCATCTCGAGACGATTTGGGGTACACGGAGCATTCCTCGAGTTGCTGTGCTGAAGTTGGTGTTCCTCTAGACTAGGGACAGTGTTCTCGGGGCATCTCTGGAGTTCCCTGAAGGAAGTCGAGCCACCGGTCGTGTTGAATGGGGAACGGGGAATGGCTCTGGAGTCAATGCAGGGGAATCGGGCCTCATCTCGAGTTGATTTGGGGCACATGGAGCTGCTTTGCTTTGCTGGGGTGACCTCAGGGTCCGTCTAGACTGGTGACAGTGTTCTTGGGGACTGTCTCGAGATCCATTAAGCAAGTCGAAGCTCCTGACTTGTTTGAATGGGATCACGGAATAGCTCTGCATGCACTGCAGGGGAATGGGGCCTCATCTCGCCTCTAGGGGGAAGTCTCATGGTTTTTCTCGAGTTGCGGCGGGGACCTGGGGTATGTTCTCGACTTACGGCGGGGATGGCCTTCAAAACACGAGTTTCTTCAGTGACGTCAGGACTCCTGTCTAGTAACGAGGGACACCTCAGGAATCTCTTCGAGGCTTGGCAGGGCAAAAGGGACGCTTCTCGAGGTGAGGCAGGGCACCCAAGGACCCTTTCCAGTAGCCACAGGGATTTTGGGATTCCTATCAGTATTCAAGAGGAGTCAGGCATCGTCACCTTTTGAAGCAATGAACTCCGCGTGCCTCTCGAGGTGTCAGCGGGATGTGAGGCATTCCGTCAAAATGAGGCAGGGACCTAGGGCTTTCTCTAAGGTCTCCACAGGGGATTCAGACATCCCTTCATGTTGTGAGATGAAAGACGAGCCTGTATTCAAGCCACTGCAAGGAAATCCGGCCTTCTTTCAAGTTAGGGCTTCTCGCTGTATATTCCCCTTGAGGCAGCAAACTCGGGGTCCCTCCCACATACCTATTGCTGAGAGAAGCCTCCTCCTGAGGTGCTTCTGGGAAATTGGCATACGTCTTGAGCCTAAGCCAGGGAATCAGCTCTCATCTCGAGACGATTTGGGGTACACGGAGAATTCCTCGAGTTGCTGTGCTGAAGTTGGTGTTCCTCTAGACTTGGGACAGTGTTCTCGGGGCATCTCTGGAGTTGCCTGAAGGAAGTCGAGCCACCGGTCGTGTTGAATGGGGAACGGGGAATGGCTCTGGAGTCAATGCAGGGGAATCGGGCCTCATCTCGAGTTGATTTGGGGCACATGGAGCTGCTTTGCGTTGCTGGGGTGACCTCAGGGTCCGTCTAGACTGGTGACAGTGTTCTTGCGGACTGTCTCGAGATCCATTAAGCAAGTCGAAGCTCCTGACTTGTTTGAATGGGATCACGGAATAGCTCTGCATGCACTGCAGGGGAATGGGGCCTCATCTCGCCTCTAGGGGGAAGTCTCATGGTTTTTCTCGAGTTGCGGCGGGGACCTGGGGTATGTTCTCGACTTACGGCGGGGATGGCCCTTCAAAACACGAGTTTCTTCAGTGACGTCAGGACTCCTGTCTAGTAACGAGGGACACCTCAGGAATCTCTTCGAGGCTTGGCAGGGCAAAAGGGACGCTTCTCGAGGTGAGGCAGGGCACCCAAGGACCCTTTCCAGTAGCCACAGGGATTTTGGGATTCCTATCAGTATTCAAGAGGAGTCAGGCATCGTCACCTTTTGAAGCAATGAACTCCGCGTGCCTCTCGAGGTGTCAGCGGGATGTGAGGCATTCCGTCAAAATGAGGCAGGGACCTAGGGCTTTCTCTAAGGTCTCCACAGGGGATTCAGACATCCCTTCATGTTGTGAGATGAAAGACGAGCCTGTATTCAAGCCACTGCAAGGAAATCCGGCCTCCTTTCAAGTTAGGGCTTCTCGCTGTATATTCCCCTTGAGGCAGCAAACTCGGGGTCCCTCCCACATACCTATTGCTGAGAGAAGCCTCCTGCTGAGGTGCTTCTGGGAAGTTGGCATACGTCTTGAGCCTAAGCCAGGGAATCAGCTCTCATCTCGAGACGATTTGGGGTACACGGAGCATTCCTCGAGTTGCTGTGCTGAAGTTGGTGTTCCTCTAGACTTGGGACAGTGTTCTCGGGGCATCTCTGGAGTTCCCTGAAGGAAGTCGAGCCACCGGTCGTGTTGAATGGGGAACGGGGAATGGCTCTGGAGTCAATGCAGGGGAATCGGGCCTCATCTCGAGTTGATTTGGGGCACATGGAGCTGCTTTGCGTTGCTGGGGTGACCTCAGGGTCCGTCTAGACTGGTGACAGTGATCTTGGGGACTGTCTCGAGATCCATTAAGCAAGTCGAAGCTCCTGACTTGTTTGAATGGGATCACGGAATAGCTCTGCATGCACTGCAGGGGAATGGGGCCTCATCTCGCCTCTAGGGGGAAGTCTCATGGTTTTTCTCGAGTTGCGGCGGGGACCTGGGGCATGTTCTCGACTTATGGCGGGGATGGCCCTTCAAAACACGAGTTTCTTCAGTGACGTCAGGATTCCTGTCTAGTAACGAGGGACACCTCAGGAATCTCTTCGAGGCTTGGCAGGGCAAAAGGGACGCTTCTCGAGGTGAGGCAGGGCACCCAAGGACCCTTTCCAGTAGCCACAGGGATTTTGGGGTTCCTATCAGTATTCAAGAGGAGTCAGGCATCGTCACCTTTTGAAGCAATGAACTCCGCGTGCCTCTCGAGGTGTCAGCGGGATGTGAGGCATTCCGTCAAAATGAGGCAGGGACCTAGGGCTTTCTCTAAGGTCTCCACAGGGGATTCAGACATCCCTTCATGTTGTGAGATGAAAGACGAGCCTGTATTCAAGCCACTGCAAGGAAATCCGGCCTCCTTTCAAGTTAGGGCTTCTCGCTGTATATTCCCCTTGAGGCAGCAAACTCGGGGTCCCTCCCACATACCTATTGCTGAGAGAAGCCTCCTCCTGAGGTGCTTCTGGGAAGTTGGCATATGTCTTGAGCCTAAGCCAGGGAATCAGCTCTCATCTCGAGACGATTTGGGGTACACGGAGCATTCCTCGAGTTGCTGTGCTGAAGTTGGTGTTCCTCTAGACTTGGGACAGTGTTCTCGGGGCATCTCTGGAGTTGCCTGAAGGAAGTCGAGCCACCGGTCGTGTTGAATGGGGAACGGGGAATGGCTCTGGAGTCAATGCAGGGGAATCGGGCCTCATCTCAAGTTGATTTGGGGCACATGGAGCTGCTTTGCGTTGCTGGGGTGACCTCAGGGTCCGTCTAGACTGGTGACAGTGTTCTTGGGGACTGTCTCGAGATCCATTAAGCAAGTCGAAGCTCCTGACTTGTTTGAATGGGATCACGGAATAGCTCTGCATGCACTGCAGGGGAATGGGGCCTCATCTCGCCTCTAGGGGGAAGTCTCATGGTTTTTCTCGAGTTGCGGCGGGGACCTGGGGTATGTTCTCGACTTACGGCGGGGATGGCCCTTCAAAACACGAGTTTCTTCAGTGACGTCAGGACTCCTGTCTAGTAACGAGGGACACCTCAGGAATCTCTTCGAGGCTTGGCAGGGCAAAAGGGACGCTTCTCGAGGTGAGGCAGGGCACCCAAGGACCCTTTCCAGTAGCCACAGGGATTTTGGGATTCCTATCAGTATTCAAGAGGAGTCAGGCATCGTCACCTTTTGAAGCAATGAACTCCGCGTGCCTCTCGAGGTGTCAGCGGGATGTGAGGCATTCCGTCAAAATGAGGCAGGGACCTAGGGCTTTCTCTAAGGTCTCCACAGGGGATTCAGACATCCCTTCATGTTGTGAGATGAAAGACGAGCCTGTATTCAAGCCACTGCAAGGAAATCCGGCCTCCTTTCAAGTTAGGGCTTCTCGCTGTATATTCCCCTTGAGGCAGCAAACTCGGGGTCCCTCCCACATACCTATTGCTGAGAGAAGCCTCCTGCTGAGGTGCTTCTGGGAAGTTGGCATACGTCTTGAGCCTAAGCCAGGGAATCAGCTCTCATCTCGAGACGATTTGGGGTACACGGAGCATTCCTCGAGTTGCTGTGCTGAAGTTGGTGTTCCTCTAGACTAGGGACAGTGTTCTCGGGGCATCTCTGGAGTTCCCTGAAGGAAGTCGAGCCACCGGTCGTGTTGAATGGGGAACGGGGAATGGCTCTGGAGTCAATGCAGGGGAATCGGGCCTCATCTCGAGTTGATTTGGGGCACATGGAGCTGCTTTGCTTTGCTGGGGTGACCTCAGGGTCCGTCTAGACTGGTGACAGTGTTCTTGGGGACTGTCTCGAGATCCATTAAGCAAGTCGAAGCTCCTGACTTGTTTGAATGGGATCACGGAATAGCTCTGCATGCACTGCAGGGGAATGGGGCCTCATCTCGCCTCTAGGGGGAAGTCTCATGGTTTTTCTCGAGTTGCGGCGGGGACCTGGGGTATGTTCTCGACTTACGGCGGGGATGGCCTTCAAAACACGAGTTTCTTCAGTGACGTCAGGACTCCTGTCTAGTAACGAGGGACACCTCAGGAATCTCTTCGAGGCTTGGCAGGGCAAAAGGGACGCTTCTCGAGGTGAGGCAGGGCACCCAAGGACCCTTTCCAGTAGCCACAGGGATTTTGGGATTCCTATCAGTATTCAAGAGGAGTCAGGCATCGTCACCTTTTGAAGCAATGAACTCCGCGTGCCTCTCGAGGTGTCAGCGGGATGTGAGGCATTCCGTCAAAATGAGGCAGGGACCTAGGGCTTTCTCTAAGGTCTCCACAGGGGATTCAGACATCCCTTCATGTTGTGAGATGAAAGACGAGCCTGTATTCAAGCCACTGCAAGGAAATCCGGCCTTCTTTCAAGTTAGGGCTTCTCGCTGTATATTCCCCTTGAGGCAGCAAACTCGGGGTCCCTCCCACATACCTATTGCTGAGAGAAGCCTCCTCCTGAGGTGCTTCTGGGAAATTGGCATACGTCTTGAGCCTAAGCCAGGGAATCAGCTCTCATCTCGAGACGATTTGGGGTACACGGAGAATTCCTCGAGTTGCTGTGCTGAAGTTGGTGTTCCTCTAGACTTGGGACAGTGTTCTCGGGGCATCTCTGGAGTTGCCTGAAGGAAGTCGAGCCACCGGTCGTGTTGAATGGGGAACGGGGAATGGCTCTGGAGTCAATGCAGGGGAATCGGGCCTCATCTCGAGTTGATTTGGGGCACATGGAGCTGCTTTGCGTTGCTGGGGTGACCTCAGGGTCCGTCTAGACTGGTGACAGTGTTCTTGCGGACTGTCTCGAGATCCATTAAGCAAGTCGAAGCTCCTGACTTGTTTGAATGGGATCACGGAATAGCTCTGCATGCACTGCAGGGGAATGGGGCCTCATCTCGCCTCTAGGGGGAAGTCTCATGGTTTTTCTCGAGTTGCGGCGGGGACCTGGGGTATGTTCTCGACTTACGGCGGGGATGGCCCTTCAAAACACGAGTTTCTTCAGTGACGTCAGGACTCCTGTCTAGTAACGAGGGACACCTCAGGAATCTCTTCGAGGCTTGGCAGGGCAAAAGGGACGCTTCTCGAGGTGAGGCAGGGCACCCAAGGACCCTTTCCAGTAGCCACAGGGATTTTGGGATTCCTATCAGTATTCAAGAGGAGTCAGGCATCGTCACCTTTTGAAGCAATGAACTCCGCGTGCCTCTCGAGGTGTCAGCGGGATGTGAGGCATTCCGTCAAAATGAGGCAGGGACCTAGGGCTTTCTCTAAGGTCTCCACAGGGGATTCAGACATCCCTTCATGTTGTGAGATGAAAGACGAGCCTGTATTCAAGCCACTGCAAGGAAATCCGGCCTCCTTTCAAGTTAGGGCTTCTCGCTGTATATTCCCCTTGAGGCAGCAAACTCGGGGTCCCTCCCACATACCTATTGCTGAGAGAAGCCTCCTGCTGAGGTGCTTCTGGGAAGTTGGCATACGTCTTGAGCCTAAGCCAGGGAATCAGCTCTCATCTCGAGACGATTTGGGGTACACGGAGCATTCCTCGAGTTGCTGTGCTGAAGTTGGTGTTCCTCTAGACTTGGGACAGTGTTCTCGGGGCATCTCTGGAGTTCCCTGAAGGAAGTCGAGCCACCGGTCGTGTTGAATGGGGAACGGGGAATGGCTCTGGAGTCAATGCAGGGGAATCGGGCCTCATCTCGAGTTGATTTGGGGCACATGGAGCTGCTTTGCGTTGCTGGGGTGACCTCAGGGTCCGTCTAGACTGGTGACAGTGATCTTGGGGACTGTCTCGAGATCCATTAAGCAAGTCGAAGCTCCTGACTTGTTTGAATGGGATCACGGAATAGCTCTGCATGCACTGCAGGGGAATGGGGCCTCATCTCGCCTCTAGGGGGAAGTCTCATGGTTTTTCTCGAGTTGCGGCGGGGACCTGGGGCATGTTCTCGACTTATGGCGGGGATGGCCCTTCAAAACACGAGTTTCTTCAGTGACGTCAGGATTCCTGTCTAGTAACGAGGGACACCTCAGGAATCTCTTCGAGGCTTGGCAGGGCAAAAGGGACGCTTCTCGAGGTGAGGCAGGGCACCCAAGGACCCTTTCCAGTAGCCACAGGGATTTTGGGGTTCCTATCAGTATTCAAGAGGAGTCAGGCATCGTCACCTTTTGAAGCAATGAACTCCGCGTGCCTCTCGAGGTGTCAGCGGGATGTGAGGCATTCCGTCAAAATGAGGCAGGGACCTAGGGCTTTCTCTAAGGTCTCCACAGGGGATTCAGACATCCCTTCATGTTGTGAGATGAAAGACGAGCCTGTATTCAAGCCACTGCAAGGAAATCCGGCCTCCTTTCAAGTTAGGGCTTCTCGCTGTATATTCCCCTTGAGGCAGCAAACTCGGGGTCCCTCCCACATACCTATTGCTGAGAGAAGCCTCCTCCTGAGGTGCTTCTGGGAAGTTGGCATATGTCTTGAGCCTAAGCCAGGGAATCAGCTCTCATCTCGAGACGATTTGGGGTACACGGAGCATTCCTCGAGTTGCTGTGCTGAAGTTGGTGTTCCTCTAGACTTGGGACAGTGTTCTCGGGGCATCTCTGGAGTTGCCTGAAGGAAGTCGAGCCACCGGTCGTGTTGAATGGGGAACGGGGAATGGCTCTGGAGTCAATGCAGGGGAATCGGGCCTCATCTCAAGTTGATTTGGGGCACATGGAGCTGCTTTGCGTTGCTGGGGTGACCTCAGGGTCCGTCTAGACTGGTGACAGTGTTCTTGGGGACTGTCTCGAGATCCATTAAGCAAGTCGAAGCTCCTGACTTGTTTGAATGGGATCACGGAATAGCTCTGCATGCACTGCAGGGGAATGGGGCCTCATCTCGCCTCTAGGGGGAAGTCTCATGGTTTTTCTCGAGTTGCGGCGGGGACCTGGGGTATGTTCTCGACTTACGGCGGGGATGGCCCTTCAAAACACGAGTTTCTTCAGTGACGTCAGGACTCCTGTCTAGTAACGAGGGACACCTCAGGAATCTCTTCGAGGCTTGGCAGGGCAAAAGGGACGCTTCTCGAGGTGAGGCAGGGCACCCAAGGACCCTTTCCAGTAGCCACAGGGATTTTGGGATTCCTATCAGTATTCAAGAGGAGTCAGGCATCGTCACCTTTTGAAGCAATGAACTCCGCGTGCCTCTCGAGGTGTCAGCGGGATGTGAGGCATTCCGTCAAAATGAGGCAGGGACCTAGGGCTTTCTCTAAGGTCTCCACAGGGGATTCAGACATCCCTTCATGTTGTGAGATGAAAGACGAGCCTGTATTCAAGCCACTGCAAGGAAATCCGGCCTCCTTTCAAGTTAGGGCTTCTCGCTGTATATTCCCCTTGAGGCAGCAAACTCGGGGTCCCTCCCACATACCTATTGCTGAGAGAAGCCTCCTGCTGAGGTGCTTCTGGGAAGTTGGCATACGTCTTGAGCCTAAGCCAGGGAATCAGCTCTCATCTCGAGACGATTTGGGGTACACGGAGCATTCCTCGAGTTGCTGTGCTGAAGTTGGTGTTCCTCTAGACTAGGGACAGTGTTCTCGGGGCATCTCTGGAGTTCCCTGAAGGAAGTCGAGCCACCGGTCGTGTTGAATGGGGAACGGGGAATGGCTCTGGAGTCAATGCAGGGGAATCGGGCCTCATCTCGAGTTGATTTGGGGCACATGGAGCTGCTTTGCTTTCCTGGGGTGACCTCAGGGTCCGTCTAGACTGGTGACAGTGTTCTTGGGGACTGTCTCGAGATCCATTAAGCAAGTCGAAGCTCCTGGCTTGTTTGAATGGGATCACGGAATAGCTCTGCATGCACTGCAGGGGAATGGGGCCTCATCTCGCCTCTAGGGGGAAGTCTCATGGTTTTTCTCGAGTTGCAGCGGGGACCTGGGGTATGTTCTCGACTTACGGCGGGGATGGCCCTTCAAAACACGAGTTTCTTCAGTGACGTCAGGACTCCTGTCTAGTAACGAGGGACACCTCAGGAATCTCTTCGAGGCTTGGCAGGGCAAAAGGGACGCTTCTCGAGGTGAGGCAGGGCACCCAAGGACCCTTTCCAGTAGCCACAGGGATTTTGGGATTCCTATCAGTATTCAAGAGGAGTCAGGCATCGTCACCTTTTGAAGCAATGAACTCCGCGTGCCTCTCGAGGTGTCAGCGGGATGTGAGGCATTCCGTCAAAATGAGGCAGGGACCTAGGGCTTTCTCTAAGGTCTCCACAGGGGATTCAGACATCCCTTCATGTTGTGAGATGAAAGACGAGCCTGTATTCAAGCCACTGCAAGGAAATCCGGCCTCCTTTCAAGTTAGGGCTTCTCGCTGTATATTGCCCTTGAGGCAGCAAACTCGGGGTCCCTCCCACATACCAATTGCTGAGAGAAGCCTCCTCCTGAGGTGCTTCTGGGAAGTTGGCATACGTCTTGAGCCTAAGCCAGGGAATCAGCTCTCATCTCGAGACGATTTGGGGTACACGGAGCATTCCTCGAGTTGCTGTGCTGAAGTTGGTGTTCCTCTAGACTTGGGACAGTGTTCTCGGGGCATCTCTGGAGTTGCCTGGAGGAAGTCGAGCCACCGGTCGTGTTGAATGGGGAACGGAGAATGGCTCTGGAGTCAATGCAGGGGAATCGGGCCTCATCTCGAGTTGATTTGGGGCACATGGAGCTGCTTTGTGCTGCGGGGGTGACCTCAGGGTCCGTCTAGACTGGTGACAGTGTTCTTGGGGACTGTCTCGAGATCCATTAAGCAAGTCGAAGCTCCTGACTTGTTTGAATGGGATCACGGAATAGCTCTGCATGCACTGCAGGGGAATGGGGCCTCATCTCGCCTCTAGGGGGAAGTCTCATGGTTTTTCTCGAGTTGCGGCGGGGACCTGGGGTATGTTCTCGACTTACGGCGGGGATGGCCTTCAAAACACGAGTTTCTTCAGTGACGTCAGGACTCCTGTCTAGTAACGAGGGACACCTCAGGAATCTCTTCGAGGCTTGGCAGGGCAAAAGGGACGCTTCTCGAGGTGAGGCAGGGCACCCAAGGACCCTTTCCAGTAGCCACAGGGATTTTGGGATTCCTATCAGTATTCAAGAGGAGTCAGGCATCGTCACCTTTTGAAGCAATGAACTCCGCGTGCCTCTCGAGGTGTCAGCGGGATGTGAGGCATTCCGTCAAAATGAGGCAGGGACCTAGGGCTTTCTCTAAGGTCTCCACAGGGGATTCAGACATCCCTTCATGTTGTGAGATGAAAGACGAGCCTGTATTCAAGCCACTGCAAGGAAATCCGGCCTCCTTTCAAGTTAGGGCTTCTCGCTGTATATTCCCCTTGAGGCAGCAAACTCGGGGTCCCTCCCACATACCTATTGCTGAGAGAAGCCTCCTCCTGAGGTGCTTCTGGGAAATTGGCATACGTCTTGAGCCTAAGCCAGGGAATCAGCTCTCATCTCGAGACGATTCGGTGTACACGGAGCATTCCTCGAGTTGCTGTGCTGAAGTTGGTGTTCCTCTAGACTTGGGACAGTGTTCTCGGGGCATCTCTGGAGTTGCCTGAAGGAAGTCGAGCCACCGGTCGTGTTGAATGGGGAACGGGGAATGGCTCTGGAGTCAATGCAGGGGAATCGGGCCTCATCTCGAGTTGATTTGGGGCACATGGAGCTGCTTTGCGTTGCTGGGGTGACCTCAGGGTCCGTCTAGACTGGTGACAGTGTTCTTGCGGACTGTCTCGAGATCCATTAAGCAAGTCGAAGCTCCTGACTTGTTTGAATGGGATCACGGAATAGCTCTGCATGCACTGCAGGGGAATGGGGCCTCATCTCGCCTCTAGGGGGAAGTCTCATGGTTTTTCTCGAGTTGCGGCGGGGACCTGGGGTATGTTCTCGACTTACGGCGGGGATGGCCCTTCAAAACACGAGTTTCTTCAGTGACGTCAGGACTCCTGTCTAGTAACGAGGGACACCTCAGGAATCTCTTCGAGGCTTGGCAGGGCAAAAGGGACGCTTCTCGAGGTGAGGCAGGGCACCCAAGGACCCTTTCCAGTAGCCACAGGGATTTTGGGATTCCTATCAGTATTCAAGAGGAGTCAGGCATCGTCACCTTTTGAAGCAATGAACTCCGCGTGCCTCTCGAGGTGTCAGCGGGATGTGAGGCATTCCGTCAAAATGAGGCAGGGACCTAGGGCTTTCTCTAAGGTCTCCACAGGGGATTCAGACATCCCTTCATGTTGTGAGATGAAAGACGAGCCTGTATTCAAGCCACTGCAAGGAAATCCGGCCTCCTTTCAAGTTAGGGCTTCTCGCTGTATATTCCCCTTGAGGCAGCAAACTCGGGGTCCCTCCCACATACCTATTGCTGAGAGAAGCCTCCTGCTGAGGTGCTTCTGGGAAGTTGGCATACGTCTTGAGCCTAAGCCAGGGAATCAGCTCTCATCTCGAGACGATTTGGGGTACACGGAGCATTCCTCGAGTTGCTGTGCTGAAGTTGGTGTTCCTCTAGACTTGGGACAGTGTTCTCGGGGCATCTCTGGAGTTCCCTGAAGGAAGTCGAGCCACCGGTCGTGTTGAATGGGGAACGGGGAATGGCTCTGGAGTCAATGCAGGGGAATCGGGCCTCATCTCGAGTTGATTTGGGGCACATGGAGCTGCTTTGCGTTGCTGGGGTGACCTCAGGGTCCGTCTAGACTGGTGACAGTGATCTTGGGGACTCTCTCGAGATCCATTAAGCAAGTCGAAGCTCGTGTCTTGTTTGAATGGGATCACGGAATAGCTCTGCATGCACTGCAGGGGAATGGGGCCTCATCTCGCCTCTAGGGGGAAGTCTCATGGTTTTTCTCGAGTTGCGGCGGGGACCTGGGGTATGTTCTCGACTTATGGCGGGGATGGCCCTTCAAAACACGAGTTTCTTCAGTGACGTCAGGACTCCTGTCTAGTAACGAGGGACACCTCAGGAATCTCTTCGAGGCTTGGCAGGGCAAAAGGGACGCTTCTCGAGGTGAGGCAGGGCACCCAAGGACCCTTTCCAGTAGCCACAGGGATTTTGGGGTTCCTATCAGTATTCAAGAGGAGTCAGGCATCGTCACCTTTTGAAGCAATGAACTCCGCGTGCCTCTCGAGGTGTCAGCGGGATGTGAGGCATTCCGTCAAAATGAGGCAGGGACCTAGGGCTTTCTCTAAGGTCTCCACAGGGGATTCAGACATCCCTTCATGTTGTGAGATGAAAGACGAGCCTGTATTCAAGCCACTGCAAGGAAATCCGGCCTCCTTTCAAGTTAGGGCTTCTCGCTGTATATTCCCCTTGAGGCAGCAAACTCGGGGTCCCTCCCACATACCTATTGCTGAGAGAAGCCTCCTCCTGAGGTGCTTCTGGGAAGTTGGCATATGTCTTGAGCCTAAGCCAGGGAATCAGCTCTCATCTCGAGACGATTTGGGGTACACGGAGCATTCCTCGAGTTGCTGTGCTGAAGTTGGTGTTCCTCTAGACTTGGGACAGTGTTCTCGGGGCATCTCTGGAGTTGCCTGAAGGAAGTCGAGCCACCGGTCGTGTTGAATGGGGAACGGGGAATGGCTCTGGAGTCAATGCAGGGGAATCGGGCCTCATCTCGAGTTGATTTGGGGCACATGGAGCTGCTTTGCGTTGCTGGGGTGACCTCAGGGTCCGTCTAGACTGGTGACAGTGTTCTTGGGGACTGTCTCGAGATCCATTAAGCAAGTCGAAGCTCCTGACTTGTTTGAATGGGATCACGGAATAGCTCTGCATGCACTGCAGGGGAATGGGGCCTCATCTCGCCTCTAGGGGGAAGTCTCATGGTTTTTCTCGAGTTGCGGCGGGGACCTGGGGTATGTTCTCGACTTACGGCGGGGATGGCCCTTCAAAACACGAGTTTCTTCAGTGACGTCAGGACTCCTGTCTAGTAACGAGGGACACCTCAGGAATCTCTTCGAGGCTTGGCAGGGCAAAAGGGACGCTTCTCGAGGTGAGGCAGGGCACCCAAGGACCCTTTCCAGTAGCCACAGGGATTTTGGGATTCCTATCAGTATTCAAGAGGAGTCAGGCATCGTCACCTTTTGAAGCAATGAACTCCGCGTGCCTCTCGAGGTGTCAGCGGGATGTGAGGCATTCCGTCAAAATGAGGCAGGGACCTAGGGCTTTCTCTAAGGTCTCCACAGGGGATTCAGACATCCCTTCATGTTGTGAGATGAAAGACGAGCCTGTATTCAAGCCACTGCAAGGAAATCCGGCCTCCTTTCAAGTTAGGGCTTCTCGCTGTATATTCCCCTTGAGGCAGCAAACTCGGGGTCCCTCCCACATACCTATTGCTGAGAGAAGCCTCCTGCTGAGGTGCTTCTGGGAAGTTGGCATACGTCTTGAGCCTAAGCCAGGGAATCAGCTCTCATCTCGAGACGATTTGGGGTACACGGAGCATTCCTCGAGTTGCTGTGCTGAAGTTGGTGTTCCTCTAGACTAGGGACAGTGTTCTCGGGGCATCTCTGGAGTTCCCTGAAGGAAGTCGAGCCACCGGTCGTGTTGAATGGGGAACGGGGAATGGCTCTGGAGTCAATGCAGGGGAATCGGGCCTCATCTCGAGTTGATTTGGGGCACATGGAGCTGCTTTGCTTTGCTGGGGTGACCTCAGGGTCCGTCTAGACTGGTGACAGTGTTCTTGGGGACTGTCTCGAGATCCATTAAGCAAGTCGAAGCTCCTGACTTGTTTGAATGGGATCACGGAATAGCTCTGCATGCAGTGCACGGGAATGGGGCCTCATCTCGCCTCTAGAGGGAAGTCTCATGGTTTTTCTCGAGTTGCGGCGGGGACCTGGGGTATGTTCTCGACTTACGGCGGGGATGGCCCTTCAAAACACGAGTTTCTTCAGTGACGTCAGGACTCCTGTCTAGTAACGAGGGACACCTCAGGAATCTCTTCGAGGCTTGGCAGGGCAAAAGGGACGCTTCTCCAGGTGAGGCAGGGCACCCAAGGACCCTTTCCAGTAGCCACAGGGATTTTGGGATTCCTATCAGTATTCAAGAGGAGTCAGGCATCGTCACCTTTTGAAGCAATGAACTCCGTGTGCCTCTCGAGGTGTCAGCGGGATGTGAGGCATTCCGTCAAAATGAGGCAGGGACCTAGGGCTTTCTCTAAGGTCTCCACAGGGGATTCAGACATCCCTTCATGTTGTGAGATGAAAGACGAGCCTGTATTCAAGCCACTGCAAGGAAATCCGGCCTCCTTTCAAGTTAGGGCTTCTCGCTGTATATTCCCCTTGAGGCAGCAAACTCGGGGTCCCTCCCACATACCTATTGCTGAGAGAAGCCTCCTGCTGAGGTGCTTCTGGGAAGTTGGCATACGTCTTGAGCCTAAGCCAGGGAATCAGCTCTCATCTCGAGACGATTTGGGGTACACGGAGCATTCCTCGAGTTGCTGTGCTGAAGTTGGTGTTCCTCTAGACTTGGGACAGTGTTCTCGGGGCATCTCTGGAGTTCCCTGAAGGAAGTCGAGCCACCGGTCGTGTTGAATGGGGAACGGGGAATGGCTCTGGAGTCAATGCAGGGGAATCGGGCCTCATCTCGAGTTGATTTGGGGCACATGGAGCTGCTTTGCGTTGCTGGGGTGACCTCAGGGTCCGTCTAGACTGGTGACAGTGATCTTGGGGACTCTCTCGAGATCCATTAAGCAAGTCGAAGCTCGTGTCTTGTTTGAATGGGATCACGGAATAGCTCTGCATGCACTGCAGGGGAATGGGGCCTCATCTCGCCTCTAGGGGGAAGTCTCATGGTTTTTCTCTAGTTGCGGCGGGGACCTGGGGTATGTTCTCGACTTATGGCGGGGATGGCCCTTCAAAACACGAGTTTCTTCAGTGACGTCAGGACTCCTGTCTAGTAACGAGGGACACCTCAGGAATCTCTTCGAGGCTTGGCAGGGCAAAAGGGACGCTTCTCGAGGTGAGGCAGGGCACCCAAGGACCCTTTCCAGTAGCCACAGGGATTTTGGGGTTCCTATCAGTATTCAAGAGGAGTCAGGCATCGTCACCTTTTGAAGCAATGAACTCCGCGTGCCTCTCGAGGTGTCAGCGGGATGTGAGGCATTCCGTCAAAATGAGGCAGGGACCTAGGGCTTTCTCTAAGGTCTCCACAGGGGATTCAGACATCCCTTCATGTTGTGAGATGAAAGACGAGCCTGTATTCAAGCCACTGCAAGGAAATCCGGCCTCCTTTCAAGTTAGGGCTTCTCGCTGTATATTCCCCTTGAGGCAGCAAACTCGGGGTCCCTCCCACATACCTATTGCTGAGAGAAGCCTCCTCCTGAGGTGCTTCTGGGAAGTTGGCATATGTCTTGAGCCTAAGCCAGGGAATCAGCTCTCATCTCGAGACGATTTGGGGTACACGGAGCATTCCTCGAGTTGCTGTGCTGAAGTTGGTGTTCCTCTAGACTTGGGACAGTGTTCTCGGGGCATCTCTGGAGTTGCCTGAAGGAAGTCGAGCCACCGGTCGTGTTGAATGGGGAACGGGGAATGGCTCTGGAGTCAATGCAGGGGAATCGGGCCTCATCTCGAGTTGATTTGGGGCACATGGAGCTGCTTTGCGTTGCTGGGGTGACCTCAGGGTCCGTCTAGACTGGTGACAGTGTTCTTGGGGACTGTCTCGAGATCCATTAAGCAAGTCGAAGCTCCTGACTTGTTTGAATGGGATCACGGAATAGCTCTGCATGCACTGCAGGGGAATGGGGCCTCATCTCGCCTCTAGGGGGAAGTCTCATGGTTTTTCTCGAGTTGCGGCGGGGACCTGGGGTATGTTCTCGACTTACGGCGGGGATGGCCCTTCAAAACACGAGTTTCTTCAGTGACGTCAGGACTCCTGTCTAGTAACGAGGGACACCTCAGGAATCTCTTCGAGGCTTGGCAGGGCAAAAGGGACGCTTCTCGAGGTGAGGCAGGGCACCCAAGGACCCTTTCCAGTAGCCACAGGGATTTTGGGATTCCTATCAGTATTCAAGAGGAGTCAGGCATCGTCACCTTTTGAAGCAATGAACTCCGCGTGCCTCTCGAGGTGTCAGCGGGATGTGAGGCATTCCGTCAAAATGAGGCAGGGACCTAGGGCTTTCTCTAAGGTCTCCACAGGGGATTCAGACATCCCTTCATGTTGTGAGATGAAAGACGAGCCTGTATTCAAGCCACTGCAAGGAAATCCGGCCTCCTTTCAAGTTAGGGCTTCTCGCTGTATATTCCCCTTGAGGCAGCAAACTCGGGGTCCCTCCCACATACCTATTGCTGAGAGAAGCCTCCTGCTGAGGTGCTTCTGGGAAGTTGGCATACGTCTTGAGCCTAAGCCAGGGAATCAGCTCTCATCTCGAGACGATTTGGGGTACACGGAGCATTCCTCGAGTTGCTGTGCTGAAGTTGGTGTTCCTCTAGACTAGGGACAGTGTTCTCGGGGCATCTCTGGAGTTCCCTGAAGGAAGTCGAGCCACCGGTCGTGTTGAATGGGGAACGGGGAATGGCTCTGGAGTCAATGCAGGGGAATCGGGCCTCATCTCGAGTTGATTTGGGGCACATGGAGCTGCTTTGCTTTGCTGGGGTGACCTCAGGGTCCGTCTAGACTGGTGACAGTGTTCTTGGGGACTGTCTCGAGATCCATTAAGCAAGTCGAAGCTCCTGACTTGTTTGAATGGGATCACGGAATAGCTCTGCATGCACTGCACGGGAATGGGGCCTCATCTCGCCTCTAGAGGGAAGTCTCATGGTTTTTCTCGAGTTGCGGCGGGGACCTGGGGTATGTTCTCGACTTACGGCGGGGATGGCCCTTCAAAACACGAGTTTCTTCAGTGACGTCAGGACTCCTGTCTAGTAACGAGGGACACCTCAGGAATCTCTTCGAGGCTTGGCAGGGCAAAAGGGATGCTTCTCGAGGTGAGGCAGGGCACCCAAGGACCCTTTCCAGTAGCCACAGGGATTTTGGGATTCCTATCAGTATTCAAGAGGAGTCAGGCATCGTCACCTTTTGAAGCAATGAACTCCGCGTGCCTCTCGAGGTGTCAGCGGGATGTGAGGCATTCCGTCAAAATGAGGCAGGGACCTAGGGCTTTCTCTAAGGTCTCCACAGGGGATTCAGACATCCCTTCATGTTGTGAGATGAAAGACGAGCCTGTATTCAAGCCACTGCAAGGAAATCCGGCCTCCTTTCAAGTTAGGGCTTCTCGCTGTATATTCCCCTTGAGGCAGCAAACTCGGGGTCCCTCCCACATACCAATTGCTGAGAGAAGCCTCCTCCTGAGGTGCTTCTGGGAAGTTGGCATACGTCTTGAGCCTAAGCCAGGGAATCAGCTCTCATCTCGAGACGATTTGGGGTACATGGAGCATTCCTCGAGTTGCTGTGCTGAAGTTGGTGTTCCTCTAGACTTGGGACAGTGTTCTCGGGGCATCTCTGGAGTTGCCTGAAGGAAGTCGAGCCACCGGTCGTGTTGAATGGGGAACAGAGAATGGCTCTGGAGTCAATGCAGGGGAATCGGGCCTCATCTCGAGTTGATTTGGGGCACATGGAGCTGCTTTGTGTTGCGGGGGTGACCTCAGGGTCCGTCTAGACTGGTGACAGTGTTCTTGGGGACTGTCTCGAGATCCATTAAGCAAGTCGAAGCTCCTGACTTGTTTGAATGGGATCACGGAATAGCTCTGCATGCACTGCAGGGGAATGGGGCCTCATCTCGCCTCTAGGGGGAAGTCTCATGGTTTTTCTCGAGTTGCGGCGGGGACCTGGGGTATGTTCTCGACTTACGGCGGGGATGGCCTTCAAAACACGAGTTTCTTCAGTGACGTCAGGACTCCTGTCTAGTAACGAGGGACACCTCAGGAATCTCTTCGAGGCTTGGCAGGGCAAAAGGGACGCTTCTCGAGGTGAGGCAGGGCACCCAAGGACCCTTTCCAGTAGCCACAGGGATTTTGGGATTCCTATCAGTATTCAAGAGGAGTCAGGCATCGTCACCTTTTGAAGCAATGAACTCCGCGTGCCTCTCGAGGTGTCAGCGGGATGTGAGGCATTCCGTCAAAATGAGGCAGGGACCTAGGGCTTTCTCTAAGGTCTCCACAGGGGATTCAGACATCCCTTCATGTTGTGAGATGAAAGACGAGCCTGTATTCAAGCCACTGCAAGGAAATCCGGCCTCCTTTCAAGTTAGGGCTTCTCGCTGTATATTCCCCTTGAGGCAGCAAACTCGGGGTCCCTCCCACATACCTATTGCTGAGAGAAGCCTCCTCCTGAGGTGCTTCTGGGAAGTTGGCATACGTCTTGAGCCTAAGCCAGGGAATCAGCTCTCATCTCGAGACGATTTGGGGTACACGGAGCATTCATCGAGTTGCTGTGCTGAAGTTGGTGTTCATCTAGACTTGGGACAGTGTTCTCGGGGCATCTCTGGAGTTGCCTGAAGGAAGTCGAGCCACCGGTCGTGTTGAATGGGGAACGGGGAATGGCTCTGGAGTCAATGCAGGGGAATCGGGCCTCATCTCGAGTTGATTTGGGGCACATGGAGCTGCTTTGCGTTGCTGGGGTGACCTCAGGGTCCGTCTAGACTGGTGACAGTGTTCTTGGGGACTGTCTCGAGATCCATTAAGCAAGTCGAAGCTCCTGACTTGTTTGAATGGGATCACGGAATAGCTCTGCATGCACTGCAGGGGAATGGGGCCTCATCTCGCCTCTAGGGGGAAGTCTCATGGTTTTTCTCGAGTTGCGGCGGGGACCTGGGGTATGTTCTCGACTTACGGCGGGGATGGCCCTTCAAAACACGAGTTTCTTCAGTGACGTCAGGACTCCTGTCTAGTAACGAGGGACACCTCAGGAATCTCTTCGAGGCTTGGCAGGGCAAAAGGGACGCTTCTCGAGGTGAGGCAGGGCACCCAAGGACCCTTTCCAGTAGCCACAGGGATTTTGGGATTCCTATCAGTATTCAAGAGGAGTCAGGCATCGTCACCTTTTGAAGCAATGAACTCCGCGTGCCTCTCGAGGTGTCAGCGCGATGTGAGGCATTCCGTCAAAATGAGGCAGGGACCTAGGGCTTTCTCTAAGGTCTCCACAGGGGATTCAGACATCCCTTCATGTTGTGAGATAAAAGACGAGCCTGTATTCAAGCCACTGCAAGGAAATCCGGCCTCCTTTCAAGTTCGGGCTTCTCGCTGTATATTCCCCTTGAGGCAGCAAACTCGGGGTCCCTCCCACATACCTATTGCTGAGAGAAGCCTCCTCCTGAGGTGCTTCTGGGAAGTTGGCATACGTCTTGAGCCTAAGCCAGGGAATCAGCTCGCATCTCGAGACGATTTGGGGTACACGGAGCATTCCTCGAGTTGCTGTGCTGAAGTTGGTGTTCCTCTAGACTTGGGACAGTATTCTCGGGGCATCTCTGGAGTTGCCTGAAGGAAGTAGAGCCACCGGTCGTGTTGAATGGGGAACGGGGAATGGCTCTGGAATCAATGCAGGGGAATCGGGCCTCATCTCGTGTTGATTTGGGGCACATGGAGCTGCTTTGCGTTGCTGGGGTGACCTCAGGGTCCGTCTAGACTGGTGACAGTGTTCTTGGGGACTGTCTCGAGATCCATTAAGCAAGTCGAAGCTCCTGACTTGTTTGAATGGGATCACGGAATAGCTCTGCATGCACTGCAGGGGAATGGGGCCTCATCTCGCCTCTAGGGGGAAGTCTCATGGTTTTTCTCGAGTTGCGGCGGGGACCTGGGGTATGTTCTCGACTTACGGCGGGGATGGCCCTTCAAAACACGAGTTTCTTCAGTGACGTCAGGACTCCTGTCTAGTAACGAGGGACACCTCAGGAATCTCTTCGAGGCTTGGCAGGGCAAAACGGACGCTTCTCGAGGTGAGGCAGGGCACCCAAGGACCCTTTCCAGTAGCCACAGGGATTTTGGGATTCCTATCAGTATTCAAGAGGAGTCAGGCATCGTCACCTTTTGAAGCAATGAACTCCGCGTGCCTCTCGAGGTGTCAGCGGGATGTGAGGCATTCCGTCAAAATGAGGCAGGGACCTAGGGCTTTCTCTAAGGTCTCCACAGGGGATTCAGACATCCCTTCATGTTGTGAGATGAAAGACGAGCCTGTATTCAAGCCACTGCAAGGAAATCCGGCCTCCTTTCAAGTTAGGGCTTCTCGCTGTATATTCCCCTTGAGGCAGCAAACTCGGGGTTCCTCCCACATACCTATTGCTGAGAGAAGCCTCCTCCTGAGGTGCTTCTGGGAAGTTGGCATACGTCTTGAGCCTAAGCCAGGGAATCAGCTCTCATCTCGAGACGATTTGGGGTACACGGAGCATTCCTCGAGTTGCTGTGCTGAAGTTGGTGTTCCTCTAGACTTGGGACAGTGTTCTCAGGGCATCTCTGGGGTTGCCTGAAGGAAGTCGAGCCACCGGTCGTGTTGAATGGGGAACGGGGAATGGCTCTGGAGTCAATGCAGGGGAATCGGGCCTCATCTCGAGTTGATTTGGGGCACATGGAGCTGCTTTGCGTTGCTGGGGTGACCTCAGGGTCCGTCTAGACTGGTGACAGTGTTCTTGGGGACTGTCTCGAGATCCATTAAGCAAGTCGAAGCTCCTGACTTGTTTGAATGGGATCACGGAATAGCTCTGCATGCACTGCAGGGGAATGGGGCCTCATCTCGCCTCTAGGGGGAAGTCTCATGGTTTTTCTCGAGTTGCGGCGGGGACCTGGGGTATGTTCTCGACTTACGGCGGGGATGGCCCTTCAAAACACGAGTTTCTTCAGTGACGTCAGGACTCCTGTCTAGTAACGAGGGACACCTCAGGAATCTCTTCGAGGCTTGGCAGGGCAAAACGGACGCTTCTCGAGGTGAAGCAGGGCACCCAAGGACCCTTCCATGTAACCACAGGGATTTTGGGATTCCTATCAGTATTCAAGAGGAGTCAGGCATCGTCACCTTTTGAAGCAATGAACTCCGCGTGCCTCTCGATGTGTCAGCGCGATGTGAGGCATTCCGTCAAAATGAGGCAGGGACCTAGGGCTTTCTCTAAGGTCTCCACAGGGGATTCAGACATCCCTTCATGTTGTGAGATGAAAGACGAGCCTGTATTCAAGCCACTGCAAGGAAATCCGGCCTCCTTTCAAGTTAGGGCTTCTCGCTGTATATTCCCCTTGAGGCAGCAAACTCGGGGTCCCTCCCACATACCTATTGCTGAGAGAAGCCTCCTCCTGAGGTGCTTCTGGGAAGTTGGCATACGTCTTGAGCCTAAGCCAGGGAATCAGCTCTCATCTCGAGACGATTTGGGGTACACGGAGCATTCCTCGAGTTGCTGTGCTGAAGTTGGTGTTCCTCTAGACTTGGGACAGTGTTCTCGGGGCATCTCTGGAGTTGCCTGAAGGAAGTCGAGCCACCGGTCGTGTTGAATGGGGAACGGGGAATGGCTCTGGAGTCAATGCAGGGGAATCGGGCCTCATCTCGAGTTGATTTGGGGCACATGGAGCTGCTTTGCGTTGCTGGGGTGACCTCAGGGTCCGTCTAGACTGGTGACAGTGTTCTTGGGGACTGTCTCGAGATCCATTAAGGAAGTCGAAGCTCCTGACTTGTTTGAATGGGATCACGGAATAGCTCTGCATGCACTGCAGGGGGATGGGGCCTCATCTCGCCTCTAGTGGGAAGTCTCATGGTTTTTCTCGAGTTGCGGCGGGGACCTGGGGTATGTTCTCGACTTACGGCGGGGATGGCCCTTCAAAACACGAGTTTCTTCAGTGACGTCAGGACTCCTGTCTAGTAACGAGGGACACCTCAGGAATCTCTTCGAGGCTTGGCAGGGCAAAAGGGACGCTTCTCGAGGTGAGGCAGGGCACCCAAGGACCCTTTCCAGTAGCCACAGGGATTTTGGGATTCCTATCAGTATTCAAGAGGAGTCAGGCATCGTCACCTTTTGAAGCAATGAACTCCGCGTGCCTCTCGAGGTGTCAGCGCGATGTGAGGCATTCCGTCAAAATGAGGCAGGGACCTAGGGCTTTCTCTAAGGTCTCCACAGGGGATTCAGACATCCCTTCATGTTGTGAGATGAAAGACGAGCCTGTATTCAAGCCACTGCAAGGAAATCCGGCCTCCTTTCAAGTTAGGGCTTCTCGCTGTATATTCCCCTTGAGGCAGGAAACTCGGGGTCCCTCCCACATACCTATTGCTGAGAGAAGCCTCCTCCTGAGGTGCTTCTGGGAAGTTGGCATACGTCTTGAGCCTAAGCCAGGGAATCAGCTCTCATCTCGAGACGATTTGGGGTACACGGAGCATTCCTCGAGTTGCTGTGCTGAAGTTGGTGTTCCTCTAGACTTGGGACAGTATTCTCGGGGCATCTCTGGAGTTGCCTGAAGGAAGTAGAGCCACCGGTCGTGTTGAATGGGGAACGGGGAATGGCTCTGGAATCAATGCAGGGGAATCGGGCCTCATCTCGTGTTGATTTGGGGCACATGGAGCTGCTTTGCGTTGCTGGGGTGACCTCAGGGTCCGTCTAGACTGGTGACAGTGTTCTTGGGGACTGTCTCGAGATCCATTAAGCAAGTCGAAGCTCCTGACTTGTTTGAATGGGATCACGGAATAGCTCTGCATGCACTGCAGGGGAATGGGGCCTCATCTCGCCTCTAGGGGGAAGTCTCATGGTTTTTCTCGAGTTGCGGCGGGGACCTGGGGTATGTTCTCGACTTACGGCGGGGATGGCCCTTCAAAACACGAGTTTCTTCAGTGACGTCAGGACTCCTGTCTAGTAACGAGGGACACCTCAGGAATCTCTTCGAGGCTTGGCAGGGCAAAAGGGACGCTTCTCGAGGTGAGGCAGGGCACCCAAGGACCCTTTCCAGTAGCCACAGGGATTTTGGGATTCCTATCAGTATTCAAGAGGAGTCAGGCATCGTCACCTTTTGAAGCAATGAACTCCGCGTGCCTCTCGAGGTGTCAGCGGGATGTGAGGCATTCCGTCAAAATGAGGCAGGGACCTAGGGCTTTCTCTAAGGTCTCCACAGGGGATTCAGACATCCCTTCATGTTGTGAGATGAAAGACGAGCCTGTATTCAAGCCACTGCAATGGAAATCCGGCGTCCTTTCAAGTTAGGGCTTCTCGCTGTATATTCCCCTTGAGGCAGCAAACTCGGGGTCCCTCCCACATACCTATTGCTGAGAGAAGCCTCCTCCTGAGGTGCTTCTGGGAAGTTGGCATACGTCTTGAGCCTAAGCCAGGGAATCAGCTCGCATCTCGAGACGATTTGGGGTACACGGAGCATTCCTCGAGTTGCTGTGCTGAAGTTGGTGTTCCTCTAGACTTGGGACAGTGTTCTCGGGGCATCTCTGGAGTTGCCTGAAGGAAGTCGAGCCACCGGTCGTGTTGAATGCGGAACGGGGAATGGCTCTGGAGTCAATGCAGGGGAATCGGGCCTCATCTCGAGTTGATTTGGGGCACATGGAGCTGCTTTGCGTTGCTGGGGTGACCTCAGGGTCCGTCTAGACTGGTGACAGTGTTCTTGGGGACTGTCTCGAGATCCATTAAGCAAGTCGAAGCTCCTGACTTGTTTGAATGGGATCACGGAATAGCTCTGCATGCACTGCAGGGGAATGGGGCCTCATCTCGCCTCTAGGGGGAAGTCTCATGGTTTTTCTCGAGTTGCGGCGGGGACCTGGGGTATGTTCTCGACTTACGGCGGGGATGGCCCTTCAAAACACGAGTTTCTTCAGTGACATCAGGACTCCTGTCTAGTAACGAGGGACACCTCAGGAATCTCTTCGAGGCTTGGCAGGGCAAAAGGGACGCTTCTCGAGGTGAGGCAGGGCACCCAAGGACCCTTTCCAGTAGCCACAGGGATTTTGGGATTCCTATCAGTATTCAAGAGGAGTCAGGCATCGTCACCTTTTGAAGCAATGAACTCCGCGTGCCTCTCGAGGTGTCAGCGGGATGTGAGGCATTCCGTCAAAATGAGGCAGGGACCTAGGGCTTTCTCTAAGGTCTCCACAGGGGATTCAGACATCCCTTCATGTTGTGAGATAAAAGACGAGCCTGTATTCAAGCCACTGCAAGGAAATCCGGCCTCCTTTCAAGTTAGGGCTTCTCGCTGTATATTCCCCTTGAGGCAGCAAACACGGGGTCCCTCCCACATACCTATTGCTGAGAGAAGCCTCCTCCTGAGGTGCTTCTGGGAAGTTGGCATACGTCTTGAGCCTAAGCCAGGGAATCAGCTCGCATCTCGAGACGATTTGGGGTACACGGAGCATTCCTCGAGTTGCTGTGCTGAAGTTGGTGTTCCTCTAGACTTGGGACAGTGTTCTCGGGGCATCTCTGGAGTTGCCTGAAGGAAGTCGAGCCACCGGTCGTGTTGAATGGGGAACGGGGAATGGCTCTGGAATCAATGCAGGGGAATCGGGCCTCATCTCGAGTTGATTTGGGGCACATGGAGCTGCTTTGCGTTGCTGGGGTGACCTCAGGGTCCGTCTAGACTGGTGACAGTGTTCTTGGGGACTGTCTCGAGATCCATTAAGCAAGTCGAAGCTCCTGACTTGTTTGAATGGGATCACGGAATAGCTCTGCATGCACTGCAGGGGAATGGGGCCTCATCTCGCCTCTAGGGGGAAGTCTCATGGTTTTTCTCGAGTTGCGGCGGGGACCTGGGGTATGTTCTCGACTTACGGAGGGGATGGCCCTTCAAAACACGAGTTTCTTCAGTGACGTCAGGACTCCTGTCTAGTAACGAGGGACACCTCAGGAATCTCTTCGAGGCTTGGCAGGGCAAAACGGACGCTTCTCGAGGTGAGGCAGGGCACCCAAGGACCCTTCCATGTAGCCACAGGGATTTTGGGATTCCTATCAGTATTCAAGAGGAGTCAGGCATCGTCACCTTTTGAAGCAATGAACTCCGCGTGCCTCTCGAGGTGTCAGCGCGATGTGAGGCATTCCGTCAAAATGAGGCAGGGACCTAGGGCTTTCTCTAAGGTCTCCACAGGGGATTCAGACATCCCTTCATGTTGTGAGATGAAAGACGAGCCTGTATTCAAGCCACTGCAAGGAAATCCGGCCTCCTTTCAAGTTAGGGCTTCTCGCTGTATATTCCCCTTGAGGCAGGAAACTCGGGGTCCCTCCCACATACCTATTGCTGAGAGAAGCCTCCTCCTGAGGTGCTTCTGGGAAGTTGGCATACGTCTTGAGCCTAAGCCAGGGAATCAGCTCTCATCTCGAAACGATTTGGGGTACACGGAGCATTCCTCGAGTTGCTGTGCTGAAGTTGGTGTTCCTCTAGACTTGGGACAGTGTTCTCGGGGCATCTCTGGAGTTGCCTGAAGGAAGTCGAGCCACCGGTCGTGTTGAATGGGGAACGGGGAATGGCTCTGGAGTCAATGCAGGGGAATCGGGCCTCATCTCGAGTTGATTTGGGGCACATGGAGCTGCTTTGCGTTGCTGGGGTGACCTCAGGGTCCGTCTAGACTGGTGACAGTGTGCTTGGGGACTGTCTCGAGATCCATTAAGCAAGTCGAAGCTCCTGACTTGTTTGAATGGGATCACGGAATAGCTCTGCATGCACTGCAGGGGAATGGGGCCTCATCTCGCCTCTAGGGGGAAGTCTCATGGTTTTTCTCGAGTTGCGGCGGGGACCTGGGGTATGTTCTCGACTTACGGCGGGGATGGCCCTTCAAAACACGAGTTTCTTCAGTGACGTCAGGACTCCTGTCTAGTAACGAGGGACACCTCAGGAATCTCTTCGAGGCTTGGCAGGGCAAAAGGGACGCTTCTCGAGGTGAGGCAGGGCACCCAAGGACCCTTTCCAGTAGCCACAGGGATTTTGGGATTCCTATCAGTATTCAAGAGGAGTCAGGCATCGTCACCTTTTGAAGCAATGAACTCCGCGTGCCTCTCGAGGTGTCAGCGCGATGTGAGGCATTCCGTCAAAATGAGGCAGGGACGTAGGGCTTTCTCTAAGGTCTCCAAAGGGGATTCAGACATCCCTTCATGTTGTGAGATGAAAGACGAGCCTGTATTCAAGCCACTGCTAGGAAATCCGGCCTCCTTTCAAGTTAGGGCTTCTCGCTGTATATTCCCCTTGAGGCAGCAAACTCGGGGTCCCTCCCACATACCTATTGCTGAGAGAAACCTCATCCTGAGGTGCTTCTGGGAAGTTGGCATACGTCTTGAGCCTAAGCCAGGGAATCAGCTCTCATCTCGAGACGATTTGGGGTAGACGGAGCATTCCTCGAGTTGCTGTGCTGAAGTTGGTGTTCCTCTAGACTTGGGACAGTGTTCTCGGGGCATCTCTGGAGTTGCCTGAAGGAAGTCGAGCCACCGGTCGTGTTGAATGGGGAACGGGGAATGGCTCTGGAGTCAATGCAGGGGAATCGGGCCTCATCTCGAGTTGATTTGGGGCACATGGAGCTGCTTTGCGTTGCTGGGGTGACCTCAGGGTCCGTCTAGACTGGTGACAGTGTTCTTGGGGACTGTCTCGAGATCCATTAAGCAAGTCGAAGCTCCTGACTTGTTTGAATGGGATCACGGAATAGCTCTGCATGCACTGCAGGGGAATGGGGCCTCATCTCGCCTCTAGGGGGAAGTCTCATGGTTTTTCTCGAGTTGCGGCGGGGACCTGGGGTATGTTCTCGACTTACGGCGGGGATGGCCCTTCAAAACACGAGTTTCTTCAGTGACGTCAGGACTCCTGTCTAGTAATGAGGGACACCTCAGGAATCTATTCGAGGCTTGGCAGGGCAAAAGGGACGCTTCTCGAGATGAGGCAGGGCACCCAAGGACCCTTTCCAGTAGCCACAGGGATTTTGGGATTCCTATCAGTATTCAAGAGGAGTCAGGCATCGTCACCTTTTGAAGCAATGAACTCCGCGTGCCTCTCGAGGTGTCAGCGCGATGTGAGGCATTCCGTCAAAATGAGGCAGGGACCTAGGGCTTTCTCTAAGGTCTCCACAGGGGATTCAGACATCCCTTCATGTTGTGAGATGAAAGACGAGCCTGTATTCAAGCCACTGCAAGGAAATCCGGCCTCCTTTCAAGTTAGGGCTTCTCGCTGTATATTCCCCTTGAGGCAGCAAACTCGGGGTCCCTCCCACATACCTATTGCTGAGAGAAGCCTCCTCCTGAGGTGCTTCTGGGAAGTTGGCATACGTCTTGAGCCTAAGCCAGGGAATCAGCTCTCATCTCGAGACGATTTGGGGTACACGGAGCATTCCTCGAGTTGCTGTGCTGAAGTTGGTGTTCCTCTAGACTTGGGACAGTGTTCTCGGGGCATCTCTGGAGTTGCCTGAAGGAAGTCGAGCCACCGGTCGTGTTGAATGGGGAACGGGGAATGGCTCTGGAGTCAATGCAGGGGAATCGGGCCTCATCTCGAGTTGATTTGGGGCACATGGAGCTGCTTTGCGTTGCTGGGGTGACCTCAGGGTCCGTCTAGACTGGTGACAGTGTTCTTGGGGACTGTCTCGAGATCCATTAAGCAAGTCGAAGCTCCTGACTTGTTTGAATGGGATCACGGAATAGCTCTGCATGCACTGCAGGGGAATGGGGCCTCATCTCGCCTCTAGGGGGAAGTCTCATGGTTTTTCTCGAGTTGCGGCGGGGACCTGGGGTATGTTCTCGACTTACGGCGCGGATGGCCCTTCAAAACATGAGTTTCTTCAGTGACGTCAGGACTCCTGTCTAGTAACGAGGGACACCTCAGGAATCTCTTCGAGGCTTGGCAGGGCAAAAGGGACGCTTCTCGAGGTGAGGCAGGGCACCCAAGGACCCTTTCCAGTAGCCACAGGGATTTTGGGATTCCTATCAGTATTCAAGAGGAGTCAGGCATCGTCACCTTTTGAAGCAATGAACTCCGCGTGCCTCTCGAGGTGTCAGCGGGATGTGAGGCATTCCGTCAAAATGAGGCAGGGACCTAGGGCTTTCTCTAAGGTCTCCACAGGGGATTCAGACATCCCTTCATGTTGTGAGATGAAAGACGAGCCTGTATTCAAGCCACTGCAAGGAAATCCGGCCTCCTTTCAAGTTAGGGCTTCTCGCTGTATATTCCCCTTGAGGCAGCAAACTCGGGGTCCCTCCCACATACCTATTGCTGAGAGAAGCCTCCTCCTGAGGTGCTTCTGGGAAGTTGGCATACGTCTTGAGCCTAAGCCAGGGAATCAGCTCGCATCTCGAGACGATTTGGGGTACACGGAGCATTCCTCGAGTTGCTGTGCTGAAGTTGGTGTTCCTCTAGACTTGGGACAGTGTTCTCGGGGCATCTCTGGAGTTGCCTGAAGGAACTCGAGCCACCGGTCGTGTTGAATGGGGAACGGGGAATGGCTCTGGAGTCAATGCAGGGGAATCGGGCCTCATCTCGAGTTGATTTGGGGCACATGGAGCTGCTTTGCGTTGCTGGGGTGACCTCAGGGTCCGTCTAGACTGGTGACAGTGTTCTTGGGGACTGTCTCGAGATCCATTAAGCAAGTCGAAGCTCCTGACTTGTTTGAATGGGATCACGGAATAGCTCTGCATGCACTGCAGGGGAATGGGGCCTCATCTCGCCTCTAGGGGGAAGTCTCATGGTTTTTCTCGAGTTGCGGCGGGGACCTGGGGTATGTTCTCGACTTACGGCGCGGATGGCCCTTCAAAACATGAGTTTCTTCAGTGACGTCAGGACTCCTGTCTAGTAACGAGGGACACCTCAGGAATCTCTTCGAGGCTTGGCAGGGCAAAAGGGACGCTTCTCGAGGTGAGGCAGGGCACCCAAGGACCCTTTCCAGTAGCCACAGGGATTTTGGGATTCCTATCAGTATTCAAGAGGAGTCAGGCATCGTCACCTTTTGAAGCAATGAACTCCGCTTGCCTCTCGAGGTGTCAGCGGGATGTGAGGCATTCCGTCAAAATGAGGCAGGGACCTAGGGCTTTCTCTAAGGTCTCCACAGGGGATTCAGACATCCCTTCATGTTGTGAGATGAAAGACGAGCCTGTATTCAAGCCACTGCAAGGAAATCCGGCCTCCTTTCAAGTTAGGGCTTCTCGCTGTATATTCCCCTTGAGGCAGCAAACTCGGGGTCCCTCCCACATACCTATTGCTGAGAGAAGCCTCCTCCTGAGGTGCTTCTGGGAAGTTGGCATACGTCTTGAGCCTAAGCCAGGGAATCAGCTCGCATCTCGAGACGATTTGGGGTACACGGAGCATTCCTCGAGTTGCTGTGCTGAAGTTGGTGTTCCTCTAGACTTGGGACAGTGTTCTCGGGGCATCTCTGGAGTTGCCTGAAGGAAGTCGAGCCACCGGTCGTGTTGAATGGGGAACGGGGAATGGCTCTGGAGTCAATGCAGGGGAATCGGGCCTCATCTCGAGTTGATTTGGGGCACATGGAGCTGCTTTGCGTTGCTGGGGTGACCTCAGGGTCCGTCTAGACTGGTGACAGTGTTCTTGGGGACTGTCTCGAGATCCATTAAGCAAGTCGAAGCTCCTGACTTGTTTGAATGGGATCACGGAATAGCTCTGCATGCACTGCAGGGGAATGGGGCCTCATCTCGCCTCTAGGGGGAAGTCTCATGGTTTTTCTCGAGTTGCGGCGGGGACCTGGGGTATGTTCTCGACTTACGGCGGGGATGGCCCTTCAAAACACGAGTTTCTTCAGTGACGTCAGGACTCCTGTCTAGTAACGAGGGACACCTCAGGAATCTCTTCGAGGCTTGGCAGGGCAAAAGGGACGCTTCTCGAGGTGAGGCAGGGCACCCAAGGACCCTTTCCAGTAGCCACAGGGATTTTGGGATTCCTATCAGTATTCAAGAGGAGTCAGGCATCGTCACCTTTTGAAGCAATGAACTCCGCGTGCCTCTCGAGGTGTCAGCGGGATGTGAGGCATTCCGTCAAAATGAGGCAGGGACCTAGGGCTTTCTCTAAGGTCTCCACAGGGGATTCAGACATCCCTTCATGTTGTGAGATGAAAGACGAGCCTGTATTCAAGCCACTGCAAGGAAATCCGGCCTCCTTTCAAGTTAGGGCTTCTCGCTGTATATTCCCCTTGAGGCAGCAAACTCGGGGTCCCTCCCACATACCTATTGCTGAGAGAAGCCTCCTGCTGAGGTGCTTCTGGGAAGTTGGCATACGTCTTGAGCCTAAGCCAGGGAATCAGCTCTCATCTCGAGACGATTTGGGGTACACGGAGCATTCCTCGAGTTGCTGTGCTGAAGTTGGTGTTCCTCTAGACTTGGGACAGTGTTCTCGGGGCATCTCTGGAGTTCCCTGAAGGAAGTCGAGCCACCGGTCGTGTTGAATGGGGAACGGGGAATGGCTCTGGAGTCAATGCAGGGGAATCGGGCCTCATCTCGAGTTGATTTGGGGCACATGGAGCTGCTTTGCGTTGCTGGGGTGACCTCAGGGTCCGTCTAGACTGGTGACAGTGATCTTGGGGACTGTCTCGAGATCCATTAAGCAAGTCGAAGCTCCTGTCTTGTTTGAATGGGATCACGGAATAGCTCTGCATGCACTGCAGGGGAATGGGGCCTCATCTCGCCTCTAGAGGGAAGTCTCATGGTTTTTCTCGAGTTGCGGCGGGGACCTGGGGTATGTTCTCGACTTATGGCGGGGATGGCCCTTCAAAACACGAGTTTCTTCAGTGACGTCAGGACTCCTGTCTAGTAACGAGGGACACCTCAGGAATCTCTTCGAGGCTTGGCAGGGCAAAAGGGACGCTTCTCGAGGTGAGGCAGGGCACCCAAGGACCCTTTCCAGTAGCCACAGGGATTTTGGGGTTCCTATCAGTATTCAAGAGGAGTCAGGCATCGTCACCTTTTGAAGCAATGAACTCCGCGTGCCTCTCGAGGTGTCAGCGGGATGTGAGGCATTCCGTCAAAATGAGGCAGGGACCTAGGGCTTTCTCTAAGGTCTCCACAGGGGATTCAGACATCCCTTCATGTTGTGAGATGAAAGACGAGCCTGTATTCAAGCCACTGCAAGGAAATCCGGCCTCCTTTCAAGTTAGGGCTTCTCGCTGTATATTCCCCTTGAGGCAGCAAACTCGGGGTCCCTCCCACATACCTATTGCTGAGAGAAGCCTCATCCTGAGGTGCTTCTGGGAAGTTGGCATACGTCTTGAGCCTAAGCCAGGGAATCAGCTCTCATCTAGAGACTATTTGGGGTACACGGAGCATTCCTCGAGTTGCTGTGCTGAAGTTGGTGTTCCTCTAGACTTGGGACAGTGTTCTCGGGGCATCTCTGGAGTTGCCTGAAGGAAGTCGAGCCACCGGTCGTGTTGAATGGGGAACGGGGAATGGCTCTGGAGTCAATGCAGGGGAATCGGGCCTCATCTCGAGTTGATTTGGGGCACATGGAGCTGCTTTGCGTTGCTGGGGTGACCTCAGGGTCCGTCTAGACTGGTGACAGTGTTCTTGGGGACTGTCTCGAGATCCATTAAGCAAGTCGAAGCTCCTGACTTGTTTGAATGGGATCACGGATTAGCTCTGCATGCACTGCAGGGGAATGGGGCCTCATCTCGCCTCTAGGGGGAAGTCTCTTGGTTTTTCTCGAGTTGCGGCGGGGACCTGGGGTATGTTCTCGACTTACGGCGGGGATGGCTCTTCAAAACACGAGTTTCTTCAGTGACGTCAGGACTCCTGTCTAGTAACGAGGGACACCTCAGGAATCTCTTCGAGGCTTGGCAGGGCAAAAGGGACGCTTCTCGAGGTGAGGCAGGGCACCCAAGGACCCTTTCCAGTAGGCACAGGGATTTTGGGATTCCTATCAGTATTCAAGAGGAGTCAGGCATCGTCACCTTTTGAAGCAATGAACTCCGCGTGCCTCTCGAGGTGTCAGCGCGATGTGAGGCATTTCGTCAAAATGAGGCAGGGACCTAGGGCTTTCTCTAAGGTCTCCACAGGGGATTCAGACATCCCTTCATGTTGTGAGATGAAAGACGAGCCTGTATTCAAGCCACTGCAAGGAAATCCGGCCTCCTTTCAAGTTAGGGCTTCTCGCTGTATATTCCCCTTGAGGCAGCAAACTCGGGGTCCCTCCCACATACCTATTGCTGAGAGAAGCCTCCTCCTGAGGTGCTTCTGGGAAATTGGCATACGTCTTGAGCCTAAGCCAGGGAATCAGCTCTCATCTCGAGACGATTTGGGGTACACGGAGCATTCCTCGAGTTGCTGTGCTGAAGTTGGTGTTCCTCTAGACTTGGGACAGTGTTCTCGGGGCATCTCTGGAGTTGCCTGAAGGAAGTCGAGCCACCGGTCGTGTTGAATGGGGAACGGGGAATGGCTCTGGAGTCAATGCAGGGGAATCGGGCCTCATCTCGAGTTGATTTGGGGCACATGGAGCTGCTTTGCGTTGCTGGGGTGACCTCAGGGTCCGTCTAGACTGGTGACAGTGTTCTTGGGGACTGTCTCGAGATCCATTAAGCAAGTCGAAGCTCCTGACTTGTTTGAATGGGATCACGGAATAGCTCTGCATGCACTGCAGGGGAATGGGGCCTCATCTCGCCTCTAGGGGGAAATCTCATGGTTTTTCTCGAGTTGCGGCGGGGACCTGGGGTATGTTCTCCACTTACGGCGGGGATGGCTCTTCAAAACACGAGTTTCTTCAGTGACGTCAGGACTCCTGTCTAGTAACGAAGGACACCTCAGGAATCTCTTCGAGGCTTGGCAGGGCAAAAGGGACGCTTCTCGAGGTGAGGCAGGGCACCCAAGGACCCTTTCCAGTAGCCACAGGGATTTTGGGATTCCTATCAGTATTCAAGAGGAGTCAGGCATCGTCACCTTTTGAAGCAATGAACTCCGCGTGCCTCTCGAGGTGTCAGCGGGATGTGAGGCATTCCGTCAAAATGAGGCAGGGACCTAGGGCTTTCTCTAAGGTCTCCACAGGGGATTCAGACATCCCTTCATGTTGTGAGATGAAAGACGCACCTGTATTCAAGCCACTGCAAGGAAATCCGGCCTCCTTTCAAGTTAGGGCTTCTCGCTGTATATTCCCCTTGAGGCAGCAAACTCGGGGTCCCTCCCACATACCTATTGCTGAGAGAAGCCTCCTCCTGACATGCTTCTGGGAAGTTGGCATACGTCTTGAGCCTAAGCCAGGGAATCAGCTCGCATCTCGAGACGATTTGGGGTACACGGAGCATTCCTCGAGTTGCTGTGCTGAAGTTGGTGTTCCTCTAGACTTGGGACAGTGTTCTCGGGGCATCTCTGGAGTTGCCTGAAGGAAGTCGAGCCACCGGTCGTGTTGAATGGGGAACGGGGAATGGCTCTGGAGTCAATGCAGGGGAATCGGGCCTCATCTCGAGTTGATTTGGGGCACATGGAGCTGCTTTGCGTTGCTGGGGTGACCTCAGGGTCCGTCTAGACTGGTGACAGTGTTCTTGGGGACTGTCTCGAGATCCATTAAGCAAGTCGAAGCTCCTGACTTGTTTGAATGGGATCACGGAATAGCTCTGCATGCACTGCAGGGGAATGGGGCCTCATCTCGCCTCTAGGGGGAAGTCTCATGGTTTTTCTCGAGTTGCGGCGGGGACCTGGGGTATGTTCTCGACTTACGGCGGGGATGGCCCTTCAAAACACGAGTTTCTTCAGTGACGTCAGGACTCCTGTCTAGTAACGAGGGACACCTCAGGAATCTCTTCGAGGCTTGGCAGGGCAAAAGGGACGCTTCTCGAGGTGAGGCAGGGCACCCAAGGACCCTTTCCAGTAGCCACAGGGATTTTGGGATTCCTATCAGTATTCAAGAGGAGTCAGGCATCGTCACCTTTTGAAGCAATGAACTCCGCGTGCCTCTCGAGGTGTCAGCGCGATGTGAGGCATTCCGTCAAAATGAGGCAGGGACCTAGGGCTTTCTCTAAGGTCTCCACAGGGGATTCAGACATCCCTTCATGTTGTGAGATGAAAGACGAGCCTGTATTCAAGCCACTGCAAGGAAATCCGGCCTCCTTTCAAGTTAGGGCTTCTCGCTGTATATTCCCCTTGAGGCAGCAAACTCGGGGTCCCACCCACATACCTATTGCTGAGAGAAGCCTCCTCCTGAGGTGCTTCTGGGAAGTTGGCATACGTCTTGAGCCTAAGCCAGGGAATCAGCTCTCATCTCGAGACGATTTGGGGTACACGGAGCATTCCTCGAGTTGCTGTGCTGAAGTTGGTGTTCCTCTAGACTTGGGACAGTGTTCTCGGGGCATCTCTGGAGTTGCCTGAAGGAAGTCGAGCCACCGGTCGTGTTGAATGGGGAACGGGGAATGGCTCTGGAGTCAATGCAGGGGAATCGGGCCTCATCTCGAGTTGATTTGGGGCACATGGAGCTGCTTTGCGTTGCTGGGGTGACCTCAGGGTCCGTCTAGACTGGTGACAGTGTTCTTGGGGACTGTCTCGAGATCCATTAAGCAAGTCGAAGCTCCTGACTTGTTTGAATGGGATCACGGAATAGCTCTGCATGCACTGCAGGGGAATGGGGCCTCATCTCGCCTCTAGGGGGAAGTCTCATGGTTTTTCTCGAGTTGCGGCGGGGACCTGGGGTATGTTCTCGACTTACGGCGGGGATGGCCCTTCAAAACACGAGTTTCTTCAGTGACGTCAGGACTCCTGTCTAGTAACGAGGGACACCTCAGGAATCTCTTCGAGGCTTGGCAGGGCAAAAGGGACGTTTCTCGAGGTGAGGCAGGGCACCCAAGGACCCTTTCCAGTAGCCACAGGGATTTTGGGATTCCTATCAGTATTCAAGAGGAGTCAGGCATCGTCACCTTTTGAAGCAATGAACTCCGCGTGCCTCTCGAGGTGTCAGCGCGATGTGAGGCATTCCGTCAAAATGAGGCAGGGACCTAGGGCTTTCTCTAAGGTCTCCACAGGGGATTCAGACATCCCTTCATGTTGTGAGATGAAAGACGAGCCTGTATTCAAGCCACTGCAAGGAAATCCGGCCTCCTTTCAAGTTAGGGCTTCTCGCTGTATATTCCCCTTGAGGCAGCAAACTCGGGGTCCCTCCCACATACCTATTGCTGAGAGAAGCCTCCTCCTGAGGTGCTTCTGGGAAGTTGGCATACGTCTTGAGCCTAAGCCAGGGAATCAGCTCTCATCTCGAGACGATTTGGGGTACACGGAGCATTCCTCGAGTTGCTGTGCTGAAGTTGGTGTTCCTCTAGACTTGGGACAGTGTTCTCGGGGCATCTCTGGAGTTGCCTGAAGGAAGTCGAGCCACCGGTCGTGTTGAATGGGGAACGGGGAATGGCTCTGGAGTCAATGCAGGGGAATCGGGCCTCATCTCGAGTTGATTTGGGGCACATGGAGCTGCTTTGCGTTGCTGGGGTGACCTCAGGGTCCGTCTAGACTGGTGACAGTGTTCTTGGGGACTGTCTCGAGATCCATTAAGCAAGTCGAAGCTCCTGACTTGTTTGAATGGGATCACGGAATAGCTCTGCATGCACTGCAGGGGAATGGGGCCTCATCTCGCCTCTAGGGGGAAGTCTCATGGTTTTTCTCGAGTTGCGGCGGGGACCTGGGGTATGTTCTCGACTTACGGCGCGGATGGCCCTTCAAAACATGAGTTTCTTCAGTGACGTCAGGACTCCTGTCTAGTAACGAGGGACACCTCAGGAATCTCTTCGAGGCTTGGCAGGGCAAAAGGGACGCTTCTCGAGGTGAGGCAGGGCACCCAAGGACCCTTTCCAGTAGCCACAGGGATTTTGGGATTCCTATCAGTATTCAAGAGGAGTCAGGCATCGTCACCTTTTGAAGCAATGAACTCCGCGTGCCTCTCGAGGTGTCAGCGGGATGTGAGGCATTCCGTCAAAATGAGGCAGGGACCTAGGGCTTTCTCTAAGGTCTCCACAGGGGATTCAGACATCCCTTCATGTTGTGAGATGAAAGACGAGCCTGTATTCAAGCCACTGCAAGGAAATCCGGCCTCCTTTCAAGTTAGGGCTTCTCGCTGTATATTCCCCTTGAGGCAGCAAACTCGGGGTCCCTCCCACATACCTATTGCTGAGAGAAGCCTCCTCCTGAGGTGCTTCTGGGAAGTTGGCATACGTCTTGAGCCTAAGCCAGGGAATCAGCTCTCATCTCGAGACGATTTGGGGTACACGGAGCATTCCTCGAGTTGCTGTGCTGAAGTTGGTGTTCCTCTAGACTTGGGACAGTGTTCTCGGGGCATCTCTGGAGTTGCCTGAAGGAAGTCGAGCCACCGGTCGTGTTGAATGGGGAACGGGGAATGGCTCTGGAGTCAATGCAGGGGAATCGGGCCTCATCTCGAGTTGATTTGGGGCACATGGAGCTGCTTTGCGTTGCTGGGGTGACCTCAGGGTCCGTCTAGACTGGTGACAGTGTTCTTGGGGACTGTCTCGAGATCCATTAAGCAAGTCGAAGCTCCTGACTTGTTTGAATGGGATCACGGAATAGCTCTGCATGCACTGCAGGGGAATGGGGCCTCATCTCGCCTCTAGGGGGAAGTCTCATGGTTTTTCTCGAGTTGCGGCGGGGACCTGGGGTATGTTCTCGACTTACGGCGGGGATGGCCCTTCAAAACACGAGTTTCTTCAGTGACGTCAGGACTCCTGTCTAGTAACGAGGGACACCTCAGGAATCTCTTCGAGGCTTGGCAGGGCAAAAGGGACGCTTCTCGAGGTGAGGCAGGGCACCCAAGGACCCTTTCCAGTAGCCACAGGGATTTTGGGATTCCTATCAGTATTCAAGAGGAGTCAGGCATCGTCACCTTTTGAAGCAATGAACTCCGCGTGCCTCTCGAGGTGTCAGCGGGATGTGAGGCATTCCGTCAAAATGAGGCAGGGACCTAGGGCTTTCTCTAAGGTCTCCACAGGGGATTCAGACATCCCTTCATGTTGTGAGATGAAAGACGAGCCTGTATTCAAGCCACTGCAAGGAAATCCGGCCTCCTTTCAAGTTAGGGCTTCTCGCTGTATATTCCCCTTGAGGCAGCAAACTCGGGGTCCCTCCCACATACCTATTGCTGAGAGAAGCCTCCTGCTGAGGTGCTTCTGGGAAGTTGGCATACGTCTTGAGCCTAAGCCAGGGAATCAGCTCTCATCTCGAGACGATTTGGGGTACACGGAGCATTCCTCGAGTTGCTGTGCTGAAGTTGGTGTTCCTCTAGACTTGGGACAGTGTTCTCGGGGCATCTCTGGAGTTGCCTGAAGGAAGTCGAGCCACCGGTCGTGTTGAATGGGGAACGGGGAATGGCTCTGGAGTCAATGCAGGGGAATCGGGCCTCATCTCGAGTTGATTTGGGGCACATGGAGCTGCTTTGCGTTGCTGGGGTGACCTCAGGGTCCGTCTAGACTGGTGACAGTGATCTTGGGGACTGTCTCGAGATCCATTAAGCAAGTCGAAGCTCCTGTCTTGTTTGAATGGGATCACGGAATAGCTCTGCATGCACTGCAGGGGAATGGGGCCTCATCTCGCCTCTAGGGGGAAGTCTCATGGTTTTTCTCGAGTTGCGGCGGGGACCTGGGGTATGTTCTCGACTTATGGCGGGGATGGCCCTTCAAAACACGAGTTTCTTCAGTGACGTCAGGACTCCTGTCTAGTAACGAGGGACACCTCAGGAATCTCTTCGAGGCTTGGCAGGGCAAAAGGGACGCTTCTCGAGGTGAGGCAGGGCACCCAAGGACCCTTTCCAGTAGCCACAGGGATTTTGGGGTTCCTATCAGTATTCAAGAGGAGTCAGGCATCGTCTCCTTTTGAAGCAATGAACTCCGCGTGCCTCTCGAGGTGTCAGCGGGATGTGAGGCATTCCGTCAAAATGAGGCAGGGACCTAGGGCTTTCTCTAAGGTCTCCACAGGGGATTCAGACATCCCTTCATGTTGTGAGATGAAAGACGAGCCTGTATTCAAGCCACTGCAAGGAAATCCGGCCTCCTTTCAAGTTAGGGCTTCTCGCTGTATATTCCCCTTGAGGCAGCAAACTCGGGGTCCCTCCCACATACCTATTGCTGAGAGAAGCCTCCTCCTGAGGTGCTTCTGGGAAGTTGGCATACGTCTTGAGCCTAAGCCAGGGAATCAGCTCTCATCTCGAGACGATTTGGGGTACACGGAGCATTCCTCGAGTTGCTGTGCTGAAGTTGGTGTTCCTCTAGACTTGGGACAGTGTTCTCGGGGCATCTCTGGAGTTGCCTGAAGGAAGTCGAGCCACCGGTCGTGTTGAATGGGGAACGGGGAATGGCTCTGGAGTCAATGCAGGGGAATCGGGCCTCATCTCGAGTTGATTTGGGGCACATGGAGCTGCTTTGCGTTGCTGGGGTGACCTCAGGGTCCGTCTAGACTGGTGACAGTGTTCTTGGGGACTGTCTCGAGATCCATTAAGCAAGTCGAAGCTCCTGACTTGTTTGAATGGGATCACGGAATAGCTCTGCATGCACTGCAGGGGAATGGGGCCTCATCTCGCCTCTAGGGGGAAGTCTCATGGTTTTTCTCGAGTTGCGGCGGGGACCTGGGGTATGTTCTCGACTTACGGCGCGGATGGCCCTTCAAAACATGAGTTTCTTCAGTGACGTCAGGACTCCTGTCTAGTAACGAGGGACACCTCAGGAATCTCTTCGAGGCTTGGCAGGGCAAAAGGGACGCTTCTCGAGGTGAGGCAGGGCACCCAAGGACCCTTTCCAGTAGCCACAGGGATTTTGGGATTCCTATCAGTATTCAAGAGGAGTCAGGCATCGTCACCTTTTGAAGCAATGAACTCCGCGTGCCTCTCGAGGTGTCAGCGGGATGTGAGGCATTCCGTCAAAATGAGGCAGGGACCTAGGGCTTTCTCTAAGGTCTCCACAGGGGATTCAGACATCCCTTCATGTTGTGAGATGAAAGACGAGCCTGTATTCAAGCCACTGCAAGGAAATCCGGCCTCCTTTCAAGTTAGGGCTTCTCGCTGTATATTCCCCTTGAGGCAGCAAACTCGGGGTCCCTCCCACATACCTATTGCTGAGAGAAGCCTCCTCCTGAGGTGCTTCTGGGAAGTTGGCATACGTCTTGAGCCTAAGCCAGGGAATCAGCTCGCATCTCGAGACGATTTGGGGTACACGGAGCATTCCTCGAGTTGCTGTGCTGAAGTTGGTGTTCCTCTAGACTTGGGACAGTGTTCTCGGGGCATCTCTGGAGTTGCCTGAAGGAAGTCGAGCCACCGGTCGTGTTGAATGGGGAACGGGGAATGGCTCTGGAGTCAATGCAGGGGAATCGGGCCTCATCTCGAGTTGATTTGGGGCACATGGAGCTGCTTTGCGTTGCTGGGGTGACCTCAGGGTCCGTCTAGACTGGTGACAGTGTTCTTGGGGACTGTCTCGAGATCCATTAAGCAAGTCGAAGCTCCTGACTTGTTTGAATGGGATCACGGAATAGCTCTGCATGCACTGCAGGGGAATGGGGCCTCATCTCGCCTCTAGGGGGAAGTCTCATGGTTTTTCTCGAGTTGCGGCGGGGACCTGGGGTATGTTCTCGACTTACGGCGGGGATGGCCCTTCAAAACACGAGTTTCTTCAGTGACGTCAGGACTCCTGTCTAGTAACGAGGGACACCTCAGGAATCTCTTCGAGGCTTGGCAGGGCAAAAGGGACGCTTCTCGAGGTGAGGCAGGGCACCCAAGGACCCTTTCCAGTAGCCACAGGGATTTTGGGATTCCTATCAGTATTCAAGAGGAGTCAGGCATCGTCACCTTTTGAAGCAATGAACTCCGCGTGCCTCTCGAGGTGTCAGCGGGATGTGAGGCATTCCGTCAAAATGAGGCAGGGACCTAGGGCTTTCTCTAAGGTCTCCACAGGGGATTCAGACATCCCTTCATGTTGTGAGATGAAAGACGAGCCTGTATTCAAGCCACTGCAAGGAAATCCGGCCTCCTTTCAAGTTAGGGCTTCTCGCTGTATATTCCCCTTGAGGCAGCAAACTCGGGGTCCCTCCCACATACCTATTGCTGAGAGAAGCCTCCTGCTGAGGTGCTTCTGGGAAGTTGGCATACGTCTTGAGCCTAAGCCAGGGAATCAGCTCTCATCTCGAGACGATTTGGGGTACACGGAGCATTCCTCGAGTTGCTGTGCTGAAGTTGGTGTTCCTCTAGACTTGGGACAGTGTTCTCGGGGCATCTCTGGAGTTCCCTGAAGGAAGTCGAGCCACCGGTCGTGTTGAATGGGGAACGGGGAATGGCTCTGGAGTCAATGCAGGGGAATCGGGCCTCATCTCGAGTTGATTTGGGGCACATGGAGCTGCTTTGCGTTGCTGGGGTGACCTCAGGGTCCGTCTAGACTGGTGACAGTGATCTTGGGGACTGTCTCGAGATCCATTAAGCAAGTCGAAGCTCCTGTCTTGTTTGAATGGGATCACGGAATAGCTCTGCATGCACTGCAGGGGAATGGGGCCTCATCTCGCCTCTAGGGGGAAGTCTCATGGTTTTTCTCGAGTTGCGGCGGGGACCTGGGGTATGTTCTCGACTTATGGCGGGGATGGCCCTTCAAAACACGAGTTTCTTCAGTGACGTCAGGACTCCTGTCTAGTAACGAGGGACACCTCAGGAATCTCTTCGAGGCTTGGCAGGGCAAAAGGGACGCTTCTCGAGGTGAGGCAGGGCACCCAAGGACCCTTTCCAGTAGCCACAGGGATTTTGGGGTTCCTATCATTATTCAAGAGGAGTCAGGCATCGTCTCCTTTTGAAGCAATGAACTCCGCGTGCCTCTCGAGGTGTCAGCGGGATGTGAGGCATTCCGTCAAAATGAGGCAGGGACCTAGGGCTTTCTCTAAGGTCTCCACAGGGGATTCAGACATCCCTTCATGTTGTGAGATGAAAGACGAGCCTGTATTCAAGCCACTGCAAGGAAATCCGGCCTCCTTTCAAGTTAGGGCTTCTCGCTGTATATTCCCCTTGAGGCAGCAAACTCGGGGTCCCTCCCACATACCTATTGCTGAGAGAAGCCTCATCCTGAGGTGCTTCTGGGAAGTTGGCATACGTCTTGAGCCTAAGCCAGGGAATCAGCTCGCATCTCGAGACGATTTGGGGTACACGGAGCATTCCTCGAGTTGCTGTGCTGAAGTTGGTGTTCCTCTAGACTTGGGACAGTATTCTCGGGGCATCTCTGGAGTTGCCTGAAGGAAGTAGAGCCACCGGTCGTGTTGAATGGGGAACCGGGAATGGCTCTGGAATCAATGCAGGGGAATCGGGCCTCATCTCGAGTTGATTTGGGGCACATGGAGCTGCTTTGCGTTGCTGGGGTGACCTCAGGGTCCGTCTAGACTGGTGACAGTGTTCTTGGGGACTGTCTCGAGATCCATTAAGCAAGTCGAAGCTCCTGACTTGTTTGAATGGGATCACGGAATAGCTCTGCATGCACTGCAGGGGAATGGGGCCTCATCTCGCCTCTAGGGGGAAGTCTCATGGTTTTTCTCGAGTTGCGGCGGGGACCTGGGGTATGTTCTCGACTTACGGCGGGGATGGCCCTTCAAAACACGAGTTTCTTCAGTGACGTCAGGACTCCTGTCTAGTAACGAGGGACACCTCAGGAATCTCTTCGAGGCTTGGCAGGGCAATAGGGACGCTTCTCGAGGTGAGGCAGGGCACCCAAGGACCCTTTCCAGTAGCCACAGGGATTTTGGGATTCCTATCAGTATTCAAGAGGAGTCAGGCATCGTCACCTTTTGAAGCAATGAACTCCGCGTGCCTCTCGAGGTGTCAGCGCGATGTGAGGCATTCCGTCAAAATGAGGCAGGGACCTAGGGCTTTCTCTAAGGTCTCCACAGGGGATTCAGACATCCCTTCATGTTGTGAGATGAAAGACGAGCCTGTATTCAAGCCACTGCAAGGAAATCCGGCCTCCTTTCAAGTTAGGGCTTCTCGCTGTATATTCCCCTTGAGGCAGCAAACTCGGGGTCCCTCCCACATACCTATTGCTGAGAGAAGCCTCCTCCTGAGGTGCTTCTGGGAAGTTGGCATACGTCTTGAGCCTAAGCCAGGGAATCAGCTCGCATCTCGAGACGATTTGGGGTACACGGAGCATTCCTCGAGTTGCTGTGCTGAAGTTGGTGTTCCTCTAGACTTGGGACAGTGTTCTCGGGGCATCTCTGGAGTTGCCTGAAGGAAGTCGAGCCACCGGTCGTGTTGAATGGGGAACGGGGAATGGCTCTGGAGTCAATGCAGGGGAATCGGGCCTCATCTCGAGTTGATTTGGGGCACATGGAGCTGCTTTGCGTTGCTGGGGTGACCTCAGGGTCCGTCTAGACTGGTGACAGTGTTCTTGGGGACTGTCTCGAGATCCATTAAGCAAGTCGAAGCTCCTGACTTGTTTGAATGGGATCACGGAATAGCTCTGCATGCACTGCAGGGGAATGGGGCCTCATCTCGCCTCTAGGGGGAAGTCTCATGGTTTTTCTCGAGTTGCGGCGGGGACCTGGGGTATGTTCTCGACTTACGGCGGGGATGGCCCTTCAAAACACGAGTTTCTTCAGTGACGTCAGGACTCCTGTCTAGTAACGAGGGACACCTCAGGAATCTCTTCGAGGCTTGGCAGGGCAAAAGGGACGCTTCTCGAGGTGAGGCAGGGCACCCAAGGACCCTTTCCAGTAGCCACAGGGATTTTGGGATTCCTATCAGTATTCAAGAGGAGTCAGGCATCGTCACCTTTTGAAGCAATGAACTCCGCGTGCCTCTCGAGGTGTCAGCGGGATGTGAGGCATTCCGTCAAAATGAGGCAGGGACCTAGGGCTTTCTCTAAGGTCTCCACAGGGGATTCAGACATCCCTTCATGTTGTGAGATGAAAGACGAGCCTGTATTCAAGCCACTGCAAGGAAATCCGGCCTCCTTTCAAGTTAGGGCTTCTCGCTGTATATTCCCCTTGAGGCAGCAAACTCGGGGTCCCTCCCACATACCTATTGCTGAGAGAAGCCTCCTGCTGAGGTGCTTCTGGGAAGTTGGCATACGTCTTGAGCCTAAGCCAGGGAATCAGCTCTCATCTCGAGACGATTTGGGGTACACGGAGCATTCCTCGAGTTGCTGTGCTGAAGTTGGTGTTCCTCTAGACTTGGGACAGTGTTCTCGGGGCATCTCTGGAGTTCCCTGAAGGAAGTCGAGCCACCGGTCGTGTTGAATGGGGAACGGGGAATGGCTCTGGAGTCAATGCAGGGGAATCGGGCCTCATCTCGAGTTGATTTGGGGCACATGGAGCTGCTTTGCGTTGCTGGGGTGACCTCAGGGTCCGTCTAGACTGGTGACAGTGATCTTGGGGACTGTCTCGAGATCCATTAAGCAAGTCGAAGCTCCTGTCTTGTTTGAATGGGATCACGGAATAGCTCTGCATGCACTGCAGGGGAATGGGGCCTCATCTCGCCTCTAGGGGGAAGTCTCATGGTTTTTCTCGAGTTGCGGCGGGGACCTGGGGTATGTTCTCGACTTATGGCGGGGATGGCCCTTCAAAACACGAGTTTCTTCAGTGACGTCAGGACTCCTGTCTAGTAACGAGGGACACCTCAGGAATCTCTTCGAGGCTTGGCAGGGCAAAAGGGACGCTTCTCGAGGTGAGGCAGGGCACCCAAGGACCCTTTCCAGTAGCCACAGGGATTTTGGGGTTCCTATCAGTATTCAAGAGGAGTCAGGCATCGTCTCCTTTTGAAGCAATGAACTCCGCGTGCCTCTCGAGGTGTCAGCGGGATGTGAGGCATTCCGTCAAAATGAGGCAGGGACCTAGGGCTTTCTCTAAGGTCTCCACAGGGGATTCAGACATCCCTTCATGTTGTGAGATGAAAGACGAGCCTGTATTCAAGCCACTGCAAGGAAATCCGGCCTCCTTTCAAGTTAGGGCTTCTCGCTGTATATTCCCCTTGAGGCAGCAAACTCGGGGTCCCTCCCACATACCTATTGCTGAGAGAAGCCTCCTCCTGAGGTGCTTCTGGGAAGTTGGCATACGTCTTGAGCCTAAGCCAGGGAATCAGCTCTCATCTCGAGACGATTTGGGGTACACGGAGCATTCCTCGAGTTGCTGTGCTGAAGTTGGTGTTCCTCTAGACTTGGGACAGTGTTCTCGGGGCATCTCTGGAGTTGCCTGAAGGAAGTCGAGCCACCGGTCGTGTTGAATGGGGAACGGGGAATGGCTCTGGAGTCAATGCAGGGGAATCGGGCCTCATCTCGAGTTGATTTGGGGCACATGGAGCTGCTTTGCGTTGCTGGGGTGACCTCAGGGTCCGTCTAGACTGGTGACAGTGTTCTTGGGGACTGTCTCGAGATCCATTAAGCAAGTCGAAGCTCCTGACTTGTTTGAATGGGATCACGGAATAGCTCTGCATGCACTGCAGGGGAATGGGGCCTCATCTCGCCTCTAGGGGGAAGTCTCATGGTTTTTCTCGAGTTGCGGCGGGGACCTGGGGTATGTTCTCGACTTACGGCGCGGATGGCCCTTCAAAACATGAGTTTCTTCAGTGACGTCAGGACTCCTGTCTAGTAACGAGGGACACCTCAGGAATCTCTTCGAGGCTTGGCAGGGCAAAAGGGACGCTTCTCGAGGTGAGGCAGGGCACCCAAGGACCCTTTCCAGTAGCCACAGGGATTTTGGGATTCCTATCAGTATTCAAGAGGAGTCAGGCATCGTCACCTTTTGAAGCAATGAACTCCGCGTGCCTCTCGAGGTGTCAGCGGGATGTGAGGCATTCCGTCAAAATGAGGCAGGGACCTAGGGCTTTCTCTAAGGTCTCCACAGGGGATTCAGACATCCCTTCATGTTGTGAGATGAAAGACGAGCCTGTATTCAAGCCACTGCAAGGAAATCCGGCCTCCTTTCAAGTTAGGGCTTCTCGCTGTATATTCCCCTTGAGGCAGCAAACTCGGGGTCCCTCCCACATACCTATTGCTGAGAGAAGCCTCCTCCTGAGGTGCTTCTGGGAAGTTGGCATACGTCTTGAGCCTAAGCCAGGGAATCACCTCGCATCTCGAGACGATTTGGGGTACACGGAGCATTCCTCGAGTTGCTGTGCTGAAGTTGGTGTTCCTCTAGACTTGGGACAGTGTTCTCGGGGCATCTCTGGAGTTGCCTGAAGGAAGTCGAGCCACCGGTCGTGTTGAATGGGGAACGGGGAATGGCTCTGGAGTCAATGCAGGGGAATCGGGCCTCATCTCGAGTTGATTTGGGGCACATGGAGCTGCTTTGCGTTGCTGGGGTGACCTCAGGGTCCGTCTAGACTGGTGACAGTGTTCTTGGGGACTGTCTCGAGATCCATTAAGCAAGTCGAAGCTCCTGACTTGTTTGAATGGGATCACGGAATAGCTCTGCATGCACTGCAGGGGAATGGGGCCTCATCTCGCCTCTAGGGGGAAGTCTCATGGTTTTTCTCGAGTTGCGGCGGGGACCTGGGGTATGTTCTCGACTTACGGCGGGGATGGCCCTTCAAAACACGAGTTTCTTCAGTGACGTCAGGACTCCTGTCTAGTAACGAGGGACACCTCAGGAATCTCTTCGAGGCTTGGCAGGGCAAAAGGGACACTTCTCGAGGTGAGGCAGGGCACCCAAGGACCCTTTCCAGTAGCCACAGGGATTTTGGGATTCCTATCAGTATTCAAGAGGAGTCAGGCATCGTCACCTTTTGAAGCAATGAACTCCGCGTGCCTCTCGAGGTGTCAGCGGGATGTGAGGCATTCCGTCAAAATGAGGCAGGGACCTAGGGCTTTCTCTAAGGTCTCCACAGGGGATTCAGACATCCCTTCATGTTGTGAGATGAAAGACGAGCCTGTATTCAAGCCACTGCAAGGAAATCCGGCCTCCTTTCAAGTTAGGGCTTCTCGCTGTATATTCCCCTTGAGGCAGCAAACTCGGGGTCCCTCCCACATACCTATTGCTGAGAGAAGCCTCCTGCTGAGGTGCTTCTGGGAAGTTGGCATACGTCTTGAGCCTAAGCCAGGGAATCAGCTCTCATCTCGAGACGATTTGGGGTACACGGAGCATTCCTCGAGTTGCTGTGCTGAAGTTGGTGTTCCTCTAGACTTGGGACAGTGTTCTCGGGGCATCTCTGGAGTTCCCTGAAGGAAGTCGAGCCACCGGTCGTGTTGAATGGGGAACGGGGAATGGCTCTGGAGTCAATGCAGGGGAATCGGGCCTCATCTCGAGTTGATTTGGGGCACATGGAGCTGCTTTGCGTTGCTGGGGTGACCTCAGGGTCCGTCTAGACTGGTGACAGTGATCTTGGGGACTGTCTCGAGATCCATTAAGCAAGTCGAAGCTCCTGTCTTGTTTGAATGGGATCACGGAATAGCTCTGCATGCACTGCAGGGGAATGGGGCCTCATCTCGCCTCTAGGGGGAAGTCTCATGGTTTTTCTCGAGTTGCGGCGGGGACCTGGGGTATGTTCTCGACTTATGGCGGGGATGGCCCTTCAAAACACGAGTTTCTTCAGTGACGTCAGGACTCCTGTCTAGTAACGAGGGACACCTCAGGAATCTCTTCGAGGCTTGGCAGGGCAAAAGGGACGCTTCTCGAGGTGAGGCAGGGCACCCAAGGACCCTTTCCAGTAGCCACAGGGATTTTGGGGTTCCTATCAGTATTCAAGAGGAGTCAGGCATCGTCTCCTTTTGAAGCAATGAACTCCGCGTGCCTCTCGAGGTGTCAGCGGGATGTGAGGCATTCCGTCAAAATGAGGCAGGGACCTAGGGCTTTCTCTAAGGTCTCCACAGGGGATTCAGACATCCCTTCATGTTGTGAGATGAAAGACGAGCCTGTATTCAAGCCACTGCAAGGAAATCCGGCCTCCTTTCAAGTTAGGGCTTCTCGCTGTATATTCCCCTTGAGGCAGCAAACTCGGGGTCCCTCCCACATACCTATTGCTGAGAGAAGCCTCATCCTGAGGTGCTTCTGGGAAGTTGGCATACGTCTTGAGCCTAAGCCAGGGAATCAGCTCGCATCTCGAGACGATTTGGGGTACACGGAGCATTCCTCGAGTTGCTGTGCTGAAGTTGGTGTTCCTCTAGACTTGGGACAGTATTCTCGGGGCATCTCTGGAGTTGCCTGAAGGAAGTAGAGCCACCGGTCGTGTTGAATGGGGAACCGGGAATGGCTCTGGAATCAATGCAGGGGAATCGGGCCTCATCTCGAGTTGATTTGGGGCACATGGAGCTGCTTTGCGTTGCTGGGGTGACCTCAGGGTCCGTCTAGACTGGTGACAGTGTTCTTGGGGACTGTCTCGAGATCCATTAAGCAAGTCGAAGCTCCTGACTTGTTTGAATGGGATCACGGAATAGCTCTGCATGCACTGCAGGGGAATGGGGCCTCATCTCGCCTCTAGGGGGAAGTCTCATGGTTTTTCTCGAGTTGCGGCGGGGACCTGGGGTATGTTCTCGACTTACGGCGGGGATGGCCCTTCAAAACACGAGTTTCTTCAGTGACGTCAGGACTCCTGTCTAGTAACGAGGGACACCTCAGGAATCTCTTCGAGGCTTGGCAGGGCAATAGGGACGCTTCTCGAGGTGAGGCAGGGCACCCAAGGACCCTTTCCAGTAGCCACAGGGATTTTGGGATTCCTATCAGTATTCAAGAGGAGTCAGGCATCGTCACCTTTTGAAGCAATGAACTCCGCGTGCCTCTCGAGGTGTCAGCGCGATGTGAGGCATTCCGTCAAAATGAGGCAGGGACCTAGGGCTTTCTCTAAGGTCTCCACAGGGGATTCAGACATCCCTTCATGTTGTGAGATGAAAGACGAGCCTGTATTCAAGCCACTGCAAGGAAATCCGGCCTCCTTTCAAGTTAGGGCTTCTCGCTGTATATTCCCCTTGAGGCAGCAAACTCGGGGTCCCTCCCACATACCTATTGCTGAGAGAAGCCTCCTCCTGAGGTGCTTCTGGGAAGTTGGCATACGTCTTGAGCCTAAGCCAGGGAATCAGCTCTCATCTCGAGACGATTTGGGGTACACGGAGCATTCCTCGAGTTGCTGTGCTGAAGTTGGTGTTCCTCTAGACTTGGGACAGTGTTCTCGGGGCATCTCTGGAGTTGCCTGAAGGAAGTCGAGCCACCGGTCGTGTTGAATGGGGAACGGGGAATGACTCTGGAGTCAATGCAGGGGAATCGGGCCTCATCTCGAGTTGATTTGGGGCACATGGAGCTGCTTTGCGTTGCTGGGGTGACCTCAGGGTCCGTCTAGACTGGTGACAGTGTTCTTGGGGACTGTCTCGAGATCCATTAAGCAAGTCGAAGCTCCTGACTTGTTTGAATGGGATCACGGAATAGCTCTGCATGCACTGCAGGGGAATGGGGCCTCATCTCGCCTCTAGGGGGAAGTCTCATGGTTTTTCTCGAGTTGCGGCGGGGACCTGGGGTATGTTCTCGACTTACGGCGGGGATGGCCCTTCAAAACACGAGTTTCTTCAGTGACGTCAGGACTCCTGTCTAGTAACGAGGGACACCTCAGGAATCTCTTCGAGGCTTGGCAGGGCAAAAGGGACGCTTCTCGAGGTGAGGCAGGGCACCCAAGGACCCTTTCCAGTAGCCACAGGGATTTTGGGATTCCTATCAGTATTCAAGAGGAGTCAGGCATCGTCACCTTTTGAAGCAATGAACTCCGCGTGCCTCTCGAGGTGTCAGCGGGATGTGAGGCATTCCGTCAAAATGAGGCAGGGACCTAGGGCTTTCTCTAAGGTCTCCACAGGGGATTCAGACATCCCTTCATGTTGTGACATGAAAGACGAGCCTGTATTCAAGCCACTGCAAGGAAATCCGGCCTCCTTTCAATTTAGGGCTTCTCGCTGTATATTCCCCTTGAGGCAGCAAACTCGGGGTCCCTCCCACATACCTATTGCTGAGAGAAGCCTCCTGCTGAGGTGCTTCTGGGAAGTTGGCATACGTCTTGAGCCTAAGCCAGGGAATCAGCTCTCATCTCGAGACGATTTGGGGTACACGGAGCATTCCTCGAGTTGCTGTGCTGAAGTTTGTGTTCCTCTAGACTTGGGACAGTGTTCTCGGGGCATCTCTGGAGTTCCCTGAAGGAAGTCGAGCCACCGGTCGTGTTGAATGGGGAACGGGGAATGGCTCTGGAGTCAATGCAGGGGAATCGGGCCTCATCTCGAGTTGATTTGGGGCACATGTAGCTGCTTTGCGTTGCTGGGGTGACCTCAGGGTCCGTCTAGACTGGTGACAGTGATCTTGGGGACTGTCTCGAGATCCATTAAGCAAGTCGAAGCTCCTGTCTTGTTTGAATGGGATCACGGAATAGCTCTGCATGCACTGCAGGGGAATGGGGCCTCATCTCGCCTCTAGGGGGAAGTCTCATGGTTTTTCTCGAGTTGCGGCGGGGACCTGGGGTATGTTCTCGACTTATGGCGGGGATGGCCCTTCAAAACACGAGTTTCTTCAGTGACGTCAGGACTCCTGTCTAGTAACGAGGGACACCTCAGGAATCTCTTCGAGGCTTGGCAGGGCAAAAGGGACGCTTCTCGAGGTGAGGCAGGGCACCCAAGGACCCTTTCCAGTAGCCACAGGGATTTTGGGGTTCCTATCAGTATTCAAGAGGAGTCAGGCATCGTCTCCTTTTGAAGCAATGAACTCCGCGTGCCTCTCGAGGTGTCAGCGGGATGTGAGGCATTCCGTCAAAATGAGGCAGGGACCTAGGGCTTTCTCTAAGGTCTCCACAGGGGATTCAGACATCCCTTCATGTTGTGAGATGAAAGACGAGCCTGTATTCAAGCCACTGCAAGGAAATCCGGCCTCCTTTCAAGTTAGGGCTTCTCGCTGTATATTCCCCTTGAGGCAGCAAACTCGGGGTCCCTCCCACATACCTATTGCTGAGAGAAGCCTCCTCCTGAGGTGCTTCTGGGAAGTTGGCATACGTCTTGAGCCTAAGCCAGGGAATCAGCTCGCATCTCGAGACGATTTGGGGTACACGGAGCATTCCTCGAGTTGCTGTGCTGAAGTTGGTGTTCCTCTAGACTTGGGACAGTGTTCTCGGGGCATCTCTGGAGTTGCCTGAAGGAAGTCGAGCCACCGGTCGTGTTGAATGGGGAACGGGGAATGGCTCTGGAGTCAATGCAGGGGAATCGGGCCTCATCTCGAGTTGATTTGGGGCACATGGAGCTGCTTTGCGTTGCTGGGGTGACCTCAGGGTCCGTCTAGACTGGTGACAGTGTTCTTGGGGACTGTCTCGAGATCCATTAAGCAAGTCGAAGCTCCTGACTTGTTTGAATGGGATCACGGAATAGCTCTGCATGCACTGCAGGGGAATGGGGCCTCATCTCGCCTCTAGGGGGAAGTCTCATGGTTTTTCTCGAGTTGCGGCGGGGACCTGGGGTATGTTCTCGACTTACGGCGGGGATGGCCCTTCAAAACACGAGTTTCTTCAGTGACGTCAGGACTCCTGTCTAGTAACGAGGGACACCTCAGGAATCTCTTCGAGGCTTGGATGGGCAATAGGGACGCTTCTCGAGGTGATGCAGGGCACCCAAGGACCCTTTCCAGTAGCCACAGGGATTTTGGGATTCCTATCAGTATTCAAGAGGAGTCAGGCATCGTCACCTTTTGAAGCAATGAACTCCGCGTGCCTCTCGAGGTGTCAGCGCGATGTGAGGCATTCCGTCAAAATGAGGCAGGGACCTAGGGCTTTCTCTAAGGTCTCCACAGGGGATTCAGACATCCCTACATGTTGTGAGATGAAAGACGAGCCTGTATTCAAGCCACTGCAAGGAAATCCAGCCTCCTTTCAAGTTAGGGCTTCTCGCTGTATATTCCCCTTGAGGCAGCAAACTCGGGGTCCCTCCCACATACCTATTGCTGAGAGAAGCCTCCTCCTGAGGTGCTTCTGGGAAGTTGGCATACGTCTTGAGCCTAAGCCAGGGAATCAGCTCTCATCTCGAGACGATTTGGGGTACACGGAGCATTCCTCGAGTTGCTGTGCTGAAGTTGGTGTTCCTCTAGACTTGGGACAGTGTTCTCGGGGCATCTCTGGAGTTGCCTGAAGGAAGTCGAGCCACCGGTCGTGTTGAATGGGGAACGGGGAATGGCTCTGGAGTCAATGCAGGGGAATCGGGCCTCATCTCGAGTTGATTTGGGGCACATGGAGCTGCTTTGCGTTGCTGGGGTGACCTCAGGGTCCGTCTAGACTGGTGACAGTGTTCTTGGGGACTGTCTCGAGATCCATTAAGCAAGTCGAAGCTCCTGACTTGTTTGAATGGGATCACGGAATAGCTCTGCATGCACTGCAGGGGAATGGGGCCTCATCTCGCCTCTAGGGGGAAGTCTCATGGTTTTTCTCGAGTTGCGGCGGGGACCTGGGGTATGTTCTCGACTTACGGCGCGGATGGCCCTTCAAAACATGAGTTTCTTCAGTGACGTCAGGACTCCTGTCTAGTAACGAGGGACACCTCAGGAATCTCTTCGAGGCTTGGCAGGGCAAAAGGGACGCTTCTCGAGGTGAGGCAGGGCACCCAAGGACCCTTTCCAGTAGCCACAGGGATTTTGGGATTCCTATCAGTATTCAAGAGGAGTCAGGCATCGTCACCTTTTGAAGCAATGAACTCCGCGTGCCTCTCGAGGTGTCAGCGGGATGTGAGGCATTCCGTCAAAATGAGGCAGGGACCTAGGGCTTTCTCTAAGGTCTCCACAGGGGATTCAGACATCCCTTCATGTTGTGAGATGAAAGACGAGCCTGTATTCAAGCCACTGCAAGGAAATCCGGCCTCCTTTCAAGTTAGGGCTTCTCGCTGTATATTCCCCTTGAGGCAGCAAACTCGGGGTCCCTCCCACATACCTATTGCTGAGAGAAGCCTCCTCCTGAGGTGCTTCTGGGAAGTTGGCATACGTCTTGAGCCTAAGCCAGGGAATCAGCTCGCATCTCGAGACGATTTGGGGTACACGGAGCATTCCTCGAGTTGCTGTGCTGAAGTTGGTGTTCCTCTAGACTTGGGACAGTGTTCTCGGGGCATCTCTGGAGTTGCCTGAAGGAAGTCGAGCCACCGGTCGTGTTGAATGGGGAACGGGGAATGGCTCTGGAGTCAATGCAGGGGAATCGGGCCTCATCTCGAGTTGATTTGGGGCACATGGAGCTGCTTTGCGTTGCTGGGGTGACCTCAGGGTCCGTCTAGACTGGTGACAGTGTTCTTGGGGACTGTCTCGAGATCCATTAAGCAAGTCGAAGCTCCTGACTTGTTTGAATGGGATCACGGAATAGCTCTGCATGCACTGCAGGGGAATGGGGCCTCATCTCGCCTCTAGGGGGAAGTCTCATGGTTTTTCTCGAGTTGCGGCGGGGACCTGGGGTATGTTCTCGACTTACGGCGGGGATGGCCCTTCAAAACACGAGTTTCTTCAGTGACGTCAGGACTCCTGTCTAGTAACGAGGGACACCTCAGGAATCTCTTCGAGGCTTGGCAGGGCAAAAGGGACGCTTCTCGAGGTGAGGCAGGGCACCCAAGGACCCTTTCCAGTAGCCACAGGGATTTTGGGATTCCTATCAGTATTCAAGAGGAGTCAGGCATCGTCACCTTTTGAAGCAATGAACTCCGCGTGCCTCTCGAGGTGTCAGCGGGATGTGAGGCATTCCGTCAAAATGAGGCAGGGACCTAGGGCTTTCTCTAAGGTCTCCACAGGGGATTCAGACATCCCTTCATGTTGTGAGATGAAAGACGAGCCTGTATTCAAGCCACTGCAAGGAAATCCGGCGCCTTTCAAGTTAGGGCTTCTCGCTGTATATTCCCCTTGAGGCAGCAAACTCGGGGTCCCTCCCACATACCTATTGCTGAGAGAAGCCTCCTGCTGAGGTGCTTCTGGGAAGTTGGCATACGTCTTGAGCCTAAGCCAGGGAATCAGCTCTCATCTCGAGACGATTTGGGGTACACGGAGCATTCCTCGAGTTGCTGTGCTGAAGTTGGTGTTCCTCTAGACTTGGGACAGTGTTCTCGGGGCATCTCTGGAGTTCCCTGAAGGAAGTCGAGCCACCGGTCGTGTTGAATGGGGAACGGGGAATGGCTCTGGAGTCAATGCAGGGGAATCGGGCCTCATCTCGAGTTGATTTGGGGCACATGGAGCTGCTTTGCGTTGCTGGGGTGACCTCAGGGTCCGTCTAGACTGGTGACAGTGATCTTGGGGACTGTCTCGAGATCCATTAAGCAAGTCGAAGCTCCTGTCTTGTTTGAATGGGATCACGGAATAGCTCTGCATGCACTGCAGGGGAATGGGGCCTCATCTCGCCTCTAGGGGGAAGTCTCATGGTTTTTCTCGAGTTGCGGCGGGGACCTGGGGTATGTTCTCGACTTATGGCGGGGATGGCCCTTCAAAACACGAGTTTCTTCAGTGACGTCAGGACTCCTGTCTAGTAACGAGGGACACCTCAGGAATCTCTTCGAGGCTTGGCAGGGCAAAAGGGACGCTTCTCGAGGTGAGGCAGGGCACCCAAGGACCCTTTCCAGTAGCCACAGGGATTTTGGGGTTCCTATCAGTATTCAAGAGGAGTCAGGCATCGTCTCCTTTTGAAGCAATGAACTCCGCGTGCCTCTCGAGGTGTCAGCGGGATGTGAGGCATTCCGTCAAAATGAGGCAGGGACCTAGGGCTTTCTCTAAGGTCTCCACAGGGGATTCAGACATCCCTTCATGTTGTGAGATGAAAGACGAGCCTGTATTCAAGCCACTGCAAGGAAATCCGGCCTCCTTTCAAGTTAGGGCTTCTCGCTGTATATTCCCCTTGAGGCAGCAAACTCGGGGTCCCTCCCACATACCTATTGCTGAGAGAAGCCTCCTCCTGAGGTGCTTCTGGGAAGTTGGCATACGTCTTGAGCCTAAGCCAGGGAATCAGCTCGCATCTCGAGACGATTTGGGGTACACGGAGCATTCCTCGAGTTGCTGTGCTGAAGTTGGTGTTCCTCTAGACTTGGGACAGTATTCTCGGGGCATCTCTGGAGTTGCCTGAAGGAAGTAGAGCCACCGGTCGTGTTGAATGGGGAACCGGGAATGGCTCTGGAATCAATGCAGGGGAATCGGGCCTCATCTCGAGTTGATTTGGGGCACATGGAGCTGCTTTGCGTTGCAGGGGTGACCTCAGGGTCCGTCTAGACTGGTGACAGTGTTCTTGGGGACTGTCTCGAGATCCATTAAGCAAGTCGAAGCTCCTGACTTGTTTGAATGGGATCACGGAATAGCTCTGCATGCACTGCAGGGGAATGGGGCCTCATCTCGCCTCTAGGGGGAAGTCTCATGGTTTTTCTCGAGTTGCGGCGGGGACCTGGGGTATGTTCTCGACTTACGGCGGGGATGGCCCTTCAAAACACGAGTTTCTTCAGTGACGTCAGGACTCCTGTCTAGTAACGAGGGACACCTCAGGAATCTCTTCGAGGCTTGGCAGGGCAATAGGGACGCTTCTCGAGGTGAGGCAGGGCACCCAAGGACCCTTTCCAGTAGCCACAGGGATTTTGGGATTCCTATCAGTATTCAAGAGGAGTCAGGCATCGTCACCTTTTGAAGCAATGAACTCCGCGTGCCTCTCGAGGTGTCAGCGCGATGTGAGGCATTCCGTCAAAATGAGGCAGGGACCTAGGGCTTTCTCTAAGGTCTCCACAGGGGATTCAGACATCCCTTCATGTTGTGAGATGAAAGACGAGCCTGTATTCAAGCCACTGCAAGGAAATCCGGCCTCCTTTCAAGTTAGGGCTTCTCGCTGTATATTCCCCTTGAGGCAGCAAACTCGGGGTCCCTCCCACATACCTATTGCTGAGAGAAGCCTCCTCCTGAGGTGCTTCTGGGAAGTTGGCATACGTCTTGAGCCTAAGCCAGGGAATCAGCTCGCATCTCGAGACGATTTGGGGTACACGGAGCATTCCTCGAGTTGCTGTGCTGAAGTTGGTGTTCCTCTAGACTTGGGACAGTGTTCTCGGGGCATCTCTGGAGTTGCCTGAAGGAAGTCGAGCCACCGGTCGTGTTGAATGGGGAACGGGGAATGGCTCTGGAGTCAATGCAGGGGAATCGGGCCTCATCTCGAGTTGATTTGGGGCACATGGAGCTGCTTTGCGTTGCTGGGGTGACCTCAGGGTCCGTCTAGACTGGTGACAGTGTTCTTGGGGACTGTCTCGAGATCCATTAAGCAAGTCGAAGCTCCTGACTTGTTTGAATGGGATCACGGAATAGCTCTGCATGCACTGCCGGGGAATGGGGCCTCATCTCGCCTCTAGGGGGAAGTCTCATGGTTTTTCTCGAGTTGCGGCGGGGACCTGGGGTATGTTCTCGACTTACGGCGGGGATGGCCCTTCAAAACACGAGTTTCTTCAGTGACGTCAGGACTCCTGTCTAGTAACGAGGGACACCTCAGGAATCTCTTCGAGGCTTGGCAGGGCAAAAGGGACGCTTCTCGAGGTGAGGCAGGGCACCCAAGGACCCTTTCCAGTAGCCACAGGGATTTTGGGATTCCTATCAGTATTCAAGAGGAGTCAGGCATCGTCACCTTTTGAAGCAATGAACTCCGCGTGCCTCTCGAGGTGTCAGCGGGATGTGAGGCATTCCGTCAAAATGAGGCAGGGACCTAGGGCTTTCTCTAAGGTCTCCACAGGGGATTCAGACATCCCTTCATGTTGTGAGATGAAAGACGAGCCTGTATTCAAGCCACTGCAAGGAAATCCGGCCTCCTTTCAAGTTAGGGCTTCTCGCTGTATATTCCCCTTGAGGCAGCAAACTCGGGGTCCCTCCCACATACCTATTGCTGAGAGAAGCCTCCTGCTGAGGTGCTTCTGGGAAGTTGGCATACGTCTTGAGCCTAAGCCAGGGAATCAGCTCTCATCTCGAGACGATTTGGGGTACACGGAGCATTCCTCGAGTTGCTGTGCTGAAGTTGGTGTTCCTCTAGACTTGGGACAGTGTTCTCGGGGCATCTCTGGAGTTCCCTGAAGGAAGTCGAGCCACCGGTCGTGTTGAATGGGGAACGGGGAATGGCTCTGGAGTCAATGCAGGGGAATCGGGCCTCATCTCGAGTTGATTTGGGGCACATGGAGCTGCTTTGCGTTGCTGGGGTGACCTCAGGGTCCGTCTAGACTGGTGACAGTGATCTTGGGGACTGTCTCGAGATCCATTAAGCAAGTCGAAGCTCCTGTCTTGTTTGAATGGGATCACGGAATAGCTCTGCATGCACTGCAGGGGAATGGGGCCTCATCTCGCCTCTAGGGGGAAGTCTCATGGTTTTTCTCGAGTTGCGGCGGGGACCTGGGGTATGTTCTCGACTTATGGCGGGGATGGCCCTTCAAAACACGAGTTTCTTCAGTGACGTCAGGACTCCTGTCTAGTAACGAGGGACACCTCAGGAATCTCTTCGAGGCTTGGCAGGGCAAAAGGGACGCTTCTCGAGGTGAGGCAGGGCACCCAAGGACCCTTTCCAGTAGCCACAGGGATTTTGGGGTTCCTATCAGTATTCAAGAGGAGTCAGGCATCGTCTCCTTTTGAAGCAATGAACTCCGCGTGCCTCTCGAGGTGTCAGCGGGATGTGAGGCATTCCGTCAAAATGAGGCAGGGACCTAGGGCTTTCTCTAAGGTCTCCACAGGGGATTCAGACATCCCTTCATGTTGTGAGATGAAAGACGAGCCTGTATTCAAGCCACTGCAAGGAAATCCGGCCTCCTTTCAAGTTAGGGCTTCTCGCTGTATATTCCCCTTGAGGCAGCAAACTCGGGGTCCCTCCCACATACCTATTGCTGAGAGAAGCCTCATCCTGAGGTGCTTCTGGGAAGTTGGCATACGTCTTGAGCCTAAGCCAGGGAATCAGCTCGCATCTCGAGACGATTTGGGGTACACGGAGCATTCCTCGAGTTGCTGTGCTGAAGTTGGTGTTCCTCTAGACTTGGGACAGTGTTCTCGGGGCATCTCTGGAGTTGCCTGAAGGAAGTCGAGCCACCGGTCGTGTTGAATGGGGAACGGGGAATGGCTCTGGAGTCAATGCAGGGGAATCGGGCCTCATCTCGAGTTGATTTGGGGCACATGGAGCTGCTTTGCGTTGCTGGGGTGACCTCAGGGTCCGTCTAGACTGGTGACAGTGTTCTTGGGGACTGTCTCGAGATCCATTAAGCAAGTCGAAGCTCCTGACTTGTTTGAATGGGATCACGGAATAGCTCTGCATGCACTGCCGGGGAATGGGGCCTCATCTCGCCTCTAGGGGGAAGTCTCATGGTTTTTCTCGAGTTGCGGCGGGGACCTGGGGTATGTTCTCGACTTACGGCGGGGATGGCCCTTCAAAACACGAGTTTCTTCAGTGACGTCAGGACTCCTGTCTAGTAACGAGGGACACCTCAGGAATCTCTTCGAGGCTTGGCAGGGCAAAAGGGACGCTTCTCGAGGTGAGGCAGGGCACCCAAGGACCCTTTCCAGTAGCCACAGGGATTTTGGGATTCCTATCAGTATTCAAGAGGAGTCAGGCATCGTCACCTTTTGAAGCAATGAACTCCGCGTGCCTCTCGAGGTGTCAGCGGGATGTGAGGCATTCCGTCAAAATGAGGCAGGGACCTAGGGCTTTCTCTAAGGTCTCCACAGGGGATTCAGACATCCCTTCATGTTGTGAGATGAAAGACGAGCCTGTATTCAAGCCACTGCAAGGAAATCCGGCCTCCTTTCAAGTTAGGGCTTCTCGCTGTATATTCCCCTTGAGGCAGCAAACTCGGGGTCCCTCCCACATACCTATTGCTGAGAGAAGCCTCCTGCTGAGGTGCTTCTGGGAAGTTGGCATACGTCTTGAGCCTAAGCCAGGGAATCAGCTCTCATCTCGAGACGATTTGGGGTACACGGAGCATTCCTCGAGTTGCTGTGCTGAAGTTGGTGTTCCTCTAGACTTGGGACAGTGTTCTCGGGGCATCTCTGGAGTTCCCTGAAGGAAGTCGAGCCACCGGTCGTGTTGAATGGGGAACGGGGAATGGCTCTGGAGTCAATGCAGGGGAATCGGGCCTCATCTCGAGTTGATTTGGGGCACATGGAGCTGCTTTGCGTTGCTGGGGTGACCTCAGGGTCCGTCTAGACTGGTGACAGTGATCTTGGGGACTGTCTCGAGATCCATTAAGCAAGTCGAAGCTCCTGTCTTGTTTGAATGGGATCACGGAATAGCTCTGCATGCACTGCAGGGGAATGGGGCCTCATCTCGCCTCTAGGGGGAAGTCTCATGGTTTTTCTCGAGTTGCGGCGGGGACCTGGGGTATGTTCTCGACTTATGGCGGGGATGGCCCTTCAAAACACGAGTTTCTTCAGTGACGTCAGGACTCCTGTCTAGTAACGAGGGACACCTCAGGAATCTCTTCGAGGCTTGGCAGGGCAAAAGGGACGCTTCTCGAGGTGAGGCAGGGCACCCAAGGACCCTTTCCAGTAGCCACAGGGATTTTGGGGTTCCTATCAGTATTCAAGAGGAGTCAGGCATCGTCTCCTTTTGAAGCAATGAACTCCGCGTGCCTCTCGAGGTGTCAGCGGGATGTGAGGCATTCCGTCAAAATGAGGCAGGGACCTAGGGCTTTCTCTAAGGTCTCCACAGGGGATTCAGACATCCCTTCATGTTGTGAGATGAAAGACGAGCCTGTATTCAAGCCACTGCAAGGAAATCCGGCCTCCTTTCAAGTTAGGGCTTCTCGCTGTATATTCCCCTTGAGGCAGCAAACTCGGGGTCCCTCCCACATACCTATTGCTGAGAGAAGCCTCATCCTGAGGTGCTTCTGGGAAGTTGGCATACGTCTTGAGCCTAAGCCAGGGAATCAGCTCGCATCTCGAGACGATTTGGGGTACACGGAGCATTCCTCGAGTTGCTGTGCTGAAGTTGGTGTTCCTCTAGACTTGGGACAGTATTCTCGGGGCATCTCTGGAGTTGCCTGAAGGAAGTAGAGCCACCGGTCGTGTTGAATGGGGAACCGGGAATGGCTCTGGAATCAATGCAGGGGAATCGGGCCTCATCTCGAGTTGATTTGGGGCACATGGAGCTGCTTTGCGTTGCTGGGGTGACCTCAGGGTCCGTCTAGACTGGTGACAGTGTTCTTGGGGACTGTCTCGAGATCCATTAAGCAAGTCGAAGCTCCTGACTTGTTTGAATGGGATCACGGAATAGCTCTGCATGCACTGCAGGGGAATGGGGCCTCATCTCGCCTCTAGGGGGAAGTCTCATGGTTTTTCTCGAGTTGCGGCGGGGACCTGGGGTATGTTCTCGACTTACGGCGGGGATGGCCCTTCAAAACACGAGTTTCTTCAGTGACGTCAGGACTCCTGTCTAGTAACGAGGGACACCTCAGGAATCTCTTCGAGGCTTGGATGGGCAATAGGGACGCTTCTCGAGGTGATGCAGGGCACCCAAGGACCCTTTCCAGTAGCCACAGGGATTTTGGGATTCCTATCAGTATTCAAGAGGAGTCAGGCATCGTCACCTTTTGAAGCAATGAACTCCGCGTGCCTCTCGAGGTGTCAGCGCGATGTGAGGCATTCCGTCAAAATGAGGCAGGGACCTAGGGCTTTCTCTAAGGTCTCCACAGGGGATTCAGACATCCCTTCATGTTGTGAGATGAAAGACGAGCCTGTATTCAAGCCACTGCAAGGAAATCCGGCCTCCTTTCAAGTTAGGGCTTCTCGCTGTATATTCCCCTTGAGGCAGCAAACTCGGGGTCCCTCCCACATACCTATTGCTGAGAGAAACCTCCTCCTGAGGTGCTTCTGGGAAGTTGGCATACGTCTTGAGCCTAAGCCAGGGAATCAGCTCTCATCTAGAGACGATTTGGGGTACACGGAGCATTCCTCGAGTTGCTGTGCTGAAGTTGGTGTTCCTCTAGACTTGGGACAGTGTTCTCGGGGCATCTCTGGAGTTGCCTGAAGGAAGTCGAGCCACCGGTCGTGTTGAATGGGGAACGGGGAATGGCTCTGGAGTCAATGCAGGGGAATCGGGCCTCATCTCGAGTTGATTTGGGGCACATGGAGCTGCTTTGCGTTGCTGGGGTGACCTCAGGGTCCGTCTAGCCTGGTGACAGTGTTCTTGGGGACTGTCTCGAGATCCATTAAGCAAGTCGAAGCTCCTGACTTGTTTGAATGGGATCACGGAATAGCTCTGCATGCACTGCAGGGGAATGGGGCCTCATCTCGCCTCTAGGGGGAAGTCTCATGGTTTTTCTCGAGTTGCGGCGGGGACCTGGGGTATGTTCTCGACTTACGGCGGGGATGGCCCTTCAAAACACGAGTTTCTTCAGTGACGTCAGGACTCCTGTCTAGTAACGAGGGACACCTCAGGAATCTCTTCGAGGCTTGGCAGGGCAAAAGGGACGCTTCTCGAGGTGAGGCAGGGCACCCAAGGACCCTTTCCAGTAGCCACAGGGATTTTGGGATTCCTATCAGTATTCAAGAGGAGTCAGGCATCGTCACCTTTTGAAGCAATGAACTCCGCGTGCCTCTCGAGGTGTCAGCGCGATGTGAGGCATTCCGTCAAAATGAGGCAGGGACCTAGGGCTTTCTCTAAGGTCTCCACAGGGGATTCAGACATCCCTTCATGTTGTGAGATGAAAGACGAGCCTGTATTCAAGCCACTGCAAGGAAATCCGCCCTCCTTTCAAGTTAGGGCTTCTCGCTGTATATTCCCCTTGAGGCAGCAAACTCGGGGTCCCTCCCACATACCTATTGCTGAGAGAAGCCTCCTCCTGAGGTGCTTCTGGAAAGTTAGCATACGTCTTGAGCCTAAGCCAGGGAATCAGCTCTCATCTCGAGACGATTTGGGGTACACGGAGCATTCCTCGAGTTGCTGTGCTGAAGTTGGTGTTCCTCTAGACTTGGGACAGTGTTCTCGGGGCATCTCTGGAGTTGCCTGAAGGAAGTCGAGCCACCGGTCGTGTTGAATGGGGAACGGGGAATGGCTCTGGAGTCAATGCAGGGGAATCGGGCCTCATCTCGAGTTGATTTGGGGCACATGGAGCTGCTTTGCTTTGCTGGGGTGACCTCAAGGTCCGTCTAGACTGGTGACAGTGTTCTTGGGGACTGTCGCGAGATCCATTAAGCAAGTCGAAGCTCCTGACTTGTTTGAATGGGATCACGGAATAGCTCTGCATGCACTGCAGGGGAATGGGGCCTCATCTCGCCTCTAGGGGGAAGTCTCATGGTTTTTCTCGACTTGCGGCGGGGACCTGGGGTATGTTCTCGACTTACGGCGCGGATGGCCCTTCAAAACACGAGTTTCTTCAGTGACGTCAGGACTCCTGTCTAGTAACGAGGGACACCTCAGGAATCTCTTCGAGGCTTGGCAGGGCAAAAGGGACGCTTCTCGAGGTGAGGCAGGGCACCCAAGGACCCTTTCCAGTAGGCACAGGGATTTTGGGATTCCTATCAGTATTCAAGAGGAGTCAGGCATCGTCACCTTTTGAAGCAATGAACTCCGCGTGCCTCTCGAGGTGTCAGCGCGATGTGAGGCATTTCGTCAAAATGAGGCAGGGACCTAGGGCTTTCTCTAAGGTCTCCACAGGGGATTCAGACATCCCTTCATGTTGTGAGATGAAAGACGAGCCTGTATTCAAGCCACTGCAAGGAAATCCGGCCTCCTTTCAAGTTAGGGCTTCTCGCTGTATATTCCCCTTGAGGCAGCAAACTCGGGGTCCCTCCCACATACCTATTGCTGAGAGAAGCCTCCTCCTGAGGTGCTTCTGGGAAATTGGCATACGTCTTGAGCCTAAGCCAGGGAATCAGCTCTCATCTCGAGACGATTTGGGGTACACGGAGCATTCCTCGAGTTGCTGTGCTGAAGTTGGTGTTCCTCTAGACTTGGGACAGTGTTCTCGGGGCATCTCTGGAGTTGCCTGAAGGAAGTCGAGCCACCGGTCGTGTTGAATGGGGAACGGGGAATGGCTCTGGAGTCAATGCAGGGGAATCGGGCCTCATCTCGAGTTGATTTGGGGCACATGGAGCTGCTTTGCGTTGCTGGGGTGACCTCAGGGTCCGTCTAGACTGGTGACAGTGTTCTTGGGGACTGTCTCGAGATCCATTAAGCAAGTCGAAGCTCCTGACTTGTTTGAATGGGATCACGGAATAGCTCTGCATGCACTGCAGGGGAATGGGGCCTCATCTCGCCTCTAGGGGGAAGTCTCATGGTTTTTCTCGAGTTGCGGCGGGGACCTGGGGTATGTTCTCGACTTACGGCGCGGATGGCCCTTCAAAACATGAGTTTCTTCAGTGACGTCAGGACTCCTGTCTAGTAACGAGGGACACCTCAGGAATCTCTTCGAGGCTTGGCAGGGCAAAACGGACGCTTCTCGAGGTGAGGCAGGCACCCAAGGACCCTTTCCAGTAGCCACAGGGATTTTGGGATTCCTATCAGTATTCAAGAGGAGTCAGGCATCGTCACCTTTTGAAGCAATGAACTCCGCGTGCCTCTCGAGGTGTCAGCGGGATGTGAGGCATTCCGTCAAAATGAGGCAGGGACCTAGGGCTTTCTCTAAGGTCTCCACAGGGGATTCAGACATCTCTTCATGTTGTGAGATGAAAGACGAGCCTGTATTCAAGCCACTGCAAGGAAATCCGGCCTCCTTTCAAGTTAGGGCTTCTCGCTGTATATTCCCCTTGAGGCAGCAAACTCGGGGTCCCTCCCACATACCTATTGCTGAGAGAAGCCTCCTCCTGAGGTGCTTCTGGGAAATTGGCATACGTCTTGAGCCTAAGCCAGGGAATCAGCTCGCATCTCGAGACGATTTGGGGTACACGGAGCATTCCTCGAGTTGCTGTGCTGAAGTTGGTGTTCCTCTAGACTTGGGACAGTGTTCTCGGGGCATCTCTGGAGTTGCCTGAAGGAAGTCGAGCCACCGGTCGTGTTGAATGGGGAACGGGGAATGGCTCTGGAGTCAATGCAGGGGAATCGGGCCTCATCTCGAGTTGATTTGGGGCACATGGAGCTGCTTTGCGTTGCTGGGGTGACATCAGGGTCCGTCTAGACTGGTGACAGTGTTCTTGGGGACTGTCTCGAGATCCATTAAGCAAGTCGAAGCTCCTGACTTGTTTGAATGGGATCACGGAATAGCTCTGCATGCACTGCAGGGGAATGGGGCCTCATCTCGCCTCTAGGGGGAAGTCTCATGGTTTTTCTCGAGTTGCGGCGGGGACCTGGGGTATGTTCTCGACTTACGGCGGGGATGGCCCTTCAAAACACGAGTTTCTTCAGTGACGTCAGGACTCCTGTCTAGTAACGAGGGACACCTCAGGAATCTCTTCGAGGCTTGGCAGGGCAAAAGGGACGCTTCTCGAGGTGAGGCAGGGCACCCAAGGACCCTTTCCAGTAGCCACAGGGATTTTGGGATTCTTATCAGTATTCAAGAGGAGTCAGGCATCGTCACCTTTTGAAGCAATGAACTCCGCGTGCCTCTCGAGGTGTCAGCGGGATGTGAGGCATTCCGTCAAAATGAGGCAGGGACCTAGGGCTTTCTCTAAGGTCTCCACAGGGGATTCAGACATCCCTTCATGTTGTGAGATGAAAGACGAGCCTGTATTCAAGCCACTGCAAGGAAATCCGGCCTCCTTTCAAGTTAGGGCTTCTCGCTGTATATTCCCCTTGAGGCAGCAAACTCGGGGTCCCTCCCACATACCTATTGCTGAGAGAAGCCTCCTCCTGAGGTGCTTCTGGGAAGTTGGCATATGTCTTGAGCCTAAGCCAGGGAATCAGCTCTCATCTCGAGACGATTTGGGGTACACGGAGCATTCCTCGAGTTGCTGTGCTGAAGTTGGTGTTCCTCTAGACTTGGGACAGTGTTCTCGGGGCATCTCTGGAGTTCCCTGAAGGAAGTCGAGCCACCGGTCGTGTTGAATGGGGAACGGGGAATGGCTCTGGAGTCAATGCAGGGGAATCGGGCCTCATCTCGAGTTGATTTGGGGCACATGGAGCTGCTTTGCGTTGCTGGGGTGACCTCAGGGTCCGTCTAGACTGGTGACAGTGTTCTTGGGGACTGTCTCGAGATCCATTAAGCAAGTCGAAGCTCCTGACTTGTTTGAATGGGATCACGGAATAGCTCTGCATGCACTGCAGGGGAATGGGGCCTCATCTCGCCTCTAGGGGGAAGTCTCATGGTTTTTCTCGAGTTGCGGCGGGGACCTGGGGTATGTTCTCGACTTACGGCGGGGATGGCCCTTCAAAACACGAGTTTCTTCAGTGACGTCAGGACTCCTGTCTAGTAACGAGGGACACCTCAGGAATCTCTTCGAGGCTTGGCAGGGCAAAAGGGACGCTTCTCGAGGTGAGGCAGGGCACCCAAGGACCCTTTCCAGTAGCCACAGGGATTTTGGGATTCCTATCAGTATTCAAGAGGAGTCAGGCATCGTCACCTTTTGAAGCAATGAACTCCGCGTGCCTCTCGAGGTGTCAGCGGGATGTGAGGCATTCCGTCAAAATGAGGCAGGGACCTAGGGCTTTCTCTAAGGTCTCCACAGGGGATTCAGACATCCCTTCATGTTGTGAGATGAAAGACGAGCCTGTATTCAAGCCACTGCAAGGAAATCCGGCCTCCTTTCAAGTTAGGGCTTCTCGCTGTATATTCCCCTTGAGGCAGCAAACTCGGGGTCCCTCCCACATACCTATTGCTGAGAGAAGCCTCCTGCTGAGGTGCTTCTGGGAAGTTGGCATACGTCTTGAGCCTAAGCCAGGGAATCAGCTCTCATCTCGAGACGATTGGGGTACACGGAGCATTCCTCGAGTTGCTGTGCTGAAGTTGGTGTTCCTCTAGACTAGGGACAGTGTTCTCGGGGCATCTCTGGAGTTCCCTGAAGGAAGTCGAGCCACCGGTCGTGTTGAATGGGGAACGGGGAATGGCTCTGGAGTCAATGCAGGGGAATCGGGCCTCATCTCGAGTTGATTTGGGGCACATGGAGCTGCTTTGCTTTGCTGGGGTGACCTCAGGGTCCGTCTAGACTGGTGACAGTGTTCTTGGGGACTGTCTCGAGATCCATTAAGCAAGTCGAAGCTCCTGACTTGTTTGAATGGGATCACGGAATAGCTCTGCATGCACTGCAGGGGAATGGGGCCTCATCTCGCCTCTAGAGGGAAGTCTCATGGTTTTTCTCGAGTTGCGGCGGGGAACTGGGGTATGTTCTCGACTTACGGCGGGGATGGCCCTTCAAAACACGAGTTTCTTCAGTGACGTCAGGACTCCTGTCTAGTAACGAGGGACACCTCAGGAATCTCTTCGAGGCTTGGCAGGGCAAAAGGGACGCTTCTCGAGGTGAGGCAGGGCACCCAAGGACCCTTTCCAGTAGCCACAGGGATTTTGGGATTCCTATCAGTATTCAAGAGGAGTCAGGCATCGTCACCTTTTGAAGCAATGAACTCCGCGTGCCTCTCGAGGTGTCAGCGGGATGTGAGGCATTCCGTCAAAATGAGGCAGGGACCTAGGGCTTTCTCTAAGGTCTCCACAGGGGATTCAGACATCCCTTCATGTTGTGAGATGAAAGACGAGCCTGTATTCAAGCCACTGCAAGGAAATCCGGCCTCCTTTCAAGTTAGGGCTTCTCGCTGTATATTCCCCTTGAGGCAGCAAACTCGGGGTCCCTCCCACATACCAATTGCTGAGAGAAGCCTCCTCCTGAGGTGCTTCTGGGAAGTTGGCATACGTCTTGAGCCTAAGCCAGGGAATCAGCTCTCATCTCGAGACGATTTGGGGTACACGGAGCATTCCTCGAGTTGCTGTGCTGAAGTTGGTGTTCCTCTAGACTTGGGACAGTGTTCTCGGGGCATCTCTGGAGTTGCCTGAAGGAAGTCGAGCCACCGGTCGTGTTGAATGGGGAACGGAGAATGGCTCTGGAGTCAATGCAGGGGAATCGGGCCTCATCTCGAGTTGATTTGGGGCACATGGAGCTGCTTTGTGTTGCGGGGGTGACCTCAGGGTCCGTCTAGACTGGTGACAGTGTTCTTGGGGACTGTCTCGAGATCCATTAAGCAAGTCGAAGCTCCTGACTTGTTTGAATGGGATCACGGAATAGCTCTGCATGCACTGCAGGGGAATGGGGCCTCATCTCGCCTCTAGAGGGAAGTCTCATGGTTTTTCTCGAGTTGCGGCGGGGACCTGGGGTATGTTCTCGACTTACGGCGGGGATGGCCCTTCAAAACACGAGTTTCTTCAGTGACGTCAGGACTCCTGTCTAGTAACGAGGGACACCTCAGGAATCTCTTCGAGGCTTGGCAGGGCAAAAGGGACGCTTCTCGAGGTGAGGCAGGGCACCCAAGGACCCTTTCCAGTAGCCACAGGGATTTTGGGATTCCTATCAGTATTCAAGAGGAGTCAGGCATCGTCACCTTTTGAAGCAATGAACTCCGCGTGCCTCTCGAGGTGTCAGCGGGATGTGAGGCATTCCGTCAAAATGAGGCAGGGACCTAGGGCTTTCTCTAAGGTCTCCACAGGGGATTCAGACATCCCTTCATGTTGTGAGATGAAAGACGAGCCTGTATTCAAGCCACTGCAAGGAAATCCGGCCTCCTTTCAAGTTAGGGCTTCTCGCTGTATATTCCCCTTGAGGCAGCAAACTCGGGGTCCCTCCCACATACCAATTGCTGAGAGAAGCCTCCTCCTGAGGTGCTTCTGGGAAGTTGGCATACGTCTTGAGCCTAAGCCAGGGAATCAGCTCTCATCTCGAGACGATTTGGGGTACACGGAGCATTCCTCGAGTTGCTGTGCTGAAGTTGGTGTTCCTCTAGACTTGGGACAGTGTTCTCGGGGCATCTCTGGAGTTGCCTGAAGGAAGTCGAGCCACCGGTCGTGTTGAATGGGGAACGGAGAATGGCTCTGGAGTCAATGCAGGGGAATCGGGCCTCATCTCGAGTTGATTTGGGGCACATGGAGCTGCTTTGTGTTGCGGGGGTGACCTCAGGGTCCGTCTAGACTGGTGACAGTGTTCTTGGGGACTGTCTCGAGATCCATTAAGCAAGTCGAAGCTCCTGACTTGTTTGAATGGGATCACGGAATAGCTCTGCATGCACTGCAGGGGAATGGGGCCTCATCTCGCCTCTAGGGGGAAGTCTCATGGTTTTTCTCGAGTTGCGGCGGGGACCTGGGGTATGTTCTCGACTTACCGCGGGGATGGCCTTCAAAACACGAGTTTCTTCAGTGACGTCAGGACTCCTGTCTAGTAACGAGGGACACCTCAGGAATCTCTTCGAGGCTTGGCAGGGCAAAAGGGACGCTTCACGAGGTGAGGCAGGGCACCCAAGGACCCTTTCCAGTAGCCACAGGGATTTTGGGATTCCTATCAGTATTCAAGAGGAGTCAGGCATCGTCACCTTTTGAAGCAATGAACTCCGCGTGCCTCTCGAGGTGTTAGCGGGATGTGAGGCATTCCGTCAAAATGAGGCAGGGACCTAGGGCTTTCTCTAAGGTCTCCACAGGGGATTCAGACATCCCTTCATGTTGTGAGATAAAAGACGAGCCTGTATTCAAGCCACTGCAAGGAAATCCGGCCTCCTTTCAAGTTAGGGCTTCTCGCTGTATATTCCCCTTGAGGCAGCAAACTCGGGGTCCCTCCCACATACCTATTGCTGAGAGAAGCCTCCTCCTGAGGTGCTTCTGGGAAGTTGGCATACGTCTTGAGCCTAAGCCAGGGAATCAGCTCTCATCTCGAGACGATTTGGGGTACACGGAGCATTCCTCGAGTTGCTGTGCTGAAGTTGGTGTTCCTCTAGACTTGGGACAGTGTTCTCGGGGCATCTCTGGAGTTGCCTGAAGGAAGTCGAGCCACCGGTCGTGTTGAATGGGGAACGGGGAATGGCTCTGGAGTCAATGCAGGGGAATCGGGCCTCATCTCGAGTTGATTTGGGGCACATGGAGCTGCTTTGCGTTGCTGGGGTGACCTCAGGGTCCGTCTAGACTGGTGACAGTGTTCTTGGGGACTGTCTCGAGATCCATTAAGCAAGTCGAAGCTCCTGACTTGTTTGAATGGGATCACGGAATAGCTCTGCATGCACGGCAGGGGAATGGGGCCCCATCTCGCCTCTAGGGGGAAGTCTCATGGTTTTTCTCGAGTTGCGGCGGGGACCTGGGGTATGTTCTCGACTTACGGCGGGGATGGCCCTTCAAAACACGAGTTTCTTCAGTGACGTCAGGACTCCTGTCTAGTAACGAGGGACACCTCAGGAATCTCTTCGAGGCTTGGCAGGGCAAAAGGGACGCTTCACGAGGTGAGGCAGGGCACCCAAGGACCCTTTCCAGTAGCCACAGGGATTTTGGGATTCCTATCAGTATTCAAGAGGAGTCAGGCATCGTCACCTTTTGAAGCAATGAACTCCGCGTGCCTCTCGAGGTGTCAGCGGGATGTGAGGCATTCCGTCAAAATGAGGCAGGGACCTAGGGCTTTCTCTAAGGTCTCCACAGGGGATTCAGACATCCCTTCATGTTGTGAGATGAAAGACGAGCCTGTATTCAAGCCACTGCAAGGAAATCCGGCCTCCTTTCAAGTTAGGGCTTCTCGCTGTATATTCCCCTTGAGGCAGCAAACTCGGGGTCCCTCCCACATACCTATTGCTGAGAGAAGCCTCCTCCTGAGGTGCTTCTGGGAAGTTGGCATACGTCTTGAGCCTAAGCCAGGGAATCAGCTCTCATCTCGAGACGATTTGGGGTACACGGAGCATTCCTCGAGTTGCTGTGCTGAAGTTGGTGTTCCTCTAGACTTGGGACAGTGTTCTCGGGGCATCTCTGGAGTTGCCTGAAGGAAGTCGAGCCACCGGTCGTGTTGAATGGGGAACGGGGAATGGCTCTGGAGTCAATGCAGGGGAATCGGGCCTCATCTCGAGTTGATTTGGGGCACATGGAGCTGCTTTGCGTTGCTGGGGTGACCTCAGGGTCCGTCTAGACTGGTGACAGTGTTCTTGGGGACTGTCTCGAGATCCATTAAGCAAGTCGAAGCTCCTGACTTGTTTGAATGGGATCACGGAATAGCTCTGCATGCACTGCAGGGGAATGGGGCCTCATCTCGACTCTAGGGGGAAGTCTCATGGTTTTTCTCGAGTTGCGGCGGGGACCTGGGGTATGTTCTCGACTTACGGCGGGGATGGCCCTTCAAAACACGAGTTTCTTCAGTGACGTCAGGACTCCTGTCTAGTAACGAGGGACACCTCAGGAATCTCTTCGAGGCTTGGCAGGGCAAAAGGGACGCTTCTCGAGGTGAGGCAGGGCACCCAAGGACCCTTTCCAGTAGCCACAGGGATTTTGGGATTCCTATCAGTATTCAAGAGGAGTCAGGCATCGTCACCTTTTGAAGCAATGAACTCCGCGTGCCTCTCGAGTTGTCAGCGCGATGTGAGGCATTCCGTCAAAATGACGCAGGGACCTAGGGCTTTCTCTAAGGTCTCCACAGGGGATTCAGACATCCCTTCATGTTGTGAGATAAAAGACGAGCCTGTATTCAAGCCACTGCAAGGAAATCCGGCCTCCTTTCAAGTTAGGGCTTCTCGCTGTATATTCCCCTTGAGGCAGCAAACTCGGGGTCCCTCCCACATACCTATTGCTGAGAGAAGCCTCCTCCTGAGGTGCTTCTGGGAAGTTGGCATACGTCTTGAGCCTAAGCCAGGGAATCAGCTCGCATCTCGAGACGATTTGGGGTACACGGAGCATTCCTCGAGTTGCTGTGCTGAAGTTGGTGTTCCTCTAGACTTGGGACAGTATTCTCGGGGCATCTCTGGAGTTGCCTGAAGGAAGTAGAGCCACCGGTCGTGTTGAATGGGGAACGGGGAATGGCTCTGGAATCAATGCAGGGGAATCGGGCCTCATCTCGTGTTGATTTGGGGCACATGGAGCTGCTTTGCGTTGCTGGGGTGACCTCAGGGTCCGTCTAGACTGGTGACAGTGTTCTTGGGGACTGTCTCGAGATCCATTAAGCAAGTCGAAGCTCCTGACTTGTTTGAATGGGATCACGGAATAGCTCTGCATGCACTGCAGGGGAATGGGGCCTCATCTCGCCTCTAGGGGGAAGTCTCATGGTTTTTCTCGAGTTGCGGCGGGGACCTGGGGTATGTTCTCGACTTACGGCGGGGATGGCCCTTCAAAACACGAGTTTCTTCAGTGACGTCTGGACTCCTGTCTAGTAACGAGGGACACCTCAGGAATCTCTTCGAGGCTTGGCAGGGCAAAAGGGACGCTTCTCGAGGTGAGGCAGGGCACCCAAGGACCCTTTCCAGTAGCCACAGGGATTTTGGGATTCCTATCAGTATTCAAGAGGAGTCAGGCATCGTCACCTTTTGAAGCAATGAACTCCGCGTGCCTCTCGAGGTGTCAGCGGGATGTGAGGCATTCCGTCAAAATGAGGCAGGGACCTAGGGCTTTCTCTAAGGTCTCCACAGGGAATTCAGACATCCCTTCATGTTGTGAGATGAAAGACGAGCCTGTATTCAAGCCACTGCAAGGAAATCCGGCGTCCTTTCAAGTTAGGGCTTCTTGCTGTATATTCCCCTTGAGGCAGCAAACTCGGGGTCCCTCCCACATACCTATTGCTGAGAGAAGCCTCCTCCTGAGGTGCTTCTGGGAAGTTGGCATACGTCTTGAGCCTAAGCCAGGGAATCAGCTCGCATCTCGAGACGATTTGGGGTACACGGAGCATTCCTTGAGTTGCTGTGCTGAAGTTGGTGTTCCTCTAGACTTGGGACAGTGTTCTCGGGGCATCTCTGGAGTTGCCTGAAGGAAGTCGAGCCACCGGTCGTGTTGAATGGGGAACGGGGAATGTCTCTGGAGTCAATGCAGGGGAATCTGGCCTCATCTCGAGTTGATTTGGGGCACATGGAGCTGCTTTGCATTGCTGGGGTGACCTCAGGGTCCGTCTAGACTGGTGACAGTGTTCTTGGGGACTGTCTCGAGATCCATTAAGCAAGTCGAAGCTCCTGACTTGTTTGAATGGGATCACGGAATAGCTCTGCATGCACTGCAGGGGAATGGGGCCTCATCTCGCCTCTAGGGGGAAGTCTCATGGTTTTTCTCGAGTTGCGGCGGGGACCTGGGGTATGTTCTCGACTTACGGCGGGGATGGCCCTTCAAAACACGAGTTTCTTCAGTGACATCAGGACTCCTGTCTAGTAACGAGGGACACCTCAGGAATCTCTTCGAGGCTTGGCAGGGCAAAAGGGACGCTTCTCGAGGTGAGGCAGGGCACCCAAGGACCCTTTCCAGTAGCCACAGGGATTTTGGGATTCCTATCAGTATTCAAGAGGAGTCAGGCATCGTCACCTTTTGAAGCAATGAACTCCGCGTGCCTCTCGAGGTGTCAGCGGGATGTGAGGCATTCCGTCAAAATGAGGCAGGGACCTAGGGCTTTCTCTAAGGTCTCCACAGGGGCTTCAGACATCCCTTCATGTTGTGAGATAAAAGACGAGCCTGTATTCAAGCCACTGCAAGGAAATCCGGCCTCCTTTCAAGTTAGGGCTTCTCGCTGTATATTCCCCTTGAGGCAGCAAACTCGGGGTCCCTCCCACATACCTATTGCTGAGAGAAGCCTCCTCCTGAGGTGCTTCTGGGAAGTTGGCATACGTCTTGAGCCTAAGCCAGGGAATCAGCTCGCATCTCGAGACGATTTGGGGTACACGGAGCATTCCTCGAGTTGCTGTGCTGAAGTTGGTGTTCCTCTAGACTTGGGACAGTATTCTCGGGGCATCTCTGGAGTTGCCTGAAGGAAGTCGAGCCACCGGTCGTGTTGAATGGGGAACGGGGAATGGCTCTGGAGTCAATGCAGGGGAATCGGGCCTCATCTCGAGTTGATTTGGGGCACATGGAGCTGCTTTGCGTTGCTGGGGTGACCTCAGGGTCCGTCTAGACTGGTGACAGTGTTCTTGGGGACTGTCTCGAGATCCATTAAGCAAGTCGAAGCTCCTGACTTGTTTGAATGGGATCACGGAATAGCTCTGCATGCACTGCAGGGGAATGGGGCCTCATCTCGCCTCTAGGGGGAAGTCTCATGGTTTTTCTCGAGTTGCGGCGGGGACCTGGGGTATGTTCTCGACTTACGGCGGGGATGGCCCTTCAAAACACGAGTTTCTTCAGTGACATCAGGACTCCTGTCTAGTAACGAGGGACACCTCAGGAATCTCTTCGAGGCTTGGCAGGGCAAAACGGACGCTTCTCGAGGTGAGGCAGGGCACCCAAGGACCCTTCCATGTAACCACAGGGATTTTGGGATTCCTATCAGTATTCAAGAGGAGTCAGGCATCGTCACCTTTTGAAGCAATGAACTCCGCGTGCCTCTCGAGGTGTCAGCGCGATGTGAGGCATTCCGTCAAAATGAGGCAGGGAGTTAGGGCTTTCTCTAAGGTCTCCACAGGGGATTCAGACATCCCTTCATGTTGTGAGATGAAAGACGAGCCTGTATTCAAGCCACTGCAAGGAAATCCGGCCTCCTTTCAAGTTAGGGCTTCTCGCTGTATATTCCCCTTGAGGCAGCAAACTCGGGGTCCCTCCCACATACCTATTGCTGAGAGAAGCCTCCTCCTGAGGTGCTTCTGGGAAGTTGGCATACGTCTTGAGCCTAAGCCAGGGAATCAGCTCTCATCTCGAGACGATTTGGGGTACACGGAGCATTCCTCGAGTTGCTGTGCTGAAGTTGGTGTTCCTCTAGACTTGGGACAGTGTTCTCGGGGCATCTCTGGAGTTGCCTGAAGGAAGTCGAGCCACCGGTCGTGTTGAATGGGGAACGGGGAATGGCTCTGGAGTCAATGCAGGGGAATCGGGCCTCATCTCGAGTTGATTTGGGGCACATGGAGCTGCTTTGCGTTGCTGGGGTGACCTCAGGATCCGTCTAGACTGGTGACAGTGTTCTTGGGGACTGTCTCGAGATCCATTAAGGAAGTCGAAGCTCCTGACTTGTTTGAATGGGATCACGGAATAGCTCTGCATGCACTGCAGGGGAATGGGGCCTCATCTCGCCTCTAGGGGGAAGTCTCATGGTTTTTCTCGAGTTGCGGCGGGGACCTGGGGTATGTTCTCGACTTACGGCGGGGATGGCCCTTCAAAACACGAGTTTCTTCAGTGACGTCAGGACTCCTGTCTAGTAACGAGGGACACCTCAGGAATCTCTTCGAGGCTTGGCAGGGCAAAAGGGACGCTTCTCGAGGTGAGGCAGGGCACCCAAGGACCCTTTCCAGTAGCCACAGGGATTTTGGGATTCCTATCAGTATTCAAGAGGAGTCAGGCATCGTCACCTTTTGAAGCAATGAACTCCGCGTGCCTCTCGAGGTGTCAGCGCGATGTGAGGCATTCCGTCAAAATGAGGCAGGGACCTAGGGCTTTCTCTAAGGTCTCCACAGGGGATTCAGACATCCCTTCATGTTGTGAGATGAAAGACGAGCCTGTATTCAAGCCACTGCAAGGAAATCCGGCCTCCTTTCAAGTTAGGGCTTCTCGCTGTATATTCCCCTTGAGGCAGGAAACTCGGGGTCCCTCCCACATACCTATTGCTGAGAGAAGCCTCCTCCTGAGGTGCTTCTGGGAAGTTGGCATACGTCTTGAGCCTAAGCCAGGGAATCAGCTCTCATCTCGAGACGATTTGGGGTACACGGAGCATTCCTCGAGTTGCTGTGCTGAAGTTGGTGTTCCTCTAGACTTGGAACAGTATTCTCGGGGCATCTCTGGAGTTGCCTGAAGGAAGTCGAGCCACCGGTCGTGTTGAATGGGGAACGGGGAATGGCTCTGGAATCAATGCAGGGGAATCGGGCCTCATCTCGTGTTGATTTGGGGCACATGGAGCTGCTTTGCGTTGCTGGGGTGACCTCAGGGTCCGTCTAGACTGGTGACAGTGTTCTTGGGGACTGTCTCGAGATCCATTAAGCAAGTCGAAGCTCCTGACTTGTTTGAATGGGATCACGGAATAGCTCTGCATGCACTGCAGGGGAATGGGGCCTCATCTCGCCTCTAGGGGGAAGTCTCATGGTTTTTCTCGAGTTGCGGCGGGGACCTGGGGTATGTTCTCGACTTACGGCGGGGATGGCCCTTCAAAACACGAGTTTCTTCAGTGACGTCAGGACTCCTGTCTAGTAACGAGGGACACCTCAGGAATCTCTTCGAGGCTTGGCAGGGCAAAAGGGACGCTTCTCGAGGTGAGGCAGGGCACCCAAGGACCCTTTCCAGTAGCCACAGGGATTTTGGGATTCCTATCAGTATTCAAGAGGAGTCAGGCATCGTCACCTTTTGAAGCAATGAACTCCGCGTGCCTCTCGAGGTGTCAGCGCGATGTGAGGCATTCCGTCAAAATGAGGCAGGGACCTAGGGCTTTCTCTAAGGTCTCCACAGGGGATTCAGACATCCCTTCATGTTGTGAGATGAAAGACGAGCCTGTATTCAAGCCACTGCAAGGAAATCCGGCCTCCTTTCAAGTTAGGGCTTCTCGCTGTATATTCCCCTTGAGGCAGCAAACTCGGGGTCCCTCCCACATACCTATTGCTGAGAGAAGCCTCCTCCTGAGGTGCTTCTGGGAAGTTGGCATACGTCTTGAGCCTAAGCCAGGGAATCAGCTCTCATCTCGAGACGATTTGGGGTACACGGAGCATTCCTCGAGTTGCTGTGCTGAAGTTGGTGTTCCTCTAGACTTGGGACAGTGTTCTCGGGGCATCTCTGGAGTTGCCTGAAGGAAGTCGAGCCACCGGTCGTGTTGAATGGGGAACGGGGAATGGCTCTGGAGTCAATGCAGGGGAATCGGGCCTCATCTCGAGTTGATTTGGGGCACATGGAGCTGCTTTGCGTTGCTGGGGTGACCTCAGGGTCCGTCTAGACTGGTGACAGTGTTCTTGGGGACTGTCTCGAGATCCATTAAGCAAGTCGAAGCTCCTGACTTGTTTGAATGGGATCACGGAATAGCTCTGCATGCACTGCAGGGGAATGGGGCCTCATCTCGCCTCTAGGGGGAAGTCTCATGGTTTTTCTCGAGTTGCGGCGGGGACCTGGGGTATGTTCTCGACTTACGGCGGGGATGGCCCTTCAAAACACGAGTTTCTTCAGTGACGTCAGGACTCCTGTCTAGTAACGAGGGACACCTCAGGAATCTCTTCGAGGCTTGGCAGGGCAAAAGGGACGCTTCTCGAGGTGAGGCAGGGCACCCAAGGACCCTTTCCAGTAGCCACAGGGATTTTGGGATTCCTATCAGTATTCAAGAGGAGTCAGGCATCGTCACCTTTTGAAGCAATGAACTCCGCGTGCCTCTCGAGGTGTCAGCGCGATGTGAGGCATTCCGTCAAAATGAGGCAGGGACGTAGGGCTTTCTCTAAGGTCTCCACAGGGGATTCAGACATCCCTTCATGTTGTGAGATGAAAGACGAGCCTGTATTCAAGCCACTGCAAGGAAATCCGGCCTCCTTTCAAGTTAGGGCTTCTCGCTGTATATTCCCCTTGAGGCAGCAAACTCGGGGTCCCTCCCACATACCTATTGCTGAGAGAAACCTCATCCTGAGGTGCTTCTGGGAAGTTGGCATACGTCTTGAGCCTAAGCCAGGGAATCAGCTCTCATCTCGAGACGATTTGGGGTAGACGGAGCATTCCTCGAGTTGCTGTGCTGAAGTTGGTGTTCCTCTAGACTTGGGACAGTGTTCTCGGGGCATCTCTGGAGTTGCCTGAAGGAAGTCGAGCCACCGGTCGTGTTGAATGGGGAACGGGGAATGGCTCTGGAGTCAATGCAGGGGAATCGGGCCTCATCTCGAGTTGATTTGGGGCACATGGAGCTGCTTTGCGTTGCTGGGGTGACCTCAGGGTCCGTCTAGACTGGTGACAGTGTTCTTGGGGACTGTCTCGAGATCCATTAAGCAAGTCGAAGCTCCTGACTTGTTTGAATGGGATCACGGAATAGCTCTGCATGCACTGCAGGGGAATGGGGCCTCATCTCGCCTCTAGGGGGAAGTCTCATGGTTTTTCTCGAGTTGCGGCGGGGACCTGGGGTATGTTCTCGACTTACGGCGGGGATGGCCCTTCAAAACACGAGTTTCTTCAGTGACGTCAGGAATCCTGTCTAGTAACGAGGGACACCTCAGGAATCTATTCGAGGCTTGGCAGGGCAAAAGGGACGCTTCTCGAGATGAGGCAGGGCACCCAAGGACCCTTTCCAGTAGCCACAGGGATTTTGGGATTCCTATCAGTATTCAAGAGGAGTCAGGCATCGTCACCTTTTGAAGCAATGAACTCCGCGTGCCTCTCGAGGTGTCAGCGCGATGTGAGGCATTCCGTCAAAATGAGGCAGGGACCTAGGGCTTTCTCTAAGGTCTCCACAGGGGATTCAGACATCCCTTCATGTTGTGAGATGAAAGACGAGCCTGTATTCAAGCCACTGCAAGGAAATCCGGCCTCCTTTCAAGTTAGGGCTTCTCGCTGTATATTCCCCTTGAGGCAGCAAACTCGGGGTCCCTCCCACATACCTATTGCTGAGAGAAGCCTCCTCCTGAGGTGCTTCTGGGAAGTTGGCATACGTCTTGAGCCTAAGCCAGGGAATCAGCTCTCATCTCGAGACGATTTGGGGTACACGGAGCATTCCTCGAGTTGCTGTGCTGAAGTTGGTGTTCCTCTAGACTTGGGACAGTGTTCTCGGGGCATCTCTGGAGTTGCCTGAAGGAAGTCGAGCCACCGGTCGTGTTGAATGGGGAACGGGGAATGGCTCTGGAGTCAATGCAGGGGAATCGGGCCTCATCTCGAGTTGATTTGGGGCACATGGAGCTGCTTTGCGTTGCTGGGGTGACCTCAGGGTCCGTCTAGACTGGTGACAGTGATCTTGGGGACTGTCTCGAGATCCATTAAGCAAGTCGAAGCTCCTGTCTTGTTTGAATGGGATCACGGAATAGCTCTGCATGCACTGCAGGGGAATGGGGCCTCATCTCGCCTCTAGGGGGAAGTCTCATGGTTTTTCTCGAGTTGCGGCGGGGACCTGGGGTATGTTCTCGACTTACGGCGCGGATGGCCCTTCAAAACACGAGTTTCTTCAGTGACGTCAGGACTCCTGTCTAGTAACGAGGGACACCTCAGGAATCTCTTCGAGGCTTGGCAGGGCAAAAGGGACGCTTCTCGAGGTGAGGCAGGGCACCCAAGGACCCTTTCCAGTAGGCACAGGGATTTTGGGATTCCTATCAGTATTCAAGAGGAGTCAGGCATCGTCACCTTTTGAAGCAATGAACTCAGCGTGCCTCTCGAGGTGTCAGCGCGATGTGAGGCATTCCGTCAAAATGAGGCAGGGACCTAGGGCTTTCTCTAAGGTCTCCACAGGGGATTCAGACATCCCTTCATGTTGTGAGATGAAAGACGAGCCTGTATTCAAGCCACTGCAAGGAAATCCGGCCTCCTTTCAAGTTAGGGCTTCTCGCTGTATATTCCCCTTGAGGCAGCAAACTCGGGGTCCCTCCCACATACCTATTGCTGAGAGAAGCCTCCTCCTGAGGTGCTTCTGGGAAATTGGCATACGTCTTGAGCCTAAGCCAGGGAATCAGCTCTCATCTCGAGACGATTTGGGGTACACGGAGCATTCCTCGAGTTGCTGTGCTGAAGTTGGTGTTCCTCTAGACTTGGGACAGTGTTCTCGGGGCATCTCTGGAGTTGCCTGAAGGAAGTCGAGCCACCGGTCGTGTTGAATGGGGAACGGGGAATGGCTCTGGAGTCAATGCAGGGGAATCGGGCCTCATCTCGAGTTGATTTGGGGCACATGGAGCTGCTTTGCGTTGCTGGGGTGACCTCAGGGTCCGTCTAGACTGGTGACAGTGTTCTTGGGGACTGTCTCGAGATCCATTAAGCAAGTCGAAGCTCCTGACTTGTTTGAATGGGATCACGGAATAGCTCTGCATGCACTGCAGGGGAATGGGGCCTCATCTCGCCTCTAGGGGGAAGTCTCATGGTTTTTCTCGAGTTGCGGCGGGGACCTGGGGTATGTTCTCGACTTACGGCGGGGATGGCCCTTCAAAACACGAGTTACTTCAGTGACGTCAGGACTCCTGTCTAGTAACGAGGGACACCTCAGGAATCTCTTCGAGGCTTGGCAGGGCAAAACGGACGCTTCTCGAGGTGAGGCAGGGCACCCAAGGACCCTTTCCAGTAGCCACAGGGATTTTGGGATTCCTATCAGTATTCAAGAGGAGTCAGGCATCGTCACCTTTTGAAGCAATGAACTCCGCGTGCCTCTCGAGGTGTCAGCGGGATGTGAGGCATTCCGTCAAAATGAGGCAGGGACGTAGGGCTTTCTCTAAGGTCTCCACAGGGGATTCAGACATCCCTTCATGTTGTGAGATGAAAGACGAGCCTGTATTCAAGCCACTGCAAGGAAATCCGGCCTCCTTTCAAGTTAGGGCTTCTCGCTGTATATTCCCCTTGAGGCAGCAAACTCGGGGTCCCTCCCACATACCTATTGCTGAGAGAAGCCTCCTCCTGAGGTGCTTCTGGGAAGTTGGCATACGTCTTGAGCCTAAGCCAGGGAATCAGCTCGCATCTCGAGACGATTTGGGGTAGACGGAGCATTCCTCGAGTTGCTGTGCTGAAGTTGGTGTTCCTCTAGACTTGGGACAGTGTTCTCGGGGCATCTCTGGAGTTGCCTGAAGGAAGTCGAGCCACCGGTCGTGTTGAATGGGGAACGGGGAATGGCTCTGGAGTCAATGCAGGGGAATCGGGCCTCATCTCGAGTTGATTTGGGGCACATGGAGCTGCTTTGCGTTGCTGGGGTGACCTCAGGGTCCGTCTAGACTGGTGACAGTGTTCTTGGGGACTGTCTCGAGATCCATTAAGCAAGTCGAAGCTCCTGACTTGTTTGAATGGGATCACGGAATAGCTCTGCATGCACTGCAGGGGAATGGGGCCTCATCTCGCCTCTAGGGGGAAGTCTCATGGTTTTTCTCGAGTTGCGGCGGGGACCTGGGGTATGTTCTCGACTTACGGCGGGGATGGCCCTTCAAAACACGAGTTTCTTCAGTGACGTCAGGACTCCTGTCTAGTAACGAGGGACACCTCAGGAATCTCTTCGAGGCTTGGCAGGGCAAAAGGGACGCTTCTCGAGGTGAGGCAGGGCACCCAAGGACCCTTTCCAGTAGCCACAGGGATTTTGGGATTCCTATCAGTATTCAAGAGGAGTCAGGCATCGTCACCTTTTGAAGCAATGAACTCCGCGTGCCTCTCGAGGTGTCAGCGCGATGTGAGGCATTCCGTCAAAATGAGGCAGGAACCTAGGGCTTTCTCTAAGGTCTCCACAGGGGATTCAGACATCCCTTCATGTTGTGAGATGAAAGACGAGCCTGTATTCAAGCCACTGCAAGGAAATCCGGCCTCCTTTCAAGTTAGGGCTTCTCGCTGTATATTCCCCTTGAGGCAGCAAACTCGGGGTCCCTCCCACATACCTATTGCTGAGAGAAGCCTCCTCCTGAGGTGCTTCTGGGAAGTTGGCATACGTCTTGAGCCTAAGCCAGGGAATCAGCTCGCATCTCGAGACGATTTGGGGTAGACGGAGCATTCCTCGAGTTGCTGTGCTGAAGTTGGTGTTCCTCTAGACTTGGGACAGTGTTCTCGGGGCATCTCTGGAGTTGCCTGAAGGAAGTCGAGCCACCGGTCGTGTTGAATGGGGAACGGGGAATGGCTCTGGAGTCAATGCAGGGGAATCGGGCCTCATCTCGAGTTGATTTGGGGCACATGGAGCTGCTTTGCGTTGCTGGGGTGACCTCAGGGTCCGTCTAGACTGGTGACAGTGTTCTTGGGGACTGTCTCGAGATCCATTAAGCAAGTCGAAGCGCCTGACTTGTTTGAATGGGATCACGGAATAGCTCTGCATGCACTGCAGGGGAATGGCGCCTCATCTCGCCTCTAGGGGGAAGTCTCATGGTTTTTCTCGAGTTGCGGCGGGGACCTGGGGTATGTTCTCGACTTACGGCGGGGATGGCCCTTCAAAACACGAGTTTCTTCTGTGACTTCAGGACTCCTGTCTAGTAACGAGGGACACCTCAGGAATCTCTTCGAGGCTTGGCAGGGCAAAAGGGACGCTTCTCGAGGTGAGGCAGGGCACCCAAGGACCCTTTCCAGTAGCCACAGGGATTTTGGGATTCCTATCAGTATTCAAGAGGAGTCAGGCATCGTCACCTTTTGAAGCAATGAACTCCGCGTGCCTCTCGAGGTGTCAGCGGGATGTGAGGCATTCCGTCAAAATGAGGCAGGGATCTAGGTCTTTCTCTAAGGTCTCCACAGGGGATTCAGACATCCCTTCATGTTGTGAGATGAAAGACGAGCCTGTATTCAAGCCACTGCAAGGAAATCCGGCCTCCTTTCAAGTTAGGGCTTCTCTCTGTATATTCCCCTTGAGGCAGCAAACTCGGGGTCCCTCCCACATACCTATTGCTGAGAGAAGCCTCCTCCTGAGGTGCTTCTGGGAAGTTGGCATACGTCTTGAGCCTAAGCCAGGGAATCAGCTCGCATCTCGAGACGATTTCGGGTACACGGAGCATTCCTCGACTTGCTGTGCTGAATGTGGTGTTCCTCTAGACTTGGGACAGTGTTCTCGGGGCATCTCTGGAGTTGCCTGAAGGAAGTCGAGCCACCGGTCGTGTTGAATGGGGAACGGAGAATGGCTCTGGAGTCAATGCAGGGGAATCGGGCCTCATCTCGAGTTGATTTGGGGCACATGGAGCTGCTTTGCGTTGCTGGGGTGACCTCAGGGTCCGTCTAGACTGGTGACAGTGATCTTGGGGACTGTCTCGAGATCCATTAAGCAAGTCGAAGCTCCTGACTTGTTTGAATGGGATCACGGAATAGCTCTGCATGCACTGCAGGGGAATGGGGCCTCATCTCGCCTCTAGGGGGAAGTCTCATGGTTTTTCTCGAGTTGCGGCGGGGACCTGGGGTATGTTCTCGACTTACGGCGGGGATGGCCCTTCAAAACACGAGTTTCTTCAGTGACGTCAGGACTCCTGTCTAGTAACGAGGGACACCTCAGGAATCTCTTCGAGGCTTGGCAGGGCAAAAGGGACGCTTCTCGAGGTGAGGCAGGGCACCCAAGGACCCTTTCCAGTAGCCACAGGGATTTTGGGATTCCTATCAGTATTCAAGAGGAGTCAGGCATCGTCACCTTTTGAAGCAATGAACTCCGCGTGCCTCTCGAGGTGTCAGCGGGATGTGAGGCATTCCGTCAAAATGAGGCAGGGACCTAGGGCTTTCTCTAAGGTCTCCACAGGGGATTCAGACATCCCTTCATGTTGTGAGATGAAAGACGAGCCTGTACTCAAGCCACTGCAAGGAAATCCGGCCTCCTTTCAAGTTAGGGCTTCTCGCTGTATATTCCCCTTGAGGCAGCAAATTCGGGGTCCCTCCCACATACCTATTGCTGAGAGAAGCCTCCTCCTGAGGTGCTTCTGGGAAGTTGGCATACGTCTTGAGCCTAAGCCAGGGAATCAGCTCGCATCTCGAGACGATTTGGGGTAGACGGAGCATTCCTCGAGTTGCTGTGCTGAAGTTGGTGTTCCTCTAGACTTGGGACAGTGTTCTCGGGGCATCTCTGGAGTTGCCTGAAGGAAGTCGAGCCACCGGTCGTGTTGAATGGGGAACGGGGAATGGCTCTGGAGTCAATGCAGGGGAATCGGGCCTCATCTCGAGTTGATTTGGGGCACATGGAGCTGCTTTGCGTTGCTGGGGTGACCTCAGGGTCCGTCTAGACTGGTGACAGTGTTCTTGGGGACTGTCTCGAGATCCATTAAGCAAGTCGAAGCTCCTGACTTGTTTGAATGGGATCACGGAATAGCTCTGCATGCACTGCAGGGGAATGGCGCCTCATCTCGCCTCTAGGGGGAAGTCTCATGGTTTTTCTCGAGTTGCGGCGGGGACCTGGGGTATGTTCTCGACTTACGGCGGGGATGGCCCTTCAAAACACGAGTTTCTTCTGTGACTTCAGGACTCCTGTCTAGTAACGAGGGACACCTCAGGAATCTCTTCGAGGCTTGGCAGGGCAAAAGGGACGCTTCTCGAGGTGAGGCATGGCACCCAAGGACCCTTTCCAGTAGCCACAGGGATTTTGGGATTCCTATCAGTATTCAAGAGGAGTCAGGCATCGTCACCTTTTGAAGCAATGAACTCCGCGTGCCTCTCGAGGTGTCAGCGGGATGTGAGGCATTCCGTCAAAATGAGGCAGGGACCTAGGTCTTTCTCTAAGGTCTCCACAGGGGATTCAGACATCCCTTCATGTTGTGAGATGAAAGACGAGCCTGTATTCAAGCCACTGCAAGGAAATCCGGCCTCCTTTCAAGTTAGGGCTTCTCTCTGTATATTCCCCTTGAGGCAGCAAACTCGGGGTCCCTCCCACATACCTATTGCTGAGAGAAGCCTCCTCCTGAGGTGCTTCTGGGAAATTGGCATACGTCTTGAGCCTAAGCCAGGGAATCAGCTCGCATCTCGAGACGATTTCGGGTACACGGAGCATTCCTCGACTTGCTGTGCTGAAGTTGGTGTTCCTCTAGACTTGGGACAGTGTTCTCGGGGCATCTCTGGAGTTGCCTGAAGGAAGTCGAGCCACCGGTCGTGTTGAATGGGGAACGGAGAATGGCTCTGGAGTCAATGCAGGGGAATCGGGCCTCATCTCGAGTTGATTTGGGGCACATGGAGCTGCTTTGCGTTGCTGGGGTGACCTCAGGGTCCGTCTAGACTGGTGACAGTGATCTTGGGGACTGTCTCGAGATCCATTAAGCAAGTCGAAGCTCCTGACTTGTTTGAATGGGATCACGGAATAGCTCTGCATGCACTGCAGGGGAATGGGGCCTCATCTCGCCTCTAGGGGGAAGTCTCATGGTTTTTCTCGAGTTGCGGCGGCGACCTGGGATATGTTCTCGACTTACGGCGGGGATGGCCCTTCAAAACACGAGTTTCTTCAGTGACGTCAGGACTCCTGTCTAGTAACGAGGGACACCTCAGGAATCTCTTCGAGGCTTGGCAGGGCAAAAGGGACGCTTCTCGAGGTGAGGCAGGGCACCCAAGGACCCTTTCCAGTAGCCACAGGGATTTTGGGATTCCTATCAGTATTCAAGAGGGGTCAGGCATCGTCACCTTTTGAAGCAATGAACTCCGCGTGCCTCTCGAGGTGTCAGCGGGATGTGAGGCATTCCGTCAAAATGAGGCAGGGACGTAGGGCTTTCTCTAAGGTCTCCACAGGGGATTCAGACATCCCTTCATGTTGTGAGATGAAAGACGAGCCTGTACTCAAGCCACTGCAAGGAAATCCGGCCTCCTTTCAAGTTAGGGCTTCTCGCTGTATATTCCCCTTGAGGCAGCAAATTCGGGGTCCCTCCCACATACCTATTGCTGAGAGAAGCCTCCTCCTGAGGTGCTTCTGGGAAGTTGGCATACGTCTTGAGCCTAAGCCAGGGAATCAGCTCGCATCTCGAGACGATTTGGGGTAGACGGAGCATTCCTCGAGTTGCTGTGCTGAAGTTGGTGTTCCTCTAGACTTGGGACAGTGTTCTCGGGGCATCTCTGGAGTTGCCTGAAGGAAGTCGAGCCACCGGTCGTGTTGAATGGGGAACGGGGAATGGCTCTGGAGTCAATGCAGGGGAATCGGGCCTCATCTCGAGTTGATTTGGGGCACATGGAGCTGCTTTGCGTTGCTGGGGTGACCTCAGGGTCCGTCTAGACTGGTGACAGTGTTCTTGGGGACTGTCTCGAGATCCATTAAGCAAGTCGAAGCTCCTGACTTGTTTGAATGGGATCACGGAATAGCTCTGCATGCACTGCAGGGGAATGGGGCCTCATCTCGCCTCTAGGGGGAAGTCTCATGGTTTTTCTCGAGTTGCGGCGGGGACCTGGGGTATGTTCTCGACTTACGGCGGGGATGGCCCTTCAAAACACGAGTTTCTTCAGTGACGTCAGGACTCCTGTCTAGTAACGAGGGACACCTCAGGAATCTCTTCGAGGCTTGGCAGGGCAAAAGGGACGCTTCTCGAGGTGAGGCAGGGCACCCAAGGACCCTTTCCAGTAGCCACAGGGATTTTGGGATTCCTATCAGTATTCAAGAGGAGTCAGGCATCGTCACCTTTTGAAGCAATGAACTCCGCGTGCCTCTCGAGGTGTCAGCGGGATGTGAGGCATTCCGTCAAAATGAGGCAGGGACCTAGGGCTTTCTCTAAGGTCTCCACAGGGGATTCAGACATCCCTTCATGTTGTGAGATGAAAGATGAGCCTGTATTCAAGCCACTGCAAGGAAATCCGGCCTCCTTTCAAGTTAGGGCTTCTCGCTGTATATTCCCCTTGAGGCAGCAAACTCGGGGTCCCTCCCACATACCTATTGCTGAGAGAAGCCTCCTCCTGAGGTGCTTCTGGGAAGTTGGCATACGTCTTGAGCCTAAGCCAGGGAATCAGCTCGCATCTCGAGACGATTTGGGGTAGACGGAGCATTCCTCGAGTTGCTGTGCTGAAGTTGGTGTTCCTCTAGACTTGGGACAGTGTTCTCGGGGCATCTCTGGAGTTGCCTGAAGGAAGTCGAGCCACCGGTCGTGTTGAATGGGGAACGGGGAATGGCTCTGGAGTCAATGCAGGGGAATCGGGCCTCATCTCGAGTTGATTTGGGGCACATGGAGCTGCTTTGCGTTGCTGGGGTGACCTCAGAGTCCGTCTAGACTGGTGACAGTGTTCTTGGGGACTGTCTCGAGATCCATTAAGCAAGTCGAAGCTCCTGACTTGTTTGAATGGGATCACGGAATAGCTCTGCATGCACTGCAGGGGAATGGGGCCTCATCTCGCCTCTAGGGGGAAGTCTCATGGTTTTTCTCGAGTTGCGGCGGGGACCTGGGGTATGTTCTCGACTTACGGCGGGGATGGCCCTTCAAAACACGAGTTTCTTCAGTGACGTCAGGACTCCTGTCTAGTAACGAGGGACACCTCAGGAATCTCTTCGAGGCTTGGCAGGGCAAAAGGGACGCTTCTGGAGGTGAGGCAGGGCACCCAAGGACCCTTTCCAGTAGCCACAGGGATTTTGGGATTCCTATCAGTATTCAAGAGGAGTCAGGCATCGTCACCTTTTGAAGCAATGAACTCCGCGTGCCTCTCGAGGTGTCAGCGGGATGTGAGGCATTCCGTCAAAATGAGGCAGGGAACTAGGGCTTTCTCTAAGGTCTCCACAGGGGATTCAGACATCCCTTCATGTTGTGAGATGAAAGACGAGCCTGTATTCAAGCCACTGCAAGGAAATCCGGCCTCCTTTCAAGTTAGGGCTTCTCGCTGTATATTCCCCTTGAGGCAGCAAACTCGGGGTCCCTCCCACATACCTATTGCTGAGAGAAGCCTCCTCCTGAGGTGCTTCTGGGAAGTTGGCATACGTCTTGAGCCTAAGCCAGGGAATCAGCTCGCATCTCGAGACGATTTGGGGTAGACGGAGCATTCCTCGAGTTGCTGTGCTGAAGTTGGTGTTCCTCTAGACTTGGGACAGTGTTCTCGGGGCATCTCTGGAGTTGCCTGAAGGAAGTCGAGCCACCGGTCGTGTTGAATGGGGAACGGGGAATGGCTCTGGAGTCAATGCAGGGGAATCGGGCCTCATCTCGAGTTGATTTGGGGCACATGGAGCTGCTTTGCGTTGCTGGGGTGACCTCAGGGTCCGTCTAGACTGGTGACAGTGTTCTTGGGGACTGTCTCGAGATCCATTAAGCAAGTCGAAGCTCCTGACTTGTTTGAATGGGATCACAGAATAGCTCTGCATGCACTGCAGGGGAATGGCGCCTCATCTCGCCTCTAGGGGGAAGTCTCATGGTTTTTCTCGAGTTGCGGCGGGGACCTGGGGTATGTTCTCGACTTACGGCGGGGATGGCCCTTCAAAACACGAGTTTCTTCTGTGACTTCAGGACTCCTGTCTAGTAACGAGGGACACCTCAGGAATCTCTTCGAGGCTTGGCAGGGCAAAAGGGACGCTTCTCGAGGTGAGGCAGGGCACCCAAGGACCCTTTCCAGTAGCCACAGGGATTTTGGGATTCCTATCAGTATTCAAGAGGAGTCAGGCATCGTCACCTTTTGAAGCAATGAACTCCGCGTGCCTCTCGAGGTGTCAGTGGGATGTGAGGCATTCCGTCAAAATGAGGCAGGGACCTAGGGCTTTCTCTAAGGTCTCCACAGGGGATTCAGACATCCCTTCATGTTGTGAGATGAAAGACGAGCCTGTATTCAAGCCACTGCAAGGAAATCCGGCCTCCTTTCAAGTTAGGGCTTCTCGCTGTATATTTCCCTTGAGGCAGCAAACTCGGGGTCCCTCCCACATACCTATTGCTGAGAGAAGCCTCCTCCTGAGGTGCTTCTGGGAAGTTGGCATACGTCTTGAGCCTAAGCCAGGGAATCAGCTCGCATCTCGAGACGATTTGGGGTAGACGGAGCATTCCTCGATTTGCTGTGCTGAAGGTGGTGTTCCTCTAGACTTGGGACAGTGTTCTCGGGGCATCTCTGGAGTTGCCTGAAGGAAGTCGAGCCACCGGTCGTGTTGAATGGGGAACGGGGAATGGCTCTGGAGTCAATGCAGGGGAATCGGGCCTCATCTCGAGTTGATTTGGGGCACATGGAGCTGCTTTGCGTTGCTGGGGTGACCTCAGGGTCCGTCTCGACTGGTGACAGTGTTCTTGGGGACTGTCTCGAGATCCATTAAGCAAGTCGAAGCTCCTGACTTGTTTGAATGGGATCACGGAATAGCGCTGCATGCACTGCAGGGGAATGGGGCCTCATCTCGCCTCTAGGGCGAAGTCTCATGGTTTTTCTCGAGTTGCGGCGGGGACCTGGGGTATGTTCTCGACTTACGGCGGGGATGGCCCTTCAAAACACGAGTTTCTTCAGTGACGTCAGGACTCCTGTCTAGTAACGAGGGACACCTCAGGAATCTCTTCGAGGCTTGGCAGGGCAAAAGGGACGCTTCTCGAGGTGAGGCAGGGCACCCAAGGACCCTTTCCAGTAGCCACAGGGATTTTGGGATTCCTATCAGTATTCAAGAGGAGTCAGGCATCGTCACCTTTTGAAGCAATGAACTCCGCGTGCCTCTCGAGGTGTCAGCGGGATGTGAGGCATTCCGTCAAAATGAGGCAGGGACCTAGGGCTTTCTCTAAGGTCTCCACAGGGGACTCAGACATCCCTTTATGTTGTGAGATGAAAGACGAGCCTGTATTCAAGCCACTGCAAGGAAATCCGGCCTCCTTTCAAGTTAGGGCTTCTCGCTGTATATTCCCCTTGAGGCAGCAAACTCGGGGTCCCTCCCACATACCTATTGCTGAGAGAAGCCTCCTCCTGAGGTGCTTCTGGGAAGTTGGCATACGTCTTGAGTCTAAGCCAGGAAATCAGCTCGCATCTCGAGACGATTTGGGGTACACGGAGCATTCCTCGAGTTGCTGTGCTGAAGGTGGTGTTCCTCTAGACTTGGGACAGTGTTCTCGGGGCATCTCTGGAGTTGCCTGAAGGAAGTCGAGCCACCGGTCGTGTTGAATGGGGAACGGGGAATGGCTCTGGAGTCAATGCAGGGGAATCGGGCCTCATCTCGAGTTGATTTGGGGCACATGGAGCTGCTTTGCGTTGCTGGGGTGACCTCAGGGTCCGTCTAGACTGGTGACAGTGTTCTTGGGGACTGTCTCGAGATCCACTAAGCAAGTCGAAGCTCCTGACTTGTTTGAATGGGATCACGGAATAGCTCTGCATGCACTGCAGGGGAATGGGGCCTCATCTCGCCTCTAGGGGGAAGTCTCATGGTTTTGCTCGAGTTGCGGCGGGGACCTGGGGTATGTTCTCGACTTACAGCGGGGATGGCCCTTCAAAACACGAGTTTCTTCAGTGAAGTCAGGACTCCTGTCTAGTATCGAGGGACACCTCAGGAATCTCTTCGAGGCTTGGCAGGACAAAAGGGACGCTTCTCGAGGTGAGGCAGGGCACCCAAGGACCCTTTCCAGTAGCCACAGGGATTTTGGGATTCCTATCAGTATTCAAGAGGAGTCAGGCATCGTCACCTTTTGAAGCAATGAACTCCGCGTGCCTCTCGAGGTGTCAGCGTGATGTGAGGCATTCCGTCAAAATGAGGCAGGGACCTAGGGCTTTCTCTAAGGTCTCCACAGGGGATTCAGACATCCCTTCATGTTGTGAGATGAAAGACGAGCCTGTATTCAAGCCACTGCAAGGAAATCCGGCCTCCTTTCAAGTTAGGGCTTCTCGCTGTATATTCCCCTTGAGGCAGCAAACTCGGGGTCCCTCCCACATACCTATTGCTGAGAGAAGCCTCCTCCTGAGGTGCTTCTGGGAAGTTGGCATACGTCTTGAGCCTAAGCCAGGGAATCAGCTCTCATCTCGAGACGATTTGGGGTACACGGAGCATTCCTCGAGTTGCTGTGCTGAAGTTGGTGTTCCTCTAGACTTGGGACAGTGTTCTCGGGGCATCTCTGGAGTTGCCTGAAGGAAGTCGAGCCACCGGTCGTGTTGAATGGGGAACGGGGAATGGCTCTGGAGTCAATGCAGGGGAATCGGGCCTCATCTCGAGTTGATTTGGGGCACATGGAGCTGCTTTGCGTTGCTGGGGTGACCTCAGGGTCCGTCTAGACTGGTGACAGTGTTCTTGGGGACTGTCTCGAGATCCATTAAGCAAGTCGAAGCTCCTGACTTGTTTGAATGGGATCACGGAATAGCTCTGCATGCACTGCAGGGGAATGGGGCCTCATCTCGCCTCTAGGGGGAAGTCTCATGGTTTTTCTCGAGTTGCGGCGGGGACCTGGGGTATGTTCTCGACTTACGGCGGGGATGGCCCTTCAAAACACGAGTTTCTTCAGTGACGTCAGGACTCCTGTCTAGTAACGAGGGACACCTCAGGAATCTCTTCGAGGCTTGGCAGGGCAAAAGGGACGCTTCTCGAGGTGAGGCAGGGCACCCAAGGACCCTTTCCAGTAGCCACAGGGATTTTGGGATTCCTATCAGTATTCAAGAGGAGTCAGGCATCGTCACCTTTTGAAGCAATGAACTCCGCGTGCCTCTCGAGGTGTCAGCGGGATGTGAGGCATTCCTTAAAAATGAGGCAGGGACCTAGGGCTTTCTCTAAGGTCTCCACAGGGGATTCAGACATCCCTTCATGTTGTGAGATGAAAGACGAGCCTGTATTCAAGCCACTGCAAGGAAATCCGGCCTCCTTTCAAGTTAGGGCTTCTCGCTGTATATTCCCCTTGAGGCAGCAAACTCGGGGTCCCTCCCACATACCTATTGCTGAGAGAAGCCTCCTCCTGAGGTGCTTCTGGGAAGTTGGCATACGTCTTGAGCCTAAGCCAGGGAATCAGCTCGCATCTCGAGACGATTTGGGGTACACGGAGCATTCCTCGAGTTGATGTGCTGAAGTTGGTGTTCCTCTAGACTTGGGACAGTGTTCTCGGGGCATCTCTGGAGTTGCCTGAAGGAAGTCGAGCCACCGGTCGTGTTGAATGGGGAACGGGGAATGGCTCTGGAGTCAATGCAGGGGAATCGGGCCTCATCTCGAGTTGATTTGGGGCACATGGAGCTGCTTTGCGTTGCTGGGGTGACCTCAGGGTCCGTCTAGACTGGTGACAGTGATCTTGGGGACTGTCTCGAGATCCATTAAGCAAGTCGAAGCTCCTGACTTGTTTGAATGGGATCACGGAATAGCTCTGCATGCACTGCAGGGGAATGGGGCCTCATCTCGCCTCTAGGGGGAAGTCTCATGGTTTTTCTCGAGTTGCGGCGGGGACCTGGGGTATGTTCTCGACTTACGGCGGGGATGGCCCTTCAAAACACGAGTTTCTTCAGTGACGTCAGGATTCCTGTCTAGTAACGTGGGACACCTTAGGAATCTCTTCGAGGCTTGGCAGGGCAAAAGGGACGCTTCTCGAGGTGAGGCAGGGCACCCAAGGACCCTTTCCATTAGCCACAGGGATTTTGGGATTCCTATCAGTATTCAAGAGGAGTCAGGCATCGTCACCTTTTGAAGCAATGAACTCCGTGTGCCTCTCGAGGTGTCAGCGGGATGTGAGGCATTCCGTCAAAATGAGGCAGGGACCTAGGGCTTTCTCTAAGGTCTCCACAGGGGACTCAGACATCCCTTCATGTTGTGAGATGAAAGACGAGCCTGTATTCAAGCCACTGCAAGGAAATCCGGCCTCCTTTCAAGTTAGGGCTTCTCGCTGTATATTCCCCTTGAGGCAGCAAACTCGGGGTCCCTCCCACATACCTATTGCTGAGAGAAGCCTCCTCCTGAGGTGCTTCTGGGAAGTTGGCATACGTCTTGAGTCTAAGCCAGGAAATCAGCTCGCATCTCGAGACGATTTGGGGTACACGGAGCATTCCTCGAGTTGCTGTGCTGAAGGTGGTGTTCCTCTAGACTTGGGACAGTGTTCTCGGGGCATCTCTGGAGTTGCCTGAAGGAAGTCGAGCCACCGGTCGTGTTGAATGGGGAACGGGGAATGGCTCTGGAGTCAATGCAGGGGAATCGGGCCTCATCTCGAGTTGATTTGGGGCACATGGAGCTGCTTTGCGTTGCTGGGGTGACCTCAGGGTCCGTCTAGACTGGTGACAGTGTTCTTGGGGACTGTCTCGAGATCCATTAAGCAAGTCGAAGCTCCTGACTTGTTTGAATGGGATCACGGAATAGCTCTGCATGCACTGCAGGGGAATGGGGCCTCATCTCGCCTCTAGGGGGAAGTCTCATGGTTTTTCTCGAGTTGCGGCGGGGACCTGAGCTATGTTCTCAACTTACGGCGGGGATGGCCCTTCAAAACACGAGTTTCTTCTGTGACTTCAGGACTCCTGTCTAGTAACGAGGGACACCTCGGGAATCTCTTCGAGGCTTGGCAGGGCAAAAGGGACGCTTCTCGAGGTGAGGCAGGGCACCCAAGGACCCTTTCCAGTAGCCACAGGGATTTTGGGATTCCTATCAGTATTCAAGAGGAGTCAGGCATCGTCACCTTTTGAAGCAATGAACTCCGCGTGCCTCTCGAGGTTTCAGCGGGATGTAAGGCATTCCGTCAAAATGAGGCAGGGGCCTAGGGCTTTCTCTAAGGTCTCCACAGGGGATTCAGACATCCCTTCATGTTGTGAGATGACAGACGAGCCTGTATTCAAGCCACTGCAAGGAAATCCGGCCTCCTTTCAAGTTAGGGCTTCTCGCTGTATATTTCCCTTGAGGCAGCAAACTCGGGGTCCCTCCCACATACCTATTGCTGAGAGAAGCCTCCTCCTGAGGTGCTTCTGGGAAGTTGGCATACGTCTTGAGCCTAAGCCAGGGAATCAGCTCGCATCTCGAGACGATTTGGGGTAGACGGAGCATTCCTCGAGTTGCTGTGCTGAAGGTGGTGTTCCTCTAGACTTGGGACAGTGTTCTCGGGGCATCTCTGGAGTTGCCTGAAGGAAGTCGAGCCACCGGTCGTGTTGAATGGGGAACGGGGAATGGCTCTGGAGTCAATGCAGGGGAATCGGGCCTCATCTCGAGTTGATTTGGGGCACATGGAGCTGCTTTGCGTTGCTGGGGTGACCTCAGGGTCCGTCTAGACTGGTGACAGTGATCTTGGGGACTGTCTCGAGATCCATTAAGCAAGTCGAAGCTCCTGACTTGTTTGAATGGGATCACGGAATAGCTCTGCATGCACTGCAGGGGAATGGGGCCTCATCTCGCCTCTAGGGGGAAGTCTCATGGTTTTTCTCGAGTTGCGGCGGGGACCTGGGGTATGTTCTCGACTTACGGCGGGGATGGCCCTTCAAAACACGAGTTTCTTCAGTGACGTCAGGACTCCTGTCTAGTAACGAGGGACACCTCAGGAATCTCTTCGAGGCTTGGCAGGGCAAAAGGGACGCTTCTCGAGGTGAGGCAGGGCACCCAAGGACCCTTTCCAGTAGCCACAGGGATTTTGGGATTCCTATCAGTATTCAAGAGGAGTCAGGCATCGTCACCTTTTGAAGCAATGAACTCCGCGTGCCTCTCGAGGTGTCAGCGGGATGTGAGGCATTCCTTAAAAATGAGGCAGGGACCTAGGGCTTTCTCTAAGGTCTCCACAGGGGATTCAGACATCCCTTCATGTTGTGAGATGAAAGACGAGCCTGTATTCAAGCCACTGCAAGGAAATCCGGCCTCCTTTCAAGTTAGGGCTTCTCGCTGTATATTCCCCTTGAGGCAGCAAACTCGGGGTCCCTCCCACATACCTATTGCTGAGAGAAGCCTCCTCCTGAGGTGCTTCTGGGAAGTTGGCATACGTCTTGAGCCTAAGCCAGGGAATCAGCTCGCATCTCGAGACGATTTGGGGTACACGGAGCATTCCTCGAGTTGATGTGCTGAAGTTGGTGTTCCTCTAGACTTGGGACAGTGTTCTCGGGGCATCTCTGGAGTTGCCTGAAGGAAGTCGAGCCACCGGTCGTGTTGAATGGGGAACGGGGAATGGCTCTGGAGTCAATGCAGGGGAATCGGGCCTCATCTCGAGTTGATTTGGGGCACATGGAGCTGCTTTGCGTTGCTGGGGTGACCTCAGGGTCCGTCTAGACTGGTGACAGTGATCTTGGGGACTGTCTCGAGATCCATTAAGCAAGTCGAAGCTCCTGACTTGTTTGAATGGGATCACGGAATAGCTCTGCATGCACTGCAGGGGAATGGGGCCTCATCTCGCCTCTAGGGGGAAGTCTCATGGTTTTTCTCGAGTTGCGGCGGGGACCTGGGGTATGTTCTCGACTTACGGCGGGGATGGCCCTTCAAAACACGAGTTTCTTCAGTGACGTCAGGATTCCTGTCTAGTAACGTGGGACACCTTAGGAATCTCTTCGAGGCTTGGCAGGGCAAAAGGGACGCTTCTCGAGGTGAGGCAGGGCACCCAAGGACCCTTTCCATTAGCCACAGGGATTTTGGGATTCCTATCAGTATTCAAGAGGAGTCAGGCATCGTCACCTTTTGAAGCAATGAACTCCGTGTGCCTCTCGAGGTGTCAGCGGGATGTGAGGCATTCCGTCAAAATGAGGCAGGGACCTAGGGCTTTCTCTAAGGTCTCCACAGGGGACTCAGACATCCCTTCATGTTGTGAGATGAAAGACGAGCCTGTATTCAAGCCACTGCAAGGAAATCCGGCCTCCTTTCAAGTTAGGGCTTCTCGCTGTATATTCCCCTTGAGGCAGCAAACTCGGGGTCCCTCCCACATACCTATTGCTGAGAGAAGCCTCCTCCTGAGGTGCTTCTGGGAAGTTGGCATACGTCTTGAGTCTAAGCCAGGAAATCAGCTCGCATCTCGAGACGATTTGGGGTACACGGAGCATTCCTCGAGTTGCTGTGCTGAAGGTGGTGTTCCTCTAGACTTGGGACAGTGTTCTCGGGGCATCTCTGGAGTTGCCTGAAGGAAGTCGAGCCACCGGTCGTGTTGAATGGGGAACGGGGAATGGCTCTGGAGTCAATGCAGGGGAATCGGGCCTCATCTCGAGTTGATTTGGGGCACATGGAGCTGCTTTGCGTTGCTGGGGTGACCTCAGGGTCCGTCTAGACTGGTGACAGTGTTCTTGGGGACTGTCTCGAGATCCATTAAGCAAGTCGAAGCTCCTGACTTGTTTGAATGGGATCACGGAATAGCTCTGCATGCACTGCAGGGGAATGGGGCCTCATCTCGCCTCTAGGGGGAAGTCTCATGGTTTTTCTCGAGTTGCGGCGGGGACCTGAGCTATGTTCTCAACTTACGGCGGGGATGGCCCTTCAAAACACGAGTTTCTTCTGTGACTTCAGGACTCCTGTCTAGTAACGAGGGACACCTCGGGAATCTCTTCGAGGCTTGGCAGGGCAAAAGGGACGCTTCTCGAGGTGAGGCAGGGCACCCAAGGACCCTTTCCAGTAGCCACAGGGATTTTGGGATTCCTATCAGTATTCAAGAGGAGTCAGGCATCGTCACCTTTTGAAGCAATGAACTCCGCGTGCCTCTCGAGGTTTCAGCGGGATGTAAGGCATTCCGTCAAAATGAGGCAGGGACCTAGGGCTTTCTCTAAGGTCTCCACAGGGGATTCAGACATCCCTTCATGTTGTGAGATGACAGACGAGCCTGTATTCAAGCCACTGCAAGGAAATCCGGCCTCCTTTCAAGTTAGGGCTTCTCGCTGTATATTTCCCTTGAGGCAGCAAACTCGGGGTCCCTCCCACATACCTATTGCTGAGAGAAGCCTCCTCCTGAGGTGCTTCTGGGAAGTTGGCATACGTCTTGAGCCTAAGCCAGGGAATCAGCTCGCATCTCGAGACGATTTGGGGTAGACGGAGCATTCCTCGAGTTGCTGTGCTGAAGGTGGTGTTCCTCTAGACTTGGGACAGTGTTCTCGGGGCATCTCTGGAGTTGCCTGAAGGAAGTCGAGCCACCGGTCGTGTTGAATGGGGAACGGGGAATGGCTCTGGAGTCAATGCAGGGGAATCGGGCCTCATCTCGAGTTGATTTGGGGCACATGGAGCTGCTTTGCGTTGCTGGGGTGACCTCAGGGTCCGTCTAGACTGGTGACAGTGATCTTGGGGACTGTCTCGAGATCCATTAAGCAAGTCGAAGCTCCTGACTTGTTTGAATGGGATCACGGAATAGCTCTGCATGCACTGCAGGGGAATGGGGCCTCATCTCGCCTCTAGGGGGAAGTCTCATGGTTTTTCTCGAGTTGCGGCGGGGACCTGGGGTATGTTCTCGACTTACGGCGGGGATGGCCCTTCAAAACACGAGTTTCTTCAGTGACGTCAGGACTCCTGTCTAGTAACGTGGGACACCTTAGGAATCTCTTCGAGGCTTGGCAGGGCAAAAGGGACGCTTCTCGAGGTGAGGCAGGGCACCCAAGGACCCTTTCCAGTAGCCACAGGGATTTTGGGATTCCTATCAGTATTCAAGAGGAGTCAGGCATCGTCACCTTTTGAAGCAATGAACTCCGCGTGCCTCTCGAGGTGTCAGCGGGATGTGAGGCATTCCGTCAAAATGAGGCAGGGACCTAGGGCTTTCTCTAAGGTCTCCACAGGGGACTCAGACATCCCTTCATGTTGTGAGATGAAAGACGAGCCTGTATTCAAGCCACTGCAAGGAAATCCGGCCTCCTTTCAAGTTAGGGCTTCTCGCTGTATATTCCCCTTGAGGCAGCAAACTCGGGGTCCCTCCCACATACCTATTGCTGAGAGAAGCCTCCTCCTGAGGTGCTTCTGGGAAGTTGGCATACGTCTTGAGTCTAAGCCAGGAAATCAGTTCGCATCTCGAGACGATTTGGGGTACACGGAGCATTCCTCGAGTTGCTGTGCTGAAGGTGGTGTTCCTCTAGACTTGGGACAGTGTTCTCGGGGCATCTCTGGAGTTGCCTGAAGGAAGTCGAGCCACCGGTCGTGTTGAATGGGGAATGGGGAATGGCTCTGGAGTCAATGCAGGGGAATCGGGCCTCATCTCGAGTTGATTTGGGGCACATGGAGCTGCTTTGCGTTGCTGGGGTGACCTCAAGGTCCTTCTAGACTGGTGACAGTGTTCTTGGGGACTGTCTCGAGATCCACTAAGCAAGTCGAAGCTCCTGACTTGTTTGAATGGGATCACGGAATAGCTCTGCATGCACTGCAGGGGAATGGGGCCTCATCTCGCCTCTAGGGGGAAGTCTCATGGTTTTTCTCGAGTTTCGGCGGGGACCTGGGGTATGTTCTCGACTTACGGCGGGGATGGCCCTCAAAACACGAGTTTCTTCAGTGACGTCAGGACTCCTGTCTAGTAACGAGGGACACCTCAGGAATCTCTTCGAGGCTTGGCAGGGCAAAAGGGACGCTTCTCGAGGTGAGGCAGGGCACCCAAGGACCCTTTCCAGTAGCCAAAGGGATTTTGGGATTCCTATCAGTATTCAAGAGGAGTCAGGCATCGTCACCTTTTGAAGCAATGAACTCCGCGTGCCTCTCGAGGTGTCAGCGGGATGTGAGGCATTCCGTCAAAATGAGGCAGGGACCTAGGGCTTTCTCTAAGGTCTCCACAGGGGATTCAGACATCCCTTCATGTTGTGAGATGAAAGACGAGCCTGTATTCAAGCCACTGCAAGGAAATCCGGCCTGCTTTCAAGTTAGGGCTTCTCGCTGTATATTCCCCTTGAGGCAGCAAACTCGGGGTCCCTCCCACATACCTATTGCTGAGAGAAGCCTCCTCCTGAGGTGCTTCTGGGAAGTTGGCATACGTCTTGAGCCTAAGCCAGGGAATCAGCTCGCATCTCGAGACGATTTGGGGTAGACGGAGCATTCCTCGAGTTGCTGTGCCGAAGGTGGTGTTCCTCTAGACTTGGGACAGTGTTCTCGGGGCATCTCTGGAGTTGCCTGAAGGAAGTCGAGCCACCGGTCGTGTTGAATGGGGAACGGGGAATGGCTCTGGAGTCAATGCAGGGGAATCGGGCCTCATCTCGAGTTGATTTGGGGCACATGGACCTGCTTTGCGTTGCTGGGGTGACCTCAGGGTCCGTCTAGACTGGTGACAGTGTTCTTGGGGACTGTCTCGAGATCCATTAAGCAAGTCGAAGCTCCTGACTTGTTTGAATGGGATCACGGAATAGCTCTGCCTGCACTGCAGGGGAATGGGGCCTCATCTCGCCTCTAGGGGGAAGTCTCATGGATTTTCTCGAGTTGCGGCGGGGACCTGGGGTATGTTCTCGACTTACGGCGGGGATGGCCCTTCAAAACACGAGTTTCTTCAGTGACGTCAGGACTCCTGTCTAGTAACGAGGGACACCTCAGGAATCTCTTCGAGGCTTGGCAGGGCAAAAGGGACGCTTCTCGAGGTGAGGCAGGGCACCCAAGGACCCTTTCCAGTAGCCACAGGGATTTTGGGATTCCTATCAGTATTCAAGAGGAGTCAGGCATCGTCACCTTTTGAAGCAATGAACTCCGCGTGCCTCTCGAGGTGTCAGCGGGATGTGAGGCATTCCGTCAAAATGAGGCAGGGACCTAGGGCTTTCTCTAAGGTCTCCACAGGGGACTCAGACATCCCTTCATGTTGTGAGATGAAAGACGAGCCTGTATTCAAGCCACTGCAAGGAAATCCGGCCTCCTTTCAAGTTAGGGCTTCTCGCTGTATATTCCCCTTGAGGCAGCAAACTCGGGGTCCCTCCCACATACCTATTGCTGAGAGAAGCCTCCTCCTGAGGTGCTTCTGGGAAGTTGGCATACGTCTTGAGTCTAAGCCAGGGAATCAGCTCGCATCTCGAGACGATTTGGGGTACACGGAGCATTCCTCGAGTTGCTGTGCTGAAGGTGGTGTTCCTCTAGACTTGGGACAGTGTTCTCGGGGCATCTCTGGAGTTGCCTGAAGGAAGTCGAGCCACCGGTCGTGTTGAATGGGGAACGGGGAATGGCTCTGGAGTCAATGCAGGGGAATCGGGCCTCATCTCGAGTTGATTTGGGGCACATGGAGCTGCTTTGCGTTGCTGGGGTGACCTCAAGGTCCGTCTAGACTGGTGACAGTGTTCTTGGGGACTGTCTCGAGATCCACTAAGCAAGTCGAAGCTCCTGACTTGTTTGAATGGGATCACGGAATAGCTCTGCATGCACTGCAGGGGAATGGGGCCTCATCTCGCCTCTAGGGGGAAGTCTCATGGTTTTTCTCCAGTTGCGGCGGGGACCTGGGGTATGTTCTCGACTTACGGCGGGGATGGCCCTTCAAAACACGAGTTTCTTCAGTGACGTCAGGACTCCTGTCTAGTAACGAGGGACACTTCAGGAATCTCTTCGAGGCTTGGCAGGGCAAAAGGGACGCTTCTCGAGGTGAGGCAGGGCACCCAAGGACCCTTTCCAGTAGCCACAGGGATTTTGGGATTCCTATCAGTATTCAAGAGGAGTCAGGCATCGTCACCTTTTGAAGCAATGAACTCCGCGTGCCTCTCGAGGTGTCAGCGGGATGTGAGGCATTCCGTCAAAATGAGGCAGGGACCTAGGGCTTTCTCTAAGGTCTCCACAGGGGATTCAGACATCCCTTCATGTTGTGAGATGAAAGACGAGCCTGTATTCAAGCCACTGCAAGGAAATCCGGCCTCCTTTCAAGTTAGGGCTTCTCGCTGTATATTCCCCTTGAGGCAGCAAACTCGGGGTCCCTCCCACATACCTATTGCTGAGAGAAGCCTCCTCCTGAGGTGCTTCTGGGAAGTTGGCATACGTCTTGAGCCTAAGCCAGGGAATCAGCTCGCATCTCGAGACGATTTGGGGTAGACGGAGCATTCCTCGAGTTGCTGTGCTGAAGGTGGTGTTCCTCTAGACTTGGGACAGTGTTCTCGGGGCATCTCTGGAGTTGCCTGAAGGAAGTCGAGCCACCGGTCGTGTTGAATGGGGAACGGGGAATGGCTCTGGAGTCAATGCAGGGGAATCGGGCCTCATCTCGAGTTGATTTGGGGCACATGGAGCTGCTTTGCGTTGCTGGGGTGACCTCAGGGTCCGTCTAGACTGGTGACAGTGTTCTTGGGGACTGTCTCGAGATCCATTAAGCAAGTCGAAGCTCCTGACTTGTTTGAATGGGATCACGGAATAGCTCTGCATGCACTGCAGGGGAATGGGGCCTCATCTCGCCTCTAGGGGGAAGTCTCATGGTTTTTCTCGAGTTGCGGCGGGGACCTGGGGTATGTTCTCGACTTACGGCGGGGATGGCCCTTCAAAACACGAGTTTCTTCAGTGACGTCAGGACTCCTGTCTAGTAACGAGGGACACCTCAGGAATCTCTTCGAGGCTTGGCAGGGCAAAAGGGACGCTTCTCGAGGTGAGGCAGGGCACCCAAGGACCCTTTCCAGTAGCCACAGGGATTTTGGGATTCCTATCAGTATTCAAGAGGAGTCAGGCATCGTCACCTTTTGAAGCAATGAACTCCGCGTGCCTCTCGAGGTGTCAGCGGGATGTGAGGCATTCCGTCAAAATGAGGCAGGGACCTAGGTCTTTCTCTAAGGTCTCCACAGGGGATTCAGACATCCCTTCATGTTGTGAGATGAAAGACGAGCCTGTATTCAAGCCACTGCAAGGAAATCCGGCCTCCTTTCAAGTTAGGGCTTCTCGCTGTATATTCCCCTTGAGGCAGCAAACTCGGGGTCCCTCCCACATACCTATTGCTGAGAGAAGCCTCCTCCTGAGGTGCTTCTGGGAAGTTGGCATACGTCTTGAGCCTAAGCCAGGGAATCAGCTCTCATCTCGAGACGATTTGGGGTAGACGGAGCATTCCTCGAGTTGCTGTGCTGAAGGTGGTGTTCCTCTAGACTTGGGACTGTGTTCTCGGGGCATCTCTGGAGTTGCCTGAAGGAAGTCGAGCCACCGGTCGTGTTGAATGGGGAACGGGGAATGGCTCTGGAGTCAATGCAGGGGAATCGGGCCTCATCTCGAGTTGATTTGGGGCACATGGAGCTGCTCTGCGTTGCTGGGGTGACCTCAGGGTCCGTCTAGACTGGTGACAGTGTTCTTGGGGACTGTCTCGAGATCCATTAAGCAAGTCGAAGCTCATGACTTGTTTCAATGGGATCACGGAATAGCTCTGCATGCACTGCAGGGGAATGGGGCCTCATCTCGCCTCTAGGGGGAAGTCTCATGGTTTTTCTCGAGTTGCGGCGGGGACCTGGGGTATGTTCTCGACTTACGGCGGGGATGGCCCTTCAAAACACGAGTTTCTTCAGTGACGTCAGGACTCCTGTCTAGTAACGAGGGACACCTCAGGAATATCTTCGAGGCTTGGCAGGGCAAAAGGGACGCTTCTCGAGGTGAGGCAGGGCACCCAAGGACCCTTTCCAGTAGCCACAGGGATTTTGGGATTCCTATCAGTATTCAAGAGGAGTCAGGCATCGTCACCTTTTGAAGCAATGAACTCCGCGTGCCTCTCGAGGTGTCAGCGGGATGTGAGGCATTCCGTCAAAATGAGGCAGGGACCTAGGGCTTTCTCTAAGGTCTCCACAGGGGACTCAGACATCCCTTCATGTTGTGAGATGAAAGACGAGCCTGTATTCAAGCCACTGCAAGGAAATCCGGCCTCCTTTCAAGTTAGGGCTTCTCGCTGTATATTCCCCTTGAGGCAGCAAACTCGGGGTCCCTCCCACATACCTATTGCTGAGAGAAGCCTCCTCCTGAGGTGCTTCTGGGAAGTTGGCATACGTCTTGAGTCTAAGCCAGGGAATCAGCTCGCATCTCGAGACGATTTGGGGTACACGGAGCATTCCTCGAGTTGCTGTGCTGAAGGTGGTGTTCCTCTAGACTTGGGACAGTGTTCTCGGGGCATCTCTGGAGTTGCCTGAAGGAAGTCGAGCCACCGGTCGTGTTGAATGGGGAACGGGGAATGGCTCTGGAGTCAATGCAGGGGAATCGGGCCTCATCTCGAGTTGATTTGGGGCACATGGAGCTGCTTTGCGTTGCTGGGGTGACCTCAGGGTCCGTCTAGACTGGTGACAGTGTTCTTGGGGACTGTCTCGAGATCCATTAAGCAAGTCGAAGCTCCTGACTTGTTTGAATGGGATCACGGAATAGCTCTGCATGCACTGCAGGGGAATGGGGCCTCATCTCGCCTCTAGGGGGAAGTCTCATGGTTTTTCTCGAGTTGCGGCGGGGACCTGGGGTATGTTCTCGACTTACGGCGGGGATGGCCCTTCAAAACACGAGTTTCTTCAGTGACGTCAGGACTCCTGTCTAGTAATGAGGGACACCTCAGGAATCTCTTCGAGGCTTGGCAGGGCAAAAGGGACGCTTCTCGAGGTGAGGCAGGGCACCCAAGGACCCTTTCCAGTAGCCACAGGGATTTTGGGATTCCTATCAGTATTCAAGAGGAGTCAGGCATCGTCACCTTTTGAAGCAATGAACTCCGCGTGCCTCTCGAGGTGTCAGCGGGATGTGAGGCATTCCGTCAAAATGAGGCAGGGACCTAGGGCTTTCTCTAAGGTCTCCACAGGGGATTCAGACATCCCTTCATGTTGTGAGATGAAAGACGAGCCTGTATTCAAGCCACTGCAAGGAAATCCGGCCTCCTTTCAAGTTAGGGCTTCTCGCTGTATATTCCCCTTGAGGCAGCAAACTCGGGGTCCCTCCCACATACCTATTGCTGAGAGAAGCCTCCTCCTGAGGTGCTTCTGGGAAGTTGGCATACGTCTTGAGCCTAAGCCAGGGAATCAGCTCTCATCTCGAGACGATTTGGGGTACACGGAGCATTCCTCGAGTTGCTGTGCTGAAGTTGGTGTTCCTCTAGACTTGGGACAGTGTTCTCGGGGCATCTCTGGAGTTGCCTGAAGGAAGTCGAGCCACCGGTCGTGTTGAATGGGGAACGGGGAATGGCTCTGGAGTCAATGCAGGGGAATCGGGCCTCATCTCGAGTTGATTTGGGGCACATGGAGCTGCTTTGCGTTGCTGGGGTGACCTCAGGGTCCGTCTAGACTGGTGACAGTGATCTTGGGGACTGTCTCGAGATCCATTAAGCAAGTCGAAGCTCCTGACTTGTTTGAATGGGATCACGGAATAGCTCTGCATGCACTGCAGGGGAATGGGGCCTCATCTCGCCTCTAGGGGGAAGTCTCATGGTTTTTCTGGAGTTGCGGCGGGGACCTGGGGTATGTTCTCGACTTACGGCGGGGATGGCCCTTCAAAACACGAGTTTCTTCAGTGACGTCAGGACTCCTGTCTAGTAACGTGGGACACCTTAGGAATCTCTTCGAGGCTTGGCAGGGCAAAAGGGACGCTTCTCGAGGTGAGGCAGGGCACCCAAGGACCCTTTCCAGTAGCCACAGGGACTTTGGGATTCCTATCAGTATTCAAGAGGAGTCAGGCATCGTCACCTTTTGAAGCAATGAACTCCGCGTGCCTGTCGAGGTGTCAGCGGGATGTGAGGCATTCCGTCAAAATGAGGCAGGGACCTAGGGCTTTCTCTAAGGTCTCCACAGGGGACTCAGACATCCCTTCATGTTGTGAGATGAAAGACGAGCCTGTATTCAAGCCACTGCAAGGAAATCCGGCCTCCTTTCAAGTTAGGGCTTCTCGCTGTATATTCCCCTTGAGGCAGCAAACTCGGGGTCCCTCCCACATACCTATTGCTGAGAGAAGCCTCCTCCTGAGGTGCTTCTGGGAAGTTGGCATACGTCTTGAGTCTAAGCCAGGGAATCAGCTCGCATCTCGAGACGATTTGGGGTACACGGAGCATTCCTCGAGTTGCTGTGCTGAAGGTGGTGTTCCTCTAGACTTGGGACAGTGTTCTCGGGGCATCTCTGGAGTTGCCTGAAGGAAGTCGAGCCACCGGTCGTGTTGAATGGGGAACGGGGAATGGCTCTGGAGTCAATGCAGGGGAATCGGGCCTCATCTCGAGTTGATTTGGGGCACATGGAGCTGCTTTGCGTTGCTGGGGTGACCTCAGGGTCCGTCTAGACTGGTGACAGTGTTCTTGGGGACTGTCTCGAGATCCATTAAGCAAGTCGAAGCTCCTGACTTGTTTGAATGGGATCACGGAATAGCTCTGCATGCACTGCAGGGGAATGGGGCCTCATCTCGCCTCTAGGGGGAAGTCTCATGGTTTTTCTCGAGTTGCGGCGGGGACCTGGGGTATGTTCTCGACTTACGGCGGGGATGGCCCTTCAAAACACGAGTTTCTTCAGTGACGTCAGGACTCCTGTCTAGTAATGAGGGACACCTCAGGAATCTCTTCGAGGCTTGGCAGGGCAAAAGGGACGCTTCTCGAGGTGAGGCAGGGCACCCAAGGACCCTTTCCAGTAGCCACAGGGATTTTGGGATTCCTATCAGTATTCAAGAGGAGTCAGGCATCGTCACCTTTTGAAGCAATGAACTCCGCGTGCCTCTCGAGGTGTCAGCGGGATGTGAGGCATTCCGTCAAAATGAGGCAGGGACCTAGGGCTTTCTCTAAGGTCTCCACAGGGGATTCAGACATCCCTTCATGTTGTGAGATGAAAGACGAGCCTGTATTCAAGCCACTGCAAGGAAATCCGGCCTCCTTTCAAGTTAGGGCTTCTCGCTGTATATTCCCCTTGAGGCAGCAAACTCGGGGTCCCTCCCACATACCTATTGCTGAGAGAAGCCTCCTCCTGAGGTGCTTCTGGGAAGTTGGCATACGTCTTGAGCCTAAGCCAGGGAATCAGCTCTCATCTCGAGACGATTTGGGGTACACGGAGCATTCCTCGAGTTGCTGTGCTGAAGTTGGTGTTCCTCTAGATTTGGGACAGTGTTCTCGGGGCATCTCTGGAGTTGCCTGAAGGAAGTCGAGCCACCGGTCGTGTTGAATGGGGAACGGGGAATGGCTCTGGAGTCAATGCAGGGGAATCGGGCCTCATCTCGAGTTGATTTGGGGCACATGGAGCTGCTTTGCGTTGCTGGGGTGACCTCAGGGTCCGTCTAGACTGGTGACAGTGTTCTTGGGGACTGTCTCGAGATCCATTAAGCAAGTCGAAGCTCCTGACTTGTTTGAATGGGATCACGGAATAGCTCTGCCTGCACTGCAGGGGAATGGGGCCTCATCTCGCCTCTAGGGGGAAGTCTCATGGATTTTCTCGAGTTGCGGCGGGGACCTGGGGTATGTTCTCGACTTACGGCGGGGATGGCCCTTCAAAACACGAGTTTCTTCAGTGACGTCAGGACTCCTGTCTAGTAACGAGGGACACCTCAGGAATCTCTTCGAGGCTTGGCAGGGCAAAAGGGACGCTTCTCGAGGTGAGGCAGGGCACCCAAGGACCCTTTCCAGTAGCCACAGGGATTTTGGGATTCCTATCAGTATTCAAGAGGAGTCAGGCATCGTCACCTTTTGAAGCAATGAACTCCGCGTGCCTCTCGAGGTGTCAGCGGGATGTGAGGCATTCCGTCAAAATGAGGCAGGGACCTAGGGCTTTCTCTAAGGTCTCCACAGGGGACTCAGACATCCCTTCATGTTGTGAGATGAAAGACGAGCCTGTATTCAAGCCACTGCAAGGAAATCCGGCCTCCTTTCAAGTTAGGGCTTCTCGCTGTATATTCCCCTTGAGGCAGCAAACTCGGGGTCCCTCCCACATACCTATTGCTGAGAGAAGCCTCCTCCTGAGGTGCTTCTGGGAAGTTGGCATACGTCTTGAGTCTAAGCCAGGGAATCAGCTCGCATCTCGAGACGATTTGGGGTACACGGAGCATTCCTCGAGTTGCTGTGCTGAAGGTGGTGTTCCTCTAGACTTGGGACAGTGTTCTCGGGGCATCTCTGGAGTTGCCTGAAGGAAGTCGAGCCACCGGTCGTGTTGAATGGGGAACGGGGAATGGCTCTGGAGTCAATGCAGGGGAATCGGGCCTCATCTCGAGTTGATTTGGGGCACATGGAGCTGCTTTGCGTTGCTGGGGTGACCTCAAGGTCCGTCTAGACTGGTGACAGTGTTCTTGGGGACTGTCTCGAGATCCACTAAGCAAGTCGAAGCTCCTGACTTGTTTGAATGGGATCACGGAATAGCTCTGCATGCACTGCAGGGGAATGGGGCCTCATCTCGCCTCTAGGGGGAAGTCTCATGGTTTTTCTCGAGTTGCGGCGGGGACCTGGGGTATGTTCTCGACTTACGGCGGGGATGGCCCTTCAAAACACGAGTTTCTTCAGTGACGTCAGGACTCCTGTCTAGTAACGAGGGACACCTCAGGAATCTCTTCGAGGCTTGGCAGGGCAAAAGGGACGCTTCTCGAGGTGAGGCAGGGCACCCAAGGACCCTTTCCAGTAGCCACAGGGATTTTGGGATTCCTATCAGTATTCAAGAGGAGTCAGGCATCGTCACCTTTTGAAGCAATGAACTCCGCTTGCCTCTCGAGGTGTCAGCGGGATGTGAGGCATTCCGTCAAAATGAGTCAGGGACCTAGGGCTTTCTCTAAGGTCTCCACAGGGGATTCAGACATCCCTTCATGTTGTGAGATGAAAGACGAGCCTGTATTCAAGCCACTGCAAGGAAATCCGGCCTCCTTTCAAGTTAGGGCTTCTCGCTGTATATTCCCCTTGAGGCAGCAAACTCGGGGTCCCTCCCACATACCTATTGCTGAGAGAAGCCTCCTCCTGAGGTGCTTCTGGGAAGTTGGCATACGTCTTGAGCCTAAGCCAGGGAATCAGCTCGCATCTCGAGACGATTTGGGGTAGACGGAGCATTCCTCGAGTTGCTGTGCTGAAGGTGGTGTTCCTCTAGACTTGGGACAGTGTTCTCGGGGCATCTCTGGAGTTGCCTGAAGGAAGTCGAGCCACCGGTCGTGTTGAATGGGGAACGGGGAATGGCTCTGGAGTCAATGCAGGGGAATCGGGCCTCATCTCGAGTTGATTTGGGGCACATGGAGCTGCTTTGCGTTGCTGGGGTGACCTCAGGGTCCGTCTAGACTGGTGACAGTGTTCTTGGGGACTGTCTCGAGATCCATTAAGCAAGTCGAAGCTCCTGACTTGTTTGAATGGTTCACGGAATAGCTCTGCATGCACTGCAGGGGAATGGGGCCTCATCTCGCCTCTAGGGGGAAGTCTCATGGTTTTTCTCGAGTTGCGGCGGGGACCTGGGGTATGTTCTCGACTTACGGCGGGGATGGCCCTTCAAAACACGAGTTTCTTCAGTGACGTCAGGACTCCTGTCTAGTAACGAGGGACACCTCAGGAATCTCTTCGAGGCTTGGCAGGGCAAAAGGGACGCTTCTCGAGGTGAGGCAGGGCACCCAAGGACCCTTTCCAGTAGCCACAGGGATTTTGGGATTCCTATCAGTATTCAAGAGGAGTCAGGCATCGTCACCTTTTGAAGCAATGAACTCCGCGTGCCTCTCGAGGTGTCAGCGGGATGTGAGGCATTCCGTCAAAATGAGGCAGGGACCTAGGGCTTTCTCTAAGGTCTCCACAGGGGATTCAGACATCCCTTCATGTTGTGAGATGAAAGACGAGCCTGTATTCAAGCCACTGCAAGGAAATCCGGCCTCCTTTCAAGTTAGGGCTTCTCGCTGTATATTCCCCTTGAGGCAGCAAACTCGGGGTCCCTCCCACATACCTATTGCTGAGAGAAGCCTCCTCCTGAGGTGCTTCTGGGAAGTTGGCATACGTCTTGAGCCTAAGCCAGGGAATCAGCTCGCATCTCGAGACGATTTGGGGTAGACGGAGCATTCCTCGAGTTGCTGTGCTAAAGGTGGTGTTCCTCTAGACTTGGGACAGTGTTCTCGGGGCATCTCTGGAGTTGCCTGAAGGAAGTCGAGCCACCGGTCGTGTTGAATGGGGAACGGGGAATGGCTCTGGAGTCAATGCAGGGGAATCGGGCCTCATCTCGAGTTGATTTGGGGCACATGGAGCTGCTTTGCGTTGCTGGGGTGACCTCAGGGTCCGTCTAGACTGGTGACAGTGATCTTGGGGACTGTCTCGAGATCCATTAAGCAAGTCGAAGCTCCTGACTTGTTTGAATGGGATCACGGAATAGCTCTGCATGCACTGCAGGGGAATGGGGCCTCATCTCGCCTCTAGGGGGAAGTCTCATGGTTTTTCTCGAGTTGCGGCGGGGACCTGGGGTATGTTCTCGACTTACGGCGGGGATGGCCCTTCAAAACACGAGTTTCTTCAGTGACGTCAGGACTCCTGTCTAGTAACGAGGGACACCTCAGGAATCTCTTCGAGGCTTGGCAGGGCAAAAGGGACGCTTCTCGAGGTGAGGCAGGGCACCCAAGGACCCTTTCCAGTAGCCACAGGGACTTTGGGATTCCTATCAGTATTCAAGAGGAGTCAGGCATCGTCACCTTTTGAAGCAATGAACTCCGCGTGCCTGTCGAGGTGTCAGCGGGATGTGAGGCATTCCGTCAAAATGAGGCAGGGACCTAGGGCTTTCTCTAAGGTCTCCACAGGGGACTCAGACATCCCTTCATGTTGTGAGATGAAAGACGAGCCTGTATTCAAGCCACTGCAAGGAAATCCGGCCTCCTTTCAAGTTAGGGCTTCTCGCTGTATATTCCCCTTGAGGCAGCAAACTCGGGGTCCCTCCCACATACCTATTGCTGAGAGAAGCCTCCTCCTGAGGTGCTTCTGGGAAGTTGGCATACGTCTTGAGTCTAAGCCAGGGAATCAGCTCGCATCTCGAGACGATTTGGGGTAGACGGAGCATTCCTCGAGTTGCTGTGCTGAAGGTGGTGTTCCTCTAGACTTGGGACAGTGTTCTCGGGGCATCTCTGGAGTTGCCTGAAGGAAGTCGAGCCACCGGTCGTGTTGAATGGGGAACGGGGAATGGCTCTGGAGTCAATGCAGGGGAATCGGGCCTCATCTCGAGTTGATTTGGGGCACATGGAGCTGCTTTGCGTTGCTGGGGTGACCTCAGGGTCCGTCTAGACTGGTGACAGTGTTCTTGGGGACTGTCTCGAGATCCATTAAGCAAGTCGAAGCTCCTGACTTGTTTGAATGGGATCACGGAATAGCTCTGCATGCACTGCAGGGGAATGGGGCCTCATCTCGCCTCTAGGGGGAAGTCTCATGGTTTTTCTCGAGTTGCGGCGGGGACCTGGGGTATGTTCTCGACTTACGGCGGGGATGGCCCTTCAAAACACGAGTTTCTTCAGTGACGTCAGGACTCCTGTCTAGTAATGAGGGACACCTCAGGAATCTCTTCGAGGCTTGGCAGGGCAAAAGGGACGCTTCTCGAGGTGAGGCAGGGCACCCAAGGACCCTTTCCAGTAGCCACAGGGATTTTGGGATTCCTATCAGTATTCAAGAGGAGTCAGGCATCGTCACCTTTTGAAGCAATGAACTCCGCGTGCCTCTCGAGGTGTCAGCGGGATGTGAGGCATTCCGTCAAAATGAGGCAGGGACCTAGGGCTTTCTCTAAGGTCTCCACAGGGGATTCAGACATCCCTTCATGTTGTGAGATGAAAGACGAGCCTGTATTCAAGCCACTGCAAGGAAATCCGGCCTCCTTTCAAGTTAGGGCTTCTCGCTGTATATTCCCCTTGAGGCAGCAAACTCGGGGTCCCTCCCACATACCTATTGCTGAGAGAAGCCTCCTCCTGAGGTGCTTCTGGGAAGTTGGCATACGTCTTGAGCCTAAGCCAGGGAATCAGCTCGCATCTCGAGACGATTTGGGGTAGACGGAGCATTCCTCGAGTTGCTGTGCTGAAGGTGGTGTTCCTCTAGACTTGGGACAGTGTTCTCGGGGCATCTCTGGAGTTGCCTGAAGGAAGTCGAGCCACCGGTCGTGTTGAATGGGGAACGGGGAATGGCTCTGGAGTCAATGCAGGGGAATCGGGCCTCATCTCGAGTTGATTTGGGGCACATGGAGCTGCTTTGCGTTGCTGGGGTGACCTCAGGGTCCGTCTAGACTGGTGACAGTGTTCTTGGGGACTGTCTCGAGATCCATTAAGCAAGTCGAAGCTCCTGACTTGTTTGAATGGGATCACGGAATAGCTCTGCATGCACTGCAGGGGAATGGGGCCTCATCTCGCCTCTAGGGGGAAGTCTCATGGTTTTTCTCGAGTTGCGGCGGGGACCTGGGGTATGTTCTCGACTTACGGCGGGGATGGCCCTTCAAAACACGAGTTTCTTCAGTGACGTCAGGACTCCTGTCTAGTAACGAGGGACACCTCAGGAATCTCTTCGAGGCTTGGCAGGGCAAAAGGGACGCTTCTCGAGGTGAGGCAGGGCACCCAAGGACCCTTTCCAGTAGCCACAGGGATTTTGGGATTCCTATCAGTATTCAAGAGGAGTCAGGCATCGTCACCTTTTGAAGCAATGAACTCCGCGTGCCTCTCGAGGTGTCAGCGGGATGTGAGGCATTCCGTCAAAATGAGGCAGGGACCTAGGGCTTTCTCTAAGGTCTCCACAGGGGATTCAGACATCCCTTCATGTTGTGAGATGAAAGACGAGCCTGTATTCAAGCCACTGCAAGGAAATCCGGCCTCCTTTCAAGTTAGGGCTTCTCGCTGTATATTCCCCTTGAGGCAGCAAACTCGGGGTCCCTCCCACATACCTATTGCTGAGAGAAGCCTCCTCCTGAGGTGCTTCTGGGAAGTTGGCATACGTCTTGAGCCTAAGCCAGGGAATCAGCTCTCATCTCGAGACGATTTGGGGTAGACGGAGCATTCCTCGAGTTGCTGTGCTGAAGGTGGTGTTCCTCTAGACTTGGGACAGTGTTCTCGGGGCATCTCTGGAGTTGCCTGAAGGAAGTCGAGCCACCGGTCGTGTTGAATGGGGAACGGGGAATGGCTCTGGAGTCAATGCAGGGGAATCGGGCCTCATCTCGAGTTGATTTGGGGCACATGGAGCTGCTCTGCGTTGCTGGGGTGACCTCAGGGTCCGTCTAGACTGGTGACAGTGTTCTTGGGGACTGTCTCGAGATCCATTAAGCAAGTCGAAGCTCCTGACTTGTTTCAATGGGATCACGGAATAGCTCTGCATGCACTGCAGGGGAATGGGGCCTCATCTCGCCTCTAGGGGGAAGTCTCATGGTTTTTCTCGAGTTGCGGCGGGGACCTGGGGTATGTTCTCGACTTACGGCGGGGATGGCCCTTCAAAACACGAGTTTCTTCAGTGACGTCAGGACTCCTGTCTAGTAACGAGGGACACCTCAGGAATCTCTTCGAGGCTTGGCAGGGCAAAAGGGACGCTTCTCGAGGTGAGGCAGGGCACCCAAGGACCCTTTCCAGTAGCCACAGGGATTTTGGGATTCCTATCAGTATTCAAGAGGAGTCAGGCATCGTCACCTTTTGAAGCAATGAACTCCGCGTGCCTCTCGAGGTGTCAGCGGGATGTGAGGCATTCCGTCAAAATGAGGCAGGGACCTAGGGCTTTCTCTAAGGTCTCCACAGGGGATTCAGACATCCCTTCATGTTGTGAGATGAAAGACGAGCCTGTATTCAAGCCACTGCAAGGAAATCCGGCCTCCTTTCAAGTTAGGGCTTCTCGCTGTATATTCCCCTTGAGGCAGCAAACTCGGGGTCCCTCCCACATACCTATTGCTGAGAGAAGCCTCCTCCTGAGGTGCTTCTGGGAAGTTGGCATACGTCTTGAGCCTAAGCCAGGGAATCAGCTCGCATCTCGAGACGATTTGGGGTAGACGGAGCATTCCTCGAGTTGCTGTGCTAAAGGTGGTGTTCCTCTAGACTTGGGACAGTGTTCTCGGGGCATCTCTGGAGTTGCCTGAAGGAAGTCGAGCCACCGGTCGTGTTGAATGGGGAACGGGGAATGGCTCTGGAGTCAATACAGGGGAATCGGGCCTCATCTCGAGTTGATTTGGGGCACATGGAGCTGCTTTGCGTTGCTGGGGTGACCTCAGGGTCCGTCTAGACTGGTGACAGTGATCTTGGGGACTGTCTCGAGATCCATTAAGCAAGTCGAAGCTCCTGACTTGTTTGAATGGGATCACGGAATAGCTCTGCATGCACTGCAGGGGAATGGGGCCTCATCTCGCCTCTAGGGGGAAGTCTCATGGTTTTTCTCGAGTTGCGGCGGGGACCTGGGGTATGTTCTCGACTTACGGCGGGGATGGCCCTTCAAAACACGAGTTTCTTCAGTGACGTCAGGACTCCTGTCTAGTAACGTGGGACAACTTAGGAATCTCTTCGAGGCTTGGCAGGGCAAAAGGGATGCTTCTCGAAGTGAGGCAGGGCACCCAAGGACCCTTTCCAGTAGCCACAGGGACTTTGGGATTCCTATCAGTATTCAAGAGGAGTCAGGCATCGTCACCTTTTGAAGCAATGAACTCCGCGTGCCTCTCGAGGTGTCAGCGGGATGTGAGGCATTCCGTCAAAATGAGGCAGGGACCTAGGGCTTTCTCTAAGGTCTCCACAGGGGACTCAGACATCCCTTCATGTTGTGAGATGAAAGACGAGCCTGTATTCAAGCCACTGCAAGGAAATCCGGCCTCCTTTCAAGTTAGGGCTTCTCGCTGTATATTCCCCTTGAGGCAGCAAACTCGGGGTCCCTCCCACATACCTATTGCTGAGAGAAGCCTCCTCCTGAGGTGCTTCTGGGAAGTTGGCATACGTCTTGAGTCTAAGCCAGGGAATCAGCTCGCATCTCGAGACGATTTGGGGTACACGGAGCATTCCTCGAGTTGCTGTGCTGAAGGTGGTGTTCCTCTAGACTTGGGACAGTGTTCTCGGGGCATCTCTGGAGTTGCCTGAAGGAAGTCGAGCCACCGGTCGTGTTGAATGGGGAACGGGGAATGGCTCTGGAGTCAATGCAGGGGAATCGGGCCTCATCTCGAGTTGATTTGGGGCACATGGAGCTGCTTTGCGTTGCTGGGGTGACCTCAAGGTCCGTCTAGACTGGTGACAGTGTTCTTGGGGACTGTCTCGAGATCCACTAAGCAAGTCGAAGCTCCTGACTTGTTTGAATGGGATCACGGAATAGCTCTGCATGCACTGCAGGGGAATGGGGCCTCATCTCGCCTCTAGGGGGAAGTCTCATGGTTTTTCTCGAGTTGCGGCGGGGACCTGGGGTATGTTCTCGACTTACGGCGGGGATGGCCCTTCAAAACACGAGTTTCTTCAGTGACGTCAGGACTCCTGTCTAGTAACGAGGGACACCTCAGGAATCTCTTCGAGGCTTGGCAGGGCAAAAGGGACGCTTCTCGAGGTGAGGCAGGGCACCCAAGGACCCTTTCCAGTAGCCACAGGGATTTTGGGATTCCTATCAGTATTCAAGAGGAGTCAGGCATCGTCACCTTTTGAAGCAATGAACTCCGCGTGCCTCTCGAGGTGTCAGCGGGATGTGAGGCATTCCGTCAAAATGAGGCAGGGACCTAGGGCTTTCTCTAAGGTCTCCACAGGGGATTCAGACATCCCTTCATGTTGTGAGATGAAAGACGAGCCTGTATTCAAGCCACTGCAAGGAAATCCGGCCTCCTTTCAAGTTAGGGCTTCTCGCTGTATATTCCCCTTGAGGCAGCAAACTCGGGGTCCCTCCCACATACCTATTGCTGAGAGAAGCCTCCTCCTGAGGTGCTTCTGGGATTTTGGCATACGTCTTGAGCCTAAGCCAGGGAATCAGCTCGCATCTCGAGACGATTTGGGGTACACGGAGCATTCCTCGAGTTGCTGTGCTGAAGTTGGTGTTCCTCTAGACTTGGGACAGTGTTCTCGGGGCATCTCTGGAGTTGCCTGAAGGAAGTCGAGCCACCGGTCGTGTTGAATGGGGAACGGGGAATGGCTCTGGAGTCAATGCAGGGGAATCGGGCCTCATCTCGAGTTGATTTGGGGCACATGGAGCTGCTTTGCGTTGCTGGGGTGACCTCAGGGTCCGTCTAGACTGGTGACAGTGTTCTTGGGGACTGTCTCGAGATCCATTAAGCAAGTCGAAGCTCCTGACTTGTTTGAATGGGATCACGGAATAGCTCTGCATGCACTGCAGGGGAATGGGGCCTCATCTCGCCTCTAGGGGGAAGTCTCATGGTTTTTCTCGAGTTGCGGCGGGGACCTGGGATATGTTCTCGACTTACGGCGGGGATGGCCCTTCAAAACACGAGTTTCTTCAGTGACGTCAGGACTCCTGTCTAGTAACGAGGGACACCTCAGGAATCTCTTCGAGGCTTGGCAGGGCCAAAGGGACGCTTCTCGAGGTGAGGCAGGGCACCCAAGGACCCTTTCCAGTAGCCACAGGGATTTTGGGATTCCTATCAGTATTCAAGAGGAGTCAGGCATCGTCACCTTTTGAAGCAATGAACTCCGCGTGCCTCTCGAGGTGTCAGCGGGATGTGAGGCTTTCCGTCAAAATGAGGCAGGGATCTAGGGCTTTCTCTAAGGTCTCCACAGGGGATTCAGACATCCCTTCATGTTGTGAGATGAAAGACGAGCCTGTATTCAAGCCACTGCAAGGAAATCCGGCCTCCTTTCAAGTTAGGGCTTCTCGCTGTATATTCCCCTTGAGGCAGCAAACTCGGGGTCCCTCCCACATACCTATTGCTGAGAGAAGCCTCCTCCTGAGGTGCTTCTGGGAAGTTGGCATTCGACTTGAGCCTAAGCCAGGGAATCAGCTCGCATCTCGAGACGATTTGGGGTACACGGAGCATTCCTCGAGTTGCTGTGCTGAAGTTGGTGTTCCTCTAGACTTGGGACAGTGTTCTCGGGGCATCTCTGGAGTTGCCTGAAGGAAGTCGAGCCACCGGTCGTGTTGAATGGGGAACGGGGAATGGCTCTGGAGTCAATGCAGGGGAATCGGGCCTCATCTCGAGTTGATTTGGGGCACATGGAGCTGCTTTGCGTAGCTGGGGTGACCTCAGGGTCCGTCTAGACTGGTGACAGTGTTCTTGGGGACTGTCTCGAGATCCATTAAGCAAGTCGAAGCTCCTGACTTGTTTGAATGGGATCACGGAATAGCTCTGCATGCACTGCAGGGGAATGGGGCCTCATCTCGCCTCTAGGGGGAAGTCTCATGGTTTTTCTCGAGTTGCGGCGGGGACCTGGGGTATGTTCTCGACTTACGGCGGGGATGGCCCTTCAAAACACGAGTTTCTTCAGTGACGTCAGGACTCCTGTCTAGTAACGAGGGACACCTCAGGAATCTCTTCGAGGCTTGGCAGGGCCAAAGGGACGCTTCTCGAGGTGAGGCAGGGCACCCAAGGACCCTTTCCAGTAGCCACAGGGATTTTGGGATTCCTATCAGTATTCAAGAGGAGTCAGGCATCGTCACCTTTTGAAGCAATGAACTCCGCGTGCCTCTCGAGGTGTCAGCGGGATGTGAGGCATTCCGTCAAAATGAGGCAGGGACCTAGGGCTTTCTCTAAGGTCTCCACAGGGGATTCAGACATCCCTTCATGTTGTGAGATGAAAGACGAGCCTGTATTCAAGCCACTGCAAGGAAATCCGGCCTCCTTTCAAGTTAGGGCTTCTCGCTGTATATTCCCCTTGAGGCAGCAAACTCGGGGTCCCTCCCACATACCTATTGCTGAGAGAAGCCTCCTCCTGAGGTGCTTCTGGGAAGTTGGCATACGTCTTGAGCCTAAGCCAGGGAATCAGCTCTCATCTCGAGACGATTTGGGGTAGACGGAGCATTCCTCGAGTTGCTGTGCTGAAGGTGGTGTTCCTCTAGACTTGGGACAGTGTTCTCGGGGCATCTCTGGAGTTGCCTGAAGGAAGTCGAGCCACCGGTCGTGTTGAATGGGGAACGGGGAATGGCTCTGGAGTCAATGCAGGGGAATCGGGCCTCATCTCGAGTTGATTTGGGGCACATGGAGCTGCTCTGCGTTGCTGGGGTGACCTCAGGGTCCGTCTAGACTGGTGACAGTGTTCTTGGGGACTGTCTCGAGATCCATTAAGCAAGTCGAAGCTCCTGACTTGTTTCAATGGGATCACGGAATAGCTCTGCATGCACTGCAGGGGAATGGGGCCTCATCTCGCCTCTAGGGGGAAGTCTCATGGTTTTTCTCGAGTTGCGGCGGGGACCTGGGGTATGTTCTCGACTTACGGCGGGGATGGCCCTTCAAAACACGAGTTTCTTCAGTGACGTCAGGACTCCTGTCTAGTAACGAGGGACACCTCAGGAATCTCTTCGAGGCTTGGCAGGGCAAAAGGGACGCTTCTCGAGGTGAGGCAGGGCACCCAAGGACCCTTTCCAGTAGCCACAGGGATTTTGGGATTCCTATCAGTATTCAAGAGGAGTCAGGCATCGTCACCTTTTGAAGCAATGAACTCCGCGTGCCTCTCGAGGTGTCAGCGGGATGTGAGGCATTCCGTCAAAATGAGGCAGGGACCTAGGGCTTTCTCTAAGGTCTCCACAGGGGATTCAGACATCCCTTCATGTTGTGAGATGAAAGACGAGCCTGTATTCAAGCCACTGCAAGGAAATCCGGCCTCCTTTCAAGTTAGGGCTTCTCGCTGTATATTCCCCTTGAGGCAGCAAACTCGGGGTCCCTCCCACATACCTATTGCTGAGAGAAGCCTCCTCCTGAGGTGCTTCTGGGAAGTTGGCATACGTCTTGAGCCTAAGCCAGGGAATCAGCTCGCATCTCGAGACGATTTGGGGTAGACGGAGCATTCCTCGAGTTGCTGTGCTAAAGGTGGTGTTCCTCTAGACTTGGGACAGTGTTCTCGGGGCATCTCTGGAGTTGCCTGAAGGAAGTCGAGCCACCGGTCGTGTTGAATGGGGAACGGGGAATGGCTCTGGAGTCAATACAGGGGAATCGGGCCTCATCTCGAGTTGATTTGGGGCACATGGAGCTGCTTTGCGTTGCTGGGGTGACCTCAGGGTCCGTCTAGACTGGTGACAGTGATCTTGGGGACTGTCTCGAGATCCATTAAGCAAGTCGAAGCTCCTGACTTGTTTGAATGGGATCACGGAATAGCTCTGCATGCACTGCAGGGGAATGGGGCCTCATCTCGCCTCTAGGGGGAAGTCTCATGGTTTTTCTCGAGTTGCGGCGGGGACCTGGGGTATGTTCTCGACTTACGGCGGGGATGGCCCTTCAAAACACGAGTTTCTTCAGTGACGTCAGGACTCCTGTCTAGTAACGTGGGACAACTTAGGAATCTCTTCGAGGCTTGGCAGGGCAAAAGGGATGCTTCTCGAAGTGAGGCAGGGCACCCAAGGACCCTTTCCAGTAGCCACAGGGACTTTGGGATTCCTATCAGTATTCAAGAGGAGTCAGGCATCGTCACCTTTTGAAGCAATGAACTCCGCGTGCCTCTCGAGGTGTCAGCGGGATGTGAGGCATTCCGTCAAAATGAGGCAGGGACCTAGGGCTTTCTCTAAGGTCTCCACAGGGGACTCAGACATCCCTTCATGTTGTGAGATGAAAGACGAGCCTGTATTCAAGCCACTGCAAGGAAATCCGGCCTCCTTTCAAGTTAGGGCTTCTCGCTGTATATTCCCCTTGAGGCAGCAAACTCGGGGTCCCTCCCACATACCTATTGCTGAGAGAAGCCTCCTCCTGAGGTGCTTCTGGGAAGTTGGCATACGTCTTGAGTCTAAGCCAGGGAATCAGCTCGCATCTCGAGACGATTTGGGGTACACGGAGCATTCCTCGAGTTGCTGTGCTGAAGGTGGTGTTCCTCTAGACTTGGGACAGTGTTCTCGGGGCATCTCTGGAGTTGCCTGAAGGAAGTCGAGCCACCGGTCGTGTTGAATGGGGAACGGGGAATGGCTCTGGAGTCAATGCAGGGGAATCGGGCCTCATCTCGAGTTGATTTGGGGCACATGGAGCTGCTTTGCGTTGCTGGGGTGACCTCAAGGTCCGTCTAGACTGGTGACAGTGTTCTTGGGGACTGTCTCGAGATCCACTAAGCAAGTCGAAGCTCCTGACTTGTTTGAATGGGATCACGGAATAGCTCTGCATGCACTGCAGGGGAATGGGGCCTCATCTCGCCTCTAGGGGGAAGTCTCATGGTTTTTCTCGAGTTGCGGCGGGGACCTGGGGTATGTTCTCGACTTACGGCGGGGATGGCCCTTCAAAACACGAGTTTCTTCAGTGACGTCAGGACTCCTGTCTAGTAACGAGGGACACCTCAGGAATCTCTTCGAGGCTTGGCAGGGCAAAAGGGACGCTTCTCGAGGTGAGGCAGGGCACCCAAGGACCCTTTCCAGTAGCCACAGGGATTTTGGGATTCCTATCAGTATTCAAGAGGAGTCAGGCATCGTCACCTTTTGAAGCAATGAACTCCGCGTGCCTCTCGAGGTGTCAGCGGGATGTGAGGCATTCCGTCAAAATGAGGCAGGGACCTAGGGCTTTCTCTAAGGTCTCCACAGGGGATTCAGACATCCCTTCATGTTGTGAGATGAAAGACGAGCCTGTATTCAAGCCACTGCAAGGAAATCCGGCCTCCTTTCAAGTTAGGGCTTCTCGCTGTATATTCCCCTTGAGGCAGCAAACTCGGGGTCCCTCCCACATACCTATTGCTGAGAGAAGCCTCCTCCTGAGGTGCTTCTGGGATTTTGGCATACGTCTTGAGCCTAAGCCAGGGAATCAGCTCGCATCTCGAGACGATTTGGGGTACACGGAGCATTCCTCGAGTTGCTGTGCTGAAGTTGGTGTTCCTCTAGACTTGGGACAGTGTTCTCGGGGCATCTCTGGAGTTGCCTGAAGGAAGTCGAGCCACCGGTCGTGTTGAATGGGGAACGGGGAATGGCTCTGGAGTCAATGCAGGGGAATCGGGCCTCATCTCGAGTTGATTTGGGGCACATGGAGCTGCTTTGCGTTGCTGGGGTGACCTCAGGGTCCGTCTAGACTGGTGACAGTGTTCTTGGGGACTGTCTCGAGATCCATTAAGCAAGTCGAAGCTCCTGACTTGTTTGAATGGGATCACGGAATAGCTCTGCATGCACTGCAGGGGAATGGGGCCTCATCTCGCCTCTAGGGGGAAGTCTCATGGTTTTTCTCGAGTTGCGGCGGGGACCTGGGGTATGTTCTCGACTTACGGCGGGGATGGCCCTTCAAAACACGAGTTTCTTCAGTGACGTCAGGACTCCTGTCTAGTAACGAGGGACACCTCAGGAATCTCTTCGAGGCTTGGCAGGGCCAAAGGGACGCTTCTCGAGGTGAGGCAGGGCACCCAAGGACCCTTTCCAGTAGCCACAGGGATTTTGGGATTCCTATCAGTATTCAAGAGGAGTCAGGCATCGTCACCTTTTGAAGCAATGAACTCCGCGTGCCTCTCGAGGTGTCAGCGGGATGTGAGGCTTTCCGTCAAAATGAGGCAGGGATCTAGGGCTTTCTCTAAGGTCTCCACAGGGGATTCAGACATCCCTTCATGTTGTGAGATGAAAGACGAGCCTGTATTCAAGCCACTGCAAGGAAATCCGGCCTCCTTTCAAGTTAGGGCTTCTCGCTGTATATTCCCCTTGAGGCAGCAAACTCGGGGTCCCTCCCACATACCTATTGCTGAGAGAAGCCTCCTCCTGAGGTGCTTCTGGGAAGTTGGCATTCGACTTGAGCCTAAGCCAGGGAATCAGCTCGCATCTCGAGACGATTTGGGGTACACGGAGCATTCCTCGAGTTGCTGTGCTGAAGTTGGTGTTCCTCTAGACTTGGGACAGTGTTCTCGGGGCATCTCTGGAGTTGCCTGAAGGAAGTCGAGCCACCGGTCGTGTTGAATGGGGAACGGGGAATGGCTCTGGAGTCAATGCAGGGGAATCGGGCCTCATCTCGAGTTGATTTGGGGCACATGGAGCTGCTTTGCGTAGCTGGGGTGACCTCAGGGTCCGTCTAGACTGGTGACAGTGTTCTTGGGGACTGTCTCGAGATCCATTAAGCAAGTCGAAGCTCCTGACTTGTTTGAATGGGATCACGGAATAGCTCTGCATGCACTGCAGGGGAATGGGGCCTCATCTCGCCTCTAGGGGGAAGTCTCATGGTTTTTCTCGAGTTGCGGCGGGGACCTGGGGTATGTTCTCGACTTACGGCGGGGATGGCCCTTCAAAACACGAGTTTCTTCAGTGACGTCAGGACTCCTGTCTAGTAACGAGGGACACCTCAGGAATCTCTTCGAGGCTTGGCAGGGCCAAAGGGACGCTTCTCGAGGTGAGGCAGGGCACCCAAGGACCCTTTCCAGTAGCCACAGGGATTTTGGGATTCCTATCAGTATTCAAGAGGAGTCAGGCATCGTCACCTTTTGAAGCAATGAACTCCGCGTGCCTCTCGAGGTGTCAGCGGGATGTGAGGCATTCCGTCAAAATGAGGCAGGGACCTAGGGCTTTCTCTAAGGTCTCCACAGGGGATTCAGACATCCCTTCATGTTGTGAGATGAAAGACGAGCCTGTATTCAAGCCACTGCAAGGAAATCCGCCCTCCTTTCAAGTTAGGGCTTCTCGCTGTATATTCCCCTTGAGGCAGCAAACTCGGGGTCCCTCCCACATACCTATTGCTGAGAGAAGCCTCCTCCTGAGGTGCTTCTGGGAAGTTGGCATACGTCTTGAGCCTAAGCCAGGGAATCAGCTCTCATCTCGAGACGATTTGGGGTACACGGAGCATTCCTCGAGTTGCTGTGCTGAAGTTGGTGTTCCTCTAGACTTGGGACAGTGTTCTCGGGGCATCTCTGGAGTTGCCTGAAGGAAGTCGAGCCACCGGTCGTGTTGAATGGGGAACGGGGAATGGCCCTGGAGTCAATGCAGGGGAATCGGGCCTCATCTCGAGTTGATTTGGGGCACATGGAGCTGCTTTGCGTTGCTGGGGTGACCTCAGGGTCCGTCTAGACTGGTGACAGTGTTCTTGGGGACTGTCTCGAGATCCATTAAGCAAGTCGAAGCTCCTGACTTGTTTGAATGGGATCACGGAATAGCTCTGCATGCACTGCAGGGGAATGGGGCCTCATCTCGCCTCTAGGGGGAAGTCTCATGGTTTTTCTCGAGTTCCGGCGGGGACCTGGGGTATGTTCTCGACTTACGGCGGGGATGGCCCTTCAAAACACGAGTTTCTTCTGTGACTTCAGGACTCCTGTCTAGTAACGAGGGACACCTCAGGAATCTCTTCGAGGCTTGGCAGGGCAAAAGGGACGCTTCTCGAGGTGAGGCAGGGCACCCAAGGACCCTTTCCAGTAGCCACAGGGATTTTGGGATTCCTATCAGTATTCAAGAGGAGTCAGGCATCGTCACCTTTTGAAGCAATGAACTCCGCGTGCCTCTCGAGGTGTCAGCGGGATGTGAGGCATTCCGTCAAAATGAGGCAGGGACCTAGGGCTTTCTCTAAGGTCTCCACAGGGGATTCAGACATCCCTTCATGTTGTGAGATGACAGACGAGCCTGTATTCAAGCCACTGCAAGGAAATCCGGCCTCCTTTCAAGTTAGGGCTTCTCGCTGTATATTTCCCTTGAGGCAGCAAACTCGGGGTCCCTCCCACATACCTATTGCTGAGAGAAGCCTCCTCCTGAGGTGCTTCTGGGAAGTTGGCATACGTCTTGAGCCTAAGCCAGGGAATCAGCTCGCATCTCGAGACGATTTGGGGTAGACGGAGCATTCCTCGAGTTGCTGTGCTGAAGGTGGTGTTCCTCTAGACTTGGGACAGTGTTCTCGGGGCATCTCTGGAGTTGCCTGAAGGAAGTCGAGCCACCGGTCGTGTTGAATGGGGAACGGGGAATGGCTCTGGAGTCAATGCAGGGGAATCGGGCCTCATCTCGAGTTGATTTGGGGCACATGGAGCTGCTTTGCGTTGCTGGGGTGACCTCAGTGTCCGTCTAGACTGGTGACAGTGTTCTTGGGGACTGTCTCGAGATCCATTAAGCAAGTCGAAGCTCCTGACTTGTTTGAATGGGATCACGGAATAGCTCTGCATGCACTGCAGGGGAATGGGGCCTCATCTCGCCTCTAGGGGGAAGTCTCATGGTTTTTCTCGAGTTGCGGCGGGGACCTGGGGTATGTTCTCGACTTACGGCGGGGATGGCCCTTCAAAACACGAGTTTCTTCAGTGACGTCAGGACTCCTGTCTAGTAACGAGGGACACCTCAGGAATCTCTTCGAGGCTTGGCAGGGCAAAAGGGACGCTTCTCGAGGTGAGGCAGGGCACCCAAGGACCCTTTCCAGTAGCCACAGGGATTTTGGGATTCCTATCAGTATTCAAGAGGAGTCAGGCATCGTCACCTTTTGAAGCAATGAACTCCGCGTGCCTCTCGAGGTGTCAGCGGGATGTGAGGCATTCCGTCAAAATGAGGCAGGGACCTAGGGCTTTCTCTAAGGTCTCCACAGGGGACTCAGACATCCCTTCCTGTTGTGAGATGAAAGACGAGCCTGTATTCAAGCCACTGCAAGGAAATCCGGCCTCCTTTCAAGTTAGGGCTTCTCGCTGTATATTCCCCTTTAGGCAGCAAAGTCGGGGTCCCTCCCACATACCTATTGCTGAGAGAAGCCTCCTCCTGAGGTGCTTCTGGGAAGTTGGCATACGTCTTGAGTCTAAGCCAGGAAATCAGCTCGCATCTCGAGACGATTTGGGGTACACGGAGCATTCCTCGAGTTGCTGTGCTGAAGGTGGTGTTCCTCTAGACTTGGGACAGTGTTCTCGGGGCATCTCTGGAGTTGCCTAAAGGAAGTCGAGCCACGGGTCGTGTTGAATGGGGAACGGGGAATGGCTCTGGAGTCAATGCAGGGGAATCGGGCCTCATCTCGAGTTGATTTGGGGCACATGGAGCTGCTTTGCGTTGCTGGGGTGACCTCAGGGTCCGTCTAGACTGGTGACAGGGTTCTTGGGGACTGTCTCGAGATCCATTAAGCAAGTCGAAGCTCCTGACTTGTTTGAATGGGATCACGGAATAGCTCTGCATGCACTGCAGGGGAATGGCGCCTCATCTCGCCTCTAGGGGGAAGTCTCATGGTTTTTCTCGAGTTGCGGCGGGGACCTGGGGTATGTTCTCGACTTACGGCCGGGATGGCCCTTCAAAACACGAGTTTCTTCTGTGACTTCAGGACTCCTGTCTAGTAACGAGGGACACCTCGGGAATCTCTTCGAGGCTTGGCAGGGCAAAAGGGACGCTTCTCGAGGTGAGGCAGGGCACCCAAGGACCCTTTCCAGTAGCCACAGGGATTTTGGGATTCCTATCAGTATTCAAGAGGAGTCAGGCATCGTCACCTTTTGAAGCAATGAACTCCGCGTGCCTCTCGAGGTTTCAGCGGGATGTGAGGCATTCCGTCAAAATGAGGCAGGGACCTAGGGCTTTCTCTAAGGTCTCCACAGGGGATTCAGACATCCCTTCATGTTGTGAGATGACAGACGAGCCTGTATTCAAGCCACTGCAAGGAAATCCGGCCTCCTTTCAAGTTAGGGCTTCTCGCTGTATATTTCCCTTGAGGCAGCAAACTCGGGGTCCCTCCCACATACCTATTGCTGAGAGAAGCCTCCTCCTGAGGTGCTTCTGGGAAGTTGGCATACGTCTTGAGCCTAAGCCAGGGAATCAGCTCGCATCTCGAGACGATTTGGGGTAGACGGAGCATTCCTCGAGTTGCTGTGCTGAAGGTGGTGTTCCTCTAGACTTGGGACAGTGTTCTCGGGGCATCTCTGGAGTTGCCTGAAGGAAGTCGAGCCACCGGTCGTGTTGAATGGGGAACGGGGAATGGCTCTGGAGTCAATGCAGGGGAATCGGGCCTCATCTCGAGTTGATTTGGGGCACATGGAGCTGCTTTGCGTTGCTGGGGTGACCTCAGTGTCCGTCTAGACTGGTGACAGTGTTCTTGGGGACTGTCTCGAGATCCATTAAGCAAGTCGAAGCTCCTGACTTGTTTGAATGGGATCACGGAATAGCTCTGCATGCACTGCAGGGGAATGGGGCCTCATCTCGCCTCTAGGGGGAAGTCTCATGGTTTTTCTCGAGTTGCGGCGGGGACCTGGGGTATGTTCTCGACTTACGGCGGGGATGGCCCTTCAAAACACGAGTTTCTTCAGTGACGTCAGGACTCCTGTCTAGTAACGAGGGACACCTCAGGAATCTCTTCGAGGCTTGGCAGGGCAAAAGGGACGCTTCTCGAGGTGAGGCAGGGCACCCAAGGACCCTTTCCAGTAGCCACAGGGATTTTGGGATTCCTATCAGTATTCAAGAGGAGTCAGGCATCGTCACCTTTTGAAGCAATGAACTCCGCGTGCCTCTCGAGGTGTCAGCGGGATGTGAGGCATTCCGTCAAAATGAGGCAGGGACCTAGGGCTTTCTCTAAGGTCTCCACAGGGGACTCAGACATCCCTTCCTGTTGTGAGATGAAAGACGAGCCTGTATTCAAGCCACTGCAAGGAAATCCGGCCTCCTTTCAAGTTAGGGCTTCTCGCTGTATATTCCCCTTTAGGCAGCAAAGTCGGGGTCCCTCCCACATACCTATTGCTGAGAGAAGCCTCCTCCTGAGGTGCTTCTGGGAAGTTGGCATACGTCTTGAGTCTAAGCCAGGAAATCAGCTCGCATCTCGAGACGATTTGGGGTACACGGAGCATTCCTCGAGTTGCTGTGCTGAAGGTGGTGTTCCTCTAGACTTGGGACAGTGTTCTCGGGGCATCTCTGGAGTTGCCTAAAGGAAGTCGAGCCACGGGTCGTGTTGAATGGGGAACGGGGAATGGCTCTGGAGTCAATGCAGGGGAATCGGGCCTCATCTCGAGTTGATTTGGGGCACATGGAGCTGCTTTGCGTTGCTGGGGTGACCTCAGGGTCCGTCTAGACTGGTGACAGGGTTCTTGGGGACTGTCTCGAGATCCATTAAGCAAGTCGAAGCTCCTGACTTGTTTGAATGGGATCACGGAATAGCTCTGCATGCACTGCAGGGGAATGGCGCCTCATCTCGCCTCTAGGGGGAAGTCTCATGGTTTTTCTCGAGTTGCGGCGGGTACCTGGGGTATGTTCTCGACTTACGGCGGGGATGGCCCTTCAAAACATGAGTTTCTTCTGTGACTTCAGGACTCCTGTCTAGTAACGAGGGACACCTCGGGAATCTCTTCGAGGCTTGGCAGGGCAAAAGGGACGCTTCTCGAGGTGAGGCAGGGCACCCAAGGACCCTTTCCAGTAGCCACAGGGATTTTGGGATTCCTATCAGTATTCAAGAGGAGTCAGGCATCGTCACCTTTTGAAGCAATGAACTCCGCGTGCCTCTCGAGGTTTCAGCGAGATGTGAGGCATTCCGTCAAAATGAGGCAGGGACCTAGGGCTTTCTCTAAGGTCTCCACAGGGGATTCAGACATCCCTTCATGTTGTGAGATGACAGACGAGCCTGTATTCAAGCCACTGCAAGGAAATCCGGCCTCCTTTCAAGTTAGGGCTTCTCGCTGTATATTTCCCTTGAGGCAGCAAACTCGGGGTCCCTCCCACATAACTATTGCTGAGAGAAGCCTCCTCCTGAGGTGCTTCTGGGAAGTTGGCATACGTCTTGAGCCTAAGCCAGGGAATCAGCTCGCATCTCGAGACGATTTGGGGTAGACGGAGCATTCCTCGAGTTGCTGTGCTGAAGGTGGTGTTCCTCTAGACTTGGGACAGTGTTCTCGGGGCATCTCTGGAGTTGCCTGAAGGAAGTCGAGCCACCGGTCGTGTTGAATGGGGAACGGGGAATGGCTCTGGAGTCAATGCAGGGGAATCGGGCCTCATCTCGAGTTGATTTGGGGCACATGGAGCTGCTTTGCGTTGCTGGGGTGACCTCAGGGTCCGTCTAGACTGGTGACAGTGATCTTGGGGACTGTCTCGAGATCCATTAAGCAAGTCGAAGCTCCTGACTTGTTTGAATGGGATCACGGAATAGCTCTGCATGCACTGCAGGGGAATGGGGCCTCATCTCGCCTCTAGGGGGAAGTCTCATGGTTTTTCTCGAGTTGCGGCGGGGACCTGGGATATGTTCTCGACTTACAGCGGGGATGGCCCTTCAAAACACGAGTTTCTTCAGTGACGTCAGGACTCCTGTCTAGTAACGTGGGACACCTTAGGAATCTCTTCGAGGCTTGGCAGGGCAAAAGGGACGCTTCTCGAGGTGAGGCAGGGCACCCAAGGACCCTTTCCAGTAGCCACAGGGATTTTGGGATTCCTATCAGTATTCAAGAGGAGTCAGGCATCGTCACCTTTTGAAGCAATGAACTCCGCGTGCCTCTCGAGGTGTCAGCGGGATGTGAGGCATTCCGTCAAAATGAGGCAGGGACCTAGGGCTTTCTCTAAGGTCTCCACAGGGGACTCAGACATCCCTTCATGTTGTGAGATGAAAGACGAGCCTGTATTCAAGCCACTGCAAGGAAATCCGGCCTCCTTTCAAGTTAGGGCTTCTCGCTGTATATTCCCCTTGAGGCAGCAAACTCGGGGTCCCTCCCACATACCTATTGCTGAGAGAAGCCTCCTCCTGAGGTGCTTCTGGGAAGTTGGCATACGTCTTGAGCCTAAGCCAGGGAATCAGCTCGCATCTCGAGACGATTTCGGGTAGACGGAGCATTCCTCGAGTTGCTGTGCTGAAGGTGGTGTTCCTCTAGACTTGGGACAGTGTTCTCGGGGCATCTCTGGAGTTGCCTGAAGGAAGTCGAGCCACCGGTCGTGTTGAATGGGGAACGGGGAATGGCTCTGGAGTCAATGCAGGGGAATCGGGCCTCATCTCGAGTTGATTTGGGGCACATGGAGCTGCTTTGCGTTGCTGGGGTGACCTCAGGGTCCGTCTAGACTGGTGACAGTGTTCTTGGGGACTGTCTCGAGATCCATTAAGCAAGTCGAAGCTCCTGACTTGTTTGAATGGGATCACGGAATAGCTCTGCATGCACTGCAGGGGAATGGGGCCTCATCTCGCCTCTAGGGGGAAGTCTCATGGTTTTTCTCGAGTTGCGGCGGGGACCTGGGGTATGTTCTCGACTTACGGCGGGGATGGCCCTTCAAAACACGAGTTTCTTCAGTGACGTCAGGACTCCTGTCTAGTAATGAGGGACACCTCAGGAATCTCTTCGAGGCTTGGCAGGGCAAAAGGGACGCTTCTCGAGGTGAGGCAGGGCACCCAAGGACCCTTTCCAGTAGCCACAGGGATTTTGGGATTCCTATCAGTATTCAAGAGGAGTCAGGCATCGTCACCTTTTGAAGCAATGAACTCCGCGTGCCTCTCGAGGTGTCAGCGGGATGTGAGGCATTCCGTCAAAATGAGGCAGGGACCTAGGGCTTTCTCTAAGGTCTCCACAGGGGACTCAGACATCCCTTCATGTTGTGAGATGAAAGACGAGCCTGTATTCAAGCCACTGCAAGGAAATCCGGCCTCCTTTCAAGTTAGGGCTTCTCGCTGTATATTCCCCTTGAGGCAGCAAACTCGGGGTCCCTCCCACATACCTATTGCTGAGAGAAGCCTCCTCCTGAGGTGCTTCTGGGAAGTTGGCATACGTCTTGAGCCTAAGCCAGGGAATCAGCTCTCATCTCGAGACGATTTGGGGTACACGGAGCATTCCTCGAGTTGCTGTGCTGAAGGTGGTGTTCCTCTAGACTTGGGACAGTGTTCTCGGGGCATCTCTGGAGTTGCCTGAAGGAAGTCGAGCCACCGGTCGTGTTGAATGGGGAACGGGGAATGGCTCTGGAGTCAATGCAGGGGAATCGGGCCTCATCTCGAGTTGATTTGGGGCACATGGAGCTGCTTTGCGTTGCTGGGGTGACCTCAGGGTCCGTCTAGACTGGTGACAGTGTTCTTGGGGACTGTCTCGAGATCCATTAAGCAAGTCGAAGCTCCTGACTTGTTTGAATGGGATCACGGAATAGCTCTGCATGCACTGCAGGGGAATGGGGCCTCATCTCGCCTCTAGGGGGAAGTCTCATGGTTTTTCTCGAGTTGCGGCGGGGACCTGGGATATGTTCTCGACTTACGGCGGGGATGGCCCTTCAAAACACGAGTTTCTTCAGTGACGTCAGGACTCCTGTCTAGTAACGAGGGACACCTCAGGAATCTCTTCGAGGCTTGGCAGGGCCAAAGGGACGCTTCTCGAAGTGAGGCAGGGCACCCAAGGACCCTTTCCAGTATCCACAGGGATTTTGGGATTCCTATCAGTATTCAAGAGGAGTCAGGCATCGTCACCTTTTGAAGCAATGAACTCCGCGTGCCTCTCGAGGTGTCAGCGGGATGTGAGGCTTTCCGTCAAAATGAGGCAGGGATCTAGGGCTTTCTCTAAGGTCTCCACAGGGGATTCAGACATCCCTTCATGTTGTGAGATGAAAGACGAGCCTGTATTCAAGCCACTGCAAGGAAATCCGGCCTCCTTTCAAGTTAGGGCTTCTCGCTGTATATTCCCCTTGAGGCAGCAAACTCGGGGTCCCTCCCACATACCTATTGCTGAGAGAAGCCTCCTCCTGAGGTGCTTCTGGGAAGTTGGCATTCGAATTGAGCCTAAGCCAGGGAATCAGCTCGCATCTCGAGACGATTTGGGGTACACGGAGCATTCCTCGAGTTGCTGTGCTGAAGTTGGTGTTCCTCTAGACTTGGGACAGTGTTCTCGGGGCATCTCTGGAGTTGCCTGAAGGAAGTCGAGCCACCGGTCGTGTTGAATGGGGAACGGGGAATGGCTCTGGAGTCAATGCAGGGGAATCGGGCCTCATCTCGAGTTGATTTGGGGCACATGGAGCTGCTTTGCGTAGCTGGGGTGACCTCAGGGTCCGTCTAGACTGGTGACAGTGTTCTTGGGGACTGTCTCGAGATCCATTAAGCAAGTCGAAGCTCCTGACTTGTTTGAATGGGATCACGGAATAGCTCTGCATGCACTGCAGGGGAATGGGGCCTCATCTCGCCTCTAGGGGGAAGTCTCATGGTTTTTCTCGAGTTGCGGCGGGGACCTGGGGTATGTTCTCGACTTACGGCGGGGATGGCCCTTCAAAACACGAGTTTCTTCAGTGACGTCAGGACTCCTGTCTAGTAACGAGGGACACCTCAGGAATCTCTTCGAGGCTTGGCAGGGCCAAAGGGACGCTTCTCGAGGTGAGGCAGGGCACCCAAGGACCCTTTCCAGTAGCCACAGGGATTTTGGGATTCCTATCAGTATTCAAGAGGAGTCAGGCATCGTCACCTTTTGAAGCAATGAACTCCGCGTGCCTCTCGAGGGGTCAGCGGGATGTGAGGCATTCCGTCAAAATGAGGCAGGGACCTAGGGCTTTCTCTAAGGTCTCCACAGGGGATTCAGACATCCCTTCATGTTGTGAGATGAAAGACGAGCCTGTATTCAAGCCACTGCAAGGAAATCCGGCCTCCTTTCAAGTTAGGGCTTCTCGCTGTATATTTCCCTTGAGGCAGCAAACTCGGGGTCCCTCCCACATACCTATTGCTGAGAGAAGCCTCCTCCTGAGGTGCTTCTGGGAAGTTGGCATACGTCTTGAGCCTAAGCCAGGGAATCAGCTCGCATCTCGAGACGATTTGGGGTAGACGGAGCATTCCTCGAGTTGCTGTGCTGAAGGTGGTGTTCCTCTAGACTTGGGACAGTGTTCTCGGGGCATCTCTGGAGTTGCCTGAAGGAAGTCGAGCCACCGGTCGTGTTGAATGGGGAACGGGGAATGGCTCTGGAGTCAATGCAGGGGAATCGGGCCTCATCTCGAGTTGATTTGGGGCACATGGAGCTGCTTTGCGTTGCTGGGGTGACCTCAGTGTCCGTCTAGACTGGTGACAGTGTTCTTGGGGACTGTCTCGAGATCCATTAAGCAAGTCGAAGCTCCTGACTTGTTTGAATGGGATCACGGAATAGCTCTGCATGCACTGCAGGGGAATGGGGCCTCATCTCGCCTCTAGGGGGAAGTCTCATGGTTTTTCTCGAGTTGCGGCGGGGACCTGGGGTATGTTCTCGACTTACGGCGGGGATGGCCCTTCAAAACACGAGTTTCTTCAGTGACGTCAGGACTCCTGTCTAGTAACGAGGGACACCTCAGGAATCTCTTCGAGGCTTGGCAGGGCAAAAGGGACGCTTCTCGAGGTGAGGCAGGGCACCCAAGGACCCTTTCCAGTAGCCACAGGGATTTTGGGATTCCTATCAGTATTCAAGAGGAGTCAGGCATCGTCACCTTTTGAAGCAATGAACTCCGCGTGCCTCTCGAGGTGTCAGCGGGATGTGAGGCATTCCGTCAAAATGAGGCAGGGACCTAGGGCTTTCTCTAAGGTCTCCACAGGGGACTCAGACATCGCTTCATTTTGTGAGATGAAAGACGAGCCTGTATTCAAGCCACTGCAAGGAAATCCGGCCTCCTTTCAAGTTAGGGCTTCTCGCTGTATATTCCCCTTTAGGCAGCAAAGTCGGGGTCCCTCCCACATACCTATTGCTGAGAGAAGCCTCCTCCTGAGGTGCTTCTGGGAAGTTGGCATACGTCTTGAGTCTAAGCCAGGAAATCAGCTCGCATCTCGAGACGATTTGGGGTACACGGAGCATTCCTCGAGTTGCTGTGCTGAAGGTGGTGTTCCTCTAGACTTGGGACAGTGTTCTCGGGGCATCTCTGGAGTTGCCTGAAGGAAGTCGAGCCACGGGTCGTGTTGAATGGGGAACGGGGAATGGCTCTGGAGTCAATGCAGGGGAATCGGGCCTCATCTCGAGTTGATTTGGGGCACATGGAGCTGCTTTGCGTTGCTGGGGTGACCTCAGGGTCCGTCTAGACTGGTGACAGGGTTCTTGGGGACTGTCTCGAGATCCATTAAGCAAGTCGAAGCTCCTGACTTGTTTGAATGGGATCACGGAATAGCTCTGCATGCACTGCAGGGGAATGGCGCCTCATCTCGCCTCTAGGGGGAAGTCTCATGGTTTTTCTCGAGTTGCGGCGGGGACCTGGGGTATGTTCTCGACTTACGGCGGGGATGGCCCTTCAAAACACGAGTTTCTTCTGTGACTTCAGGACTCCTGTCTAGTAACGAGGGACACCTCGGGAATCTCTTCGAGGCTTGGCAGGGCAAAAGGGACGCTTCTCGAGGTGAGGCAGGGCACCCAAGTACCCTTTCCAGTAGCCACAGGGATTTTGGGATTCCTATCAGTATTCAAGAGGAGTCAGGCATCATCACCTTTTGAAGCAATGAACTCCGCGTGCCTCTCGAGGTTTCAGCGGGATGTGAGGCATTCCGTCAAAATGAGGCAGGGACCTAGGGCTTTCTCTAAGGTCTCCACAGGGGATTCAGACATCCCTTCATGTTGTGAGATGAAAGACGAGCCTGTATTCAAGCCACTGCAAGGAAATCCGGCCTCCTTTCAAGTTAGGGCTTCTCGCTGTATATTCCCCTTGAGGCAGCAAACTCGGGGTCCCTCCCACATACCTATTGCTGAGAGAAGCCTCCTCCTGAGGTGCTTCTGGGAAGTTGGCATACGTCTTGAGTCTAAGCCAGGAAATCAGTTCGCATCTCGAGACGATTTGGGGTACACGGAGCATTCCTCGAGTTGCTGTGCTGAAGGTGGTGTTCCTCTAGACTTGGGACAGTGTTCTCGGGGCATCTCTGGAGTTGCCTGAAGGAAGTCGAGCCACCGGTCGTGTTGAATGGGGAATGGGGAATGGCTCTGGAGTCAATGCAGGGGAATCGGGCCTCATCTCGAGTTGATTTGGGGCACATGGAGCTGCTTTGCGTTGCTGGGGTGACCTCAAGGTCCGTCTAGACTGGTGACAGTGTTCTTGGGGACTGTCTCGAGATCCACTAAGCAAGTCGAAGCTCCTGACTTGTTTGAATGGGATCACGGAATAGCTCTGCATGCACTGCAGGGGAATGCGGCCTCATCTCGCCTCTAGGGGGAAGTCTCATGGTTTTTCTCGAGTTGCGGCGGGGACCTGGGGTATGTTCTCGACTTACGGCGGGGATGGCCCTTCAAAACACGAGTTTCTTCAGTGACGTCAGGACTCCTGTCTAGTAACGAGGGACACCTCAGGAATCTCTTCGAGGCTTGGCAGGGCAAAAGGGACGCTTCTCGAGGTGAGGCAGGGCACCCAAGGACCCTTTCCAGTAGCCAAAGGGATTTTGGGATTCCTATCAGTATTCAAGAGGAGTCAGGCATCGTCACCTTTTGAAGCAATGAACTCCGCGTGCCTCTCGAGGTGTCAGCGGGATGTGAGGCATTCCGTCAAAATGAGGCAGGGACCTAGGGGTTTCTCTAAGGTCTCCACAGGGGATTCAGACATCCCTTCATGTTGTGAGATGAAAGACGAGCCTGTATTCAAGCCATTGCAAGGAAATCCGGCCTCCTTTCAAGTTAGGGCTTCTCGCTGTATATTCACCTTGAGGCAGCAAACTCGAGGTCCCTCCCCCATTCCTATTGCTGTGAGAAGCCTCCTCCTGAGGTGCTTCTGGGAAGTTGGCATACGTCTTGAGCCTAAGCCAGGGAATCAGCTCTCATCTCGAGACGATTTGGGGTACGCGGAGCATTCCTCGAGTTGCTGTGCTGAAGTTGGTGTCCCTCTAGACTTGGGACAGTGTTCTCGGGGCATCTCTGGAGTTGCCTGAAGGAAGTCGAGCCACCGGTCGTGTTGAATGGGGAACGGGGAATGGCTCTGGAGTCAATGCAGGGGAATCGGGCCTCATCTCGAGTTGATTTGGGGCACATGGAGCTGCTTTGCGTTGCTGGGTTGACCTCAGGGTCTGTCTAGACTGGTGACAGTGATCTTGGGGACTGTCTCGAGATCCATTAAGCAAGTCGAAGCTCCTGACTTGTTTGAATGGGATCACGGAATAGCTCTGCATGCACTGCAGGGGAATGGGGCCTCATCTCGCCTCTAGGGGGAAGTCTCATGGTTTTTCTCGAGTTGCGGCGGGGACCTGGGGTATGTTCTCGACTTACAGCGGGGATGGCCCTTCAAAACACGAGTTTCTTCAGTGACGTCAGGACTCCTGTCTAGTATCGAGGGACACCTCAGGAATCTCTTCGAGGCTTGGCAGGACAAAAGGGACGCTTCTCGAGGTGAGGCAGGGCACCCAAGGACCCTTTCCAGTAGCCACAGGGATTTTGGGATTCCTATCAGTATTCAAGAGGAGTCAGGCATCGTCACCTTTTGAAGCAATGAACTCCGCGTGCCTCTCGAGGTGTCAGCGGGATGTGAGGCATTCCGTCAAAATGAGGCAGGGACCTAGGGCTTTCTCTAAGGTCTCCACAGGGGATTCAGACATCCCTTCATGTTGTGAGATGAAAGACGAGCCTGTATTCAAGCCACTGCAAGGAAATCCGGCCTCCTTTCAAGTTAGGGCTTCTCGCTGTATATTCCCCTTGAGGCAGCAAACTCGGGGTCCCTCCCACATACCTATTGCTGAGAGAAGCCTCCTCCTGAGGTGCTTCTGGGAAGTTGGCATACGTCTTGAGCCTAAGCCAGGGAATCAGCTCGCATCTCGAGACGATTTGGGGTAGACGGAGCATTCCTCGAGTTGCTGTGCTGAAGGTGGTGTTCCTCTAGACTTGGGACAGTGTTCTCGGGGCATCTCTGGAGTTGCCTGAAGGAAGTCGAGCCACCGGTCGTGTTGAATGGGGAACGGGGAATGGCTCTGGAGTCAATGCAGGGGAATCGGGCCTCATCTCGAGTTGATTTGGGGCACATGGAGCTGCTTTGCGTTGCTGGGGTGACCTCAGGTTCCGTCTAGACTGGTGACAGTGTTCTTGGGGACTGTCTCGAGATCCATTAAGCAAGTCGAAGCTCCTGACTTGTTTGAATGGGATCACGGAATAGCTCTGCATGCACTGCAGGGGAATGGGGCCTCATCTCGCCTCTAGGGGGAAGTCTCATGGTTTTTCTCGAGTTGCGGCGGGGACCTGGGGTATGTTCTCGACTTACGGCGGGGATGGCCCTTCAAAACACGAGTTTCTTCAGTGACGTCAGGACTCCTGTCTAGTAATGAGGGACACCTCAGGAATCTCTTCGAGGCTTGGCAGGGCAAAAGGGACGCTTCTCGAGGTGAGGCAGGGCACCCAAGGACCCTTTCCAGTAGCCACAGGGATTTTGGGATTCCTATCAGTATTCAAGAGGAGTCAGGCATCGTCACCTTTTGAAGCAATGAACTCCGCGTGCCTCTCGAGGTGTCAGCGCGATGTGAGGCATTCCGTCAAAATGAGGCAGGGACCTAGGGCTTTCTCTAAGGTCTCCACAGGGGATTCAGACATCCCTTCATGTTGTGAGATGAAAGACGAGCCTGTATTCAAGCCACTGCAAGGAAATCCGGCCTCCTTTCAAGTTAGGGCTTCTCGCTGTATATTCCCCTTGAGGCAGCAAACTCGGGGTCCCTCCCACATACCTATTGCTGAGAGAAGCCTCCTCCTGAGGTGCTTCTGGGAAGTTGGCATACGTCTTGAGCCTAAGCCAGGAAATCAGCTCTCATCTCGAGACGATTTGGGGTACACGGAGCATTCCTCGAGTTGCTGTGCTGAAGTTGGTGTTCCTCTAGACTTGGGACAGTGTTCTCGGGGCATCTCTGGAGTTGCCTGAAGGAAGTCGAGCCACCGGTCGTGTTGAATGGGGAACGGGGAATGGCTCTGGAGTCAATGCAGGGGAATCGGGCCTCATCTCGAGTTGATTTGGGGCACATGGAGCTGCTTTGCGTTGCTGGGGTGACCTCAGGGTCCGTCTAGACTGGTGACAGTGTTCTTGGGGACTGTCTCGAGATCCATTAAGCAAGTCGAAGCTCCTGACTTGTTTGAATGGGATCACGGAATAGCTCTGCATGCACTGCAGGGGAATGGGGCCTCATCTCGCCTCTAGGGGGAAGTCTCATGGTTTTTCTCGAGTTGCGGCGGGGACCTGGGGTATGTTCTCGACTTACGGCGGGGATGGCCCTTCAAAACACGAGTTTCTTCAGTGACGTCAGGACTCCTGTCTAGTAACGAGGGACACCTCAGGAATCTCTTCGAGGCTTGGCAGGGCAAAAGGGACGCTTCTCGAGGTGAGGCAGGGCACCCAAGGACCCTTTCCAGTAGCCACAGGGATTTTGGGATTCCTATCAGTATTCAAGAGGAGTCAGGCATCGTCACCTTTTGAAGCAATGAACTCCGCGTGTCTCTCGAGGTGTCAGCGGGATGTGAGGCATTCCGTCAAAATGAGGCAGGGACCTAGGGCTTTCTCTAAGGTCTCCACAGGGGATTCAGACATCCCTTCATGTTGTGAGATGAAAGACGAGCCTGTATTCAAGCCACTGCAAGGAAATCCGGCCTCCTTTCAAGTTAGGGCTTCTCGCTGTATATTCCCCTTGAGGCAGCAAACTCGGGGTCCCTCCCACATACCTATTGCTGAGAGAAGCATCCTCCTGAGGTGCTTCTGGGAAGTTGGCATACGTCTTGAGCCTAAGCCAGGGAATCAGCTCGCATCTCGAGACGATTTGGGGTACACGGAGCATTCCTCGAGTTGATGTGCTGAAGTTGGTGTTCCTCTAGACTTGGGACAGTGTTCTCGGGGCATCTCTGGAGTTGCCTGAAGGAAGTCGAGCCACCGGTCGTGTTGAATGGGGAACGGGGAATGGCTCTGGAGTCAATGCAGGGGAATCGGGCCTCATCTCGAGTTGATTTGGGGCACATGGAGCTGCTTTGCGTTGCTGGGGTGACCTCAGGGTCCGTCTAGACTGGTGACAGTGATCTTGGGGACTGTCTCGAGATCCATTAAGCAAGTCGAAGCTCCTGACTTGTTTGAATGGGATCACGGAATAGCTCTGCATGCACTGCAGGGGAATGGGGCCTCATCTCGCCTCTAGGGGGAAGTCTCATGGTTTTTCTCGAGTTGCGGCGGGGACCTGGGGTATGTTCTCGACTTACGGCGGGGATGGCCCTTCAAAACACGAGTTTCTTCAGTGACGTCAGGACTCCTGTCTAGTAACGTGGGACACCTTAGGAATCTATTCGAGGCTTGGCAGGGCAAAAGGGACGCTTCTCGAGGTGAGGCAGGGCACCCAAGGACCCTTTCCATTAGCCACAGGGATTTTGGGATTCCTATCAGTATTCAAGAGGAGTCAGGCATCGTCACCTTTTGAAGCAATGAACTCCGCGTGCCTCTCGAGGTGTCAGCGGGATGTGAGGCATTCCGTCAAAATGAGGCAGGGACCTAGGGCTTTCTCTAAGGTCTCCACAGGGGACTCAGAGATCCCTTCATGTTGTGAGATGAAAGACGAGCCTGTATTCAAGCCACTGCAAGGAAATCCGGCCTCCTTTCAAGTTAGGGCTTCTCGCTGTATATTCCCCTTGAGGCAGCAAACTCGGGGTCCCTCCCACATACCTATTGCTGAGAGAAGCCTCCTCCTGAGGTGCTTCTGGGAAGTTGGCATACGTCTTGAGTCTAAGCCAGGAAATCAGCTCGCATCTCGAGACGATTTGGGGTACACGGAGCATTCCTCGAGTTGCTGTGCTGAAGGTGGTGTTCCTCTAGACTTGGGACAGTGTTCTCGGGGCATCTCTGGAGTTGCCTGAAGGAAGTCGAGCCACCGGTCGTGTTGAATGGGGAACGGGGAATGGCTCTGGAGTCAATGCAGGGGAATCGGGCCACATCTCGAGTTGATTTGGGGCACATGGAGCTGCTTTGCGTTGCTGGGGTGACCTCAGGGTCCGTCTAGACTGGTGACAGTGTTCTTGGGGACTGTCTCGAGATCCATTAAGCAAGTCGAAGCTCCTGACTTGTTTGAATGGGATCACGGAATAGCTCTGCATGCACTGCAGGGGAATGGCGCCTCATCTCGCCTCTATGGGGAAGTCTCATGGTTTTTCTCGAGTTGCGGCGGGGACCTGGGGTATGTTCTCGACTTACGGCGGGGATGGCCCTTCAAAACACGAGTTTCTTCTGTGACTTCAGGACTCCTGTCTAGTAACGAGGGACACCTCGGGAATCTCTTCGAGGCTTGGCAGGGCAAAAGGGACGCTTCTCGAGGTGAGGCAGGGCACCCAAGGACCCTTTCCAGTAGCCACAGGGATTTTGGGATTCCTATTAGTATTCAAGAGGAGTCAGGCATCGTCACCTTTTGAAGCAATGAACTCCGCGTGCCTCTCGAGGTTTCAGCGGGATGTGAGGCATTCCGTCAAAATGAGGCAGGGACCTAGGGCTTTCTCTAAGGTCTCCACAGGGGATTCAGACATCCCTTCATGTTGTGAGATGACAGACGAGCCTGTATTCAAGCCACTGCAAGGAAATCCGTCCTCCTTTCAAGTTAGGGCTTCTCGCTGTATATTTCTCTTGAGACAGCAAACTCGGGGTCCCTCCCACATACCTATTGCTGAGAGAAGCCTCCTCCTGAGGTGCTTCTGGGAAGTTGGCATACGTCTTGAGCCTAAGCCAGGGAATCAGCTCGCATCTCGAGACGATTTGGGGTAGACGGAGCATTCCTCGAGTTGCTGTGCTGAAGGTGGTGTTCCTCTAGACTTGGGACAGTGTTCTCGGGGCATCTCTGGAGTTGCCTGAAGGAAGTCGAGCCACCGGTCGTGTTGAATGGGGAACGGGGAATGGCTCTGGAGTCAATGCAGGGGAATCGGGCCTCATCTCGATTTGATTTGGGGCACATGGAGCTGCTTTGCGTTGCTGGGGTGACCTCAGGGTCCGTCTAGACTGGTGACAGTGATCTTGGGGACTGTCTCGAGATCCATTAAGCAAGTCGAAGCTCCTGACTTGTTTGAATGGGATCACGGAATAGCTCTGCATGCACTGCAGGGGAATGGGGCCTCATCTCGCCTCTAGGGGGAAGTCTCATGGTTTTTCTCGAGTTGCGGCGGGGACCTGGGGTATGTTCTCGACTTACGGCGGGGATGGCCCTTCAAAACACGAGTTTCTTCAGTGACGTCAGGACTCCTGTCTAGTAACGAGGGACACCTCAGGAATCTCTTCGAGGCTTGGCAGGGAAAAAAGGGACGCTTCTCGAGGTGAGGCAGGACACCCAAGGACCCTTTCCAGTAGCCAAAGGGATTTTGGGATTCCTATCAGTATTCAAGAGGAGTCAGGCATCGTCCCTTTTGAAGCAATGAACTCCGCGTGCCTCTCGAGGTGTCAGCGGGATGTGAGGCATTCCGCCAAAATGAGGCAGGGATCTAGGGCTTTCTCTAAGGTCTCCACAGGGGATTCAGACATCCCTTCATGTTGTGAGATGAAAGACGAGCCTGTATTCAAGCCACTGCAAGGAAATCCGGCCTCCTTTCAAGTTAGGGCTTCTCGCTGTATATTCCCCTTGAGGCAGCAAACTCGGGGTCCCTCCCACATACCTATTGCTGAGAGAAGCCTCCTCCTGAGGTGCTTCTGGGAAGTTGGCATACGTCTTGAGCCTAAGCCAGGGAATCAGCTCTCATCTCGAGACGATTTGGGGTACACGGAGCATTCCTCGAGTTGCTGTGCTGAAGTTGGTGTCCCTCTAGACTTGGGACAGTGTTCTCGGGGCATCTCTGGAGTTGCCTGAAGGAAGTCGAGCCACCGGTCGTGTTGAATGGGGAACGGGGAATGGCTCTGGAGTCAATGCAAGGGAATCGGGCCTCATCTCGAGTTGATTTGGGGCACATGGAGCTGCTTTGCGTTGCTGGGTTGACCTCAGGGTCTGTCTAGACTGGTGACAGTGATCTTGGGGACTGTCTCGAGATCCATTAAGCAAGTCGAAGCTCCTGACTTGTTTGAATGGGATCACAGAATAGCTCTGCATGCACTGCAGGGGAATGGGGCCTCATCTCGCCTCTAGGGGGAAGTCTCATGGTTTTTCTCGAGTTGCGGCGGGGACCTGGGGTATGTTCTCGACTTACAGCGGGGATGGCCCTTCAAAACACGAGTTTCTTCAGTGAAGTCAGGACTCCTGTCTAGTATCGAGGGACACCTCAGGAATCTCTTCGAGGCTTGGCAGGACAAAAGGGACGCTTCTCGAGGTGAGGCAGGTCACCCAAGGACCCTTTCCAGTAGCCACAGGGATTTTGGGATTCCTATCAGTATTCAAGAGGAGTCAGGCATCGTCACCTTTTGAAGCAATGAACTCCGCGTGCCTCTCGAGGTGTCAGCGGGATGTGAGGCATTCCGTCAAAATGAGGCAGGGATCTAGGGCTTTCTCTAAGGTCTCCACAGGGGATTCAGACATCCCTTCATGTTGTGAGATGAAAGACGAGCCTGTATTCAAGCCACTGCAAGGAAATCCGGCCTCCTTTCAAGTTAGGGCTTCTCCCTGTATATTCCCCTTGAGGCAGCAAACTCGGGGTCCCTCCCACATACCTATTGCTGAGAGAAGCCTCCTCCTGAGGTGCTTCTGGGAAGTTGGCATACGTCTTGAGCCTAAGCCAGGGAATCAGCTCGCATCTCGAGACGATTTGGGGTAGACGGAGCATTCCTCGAGTTGCTGTGTTGAAGGTGGTGTTCCTCTAGACTTGGGACAGTGTTCTCGGGGCATCTCTGGAGTTGCCTGAAGGAAGTCGAGCCACCGGTCGTGTTGAATGGGGAACGGGGAATGGCTCTGGAGTCAATGCAGGGGAATCGGGCCTCATCTCGAGTTGATTTGGGGCACATGGAGCTGCTTTGCGTTGCTGGGGTGACCTCAGGGTCCGTCTAGACTGGTGACAGTGTTCTTGGGGACTGTCTCGAGATCCATTAAGCAAGTCGAAGCTCCTGAATTGTTTGAATGGGATCACGGAATAGCTCTGCATGCACTGCAGGGGAATGGGGCCTCATCTCGCCTCTAGGGGGAAGTGTCATGGTTTTTCTCGAGTTGCGGCGGGGACCTGGGGTATGTTCTCGACTTACGGCGGGGATGGCCCTTCAAGACACGAGTTTCTTCAGTGACGTCAGGACTCCTGTCTAGTAAAGAGGGACACCTCAGGAATCTCTTCGAGGCTTGGCAGGGAAAAAAGGGACGCTTCTCGAGGTGAGGCAGGGCACCCAAGGACCCTTTCCAGTAGCCAAAGGGATTTTGGGATTCCTATCAGTATTCAAGAGGAGTCAGGCATCGTCACCTTTTGAAGCAATGAACTCCGCGTGCCTCTCGAGGTGTCAGCGGGATGTGAGGCATTCCGTCAAAATGAGGCAGGGACCTAGGGCTTTCTCTAAGGTCTCCACAGGGGATTCAGACATCCCTTCATGTTGTGAGATGAAAGACGAGCCTGTATTCAAGCCACTGCAAGGAAATCCGGCCTCCTTTCAAGTTAGGGCTTCTCGCTGTATATTCACCTTGAGGCAGCAAACTCGGGGTCCCTCCCACATACCTATTGCTGAGAGAAGCCTCCTCCTGAGGTGCTTCTGGGAAGTTGGCATACGTCTTGAGCCTAAGCCAGGGAATCAGCTCTCATCTCGAGACGATTTGGGGTACACGGAGCATTCCTCGAGTTGCTGTGCTGAAGTTGGTGTTCCTCTAGACTTGGGACAGTGTTCTCGGGGCATCTCTGGAGTTGCCTGAAGGAAGTCGAGCCACCGGTCGTGTTGAATGGGGAACGGGGAATGGCTCTGGAGTCAATGCAGGGGAATCGGGCCTCATCTCGAGTTGATTTGGGGCACATGGAGCTGCTTTGCGTTGCTGGGGTGACCTCAGGGTCCGTCTAGACTGGTGACAGTGTTCTTGGGGACTGTCTCGAGATCCATTAAGCAAGTCGAAGCTCCTGACTTGTTTGAATGGGATCACGGAATAGCTCTGCATGCACTGCAGGGGAATGGGGCCTCATCTCGCCTCTAGGGGGAAGTCTCATGGTTTTTCTCGAGTTGCGGCGGGGACCTGGGGTATGTTCTCGACTTACGGCGGGGATGGACCTTCAAAACACGAGTTTCTTCAGTGACGTCAGGACTCCTGTCTAGTAACGTGGGACACCTTAGGAATCTCTTCGAGGCTTGGCAGGGCAAAAGGGACGCTTCTCGAGGTGAGGCAGGGCACCCAAGGACCCTTTCCAGTAGCCACAGGGACTTTGGGATTCCTATCAGTATTCAAGAGGAGTCAGGCATCGTCACCTTTTGAAGCAATGAACTCCGCGTGCCTCTCGAGGTGTCAGCGGGATGTGAGGCATTCCGTCAAAATGAGGCAGGGACCTAGGGCTTTCTCTAAGGTCTCCACAGGGGACTCAGACATCCCTTCATGTTGTGAGATGAAAGACGAGCCTGTATTCAAGCCACTGCAAGGAAATCCGGCCTCCTTTCAAGTTAGGGCTTCTCGCTGTATATTCCCCTTGAGGCAGCAAACTCGGGGTCCCTCCCACATACCTATTGCTGTGAGAAGCCTCCTCCTGAGGTGCTTCTGGGAAGTTGGCATACGTCTTGAGCCTAAGCCAGGGAATCAGCTCTCATCTCGAGACGATTTGGGGTACACGGAGCATTCCTCGAGTTGCTGTGCTGAAGTTGGTGTCCCTCTAGACTTGGGACAGTGTTCTCGGGGCATCTCTGGAGTAGCCTGAAGGAAGTCGAGCCACCGGTCGTGTTGAATGGGGAACGGGGAATGGCTCTGGAGTCAATGCAGGGGAATCGGGCCTCATCTCGAGTTGATTTGGGGCACATGGAGCTGCTTTGCGTTGCTGGGGTGACCTCAGGGTCCGTCTAGACTGGTGACAGTGTTCTTGGGGACTGTCTCGAGATCCATTAAGCAAGTCGAAGCTCCTGACTTGTTTGAATGGGATCACGGAATAGCTCTGCATGCACTGCAGGGGAATGGGGCCTCATCTCGCCTCTAGGGGGAAGTCTCATGGTTTTTCTCGAGTTGCGGCGGGGACCTGGGGTATGTTCTCGACTTACGGCGGGGATGGCCCTTCAAAACACGAGTTTCTTCAGTGACGTCAGGACTCCTGTCTAGTAATGAGGGACACCTCAGGAATCTCTTCGAGGCTTGGCAGGGCAAAAGGGACGCTTCTCGAGGTGAGGCAGGGCACCCAAGGACCCTTTCCAGTAGCCACAGGGATTTTGGGATTCCTATCAGTATTCAAGAGGAGTCAGGCATCGTCACCTTTTGAAGCAATGAACTCCGCGTGCCTCTCGAGGTGTCAGCGGGATGTGAGGCATTCCGTCAAAATGAGGCAGGGACCTAGGGCTTTCTCTAAGGTCTCCACAGGGGATTCAGACATCCCTTCATGTTGTGAGATGAAAGACGAGCCTGTATTCAGCCACTGCAAGGAAATCCGGCCTCCTTTCAAGTTAGGGCTTCTCGCTGTATATTCCCCTTGAGGCAGCAAACTCGGGGTCCCTCCCACATACCTATTGCTGAGAGAAGCCTCCTCCTGTGGTGCTTCTGGGAAGTTGGCATACGTCTTGAGCCTAAGCCAGGGAATCAGCTCTCATCTCGAGACGATTTGGGGTACATGGAGCATTCCTCGAGTTGCTGTGCTGAAGTTGGTGTTCCTCTAGACTTGGGACAGTGTTCTCGGGGCATCTCTGGAGTTGCCTGAAGGAAGTCGAGCCACCGGTCGTGTTGAATGGGGAACGGGGAATGGCTCTGGAGTCAATGCAGGGGAATCGGGCCTCATCTCGAGTTGATTTGGGGCACATGGAGCTGCTTTGCGTTGCTGGGGTGACCTCAGGGTCCGTCTAGACTGGTGACAGTGTTCTTGGGGACTGTCTCGAGATCCATTAAGCAAGTCGAAGCTCCTGAATTGTTTGAATGGGATCACGGAATAGCTCTGCATGCACTGCAGGGGAATGGGGCCTCATCTCGCCTCTAGGGGGAAGTCTCATGGTTTTTCTCGAGTTGCGGCGGGGACCTGGGGTATGTTCTCGACTTACGGCGGGGATGGCCCTTCAAAACACGAGTTTCTTCAGTGACGTCAGGACTCCTGTCTAGTAACGAGGGACACCTCAGGAATCTCTTCGAGGCTTGGCAGGGCAAAAGGGACGCTTCTCGAGGTGAGGCAGGGCACCCAAGGACCCTTTCCAGTAGCCACAGGGATTTTGGGATTCCTATCAGTATTCAAGAGGAGTCAGGCATCGTCACCTTTTGAAGCAATGAACTCCGCGTGCCTCTCGAGGTATCAGCGGGATGTGAGGCATTCCGTCAAAATGAGGCAGGGATCTAGGGCTTTCTCTAAGGTCTCCACAGGGGATTCAGACATCCCTTCATGTTGTGAGATGAAAGACGAGCCTGTATTCAAGCCACTGCAAGGAAATCCGGCCTCCTTTCAAGTTAGGGCTTCTCGCTGTATATTCCCCTTGAGGCAGCAAACTCGGGGTCCCTCCCACATACCTATTGCTGAGAGAAGCATCCTCCTGAGGTGCTTCTGGGAAGTTGGCATACGTCTTGAGCCTAAGCCAGGGAATCAGCTCGCATCTCGAGACGATTTGGGGTACACGGAGCATTCCTCGAGTTGATGTGCTGAAGTTGGTGTTCCTCTAGACTTGGGACAGTGTTCTCGGGGCATCTCTGGAGTTGCCTGAAGGAAGTCGAGCCACCGGTCGTGTTGAATGGGGAACGGGGAATGGCTCTGGAGTCAATGCAGGGGAATCGGGCCTCATCTCGAGTTGATTTGGGGCACATGGAGCTGCTTTGCGTTGCTGGGGTGACCTCAGGGTCCGTCTAGACTGGTGACAGTGATCTTGGGGACTGTCTCGAGATCCATTAAGCAAGTCGAAGCTCCTGACTTGTTTGAATGGGATCACGGAATAGCTCTGCATGCACTGCAGGGGAATGGGGCCTCATCTCACCTCTAGGGGGAAGTCTCATGGTTTTTCTCGAGTTGCGGCGGGGACCTGGGGTATGTTCTCGACTTACGGCGGGGATGGACCTTCAAAACACGAGTTTCTTCAGTGACGTCAGGACTCCTGTCTAGTAACGTGGGACACCTTAGGAATCTATTCGAGGCTTGGCAGGGCAAAAGGGACGCTTCTCGAGGTGAGGCAGGGCACCCAAGGACCCTTTCCATTAGCCACAGGGATTTTGGGATTCCTATCAGTATTCAAGAGGAGTCAGGCATCGTCACCTTTTGAAGCAATGAACTCCGCGTGCCTCTCGAGGTGTCAGCGGGATGTGAGGCATTCCGTCAAAATGAGGCAGGGACCTAGGGCTTTCTCTAAGGTCTCCACAGGGGATTCAGACATCCCTTCATGTTGTGAGATGACAGACGTGCCTGTATTCAAGCCACTGCAAGGAAATCCGGCCTCCTTTCAAGTTAGGGCTTCTCGCTGTATATTTCCCTTGAGGCAGCAAACTCGGGGTCCCTCCCACATACCTATTGCTGAGAGAAGCCTCCTCCTGAGTTGCTTCTGGGAAGTTGGAATACGTCTTGAGCCTAAGCCAGGGAATCAGCTCGCATCTCGAGACGATTTGGGGTAGACGGAGCATTCCTCGAGTTGCTGTGCTGAAGGTGGTGTTCCTCTAGACTTGGGACAGTGTTCTCGGGGCATCTCTGGAGTTGCCTGAAGGAAGTCGAGCCACCGGTCGTGTTGAATGGGGAACGGGGAATGGCTCTGGAGTCAATGCAGGGGAATCGGGCCTCATCTCGAGTTGATTTGGGGCACATGGAGCTGCTTTGCGTTGCTGGGGTGACCTCAGGGTCCGTCTAGACTGGTGACAGTGATCTTGGGGACTGTCTCGAGATCCATTAAGCAAGTCGAAGCTCCTGACTTGTTTGAATGGGATCACGGAATAGCTCTGCATGCACTGCAGGGGAATGGGGCCTCATCTCGTCTCTAGGGGGAAGTCTCATGGTTTTTCTCGAGTTGCGGCGGGGACCTGGTGTATGTTCTCGACTTACGGCGGGGATGGCCCTTCAAAACACGAGTTTCTTCAGTGACGTCAGGACTCCTGTCTAGTAACGAGGGACACCTCAGGAATCTCTTCGAGGCTTGGCAGGGAAAAAAGGGACGCTTCTCGAGGTGAGGCAGGGCACCCAAGGACCCTTTCCAGTAGCCAAAGGGATTTTGGGATTCCTATCAGTATTCAAGAGGAGTCAGGCATCGTCACCTTTTGAAGCAATGAACTCCGCGTGCCTCTCGAGGTGTCAGCGGGATGTGAGGCATTCCGTCAAAATGAGGCAGGGACCTAGGGCTTTCTCTAAGGTCTCCACAGGGGATTCAAACATCCCTTCATGTTGTGGGATGAAAGACGAGCCTGTATTCAAGCCACTGCAAGGAAATCCGGCCTCCTTTCAAGTTAGGGCTTCTCGCTGTATATTCACCTTGAGGCAGCAAACTCGGGGTCCCTCCCACATACCTATTGCTGAGAGAAGCCTCCTCCTGAGGTGCTTCTGGGAAGTTGGCATACGTCTTGAGCCTAAGCCAGGGAATCAGCTCTCATCTCGAGACGATTTGGGGTACACGGAGCATTCCTCGAGTTGCTGTGCTGAAGTTGGTGTCCCTCTAGACTTGGGACAGTGTTCTCGGGGCATCTCTGGAGTTGCCTGAAGGAAGTCGAGCCACCGGTCGTGTTGAATGGGGAACGGGGAATGGCTCTGGAGTCAATGCAGGGGAATCGGGCCTCATCTCGAGTTGATTTGGGGCACATGGAGCTGCTTTGCGTTGCTGGGTTGACCTCAGGGTCTGTCTAGACTGGTGACAGTGATCTTGGGGACTGTCTCGAGATCCATTAAGCAAGTCGAAGCTCCTGACTTGTTTGAATGGGATCACGGAATAGCTCTGCATGCACTGCAGGGGAATGGGGCCTCATCTCGCCTCTAGGGGGAAGTCTCATGGTTTTTCTCGAGTTGCGGCGGGGACCTGGGGTATGTTCTCGACTTACAGCGGGGATGGCCCTTCAAAACACGAGTTTCTTCAGTGACGTCAGGACTCCTGTCTAGTATCGAGGGACAACTCAGGAATCTCTTCGAGGCTTGGCAGGACAAAAGGGACGCTTCTCGAGGTGAGGCAGGGCACCCAAGGACCCTTTCCAGTAGCCACAGGGATTTTGGGATTCCTATCAGTATTCAAGAGGAGTCAGGCATCGTCACCTTTTGAAGCAATGAACTCCGCGTGCCTCTCGAGGTGTCAGCGGGATGTGAGGCATTCCGTCAAAATGAGGCAGGGACCTAGGGCTTTCTCTAAGGTCTCCACAGGGGATTCAGACATCCCTTCATGTTGTGAGATGAAAGACGAGCCTGTATTCAAGCCACTGCAAGGAAATCCGGCCTCCTTTCAAGTTAGGGCTTCTCGCTGTATATTCCCCTTGAGGCAGCAAACTCGGGGTCCCTCCCACATACCTATTGCTGAGAGAAGCCTCCTCCTGAGGTGCTTCTGGGAAGTTGGCATACGTCTTGAGCCTAAGCCAGGGAATCAGCTCGCATCTCGAGACGATTTGGGGTAGACGGAGCATTCCTCGAGTTGCTGTGTTGAAGGTGGTGTTCCTCTAGACTTGGGACAGTGTTCTCGGGGCATCTCTGGAGTTGCCTGAAGGAAGTCGAGCCACCGGTCGTGTTGAATGGGGAACGGGGAATGGCTCTGGAGTCTATGCAGGGGAATCGGGCCTCATCTCGAGTTGATTTGGGGCACATGGAGCTGCTTTGCGTTGCTGGGGTGACCTCAGGGTCCGTCTAGACTGGTGACAGTGTTCTTGGGGACTGTCTCGAGATCCATTAAGCAAGTCGAAGCTCCTGACTTGTTTGAATGGGATCACGGAATAGCTCTGCATGCACTGCAGGGGAATGGGGCCTCATCTCGCCTCTAGGGGGAAGTCTCATGGTTTTTCTCGAGTTGCGGCGGGGACCTGGGGTATGTTCTCGACTTACGGCGGGGATGGCCCTTCAAAACACGAGTTTCTTCAGTGACGTCAGGACTCCTGTCTAGTAACGAGGGACACCTCAGGAATCTCTTCGAGGCTTGGCAGGGCAAAAGGGACGCTTCTCGAGGTGAGGCAGGGCACCCAAGGACCCTTTCCAGTAGCCACAGGGATTTTGGGATTCCTATCAGTATTCAAGAGGAGTCAGGCATCGTCACCTTTTGAAGCAATGAACTCCGCGTGCCTCTCGAGGTGTCAGCGGGATGTGAGGCATTCCGTCAAAATGAGGCAGTGACCTAGGGCTTTCTCTAAGGTCTCCACAGGGGATTCAGACATCCCTTCATGTTGTGAGATGAAAGACGAGCCTGTATTCAAGCCACTGCAAGGAAATCCGGCCTCCTTTCAAGTTAGGGCTTCTCGCTGTATATTCCCCTGGAGGCAGCAAACTCGGGGTCCCTCCCACATACCTATTGCTGAGAGAAGCCTCCTCCTGAGGTGCTTCTGGGAAGTTGGCATACGTCTTGAGCCTAAGCCAGGGAATCAGCTCGCATCTCGAGACAATTTGGGGTAGACGGAGCATTCCTCGAGTTGCTGTGCTGAAGGTGGTGTTCCTCTAGACTTGGGACAGTGTTCTCGGGGCATCTCTGGAGTTGCCTGAAGGAAGTCGAGCCACCGGTCGTGTTGAATGGGGAACGGGGAATGGCTCTGGAGTCAATGCAGGGGAATCGGGCCTCATCTCGAGTTGATTTGGGGCACATGGAGCTGCTTTGCGTTGCTGGGGTGACCTCAGGGTCCGTCTAGACTGGTGACAGTGATCTTGGGGACTGTCTCGAGATCCATTAAGCAAGTCGAAGCTCCTGACTTGTTTGAATGGGATCACGGAATAGCTCTGCATGCACTGCAGGGGAATGGGGCCTCATCTCGCCTCTAGGGGGAAGTCTCATGGTTTTTCTCGAGTTGCGGCGGGGACCTGGGGTATGTTCTCGACTTACGGCGGGGATGGCCCTTCAAAACACGAGTTTCTTCAGTGACATCAGGACTCCTGTCTAGTAACGTGGGACACCTTAGGAATCTCTTCGAGGCTTGGCAGGGCAAAAGGGACGCTTCTCGAGGTGAGGCAGGGCACCCAAGGACCCTTTCCAGTAGCCACAGGGACTTTGGGATTCCTATCAGTATTCAAGAGGAGTCAGGCATCGTCACCTTTTGAAGCAATGAACTCCGCGTGCCTCTCGAGGTGTCAGCGGGATGTGAGGCATTCCGTCAAAATGAGGCAGGGACCTAGGGCTTTCTCTAAGGTCTCCACAGGGGACTCAGACATCCCTTCATGTTGTGAGATGAAAGACGAGCCTGTATTCAAGCCACTGCAAGGAAATCCGGCCTCCTTTCAAGTTAGGGCTTCTCGCTGTATATTCCCCTTGAGGCAGCAAACTCGGGGTCCCTCCCACATACCTATTGCTGAGAGAAGCCTCCTCCTGAGGTGCTTCTGGGAAGTTGGCATACGTCTTGAGCCTAAGCCAGGGAATCAGCTCGCATCTCGAGACGATTTGGGGTACACGGAGCATTCCTCGAGTTGCTGTGCTGAAGGTGGTGTTCCTCTAGACTTGGGACAGTGTTCTCGGGGCATCTCTGGAGTTGCCTGAAGGAAGTCGAGCCACCGGTCGTGTTGAATGGGGAACGGGGAATGGCTCTGGAATCAATGCAGGGGAATCGGGCCTCATCTCGAGTTGATTTGGGGCACATGGAGCTGCTTTGCGTTGCTGGGGTGACCTCAAGGTCCGTCTAGACTGGTGACAGTGTTCTTGGGGACTGTCTCGAGATCCACTAAGCAAGTCGAAGCTCCTGACTTGTTTGAATGGGATCACGGAATAGCTCTGCATGCACTGCAGGGGAATGGGGCCTCATCTCGCCTCTAGGGGGAAGTCTCATGGTTTTTCTCGAGTTGCGGCGGGGACCTGGGGTATGTTCTCGACTTACGGCGGGGATGGCCCTTCAAAACACGAGTTTCTTCAGTGACGTCAGGACTCCTGTCTAGTAACGAGGGACACCTCAGGAATCTCTTCGAGGCTTGGCAGGGCAAAAGGGACGCTTCTCGAGGTGAGGCAGGGCACCCAAGGACCCTTTCCAGTAGCCACAGGGATTTTGGGATTCCTATCAGTATTCAAGAGGAGTCAGGCATCGTCACCTTTTGAAGCAATGAACTCCGCGTGCCTTTCGAGGTGTCAGCGGGATGTGAGGCATTCCGTCAAAATGAGGCAGGGACCTAGGGCTTTCTCTAAGGTCTCCACAGGGGATTCAGACATCCCTTCATGTTGTGAGATGAAAGACGAGCCTGTATTCAAGCCACTGCAAGGAAATCCGGCCTCCTTTCAAGTTAGGGCTTCTCGCTGTATATTCACCTTGAGGCAGCAAACTCGGGGTCCCTCCCACATACCTATTGCTGAGAGAAGCCTCCTCCTGAGGTGCTTCTGGGAAGTTGGCATACGTCTTGAGCCTAAGCCAGGGAATCAGCTCTCATCTCGAGACGATTTGGGGTACACGGAGCATTCCTCGAGTTGCTGTGCTGAAGTTGGTGTCCCTCTAGACTTGGGACAGTGTTCTCGGAGCATCTCTGGAGTTGCCTGAAGGAAGTCGAGCCACCGGTCGTGTTGAATGGGGAACGGGGAATGGCTCTGGAGTCAATGCAGGGGAATCGGGCCTCATCTCGAGTTGATTTGGGGCACATGGAGCTGCTTTGCGTTGCTGGGGTGACCTCAGGGTCCGTCTAGACTGGTGACAGTGTTCTTGGGGACTGTCTCGAGATCCATTAAGCAAGTCGAAGCTCCTGACTTGTTTGAATGGGATCACGGAATAGCTCTGCATGCACTGCAGGGGAATGGGGCCTCATCTCGCCTCTAGGGGGAAGTCTCATGGTTTTTCTCGAGTTGCGGCGGGGACCTGGGGTATGTTCTCGACTTACGGCGGGGATGGCCCTTCAAAACACGAGTTTCTTCAGTGACGTCAGGACTCCTGTCTAGTAACGAGGGACACCTCAGGAATCTCTTCGAGGCTTGGCAGGGCAAAAGGGACGCTTCTCGAGGTGAGGCAGGGCACCCAAGGACCCTTTCCAGTAGCCACAGGGATTTTGGGATTCCTATCAGTATTCAAGAGGAGTCAGGCATCGTCACCTTTTGAAGCAATGAACTCCGCGTGCCTCTCGAGGTGTCAGCGGGATGTGAGGCATTCCGTCAAAATGAGGCAGGGACCTAGGGCTTTCTCTAAGGTCTCCACAGGGGATTCAGACATCCCTTCATGTTGTGAGATGAAAGACGAGCCTGTATTCAAGCCACTGCAAGGAAATCCGGCCTCCTTTCAAGTTAGGGCTTCTCGCTGTATATTCCCCTTGAGGCAGCAAACTCGGGGTCCCTCCCACATACCTATTGCTGAGAGAAGCCTCCTCCTGAGGTGCTTCTGGGAAGTTGGCATACGTCTTGAGTCTAAGCCAGGGAATCAGCTCGCATCTCGAGACGATTTGGGGTACACGGAGCATTCCTCGAGTTGCTGTGCTGAAGGTGGTGTTCCTCTAGACTTGGGACAGTGTTCTCGGGGCATCTCTGGAGTTGCCTGAAGGAAGTCGAGCCACCGGTCGTGTTGAATGGGGAACGGGGAATGGCTCTGGAGTCAATGCAGGGGAATCGGGCCTCATCTCGAGTTGATTTGGGGCACATGGAGCTGCTTTGCGTTGCTGGGGTGACCTCAAGGTCCGTCTAGACTGGTGACAGTGTTCTTGGGGACTGTCTCGAGATCCACTAAGCAAGTCGAAGCTCCTGACTTGTTTGAATGGGATCACGGAATAGCTCTGCATGCACTGCAGGGGAATGGGGCCTCATCTCACCTCTAGGGGGAAGTCTCATGGTTTTTCTCGAGTTGCGGCGGGGACCTGGGGTATGTTCTCGACTTACGGCGGGGATGGCCCTTCAAAACACGAGTTTCTTCAGTGACGTCAGGACTCCTGTCTAGTAACGAGGGACACCTCAGGAATCTCTTCGAGGCTTGGCAGGGCAAAAGGGACGCTTCTCGAGGTGAGGCAGGGCACCCAAGGACCCTTTCCAGTAGCCACAGGGATTTTGGGATTCCTATCAGTATTCAAGAGGAGTCAGGCATCGTCACCTTTTGAAGCAATGAACTCCGCGTGCCTCTCGAGGTGTCAGCGGGATGTGAGGCATTCCGTCAAAATGAGGCAGGGACCTAGGGCTTTCTCTAAGGTCTCCACAGAGGATTCAGACATCCCTTCATGTTGTGAGATGAAAGACGAGCCTGTATTCAAGCCACTGCAAGGAAATCCGGCCTCCTTTCAAGTTAGGGCTTCTCGCTGTATATTCCCCTTGAGGCAGCAAACTCGGGGTCCCTCCCACATACCTATTGCTGAGAGAAGCCTCCTCCTGAGGTGCTTCTGGGAAGTTGGCATACGTCTTGAGCCTAAGTCAGGGAATCAGCTCGCATCTCGAGACGATTTGCGGTAGACGGAGCATTCCTCGAGTTGCTGTGCTGAAGGTGGTGTTCCTCTAGACTTGGGACAGTGTTCTCGGGGCATCTCTGGAGTTGCCTGAAGGAAGTCGAGCCACCGGTCGTGTTGAATGGGGAACGGGGAATGGCTCTGGAGTCAATGCAGGGGAATCGGGCCTCATCTCGAGTTGATTTGGGGCACATGGAGCTGCTTTGCGTTGCTGGGGTGACCTCAGGGTCCGTCTAGACTGGTGACAGTGTTCTTGGGGACTGTCTCGAGATCCATTAAGCAAGTCGAAGCTCCTGACTTGTTTGAATGGGATCACGGAATAGCTCTGCATGCACTGCAGGGGAATGGGGCCTCATCTCGCCTCTAGGGGGAAGTCTCATGGTTTTTCTCGAGTTGCGGCGGGGACCTGGGGTATGTTCTCGACTTACGGCGGGGATGGCCCTTCAAAACACGAGTTTCTTCAGTGACGTCAGGACTCCTGTCTAGTAACGAGGGACACCTCAGGAATCTCTTCGAGGCTTGGCAGGGCAAAAGGGACGCTTCTCGAGGTGAGGCAGGGCACCCAAGGACCCTTTCCAGTAGCCACAGGGATTTTGGGATTCCTATCAGTATTCAAGAGGAGTCAGGCATCGTCACCTTTTGAAGCAATGAACTCCGCGTGCCTTTCGAGGTGTCAGCGGGATGTGAGGCATTCCGTCAAAATGAGGCAGGGACCTAGGGCTTTCTCTAAGGTCTCCACAGGGGATTCAGACATCCCTTCATGTTGTGAGATGAAAGACGAGCCTGTATTCAAGCCACTGCAAGGAAATCCGGCCTCCTTTCAAGTTAGGGCTTCTCGCTGTATATTCACCTTGAGGCAGCAAACTCGGGGTCCCTCCCACATACCTATTGCTGAGAGAAGCCTCCTCCTGAGGTGCTTCTGGGAAGTTGGCATACGTCTTGAGCCTAAGCCAGGGAATCAGCTCTCATCTCGAGACGATTTGGGGTACACGGAGCATTCCTCGAGTTGCTGTGCTGAAGTTGGTGTCCCTCTAGACTTGGGACAGTGTTCTCGGAGCATCTCTGGAGTTGCCTGAAGGAAGTCGAGCCACCGGTCGTGTTGAATGGGGAACGGGGAATGGCTCTGGAGTCAATGCAGGGGAATCGGGCCTCATCTCGAGTTGATTTGGGGCACATGGAGCTGCTTTGCGTTGCTGGGGTGACCTCAGGGTCCGTCTAGACTGGTGACAGTGTTCTTGGGGACTGTCTCGAGATCCATTAAGCAAGTCGAAGCTCCTGACTTGTTTGAATGGGATCACGGAATAGCTCTGCATGCACTGCAGGGGAATGGGGCCTCATCTCGCCTCTAGGGGGAAGTCTCATGGTTTTTCTCGAGTTGCGGCGGGGACCTGGGGTATGTTCTCGACTTACGGCGGGGATGGCCCTTCAAAACACGAGTTTCTTCAGTGACGTCAGGACTCCTGTCTAGTAACGAGGGACACCTCAGGAATCTCTTCGAGGCTTGGCAGGGCAAAAGGGACGCTTCTCGAGGTGAGGCAGGGCACCCAAGGACCCTTTCCAGTAGCCACAGGGATTTTGGGATTCCTATTAGTATTCAAGAGGAGTCAGGCATCGTCACCTTTTGAAGCAATGAACTCCGCGTGCCTCTCGAGGTGTCAGCGGGATGTGAGGCATTCCGTCAAAATGAGGCAGGGACCTAGGGCTTTCTCTAAGGTCTCCACAGGGGATTCAGACATCCCTTCATGTTGTGAGATGAAAGACGAG